CAGTCTTTGATCTGGAGACACGTTGTGAAGCTGTTGCTGTCTTGCAAAGGCTAACATGTTCCGTCTCGTCGTGGCCTTCGGCTATAATTTGTCACGATGCTCCACAAGGCATCTCCTAGACGCCTTCTGGGTAGTTGGTCGATAGAACTTGCATCCCGTGGACATCGTCGTATCTGACACTGGGCTGGATTGTCCGGCTCACGACGCAAGTGGGCTCCAGCGCGAGCAGGCCGCATGTCGAGGTCAAATGCGTTGGTTATTGTACGTGCATAGAAAGCCAGCATGTCTTGGCTAAAAGCCAGCGGCGCAGTGGTTACTGTGTTCGTAGACAGGGAAGCAGGCGGGCCAGAAGGTTGACGCGAACGCTGTGTTGCTCTGGTGTGTCAACCGTATGGTGTGTCAACCGCCGACAGATTTCGGGGCGCTAGGTTCGTCAGCCGTTCCGCCCATGTGTGCGTGCGTTTGATGGCATCGACGTGTATGAGTGTGTGTGGCTGGCGCGTTCGGGTGAGCGCGCGCCTACATCTGTGTAATTTGCACATTGCCTGTTGACCGGGGACGGGGGCCGAGACAGGGCGCGCAGGACTCGACAAGGACAAGATAAGACGAAAGGCCGGACGGTTCTTGTCATGTCGGCATCCATTCTGTACGACCCTCTCGGGTTCATCAGCTGGGTTAGGTACAGTGCTGCTGCTAAAAAGCATCCCGCTTCTGGGACTTGCCCAACCACGTTACGAGTCGCGTCGACTGCATTGGAGCAGGTCTAAGACACATCTCCCACCCGCCTGGTTTTCTCTCCGGGGAGATCGTGGCCATCCGCGCCTGTGTCTGATCGAGGCCTTCGGAAGGGCTAATTTATCCATTGTTAGTTCGGCCCCCCTTCCGGCGTGACATACCCCATTCCGCCATGGTCCACAATCCTTGCAGATGGTCAAACACGGCGATGAGCCAATGCGACTGTGCCGACCTGCAATTGAGACTGTGAACAGACAGAGAAGGCTCTCGGTAGGGTATGGCTAGGATCGTGGACAGGGCTGCAAAGGTAGAATGGTAGCTTACCGAATCAAGCCACAGTTGCTCATCACGACTCTGGTAGTCTAGACTACCTTGGCGCCTCCCGGCAGCTCCAACGGTTTGAGTGGCACGGGAGGTACATTACTGCGCATGTGTCGCAGAATGTGTAGTGGGGTGGCAAGGGTGTGGAGTCTTCGGCTTGGCTCATCCTGCCCAGTGATGACGATGACGACGACTCTGATGAAGAGGACGAGATGGCCGGGTAGTTGAATGGGACGGGGATTTAAGGCCATGTTAAGCGAAGAGAACGGCTGCTAGTAGGGGGCGGAAAAAAGGCACGGCACTAATACAACGGCAGAGAGTCGAGATGATTTGCCCCAATCACGCACGAACCAGCAGCGAAGTCTGGTTCCAACGGCCAGCCCAAGCGACAAATGAGGCACAAGAGTTACGGTCATCTCCTGGGCCACGCGCACCCGTTTCCGTTAGATGGACGGGTAAGTTGCCATCGTGGGGCCCAGTGGCCAGGCGACGTGGGGTGCCATGATCCATCTCCCTCGAGGATCAAGTTGGGTGGCTTGGCCTAGGGCCTGGTTTGACGATCAGGCTGGTCATGTCCCGGCCGTCATTGTGGGATTATCGTCTGGGAGGGGCCAATTTGTCTGGGTCACTTCAGCCGCCAAAGCTTACCTCTGTTTAGTGTTAGTGCGGAGAGAGGGCTTCTCGGGATGCATTTTTTGGTCAAGCCGGGCCTTGATGCGCCGCAGGCTAGGGGGGGTTAGCAAACGATCCAGCTACGCGAGAGTGATCTGTGGCGCCGGATCACGGGTGATGACGATGGATGATGCTGCTTCTGAGCGACACACAGCACAGGGAGATTGGCCGCCGTCGTTGCTGGTGGGTGGGTGGATGGATGGATGGATTGAAGCGCGAGGTTGGCACTTGGGAATGTTCGGGGCAGCTGCCTACCTTGGAAACTAATAAGGTAGGCGAGGCAGGTAGGTTTGCAGGCAGTACCTACTTATTGAGATACTGTATCATACTCATTGCACCGGACGGAAAGAGCCTGGTCGAGATGACCTGGCGACGATATGAGATGAAAGGCAGGCGCAGGTGGAGGCGAGGCGGCAGAGAAAGAAGAAGGAAGAACGATGCCAAAAGAGCCCAGCCACATATCATGGCGTAGTATCCATGTGCTTGCTTGCCAGCCACTCCCACACTTCATTCGCACTCGCACTTACACTCCTCGGCACCCTTATTATTACTTATTACTCACACCCACGCAGTACGTAGTACGCCTTGTTGTTCGCAACGCGTAGAATGGCAGAATGCAGAACGGAAACCCACACACACGCACGCTCACCCCCCTCCAAGCTCCACAAAGAGCTTAACGTGCCATGGAGGCGGGCTCTAACAAGACGTTTTGGGTGGTTCTCAAGATCCACGCCCACTTCCCGCGCGGCGATTAACCACAACCCTGGCCGACAGGCCGGCCCTTGCCTGCATGGCCCTTGGACCATAGGCGATGGATCTTTTCTTTCTTTCCTTCCAACCAAGGTTGATGGTCCAGTCCCAGGCCGAGCCCCAGGCTGGCGACCAATCCCACGCAGCCCAAATTCTCACTCATCCCGGGGTTAGTGGTCGTGCAAACCCTGGCAGGTTAGGAGGATCGACTAGCCAGGTGCTGCTGGATTCGAGAAGGGAAAAAGAAAAATTTAATCAACCACGGACAGATGAATACGAGCAACTAGAGGGGATATGAATAAGCGGCCGATTTTCTCTGCCACTCCCAGAAGACTCGTCAGCCTGTAGGTCGTTTGGCGCGTGCGGCTGGATTACCATCCTGGGTCATGATGACGGGGATGGGTGCTTGCAGAGCTCTCGTCTGGACTCCCCTCCATCTCAACTCGACGACGCCATTGACGACGTTCTGATCGATCATGATCTGCCGAATCTGCCGGACTGAGGAGCTTTGTTCGATAGTTAAACACAGTCCAGAAAGACCGAGCACGCGAGCCACTCAAAGGCTTCCCGCCTCATCACTCCAGGCCCAATAGTTGCTGCTAGTAAGCCCATCCATCCGTCGAGGTAGGTACCCTTTTCTTCTTCTTTTTTTTTTTGCGTGCTGTTTTTCCCTCTAGACTCTGAATCCACCGAAGCACACGCTCACGCCCGTCGAATTGATGCTCCGGCAGTAGTTGCTGCACCGATCCGGCACATAATACGCGCGAAGCCCATCCACACACTTTCACGCGCACATAAACACACAGGCTCACTCACACTTCTCTTACACCTCTTACACACACCCTCCCCCCTGGCTCATCGTGGCCCCTCCACTTCCCACCTTCAGTCCCACGTCCCTTGTTGGTGACTTTCTCTCACACACCACTCACGCGCTTCTCGGGGACTGGGATCTTGTTCATTTTCAGCCACTCTGCTCGCCCTTCTCTGCACGACGACCTTAGCTCCAGTCACTAATTGCTGTCATGATGTGCCCCCGTCGCCCTCGCCGACTCTACGGGCCAGAGGCCAGACACTACAGGCCAGACACCACAGGCCCGGCCACTGGCCAGTCCCCCTCCCCCATTCGCACCCGTCCCGGCTGCTGTTAGCTGTTAGTGGCCGTACCGTGCCCAATCTGTCAATCTCTTCTGATACACGCTTTCCATCCAGCACCCTAGTGAAATAATCCAGGCACACTCGCTTCTCCACACTGGCACGATTTCCGCACCGGCCCTTGCCTGAATCTTCTATCGGCCTTGCAGGCTTGCACCTTTTCCAGCATGGTCCCGGGTTTTTGGTTTTTGACCTGGTGGCCCTTGGCCGCCCTTGAGTCGTTGTGTCGTTGTCTCCGCTGTCCTCACCTCATCCTTGGGAGCCCTCATCCTTGGGAGCCCTTGTGTGTCCATGCTCCTTGGCTCTTGCTTGGCCCTTGACCTCTTTGGCCTTTGTTCTCATGTTCCCCGGCCCCGGGCCTGGCTGGCTGGCCTTTGTCAAGACCCAGACAAGACCCAAGCGGAGACGTCTCGGCCGCCGGCGGCCCTTGATGATGCATGTGGGCGTGTGTGGGCGTCTGCGAGTGAGTGCGTGTACTCCATACACCTCACATAGTACTTCTGCTGATCCTCAGCTTCCTCCCCAGTCTTTTTCCTTCCCTCTTCCTCCTCCCTCCTTCTTCCCACATATACTCCATACATCCCTCCTCCTCCTTCTCCTCCACCTCATTCGTTCGTCTGGCCCCCGAGCTGTAGGTCGACGGCTCAGCCCTGGGCTCCGCAGCCATCCCCGTCTCCGTCTCCGTCACCGTCCCGGCTCAGGCGAGGAACTGGGCCCAGGACTCGTCCATTCTGGGACAGGCTTGCGTCTCCATCGACATCACAGACGCCCGTTTATACACGCCGGCGGTACCTGCGTTGGAGTGGGTGCCTGTGTGTCTGTGCCTCTTGTCTGAGGTGTGAGGTGTGCCTCTTTTGTCACTACCACCACTGCCACTTCTTTCTCCGCCGCTCTGCCACTATACTCTGCCACTATACCTCTCTGTTCCGTCCCTGCTTCTGTGGCTGGTTCTTTTCGTTCCCGCTCACCTACCTCCTCGCCCACGCTCACTTCCGTCGCCCATGTTCCGTGCCATGTGGCAAAGGCATCCATGAAATGAGCTTGACCTTGCTTGTCAACTGGTTCCATCCGCCCCGCCTGTTTCGACCGTCACAACTCTCGAGCTGGCCGTCACATCTAGCTCGCATCCTCTCGTCTTATACAAAGCTTGCGTCCGCATCCACCTCGTATGCTCTCCCCCTTCCCTCTTCCTCCCTCCTTCCCCCTACCTGCCTTGCTCCTCCTTCCTTTTATCCACCAACATCTTCAACACCCTGACTCATCATTCTTTCCGTTTCTCACCCCAACACAACCCTCCGCCTCCCACCACACTTCTTCTCATCTTGAACTGTCATCCTCTCCCCAACCTGTTCTGTTGAATCTGTTTGCCTTCACCGAGCAGAAAGAGACTTCATCGCGAACCCCATAACGCACCCTGAGATAAAACATTAATTCCTACTCGCCACACATGTCCCCACTGGTGTAGCCCAGCTGCCACACAACGATGCTTACCGTCAAGCAGCCACCAACTTACGGCTACAAGTCCGTCCATGACCTGCCGACTCCGCCATCCACCTCTCGACCTTCTCCCCCCTTGATCTACCAAGAGTCAATCTCCAAGTCGTTGCCGGTCACATATCGGAGCCATAGCCCGCCAACCCAGCCCATGTCGGCTCCTCACCGTGGTTTGCCTCCCCCGGCAGCCATGACACTACCTCCACAGCAGCCTCCGAACACCGGCGTTCCTCCGCCGGCGCATCATGCACCGCCTCCGCCTCCGCCGCCTCCTTCACTGGGCCCTAGTCACCAGCAGAGAGATTCCTGGGCTCAACTCCCAGCCCCGCCCCCCCAATGGCAGGGCGCCGAGGAACCGATGAAGCATTGGCTCCAAGCCAGAGCCGAGGAGGACAAGCGGAAACAGGAGGAGGAGCGTACGAGGCAGGAGAGCCTGCGTCTGGAGCAGCGAAAGGTTGAGATGGACATGCTGCGAACCTCTCTGTCCGGTGGTATCCCTCCCGCAATGGTCCCCTTGGTCTTCGCCGGAATGGGTGGCAGCGGGGGAGCCCTTTCACAGGTCGCCCTCGAATGGACACAGCAATTCATGCCCCAATCGCAACCCCCCCGGGCTCAACTCATGCCTCCCCAAGGAGCCATGTCTCCAGAGCACCAGCGAGAGGTCCAGCCCGCAGCCCCCGGCCAGTACCACAACCTCCCTCCGGTACCCCCACCTGCACCGCCCGGATACGCGTATCCTGGATCGCCGCCGACGAGACCAAGAGGCCAGACGGTGGTCGGGACCATGGGACGTCCTGTAGGAGTAGCCTCGAACCTCCCAAGCCTCAACACTAATGTGCCACAACCCGCACACGGCGGAGTCCCGGCAATGGCAACACATCCGCACATGCAACAGGCTCAACCTCCTCAACCGGAGTCTCAAGCAAGTCCGTCAATATACTTCCACCACTGGCAGCCACCAACATCGCAGGCCGGCAACAGCTCAAACCGACCGGGAAGCCCTACCGGTTCGTCCAAGACAAAGAGAAAGCGAGATTCTCTGTAGGCTAACGTGGCTCCGTGACTATAGGGGAGACTCCCAGAAAGCGCAAGGCCACGGGGCAACACCAGCCAGCTCCTTCTCCACCTCGAGGCGAGTCCCGACTTCGATCCCCTCCGCCGTTTGTCCAGAGCGGACTCTCGAATCCTGCCCAGCGCGGACGGCGCGGCCACACACGCCAAAGGAGCGACTTCTCGCCCTATCGATCTTCCGGGCCGGGGCGCGCTCGCCGAGAGAGCTTCGGAGGCCCCCTGCGCCGCATGTCGCCGATACGTAGCTCAACCCCAGGGTTGCTGCAGGACAGGGTGGGCAGTGACCGAAGCGAATCTCAGAAGCACTCGGTCTCGTCAATGCTGTCGGAGGAGCCCCGACCGCCATCGCGACACTCGCTTCCTGCACACGCCACCGACGAAGGTGAGCATCGACTTCGACGGACACCCCCGGCCGAGTCCAAAGCGCCGGTTGGAGTTGAGGGAACGGCGCCACCGCGTGAGGGCGCAGGGGAGGGCTCAGGGGCGTAATTTATGGACGCGTCCCGGTCATTACTCAGCCCCACGCGACCACTTGACTTCGCAAGAAATGTCGGCAACCATCTGAGACCTCCGTGCCCAACTATGACGGAATCTTATTTCATCGCAGAGGGAGAGATCATGTCTCGGATATTCATCAAGACCATGTGGTTTGCAGTGGAACATTATGAGCCATGTGGGGGTCACATCCTGGGATTTACAGCACCAGGGACGACGCTCGGTGCGGTTCATCTGAACCCCCGGGGCAAGCGAGTTTTCGCAGGTTGACACCAAACTTCGATTCTGAATCTGATCTGTATTGCTATTGGCCGTTTTACTTAAAAGCTAGAGCTGGTGGGCGCATATCTGGGGAAACGGATTGATTTTTTATTCATTTGGGACGGTCCTATAACTCGACTGGAGGACTAGAAGTCGGCGAGCAAGTGCGAAGGGTTGCTTTTATTTTACATATATGTCTAACCATCAAGGAAATCTATTGGAAGCAGGAACAACAAAGAGCCATGGACACGGATTTGGACATGTGATATGACAGGAAGAGCAGCTGAGGGGAACTGGACAAAGACAGGGTTAGAGAGAGAGGGGGGTGGGAAGAGAGTCGGCTGGAACGGTTCCCTGGATAACTAGGACAAGATACCCTGCGGGCAAGACCTGAATGGGCATACCTGAAAAAAGGCGTCACAGCTTTGGAAACAAATGATAATCAGACCCTGTTGTGTATGCCTACGAGTTGAACCCCCACCCATCTATAAGATGCGCTATCTGTATAAATGTCTGGACTTACTAGCTGCTAGAGACAGGTGTGTGTGTGTGTGTACTCTAGAGCCTCGCAGAGGAAAGGATGAGAGCATCTGGAGTGGCCAGCCAATGCGGAATGGATGGCTGCCACATGTCCCTAGGCCTATTCGTCGAGAGGGTCATGGAAACCGGTCTGTTTCGAGGCCGTCGGCCAGGTTGCATCGGCAGCTGCTAGTTTTGGACAGCCATTGCAGTTGTATGTGCGCTTCCATCCAATGACTCTTCGTGGTAGCAGGAGGCCAGCCCACGGCGCGCAAGCCACAGTGGCCGGATCGAATCCCATGCAGAGAGAGTGTGCTGGAGTTGCCGTCTTCAGACAGGCGCAGAGGTGGCTGGGGCGGCAGAAAGCCAGCTGGACCGGGAGGCCGGAGGAGGGGGGGATCGAAATGGGTCGGTGTGATGGAGAGAGTGTCGGCTCTGCATGTTGTGCATATGGATATGGCGTCGTGGATGGTGGCATTTGGAGTGGGTTTCGGCTTTTACGTACACGCGCTCGGGACGCCAGTCCACACACACACTTTCATACACACACACACATGGCAATGGTGCATCTACAAAAGGGCCATGAGTAAGAAGCCACGCGGGAGGCGTCATGATGCTGGTACTGTAGCAAGGCCAAGGCCAAAGCCAAAGCCCGACGCCCTTGTTCGACTGGTGAAGTACAGATACGAAGGGGCTGGGATGGGATGGGATGGGATGCCGGCAATGGTCCACGGGTAGAGACCAACCAACGACGAATCTTTGTTGGGGTTGTGGGTGATTAATTAGTCCGTACTCTACACGAAGTACTCAGCCCTAGCTGGTGTTGTATACTTGTATGCCAAGCTCTACTAAACCGAGAGACAAGAACAATCAGACGGCTCCTGGCTGGATATAGGGCTGTATGCGCATGTGTTTGAACGACAAGGGAGTGGCCAGCCAGGATGGGAGCAGGAAGAGGGAAATGAGGTGGGCGTCGTTTCAGACCCCCGAGAGCAGACGGCTACCGAGTTTTCCTACCCCCCTCTTACTCGGCATGTGGGTGCAGACGGAGACGGGATGGATGAATGAATGAGGGTGGATGGATGCGTGTGGGTGTGTGTGTGTGCGAGTGGAGGGATGGTGTGAGTGTGGCGTGTAGGCGAGGCTTACTGCGAGGTTTTGATGCCGGGAGATGGATATGGCATGGCCAATGTGTGTGAATCTGGATGACGGTTGCAGGCATTCTGGATGTACGAATATGTATGTCAGTGTGTAAGTGTGCAAGTGTGTAACTTACTGTGTATGAACGACATGTACGGATAGATGGTGAACGAACGAACTACTGGAGGGACCAGGGTATCAACCTGTACGCCTGGGATCGGGGCCAAGTCAAATCCTCTCTGTACCTCTCTCTCTGTACAACCTCGTAGAAGGATAAACCCACAGCCAAGACGACCACTATCAGGACCACTATCAGGACCACTATCAGGACCACTGTCAGGACCACGTCATGGGAAGTTTCATCCGCCGGAACCCAACCCATCCGACCCCAGGCCGGCAATCCAGGTACCACCACACCAAAAAGCCTTTGTCCGTATCCCGGGCTGGGACGACAGAACTACCGCAAGCCAAGTAATACCACGCGCATTATTAACAATATTGTCCAATTTTCCCCTCTCGCCGATGCCGTCCCTCGCAGCACATGCTTTCCCAAACTGGAACGTCGCCCCGAAACCGGGGTGTGCGCCGGAGCGCCAGAGCGCCACAAACAATCACTCACTCACTTATCACGTCCATCGCCAAGCCGTCACATCGCATACGCGACACCCAGCCGCATACGCATACGCAGATGCAAGCGCATCAGAAACCAAGCACGCCGCACGTCTACTCCTCTCGCCTCTTCCCTCTCTCCTCTCGCGCCCCCCCCCCTCCCCCTGCTCGTGCCACACCCCACGCCCACAGGATCCCGGACGGTGAACTGGCGGGCTGTCTCGAATAGGCAAACACGATGACAGAAACGACAAAGAGAAAGGAAACCCGAAAACTCAATCTAACCACAAGCCCGCTGGAGCGCCATGCATGCACCGAAACCAACCAGTCGCCGTGCACCTCGTCACGCCACAACGGCCGGGATGCTTTCGCTCTCCCGCGTCGTCCGGGCCCCGGTCGGCAAAGCGGGCCTCCGGAGCACGGGGCCAAAGGATAACAAACGCCTGCGGCTCCGGAGACCTGCCGAAAGTGGCAATTGCAGACAAACTCGCCAAGACTCCATCCGGCTTCCTATCTGCCGTTGGTACCTCGGTCTGGAGACCCCTGGCCATCCTCCCTCCCGAGTGTGCCATTTTAACAAGTGCCGAGTATATGAGGCTGTTTTCCCCTCGCCGACTCCAACCTCGATCGAGCCATTTCTTGCGTTGCATCTTAAGCCATTCTCTAAACGATGTTACTTCGCCTTCTTTGTTGACACCCCAACAGTTCGTTAGATCATCCGAAACTCCGACCCAGTTCACGAAATCAGCATGGCGAGTTCATCACGGAAATCGGGAACTTATGAGTTGAGCCATGATCGACGAATCGCGACTTTGGTGGTATTATACCTCGGTAAGGAGGTCGGCAGGTAGGTAAATAGGTAGGGTGGTAGGTATGCGATATGCACTATGTACATTCATGTACTCCAGGCCAAGTTGGCTGGCTCTCTCGACTCCCAACAACACAGTACACCCCGGGTATTTTCGACTTCGTCATCAGAATCGAGCGCTACTATCAACAATTCCTCGATTCCATCTCATTGAACATCGACACGTGCACTGCGCATTATGCACTAGTCCGCCGCATCATCTCGTCCCAACTCGCAAAGCCCAAAAAGACCAAATGATAAGGGGGGAAACAAATAAAATCATCTTGCCAGGAGGGGGGTATATAGAATTAAGTTCCATGGCCCCAAACGAAAACCACCAAACAAAAAAGACAACTCCTTCACTCTCGCATCCATGATGTAGCCTTGAGCCAGCTAACAAAAGAAAAAGAGCGCCTGTCGAGGCAAGTGGTTCCTCAGAGGCCGTAGCTTGAGGGAGGGATAAGGGGGGTATGGCGGTATCGAGCGGTTCGCAAAACAACAACAAAGCAACTCACAGGGTTATCCCTTTCGTGAAGCTGCTTCGTGTATCATGTACAAATGGAATCGGAATCAATCGACAAATAAAAGTCGTGCCCGTCAGGGTGTAGTAGATGGCAGGAAGGCTTGCTAGCCCTTCTTCTTGCCGTGGTGGATCTTCCACTCTGCCTTCATCACCTTTAATAGGAGATCCTCGTCCTTGATCGGAATCGATGAGGTCAATGCCTTCATGGCGTATTCAAAATCCGAATCTACCAGCACCTCGCGTAGTGCTTGGGCGAGTGCTGCACTCGTTGCGTGCAGGACGTCGTACTCGCCCACTTTCGGAGCCATAGTAGCGTCGGACTTTGAAGGCTCTAAAGAGGAGTCGTCGGGAGTGGAGGAGTCATTTCCAATTAACAGAAACACATCCCACACTCGTAGCTGGGCTGCGAAGGGAATCGACAAGTTAAAGAGCGTGAGGTACCATCGGGTCCCGTACGCAGTAGTGTCGATACACAACTCTTCCTGTGGGTGTGTTAGCATTTCTGATTCGGTGTCATTGTACAGAACGTCACACATACCAGCTTTTTGGAGACATCCTTGTTGAGCCAATTGTCGTTGAAGTCTTTCATGGCAGCCATGAGCTCCTCGAAACCCGGCCGGTAGAGACGAGCAAGCCCACGGAGTTGCCACAAGCGCACGACCATGACAAAACATTTCTCCTCATCAAAGTAGCACAGGAGCGTCGCTACCAGAGATGCCATTCCCTGGACGTAGCCCGTCTCCGGATAATATATAGAGATGGCGTGAAGGACGCGAAACATGAGTCGCTGGCCTCCACGGTATCGTCGTCGGAACATAATGTGCCGGCTGATTGTCCGGGGGACGTCCAGATCGATCTGGACGTCGTCTGGTGAACTCCGTAGCTGAAGCTTGTGAAAGTCGGCGACGATCTCCTCCTCGGTTGCAGAATCCTTGTTTTCCTTGGCACTCGTGGCAAGAAAAGACCACCAAGCAGCTCCCCGCCATCGGTCGGGAATGCCTTTCCACGTTCTCTCAATGAGCTTCGGGTTCTGAACGTCGAACTCGAATCCCATTCCTTGACCTTGGCCGTCCTTGTTGACGACCTTGGCCATCCTCCTCCATTTTTCAGATCTCTCTAATTCCTTTCGTTTCATAACGTCGTTAAGCCTCTCGGTCTTAACCTCATCCACAATATCTTGCAGGCTGGGAGTTGTGTTGAGCATCTCTCCCGCCTCATCCATCCATCGCCGATCACGGTTGTGTGGCAATAGGTTGCTGGCCTGGCGAATAACGGATCTGGACGACCTCAGCGACGGCGACACCGACATCTCGGATGCCTGCGTGTTGAGTGATCGAGCAGACATCTTCCTGGAGGGGATGCGCCGCACCGAGAGGCCGGTGTGGTCTCGCCTCTGGAGGACGCTGCGCTTCTTTCTTGGCGAGCCTGGCAACGACCTAGATTCCGAGGCTGAATCTCTCGGAGCAGGAGGCGGGGGCAGTGTAATGAAGCCATATCGATCGATGCGAGCGCCCTCCAGGTCTTCCCAGTCCTCCAGGCCATCATTGTATTCAAGCTGCGACTTGGGCAGATCGTAGTGAAGGGACGAAGAACTTCCAGATACGGGAACAGCCTGAGCGGCTAGACTTTCTGGAGCGCTACAGAGAAGAACAAGTCAGCATTAAATACGGTTCGGGGATGCAACACGGGACATCAAGGAAATCATACGGGTCATTGTCGAAGTCCTCAGACGGCGCCTCGGGAGTCGGTTCGAGGCGCTCGCAGTACGAGCGTCTAGAGCCAGGCTCGCCAAAGGAGCCATCGCCAACATCATAGAGCGATCTCACCTTTTGAGATTCCTTCTCCACGTCGGCGGCCAAGACGCGAATGTCGGGAGGCGACATCAAGCCGCCATGAGACGCAGCGGCCTCGGTATATTTCTCATCGTTGTCGGTGTCGACCGTGTCGACGCTGGGGCGCGCCAGCGATTGCGACGCGGGAGTAGCGGGAGTTGTAGGAGTGGGCGTGAGCGACAGGGCAGCGACCGTGGGCGTGGTGCGTCCGTCGTGGTGGTCAGGGGAAGAGGTATCGTGAGTCTCAGTAGGAGTTTTGGCGTCGATGGCCGGGGCGTCGTGGGCACCAAACATAATGCTGCCGCGGTTGGAGAAGGAGACGGAGGTTAGGAAATAATCATCGTCGAGGAGGCTGTCGCTAGGGATGGAGATGTCGAGGGGGATAAAGGGTTGGAGGTCCGCTGAGTGGGTGGTAGTTGAGGTGGAGGCCGAATCACGCCTGTGCCAGAAGCGGGAAGGAGATTTGGGAGACGACGATAGCGCGTGCTTCTGCTTCTGTTTGGTGAGCTTGGACCGAGTTGTGGCGGTAGCAGGCGCGGTAGTGGGAGCCTCCTCACTAGCAAAGGCGGCGCTAGCGCTCGAGGTGCCGGGGACGGCGGTGGGGGCGGTTGGGGCCCCTGAGCCCTCTGTGGCCGTCGCCTGTGAGCCCGCTGGAAACGCTGGGGACGCTGGCGACTGGGGCTCGGAGCCCCGCCACAGGGGCTGCATGGGCGCTAGGACCTGCGTCAAACTCGGTGCCCTGAAGCGCGACACTGACCGCAAGCTGATACCCTTAAGTTTGCGGGGGGAAGACGAAAACGACGACCGCGGCGATGACGGTGAGGAGGACGGCGGCGATGCGGCGGCCGACGAGCACGGGGTGCACGGGGTTTTGGCCTTGGGCGCAGACGTGGGAATAGGCTGAGGAGGCGTCGCCGCGGTTGGTGAGAGGGACGCTTGCGGCGGCGTGGGACAGCGAGCGCTGGCCACGATGGATGACACAGTCGACATGGAGCACACAGACGTCAGTGCCGCTGTGATGCTATTCTCGTCCATAAACGGGTCCTCCATTTGGTGGTTAATTTGTCGCCCCGTAGGCGATACGGGGGACGGCATCATGACCAGGGTCGCTGCGCTCGCATTTTTACAGGGCTTGCCGCCAGCTGGCTCGCGGCACTCGTCCTCGTCGTCCTCCTCGTGGATTGTCGACGTCGATGTCGAATTGGTTCGTGCAACGCCCGAGTCGCGCTTCCACTCCTCGGTAATCGTGGGCGACACCCGTGGTGAGGGTGAAACCGAGAGCGAGGGCGAGGGCGAGGGCGAGGGCGGCGCCGAGGTGGAGGTGCGCAGGGCTGGGTGCTCCTCGGTGGGCGGTGAGACCGCGGACATGGGAGGCGCCACGACAATGGGGTGGTGTGAATGGTGTGAATGGTGAGAAGAGGCCGATGAGGTCGAGGGCCGGCGTGATGAGCGGATCGAGTTTCGCGAGACAAAGGGGATGGGAGGTTCAGCTTGCACCGTCTTCTCGTATCGCAGCGCCACTAGACTTGTATCGCTGCCAAAGGTGGCTCTGCGTACCGTTGACTGGCTCCCTCGTCGGGAACTGGGGAACTTGTTGGGCAACATAATGTCTCTTTAGTTGTGTATGTGGTGTGAATGGGGTCGGTGGACCGATAATGGACCAAGAGCGGTCGAATGCGGACTGAATGGCCAGTGGTGTTGTTCGTAGTCGTGGTTGAGGCGTCGTGATGGTCGTGTAAGTGAGACGGTGAGACCCTGGTAGGTGTTGCAAAAGCCAAGTTGAAAGGGAGGAATGCAACAATGCCACACACAATGACACGGAACCAAGAATAGACGAGGAGAAAGGGGAGGGATTGGCGAAAGAAATAGAGAAAGCGAGCCCGAGGGAGGTTGATGAGAACCTGAGTCACTCGGGGCAGTCTCTGAACCAAGGGGCCTGGAACAAAGAACTGGTGGCTCCTCTCTTTATCGGAAGGAGCTGAAGGGCGGAGAGTCGGGGGCAGTGGCGTGAGTGGACTCAGGCCGAGGACGGGACTCGCGGACAAGCGTGCTGTCAGGTCTCTCGCACCGGCCCAATATGGTGTGGGATGAGACAAGGCAATCTTGTGGTGCTCGGCCGGGAACCAGAACGATAGGCGAGGCGGCGCGGCTGATGGGGCAGTTTGGCGAGCAAAGCAATGGAGGAGGGTCGGGAAGCGAATCTGAAAGTGAATCTGAATCAAAGAACCGAGGCAACATTAACACCAGTCGCAGCAGGCGCTTCTAGATGGGGAATCAAAGCCAGGCACGCCAAAAGTAAGGTGAGACAAGAAAGATGAGGCAAGAAAGATGCGGCAGGAAAGGAAGACTGGTAGAGACGGGGTCCAAGAAAGTGGTGGAGCGTGCGACCGCCGAGCGTGCCTTATACATATACCAAGCACCACCACTTTGCTACCTGATTTACTTTGCTTTATTAGGGATGCCAATTGCAAGGCTGTAAAGCTGCAGAGGCCCAGGCCAGCTTAGTCCGGCCCCCCATCCCCGTGCCCCCCAACCCACAAGGCCGAGCGAGGTGGATGCGGATGTGGATGCGGAAGTGTGGACTGGCAGACGGAAACCCGAGCGTGACGAACGAGACGTGCCCATCCAGCAACAGCCACATCACCCACCGCTCCCGACGTCGATGGGTTGACATGGGTCTTGGTTGTTAGTCTGGCCCAGGACCGCGGCCCAGTTGGCCAGCGGCGGCGTGCGAGTGGGTAGAGGCGAAAATGCGGCGCCGATGGGAAGACATGAGCCAAGACAGACGGTGAAAGAGCCCTCGCGGTGAGTCGTTTGACAAACTGACAGATTGGCAAACTGGCACAACGCCCACACAAACAACGTGCAATCACAGTGCAGCCGGGGATATCTTGGCCATTGAGGCCGTTATGGCTGCTTGCGAGCCTGACAGGTGACGTCTGGGTCCCTTCTCTTCTCTCACCGCACCTACATAGTACAACCCGCAACCCGCACCGCTCCGCAATGTTACCAGAAAATAGGTGCGTCCGTCCATCCAGAACAGGAGCACGTCGGGCTGGGGCTGCACAGGCCGCTCGCAACCTCACAATTGGATCACGCCCACCGCGAGTTGGCTGGTGTCAGTTACAACACATCGACGCACGCACGCACGCAACGCAACGCAACGCACGCGTCACTACCCGGTCAGAGTTTCCCAGGTACCATCCTCAGGCCGGTCAATGGGCACGCACTCGCCCGCCTTGATACATACGTACGGTGGCATACCGGCGGCCGAGAGGCATTTGCATCTAGAGGAAACCAACCATGTACCAAGTGTAGCCGGCCTGTACGTAGACCGTAGCGCAGCCGGGTCCCCACTCCAGACCACCACTCACACACCATCGGACACGACACAGCACAGAACAGCTCAGCACACAGCGGACCGCATCGGCACCCAACCAGGGGGGAAGCCTGAGTCACCTGAATAAAAGAAAGGGGGAAAAAAAGAAATACAATTCGCATGGGATGAGGGAGACGCACAGCAGGAACACGTAGAGAGACGGGACGACTCTATCGAATGTTAATGCGACTGTCATGTCCCTGCCGCATATCGCCATCTCAGGTGGACGGATAGATAGATGCAAGGCACGCACACAAACATCACACAGCATGTGGCGATACTGGACTAACCTGACAAAGAGCGCCTACGGCCTGTTTAGTTCGCTAAATACATCATTGCACTTAGACGATCCAACCACACCACACAAATACCGGCACTAGAAAAACTTGTAAATTGTCTGCTCCCGTCACCTCCGGCTCTGCAAGGGAGAGGAAAAGCCTTCACAGCTAGATAACCGAGTTGTTAAGAGAGGCCGAGCAAAAAAAGCGGGCGTCTCCCGCCTTGGCCCTGGCCTTGTGGGTCGTGGGTCTTGAGCATCGCGGGCACGCCTAAAAAATCACCGACACGTCGAAATATCAGAAGCTTCCTCGTAAAATTGTTTGTGAAATTTAATCTGAATAGAAAAAAAACCCTATAGGAAGCGGGATTTTTTTGCTTCTATTTTTACTTTTCCTTTGTATTCTATTGGAAAGTATATATGTGCTCATTCAGGGCTGTCCACCATTCTATTCGGCGCCACTACCTTTAAGGGCCCCTCCTCCACCAACCCACCCCGTCCTAGTTTTTTCTTTGTTGGCGTATCTTCCGCCTTGCCTTAACTTTATTAGTCCATGGCAGTTTTTTTCCCATGTTTTCCCTCGCATCCCTTCATTCAGCTTAAGACGCCCGCTTTTGCCACATTCGCGGCCTATCATGACTCTCTAAGCGATGGAGGGGACGCCCCGCAGCTGTGGCACATGGGCCCTGAAGGGGGGGCGGGGGGGAGGCCGGGAAGGTCTGCAAGGTACCCGCACCTTGGACACACCATCTTCGAACCAGAAGAGACCACCACTCACACACGCTGCGCACACAAAACGCGGGACAATCACACACATGCAGACGTACATGAGCTCGCTCCAGTTGCGGCATGACAAGCAAATCGAGGGGGTGAGACAGAGCTGGGGGAAGAGTACATAATTCCTCGTGTTTACATGAATTGTTTGTCCGTCTTATGCACGTACGACAGCCCATTGCCTGCGTGTAATGTTTACATGTATGTCTAGCCGGCCGGGGTACATCGAGATGCTTCCTGTCAGCGTGGCAGGGAGAACCTAACCACATCGCCTAGGCAAGCTCTTTGTTTACCTTTTCATTGGGTTACTTTCGCCGCCATTCCAGGCTGGTAAAAAAAGTCTCTGTCAACGCCATTACCGGGATCTTGCCATTTACCAAGCCCAAAGTTTCCTACGCTTTGTTTCATTCTTGCCGCTTCTGTATTGTCTCTGACCTCATGGCATTTTCCTTTTTAGCTGGTGCTACTGTAGCATTATTTCCTCGTCATCATCGTACTCTTTCCGTTCTCTTTATGAGATTACGGGAGTCTTGACGCCCCACTTGGAGTCTTCCTATCTCGACTTCGCTTGTCCGTGGTAACCTAACTACCGAACCGATGTTTGGTCAGGAACCCTAAATATGTTCATGCCGTGGTGAACGAACTGGTCCAGATCCCCAACAGATTTTCTCTCCGATCTTCCTCCTCAATTTATCTGCCATGTTGATCGCGATCTCCCCCGCAAGGCTGGGCAGATTAAAAAAACACACATAGGGTAGGTATAAGTAGGGGGATCTCAATCGGTATAGTTCATGCCGCAACCGCACGGAAAACCCCTGCTCCCCTTCTGCTTGTCTCACTGTCTTCATCACGAGACCTTGGACGCGCAGTGTGTAGGGCGGGCATCTGTTGACACTAAATGATGGGAACTAGTGGTCCGCATTCCGCCTTGTGACCGGCCTGGCAAAGGATCTGCCCTAATCGCAAGCGCCTTACCATGTTGAGCGTCGGTGCCTTAGCCACCATCATTCCCATCATTCCTCCAAGTATTAACACGATGAAGTGGCGGAATGTGAAAGAAGAAACGAGGAAGCCACAAAAGCCCCAGACCGGTTCCCCGTCCCCGGTTCCAGAGCTGGGATAAATGGACTAGACCAGGGAAGAGACCAGGGACCACCAGAGATGCCAATGGAAGCCAAAAAAGAAAGAAAAAAAATCAACCGAAAAGCCCTCAGCTCGTCTAAGCCATGAAGCCATCAGGAGACAGACGCCAGGAGCACATGCCTACCACCGCTGCCACCACGACCCCCCGGCTCCCGGTGTAATCCTTCGTGTTGGGCTGCTACACGGTACAGCACAACTCCGAATGCCTCAAACTTGGCACTTCCCGCTCCTCCCCAGATGTCGTATTAGGTCCAGGGTCTCTGCGAAAACCCCAGCCAATGCCCTGACGTGGCAGCTCAACGCCAGCACATCGTCGTGAAAATGCCCCGGGATTGGTGCCGCCCCCGGTTCTCCCCCGTTCATCCACCCATCGCGTGGAAGTGGATTTTTTTTCTCGTTTGAAAGGGGTGGGAGGGGCGGTGAGATCTCTCTTTTTTTCCTCTTTCCCCCATACCATCACAAGCCAGCGAGCCCCTTCTGGGACGCTGTGTACCAACCACTTGGGAGAGTCGCTGGGGGAGAAAGCGGCATGGATCAGGGGACCTCGGGAGGAGGGAAGACGGCACCCGCCAGAAGCAACGCCGTTGTCTCCCGGTGCGTTGTGCCCCAGCTGGAACACGCCAACTGTTGAGTGCATGCATTGGCGGCCGGATATCGCGTCCTCGGCGGGCGCGGTGCGAATCATCCAACAATGTGCTTCCCACCACGTCTTTTCTCCCTCCCGGGGCGCCGCTCCTAAACTCACTACTGCATCGCCGTCACAAAAAAGCATCGTTGGGACGCACCAAGGTGGCCTGGGTGCGTATGGGAATGGCATCGTGGGCCAGATATTCCCCTCAATACGCTCATGCTGAGCTATTCAATCTCAACGCTAACCTCTGTCTATCTCGTCTGCTTTCTCTTCGTCCGTGCCTCTCCGCCTCTCCAGCTGTCCAATCCCATCTGCCTCGGACCTGCGCTTCCGTCCCGGCGGCGCCCTGCCGCCCCGTCAATTTTGCTTTTGCATCCCCCAGCTGGCCCGGCTTTCCGGCTGCCCCAAGCCTTGGTCCCTTGCAGCTTGCATCGTAATATTATCAGGCCTCTCGAATCGCCTCACTGTGGTGGCGCCCAGGAGTCCGCCCTGCCTCATGCATGTCCACTTTTACCCTGTGCTCGTGGCTGGCAGTGACTCGGGTCCCGGTTTGGTGGAGGCTGTCAGGTGTCAAGCCGATTCCCGTCTTTTCCAGCGCCGTCTCTCGAGGCCCCCTGAATCGGGCAACCTCCCATGGCCACTATCTAGCTTCCTTGTCACGGCTCCTTGTCACACCTCCTCATTCTCCCAGTCGGCCTCTCCAAACATAGGCCCTTTCCGTGTCCCCGTCACCTCGAGCTTCTCCAGAAACTCCGGGGGTACCGTCGGAATATATTTCCGCTCCCGCTCTCGATTCATGCCTCCAAACCCGGCTCCGTATGACACGAGCATGTCAGTCACCGATGGCAGTGTAAAAGGCAGCATCAGCGCGGGATCCAGTAGTAGGTGCTCCGGTGCATCGTCGTCGTCTGAGTAGTCGTCTTGCTGAGGGCTTCCTGAGCCGGGAACGCTCCCAGGCGTCTCTAGACCGTTGCCGTTTGACCGACTCTTGACGGGCGTAACCGGACTGCTGTCCTGACCCGACTTTGGCAGCGGTGTCACCATTCCACTGCGTCGTCGATCTCGCTTAAGTGTTGCCTCCTTTTGAATGGCGACGAGGTATTTCATTGCGCTCTTCGGAAGCCCCTTCTCGCCCACCTCGGGCCTGTAGTGATTGGCCGTGTGCATCAGCTGTTGTGGACTGAGCCTCTTCAGCTGCTGAAGTGTGCCCACTAACGCCTCTAGATCGTCCGCGTCTAGGGACGAGAAACATTGGAGCCACTGTAACAGTTGGATGACAGGTGCCAGGTGTCTCCGAGCAGCCTCCATCGTTGTCTCCCCTGATGAACGCGTCTCTCCTCCCTCAAAATGCTCCGCTTGCCTGTTGTTCGTACGGGCCCAATCCTCCAGTATTGAAATATTCATGCGGATTTGCATGGCTTTGGTCCTCGCTAGATACTTCCGGTTTGACATGATTCGGTTGAAGAGCTCAGCCCCGATCCAGTAGAGAAGCTGAGATATGATTTGGGTCGTAATCACCGAGTGGATGTCGTACAAGTCCAGCACGAACAAGGTGGAGGAGAGGAGAGAGGTAACGTTTCGCGGTGCAGGCTTCGCTCGCTGCTTTGGCGATGGAGGACGGAATCGCTTCTCTATCGGCTCCTCCTTGACTTGTGCCTTTCGCTTAAACAGCTTCCACTCATTCTGGAACGTAATATCCTCGAATCCAGGAATTGTCTCGTGGTCCAGCATAGCCACATCTAGCACCTTATCCAGACGTCGCTCTGCATCTCGGACGATCAGGATAAAGATTTCGTTGATCAGCTCGGCGAGCTGTGCCTGGAACTCAGAGGTCGCCTCAAGAAGTCCGGAGTCTTTCTTAAGATAGTGTAGTAGGAGAGTTGCGTTTGATATCCAGAAAGCCAGTATTGTCATATCCCACTGGAATCTTTCGACCACATCATTGATATAGTCCATGGCTGAAACTAAGAGTCTCTCCAATAACTCTGGACTTGAATGATAATGCGCGTACCTCGCACTCAAGAAAATCATGTTTGCGGGCACAGGCTTTTGCGATGGTGATCTTTGGGGTGTCATTTTGGTGATGATAATGTCCAGGATCCGATTCAGTTCGTGTTCCTGGAAGACAAACATTTGGTCGTGCAAGCACCGGCTCCAGTCAAATTCTTGTTGCTCCTCCTCGAAATCATCAACCGGCTGGTCATGTTAGTACAACCTGTCAGGAAGAAAGGCAAAGGGTCTGGCACGCACCTCGGGCTGATCGTCCATGCCCACATTGCCCAAGTCAACCTCGAGATCTCGGGCGCTCTCCATCATCAAGCGCCTTCGCATCTCGTTTTCTGCCATCTCCTCCTCAAATCGGTCCTGGGAGAAGCCAGGGTTGTAGAAGTCATCAACGACACCCGCGTTTCCAATATTATAGCCGTTGTCGTGGAGGTAGTATGACATTTCGCTATCCGGAGGAACAAAATCAAAAGCCGTCCGCCCTGATGACGTCTTTTGATCTGAAGATGCGTTGTTATCCAAAAGTAGCTTCGCAATGCCCTTGTGTCGATTCGTCATGGCCCACATAAGAGCGGTCCATTGATTCCGATCCTGCTTGTTGACATCTGCGCCAGCGTTGATCAACGCATGTACAACGGTCTCGTGGCCCTACTCGAAATATCAGCGTATGGCCTAGGGGGTGAAAACGGAAGAACTAACAAAGCAGCTAGCATAGATGAGGGGTGGCGTTCCATCCTCGTCCTCGGCATTGATATCAATGTACTCCTTGCCCCGTCCGCCCAAGAGCCTTTTTATCCGTTCAACATCACCATTGCTAGCAGCCATGTTCAGGGCTTTTTGAAGCTTATCCTTCTTCTCCGAGTCGGTCAGGGTTTCACTGTTGGCGATCTCGTCCTCGTCGTCAAAGCCGGGACCGGCTTGGTGCGCAGCTTGGGCAGCAAGCATTTCCAGTAATCGCGTGTCGCTATCTTTGGGTCCCGCTGGAACGTCATCATCAAAGTTGTTGTCGTTGAGCGATAGGTTGCCAAAGTTTAGGGGCTTCGCCGGAGCGGGCGTTGTGAGGAACTGCGACTGGCCTGGGCAACCGGCTACGTCAGTGGATGTTCGCAAGCAATGGGTGGAGTGGCGATGCCGCACTAACCCTGCCAACCATCGTACATCTCCGTCTCGGGGATGAGATCGACTGGAACATGTCGGCGGTCGTCCAAAGACTTGGGAAGATCCGACGGCAGGACGCGGGGCTTCGGGAAGCCGTCGTCGCTGGTGGAATCTCCTAGATCCATGCTGGAAGGAGGGGCACAGCCAGACACCGGATCTGGCTCATGGAATTTCGCGCGTGAGGGGAGTTTTCGGGGGTCGCGGGCGGAGTGACGTTGGAGACGGGGGTATGCGGCTCGCGATGTGTTGTCTCGTGGAGGAAACGAAGGCCGCGGTGGTATCGTGCGAGGTGGTGGTCGTGGAGGGCGTCCTACCCACTTGTCTGATATGGAGAAATAGACGTTCCGGCGTTGGGTGTTGCTTGGAGCTGGCGCCTCCCTGGGACGAATGCTGGGCGCAGTAAAGCCACAATGGGCCCGTGCTCGCCACACCCAGCCGTCATCTCCCTTCCGGTTCAGCCATTGACCAGCCCATTGACCGGCGGTGATCCAGGCTCCCTTCAAATGCGGCCTCGTGTCGTCAAGATTAAATTGCTGACATGGCTGGTTTGGGGTTGATGACGAGGCACGGGAACATGATCAAGGGATTTAGCTGTATGTGACGCAATGGGTCTCCGTTCAAGGCGAACCAGCCCACCAGACCACCGTATTTTGGCTGCCTAATATGCTACAGTACTAGCTACTGCCAGGCACCGAGTCTGACCTATACGGCTCGCTTGCCAAATGCCCTCAATCTCTTGACTCCACCGTCGGGAATCATGATGAGCTTGACATGCGTTCCCACAGCGTCCTTGGCCGAGCTGGTGAAATCATGCTCTTGGTCTGGGCCCGTCTTACTGGGCGGTACCACCTCGCCCCAGCCCTCGGCCTCGGCGGACGGGTTTCCCTCGCCCTTCCACTCAATAGCCTCGATGGCCACCTTTTGCGGAAAGTTGCCTCTGAAATGCGCCGTGTCCACCACGAATTTCTCGACGTAGCCAGGCGCCCCGAGCTTGATGATGGTCCAGTCGACGTGGCCCTTGGTGCGGGACCGTGCCGTCTCCCAACCGTCGCCCATGTCCTTGCCCCGTCCCGGCAGCAGGAGGTTATCCTTGGTGCCAAAGTGCTGGTCACTACAGGAGACAGCAACGCCGCCGTTCTGCGCTGCCGCGAGGTCAAAGACGGCGTCCTTGTTGTCGGGGAAGACGGGCACTGCGTGTCCGAACAGGCGGAACCGCGCAATACCGCCGTCGGGATACATGTTTAGCCTCACGTGCGTGTACTGCTGTCGGGTTGGCGCATCGAGCTTCCAGCCGAAACGCTGTGACGGGCCGCCCTCTTGAACCCCGAGAATGGTCTCCCACTTCCCCCGGCCTCCTTGCCATGAGACAACCTCGTCATCGTCCTGGCTAAAGACGCCCTCGACTGAAATTGCCGGTGCATGGTTCCCCGAGAAGAAGGCCGTGTCGACCTCGATTCCCTCGACTGTACCGGAGGCCACGCCCAACCGAATGATGACCCAGTCGAAGGGCTCGGAGTTGTGTCGTCGGGTCTCCCAGCCATCGTACCAAGCACCTGTGAAGACCATCTTACCCGGTTGCCGGATAGGCGGGGTAGGAGTCAAGAGGTTTGCGGCCTCGGCGAACCATTGATCTGAGAAGCCGAGGATCTTGCCTCCCAGTGTACCAGAAATCAGATCTATAAATGACAACCCCCCGTCAGTACTAGTGACTCAACATCCAACGTGGGGTAGAAATGGAGGGGGCTCACCAATACATGTTGATCGGAACGTCGGGTCAATCTCGTCAGGAGCAAGCGACGACGCCTTGACAGCGTCAAGCTTGTACTCAATCTCGTCTGCAATTGAAGCCATAGTGAGTGAGTGCGAACGGTGAGGATATTCGGATCAATAATGAGGTTTAGGTTTTTCAGAAAACAGGGTGTCAGTCTACTCTTAAACAGTCTAGCCAAGCGTGTAGTGTAACAACGCGCGAGTAAACCACGGGCTTCATTGACGAATCCTTATCTTTTATCACATAACTATTACTCGCGAGCATCACCTGAAAGGCCGGCGCCGGAGAGGAGGGGTCATCTCGGCCACTTCCGGTGGCCGGCGGCGCCTACGACCAACCGGCGCAGGGCCGCTGCCAATCCCGCCGTGTCGTGACCACGACGGACAGTTTTCATGACAGGCGCTAATTCGGATGGGCCGTACATTGCCGTTGCTATTGGGTGCCATAGAGGTTGTTGAAGTATAAATGCTACCTTGGGGTCCTCCCAAGGATTCCAGACGAGGAAGAAAAGCTGGGGAAATGTGGTTTGAGCAACCTGTTGGTGGTTGAGCTGCGGCATTTGTCGGAGCCCCGCGGGCAACAGATGGGCGAGAGACGACCATGGCAATGAGCCACCTGCAATGGCATGCATCGACTCGCGTGACCCTCTCCCGAGCCCCGAACGCCGAACGGGATCTTATCGATACGGACAATGGATGTGCTCGATGCCATCGAGTAATAGATATTCCGCCTCGATCTGTGGCGCAATTGTCCGGCGTCATGGTGAATGCCTGTTTTCGACGCTACCCCGCGCTTCGCGCTTCGGATTGCAAAAGGCGGCTCCTGATAGGCTGAAGCTCTCAGGTTTCTCCGGTCATCTCTGACGTACCTGACGGAAGATTTGGGGATGCGATTGATACGGGAGAGAAGTGGGCGTCTTATTAGCATGACAATTGCCGGTGGGTGAATTTGTAATCTTGGTACGACTCCCTTCTTCTGTCCCAAAATCCGTCTCTGCAAACACATACGGGCCGCTACACCTTCGGGCCGCTTCCACCTCTCGCTCCTAGTACGCGATCACCATCTGATTGCCCTGCGAATACCTCCGAAATCCAGCTTCTGTTTTGCCCGTGCGCCTTGTCTGTCGGCCTAAGCCTCATCGCTGCAGGGCGAGATTCGTAACATTCAACCACCCAGCTCGAGGAGCTCCCCCCCTCACTACTACGTTCAAGATGGCGAGCGCGACGGGCGTCCCCGAGCGTCGATACTCAGACATCGAGTCTGACGGCGCCGAGCAGCGCGAGACTGAACCGCTCCTCGGTCGACCCGGCGATGCTGCCCAAGAGGAAGGCGTCCCGATGTTCAGGAACCTAGTTCTCGGTACGCTCATACCGTCGTGATATACGCCAAGACCCCTCAGAGCTAATGTCCCCCGTGTGTAGGAACGGGCATCCTCGCCCAGATGGGCATTCTGTTTCTCGTCGTTCTCATCTGGGCCAGCGTGCTGACCAAGCCCTTGATACTCTTCTCCGGCCACCCGCTCGCGCAGTCTCTAGCAATCCTCACGCTGGTCCAGTCCATCCTGACCCTACAGCCCACCCACACTGCCGAACAGAAGCGAATCGGCCAGCGCATTCACGCCTCGCTCAACTTGGTCGCGTTTCTCCTCTTGGTGGCTGGCGTCACCATAATCGAGTACAACAAGTTTGCTAGCCATGGCGCCCACTTCCACTCGCTACACGGGTACCTTGGCGTCACCTCCTGCATCGTCCTCCTGCTGCAGTACCTTGTCGGCTTCACCATGTGGGCAACCCCAGCGCTTTACGGCGGCGAGCACAACGCCAAGTCCATTTGGAAGTACCACCGCTATAGCGGGTACGTGGTCCTTGTTTTGCTCCTGGCGACAGTCGTCAGCGCTGTCGACACTGACTACAACAAAAACGTCCTTAAGCTGAAGTTATGGGCTACTGGATCGCTGTCTCTCTTGGTTCTCGTGGGGATCATCCCACGCATTCAGAAACAAAAGCTCGGGTTCAAGGCGCCATCGCTAACGTGATTTTCAACTGACCACGAGAGAGACACCAAGGTCCTTCTCGTACAGTTTATAAACCGGAAAGTTCGTTATTTGATTGAAGGGTGTGTGACGCAAGGGTCGCTAAATTATCTCCCGGACCTTCTTAGTTTTCTTGCTTTGATGCTTTGCTGTTTAAAAGGGTCGTGAAGGTTCATAGCTTTCAAGGTGGTAGGCCATCTATCGGAGATACATCTGGCCCAGGAAAAAATCTTGATTTCCTCTTCTATATAAATACAAGGCGCTCTTGGCCTTCCTGAATTATTTTCCAACCTTCACTCATCTACAACTCACCATCTCCAACCCACAACATACCACTCACTTTTTTCTCCAACTCTATTCCACCCCTCGCATCTTCTCCAACTCCAGTTCACGTTAAACAAACCAACCACTATGCACGGCAAGGCTCTTGTCCGAGCGCTGCCGCTCCTCCCCTTCATGGCCTTAGTGGCCGAAGGGCAGAGCAGCACCTTTGATGGGAAGGAATACTGTCTTACAAGCCAATGCGATAGTGCCGCCATGAATCTCTACGATAACATGGCTGAGAACTTCCAAGACATTGATCCGTGCGAAAATTGGCATGAATGTAAGTCGCGTCCCTCCCTTCTGTCGCACTGTCTCGACATGTTGCTTACCAGTGTTGTGTGAAGTTGCATGCGGACATTACGGCAAGAGAACTCAAGAAATGTACCCAAATGAGGACGTAGTGAAGTTATTCGACTCTATGCAGAAAGTGAACTCGACGGCAATGATGAAAAGGAGCATCGGACTCACCTTGAACGATATATTGGGTGGACAACCCGGAGTAGGACACCCCTCCCCCGTCAAAGTTGGAAACATTCATACTAACGCGCCTAAGTCTGAGATTCCGCCACCAAAATACTCAGACAGGTTCACCATTGACCTCATGAGACGATACTATAAAACATGCATGCACGATAATCCTCCTGAAACATACCAGCTGAAGCCCGCAGTGAGGATTGCCGATAAAGTTCACGCCGCCTTCAGCAGATATGATCCTCCACACGACGAGAAGAAGATGAAGAAGAAGAAGGAGTTTGGGAAGGATATCGAAACTAACCCTGAGCCGATGGTGAACGGATCCCTTCCTTTAGATATTTCTGACGGTAGAATCGTTCGGAACGCAACTCTCGCTATGGCCCGCTACCAGATCTGGGGGTTCGCGAAGTTCGCGCCTCAGCAATCAGTCTTCAACACCGTGAGTCAATATCAAACTAACTAAATATTGGCGAATTACTGCTGACATATTGTAATAGTCCGCCATGGCAATCGGTGTGGAGCCCTATATCAGCAATGGATTACCACGAAAGGAGCTCTATGACTCTGAGCCAATTGCCTACGAGTACAAACGCATCATTGCTGCGGTCCTCAAGCGGGCGTACAGGTCGCAATGGCGGGCCCATCACTATAATGATCTAGCTGAGCAGGTCTTCAAGATGGAGCGCCGGATTCTTGACATAGCACCTACTGTTCAAGCCTGGCAGAGGGGCAAGGTATATTATCATCTCCCATCTCTCTATCTTGACTAGAACCCACTAACATTTGGTCAAGGGAACCACTGCCCAGATGTCAGTCGACCGTTTATCGGAGTTAGCCCCGGAGCTTATGATTGGGGACGTTATTCGTGACCAGGCAGGCACGGTGTCTCGCCCATCCCTCAAGAACACCGAGGTTATGTTCCCTCATTATTGGACAGACCTGCAAGGCATCGTCAAAACCTCATCGAAGAGCGCTGTGAGAGCCTACCTTGTCTGGCAAATCTTCCTTCAGACTCAACACCTCCTCGAGCATTGGACCGTAGAGGATTACCGCAACATCTTGAGAGAAATCGATGGCACGGTATGTGGAATGTGTCCCCTCTTGTTACGAAATGCTGCTAACTATATCGGCAGAAGTCTCCCTCAACGAGAAATGAACAATGTACCGAGAGGGCGGCGAAGCATTTCGGTCACGTTATGAGCAGTATGTACGCCCAAGAGTTTTACTCCAAGGAGGCCGAGACGCTTGCCGAGAGTATTTTCCAGAACATCAAGGAGCAGTACATCAAATTGTTTGAGGAGACACAATGGATGGATCCCAAGTCCAAGGAGAGGGCTATCGAAAAGGCCAAGAGCATGGACATCATGGCTGGATTCTCAAAAGAGGTAAGTCTCCGGTTAAGCCCCTCATCTCACTGTTGCTAATCATCTATGGATAGAACCCCAACTTGCGGGACTGGTCCGATATCAAGAACTTCTACGTCGGGGCTCTAGTCCAGCCTACTCGGAATGACTCTCTATGGTCCAATGCGGACGACTACCTTGAGCTGGAGGCGTTGCATACTCGAGAGAGCTGGCGCAAGGAGCTTCACCGACCACCGAACAAGTTCAAGTGGTTCAAGAACACCTTCGACGTCGACATTTACTACTCGCAGGAACTAAACAAATTAGTCGTCCCAGCGGGCATTCTACAGAAGCCCATGATGGATCCAGGAATGCCCGCTTACGTCAACTATGGGAGCCTCGGCACCATCATGGCTCAAAAGATGGCACATGCCTTTGACGCTCAGGGCAGAATGTTCTCGTCGACCGGCAAGCTCGAAAGCTGGATGACTAAGGGAGACCTAGTCCAGTTTGATTACCGCCAGCTTTGTTTCCAGGAAAAGTACAACTTCATCAATGTGACTGACGTCAATGGCGAGGTCTACAATCTCAACGGCAAGCAGGTTGCGGATGAGGTCATCGCAGATACTTACGGACACGAAATGGCATACAGAGCTTGGAAGACCCGGGTGAATGGCCGCGAGGAAAATATGCTGCGGGGATACCATCAGTTCACCGACGACCAGATGTTCTGGCTGATGCGGTCCAAGCAATACTGTTCCTTAGAACAAGATGAAACGTTGCTCCAAGAGCTCAACACGAGTCCGAACCCACCCAATCGCATCGAATCCTGGGCGCCCCTGACAGACTCGTTGGGGTGGAGGGAATCTTTTGGCTGTAAGCCGAAGAAGAAGGAAATTCTATGCCAACTCTGGGGCAACGATCAGCATCAAAAGACAGGCGACAAGGCGGCTGCCGAGTCCGGCAAGAAGAATGAGGCGGAGGATAAGACGAAAAGCAGCAGCAAGGTGACAGAGGGAGGGCCCAAGGAGAAGGGAGAGGAGAAGGAGAAGGAGAAGGTGGTGGACAAGAAAAAGGTCGAAGAGAACAAGAAGGAGGAGGATAGCAAGCCGACCAAGCAGCAGGGCAAGCCGACTAAGGAGCAGGGCAAGCCGGCCAAGCAGCAAGACAAGCCAGCCAAGCAGCAGGACAAGCCAGCCAAGCAGCAGGGCAAGCCGGCCAAGCAGCAGGACAAGCCGACTAAGGAGCAGGGCAAGCCAGCCAAGCAGCAAGACAAGCCAGCCAAGCAGCAGGGCAAGCCGACTAAGGAGCAGGGCAAGCTCACCAAGGAGAAAAAGCCCACCAAGGAGGAGGTCAAGGCGAACCAGATGAAAAGCCAGGACTTCGTGCAGGCCGGTGATGAGAATGAGAAGCTCTAAAGCCCTTCGCTATCATTTAGTACTTAAGGGATCTACTTTAGTTTAGTTCTTATACTCCTACAAATCATGCTTCAGCTACTATTTTCCTAATATACACTTCAATGAATACTATTGAACAAATTCTAGGCGAAAGCTCCTATGAGGCCGTTATTACTTACCTTCACTATTTGGTCGGTTAGAGAGTGTACTGTGTAGGGTGCTACTTAGATTCCATTGCAGTTTTCAAATTTCCTCAGTCAACCTTCTGTATGCCCATGTATTTCTAAGTCGGGATTCCATATTCACCGGGGCTGCTATGTGAACAACGGCCCGTCGATAATCCATCCCTAAACCCGGCAATCGCCATTCCAGGGCGGGCGGGCGCCGAATGCGGGGGCTTGGAAGCTCCAGGTCAGCAAATCACGGTTTCTTCGGAACGTCGTGTGAGTTTGTTAGTCTCGGCCAGGCTTGACGAGCATCAAGGGTGGGCGAACACAGACCCCGCCCTAACAGATTGCCTTCCGGCCCCTTTCCAGCCACAGTTTCCGGGAAGATGCCTGCGAGCAGAGCCGCGTAGGGCAGGTCGGAGGCGACGATCCCTGCCATCTAGAGTGCTTCTCGAATAGCAGGGCCTGAAGATGACGAGAAGCAATTTGTTGGACTTTGTCGGTGCGGTGCCGTCCCCACTTCCAACTTACCCTACACCGAAGCCGGGTCCGCTCTCGGGTCATCCGCCCTCCTTTTTAGAGGCAAGGCTGGACACGTGTCGCCCTGCGTGACCGCTTCCCAACCTGGATCTGGCCAGGATCTCGGTGGCGCGCCGCTGACGTCACGGCGCGTATCAAGGACGCAAAGACGTCATGCATGGGGGGCGAAACTTCAAAACTGGCCGCTGCTTCAGGCGACGGTGAGGGCACGACGCGAGACATTGAAACCGAAACCCGTTACTGACAGCAGTCAGTGCGATGAAGTGTTTCACCCCGTTGATGTCTGACTTGACGTAGTAGCTCGTCAGCAGCACTTTTTTCTGTCTACGTGCTAGTCAATAATACTGCGCATGTACGAATACAGCCCGGTGCCTGAGCAGGACCGAAACGTGTTTACTCGAGGGCCCGTCAGAGTGGGGGGGCGGCGGGGAGAGAAATCCCTCTATCGTCAGTGCAGTGTGCCCGTCGCGGAACGGACGCCAGCGCGCGCGCTTTGACTCGACCCATTGTTGCGTAGCCGGTGTCGACCAACATCAAGCCTTTTTGACAGCTTGGAACTCGAGAGCGCTGGATCCAACAACGTAGACAGCCGGTACTACGCACGTAGTAGGGCCGCGGGTGACGGTGGAGCGGTGGCAATAACAGATGCTAGGTATGGTATGTAAGTGAGTAGCAGGGAAGCAGGGAAGCAAATTAGAACAAACTGGGTTGGATAGCGAGCAGGGGCTGGTCGCTTCCCCGGCCCCATTCCGTCTTGTCCATGACGGCGCGTGGCATGCCGAGACGCCGAGACCCAATCTGTGCTACGTCCGTACTTTGGAAAATGAAATTGAGGGCTGACCCCAGGAAAGACTTCCCCACTGGATGCCATGCCAAAATCGCACTGCTCTGCTGTCGGTGAGGACGAAGGGGTGAAGGGTTAGGGAGAGGAGGGCACGCGCAGTTAATCTCTGCCCAGGTCAAAGCCGCCGGGGCCAGGATGTAATTTGATTTGACGAAAAACAGATGGCGATGGCCCCCAGATGCTGAGAGGAGTCAGCATGATGTCAATTGGGCGTCGAGAGTAGCCCGACCCAGCTTGGCAGAGCCGGGGACGAATGAGGAAGCTGGCGGCTGGCGTCAATGCCAGTCATGACGTTCATGATCAAGCGGCGGAGATCCGTGCCATTGCACCTGAGAGCATATCATATTGCGATGCGCCTCAGAGTCTTTGCCCATCGAAATCTGAGTTGCGGTGGGTGGTGTGAAGACCCTGAGAGAGAGAGATCGCCGATCTTGAAGGGAAGGTCAGAAGGTGGACTGGCACTCCTCAGCGGGCTCTAGGGTCTAGCGCGCAGTGTCCCGCGTAGCAGGGGAGTCCCATGGTGAGGAGGAGGAGGTGAGCACGAGGATTCGCCCTGGGTTGGCTGTGCTCGGAGGGATGTTTTGTGGTTAATATCAACGAAGCTATAATTACCACGGCCGAGAGCAGGCTGGAAGAAAACGGAAACGAGGCACGAATACCGGGGAACCTAGGAAGGTCCGTAGCTTGGCAGGTGGATGGTGGATGGGATGAGCGAGCGGAGTATCCAGCGGTGCAGCCCGTCTGCCGATCACTGCCTTGGCTTCTGCGGCAACAAAGAAGTTCCGGGACTACGACCGAATGCGTGCAGAAGCCGAATGCACGAGGAACGGACATTGTACATGGGACACATTGTGCGACCCGTGCCATGTACTTACGTAGTGCCGGTAGCAAAGACGGAGCAGTCACCGTTGGCCCAGTTCGTAATTTTGTAATTATAGACCGGGCGAAGGAACGGCATGCTAGGGACGGCCGCGCAGCACTTGGACCAGGCCGGCGCTGATGCATTGCGGCATGCTGGTACAGTAACACATCGTAGGGTAATAGGGCGGGTTTTGGTGGAGTTGGCATGGAACCCGATGCGTTGCAAAGGAGGCGTTCGAGGGGGGGCAACCGGGTTGGCAGAACCTGCCAGGCAGGGGAGGGGAGCCATCGACCTACGTCAGGGAGCCGTCGAATCTGCAGGCTAATGTCCAATACAGTGTTTTTGTTGTTCCACCAAGCCGGGGTGTATTTCTGCTCCTCGTAGCCGCCGTGTTGTTTGGCTCGCGGCGAGAGAGACAAAGCGAGTGATGGCGAAAGGGCGATGGGCCCCCTTTATTGTACGACTCGGGATCGCGACACCACGACGCCTCCGTTGCAGGCGTGAGGCACAGTCAGAGCAGAATGACGTGCGTGACGGCGACAGTGTGTAGCTGAACTTGCTGGAACTGGGTTGGCGACTGGGTCGGCGACTGGGTTGGCGACTACTGGGATGGCTAAACCTGGCTAACGAGCCAAGGGTGCTTTTTTGGCCCGGGGTGGCTTTTTCGGTGGCCCCCTTCACCTACGTCATCGCAGACCATCGCCATCCAGCCCTCGTCCTGTCCTACCATTTCTGTGGCCGTCCATGTCCACTTTTCCCACGAGCATGGGCCTTTTTACCATTATGGGGGGCAACGGGGGCAACGGGGACCGCTCTAACAAACGGGCCATCCAAGATTGGCCTGTCTCTGTGTCTCTCTGCGTCCCTCTGCGTGACCCTCTGCTGCCAAAGTAACTTGACGCTTGACTGCACCCCAACTGTCTCCTGCCTCTGTGCCTTCTGTGAGCCCTCCAAGAGCCTCCAAGAGCCCCCTGTGTGATCCCCGGCCCAGCAGAAACAACCACTGGACAGGGCTGGCTTTACCTTAACCTAAGCCAGCCAACTCTCACCCACCACCACATCCACCACCACGTCTACTACCACCACCACTACCATCTCATTCTCCGGCCCCCTCCCAAAAGGGACATCAGGGATAGATACAAGCGGATCAGAGCCCAGTTGTCGAAACCGAACATTTCCGATTCTTACGCTTCAACAGTCTCCGTGGCCGTTGTCTGCCGTGTCTGCCGCCACCTCCTCCAGCGAACCAAAGTACACGCCCACGTCCGCGTTTTAACCTTCCTCCGCCCAAAAGAAAAGCGGAAGGGAAGGCGAAAGGGAAAGAGCCTGCCACTGCTTTGCCCCGTTTGCTTGCCCCGTCTCGCCCGCCTTCGTTTTCCATCCCTCGCCCAACGCCTGACGTCCGTATTCCTCCCACGTCCCGCTGCGCATGCGGCCGGTCTTCATACTCCTCCTCCCGTCTCTCAGCCACCGCGCTCGCTTTCTCTGAATGAGGCATGCCAAGTCCCATCTCGCCTGCCGACGACTACACGGCTTCTTCGACTCCGCCCTCGACGACGCGCCAGTTCTGCTTGCCGATCCGCCTCGCTAACCACAACGCCGCCGAGCCGTTGTTCCTAACCGCCCAGAAGCTGTCCTCGATTGCTGTCAGAGATGGAGGTGTAGTGCCAGGGCCGACTTCGATTTCGCCTGCGCCTGCGACTGCGACTCCGAATGCGACGGCCATGGCGCGTGACGCAATGATGGATCGCCACTCGAGTCCCCTCCCGAGTCCCCTCCCGACGACGCCTCTAGATGCTCCAGTAATTTCACCGCTCGACATGAGGACAATGGAGACACGGCCTGTCGACCACAGCCCTCCGCCCGCCCTCCAGGAAGGAGAATGGATCATGCCCCCGGAAACGGTGCCCGTTGCAGCTTCATATGAGACCCCGTCAAGTCCCCGACGGTCAGACCTTGGAAGCGATGCAGGCCCGGGTCTAACATCTTCGCAGCAGCAGCTCAATGAGTATCGAGAAAGACTGGCCAGGGACCTAGAGCGACGGGAATTATCTGCGAGAGGATTATTGCCGCGTCCAGGAGACAAGTCTCGAGTGTCACCCATCCCCGAGGAAGGACTGTCGAGTCCACCTCCTCAAACCTCCATGTTGACTACCACATCCACGGAGTCTGGCGCTACCATCCGTGGTCCCACGACTCCTGCAGCTATTGCTGGCACTCCATCATACCCCTTCCCTAGGATGGCTCCCGCCGGCTTCATACCTTCGTATCTGCACAAACCCTTCACCACACTCTCTCCGACTGGCGCCCCACGTCCCTCGAATTTCCCCTCGTTTGAGTCCATGGTTATGGGTGCCCAAGACAAGGTGCTTTCTGGAAACTCGACACCCGCCTCCAACTTCACCTTCAATCCATCCTTCATGTCGCCGCAACCCGACAACATTGATTTCCCTAATCCCAACCTCTACGATCTGTCCCTGATGCTCACTGCTGAGCCTGGCTTAGATGCGTGGTGGAACACGGTTGTTCAGATTATGAAGGATGTCTACAAGGCTGAGCGTGTTACATTGGCAGTACCAGCGGATACAACAGACATCGAAAATGTCCCATGGGGCCAGAAAGCCACTTACAACGAGCACAAGGAAGATGACTTGAGCCTCGGATACATGGCAAAGCAGGGTCATGATAGTGTCATCCTCAGCAGCGACCAGGGTCGGTCCGAGGGCATCATGTCAAACCCCGATGACACGCTCAAGGTTAGTTCTGCTGCTCGGCCCGGATTATTGAGTCGCCACTCCTTCACCTCCTATGAAGAGAACAAGGAGAAATCCCAGGATCGGTCACCCGCGCCCTCTCGCCGGCCTTCTTACCTCACAAGGAGCCAGAGTAACTTGCCACCGAGCCGCTTCGTGAAAGCGTCATCGGATGATTATGCCCCGCTTAACAAGACATCTCTTGATGAGCACGATGCTAATGAACAACACATCCCGAGCTGGGAAGCCCCTCTCAGGGCCGAGAAGGAAGGGGAGGGCCGTATGCTACCTGTTTTGCAGGCCCTTGACTATGAAGCAGACCCCCTTATCGACCATAGCGGCGTTATGCGAGTGCTTGAACGTGGAAAGACGATTGCACTCACACGAACTTACCCATATCTTGCCGACCAAGTTTCCGAGCAGGTCAACCAACAAAAGTCTACTTCGAAAGACAACGCTTCCGACTCATCGAGTAAGCAGACTAGTAGGCCGCGGTCCGAATCGTTTTCGAAACTATCGTCTATTTTCAGCGTGGCCACCGCCTCTCGTGTGCCCACTCGGAGCAAAACTCACTCAGGAGAAAGAGCAAGGGCAATAGCTTCGCGCCTGGAGAGCCGACTGGAAGAAGATAGGCCGAGGCCCCCGACCCCGAAGTACGAAGAATTCGAACAGGCACCCCCGTCGCCCTGGTCACAATCCCCGGCCCCTTCGCCCGCCGTCCGCGCCGACCCGAAAGAGAACCCATTTTTTACAGACGCCATGGTTGACGAAGAGTCCTTTAATCCCGGCCCAGGCACGAGTGACTACAGCGGGATGCCTCCCCCAGAAGCAATTGGAGTTGACAATTCATGGACTGTGCTTCACATCCCGTTGTCTCATGTCCTCTTGTCGAAACCAACTCATTTCTTTAAACTTGACAACACTGTGATTGAGCAAAAATCCAACTCTTGGGCCAAGTACGAATGCCCCCCTGGCACGGGAGAAGGTGGTCGTCACACGCCTGATAGTGTCAAGAAAGACAGACCTGCTCCAATCGCCATTTTATCTATCCTGAGCCCGATTATCCCATATCCGTCAAACCTACGGCATTCCCTCGAGCACCTGGCACCACACATGGCAACAAGCTTTTCCCTTTGCCGTCATTACACCAACTTGGAGACGGAACTGGCGGGAATGCAGCGTAAAAGACCACAGACGGCCGGGTTTGGTGCAGTCGCCGCTGATGGACGTGCGCTGGAGAACATGGCATTCCTATCTCCCGATGACCCTGTACCTCACCAATCCCTCGCTGGGAGCATGACAAGCCCGAGTGATTACTCGGCCGTATCTAAGAGCGCAACCGTGTCTCCTCTTGGTACACCTGGGTGGGAACAAGGCTCGATGAATTACCTTGCCGATAAGCGACAACATCCAACTCCGAGCCCAGGTGGCATCTCGCAAGGGGAGGGGTATTTCAGTGCCAGACAAAGGGCGATACCTGCTCGACAGGAATCCTTTGGTCCAGGAGTTCAACGATCTCGGAGAGGGTCCAAAGAGAACTCGCCCGTTGAAAAGCGGCAATCTCGTTTGGTTAGCGCTTCATCATTCCCAGACGTGTCTGATACTGCGATTTCTGTTGACAAGACCGCCCGCAATATCGATGATCCTGCCGGAGCTTCGATAAAGAGGTCGGCGCAACCAGATGCTCAAGAAGTCAGCATCAAAGCATCAGGCGCCATCAGCATCGACGAAGCTGCCAGGAACTCGACCGATTCAGCGAAGTCTGGACAAGAACTCTCTCGCCACGGACACACAATGTTGCACTCGTACGGAGCAGATTTCGCCTCTACCTTCCAATCTCTGCCTCCAAATTCTACACTCAACAATAGACCCCCACCTCTCCCTCAGCCATCTAGGAGCGGCTCAATTACAACTGGAGCAGTCGATATGCCCCCTCCATCCGATAAGTTGAAGGGTCTTATTCTGGATTCGCTCCCGGCCCACGTCTTTGTTGCCCTGCCGCAAACGGGCGAGATCGTCTGGGTTAATAGTCGCTATCTATCCTATCGAGGACAAACGGTAACCGATCTGGCTGCAGACCCTTGGGGCAGTCTTCATATCGATGACCGTGACGATTATTTGAAAGCATGGAGCCATTCCGTCCGCACTGGAGAGCAATTTTCTAGGACCGTTCGCATCAAACGCTTTGATGGCACGTACCGTTGGTTTTATGCCAGAGCGGTCGCATCAAAGGATAAAAGGGGCGTTATTATGCAGTTCCTCGGATCATACATGGACATCCACGATCAACACATTGCGGAGCTGAAGGCGGCGCGCCAAGAAGAAATCGAGGCCTCAGAGGCTAAGCATCGTTTGTTGGCAAACTTGATCCCACAGATCATTTTCACTGCGACCGAGGACGAGGGCATTACATTTGCCAATGAGCAGTGGCTTTCATACACGGGCCAAAGCTTTCCAGACTCACTCGGCCTCGGATTCATGGATTATGTACATCCTGATGATTTGGCAAAGTGTAGAATCCCCACAACCCAACCCATCTCTCCGAGTCGCAGGCGTGAGAGAAATAGCGTCTACCGAGAATCTGTGTCTTCCGAAGCGACCTCGACCAGCACAGTTCATGTGCAGAATACAACCCAAGACACTCTACCCTCCATCCACCAGTCACTCTCTCGGAACAGCAGCTCTGGTAGCAGTTCTGTGTACGAATGGCCGGCTGATCTCACCGAACTAGCTCGGAAGGGCGTGATCAAAGTTGCGAAAGACAGTGCCGGGAGAGTTTCGTACACCACCGAAGTCCGGCTGCTGTCGAAGGCTGGGGAGTACAGATGGCACCTTATTCGATGTGTAGAGATCGACACAATTGATTTTGGCCGAGGCGCCAGTTCCTATTTTGGCTCGGCAACGGACATCAATGACCATAAGCTTCTCGAGACAAAATTGAAAGAAGCCATGGAGACGAAGAGCAGGTTTCTCAGCAACATGTCTCACGAAATTCGAACGCCTCTCATTGGTATCTCGGGCATGGTCAGCTTCCTCCAAGATACTATATTGAACGAAGAGCAACTCGATTACACGAACACCATTCAGACGAGCGCCAACAGTTTGATCATGATCATTAATGACATTCTCGATCTGTCAAAGGTTGATGCCGGCATGATGAAACTGAAATATGAGTGGTTCCACACACGATCCCTCATTGAGGATGTCAACGAGCTTGTTTCGACCATGGCGATTGCCAAACGGTTGGAGCTCAATTACCTTGTGGAAGCAGATGTGCCTGCTTGGGTCAAGGGTGACAAGGTCCGAGTGCGTCAAGTGTTATTGAACGTTATTGGAAACGCCATCAAATTCACCACGGAGGGCGAGGTCTTCAGTCGGTGCAGGGTGTACACTGAGGAGGGAACGAACGTGGACGAAGACGAAATTATGCTCGAGTTTGCAATCACGGACACCGGTCGTGGATTCTCCGAAGAAGAAGCTGAACTAATGTTCAAGCCATTTAGCCAAATTGACGGAAGCAGTACCCGCCAGCATGGTGGTAGTGGTCTCGGTCTGGTCATCTCAAGACAACTCGCCGAGCTTCATGGCGGCAAAATGGAAGGCAAAGCTATCCCCGGCAAGGGATCGACATTTACCTTCACGGCAAAGTTTGCGCTTCCAACAACAGATGATCGACCAAATCTCCCCAACAGCCCTCAGCACACTTCAGTATTCACTCCGAGGCCAGAGATGGTAGGGAACGTGCCCGGAAACATCAAGCCGCTGCCCCCGCCCAAGCACCTGCTTGCCACCGAGACCTCAACTCCAAGCCCCGATACCGAGTTCGTCTCGCCTGTTATATCGACGGGGAGCTCGAACCCATCTGTGCGTTCTAGTCGATCACAGGCTACTGAACGGTCATCCGCAACATCAGTGGCTACAGGCCTGGCTCGATTTAGCGAGGCTGCCAAGGCTAGTGGGCAAGACTTGTCTCAGATGAAACTGGAGATGCCTTCAGGCCGAAGCTCCCCTGGCACGAATGTTGCGCTCTCAGACCAATTGTCACCCGAAGACTTCCGACCGCCAATGTATTCGATCCTGATTATCTGCCCCCAGTTCCATAGCCGCGAAGCCACAACTGCACACATTGAGATGACCCTACCGAAGGATGTACCGCATCAACTCACGGCACTCGCGACTGTGGAGGAGGCTCAGACGTTGATTGGGGGCGACGACCCTATTAGGTTCACGCACATTGTCATTAACCTGCCCTCGGCCGAAGCCATCATCTCGCTGATGCACGAAATCACCAAGACGCAAACTATTGACAAGACAACAATCGTGGTTCTCTCTGACTCCGTGCAGCGGCAATCTGTCTTGAAGCTGGCGGCCGACGCCAAAGACGAGCGGCTTCTCTCCGAGAACATGGTAACCTTCATTTACAAGCCGGTTAAGCCGTCCCGGTTTGCTGTCATCTTCGACCCCAACAAGATGCGAGACCTGAGCATCGACCGAAACCGCTCGACGGCGCAGCAGATGGTCGAGAACCAGAAGGCTAGCTACCTGGAGATTGAGCGACGCATGGGCAACAAGGGCTACAGGGTGCTGCTGGTCGAGGACAACCCTGTCAACCAAAAGGTGCTTATGAAGTACCTCAAGAAGATTGGCGTTGATGTGGAGATCGCGGAAGATGGGGCTGAGTGCACCAACATGGTTCTATCCAAGCCGCATCAAAACTACTCGCTCATTCTGGTGAGTATCCCCCTCCCGCCTTGTATTTCACTGCAAAGATGGAGTATACTAATGACTATTCCTTTCAGTGTGATCTCCACATGCCTCGCAAAGATGGTTACCAAGCTTGCCGCGAAATCAGGCAGTGGGAGCAAGCCGCCCGGTTCCCCAAGATGCCCATTATCGCGTTGTCCGCCAACGTCATGTCGGACGTGCAAGACAAGTGTGTTGCAGCGGGATTTAGCGACTATGTCACGAAACCGGTCGATTTTATCGACCTCAGCAGGGCAATGTCCAAATTCTTTTAAGGGGACTATTCGCGAACTATGTCTAGACCTGCACCCTCATGCGATATTCCCTTCTTTCAGCTTTTCTAATCCTCGTTTTTGTTTGGTGGGTTGTTTTCTCCCTCGACACCATTATACCCAGCCCTACAACCCCCAGGTTTCTTTTTGGAAGACGCAATGTTAGAATAGATTTGAACGGATCACGAACAGGCGAGGAACGACGATCACAGGAAAGACCAGCATTGAGCGGATGTGCAAGTCACCCCGTTTACCAGACTCCCGTGGGCTTTAATGCGGTTAATTATCCTCTCATGCGCTACGATACACATCTTATCTTGGCCCCTTTTACCCACCTCTTCTCTTCTCTTCATTTCCAATCCCTTTGATCTGATCCGGTGTTTTATTGTTGAATTTGCACATTGAGGAGAACGAAGGTCCCAGGGATGGGAACTATGTCGATGCCGTTGGGCAACAATCGATTTTATTATTTATTCTGTAGCATCATGTCTTTTGGACTATGCTTTGTTTACGGTAGGACACGGCCATCGTGGAATAGGAAGGGGTTTTCGGAGTTACTTTTGCATATGTTTATGAGCGGCGGAGGCATTTTGCCTCTTGAATGAAAGGCTGGTTGGAGAGGAACGCACTCTGCTGGACTTGGCAGTGGAAACGGCAATGGGATAGGGTTATCTCGTCTAGATAGACGCCGCGGAAGGGAGCGGCGGTGAAATGGATTACCGGTTGGTTATTTCACCCAAAAACAAATAATGCTTTGCAAAGAATCAAGGGAAGTACACTCGTGAATGTCATCAAATGTCTATGGTCATGATCTAGGTATGTTGCCATTTTCGTAGAGTGAAGACAATAAACGCCGATTGGGTACCTGGTAACATGCTACCCCCAAAACCATGCCTGCACAGTCTATCTCATATTCCATTTTGAGAGAGTCGTCCAAGTAGATTCCTTTTCCTCGTTGAAGCAGAACAAAAACGAACCGAAAAAAAGAAGGAGAGTCGTCAGCATATTCCTGCAAGGAATCCATTATTCATTAGAGAGCGAGCGACATGTCAGTAGACGCTGCCCTGGATGCTCCGGTCCTCCTTCTCGGCTTGGTCGATGTCGTCGGGATCGCCTTCGGAGGATTCCGGGGAAGCGTCGCCGAGGCGGTTAGACCGACGGGGCTCGCCGGTACCATTCTCGTCTGCGTACGCCAGCTTGTCCATGTAGTGGTTTGGTGTGGTGCCGTTGGACTCCTGGACCGCGGTGTCCTTGATGCTCTTGTGGTGGGCATTGAGGGAGGCAACGCGGTGGAGGTTCAGCTCGTCGTCCTCGGAGAGGTCGGTGTCGGTTTCAGCGGCGGAGGTGTGACCGGAGTAGGTACCGCCTCCATCGCGGCCAGTGTGGAGGAAGGGGGGCTCAGTGTTCTGCTCAAGATCTACAGACGAGGATCTGCCGTTGAGAAAGGAGCAGGCCTGTCCATTGTGAAGCTGGCTGACATCTATTTCGGGAGCTCCCTTGACGCCGTCTTGCTCGCCGTTGGCTTGGGCTTCAATGGTCGTGGACTGGTGCAGTCGTGACCTCCGAACCCGCATGAGAGCGACATCCGTGTTACCAGGAGCAGCCGTCTCATTGTCCTTCTGGCGTAGGACCTCGAGGTCATCACGTTTGACGTAGTGGCCGTTGTGGTTGCACCCGTTCGGACAGCCACCCCAGCGCCGGGTGACGACGAAAGTCTTTGTGCGTGGGAGGTTTGACTTGTCCTTCTCCTTGTCTTTGTCCTTCTCTTCCTTGTCCTTGCGTTCGCGACGCAGTTCAGACCAGGTGCGAAGCTTATTCTCGAGGATATATTTGCCGTTGTCCTGTTTGCGCATGTTAAGGAACTCGCAGTGATTGATGTTGCGGAGATCTTCGAAGTATTCGACTGTGAAATGGTACCATTTCATGAGGAATACACGGGACATGAGGCCGTGAGTGACTGTGAAAGGGTCTCTGGTTAGAATGTGAGAAAGAGGCACGGGGGAAGAGGGTACTTGCCGAGAACACAGACGCTGGCAAAGTCGTCCTCGCCAAACTGGCGCCAGAGACTCTCGTTGAAGCCGCTGACGCGGTCGTAAGCGTCGGCAGCGCTCTCGCCGTTGGGGATGCGGTAGAAGAAGTGGCCGTAGTCAGCACGTTCCTGCCACATGCGTTCCATTTCGGCGCTGCAGGGCTGAAAGTTGCCAAAGTCCTGCTCGCGGAGGCGGGGCTCTTCATAGACCTTGATGCTGGAGCGGCGGAACGGAGAGGGGCCGGGATCGTCAGAGGTCAGGGTGGAGAGGATGCCTTCGGTGGTTTCGCGGGTGCGGCGGTAGGGAGAAGTGAAGATTTGAAGGGTGTCATCGGGGCGGAGGAGTTTGCGAAGTCGGCGTCCAGCGTCGTGGGCTTGGTTCCAGCCTTCGGGGGTGAGTTTCACCCGGTGATCGGGGATGGTCTGGTGGATGTCTTTGTTTTCTGTAGAGGAGAGGCGAGAGGTTAGAGGTTAGGTTCGGGGAGGATCGAGGGGAGGCAAAGAGGGAAGAGTGGGAAGGGAGAGCGAGGCGTACTGTTTCCTTCGGATTGTCCATGGCGGATTAATATGATCAGCCGCGGTTTTGTCATGCTGGGCGGAATGCGTGTGGGCGGTTTCTTGCTGTAGAGGGTTGTTTTGTAGAGGGCTGTTTGCAGGCGTTTGTTTGTAGCGAGTGGTGTTTCTCTTGCTTGGTAGAGGTGACGCAGCGGCAGCACTGTAGAGGTACCTTATGTAGGTATGTGGATTGTCGAGAGTGTGTTGGGAACAGTGGGAGTAGTGGGAGTAGTGGCGGGGTAGGTGGTATTTGACAAAGCAATCAATCAATACGCAAAGAAGAGAGCGGATGATGAGCGGACGGTTCAGGGTGTTCAGGGTGTTTCTTTTAGTGGTGGCAATCGCGGGTGCGCGTGGTAGTTGGGTCAGTCAGCGGCCATCAATGCCGCGTAATTATTGCCGTAATATGTAGGTAGGTAAGTAGCTTGTCCAAGTAAGTGGAAATAAGACGAGTCCAAAGGCGGGATGGATTTATTAGTGGTGAAGCGCAGGCGCAAAGTGCAGGCACGCGCGCACGGCTGCTTGTGTAATCCCGACGTCGCTCGTTGGCCACCCTTGATCGCTCGACGAATCCGCTGCACGGAGAATCCACACTGTGCAGATTGTCGCCTTGACGCAAACACCCATGTTTCCGGAATCGTCCACCTCAGCTCTCTCCTTGCCCCCGGCGCTTTGCTAGGGGCGTGATAACGCAGCCAATGGCGTCGTCGACCGCCATCCGTCTGGCTCGAACAAAAAAACAAAAAATCTGCAATCGCATCTGGCGGTGGTGTCGCATGGCATGGGAGTGCTCCGTGTGTATGGCTGGTATGGGGCAATGGGCCTATAACATGGGGCCACCAGGCCAGGGGGGAATCTACATATGTATGGGGGACACACGCGAACACTCACTCACACTCGCTCACACTCGCTCACACTCGCATCTGTCATGGGCCCATCCGTTCATGGGCCCATCTGTACATCCCGGCCCTCCAAACGTCCGTCGCCTGACGGTCCATCTGGCGATCTGGGCGATAGCTTCGGACATGGATGTCCACCGTGCATTCTCTCTCCCGGCCAAGCCACGAGAGAGCGAGGATGGTGGGCGAGAATCATGCCATTCCGGGCCCAACGAGCAAATCCCATCATGGCACTTGTCCAATCCTGGGGTGCAGCAGCGCCTAAACCAGCAACACCTCCGTGCCGTTGTCTCTTTTCCTCTTCTCTGGCCGCTCTCTCCAGATGCTTCTCCGCCTCCGCATCTCTTTACCCGTTGCAGTTCCTGACTGTTGTGCGTAGTGTGATTTCGAAGTGATTCGCTGCTTTGGCATCTATCTGGCCGACGTTTCCCGAAGAATCTCCTGTACCCGACAATCCCACTCCTAGTTGGTACATACTACACACACATATTGAAACCACCATCTTAATTCCTCGCCTAATACTGGGAAACAAAACATCTCGGCGCACGTCATTTGTTTCGTCCCAGGGGGTCTCAACCCTGATTTGACCAGTCCCCTGTGATGCTGTGGCTGTGGCTGTGGCGATGGCTGTGGCTCATCCCGGAACTTGGCAAGTTGACTTGTGCCTGGCACTAACTTTAACTGCCGCGCGCTTAGTCGCCCTATGCCACCCTCCTTCCGCCGCGCCCATCACATATCATCTTTTTATCCTCCTCCCTCCTTCCCTTCACGTGCAACCCTCTCAACACCACATCTGCCGACTGTCCAACGCAACTCGCCGCAACCAACCTCGATACAACTCCGTGTTCGCGCACAGTACACGCCTTTAACTCTGCACCTCCTTAGATAAACCCCGTCACGCGTTGCACCCCCCGCGTGCCCATCCGCTCAGCCATCCCCGGCCCATCTAACTGATCCGCGCCCACTCCCGCTCCCGGCCTCACGCGTCCCTCAGCCCATCCTCACCAGTTCCTCGATTCTCCTCCGCTCATTCCGTAGCCGCCCTCCCGGCCCGCCCGCCTCACACCATGTCCGCCCCGGGCCCGGAATCCGTCCCCACCTCGGCCGACCCTCGCTCGCACCGTCCCACCAAGAAGCGCGCCCTCACTCCCGTATCCGCCCAGGCCGCCAACGTCGACGCCCTCTTCGCGAAGCCCGAGCAGTACATCCGTGTCCCCGACTCATCCTCTGGCGCTCTCGTCGGCGCCGGCCGCGCTCCACCCCCCGAGATCGTCACCAACGTCCAGGGATCCTCCGCTGGCGCCGGCTCCGGCGAGTTCCACGTCTACAAGGCCAGTCGCCGTCGCGAGTATGAGCGCCTGCGCGAGATGGATCAGGACCTCCAGCGCGACAAGGACCATGTCCAGTTTGAAAAAGACAAGACCGACCGCGAGCGCAGGGACGAAGAGCGCACGAGGAAGAACCGTGAGAAGCGAGAAAAGATGAAGGCTCGCAAGGCTAAGAAGGGAAAAGGTCCTGCCCCTGGTGCTGACAAGAAGGCGTCCACAGCATTCCCCGTCGGTGAACAGCCAGATAGTAGTGTCGGAGGTGACACAAAAGAGGCGGACACCGCCGTGACGGACCACAAGACAAAGGAAGGCGAGGAGAAGCCGACGGCGACCGCGGTACCAGCAGGTCTCGTTATTCATGATGACGATGACTAGAGACACACCGATTCACACTCACGCATACGCCCACAAAAAGGTCACCACTAGAATATTTGTAAAACAGGCCATGAGGAGGAGACTGTGCCGATTAGGCAACCATTGATTCGGGAGGTAATTTCAATGATACCCATTTCTTCATCCTGGCAGATGAAAACCCCAGGGCAGTCGCCCCAGGCCCTTTTGTCTATGTTCTGGTTCTTCGGCTAGTACAGGGGGTATGACTGGTCCCAACACAAATCTAAACCATCCCGATGCTCCTATGCTTGCCACCATGCTTAGCTCCCCTCATTCTCGTCTCTCTTTATTCATCGCCGCCACCACCGACGCCAGGCGCACCGCCCTGCATCTTTTTGGCGCTGCAGATGTCATCTACTCGGAGAAGCAGGCAGGCGGCCTAAGACTTCGGTTAGTATACCGTAGTTCCAGACAAGAACCAGAATGTGGGGGTTGATCCTGGGTTAGGGCGGAAAACATACCTCGATCGCCGTCTTCAGACTCTGCAGCTTGATGGCCTGGGGCTCCCAGACTCCGTACTCCTTCATGTCGGCAATGGCACCGGTGTCACCGTTGACACCCCACGAGCTCTTGCCCTCAGCTTGCTTGGCACGCAGATCCGTCAACACACGGACGGGGCTCTTGCCGGCGTTCTGAACCAGGGTGCGGGGGATGACCTCGAGGGCTTCCGCTACGGCCTTGTAGGGCCACTGCTGCACACCCTCGATGCTCTTGGCCAGCTGGCTCAACCTCACAGAGACGGCCATCTCCGTAGCGCCACCACCGGGGGATAACCGGGGGGAGAACATGACGTTTCGCGCCACACCCATGGCATCTTGGAGATTTCGCTCAATCTCGTTGAGCACGTCCTTGGAGGGACCTCGGAGGAGGATCGTGCAGGCCTTGGGGTCCTTGCACTTGGTGAGGAAGGTGAAGTACTCGTCGCCGATCTTCTCAATCTCGAATAGACCGCATTGGGTGCCGACATCCGAGTCCTGGAGGTCATCGACACGGTTTACAATGGTGGCACCAGTTGCACGGGCTATCCTGTTGTTGTCGGTCTTTCGCACTCGGCGGAGAGCTGTGATGTTGGCCTTCATGAAGTAGTGCTGAGCCAGATCTGCGTCAAATTAGTAATCGGACCATGGACAGGGGGTTATGGTGGGAGAACTCACCGGAGACACCCTTCTCGGTGATGACGAGATCGGGCTTCACGGCGATGATGGCTTCGCACAGGGCCTTGACCTGCTCCTCTTCGATCTGAAGAATGCGGTTCCAGTCGTCCTCCTTTGTGATCTCAATGTTGGTCTGCGACTCGCCCTTCTTGTACTCCAGGGGGCAGTCCAAGAGCACGATTCTGGGGTTTTCGATGCGCCGGCGCATCTTGGGGTGTGTGATGTCCTTGTTCAGCATCAGGCCGTCAAGGACTTGGCTGTCCTCGATCTCGCCACCAGGAACCTTCTCAACTCGGGCATACCGCTTGATGTCGACCTCAGTCTTGCCGTTGCCAGCCTCCCATGTCACCGTTCGGACGGCCTTGAGGGCAAGGGAGCACATCTGATCCATCCACCGCGAAACAAACTTGGTGCCGATGGACGAAGAGATGAGTTGGTACATGGCCTTGTCGTCGTCGACATCGATGGGTTGGGAGATCTCGTCGATGATGACGAGGGCGTCTTTTAGGGCGCGCTTGAAAGCGGAGATGATGACGACGGGGTGGATGTTGCGGTCGAGTTGGGGCAGAGCTTGTGCCAAGATCTCACCAGCTGGGAGCTGTTAACATGACATGCTGGGTTTGGAGGCGAGAGGGGGAACGGAGGTGTCTCTAACCTAGGATAATTACGGTGGTAGTTCCGTCACCGACTTCCTCGTCCTGTGTCCGGCTGAGCTCGATCATGCTCTTAGCGGCGGGGTGCGACACCTCAATTTCTCGGAGAATGGCGTGGCCATCGTTTGTGAGGACGATGCCGCCCATGGGGTCGAGCAGCATCTTGAGCATGGCCTTGGGGCCGAGGCATGATCGAATGATATCGGCGACTCTGGAAGCTCGTTAGCTGCTAGGCACGCGACGAGAGGGGTAGAAAAGGAGGGCAGGACGACGCACGTTTTGGCAGCGGCGATGTTGGACAGCTGAGCTTTCCGGCCGGTCTGTCTCTCACCACCGCCTGTGTCTGTGGGGGAATGCGTCAGTATTCGAGGTTGTCATCGGGTTGGGCTCGGAGGCCCCGAGGCGGGAGCTTGGAGGAGCAGACGCAGGGGCGCAGGGGGGGGGGGGGATGGACGCACTCATAACCACCACCGGAGCCTGCATGATGGGCGAAGTCGCGTTGGAGATTTCGGCTCGAGGGAGATGGACCTTGACCGGGAGATGGGCAACGCAATGGCGACTTGGGCCACAAGGCAGTCAGGGCGAGAATGGACGAGATTTCGGATATTCAGATTTCGGGGGGCGTGGAGAGGGACCGTTGAGGGGCGCGCACCAGAAAAGTTCAGTGGTGGATGGGATTTTTGGGGGATTTTTGGCGGGGAGGCTCAAAGTGCTGGCCCTGCTGGCTTTGGCTGGTGGAATGTTAACCCGCCCCGCCGCCGCCCGGAGGTGAGCACCCCATGACCGCCGCTTACCTAGTTCGGCCAATTAGGCACAGCAGAGGGAAAGGGCACGTACACCTCCCACTGTAGCTGCGGTCCCCCACAGAGACGACGCTGTTCACGGAGTCCGAAGGGGATGCTAAGCACCCAACTTAGACGGCACCTAATAACTTGATCAACACCTCGCAATGTGCCGAATACGGGGTAATTGTGTGCCAATGCCCGCCGTGGTTTGAGCAGAGCCAGATTTCCCATCTCCGCGATATGGCGGGCGGAGGGTTTTAGCTTAGCTTTCGGGTCCCGAGCTCCCAGCTCCTCCGCGCCTCCTCCGCAGCACTTCGGATCCCGCACACCGAGCTTTCAGTCTCACTGGCTTTCTCTCCTCTCCGTCTTTCTTTCTCTCCGTCTTTCTCTCCGTCTTACTCCCCGAGTGCTCCCCGAGTGACCCCATTCATCGTCTCACCATCTTGTCCCATGCCGTAAACATAGAAATGGAAGCCTGTTTCCAACTAAACCCGTCTAGGCACCCACAATCAACGCTTACTCCATCTCGCCACCCACGTAGTGGTACCACTTCACATCACTTCAGTCAAGTTATCCACTAGCTTCTCATTCCGAGAATTTCTTTCTGGTTGCTTCTATCGTCGAGACTGTTCATCCCACCAAAGACTAGATACATGTCCTCTCCATCCGCAAACTACCCCTTAAATCATACCAACATTGTCACATCCATTACCCCCGGGTTGATAGAGATTGTGCCGAAACTGTCCAAGTAGTTTCCCTTGAGATTGGCTTATTGTCAGTGCAGTTCGCAGCCCACGCTCATATCTTAACAAAGGCGAAAAAACTTACTTCCGTTCCATAAAACCCTGTGATAACACGACCTGGAGACTCAATCGGCTCCCAAGAATCGGCATGGGTAGAGGGAGGTGGCGGAAACAATACCACTTTCCCTCGATTAGTTCGCATCTGCGCTATCGTTAGTCTATCGAAGTGACAGATTGACACGGCATCCGTTTACCTTTACCGCCACGCCTCGTTGAATCTGGATATTATCAATCCTTTCTCCACCAGGGCCATCGATGGAGAGCACAACTCTTTCCGGTTCAGATGGTATTTGTTGAAGGTTAAATCCAAGGGGAAGTGGTTCTAGGCGGCCAAACGATCGACGGCTGGAATCGTTATAAACGAACTCGAATCCGGCAACAGAACCAACACCAAAGGAGCACATTGCAATTTCGACAAGCTTGGAAAGGTCTTGTCCATCTGAACCCCCAAAGGTAATCGCTGAGAGGTGTTTGCAGCTCTCCATATACATTATGGACTCGTCTTCGTAGTCGGCTCTACTGAATAGAAAATGCTTTGGGGGAACACTGTGGCTCCAATTGCAAATGTTGCGGAAGGGAAAATCTCCAACGGTATCCCCACGCGACATCGCATGGGTGGAAATGCTGAGAGACAGCAGTTTGAAAGCCTACAGGTCATTGAGTGTTAGTCCTATGCATAAGCGACTCCCTTAAAGAAACTAGGACAGGGGGTGGAACGAGAAAGGGAAACCGACGTCAAATTCTCCTTTCAGAGTCGAGATGGTCCCTCGAACATCTGCCAAACACCATTTTGGAATGCCTTCGTGGTCGCCAACCCAAGAAGAGGAAGCCCCATCGTCTGTCAACACAGAGATTGCCTTGACTCCCTCCAAGTGAAGCGCCAATTGAAATTCGGAAATGGTGAAAGCCGATCCGCGTGGCTGTGACGCTGGAAAGGTTATCGGAACCTCTCGGTCGGCACGAATATAGCCTAGACTTGTGTTCTGTCCGTATTCTTGTTCGAATCGGAGTCCGCAGATAAAATCGCCGCCGAGAAGACGACAAAACGAGACGAATACCTTCGTAACCCTAGAGCGCGTCTGGATATGGACCTTCCGACTTCGCAGGGCCCGACAACCATCTTGGAAAGGCTCGCCGGGGCCTCTTAGCCCGCGACTAGCGGTAAGCCACGCCAGTTTATCACGTTCATCAGCCCGCTCGAAGTATCCGTGTAGAGGACGGCCCATGCAGGGAACATGCGGCATGTCGGCCAGCTGGTCGTGAAGACGTGTTGCCAGTTCCCAAATTCGTTTCCTATTCTTCAAATTTGGGCAAATTTGCGACACCATTCTGACGGTAAAGTGCAGTTGTTCCCAGGATTTGAAGTTGATATGTTGAGCCTCGAATATGTGATGGCACTCTCCATCTTCGAGAAACCTTGACGCCCAAAACGCCTCAGGAAGCCAAACATTGGCACACGCTCGCGAAGCAAGCCTCAAAGCGTGGACATCTTGCGATCGCAAGTCGATGATGATTTTACAAAGAATCTCTGCGGGGAGAGAGTTAAACAGATCACTGCCTGCGAGACGTGTTCTCGAATTTCTTGGCATCGTGAGACGGGCACGCTCTTGACGACTGGGAGGAGCCAAGGTTTCTAGAAGACGACAGAGACCAGGGATGTTCATAGGATCAAATCGAATGCCAGAGCTTACCGGCTCTTGCAACATTCGAGATTCTAGGTGCGTGTGGAATGTCGAGAATCCATCTGTCAAACGGATGGCGGCTCCGCCGTAGGAATGACCCCAGTCTAAGAGGCCGAATGATGAGACTGGCATAGACAAGCACGTATAGAAAAGATCTCCGAAAGAGGGCTGGCGAACCGTCGTTAGAAGATCCCAACAAGCGGCATGGAATCCGAATCCCCAGAAAGCGATATTGTTTTCTCTCAGACTCATACGCTCGGTGTGGTGGTGCTGCGAAACACACAACTTGACATCGATGATCGCGCCCCGATCGGGGCTTCGATCATCATAGCGCCGGTTGGGATCCGCTGGGACTGTTGTTTGGTTCGTGTCGAGTGTTCCGACTCCAGATATTCGTACTTGGTCATATTTGTTGGTCTCGGTGTACACTGTTAACGAGTGAGAAATGTTCTGGCGGCGTGGATCGAAAGCATACGAGCCCGGAATTCTCCCATCCAAGTATCTGAAGTCTCGGTCTCAACAACGCTGCCACAAAGGACACAATAGACTCGCATGTCTGCGACGTCGCTTGATGGGCGCGATGCAAAGGAAGCCTGGCTGGAAGATGACGGATGCAGAGTTTTTTTGGGGGGGGGGGGGGGGGGGGAGGAGAAGCAAAGTGACTCGGGACATGTACGAAGAAGGCTGCACAGAGACAACTTCTCGGGTCTACACCGTCTTGAGGAGGTACGTACCAGACGTACAGTGTAGTACAGTGTATGTCTTAGGTGGTAGTGAGCGGCCACCTCACCGTCTCGAGCATGCAAAGCGCCACAGTGTGACAAAAAGGCGGACATGAAATTTCCCATGTTCCAAGTATTCATTTAGATGACGGGGTTGTCGTGAGTCCGCCAGCGGCACTAGTCGCGCTCTAAATATCGCGTCTATATAAACATAGACTTTGCAACTTAGCGCATGTAGATGAGCGTTGAGGAGCAACCTTTATTTATCGAGTGCAATCATTCGAGGTGGAGAATCGATCTGGCGCTAGGAACATGGTTAAGTAACAGAAGCATGAGTGTGGTGACATGCACCCGGGGGGGGGGGGATGGAATGCTGCGGTTGGAAATGTGTCACTTCCTCTGGTTGGAATGAGGGATCATTCCCAGGAGTAGCGATGAAAACTTGCATACGATCCAATATGTTTAAGTCACGTACAGGGGCGACTTCGATGGCCAGAAACAAAGGATACTTGACCATTGCGAAGCTTCGTAGTGCCATAAAGCTAGGCTGAGTATGTTGAGTTCGGATCAATTGGGTACAACTTCAGCCTCCACCCATTCCACAATGTCCAAAATCGCCATGTACGAACTGTGGGCTGTGTTCCATCCCGCCTTATGCATCTTCTATCTGTTTAACGCGTCAAGGGAGATTGCATGTAAAACACTGGGAGGTTGAAACTGGATTCCTTTCTACGAAACCTTCAACTACCTCGCCAACTGAAGAGTATCTAATTTTCTAGTGATTTGATGGCCACCGTTCCTTTCTATGGCACTTTTGACTCCTTGAAAAAAAAAACCCGAGCAGTATGTCATTGAATGGCACAGCGTAACATAATGCGAAGAAGCGGACAGGAGCGAAGCCACCAGCCCCCTAGCCTCGACTGCAGATGCAGATGTTAAGTCCTGGTCACCTTTCAGGTCTCCCAAATTGCGTTCGCCTTCGCACTGCTGCTAGTTGTTCGGGACCTCAAATCGAAGCCCAGATCCAGCCCTGGTTGTCGGCCCACCCGCCTCCATCCCAGGGATTTCAACCCACCCAACTCCAGGTTTCGACTTGACTTCTACCGAGCAGCAGAACTTGGTCATGGCCCGCTGAATCTCACTCCATTGAGACTGGTTCCGCTCTGCAGGCGTGTCCAACGAGGACCACCACGATTCCGGAGACCTGTCCGAACGTACATAGCACTCAACATCATCGAGCCATAGAAAGTTCCTTGGTATCCACTGGGTAACTATTTTCGGTTTGGCCGAGCACGAGAAGCTCGGGGTGCCGTCTTTACTGAACATGAACGAGAGGGCGAGCTGGCGAGTCGGGCCCAGAAAGTTTTGGAGCTTCAGCTTTTCAAAGTTTCCCAGGCTGGCTGTTGGTACTGGCTTCTGCTTGTTGGTTCCGTGTCCGGGAGTTGAAATGAGGAGAGGAGGATCCTATTCGTCCTTGGTCTTCATAACTTGCAACGTTGGGATAGCAAAAACGACCCAAGACTGTGGCATCGGTCTCAGCTGAGGAGGCGCTTTCCCTTTGATCGAGAACAATGGCTTCGTGATCTTAAACCAGATCCATGTGCCAGAATGACCCGTCGACTCATCGATTCTATTCATATGTAAGCAAGTTCCGTCATCTCGTGCCATGATTCACTAAACGTACAGATTGGTCTCATACAAGGAAATGGACCCGATCTTGTCGTCAAGGCTCATGAGTATATCACCAGTGTCCGATGGTGCCCGCAGTCCCCTTCTGTTGGCTCCAAATATTGGATGGTCGAGGTCATCCAGACTCTGCATGTGATGTTGCTCTAGCTTCTTGAAAACTAGCGAGCTCAGTTCAAGCTTCTTGTATCCGTTCTTGCGAGATGCATGTTCGAGGAAGGCGAGCAGGCCTTCTTGCGGGGAGAGTCGGGGTAGAGGAGAGTTGAGCCCCAAGAAAAACTTCTTTGGGTTTGGTTCCTCAGCCGGCATGATCATGCGCCCAGGTTTGAATGTGGTGTCAAAAGGCGTAAACGCGTTACTATTGGAGATCCCTGTGATCGCTTGAAGGCGCTCGCTCGATCGTTTCCTGATCTCAATGTCAGCATTGGGCTCAAGGCCATGGTGGTAGAAATCGGCCTTACATGATGAGCCTCTGTTGAAATTTTAAGCCCATAACTGCCTTGCGCATCGAGACCCCATCAAATCTCCCAGGATAGATTTCCATCGACTCGTCCACGGTCACCTCATTCACGTCGTCTTTTTTTGTGGCTCCGGCTGCTGTGAGGAGCCCGGGATGAATGGGCAAGTCCAGGTGAGAGGCAAGGTCTGCAACCTTCTGCATTCCAGTTATGGTCAACAGGCTCCCCTCGAGATCTTGGACATCCTTGAACTTGAGTCTGGGGTTACGCTCAATGCCTTTGATAATGGCTCTCTCATATGCTCGTTCTCTCTCCAAGCTCATGGCGATGCCCTTGCGGAGCTTCTCCTCAATAGACAGCAGGCTGAGCTCATCGCGGAGCTGAGAGCGGACAGCGATGCTGCTATTGACAGCTTGGTGCGGTGGGTTGGAGTCGACGCTGATCGGCTCAGCGCATGTTCGGCGGACTCTGGAAGGACTGGTTTCCCGAAGTGTCCCTCCTGGCGACTCGACAACATAGATAACTCTGCTTCTTTTGGCGTCACTGGACTCGGTGTCTCGGTCGTGGTCGAGGGCGCGTTTGCCGTCCATGGTTTGTTCTGACATGTTGCCGAAGAATGCCGCAATCAAGGTAACGATGTTGGGTATTGTGGGAAGGGAGAGCTAGGAGCTGCACCTGCGTTGCCTTTTCGATGTGCGTTTGGGAAATTCTCCTAGTTTGTGGGTTTTACCTGCCTCAGGGCATTTCAAACACTTGCAGGCTTGCGTTTGCAGAAGCCGTGGGCTTGTCAATAGAAGGCAGCAAAATCCATCGACGTTTGCAGCGAGGCGTGTTGCGTTGCAAACGCCGCCCAACAGGGACACAACGCTCTCACAACGCACTCACAACAAGCACCAAGATTCAAGGCAATGTTTTCATTTTCGGAGAATTCACTACTCAACGCCCCTGCAGCGCCCCTGTATTCAGCTGATGTCTACGCTATTCAAAGCAATGAAGCTGCATGATTCACTCGGCGCGGAGAGGAGGCACGTCTGATCACCATTTCACACGGGGATGCTTCATTGAACCTCAAAGCCCAAGTTTGGCCATAACTTTGTGATGCATTTCACAACTTGGGCGTTGCACTCATGCATAGTATTCTTCTGTATTGTTCTTCTCTACTATTATCCCCTCCTATTCTTCCTCATGCACGACCTCAATGAACTGAAATCAACAGATCCTGAATCGACTACACACAGTCGGAACATTGACTACGTAACAAAACCCTGACTTCCTATCATGTCCATGCGAATTCCCAAACACGCCAAAGCCATCTCCAGTCAACTCACCTGAACTCGCTGCAGTCATTCTTTGCCACAGCGGACGTCTAGTCTGCACGTAGATTCACTCCATCGCTACGGCGCATCCTCTGGACCCTGCGAGCTTTACCAGCGATTCTTGGGCCGTTTCGCCAAAAGTCACAGCCCTGCTAGCTACGGTGCACCGGACCACCAGCGTTAGATCGATCCGCAAAGAGGCCCGTGATGGTGTTGGATGCCGCCGTGATCGGAGCGGAGCTTTCTGACCGGCGTTTCAGCACTTGTGAACAAAGGCTGTCTCTGTCTCGCAAAGCTCCAACTAAGAGCTGAAGGGGGAGTGGAGGAGAGTGTCACATTACAGCTCGGCAAATTTAATGTTTTTTTTTGGTCCTTTTTTTTTCTTTGGCCTTTGGCATCCACTGAAACGGACACAGGTGAAGTCCACATGGTGCTATTATCCGCGCTGTCGGCTCGATTCCCCGGAAAGTCCACTCTCCATCGCAACGCAGCGCAAGCGTCCCCATCCCAAACCCGACCAACTTGGCGCATCAGACCCATCAGGCCCAAGCCAAGACTTGCCCGCATCCTGATGATTGTGCCGACGACTACTGCGTGCCAGCACCCACCGATTGTGCGCTTGGTGCAAACTGAGTTGGAGGTGCCATCCTACTACGACGTGATGGGTGAATCCAACCGGGCGGACCGCACGGGTAGATCCCGCTAACAGCAAATCCAATCGGATTCCCGGCCCCGGCTCCCGCGAATACAACCAGGCTCCTCCATGATTCTGGAGGATCCTAGAGGATCCATCTCGCCCATCTCGCCCATCTCAACGGGTGCCTGGCCGTCCTTGCCGTCCTTGACGGGGCCGAACCCAGCTTCACGATCCATTTGCTGGCTAGAGTACTCTATCCGCAAGAGAAAATCCCGGTTCGCCAGCTGAGGCAGCCCGTGCCAGGCCAAGGACGCAGAGATTTCCCTCCTACTCCATGGAGGTTGCCAATCGCAGTCCACACACCCCTTCTCTTCCTTTGTCCACTCTCTCCACTCTCTTCGTCCACTCTTCGTCCTCGAATCGCACGTCGACACACCTCGACGACGTCCTCCCCCTCTCCACTCTTCCATTGCCCGACGCTCATGCTGTTGGATACCGTCACGTCCACGTCAGCGCCCATCGTGAAACGGCATTGTTCTATCTGGTTCCTCGCAGGTGAACAGCTACCAATCTGCTTCGCCCTGAATCGCTCCGTGCCATTCCATCGAGGATCCTCCCTGCTGGCCTGTCGTGAACGGGCTTGCGTGTGCGTGTACCACTACTACGTACGCAACTTACACTTCTGCAACCCCTCCTCAGTGCTGCTGGTGCTGACGGCAGTGCACAATGTACGAGGCCTTTTTTTCTTTTCAGGCACTTGTGCTTGCCGGCTTGCCTTAGTTGACCCACGGCTACCATCGCCGCGGAACATTGGGCATCCTCGCTGATCAGCGAATGAGCAGGCCGGGGTGGAGGGGGGCGAATCAAGACGAGTTTTAGCCTGCAGCCTGTCAATGCAGGTTGATCGCGATACACATCCATCAAGCCTCTGTTTACATTTGCGAGCCAGGGGCGGCTGGGCTGCATGCTGCATCTCGTCAGAGAGCATGGCGCTGGAATCTCTTGGAAGCGAGGTGAACCAGCGGACGCCGGCTGCCAACCTCCAAGATTCAATGCCAGAACCAGGAACATCACAGACACCATCCACTCAGGCCCTACGGAGTATCGGCCTCAACTCTCATCATGCAGGTCGGGAAGAATCAGATTGTCGCCACAGCCTTCAATCACCGGCTAGTAAATAAAGTCAGTCTCAGAGTCCCGGGTCCAGGCCTCTGCCGTCAAACCCTAAACCGCCTGGGATGGACGGATGGTGCTCAACAACCGCCCCAACGGCGCTTGACATCTTACTTTCCACATCCTTTTTCGCCTCCCTCTCCGATCGTAACCAATTGCGGTAACCACTTGGTGCATTTCCCTCCGAAGTGATTCCCGCCCGGTGCCGCCGCGCCCCGGGACTAGGAACCTGGGGATGGGACGGCCCAGGAAGCCAGCGGCGTGAAGCGAAAAAAAATTCGTCGTCCCTGGCGCTGGTGCGACATTGAGTCTCTCCGGCTCAGAAACCGTCTCACTGCTGCCACCCTAAGAATGGCTCACTTCGCCCGGTTCCGGTGAGGGGCGTCCACGTATGAACAGCCCATCGGTCGGCGAAGACACCTCGAGGTGAATGAATCAAGACGGACGCCCCCCTTCCTCGTCAACACAACGGACGCCCGCCCCCCCCCCGGAGTGAAACGCCCCAATTCGCCTCCGTGGGGTAGACGATGCCCTATTGTCCCCCCGTCTTTGACCACGGCTTGCGGTCCACGGTCCGTCAGAGGATCCGTCAAAGGAAAAGGGCCGGGCAGCACCGCAGCGTCCGCTTCGTGTCCCCAGTCGGCGCCGTTCGGCCGGGGCATCGCTGATCCCATCGCGATCCCAATTGCTCCGTCGCACCACCCAGATCACCGAGCGACGACAACGGTGGTGCCCAACAAGGCGAAGAAAGACCAATTGGCGGTCTCTCGCTCCGTGCGAGGCGTGACGAGGCGTTGCATTCCCTCTCTCAGCTGTCCGAGTGCTCTACGTGCGAACTCCACAAGACCTCCCGTGTCTTCAGCTTTGAGCCTGCTACCGTCTCTCTTCCCATGTCAGGCCATTCTTAGGCAGAATGAATCAGCCGTAATCTGGTCAGTAGCCGCTGTGAATCACGTCTCAAAAGGCCATTTCCCGGTTCACGGCCCTCCGGCTCCCCGGGTGTGGTGGTCGGTCGGCTTTGACCTTTACCCGACCCAGGACAATGCGGGACCTACATCAATACACATATGAGACAATGCGTCAACACGCATGAAAAAGAAACAAGGCGTCATAAAAAGAAACATTTGCCTTTGGCATCTGGAATCCGACAGGGTAAGTAGCGGATCCCAATACCCCAGTTTAAAAAACAACATCGCAATTTGCTCCTGCTTGTCAAACGGAGAGCCACGCCGTACCCAAAGTCAGCCTTGTGCGGATTCCCATGCCTGATGAGACAACGCTCGCCCGCAAGACATGGAAACCAGCAGAGCCGAAATGAGATTCTCTTCTGCCTTGCTGCCTCCTTATGCAATTCGTCTTACAATTATTTGTTTTTTTCAGTGCTCACCAAGTGGAGTGGGTCCTCAAACTCCTGTAAGGGTAACACGAGTCTCGAAACATGAGCCTTTGTTAGTTGGTCCCTAAGGTTAGAAAAAGCATAGACGTGCAGCAAGATCTACGAGCACAGGCTGGCCTGCTCATTTGCTGGGTTCTAGATCGTGTAGCACCAGGCTCCAGGATGATACTCCAATCCCAGGGACCGCTGCCAAGCTCTCAACGCCTGCATTGGACAGCTCTCCCTCGGCTCCCTGATGCCGGGAAGACGCGAGCGGGCGGGTCAGTACTGTGGCCAACTCTCGAAACAAAGCAACAAAGGCACAATCGTTCCAAAACCGGTACGTGCGAAAGAAAAGGCGGAAGCAAGGAGGCCAATGTTTTTGGTGGCACTCGTCTATCGACGCCTGTCAATGGACGCCTGTCAATGGACGCCATCTTTACCGATCCAACCGCCCTCCTCTTTTAGCATCAGGCTGTGTGGTGTTGGAACTTTCGTACATGAGTGAATACAACGTGGCCGGCTCCGCCACGAGCGATGTTGACAGCTCTAACTCTGGGCTGACGACACCTGCGTCCTCTCAAAGCAATGCTATTGGACCGCCCAAGTGGAACAACTGCTGACAGGAATTTTCGAGGCTGGTCGCGAACGCCGTGGACTCTGTCCTGTATGGCCAAAGGACATCGTGGCTGACACATCCCGAGGACTCTCGGCTTTGAGGCAAGCATCCCTCGCAGAATGGTTCGAGACATCGAGTGTGACGAATTTCCGCGAGTAGGCGAAGGGTTTCTGATTTTTCACGGTTCGGGATCAAGCACCGATGATGATCCAAGAGAGCGAGGCGATTGTCGCACTTGCGTTGGGCCAATTGTGCCAGCGAAGTGAGAGGAGCGGCACTGAGTCAATGGACCTCACCCAGCACGCGGCATGTGTTGTAATTGGCAACCTGCCGCTCCGCAATGGGTCGAGAGAGAGGGGCAAAAGCCGTCGATGAGTGCGTTGCCATTGGACTGTCCAAAGGGGGGACAACATGCCGTCGTCACTGGCACTGAGCTGTAAGAGCTTTTGCGTATGCCAGAGGGTCCGGTTTTAGACGGCTCCATGCATCAGGTTCCCAACTATCAAAGTGGGTATTGCATTCGATCCCAGGACAAAGAGAAACCTAACTGGGCTTAGGTAGTACTGTACACAGTATCATGCTTTGTTCACCAAGTGCAGAGCAAGTTCTGAGGTAAGAAGGCGTTAACCTTGACCATTCGGACCGTCAGCCGCGGAAAATGGTGGAGGGGATGATCCACGTGGTGAAACCACGCCCAAAGCCAATGAGCCAGGCAAAGCTCCCTTGCTGGTGGTGCAGGGGAGCCGAGGCTCGCCAATGCATTTGAGATTGCTGTCGGGAGGGGGCGAGCTGCCAAACAATCAATCCTTCAAAGCGCCCGAGAAGGGAGAGCTGGGGACATGCCGTGGGGCGTGCTCTGTTTCGAAACCATCCACGGGTGTCCCGGTTTTGGGCTCCCTTGTAGATCTGGGATGTGTTGGTTACACGACTTGTGAAGAACCTGCCTGTGTTTGCCATACACAGAAGCAACGAAAGCCCATCAATAGTTAGAAACCAAGTCTTGCTGCCAGTGGGTACGTGAGACTTTTCGTGGCAGTGGCGGGCTGTCCTGGAATGAGTGTCGGAAGAGACTTCGTTTTTTTCTTCTTCTCCATGCCAGGATCTGGAACATTGGTCTTTCGATGACGAAACGTCGTGTCCAACCGGAACAGACAGGTGCAGATGAGTCGGTCATCCAAAATCGATGATGCCAGTCCAAGGTGACAAAGAACAACGCACACGATCAGAGTAAGAATCCCCTGATCGAAGTGCCGTGCCATGATTGCATAGCGTTAGGGAGATGACGATAGACTCTCCAAGACAAAGACACGGAGCAGGCCGAGCAAGCCCCTTCGCCAGAGTCACCCAGCGACCCCTATGCATGGCTCGCGACGTCCGGAGCCCGGCAGTCCCGACAGTAATTGTCGAGGGAAGACGGGAGCGCCCTGCCAAAGCCGTCTCGGGATGGACAGTTGCAAGCAGCCACCTCGATCTCATCGATCCATGGGCAGATATTCGTCTCTTGCCGGGGCCCCTCTCGCTGAAACAGCCCACTTGAGTTCCTAATAATCACTGCCGAGCGAGCTCTGAGGATCTGCCGAAACTGCCATTGTGTCTCTGGGGGGCTGCTTAGCGCCCCAGGCTGCGAATAAGGTCGTGTTGTTGGGGTAGTTACCTTTTTTTTCTCCGAGTGACGGATGCCGCCGACGATGACATCGTTCTCGGCCGACCATCCAGAGCTACCGGCACGCCATGCCCACGCTTGCGGCGGGATCAATCATGGTCACTGTCGTGATTGCATAACAGCGTCGCATGAGCGATTGTCGCCGGGTCGCCAGAACGCAACATCGGATGCCCAATTTCCGCCTCCATTCCCGCGCTCATCCAATGCGTATTGCGGTAGCGTTGCCAGCGAAAATTTTGCCGTGTCAGTGTCAGTGTTTTAGACACCCGCCCAGCGTGCCGAGTCTGTGGTTCGCCAGGGGGGCAGCGATATCCACATTTATTACCAAACAAGTCACCAAGTCACCAAGTCAGCATTGCTGATCTCCCAAACAAAGATGCGCTGGCAGCAGAGGAGACGACGACGGCCCCTCTTATTAGCATGATGGTATAATATCGGTACTTCACACTCCCAGTGCAGATGTGTGCCTGGGAATTAGCGTGCCTTGGGGGGGGGATCCACCAGGAAGACGATACCCGTGGTCGCAGTCGCTGCAGTCGCTGCATCCCCAGTAACGCCGGCCTTCCAATTCGGGCAACGGGACAGATGATAATGATGGGGAAACCAGATGCAAAGTTGTCGCCCGAGAGGGCGACTTGGGGGCGGCCCAGGCCCGGCCCCAGGTTGCATGCAGTGCCGGCCGGAGTTTCCAGAGACCAGGGACCTGTGGGGGGGCGACGGTTATCGTTGTGCCTGGTGGCATCATGGCATGTCCTGGTGGTGCTGCGGGAATTGTCGTGGGCCCATTGCCCGCGGCTGGTGGTGCAATGGCCCATCAATCGCCATGGGCCTTCTGTGTCAGGTGGCCGAACACCAGAGTGAGTAGGTAGTTTGGCTGCTACTCCGTACGTAACTGTGAATGTGGTTCACAGGCGTGAATGGGCTGAGCATCCACGAGCTAATTAGGTAGAGTGCAGAGAATGCCTGCTAATTAGGTTGGTAATTACAAATTATGCTGCATTGTTCATGCTGTCGTGCTCAGGCTGTGGGTTTGCCTCATCTAGAGACGGATTGCGAAACTAAGTTTCAAGCCGCGTCTCCTCCGTCTCCTCCGTCTCCTCCGTCGTAGCTCGCATCGCATCGCTAGCCCGTCGTCCAGGCCGAACGCTTGACGGGGGAGGTGGAACTTTCCTGCCCTCCGCCTGCCTCAGTCCGCAGGCCGCGGGTCGTGGAGCCACAGCGGCTGGCTGCTGCCGCTGGGTCCGGCGTGAGTGTCCTCCGACCCCGGCGAGGCCCATCCCAGTCACACTCTCCGTCGGAAAGCGATGCCCCCCAAGTGCCTTGACAGTTTCTGAAAAATCCCACGGCTAGCTAAGGTGCATGGAGGCTAAGCTAGTATGGGGTTACTTGGAGCCGTGCAGCCATGGAGCGAGGGAGCAAGCGAGAGAAGGGGGCGATGGAGCGTGCGAGATCATCATTGTCTGGTCTGAGGGTAAAAAAAGTCTTTGGTTATAGTATGCTATGCTAATGCTATGCTATGCTATGCAGTCTTCCGTGGTTCCTGTCAACATGGCCAATCACCCATAGGCGTTGGCCCCAAAGCAGTGCAGCATTGCCTCCCAAAGACATCCCAAAGACCGGCTGCTGTGCCTAGTCGTCCCGTGCGCCATAGTCGCAAGTTTCCCAAAAATGTGTGCATCCGTCCCGCCCTCGGCGGATTAGACGATGTCGTATCCCAGATATCATGATGTTCCCTCCCATAGCTCCAATTGCTCCCGTAATCCATGCTCTGAAACAGCATGCGATGTCAACTCCAGCCTGTATTTGGTACAAGATGCCCATTGTGGCTCCCGTATCCCGTCAATCCATGATGATGGACAAAAAAAGCCGCCCAGATGATCCCAGCGAGTCGACAGATAGGAGTCGTAATGAAAAATAGAAAAACAAACTTTTTTTGGTATGCAGTGCTCCGGTGTAATGCCCTTCTTAGTACAAACAGATTGTTCAAAAGAAAAGTGGATGTGTAATGTGTGGTGTGGTGTCCATGTGTCATGGGCCAAGTGAGTTGTGTAGTCTTAAAAAATCAAGTCGGTCGAGTGTGACGCGGGGTATATGAGTGTTGTGATTCGATCGAGGTGTGATGGAGCAGTGTGACCTCTAGTATGATCGTCTTCGCTGCAGCCTTACTTGCTCGAAGGAGACGGCGTAGGCTCGGAGTTCTTGTCTCGTCTTGTCGGACAGTTGACCCGGCTCGCCGGTTGTAGAGGTGCTCTGCATGGAGCAGAGGCTGCTGTGTGAGCTCGACGGAGTGAGGACTCGGGTCGACTGTTCGGTGCCAGTCGGCTTGGAGGATTGGTGCTGTACAGAAGCATTGCCATAAGGCTTTGCGTTGGTGAAGTCGTAGGCGGGGGAGAGGAAGAAGCCGGCGTTGGAGGCGGACCGAGTCGTCCACGGGTAGCCAGGAGGAGTGAAGCCAGGGGAGCTGGCCTGGGAGTTCGGGGTCGACGTCTTCTCAAAGTCGGCTAGTCTGCACGACTCGGAGCAGTAGGCATCGCTGGCAGTGTGAACCTGCTTGTCGCAAGCGAGGCAGAAGGAGTGAGTCCAGTCATCCATGGCGGCGTCGGGTGGATGTTGGTTGTTGGTGGTGGTGAAGAGTGAGGGTGAGTCAGAGACGAAGAAATCTCTTGCGTCCCTTATCAAGTCGAAGACCCAGGCAAAGCCAAGGTAGACAGTTGATCAGGTGGTGGGTTCGAGGCAGAGTTGTTCGTCTCGTCGGGCGAGGCGAAGAGGCAGACAGGTGGGGGACGAGAGTGAAGAGATTACAAGTGTAGAGGCAGTGTTGCAAAGCTGAAGACAGTCTCGTATCCAGGCAGGCCAGCAGCTCGAAAAGAGAAAGAGGTAGTTGCAGAGGCAAGAAGGAGTCAAGGTGGTGATGGTGGAGAGGAGCAGGATGGAGGTCGAGGGCAGAGGAGGGTTATGTATATTCTGCTCACCCACCGGGCACGCACAGCCTGGTTGATGATCAGTTGCAAGACGGCCATGGCGCTAGTTGTACATTGCCTAATAAAATGTGGAGGAGGGTACCACGGTCACCCACGCCCGCCCAAACCAGAGTAGCTCCATAGCCGGAGCAGGGTGAGGGCGGCAAGGATGGGCCTAGCCCCGCCCATGCCCTGCAGCGATACTAGCGCCAGCAAGGATCTTCTTTGTGTGTAAGGTACGTACCCCCCTCCACGCCGTCCACGCCGTCCACCAGCGCCCACGCCTGTTGACGCCTTCACGCCCTCTGGATGGCTCATGGGGGGCGCCCGGTGGGTGCATGAGCAGGATGGGAGGGCGTGCCACCAAGCACGCCTGGGTGTCTCAGGCATCCAAGGGGGGTGGGGGTACTGGAGGGAGGGTGCGAGGACATGGGATGAGGCGTGGATTGAATCCAAGACGTGAAAGGCGTGGGCGAAGGCGTGTGAGGATCAGCAGCAGCCAGTAGCAGCAGCCAGTAGAAGCAGCCCCCCAGAGGCCGACGCTGGACGCTGAGAGGGCCAGCAGCGAGAGAGCCCAGCTAACCAGAGGGCCATAGGCAAGACAGCCAGACAGACGGCTCAAGACACCAGACACCAGACATTGGCGTGTGATTTTTTTTTCCCTCTAGGCCCGCTGGCTGCGCGGCTTGGCTCACTGGGCGTCATAGTACGAACTCCGAGATGAAAAGAAAAATTTGCTGGCCCTTCGACCCTCTCTGCTCATAGTCTACGACGACTCGCCCATTTCAAGCGAGCGGATGAGGTGACTCAGACGGGAGCTGACTGAGGGCCCTGAGCGCCATGAGGGTCCCGGATTCCACCGCGAGGGCATCAGCCGAGATTCTGGCTGGGGCCTGGGCTGATGAACACCACAGCGACATCGGTGGTGGGCAGATATTTGCCTCCGCTGCCTCCCTCGCCCGTGCAATTCTGCACCTCTGTACGGCAGTGTCCGCACAGCGCTGCACCGCGCACTGCACAGAGGGCGTGTCGTTCCCCGTGCCTCTCCGTGCCTCCCCGTGCCTCCCCGTGTCTTCTCCCACGCTCCCACGCTCCTCACGGGTCGTGGTGTGAGCCTCGCTCGCTGGTGGCCTGCTCCTGTGTCCACTGTCAATTGTTCCTCGTCGGACCGGACCTGCTGCTTGCATTTCTTCAGTGAGTGTGACCTTCTCCTCTGCCTGGGGCCCGGCGACGAGCGGCGCACACCCACCAGCAGCCGTAGTCCAATTCCCTCGCTCAGGAGTCTGGTATGATTGATGTACGGGCGCTTGGTTGTGCCGCTGTACTGTGCTGTGCTGTGCTGTGCTGCACTGCGCTGTGCTGCTCCTCTCTCCTCGCTCGCTAGGTACCCACTCATTGCAGCCCAAGCTTCTGCTCGCCTGGAAGATGGAATGGACGCCGATCGGAGCCTGCCACAGCACGGGGCGGCTCACTGGTTGAGACAGTGAGCCTGAGGCAGAAACGCAGCACAGGGGGCGGCACATCCGGAACGCATCAGGTTTAGTGTGTCTCTCCAGTAAAGCTAGACGCTTTGTGGAATGGTTGGTTGCTCCATCCCCCTAACCCCCACTAGCCCCCTCCCTGTCAACCTCCACCATTCATCCTGGAGGGACCCCACTCTCGCCACTCCACAACTGCACGCAAGTGTCCACTGCGGAGTGTCCACTGCGGCCAGGTGCTGCGTCTTGAGTTGTCTTGAGGCCACCGTCATCAGTCTTCGTCGCCCCAGCCGGAGCCTGAAAACCAGTCTCTGTCTGACGAATTTGCACATCTCAGTGCAAGGGCGAATGCCGATCCGGATGCCGTAAAACATTTAGAGCGAGGCCCAGCGGGGATACGAGAGCGAACCCGTGCCTCACACGGCATCGTGCTCAGCTCCAAGACCCGGCGTGTGTGTGTCTCCGGGTTTCAAGACCCATGCCAGCCATCACTTGTCTTTGCTGCATTGCCGCCATCCAAAGACATCCAACTGCAACCTTTCAACACAGCCAAGATAGGACTCTCATTGGCAGTTTTGGCCTGCAGCCAGCTCAGCCCCCAGTGACGGTTCTGGAAGCTTTACGCCCCCAAAAGCAAGCACGCGCGGAATCCAAGACTGAAGCGAAGAACGTCTCAGTGACGCCATCTTTCGCAACTGCGCAGCCGAATTGCATACTTCCTTTCATCATATCAGGTACACGGCCCGGGGGCTGTGTGGACCCCTCCCCAGAAGGGAATTCCGAGAGGGGGCAAGATCAAACCGCCTAATGTAGATGCAGTACAGCCCTTTGCCTCTTCCTGCACCAGCTCCGTCACTTCATTGGTGGCCGTCCTGCACCCCAAACCAAATAACCAATGTCCTGTAAACAATCGACCTGCCAAGATGGTCCGCAACGCCAGCCACCATCCCTTAGTAGCAACCATTGCACCCTCAATATGCACCGTACTACCTACCAAGTTGACAACCAAGGCCGACTTACAGCTATCCTCGCCACCAGAGGGATTTCTTGACGATCCGTCGGAAAGATCAGCAACACGCGCGGCCAGGAGACTGGATTTTGGTTTGACTCTCTGGTGATCATCGACGGAATTTTCTTCAACATTGCCACTTCGTCCTCCCCCGTGAGAATCATACTTTTCCCATGGATGAGACAGTCAGTTTTACATGTCCCCTGGATAAAGCAAATATGGCCTGACATGACATCAAAGGCAGAATGCCTCCAGCATCTGATGGTCTGGACCCCATGAGCCCTTTCCAAGCCTCACCACATAATTGAGACATGGCAACCAGGACACGAATGTCCGTGACATCAACGGCCAACGGCCCAGGATTCGGTTCGTATGGTTGCGCACCGTTGCCGTGCTTCAAGAGCTCAGCTGCAAGGGATCAATGGATGGATCATCTCAACTAGCAACTACACGCCACCTCGATTCGTGTGTCAGGTAGAATACCAATCCCCTCAGCCCCTGCTCGACCGGACAATATTGTGCATCAGACTTCAGACCCACCACTTCCATGGCATGGGAAAGCGAAGGCTCTGTCTCTATCACGACGACAACGACCGCATGACGAGCCATGTGGTGCTGCTTTTCCGAGAGGCTAGCCAACCGAGCTAGTCTTCTTCCACTTTTACCTGCTTCGGAGGCGGGGGTAGGAAAGGCGCTAAGCAAATGATAGAGGCCTTCGCCTCTCCACACCCTCACAACTCCCTCTGGTCCTAAACACTGCCACCTGACCTCAAGTTCCAACCTCTTCAAGCAACTAATCAACCTGGAAGGTTGGTTTGCACCCATCACACTGCAGCTTGTTGTGAGCATTGGGTTGTCCAGGCAGGCAAGAGTCTGCTATGCCGGCCAGCATCGAAACGACTTTACGTCGACCTTTCAGAGCACACCATCATCCTACATCATCCCCTGCCAGGGGCCAGATAGCGTACGTGGGAGGATCAAGCTGCATGGCATTGCAGCAAGGCGCCCCGTGCCTTGTCATGGCCAGGACACAACCAACATGCCCTCTACCGAGCTGGTGCGGAGACGGACTCGTCGCCTTACAACTTGAGACGTGTGCGCTTGGCGACGCAGAGGGCCTCCCCAAAGGCATTATCATTACCCCAAATGGCGTTTGTTGCACAGGGTGTGACTGAACATCACGCCTTTGGAGCGGCCGCCCACGCCAAAATGTCTGAGGCAGGGTGTTCGTGTCACCCCAGGCCATCACGGGTATTCAAAAATAAGAGCTACCTACCATGTAACGTCATCTGGAACGCAACTCGCCGAGATCCCCATAAATCATTCTACCAACCACGCTCTCGGGAGGAGGGGCGGGTTGGATTGACGAACGACGGGTACAGATGCAAGACTAGGCCAATGGCATCACCAACGCTGCAGTCAAGTGCCTTCCACCACCGCGGGCGCCAAACCCGGGTTTCACCTGGGCTCTATCAACACCGAAACGGGAGGCAGACTGCATTGATGCGGCGTTCTGCCGAAGTCCAAGATCCCCCGGGTGCTATCGACGCTACGGCGGAGTTCACAAGCGCCGCCGCGAATAAACCGCGTATGCCCGAGATAAAGCATCCATAACCTCCACGAATTGCTGGTGCCGGACGATAAGAGCTGCAAGAGCTTCGTGTTCTCCAGCCATGAGCTCGCCCAGCTGCCGATCCTTACCCTGAGACTCTGAGACCCTGAGCCTGTCTAGTGATCTTGGTGAGCATTTGATGTCTGGACTAGTCCGGATAGGATACATCTCCGAGATAGGTTTGAGAGGAATGCCGTGCAAGGCTGAGCCGGGACGGCAACGTGAGACGGGATTGCCGTTGATAGAAACCGATGCTAGTAGGCATCACCATCATGGTTGAGGAACGTTGAATTGGTCCCGCTCCCGAAGGGGAGACGGAGCCGGATTTGCCCCCCACACCCGAGTCAATCGCCCAAGACCAAGGTGTTAGGTCTAGCATCAGCGTGACCCCCAAAGCCAGTATGTGGGTTTGCACTCTACCACTGCGCCCGCAAGCGAGACGGAGAGATATGGTGCGCATCGGCTAATATCAGCCAGGAGGCCCAGGACTTATCGGTTAGACAGCCGGATAGGTGAGAAGCCCCCCACGCTCCCTGATCAGTCATCAGGAATTCTCAGATATGTGCATCTCACTTCGGGAATAGGGTGGTTCCTTCTCGGACGGACGGCCCAGATAGGAAGTCATCCCATGGGCCATGGCGAAGCTCGGCAGGGTCCTCGGCCGAAGCCATTATAGTCTGTGCGACCTCTTCGCACCAGACTATGGACAAACTATTATAGCATCTCTAACCAGACCGCGCGTGGTCAGGTTGGAAAGTCTGGACCAAGTCAAGCCTCGTTTTGCAGCCCAGGTTGGCTGGTATGCCGGGGTCAAAAATTGCGAACCATGGGCTGCTTCTTCCCAGGACGGGAAAGCACATCGTTGTTGGTTGGTGGCTCCATGGCTCCATGGCTTGCAAGTCACGAACAGGCGAAAGAAGCTGGCAGGGGATATCTCAAGCTAGCCCAGTGCACTGGCCACGCGGGAACCAGGGAGCTCCCTCGTCGGCAAGCCCTACTACACTGTGGTCGGCGGCCATGGCTTGGATCCATTCCCCCAGGTCCGGTCAGGAACTGGTTTGATTACGGATTACGGTCTCGATGATGAGTTCGGGAGCATCGGCCTCGCTTCTTGCCTTAGTGCGGGTGCGGAAGGGTTTGCAGCTGGGAACACGGCGGGCATATCTCAGGACGATCTGGTGAACCTGCAGCAGCTGACTGCATCGGTGATACGAAACCACCACCAGGCACGCGAACTACTTGGTGGTGTGGATGGGCAAGCTGACCTCAGCAGGCGACCTCTGGAACTGGATTCGTCCACAGTTGCGAGCCTGTAATTCCCAAAGGAGATGACGAGGCACACGGCGAGAAAGACTTTTCGTCGCTTGTTGATCCCTGGGCGTCCGTCAGAACCATCGCAACGGGAAAAGATTCTCAGCTGCGCTTACAGAGCTGGCAAACGGGGTTTCATCCCGGGCTGACCGATGGACAACACCCTCAAACAACAGATTATTGAGAGGCGCATGCACCGAGACGAACCAGTGCAAGCGGGAGGGTTCGAGGCGCGGGAAAGGCCTGGACACGATATGCGGGGCTCGTCTGGTGGGCTGTGAGAGGCAGCTGGACGTCTGGTGGTGGTGGGCTCACTGATCACCTCACCCTCCCGCCCAAGCACCCGTGGCACCTTGGCCCCAGCCCCTATTCGTTGCGACGCCCGTGCGGCAACGAGGTGGCGGCTTTAAGGTCAAGATGGACAAAGGCCTGGACGGGTCGTAATGAACGCCATACAGGGACGCGCCGAAACGGGCTGGTTAGCTGGTTAGCTGGCTGGCTGGCGGTAGTCAACTGCGCTAGCAGACAACTGAGCTACCAAATTTAGTCCATCTTCGTCACTTGCGCTACTGTATGTAGGTTGAAAGATGCCGCAAAAGCAAAGTGACAAATAAGCAAAAAAAAAAAAAACCAGGAGCCAAAGCAGATCGGTGCGATTCCGCTCCGCAGAACATCGTCATTGACAGAAATCCAGCATGCCACTAGCAGGGCATGTCCAGCTGTCATCGAAGCTAGCGGGTCCTTTTACTGTACATGTCAGGTCGACATGAAGAAACAAACTCTCTGGTCGGGCTCGGTCTCTTCGCTTGCTGGTACCTTGCATAGCCAACTACAATCCATGAAGATTTTCAACGTCGGCAAGGCGGCTCATGCAAGTCACACGGCGAGGAATAGATTTCGCCAGGAGGCAAGAGGCAACCAACCAGCCTGCCTGCTGCAGAGCCTGCTGCAGAGCCCTGGACCAGTAAGCAAACCTGTCAGCCAGCCGCTTTGGACAAGACAACGGTTCACAGCCTGATCTGGGAGGTAGTGGTGTGGTCGCCTGTGTTGGCCTCGTGTCCTCATTCGCTGCACGACATCCATGATCTGACAGTGAGATCCAGACAGGGCCAACAAAAAAAATCTTCCTTTTTTTTTTTAACCTCCGTAGTCCCCTTGTTCAACAAAGGCCCACAGCCAACAATTGGCCCTGCCGTTATCGAGGGTGCCAAGAGATATCCCCAGAGTGCCTCCTGGACAGGGCTCAGCCCATGGTTGTCGACCCATGGATGGACTAGCGTTACGCCCAATTTGGTATGATCGACAAATAGTCTCCTGTGGTCTTGTCCGGGGCCTTCCACTGGGGCCTAGTGCTTCCTAATCTAATGGCACACCCTCCCGTTTCGTTCTTAGCTCTCTGACAGGCTTTCAGGCCGCCGGCTGGGAATTTTTTTTTTCTTTCTCAGCTTCCCCCCTGTCGTCCTCAACTACGCTTGCCCCAAAGCTTGAGGACGCCAGCAAAAGCCAAGCTTCATTTCGGTTTTAGGCGTGGAGCGATAGAGAACAGATGGAGCCCGGAGACGGATCGGCCGATTGGAGTGACGACATTGACAGGGCCAAGCTAACACGTATCCAGGGGACTGAGAGCTGAGAGGCGGAGGTGGTTCTGCAGGCGGGTGGGGAGCTGAGGTCAAAGGTTGAGGTGACACCAAGATTCGGCGAGTTGATGCCATCGTGAGATTGGGTTGTGTTATGGGGAGTAAATTCAATCGCAGTGGGGCATCTCACACGAGCATGCAGCATCATGCCATGGCGATGAGATTTTTCATCATCCCAGCGGCGAATAGCCATCCTGGTTGGCGATTGTATCCTCACGCAATGAGGCGAAGCGCTGACGCCGTGGTCGTCGGGTGGCCCGGGATGATTGTCTCGCATTGCGTTTGATTGAGTGATTGATTGACGGGCTCGGGTCGCCGAGAGCACGTTTCGAGAGCCCATGCCTTACATCCATCCACCCACTATCTCTATCCAAGTTTTCATCTCTTGCCCTCGCGTCTTGTCTTCAGCAGCCGCATGGTTCCGACGAAGCCGCCTGGGCGGGTGCATGGGAGGTTGATTGGCTTACATGCGCCTCCAAGTGCCGTGTCATACGAGGATTGGGCCCCCGGACACGGACGACATCATCGACTTGAGGGATGAGCCACAAAGTTGAGAAGGTTTTTTAGGTGGGTATTCCTTCTGTAGGTTTGACTTGTTTAAAAGCCATATTTTGCCTCCTCATGGCTCCGCTGCGTTCGCGGCCTTGGGCTGAGTCACTAGACGAAAAGCGAAAGGAAAATTCGGAAGATCAGGGTCCTGCATCCACCGTTGCCGCCTGGATCGGATCTCTTTGCTTGCCTTCGCGGCCGCCCGTATCCAAGGTCACCCTCGACTGATGGCCCCTGAGATAGATAGCCGGCCGGTAACGGTAGCGTAGGAGCGGGAGGGATGGAGACGCTCGCCTCTCGCCTCTCGCCCATCCCATCGCTCCGCTCCGTTTCGCTTCGCCACAGCGGCAGGCAGGGCAGGGCAGAACAAGCCAACACTGAAGAGCCACAGCTGGGTGCAATGCAACCTCCTACGTACGCTGGGCGCGCTGTGGACCTAAACGCCCGGCTCTGACCTGGTGTGCAGGCCACTGACCGGGCCGCGCTGCTGTCTACACCTTGATCTCCGGGCTGCCCTGAGCTTCTCGGTCCAGGGGAGGATTCCACCAGGGGACTGGCGAACGCGGGCGACCCACGACGGGCTAACGACGGGCGGGATCAAGGCCATGGATGACGGTGCCTATCTGAGGCAGGTGCATCGCAACAGGGGACGAGGGTTGGTCAATGGTTCCGAAGCTCGAGGCTCTAGGCTCTGGACTGCAGATTCTGCAGATTCTGCAGTGGTCCTTGCATCTGCAGTATTGCGGCGGTTGGTTGCACTTACAAAGTACACTTACAAAGTACACTTGCCAAGCACCTCCCTAGGTACGCTTACTTTTACTTACACTTACACTGACGGCTGCCTTGACTTACACTTTGGTGCAGCCTCACCGGGGGCTTGCTGGGGGCTCGGGGCTTCAGGCGCAGGCGCAGTCCACTGTTAGTGTCAGCCAAAGGGGGGGATTCTTTTTTTTACTTCTTCCTATCTCTGTTCCTGCCGCTGCCGACGCTTTGCCTCTTGCCGGGCGTGGAGTAGCATCGTAGCATCGTGTCATTTCTACCCACGCTGTCCTGCTTAGCCGATTCGACATGTCACAATCCTCCCCCGCATTTCTCGCAACGGTGCAACTGCAACGGGGGGCTGCCTTTATCTGTCCAAACCGCGGCGGGCGTCAGTGCCGCTGAGCACATCGTGCAGGCTGCCGGCCGAAACGACGCTTGCTGGCCCCTCCTGCGCAGGCACATCCTCGTCTAAAAGGGGCGCGAGGGATTCGAGATGGGGGAAGGGGGGGTCCTTGACGCTGGACAAACAAAACCTCCTGTGGTCGCAGGGGACCCTGCATGGGTATGGCACAATGGGTGATGACAAGGGCGAGGCCGAGGCCGATGCTGTTCGGCTTCCCTAGGCGCTAGAGGCTTCAGGTCTGTCTGTGCGCGACCTGGGCCTGGAAATGTTTGCTGCAGCTGCGCGCTCTGGGGAAAAGAGGGCGTGCGGTGCTCTCGTAGTGTGTAATCTGTCGTCCGTAGCCCGTGATGTGTAGTCCGTTGGCCGATGTCCGATGTCCGTTGTCCGTACGGAGGAGAGGCTCTCAGGGGCTTGCCGCCTGTACATGTTCCTTGTCGGGGTTCGCCTCAGAGCTGATAACCACCGTCACCGTCAACCGTCGACACTATCGACCTTGCTTCTCCAAATGAGGCACTGTACAGTCCCCAAAAGTCGTTGTGCGTGGTGGCTTGGGTCGGCTGATCAGCATGCAACCTGAAGGGCCGCTTCCGAGATGCCACTCCCATGACGCTGCACCAAGCAGCCAAGTAGACAATCAGCCTCGAAGAGGGGGTTCAGCGGCTGAAAGAAGACTCGTCAGGTTGCACAACCGCCTCGTTTGGCCAACCCGCCTTGGCGAGCAGGACTTCAACAGGCAACGCCGCAGCGCTATCGTTGCATCGCAGCTCGCTCGCGGTCTAGGCTCTAGCTGCAACCAAGCGGCACTGCTACACTGTGCTACGTGCAATGTACAGGGCTTTTTGTCCCTCGCAGGCAAGTATTTTAGGCCGTCGGCTCTCAACGGGCCGCTCAGCCAATCACGGGCTGCAACCGTGTACCCCGGATTGACCAACCCTAGAACCCCACTGGAACCGACGCTAGACTGAGGTTTGGACAGTGGCCGCCGACCGCCGACCTGACCTGTCTCCTCGCGTCTGCAGCATCGCCGTGGGGTTGGTGGCACACCTGGAGACGCGGCGTGTAAACGAAGCATGCAAAAATCCCCAAATCCCAAGGGCTCATTTGCGTGCCGTCAGATCCCCTACCTGAGCTGCCTAGCCTGCGTGGCGCACGACATTAGCAGCGACGCCGCGGAACTCTCTTTGTTCGGGGTCTTGGGGTCCAATGGACCACGGCCTCGGGTTTTTGAATAGCGCCGGGTGTCTCGGTGGTGGCTTGTCTCCCGTCTGTTCGGCCATTGCCACCTCCAACGCGACGGCGTTTTACTCTGGACGAGAGGGCCACGGGGCCTCTCTTCGGTCTTTTGAACTACCTGGCCAATGTCTCGCAGACCAAACATGGACAATTCTCTCATTTAGGTTCGTGGTACCGACCCGGCGACGCGGAACCGACCCAGCTCTGTTGTCCTGCGGCGCTTAACTGCCAATGTCCCGTCGTCACATCTGTAGTCAGCGCCAAGTCGCCTGTCGCCCACGCAGCGTAGCGAGCAACATCTGCTGCGGACACGATCCTCCTGGGTGGTAGTCTAGACCCCAAAGCCAGCCAGCCTGCCTGTCCGCCCTGCTCTGTGACGGCATCTTACGCCGTGCAGCTGTCCCCCCATCCTGTGCTGTGCTGCTGCTCCTCTGGCATCGCCTTCCCCCTCACTTACCAGCCGTGTCGGCAATCTCATTTCGTCGGTCCTGGGGGTCACGGGTGATCTGTGTGATTGGCAGCAGCGTCTAGTTGGCGTAGCCCAGCAGTTCCCCAGCGAGGCCATTGACTTCTCCGCCTGGGGCCATGGCAGCGGGACTCTTTGGGTCTTCGGGTCTTGGGTTTCCTGGAGAAAATGCGGAGGTGGCGTCTGAGTGTTGCGCTAAATGTCTCGGTTGTGGGCGCTGCTTCTCCATGTGACCAGTCTTTTGACCCAGACAGGCAGCTCCTGCAGGAACTCGTGAGCCCAGCCTTCTAGTGCTCAAGGGGACCAGGGTTTTGATGACATGCAAATCGCCGAACGTTGGTTGCACACGCCCCCCTCCTCCCACGATACTGTCTCTCTTCGTTGGAACTTTGAGTTTGGGTGTTGAGCGGCGTGATGGCTCACGGGACCTTGGTGATGATGTTGAGTGTGGGACTACCAACCAGAGAGACCACATATTTTATCTTCGCTCACGTGAGTTGCGCGAGATTTATGTGTTCCAGGGTAGGTAAGTTGGCCTAATCGACAGATGTCTCCTCTTCCAACCAACCTACCAACCAGGCTCATATGACTGGAGTGTTTTTTTCGTACGGTTTCTTTTGGGTTACACAACGTAGGGCACGTTTGGATCGTGGATCGTGTAGGTGCTGGTTCATTGTGACTTTTGCTAAACAGGTCATCAGCAACAATCGCGGTTCAGTGGTGCTCCACAACTTCCGACGATAACCTCTCCGATATTTGCGTTACTGACCCCCAAGTATACAGCAAGCATTACGAAAAAACGGCATTATCCATGAAACATCCAATGCTGTGTTATCCATACCAACAGACACGGTAGTCGTCGCGGCAGGCTAATCTGCACCTCAACCCAACACCCGCGAAGCCGCCGAGACTCTAGCTAACCCCCACGAATATCCTCCCTATCGTCATAGCTCAATGTGTGAATTCACTCCCGATGGAAAGCGGCGTACACGGCTCTTGCTATCCACAAACCCCGCCGCACGTCGTCACCCGTCTTCCCATGCACGAGTACCTGCTTGACACAACATCTGTATCACCGACGCTTGGGCCAGAGCCTGCACGTCGGCCCCGATAGAGCGTCTCTGTGATCATCCAGGAGGTGAACACATGTGGCTGTCCGAGACGGTGGAATGCAGTCGCTCGGAAAAGCGCGGGTAGATGCGCCTTTAGGCATTGCCGCTCTGGGACGGTTGCAGAGGGTGGCAGGAAGGCTTGTGTGATGATAAGGACAGGGAGTGGCATGTTGTAAGAGGGGACATAGTGAGACCTTGCACGTCTTAGAATGGGTATGGAATTGGACGATAGCGAAGCTCAAGGTTGGCGGGCATGATGTGATGTGAGAATGGAGTTGTCTGAGGGATCCATGCGTGCGAGATGGATATGGAGTTGTTGTGTTAGATTGGTAGGAGCTGAATGGCATCCTGATCGCTTCAATTACTAGTGAGACCTTCGATGACCGTCAGCCTTGGACGAGCGACGATAAAGCAGCAGCAACAGAGGAGCTTCATTGACAGGATCCCATCGCAGGCAATACTTTACAATACTCATAAAAAGTAAGTTATATACATTGCAATCGAGTGACATAGAGGATATGCTACCACCTCCTAACACTGAAGTCCGTTGCTTGGCTGCGTCGTGCTGCAACGCTCACTACATTCCCTGGCCATCGAACGACGGTTGGGCTCCGCATTGAAATAATCAGAGCACACTCATTTTCGACATCGAGAGTGGCATGCATGGCAGAACACGAGTGACCACGGATGCGGTAGTGTTTCCATGGTTATATCCATAATATTACAGTTGGAGATTCACGCGTTCCGACGATACCCTTGATCCTGGAGATATTTGCTGTGCCCCAATTCATTCCAGCCAAGAGCTGTTGAGACGTGGTATGTGATCAATATAGCATTATTCTAGCCGTGAATCTAGACATATGGTCCTCGCCCTACTGCCATCGTCTTCATAATGCCACCGTCCCTCCCGAAACATGATTTTACCAATGACCAACCAACAAACTCCCTCTATCCATCTCTTCTTTTCCATTTTTCTATTTCAACGTCACCAACTCCTCAGCGCTCGTGGGATGGATGGCTACGCAGCTGTCAAAGTCGGCCTTGGTGGCACCCATCTTGACGGCGACACCGAAGCCCTGCAGCATCTCGCCGCTGCCCTGGCCCATGATGTGCAGGCCGACGACCTTCTCTTCGGGGCCGGTGGTGATGAGCTTGTAGTTGGTGGGACCCTTCTGATCGGGCTCCATCATGGCGTAGTACATGGCAGTGAAGCCGGTCTTGTAGACCTTGATGTTGTCCTTGCCGTACTTCTCAATGGCCTGTGGCTCCGTCATGCCGACGCTGCCAACCTCGGGGTGGGAGAAGACGACTGACGGGATATTGTCGTAGCTGAGCTTGAGGGAAGAGAACTCGGCGGGTCCGAAGAGGCGATGGGCCAGGCGACGACCAGCGGCGATGGCAACGGGGGTGAGCTCGGCCTCGCCAGTGACATCGCCGAGGGCGTAGATGTTATCGACGGCGGTGTTTTGGTACTCATCGACAACGATGTGGCCCGACTCGCGGAGCTTGACGCCGGCCTCCTCCAAGCCAATGCCGCTGGTCTCGGGGGTGCGGCCAATGGCCCAGATGAGGTGGTCAACGTCAGAGACGACACTCTCGTTGCCGCTATCGTCGCGGTAGGTGACGGTGAGCTTGCCGTTGGCGTCCTTCTCGACCTTGGTGGCCTGAGAGCGCTTGTGCAGGTTCACGCCGATCCTCTCGTACTCATTTGTGACAGACTCCTGGATCATGGGGTCGAAGCTGCGGAGGAAGGTATCGTGGCGGATGAAAAGGTGAGTCTCCGTGCCGAGGGCGTTAAACATGCCGGCGAACTCGACGGCGATGTAACCAGCACCAATGATGGCAACCTTCTTGGGCTGCGTGTCGATGTCGAAGAAGCCATCGCTGTTTATTCCGAGTTCGGCGCCGGGGATCTGGGGAGGAGGGGTGGGCTTGCCGCCGACGGCAATGAGGATCTTCTTTGCGTTGACAACGACCTTGGAGCCGTCATCGAGAGTGACCTCAGCCTGGTCCTTGGAAAGCAGGCGAGCCCATCCGTGCAGGTATTCGACATTGTCATTGCCCAGGTTGCGCTCGTAGATGCCATTGAGGCGCTTAATGTAGGCGTCGCGCTTGGTCTTGAAGGTCGACCAGTCGAAGGGAGCTGTCTCCTGGACGGAGAAGCCGTAGGCCTTGGAGTCGTGGATGGCCTCGGCGAGGGCGGCGGCGTTGTAGGTCACCTTCTTGGGCACGCAACTAAATTACGAAAGCGGTGTGAGTCAGCGAGACCCTTATGCACGTCAAGGTGTTGACGCCCGTAGACGCTTCACAGGAGGTTTCACGGGAGCGGGGTGTGGTCGTGGACTTACCCAACGTTTACACAGGTTCCGCCGAGTCGCTTGTTCTCGATAATCATGGCTTTGGTGCCGTACTTGCCGCTGGCCATGCGCGCGGAGCCGAGGCCACCGCTGCCGCCGCCAATGACCAGGTAGTCGGTTTCCTTGATAATGGGAGCCATGTTGCGCGCAGATACTGAGAGATGGCGGGACAGGGAAGCTATTCGCAGCGGGGCAGTTCTCGAAGTCGGCGACAAGGAGGATGTGCGCGAGAGGCGGGCGAGGGCTTGCATGGACAAAGCCTCGTTTATGTATGTGCTACGAGCGGAGGAGAGGGCGCGTTGGCGGGGGAGGGGGAAGATGACGTCTTTTTATGTGCGGCGTATCCTGCAGACGGTGACGACGGAGCTCTGCAATGCGTGCTGGCGAGGGCGGATGGGAAGGAGTTTGGAGGGGCAGGCCGGCGAATCCGACGTCGGGAGCGGTCCGGTGTCCTAATTTGGAGCGCGCGGATAGACGTGAGGCAGAGATAGAGCGAGGAGATTGGACCTTGAGGGGATTGAGACGATTGTGTAATCAAGCGCCGCGAACGAGAGCTGCAGAGACGATTTCAAATCCACCTCGGGGATGGGGAGTTTTGGTTCTTTTCCGTTTTGGGTCTTTTTGGGTGGGCGATGGAGGGTTGCTGGTTGCCGAGCCACAAGTGCAAAGGGTCCAGATCCACTGCTGGGTGTGAAGCACGTGGTATTGTGTGAAGCATTGCATGGAATCATGTTATATTCATCAGCAACCTATCGAATCATTCCATGTCCCCTGGAATCCTTGAATGTTGGGCGCCCGCAAGCTCCCAAAAGCCCGAGTGCGGCGACCGCGAGCGAGGCAACCTCGCCATCGCCGCCGAAGGTGCTTGCAACTAATATTCAACGATTGAAATTTCCCAGGGATGGGAAAAAAATACATGCTGTGATATTTTATTGAAAATCGGAATGAGGAGACAGTAAAAAACATTTATTTGCAATATGTACTTTGTCCTTGCCGTTGGTCTCATCTGTGGAGGATCAAAAGTCACATGGATGGTGGCCGATGATGTGTGTACGGAATATTTGCACTCAGTGCACATGATGTTTTCCCGGCTGTAAGACCAACCTTATTGATTATGTCACGAATTGAGCGCTGGCCGGGCTATTTCTCCTTAATAACCTGACCCTATGATCCCCATTGTCTCGAGCGGGTTCTACCGCATTATTTGGAATTACTCTCCAAGGGCTGCCGATGTGTATTCATGTCTCTTTGATTACAGATCGGAGGTCAATTAGCTGCCCAAATATAGCACGGACTAGCCCCTCTGCACGCAGTCGTCATGATCAAAGGTGTGGCAAAGAGTGATATGTCTGAGCAGTGTGACACGGACCAGACGTGCGTGGCTGGACATCAACGAGACCTTGCAGGTTGTGTCAGTTCCTGCATCTGTCACCTGCCGTCTCCTTCCCCGGAATGCCGAGGACGCTTCAATAAAGTGATCATCCACGACGCAGTCATCCTATACCTGCGTTCCCCGGTTGATAGGTACCTACCTAGGTAGATGTAGCTCTAAGACATTTGATGGATGATGACGTTGACGTGCCTGAACAAGGTTGCCGCCGCGGGATTGTGGAGATCCCGCTCGGAGACGCTGTTCTGTGGCTTGTTCTTGACCTCTGGCGCCTGAGGGTTGGGGAAAGGGGGCACGAACTGACAGGAACGCCCGGACGTCTAGCGAGCTTCAGGAGCTCCCCGGGCTGCTACTGTGCTTCCCAGCGCCAGTCCAGTGATCTCTCAGCGATGCTTCAGCGGGCGGACTGCTGCAGCGTCGAGCTCGGCCCCCAGCAGGCCCCAGCGTAGAGGCCCACTCGCCGTCCGCCATCCGCCCCGGTTCCAGCTCCTGGTTGGTCCATTGGCGTCTCCAGGTAACAACACCAACCCCCCCCAAACGACCAGGCTGGTGATCTCCATTCTTGAGACCTGACTTTATCGCCATCTTGCACCATCACAGCTCCACGTGCCGCTTCGCCTCTCGTCCCTCTCCAGCGCCGTTCCAGCGTCGCCCATCTCCCACCACCGGCGACCTCTCCCCTTGACCGAGACTTGCTGCGTATCTACCCGTCCTCCCGCCAGACGCCGCCAGGCCCAATCTCCTTGTCCAGAGCTACGTGGAGCTCGTATGCGCGACAATGGCGGCCGATGCAGTTACTGAGCCTGGTATTTCACACTCTCTCCTCTCATCGATCCATCTCTCTCATCACCGTGCCTAACTATGAATTCTTCCAGCTGCGCCGAACCTAAACCTCTCCTCCGAGGAGAAGCGAGCTTATGGCCAACTCTTCCGACAAGCCGACACCGATAATGTTGGCGTCGTCACCGGCGAGGTCGCCGTGAAATTCTTCGACAAGACGCGGTTAAACTCCCACGTCCTCGGCGAGGTTCGTCTACGTTATAACTCGTACACTCTAGCCTCCCCGAACTAACCGACTTGCTATAGATCTGGCAGATTGCTGACCGGGAGAATCGGGGCTTCCTTACCCCAGCTGGCTTTGGCATCGTCCTCCGACTCATCGGCCATGCCCAAGCCGGCCGCGAACCCACACGCGAAATAGCTCTCCAGCAAGGCCCCCTTCCGCGATTCGATGGCTTCGCCCCCCCTCTCCCGGCCGCAGGCATTCCTCCTCCTCCACCAGTGCCCATCAGCTCGCCGCCTCCCCCCGCCGCCCTTCAGGCCCAAAGCACCGGTGGCCCCATCCGAATCCCGCCGCTGACCCCAGAGAAGGTCGCTCAGTATGCCGGCCTCTTCGAGCGTCAGGGCTTCCAAGGCGGAGCACACCTACCCGGCGACCAGGCCAGACAGATCTTCGAGAAATCAGGCCTGCCCAACGAAATCCTTGGACGGATTTGGCAGCTTGCTGATACTGAGCAGCGTGGTGCTCTGGCTCTTACCGAGTTTGTCATTGCTATGCACTTGCTCACCTCCATGAAGACTGGTGCTCTTCGAGCTCTGCCCAGCATTCTCCCAGCCGGGCTCTACGAAGCCGCCGCCCGACGCCCCGCATCCCGTCAATCCTCAACTGGTCCTACCATCTCTGCTATTCCACGCCAAGTCAGCGGCTCCGCCCAGATGCGCACTGGCAGCCCTCTCGGACGTCCTCCCATGTCTCCCCAAGGCACCGGAGTGGTCCCTCTTGGACCCCCTACTATGTCTCCCCAATCTACCGGAGCGAACGACTGGGTAGTGACCGCGGCCGACAAGGCAAGGTTCGACCAGATCTATGCCGACCTGGACAAGACGAACAAGGGCTTTATTACCGGCGAGGAAGCGGTTCCCTTTCTCAGCCAGTCAAGTCTACCCGAAGACACCCTGGCCCAGATCTGGGATCTCTCAGACACCAACTCTCAGGGACACCTTACTCGTGACCAGTTCGCCATTGCAATGTACTTGATCCGACAACAAAGGGGAGGTCGCTCAGTGCCCTTGCCAAGCACCCTTCCACTCAACTTGATCCCCCCCAGCCTCCGAAACCAGGCTCGCCCACCCACCGCAACCGCAACCTCGGCCTTCGACGCTCCGCCGCTCGTGGCACAACCGCCCCCTCCACAGCCCAAGTCTGCTCTTGACGACTTGTTTGGCCTGGAATCTTCCACACCGAGCCCGGTGCCCTCAGCTCCGGCCCTAGCCCCCATGTCGACTGGAGGATCCAACGCCAATGATCCATTCGGCGCTGGCTCGAATGTGCTCACCCCATCCTCTCCCGTTCGGGCAGCATCTGCTGGTGGTTCTTCATTCAAGCCCTTTATCCCGTCATCCTCGTTTGGCCGAGGCTTGACCACGACGCCTACAGGAGGGTCGGGTGGCTCAGGCACAAGGCAGCCGCAACCGACATCTGCATCTGAGGATCTTCTCGCAGATAATGACCCCGAGGCTAGCAGAAACTTGTCTGGGGAGACTACGGAGCTTGCTAATCTCTCAAATCAGATTAGCTCGCTGTCAACGCAGATGCAGGATGTCCAAGCTAAGCGGACTACTACGCAGAACGAACTGACACAGGCCACGTCCCAGAAGCAAAACTTTGAGCAGCGACTTGCCCAGCTTCGGACCCTGTACGAAAAGGAGGCACAAGATACTCGCGCTCTCGAAGAGCAGCTTAAGACTGCCCGTGCTGAGACCCAGAAGTTGCAATCCGAATGCATGGCTCTTGATGGTACCTATCGGGACACCCAGACCCAGCACCAGCAGGTTCTTGCATCCCTGCAGGAAGACCAGCAGGAGAACTCGAATCTGAAGGAGCGCATCCGGGTTGTCAATGGAGAGATCGCCCAACTCAAGCCTCAGATCGAGAAGTTGAAACTGGAAGCCCGGCAGCAGAAGGGACTTGTCGCTATCAACAAGAAGCAGCTGTCTACAACTGAGGGTGAGCGTGACAAATTGAAGACAGAGTCCGAGGAACTCGTCAAGAGCAACGAGGATCTGTCTCGTCAGGTCAACACCAGCTCCCCGGCTTCCACGTCAGCCCAAGTCGCAAGCCCTGCGGCCTCGACTGCTAGTGGAAACAACCCTTTCTTCCGGCGCACAGCCAGCACCGACATCATGGGAGCATTCGCATCTCCTCCGGTCAAGAACATCTCGGACAAGTCGTTCGACGACGTCTTTGGTCCTTCGTTCTCGGGCAGCACCTCTGGCACTCCCCCGCCCCCAGCCTTGTTCAAGCCGCAGAACACTGGCGCCTCCTCTGCCAGTGTCGGCTCGTACTCGACTCCTCCTACCTCGTCCCCTGTTATCAGCCGTCAGCCAACCGTCTCTATTGACCCTCCCGCCCCCCCAGAGTCGAGACAGATCAGCTCCAGTTTCCTGCCTTTCGGGGACAACACGGAGTCGCTGTCGTCCTCCCGTCAGGTGTCACCTCCTGCATCTCGTATTGATGACCCGCTTCATGGCTCATCAACCCCCATTCCTGGCGATCTCGCTGCTTCTATGAACAGCCCCTTGAGTGTTCAATCTGGCGATGATGTAGAGAAGCCTGAAATTAAGACTGGAAATGTCGCCCCAGCTGATGCTTTGCGCGAGGCTCACGGCAACAGTGCGCCAAACCCCGCAACAGGGGCTACTAATGCCGACGAGTCTGCTGATCCTTTCGGAACTGTCGACGAGGCCAAGGCCAAGGCGGATTTCGAGAATGCCTTTGCTGCCTTCACCACAGCCAAGACTCAGACTAAGCCAACCCCTGATACCACAAAGGCCGCTTCCGCTTTCGATTCCGAGTTCCCTCCTATTTCAGAGCTTGAACGTGAAGACTCCGACTCCGACTCAGCCAGCGACCAAGGAGGATTCGAAGACGATTTTGCCCCCGTGTCGCCCCCTACCAAGCTCAGCGGCGAGACGGATACATCTGAAGGTGGAGCTAGATTGGGCGCTGAAGAAACGAAGCCGATTCCTTTCGCGCCAACCAAGGAGTCAACCTTCCCATCTGATCCCAAGGAGAGGTATGTGAACATTTACTCCTGAAGGCTCACCGAAGCGACGACTAACGTCAGCCAGCACCGAACAACCAGCATCGCCAGCAACGGTGACTGACACTCAGAGGACGGCCGTTGATGACATCTTTGGATCGGTCGAACCCGCGGTCGCCCCTAAACAGACAGTTCCCTCAAACGCTTCTCAATCCAAGGGCGCCTTTGATAACTTCGATTCGGATTTCGAGGGCCTTGAGGATGCCAAGGAGGGCTCTGGAGATGAAGAATTTGCCAACATTTCTCGATCTGGCCTGGAAGACTTCAACCCCGTCTTTGATAGCAGCCCCCCTGCCAGCCAGGCTAAGAGCGAGTCGACAGCATTTGGCAATGAGAGCAGCTTCGACTTTGTCTCGGCAAGCTCAACCGGCGCTGCTCCGGCGGCCCCTGCAACCGGCCCCCAGCCTAAGACCGCCGAGGCACACGACTGGGATGCCATCTTCTCGGGATTTGACTCCGGAAGCGCCCCGGCCGCAGCTGCTGCGACCACCGACAACCAGGCGACCACCCCTGCGCAGCCAAAGGAGGACGAGTTCCAGAAGGATGATCCCATTCTGAAGCGACTCACCAGCATGGGCTACGAGCGAGACAGTGCTTTGGACGCGCTGGAGAAGTACGACTATGATGTTAACAAGGTTTGTGGCCCCTCGACCGTTTTGGTTCCCGCTATTCCGACCGAAGCTAACTGTTATTTCCCCGTGCAGGCTGCAAACTACTTGGCTAGTCAATCTTAATGAACCATTGCCTTTGGAAGCCCCGTCACCTTGGAGGAAAAGGCAGGACCACCATTACATATCTCATCCATTTCCTTACCCTGTCTTGTCTGCATCTCGATGAAGGCCACCTTGTTCGATAGTCTTGGGGCAGCGAAACCACCCTTTCTTTTTGTTTCACTATTAAAGCCCCTCTTTGCCACGGCCCCTGTGTCCTTGTTGTTTTATTGTGGGAGGAACTCTTTCACTCTGCATGTTGTATGTAATCCGATTCTTGCACTTGAGAAAGGTGCGGGTGAGAGAAATGTTGGTAATTATAGTCGAGCACCCTCTCTGGGACCAGAAACGGCGCCCGTGAGATTAGAAGGGGATTAAGACGACATAGTAGAATGTTTCAATGTTTTTGGATAAATTTCAAGACTTCTTTCTAGTCGCTAAAGAGACGCATTGGCGTATCATACATGTCACCATTTCTCCGTTATACCTTTCATGCCTCTGTCCCTCTCGTCTCCTCTGGTCATCCGTCATCTCTCCGTCTTTTAAATCATGGTCTACTTGACTCGTCCCATGATGGTCTCTGGTCCGCGGACCACATCCATCTGGGCGGCCCTTGCCTTGACGGCATTTAGCATGCTGCGCTCAAAGTCGTCTCGCGACCGGAGGACGGCCTCGACCCAGCTGATCTGCAGGTCCCAGTAAGTCAGCTTGAAAGAGGCGAAGGTGTCGGCGACGGCGTCGCGATCGGCGGTGAGCAGGCGTAGGAAATTCTCGGTGACACGCCAGGTCTCCTTGATGGAGGCGCCGATCTCGGGCGAGGGCAGGCTGCCGAAGAGCTCGAAGGCGGTAGCGATGTCGTTGAATAGCTTGTCCTGGAAGGGGTCGGTGCGGCGGAACTTGACGCCCTTGTTGCGGACGGCGGAGAGGTAGCGCACGAGCAGCTCGTCGGCAAAGATTTCAATGAAGATGTCGACGAGCGAGTGGTGCAGCACGTGGCGGTAGTCGTTGACGTACTCCTCAAAGGTGACGACCATCTGCTTCATGGCGGTGCTGGTGTACCACTTGGGGGTAAAGAAGTCGGGCATGACGGTGCCGAAGTCGACGGTGAAAATGAGCTGGGCGAAGCGGTTGATGCACCAGGTGCTAAAGTCGACATAGCCATCGCGCAGGGCGTTCACCTCGTTGTCGGCGCGGTCGATGTAGGCGGGCGTGACGCTGGCCTCGTACATACGGCGGAAGCTGGAGAGATATGCGAGGCGGCCCTCGTCCTCGTTGTCGTCGATACAGGCGATCTGGTCGTTGGCCGTGGCGACGAGCCAGTCCTGCAGCGCCTGGAAGCCGTCGAGCTCCGTCACCTTGTTCGTCTCGTAGCGCTCCGCCTCATCCTCGAGCATGCGCTGCCACGCTTGTTGGCGGCTGCGCAGGCGCGTGAACATGGCGTCGATGACACCCTCGACCACGTCGGCGCGCTGCGAGTTGGCGGCCGCATCGACCTGCTCGCGCAGCATGCGCCAGAGGGCCACCAGGTTCCTGGTGCGGAAGTAGCCGTACTCGTCCTGGTCCAGGTTGGAGCCCTCGATGTTGCGGTCGGTAAAGTCCTTCGTCTCCTGGGCGAAGATGCGGTCGATCCACTCGTCGAGGAACTTGATGATGAGCTCGCGGAAGTCGCGCACCAGCTCCGCCTCGCGGTTGTCTACAACGTGCGGCACCAGCTCCTCCTGGCGGAAGCCCATCTTGCCCATCTTGCGGTAGTATTTGTCGGGGAAGCCGACGATCTCGAGCGTGTGTGCTGACGACGCCTCGGAGCCGTCCACCATGTCAATGAGGAAGTCGTGCATGAGCTGGTGGTACACGTCGGCGTATGTCTTGCCGATGTGCCACTTCTTGGGCATCAGGGGCGTCATGCCAATCTTGACGGCATTGAGGTCGTTAAAGTACCATTTCATAATCTTCTCAAGCTTGCTAGGGTCGTCGAGGAATTCTTCGCGCGCCTGGTCAAACTGCTGCTCGGCGCTAAGCTTGATGGCCTGGAGGAACTTCTCCTTGTAGCCGCGGACCTTCTTGGCGCCGTCCGTGATGCTCTGAAAACGTGTTGCCATCTCCTTGTGGTCCTTGAGCGCATCCTGCAGAGCCAACACCCTGAGATCGCTCTTCTCCTCGGCCTCCATCACCACGGCAAACCGCACCACCAGGCCGTTGTTGTCATTGACAACGAGGTTAATGAGGTTCAGTGCCAGGATGCCCACGTGCTCGTCGAACCAGTCGATGGTCTCGTCGAGGCGCGAGAAATAGTCCTCGAGCGTCGACTCTAGGCTGTCGTCATCGGCTCGCTGGATCTGCTCCATGGCGTCGTCTCTGATATTCCGCAGCTGGGTGAGCTCGTAATGGCAGGGCAGCAGATTCGGCATGTTCTCGTTGTCCTCGTCGTCCTGCCTCAGCATGTTCTCGACGACGGACACGCGCTCGTCAAAGGTCTCGAGGTTAAGGCGCATCGTCTCGACGGCACCGAAGTTGCGGTGGGCCTGGGAGACGAGGTTGATACTGGCAAAGTCCTTGATCATGTTCTGGGACTCGGAGCACAGCTTGTCGATCTTCATCATCTCATCCTTGATCGCCTGGACCGTCTTCTGGCCGTCACTCAGCCCCGTCATGCCCGACTGGGTCGTCTCGAGCTGCTCGCGCAGGCCGCTGCGCAGCTGGCTGTCGACGGCACCCTTCTTGCGCGAGAATTCCAGCTTCAGCGCGGGGATCTTGTCGAGGTCTTCGGGGTGCCGCAGCAGCTCCGCGAGCTTAGGCACGGGTGTGTCGTCCATCGTAGCGGCGGCGGCGTCGGCGGCGTCGGCGGCGTCGGCGGCGGGGAATCGTGAACCATGCGACGGTGGAAAAGGGAGCCCCAATCAGACCATGGTGTGGCGGTGCCTCGGATATAATGCGTCTCCCAGGAGGTAGATTCGGATCGTCGTAGGAGAGGAAGCGTCGTCGAGTGTAGCGAGTCTTGTTGGGGAATGGAACATGCTGTGGTCGGATGAGGATGCAGGGACACTGGGAGTATCAGGGAGGTCGTCCCGAGACTTGTGGCTGATGCAGCTCCAGCCCAACCTTCCCCACCAGCACAGTTTAGCACAGCCACCGGATCTACTTCACACGCTCGCATACAGCCATCTTCAGCAACGAAAAGAGGGTCATTGAAAAGACACTATCACCATAGTAGGAATAACAAATAAACACATTTGATCATCGAGACTTTCTTCTTTTAATTCTATCCCTGACTCTATGGGTATCATATTACATTCTATACAGGTTGTTTGCTTCATCATACAGCCAGCTCCTTGTTCTTCACCAAGCCAATACTCGTGGCACTGGTTCCGTATCTCTCGCATCCCTTGATTCAACTCACTCACTATCGCTCCCCGAGCTGCTCGTAGTGTCATCGTCATCGTCGTCATCTTCGCCCAGGCTTTGTTCCGCAATCACATCTCCTGCCTCCAGCGCAACACCCTTAGAGCCGCCGTAATCCTCCTCACCCGACTGTCCTCCCTCCTCGTCGCTGTTAACTTCGCCCTCTTCAAGATTATTTCCGCCATTCTTCCTCCTCTTGGCCGACTTGCCGGTGTTATTCCTGCCAGGTGGGTTCTTCCTCTTATTAGGTCCCTGCGGAGCGACAGCGTCCTTAGGCCCTAGCACAAAGCCTGAAGGCAGCGTCTCGTTTTCGTTCAGCACGTAGACGGTCGGGAATTCGAGGACTCGGGTGTTGGTGAGAATATCGCGGAAGCAGTCCTCTGACTGGAGGGGTGTTACGCTCAACGGGAGGTCCGACCGTGTCCGCGCCTTGGCCAGGAAAAATTGGAAGCGACGTTTTTGAGCCTCGTCTTTCTCTGACGGCCACATTTCGATGCCGGCGCCCTGGCAGGTTGCCCAGGTGCGAGTCAATGGGTCCTGTAACGCGTATGATGCGCTGGGCCATGCCGAGTCTGATGGGTCCTGTGCATGGTCTTGCCCGCCTCGCGTCAACCGCCTCGGGTGCTGGCCTTTGACCCTCTGCTGTTCCTCCAGCGCTGCATGATATGCCTGGTACAATGGGACGTCATCCATGACTTTGGACAGACATCGCACCTTGCCCGGTCCCTCTTCCTCGTCATCTTCGTCCATATCATCCTCCTTGACTCCGTCTTTGGTCTCACCCTTGGCCTCAAAGCTCATCCATTCCACCTGCCAATTGATGCGCCCGCTTCGTCGATTCAGCGTAGTATGGTTCTCCTTCTGCCTTCCCATTCCCATTGGCGCACACACAATGTTGATGTTCAGCTTTTTCAGCCGCTGCGACAGGAACCTCTCGAACACCCTCCCCTTCGCCTCTTTCAGTACCCTCGTCACAAGGACCTTGCGTTTGCGCCCATCGTGCCCAGGCTTCCACTTAATCTCCTGGACAGTCAACGGCCGCAGCTCCTCCTGCTGCACCAGCGCGCGCTCTCCAACGAGGAGCTTCTCGGCGCGCTCCACAGACAGCTCGATGCCGTGGAGGAAGTTATAGTCGTGGTCGATGCCCGCGGGTGTTCGAAGCTTCGAGGAACGAACGTAGGCCGTGGCGTCGCGCTCGCCTGTGCATTCGGACCAGGCTTTGTGCTTCTTGATGCAGGCAAGAGAGCAGGTACGGATGTCGCAACGGGGGCATTTGTACTTGGGTGCCGAGATGTGGCAGATGGCGCAAAGTGACGTCAATAATGGGTCGGCCATGTTGGATAAAGATTGATAAGAAACGTATTTATGATATCGATGTTGGTGTTGGATTGGAGTGGGAGGAGTTGCGCTGCCATTTCTTGCGACCCGCGCTCTCAACTTTTTTCTGGGGCCGTGGCGCGTGCTGCTTATCTTATCGAACAAGTGCGGAGTACAGGCATAGGTACTGTTCGCACGGTGGTGCATGATGCTCAAACGGCACCACTGTTTTCGACCAAGTACGGAGGCCCTTTCAAAAGTCTTGTCCAAGCACTAGTAACATCATATCTATTTATCCCTGTCGGTTACCTGAGATACATGAAGCTGTCACAGTCTCGTTAAACGGCCGCTGTAACTTCAGGAGTAGTACGCTGCTAATCAGGATATAGCGGTTGCTGTGTGCTGTAGCCTGCTATCCTTTAGGGCCTATAGAAATCAGAAAGTACTTAGTGTACTTATTATCTAACCTAATGATTAGAACTTACTTCTTATGAATAAGACTTTTAAAAGGGCCCTCCGTATAAGAATAAAACGATAGTGGAAAATTACGACCAAGAATGCACCTCCGAGTATGTTAAATCAATAGTAACTTTGATACAGAGTGAACATGATGATTTTCTAGTGATGCTCTCTGATCAGACCCTAACTCGCCGCAAAGATATCTGACTTAGAATCTACAACATCTAAGTCGTAAATGGTGACCATCACTTTGCACAGTACAAGATGGACATATTAGTTTTAACAAGAGTTCTTTTGACTCACTGCTCTTCAAGCCGAGCAAAGGAGGGACGTGAATTGAACCACATATCTTCTCAACAGAATATACTAACATGATGGGGAATAGTGTGCCTGGCTTGAGGCGAATATGAGCGAGCCTGCCCACAATGACACTTCGAGAAATGGTAATGATAAGACAAAAAGGAGACAGATGAACGCCTTAGTCCGCAGATTTTAATCCAAGCCACCGCCGAAGACAAGATACAGAAAGATGAAACAAAATAGTGATGCAGGACGTCGTGCCCAGGACGTAGATTGACCGCTTCAACAGTCATGATTTCGGAAGGGTATGGGGATGCCGTCTATGACATCGTCGTAAGTCTTTGGGATGGGTCCTCCCGTCATGGTTTGTGCAAGCACGACCTTAGCGGGTGCCTCCGAGGGCGCTGATCCTGGCGCCGGACGGTCGGTGCATGAGGGACTCGGCATGCTTGGAAACGACACTGGTCTCGTGCGTGATGCGTCCGTTGTCACTTCGACCATCCTCGAAGTCCTCTTCATCATCCTCGACGATCTTTGTAGGAATCTCGTCTCGGAGGTTGTACTGCTGACTGGAACGCTCAGGCGTAGTGGCAGTGGAGGCGTAAGACATCGCCGTGCTGCTCCGGTTGGGGATGAGATCCGGGGTGGGAGGGATACTGGACGCCCTCCCGGACGCAGGCTGGAGGAGACTGTCATCACCAGTTTCGGACGTTGCGACGGAGTGGCCGTCATCGCTCTGGGCGGTGGAGAGGCTAGAATTCCGTCTACTCCCCCTCAACTCCGCATCTTGTGCCAGCTGAAGGCCCTCAACAGCAGCTTGGCACTGCTCTGCAATGTTGCGCACAATGTGGGCAATAGCATCAGTCTTGTCCTTCAGATGACGGTCGGCAACATCTCGGAAGCTCGACGCCGAGTATCGCTTGTTGCTGCTGTTCCGGCCTGTGGAGGCCTTGAGCATGCGGTTGTCGTTCTCGGGGGCGATCTCCTCGTCCATCTCGGCATCACCCTCACCCTCCTCGTAGCCCTCCTCAATCTCCTGAACCAAGTCATCAGGCTTAGTGAGGGAGTGGATGAGGTGCTCCATGTGGTGGCTCTGACCACCAATGAGGCTACGGAGATGCAGAACAACACGACGAGCCTCATCACGCTGTCGGAGAATGGTGACGTTGGTGTGCTGGAGCTGAGAAAGTTCCTTCTTGTTTCTCTTGCGCTCACGCTCGAGCTCCTCGGCAATCTCCTGCTGCAGGACAAGAGCCTCAAGGGCGTCATCACGCTGCTTCTCGGTGCCAGTGAGGCGGACAGAAAGACGGGCGTTGTCATCCTTCTGCTGGTCGATGAGACCCGCAAGGCGACGGTTCTCTCTCTTGTGGTTCTCGATCTTGACCTTGAGGTCCTGAGTCTCTTTGGTGAGCTGCTCAGCGAAGGCCTGGAACTTGAGGAATTGCTGCTTCCAGCTCTCCAACTCCTCGACAAGGTAGTTGTTGCGCTTGGTGACCTTGTTGAGCTCTGTGTCCATGCGACCCTTGAGGTTGATAAAGTCCTGCCAAGCCTCGAGAGCATCCCGAGAGTACTGGTTCCTCTCGCGAACAATCTCATTGAGGTGACGCATCGAGACCTTGGTCATGAGAGGCTTCTTGACGGATCCACCAAAGACAGCCTTGATGCCGGTGTTACGTCCTAGCTTCTCGCAAACGTGATCCATGACAGCCATGACGGAGTCCTGGTTCCACCACTCGGGGTCCTGAGTAGACTCAACCTCGCCACGCATGACGATGATCTGGCCAGCAGGGACAAGCTTGCCACCGCCGTAGGCAGATCGGAGGTGAGGGGGAACACCCGATGGGGTAACATCGCCATTGAGAGCCTGGGTAAGACGGGTGACGAACTTGTTGCGCTGGCCGGGGGTCAGGGCGGTAGGAGGACTGGAGGTCAGGACGAAGTTGCGGTCGAGATCGACAACAAGAGCATCGGTAGGCGCGGTAAAGAGAGAGCGGCACTCGACAGTAATACCGAGGATGTATGGGCCAGGCTCCTGAACCAGCTCTTTGGCATGGCGGGCATGGACAACGGGAACGTAGAGACCGCTCCACTCATACACTCGGACGCAGTATCGAACGGTCTCGGCGGCCATGGTCAGCATAGCCGGGTAGTGGCTGACGAAGATGATTCGGCGAGTGGGAGAGATGGCGGCCTCAATGACACCGACAATGTTGGGGATTGACAGACAGTTGAACAGTGGCCACATGGCAAAGTTCTGAAACCCGGTGGGCGATGAAGGGAACTGGTAGCAAAGAGCATAGTCCTTCATGTCAATTCGAACCAAGTCGTTAAGGCGGGGAGCTGGGAAGCTCAGGATACGTGAGACCTCCTCAGCGTGGAAGAGATTGGTAGCCTTGTTCCAGTGAATCCACATGCCTCGCAGGTAATCACCCAGAAGGTTGTAGAGAGGGTACCGGGATAGGAAGGACAAGCAGTAGGGAATCCAGTAGGTCTCATCAGGGTTATCGTAAAAGTCGCTCTCGGTGCGCTTGCGCAGGTCACGAATAGTCTCGGCCCTCTTCTCGTCGGCTCGAGACCAGACGCGGAGGCAGATGCCATAGAGGGTATGGGAAGAATCTTGCTGAAGCACGAAGGCGTGGTGGACACAATGAGGCTGGCTTCGACCAGTGCAAATCTCGACGTCGTGGGGGAAGCATGCCTAGAGGAAGCTCGGGTCAGTGACTTTATCAGAGAATCAACGGTGCGAGTAAAAACATACGCGCATGGCGGCGTGAAGAGCACGCGCAATTTCGTTGTCCTGCTCAAGACGAGGGCTGCTTCCCAAAATCTCAGGGAGCCAGAACTGTCCCACGGCACCCTTCATGTGGCCAATCTTTCCCTGAGCGGGAGCGGGAGCCTTGACCCATTGCGAGGGCTCGCGGCCAACACCACACACCATGTAAGCATGGGTGAGAGTCTTGGGCGTGCGAGCCTGGGGCTTGATGTTGAGGGTGGAGGGAATGGGCTGTGTAATGCGCGAGTGCAGCGAAGAGGTGCGGCTAGGAATCAGGAGGTTCTGGTCAGCGCCCTGGTCGCGGGTGCTGGGCCGGCCATCACGATCGCTGGTCCGAGGACGGGTGAAGGAGGGATGGGTGTTCAGAGAAGGAGGCATGTTGGGCAACTGGGAGCAAGCTGGCTCGTCGTCGGTTTCGTCGTGGCAGCAGTTGGCTGTGAATCGTCAGGGGACCGCAGTTACTGGCGGCGGAGGCGTCGTCTCCTGGAGGAGCTGAGCTGGGTGTCGCACTCTTGCAGCTGTAGGCGTTTGCTTCTTCAGGCGAATGTGCAAATCATTCACACTTCTCTCAAGGGGCCCATTCGCAACTCGACCGACCTCGAACAGGGAAAGGAAGAGAATGAAAGCAAGTAGGTGGGAGTGAGGGGAAGAAAGAAGGTAGTAGTAAAAGCGAAGGTGAAGGGGGAAGGGGATGAGGTGGAGGAGGGGAGTGGAGACAGGAAGAGGATGCGGCAGCAAGAAAAGCGAGACAAGATGAGACAGGCGCAAGGCAAGGAAGGCGAGTGTAAGTAGGTACCTACCTAACCTAAGGTAGGGACGGACTAAGCTCAGGGTACTGGGGTACTTGTCGTCTCGGCGCAAGTTGGCTGAGAGGGCCTAGCGAAAGTTAGGTATAGGTAGGCATGAACGACGGAGCAGGCAGTGGACAATGAGACAATGAGTGAAGAACCAGGGACGGAACCACCAGAACGGACGGACAGGCCAGGCTTGCGACAAGGTGAGACGGGCGCCGGGCGAGATACAATTAACACCTACAGTACGTACATGGTAGGAGGTAGGTACCTGGACGATAGGGAATGCCGGGGGCGTGACCCTTGCAGGACGCTTGTTCCCCAGGGCTTGGGTCATGGATCCTGGGCCCTGCTCGATCCCTGCTAGGTCTACGTTGGGTCTGGGCCTGGGAGAATTGTGAAGGATTGAGGGGGTGGCCACGCGCGACACGAGTCGGCTCGAGCTGGCGCAGTCTTCGGGCAATTTGTCGACTGGTGAAGCCTCTGAAAAGAGAACCTGATGCGGGCGAGCAGAGGCGAGGGGTGCTAGCTACATGAGTACCTAGTATGTATTAGCAACCGGGGCCAGGGCGCAGGTACCTACATTAGCAGCTCCCTCCCTACCTCAGGTATCTTAGAGAGCTGGCCCACCTCCGGACTAGACAGACCTAAATACCGACAGACAGACGCAGGGCCCCGTAATCTTTCACTAGGTGCCCAGGCGTACATACTACTAGTACAGCGTCACTGCACCCAAATCATATGGATACGTATCTCTGGCTCAGGGGTCTTGCGCCCAGGGCCATCAGGGGCACATTGCGCATTTACCGGGGGCGGATGGCCCAAATTGGTGGGTGACCAAAGCACAGTACTACGTACGTAGCAGTAGAGTGAGAGCGAGCCCGGGGAGTCCTCGACTTGTGCTACTACGTAGTAAATATTTACCACTTAGTGCATAGTGCTACCTACGGATAAATTACAACAGTAGTCCAACGGTCTGGCGGGGGCGCGGGCTTTGGAGGAGACGCGCTACAGAGAGCTAACATGCACACATTGCACAACGAGATAGACGGTGCCCGCGCCTCTCCACCTGGGTAACTAACTGGGAAACAACCGAAAATCACATATCAACAAGCCAGGCGCCGGACACGCCGAGATGCAGAGGCGAACTGAAAGTGCTTGCGGTGCTTGTGGTGCCCGGGGGCTTGACGGTGGGAAGCTGAATGCCCGCTGTGTGTCCACCGGGAACGAACGTGGGTGGAGGGGAAAGAGGAGTCCCAAACCCATCTCAGGGGAAATGGCACAGCGGGGAGGCGAAAAAAGTAGCGGGTACACAACGCCATGCACGCTGATCCCGCATGCGGCATGGTCCCCGATACCCGTAGGTACCCAGGCACAAGCTGCATTGGCCTCCAGTCGGAGAGGTACTTACCCTTCAGGTCCTAGCCGGGGGTCCATGCACCCGCCGCACCCGCCCCTGTGCCGGGGGCCTCTGAAGCACGGCTTTTTACTGGGTCCTTCTGCGGCCATTTGCGACGATTGGGCGTCGCTGGTTGGGCGGCTTCAGTCGGAGCCAAGGAGTTCTGTAACCGGGGGCGGGGATTGGGACCCTTTTCCCGAGCCACGTTTTCTATGGTAGGTACAGTACATCTAGACCTCAGCTCGGAGCACCAAGCACCAAGCAAGTACCTCCAAGCTTCCGGCTTTGGCTTTGGCTCTGGCTCTGGCTTTGGCTTTGGCTTTGCATTTGGATAGGTCCTACCGTACTACGAAAACATCGCCAGAATTGGGACAGAGGCAAATCCATGTAGCTCAGATTGGTAACTCTGTAAACTTACACGGCCCATCCCTTAAGCTTAAGTCTCTCCCGTTTCCGCCAACCTCTGCTTCTCTCTTCTTGGCCTTATCGCAACTCTCTCTCCATCTCGTCGCCCATCGTCACGACTTGTTTTGCCTGCGTGCCCTTCCTCCATCCTCCATCGCATGGCAAGCTACAGGGGATGCTTGTGCTAGCCCCCACCTCCTGACCCCGGCCGCAAAATTGTGGTCCCACCGCAGCCAATCACCATCCCGGAAACCAAGACCCGGTCCCAACGGGGGAAATTGTCTCTGCCGATGATGCATCCAGGTGAGCCGGTGGTGGGTCCAAAACAGAGAGACCTGTGTTGGTTCTGTGACAAACCAGCATCTCAGACACACCACCACACGCTGAAGCAAGGAGGAAAAAAGAAAGCATCATCATTATGGTTGGGCGTCGGCTTGCGGGTGACGAGAAAGAAGAAAAGCCGCATATTCAACTTGTCTCTGCACAAGGGCTACTGGGCTAGATTCAGCTTCTACATTGGCGGTGAAGCCGAGTCAGGAACGCCATCAACTTCCACCGAACACGAGAGCCGAGGAGAAACAAAAAAGAAACGCGCAAACGAGATTGACAGAAACCGTCCAGAACGTGGCCGCATTTCTAAACCCGTTCTTTGTTCGGCTTTATCGGACTTCCCGGCAAGCTGCCGTAGCCACTATTGTGCCAACTGTGCTTGTGCTGAGAGGTATGTCACGTTTGTCAGAAGTGCTCTCCTCATGTGAGACATGGAGACTCTCTCTCATTGTCAAAAATATGACCAAAGCGGTCCCGTCTCCCCCTGCTTAACTACGCTGTGCTACTACCTAAGATGTGATAATAACAGTCGTCGGCTTACCGTCCTGGTCTCTTGTCGGATACGATCGACGAGGGTCCCTTGGCCGTGACGAAACGAAACAGGAAGAGTGCGCAACCAACGTGCTCTCCTTGCATGTCCCCTCGCCCAAAGGATCTCAGCCAAGAGCGCATGATTTGAGGTGACAGTCGTGAAGAGGCAATGGCTGCCATTCATCCGAATGCACGACACTGGACACCAGACAAGACGGAACAGGACAGGAAGATGCAGGACTTAGGCCGCTCACTCCCACCCTGGCTTATGCATGCATGTATATGCACTGGCTCAGCATCATCAGCACGACATCGCCCGCGGTCGATTGGCCGTGCGCCGGGAGACTTCCAAGCCTGCGCGCCAGCCCGCCAGCCCGCCAGCCGTCACCGAGGGCCTAGGAAAAGAGACGGAGAAACAGTCCAATGCCCATTTAAGCCGGTGTGAAGGCCTTGGAAGTTGGGCGAGCCACAGGCCCATCGCGGTGCACCGATGGGGGTCAGGGGAGGCACCATTGTGACTATTTGTGGGATAAACACTGCAGAAGGTGCGCCATCCGTCGAGAATCGGATCATGGCTTGAGAGGGGAACGACCGAGTCGTTCCTGCGTGGGGCGCTATTGGAGGTCGGTGCATTTCTTCTATGTACTGTACAAACCTACTACGTAGTAGGTAGTCTTCTCGGTGCAGAAGAAGGACTAAGGTTGTCATGGATGTTCTACCGTGGGCGTTCTACCATGTGTTGTTCCGTATCCGTCCCGCGATTACATGGTGGAAGGTGAAAAGTTCCACGAGTGGGATGTGACACCTCTTGACGAGTGACATGTTCCCGTTACAGGGGCCCCAGGAGCCCAGGGTCTTGATATTGCAGTGGAGTGACGTTTATTGCCGTGGCATGGCGAGCTGGGAGGGGAAAGGAGACGAGAGGAGATGGGATGCGATGGAGGGAATGACGGACTGGACGGATCGGCAAAGTCGAAGATCCGTGCGCGGGTGCATTATCCTTCCCTGCATTAGGTAGTACCTAGGTAGGCACTTGTAGGTATGCAAGTGCATGACTGTGTAGTATGGACACGCATCGTCCAACACACAAAACAATGATATCTAATTATCTCGTATCTCGACTTCTGGAGCCGCGTCGTGGCTGGCTTCGTCATCAATAATTGGCGAATCTATAGCGCAGCCGACGGCCAGTCGAGCCTATTTGCCGCCTCGCCTCGGTAATTTGGCCCGCTGAGGGCCATCAGAGTGCGCGCGTTGCACTGCGTAGAGTGAGTGCATCAACACGCAGTAGCCTGACAACGCCAACGCCAGCGCCACCAGTTCATCGATGGGTTCCCCTGTAAGTCGGGGAGGGATCCCCCAAGATCATCAAGCCCTACTGCCTTACTCTCAACTCACGGAGGGGATTGTCTCCCGTTCCAACCCATGATCCATGCCGGCGTCCCGTTGAGTTGATTGTTAAGCCATACAGTACCGTCATCTGAAGGCACGTCGGGCGCCATCCGTACGCAAGGAGGCATCCGGGATGTGATGATCACTGTGTTTTGCTGCACTCTGCAATGCACTCTGCACAACTAATCAGAAGCTGCAAAATTGTCCGGCCACACCACCATGCTGTCGGTACTGTACCATGCATCATGTACCAACAGCCAACAACCAACAGGAGGGCGGCCACACCCAAACGCAGTTCGATATTCCCTCGCCTCGGCGTTTCAGAAGTGAGATGGCGCCCGCGCGTCTCCAGAATTCTCCATCACATCCACATCCCATCACCACCATCTCCATGTCACCAGCACGCCCAACCACCAGCCTCCTCCATTCCCTCCGATCCCGTCAACCTGAGTGGCTCCTCTGAGACCTCGCTCCCCCGAGGGATCGCCATCGGGCTGAAGAATTCAGACCTCTCGTTTGACAGAAAGACATTAAATCGGGGCTCCGAAAGCCACACGGGCGGTTTCACGATCCGCCTCCGCCGCTAATTCCCCCATTTTCTTTTTCTTTTTCTTTCTTTCTTTTTCTTCTTACTAGCCGTGTCTCTCTGTCTCTGTCTCTGTCTCTGTCGTCCGTTCGTATTGGGGCCTGCTTATTGTTACGGAGACTCCATCCGAGAATTGTACGTTCTGGCACTCGGCGAGGGTGTCGATGAGACAAGGCACCATCGGGCTCTTGGTATCTGCCACTCTGCCTGTCGAATACAGGGGGAAGAAACTAAGAAGAAGAAAAACGCCGCATTCTACGCCGTACTACGTACCACTCCCAGCCCAGCTTACATGCGTCGTAGGATCTTGCCTCGTCGGTCCGGAGAGCCCAGTGATCCGCGTCTTAATTAAACGGCTTGCAGGGATTTGACAGAACAAGCACCCCATGACACCCAACCCATACTCAGCGTTACACTGCTCGCTCGACACAGTCAAGCCTATTCACTACGTTGTGCCCGTATCGATACATCGGGCCTTGTTCGTCCAGAAGCGTCCAATCCGCGCCCGTCCCTATCTCAACACCTCGCTTGCTGTGCCGGGTTTGTCATTGTCATCCGTCGATCCTCCTTTCTTCGGCGCTCCCTCCGATATCTCCTCAGATGTCCGATGCCTTCCCTGGCCTTAAAAGTAATTAACATAACGCCCGGACCCCTTCTCCCCTCCTCACTCTCCTCTTTCTCCTCTTCGACTCCTTGCATGCGTTCCGCTCTCTCTCTATATGCTACAACCCGAGTCTCGGTCCTCGTGGCCCAGATAACGCTTGGATCGTCTTGGCTGTTGGGCCGTTTGCATTTGACAAGTCAAGTCGTCGAACCAGGCACCAGCCATCCGAGAGTCATCCCTCCATGTCTCGCGAGTCGCGACTCATCCCCCTTGTCTTACATCCGGCTCCCAGCCCATACCGACAACACAACGTGTGTCACCGATTGACTTTGTCCGTGTCTTTAATGTGCTCCAAATAAAGTCTCTGCTCTGCCGTTCACTAGTTATGATCTCGGCCCTGTACGCTTCCGGCACTCAAGCTGTTCCGTCTCCTTGTCCTTACGCAAACGGGATCGTCCAACGTAGCATGTCGCACATCTTGTTATGGCTGAAGCACCACCCCAGATAATTCCATGCCCTATAGTCATCCGATATTGCCCAGCCCCTGTATGTAAATAAAGCGGTTGCCAGTTATCGATCTGGGGTTACTAAACAACTGATGCCATGTCCCACATGCTGGTTGATTGCCACGATGACAGGATAACCTGGCGAGCTGGTCGGTGCGCTATATGGTGTGCATTTATTGATATTCAAACCAGCCCACCAATATGATAGTAACTATGTACGTGCAGTATCCCTGTTCCGCGTAGCCCGTGGAAGTGTGGCGATGCTTTGGGTTTCATCTACCTGGTTAGAACTGGCACGTTGCTTTTTGTATCGTTGACGGTGTCACGGATGTTGACTGTTTGGGATGATATCGAGACCCTTCCACATAATGAGTGTTTCCACCCAGGTTTTGTGGTTACTTGTCTCACCATAATGCGTCATTCCAACACGATCCAGTGCTGATAGTTTCCCCAATAGTTCCGCCATGCTCAATAAAAGGCGATAGGTTCTTTATTAACCCCATTGCGTCATTGACTAGATGTTGTCGTGGTATGTTGGCACGCCAATCCAACATATTACCCAGGAACAACACCACTATCACTGGAGACCATATGAAAAGAAAAGACACAACACAGAGGCTAGCACTTCTAGCTATACGGAGTTATCAATACACGATTGTAATATATGTGACATGGCACAAACGTCAGAATACGTGCTAAAGACCATGTTCACATCAAGTACCCTATAGCGCGACTTAACTGTCTATCGCCACTTATCCGTAAAAGTCTCCCAAGACAATTTAGGAATACGCTAGGTGTTTTATTCACATGAAGATATCGCCCCGGCGGTATAAAAGAGAAGCAGGCAATTGTATCCCCACAACGTTGATAATATTGTCATAAAACATGACACTCGGTACTGTGACTAGATATTCCGTGGAGACTCATGACAGGATGGGACAAGCAAATACGCTATTTAGTGCTCCCACTGGAAAAGAAAGCACAGATGAGGTAAATGCATGAGGGCTGTAAAGCAAATCACCATCCCGATGGTGGCCGAGTTCCGAAGACCGAACAACACCGCTCCATCAAGCACAGGTATGGATGGCTGATGACTCTGACGTCCCGACCGACCTTACAACCCTCATGATATCTAGAACTAAAGTTAAATAGCTCATTGCTTCATGTTACACAGCCATAGACCAAAATAGAACGAGATAACGACCGAACCCGGCCTCTTCTCTGTGCGCCACGGACGATTTGCGAAGAGAGAAACAAAGCGCCAGTCAACAATGACATCGACGGATGAAACTAGTCTGCTTGAAATGGAATTTCAAGAAAAGTTAGAACATGCGAGCAAGACCTGGCTAGATCATCCACCAACACATCAACACACAGGGTTTCGACGAAGCGGCTTGATGGGGGACGAAGAGGAATGTGGCGACGGGACCATTGCCCAGTGTAACTCAGGTTTTCCCAAACCCAGCATGACTGGCCAAACACTCCTTAAGATTTCGCAATTATCACTAGATGTAGTTGGGGAGCTTACATGCTAGTATTAGCAAACTCAATACCCCACTTTGAGATGTTGCTCTCGACATGACGGTCATGTTCCATCAAGTCACTATTGGAGAGACTTCATTATGTCGCACAGTAAACGCATCTAGAGACAAAACATAACAACAAAAAGGCTCACAAAACAATTCAAGAAATCTATTAACTCTCGTTTTTAAGTCTTTCGTCATCCGCATCGTCTGCCAATCTCAGCTCCTATCTTCAGCGCATCCAATAATGCAGCCACAAAAGAGCTAGAAAAGAGAAAACACAGCGCCTTTTGTCACACATCTTTCACCAAACACGGTTGGAACCAACTCTCCTTAGAAAACCAAAATTCGTCGCCGCACCTGCATGCACACAAGACTCCAAGATGCGCGCCCCCAAATGCGCCGTCGCTGCCCGCGAAGATGCGGATGACGTCACGCCGTGAGGTGAGATTGGCAGTAGAGTGCTCGGCGGGAGCAGATAAGGATCTCGAACGCTATGAGCGGAAGACAAGCCACAGAAACGCAACGTTTCAGGAGAAGGGAGGCCCTCCTGGACGCTTGAATATATAGACAGGCCCGCTGCCCTCCATTGTAGAAGGGCCCGTTCGCGACGTCGCCGTAAACCAAAAGAAACCCCTGGCGGGGAGCACACAGAGAGAGATGGGTAGAGGGCCAGAAAAGTCCAAAGAAACCAAAGAAAAGGGAGGGTATATATATATCTTTCAATGGGTGCCGTCGTCAACTTATGCGTAACCGATAGATAGGGTAGCCCGTTTACTGGTTGATCTTGTCGTTGACGGTCTGAGTGGCCTCGGTCTTCTTCGCGTGGAGGAAGCTGCTGAGCCAGGACAGGGTCTCGTTGCTGACGACAAGGACCGTAGTGACAGCAGCTTTGCCGTGTGCGACAAGTCCGGCCTGCTCGTTCTTCTTGTACTCGCTGGTGTAAACTTGTAGGACGTGCTCCTTGCCCTCAAGGCCCTTGGTGTAGGGCATGAGGATCAGGCCCTTGGTGTCATTGTAGAGGTCGGTGGTGGGCTTCTTGACGACGGGGAACTTCTCATCAATGCGGTCGAGGGTCTTGTCGCCGAGGGTGTCGGCTTTCTGAACGTAAGGCGAGACATACTGGTAAGGCTTGGCGAACCAGGGAATGACGGGAGCAGCAAAGGTCTGGTAGGCAGCGTCGCCGAGCTTGATGGACTTTTGGCCGTACTCGTTGGACTTGAAGGTGTCGACACTGTCGCTAATGACGGGGTAGTTCAGAAGGTGCTAGAGCAACGTGCTGGGTTAGCATTGGGATGTCCATTTCTCGCGCGCGCGATAGCTGGGAGGGGTGTACCTGGAGGAAGGCGGAAGAGACAGAGCTCGGGATATCGCCATTGACTTGGGGAGAGGCCATGATAAATGTTTGCTGTGGTTTGTGACGGAGTTGCGGGGGAGAGAAGAGGGTTGATCTCGGAGACGAGAGGAGCTTGGGATAAGCTGAGTGAGGAGCTGTCGGATTGCCGGGCTGTCGGGCTGTGATGGATGACGACAAGATGACGGGAGGAGAGATGGGTGTGCGGAGATAGCAAGGTACCCTAGGATCGGTAGGTAGGTTGATAGAGGTGGGCAGATGAAGTAGTCGATGGAAGGGGGAAGGCTCGATGTGGTGGAGGAGGGAGTAGATGATGATGGTGTTGGCTGAATGAGGCGGGGAGCAGGAGGAGGTAGGATAGAAGAGAAGAAGACAGAGCAGGAGCAGGAGCAGGAGTAGGAGCAGGAGCAGTGGGAGTAGAAGAGAGAACGGGAGAGATGGGGTCCAGCAGAGGCTAAAAAGGGAACGAGAGTTGGGAAGGTGTGTTTGAAGTGAGGTGGTGGGACGCCACAGCCTGACCGGCTGCCCGGACCCGGATGGGAATCTACGTATTTATCTACGTACATTTTTTATCAGGGAAACCTTGGACGGGAGTGGGCGTGAGTGGGCGTGGTCCGCGCGGATGCCGTCGCAACAGTCGCCTTGGGGCATGCCGTGGGCATCTAGGAGGGAGGCCAGGCCGTGCTCTAGAGCTTGGCCGCTGGCATGTGCATGTGAATCCTTGGATGTGCATGTGTCGGCGTCAAGGTCGGAGTGGGTGTCGGAGTCGGTACCTGTGTGTGCCTGTGCCTTGTGCCTGTGACAGCGGCTGTGCCTCTTGTCGCTTTTTGGCTTGTGCTTGTGAGAGAGAGAGGGAAGGAGAGAGGGTGGGGGATGGCGAAGGAGTGAGAAAAGACATTATCCACAGCATCCACAGCAGCCACAGCATCTTCTCCCATGGATCATCATGATGAAGATGGTGATGTTGATGGTGGTGGGGTGCTGTTGGCCTGCCGTGACACCATCGGCGCTGGAGCGCGTGGGCCCACTCAGCCGCACCATTCCAGGGCGTACAGAAGAGGGCCCTGTTGATCTGGCATGTGAAAGTGGCTCCCACTGCTTTCTTTAGTTGCTTCCAGTGGCTCTCAGTGGCTCCAGGTAGCTCCATGTAGCTCTCGAGTGGGCTTTGCTTCCTACATCGCATCCCATCACCATGTTGACTCTGCCTCATATTGTGCCTCCTGACCTTCGCCTCGCCTGTTGCTTGACCTGGTCCGCGTCTCACCGCGCTCTCGGAGCCATGTCCAAAAGCACGGGATCACCCTTCACTGTACATTGTAGATTGTAGAGCCTCCATGCCCTGGCCGCGCCTTGGCCCTTGGCGCACCACACACCAGCCTAGCCCTACCTGGTTGTCGGATTTCCCTTCGAGTAATGTGGACGGGACTTGGCCGCCGCCTCTTACTTTCTTGTCCTGATCCAGGGTGGCGCCGGTTTGTCAATTGGAGGATAACACCATCCATCTGCCATGGTTCGGTGTCCCGTAATACTCCTACATGCCGTGGCCTCCCTCGACGCCCCCTGGTCGGATGGCTCGTGGAGGGTACCCAAGGCGGTCTGGCTGCAGCATCCGCGTCTCCTCCTCATCGATCGTCATTATTACAATTCCAAGAATGTGTCTCCGGATGCTCGTGCGCCTGCGCGTGTGCGCAGAGTAAGATCGGTGGCTGTAAGTGGCTGTCAGTGCGTCTCCAGGTTAATACGGCTTATCTTCCATGCAGCCCGCACGCACCGGTTCGTCTCAAAGACATTCCCTCGCCGGTCCATGCTGGATGGGATCGGATAGTATATAGCGCATATCATGCATGGATTGTACTGTACGTCGTACTGTAGCGTTCACACCCTGATGACCAAGTTGGCTAAGGGGAACGAGGGGATCCATGATAATAGCGGCATGAATGAGATGAGAGCTTGCGCCACCTGCTTCTCAACCTGCCGATCAACCTCTTGTCGCGCGCCTGGCTAAACCTGTCGGGTATCAGAGAGCACGAAAACCGGCCGGATTCCTCTTGTCCATCCATCGTTTTCCTGCCGGCCCGTGCTTGCGCCGTATAGCATCGAGAACCACCCGCATTCGCTGGCTTGGGCACATACTCTGGAGGCGAGGGAGTCTAAACCACTGATAAGAGAATTGCCCCTTGCCGACTTGGCGCAGGCTTTCTGCCGCGGTTAACATGGACGAGAAAACACGAGCTCAACACATGGCCTCGGAAGCCAAGCGAAAAAAAAAGAACCTCCCCCCCGGAGCGTCGCGTTCCTCTGGATCTCGTTGGTCTAGGGCAGCGAACTCCCGTTCAATGGGGTTTCTTTTTGCCCCATCACGTTCATCGAATCGCTCCATTGACCGCAAGGGCCATGATGCCCGTCAGCCGGCGTGCGGATCGTCTTCCCCTGTTAGCGTGTTAGCGTGGCAGACGCACCTAATGTTCCCTGCCGTGTCAATCCCGGTCCCACTCACCAGCCACATTCACATGTCAGAGACTCAAGACTCGAGACTCGAGACTCGATCGCCATGACAAGGGATCAAACACGTCCCCTCCAAAGCTCCCTGATGAAGCCAATTGGGCATCTCCGAGCCGCTCAATGCCCGACCCTCAACGTTGGATCCTTCATGCCGATGCAACAGACCCGACTTGGATCAGATAATAATACGTAGTGGCATGTTGGGCGACGTGCCGTCACCTCATCCACACATCCATCCCGCCTTCGCTCGCCAGATATGGAGCTCGCCACTGCTCTCCGCTAGTTTCCGCCTCGCGCATTGGCTCGTGGCTCCTTGGGTTGCATCCGCGACATATAGCAATGATGCGATGGGACTCAACAAAAGGCCCGCTGAAGAGTGTCGAGGGCCGTCCCGAGCTTGTTGGTTTGATAACCGCATCCGTTTCGAACAGGATGGGCCCGATCCGAGACCGTCCATATCGGATACACCTCCTTCACCCGCCGTATGCATCTTCTTGAGTCAAAGTCGATATCACAGCCGGTCTGGATTAAGCTGACTTGCTGGATTGATGAGAGATTAGCTTCATCTAGATCTCGCGCATCTTTGAGGCGCTAGCATTCCTCATCTCCGAAATCTTGACCCTGAGAAAAGAGCCGCCGAGTAGAGAATTGTCTTGGCTCTGGTCGCTGTGCAGAGGTGACACATTTGGGGAAGCCTTCGAGTCGCCATGCTTGGTAATGAGACCAAGCACCCTTTCTATCGTCACCGAGGGGGATTTTCAACCATAAACCAGCACCACGTCGCCTGCTCCAGTGTCCGGAACATTGATGTGAGAACCATGGTGTTTTGACTCTGTGCCATGTTACGCTCGGATGAATCTCCGAGGAGGCTTCGATGTCTCACCTACCGCAGACTTGAAGAAGCTGCATTGACGAGTGTTGCAGGATCATATGTGTGATCTAGTAGGCTTGACAATTTGATTAAGCCTCCCTCCTCATATCTACGGCATCGAATCTGGATGGAACTGGATGATTCCCGTGGGGCCGTATGGTAGCATTGAGTTCAATGCAATCGAGGCAGCCGTGATATGTTCCGACTAGAATCTTGATGAGGTTTGATTCACACCGGAAGTGCGGCCACCATGACGCTGGGACCATGCAACCGTGAGCAACATCGCCGTTGTTGCTCAGTTGCAGTCGTAGTCGAAACGGGGCTTAGCTGACTTGTCCCTCGATAAGCAGCTTAGATCAACTACGCATGCGGTTGCAATTTGCCTGCTTGGGTTTCAGCCGTTGACAAAAATCGCTCGCGAGAACCATCTCTCTTGTCGTGATCTTTAGATTTGGCGATCCTGGGGCTATCATGGTGTTGATCAACGCTCACAGGCAACCGAAGGGTACCCCTGGGCCATCGAATAGGCGAGTGATGCTCGCCTGGCGATGGGGTGACATTCTTTCTAACCACCCCTTTTAATATCCGGGCTGGTTCTCTTTTGGGTCTCTGGTAGCGAGTATCTGGGGCCGCGTGATGGAGGGTCCAAGGGGCACATCTATGGTCGTGTCTCCGGACGCGTGTGCTTCCGGTGATGGCTTCTTCGGCAGCTTTCATCGGGGGCAAGCTGGGCGTTACCATTTAAGGGAAGCACCCCTGCTTCCTTGGATTGTGCAATGCGACGTATTCCGGCGAAATGATCTCGGGAGTGGCTCCCGGTATTTACTTATAGCAGACCCATCGACTGGACCGAGGTTTGCTTGTTCAACACTCAGAGAGCGCCTCAGCACATGTTACTGCACGCACGGATGATGTTCGATGTTCCAATGATTAGTGCATGGTGGCGCATCCCGAGGCTTGCCGGATGAATGGGACACATCGTGCCAGAGTAGCCGCTGGTGCTCGTTCTCGTATATAAGCATCCGATTATTCGCTTTTGTGTGCTGAGTACGTGGTATTTCTGACGTATGAATTGGAATTTCTTCACCCGTGAATCGGATGCTAGTTGGACTAGACGCATCTCGGTTGGGTTGTGTGAGGGAACTATGGAAGCCAATGAGAGGAGTTCCAAAGGAGGGCGATTGAGAGAGAGAGCTCTAAACGATAACCTTGGGGTGTAGATGGGTGCATTGTTGGAACGAAAATAGGGATTGGGAGTAGACGACGACGGAAGGACGCTCGAGGAATGTGGTGTTGAAGGAGTGTGGATATTCAACAGAGCTCAAATCTCTGACGTCGGGACTGTAATTGTGCCTTCTCATCCAACCCGGCTAGCACTTCTCGGCTGGTAGCTCCCAGGTCGGATAACGATAAGTCAATGCGTGGTGCTTACACCCTCTTCGACCCCAATACTTTTAGCTGGCGGTCGAAATTCGTTGTCCACTCGGATGTCTTATCCTTGGGTAAATGGAGTTGTAAGTGTGTGGCTCATCGTGTCAACAAGTAAAGTGAGTACCGTCTCAATCTCAACTCACAAATGTCATGGTTGGAATATACAGCTATCATTCTTGAGAATCATTCTTGAAAAGAACCCTTCAGTGTCCCGGAACAACGACGTCATTGCACACACACTTTCCAGGGACCACGACCACCCATGGACCCATAGCCCCAAGTCAACCTTGACAAATTCCCCTCAAAGCATTTCCCCCTAGTTCCAGTCTCAATGGACGGTAAGCACCCGCAGCCAACCATCTCGTCACCCTTAGTAATTCCCCACGAGCATGCCTGTTCCGTCGCTAGCGCCGCCTTACGCAACGGTTGACTCGGTTGAATCAGCCTCTGGGCCGCCCAAAGCAGCACGAAGCTCGGGCCACCCTCTCCTGTTTGCACTGTCAGCGCTGCTGATGTAACTGTGACTAAACCTCCACCCCGCCATCATCGTCACCAAATTGTGGCCCCTCAAACATGGCCGCGCGCGTTGGCGCTGGCGCTGGCGACGCCCGGCCGGCTTCGTCGTATTTCTAACGCCAGGTTTTCTCTTCCAGAACTCTCTCCCATCCAGTAGCAACAGCCTTGCATCACGCCAACCCCTCAACCCCTCACACCCTCCATTGCCAGTCCCCCATCAATATATAATACCCGATTGTCCCCACCGTCACATTTCCCATGTCGCTTTTCAGAAACATCTTCATCCCAGTCTTCGTTGCTTTGGCTGCCGCACTCCTCTTCCAGCATCAACTTCAAGACACCGCGACTACTGCCATTGAGCTTGTAAAGAACTACACCATCGCAAACAACCTCTTCCCCTTCGCCACCCAGGCCGACAACACCAACCACCCGAACCAAGATCAGCACCCAGCTTATCACCTCTTCGCAACCGAAATGTCTTCCCAGCGAGCTATCCGCAAGGTCATCCTGGCCATCGAGCAGGCCGAAGGCGCTGGTGCTCGCGTCCGCCGCTCCATTGGCACGCCGCAGCTGCGCAACTTCTCGCCCTTCCTCATGCTCGACCACTTCTCTATTAAGCCTGGCGCTGGCTTCCCTGACCAGTATGTCCTCCTTGAACCACTCTCCCCCCTTAATTGTGAACTAGAGGCTAACCGTACCTTTGCACAGCCCCCACCGTGGCCAGGAGACCATCACCTACCTCCTCGAGGGTGGTGTCGACCATGAAGATTTCGCCGGCAACAAGGGCTCCCTGTCCGCTGGTGACTTGCAATTCATGACAGCCGGCCGCGGTATCGTCCACGCCGAGATGCCCCGCCAGAACCCCGACGGCAGCGCCAACGTCGGCCTGCAGCTCTGGGTCGACCTCCCCCAGGAGCTCAAGGCCTGCGAACCTCGCTACCGTGACCTCCGTGCCTCGGAGATCCCCACCGTCGACGTCGACGACTCCCGCGTCACCGTTAAGGTCATCTCCGGTCAGAGCCACGGAATCGACTCAGTAAAGGACCTTGCCTATACCCCCGTTTGGATCCTCGATATTACCATTCGCCCTGGTGGCAAGATCACTCAACCCCTTCCCAAGAATTGGAATGCCTTCGCCTACACCCTCGAGGGCGATGTCATCGTTGGCAAGGACGGTCAGAGCCGTGTTGTCGAGCAGTTCCACAACATTGTCTTTGAGCCCGAGGGCGAGGTTGTCCACTTTGAAGTTGACGCTGGTGCCTCCAAGCCCGCCCGACTTGCTCTCATTGCCGGTACTCCTCTCGACCAACCCATCGTCCAGTATGGTCCCTTCGTCCTCAACTCTAAGGAGGAGGTGGCCAAGGCCCTCTACGACTACCAAAGCCACGCCAATGGATTCGAGCGCGCCAAGAACTGGGAGAGTGAGATTGGCAAGTCTATGATGAATTAAACACTGAATAGTTTGTGCCTGTGTACCGTCGGCGTTGAAATCGGGTGGGAAAATGTGCTTGATTAGCTTTTATATTAACAGGAGCGTTGATTATTGGGAATTCTGCACAGGCGCGGCGAGCTTGAGCTTGTGCCTAGCTATCTAGAAGAATAAAACACATCACAAGATAATCTCTGGAAACTTGCTCGCCTCCAGTGAAACTTGCCAGACGGGACGGCGGGGCGTGCTGTATATCGAGCGGTTTCATATGTCAATTCTGCATCGTTGCTCATTTCAATTTCACCAATGGCACCAGGAAGTTATACAGGTTGTGTGCCAAAATTATCTATTAATGTTCTCCAAGGAGAGCGAAGAAGTAGAGTCGCCCACCGAGGCCAGGCCGTAGGACGGGTATAACGTCCCTTCCAGAGCACATGAAAATGATGCGATGCCAGAAAGACATCACGAGAGTTGCCTCTTCATCCTCACCATGTCAATGCCTCCACACCACATAAAAGTCCTTCCAAAAGATCCCCATCCACTGTCATGAATTTCATCATTTTCCATTAGAAAGACGAGAGATAAACCATATGCATCATTAACCCTCAAAAGACCTGACCTTTCCATGTTCATTCACCTCATTTTCCGCGTTCCTTGCGCTGAAGATTGTCCGGATGCCGGGCCCCTGCACTAAGGAATATGATAAAAGGGTTCCAAATATTGGAGGTACAGGCGGGTATTATGTATCAAACATGTGCAACTTAAAAACATCAAATGTGGGTGACCACGGCCTCATTTAGAGGAGGAGAAGAGCGAGACCGGCAGCGGCAAAGACGCCAACAGGAGCCGCAGTCATCTGAGGAATACCCTAGAAATGTGTAAGTGACGGATTATAAGATAATCGGGAAATTTTAACTTACAGCGTTGTCAGAAGTGGTGCTGGCCGAGCCAGAGTTGCCAGACTCGGTGGAGCTGGAGCCAGCAGAGGCGGTAGCGGTGGATTCGCTGCCAGATCCGGTGCCAGATCCGGTGCCAGATCCGGAAGCAGACCCACTACCGGTCGCCGAAGCCTCGGAGCCAGACGACTTGGTCTTAGTAGAGCCGGTCTGGGTGAGAGTCTTGACAATCTCGGAGCCATCAGAGGTCACAGTGGTGGTGATGACACCCGACTTGGAGCCGGAACCGGAGCCGCCAATAGTAGTCTCGCCGGTCGTGGTAACAGCATCGCCAGCACTGTTGGTGAAGACACTGGTGAAAGTAGAGACCTTGCCAGAGCCAGAGCCGCCGAGAGTAGTCTCGCCAGTCGTGGTGACAGCTTCGCCAGCACTGTTGGTGAAGACGCTGGTGAAAGTAGAGACCTTGCCGGAACCCTCAGCTCCAGACTTGGAGTTCTTGTCGTCATTTCCGCTGCCACCGCCAAGGGTGGTGGTGGAAACGGCACTGGTGATGGTGGAACCATCTGAAGTGATGGTACTGAAGATAGTGGAAACAGTGGCCTGTTTTTTGGGTTAGAGATAGTGCAGAAGAGGACACTCGGGATACTCACCGAGGCACCCTTAGAGTTGCCGGATTCAGTCTTCTGAACAGTCTAGGTTAGAATGTGTTGGTCGTTAGTTGTCGGACTAAACTTACAGTGGAGCCGCTCTTGGTGGTGATGGAGACACCACCGCCTGTCATGGGCGTTAGTCATGTGGCATGGTGACATTACTGGGGAAAGCTGTGGTCTCACTGGAGCAAATCGCGATGCCATACTTGACAACCTGAGAAGCCTCACTCTCGCTGCAGATAGCACCGGAGCAGTCTCGGAGTCCGTAGACGAAGTTCTTGTTGGTGCAGAGGCAGGCAATGTCACCAGTGTCGCAACCAAGCTCGCTGGATTTATCGGCGCCGAGCATGTTGTTGGCGCAAGTTTGCTGGACGATGGTTAGGGGCGATGATGAATATCAGGCGAGGAACTTACACCACACGCGGGAAGGTCACTGAGGCTCTGGGCCATGGCGGCGGTAGCCATGCTGGCAACGACGAACAGAATGGACTTCATTTTGAAGGATGGGTTCGTTCACAACTCGTAGATGATTCGAAATCTGGGTGGTTATGTTAGTCTTGAGGGTGGGAGTCTTGGCGAGTAAAGAATGTGGGTGGAAGGTTGAGTAATGAGCGAGACGACAGGTCGAACTGGGTAGGTAGGGGAGTTGGTGGGAGAGAGTGATTCAAGGCCAGAAGAGAGGAGAAGGCCTAGGAATAAAAGAAGGCCAAATACAGGAGGCATGAAAATTGCAGGCACATGGTGTTTGCGTGAGACACACCAAAGCCCGGTTCCACACGTAGCACGGAGGTGCCGAGCGACGAAGAGCGCAACAGACGGTCGCCCAGTGATCGGGAACACGATGTGAACCATGAGATATGAGTACCAACATCCCTGTGCCAAGGCTCAACAAGAAACGGGTTGGGCTCCGAGGGAGAGTGAGGGGAAAGGGCGGGACGAAGTCGAGGGAGAGGAGGAGGAGGAGGAATGTGGGTGGGCGGCAGAAGCTTACCTGGTATTGATAGGCGACCGAACGAGGGAGGTCCTTTCGTGAGAGTGAGACGGAGCGAGGCTGGTTGGGGACGAGGCTTGGAGTGGATGAGGTGAGTTATGAAGGTGTAGAGAAGAAATCTTGAAGGCAGAGGCGGTGGTGAATCAGGGTGGGCGAGGTGTTTTAAAGGCGTGAGGGAAGGAGCACAGCAACCGGCCGGGAGGGCTTAGCGGCGGCTGGTTGCCAGCTGCCAACTGCCAGTTGCCAACTGCGCGTGGAGGCAAGCCGGGATACCTTAGGTTTTGCGGTCTGCCAGGGAAGGTACGACATGGGATGGACCGCCATGCTCATCTGCATCTACATCATCTCTGCCATCTGCGTGTAGTGGCAGGGAGGTGCGGGAGCAGCCCGTCGCTCAGGTAGCAAGACATCCTTGGAGAGCCACACGCTAGAGTTGCATACCCACCACGCTGGCTAGGTATGACATGATGGGAGTGGACGATGCCTGCCCAGCTGCGGAAGGGTACTAAGGCCATGTACTTACTACGTAGTTCGGCTACGGGGAAAATGGATGAGCGCAGGGGCTGGTGTGGATGGTGTCTGGGGATCGGGGATAGTAGATGGGGGTGTCTAGGATGAGATCAAGGCGTGGAAAGCAAAAGAGCCGCGATCGAGGGCCCGCTTGGAGCCTTCAAACTAAGCTCTACTAGCAGTAATACACCGTCAAGTAGTGTAAGCAGTTCGTCCTACAAACAATCGTCAGAGCTCTCTGCGCGAAGTGGTATGCGTTCTATGATATGACGCAGGCGGCCTCTTTCTCTTGCCACGCGAACGGCCATGTGAAAGGCCATGTGAAAGGCCATGCAGAAAGCCACGCAACGCATGCACGTTTGTCAATGCCTGGCTGTCGAGGAAGCTAGCCGGCAGCGAGAAGCAAAAGCAAAAGCAGAGACAGAAGCAGAAGCAAGCTGGATCGATACCTCATGCACCTACGGCTTTGATACTACCACACTAGATCGCCAAATCGGAGACCCCACTAGCCACCGGACGCTAGGGAGAATTGTCCAGGGCCATCGGACGATGGGCCGCTACGGAACACCAGTCCTTGCCTGTTCTGGAGCGCTTGGTCTCTCGGTCCCAATCTATCACGGAGTCTGGCGGAAAATTCTCATTGAGGAGCGTCCTGAGAAGCTTCGGAGCTTAGCCTGGACCAAAAAGACGGCTTGTGGGCGGTGTAAGACCCAAAGAGCAAGCTGGCGATTGCCCATTGCAGCGGGTGAGGCCGCCGGGGATGGCTGCATGCACACCACTGGGCTGCTAATTCAACGTCGCTACCTGGGTAGGTAGGTAGGTAGGAAGACAAGAGTACCTACTCCTAGAAACCTAGTTCGTTTGCCGCTCGACAACGACCACAAAGCAGGCACGAAGGAATGGTATGACGAGCGTGTGATTCCTGCCGCAGCAACCATTCTCCAGCCCAGTAACAGCAGGCAATACTAACCTGATTGTTGCCAGCCCTGCCCACTAACCCGCCCGCTTCCCGGCCTCTCCCAGCCGTAAACACGTGTATGGCCACGAGTTGGAGTAGCCAAGAGCAAAGTAAACCAGTGAGTGCATTGATGAAGGTCGATCAATCCGGGCCCAGAGCCCAGGGCCCCAGTTGGAAGCCAGCACCAACAACGCCTAGCTGCAGCGAGGTTCAATGATGACCTCAGTTGTTGTCGGCCGATGATCGCACGGCGTTGTCCGATTGGACAATGGACCAGTTTTCAACTTTCCCTTCCTTGGACATCTGGGTGTCTGGATGCGCTTACCCCACTCCCCTCTACTGAGCTTGCTTTTGCAGACCCACCTCTTCCGGTTCCCTGGCCACCGACCTCCCGATGCGACTGGCACACTTCTCGATCCAAGATTCCATCCATGCTTGTGTCCCATCTCGAGCCAACCTCCGACGTAATTGATGGATGCACAGCTGCTTCTCGGTTGCAACGGCGCTTGGCGGCCCTCGTCACTTGTTTTTCTTGCTTGCTCACTGCGTACGTACCTACGTAGTACCTGCTTTCTCCATTAACCAGCCCCGCAAGTGGAGGTCATACCAGCCTGAATGAGGTCTGCATCCTCATCTGCTCGAAACTAGATGCGCTGGACTTCCGCCCACTACGCAGCACCCCACACACACTCACTCTACCCCTCCTCCCTTGGGCCTTTGGCCTTCGTCCCCCTGCTCAGCTGGTGGCGGGTGGCTTCGCCAGGGCAAGGGAGCCACTGAGAGGCGCTGAGAGCCACTGAAGCCACGGAATACAGGGATTTGGGGCCCGACCACCTGGCGGGAGTTGATGTCATAGGATCGCCCACAGGTGAATGGCCCCATTCTCCCTCATCATAATCATGTCGAAAGGCCAGACCGACTTGGACCTAGACGCGACAGCGCTACGAGACCGAAAGGTTCTGGACTCGCACCGCAATCATTGTATGTACAGCCCGGCCGGTAAGTGACGCCAAGTCCAGTGCCCCTGAGCTACCTGTTTTGGTCTACTTCTTCCGCTGACCATGATTCCGATCTACACCACTACATGCTGTCCGCCGTGAACGGCTTCATCTTTTTGCTGTTTACTAAACCCACCAAGTTTAATTAAAAACTTTGTTGTTGGTCATAAACTTTCGCGTATCCCGTCGTCATTCTACCGTCAAGTCATCCGAGCTACCTCATATGTCACGCAGCAAGTACGGAGTACTTCGCATGCTGTCATGGGTGTAACTGGCGACCGCCACATCGGTCCCAAGCGAGTTGATAGCCCACTCAGCTCAATCAATGTGGCTGGGTTCTTTTCTTGACTCCCTTCACTTACTCGCCACTGCGACGTAACCTCGACAAAGATCGGACGCTTGCTTTGAAACAGAACGGCCATCTTATTGTTGCACGAACTGCGTCCACTTAACTCGAGACGCAATTGTGCCACCATTTCCTGTCGTGGGCCTCACCTGTGCAACCTCCATCCAAGCCAGCCGGGCCATCACTCTCACTGCTGCACTTATCCACCTATCCACGCTCTCCGGCCATCTCCATCTGTTTGCCATGTCTCACCAACCTGCACATCTGTCCTCCCTTCAACTACCAGCCTCTTGACAGCGCTGCTTCTGCTTGGCGACACCGCCCATTGCCTATGATCCTCTCATTTGACACAAGCCGCCGTTCGTTCTGAAAGTGGAAATCTGTGCCTGGCCGTCTAACTAGGTCTAGGCAAGGGGCAATTGAGGGAGCCGGACTTAGAGTGCACGCAAGGCTAGCCCCAGGTTGGATCGTCCTTTTCAGCTCGACAGGTCCAGTTCGGCTCTGCACCAGCCTCAATAGATTGCTGCACCCAAATGGCGCCCAGAGAACGTCCAGGTCCACACCGCGCCAAAAGAACGGCCGAGGCCTTACACCCGACGGGCTGCCGTTGGCTAATGCGTGTCTCACCCCCTCAACTCTTCCCAAAATCTCGACCACGTCACGGCTTTGGCGTTCATGCCTTCGCTCTTCCGCTGCGGTCCAGAGGCTGGGAATTCACTGTTCTAGATCTTAGCGGAGGCAGCCCACTACACTTGCACATCCATCCCAACCACCGCGACTGCTCACTGACTGACACAATAGACTTGAACAACCGTTGTCTTTTTGGGAGACGCTTAAGCATCAATACTAATCAAATATCTAAAGTAGCCTGACGTTCAGAAATGTCACAAAACCAATCAACCCAGCAAACGGCCAGGTTTGTCCTCACAAAATACTCCATCACAGGCATGCCGAAAGGGAATCAATGCCAAACCCCCGATATGCCCTCAATAGCAAAACAAAAGACCAGACCACATTACCATTCTGTACCTAATCATACCATGCTTTCTGACCCATGTCGTCGTGTTCATCTCATCGACCATCATTATACACATTCTCTGCCTGGATAACATATTGCGACTTAACCGCTGCACATAACGCAGGACTCAGGGTTCTCAATGGAGCCTGTCAAACCTGGTTAGCGTTTGTCGTCTCATATCAAACGGGATTTTGGCAACTTACAGGCCAGCACAGCATCCGAGTAGATGTCGCGCTCACGCTCCTCACTGTCCTCGTCCTGGTCCTCGGATTGGTTGCTCTTCTTGAGGCTCAGCTCCTCATCCTTGATCTTTTCGGTGGGCTCAGTCGGGAGAGTCTTGGGGCTGTCACCCTCCTCGACATCGGCTTTCATGGAAGGCGCCTTGCCCGGGGGAGGCGTGGGGGTAGGAGTAGGCATCCCGCTGGGGTTGAGAGAGTTGCCAGAGACGCCGTCCTTCCTGCCAGCAGCCACGCCGCGGGGAACCGCAGATGGGGAGGACATGTAGCTCGTTCCGGAAGGAGGAGCTCGCTTCTTCAAGGTTCGGGCCTGTCCCACGTTGCTGTCGGCAACCTTAAGTGCCTCCTGATCAACAGTGAACTGGATGGGAGCGGCAGCAGCCTGGGTGCGTAGGTAGTACATGCCAGTCTTGAGACCGAGCTTCCAGCCAGCAAAGTGCATGCTGGTAATCTTACCCATGGTAGGGTCCTTCATGTGGATGTTGAGGGACTGGGACTGATCAATGAAGGCACCTCGGTCGGCAGACATCTGGATGACTTGACGCTGGGAAATCTCCCACACAGTCTTGTACAGAGACTTGATATCAGCGGGAATGTTGGGGATGTTCTGGATGGAACCACCCTCGGCAATGATTCGGTTCTTCATGGCATCAGACCACAAGCCCATATCGACTAGGTCCTTGAGGAGCCAGGGGTTGACAACCTGGAACTCACCAGCCAGGACACGGCGCTGGTAAATGTTTGAGGTATAGGGCTCAAAGCATTCGTTGTTGCCTAGGATCTGCGAAGTACTGGCCGTAGGCATGGGGGCGAGGAGCAAGCTGTTGCGAAGGCCATGCTCCTTGACCTGCTCACGGAGAGTCTCCCAGTCCCAAAGGTCAGAGGGCTTCACGTTCCACATGTCAAACTGAAGGATGCCCTCAGAAGCGGGAGAGCCCTTAAAGGTGGAGTAGGGGCCCTGCTCCTTGGCGAGCTGCACGGAGGCAGTCAGGGCAGCGTGGTAGATGGTCTCAAATATCTGCTTGTTCAGCTCACGAGCCTCAGGGGACTCGAAGGGCATGCGAAGAGCGAGGAAGGCATCGGCAAGACCCTGGACACCAACGCCAATGGGTCTGTGGCGCATGTTGCTGTTGCGAGCCTCAATGACGGGGTAGTGGTTGACGTCGATGATCTTGTTCAAGTTGCGGACAACGACCTGGGTGACTTCGTGCAGCTTCTTGAAGTCGTAGCAGCCCTCGTTGTAGTCGACAAACGAAGGCAGAGCCAGGGAGGCAAGGTTACAGACAGCGACCTCATCAGGGGCACAGTACTCAATGATCTCAGTGCAGAGGTTGGAGCTGCGGATGGTGCCCAGGTTCTTCTGGTTGCTCTTGCGGTTGCATGCGTCCTTGTACAGCATGAAGGGGTTGCCGGTCTCAGTTTGAGCCTCGAGGATGGCGTACCACAACTTCTGAGCCTTCATGGTCTTGCGACCCTTGCCAAGCTTCTCGTACTTCTCGTATAAGGCCTCGAACTCCTCGCCGTAGCAGTCGGCAAGGCCAGGGCACTCGTTGGGGCACATCAGAGTCCAATCGCCGTTCTTCTCAACCCGCTTCATGAAGAGATCAGGGATCCAAAGGGCTAGGAAAAGATCGCGGGCGCGGACCTCTTCCTTGCCGTGGTTCTTGCGCAGGTCCAGGAACTCGAAGACATCCGCGTGCCAGGGCTCGAGGTAGATGGCGAAAGCACCCGGTCGCTTGTTGCCACCCTGGTCGACGTATCGAGCAGTGTTGTTGAAGACACGGAGCATGGGAATGACACCGTTGGAGGTACCGTTGGTACCGGCAATGTAAGAGCCAGTGGCACGGATACGGTGAGCGTTGAGACCGATACCGCCAGCCATCTTGGAGATCATGGCACACGTCTTGAGAGTGTCATAGATACCCTCGATGCTATCCTCCTTCATGTCAACCAGGAAGCAGGAAGACAGCTGGGGCTGAGGGGTACCAGCGTTGAAAAGGGTGGGCGAAGCATGGGTAAACAGCTTGCTGGACATGAGGTTGTAGGTCTCCAGGACACGCTCAATGTCATCGCCCCAGATGCCAACAGACACACGCATGATCATGTGCTGCGGTCGCTCAACAATCTTGCCGTCAATCTTGAGGAGATAAGATCGCTCCAGAGTCTTGAAACCGAAGTATTGGTAGTTGAAGTCGCGGTCATACACAATCGCGGAGTCGAGCTCCTCCTTGTGTCGCATGACGCACTCATAGGTCTCCTTGGAGATCATGGGCGACAATCGACCGTTCTTTTCGTTGACATAGTGGTAGAGGTCGCTGACAACAGCGGACCACTGCTTCTTAGTCTGCTTATGGAGGTTGGAGACGGCAATGCGGGCCGCAAGGATGGCGTAGTCGGGGTGCGTAACGGTCATGTACGCAGCAGTCTCTGCGGCCTGTAGCATCCATGTCAGTCAACTGAGGGAGCCTTAGAGGCCGTCTGGGACTTACGAGATCGTCTAATTGGACAGTGGTTACACCACCATAGACACCTGAGATGACCTTCTGGGTGATGGCGACGGGGTCAACGTGGTCAACGTCCAGGCCGTAACACAGCCTGGAGACACGGGCAGTGATCTTGTCGAACTGGACACGCTCCTGGCGTCCATCTAGACGGCTGTCAGCATTAAATAAGCGCACTCGGGTTAAGGAGATACATACCGCGCTTTCTGACGAACATGGCGGAGGATGTGAGGGTTGATTGATAGGGAGGTGGGGAGGACGGGATGAACCGGATGCAGGTTGATGCAAGGCTCTCTTCCCTACTAAAAGGAGTAGCTGGAAGACAAAGCGGCTTCCAAAGGAAGATCTGAGGCTCTTGAGACAAGATGGGGGGTTGTCCAAGGTGGTTTGCAGTAGTTTGTCGAGGGGATGTGGGATGCAGGTTTGACAGGATGGTCGAGGGAGGTTTTATGGGAGGCGCGTCTTCTGAACGCGACGCCAATTTTTAGCGCGACAACATCCAAGCGCATTAGGAAATCCATTAAAGTCCCAAGCCCGCAACCTCAGGCAACGCCCGCCCGCCCATGCAACAATCTCCCGACAGTGGCTCCAGACGGGTTCGTTCGGGTTCGTTCTACGCTCTAGAACTCGGTGAGAGCATCGGATTTCGTCGTAACTCCTTCTTTCCGCCATGGAAACCGCGATCCTCAACAATCTGCTCCGATATCGCGTCGCCGCGTCCCCTGGTCAATGGGCATGGATCGTGGCGGGGTCTGGCATGGGACTGGCGCGCGCAGTCACGTGAGTGGAGATGCAATTATTAATTGTCCAGGCTTGGCGGTGAATCCACGGGCCAACCACTCGTAATCGTGACTGAGAACGGATGGAGACGTGCCTGGAGGGACAACCAATAAGCGAGCAATGCGAACAATGCGAACAGGGCCTGTGTGACTCTTACAATCCGATGGTTCTGCTGCCTGTTAGCCACTCAAGCGCCTTTGTTGCAAGCTGAACCCATGGTCTTGAGAAGGCTTCTCCTGCGAGCCCCAACCCACAATCTTTGCTTCAGATCCCAAACTGCAAATCTGAGATCCATGACCATGGCTTCAGTGCCGTCGGGCTCTGAGCCTGAGAGTGCCTCAAGCTACAAGCCCAGATACATCGATGTGCGTGCCTACGTCTATGACCCAACCCCAAATGTGGAGACTTTCCTTGACTTACACAAGAGATGCGTCTGGTAGATTGGCATAAACTTGTCAGATCCCATCTTTCGAGGCCGATATCACGGCAAACAACGGCACCCCGACGACCTCGCTGGTGTCATCAGCAGAGCCCGCGAAGTCGGCTGCTCGAAACTCATAGTCACGGGCTCTGACCTAGGCAACTCTCGCGATGCTCTCCAGCTCGCAGACGAATATCGTGAGTTTATTCCGGTTACTTATTCCGGCATACGATTGTCGACTGACACCTACAAACCTAGCCGGGACTGTCTTTGCGACTGCCGGCATTCACCCCTGTAGCAGTGCAGTCTTCAGTACTGTCGGTCCTTCCCACGAGTCTGAACATACAACCCCGTGCGACCCAGACCCAGAAGCGCCAGTCTCCGAAGAGCATCCCCCTGACGCTGAAAAGACAGAGAAGCTCATTGCCGGCCTCAACACTTTGATTTTCGAAGCGCGGACTTTAGATAAGAAGCACCTAGTCGCCATAGGCGAATTCGGCCTCGATTACGACCGTCTGCACTATTGCTCCAAGGCCATCCAGCTGCACTCGTTCGCCGCTCAGCTCAAAGTCGCCGCCTCTTTGAGCCCCCAGTTGCCCCTGTTCCTACACTCGAGAGCTGCACATGCCGACTTCGTGCGGTTGCTCAAGGAAGCATTCGGTGAGAAGCTGGAGAAGCTCGACAAGGGTGGCGTTGTTCACAGTTTCACTGGGACAGCCGAGGAGATGCGGGAGTTGATGGACCTGGGACTGTACATCGGTATCAACGGCTGCAGCTTCAAGACGGGTGACAACTGTGCCGTCGTCAAGGAGGTTAGTCTCGACCGGCTCATGATTGAGACGGACGGGCCCTGGTGTGAGGTCAGACCGAGCCACGAGGGCTGGAAGTACTTGATTGAGAAGAAGGACAAGCCCGTAGGAGAAACAGAGCAGAACGGATCTGCTGTTGCCCCTGAGACAGCGCCGAAACAGCAGAAGCAGAAGCAGAAGCAGCCCAAGAATCAGAAGAGGGCGCCCGAAGTTCCTGACCGCTTCAAGGTGGTCAAGAAGGAAAAGTGGGAGGAGGGAGCCATGGTCAAGGGCCGCAACGAGCCATGCAGCATCGAGCGCGTGGCCAAGATTGTGGCGGGCATTAAGGAGGTCAGCGTCGAGGAGGTGTGTGAGGCGTCATGGCGGAACACGGTGGCGGTATTTGGAGTAGAAGATAACTGACATTTGGACGGGAGTACGTTCCGTCACGGGGTATCAATAAGAGAAAAGGAGACAGAATAGACGCCATTTTAGATCCGATACCCATCATGTCATCCCGGAGCCCTTGTGACCGTGTATCCTGCCATGCCTGACAATTCCTGTTGTTACTCCATCCTCCCCTGTCATCCATCCGGGCATTCGTTCACCGTCGACTATCCCGGCCTCTACGAGTTGCCGCACACCAGCCCACACGTGGGTGCCCTGAAACGAGATTTTGACAGTTGGTGTCCATGCATGCAACCCCTCTGCGTCCTCCATCGCAGCATCATCATCGCCGGAGGTATTTGCCTCTTGAATGACTGCGTCGATCTTGCTTCGTCGGCGTTTTGCCTTTTTGTTACCGTCCTTGGCTTGATCGGCATTCCTCTCATCATCACTCTCCACAAGCGTTCGCAGTAAGGGAAAGGGGTCCTGCAACACAATGTCGACCCTCTCAACACCCTTTCCATCTGTAACAATGCCGGCGTCTCCAAATCGTGCTTTGGCCATCACTTTTGCGCGCTTTGCAGCCCGCTGTACTGGCGTCAACTCCGCCACCCGCTTTTGGCCAATACCTGAATCTGATGATTCTCTGGAGAGCGGCGGCGTAGGGAGCACTGTATCCAGGGGCGATTCTTTCTTCTTCTCATCGCTGTAGATGCTCCAACCTCCACCTGCGCAATTCGTGCGCCCCGATCCCTTCTTCTCAAGGATGGCCTCCAAATTCCGACTCACGAGGTTGCTACTTTTGAGAGTGTACCGTTCCCGAGGACGAGAGAGGGCCTTGGGAACTCCATCCACGATCAGACTTTGCAGACTCCTGGACTCGCCCGAACTGGTGGAACCGGTATTTTGAGACTTCGTGACATAAAGAGCAGGGGCGCCATCCGGGAACGCAACGTAGACGGTCCGGGATGAATCAAAGTTTGCAGCAGTGCCAGATCCGTCTCGGCTTGACAAGGCCAAATTAGTGGCGTATGGTGAGTCGATGACAAAAATTCGCAGGATCAGAACAGGTAGATCCTTAGGTCGGTGAAATTGATAATGGGTCTTCACATCGGGCAAAACCTGGTCTTGGAGGTTCTGGAGAAATGTCGACGGGTGAAACCGGGGGATGGCGAGACTCTTTCGATCAACTTTGAGAATTTCCTCGTCGTCGGCATTCCTGGATGGCGGCAATAGAGGCAGAATCTGATACGCTGACCACTTTTGGGAGGTGGGATTCTGCTCAAAGTAGGCGAGATCGGCCATGGCCAGTTGGTACAGCGTCAAGCCATGTCGCCAGTCGCCTTCGAGTATGCGGCTAATTACATCGCGTTTTGAGCCTTTCTGCTGCTGCATTTCCAGGTATAGTTGATGAAGTTCGTCAGGAGACTGGCATGGGGGGTAGATGTCATCTGGATCCTCGTCCTCATCGCCTGCCCTTTGAAGATAGGGGATGGCACTGGGGAGACTCCCATCATCGAGCCAATCCAGCGCGAGCGTGATAAGTGATTCACGAGATAGACGATTAAGGCTTTTCTGCACTGCTGGGTTCGCAGAGTCGACACGAAGTGTAGACGGCAACCTGGCTGTGGTGGGGACAGAAATACGCGCCATTGTTGAGAGCTGGCCGCGATGGCAAAATCAATCAAAAAGCGTGGAGGGTAACAAAGCGTGATTGGCAAGGCTGAGATGGCAATCCACAGGAATATCCCGCTGGGCGGGTGTCGAGAGTCGGCTTGACGTCTTGGACAGAGAGTAATTACGTCCCTCTGGTTTCACACTGTTTACACGCGACACTTCTAATTGCGGGAGACGCGTTGTAGTTGAGCCGCACTTGACCCGAGGGGCGCTACGGATTTAATGCACAGGCCACACTCGGTGGAGTAGCGGCTAGTCATGTGATCAGCCGCCTTCCCCGTGCGTATTGTCGCTTCAAGCTCTCGATGAGGATCTCCCCGAGGGCTCTGTAGACGTAAACAGTGACGAGGAAGGCCACGCCGTTTTACCCCATTTTAGCTGTGGGACGACTTGGGTTCAGGTATGGTATGACTCGGCCGTTCCATGCACTTGATTAATCCTGAATTTCCTGGTCGTCAGTGACCCCACTCTGATGGCAATCAAATGCTACCTTTGGAAAGACGAGACGGTTGGGCGGAGACGTCCAGGGGAAATATCTGAGACGCCTAAGTTATCCAGGGCCCAACAGCTCCATCTGCTGTTGGTGATGAACTCCCCGATGACGAGGCCGACTCGTTGACAAGCCCACGACTGCACAGGGTATTGATTTTGCATCGAGCGAGACTTCGGGGAGAACTTCGGTCCACCCCCCACGCAGTGGTATAACAGGGGCGATGACGTTCTCAACTCAGGTGCAGATCTCGGCCGGCAGATGCGCGAATACCGACTGGTCTGGACGGTAGGCAGAAAATTGGGTGGGGGTGGTGTGCTAGTGGTGTGAATAGCGGGTGACAGGCTACTGTTAACTGGTGACGGAAACCGTGGGATGCATACGAATGACATTTCCTGGAGCGAGCAGATGCTCTGGTGAGGTTGCAATATTGTACGTACAATATACAGAAAACGAGCCGGGGAGTTCGCGAGCTGAGGCGGGCCCCCAGACTAATAAGCGAGGAACCACAGGCCGGGGAGACTTTGCTTTTGGCATCAGCGCCCGCGTCCATCCACGCCGAGGCTGGGGCCCCGTTTTCTCGGGGAGTTGGAGGGCTCAGGCGATGGCTATTGGCCAGTGGGGTGAGATTTTGTCATGCGGTCTCTTAATCAGTCGGGGGATTGAAGCGCACAGCGACGCACGACGAAGCCACCGCCCACGCAACCACGCCTCTTCTGGTTAACTGCCCACCACGAAGAGTTCCTCATGGCGGCTTTGCATGCGCCTGGTACAAGGGGGCTGGTGTCACGGACATACATGCGTGCATGGGCTGGCCTAATTTCATTGTGATTCACCAGCGATGGTCTGGTGACTCTTTCTGGAAGTGTGCTGTTGACGGCTAAGTACTTCACACTGTGCGAGGTGTCAGCCGTCACCGTTGTGACATTTTCTCCCTCGTACTACAAGGTGTGTCTTGGTGCGATATAATTTACATCGTCCGGACATTTGCACTTCAAATGACGGTGAGAATATCCCGAAAGTTGTGTGTGCGAGAATTATCGGCTGCACGATTCAGGGCTGGTGGCCGGCCCGGAATCTCGGAAATCCCAACGTTATTGCGTTAGAGGTAAAGTTTGGCGACGCCGAAGGAATTCGCCACGGGCACTGGATTCACGCTACCGCCGAGTCTTGGCATCGCGGCTAGACTCCCTCTGAGCCACGGCTGTTTACACTCGCTGCACTGGCAAAGCGTTTTCTCGTAAATGTAAATGGGTTGTAACACGAAAGTAAATATGGGCAATTGGGAATGCTTATTTAGAATCTTCGCGTAAAGTCTTATTTAGATACTCGCTCCGACCATTTTGCCGCCTTGATTAGTGAGCATGCGGTTGCAGACAGACATCACAGCGTCAACTCAGCGCGGGTCGCAGATCGGCTGTCAAAGGACCTTGGCTGAGTGACCTTTCCATACTGTGCATGACCTAACTTGGGAGCCAAGTGGAGCTCCCCTTTGTTCACGATCGTCCCTCGGAAGAACACCGACAATAGGAAGAGATGGAGCCAGCCAGACGCGCTGCTACGTCGCATCTGGCTCACACTGTCCGTACGAGTGGTCCGGGTACGGTCGGCGGCCAGGTCTAGAGTCGCATCTTGCAGCAAGTTGACGTCGACAGGGAATAACTTTTCTACTGCTTTTGGAGAGGTACAGGGAGGAGTACTACGTAGCTACAACTCACAGGGACCTGTGTGCCATGGACGTGGGGGACGATGGAGGAGCATGGAGGAGCAATGGAGGGGATCCCGGGAATTCCACGATTCCATGGGCTGATTGTTAAGCAGCGCTGGATGCGAGGCCGGTTCGGGGCCAGTCAGCGGTATTTCCCTCTATGGTGGGAGGGGCGTACCCCACTGACGCTCACTGGCATCAGCACTGCTCCTGAGCCGGCCAGACACTGATTGGGTAGCTTTCGCCGGCTCTGGGTCGGATGTGTCTTCTGCGCTTGTTTTCTCGTGGTTTGTTTTTCGGGCGTTCCCCTCCTCCTCGCTGGGGACGTGGGACGGTGCACTGTGATGACACTGGGTGGCACTACCTACCTAGGTACGTGGGCAAACCTACCTATGTTGGGATGACTACGCGCACCCGACCACTAAATCCGCTACAGCCGCACCGCCGTGGTGGCCATCCACTGCTCATCGCAAAGCCACCCACGCAACGCTACCACGACGCGCCCTACCCGCTAAAAGAACCCCACTGCCCACTGCCCACTGTAGCATGTACCACTGCCCCATGGCTTCGGCGGCAATCGGCTCGCGAGTCTCGACACAAGCATCCACTGTCTGAAAACCCGCCCCAGTACTCGCCGTGGACGTTTCTTTCTTCCTCCACTTCTCGCAACGCCCATCTCGACCTTTCTCATCCGCAGAGAATCAATCGCCCATCGACTTCGACGACTTCCACGGACCTCGACGACTTCCGCAGTGCCGCCCATCGCCCGCTGTTGCTGACGTCGCCCTTCGAGTCACGCCTTTTCGCCTCTGACCCAGTAACAAATTTTGTCCCGCGAAGGACCATACAAACCCCGCTCCCTCGCTATTGAGTGACGGCGTGAGTGATTGCCCAGGTGCCGCATCCGGCTTCAACTACCGTCGACCTGCTACGAGGTCTTTGAATCTTCACCTCGCCAACAAGAGGAGGACCGACTTGGGTTTTTTCTGCTGGGGGGAATTATTGTCACCGCCGACTAGTCGAATTTTCGCTCACGACAACCCTTTCATCTCATCATGGCCAGCTACAACGGCCGCCGCGGCCCCAACGTGTCGCAGTACCTCCGGGACCTCAACGCCATCAACCGCCAGGAGTCCGGCCAGGAGGAGCCTTTCAACATGGAGGAGGATCTCGCCCTGTTCACCAACACCCAGTTCTTCGACTTTGAGACTGGTCAAAACACCGACTACCAGGCCCATGCCGCCAAGGTCGAGGGCGAGACTGCTCCTGCGAGCGCTTCTCCCACCGAGGACATGACTCCCGCTCAATCGGTTATGGGAGATCTCTCCAGCCTCGATTTCATTCAGGGTAAGTTAGGTTCCTGGTTCCCTTCAAACTCACAGTCACACTCGATGCATCTTGGCCCCTCCTGCACAGAAACATGATCAACAAAGGTCATGAAAGGTTCTCTGGATGATTGATTCATCATGAGATTGCCTGAGCTGCAATGCATTGACACGAGCGAGTTCGCTTTGGCGGTCTGCTTCGCGTCTTGCCATCTACCAACATGCCCAATGCCGCTCAAGTGGACGGCCGAGGGACATGTAGGGGAACATGCATATTGGGCTGGTCTACAGTGCAATGAACTGCACCACTCCTTCAACTCACCCCATCCCCCACCCATGGATTTACCCTGTTCGTTTATGTGCGCCGGGGGCCTATATTATTGGGACAGAGTTGTCTCAGTATGCAGGCTCGCTCAAGTGTGGCCCGGCTGGGGCAGCAGGATGAACCTAAATGGCTGGATGGGGGGATGGTGCCTATGGTGCAATATCTCGTGATTTGCCGACACCGATCACGACATCGGGAGCCCCCCCTGTCCTCTACCAGCTCCGCTTCCCAAGATGGGCCAAATCTTCCCCAGTCTCCATTCTCCAGGCCCGCTACCTCGACGTCGACTATTCTTTAGTTCCCTATTGTCAACTCTACCAGTCTCACTTCTTGTCATGACTGTTGTGTCTTCAAGACCCTCGCTAACCACCCCACGATGGCAGGCGACTTCAACTTCCCCGACTTTGCCAACGCCTATCCTTCTACCCCCTTGAATGCCTTCCCGGACAGCGCCCAGAACTTCCAGTCCATGCAGGCCAACCCGTCGTCTGCCTATCCCCAGGTGCCCCAAACCCAGCATCACCAGGCTCACTATGCCCCGTCTACCGCTCCTCAACCTGCCGAGAAGCGCAAGTCCGAGAGTGGCGCCAGTGTCAGCTCCGGCTCCGGCTCCGGAGCGTTGAACTTTGAGGATGCCTCCCGCCATGCCGCCGAGGAGGACAAGCGGAGGCGCAACACCGCCGCTTCCGCCCGCTTCCGCATTAAGAAGAAGCAGCGAGAGCAGGCCCTGGAGAAGTCCGCCAAGGAGATGACCGACAAGGTCTCCGCTCTCGAGAGCAAGGTCCAGCAACTTGAGATGGAGAACAAGTGGCTTAAGAACCTCCTCGTGGAAAAGAACGAAGGAAACGATGAGATCGTTACCATGTGGAAGGAGTTCGCTGCGTCCAAGCAGACTGTCGAAAAGGCCAAGGCCAAGGCCAAGGCCGCCTCGGAACCGGAGCCGCTGAAGGAGGATCTATGATGCCCTTTGACGGTTGGCCCGCGAAATATATGGACGACAATGTGTTGTGACGGGGGAGGGGGGTTGGCGTTCTTCTGTATGGGTTGTGGTCGGGGGGGGGGCCGGGGCGTTTGATTGAATTCCAAGACCTGGATAACCCCAGGCGGATGTGCTCCGGGTTGGCCTTGAAGGCTGCCCATATCATGCATAGATGAGGAAGGCGATGGGAATCATCTGGTGTGGCGGATGGGGATAAATGCATTACGAGAGCGACCGATAGAAACAGTTCTCGGAGTGGTGGGACAGGTAACACGGCAGGTTCTTGTCTTTTTTTTTTTTTTTTGGTTGTTTGCAATGATATCAATGGGTATACGATATATCGTACAATTTAGTAGTTCTATGTCGAACCGAGCCGTCAACAGGCTGCTCAACTCGGCCAATACTTTCATCTTCACCTCACGTCCCTTACGATACAGGTTCGATGGTGTAGCGCAGCGCTTCATCAACCTCGTCGCACCGTCCTTGACCATGGCGATCCTCAGTCCTTCCCCACACTCCCGTTGCCAGCTGGCTCCTCGGCATCCCGCTTTGCCCTCAGGGCCTCAAGCCGCTGCTGGTTCCGCTTCCCTAGTAGCCGCAGCGTGGCCTCGCGCTCGTTCTCCGTCATGCCAGTCCAGTTTGCCACTCTCGCCATGGACCCATCTCTGTTAACGACAAGCGGGCCCATCGCGTCCAGGCGGAGTGACTCTCCCACGCGTAGCGTCGTCACGCCATCGCCCTTGCCGCTGTCGTCTGCGCTGCTGCTACTGCTGCTGCCATTCTCCAGCGGCAAAGGCAGCGGGAGCACCTTTTCCTGCTGACTAGCTGCGGCGTGGCCGGCGGTTTGGGCCTTGTCTGCTGCGCCCTGATCGGCCATATTGGCGGTTGGCGAGCCCGAAGCGGAAGCTGCTGGATGTGGTGGTGCGGTGTGTGATGTGCTCATGAGCCGCCTGAGAGTGACAGAGCAGCGTGGGATGCGCGCGAGCATATTTGAGCGTCTGGCCAATATCTCCGTTTCCGACCCACGGATCTGAGCCCAGATACCACCCAATTGGACTTTCAATTCCTCCCGTCCAAAGCCGCAAGCCCCTGCTGGTAGGTTAAAATGACGCTGAGAAAAGATCCAGATGTGGTAATTCACAAACGGCGCGTGTGGAGAGCGAGACTGAGTGGGAGAACTGAGTGGGAGAAAAAAAAACCCCACGCCCAATTCGGAAAAGACCCTGCCGACGGGTGATTACATATGCACGATGCGGAGGGATATTGGGGGATGGAGTGGGAGCCGTGGCATCGACGCGGGATGCAAGGCCAGATCTACGGTGCGGGATGGATGATGCCATCGCCGGGCGTTAGCAATGGACAGCTTTGATAGGTGCATAGTCTCAGTTCTCGTAATGGGATGCATCTAGGGCTGCCCAGCACGATCCGGGGCGATGGCGAGATGAGCAGGGGTCAATGATGACTACGGACAAATACCTATCACGGGAACTTGTACGACGAGAAAGGCAAGAACATAGAAAAATGGAGTAATAGTCGGTTTAATTCGTAATCCCGCCGTGTTCCCTGCGCTGCAATGCGGCTAAAACGAAAGAGCCATCAAACATCATCTAGCTCGAGTGAGTTATCCCGGGGGGATCAGCTTGCAAAAAAGCTGCTATCCCGTCTTCCCCGGTCTACATCGCCATAGATTCTGCCTATAAACAAACTCCCCTTTCACATCTACACCTTTACACTTCCATCACGACAACCGGTGGCTGAAATTTGGGGACCGTGTCTCCCAGCTCTCTCAGGCAAGTGTCGGTTCGCGCTTGGAAACAACGGGTCAAGTGTAATCTCGCCTACAGGGTCTTCTTGTGCCTACGCGGGAGTCAGCTGCTGTTCTGCCTTGCCGTGGTTCGCAAGTCGCCAGGGTAGAAAACTTACTTGTGGACAACACGCTCAATTCCGTCCAGACCCATCTTCAGTACGTCCATTCTGGGACCATACGACAGACGTACGAAGTGGTGGCAGGGGCTGTCGAAGAGATCACGACGGCGCGAGGGGTTCAGGTCGAAGAAGATACCGGGCACAACGATGACCTTCTCCTCGAGACAAGCTTGGAAGAAGTTGAGACCGTCGGCAATAGACTCGGGAAGACCCTCCAGGTTCAACCAACTACGACATGGTTAGCTCTGCCACTTGCATCACAGACGTCCAGGGGCGAGTAAACTTACAGGTAGAAGGTCGAGTCGGGCACGTACTTGATGACGAAACCCATCTCGCGCAGGCGTCGAACGACGTAGTCACGCTTATCCTATGAAACAGTTAGTCACGCCTTCTCACTAGGAAACTTCGAGTAAGCACGTACCCGGAAATGAGCCTGGAGGTGAGCCATCTCAGTGGCCACCAGACTAGGGTCAAGCATGGGAATAGCGGCCTCCTGGAAGGGATGGCAGGCACCACCATCGAGGTAGCTGCCGCAGGAGCCAATACTTCACAATTGTTAGTTACATTAATGTTAACCAGGGGAAACTCGACGACATACGCATTGATGTACTCTGTTCAGATACTGTTAGCGTGAAACTCTTCTATAATGACATTTGGGCTGTGCAAGCTTACCCTTGGGGCCTAAGATCCAGGCAATTCGCCATCCGGGAAGGCGGAAGCGCTTGGTGAGACCGTCAATGATGAGGACATCATCCTCGTCGACGTCCTCGACGTTCTCGGCAGCAGAAATGGTGGAACCATCGCAGTTGCTGGTGTAGTTGTAGCCGGAGTAAAACTCGTCGCTGATGAAGGTGGCGCGGCCACGGCAGATGTCCTGGATCTCGGCGAGCTCAGGGTTGGCGACAACACGGCCGGTAGGGTTGCGGGGGTTGGAGGTCAGGATGACCGAAGTACCACGAGCAATTTCCTCGGCAATCTTGTCGGGGTGGATGTGGTATCCGTCGCTCTCGTTCAGCGGGACGGGAATGGCGGCGAACTGTGTGGTTTGATTAGTACTCTAGTCGCAGGGGGAAATCTCCCCGGCATGTTCAGCCAAGTCTCAAACCCACGTTCTTGAAGAGACTCAGCATTTCGTTGTAAGCTGTGTAGTCGGGCAAGAAGAAACTCAGGTATGAGTTGCCGAGGACGGCGGCGATTCGGATGAGACCAGCACGGCCACCGGGGACAATGGCGACGTTCTCCCAGGTGTACTGGCTGTCCTTGCCCTTTCGGTGCATCTCATTATAGAGGTGGGCAACAGCCTCTCTCAAGGGCTTGATACCGGCAGTGGGGCCGTACTCTCGGCCGGCCATGGAGACATCGACGGTCGTGGGGCGGGGGAAGCAGCCGGCAATCTCGTCCTCAACCTCGGGGGCACCCTGGCCCAGGTTGGCCCACAGATCGGGCTCCTCAAGGAAGCCATACTCGGAGGCGCGCTCAGTGCACCAGATGACACCAGTGGATGATCGGGAGGCGTCGAGGCCGGCGTGGGGCTGGTGACCCTCGTGGGCGTTACGGAACTGGCGATGGACCTTGGACTGGACCTCTGTTGAAAAGCATTAGTACCGCTCGGTGTGGAAAATGGTTAAGCTACGTATTTAGGATGTGAAGTGCAGTTGTGGTGTTGACCGGCGGGCATGCGTGTGATGCGGCTGAGGGCTGAATGCCGACGATGACGTTATGTCAAGGGAGCTCTACAGCTCGTTGGATGGAGAAGGAAAGAGCTGGGGGGGAGCTGGAGGGGTTTGTGCAGCGGCTTGCCAGGGTAGGAAGGTGGTGCAGGGGAAGTGTGCAGGTGCGCCGCCCCAGAAAGCTGGCACTGGGTGGTAGCCGTAGCCCTGGGCAGGAGCCATGGGTGGTAGCCAGGCTGGAGCTGGGTAAGGGCAGGAGCGGGCAGGCCGAAAAGGCGGAGAGCGAAAAGCTGACCGAAAGGAAAATTCGGGGTCAGTTGGGCGTCGAAGATCCCTCCCCAGGCGTCTCATGATGCCCAAGGATTCGACGAAATCCGCTAGCGGGAGAGTGGGGGAGGGGGAATGTCGCGGGAAGGAGGTGAGACAGGAGGGACAGGAAGAGCACAGTAAACGCCAAGCTGGAAGAAGAGCGGGAGAGGGACCCAAAACTGCAGGAAAGGTGAGGCTGACCGCTTGATGAGGGCTCGCCAGAGCTGAAGCGACGAGCACCCAACGTCTTAGGGGCACCGGTATGGCGGTTGATGGAGAACTTGCGGCCACCGAACATGATGAAGAGGGGTCAAGGCCAAGCTTGAAAAGGCGGGATGTAGTGAGGTGGAGTTGTCGTCGGCGACGTGTTTAAAATAAAAAATCCTGCCTCGCGTATCTTGAGGACAAGAGATGGTTTAGATAAGATGCTCGGTGGGAGACAGAGAGGAGCAGGAGCGGGGACTGGTGATCATGCCAGACGAGGCTTTGATCGGAGATGAAGATATAGAGGAACGGGATAGAACCAGGGGAAGTTCACAGAGAGAAGGAGAGGGAGAAGGGAAAAAGCTTCTGGGATGGTCGAAAGGGGCCTTGGATATAAGTGCAAAATGGGCTTGTCGGGGGCGTTGCACGGGGATGGGGCCGGGACGGCGCCGCAGAGCGCAGAAGTGCAGAAGCGCTGGGATTTGTTACGTGGTCTGTGAGTGTTTCTGCAGTGAGCAATGAGCAATGAGCGGCGAGCTGGGAGCAGCAGCGATCCCAGCACTGACTGGTTGTTATTGGATTGCATTGGACGGCATGACGATTCCGGATTCACCAGCGGCGAGCTTTTCCCATGTTCCATGACATTGGGCTGGGCTGACGGGATGGCGATGGAATCTAGGCCCAGCACAGACGCCCCAGAACACGCCCAGAACACGCCGCTATTCCGATGCTTCCACCCACCGTCCACTCTCCCGCTCACTTCTGCAGCGGCAATCCTGGGGCATATCCCCTGGATATCTCAGCCCAGGTACCTATCTGGTCCGATTGTCACAGGCCGCCCACGGCTTTGTTGGTGACCGAGACCATTCTGCTTCCTTTTGGGGTGTGAGTGTGGGGTGGGGGGAGGGACCAACGTTGATCCTTTTTTCCCGCCTCACCGTACATCGGATTTCGACATGTTACTCGTCGTTCGTATCTAGCTGCCCGAAACCGGCCACGACGACTATAGCCAGTGACGAGACATGATTTTTTCTTCTTCTCCTTCTTGGCAATTACCAAGTCAGCTGGGATTCCTCCCCTAAAGATGCCGCAACTTCCTGATTTTGTCTCACAGGGTTACACCTTCGCCTGTATCTATCCATATGTCTCACCTGGGACCTGCGGGAGGGCAACCAAGTGACGTGCGGGCTGGTCTTTGCGTGCGCGGCCCCATCAATCACATCCGGGCACGACATGGTGGCTCCTTAGCTGCGCTTCTGGTTGTCAATGGCCAGCCAGCGAATGACCTTTTACAACAAACGTGTGCGGATACACGGCAGCACCAATCCACAGCCGTAATGCAAAAACGCCCGCGCCCATCGCCACTGCATAACCCGAAGGGGTAGGACGATATTGAGCATTTTGCTGACTTCTCACCTTCGTCTTCACCTGTTGTTTAGTTGTTACCCAACCCAGCGCTGGCCCCAAGCTCCCGGCCAACAACAGAGCTACACGACTCGCTGTGCCCGAAACCTTCAAAACCCACAAAGTGGCCTAGTCCACTCGGTGGACGTTCCCAGGTGGAGCTATTATCCCACGATAACTCGCATAAACCAACCCGGCGGCAGGGCCATGCCCGGATCTAGGTGCCGGCCCGGCCCCTTGACCGTTCTAGGAAACCGCACGAACCTCTAGAAGGCTCGAAGCAAGCAATCCATGATGCATGGAAATAAATGCCATGCCTCTTTCTCGTCCTTCTCTTCCCGTCTCTCGCCGGCGGACGCGACGACCCCTTTTGGCCCCAACTTTGGGATCCATTGAGGGGCGCCTCCGTTCGCAGTGATCCGTCTATTGGATGCTTGGACGAGCTTGGAAGGCCCTTGGAAGGCCCTTGGACGACCCGCGGAAGCAGTCCTGGCGAATGAATGCCCCGAACTAGCAATTGCTGGCCCTCGTATGGCGAGCCGCCTCCCCCAAGGTGGAGATATATCTGACGCTGGGATTTCTGATTTCTGGAACAGCCCTTGCGTAGACCTGGGCTAGACCTGGAGCAAACGACGAAACGGCCCGCAGGCTGCTGGAGCAAGATGACACGCAGCCCGGTTGGACCCGATGTCGCGGACCAGACGGGGGTCCGACGTGCTGACGGGGGCAACAAATCATCAGACTCACGGACGCTGCGGTGCCTGGTCGTGTTGGCGATGGCGTCACATCGACGCCCAGGTGGAATGTTTCCAGAAGCCAGGCTCGCCGTGCTCACCTTAAAAAGCCGCAACGGTGTCTCCGGGCCCGGGGTCCCACGGTCGTCTTTTATTCGCGCATGCGAAATTACACCTGGGAGACTCGGTGTTGGGCTGCGATCCACCATTCCACTCCGACCTGTCCGTCACCCGTTGGTCTCCAGTTGAAGGGAAAGTTGTGGGGAGACTTGAGGGAGGCTGAGAAGGTGAGAGGGTGAGCAGGATAGACCAAGGCCACTTTCAAGGTCGGCCTAACTGTCACCATTGTGACCTAAACGACACACCGAAGTTGAATCCTGGGTTTCTCCATTGCGCCCGGACTAGACGCCCCAGGAAAATCCAAATTCAATCCACTTTGTTCACATGAACTCCATCCGCATCCACATAGCGGCGCATTCTCCATGCAGTACCACGAAAAGAGGACAAAGGCACAGTCCCAAGCCTTTTTCTTAGTTTACATGACTACGTACGGATGCAGCAAGGTCCTTCCTTTCGTGCTATTAAACCTTGACGCGTTGCTCTTACCAGGCATGTACACATATTATGCCTCAGACGAAACCGAGACGACGTCGCATGAGGCAATAAGCGGGCAGGGTCTCTGGGCGAGTCTCTGGCGCATAGTTTCGCCTCTCGCCACAATGCCAGCGGCTGGTGGCCTCAACTTTCAAAGAGGCGAGGTCATGACCTTTCAGCGATGGCTGCCTCTGGTCTTCCGTTGTGTCGAAATGTGGTAGGTACACATCATAGCATGGCCACCATATAAAGGGCTGCATCCCCTCAGATGATCGAACTGGGCTCTATCACCAAACAACGTTCTCATTCGGTCCGTTGTTCACTCCAGCTCGCATTGGGGCGGTGCGGTTTGCCTTGGATCGTACCTTGGTTTAATTGGTTGATTCCAGCCACAGCCGGCGCTTGGAGAAAAATATTGTGGCTAGAAGGCGGCGATGCGGGGGCGCAAGGCGGCGGAGGCTTAGCAGGGGCACTCTTACTGTACCGCAGTCTAGTCCGCCTTACGGGCGAAATGCGAACCGCCCCTTTTGGCCCCCACACGCGGAATGTATCATCTCTTGTCGAAGTCATCCTTCTCAAGTATCAACAAAGTGGACATACCACAGCGTTTTAGCCTCATGACTGAAAATCAGCCATAAGAATGCCTTATTAAATTCGCCCAGGGCGGGCTCTCTACCGATCCTAGCCGACATAGTTTGTACGAATGAATATAAGACATCACAAGGGATCGATTCAATGTGTCTCAAAACACAACACAAAGAGCCATCTCCACTAGACCTACACTCGGCAACTCTAACCACAGAAAAGCCGCCACGCAAACAACTTTCTCGTTTATTGTATTTGTCAAACAAAGTCTCGCCTCGCCACAGTCACACAAACGATCAAGGTTCGGCGTCCGTTGATCACGAAACACTACCCCCGCCGTCTTTGTCACACGCACATTCCGAAAGAACATCACATACATAAAGCAGCAGGCACGGGAAGAATCTCTTGCCTAACATCCACAGATTCGCAGCTCATACAACTCAACCTCAACTTCATCACCATCAATCATGTCAATGTTTGGCAGCCTCAGGGGCAAGTTCTCCCGCAGCAAGAGTCCAGCATCTTCCAAGGCTACAGAGAGACCCTCTCGGATCGACTCTAGAAATGTCAACACCGACAGCGCTTCCTGGAACCTCAACAACCCCTTCCTAGACCCATCGTCCGCAACTCGTAAGTCTGACCTCGCAGCTTCTGCTTCGGTTCTTGACTTACCAACACTCAAACTTCCAGCCAATGAAGCCCCTCCCGCATATTCTGCCGGTCCTAGCCCCTCAGCCTCAGCTAGCCACCTCTCCGTTGGCCGCCGCGGAGCCTCACCTTCGCCAAGTCTCGCCAGCATCACGTCCGCCGAGGACAAGTACGCCTTCCTCTCTACCTTTGATACCGTCTTCGTCATCGATGACTCGGGCTCCATGGCTGGCCGCTCGTGGCGCGAGGTCCGCGATGCCCTCAAAGCCATCGCCCCGATCTGCACTTCGCACGATCCCGACGGCATCGACATCTACTTCTTGAACCACAAGTCTGGTGCCGCCGGCTCCGCCTACACGGCTCCCAATGGCTACACAAACATCCGCGATCCGGCCCAAGTCCAACGTCTCTTCGAGTCTGTCAGGCCTAGCGGTGCCACGCCCACCGGCAACCGTCTACAGAGCATCCTCAAGCCCTATCTCGCCAGCATCGCCCGTCGCCCGGACAGCATGGATACGGTCAAACCAGTCAACATCATCGTTATCACCGATGGCTGCCCGACTGATGACCCTGAGAGCATCATTGTCCACCATGCCCGCAAGCTAGACCAGCTCGAGGCGCCTCCTCACCAGGTCGGCATCCAATTCTTCCAGGTTGGCACCGAGTTTGGAGCTAGCGCCGCCCTGAAGGAACTCGATGATGACCTCGCCGATCTTGGCATCCGCGATATGGTTGACACCGTCACCTGGAGTTCTACGGCCTCTGATAGGAGCAAGTCCTTGTCAGCTGACGGCATCCTCAAGGTTGTCCTAGGCGCTGTGGTGCGCCGCCTCGACCGCAAGACGGTAAGCCGCTCGGCATCTCGCAGCCATTCCCGCAACTAAACCACATGAGGCGGCATGTATTATCCTACTTTTGTTCCTTATTTTCTTTGTATTACTATGAGGGGCTTGTAATGGTGGATTGGCGTTCACGGACTCAATTGCTCAAGGCTCTTGGCACTGCGCAATTAGCACTTCTCAAGGGACTTGGACTCAGTTACAGTAGACACTCCCTCACGGGACTTCCTTCACAGGAAACGGGAAACCGACCTCGCGAGTTAAACAGAATCGCGAAGAAGATAGATACTTCATTTGAAAACCATTAAACAACGTTACCATCGCCAAGAAGTGACTGTTCATTGAATAACCTCATTTATTAGGCTTGACTAGTTATCCTTGCTGATCCCCCGAGCAGAAGAAGAGAGCTCCTATCTCTATCAAAGAGAGATTGTCATAACTACCAAGGAGCTCCTAAAAGCCCTGCCTTTTTGTTTGTTTAGTATCCTCTCGTCCAGTGAACCCCTGCCCTCTTTATCCCCATTGGCGAAGATAAAAGCGAAAGATGTGTTCTTTCCTGGCGAGTTTGCTTGGTGGGTTGGTTTATCCATATCCCCAAGCATAAAACAATAAAAAGAAAAAACCAATGATGTGTAGATGCGAAACTGTCGACCCCTTTCCTGGTCCTAATTAACCTCGCTTGAGCCAGATACAAGATGGGATGAGGCGCGACACGCAAATGCGAAAGACAAAAAACGCCTGTGCCCATTTCTCCTGGCTGACTCGGATGGAGTGTCGTGGAGAATTCGATGTAGAATGAGAAACCCGATCCCGAAAATCGCTGTGGCCTAGCATATCAGTGAATCTGGTCCCAGGTAAACTTGTGTGGCCGCCAAGTCCGCTTGCTTGATCGGGTACGTGGACTTGAAGATACAACCGACTATATGAGTCTGAGGACAGCCGAAATGGCTGAAGCATGCCATATCAATGACCCACATTACTGCATGCAGACCACATCCGCGAGGGCGACTGAGTGGGCGGAAATGTTGGCGCCTGTGTCGTTGCGGCAGGTAACAACTGGTGTCGTGACGAGGGCAACTCGCCAGTGCTTGGCCTGCAGCTCCATGGGATCCATGTTGGGCCAGATGGGGATCATGGACTGGCACGAGAAGCGACAGCCAACCTCGGGGAAGCGGAAGTCGAATGTCAGGCGGCTGCTGAGGATGCGAGACGACAACGCCCATGCCGTGGCGGAGACCAGCTCCAGGTCGTGGTATGTTCCAGTCGGGTTGGCGGCCTCGTTCAAAAGCGGCTGGATCATGTTCAGTATCATTTCGGTGATCTCTTCGATGCGCATCTTGCTGAACGGCGTGTACTGGTCGAGCTTCAGGATGGAGTCGATGACTCCGGCTTGGCGGTCGAGGATTGGCTGGCGGTGGGAAGATGGTTGACCTAGAGATACGGTGTTAGCAATTAACTAAAGATGATTCGAAAGGGTTAGGAGTCATGCAAACCTTGAGTTCGCTCCAGGTCCTTCTCAATGTCCATGAGGCCATAGGTTGCCTCAGTGTCGGCGCCGCACCAGGCACGAGGGACCCAGACGCGGTTGACAATGAAGTCGACAAGGACTCGGGTGACAAGGCACGACTTGGAACTCTCATCCTTGAGGTGGAACTCGAGGTAGGAGACTGCCTCGGCCTCTGAAAGAGGGTAGTAGGTCGCCAGGAGAACGGGCCAAAGACGAGTCTGGGAGAGCTCAGAGGGCACTGTGTAGCTGGGCTCATTGGCGTTGTTCTCGACAAAGGTGCGAATGACCGTGTAGAGCTCCATGATCTGCTCGTTCCAAGCAGCTACAGTCATCTCCGTGATGTGGATGAGAGGGCCGGGAAAGGCACCGCGGCTAGCGAGCGCCGTGGACTGTGCCTTGGCGTAGTCAGGGGAAATAGGATCGCGGAAGCGGCCGTACTTGCCGCGGGTCGCAGATGGAGTTGTGGGATAGTACTCTCGGCGCTGTCCGAATGCACTCTCAGGACGGCCAAAGCCCTTGTCGGTGGGAGGCATGTGCTGAGAGTATTGATCCGGGATATTGGCACGGTATGTTCCATTGTGCTGGAAGCCCCGACGCGAAGGAGCTCGCCCAAAGCCGCCAACTGGCCCGACTCCATTGCCTGGGTGGTTTCCGAAGCGAGACTGAGCGGGAGTAGGTGGCGCCCAGTGGACTGGGTGTCGTCGATCGGAAGGGATCGTCGAGGCGGCTCGAGGAGGCCCAGAAGCCAAGGGTCCAAATCGTGGAGGAGCATAGGCTGCGGCGCGGGTGGGCTGAAAGCCGGTAGGAGGACGAGGAGGCTGAGCGGCCATGTCAGTGAAGACATGCGAGAGGTTCTTGGAGTCTCGTGGCTCGGGTTCGTCTCGAGCGTCAGGTCGCAGCGACATGATGGTCTTCTGGACAACCTCCTTGTCCTTACAGGAATCGGCAATGGTCCCGATGGCGCGGGCAACAGACTCGGCACTCGAGTGCTTCATGACCCAGAGCGAGCGGCGGTTGTTCACCTGCCCTTCCAGGTGATTAATGGTGTCTTCGAGATGCTGTAGACCATCATTAGCTTCTGTGGAGGGTGCTCGCACACAAGGATTGCCACTGACCTTGATCATCTCCTCGCGTCTTGGAGACTTGCCATCCTCGGACTTGGCATCCTTCTCTTTGTACGACTTAAAGTCGCGAGTAAGAGTCTGAAGGTCTTCCATGACCTTGCCAACCTCAGCTTCGGCCTCCTTGCGCTTGTCCCGCTCCGATGAGAGCTCGACGCGAAGGTTGCTAATAGTCTGCGCCTGGTCGTCTGCTTCGGCCTTGGTGAGGTTGGCCTCGATGCTCATGCGCGCGATGGCCTTGTCAGTGTCCTCCTGGTCGAGAGTCAGGTTCATCAGCGCATCAACAAGCTGGCTAGTCTCCTGGCTAATAATCTGGCCAACTTCTTGGAGCTGCGAGATGATCTCGTTAGACTCCTTGGATGAGACGCCGGGCATGCGACGGAGCGAGGTCTGTAGCTTGACGAGGATCTCCTGCGAGACTCGGGCCTTGGCGAAGGCGGGCTGTTGGAGAGTCAGCTTGAGAGGTTCTTGAGAAGAGAGATGCTTCTGCCTGAGAAAGGGCACTACGGCGAGAGCACTTACATGGTTGTTGGTCATCTGCTTGATTCTCTCGGAGCGAGCAGCCCCTGCTAAAGGGGTTGAGAAGTTGATGGACAACATGCTGTCCGGCGAGCTGGTGCTCTCGCTGTAGTCGGGACTCGAGGACCACCGCGACCGAAGTTGATGGTTTCTAGAATCGCTTTCAGTGAAGTCGTGATGGCTCTCACTCATTCTAGTCCCGGATAAAAGACGCCAGAGGCAGCTGCGTGAAGGGGGGGTAAATTAAAAGGACTAAGGGTGGGTGGTTGGTGAAGAGGGAGAGTGGGTGAGGGGGAGGTGAGAAGTGCGAGATGTGCTTATGAGAAGCAGAAATCAAAGGGCCCTTTTCTGTGCGATGGATTCGAAATACCACTGCCGGCTAGTCAAAAATCCACTGGGCCAGTTGCGCAAACAGAAACACTGAGAAATCGACCAAATCGGTTTAGGCGGACAGCAAACGGGCGTTCGTTTGGGGCTCAGGAGTTGTGCGTTTGAGCAGGGCTCGGCTTTATTGGATAAACTCTTACAAACAGTCACTTATAATCTGTCTTCGAGAACAAGATCGAATAACTCGAAGCAGTTGAATGCAAACAAGACATGCCTTAAATGCCAAATTCCCCGCGAGAGCCCCTGAGCAGGATCCAGGACAAAGAAAGACACTATTGATACTCTAGATTCAAGAACAGGATACAGTACACTTCTCCGAGTACACAAGTAATGATGGGCATTTAAACAACGGAGGAGGAGGCGAAAGGGGAGCACATATTGTGCCAACTGGTCCACGGCGCATCCACTTCACTTCGCCCTCACCATGAGTCAACCAACACACACGCACGTGGTTGCTCAAGGTGAGAAGTATCTGAAAGAGAGATGAATGGAGGCCAAAAACTCGCCAACCAGGCAATTGCTCTTCCATCTGTAATATTTGTCATCGAGGACCCCTTTGTCAAAGCAAGAGACAGCTAAAATCTAACCCTTTTTCTCAACTGAACTTTTTTCTCAAACTTGCATCGCCTTGTTCATCAATACTTTGCTAGCTACCAGGACATTGTCCAGTTGCAGCCATGTGGCTGAGTCCATAGATATGTCAGTGTTTAACCCTGCGCCCGATTCATAACAAAAGGGGCGTTGAACTTACAGAGTGTTCAAAGGCTTCGCCGTTTGGGGACTCGTCACAGTGTACCCAGATGCCCTAGTACCGTCATCAATTTGGCGGGGCCTTAGTAACATGACCCAGATTCTACAATCATAGACAATACAAGCACCACATCATCAAGAACATTGCGACGCTCGCTCAACACAATCTATTTTGCACAAAGTGACATGACTATCTAGACAGAGTGGTAGAACTATGGGATATTGCCACATATTTCCCCAGAAGGGGAGGAGGGCCATCCTATGGTACATATATCAGCAGGGGGAACTTGCACTTAACGAGTGCTGGACCTGAGTGTTCGAAGGTGAATCCAGGTATACGTGTGCGGCGTCCAGTGTGACGGGTGAGTGAACCTGCGACACCTAGGGTTAAGAAGGGGATGCTCGGCTGTTTCCGTGTAGCGGGATGAGGGCCGAGTCTTGTCGGTTCTGTTGGTGAGTCGTGATGAGAGATTGCGTACTCTCGGAGGAAGCAAAGGCTTCATGCCTGTTGAACCACGGTCTTAGTCAGGCGCCTCCGCCAGTTGGGACAGACACTGCTAACCTGGAAGGGTCCTAAATAGCAGTGTCGACAAGCCAGCATTAGCTTAGATTGCCCGAGTACGAGAGAACAAACTGCTGTAGACGGCATCTACAACAGGCGCCGCGTCGATCATTCGTCCTCCAAAGTATCGGCCGTTGAGGCCCTTGATAGCATTTTCGCCGCCCTGGACTTTGTCAAACTTGAGATAGATGTCTCCCGTAGAGTTTGGGTCGACCGAAATATGGACGACATGTCCATACTTCGTCTCGGCCTCTTGACGAACGTCATCCTCGAGCTCTTTAACCCATTCGTCACCTTCTTCCCTAGAATCCGCGTCAGTAGTGTTCTTCAAAGCGTGTTATCTGGCAACTTACTCTTCGGGTTCAAACATGTTGTGGAGCACAACACAGCGGCTTGCCATGTTGACATTGACGGGGAGCGGCTTGGTCTCTGTCTTGGGTTTGAGGACTTGTCGCTCGTCATTGCCATTGGTGTTGCTATCGTCGGTCCTGGCAAGTTTTCTCATCAATGCATCGCGACTATAGTTGTTAAAGTTGACCCCAGCGACATCGGTGTCATCAAGGGCGCTGGCGCCACCAGTCTTCTCACTGTCTCGTCCTCCGGCCCGGTCGAAGGCGGAGGATTGAGGGCCACGTCCACCAGAGCCAGAAAAGGCGGAGCCCTGGAACTGTTGGTTCTGGCCGGAAAATCTCTGCAACAGGTTGGCAGTGCTCTCAGGGGTGAACTTATCGTTTCCAAGGCCGACGCGGATAGGACGACCGGCTAAATCAAAGCCATTCATCTTCTCTAGCGCCTCTCGTGCCTGGGTTGCATCACGGAACCTATTGTCATGTTAGCTGGGACAGCAAAAGGTGGGTGGGTCCTGTAAGACGTACTGGACAAAGCCATAACCGCGGCTTCGGTTGTTTTCGTCCTTCTGCAGCTGTACAAACTCGAGCTCGCCAAAGGGCTCGAACACGGCTTGCAGGTCCTGCTCGGTGACGTTGAAATGAATGTTGCCAACGTAAAGGCGATGGAATGGGATGGAGTTGGGGTGAGGCCCAGCAGCCTCTGGGTTGCGTGCCTGTCGGTTTTTCTCTGCCTCTGTCACCTGAACAATGACAGGAATACCTAGGAGTTTCTGTCCAGTGAGTTGAAGGGCCTGGGTAACGGATTCTTCGTTCTTGAACTCGACGTAACCAACTCTAGGTGACTTGTTAGCAAGAAATCAGGATGCCATGTTTACGAATAGACTTACCCCTTGGATCTCTGACTGATACGGTCCTTCACGATCTGAGCCTCGTTGACGGGGCCGACCTTCTCGAAGAACTCCTTCAGCTCGCGAGTTCGCAAGCGCGCTGCAAGTTGCTGGACAAACACAGTGCGACGATCCCGTTCGTCTTCAGTAAGCTGGGGTGTGGCCTCACGCTTTGGATCTCGGCGATCCTCATCCCGGCCGCGGCCATATTCGCGGGGGCGGCGGTCCGGGCGATCTCGTCGGTCGCGGTGGTCGCGGTCCTCCCGAGGGCGGTAGTGGCCGTGCGGCGACCGAGATCGGGATCTCGAACGCCGACGTCCGCCTCTGTAATAATCGCCGTCTCTGTTTCGACGTGAGTGACGGCGCTCGTCATCGCGGCTTCTGCTTCTCCTTCTACTTCTGTGGCTGCCAGCGTCGCTTCGAGGAGTTCCTACATCGGGTGTGCCTCGTCGGCTTCGGGTTTGGCTGGTCTCTCGGCGGTCACGGCGTCGACGGTCGTGGTCGCGATCTCGACCGCGGTCACGTTCTCGGTCCTTGTCCCGTCGGTCGGACTTGTCGTCTTTCGTTTGATCATCGGTGGGACTCTTGATCTTCTGCTCGGTATCCTTCGCCGTGGCGTCAAGGAGCGCCTCCACATCGAGAGTAGCCATAGTGTCTATGCCGTCGCGTGAGTTCTGGGATCCTCAAAGCTGGAATCACCTGGCAGGGCTTCCGAGTTAGCCTAAGTGTGATGTTTCACTCGAGTTGAGCGGCGATGGGGATGTTCCGAGCAGAGTGTCGGGGTTTTATGGATGATGCCTGATGCGCGACAAGGTTTTAGGCTAAGCCACAAGTGATATCACGTGATGCGCCACAGACACTCAGACCATCACCAACCAGCTAGCATGTGCATAACGATAAAGGAGGCCGATGCACGGAGTAATGTAATTGAGGAAAGAAGTTGGGATTATTATGTAGATCTCTCCAAAAGTAGCTGTCCCGCCACGCGTACAATCTAGAGCATTAAAACTATGATAGTGATTTGTGGTCATAAATGCCCTGCGCCCGGCATAAGCTCGTTACCTTCCTTAATCATGACTGCTCTGGTGCCCCCAACTCCCATCAATTTCAAGCACCCTAACGATGAAACAAATATGTACCCTATCTCCAAATTAAAGCTCATTGGTGCCAAAACCGAGTCCGTGCGAGATATCCAGGTAGTCTCAGTTCTTCTTCACACTGTAATCAAGCTCGGTGCCAAAGATGCTATCCCAGAACTTGCTGGTAACGCCAAAGCCGAGCTCATAATCGAGGAAGTGGTGAGCAAGGTGATGCTTCTTGAGCTCCTTGTACCACAAGGGGAGGTTCTGGTGGTGAAGGAAGTAGTGTGTAAGATCATAGCAGACGTAACCGAAGATGCCGCCGCAGTAGACAGCGGTGGCAGCATGCCAGCTGTAGGGAATGATGGTGTGGGCAAGGTACCAGAACGGGGTCGCAAGCACGACGAAGAGGGTCGGGGGCATGACGAGTCGGTACTTGTCCATGGGTAGGTAGTGATGGATGCCATGGAGCAGGAAGTGAAGGGTGATACCGACACGGTTGTCAGGGAGATAGCTACAGTGGGTCAGCATAAAGTTCGCACGAGAACAGAGAATGATGCTTACTAGTCGAGGTGGAAAAGGAACCGGTGCAGGCCGTATTCGACAATGGTCCAGATGAGGATGCCGCATACCCAATACATAAAGGGGTACATCTGGTTGTCATAGGCCTGTGAGGACAGGTAGAGGCCATACGTAACGCAAGGCAGCCAGGCGGTGGGAATCAACCACCATGGGGTCTTGGAAAGAGGCTCGAGGAAATTGCCGAACAGAGGCGCAGACTGGCCGCCCTTGTAGTGGCGAGGACGGTGGACCTGGTCGAGGTAGAACTCTTTGCTGAAGCCGCCGAACCAGATTTGAGGGAAGAGAGGACGGCTCAGGTCAAGGAACTTGTGCCTCTTGTAGTCGTTGTCATAGTCGGTGTCCTTGCTCAAGTCTTCTTCGCAAGACATGCCAGTTCGAGGGTGGACAGTTTTGTTCTCGTCGTCGATGGCGGCATCGCCGTTGGCCTGCTTGGCAGCTCCGTTGCCATTGCCGTTGGCCTTGCCATTTCCATTTGCAGTGACGGCCTTTTCGGAGATGACGAACCCGACGATGGAGTCGTCCAGGACCTCATATGCGGCTTCGGAGTGAGAGTGGGATGTCGAGTCCTTCAGAATGTCTTCGATGTCGCGACCGGCGTAGTCGTAGACGAGGTCGGCGCCACCGGGGTGGTCCTCGGCGAAGTCGGTGACATCGAAGACCTTGGAGCCGATGGTGACGTAGCAGGACTTCTTGGAGTTGTGCGACTCGACCTCAGCGCGAGTGAAGGTTGGCAGCGTTCTGGCAGGCATGGTTGAGATAGCGGTGGGAGGGGCGTCAGTCGGAGCAGTCGGACGGAGATGGACGCGGAAGCAATTGCATGCGACGTTGAAACAGGACGCGACCGGGAGAAGCTGGCACTTCGGCGCCGGGGAAAGGACGATGCAAGCACGGGGGAGGAGGGACAGAAGAACGCTGGGCAGACAGCGATTGAAACAGAAGAAAAGAGTTGGGCGCCAGCTCTTGGGAAGTTATAATGACAATGGATGGGCATGAAGGAGCGGAAGGGCGGGACGGCCGGCAGGGGTTTGGGGGGATTTTTTTTAATGAGGATCCTCCGCTTCCGTGTTAGCGACCAGGTGGCGCTATAATGACCACAGAACAGGCCACACGGATGGTATCTACGGGTTGGAAAGGTCCGGGAGTATGGGAATTGCCGGAAAGAGCAGCAGGATGATTGACAGATATCCCAATGAGAGAACGGCGATTAGTCTCATGGCCTCATGGCATCTACAGCCCATGGCCCTTGTCGCAGAGAAATGGCAGCCTCGGGGGTGGTCTAATCTGATGGTTTAGGCTACGACACGGTGAAAGGGGGCTTCGGGAGGCCGCGCGCACTTGCGTTTAGGTGCCTCTTTAGCTAGGGTTTGGGGCCTGTGTTGGAACTTGGCGGCCTTGCGACTGTAATTAATCAATCATCAATTCATGCGTCAGCGAATCCAGAAGGCCCAGCGGGTTTTGACGTGATTACCTAGATTACCTACTACGTAACTTAGGTAAACAAAATCAAAAACTGGCCCCATCGGAAAGTCCAAGTCCCGAGCGGAGCTGTGAGTAATAAGGAATACCTACTGACAACAAGGCGTGGGAACGTGCGTCGGTGCCGGGGTTCTCGGAGGTGCCGGGTCGGTCTTCAACCTCCAACGGTCAAAGACTCCATGCCACGAAATTTGTTGCAAGGAGATCTGCGCAAGTATCCTGCAGTGACTTGATACTCGGGGTCGGATCCTAGGCCGTCGTCAGCCCACCGCGTACCTGGCAGGCCGCAGCGGACGCCTACATTGGCTGATGCTGTCGGTCTATCGGCGCAGCTCGCCTTGACTTGCACCGCATCACTCCAAGCCACCATGGCCGAGCTGCTTGGCAAGCGTTGTGACACAGGCAACAGGCATATGCTAGTTTCCCGCCAACCAGACGGCCTGGTCTAATTAGATGCTTAGTAACCTTGGTGGAAACATGTTCCTGTGTGTGCCAGAGGAGGGAGCTCGTAAGCTTGTGATGTCGCCACTCACCGCGGTCAAGTCAGCAGCCAATCTCTCAGCGATTGACCTTGAAGTTAATGGCAGTCGAGGGCGGTGGGTGCAAGTAATCACCAGATCGCATCCACCACTGAGAGTCAAGGCAATGGATCCCCGTCGACTCCAGATCATGCCTCACTGTATACTGATCTCACAAAGAATAAGTCGCCGATGACGAGCATCCCGGATTCTGACCATAGTGCCTCGGTTGATGGAGTGCTCAAACTGGCAGCTCCCTTGGTAACCAAGTAACTTATTAGCCCAAGGCAACCCAACGGCAGAGATGACCAAACCCGTCTTTTCTTGGCTTAGCTGAGACTGCTACTGCGATGCGCTGCAACCTAAGTTACTACGCCTGAACGCTTGAGCTGTCTTGGCCCTGTGCCCTGTGAACCTCTGAGCCTTGGAGGCCTGGCGGGGCACTCCTCTTACTATGCAGCCCAAACTAATAAAGCAAATCTGGGCGCGGTGCAGGTCAGCCACAACAATCCCGTCATCAAGTGGTACCCAGTCTAGCTGAAGCCCTCGCTCGCGCGACTGACTACTTTTGTTGTCCCTTTTCCTCTCCCTCCCGATTCTTACCTCCGGACGTCTTCCCTCCCTCCCTTTCGCATTCCGATCCCCTTCCGCTGCGCTGCGCTGCGTTGTCTGCGACCACTGCGACCGCTGATTTACTGGACTCGAACCCCGCTTGCTTGCTGCCCATCTGCCGCCGTCCGTGCTATAGGGCTGCGTCATGCCGTCATTTTCCTTACCGCGGGGTTCCTGGCTGCTGCTATTCGCAGTGTGCCTCATCCTGCTTCCCGGTCAAGCCTCAGCCTTTGGCGCCGGAAATATCCCCTCCATCTCTCAGGTCCGTCTTGCTCTACAGTGCTCGCTCAGAGCTCTTCTCGTTGCTGACGCGCGCGCGATTTAGGTTGAAGGTCACAATTGGCGTCATGGAGGTCCGTATCTCAACAATCTACCCCCCTCCTCTCCCCCTCCTCTCCAAGCGCCCAAAAACGCACCATGCTGACATCGATCGCGCCGCGATAGATATCGAAGATATTCTCGAGACCATCGCGTTTCTTCACGGCAAGAAATGGACTTCCATGTTAATTAAGCGCACCTACTTTGGCAATTGGCTGCGAGACTACTCCCAGGCTGTCGACGTCGGCAGTCTGAAGGGCGTCAATGCCGCAACCATTCGTATCTTGGTAAGGCCCTTGTCCCCCCCTTCCTGGCACGCCCTCGATCTTTCAGTCAAGTTGACCAGGCGAAGGTTTGGGTCATGTCCTTCATGGCCTTTGGCTATGCTACCGAGGAATTTGAAGTGACCGAAGAGCGTCTGGGTGTCTATCGCCCAGAGGAACACATCGACAACCCCCTCGGCTACGGAGACGGCCTCGATGCCCGTACCTTCGATCCTCGACTTCGCGGTCCTGTTGAACCAATCGAGACGGAGATCGATCCTCGAACAGGAATGAAGAACTACATTGCCAACGAGAGTGGCCAGTGGGCAACTAGCACCAGTTATCTCCGTTACAGCTTCGCTAGATCCATCCACTTTGGTCGACTCTACACCAGCGGCTCCAAACAGGGGCGGGAAGAGGACCTCTGTGAAGCCCTTCGATGCTTGGGACAAGCTCTGCACTGCATGGAGGATTTCAGTGCCCATAGCAACTATTGCGAGCTTGCCCTGCGCGAGCTTGGCTACAACTCCGTCTTTACTCATTGTGGAACAAGGACCGAGATCAATCTCAACGGCAAGCACGTCTACCCTCTCGTCACTGGCACTTTCGGAGCCGTAGATTTCCTGCACTCCGTCATTGGAGAAGCGACAGACGCCTTCACCCAGGCTGAAGTCGATGAGGTCGACATCGCCCTCAAGAACGCCGAAGGCTCTTCCGGCGGCGCCTCTTCTTCCCGAGGCTTCTTCGGATTCTCCGCACCAACCAACTTCATCTCTCTAGTCGGCAACCTGCCCGGTGTCGGCGACGGATTCGCTTCTCAGGCAAGGAGCCTTCAGGCTGCTTCTGAAGCTCAGGAACGGCAGAACAACCGCCAAGCGAGCCGCGACCTTAGCCGCGACAATGCGAACGTTGTTCCTGGTATGAGCCCCAACTTTGACCCCGTCAAGGTATCAGGCCAAATCTACCCCATCCTCGAGTTCCGAGACAAGGTCGTCAAGGCCATCAGCCGGGGCATCGCCAAGGTTCCCGGTCTAGAGAGCCTTCTGGAGAAAATCAGTGAGACTCTGACGGCCTTTATCCTCGGCCTCCTCGCCCCTTTCATCAGGCCCATCATTACACAAGTCTCCAAGGCCTTGAAGGATGGCTCTTCCGGCGTGATCACCGCCAGTGCCAAGTCTCAGTTGGAGCCCTGGGAGAACCCTCGATGCTCTGATCCAACTCACTCCATGCTGTCCAAGGACCACTTCACAAATATCCTGAACTCGTGTGCTGGTCGCATCGCCGCCACGATTCTTCAATACGTTGTCCCGTGAGTTTTACACGGATATCACCTGTACAGAAAAAAGTATTTGCTGACCAGCACTAGTCGAATTCTCTATGCTTGGGAGAACCCGTCGGTCCCCGTTGACGAAGTCGTCAACGATGTGATCCGCGCATTTCACCACCCGGCTGCTCGAAGCAACAATATTGAGATCCAGCGTGACATGTACGCCACTGTCAAGAAGTGGGCCGACGAGCACCCTCGCCGCCACGAGCTCGCCCACCTCCTCTCCTCCGAGTCTGTCAAGAACCACAAGAACCACATCCTTAAATCGGGTGACAAGCGAAGTGTCGACGCTGGTGGCGCTTGTGGTCATTCCCACACCAGCTTTGGCGGTCATGGCAAGGTTGCTGGCGGGCTGTGGTCTCAGATCAGCACCCGCGACCTCAGTGCCATGGAGGGCAAGGACGGCGACCCTTCCTCGGGATACCTATCAAGCAAGCCCGCGCCTCCCAGCAACGCGTCCTTCGAATACGGCCAAAACCCTTCGTATGGTTCTTCTGACGGCGGCTACTCGCAACAAGGCCCCTCCCAAGGCGGGCACAACGCTCCTCCACAGCAGTCCCAATACGGTGGCTACGGCGGCCGTCCCCAAGGCCCACCTCAAGGTTACGGTGCGCCCTCGCCCGGACAATGGGCCCCCCAGGGACCTCCTCCTCCTCAACAGTACGGCGGGCCGGGATACGGAGGACCAGGATATGGAGGCCCAGAATATGGAGCCCCTCCTCCCCAGAGTCCTCCGTATGGGCAGCAGTCGTATGGACAACAGCCTCCGTATGGACAACAACCTCCGTATGGACAACAGCCTCCATATGGGCAGCAGCCTCCATACGGACAGCAGCCTCCATACGGGCAACAGCCCCCATACGGGCAACAACCTCCCAACCAGGATCCCCCGTCCTGGAACCAGTATCCTGGCCAGGGACGCCGATACTAAGTACATAGGCTTCGTGTAAAGTGCGTCAGTTCGTCTTGACATTGTGGACATGGGAGTATCAGGATCGTCAGGTTGGTATCGGGTCTTGGATGATGAGTAAACGGCTTCTACGATACCCAGCACAAAGAGAAATTTCCAGAGGGTATTCAATTGTCAAGTTTGTCTATGAAAACCAATAAGTCACACCTCGTACATGATAAAATGTCACAAGCTCAACCCGGTGAATGGCTCTCCAAAATCTGAACAGGCAGATATGTTTCTCTGAAAGCTATCGACCCTCTCCTGAGCCGCACGCTGTGGTTTTCGCTCCTAACTCCCGATCCCATGCTGTACAGACAAGTATAGGCAAATAAAAGAAAATGCTAGAATATACGACACACGCTATACGCTCGTGTGGGAATCCCCGGGTTTGTTGTCCAGAGGAGACCCAATGCCCGATCTAGAAAGGATATAGTTGTGTTTGTTTTTTTTTTGTTTTTTTTTGGGGGGGGTTCGGCGTCTTTCAACTGCTTCTGCTGCGGCGATGGCCATCCCATCACTGCTTCCCACGTCTGGGATCCAACGACTCGGTTCTACGCATATCGCGAAGTTCCTTGGTGCCCAAACTGCCGAGGCCGCCTTCAGAGCGGCGCTCCCAGCCACCGAGGCGGACGACTTGGCACGTCGCGTTGTCGCCGTCGGAAGAGACCTCGGTGGCATAAGCAACGACGCTGCGGGCGCCCTCCTCCGGGGTTCGGGCCTCCTTGACGACGTCGACGATCTCCTGGTCGCTGAGGGTGCCGGAAATGCCGTCGGACATGAGGACAAGGAACGAGTACTGGGCCGGGCCCATTTCAACGCGGGTGATTTCGGGTTCGGCGGAGACGCCGATGCGCTTGCTCTTCATGTCGCCAAAGGCGCGGCTGTTGGCGAGGCCGGCTATGCGCTCCTCGCCGAAGCTGTCGCCCGACACCATGGACCCGGCGGGGGCGTATCGGCGGAGACGGCGCGTCTCGGTGGGATTACTCGGGTGGTGGTCCGACGTGAGCGGCTGTGCGAGGCCGGTGGCCGTGTCACAAAGGAGGATGCGACTATCGCCGACGTGGGCGCAGAGGAGGGTGGATTGCGCGGCCGGGTGCCAGAAGGGCGCGGCGGTCGGCGTGGAGATGAGGGCGATGGACGCTGTCGAGCCGCCCTTGAAGCGCGTGTTGCCGCCGATTCCATGTCCCGAGGGTGTCGCGTGGGGAACACCTAGGATCTCGTCGTTGTTCAGCGGGATATCGCTCACCCGGGAGTCGTCGGGGTCTACCTTTTGGGCCTGGGCCGACACAAAATCAAGGTCGGCACGCAGGAAGGCATAGGTAAGGACGGATTCGATCGTGATGTCGCCGTCTTCTTTGGGACCGTCTTTCGACAGGACGAAGTGCTCAGGGTAGAAGCGCCTAAAGTAGCCGCCAATGGTGTCTTTATACTCCTTGACCAAGTCCTTCTCGAGCTGGATCGCTTTCGCGTGATCCGTGACCTCGGCGGGTGGTGAGACTGCGCTGTGGATTGGTTCTCCGTGGACTGGCTTCTCTACGATGGCGCTAGGATTCGTCGGTGGCATGGATTTCTTTACCTCCTCGGGGCCCTTCATTTGCACGGGTTCGGGGGTGTCCTTTGTAGATGGGGCCTTGGGTGGTGATCGGTATTGGGAGTGCTCTCGGCCAGGTTTCGTCTTGCGCAAGCTGCTTTGGAGACCAAATTCCTTTGAGGCATTCTCAATATAGCCAGGCAGCTCCTCCCGGATAAATTCAGCACACTGTGTTCCTCCATGGCCATCAAAGACGCCAAAGTAGAAGACCTGGGGGTCCCCCAGGGCGCTGTCCGCAGGGGTGGCCTCTCCGGGCTTCTGCTGCACACTCCGGGGAGCTCTCTTGGCGAAGGCCGGGAGGCTGATTGTGCCGGCCTGGTCCCTGTCCTCATTGTATGGACGCCTTCCTCGATCTGTTGCAACGCCAAGGTGGTGCTTGGCGCGGCGCATGGGAATGCGCACAACGGTCAGGTCTCGAGTGGACGGAATATAGGGTGGGGCGACGGCGGGAGCGGACCCGGGACTCGGAGTGTGAGGGGTCGAGGCATCGCGCGGCAACTTGTGGCCGGGGCCTCGCGATAGACGAGAATCGGGGTGGACGGAAGATGACGGAAGATGGGTGACGAAATAGGTGTGGAAATTCCGCCGCGTGTGCACCGCGATGCATCGCGGGGTGAGCCTGTTGGTCAGACAGAGCGGTCGTTTGCGGCTTCGTGACGAAGATGGCCCAACAGACGAGTCTGTGAGTGTCGCACGGGTTATCGCGGATGGCGGGAGCAGGCTCGCTTTTGAGACGGTTTGCAACCGGCGGATCGCACAGAGACTGGCATTGGGTCGGCCCAAACGGGCGTTGAGAGAACTAGAGGCCGCACAAAGTTGAGAGGTCCGGTTCGGAATCCGAGCCGCAAGGATGGTCGCGAATCCTACCGAGGGACGCGCGAACGGGGCCATGGTCGAGGGTGAATGCTTCGTGCAGCAGGAGAGCCGTGGCCTCGGGCATCAGCGACCCTGACAAAACGGAAGCGCTGCACAGATGCCGCTGTCCAGAGCCATAGGGCAAGTTGTTAAGTGAGGAGTGTGAGGGGAGAATCGGCAAGGGTGTCGCCGTCGGATCGATGTGCGATGCGGGAAAGCGGACGGGCGTCGGGGCGAAGCTGCGGGAGCGAAGACCGAAGACGGTGAGAGACGGGTCACGGGTCAATCGAGGCGCCTCGGGGCCTCTGCAAACGCTGCGACGGTCCTCGTGAAGCACTCTGAGCAGCGCCGTGGAGGAGAAGAGGTTGGCGGCGCTTGGAGGTTGACGGTGACGACAATGGACAACGATTTCCTTGGTGGAGCCGTAGCTAGGCTCATGAGGCCGGCATCGCAGCCAATGAGCGCCGCTTGCGCAACCAACGGTGATTTTACGGCGCGGGGTCCGGGACTCAGGGGCCCGACTTCTCGGCGTAGTCGCTGAAGCTCAAGCCGACGTCTGTACTGCAGGCTGCCGCAGCAGTTAGTGGACAGCTGGCGGGAGCCTTACAGCGACGTGCAGCGGGTGCAGGTACCCTCTGTAAGCCCTATAGCCCTACAACTTACACTTACAATGCTACGCAGAAGCCTGTAGGGGACAACGACCCACTGCCTGATCGCCCTCCGCCCCGTTCCATGCCCCGCGGGCCGCGGGGGTACGTACCCCCGCGCGCTGTGGAGAATCCATTCCATCCGATGTGGACTTCGTGGTCGTGGCACAGGCGGTGATGATGCTCTCGATTCCAACATCAGCCGCCTCCTAATACCAGCCGTAGCAAACGGGAACCCGCGACATACAGAGAACCACCGTGGCCGGCGTCTGGGCTGATCTTCCATGTCTATGAAGTCTCCTCTCCTGGAAAATGGGCGAGTCTGCAGCTGCTGCACCCGCCGATGCGGATGCGTCTGAGCCTTCTACGAGCGATCTGCCCTCTACAAGCAATCTGCCCATTGCGAGCAACCTACCCCGGACCATAGACGTCGACCCTACCGGCGATATCGTCCTGGACGTGACGTTTGAAACCTCCGCCGCTACCCTGAACAGGACCCGCAAGGCGCAGCTCGCTGCCAGCAGGAAAGCCGGTACTCAGCCGCCTCCTGCGTCGGCATTGAAGCCCAAGATCCGGGTGGCGTATCGCACGAGTCTAGCGATACTCAGGAAGCACTCCAAGTATTTTTCAAACTTGCTCTCAAACTCGCAGTTCCGAGAGGCTAGGCTCATCTCGGATGCCCATGACAAGCTTGCTGAGAGGAAGATCAAGCCCAGCGAGGCGGATATAAGGGACCTGCCCTGGATCCCCATCGCTGACGACGATGAGGCCACCAAGGCGGCTAGCCGTGAGAACGTCATGGAGGATATCTTGAACATTATGCACCAGCGGCCGCCCAAGACAGCGCGGGCGACCATATCGCATGTCACAACGCTTGCTATTGTGGCTGACCGCTTCGACTGCGTCAGCGGTGTCGGCCGCGCCCTCAACACAGACTTCAAGTTCAAGTGGCCTCTGACAACGGGGAAACCGCTTCGAGGTGAAGACGGCAAGCCCACTGACACGGAGCAAGCGCTTCGCCAAAAGGCCCTCGTCGCGTGGCTCCTGGGACAGCCTCTGCGGTTTCACCAGGCCACGCGGGAGTTGATCTTGCGAGGGTCCAGTCTGTGGAGTGAGTTCCACGATGCCGGTGCCGACTCGGATTTGACCGCTGTCTGGTGGAATCTACCAGATGGGATTGAGGGTAAGAATCGGTGGTCCTTGGCAGGTAACAACGTGTTGACATGAGTACAGAAGAGCTACGGTACCGGCGTGAGTGTATCCTAAACACTATCGCGTCAGTACAACGTCACTTTCTTGCACTTTTCTCGTCTCGAGAGAGACAATGTAAACTGGGTTACGATACCAGTGCTGCATGTGACTCCTTCCAACTAGGCCAGATGCTCAAGTTCTTCCTCGCCAAGAACCTTCTCTTCCTTGTCGACTTTGGTCCCACATCCCTCGACTCCGTCCCAGATACGGCCATGGTCGAGGTCGAAGAGCTGTTATCGACACTTCAACAGTGTCCTAACTACCAAATCGATAAGAACCACACAAACTGTGGCCTGAGAGTACGATTGGAGCCTATTATGGGGTACATGCGCACCATGCTGTCAGCCAATGTCATTGCACTGCCCCATGCTGACTGGGAGCGACGCCGGATTGAGGTCTCGTGGGTAACTGCAAGGGAGAATAGTGACGTCAATGACGACAAGAGCCCGGGCAAGGCTTTTGAATTTACAAGGGCCATTGCCAACGACCAGCGGCTTCGGTACGAAGGGGCAATGTACGTGGATAAGATGGCCAAAGCCATGTTCATGGCTGAAGCCTGGGATTGGACCCCTGAGGCGTGATATAACCTAAGACTTGCCTGTCGATATTTGGTTTTTAAACTTGCTCAATATTATCAGATAGATCAAAGCCATGTGGTAGTTACAACAATAGGATCACACATTTTAACGCTACACATAGAACCAGAGCATATAGTAGGTCGCACAGTACGGTTGCTGCACACTTACTTTGACGTAACGCTTTCAATTACACTTCCAGCTTCAACATGATTAACATAACCTTGCTTCCTGCAGAGAATGACCTCATATTGAGCTATGTAATACAAGAGAGACTGATATCTCTCATCATCAAGAGGCCGACTTCCAATTCTAGAAAAGATCTTCGAACCACAATAATCGAATACATTGTAAATTTCCCAATGATGTCCCCTCCCGTTGTCCGTCAAGCCTTTTATCACAACACCGAAATAAGCTAGGGCTCATGAGCACTTCTGCCGACATGACATCGTATACCCATTCAATATTGTGACGCCAGTTTTTTTTCTTTCGGCATATAGCTCGGGCAATTCTTTGCTTTATGGAGGACCTCGCGGATAATGGGGCCAGGCACCACCGAGGCCAGAATGCCTTGAAGTGTTGCGGCGGTTAGAAGATGTCGTTTTCCAGGATTAGAGAATGGCCTCTCGACTTGACGAAGAAACGGGTCTTTACACCCTCTAGTTCTGGACAAGGTTGTTGCCAACAATGGCCAGTGCGATCCTTTGGCTCGTGGTCGGCTATCCAATCCTGGTGGATTGTAACCAAGCGAGGCCCAGCAACCCATTTAGTAGAAGAAATTACGAACGCACAGTGCCCTCGTCGACCCCGGTTCCATGTATGATGCCATGGGGATGCTCTATATTGTGGTGGCAACTTGTTCTGTATCACCTGCAGCTTCTGCTACGGGAGCGCTGCATTGCGGAGAATTTGGCAGATAATTGACATCACCGAAGTCATGATGTATTGAAGTGTGGTGGTAGGAAGACATTTTCCAGGATTGGATACTGGCCTCCCAATGTGACGGGGAAACGTCCTTTATATAGGTAATGGTTCAGGGCAAGGTTATTCCTCATTGCCTACAGAGAGCAAGGTCATGCGGTACCGTTTAATACTTCCTTGTAGATTGCAGTCTGGAGCTTGCCACCCAAGATGATGAATTGCTGAAAGAAAAGCCCACTACATGACATGTATCGTGCTCGAGGTCGACTAATGTGGAAGAAACGGCGCTTCTAGTCATACAATTAAGTCAGCACAATCCAGATGAATGAACCGGGAAAAGAAGATCGAGTTGAATTGAAGGTGTTTTCCGAGACTTTGCAGTTTACTGTCTGGGCACCTAGAACACAAAATATGATTTTGGGTTTTGGCGGAATCAGTTGTTCTTGATTTCCAATCTCAAATAGTGGTCGTTCGGGGACCATGTTGAGCGCCGTGGATATTAAATCCGATCAGTAAGCTGGAAAACTTTGAACTGCTCGCGTTCGGTGGCCTGTATTCCTTGAACACTTGGGTTTTTTTGGCCTGGTGCCGAGAAAGTTGTGTGGTCTTTGAAAGCAAGATTGTGTATCAATGAAATCGTCACATTTTCGCCTTGATGAATACTAAAAATATCACTAGAGTCATGTTCGATGTGGCGTAAATGAGACGTGATATAAAACAAGACTTGCTTGTCAGTGCATTATTCAAAATAAACTAGATGGACTCATGAAGATGTAGAAAGCGGCCACCCTAGACGTTTGCGCTTCACGCACTTTTCTTCCCTCAACTTCCCTTTCCCACCACCCCGTTGTCATTGCGTCGTCCTACAATTTAAACCGTAGTCGTCTTCTCGTTGGTGGTATTCTTGTCGGTCTGCGCAGCGACCTGGCTCTCACTGCTGTCGTCGGCATGGGCGGGAGGAGGGGCAGCAGCCTTTGCCTTCATCAAGGGATAGTGGCCATGGACCTCGTGGAATCGCATAACGATGAAGCCAATCATGACGCAGAGCCAGTACAGGTTGTACGAGATGACAGAGCCGTAGGTGGCCGAGTTGGTCCAGCCAAGGATGGCGTTGAAGATGCCCCAGCCGCCGTTGTTGGGAACGTTGGGAGAGCAGCACTTTTCTAGGTTAGATTTGACGGCGAGCTGGGAGTTGGAAAGGGTCACATACGTTGACGTGCCAAACGCTCTGGTCGATATCATACGAGCCAGCGCCGGCTCCGAACTCGGCAGCCTCACCACCAACGTACTCGTTCCACTTCTGGTTCTCGAAATACCAGACGGAGCGGGAGAAGAGACCGGCGGCGACGAGGTACAGGAGGCAAGTGGAGGCGACGAGGAAGAGCTGGAGCTTGGCGGTGGAACCACCCCTAATGGTGTTATCAGCGACGGATTGACGAGTTGGTTGGGAACTTGTGTCACTTACTTGTACAAGAGGTAACCGATGAGACAGCCGCAAATGAGGCCGACAACCGTAGGCAGCGGGATGGCCTTGGCCGAGGCGGAGAATGAGACACCAGCCACAAATACTACAGCCTCGATGCCCTCACGAAGGACGGTGATGAAGGGCAAGACGAACATGGCATAGCGCTCACAGAAGTTCTTAAACCAGCCCTGCGAGCCAAGCTTCATGGGCGACTCGAGGGCCTTGGCGAGCTTGAGGCGCCATTTGTTCTGCATCTTGCCGATGCGCAGGAGGGCGGCGCCCATGACTGTGATGATGAGGGCGGCGAAGAGGCTGAAGGCGCCCTCGTAGTAGAACTCCTTCCGACCCCAGTGGTCGGTGCCAACGGTGTAGAAGACGCCAATGAGGGCGGCGGCAGCGACCAAGCAGATGAACAATCCGATACCGACGCCGAGCCAGATCTGGTGACGGATAATTGATCAGTCCACAGGCGCTTGATGAGAGGGAGAAGGGAGGAAGCTTACCTGGCGCCTCAGACGGTTGTAAGTCTTGACGTCGCCATTGGGGCCATCGAGGGTCTGCTTCAGGAAGGCGAGCAGGACGGAGACAATAATGACGGTCTCAATGGTCTCTCGGAAGACGACCAGGAAGACGGGCACCGCAAAGACATCGACAGCCATGGCGAAGGGTGTTGCGGTTGTCGACTTGGCTCAATGCCTTGACAAGAGAGGTATTCGGTCGAATGCGAAATGCAGCGAGGATGCGATTACAAGCTCTGGAAGAACGGAGGGATGGGGGAATGGCAGGATGAAGATGCTTTTGCCTGATGGCGAGCTATCCCGGATCTGATAATGGAGCAGGAGAAGCGCAGCCGGCGGATCAGATAATCGGAGCAAGCTCCAGAGGGTGTGCGGTGACGACCCATCTCGCTGGTACCGAGTACATCTCGTCGGTACCAGTACATCAGACTATCAGACTAAACATGAAGCACAAGGACCGCTACTGCTAGGGTGACCCCGACGGACCAGGTCTTGGGAAGCGGCCGATCAACGCTCAGCTGCGAGGGATTGGATGTGGCTTTCAAGTCAACCGCTAGCAAGGGCAGCGCTCGGCAAGGAATTGCCGGCGACGTGGGATGCATTTGCTGAGATGTTCGCAACGGGGACAATTTTCTTATTGTTTATTTCCCGCACGGCAATATCTGTGTCATGGTTGACGGGGTTTGGAAAGGCGGGTCGCGAGAACGGGACCGGAGCTGAGGATAGCACATGTAAAAGAGCAGCCGAAGCAGGCAAGGACCCAGGCCGCACCACCGTGTTTAACCTACTCGGTAGTAGTTGGATCGTCGAGAAGGACAAAACGGGCAGTGCGTAACAGAGAAACGACCGATGTGGCGCACATGCTATGTCGTAAACGAGACGAGACGAGACGGCGGATGGAGCCCAACAGGCGCGCCGATCGAACGACTCCAGGATCACCGAGTGGTCATGCGACGCGGACGAGATTGATTTGGGAGCATTGTTAGCCTAGTGAGGAAAAAAGCCACAGACGGCATGGATGGGCAGCGGAAGAGAGGGCGGAAGAGAGAGCTAAGGCGGGCTGTGTTTAATACAAGCTTGAGGCTGCTTCCCTCGCGGCCGGCAACACCTTGAGTCTCCCAGTTGTCGTCCAAGCGTGGAGCAGAGGGAGTGACACCGTCCCGCCTCGTTAGTGGATGCGGAGGTAGAGGCGTCCTCGGCCGAGGTGGTTTGAGGAGGGAACAAATGCCACACAAAACGAGCAGGAATGGAGCCAGAGTGGAGGAAGCCAGGGTAACGTCGAGCCGCCCTGGTCGCCCTGGTCGCCATGCTGGCTCGGAGACCGGTAGTTGCAAAAGTGCAGCAAATCCAGGCGTAGGAAGGGAATCAAGGATGCGACGAGCAGGCGGTTCAGCCGCAGCGCATATCGGGATATCGGGGCTTTCGCTACAGCCACTCACGTTCTGGTTCGAGGTATTTGCGGGGAGGCTCGTGCGTGCCCCCCAGTGGACCGCGAGACGGGGTGAAAGTGGAGGGGACCGGCCGAGACCACCCACTGAGACCACCACCTCGTTCCCTTCAAGTTGTGCACTTTTCTGTCTGGGTCGGTCGGTCGTCTTCGTCTTGATATTTGTTTCTGTGTGTCGTTCACGTCGTCGGATTCATCGGATTTACGAGTTGGGCTTGCACACATGCCGTGCAACATTGAGCGAGCTTGAGCAGTTCGGCCCACACCACCGCAGCAACCGTCGGAGATGAATTGTCTCGTGTTTGTTTTCCCCTGCAAATCAATCTCAAACCGCTTCAAGTCCCACCCGACAACCTTCTACGGTATGCGCAAACCTTACTCTAAAGGTTGAAGGCTATCACGAATTAACTCGTACGGGAGCGCTGCGCACACCTGCACGTCGACAAGTACCTTTGTCATAACGGTTCTGTTAGTGGTGATGCTGCTGATGGAGCCCCCCACTAGACCCATGGAAGTGGGCACTGCTCGGCTCTAACGTGCCGTGAGGACCCTCTGCAACCGCCCCGAAAACGCCCCGAAAACGCCCTGGAAGGTTTCGAGCTGCAGGGTCCCTCCCACCATCATCCCCCGAAACATCCACTTCTTTGGGGCCCGTCGCCGGTGATCGCCCAGACCTGGATGACGCCTGGGCATCTCATTGCATCTCGCTTTCGGTGGGTGTCCCGGCTTGGCACGGGACTGGTTCAACGTCGAGACCGGCATGGAGCGAGAGTTCTGGGGACGGCAAGCTCTAGGCGGCAAGCTCTAGATGGATGGGAAGCTTCAGATGACAATCTTTAGACGGCAAGCTTTAGAACAGGGCAGAGACAGACTGTGATGCGACACCGACGACGACACCTACAACCACCATCACCAAGAGCAGCCACGATACCTAATTAGCATAGCTCAGCTTCGTGATTATGGCACCACCTCCCTCCCGTTCGCCAAAAGCACCCTGCATCACACGCCCCCAGAGGTTGCGATTGATAAGATGAAAAGATGCCGTGGGACCACACACGCTCGTCGCCTACCGCGGGGCTCGACTGAGGTGTTGCAAGCTAGCCACGGCGCAACAGCTTGAACATCTTTTCCACCTCTGGAAACCGTATCGAAGCTACTCGTGTAGGTACCTACCCAGGCATTAATGGCGCGTGGCGTTGAAGTTCTCGACTCTTGACTCTTGACTCTTGACTGACTCTCTTCTCTCTCTCTCGGCTTTCACCTCGTACGCCGGCATCGCGCTCCCCCCCCCCCCCCCCCTGCACACCCTTCAGCTCCCACTCCCACCTCAGCTATAACTCCAAGTAGCTATTCGCACTAGAATGAACCATGACCTGGAACATGGGGGCTCCATCGGGCGCTTTCCTCGGCATGGCTTCTTTTTTATCAATCAAATCTGCAAAGTAACCGGTACATCTGAAGTGCAAAATCCATGTACACCAGCCCGCCTTCGTGACTTGTTGGCCGCCGGACCATCGCTCTTCTCGCTTCATCGTCCCACCTTGTTCTGTCCCGTGCTGTCCAGTCCTGTCCCATCCCTCCATCTCATTCTCGCTCTCGCCCTACCTGATCCTCGGTTTTCCATAGGCGAAGAGAGAGGCTGGCTACCGGTCTACAGAAATCCCCTGCCCGCTAGCTCGTTGCTCGCCACCATCTTTTAGTTCCGCCTCCTTCATCCCGCTCCTCTCAGTCTTATCTGATCCGGCCTTCTCCCATCTTGTTTTTGTCCTCCCATTCTCCCATCTGTGTTGATGAGGTCGACGTAGCTCTGCCTTGCTCTGCTCAGCTTTGCTTTGCTCTCCCTGACGTCCCCCGCCCTTCAATTGCACCTCAACGCCATGCTCCCGAGCTTCCTGCCCTGCGTGGCAGCCTCGCTGCTCGCACTCCCACAGCTCGTCGCCGCCGCCACCGTCACATATGACTTCAAAATCGGCTGGGTTCGAGCCAACCCAGACGGAGCATTTGAACGTCCAGTCATTGGAATAAACGGGAAATGGCCCATCGAAGTAGGCGCCTACTTGAATTTGCTGCTCTCCATTGCATTGCGACTGACAGCTTCTGCAGACCATCGAGGCCAATGTTGGTGATCAAGTCATTATCCATGCCCACAACAACCTGGGCAACCAATCCACCTCGTTGCACTTCCACGGCCTCTACATGAATGGCACCAACCACATGGATGGCCCTGCTGGAGTCACCCAGTGCCCAATTGCTCCGGGCTCTTCCTTCACTTACAACTTCACCGTAAGCCGACCTTGATACTACGCCGAGTTTCGAGGTTTCAGCCGTTCTGACTCTCTCATCTAGATCACCCAGCCTGGCACATACTGGTATCACTCCCACACCAGCGCGCAGTACCCCGACGGTCTGCGCGGTCCTCTGATCATCCATGACAAGGACTTCCCTTATAAAGACAAGGTCGACGAGGAGCTGGTCCTGACCCTCTCCGACTGGTACCACGACGAGATGACCTACCTCATCCACAAGCTCTTCATGGTCAAGTCTAACCCCTCTGGTGCCGAACCTGTGCCTAAGAATGCCCTCATGAACGAGACCATGAACCACACTATCTCTATCAAACCGGACACCACCTACCTGTTCCGCGTTATTAATATGGGAGCCTTTGCTGGCCAATATCTCTGGTTCGAGGACCACACTATGCGCATTGTTGAAGTTGATGGTATCTATACGAAGGAAGCTGAGGCCGACATGATCTACATCTCTGCTGCTCAGCGAGTTAGTTTCCTCCTGACTACCAAGAAGTCCACGTCCAAGAACTTCCCCATTGTCGCCAGCATGGACACTGTAAGTGACCAAAACATACTCCATTCAATGCGCTGGGCAATATTAATAATTCACTCCAGACCCTCTTCGACGTCCTCCCCGATGACCTCAACTACAACTCCACCGGCTGGCTCGTCTACGATGACAGCAAGGACCTCCCTGCGGCCGCCACCGTGGACAGCCTAGACCCATTCGACGACATGACGCTGGTTCCCTACGACAAGATGGAGCTTCTTGGCGAGCCCGATCGCATCGTTGAGCTCGACGTCATGATGGACAACCTCCACGACGGCCAGAATTATGCCTTCTTCAATAACATCACCTACAGGCCCGCCGATGTCCCCACGCTGTACACAGCCCTCTCTGCTGGCGACGACGCCACCAACCCAGCCGTCTACGGAACCTACACCCACTCCTTTGTCTTGAAGAAGGACGAAATCGTCCAGCTCGTTGTCAACAACCTTGACTCTGGCCGCCATCCCTTCCATCTCCACGGCCACGCCTTCCAGGCCGTCTACCGCTCCGAGGAGGAGGCCGGCATCTGGGAGGATTCCGGCATCACCGAGAAGGATCTCCCCAGCACCCCCATGCGCCGCGACACCCTCGTCATCTATCCCAATGGCAACATTGTCCTGCGCTTCAAGGCCGACAACCCAGGTTTGTGGAGCCAGTCCTATCCCGCTGCCCCTTGTTCATTGCTAACCAACCGCCCCTCACTCTAGGTATCTGGCTGTTCCATTGCCATATCGAGTGGCATGTCGTCTCTGGTCTCATCGCCACCTTCGTCGAGAACCCGCTTGAGCTACAGAAGACGCTCACGATCCCCGACAACCATCTTGAGGCATGCAAAGCCGCCGGTGTGGCCACCACGGGCAACGCTGCCGGCAACACAAAGGACTACCTCGATCTCACCGGCGAGAACGTCCCCCCGCCTAGACTCCCTGCTGGGTTCGTAACATCCCTCAACTCCTTTCCACATCCTTGACGCATGGCGCTGACCCTTTTGTTTTGCAGTTTTACTCCCCGCGGAATTGTTGCCCTTGTCTTCAGTTGCGTCGCTGGTATTCTCGGTGTCTGCGTCGTCGCTTGGTACGGCATGGCCACCGTTGTGGACGACGGTCCCGGCCTCCTTGGCCGTGGAATCATTGATACCGACTCCGGTCCTGAGACTCAGGAGCAGACCCAAACTGGCCAGAATGAGACTGTCACTACGACAGATGGCACTGGTACGAATGCAGCGCGATTGTAAGGGAAACATGTGAACGAGGGAGATGTGACGGGATAAGGAATGTCGCTAGGATGAAAAGGACGGCTCTGGATTTATTATCTGGAGCTCATCATGATTAGTTTGGTCCTCTAATAATAATATTTTGTTTGTAACTTTACCACATTTGATTTCATCATATCCTAATTAAGCCTCCGTGTGAGCTGCTAAAAGGCATAAGAAGTTTTGTTCAATTCCAGCGAGTGTCCGACATCCGTCGTCTACAATTAAATAAGATATAGACAAAAGAACCAAAGCTATGTTGTACACTGAAGTCTAAGTCACCCGCTAAATCCGATGAAAGATTTCCATGATTAATAACCCTCCATCCCAGTACATCCTTCTCCATTATCCGGGGATGTCGCCATCAACCAGTTGCGGTTATTTTCATCATCTCCCCTACCCTACCCATAGAGTTCGCCCCTTTGCGCCGTTCCATGCAGCCAGGGGATCCAAATCCACCCAAACAAAGTCCCTAGTTGTTGCGTCCTGTCGAAGAAGGGACTTGGTCGAAAATTGGTTTAAATTAAAATTGGCAATTTTGCATGCCTTCAACCTGCCACTGAGGTGTAGCTTCGAGGAATATGACCGAGATAGGGGTCACTGAACTGTGGCTGCCTCACTTCCTGAATGCTGCGAATTGTGAAGCATGTTGCCTATGGATCAAGCAAATCCGGGGCATTTAAGCCTTCTTGGGCTTAGGCCTGGGAAGACCCTGCGCCTTGCGAGCCTTAATGTCGACATCGGCAAGGCCTTTGCTGGCGTTGATGAGCTGGACAACGTTGATGATCTGCTTGCCAAACATGATGGGGAAGCTAATTCCAGCAATGACCCAGGGCCAGAAAGAATCCATCTTGTTGGCACGGGCGAGTTCGAGAGCAGCGGCGCTGAAGGGGTCAGGGAAAATTTGTCGCAGAATCGAGGTGTTGACCTGAACACCAGGCTGGAGAGCCTCCCCGCTGGTTTTCTCGACCGTCTTGATCAGGTGGGGAGACAGGAGAGGGGATGAGAAGGAGAGAAGGTAGAGAGCGATAAAGAAGACCTCGTTCAGGGCGCAGAAAACGAAAAGGACGATCTACACGTTGTTAGATACCCGCGGGGACGCTCGAAAGGAATCAGACGTACCTTGTTGGTGTAGTACAAGTTCAGGACGAAGCTCTTGCTCTTGTCGATGTTCTTGTGGCTCGAATCCGAACCCGAAACGACGAGAGTGGCATACATGTGCATGTAGTGGCTGGCCAGGTCGAGGGCAATCAGGCCCTGGAAGATGATGGCCCAGCGGGGAAAGGCAGACGACAAGAAGACGAGGAGGCATGCAGTGGTGCAGCGATCGGTCACCATGTCGAGAACAGCGCCGAAGCGAGTGGATTGCTCAAAGACACGGGCGACATAGCCGTCGAGGGCGTCGAGAAGGCATGAGACGCTGTAGAGGACAGTGCACGTGCGTGGGTGGAGGGGCATGTAGTAGAGGGACGCGATGGCGAGAACGATTCGGAAGTAGCCTGGGGACACATGTCATTAGCGAATGCAAACGGCGCAATGAAGATACGGTTGAGGCATACCGATGATATTTGGCCAGAAGAGGAAGATGTTCTCGCGTTCGTCGTCGCCCGAGGCATCCGAGGCGTGGTGCGCGGTGCCGTTGCCGTTGAGCTTCATGTCGTGCTCTTCATCGGACGAAACTGGCGTGTCGCGGGCCTTGGAGGCCTGTCTTCTGGTCTGTCGCTGAGGCATATTGCACGAGGACTGAGGGGTCGTGGATGGTGTTCAGGTGTCGCGATAGCTAATCAGTCTTATCATGGACCTCTGGCTGAGATAGTCGCGAGCTGTCAGCGTAGGGTCAGGGGCTCGGTGGTGGCTGCTAGGGTGTCGTTTAGACGGAGGTAGAGGCGGCGAGGCGAGAGAAGGAGTGAAGGCGTCGGGCGAGAGGGAAGAAAGGGAACAACACGTGGGATGCGAAGGAGCGGATAAGAAGGAAGAAAAGGGACGGGGAGAAGCAGCTGAGTGTGCGCAATGTGGAGGCGGAGGTGGTGGGTTAAAGTTCCGAGATGACGCTGGCCTTGAGAGTGAGCGATAGCTGGACAGCAGGAGCCTGGCTTGCTGAGCGCGCCTGCCCTTTCGCATTTCTATTGCGTGGTGCCTCCGCCAAGAATGGCAGGGGCATCGCGCTCGGTAGAATCGGGACGACTAGCGGCCCGCCTCAGGGAGTTGGCCTGTGTGAGTTATGGGGTGTCCAGGTGCGAATTGTCACTGGAGCAGCACGCTGTCAGCGGAAATTTGGGACCCGGTCTACTCTTCACCCCTTGGATTGGGGCAAATTGTCAACCAGGATCACCGCGGGACGACTCCACTCGGGAGGCTGATTTTGTTCCAAATGCCAGCATGCACCTGGAGGCGCCACGTACGATTGGGACATGGCACACGATGGATGCTGGGAGATGACTGGGAATGGGCACGGAGTACGCGGACAGATGTGTGTACGTCGTTAGTGTAGATTGATTGAGCAATGAACTGGTGCACACTAATACCGTGGACTTGGCGTCAATACGTTCAAGCTAACCCACCTGCCGAGTCCAGTCGATCGCAGAGATAAAGCGACCACAGCTTGATTGATAGGCATTAGCGGCCGCCGAGCAAGATAACAGACCATCTACCTCCCTTTCAGTTGATCTCGGGCAACTTGCGTCTGAGAATGGGGGCGATATCGACTCACGAGACCAACATAACCTCGGTGTCCCGGATGGATCTAAGCGTTGTTCGCGGCCTTCTACGAGAAGCATGTGTTTCCAAGTTGCACAGAAAGTTGGCCCATTAAGTCACCAGCTTAATCACCCTGTATGGAAACAACACCACACCACGCCATGAACCCCTTCTCTCCATTGCTTCCATTTTTGTGTCCGTCTCGTGGACTGCTACGGGGGACCAACAGTCCGGTCCACACGGCAGGATGAAAGTCTTCTTATCCCAGGTGATGGTCGTAGCAAGGGCAGGATGGTGGTGGAAACGTCGGGTTTTTGTTTTCAGTGACGTTGCCTGAAGCACTATATTCAAATTCCCCATCTCTTTTCATCCTCGCCTATTGTAAGCTAGATTGCGCGTTGAAGATGTATTTTCGTATTCCCTGTCTAAGCTGATGTGATCCATCTGCAGCTCAGGCCGACGTCACTGCGGCAGGGCTGTCCAGACCAATCCCCTGCTAGGCTTCCTTCTGTCCCTTGCCACCCAATCACCGTCAACTCCGATATCTCCGCGTGCAGACTTCATCCAAAGGCTACGACACTTTCACAACCAAGAACGGCGCAAAGCTGGCCAGTTCTCAGTCCCAAACTGGTCCACGGTTCATCGATCAATTACCCCATTATGTAAAGAGTCCCCACCTTTGTCTTTCGAGAAGTTCCACAAACACACGGCAGTTATGGTCACCGAACGTCAGCTTGGCGACGGCCAAGACGTTCGTGCTCAGCCCCCAAGAAAGAGGCGGCGGATCGTGATATCTTGCACAGAGTGTCATCGGCGGAAACAAAAGGTTCGTGAGGCGGAATGCACCCGCGTTAAATAGCCCTGTGCATACCAAGGTTGCTTGCTGATTTCCATCCCTCCAGTGTGATCGCGAGCTGCCATGTCAGAACTGCAGGTCAAGGAACAAGGCATGCACCTACGAGACCTCCGCTCCAACAGCTCGGGAGCATCAACAACCTCAGGAGCAGCAGGTCAGGAATCATCCGGTAACATCCTCAGAGGGTTCTCCTGGCGGCGAAAGTCACGAGCCTTTTTCGACCAGGGCTGCAGATTGGGGCTACGGCCAAAATGACGTCTCGACTATGGGCTTCCTTAAGCAGATTGAGACGGCTAACGGGGATATTCTCTCCTCCGCCAGTGCTAAACCCTCTACTCACAACTCACTTGGCGATGATTTCACGCTGAGGGAAAAGTACAAGAGCCTCATTCGTCAACTGCCAGCTAAGATCTACATCGACAAACTCGTCGAGATTTATATGCGCGGCCTCAACTGGCAGTACTCCTCCATTGACCCCGACGTTTTCCGCCAGCAACTCGATAAGTGGACCAATCTCCCATTTGCAGTTTTGTCGACCACTGGACCGCGAGGACTTTCGCCGGACCTCAGGGTGTTTCCCGCGGTGCTATTCCAGATGATCGCTTCGGCGCTGCTGCTACTACCAGAGCGGCCGGACCCGGTATTTGATTCACTCAAGTACATGGGAAGCATGAAGTTTGAGGACTTGGCGGCCGAGTACAGTGACACGGGGGCGGCCATCGTCGACCTCCTCGGAAAGAAACATATGTCACTGGAAACCGTCCAGGCGCAGTTCTTGAGGGCAACGTTCTTCAAGTATACAGCTAGAGTTACCGAGGCGGTAAGTTGGGCCTCATGAGCTGAAAGCTCTCGTTAACTTTTATCAGTGGCATACAATTTCTGTGGCGATACGTGACGCCCAAGACTTAGGAATGCACCGGGATAACTTCGACCCCGAACCCAAAGACTCAAGTGTGGAGAGCATCCTTGAGAATCAGTGGTTGATTCAACGGCGGAGGAAGATGTACACTCTCCTTGCCATCTGGTAAGCTCCCCGTCGATAGCGATACTCGTCCAATTGTGTTAAGACCTTCTAACGTAACTGGTAGGGACATCAATTGTGCTCTTATCCTTGGACGCCCAGGAACTGTGGATTGGAATCAAGTACTACCTACGCCCCCTATCGACGCACCAATACCAACGTGTCGCTCCAAGACGCCGGTGGTTCCTCGTGGTGAGACAGAACGGCCGACACCAATTACGCGGATCCTCTGGAATGTCCAGCTCTCCAAGCCTTTACAGGCCATCCGGAACCTAGAAAATGATATACCTGGGCCTAAGGACTTCGACAAAGTCGATAAGCTTCATCAGAGTATTCTAGACCTCCACGACAAGATCCCCTCTGCGTTCCGACTGGATGAACCTGACACACAATGGGACGACGAGCCAGACATGCATTGGCTCCAGGCGTCTAGATTTTACTTTGCTCAGTTGCACCAGTTCGGACTGATGGCGCTACATCGGTCATATGTCTTTCACCGGAAGGGGAGCCGGGCGGAGGCGATTCAGGCCAGTCTGCGAATGCTCGAGATCCAGAAGATGACGTATCAAGGCCTGCCTCCCGATACATGGAGAAAGTGAGTCATTGTGAACTAAGATCCGTAAACGTGAAGGATTTAGTTTTACTAACTTCGGCTCGTAGTTACTTGCTCTTCTTTGGGAGTTTTGATGCCATCGTGTTGATTGCGTCAATCTACATATTATTTCCGCACGAGCACCCCGAGCTTACGGGGAGCGTTTTACAGCATTTCCAGTGGACGATTGAGCGGTTTTCGGCAATGCAGGAGCGTAATCCTTTAGCAAGGGCTGCGCAAGGAGTGCTCAGAGCCATAGTGGCGCGGTTCAAAACGGCCATTTCTAATCCCGCAGACAGCGGAAGCTCCCACACGCCCTCGACTGGCATGAAGCCCGGTACCGACAGCAGCGTATCAATCACTACGGATTCTACGCCGGAAACCTTTTCGTTGGAATCGAGAGGCACGTTTGGGTACGCCCAGGCTCCGTCGTCAAACATGGCAGCGGGGATGATGCCGTCGGCAGACAATCTGGCGATGCTGGCACCAATGTTTCCCACGGGAGACCTCATCTACAATGATCTAAACGCAGTACAAGACGACATGGCTCCGCCACCAGCAATGGGAGGGGAGATGGAGGGCGCAGTCGGGACGGGGACAGACAATGATTTCGGGTGGCTCTTCGGAGGGGACTTGGATGACACTGTGTGGCAGATGTTGAACCAGTACCAACAAGCGGGGGACATGGATGGGCGAGTGGGAGTACTCTGAGGCTGGATTGAGGCTGGAATGAGGCAGCGCTTGGAGCACTGGGCTCGGATGCAACAACTCGCTCCAATGGGTGAATGATGACTGCCTGCATGTGCTTGGCCTCAGCAAATAGTCGGCGGTAGCGAGTCGGGCAGCCAGCGAAGCTGTGCAAGGTGATGTAACCAAGCAACGCCAAATGACGGCCGTCGCGCTGTTGTGGCTGGCGGTGGTTGGTGGCAGCGGGAGGGTGAGAGAGAAACGGTCACACTCGTCACTTCGTGTCCATCTGTTACGGAGCTCACGCCCGATCATCCTGGCAAAGAAAGAGCCGACAGCCCTGCCGCCGTGTTGATGTGCGTCGTTTGAGATATTTCGCATCAATGATGGAAGCCAAGCCCAGACGGGTCGAGGCACGGTCGAGACGAGCCTGGCGCCATGAGGCCGCTGAGTGGCTCTGCTGAGACGCTTCCCCAGGGCTAGCGACAGGGAGCTTGGCGCCGAGGCCGCTGAGACTGCTTGAGACAACAGGGGCTGTGGGGGACGAACCACAGCGGCGGAGGGGCCCGAGGCGCATTGCTGGCGTTGGCACCCAGCGAAACCACCCGGCATCATTATCATCTGATGTTGGGAGACGTACGCAGAGAGCGTGTCGCTTTTGTCACTTCTGTCGCTTCTGCCTGTGCTCCCCGCGCCGATCGGCATGAGAAAGACAGAGGGTTCATGTTTGGGACTCAACACGTGCCCAACTGCCGTCAGGCATCTACAAGTGTTTACGTGGTTCTCTGTACTACGTACTCATATGCAAGCATTAGAAAGGTCCCATAGCCTCAGGCCCATGGCCCTGACGCGACTATTTTTGTCTCTCCCTGGCCCTTCCCCTTGCCACGAGAAATCCAGTGCTTCTAGTCTAGATTGAAATCCATGCTGCTGCTGAAAACGGACTGGTGGATCCAGGGATCTTTCTTTTTCTTTTAATTGAGACGATCATCAATTTTAGAGCGCCAAGCCAGCAGGCCATGCTGCATGTATTGCGGATGTACTGCGCAAGCGCCCAGGTTTGCTTCACATCTCCCCATGTCATTCAACCGGCTTGTTTTAATTCTCAGAAGACGTATTTTAGTTTTTAATTTTAGTCTTTTAAAATTATGTTTTGCCAATCCTCACATCGCGCCGCTTGTCTTGCATAAAAAGTGAGGCCTTTCCGTGTCACTGAATGCAAGAGTCCGTTGCCCATTGCCGTGTCTGATTCACAGATTCCCGCCAATTGATTGATCCACTCAGCAGGCCGTGGAACGTCGGCACTTGGAAATTGGTACCTGGAAGATACCTCGTGTAACTAACCCCTGGTCCGCCTCGAAAGAGGGACTAAAAAAAAAAGACGAGAGAAAAAAAAGCTGGAGACTCACCGACACGACGAGAAAGAGACCCTTGTTTTACATGCTCGGCTTCGCATGTCTTGCACTCCCACCGTTTGACACATACTCTTCTCTCCATAGGTACACTTCCTGCACGCAGTTATTTTGTGCGTTCGTGGCTGAAAACATCAAGCACAGTGCAGCGCCGGGCTTTCTCCGGATACGGACGACTCTTTCTCTCTCTCTTGGTCAGCCCGTCTTGAGGCTTTCCCCTCCCAGCAGGCAGAGAGCGCTCTTTTGTTGTGTTCTCAAGCTTGAAAGGGTTCTTTTGCGCCCACGAGATTTTGGCAGGGAACCAGCGCCAGCGCCAACGCCACCTAAGCAACGCCGCCCGCAGATTACACTGGACTGGAACTGGACGCAACCAAATAACCCCCCCCCCCCCCCCCCCGGGCGCCATCGGCCTGGACTGGACCTAAACCTGCACCTACACCTACTGCACCTAAACCTGGAACCTGAACCTGAATCTCCCCAGGCGTCGCTCCAAGCAAACGCGGCGCGTGTTATATTGCCTTCCCGCCTCGCCGCCGACTGGTTCCTCTGGTTCTCTATCCTACCCTTCTTATTCATCATCTCCGACGAGGTTTTGCTTGATTAAGCTATCCAGGAGCACGCCGCCCGCCCACCCACGCATTCCACGGCGCTCGACGCACACGCATCCGCACCACCACGCACCACCACGAACCACACTTAGCTTTGATCCCCAACTTAGTTGGCCCCCATCATGACGGCCAACTTCGTGGACTTGATCCAGCGCTATCGAGCGCTGCAAGTGTACCAGGATAGCAGCAGCGAATTGATCAAGGTACGTTTGCAGGCTTCACGCTTCCTTTCTGTTTCCGGCTTCATAAACATGCGCCGCTCGCACACGCCCACTCCCGCAGCCACACACCCACACCCACACGCCCGGACGGCATGTTGGTCTGTCCGCGGCTCCTTCCCAGCTCCATGTCTTGCCCTTGTCTCTCCATATTGTCCATCTTGTCTCTATCTCTCTCTATCCATGTCCATCCATCGACGTCGATGCCTCGCGATCCATGGCAATGTCAGCTGCTAACATGACCCGCTCGCCACCTTCCAGGATATTCTAGTCTACGCTCAAGATGTCGAGACCGGCCTTCGACAAGAAAACGTGCGCCTAAACGAGCGCCTGCGCGATACCGAGCTCGACCTAGAAGATGCAACGACGTCAAGACGAGAGCTCCAGCAGCGCATTCAGAAATACGAATCTCAGATTCAATACATGACGAACCAGAATGACGGTCTGAAGTTAGACATTGATGGTCTGAAGGTAGACTTGGGTCTTTATCCTGCCCTGTTGGCATCAGAAGACTAAGCGTACCAGAACCGTAACCCCTACGTCTTGATCTTGATAGATGGCGATGGCCTCCTGGTACGTTCTCGTCGTTGCAGCTCAGGCTACCAGCTGTCTGACTGACCGATTTCCAAAACAGTTTGAGGAACATTTGATCAAAGATCGAGTGGAGGGTGGCAAAAGGGCCGCCTATGCCCTCCGGGCCGCAGTAGCTAAGCATGTTGGCGAGCGCGCCGGTGAGCTGGAGATTGTGGCCCGAGTAGTCGCCAACGTCACAGGCCTAGGCAAGGCCATGGTCCGCGATCTCTCCGTGGATACCTCAAACGACTTCAAGGACTTTACGTTAGGATTTACTCAGGCCAAGGCCTCGTTTGACTTTATTGACGTCGGCTACGGCAAGGAACGAGCCGACTCCAAAATCAAAGGTGTGTACCAAGGAAGCTATTCTGAGATGGCTGTTATCCAATCACCCACCTGTCGACGGTGCCCGAGCATGAGGGGAATTGGAATGCTGACGCAGAATTGTAGAAACCACCCGATGGCATTTGCAGAACCACAACTGTAAACAGATCCTCTTGGGTATTTCGCACGATGCCGGGTATGCACCCTTCTTGGACGAGATCCTGACGGATGAGGCTTCCCGTCAGAGAGTCTCAGTGCTCGAGGGCTACCCAACAGTGCGTGAGCTCAAGGAGACCAATGTCAACATTGAAAGATTTAGCAGCGACCTGTTTCGCCAAAACAAGCTTGTGGATAGATCGACAACAATATCGCTCCCTAAACCCGCGGTGATGAATCCGGCCCCAGGTATGTTAACGCCCGCCGCGAGCAACGCTTCCCTATCCCCGCCGCTCGCCTCGGCGACCACGGCGACTACGGCCACCCCGGCGACCACTGCCGCTTCGACTCCGGCGGCCAGCTCGTCCTCTTATGCCAACGTCATGGCTACCGCCAGCCCACCGCCTCGAATGGTCATCCCCCTAGCACCGAAACCCGCAAAGAAGGCAGCCCCGGTCCCGCCCGCGGCACCAGCGTGGAGCCCTGGCCCGCGAGGCCTTGACGAATCAATCTCGGTGGGCCAGCAAGTGATGGAGGGTATAAAACGACGCAAGGAACAGAACAAACTGTGCAACAACCATTATCTCCGTGGCCCGTGTACCAAGATCGACACTTGCTGTTTCGTACACAACTACAAGCCCACACGTGAAGAAATCCGCGCATTGGCGATGCTATCTCGACTCAACCCGTGCACACGGGGCCAGGACTGCGAAGTGGAGGACTGCATTTACGGCCACCATGTAAGTCGATGTTAATGCATGTAGTTACGTCCTGGCAGCTTTGCTAACAAGAATTACAGTGCCCTAGTTTCCGGGACGGTGTGTGCGGCCACCCGTATTGCAGGTTCCCGGTAGATGCTCATCCGCCGGGAACCAAATTTAAGAACTCCCTAATTCGCGAGAACTAATCGTGGAGCGGGACACCCAAACGTCCAATGACCTCCTTGAACATTTTAAAACATAGCTTTAGTATAGGTGGTTGCATTTTTGTAAGAGTCGAGCGGGTTTGCCTTGCCTCGAGACTGGGACCACGTCTCCATCTTGGAGGAGAGGAGGAGAGGAGGCAGAGCGCGTTAGAGATCTGAGGGTGCAAGTGGTGGTTTCGCTAACAGAAGAGAATTGGCTGGTCATCTATGACAGACATGAGAGGAGATGACATGCGAGGAGGATCAAATTGAGCTGATCTAAGGGCGTTGGCGAATATCGAGGGGAGTAGGAAGTCGTCCGTGTTGCGTGGTTGATTTATTATGGTTGGGACGATCAAAGTCCCACGCCAATCCATTCATTACTCAGGCTCGGTCGGCCAGACGTCGACCAGGCGTCGACCAGGCGTCGACCAGGGGAGCTGAAAAATAGCTCGCTTGTAATTGATTTCTTGACTGCCAACTCGATGTGAGCGGCTCTCGATGCGTCCATGATGGCTGTATTGGATCTGATGCATAAATATATATGGCATCATCTAGTTAAGATGGGTTGACATACCCCACAATTTGACAGATTCCTGCCAACCCCCACCACCCTCCACCTTCCATCCTATTGTGCCAACCCACCAACCCCACCATCCTCACGGGAAATCCAATACCTGGCCCGTCCCATCTTGAGCCTCACTCAAGCCAACCCTCCACCTTGACTTCACCTCAATCTCCTTCCATTCGACGACCTCACTGCCGCCCTCGTGTTTCGACCTCTGCCACGAAACATACGCCCGCAATCCAAGACCGCCCTGCCTCGCCTCCTCCACCCACATCATCATGTCCCACCCACGGATAGAGGAGGTCTCGGACAGCGACCTCTCCGACCCCGAGGAGGCTGACATTGATGACTTTGACGAGGCCGACATCATGCGCCGCATCCCGGATCCCGTCGCTATTGCCAAGGCCGTGTCCACTCCAACTCCCTCCGCCGCGTCCCACATCCTCAACCCGGCCAGCATGCCCCAGACGTCAACTCTCCCGCCCGCCGTCGACCGCACCGCCTACGCCGACTTCCAGTGCCTCTACCCCGTCTACTTTGACGCCGCACGCTCCCGCGCTGAGGGCCGCCGCGTGCCCGCCTCGCTCGCCGTCAAGGATCCGCTCGCCCGCGAGATCGCAAACGCCTGCTCGCGCCTGCGCCTGCCCACGCTCTTCGAGCCGGAAAAGGTGCACCCCAAGGACTGGGCCAACCCGGGCCGCGTCAAGGTCGGCCTGAAGAAGACGCCCGGCACACTGATCAACAACAAGCATCACCTGTACCGCCTCGTCGCCGAGCACCTGCGCGAGAACCCGACGACGGTCGACAGCCCCGGCCTGCGCGTCCGCATGGGCGGCCAGCTGCAGCCCGACCCGTCCAAGCCCTACCCCAAGCCCGCCGTGCCCCGCGGCTGGAAGATGGGCGAGCTGGTGCCCTACCTCAGCGCTGCCATGACCGGCGGCGGCGTCTCCGAGAACCTCTTCAAGGACATGATGAAGGAGATGCAGGGCGGCGCCGACCCCATGGCCGCGCTCATGGGCGCCCAGGCCGGCGGTGGTGCCGAGGAGACCAGCAGCGGAGGCGGCGGCGGCGGCAAGAAGAAGAAGGAGAAGAAGGGCAAGGCCCGGGCATAGGGAACTCTAGGATTAGGACGTTGATAATGTTACATGGGTGCTGTTGTTCATTCACACATGCAAATATCAGCACCCAAGGTGGAAACATCGTGACGCATTTCCGGCATCGGGCATGAAAGGGTTCTGGAACCAAGAGATACCATGGATCGGGCATGACCACTCACGGGGGAAGCACAGGGAGACGTTGAATTAAGAAATTTAACAAAAAGAGCCCCCATCTGCGGAGGGTATTTTGACAAGCTTTGTTCTGCTGCGGATTGATACTGTTCGCTTTCGTGCAACAAACGACATCTACTTAGGTAGGGGAAGGAAGTGAAAAGAGAACAAACAAGCACCATAAGTACAAGTCGACCAAAATGGGGTATGTGTAGCTACTACGCTCGCTGCGCTTGGTCTTCGCCCGTGTCTTTCCATCATCATACAGCCTGCACCCGGCGACCCTGAAGAGCCTCCCACTCGCGCGATCCAACAATCTGCACATCCCGGCCGCTCCCCGGCACCACCTTTCCGTCTACGCCGGCCAGTCTGATGCGGAGGCGCGCCGCCGCTGCTGCAGCCGGGTTGCTGCGACCGGTGGCCTTGCGCCGGTCTGCGCCGGCCTGGTGACGCAGCACGTCGACCTTCTGGAGGACCGAGTCCTTCCAGCCAGCCCAGGCAGCGTAGTCCTCGGCCTGCTTCGCGGCGTGGTACTGTGGCGTGGAGCGGGCGGGCTTCCAGGCGAGCTTGTCCAGCGGCATCGAGGAGTAGTCGTAGACCGAGGCTGAGGAAGCCATCTTGAGGAGCTCGCCAAGGACATCCTTGCCCTCAGTGGCGATGAGAGCCTTGCGCTGCTCCGTGATATTGACAGGCTTCTTGAGCGGCTCGGCGAGCCAGTCGTAGTTGTGCTGCTCCAATGTTCGCGCCCGGCGGTTGTCCTCGCGGAGGTACCGCACCGCCGACTGCAGGCTCTCGATGTCGTCCTTGAGGGCGTCCATCTCCCGTGCCGTGGCGACAGCGCGCTCCTGGCCAGCCTTGGCTCCGGCCTGGTCCGCACCGTCGGCAAAGGCACGGCTGTCGCTGGCAACCTTCTTCCACTTGTCGCGCTCCGACTCGAGCGTCTTGAGCTCACGGTCTTGCTTCTCGATATCCTCCTTGAGGCTGCCAATCTGCTGGCCCGTGGCCTCCAGCTGGCTCTGGAGTTCGGTGATGCGCTCAATGTTGGCCTGGGCATCCCGCATCCTGGACTCGAGCGTCTCAATCTTGAGAACAGCCGTGCTGAGATGCTCATCGCGCTGAGCAATCGCGCGGCGAGCCTCACTATGCTCCTCCTTAACGCGACGGAGCTCGTCTTCCGCGTCGATGGGGACAGTCTTGAGGGCCTTGAGTTCCCGGGATCGCATCTTCCAAGGCGCTGGGTTAACGTCGAACTCTTGGGTCTGGTCGAGATCCGTGGCCAGCGAAGCCAGGTCGGTGATTTGAGTTGTAAGGGCTCGTAGTTTGGAAAGATAGGTAGAGAAGAGGTCGGATTCGTTCAACGAGCTGGTGGCAAGAACAGACTTCTGGATCGCGTTGGCCACCTCACCAAAATTGAAGGGCTCGGTTCTGCTCTCGTCCGAGGTGAGAAGATCGTGCAAGCCAAGACCAATTTGTCGTGCCAAGTGTGCAAGCTCCTGTGTCGCATTGCCACATTGCTCGAATGCATCCATGGTCTCCGGCAGCAACGAGAGAGACCGAGTCCTAAGGTCTTCAAGCGCACGCACAGCCTTGCCGGCGATGACCTTGGTGCCCCTAGTCTGGGTAATAACCAGGTCCGTCTTCTTCACAAAGTGCTGCGCGAGCTCTTCCTCCTCGCCCTCGCAAGGAACCACTCGCTGCACGAGACCTCGCAGAGTGTTGAATGTGGACGCCGCTGAGTCAAGGTGACTCTGCATAACCAACATCCTCATATACACATCATCAGCGTAGTTGGACAAGTCGCCTGAGATGTGAACCTCGGCGAGATGAGACAGCAACGCGATGGTGCGCTGGAGTTCGTCTGCGCACTTCTTCTCCTTGAGCTCATCTCGGCGCAAGCCGTCGATCCATACATTCAATGCACGCTCGACTGGCTCAAGCTCATGCAGTGCATTCTGGTACTTAGAGAATTGCTCGATTGAGCAATGGCTCATGTCGTTGACGAAGCGGTCGCACATGTTGGATACCCAGACAAGCTTGTCCACAGCGTCGCATCCAGCAAAGACGTCGTCTTCATGTCCAGGATGGGGCTGTCCGTTGATTCGCTCTCGGATGAAGCCATTCAGGAGGGTTGCCTTGAAAGCCAGCCGGCGGAAGCGAAGCAGAGCAAGAACGGAGTCCTGATCTTCCTTGTAGGTGTCGGGCAAGAACAGCTTGACAATGTCAAGATGCTGCTCTGCTTCCTGAGCCTCCAGTCGTCGCAGCTCAAGGTCAATCGTCTTGACCTGCGCCTTGGAAGCCGAGATTTGAAGCTTCATGTTAAGATCCATCATGGCACGCGACCGGTCGTTGAGCTTCTCCGACTCTCCCTCAGTGACAGCCTGAGATGCCCTCATGTCGTCCAGGTCGCTCTGCAGGCTCGTCACGAGTTCACGGAATCTTGACAGAGTATATTCCATGTCCTCGAGTGTCTCCTCTTGTTGGCCAGCTCGTCGAACTTGCTCCGTGATGACAGCGTCCTTGAAGTCGAGGTCCTCCTGCATTTCCTTCTCATGCTGAACGTGGTTGATTTCAAGCTCGTCGTTGATTTCCTTCAGGCTCTCGAGGTCGTCAATAACGGCCTTCAGCTCTTCAATCTGTTCAGCCATGCTCATATTCCGCTCTGTGAGGTCCTCAATCATGTCCTCGGCCCCGAGTGCGTTGTCGAGTTGCTGACGGAGATCTTCGACAGCCGTTTCCGATTGCTCCAGCTTCTCTTTGGCGGCAGTGTACTCCTCTTTGATGGCATTGAACTCCTTCAGCTCATCCTCCAGTCCTTTGATCTCGTCCTTGAGTTCCTCTTCCGTCTCTTGTGTCAAGTCCCGCAGTCGCAAGAGCGCCTCTCGTAACCGCTCGTTTGTGCGTTCCATCTGCAGCCATCCAGTGCTAGCCCGTTCCTCGGGGGACATACCCTTGCTGTATTCTTCGTTCTCCTCTCTGAGAATCTCAACTTCCAGATCCAACTCTGTTGTCTTTTCCTGTAGTGCTTCAAGCTCAACCTTGAGAACTTCGGCAGTCTCCTCGGCCATTTCACGGTCCAGAGTGGCCAGTTCCAATGCAGTATCGTGCTCAGCTTGGATCTCCTCGATTGACTCCAGCCTTTGCTCGGCCTCCTTCAGCATTTTTCGAAGTTCGTTATTCTCTTGCTGCTGAGGTTGGTATTTCAGCTGGAGCTTCTGGATGATGCCTTCGAATTTGTCCCTCTCCCCTTGAACCTTCTCAAGCTGCTTGACTTTGTCCCGGTCTTCCGTTCGTTTCCGTTCCAGCACTTTTAGTTTCGCTTTTAGGTCCTCGATCTCTCGGCTCGCGGCTGTACTTCCGGTGGTGCGAGTGGTGGTGGGCGCAGCGGGCTTCTTCGCAGCTGGCGTGGCTGAACGCGATGGAGGGCCAGCTGTGAGTCTCTCCAACGCCTTCGTCCTTGCGAGAACAGGGCTTCTTGGTTGAGGTGATAGGATCTCGTTCTCGTCCTTATCAGATGAGCCGGGACCACCGCCTGAATCCGCTGAAGGTCGTCTGGAGACGGATTCCGGCCGGGGCGCTGACCGTGGCCCACTCAGAGACATGCGGCCACTTGCAGTTCGAGTCATTGTCGTGCCTGATCTCGATGCTACTGATGACGTTGAGGCCTGTCGTGTGCGAGAAGCTGGTGCAGCTGGGGGGCCCATGGACGTCCGGACACTCGAACTTGGGCGAGTTTTGGAGCCAGCAGATGGTACACGGACATTGGAGGGTGTTCCTGTTCGAGAAACAGTAGCACTTGGGGGTCCACTGAGCTGTTTCGTAGGCGATTTCGTAGGAGACTATTCAGGAGTTAGCATGAACTCAGGTTGCGAGACAAAGAGTTGCCCCTTACTCTTGCTATGCTCGTCGGGCGCGCTCTAGGCACCGGACTCGGGCTCGGCGCATTCAAACTCTTCCGCCTGTTCAATGCCGTATCCCCTGCACTCGACGTCCTGCCACCCGCGGGATTGAAGCTCGACGGTCGAGCGGGCTTCCTCGCCGCTGCAGGCCTCGGTGTCGGGGCCTGGGCAAGGATTGTGGCCATCATGGGCTTCACAAACATGCCATAGCCCGTGGGACAATCGAAGTATCGCTCGCCCTGGACACTGCCATCGTTCTTCCCCGTCTTCTCGTCGAGCTCAATGCCCACCCACTCGCCGACTTGGAAGTGGGTAGGGCCCGCGAAGCGGACGGTGCCTTTGCGGCCATCGGAGAGCTGGACCGTCTGGCCAGGCTTGAAATCCGGCATTATGAGCAACGGTCGAGGTCGTAGGGCATCGTGCCGACGTCGGCAGTTGGGATAAAGATGGTATTTGTGGCGGTCGCGGTTTGTCGTGGTTGTCTTTGTTGGCGGATGAAGCGTTGTGTCCCCTGTGATCTGAGCTTAGCTCCTGAGCCCCATCGGTAGTGCTGTTGTCTTGACCCCGTCAACGCGTTCCCTTTTCGGATAAACGCGACGGCGGCACTGGCTCCCTCTAGCTCCAGGCTGTCATCCCGTCAATTAGCTGGGGGCGGGGGCGCTGAATCCCTTAATTATTAGGTACCGTGCTCGGCGCTCCTGCAGTGCAACGAGTGGGGACTGAAGCGGCTCTTTGAGCCTCATATCCAAGGCAAATATGGACAAGGTGCAACTCACGACGACGCGTTTCCGTCAATGCGACAATCATTTACCTTCAAGACAGCCTTTTGGGGATCAGAATGCCACCAATTCTCTTCTTTATTCATGAAATTTCTAGTACCTATCTGGAAATCTTGGAAGAGTCATGATTCCCAACCCTTCATATTGCGTCTTCCTCCACCCCTGTCATCCAGAGCCATCAAAGTCATCCAAGTCATCAATCATCCATCCACTCCGAACCACAGCCAGGTATCATACCCAATTCCATGATATTGATATATGTGTGTCTCATTTCGGCATATGAAGCATTATCCAATGTCAGGTTTGCCTTAAAACTCCCATCTTCACTGTCGCCAGATCCTCAAATACAAAAAGCAATTTCGCCAACGTCCGAACGTACTGTACATGATAGCATGAGCTCCCCAACGCCTCCCTGGTTAGTTTCTCGTTCCAATCGTCATCACGTCTTGCCAAATCCCTCGTTATATGACCCTCCTCGGAGCCATTCGACAACCTCGAAAGCGACTCTGCGCTCTGTAGCTTCGTCCAGGTCGCTTCCAACCGGCACCCGGACAACCATCAACCCTGGACGCTTCTGAACATGGACGGCTCCATGCTTGGCAATCTCATCCTCTACGCTGGGCTTGACATAAACCACCATATCCGGGCCTATGACCCCTCGCCATAGAGTCGCCATCCACTGCCAGTGGTCAACCGGGGCATATGCATCGGCAATTGGCGTGGTGCAAGCGAACACGTCTGACAGTGTCAGACTGAATCCTTCCTTGAGCAGCGCCACGGGGATGTTCGATGCCGGGTTTCCAAGAGACTCTGCCGGGGAATTCGACTCTCCAGAGCCTCGCCGGGGAATGTCGCCAGCATCATTATTCTTCGGTCCAATAATGTGCTTGACAATTTCTCGTGACTTCTCATGCCAGCGCAACATTGTCCGAAAGTACGACATAAAGAAGCTCTGCGATTCCGACGATGCCCCCTCTGGGTCGGAATGGGGCTCATCGCCGTGCAGCTCCTGAGTCGAGTGATTCGTCCACGTCTTCACGTTATACTGGTCGCATGCCAGGAGAGCTTTTTCGACAGCCTGTCCGACTTGTTGGACCATTTTGGACTTGGGCCCTTCAACTGCAATGACGGCCCCACGGGTCTCAACTCCAGGGCTCCCGGGTCTGGGCGGAGCCAGGGGCTGACTGATTCTAGCTAGCACTGCCAGCTTTCGAGTGAAAGGAATGGACATGACCATGGCCTCAACGCTTCTAGCTTGAGGGTCGCGTGTGTTCGGTCCGCCAAGGCCAGCGACAGGTGTTCCGATTTGCCGGATATCGACCTCTCCCGCTACCGACGGAGACATTGGAACCGATGTCTGTAGAGGGGGGAGGCGGAGCGACTCGTCAAATGAGTGGTGCCGGCCGGCGTGATGGCCCTGCTCAGGCCATGGCCCCGACATAGATGGTCGCGGAGGAGGAGGCATAGGACCAGACTTGGATCTCGGCAGGTTGCCTGGCTCGGGGAAGGGAGCAGCTGCGTAGTGCCGCATGGCGCCTGACGGACCTCCCATGGAACTCGTACGCGTTACTTGCCCTGGCGTCATACCCGGCGATGACACCGAATGATAGCTCCCGCTGTTGAAACGACGCCTTTTCATTTCTGGCGACTCGAGTTCATATTCATCCACCTCATAGGGGCTCTGCCGTTGGGGAGGATATCGCAGTCGAGCTGGAGGCATGCTGCCGGTGCTTTCCCGGTGGGCCATTTCGGGCTCGTCCCCTCTGGCGGTAGGGCCGTATGGGTTCATTGTTGGCTTTGCTGCCGTTGGGGTAGAAAACGATGCGGAGGGCGTTCGGGGGGTCGCGATGGAGCGCCCGTTGCACTTTGGACAACGTCCCCCGTCGTCGGCGGGAGACGACCCTGGCCGGTTCGCCTGGGCACGAGAACCGCGTCGGGGCTGGTATCGGTAATCAGGATATTGACGTTGATGGCGTTGTTTCTCCTCGTCGGCCAAGCCCTTCCAATTGTTTTTGATTTCGTCAGACTCCTCCTTCCACTGCTCCCCAATGATTTTGGAAATCTCGGGGTTAGAAAGGTTGGGGTTCTGCGCAACAACTTGAGCCTGGTGATGCTGACGATAGAGGATGAAGGCTGCAATAGTGTCAGTCCTGGAAGCATAGTTTGGAGAGCTGCTGTCGCGACATCAAAGGTCGCTCAAATCGAGCTGTTTGGGTCTTCACGACGCATGAGGCGGGGGCACCGATAACGACCACGACAAAAACAATAACAACAAAGAATATTCTGGACTCACCGTTTCGAGGCCTAGGGATCTTGGGAGCGGGGGTGCAGAGACAGATGTGATCTCGGGGGCTGTCCTTATTCATGTTGGTAGGTGTATTGAGCCTGAGGTGCTCGAACCTGGCATAATTGGCTTCGGCCGTGTTGATGGAAGCAGCACGTTTTCGAGCAAGGTCGACGGTGCGAGGACTTGGAGAGTCGGGCGTGTCGGTCGCGGCTCGAAAGGCCCTGGGCCCGTCATGGTCGTCGAGCTCCATGGGAGAGGAGTGGGCCGGGGTTATTGCCTTGGGGGGCGCAACCAAGGAGATGACCTGTGTCATTTTGAACGGCGGGCAAACGAATTCAAAAGCGAATCGACAGGGGCGAACGCCAACTTACACTACACCCCGGTCGGTGTGCAGAGTAGGCTATCGACGGGAGTGATAAGTGCGAGTGGAGGGAAAAAGAAAGAGCTTGGGTGGGCGTGGATCCAATGGGGGTGATATGAAGGCCAAGCCAAACAGCGCCGTGCCGGACAAAGCCTTGGTGAAAGAAAGTGGGAGCTGAAGTTCGCTCCGTGGCGATATTCGCGGTGAGTCCTGGATTGCTGCGGTGGGCTTTGTGATGAAGCTGGCTCCCCATTCACAAGCTGACAGAGGACAATGAAAGAATGCTGTATGTCAAGCATATCCTGTGACAGCGCATGAAGGCCCGTCCATCCCCGGAGGGTGTTTCGTCTTCTTTCTTCCTTTGCCTCTTTCCTTTGTGGCCGTCTTTCGTCTCTCTCTGCCTTTGTTTCTCTCTTTCACGTCCTCCTACTCCGCCTCTTTCACTCACATCCACTTGCCGTGCCCGGAAACGCAGTCGGTCGGTCGGGGTTGATTGAAGGTTGGACCGTGGAGAACGCCCTTACATGTCTCGGGAGTCTGCTGGCAGAGTCGCAGCAGCCACTGGGCAAGGGGCTTTGTTGGTGGTTGCACCGTTCGCTGATCCGTCCGCCCGTCCGCAGCAACTAATTAAGTGGCGAACAGCAAAACAACAACAAAAGACAGCAGCGATGGCCGACACCGGGACCAGAGGGGAACAAGGCGAGAGGAAGACAGAAGCTAACGAAAACAAAGTAACACACTGGCCATGATATATGATCGTCCGACCCTCGCGGTCCCCATCGGCTCTTTTGTTTCTCTTGGAGCGCTCGCGTCTTGCCTGGGCCGCCCTCGCTGACCAGCCTCTCACAACGACGACAATGCCCGCCGGAATGCTGAAGGGTGCCAGTGCTGGAATGCTCGGCGCGCTGGGACAAAGACAATGACCGCGGCGAAATTGGGGCTAACACTTCTCACGTGATGCAAACCAGACTTTTCTTTCAAGTATGGACGGGCCAGCAATCTAGATGGGCGTTGCGGAAGGCGGACGGGGTGCGGTGGTGGTTGGTTTTCCCCGTGTGGGCCGTGGGAGATGGGAAATGGGACGCGGGATGTGGATTGCATCGTCATATCTGGGGGAGACAACAAGCCGGAGGTTTGACTCTTGCGGGGCGTGCAGCAGCGCGTAGAGGGAGACAAGAGAAATCCACCAAGAGAAGCATGAGACCCCGGCCACAGATACCTATTAGAGACGCTGGCAAGGGACATCGATCAACCAAAGAGATGGAGCTTGCAATGGCATTTCTTGCTGCTTCAACGAAGACAGCTAGCTCCCAGCCCGACGCCGAACCTCTCTGTAGTATTCCTAACAAAATTACACAACACTTTTTGTCACTCAAAGTCCCTTTCGCAGCCTTTAAAATGGTAATTATGACACGTCTCTCCCCCCCTAGCGCCGCCTGGACCGGACCAACATCCATTGTATGACCTGACCTATCACCGCTCCATTCAGGAGAGGTAGCCTCGCCCAGCCTCGGTGCTAAGAAGTGCGGCGCTGCGGCCGGCGTCAAGGAACAGGTCCTCGCACTCCGCGACGTCCTGGATGTCAATCTGCGAACGGCCGTTGGCCTTTGCAAGAATGCTGTTTCCGCCTCGTTAGTGGCCGTGTCTCGGAGGATATTCAGGGGGTTCGCCCTTGGGCTACGGGGCTTACCTTGCGGGGGTCAATAGCTGCAGGCAGTATCGAAGGCTAATGCGGACGCCGTGCTCCGCGATTTTGTCGATGGCAGCATCCGTAATGGCAACGCTCTCAGTCGAGACGCGTATCCGCACGATGCGCTTAATCTCCTCGGCGTCGTACGGGGTGGTGGGGATGATGAGCAAGCGCGCGAGGAAGTCGGTGGGGATACCGTGGGCCGCGACAATATCGTCGGTGCCCCTGATTGTGCACATTCCCCGGTTGGAGGCCAGGACAACAATGGGGGAAATTGGCGATTCCAGGGCTCGGTTCAAGTAGGTGAAGCACTCCACATCAAGCATGTGTGCCTATCAAACAGAGGGTTGGTTAGCCATGGTTTGCCGTCTCGCCGTGAAACAGTGTGACATTACCTCATCAATGAACAAAACGCCGGGAACCAGCTCTGCCACACCTTGGTCGATGTACTTGCTAACGACCTTGTTAATCTCCCCGCGCAGCTTCTCTGTGATCTCCGTCATCTTGGGCTTCATCAGCTGGCCCATCATGCTCATGATATCCTGGCCACCCTGGGGTCGAGAGTTGGCCACATCCAGGTCGTGCAACGTGACGTCTTGCACGATCTCCTTCTTCTTGTGGACCTCGCCCTTGGGGATGGGCACGTACTCCTCCGCCTCGAGGTCGAATTCTGTGGCATATGCGTCCGATCGTCCGACTCGTTTGCATGCACCGGTGTTTGCCTCGATGTAGATGACGTCGCCGACGGAGACGCGCTCCTTCTGGATGGCCTCGTAGATGCTGGGGTCCAGGCGAAGCTTCTTCTGGCCCTTTGCGCTCTTCAAGCCGATCAGCAGCGTGCTGATGGTCTTGCCGTAGCCACCGAGGGGGTTCTCGGCCTCCTCGGGTGTAAGCTCTGTAACCTCTCCCTCGTAGACCTCCTTCGTCTCCCGCACCTTAAGGCCAATTGCTCTTCGGAAGTTCTCCATCAACATCTCCGTCTTCTTGACTTCGGTCGAGTAAATTTCGCTACCGACGATGGGGCAGAAGGGGATCTTGGTTCCCAATTCTTGGCTGATCGCAAGTGCAAGCGCCGTCTTTCCAGTTCCGGGACCTCCAGCCAGCAGGACACCTCGGCCGGCCATCTTCTGAGCTCGAATCAAATCCACGACAACACCGCAGGACTGGTCGGGTCGAGTTAGCACACCAACAAGCAGCCAATAGCGCTTCCAACCTTACCTCTCGAGCACCTGCTTGGCCGACGAAGCCGCCGGATTGCTTCTCTGCGTATCCATCTGATTTGAGGCCCAGGCCCTTGATGTGGCTATGGGCAGCTGTGCGATTGTCTCGCTTGTTGCCTTTGACTTCGCTGATCTGGACCATCTTGTCGGTAGGCTGCCGATGTCGTCGAAAACGAGGGTGTGTATCTGGTCGGATTCGGGGATGCGATAGGTTTCGGCGATTCTCGGGGATCGAACGTTGGAGGATGGGTTGTTGTTGTTGAAATTGCAGCTTTTGAACTCCCAAAGATTTGCGATCGTAGCTTAGTCCGCCTGCTTGCAGTCGCCTCGCCATGCGCGTCTTCGCGCTACGTTGCGCCTCACGTGACGCGGAGGAAATTCCCAAATTTCGCCTCAACTACCCTATAGATCCGGCCAAATCGAGTAGTAACTCAAAGCTTTCGCAGTATAGGGACGTTTCTAGTCTTGTTCCTATTATTATTGTGTACTTGGTGCCTGGTTTATTTTCAATTTTCCTGGATATCTTGTTTCCCGCCCAGTAGGTTGAGCAGCGACTGGAATTTTTAGGTGGTCCGAAAGTCAGTATTTCCTGTACCACCTGGTGAGACACGCTATTAAATGGCGGGCGCGAATGATAGATTACAGGCTTCACAAGATATTTTGAGAAGAAAGCAAACGACTGTACTCATAGCCTCAGAATGGCCCATATATTATCCCGATGTAAACCAACCCAGACTCCATTTATGAATCCTATGCCCAATATCTATCTATCCTCTATCGAGAAATGCGCAATTCCTCAGGTGACCCAGTTGCATCCAAAAGCATTGGTGAGCCTTCAGACTCACCTAATAGATTTCCAAGCATTTCTTCATCGTCAGACGGAGGTTTCGTTGGCGGAGACTTCTTCATCAGCACAACACCAACAGCACTCCCCAGGATCAAAGTGCATCCCGCGCCACTCATTAGGTCCATCCGGTGTCCAAACACCCACCTATCGAAGCTGACGGCGAACAACATGTGAGTGTAAATCATGGCATTGGCCCGGTTGGACTTGTCTGACCCAAGTCCCGTTGTCAGCAGGTACTGCATGATGAAGCCCATCAGACCCAGGGGTAGAAGAAGCAACCACTGCTTGGCGGTAGACGGGGTGATCCATTTGAGTCCGGGCTGATCAACGTTGAGAACAGGTGCGAGGGTCAGGGCGGTTATCGAGATAATGGTGGAGATGACGCCAAAGTAGTTGACGGAAATCAAGGGATGCGCTCGCTTTCCAATCGTTCGAAGAGCTGTGAAAGCACCAGCGGCTCCCAGTACACCAAAGAGGGCAACACTGACGGCGATCAAGCGTTCCTCGGCCGTTGCAACATGGTCGCCACCTGGAATTCCTGAATCAGGAGTTTCACTTGCCTCCTCGTCCGTCGAACGTGAGAAGAAGGAGACTGGCTTTGCAATCAGCACCACACCCATGAGGGCCACTAGAGTCGCAAGCTGTTCGAGTCGAGTGAAGGGTTCCTTGAGGACGAAATAGCAAATGAGTCCCGCAACTCCCGGCGCAAGGAAGGTAATGACGGTAGCATCTGCCAGAGGGATGTACATCATCGAATACCAAACACCAAAAATACCAAAGAAGCCAGACACGCCTCGGAACACCAGGAGATGTTGAATACTCCTGGGACCAAAAGGGAAGCCGGGCGTCTTCATCCACCACATGTATATCGAACAACATATTGAGGTAATGAGCTGTCTGAGGAGGAGAACTTGGACGGGGTGCATGCCATTGCCCTCGAGCTCGACGAGGCGAGCGCTTAGGTTCATCAAGGACCCGAATAATTGTGACAGCGCAACGCAGATGGCGGGCTTGTTTCTGATCCAGAACTTCTTCCACCCGGAAGGTTGTTCTTGTATTTGTGCATCCGTGCCGGGGCTAACAAAACGCCCCGAAGGTATGGGTTCGAGAAGCGGGCTCGCAGCAGGACTTAAAGATAGGCGACGGAAGTCGTCAAAACTCGGCTCGTTCAGTTTTGACGCCCCCATGTTGGGGGACCGAGCATTTGGAAGTGACAGGTGATCTCGAGACTCTTCAACAGACTCCCAAGGGGCGAGTTTTGCAAGGGGAGTCTGGGGGGTGTCATTGTAAGGCGTTGGGGTTTCGGGCTCCCGAGCCATGGTTTCCGCGTTGTTCTGGGAGGGCTTTTGTCGTTGCAGTGAAATGTGTGGATGGGGGTGATTGACTGATCTACAAGGATATCAATATCACCAGAGCGCAAGAGGACTTGGAGACTCGTCACAGCGAACAAGACTGAATCGACGACACGAATGAACTGGAGCTAAGCAACGGAAGAAAAATGCAGAAGAGTGAGAGCTTTGGTAGAAGAGGAGCACCAGTAGCAACCGACGAGCAACCACCAACACCATCTGCGTGGACCCCGCAGCCGCAGCCGGTGGAATCGTTAGCCGGCTAGGCGGCGATCATTTCACAGGCTCACAGGAAGCAAGAACTGATGGGAACCCTCCTATCGAAGGCAAAAGGCCAGTGGGGGTGGACCCCGTTCAGCCAGCTGGGAGGAATCTGAGAGGCTCTGAGGGAACTCCCAGAGCCTCTAAACCATGTCGAGCTCCTGACCCCCGGTTTCGCTATGCCCGGCCGTCTGCTGACCAGTTGGAGGGCCGGGGAGAAGGCTGACGACACCAATGGAAACGGCGCATTGTTTGGTGGGCGCGAAAAAAGGTGGGAAGGGTGGGTTAAGGTGTGACTGGAGGGACCAAAGGTGCAGCTCTTGGCTCACTGGGCCGTGTTTTTCGCAGTGAGAGAAAAGTGCGTAGTGGTGCGAAGTGGTGCGTGGTGGTGTGTAGTGCGCCCTCCGACCTTCCGAACTCGCACTGCCGGTTCCGCCGCGACCTCCGAACCAGTGGCGAGGCCCATCTCCGTGTTATTTCCCGAGCCCAGCCACCCCCGGGCCTGGCTTTCGTCCAATCTTTTTCGAGCTGTGAGCCGTGTTAATTGCGAGACAACAGAGTCTGGGTGAGGCAACTGGCTGTGTGAGTGGCCTTGGAGAGTATCTCGTTGGAGGGTAATCCGAATTATACTATCATGAGCCCGGCGGCTTGAAAAAAATGACCTGAGTCGCCGGCAAGCTAGCAAAACGCACCAAACCTCACCGCAATCGAAAACCTCATGGCTGGGACGGCGCAGACGAACATACATACATAGCGCCTTTGTAACCATGCAGGTTGGTAGGGGTCATGAGCTTAGCGGTAAGCAGTGTGGAAAATGCACCAACATCCGGCAATCCCACATCCATCCCACCTTTAGAAGCAAGGTACCCGCACCAGGGTGACCGGGGATATAATAATAGGTAGTCAATGCGGATCCGAGCAGATCCAGTCACCGTCAGAGAAGTGAACACGGCAGCGCAAACATCAAACGGGAGCTCCCGCATAACTTTATATCAGACTGGCAGGGCCATGTCATGGATTGACAACTCTAGCTGGCAGAAGTCAAGAGGCGTGTCAGAGGCTGCTGACCCGTGAGTGCTGCATTTCCCGTGAGCGCGATGGAACACGGCGACTCAGGACACGACACGATACGATGCGAAGTCCGCCTCTGCACTTGCAAGTACGAATGACATACATGATGATCATGTCCAGAAATGGCCAGGGTGAGGCTTACTTGGCCCAATTCAAAACGATAGTGGATGGAGAGAAGCAAAAAAAAACAACCAAAAAAAACAATGGGCAAAAAGTGATATCAGACAGAAACGGCGCCTCCGACTGCTGCAGTGGGCTGGAGCAACACTCGTTGGGTACGGCTTTCGGCAATAGTTGTTTACTCGTGCGCGTGTTGTATGTGCGTCTGGTGCGCGGCGTGCAGGAGGGCAGTATCAAGAGGAGTGAGTAAGGTAGTGACAAGCAGTGACAGTGGTGGTGAGGTGAAGAAGCAACCACTTACAGGGACACACGTGACTGAGCGGTCCTCTCCAAAGGCTCCCCGCCCCCCCAACCCACAATCTGAGGATATCCCAGGCGGCGGTCTCGCAGGCGTGAGTTGTCTGCCGGCCGCAGGCTACCTGAAAGTGGGATTTGTGGATGCCTCGGGGGTCCAATTGCGGCTTTTGTGTCCCCCATCGGGGACGGACCGCTACCCTGGCCTGCCGAAAGTGCGACCATCACGTCGTCACCGTGCTGGGATTGCTGGGATTACTGGGATTGCTGGGATTCAGTGTGGGTTTTCTCCCCTTGGCGGGGTTCACCTCCCACATAACCCACGTAACTCCTCCTCGCAAAAGCTCTAATAAAGCGCCACCCCTGCGGATTTGCTGCTTTTTGAGTCTTTGCCAGCGCCTCGCCGTCTAGCCTTGTCGCCTCTAAGCCGGCCGGGCCATTCAGGACCACCCGGGACCATTCAGGACCATCCGGAACCATTCGCGGGCCAGTGGAGCGTCACTTCTCACTTTTTCACCATTTTCCCCCGGTCCTGCGCGCGCCGCCGGGTTTCATCCTCGCCCTCGCCATCTCCGCCAGCGTCCTGATCCGAGGCCGTCCTTCGCCGTCCCTCTCCATTCCCATTGCTGTCGCCGCTCTCGGTATCCTCCTTTCCGTTCCCCATCGATATCGAGCTTGTCGCGGCACGAGGACAGACTCTGCTGTCTTGTCTTGTCTCGTCTTGTCTCAACCTTCGCCCTCTTCAGCTCAGCTACCGTCCGTCTACCCCTCCTCCGCTTGTGACCTCCCGCCACTTCGTGTCCTCGTTCGGGTTTGAAACTAGCCCGACGAGTGCGACATCCATCCGCCGCTCGACCGTCCTCCCCTTGTTGACTCGCGCTCGCGCTCTCTATATATTTCCGCCTCTCCTCTCTGCTCATCCTCTCTGCCATCGTCCCCCATCCGCTCCCGCCATGACGCCTCATCCCACCCTCAAGGCGACCTTCGCCAGCCGCTCCGAGACGGCCACCCACCCCCTTAACAACTACCTGTTCAAGCTCATGGACCTTAAGGCATCAAACCTCTGCCTCAGCGCTGATGTTGCCACCGCTCGCGAACTGCTCTACTTCGCCGACAAGATCGGCCCCTGCATCGTCGTCCTCAAGACCCACTACGACATGGTCTCCGGCTGGGACTTCCACCCCCAGACCGGTACCGGTGCCAAGCTGGCCTCCTTGGCGCGAAAGCATGGTTTCCTCATCTTTGAGGATCGCAAGTTTGGCGACATTGGAAACACCGTTGAACTGCAGTACACCAGCGGCGCTGCCCGCATCATCGAGTGGGCCCACATCACCAACGTCAACATGGTTCCTGGCAAGGCTTCTGTCACCTCTCTCCAAAACGCTGCTAGCAGGTGGCTCCAGCGCCGCAATTACGAGGTCAAGACTTCTGTCACTGTCGGAACTCCTACGATAAGCAACGCCGATGAGGACAGCGAGCAGTCCGATGCTGAAAGGACGGATGGGACCCCGGATGTTCCTCTTTTTGATAACAACGGGCGCAAGGGCAGTATCGTTTCTACCACTACTGTCACTCAGCAATACGAGGCGGCCGACTCACCACGACTCGTCAAGACTATTATCGAGGGCGATGACTCTCTGTTCCCCGGCATCGAAGAAGCTCCCATCGAGAGGGGTCTCCTCATCCTAGCACAAATGTCCAGCCAGGGCAACTTTATGAACAAGGAGTACACCCAGGCCTGTGTCGAGGCTGCAAGAGAGCACAAGGACTTTGTCATGGGCTTCATCTCCCAGGAGACCCTCAACACTCAACCCGATGATGCTTTCATCCACATGACCCCTGGCTGCCAACTGCCCCCCGAGGGTGAGGATCAGGACGCCGCCATTCAGGGAGACGGAAAGGGTCAGCAGTACAACACCCCGCAGAAGATCATTGGTGTTGCTGGCGCCGATATTGCTATTGTCGGACGCGGCATCATCAAGGCCAGCGACCCGGAGGAGGAGGCCGAGAGGTATCGTTCCGCGGCGTGGAAGGCTTACACGGAGCGTGTTCGGTGATTTGCAGGTTTGGTGACATTAAGAGATGGGGGCGGCGAATTGTCTAGCGGAATTTCATGATTTACGCGGGAGTGTGATGGGAAGTAGCACACTAAGAGGGAGAGGAAGAAGACTCGAAGATTCGGTATGGTATTCAAATCACTTTGGTCCTCCGTATTTTGCGCAGCGTTGGGAATATACCAATATACCCGCATGTATTAGCATGCTTGTCCCTTTACTGGGTCAAAGTCAAACTGCTCGCTGCTCTTGGTGATACCATTCCCCTTGCCTCGTTTTGATCGCCAAAGTCCCAACCCGATTTAACAAGCTGCAGTCTTCCCCGCAGTTTCTGACTGCGCTTGGACGCATAGGAACCGGCCCTGGCCAGGGCCGGTTCCTTTGGCGGTAGATCAACTCGGTAGAGACTCCACCCACATGGGGACGAATTATGAGGAGTTGCTGCCGTAGGGGATCGATCATGTCGTTTTAAACTCTATGATTTATGAATGCCGATGCAATTTCCGTAACTTGTGACTCCATGCCACTGAGGGCTAGATGTTGTGCCCTGCCCGAAAACCAAGATCCAGAACGCCTGAGCCATGTCCACCGCCTAAAACACCCGAGAAACAGAAACAAATAGTCCCAACGCTTAACGCTTCTTTCCCAGGGCATCCGCCTCCGCTTCCACATCGTCATCGGCCTCGCCTAGCTCCTCCTCGACCCTCGGTGCCCGGGAATCGGGCTTGTCGCGGCGCTTCTCTTCGTCGGCGGCATCCTTCATGATTTCGTCCTCGCCGTCACGCAGAATCTCACGCGCCTTCTTGATCTCCTTTTGCTTCTCAAAGACCTCCTGCACCTTGCCCAGGAACGCGGGGTTTTTGCGGAACGCGAACTCAAAGTCCTCGTACTTGATCTTCTGCCGCCCGGAGTAGTTGGCCGCGCGCGTCGCCTCGAACGCGATTGATTGCATGAAGTCGGTGAGGATCTCGTCGAGGACTCGCACCGTCTCGGGGAGGGGGTTTTGCACGTCGCCGTGAGCGTAGAGCAGCTGCGCCACTGCGGTAGTTGTCAGATCAATGGGGCTTCTGGGATGGAATCGCGGGAGGAGCAAGCATACGCTCGTTGTGGCTAAAGTTCATCTTGCCGACATTCTTGCCGGCACGTGCTCGAGGCTCCATCTTGACTCGACCGGGGCGTCGCAAGAGCGGCGCGTGCAATCCGTAAGAAGAATCAATTCGGGTGAGGGGCTTTGGATGGCTCTAAACCCGGTGCAAGGTGTGGTTTGGATGGCTGAAATGGACCGACGTTCAGTGTGACGGTTGAGGTTCAACCGGCTTGGTGGGGGCGGCATGTGCCTGTGGGGGGCCAGACGTCACCCCTTGCACGTCCCGGCTCGGCGAATCTTTACCCCTAAGCACACCTTGCCTGCCCGTGGTGGAAGGCTAGCGAGGTCCTAGACCAGCTGTCTTGCGCGCGCCGCCTCGACTTCCGCGACGACAAGCTGTCTTCCACGAACGAAATCGACGCCGATAATTCTCCAACTGACTGATCCCCCCGTTGGTTGCCAATATGGTATGCTCCCTGCTGTTACCGATTAGACAAAAAGCTCTGACAAGCTCCCGCAGTCGGCCCTCTTCAACTTCCAGTCGCTCCTCCTCGTCCTCTTGCTGCTCATCTGCACAAGCTCTTACGTCCACCACTTCGCCCCGAGCATTATGGACAACAGGAAGGATGGGTATGCTATGCTGACCTCGCCCACGATGCATCGCAAATAGCTAACTGGTCTAGTGCGATGGGAATCTTCTGGAAATGCGCAAGGATAGGGGAACGATTAAGTCCCTTCATAAGCATATGCTGTGTCCTCATGGCTGTATGTCCGGCCTCGTATCCATGTCGTATTCTAGTTGCTGACAAAATCCAGGTCTCCATCCTCCTTAACTAGATTCCGCGACCCCTACGAAACGTTTCCCTAAGATATCGCGACAGACGGGAGTTAGGTGGCCGACTTGCGACGGCGGCGGCGATTGCTAGGCGTATGCGACATGGTTCACGAAGATTTGTTTTCATAACCGAGGCCCTCATTTCGGCTGAGGTGTAGGTGCGGGAGCATGCTAGGATGTCGGCTTAACAAGCTGCGTCTTTAGAAACGACGGCCCGCGAGCTGTGTTTGCGTCACACTCGACCTGCCGCGATCCCAAAGCGGAAGCGCCTCGACCCGACGTCCCACGAACCAATATCGAAAAGCTATCTGGTTCGGCTCGATGTGCGTGTCTGCGCTTTGCTCTCCGACGGCTGGCCGAGACGCCCGAGTGATGTGCGTTGTTCTGCTGGTTGCTGCCTGGAGGGCCGATACGATTGGACTCCGTTGGAGGGGTAAATACGATACCCATGGTCGTTTGATGAATATCATTTGTGACCAGTAGGCCAAGGGATCCAAGGGATAGGGTGTCAAGCCGGGAAGCCCGAATGCGGTTTGACAATGACGAATTGCACCCGCAATCGATATTGGACGAACAAGCAGCGATGCATGGGAATATTACATGTCAAAGGACGAGTGTACCTCACCACTAATAATATGTATTCGATGTTTTGCCGAAACCAGTGCCCGTGAGTTGTGTCTTGGATCAATGCGACTTGATCATGGGAAGTGTGTCTCCCACACCGTCTCATAATACTGTTGTTCGTGGCTCCCTTGATATTACCTGCGAGTCTTGAGCATGTTACAGGCAGGTTAGGTAACCCAGGCTATACGATTCGTGTCAAGCATGTAATAAAGGGACCACTTTGACATTGACTGAAATACATTGCAAGGGTGTGCCTACATTGTACACAGAGCTATTATGCGGCGAAACCGCAAACAAGCTGAAGCTATTGAAGGGAATGAAGGAGTGAAGGGATGGGGCTACTCGACGTCTTTCTCCTTTGCATCTATTGATGCAGCCCCAAATAGAATGTCATGAAACCACGGAAGGGGCCATTGGACCCTCTCCTCACGGATCACTCGTGGGAATAGCTCTGGAGGTGTTGGTTTGGGCGAGGGATGCAACAACATTGGGTGTTTCAAGTGAGGATAGTTGCGGCGCTCAGGGTGGTAGACAACAGTCTATGCGAGAAATTTGGGGGTTCACAAACGGATCGATCGCATGGTTCCCGAATGGCTTGTAGATATTCCTCCCATGTGTAACCCTCCTTAGCTTGCTCCGTCCTCAAACTCGTATTTCATACCAATGGGAACCCGACGGGACGGGATGGACGTTGGAATGAGGAAGAGCAGCCAAGAAACTAAGCGACCAAGTCCAAGTGCTTTGGGCGCAAGTCGACGCTGTCACACACTAGAAGGCCTCAGGGATCCGTCTTCTTACCCTTTCGAACGAAGTTGGATGCGCACATTGATTGGCGGACGGCACACAGACACACACTTACACGAGGAGCAACAATCGGCAGCCCACATACCCCGTGGTAGAGGGTGTACTGACTCTGCTCCGAGCCATCAGCGAGTGTTGCCAGCCGAAAGCCGGGTGTTGGTCTTGGCAAGCGGCCTGGTGTTGGCGCAAGGGGAGCTGGACTCCTGGAGAGTGGACGCAACGAGGGTCCATCCGTAAACCCGCATCGTGGGGCACCGACGGCACTGAGTTTCTCGCCCCTCTTTTGGCGGTCTTCTGACTCGCAACGGCTCTAAGTTAAATTGACATGAAAAGGCAAGTTTCGGAGACAGAGGATGCAAAAGCTAAGCGCCTCGGCCGGCGGCGAACCACAGATGAGGTGTGGTTGACTCAGGTGAACGAACGGCACGGATGCACGGATGGCGGATGAAGGCAGGGGGAAAGGCGAGGGAACCTTTTCGGGTGGTGGGATCCGTAACTTACCAATTGCTCCGTACAGTAGGTAGTAGGTTAGGTACACGAATTGTGGCCCCCGATGGAAGGATGCGAATGTGCGTCGGGGAAGAGGCAGAGAGCCCGCAAGTGATAAGGCGCCCGGGGTATTGCTAGATGGATCGATGGATCGAAGGATGACGGAAGGGTTCGCCGAAGTATCAGCATCAGCATCAGCCTCAGCACCAGCATGGCACTGGTAAATACTAACATTAGGGGAGCAAGGACTAGGAATGGAGACGAATGTGGCAAGCGGCCCTTTTTGCTCTGTCTCATCACACTCTCGCCCTGTTTTCCGAGCGACCTTTTAGTAAATAGACCGGCCGGACCCCAGACCCAGCAGTAACGACGTTATCGAAAACACGCTCTGGTAGTGCTCCATACTCACTCGGTAGACGAGGCGCCAGCATTGCGAGGTAGGGTTGCCAGTAAATCATAAAAAAAGGGACCCGTTCGTATTGGGGCCTTGCATGGCGCTATCGCCATTCCGCCCCGGCCCCGGCCGCATGGTTGGGCCAGTAGCCTTTTTGTTTTATTACCTGGTACCCAGCCAGCACAGGGCAGCATGGTGAATAATAAAGGGTGGCCTCCTGACCGTTTAACCTTGGGACTTTCGGGTATCCAGTCATGAACCTCACCGAGCGAGCGAAGGCTTTGGGGCTGAAGTTAGCTAGCTGGTGGCGAGCGTGAGGCTCGGGGCAAAAATAGAAGAGGGCGAAGTCGCAATGCTACGGCGTTATCTCCACATTCTGGGGTCCAATCTGGCATGGGAATATGCCGGTCGTGTGGGATCATGGAGATGCAGATGGAGATGAGGCGTCGCACAGAGTGTGTCAGCAGCGGTTGGGTCAGTCGCTCAGTGGGCGGGTGACTTTATTGTTTCTGGGCGGATCCGAAGGTTCAAGAATGACCTCAGCGTAGTCCGAGAAGAGGGTTTCCGGGCATGTCAATGCGAGCGTGAGCGTGAGCTTGCGAGTCTGAGTCTGAGTCTGATTGCCCGCAGCCCCGATCGTGTGTGGCTGGGGAGTCCGAGCTGAAAGGAGGTTCCCGTCCCAGCGGCGAAGCTCCAGCTCCAGCTCCAGTTCCAGCTCCAGTTCCAGCTCCAGCTGAACGGACGAGGCGAAAGGGCGGATGAATCTTGGCCGCGGTGGATGGGCTGTCATCATTGCACATTGCAGCTTTTGGAACATTCCAGGCGGCGACGGGGCCAGCGAGGGAGGCACCGGGGGATGGGGTCTGTGTTTTGAAGCCCCGAAGCTACGACTGAAGCTACGGCTGAAGCTACGCTGAAGCCTGAGCCAGACTGAGCCAGAATGGGGGATTGTTCCCGTCGCTACTGGGAGCCATCCTTAGTTGGTTTGGGTTCCAGGTTTATCACAAGGTGAAACCAAAACAGGACAGAGTCATCAGCGCTGAAGTTCGGGGGTGGGAGTTACTCATGCACCATTGTTTACAAAGTATGTGCCCTACATTATAGGAACCAGGCTAAATGGCAGCATACCTCCCGATACAGCGTAGAACTGACGTACGAGTGTGCGTGCGTGCGTGCGTGCGCGCTTGCGTAGTGTGTGCATGTGTGCATGTATGTCTGTTATTATTGTTGAGGATGCAGGAGGCGTGGATAAAGACAGAGCGTATAGACAGAGGCGCAGATGCTAGCTACTTCTGCTGTCTGGCTGTGCTGCATACAGTTTCGAGGAGGCCTGCTTGCAACCATGCGCCTAGAATCCTCTTTGTCTCTTTGTGCCCCCGTGTATGCGTACTACGTATGTATGCAAGACGAATAGTTAGACTAAGGTCGGTCTGGTGCTGGACTACGAGCATGGAGGGAGGGCGATGACGATGCGACGTCCACCTCAGCCACGGAAGGATGGATGGGTTGGGATGAGGTGTACCGACCAAATGTATGTGTGGATGGACCACGGCTTGAGCTGGCTTGAGCTGGCCAGTGCTGGCATATGACATGAGGCGTGAGTGGGTGATAGCGTCGTGAGCGTACGATCCAATGCGGTGCTGATGCGGCTGGCACTGCGGTTACGGCGGCCAGAAGAGTCATAGCCAAGGGCCGAGAGGGCCTCGAATGACGCTCATTTTGGGCAGTGCAGCAGGTGCACCGTAGCGCAGTGCAGCAAAAAACAATTACGGCCCAAGTTAGGTGCAGATCCAAAGTCGCAGCGATGCGTTGGCTGTTCCTGGATGGGACTCATGAGAGACGGTGAGGTCGGTCTTGTCGACGATGGTGTGGAGGGGCCAAGGCATTGTGGACAGCTGGGGGGATGGACGTGGGAGCGCCACATGGACAGGATGGGGGATGGCAAGCGAGGGCATTTCCCTGATGAGTCGGTGACCTGCCACTAACTAACTTAATTAGCCAAGTTACTGACCAGCATTCGACCCAGAACGAGCGGCGAGAGACAACAACAAAACAAAACCACCAGAGACAAGACAGTCAAGCCTCACAAGAGGACCGACAGAGACAAAACCCACTTTGGCGAGGCTCGATTCGTCCCTCCCTGCCTTGCACCTGACAGACAGGGCCCCCAACTTGACTCCTTGAGGGCCACAGCACTTACAGAACCCAAGCGCCAAAGCACCGAAAAACCACACCACCACGACACCACCACCGTCTGACGTCGGGTTGCTGTCGCCGCTCTCGCTGTCACTGCAACTATACCTGGACCTGGACCTGGACCTGGACCCGGGCCAGCACGCGCATGGAGGGGCCAGCGCTGATGGATGGGCGAGGCGTGGCCGAGCCTGGATCACCCTGACACCGTTCACCCTGACACCGAACATCCTGAGCCTGACTCTCGCCGCCCTGGACATTTCGCTCTCCATCCCATCGGGGGATGCCCTTCCCACATCCCGCCACCGCGTTGCACCGCTCACCTGGATGGCTGCGACGCTGCCGTTGCCAACTACAGGGGACCGGCCCGGCCGAAAAGGGCTCCACACCATACACCTGGCGCCGACCTACCAGCACGAGATCGTGAGGACCCTCGTCAGCACGAGGCGTGAGGCACGAGGTGTGAGGCGTGAGGCGTGAAGGCATGAAGCATTGAGGCATGAGGCGCGATACGTGCGTAGTAAACTGGGTCGAACTGGGTCGAACTGGGTCGAACTGGGTCCGGCGGTCGTTTCTGCCAAACCAGTTCCCAGCGCCCAGCTCCCAGTTCCCACGCGGCCGGGATCTGGCCCGCCAGCGATGGGCGGGTTCGGCCTCTCGTCCATCGGTCGGAGCGCCACAGGGCACCATCTTACGCTTGTTTGGGTCCGACCGTGGGTGGCCAGACTTTTACCCTTCATTCGAAGCTGCGATCTGGTGTTGCTTGGGTGCGTCTCGTCTCGGGAGCAAAGTGGCACGACACACTGAACATGCCAACGCCCCCGTCCCCCTCGCTCCTCTCCGGGGCCCGGGATCATGTCCCCATGCTTCCTCCCATCGGAAGACGACCGCTGAACCTATGCGCCGTGGCGAAAGGCAGCGTGCTCCGCGTTCCTTAGGGCAGGTACACCGGACAAGCTGATGATGTATTTGGGCGACGGCTGGTGGTGATGGCGGAGGAGGTGGTGGTGATGGCGGAGGAGGTGGTGGTGGTGGTGGTGGTGGTGGCGGAATCGGATGCCCACAGGTGGCACGCTGGGAAGGAGAACCGAGCGGCCTCTTGCAGCTTTGAGGAGGCGAGATCTCATTCCACCCCGGAGCCGCTGTTACGTCGTCTTGCGTCTTGCGCCGCCGCCCCCATCGCCGCCCCCGTTCGGGCAATGCACGCGGCCTTGGGACGGGTTAGGCCCCACGGACGGGTTTTGCCAGCCAGCGTCATCGCCAATCTCGTTTCGAGACTTTTGGGTTGTCCGCCCAAGTGACCTCACAGGTGGGCAATAAGTAGCTCGTAGCGGCCGAAGCCTGGGGCGGCTCATTAGTCGCGACAACTCCGCTCTCTGCACGCTTCTGGCCCGCTTCTAGATCAGCGGCGCCGGCTGATGGGTCCTCAAAGTCGCCTCCCCCCCCTGACGGTTCTCACCCCTGGCACCGCTGGGTCCATCCCTGGTAATCCTGGACGCCCTGGGGAGGTCCCTGGATCCTGTGGGATCCCTTGGAGATGGATTGGATGAGGATGAAGGGTTTGGCTCTTGAGGGAAGCCCCGAAAAGGTCTAAGGTCCAAGGTGCCGTCCGTTCCTATGGAGGGTGCTGGGTTGTCGTGTTTCTGGGCTTCTGAGTTTATTGGTTTCTGGTCCATTCCATCCTGCTCCTCTCCGTGGCGTCTCGTCTACTGCTGCTGCGACTACTGCTGCTACTGCATCCTGCTAATGCTGTCGCTGATGCCGCCGCCACAACCAAATCTCGTCCGTAGCCCATTGCCGGGCTGGAGTGCCACCCAATGCCACTGTACCGTGAATGTGACGGATCTGAACCCGGCCGGTGGTCTTGGCCCCCAACGTGATGGAGCCGAAAAAGGTACCCGCGGGGTACTTCCGCTTGAGACCTTGACGCCTCGCCGAGCCAGGTACCTGCTGTCTGTCGGCTGTCCCTCTGTTGAATTGGAGGTATGCAAGGGCAAGCTTAAACCATGCCATGCCGCACCGACTGGCGGCGTGCTTTTCGGGGGGGAACTTGCTGGGGACGACTCCAACTGTGGACAAGCTGGGACGAGCTGGGACAAGCTGGGACAAGCTGGGGCCACAATGTGGAGATGCCCATCGCCATCGTCCATCGCCCATCGCTCATCGACATGCCATTAATGCTGACCCCATTCGATGGGAGACACGTGCTTATCACAAGGACATTTGCATGCCCGCCTGTCCGCTTGATCCCAAAGGGCATACGTAAGGTAGGGTATGTGCTCTTTCTCGGTTGCTGTCCCGCCAGATACGCAATACGTACAGGGCAGGGTCAAGACAACGCAATGCCTCGGTTGGTCCGTTCCCTTGGCAGACCAGACCAAGCCCACGATGCTCCCTCTCTCCGCCTCTGCTGCCCTGCGATGCAATGCGGGAGCAAGAAAGGAGTCAGTGAAGTGAGTAGTGAGTGACTCCCTCATCGCTAGCTACCCGCTATTCCTGCTGCTTGTCGCTGCCGCTCCCGCTGCGTGCTGCACTGTTAGATTACTCATTACCGTACGCCCCGGGTGGCGGTGGTTTTGGTGGTATTGGTGGCCACCTACTTTCGCTGGGCTCCTTCGCCTTGTCTCCTTCGGCGCCATCGAAAGTGACCGGGACCCAGAAGACAGAAGAACAGACTAAAATCTGGCGACGGGTCCCTGGGGTTCCCGGGGGGGGGGGCAGCGGGCGGGATGGGCAACTGCCCGGCAAACTGCCAGCGGCCAGCGGCCAGCGGCTACCACCAGCGCACACCAGCGACACGCATCGCCCTGGATTTTGCAGGTCACGCCTGTGCTAGAAACCACTACTCAAGGTACCCGGGACGCCCTGTAACCCACCCACCGCCCCCCCACACACCACCATAACCCACTAAAACACAGACTGCCCACACGCCCACCCACGCCCTCACACCCCCTTTCAGGGCCCTCCCATCCACCATCATTCAATCGCTGCATGCGTGTCCGTGTAGTGTAGTGCACTGCAAAAGCGACGATGCTGGGCGTACCGAGTACCCCCGAGGTACCTGGCGATCAGCCCGGCGCGGGCCCTGGACGGGGTCTCTCGCTCGTCGCAGGGCCCGCGCTATACCTTACCCATCCATGGGATTTAGCTACAGAGTACGTACTGTGTGTCATGCCACGACTATGCCGGGCTCGGCGTCCCTAATTTTTTTTTTTGCTCCCAAGCCCAAGTGTGGAAGGGCCCTTACTCGCCTCGGGCCTTGGTCTGCGTCGGTGTCAGTGTGGTGTTTGAGGGACGGTCATCCATCCATCTAACTTCCGCGCTCCTGCTTAGACCATCCTGCCCCCTTTCCCTCGCCTTCCCACTCCCTTCCTTCCTCTTCCCTCCTTCCACTCCCTCTTGGAAAAAGATCTTTGCGACAGTTACCCTCCTCTTTCATTGCTCTCTCATACATCTCCTCTCCTTTCCCGGTTTTGGTTTTCGTGTCTGGGCTCTTAGATTGACCGTCCTCTTTCGCCATCTGCTTCGGTCGTGCACTCTCGCTCTCGCACCACACTGCACTGCATTCGCCGCCCTTCCCCCCGGCTCCCGAGTATAATAATACACCAACAACACCGCCAACCGCCAACCACAACCGCCAACCACGAACCACGAACTCCGGATTCACGCATCGCGCTGTACCTCAACACCACCCATTGCCACTAAGGAACCACGCGAACCCTTCTCCACCGCAAGCACGACTCCGGACCTAGCCTCATCGGCTTTCTCCTGCAGGCAAACAAGTCTCGGCGCCCCTACCCTCGGGCTAACATCGACGGCGAACACCCGACTTCCCTTGTTCCCGGCTCTCGCAATAGAAACCACGGCGAACACGACGCTTTCCGCCTGTCCCGCCCGCTAATTGCTGCAATTCCTTGGACACGCTTCCTCGCATTGCATTCATGTAAGCAAGCCCTGACGCTTCCCTACATCTCGCCCCCCATCGCACAAGCCCCGGATGGTCAATCCATCCCGCCACTGCGTACCCGCACAGGCGCAACGCAGCAGTCCATAACCGACTGCTCATGCAGCTGGCCGCCCGCTCGTGACTTCTGCCATGTCGCACCCCTCAAATTTCAAGTTTGCCTTGGTCCATGCTAGAACCCTCCCCGTTTGCTGACTGTTGCTCAATAGACTTAGTTTACTCCCTCGAGTTGCCTTTGACGAGTAAACCTTCTGTCTCCTCCACTTGGGAACCTACTTCTTTCTTCCCACCTGCCTAACGAGAACCCAATCTCACACTCAAATCACTGTTTCAGTTGTCCGGACTTTTCACAGACATCGTCAACACCGAGTCGCTACTTGCAAAATGACGGCGGATCAGGGGTTTGGTGGACCGGTCGAGAGATCGAGGAATTTGTCCACTTCGGCTCCAGGACCTAATGGAGAGGGTGACGCGACTAGACCTGAGAAGGAGGTCAAGAGAAAACCCACCGAGGATGAAAAGGACGAGACAGTACAGACATCACAAGTTTCACCGCGCCGGTGCGACGACCCATCACAAACCACCACTGGCCCCGTGGCCGCACCACTCTCAAGGGAGCCTTCCGCTGATGGCTTATCAACACCGAGCCCTGCCCCTGAGGGCCGCAAATCTCCCGCCCCTTATCAACCCCTAGAGCCCCCAGTAACCAGGTCAAGCCTGAGTGAACTGGAAGTCTCCAAGATTATCAACAACCCCAAACTCCGACACGATATTAACTTTGACCCTGAGCTGCACTTTAGACCGAATGTGGAGGGCGACAAGGGCCGAAGGAAACACGACCGGGCCAGCATCTTTTGGACCGCCCTGAAGGAGCAGTTGGTAGAGTTTATCGTGGACCGATCCAGCTTTTACGAGAAGCACGGCATGGAAGATGATTGGTGCCTTCCTAAACTTCTCAAGGCCGTCAAGGACATTATTCAGACTCTGGTACCCCAGCGGGACCGACAATTTCTCGACGAGGGTCTTAATGTCGAGCTTCTGATGCAGCAGTTCCACAAAGGGATCGCCGACCTGGAGAAGCTGGCCCTGTGGCTCTCGCGTGTGCTCAAATCACACTGCGCACCTATGCGGGACGAGTGGGTGGATTCCATGTACAACCAATTAAGCAGCGGCAACCGCAACAACGACGTTGATGAGCTGGTCAATGGTATGCGCAGTCTGCTGAGTGTGCTGGAGGCGATGAAATTGGACGTTGCGAACCACCAGATTCGATGCCTGCGGCCTGCTCTGATCGAGGAGACGACTGCTTTTGAGCAGAAGTTCCTGATGAAGAAACTACGGAACCGCAAGATGGATATCGGGGATGCGAAGCCCTGGTACCGTGACGCCGCCAGGACGTACTCCGGCAATGGAGGCACGACCTCATCGGCTTTTGGAGACATGGGTATCTTCTTCGAGGGTCTCTCACGATCGATGCTGCCTTCAGCAGGCGATAAGCCCCTTCCTGGCACTTTCTTCTTCGACGAAGACCGAATGAGCCGAGTGAGGTCTGATATCCTCGACGCTATTAATCTGGATGTTTGCATGCGTATGTACGAAGACTTGGAGAGGATAGCCCGGTTCAACACGACGCCTGCGTTCTCTAACCACGCCTCGGAGGACGAGCCCCTGATGCCGTCGATGATCAACAACGAGTTCAACTTCAACACTCCTCCTTCGCACTCCAGGCCGGCGAGCCTTGCCCTGAGCTCCGCTGGCTCCGCTTCTTCGTCCCCCCGATCCTCTCTGATTATGCCTTCTTACATGGTTCCCGACATGAACGAGTCCAAGACAAAGGCACGCAATCTGCGCGACTCGCTCGTGGCTCTTCTCCAGCAGGCTCCTCATGACCTCCACAACCTCGACCGCTGGCGCGCCATGGCACCATCGATGGCACTCCAGATCTTCCGATTTACCAACGCACCTTCCGAGATGCTTCCCGCATTCGAAGAGAAGCTCACCCAGAACGTTTCCAAGATCACATCGCCCATCTTCGAGGAGGTCGAGGAGGCTTATCGCATCCGACTCGTTGCGGAACTGGCCACGCGGGTCCGTTACTTCAAGTCGCTCTCGGGCGTGTGTCTGTTTTCGATCGCCACAGGCAACCGCGTGCCGAGCAACAACCGTGGCCTGGATGCTGGACGAGATCGAGACTTGGATGCCGCCATTCGCGTGGGGCAGCAGGAGGGCGGAATCGAAGACATTGCTACTCGCATTGCCCACGTGGGCGTTGTGCACTGGAGAATCTGGGCTCGCATGGCCTATGTGGATGAGGACGACATGTCGATGGACTAAACTGGGCATCTCATCGGGCTGCGTTACATCAGGCATGGCAGCACGTCCAGCGACTCACCAACAACTACACTTCGCAACCTCCACTTCACCTCTACTACACTCTTCTAATATCGACTCTACAATACGAATGGGATATCGGCACCACGTGGCGACCTCCTCGGAAGAATCGTCATTTCCTTGTCATCGGCAGAATACCCCAGCTGGCCTATCTTTCGCATGGATCGCGACGTCGGACTCGATCCTAGAGACACATCTACCGGGCTGGATCGAACTACAACCTCACACGCACCACTCACACTCTCACACACACACCGCCCCTTTTTTTTTTTTTTTGAACACCTCGTCCGTTCTCGCAACCAGAGTCAAAAGGAGGGGCGGAGATTATTAGACAGGCTGGGACAGGATCAAACCCTGCATTCATAGCTTTGCATTTTCGGTGTCTTTTTTCGATTATTTGTTTGTTGGTTGGGTTTGCTTTTTTAACTGGTTCACTCATCCTCTGCCGCGTCACATCTTGTTGCTTTTTCTTACCGACTTGGCTGCCTTTTTGTTTTTTGTCCCTCGGCGGCGTTCAGGATGGATGGTTGGGGACGGCAGGAGAATGAAACCCCCTGATACATGGCGCAGGGTATTTTTGCGTTGTAAGATTTGAGTCATGACCGAGACCTTTTTTTTTCCTTTGGGTGATTGGGATTGGGCTGCTGTGGAGTGAAGAATTAGGGTTTTTGGGCTTTTTTGGGCACACCCACTTCACATCACCATCGCACACGCGGGCAGACATGCATCACACTAGCACCCGTCCGTCACACTCAACATTATCACACGCACATACACACGCATGCACACGCAACTCTGTACATACATGGGGCGCCATTAGAGATCGGAATTAGACTAACTAAACTATTACCATTACCATTACCACTACTTCCACCGCTACTGCTACCCACTTCGGCTTCTTAATGTTTTTACTGGTGATTCGAGACGCGTCTCGAGTGCTGCTGTCGCAACCAACCAACCACCTTGGCTCTGCATATGGGACTTCCGCCCGCCCGCCGTTCGGCCCAAATGTAGTCCATACATACGCACACACACATGATATGTGACTGGTTTGCTACAGTAGTGCTACTACGGTGTGCAGGTGTTGGCTGTGATTCCCCTCCTTAGCTCGACTCGGCGCCGTGATGTGGCACCGCCCCAACACGCCGCATCCACTTTTCCCGGCCCGGCCGGCGCGCACCGGCGTCTCCGGCAAGGGGGACGGCGAAGCATCGCCCGCCCACCAGCATTTTCTGTTTAGGTAAGACGAACGCAGCTCCCCCCCAAAAAAAATAGACCTCATCTTTGCCGATGCAGCGTCATTTGCACCGACCGGCCGGTCCGCATCCGAAGGCAGCCGGGGGTTTCCCTGACGTCACCCGAATACGGTGCAAAGCCCTGACGATCTCTCGGTGATGGGCACGCACACCGATGGTTCGTGCGACGTCGCTGTTTTAGGAAGGTTGGGGGTGTTTTCAGTCTCAGCCTCGTGGGATTTTGTGCTCTTTGAAATGAGGGATTGAGTGTTGTCATCATGTAATCGGTACTTCGTATGCAGGCGGATGCCGTGCAAGAGATATCTCACCAGTGCGTAAAGATAAACACCCCTCCCCCCCCGTCAATGCGTATCTCAGCACTTTCTTTTCTTTTTCCTCTTCGACTCTCACCAAGGTTACTTTTCTACGACACATCACATCGCCAAGTCACTGACAAGTTTCTCTCCACGGGGTGGGTGGGTGTTTGTTTCACAACCCACACCGAGTAAGCGCGGCTCATTGCTTTTTAACATGGCCGAGCTGAGTTCACCATGCATGACACGCCTTGCGTCCACTGCATAGCGCTGCGTTCGTACAGGATGCTTGCACCTGCAGTCACAGTAACACACACTTGTACCTTTTCAGAAGTGAACCCCTTTCAGCTGAGCTGCGCCATGCCTTTTGGGTTGAGGTTTGCCTACTTGCCGCCTAATTTTCTTTTCCCTCTCCCTTTGGCGTGCGCACCCGGATAGGCGGAGGCTTTCGTCCTAGGAAGCGGTCACCAAAGAATGTTACCTTGTGACTCAAGCACGCCTCGAGGCTAAAGGTTTGGCTCGGCCTGGACTTCTCTGCTCGCCAAAGGCTCCAGCTGTGAACTGAGTTGTGACAGAATTGAGTAAAGCTAAAAGAGCCCTAATAGGCGGTAGCGCTGAGGTTTGTATGCTGGCTTACCTGCATTATTTGCAGTTGCGTTGCTATGGTCATAGTGTCTCTCCGGTTCATCAAGGTATCATTATTTTATGAGTAACCACAAAGTCAATGAGAACTCCCATGGCCGAATGAAGCTGGCTTTTTATCACTTCGAGACCTTCAAAATAACGTGATGTACTTTATATGTGTTTTGATCAATCAATGGCTCCTGGTCTGAGCTTTCTAGTTAAATTTTGTTCGTGAACTTTCTGTGACCTTTCCCAAAGTGCAACCGAGACACGGCCAGGGGAGACAACGACATGAAGTGATCCGGAAAAGAGAAATCAGTTTTCTGTCTTCTAAATCATCAATACATCACAATTTCATCATCTTCTAACAAGAAGATAAATCTTCACCCGACATCCAAAATAAAGGGACGGGTAAGTGAGATGTGGAAACTTAGAGGGTGTCGAAACCTAGCTACGAAGGCTGTAGAGGCCCTTCCCTAAACGAAGAGTCACCATTGAGCAACCGCTGAACATTGCCTCTGGTCTAGAAAAAGGGAAAGGGGAGCACATCACAAGACATCTACAGAAAATATCCTGGATCCTTGCTTCAAGACTCCCTGGAGAAACGTCGCTCGGTCAAATGGAGCCACGTTGGTTAAGAGTGCAGAACCTTTGAGTTACGACAGAGTTAAAAGTCAAAAGAGACTCAAGCGATGGCGTATAAGTTTTCGTTGTTATTATTTGGCAATGTTTGCATTTGGTAATAGTACCTCTGAACAAACCCTGGCTCTAAGGAATCCAAAAATAATAATGCGTCATGTCTATTCCCCACCGTGCATGCCATGCCCATCAGAACTAACACTCATCATTCTCGTCCATCCTGGAACATATCTCTTCGACTCCCATTTCCCTGAGTCTTTTTTGGTGGTCCATCGCCCATGTACAAAAGCTCCCGCAATGTGGCTGGTATGTACCCCCAAGTACAACAAGTTGAAGTAAAAAAAAAAAAAAAACCAACTCCCCCCGGCTACCGTCCGGTCTTGACGTCAAGATGCTGGATCAGGCGGCCTTCCCATGTATATGATATCTCACGCAGCTCCAAAGAAGAGAAGAACAAGAAATAAAGAGCACCAACAACTGGAGGAAGAAGAAATAGTGTACAGTCCTCAAGGAATCTCCTCGCCCCTAGGGTCAGTGACCAAAATAGGACCAAGCAAATTGCGCCGTCATTACTTATCGAGGACTCAAGGGGCTTTTGGCGGGAGCACCTTGACCACGCTTCATCCGAGTAAGCTCTTCCTCGAGTTTGCGGGTTCGGGAACGCTCCTCCTGCAATCGTTGTTAGCACATCTGTCGTGCTCCAGTTGAGTTTGGGGACAAAACATACCTTGATCTCCTCCTGGAACTTCTTCCTCTCCTCTCTCATGGTGGATCTGAACTGCTCGCTGAGCAACGACGCGCCAGCTCCGATCCGGCCACCACCGTGGCCGGGCACGGCCCTGAGGCGCTCGTTGTCTAGCTCCTCCTGTAGCTTTGTGATGCGTTCGTGGGACTTGCTCATCTCCTCCTCGAAACGCTCGCGCAGACCATTCACCTCGCCCTCAAGCGAGCTCTTAGTTGCCAAGGCATCGTCCAGCTTGCTTTCCAGCTCGATCTTCTCCCGCTCGGCACCCAGCGTCTCCTTGGTGACGTCCTCTAGCTCCTGGACAGTTCCAGAGAGCTCATTCTTGAGCCTGGTGATCTGGTTTTGGAGTTTGACAATCTCGCCGCTTGTCTTGATGGCGGCGACGTCAGCAGCACGCTCTGCTCTGGTTCCGAAAGCGGCGTCCAGCTCGGCCTGAGCGATGGTGAGTTCTGTCTTGATCTCCGCAAGGTTCATGTTAAGAAGCTCCAGTTCATCCTCCTTCACCTTCATCATCTTCTTCTTCTCGGCTAATTCTGCCTTCTGAGCGTCCACCGTCTTCTGGAGCTTCTGCATAGATGCCTCAGCCGCCGACCTTGATCGGGAAGCCTCGTCCAATTCCGCGTTGAGGGCCGCAATCGTAGAATCGACATCCGCCAACATAGCCCGGCTGCTCTTAGTGCTAGACTCTGCTGACGCCACGTGTGCCTGCAACTCCTGTAAATCAGACTCTAGAGCGGCAATCTTGGCATTGCGCTCCTCAACTTGAGCACTGTGGTCGTTGATCTGAGCATCGCGCTGCTGGAGCAGAGCAGTATGCTCGTTAATCTGAGCATCGCGCTGCTGAAGTTCAGCATCACGCTCTTGGAGCAGAGCCGTGTGTTCGTCGATTTGGGCATCACGTAGTTGAATCAGAACCGTGTGCTCATTAATCTGAGCATCACGCTGCTGGATCAAAGCCGTGTGCTCAATAATTTGAATATCGCGTTCCTGAAGCAGAGCAGCGTGCTCGTCAATCTGAGCATTGCGCTCTTGGAGCTGAGCATCGCGCTCCTGGAGAAGAGCAGAGTGCTTGTCGATCTGGGCATTGCGCTCCTGAATTTGGATATTGCGAGCTTCAATCGCTTCGTGGGCAGAATTCGAAGCACCGGCCGCCTCTCGAGCATGCTCGAGATCCTCAAGTGCCTCGGAGAGCATAGTCTGGGCGTCCATGGCGTCCTTCTCGGCCCGGGAGACAAGTACTCGGCTTTCCTCTATCTCCTCCTGCTTTCTGGCAAGCTCTTCGTCCTTCTCCGCATCGGATTTGTTGTTCAGCTCTCGCTGTTGCTTGATTTGTCGCTTCAGCACGATCTTCTGGTCCTTGAGCGTGGTGGCTTGTCGGTACAGCCACTGAACTCGGGTAGAGAAGCCGCTCAGGGTGTATGGCTCGTCGGTATCGAACTCATCGTCAGAGCCCTCCTCATCATCGAGACCCTTCTCCATGCGAGCTCTTCGGCGCTCGTCCTTTTGCTGCTTGATGCTTGCAAAGCCTGATTGGATAATATCCCATAGGCCTCTCAAGACCGTTTCCACCTGGTCGCTGTCCTGGTTCCGCAGAGAGCCCATGTTGGTGGCGTCCAAAGCCCGCTCCAACTCCGAGTCCACTGCGCGCACCGAGTCCTCCAAGTAAGCAAACTGGTCCTCGATATCGGCTTCTGACGAATGGGGAGCAGCGGGGTAACCCGGGTCGACGGTGAGGAGAACCTCTCGGATATGTCTGTTCAATGACTCGATACGTTGGCCAAACTTTTCGCTACCGTTTTGGCCACTGGCAGATTCCTGTTGCTCAGCCTGAATAGCAAAGAGACCAGTCTCGAGGTAGTCCATATGGCTCTTGAGTAAATCGCCTGGTTCCATGTTCTCCGTCATTCCGTAAGGGGGATCCAAGTAGTCATCGTTCTTGGCAGGGTTGAATCGGACAATGGCGTCCCGCAACGAGCCGTTCAAGTTTTCTAGCCGGACCTCCATATCTGAGATGGACCGGACTAGAGTATCCGTCTCGTTACGAAGATGATTGTTCTCTTCGCGCACCCGCTCCATCTCCTCTCGAAGTTGGTTATTTTGTTCCCGGATTGGCGACTTGATCGGGATCTCAAGGGGGTTCTGGTGAGGCTGCCGCGTCTGTAGACCGTCCAGTGGGTCGAATTGGTACGGGCTTTCGTCCAAGTAGTTGCCCTCGGCGGCCTGGTCCATGCTGTTGCGGCTGTAGGTGTAGAGGCTCTCGGGACTACCGGGCATACCGTTGGGGGGCTGTTGGCCTAGCGGAGGGGCTCCCTTCTTCTTGGGAGCCTTGTGTGTCAATTGAAGGATACCGGCAGTGTGCTCAAGCAGGCGACGCTGAGGTTCCATCAAGCGCTTCTCGAGGTTGAATAGCTCGGACGCAAGCTCCTCGCACTTTCGTTCGCTAGCCACCCTCTCGGCCTCTGCTTCCCTGGCACGGGTCTGGTCGCCGCTGTGCCGCCCAAGTAAGCTCCTTCGCTTTCCATCGATACGGCCGGGGGAGTACAGCCTGGCCATGGAGATGGCGGCATCGCGGTATTTCGATTGGATCGTCAGGTTGGCTCGGGTCGAGTCCACCCGCTGGCTGAGGGACTGGGACTGCTTCTTCAAATCATCCACCTCCTCCTGCGACAGGATCTCATACTGCTTGCTGTCGGAGAGGGCCGTCTCGGTGAGCAGATGCACCTGGATGGGGTCCGTGAGGTCGACGAGGGCCGAACTTTGGGTGCGATCGGGATTCATCTAGAAAGGCTGTCAGTGCTGCTTCGGCGGCTCGTGTGCTTCGACGGCGCAGGCTCGAACATACTGGATTGAATCGCGGAGGGTCCTGCTCGAAGCCCGTGAGGATGTCCTTTCGGTAGCCCTCGACGAGCGTTTTGCCGTTGGGACTCGGAGCAGTGGGCGACAGCCTGGGGTCGGCATAGTCGTAGGGGCCCGCGTCGGCCGTCGCGTAGACATTCATGACTGCGGAGCTCAATGTCGCGTTATCGTAGTCATCAACACATCACACAAGGAAAAGAATGCAGTTGTCGGCTCAGGAACTCGCTCCAGGGGCCATAGGTGACGGGGGCAGGTCGGAGGATGAGACTCTGGATGTCTGGTGGGCTTCGCGCTGGCTTCGAGGGACCGGGGGGGTGTGGGTTGAACAAAGGAGGCGGGTAGGCGCTGGGATGCCCACGAGGGCCGCGCAGGGGGGGGGGGCCTTGGGAGGTGACGGTATTGCGCGGCGACGGTCCTTTTCAAGTAGAACAGAGGGTGAACAGCTGCGGCGGAAGCACGTAATCTAGGTGAAGCGCGAGAGGTCGGGTGCAGACGAGAGTGGAAAGCCGGATAGGAAAGGGAGGAGGAAAGTAAAAGGGAAAAGGAGGTCCATCGACAAGTCCATTTGGGATAGTGGATCCCCAAGTTCGTGGAGGTCGAGATGGGCGGCGTCTACTTCAGCGCGTGCAGGGTGCTGCAGTGTGCATCAGCTCTATGTGATTAGTGGGCCCCACCGCTGGAGGCTGGGGGGAACTGCCCTGGACGGGTGCGTCCACGACTCCACGACGCCTAACTGGTTGCGCAAATCCCGCTGGCATGGTTCGAAATGGGCGGCACTGCGGCAGCCGGCTAGCCCAAATTAGGGGCCTAAGATTCCTCCTCGTGGCGGAGCCTGTCAACTATTTTGCACCGGCCGACATCAGACGAATGGTGCTGATTCCATACCCTCCATAAACTCCTAAGCGTGCTTTCAATTTGGAAGTTATTATTTATAGCCCGTGCGGCTCAGTCCTTCTTGACATCCACCGCCAGTTTCTGTGCGTGCTGTCGATTCAGCTGACGTCCAACTGCGAGGAGTGGGCGGTGCCGTGGCTTGCCATGACAACCCCCCATGACCGGCATTTGGCATTGCGTCCCCCCGTCATCTCACATACATGCAGCACCAGACCCAGATTCGCGTCCAAATTCAATTCGCAGAGACGCAGACGCAGGTGAAGACCATTGAGCGTGACAAGGCTGAACGCCACCAGCTATAAACAACCAAGTTTTGAATTCGTTGAGTCCAGCCGACCGCCCGCGTTTGTGCGGTTTGGAGGGTCCGGACCTGTTGATCTCGACATCTGACTTTGTCGGTCAAGACAGTTCATACGTCCTCCTATCTCAGAGTCTTGCGGTTGGACACACTGCGCATCCCGTGCAGTTTGGTTCCCGCTATGTGACGGACCGTCGATGGGGAGTAAGTATACGTACTTCGTCCTCGTTATCTTTCCGCACAAGCTCCAGCTAGAGCACCTCTCGCATCTGGTCGTAAATCTGCTGCCCCATGGTCCTCCTCCGCTCAGCTTGTCCATCACCCGCGCCTTGGGCTCCCTGCGCGCCCGTCGTCACGGCCGAGCTCTCTCCCTCGAGTCGCCGCCTCAGTCCCTCGAACTCGGCGCTGCGCCTCTGTGCGCTCAGCCCCACCACCCAGCCCGGCACTCGCCAGCGTACCAACGCTGCCGGCAGGAGTCCCTCCCGCCACGAGTATCCCACCACCCAGCCAATGACGGCCCCCAGTAGCGAGCCCGGCCACTGTAGCAGCGCTAGGTGGACGGCGATGGCATACTTGTAAGACTTGTCCGAGAAGGTCAGCCCGACAAATGGCTCGTTTGTTGGCGGTGCCTCGGACGTGGCAACGCGGTACTTGTACATGTGCGGCACCATGGCGTGGTACTGCGCCAGCATCGCAAAGATGATGGGAGTCGGACCTGCCGGCATGTAGTTGAACCATCCAGCAGTCAGAGGCCGCAGGACAACCATGACAAGCGGGGGGAGACTGGCGGTGAGGAGATATGAGACAATGAGGAAAGACTAGGAACACAGTTGTTAGCGACACGTTTGGTCAGAAACTGCAGGAGCTGGTTGTCAAGTGAAACACCGCGGGAGCAGCTTACAGCAAACTTGCGAGAACCCCACATGCGCTCGATGATGCGCAAGTTGTAGATGGTCATGGCAGCAAAGAGCACCTCGGACGAGTTGGCATAGCACAGCTGGTAGGTCATCAGCCGCCAGAACTGCCGGTAGCGCCAGATGTGGGTGTCGATGAGGATGTAGAAGTAGTGCTTGACGTCGAGGATGCTGGCCAGGATGGAGCCCGCGACGAGACCCATGACCGCAAGCCGGGTCACGGGCGCGTGTGTGAAGGACATTTCGGGAGGTGCGACGGTAGCTGGGGGTCCGTTTCTATCGGTTCATGCTGCTAGGAGCTGAGGATGGGTTGTCGGGTTGGGTCGCGGTATCTCCCCGGTGGTGTCGGTTTATGTCAACGTGGTCCAGCCGCGCTGAGGGAGCTCCGGTCGGCGAGGGACGGCGCAAGGGGCTCGTTTCGAGCCTTGGAGTAACCTAGCGGCGACGCAGAAGCTACGACTCAGCGTTGATCCAATTGGTGTTGGTGAGATCTCCCTGCTCTACGTGTCGCGTTCATCCGTGGAAACCCGTATACGCATCTCAAAGGTGGCATTATGGAAATCACGTGAATGCGGATAATGGTGGGGATTTGGGGGGGCGGTGGGGTTCAATCTCCATGTTACTTTGATGGGCCGGGGTACGACACGTTGCGGTTAGGATCGACAAGGGGCAAAATCGGAGAGAAAAAAAGGTCAAATATGCCTGGGTATTTTTGCTAGGTAGAGACGGATGGGCGTACACCGTTGGCTTGGTGTTTACACAATATAAACACGGGTGGGCCGCGGAGCTCTGAGCACTGGCGGCCGCCTCTGCTGTAATTCAAAGATGCCGGCTCCATCCCTGGCCTAGCCTGGGGCAATTTAGCCCCAGCAAAGACGTCACCGCGGTTCTTGGGTTCTTGGTGCTGCAGGCGGGAGTGGGGGGACCGTTGGCGTTATTATCCCGGCCAATACACCGGTGGTCGGGACGCTGGAGTTGCGGACCGAGGGGAGGTTTTAGTGCCGGGCTGAGAGGCGGAGAGACCGATGTACGTTCAAGTTGTGAACAGAACCAAGGCTTTTTCGCAGTCGAAGACAGACAGAACCGCGGGCTGCTAGGGAGGATTTTAGGGGTCTACAGGGGCATGAGGGGTAGACACAGCATCTCTCGCTTCATGGTCCTTCCCGCGCCAACAGCGCCGTAACCTCCTATCGCCATTCATCCTTCCATTCTCACGCACGCATCGCTCGCCTCCATCCCGCCTCTCGCCTCTCGCCTCTCACCTCCACCACCACCACCACTGCGACATACACACGTCAACCGGCATTCGTCCGCTCCCACCCTTCCATAGCAGAATCCACCTTGGCGCCCGCTTTCGCTGCCGTTCCGCCCGTCCTACTCCGGCCCCCGGGCAGATTAGGGCCCCCAGAGACGCAGCCCCGGCTAACGCAGCCATGCCGCTCTCCGACTTTGGCACCCTCATCCTCCATCACATCATCTTCGTCACGTACTTGGTCTACTTCCACATTGCCTTCTCGCATATGGAGGAGGCTGCGCTCGTGGCCTTGTACTGCGTCTGCAAGCTGCTCGCCCGCCGCTTCGAGGACATTGACGGCCCGCCGCCGGAATGGCCCCCGCCCGCCATAGACTGGTGAAGCCGGAGTTCGGCCCCGACGCCGGTGTGGACGTCGGCGTTGGCGTCGGCGCCGGAGCTGGGAATGGCTACGAGTCGCCGTCTGAGGACAACCTCCCGCCGTTCTTCGCGTCATCTTCCGGTGCTACGGCAGCCGCTACAACAGCCACTACGCCTGCAGCTCCCCCCGCGCTGGTGGCCGCCACGCGCCGTCCAATCTTCGTCCAACGGCCCTCGTACATCGTCGCCACGGGACCTCCTCTCCCTGAGAACGGCTCCCGGACACCCAATGGCTTGAATCATGGGCATAGCCTGTCGTCTAGTCTAAATCATGTCATGGCCAGCGCCGAGAAGGCGTCTCCCAATCACAGGATTGGCATCAGAGACCGCATTGCGTGTTACCAGTGGACCTACTTCACCATGGTGAGCTCTCAAACTAGGTCTGACCAGATCCCCGTGGCTAACTGTCAACTCTTACAGACCATGTCCACGGGTGGCATTGCCAACATCCTTCATGCATGTAAGATCGCCCTTTGCCATCCCATCCTCTCCTCCAAACTAACCGAGCCTCGCCCAGTGAAATGGAAATACCCATGGATCCACGGCATTGGCGTCTTCTTTGTCCTCCTCAACGCCGTCCTCTTCATTGGAAATTGTGTGCTGCTCTCCATCCGATTCCGCTTACGCCCCGGTACCTTCACCCGCTCTTTCACCGACCAATTCGAATCTCTCTTCATCCCAGCCTTTGTAAGTCTCGCCCCGCTTCATAATTGCTAGTCTTCGGTTAGACAGGTACTAATATGTCCCTTCATTCTAGTTCGTATCGTGAGTCCTTGTCTATATAACTAATGAATATGATTGGTTGGTCCCAGTAAGCTGACGTGCATTCCAGCATCGCCGTCATCATGATCAACACTTGTCAGTACGGGATCCCCAGCTCCGGCCCCTGGCTCCTCCGCACCATGGAGATCATGTTCTGGATCCATGCTGCTGTGAGCGTCTGCGCCAGTGCTGGTCTCTACCTCATTCTCTGGTCAACGCTGTACGTCGTGTCCACATTCACTATTCCCCTCGGTCCCTGGTAGCACTTTGCTACTGTCATCATGACTGCTCTAACGACCATAACCGCTAACATCCATCAACAGCGTCTTCCCCGTCCACACGATGACTCCAACTTGGGTCTTTCCCGCTTATCCTCTCCTTCTTAATGCACCCTTCGCCGCGAATCTCATCTCCGCCGCCCAAAGATCCGGACGGACCCTCTCACTCGACCCCACGGCCATGGCCCTAGGCGCCGCCACTCTCCAGGGCACTGGATGTCTCATTGCCTTCATGATCTCTGCCGCCTTCATCTACCGTCTCATGACGCAGAAGCTTCCCCGTGATACGCAGAGACCAGGCATTGTAAGCTCACTCTAGAAGCCTACTCAATGCCATGCCAGCATCACTAACGAAATCAATAGTTCATGTCAATAGGGCCATACGGCTTCACTGCTGCCGGCATAGGTCCGTCAACACACACATCCACCTCGTCAACATCTCACAGCTAACCCTCCCTAGCGCAACTTGGCAGCCAAGCCGAGTCCATTATGCCACCGGCCTTTTTGGGAACCCCTCACGTAGCCGCAATCATTAAGGTTGTTTGCGTCCTCGTCAGCCTCTGGCTCTGGGGTCTCGCTATGTGGTTCTTCATTGTTTGTGTCGGCTCCCTCTGGAAGTACACCCGACCCGGCAGCAGGATGCCCTTCCAGATGACTTGGTGGTCCTTTGTCTTTCCCAACACCGCCCTGGTATGTACTGGCCTCCAACATTTTTCTACTTTGATATTGTAATTCGTTCGCTGACAGCATCCACTCAGGTCACAGCAACTGGTGTCATGGGCGACATCTTCGAAAGTAATGGCCTGCACATATTCGCGTGCGTCATGACCATCGGCATTATCTGTGTATGGATTGGCGTCTTCGTGAGGATGCTGTGGAGCCTCAAGACGAAGAAGCTTCTCTGGCCGAAAAACGACATTTAGACTTGTTTGTTCCTTTCCATTTGGTTTTGCACGTGGATTGCGTGCATCGCAGGGAACTCATCTGCACTTTCACAGCAACTTCATGTACATACTAGGTTTTCTACGGTGGCTTGGAAGACCGAGGCAAGATGTGATGGATTTAGATACTAGGTCGCATTCACGGTGGCGTTGAGGATTAATCGTTGAGACATTTTGCGAGCATATAGAAGTTCAGCATAGCCTGAAATGGAAGCATACGCAGCAGCATTGCACATTGGAAGTATAAAAATAAGTTCGTATCTTAGTCCAGAACCCGGTCCCACCACGAAGTCGCCAGATAATCAACTGTTCTTCAGGAACACAAACACACAAGTTTGTCTAGTATAAGCCGGTCCACGTCGTCTTTGCCGTCTATTCGTACAGAGAGAAATCATGTTTCCCCACAACGCCTCGAAACTAACCTCGCTGACCAATTACTTGCCGAATGGCGACTGCTTCTCAGTTATAGCTTGGCTCTCAAGTCTTCGGCGGCCGTCGCATCTAGGTTTACCGTTACCTCGCCTGTCTTCTCGCCGTGGCCGAAGAAGATGACTTGAACTGTCAGGTCATCACTGGGGAAGATGTCAACATTAGCAATGGCAACACAAGTAGTTGCGAAGGGAATAGGCTTACCGATAACGCCTCGAGAAGGGAGACGGTAGAGTGAGCAGGGCGCAGACCTGCTCGTCATTGGTACCACCAAGAGCGTTGCGCACAAGGTGAGTGGCCACGTTCTTGTCCTTGACCAAGAAGCGATCCTTGGCTTGAGGGTCGATACCCCACTGCGCAAGGCGGATGGGGGTCTTGTTTCCATCGGGGCTCGCCTCCTTGCGCTCCTCGACGGGGAGAGGGGATTTTGCTGAGCCAAAGATCTTAGACCACGCCGCATCAAACTGGGAGCCAGCTGCGGCGTTGGCCTGTGTCTCGATCCACTTACCCACGAGTCCAACAACCTCCTCGTTAGTCAACATCTCCCACAGGCCGTCGGTAGCCAGGACGAGGAAGTCGCCGTTCTCGGGCTGGATCTTGGTTGTGGTCACAACCGGCTCGGCTGTGACATAAGGGGGAGTCTTCAGTAGAGGCGAGGGGCTTCGTCCGAAGAAGCTCTCGCGCAACTTCCAGGCGGTATCTCTGCTCCACTTGTAGACTGCATCACCAAAAGCACGAGTTGGCTCCAAACCTCCAAGAACACGGCCGTTGCGGACCACATGATCCTCGCCGGGATGTTCCTTGCGCATACGAGCAGCTTCTGAGGGGCTGCTACCGGTCTGGTCCTCCGAGAGGGCGGTGGCGGTCCATTTTCCAGACTCTGATCGACGTCCAAGGACGGCACGAGAGTCGCCAGTACAGGCTACCCTCAGAAGCTTGCTCCGGCTGTCGTAGAATGACAGCAGGGCGCAGGATCCAGATAGCGCAGGCTGGAGCAGCTCGGCGGCGACGGTCTTGGAACTCGCCTTGAAAACCTTCTCTACGCTCTTGTGGACAATCTCGTTGTCCAGATTGTTGAAGCCAGTCTTGATGGCCACATTGACGTCCTCCTCGGAAGGAACGGCGCCCTTGGCCTTCTTATATGTGTCGTTTAGCTCCCGAGCGACGTAGCTGATGAGACTCTCTCTCAATGTAGCAGAGGTGGTCCATCCCCTACGATTGGGTCAGTATATATGTTTCTTTCTAGATACCACCAGTATCTATATTTCTTTGTAGATACCACATGGGTAACAAGTAAGGGTATACTCACGAGTGACCGTCAAAGACACCCCAGAACATCCAATCGCTGTTGTCAGTCTCGGCGCCAGCAGCGCGGCTGGGGACCTGAACAATCTTCTCGGCATGATCGTCTTCGATGGGGTCGTTGCTGGGCAATTGGACAATATCGTAACGGGTGACGCCCTGGCCACGGTTGACCGAGTATGACTGCTCCAGCTTGCGCAGCTTGTGATCAGCCTGATCGGGGGTGAGCATCTCGACGATGCGGCGGCCGTCGTCGCTGGTGGTCTTGGAGATGGGGCCCTCGCCAACGATGGTGCCCTGCCTCAGCTCGTCTGCGCCGACAACGAGAACGGTGCGGGTGGGCAGGCCATCCGCGGCGGTCGACGTGAGGCTGCGCGAGACAGCAGCGGGACTGGGGGCGACACCGGCGGCGGTGTTGTACGAGTACCAGGCGCCGTAGCCAACGACGATGCTAGAGACAAGGGCGACGGGGAGGCGACGGAAGTACATGGAGGACCTCAGCGGCGCATGGCCCGAGGCGAGGTGACGACGGGCGGTGGCCTGGGCCTGGGCGTGAGCTTTGGTGTTGGCGTTGACGTGAGCGCTGGCCTTGGCCTGGGCGAGCGAGAGGGAGATGGAGAAGCCGCGGCGAGATGTCGTGCGGGAGAGGGCGCGGATGGTGGAGAGCGACGTCGTCCGGAAAGCCCGTACTGCGGCTCGATTCATCGGGGCGAGGGCTTGGGACGCAGGACCAAGACCTATAGACCGGTGGTGAGAAGTCCAAGCTGCTACGACGGCGGGACGGCGATGACATGGGGCAGTCGGAGAAGCAGGTGGCTGCACTGACCGTTGATTGCGACCAGGACGCAGGTGGGGCGCCGGCCGGCCTATGGCGTGTGCTACAGCGGGAAAGCTTTGAAAGTCCAGGCGGCTTGTTAGTGGCCGGCACTTAAAAAGACACTGGAGCTGCAGGGAGTTTGGTGCCGTGCCATCGCAGCTCTGTTCATCACGGCGGGAAGCATTATCGCGACAATCAGAGCGAGGAGCGGCGTGAAAATATATATATATAAAGCCAGCCGTGTAAGCTTCTAAGCTTACACCGAGAAATCCCGATCCTTCTACCACACGCCCGCGCTCACTTGATCACGGAATCCCTCGTCGTTCCCGTTCCCGTTCCGTTGTCGCACGTGAGCCCGCCGACACGGTCAAAATGATTGCGTCCTCTGACTGCCAGAGCCTCCCGTCCTGCATCCTGCGTCGTGCCGCTACCGAGGTTTTCCCCTCCATGCTCCATGCAGCTGTCTCCCCAGATTCTCACATGCTGCTCGGAGCTCCATTCACACCCGGCACACACCCCTCACACCCCCCAGTCACTCAGTCACTCACAGTCGCTCAAGTCACACATCCAACTAGCCAACTCAGTCATCCAGCTCTCATTGAGACAAAAGACGTCGGCAATGTGCTTCTATTCCTAATCATCCCAACAACAAGTATATACCCAGACCCCCGAAATGGCCCAACCCCCACCGGCCGCCCTCTCCGGCGCAGACCGCATCCGCGCCCTCAAGGATGAAGGTGCCGTCTTTGAAGCTTTCGATGCGTACCCTTGGACAAAGGACAAGATGTTCATGGTGAGAACGACTCAACTCTCAGCAACAATCCTCATGCCTCACCCTCCCTCTCGCCCTCCCTCTCGCCCTTCCTCTCGCCCTCACCCTCATCCTCGCCAATCCCAGTCCTCGTACTCATCACCCCGCCATCCATAGTCCGGTCTCTACGCCATCCTCGGTGAACCCGGCAAGCAGAACCCCGGCGCCTCTCTCGCCGACATGGCCATCCACGCCCGAGTCTTCTATTACGCCCAGCGCATCGGCGTCCCCATCGACTTTACCCGTTACCAGGCCTGGGTCGCTCAGCAACCGGATCGCCAGCCTCCGGATGTCCTCCCGGAGGAATATCACCGCCGAGGCAGCTCCACCCAAGGACCCCAAGCTGAGGCTCTCGACTGGCAACAGGCCGCCCCTAAGGCTGACCTATACGTTGATCGCAAGGCTGCTGCCCAATCTGCTGGGGACCAACCCAACTACCCCATGGGCTTCGCCGAAATGCTCAAGCTGCTGCAAGAGGGGAAGCCCGTCCCAGGCATCCGCCAGATTCCCAACACCATTATCAGAGATCCTGTCAGTTCCCGACCATCCTCGTAGTACACTTGCAGCTCTAATTCTGCTTTAGGCCGTGAAACCCGTCGGTGCGAGAGCTGTACCGAGGAAGCCTTGGGAAAAGGATCTTGCTGCATCTGCTCCAGTCCTTCCCGATGTTCCCAAGGCTCTGGATAGCGAGTTTCCCCCCGTCGATGACGATGCCCCTACTTCCTCCCACGCCGGAGCTGCCTGAGCAGATCCCAGTTCCGCGAAGGATCAGTCCTACGAAGGACTTGGTGACTAGATATTTGAATCAGTGGCGTAAATGGCGTTTGGGTTGTTCGGTCGGCTCATGATGTTGTAGACTTGGCACATACACAATCGTTCTGCCCTTCCCGAATACCACCTCACCATCAACCCGAGCCTGATAATGGATATCACAAAATTAATCACCCGTCAGAATGAGATATTGGAAAAAGAAGCAAAACTTGTATTAATGCGTCGTGGCTAAATAACAAAACAACTTCCCTAACCTACTCTCCGCCGCCGTGCCCCAAAACAACATACACGTTTCCTGTGATTCAATCCTCCCATCCATCCCCGAGAATCAAAAACACTAATGCCCGCGGGCTAACTGAAGTTGGTCCTGGAAAGGGATGCCTCCTCGGTTAATGAGATTAATGGTTCATGGGGTGTGAGATGCAAACTGTGTTTCCTCCAGAGAGAATCCTCCTTGTGGTGATTAGTGTCTGCTGCCTCCTCCATATTGCAAAATCCATAACCATGATGTGTCCAATGCACCCAAACAAGCAGTAGCCAGCTGAGCGTAGGATGACGTGTGATCTGTAAATTACTTGCGTGGGAAAATGTTTCTAAGAAAGGCCGACAAATTCTGGTTTGTTCTGTGTGATCTTGACGAACGAACGATTGGCGAATTCAGATAGGGAGTCCCCGACAATATGGGATGGTGACAAAGGATAGAGGCACAAAGGTCGAGAGGGTTGGTTGCCATTTCACGCGGGAGCTTGAAAGGCCCTGGACTTGAACCGTCAATAGTCCAGAAAATCAACGGTAGCTGGCACCGTAGCGAGGCCCAGGAGCCATGCGCGCACTCATGCTAGGCCCAGCACCTGGACCGGGGCGAGTGGTAACCGCGTGGTTGGTGCAGAGCATACCAACTCGGGACCCAAACTTGGATCCTCGGAGAGACACCATGTGCTTCCGAATGTGCGCAGCAACAATCTCGCGGTGCTGTGGGGCTGCGTTGTTGAGAATCCACTGGATTAGGTAGTTGCCGTACTGGTCGCTTGCAATATCGATCAGCGGAATGCGAGTACGATCTCGGCGTCCCTCGCAGACTCGGTCGAGGTAGCGACTCAGGAACTCAGCACCGCCAATCTTGAGGCACTTCTCAACTACCTTGGAGGCGAACTGGTCGGTGCTGTACTCGGCAGCGTACCGGATGACATGGTCAATGGCTCGACTACGGTCGGGGGGGCCTCCATGTTCGCAGACATGCTGGATGCACCAGTTTCCAAACTGCCCGTGAGCGACAATGTCGATGTTGGCGAGTACTTCCTCGATGCAAGGACGCTAGAAGACGGATTAGTTTTGAAATTTGGCAGGAACAAGAAAGCATACCTTGTCATCTTCCAAGCAGTTCTCAAAGATGTTTTGCACGACCAAACTGCCAGTCTCTCCCAAGGCCACCTCGTGCCACATGCCCCGGAGCGCATCATTGACGTACTTCATAATCTGCGGTGGAGACTCTGTCCAACGGAGTTCAAAGAGCTTCTGCCAAACGTGGCAAGCGTAGCGGTGGATCACTGTCTCGGGGATTCGACGCAAAAGTTCATGGACCATGATTGCCTTGTAGTTCTCTGGGACCGAGTCAAAGGCTTTCTGAACGACATGGCAGCCAAAAGGGTCCATAGAGAGACTCAGAGTGTTTCCACGAATAGCCTCAGCAATCTTGATGACCTGTTCGGGAGTGCCGTGTTCAAAGCAACGCTGCACCAGGAAGTTACCGAAGCGATTGACCATCAAAGGATAGGCTTGGGCCACGATGGCCTCCACGATTTCGTACTTTTGTTCAGGAGTACCAACCTTCAACTTCTGCTGCAGAAAGATGGATGCCTGCTGGTCATTGTTGCAGACGATCTTGTCAACGATGTACTTCCAGTTGCAGTTGACATTGCGGTCCAGCAGACGGCGGTAGTTGAGTGGCTCCGTTGGTGGAAGGTAGGTCTGTCCCTCAGGGGCTCCGGCCTGTTCTTCATTAGTGGAAAGTCCATGTCCTGGGTTTTGGAATCGTGCTCACCTCATTCTTCCAGGCAACCTTAGAAGTGAACTCAGACGCGTGGGGAGACAGAGGCGTCCCAACGGGCTGAGGCTGGTAAGGTGAGTACATGCCCATTCCCATCGGTCCAACTCCCTGGGGGACATTCATGGGTCCACTAGGCATGGGATTCCCCATGAACTCTGACTGACCGGCGGCGTTGTTGTAACTACCTCCGTATCCACTGTTGAACGGCTGAGGGGAGTTGAAACGGCTTTCATAGCGGTTTCCACGACGACCGCCGTTGGAACGCACCATGTCAGGATCAGGTGTGAGGCGCTCACCTCGATACCCATCCATCATTTGGTAGGGTGCCCCATTGGGCTCTGAGTAGGCTTGGTTAAACCCACGGCCTCCCAACCAGTTGCCCGGAGATGGCTCGGGCACTGGAGCTTGTAGTGTGATGTTGGCAAACGAGCCTTTTGGGTTTCCCCAGATGCCCCTGGTGCGATTGAACGTGGTGGACGACATAGCATCACTAGTATCTGACTGAGCATCCTCGGGCGGTCCCCAAGCACTGTCGCGCGAGATTGGTGCTGCACCCCGCAGTCCAAAGCCGCATTCGGAATCTGCCTTGACAGACCGAGTTTGGGCAAGCTCTTGGTCAAGCTTAGAAATTTCGTTCTGAGCCTGTGCGAGCTGGAGCTTGAGGCGGAGGACCTCGTCGTTGTCACAGCGAGTTTCTTCGAGTGTGGCACTTGCTGGACGCGTCGTTGGGGTAGTGCTTGGAAAGACATCCGTAGCAGGCGTAATGGGAAGGGAGTTGCTCGAGGATGCATGGTCCAGGACCCTCGTGTACAAGTTGTCGTCGTCTCCCGACTTCAAGGCCTCATTCTGTTGGTTCAGAACGGCTTGTTGCTCTGAAAGCTTGGCAAGAAGTTTGTCCATCGGGTAGCGATTTTCGGCGGCCGATGTCTCATGACTTATCTTCATCTTCTATCAGGATCAGCAAACTAGAAAGGGACTAGAAAGGGTAAGGTCAACCTTTGGCAATCCTTGGTTAGCCAGCTTCGAGGTTGCCAGAGCAGTGACGTTCTTTTTCATCGAGGTACTGGCTCTAGAATCCTGCTTTTATTATGGTGAGCGTTTCTCCTTGTAGGGTTTGCTGGGGCAAGGGAAAGCCGTGGAGGGCATCAGGGTAGCGAATGAAGAGGTTTCATCGAGTGAAAACCAGAAGGAAATATGCGGGTTACTTACGCCAGTAGATGCAGATGACAATGGCGAATCTTCGATCGCCTTGGGGTTGTCCTCCTGAAGAACACAGGTTGGGATGGGGATGACCCTTGGCGGAGGGGACCCAGTGGCCTCGGAAGCTGACATGGTCAGGCACCAAGTCGAGGAAACGGGAGAACCAAAGATTAGGTTTGGAAAGAGAATAAGATGATCGAGGCTCGACGTAAAGAAGGAATCGATTTGGTCAACAAGAGTGAGTGTGGTTGGAGTGAAATCCGTGAAGTTGGGTGGAAGAGAGAGAAAAACGAGGAGATGGAGAGTGGAGGGTTGAAGTGGGAGAGGTTGGCGGCCGAGGCGAGAGTTATTCACTGACACGCACCAATGCAGGAACAAGCAAGAAAAAACGAGGGGAAGGAACCGCGAACCAGGTGCAGCAAGACCGACAGGCACATGCGCTAATGCATCAGCTGCATCTGACGGAGCGGGCAACTGGCAAGCAAGTGAGCAACGGCTGAGAATGCGTTTGCTCCTTTTGCAGTGTGGTACAGCTGCGTTCCTAGTTGCTTTACTACCATGAGTACCTAGGTAGACAGTCGCAACAAATACAATGATCCTAGGGGTCTTTCAGGTTCCACCTTTTTCCTTTTTAACTGGAAATGGTGTTCTTGGTGCCCTGCCTAGGTAGGCACCTAAGGGTTGATTCACGTACACAACCTAGGTAAGGTACGTGGGAGGTGCTAAGCAACGCCGTACGGACAGTACGACGAGAGCACGCGAGCCGAGCTTCCTGCAAATTATACCTACATAGGCTATTTGTGTACCTTACCTACCTACCTAGGTAGGTGGCTAAAACTTCACTCCGAGGTGGCAAGAAAGAACAGGGCCACTCGAGATGTGCAACGAAAGGGCAAGAATCCAGCGTCCGTCAAGCACTTCCAAAGCAACGGCGCAAGCATTTAAGTGACCGAGTGTTCGAAAGGGAAAGAATCCAAAACGGGATTGGTTAAAGACTGGCGAACCACATTTGATCGACTCCTTCCCATCCTTTCTGTCCCATCCAGGGGCATTACTTGCTTCTCAATACCTAAGGTAATTACCTGGGCTAGGGCTATGTCTCTCCGCTTGAGAATCATGCGCTTAAACAGCGCTCGCGATGAGAATTCCGTGTCACTTTAATCATGTGGGTGCTCTCCGGGGATTCATCACCAAGGTGGTGCAAATCAACCGAACACACCACGGCTGATCCCTCCATCATCACGCGAGCAGTTCAACCTAGTCGTTGCTCAAACACGATGCAATTCGAATCACAGATTCCCGGTATATTGACATCATGTAGAGCTAGGTGCTGAGTGATGGTACAAATAGTTTTACATGCACAGATGGAAAACCACGCTGGGAGCGTCTCTTGCTTCCAGGCTTCCCCTTTCGTCCTCGTACATCCACAAAACGGCACGATTCCCAAGTCATTTTTCGCTTCTCGCATGCAATAGGTATTGTCGAAGAACCAATCGTTCGAATCAGGCACATCGCCGTGGGTGTTGGTTGCCTCAACGCCTCTTGGTAGTGGGAGCTGCGGGGCTGTTAGATCTTGGCCTTGGCCCTCGAAAGCTGCTGGACATACCTGGGGGACCCGTCTTCTTCTTGGGTGCACTCTTTCCACGGAGCTTGAGTCTATTGTCAAACGGTCAGCTTGTCGGCGTTCTGCAAAGATCCGCTGTATCCACGCTTACTCCTCAATGTACTCGAATCGATCCTCCTCACCCTCATCCCAGGTTGCCAGGACGGGGCCGAACTCGCGCTTCAGGTCCTTGATCGTCGCCGTCTTCCGCGGGTAGTATGCAGCCATCGCCGGGCCCTTCAATCGCTGTCGCAGGATCTTATTGCCCATTCGGACACCCTGGGGGTTGTATGATGTCGCGAAGACCTGGCATTGCGCCTTGGAGCAGTCAGAAAATGCATCACAGAACGGGTCTAGGGCGTATCACCTTCATCAAATCCAGTACTCGCGCTCGTGGGACACTCATCTTAGCATTGTCGACATGAAATGTGCTTCCGTCAACTTTTTTCGACGTCGGATTGACGTTTGAAGCATCTGGGCCGACGTCGCGCATGCGGGTCCTGATTGGTCATGCTGTTTCCTGGTGGGTCGCGACCCTCAACGCCAGCCGAAGATCTCGGAAGCGGGTGAGCCTCAGTCCAAAATCTCATGAATTCTGCAACCTCAAATCTGCCAACCAGGTCTTATACCACACCAGTACATCATTTACACCCAACCTTTAAAATGAGCAAGCGCCCGAGCTCAAGTGCAGACGAAGACCAGGGTCAACGAAAACGGCACCATGGTGAACCCAGCTCAAGATCACTCCCAATTCCAGACCTGAGCACAGCAACGCCGTGGTCATCCTCCGATATCTCCTCTGAATTACCACCACTACCTCAGATCTCAAACCCGGAGCTCGAGCTTGCAGTATTCAGTCACCCTGGAATTGGCCATGGCCCCAACTATGAGCGCCTGGAGTGGCTTGGCGACGCATACATCGAGATGATTGCAACGGCCCTAATTTTTCAGACGTTTGGCCTCGCCTCGCCGGGACGAAGCTCCCAGGTCCGAGAGCAACTTGTGCGCAACATCACGCTGGCAGGATACTTTAGGCAGTACAAGATGGAGAAACGAGCACGCCTACCTGCGGATATGGGTAACATGGAGGAGCTGATTCTGTCAAAAATGAAAGAAAAGGAGATCACCAAAATCCAAGGCGATATTTTTGAAGCATTCGTTGCTGCAGTCGTTCTCTCTGACCCTATCAATGGCCTCCCCACTGTCATTTCCTGGCTCAAGTCGCTCTGGGGCAGGACAATCAAGGATCAAATCAAGCAAGCAGAGAAAGCCAACAAGTCGGCTCCTTTAGGCGGATGGAATATGCCTATGGCACCTGGGGGAACTGGCGTTAAGGACGTGACACCCAAGGAACGCCTTGCACAAATTCTGGTGGTTAAGGGAATCCACCTACGTTACGAAGACATGCCGAACAAAGACAAAAAGGATAAGAATCTCGGTTTGCCATTGTACTCGGTGGGCGTTTATCTTGACGGATGGGGAGAGAAGGACAAGTATCTAGGCGTGGGCACGGCGCTGAAGAAGAAGGAGGCGGGCCAGAAAGCGGCGGAGATGGCATTGCAGAACAAGAAGCTGATGACGCTGTATGGGGATAAAAAACGAGCGTTTGTGGAGACGCAGAAGGCATTGGAGGAAGCAAAGGGGAACCATGTCTCAAAATGAGGTCGTCAATGGTTGGTCCTAGGGAACGAGCATTGCGAGAAACCATGCATGTACACTAGAATACTGGCTGCAATTGATACCCGAATTTTCGGTGTCTAGGCGTGTGCCTCACTGAATAGTGCATTAACAGCAATTTGACCACGTGCATTAAATTATTTAAACTCAAATCTCGTATCCGTAGAATAGTGTTTTCTTCGAGTGTTTCCTTGAGGAATGCCGAGTTATCTGCGACCTCATTTCAAATGCAATGCAACATGACACATCCCAAGAACAGAAGCAACCCATATGTCTATGAAGATCTGTCATATGCCACAACCGACATAAGGTTTCTTCAAAACACCTCGGTCGAGCGAGTCAAGAAAAAAATGCGGGGGAATAAACGATGATGCACCAGAATTGGCATTCTGGAAATTAAGCATGGAGAAATGGCAGGGGTCGGGTTGTTTTTCATCGTCTGTCACGGCTTCACGTGTCTCGGGACGTCACCGCGCAAGGGGATGTGCTAAGCTGGTGGAGGTGGTGGTGGAGGTGGTGGTGGTGGGTAGCATCCAGGGCGATGACAGCGATGACAGCGACGTTTCCAGCGGAAGCTACAGTGGCTGTCGCGTGTAATTACCGAGTGTGGTGCAGCTCCCCGGCCTACATAAGTTAGTTGCCCTGGCCTGGACCGCGCCGAATTCCAGCGCCGCGCCGAGGTCAAAGTCGATTGATTTGCCGATGAGCGGACACGGCCTCCGCAATGCCCATTGGCAACCCCCGTCGTCGCCCGTCTAGTCTCCATCATCCACCATCATCATCATCATCGCCACCTTCTCTGCTCTCTCGCCGGCACCTCAGTTGGACCTTAATTTAGCGCTTTTCCATGGAGTTGCAGGTCCGCTCAGCCAGGCGCACGGGATAACTGCATTGTCTTTGTTGTTGTTTCCGGCATCTTCGCAGCGCCTAATCAATCCCCCTGCGATAGCTCGGCCAGTGGGGTGTCTCGGCCACCAAGCCGCGGTTCGGACGGCCCAGGGCCCGATAAAGGGTATCCGGATCCAACGAGTGTCGCCACAACTCGTCGACTACATCTGAGGAGCCGCGGGGTGTTGGCTCGTCACATCATTCAAGATGGCCGACTCAGTTGGTAAGTCTAATTAATCATCTCAGCCTCCCTCGCCGTGCCGGCCATTGCTGACGTCTGACCACCAGATCGCGTGTTCGTCCACGCCCTCAACACCGTCAAGAAGATTCCCAAGACCGGCGCCTCACGACCGCCTCCTTCCGACCGACTCCGTCTCTATGGACTCTACAAGCAGGCTATGGAGGGCGACGTCGATGGTGTCATGGAACGCCCGAATTCCGCCTCCGGAATGACCCCAGACGATCTCCAACGCGAGAAGGACAAGTGGGATGCGTGGAATATGCAGAAGGGCCTCAGTCGGACAGAATCCAAGAGGAGATATATCGAGGCCCTAATAGACACCATGCATCGATATGCGACAACACCGTGAGCAGACTTGTTCCGATCTTTAGTGACCGGTAACTAACATGTCTTCTTGTCATAGGGACGCGAGGGAGCTCGTCGATGAGCTCGAATTCGTCTGGAACCAGATCAAACACAACAGCCCCAGTTCCTCCATGTCCTCCCCCAAAGCTAACCGCTCCACGGCCGCATCACACCACTATCAAGACAACGCAAGCGACCCCGAAGGCCCCATGAAAATTATCAGTCCGATGAGCGAGCACGACGAGGCTGAGCTGCAATCCCAACGACAGATGGACCTGGAGGATGAGCTAGAAGGACAGAACCCAATCCAGAGGGGTAGCCGCTGGCAACGCAAGGTGGAACGGGCGCTCACTACCATGTCGGCCGAGGTGGCAGCGCTGCGGGAACAAATCACTACAGGTCGCGAGTGGCGCGCCAAGAAGGAACGCAGCTTCCCTGCCTGGGCCAACTGGTTGGCATGGCTTGTGATGAAGCACCTCCTTGCCGACCTCGTCATCCTCGCCATTGTTCTAATATGGATGCGAAAGCGCAAAGACCGACGGCTGGAGGACCTGGTGAGGGCCGCCGTCAAGCTTGTGAGAGAGTACATCCGGAATATTCTCCCATCCCGATGATGAGCTTCCGGCACGATATAACGGCCGCCTACCCGCAAGAGATTGCGAAACCCCGAGACGGAGGCAATGGGGGGATAATCCGTCTCAAGGGGGCATCGTCGACAGAGATAATGGCAAACTGCCACATCCCTTGATGGCCTTCCCATCCCTTCCCCCACGATTCTTCTGGCCGTGCCAGCTACCAGAGGAAAGGCTAAATCGCAACATACTACCGCATGCGCCTCACGTATTATTCTCCATCTAACCCTGATATACAACAGATGGAAGGGCTGCCAGCACTTTGGGGACGGTGCCCCGGCCAGGTCAGTACCAACTGACAACTGGTCGTTACAATACACCCAATAACTCCAGTGGGGGACCGCAGCATTGACTTGGCCACGGCGCTTTCGGAGTAAGGGATTACAGTTCATGATTTAGAGGCAAGGGGGCCAATTTTTTTGCATAGTGACATGATGGTACATACCATGATAGCACTCACCTACTTATTTTTAGATCTCATGTACAATACACTTGTTCTGTCATGCTTGCCTGGCGTAGTGATGTCGATTCATGTTTCCAGGCACCGTGAAGCAGCAGTCAACGACGCGCCTCCCAACGCCAAACAGTTCAGCCAAACGCGCCTCAATTCCGAACCATCGTTCTCTGCCTCAGCCATAAAACCCAACGCCTCCCGTGATCGGCCTCGTCCACATGCCACTGAGCCACAGGGCAAATGCAGGTACCAATGCGGTCAGCCGGGGGCGCTTCGTCTACTCTCATCGACTCGCCCACCCACCACCACCTGCACGACCATCGCTCAACGCCGCACTTGCATGAAACAGGAAATCAATCTGCAACGCGACACAACCTCAAGACAAGCCACCCGCCACCCGCCACCACGCCTGACGATCATTCAAAGGCGGCAGGGCTTAGGCGCAGTGTTTTAGTGCTTCGTCAGCCCTCTTTCCGTCCCGTCTGCTCCATGCCTCGCGCGTAGTCGTCCCGCTACAGAGAGGAACCGCCAGCATCCCTTCTCGGCAAAGGCAGCCATGGCGCAGCCTCAACCACAAATCCCGGACTCTGAGGCTCCCACCACCGCAGCAGCCGCTCCTCCGGCGGTCATCCTCGCGGGTGGTCTTCCCGGCACGGAACATGATCCGGCCGGCCACGATATCATCCCCGACCTATTCCTCGCCGGCGGCCTCTTCGTCCCCATCGAGTCCGATCTCGCCGCGCCATACACCCCACCGGCCACCCGCATCGCCCGGCTGCGCGAGATCCTGGCTCTGCTAGACTCCCACTCCACTGCTGTCCGGTCAAACCTCCTGAAACTGTTTGTTCGCGACAGTGCTCGCATCGCCCAGAATGGTCGTCGCCAGGAGGCCCTGCCTCCCGCAGGCACGATACAGGACCCTCCTCCCGGCCTGGAACGCAAGGACCTCGACGAGATGATCAACAACATGACGGCGCCGCACAATCCCGCCCAAGACTACAACATCACCCTCATCCCGGAACCCGACTTCGTCACCGGTATCATCGCCCGCTCACCACGCGAATGGGCAGCCAACGAGCTATTCCGGGCCGCGCAGGCAGGCGCCGATAAGCTGGAAAGCTACGATAAATTTATCGAGGAGAGCCGTGAATTCTACCAGCAAGCGCTCAAGAAAGAGCTGGAGCGCGAGGCTGAGTAGGAACTCGCCAAGCAATCCGGCGCGCCCCATAAGTATCAGACGCCCCCAAAGAAGAGACGGTACTTCCTACCAGGCTGGAATAACACCAATGGTCGAAAGAGAACAAGATGATGTAAAAATGCGTTGATTTAAAGACGTTCACGCCGCGAGGGGGGGACCAGCATGTCAACTTATTTACCTTCACCCTCCAGCCCGACGTCCTATATGTACAAGCACTACGAACATCCCAGACGCAAAAAGGAAATCTTTCTATTCTTTTACAGCCCCCTCTTCACGCCCCGTACTCGACTTGGCCCATGGGCCTATCCTCCTCCATACCGGGGGCCATAAAGTTCGTTCGGGGGTCGCCAGTAGCCTTGGCGGCCGAGCAGCGTGCCATGGTCGGTGAGCTGGGTAGGGGGTTAGCAGTGTAATTAGATGAGAGATGTATATAGAATGTAGCATACCTCCTCGATATAACGTCTGTAAAATAGAAGTTCTCGATAACCTTTTTCAAGGGCTCGCCGCTGACCTTGGCGCCCTTGTTCTGATCCACAAGCTGCACCTTGCTGAGCTCGGGAAGAGCAACAGGCTCGATAACATCGTAGGCGGCCAGGGCAGGGCTGATCTCAACCATGCGGTCCCGAACCATGGCGACATCGTCATAAGGCAGAGGAGCGCCCAAGAACTCACTGACAGCGCGGAGGATCTTCCAGTCAGTTCGGGCAGCACCGGGCAGGGAGGTAGCAGCACGGGTCATCTGCACTCGGCCCTCAGTGTTGATGTAGGTACCGGCCTTCTCGGTGTAGGCAGCGCCGGGGAGGATAATGTCGGCGATCTGGGCGCCCTTGTCACCGTGGTGGCCCTGGTAGATGACGAAGGCATCCTTGGGAATGTCGGCTTCGTTAACCTCATCGGCACCAAGGAGCCAGACGAACTTGGGCTTGGTCTCGGCAACCTCGGCTGAGGGGGTGGTGAAACCGACCTCGAAAGCACCGGCACGCGAGGCCTCACGCTGGAGAACGTTATAACCATCCCACTCTTGAGTTCGGAAGTTGGCAGCGTTCTTCTCGACGAAGGCACCAACAGTCTCGTAAAATGCCTTGGCATCAGCGTGGTCCGTGACACCGGAACCAACAATAATCATGGGGCGCTTAGCGGCCTCGAGCTTCTTGCCGAAGGGACCAGCCAGAGCCTTCTTGAGGGAGGCGTGGTCAGCACCGAAATGCTCGAACTCAAAGGTGGAGTCCCAGGTCTCGCCAACAACGCCAATCTCGAGGTCGGATCGGAGCCAGTGCTTTCGGATACGGGCGTTGAGGACAGCAGCCTCGTGTCGGGTGTTGCTACCAACAATCAGGATAGCGTCGGCCTCCTCAATACCCCAGATGGTAGAGTTGAAGAGGTAGTTAGATCGAACGTCGATACCGTGAGCAATAGGCTGGCTACCAGTGGGGGTGTCCAGGGCCAGGTTCTCGGATCCGAGCTTGTTGGCCATATCCTTCGCGACAACCAGAGACTCAATATCGGTCAGGGCACCGGAAATGATCTTGAACTCGTTGCCCTGGGGGTTCTTCACCTGCCAGGCACGAGAGATCTCACCCAGAGCCTCCTCCCAGTCAGCAGCCTCAAATCGACCCTCCCGGCGAACCAGGGGCATGGTCAATCGTTGAGTCTTCAGACCGTCACAGGCGAATCGGGACTTGTCGTTGATCCACTCCTCATTGACATCGTCGTTGAGGCGGGGTAGGATACGCATAACCTCAAGACCTCGAGAGTCGACACGGATGTTGGAGCCGAGACCGTCGAGGACGTCAATTGACTCAGTGTGCTTCAGCTCCCAGGGGCGGGCTCGGAACGCGTAGGGCTTGGAGGTCAGGGCACCGACGGGGCAAAGGTCGATAACGTTACCAGACATCTCCGAGTCGAGGTTCTGCTCGAGGTAGGTACCAATCTGGATGTCGTTTCCACGGCCGGTGGAGCCGAGCTCCGGTGCTCCGGCGATATCGTTGGCAAATCGAATACATCGGGTGCAGTGAATGCATCGGTTCATCGACGTCTTGATGAGGGGGCCAATGTTCTTGTCCTCGACGGCACGCTTGCCGCCAACTTCGTGGAATCGGCCTCGGTCGGCGCCATAGCGCATGGACTGGTCCTGAAGATCACACTCACCTCCCTGGTCACAGATGGGGCAATCGAGGGGGTGGTTCGCGAGGAGAAACTCCATCACGCCCTCTCGAGCCTTGTGAGTGAGGGGAGAGTTGGTCTTGACGACCATTCCGGGTTGGACGGGCCAGGCACACGAGGCCACAGGCTTCGGGGCCTTCTCGACTTCGACCAGGCACATTCGGCAGTTACCGGCAATCATGAGCTTCCTGGGGGCAGGGTTAGCGATATTTCGGTCGGAAAAAAACGGTCGGAGGTATCGTACTCATGGTAGCAGTATCTAGACATTCGTTAGCTAGGGCGTCAAAAACACGTCGGAGCAATCTCCACGTACCTCGGGACTGTTGATCCCGCCTTCTCGCAGGCCTGGATGAGGGCTGAGCCGGCTGCAATGGAGTCAGAAGCCGCTTCCAAACACTCTAATCATCGAATCATACCTTCAATCGACACCTTCTTTCCATCTGCCGTCGAGTTAGCCCCCCGTCGGACGGTCAATGGCTGGGTACACAAAGATGCTCACCAATTGTCAACTCCACCTCGGCCGGTCGCTGGATCGTCGTCGCGAATGCCCGCGAGACATTGGCTGCCCGCCGGCTCGTCCGCCAAGCCGAACGAGCTAGAGATTGTCGGAGCATCGTGTCGCCTCGACGGTGAAGGAGATGGACGTAGCTTGCCGTGCGGCGAATATGTGCTCAATCGTTGACGTCTCGAAGGGAACTGCTGTTCGGGTGATGGATTTAGTGGCGCTAGTCCGCGATTAATTTACATCATCTCCCATTGGTCAGGATCAAATTCTCGATGCCTGAGGCCACACCGCATTCCACCAGAGTCTTTGCTGCAATTTGCGGATCGACCGAGCTTGAGTTTTTTCTTTCTTCTTCAATTAAATTGTATCGGGCACATTTTATTGTAGGTGAGCTTGCGCGCAGGTCTGCTTCGGCAGGTCTGTTGCTTCAGTCGAGTCTTCCTCTATCTTGTGCTCCAGAGAAACCAAACGCCGATTATGGAAGCATGGAAGAGACACAATCTCCATGACCGCTGCCTCTTACCGCCGGTCGTTACATTTCACCAGTCATTAAGCATGTAGACTTTCCATTCCTGAGGGAAGCATTCGAGTAGCGGAGAGCTTCTCTATTCTTGTGATGTGTATCTGCTCTAAGAGCTACAGCTGCACTGCATGGCCCTCTCGGTTTTGGGAGGATCGGCCGTCCACCGAGTCTCCTCCTCGCTGTCGCCGTCATATCGAACGCCGTCGATCGTCTGGCCGTCCCACGAATCCTCAAAGGGGTGAAGGGCAAGGTGCATGACACGGTCCAGCACCTCTGTGTCGTCCTCCTTCTCCACGCGTCGTATAACCTCATCCATGATCCAGCCTCGGGGAATGAAGTTAGGGTTCACCTGCTTCATAGCTTGGATCCTCTCGTTCTCCCGAGCCTCCGACACGATGTTGTCAGCTTCGCTCCAATCCTCAATGACTCGCTCTCGCCAGCTCGCCAGCCACTTGGCCAGTCGCTGTCTCGCGTTGTTCTCGTCGACCGTCTTGGGTGGCCCTTCCTTGTGAAAGAAAACAGATGCCGTCTGCTCCCTTGCCTCCGCAGTAGCCAGCTCCCCCAGCTTAATTGAGCTCAGGCGACGGAAAAAGTGGTGGAAGTCCAACTCAAGGGCCTCCATGGTATCGAGTGCTTCGCTGAAGAGGACATCGAAGTCAGAGTCCTGGAAGTTCTGCAGTCCCAGTCGTGCGGTCATCAGTTTCTTGTATTCTGCCAAGAACGTGGCCTTGTACTCCTCGCCGACTCGCGCAATGATCTTCTCTGCCCTGGCAACAATCTCTGTCTCCTGGCCTTCCTTGACACCTTCCTTGATGTAGGTCGGATCGTCAACGTCTGCGCCCATGCCAAACAGCTCTCCCAGAGCCTCTCCCAGGCGAACAAGATTCCACCAGATGATCGTAGGTTGGTTCTTATAGCTATATCGGAGTGCGTAATCGTCGTGGTTCGGCGTGTACGTTGGGTCGAAGTTATCCATGAAGGCAAACGGGCCGAAGTCTATCGACAATCCATAAATGGAAGTGTTGTCCGTATTCTATGCCGTGTCCAGTCAGTATTCTATCTCTAGGCCCTAGCACCTCGGGGAAACTTACCAGCACACCATTCATGAAGCCATACGCTTGCCAGTTGGCAACCACCTTGGCATTGCGCCTCACAATCTCCCGGTAGAGTCGGGTGAATCTATTTTCTGCAACCTCATCGGGGCCCTCGGTTTCGGCAGCGGCCAGGCCACGCTTCGGAAGAGGCGAGGTCGTCGGGTTCTCCGGGTCCTCTAGTCGGCCGGGCAGCTTGTCCCAGCCGCCGAAGACATCCTCGGCAATGTAGGTGGCCAGCTTCCTAATCATAGGACGGTCTTGTCTAGCGCGGAGGATATCGAAGCTACCCAGTCGAAGCCAGGTCTGCGCAAACCGTAGGACGATGGCACCCGGCTCGACCCTCTCGCGCAGAACTTTGGAGTGCGGCAGTTGGGTGAGCGACAATGCTCGGGTGGTAGGTATGCGTAAGGCGTTGAGAGCTTCGGAGACAACGAATTCTCTGATGCTGGATCGCAGCACAGCTTTCCCATCTGCGAAGCGAGAGTACGGCGTCAAACCCGCGCCTTTCAACTGCAGCTCGTAACGATCTCCCGACTCAGGGTTTGTAGTCTCAAACAGTGAAATGGCTCGTCCATCGCCCAGCTGGCCAGCCCATTGACCAAACTGAAAGCCTCCATAGCATTGCGCCCAAGGATACCCGCCCTCAAGCTTCTCCTCGTCCCACCCATATAGTTTGTTGCCAGCTACCAACTGTCGGAAATCCTCTGTCTTCTCTTCGCCAGCCTTTATTCCCAGGTCGCGCATTGCAGCCGGACTGACCCCGAGGAGGTCGGGATTCTGCTGCTCTTCGGGGCGCACCCATGAGAACATTGCATCATGGACTTGTCGGGGTCTGATCTGGTCTCGGGGGGTCTTGTGAGAGTCGGCCGGTGTCGGAAAGCGAGCGTCCGCAGGGAGCGATTCGGTGAAGTGCCACGACTTGGGCAAGTCTGCAAGCGATGCGCCTTCGTATGAAGACGAGGGCGCCGATGCGCTGTTGGAGAGATGAGCGGCCATTGTGAATCGGATCTTCGGAGAACGCGGGACAGCTCGACGGAGCGCTGCACGGCAGAGCATCAACGGCGAGTTTATAGGCGGGAGATATGTTTAGGGAAGCATGTGGAATATATTGGTGATGGATGACGAAGATGACCAAGCACTCCGTGCCGCGCTACATACTCTAGCACGCGGAAAGTTCACGGTGTCGCATTACAACGGTTAGCATCGCCGTCTTCGACATCACTTCTTCGGAGGTTCCATCAACCCCACTTCGGTTCTCCGGCGGTCCCCCGGTAACTGGATTCATGCATGTCAGACGGTACCGGGCCGCGCACTTCCTGTCCAAGTAGTTTGCTAAAATAGGAGAACAACGACACATGATGCCTACATGAACACCTGCATATACAATCGGGATCTCGCATATTTCTTGGGCTTTCAAGATGTTGTTTTAATCGGGTCGCCATCTTGATGGTTGATGTCGTCACCACCTTTACCTCGGCATGCAAGCCGTTTGCGTGCTTCCTACCCTAGACAATGACGTCGGAAGTGGGATGGAGGGGTGGGTGAAGCCGGCCGGAGCTCCGAAGGATTCCCGAATCTGTGCTGAACTATTCTCGCATCGAACTCTTACTAGATCTCCAGATAAGCGAATTTACAGGACAGGATTGGAAGGTTAATTCTCATCCGCGCTGTAGTGGTGGTAGCTTTACCATACTATGCACATAATTGTTCATGAGGGGAGGCAATGTTATGTCGCTGAATGACTGCTGGCTGTGGATAAACTATTTCACGATTGGTCCAGGGTATAGCTCAAGAAGAAGCAACGCTTCCGAGAGCTCGTCCCGTTTCCGACGTCCATTGCCCGATCTCGGTGACAAATCACCGCATTGTCCCGCCCGGCTTCGCAAGCTGCAAGTTAGCTACCCCATCAATGCCAGCGGGTCTGCTTAAAACGACGCAACATCCCACTCTTGCGCTGCATTACTTCTACTCTATTCTCAAACTTGCCTCGATAAAACTCCGCCTAGGGACCAAACTTTTACCTCTCACAGATCGAGAGAAATATTTGTGTGACCTCTCCAGTTTAATATTCGAATTCCGTTACCATGGCCGGAACCCCGCTAGATATCCCCCACGTCAAGCTCAATGACGGCAACGAGATCCCCGTGGTAAGGTCTCCCCCTCGAAATGAAATGCTAAACCAACACGACATGAGACACCACAAGCAAATTAAATTGAGATATCGGAATCAAGCTAACTGGGATGTATTCATAGCTTGCATACGGTCTCGGAACTGCCCGATACAAGGACGACGCTTCTGCTCCCCTCGATAACGAGATCATCGAGCTCACCAAGAAGGCAATTGAGCTTGGATACCGTCACTTGGACGGCGCAGAAGGTCCGCTGACCGAAGTGTAACTGAGAAACGCACACTGATTTTGTTCCTAGTCTACGGTAACGAGGAAGAGCTTGGAGCCGCCATCAAGGCTGCTGGAGTCCCTCGGGACCAGCTCTTTGTCACCACCAAGATCAGCGCCACCCAAAAGAAGAACACGCTGGAAGCTTTCAACCTCTCCCTCAAGAAGCTCGATCTTGAATATGTGGATCTCTACTTGATCCACGGCGGCTGGTTTGCCGACACCGACGAGGAGCTCCAAGCCAAGTGGGCTGACCTGGAGGCCATCAAGGAGTCTGGCCGCGCCAAGTCCATCGGCGTCTCCAACTTCCTCCAGGGGCAGCTCGAGACTGTCCTCAAGACTGCCAAGATCCCCCCTGCCATTAACCAGATCGAGTATCACCCCTATCTCCAGCACGGTGACCTTGTCGCCTTTCACAAGAAGCACAACATCGCTGTCTCGTCCTACGGTCCCCTAACCCCGATTGTGACCGCCAAGGGCTCCGGACCCGTTGATGCCTACTGGAAGAAGTTGGCAGAGAAGTATGGAGTTACGGATTCTGATGTCGGTCTGCGATGGATCATTGACCAGGGCGTTGTGGCTCTTACAACGAGCTCCAAGTCGTCGAGACTCGAAGGATATCTTGCCAACTTGCCCAAGTTCAAGCTGACTGAGGAGGAGATTGCTGAGATCTCCAAGTTGGGTGACCAGCATCACTTCCGTGGGTTCTGGAAGGACAAGTTTGCCGAGGATGACAGGAGCTAAATGTCTGGCCAAACTCGATGTAATGCATTATGACAAGCACCTGAGTCGGGGGCTGTGATACTAGGATTCACCGCAAAATATATTGATATACAACACATCCCATAAAAATGACTAATGCCCGCTTAACGGCTGAAAATGTGAAATATGCAGCTTATAGCTCATCGTCGGAATCGGTTTCGCTTCCCGCAGGAGCTAGAGCCGGCTTATTGTTAAAAGGTAGGTCTCTCCTCGGCGGAGGCGCATCTGTTCCCTTTTTAGCGGGTAGCTTTTGGGGTTCTGCCCGACGCTGGGAAGTTGATTCCATGGTATTTGTCGGAGGATCATCGTCGTCATCATCATCATTATTATCATCCTCATCCTCATCACTTGCTCCGGATGCGGTGGCCTCCGTAGTGTTTCCAGGATCAGTGTCCTCCACCTCTTCTTTGACGTCGACGTCCATTGCCTGAACACCAGCATCATCCTCAGACTCCTCTTTGACCATCTTCGACGGCGGCGTTTTTCTTTTCGTAGTTCTAGACTGACCAGCTTTCCGAGCTGGTTTTGCTGGCTCAGCAGCCCGAGTCGGTGCAGGGGGCTGAGATGGTTGGGAGGAGCCCGGATGACTAGCATTGAAAGAACTAGTTGCTAGAACCTGCTGCTGCTCGCGAATCTTGACTTTCTTCTCATTTAGAAGATCCCGGAACTTCTGTAGCAACACTGTCTCATCTTTGTCCTTAGCTTGGATCAGTTCCTCGAGCTGGGACTTGAGTTGGGCTACAGCAGCCTCCGAGTCATGCGATTTGACTCTCAAGTCGGCGACGTCCTGTTTGCCCGCGGCCGAAGCCTCAACGGCGGCCCCGCACCACTCGAACAATTCGATGGCCTCATCGGGATCGTGCTCCAGAGCAATGGCGCCCAGGCGTTGCTAAAACGGTTAGTACCTGAGCTGAGTTTCAGAAAGATGGCATCGTGTTCTTACTGTAATACCCTGGGTCTCCTTCCGGATGGTGATTGATATCGACGCTTCACTTTGGACTGTCGCCGTCGCTTGGATATCTGGGAGCGGTTCCTGCTTGAACAACGACTCGAGAATTGCTTGCCATTCCGACTCTGAAGCAGGACAATTCTGGACTCTGAGTGAAGATACTCGATCTTGTTTCACTACACGAGAGGTTAGATTGAAGCCGGAGAGTGTACGTCAGTGCGTGCCGCAAATTGCGGACCGGGATCTGATATTGCGTCGTGATGGAGGGGGGATGACTTGCATGAAACGGTATATGGCGCCTCCCCCTCAGTGCCCACCAGCTTGAGGTCCAAGGCCCGTGAGCCCTTGGGTGTGACTTGCAGAAGCACGAATGCAGACGTGTCATCTGTGCGAGCGAATCGCAAGATCCTTGTTGGGGCCATTGGGATATGCTTTTGTTGATTTGCCCCGGTTGATGACCAAGGGCGGCGGCAAAGGATTGTAATGATTTGGATGAGACGACGGATTCAGCCTGGCGGCGAGGGATGATGACAGATCTACGGATCAATGACGGAATAATCAGAGCGACCAAAGAAGCAGGGAGGATGGGCGTCGGGAGCAGGGCCTGGAAGGATGGACACCGAGAGTTGGAAGGAATGAATGTTGATTTAACAGGGTTCAGGCAGTGTAAATAGAGAAACAGGAGGGGTGTGAGCCGCGAGGGCCGTGAGCGTGAGGGCCGTGGTGATCGATGTGGGTTCCGATTGATCCGCAGGGTCTCAGTGGGTTGGGCGCAGAAAGAGGCTAGGAGGATGAGGTGATGTTGTTGGTATGGAGCCTCGAGGGAAAAGACGCTCGTCGGGTTTGATGAAGTGAGGCGTCGTCTTTTAATGAAGTGATCTGATGGAGTTTGAATATGGGCAGAGCTGAGGCAGCAGCTGCGAGAGCACCAGGCAGGCAGGCACTCAGGCACATTCACGCACCCTGTGCACAAGGGTCCAGTGTGTAAGTGCTGGCAGCTGCAGCCTGCAGACACCCACATAGCGGCCCGGTTAGAGGCACTTCAGTGGCTCGCGCAGCACGCTGGCCGAGTACAGAGTGGCTACAGTGGGTTGGGGCTCGCCTAACAGTAGAATCATCCACCCAAAATCCTGGCTCGGGCTCTTGGATGAGTCTGATCGATGGATACGAGCGTGCAGGACAGATCGTCTGCTGGGCTATCCATGGACGGCCGGTTCACTCGCAGCGGGGATCCCTACAGATATGGCACTCGCATGAACAATGCAAACGCGAACCCGCATATCTCAATAACGTGGCAATTATACGGACGAAAATGCACCCCGACAAGCGAGTTCAAGGAATACAACTAGAAGGCCAACCCCAACTTGCACTTCATGAGTAGCTGACAGGAAAATTGGCAACTTGGAAATGAATAAAACGGCCTAAAAAGAACCAACCTCTCCCACTCTTGCGCTTCCTCTTCCCGTCTTCTTCCTCCCGTCCTCCTCCCGTCCTCCTTGAAACAAGCGTCGGCCCGCGGAGGGCTGATGGACAAAAAGCTCGTACCCCGTCGCGACTATGACGCGTGGTAAAGACTGGCGCGATATTTAGGGCGGCCAGCCAATCGGGCAGCTCCCCTGAAGCAAACATTGTCGACACACTAGAAAGCTAGAGTGCCATGAGGTGAGACGACGTCACGTGCGGGCGGTCGCTATCCCGGCCTCCGAGTTTTTTCCCTGCAGGACGAGGAGCAGACTAGCGGTACTAGCGGTGCGACCAGGGCCCTGTGCACCTGCAGTGGCCGCTGTTCGTAGGCCTACAGGGCTCGTTGGCTAGGTACATGGCCGCGACCTGTCCCTTATTAGTTAGCAGGAACCGCCACCAGCCACGCGCACTACCACCCCAGCCTTTCTTTTCCCAACCCAACCAACCCACCCACCACCCACCATCCACATCCACCATTCACCAACCTCCATCCAAATCCGCCGACCGCATTCCTGACCTCGCAATCAATCTCGCACGTCACTTCTCTCCCACACACACACAAACACCCAGCGTGGAAAAAATCTTGCTCCTTGCTCCTTGCTCCCAGACGCAATTGCTATCGCCTGTAAGACTTCGCCTGTAAGACATCGCGCTCGCTCTGCTTTTCTTCGTTGCTGCCCGACATTACGCTGTTCCCGCGACGCCGCGACAACACACACGCCCTACTGGAGTCGCTTCTCCGCACCAAACCACTACACCCACCGCGAACCACCACGAGCTGCAGGATCGAAAATCTCCAACCGGAACACTTTACACTCTCTTGTCTCTGCAACCGCCAAAGCCTTGCCCACCCACGCCGGTTTCACGCCTGGGGGAGATGCTGGTGTATGTGGGGAACTGTCAACGTTGACAATAATGACTGTTCGCAATTGACATCACGTCCAACCAGTGGTGTCTATATCGAAACCCCTTGCAGCCTCTTGGACTTGAACAATAAACCGCACACGCGACACCAAACACACAAATTACCATGGAGCCTCTACGATTAAAACCTAGGCAGCCGGTGGAGGATGATATTGAGAACTGGGACGACGACGATTTCGTGGTGGACGGTAGCGACCTCAGTTTCCGGAGCCCAACAGGTGCTACCAATGTCTCGTCCAGACCACCCTCAAGACGCCGAGATTCCGTTTCCTCGCACTTGTCTCTGCGATCTGAGCTCGAAGGCGAGGAGGAGAGACAGGTCCATATCCCAGGAGATGACGAGAAATCCACACTGGACGCCATCGCTGCTGCGCAGAATGCTGGCATCCCTTTACCTAGAAATGTCCCCACATCTGCCCTTATGGGCGGTACCATCAAGCGGTTGGGTGGAAGAAAGATCAGGAAAATCATTCAAGACGACTGGGAGAACGACATGGAGCTGCCCGACATTTCCCAGGGCTTCAAGATCAAGAAGCACCACACCGAATTTCCCGAAAGCCTGCGACAGGTTAGTGGTGGTTCTATCCAGGCCAGTCCGACAAAGGTCATCAAATCAGCCTCCCTTTCCCAGGACAACCGAAGGGAGTCGACTCAATCTACGACAAGTACCATTAGCACCCTTTCTGCAGCCATCAACCTGGACCGCTTCAAGGATATGGATGATGACGATGACTTCTTCGGCGATGGCGGCGATACTATCAAGGTCTCCAAAAGCCGCCAACCTCCCAAACCGGTGTCATTCATAACCCCTCCCACTCCGTCCAGGGACACCAAAACCGCCAACACCGAGGACGACTTTGAAATGGACCTGGAACTCCCATCAGATGGGAAACTCAAGTTATCTACGAGAAAAGACATCCCCAAGACCCCATCGACACACACCGACGACTTGGACTGGGGAGAGGGCAGCCTTGGTACGAGATATGGTGGTACGCGACGTGATGGCCGATCTAACAGAAGTTCATCAGCCTCCGCTCTCAGCCCCAGTGTCTCGAGCTCGATAACAGCCGAAAGTGAAGACGAAACCTTTGAAGGACTCGTGCTCCCCACTGGGCCCGTCAACTTCTCGGAGAGACTCCAGCATCGACGAAAGAGCAGGTCTCCACGACGAATCTCTGAGGAACCCTTGGTCCCCCAAACGAAGGCCGAACCTGCCGAAGCCGATAAACCGGACTTCCTTGACGGACTTGACCTTGGCGATGGCGAGGTATTCGACTCGGGCAAGCTTACTCTTCATCGAAATGTCAAGGTTAAGGAAACGCGACCGGCTAGTCCGGCAAGACCCAAGGCGGCTGTGTCTCTTACTTTTACCAACAAACCAGTCAACTCAACACGGATACCTCGGCTCAATCATCATGAGAGGACACACTCGACATCTCTTGAGCCTGTGTATGAGAGTGGCGGCCCCATGACCAAAAGCCGACGCTCACAATCACGACTGGGCCATTCAACTCAGTCGTCGGTGACGAGCCTTCCTACTCCTACCACACCCTCACCATCCCACAGCCTGCCTCCGATAACGCCTCGGCGGAGGGAGATTGGTCTTAGGACGTCCACCAGCTCCCTTCGCACTGAGCCTACTACAACTAGCGCTCAGCTTCTGAAACAGAAGCGCTCGTTGCCAGCTATCCGGGCAATGAACTCTCCTGCCAAGCAGATCCCTTTCCGCAATGAGCGTCCGCCCTCCAGGTCGGAAAGCAACCGACCGCTCTCTGGTGTGCGGCCGAAGACACCAGTCGAGCGTCAACGACCATCTACGACGGACAGCCCAGCAACATCCAGGAAGCCGCCGCTGCCATTCCTACCAGCTGGAGCATCTCAATCGCAATCACAACACGTAGCCTCCAAGACTCTGCGTCAATTCCGTCGTCATGACTCTGATAACTCCATTGATCTTCGACCGAACTCGCGTACTATCTCAAGATCAACCATGCGATCCCCTAGTCCCCACCGATACCGAGTGGCCGCAGACACTTGGGAACGATTGAGCAAGCCGAAGAACAAGAAGAACTTTGGTGATGGCCATGAGCTGGACGCCTTTGATGATCTCCCTACTTCCAAGGAGAGCGAGACCAAATTCTTGAAGCAGCCTATCACTACCGGGCCTAAGGCTGCCTTGCGAAATAAGCTGTACCAAAATGTGCTTCCCGATCGAGCCTCGACTGTATCACCAATAACACCTCAGACTCCTGCTCGGCCTATAAGCTACACTCCCCATTTTGCCCGCGATACCGCAGCGAGCCGAATTGCCCGCGAGACGTCCCTGGCGCAACGAGTCCCTAGCAGTGGCCCGCTTGCTCCTCTCACTAGCCAGCGCGTCGCTCAGCTTTCTATCCGCAATAATCTAAACACCTCACTCCCTCAAGCGACTGTACGTTCAAAAAAGCACAAGCGATCGCAGCAGTTGAAGCCCCACCTTATCGCGAATCTCAATAGCGGAAAGGAGTCAAAGAGTAAGTCTCCCATGGAAGATATTGATCACGCTCATACTAACAATCTCATAGTGGTGAATGGGATGTACTACAACGCCGAAACGTTTCGCTGGGAAGGCAATGAGAATGCATTGAATCTTTTTGATGCTGCCGTCTCAACACCTACCCAGACACCGGTCTCGAACGTGATGCGCGAGAAGGAGGCTGCATCGACTCCTCGACCTGCATTAATTACCAACATCAGCGCAACTAAGGGAGTTCAAGTTGTTGGCGGGATGGTCTTTGACCCTCAAAACATGTGCTGGCTGAAGCTTGACCCACCTGCCAAGCCCAAGTCTGATCTGAGCGACCCTATGGATGGCTTCGATGCGCTCGAGTCAGATGAAGACGTTTTTAAGGATATCCCCGACCTCGAGGAGAACGCCGCCGACGACGATGGCGTGCAAGGACGAGTCAGCGACGTCAAGGATGACTGGCTTGTCGGAGAAGAGTTCGACGTTGGTCCTGAGTTTGTCAGGAGACAGCGCGAAGAAGAAGACAGATGGCGGAAGAAGTGCGAGAAATGGGTCGGGCGAGGATCCAGAGATCGCGAAGCCTGGCGATGGACAATCCGCGAACTCGTCTCGCAATTCGACGACTTGGCCGTGTGAGCCGGCAACACTCAACATTCTTTCTTCTGTTCACAACCTTGTTTTACCTGCGAATCTTTTTGTAATACGCCAACCACCGGATCGGAACTTTTGTGGATAAACAATACGTCACATATGTCAGTCACCAGCAACAGTCGTTATGGAGATACCACGGCTGGATACCAAAGGGTAGTGGTTATGTTTTGGCCTTTTGTGCGGTATACGCCATGGCATGGACGGGGTTTTATGTTCTGTGTTTTTATTGTTTGGGCTACCGGCATCGGTTTTATGATGTGATCATGTATGTATTCTATGAAAGACGGGCCAGGAACTGGGTTTGGGACTCGCGATTATAGATAAAAAGGAGGGACGCGGCAACACAGCTCCAGGAGGAAAGGGAGCCTAATGACGAGATGAACGAAATGTTTTATGACTTGCAAGCAAAGACGGTATTTTCCTCACATCTACTTCTCTCGGCGTTTTTGGGCATTGTGCGGCGTAAGATGTGCTTTTGAATTTCCTTTCTATTATTCGACATTTCGGTGACAAAAAACGACATAAAACAGACCCATGATGACATCCCGGTTGGTATCTACTTGTCTACTTTTTACTCGGCTTCTTGCTCTTGGCGGCCTTGGCCTTCTTGTCGTTACTCCTGGGATCCAGACCTCTCCGGCGCATGGCGTTTCGTCGTCCCTTCTCCATGTACTCCTTGTCCTCATCATCGTCCCAGCCACCAAAGTCATCGCCGGTCGCACCATCCTCGTCGTCGGTGATGGGGGTGCGGTCGACGACCTCGGCGGCGTTGTTGTTGACATAAGAGCCGGAGCTGTCGCGGGCGGCAGCAGCCTTTGCGCTGGTGGCGGCGAACTTCTGGAACTTTGCGACGAAGAAGCCGTCGACGTTGTAGGTGTGCGGGTAGTAGCGGCGGGTGTGGCGGACGGAAGGGTCGAAGTTCTTGCCCATGAAGCTGGTGAAGCCCTCCTTGCCGAAGGCGAGGCCGGAGTCGACGAGGCGGACGTTGGGGCGGCGGCTGAGGGCGTACTGGACGACGGACTCGTTCTCCTCGATGGTGACGGAACAGGTCGAGTAGACGATGTAGCCTCCGGTCTTGGAGGCGTGGTTGACGGAGTCGATGGCGGCGAGGAGAAGCTGCTTCTGGATGTGGGGGAGTTGCATGAAGTCACGCTCGGTCTTGTTGGTCTTGACGCTGGGATCCTTGGCGATGACGCCGGTTCCTGAGCAAGGGGCATCGAGCAGGACGCGATCGAAGCCGCCCATGGGCTTGGGAAACTCTCGGGCGTCGTAGTTGGAGACGATGACGTTGCGGGCGCCGAGGCGGTGGATGTTACCGATCAGACCCTTGGCTCGGGCCTTGTTGGGATCGTTGGCCATGATGAAGCCAGTGTTCTTCATCATGGCGGCCATGTAAGTTGTCTTACCGCCAGGGGCGGCGGCCATATCTAGCACGCGCTCGTTCTCCTGGGGGTCGAGGGCCATGCAAGGCAGGAAGGAGGAGGCGGCCTGGAGGATGTAGTGGCCGGCGAGGTACTCGGGCGTGGCACCGAGAGGCACGTTGCTCTCGAAGACCTGGAGACCGACCTTGGACCACTTGCCGACGGGCTCGAGGGTGACACCGCGGTTGATGAGGGCCTGGGCGAGATCGCGGCGATGGGTGCGCAGCGTGTTGGTTCGGATGACGACGGGGCGGGCCGACTCGTTGGCCTCGAAGAAGGCAAACGCCTCGCGGGGCGTGAAGAGGTTGAAGAGCTTCTCGGCCAGGTACTCGGAGTAGCCGTAGTAGGCGCAGATGTCCTTGATTAGCTGCGCTGTGTACTCGGCCCTGGAGCGGCCGTCCTCGGAGAGCTTAGCGAAGTCGTCGAGCACGCGGATGTTTTCGGTGATTCGAGTTCGGAGGAGTTGTAGGTCGGGGGCGAGGAGGGCGCTGGCTGTGGCGTTGAGCTCGTCGTCCTCATCGTCGTCTTGTAGAATATGGGGCTTGTCGCCGTCGATGTTGGTCTGCAGCGCGGCCTCGGCCAACTCAGCCTCAGCTTCAGCGGCCTCCTCTGCCAATTGGGCATCTAGTTTTCTTGTGAGACCGGCGATGTTGGCGGCTGTGAGCTTCTCCTCGGCGTCCGACTCGTCCTCGTCCTCAGAGAACATGGCCCTTCCCTTGCCGCCCTCCTCGTCCGAATCGAACACTGAGTCCTCGTTATCAGACTCGAGGAAATCGTCCTTTAGGCCCGCACCACCGTCGGACAGATCGGCGTCCTCCAGATCCTCAATGTCAAACTCATCGTCCATCTCTTCGTCGGAGACATCCTCCAGGACAACCGGGGCCTTGGCCTTCTTCGACCTGCCATTCGCCTTGGGCGCGGTCGTCGCCTTCTCGTCCTTTACGGGCTTTGCGCCGTTCGTCTTCTTGGTCGCAGACTTCTTCGTAGCGGCGCCATTGCTCTTGGCCTCCTGGGACTTGTTGGTTTTCCGCTTCTTCCTCTCGGGTGCTGCGACAACAGGATCGGCAGGCAGACCGGCCTTGCGCTTGAGCTTGGCAAAGTGCTCTTCTGACAGGGGTTGGGGAGGCCCCTGCTTCTTCATGCGTCGTCCGACACCCATTGTGAACGAATGGATTGAGGCGACTCGTGGGAGTTGTATAAAAAGATCAAGCAACAAACTTGCCCGACTCGACTTTGTCTCTGGCCTAGGAAAAGAAGAGGCGCCCCGCCGAAACTTTTTTTCTTCGAGCGAGGCCTGCAGCGGCCCGATAAGCCGGTAGAACTCCGTATCGGGCCCCGCCACACGTGACCACCCGCGTCCCGCCCGCCGCAGCGTGGAGCTACGCCAATGCTTCGACCGTGAAGCTCCATGACAAAGGTTTGTGTCTCGGAAGCAATCGTTTAGCGCCTCCTAATAGCTATTTCGTCGTGGTCTTTATACATATAGACAGCTCTTGTCGACTTTCAACCCAAGTCTTTCTTGCTACTTGGACTTACGCCACGCTGTTCCTCCTGTACAACCCCGCCTCCACCAAGCTCCCGCAACATTGTCCATAATGGCTGAGGTCGGCTTCGCAAAGACCTTCCTGTCGTCGCTCGACCCGCGACCCGTAAAGCTCTCTGCGAATCATGTGGAAGACCCCAAGTCCTTCCCCGCTCGGCCACCGGTATGACGCTCTTGCCCCATCCCGCTGCCCTGTCCTCCTATTCTGACATGTATGATCTAGTATATCCTCCCCCGGATGCCAAAGCCCATGAGCAAGCCCTCGAAGCTCGCCCCCGGCCAAGAACGAAGTGTCACGGTGACCCTCAAGTCCCTACGTAACCCGCCCCTCGACATCAAGCTCACTTCCCAACCCCTCGACACATCCGTCCTGGACATCAAGTCCAAGGTGTTGGCCCAGACGAGAATCCCTGTCGCAAAGATGAAGCTGCTGCACAACAAGAAGCCGGTACCGGACAGCAAAGTCCTCAAGGATCTATTGGGGGACACAGACATGGCCATCGACTTTTCGGTCATGGTGATTGGGGGAGCGGCGGCCATCCCGCCAGAGGAGTCTGAGGCGGCACCGACAGCCCCGGCTACTGGACCGGCGGCGTTGGAGACGGAAGAGTTCTGGTCCGATCTCAAGGGCTTCTTGATGCAGCGATTGAAGGACCAGGCGCAGGCGGAGGAGCTGTCGACCCTCTTCAAGTCAAGTTGGCAATCAAGCCAGGCAAGCCCATAATGATAAACGCAAGCATCACGATGAAGAATACAATAGACGACACAGGTTGCCAATAAGTTCCACATACCCGTATGTGTATTTATTTCCCTGGTTACGGTACATGGTCAAGGGCTGGCAAATCTGGAAATTTACGTATCCGCCCGAGAAGAAACCCCGATAGACACACCCCGGAAGGACGTCCATCCTCCCCCCTTTCTTTCTCCACAGCCATCACTACATCATTCGTGTTGGCCCCCCAAGCTTGACGCCGGAGGTGACCCAAAGTATGTTCAGTTCCATGCCATCTTGAAAACGACGGTCTGGAGAGTTGTGTGATGGTGCATTTAAGCAGCAAGGCCCTTGCTGATGGTCTTGACGATGGTATCGTATTCGATGTCATCGGGGTCGTTGGCCTGCAGCTCGGTAGCGATACCGGTGAGTGATCGCCTGAGAGCTTCCTTGGAAGAGGCGTAGATCATCTTGGGCTGTAGCGGCGGGTCAGTCGGTTGCTGCGTAATCACTGGTTCGCGGGCGACTTACCTGAACACCGGCATCATCGGGGGACCAGGCAATGAAGGCGATCTTGTTTCTACCAGATGGTTAGGTGCTGTAATTGTTTGGCGAGTAAGAGGGGGTTGTATACCGGATACCGTCACCAGAGGCTAGCTCGTACTCGAAATCGTAGACGGCGTATCGGGGACCTTTGCCAACGGCGCCCTATTGTGGGGGGTTAGAAATGGCGGTGCATGGCGATTATGAGTGTTGTTGGCAGACATACCGATCGGCTCTTGGAGGTGGCCGTGATGAGCTTGTTGCGGAACTCCTCCCAGTCGGGCTCTTCAGAAGAGTGCTCGACCTCAATCTCCTTGTAGTTGTCCGACAGCTTGAAGATGATGTACTTGAGCTTCTTGGCGAGCTTCAGGTCGTTGTAGGCAGTGAGACACTCCTGGGAAACGGTGGCACTGGAGAGCGCCGGCGGGTTAGCGCGCCGATCCACGGTGGCCGTGGCCATGGACGTGGTCCATTAGTAGTTGGATGCCCCGCGGCGCCGTCATCGTCGAGGCTGGCGAGAGGAGGGGGAACCGTCGGAGGTGCAGGAGGAGGGGGAGGAGGGGGGAGGAGGAGGAGGAAAAGGAAGCGGGGAGGACGAACCCGGATTGAGACTGTGACGAGTGTTAGACGGAGAAACAGCGGAATAGGAGATAGGGGGTAGGGGACGAGAAAGGATCGCGGGTGGCGGTGGTGCTGAGCTTACCATGGTTGCGGTCTACGTCAGGAGACGGATCTTGGGGATGAGGGGTGGGCTGTAGCGGGAGCTTGTTATTAGCTGTCGCAGCGGCAGGAGGGGAAGATAAGGCGGGACAATATAGTTCGGACAGAACCGAGACGTGTGCAGACGAAAGGGAAAGAAGAGGGAACGGGACGGGAGCGAGGCGGGGACGTACCGGAATTAAAGGCTGAGAGAGGATGCCTGGAGAGGTTCGCGATGAGGGAGCAAGGACGAGGTGGTGGAGGTGGATGTGGTGGATGTATCTTGGTTGGGGGTTGGTTGGGCGGATTAGGCGGTGCTATGAGAGAGGCGGGGCCTTTTTGCGGGAGAAAAACACCACTCCTGATGGTGGGGTTGGCCGTGAGATGCCCCACGTGACTCTCCAAGCGTGCGTGTCAAGTGTGGCTCGTCCTAGGTTGACAAAGTGTCATTCTCGGAGGGAGCATTCTGGGTCGGTCTGCAAGGCATCAGTTGATTAATGCAAGGCATCGATCAATCAATCAGTCAGTCAGGCAGCGTATGCAATGCAAGCACCGCTGCGAACCACTGGCTTGCACTGTTCCCGTTGCCGTTGCCTGGGAGGCACCAATATAAAAAACAAGAAATATTACTATTCTAATAGCACAACCGTTGTCAGGTAACCCGATCTAGCCGCTGCAGGCACTATTGCATCTATCTGCCTCAATTATACCATAAGAGGGACCCTGATGCGATTGGAGATTGAACAAGGGTTGTTGAGAAATTCTGCGGGTTGTCGTAGAGATTGCAGGGCCGCCCAAGTCGAAGGGGCTGAGGAACCACAACGTGATGACACCAGAAAAAAAGACTGAAGCAGCAGCTACAGCGACGGTGCCTAAGATTTTATATTATCAAATAGCTCATAAATGTACTTGCTATTTATTGTTCTCTTCTGTCTGTAAAGTTGATCTAGTGATAGAATTATATCATTCAGGCTGTGGAATTGGAGATTTGGGGTTGTGCGAATGGTAATACTCCAAAACAAATAATAAACAAGGCACACGGCGATCATCGCCATCGCTATCGTCATCATAATCACACTACCCACGCACGCTCACGCTCACATTAACCCCCATCACCCTCAAACAGGAAATCATGTTTGTTAATCTTGTACAAGGTTCTTTTTTCCTTTCATCTTTTTTTTTCCTTTCTAGTGCTACACCGTTAGTGCTACTATACAGGGCTCAAGCGGCCAAAATCTGCAAAGGGTATGAAGACAAGGTCGTAAAGAAGTGGTAGAGGGGAGATTGTGAGGCCACTTGATCCGTCCCGTTAGAACACGCAACACCATGTGCGCCGCTACCCAGTCCAGCGGTTTTTATACATTGTCCATATCATTCATTGTCATGTTTTACATCATGCCACCCATGCCACCCATGCCGCCCATACCGCCCATGCCACCCATGGGAGGGCCGCCGGGGCCCTTCTCCTCAGGGGCGTCGACAATGGTGACCTCGGTGGTGCCCAGCAGAGAGGCAATGCCGCTGGCGTCAATGAGACCGGTACGGACAACCTTGAAGGGGTCCAGGATACCGGTAGCAATCATGTCGACGTACTCGCCCTTGGCGCTGTCGAAGCCCCTGTTGAAGTCGGCAGCGTGCTCATCAGAGAGCTTGCCGACGATCACGGAGCCCTCAAGACCAGCATTCTCAATGATGGTGCGGGCAGGGCGGGTGATGGCGCTCTTGACAATGTTGACACCGAGCTGCTGGTCAAAGTTGGAAGTCTTAACGTCGTTCAGGGCGTTGACGGAGGCCTTGATCAGGGCAGTACCACCACCGGGGAGGATACCCTCCTCGACGGCGGCGCGGGTGGCGTTCAGGGCATCGACGAATCGGTCCTTCTTCTCGCCGACCTCGACCTCGGAGGAGCCACCGACCTTGATGACGGCGACACCGCCAGAGAGCTTGGCTAGACGCTCCTGGAGCTTCTCCTTCTCGTACTCAGAGGTGGTGGGGTCGGTAATGACACCACGGATCTGCTCGCAGCGCTGAGAAATGCTGTCCTTGGCACCGTTTCCGTTGAGGAGGATGGTGTCCTCCTTGGTGATGGTGATGGAGCCAGTGGAACCGAACATGTCGGGGGTAGCCTTCTCAAGCTTGATGTCGAGCTCATCGGTGAAGACGGTACCGTTGGTGAGAACGGCAAGATCGCCGAGGATGGACTTGCGGTTGTCACCGAAGCCGGGGGCCTTGACGGCAGCAACCTGGAGCTGACCACGGAGCTTGTTCAGGATGCAGACAGCGAGGGCCTCACCCTCAATGTCCTCAGCAATGATGACGAGAGGTCGTCGCTGCTGGGTGGAGACCTCAAGAGCGGGGATGATGTCCTGGACGGCGGAGATCTTCTTCTCAGACAGGAGGATCAGGGGGTTCTCGAACTCAACCTTCTGGGACTTGGTGTCGGTGATGAAGTAGGGGGAGACGAAGCCACGGTCGAATCGCATACCCTCGGTAACCTCAAGCTCGTCCAGAACAGTCTTGCCCTCCTTGACGGTGATGACACCCTCCTTGCCAACCTTCTCCATGGCGTTGGCAATCATGGCACCAATGTGTACGTCGCTGTTGGCGGAAATGGTAGCAACCTGAGCAATCTCGGCGCTGGTGGTGATGTCACGCTTGTTCTTCTGGAGGTACTCGACGACGGCCTCAACGGAAGCCTGGATACCGCGGCGGAGATCCATGGGGTTGCAGCCGGCGGCAACGTTCTTGACGGTCTCGGAGAAGATGGCACGGGCGAGGATAGTGGCGGTGGTGGTACCGTCACCGGCGACCTCGTTGGTCTTGGAGGCCACATCCTGGAGGAGCTTGGCTCCGAGGTTCTCGAACTTGTCCTTGAGGGTCACGGCACGGGCGACGGTTACACCATCTATTACCAGTTAGGAAACCTCGCCCATGGAATATTAGAGCACTTGTACGAACCCTTGGTGATCTTGGGGGAGCCAAAGCTGGACTCAATGAGGACGTTTCGGCCCTTGGGTCCGAGGGTGGTGGCAACGGCCTTGGCGAGGGTATCGACACCAGCGAGGAGAGCGGCACGGCCCTCAACACCAAACTTGAGCTCCTGTAAAGCATGTTAGAGGCCGATTGAATAAAAATTGCATTGCTAGAGAATTTACCTTGTGCGCGAATCGGAGCTGCTGACCGAGGCCAGCTCCGGCCCGGTACTTAGTGGCAGCCGATGAGAGGACAGAGGCCCTCGCCCGGGAGCTCAATGCACGCTGCATGATTGTGAATTATGGGGGTATAAGGGGTGGAATTACAAAAACGAAAGGAGAACACTCGCGTGCTTTCGTCTTTGGGAGGAGGACAAAGGCGGAAGTATACCGTGGGAGGTGGGCGAGAGGGAGGAAGTTGATATGATGGCAAAACTGGAGAAAGCTCCCGCCCCAAAAAAATTGTTGCCGGAGCGTCGGCAAAACATCCACCCAGAAGCGACGCTAGTCCTAAAGCATCGTGGTCTCGGCCCCGACCACTTCTACTCCTTTCCAACGACATCTGCGTGATGGAGCATATTACCGTCGCCATAGCCGAGGACGAAGTTCACTGCTTGACACCGCCGTCGTCCAGCCTCTCCAGCGTCGCTCTGCGTGGGTCCGTCTGACAAATGCCCCATTTGGGGTTCGTTGCTTGCGTCCGATGCACCGGGTTCGGAGGCATTAGCCCTGGTCGTGCGCATCAGCATGCTTTAACGTGCAGGAACTCCATTGCCGACTGCATCGCTGGCTCGATCCGATCTGGAGACAGCTTCATGAAGTAGATGGATTGGTTTATTTTGGCCAGCGTCTTGTGCACGGCTCGTTCTATGATAGCAAAGTCCAGTCCAAGTCCAGTCCGAGAAGAAAACGAAAACATCAACGCACAAACCATCCCTGTCCTAATGTCCCTGTCCAACGCTCGTTTCCATCCAGATCTCGATCTGGGTTTTTAGTTCCAATGATTCCAAGCCTCAAAACCAAGACCCTGCGTCACGACCACCTGGTCTGATACTCTGGATTGTCTAATAAAACATGAAGCAGCCTTTTGGTTTCCCCAACGCCTCCAGCGCCTTGTCAAACACCTACCGAACCTGTTGTGAAGTCAAAAGCCAAGTGTGCTTGCAGCTCCTTTGTCTGAGCCAAAGCGTGATATTTTTTTTTATTTTTTTTTTACTTTTACTTTTTTCTCTTTTTTTGGGTGTTATGGTGATGCATGATAGCTACCATACAAAAATGATGGTGCTAGGGGTGTTGTGTGTTTCTTTTTGGGTAACTTTACCAATCTATACATGCCTCGTTCAGGCTAAGTGATACGGAAACACGATGTCGCAAGATGTCCATGAAAGGACATGGAACTCAAAGAGTTCAAGCCATGGTGCCAAAGATATCAGGGAGAAGATCGTCCGCAGCATGGTGGATCTGAAAAAAAAAAAGTGAGATGGTGAACTTCTGGAAGGGGTGACTGAACAAACCATGAGATCGTTGAAATGGGCTCCAGTCGAAGCCAGTGCCTCGTTAAGCATGCTCTCCTCTGCTGAGGGACGGTCGGATGAACTCTCAGATGTGGTGGACGGATACATTTGGCCTTGGAACATCATGTGGGTCTGTAGTGCTTCCAAAGAAGGGCTTTGGTAGGCGGCGTTAGACATACTCCAAGGACTGAGTTGGTACGCGCCAATGTTGTTCATCTGCAAGATGGACTTGGACAGTGTTGCGGGATCGTGAGATTGGGGGAGCTGAATCGAAGAGGGGCACGCCATTGGAAAAGGCTGAGGGGTAACTTCCTGGGTGCCCATTTGAGGGATGGAATTGAAATGAGTGCACATGGAAGTTTGAGAGAAAGCCTGAAAGTTGGGGTCGACGACGTTATGGTGTCGGCGGGCAGTTGGGCTGGTGAAGATGTTCTCATCTTCCGTCTCGCTCTTGTTGTTACCCTGCTCTTGATTAGTGTCCGATCATTTGTCAGAAAGAGGGCCACTTACATCAATGTCCATGCCATTGTATTGCACTGCGAAGACACGGTCATTGAACTCATTGGCCTCATAGTCTTGGTCATGGGTTGGAGACGACTGTTCTGTGTACTGATAAAGGCCACCAGTTGGGACCCGAGAGCGGCGTTGCTGAGGAGTAGGTGACTCAGGAAGATCTTCACCATCTGACTTAACTTCTTCCTCAAAGGAGGCGGTCGGGAGATGATCTTGAACATCGAACGCATCAGGGAGGTTGAAGCGTCGGTCATCATGCTTCTCAGAAAACCGGACAGGTCGGGTAGCAAATTTGTCTTCACCTTGATCATCCTTTCGGACGAAGCCTCGGATATCCGGATCGACAGCACCGCTGATTCCAGGACGCTGGAGCATGGGAGGAACCAGATGGCCCTCGGCGGTGAGCTCGCGACGGAGGCGGCCAAGATGCTGGGACACAGCGGCACCAGTGGACCCGGGATGCAGACGATGCGCAATGCTGTCCCAGGGCAGTTCAATCTTGTGACGAGAGCACTCATACTGAAGATGGAGCAAAAGCTTCTCCGCCATGCGAGGACCTGGGCCGTGTTAGCTTGGATGCAGGGCTTTTAAGGGCGGCAAAGAAGGGGAGAACTCACGACCCCAGACGATCAAGTTGCGTCCGGGAACTCGGCCATTCTCACGACGCTGCTGCTCAGTGGGGAGGCGGCTGGTGTAATTGTACTCGCGAGAAGCCTTCTTGGCGGATCGGGAGCCGGGAGTCTTGACGGGAGATCCATCGTTCTTGAGAGCTTTGGAAGCTGAACGTCTGACCTGGGCAGTCGAGCGGCTGCCCTTCGAAGGAGTCTTTTTAGCAGACCCAGCAACCATCTTCACGGTAGAAAGTGGTTAAGTGATGAGACTGAGAAACGGTCAGTCTGATACATGCCAATCTCACTCACTTGGCCGGTCTTGGCCGGGCCAAGTGAGTTGAGCGAGAGGGAGGTACTTACTGAGATTGTTTGAGGGAGTTTGATATCAACGACTTGAGTGTTCAAGACGGTGATTGTGTGCGGTTGATGAAAAATGTGTTCACAAGAAGAGTGTTGTGAGTGTGAAGGTGGGGAGAATCACAGCGGGCAGAAGTGAGATTCAAGAAACACCATAAAGTGAACGGGACTTGAGAGCGCAATTGGCACGCGGGAGGGGGCTGGGAGATCGAGCAAACGGCGTTTTCTCGCTTCTGCACTTGTATTGGCCGTTCAGAATGTGGTAATCGCCCGGAACAGAAACTGGCAGCTGTAGTCGCGGTGCAAATCAGGGGCGTTCGGACCGTTGACAGCTGGCAACTGGCCGCCGACTGTCAACGCACCAGTGCAGATTTTTTTTCGCCGACCACCACAAACACAAAAATGAAGCATCTTGTGGCGCTGAAAAGTGTGCTCGGGTAGGGCTTGGTGCAGGGTTTTCTCGAGCTGGACTGCACACGCCCGAGAGGAAGTGAGGCTCGGGGATTGGGGACGCCTTGGTGTTGACGACACTCCGCAACACTTGGCTGCCTTTGCTTCCTTAGGCTCTAAAACCTTCCAAAGAGCAAATCCAGAAGCAGTCCGCACATAGCCACTGTTCTCATTTGGCTGGTTGACTAAAGAGATGTTCTCCGAACATAGTGTTCTTGCATCCCCCTGCAGCCCTTTGTGATAGCCATCTGCCTAGGTTGTAATAGCTGTCCCACTAGCCCAGCATTGACAACTCGAGACTGATAGCAACAACCGCCTTTGTAGGTCTCCATCCAATGATGCATGTGAATTGTCGCCACTTCGCATCACATCAAGTCAGCATTTGCAGGTGTCTGGACAACCGGCCACGGGAATAATCATGCTGTATTTCTGAAGGCTCGCTTTTGAAAGCAACGCTATGCTATCCACCCAACTCAAATCATCGCTGAGAACCAAATACCCTGTTCACCATATTCCTCATCTTTCCTTTGCTCTTTCGCCCGAGTCTTTGTGACCTTGCTCCAAGGTCCTGCCCCCGACCAGCCATCTGAATCCTGCTGGCTTCCACTTCTCGAGCCAGCGCTTGAATTTTTCGTGATCTTGTCTCGAGGTCAAGAATGACCTTTTGCTGGGCCTCTAAGATGTCCTTGAATGAATCCTGGGTTTGGTGTTGGACAGCCGTGTAGACGACCTGGTTGATTGCTCCTGGTAGGTTCATGACAACCTGCGAGAGGACATTCGTGAGTCCGGCAGCCACGGTGAGCTGCTCTTCCATGGCTTGGCTGTTCTTGGTGGCGATTGCGAGCTGTCTTTCCGAGGCTTGGATATTCTCAGTAGTCAAGGTGATGTTCTTGGACTGGGGCTCGAACATGGAAAGCAAAGCAGAGTTGGTCCTGGTTTGTTGTTCAAGAACACGATAGTGCATGTCGATTTGGCGACCGAGAGCGTTATTCTGGTCCCTGAAGTCGGCATTTTCGTTGTGAAGGTTACCCACGTTTAACCGAAGGGGGCCAGTGGCATCCGAAATCGTTTGCTCGATGGTCTGCTCCACGATCGAACATAGCTCTTCGCTGACGTTATCAAGATCGAGTTGTGTTGGATTTGAGACACCTCGTCGCTGGAGCATCGTATTGGCAGCATCGAAGTAACGTTGTTCTTGTTGTACGGAGCGGAGGTAGGAGCTGACCCTTCGGGCTGCTTCTGCATCGGTCTTCGTGTCTTCTTGGGAGGCATCACGATCCTTGATTCGGCGGGCGATCTCAACTCGAAGTTGCTTGTAAGACTCGGGAGCGGGAAGAGACTGGTTACCACGTGATTGCCGGAGTCGCATGAGACGCCCGTAGTCTTCAATCACAGCTTGAGTGTCCATGGCCGATGCTGTCGTGCTGGGGAACTCTCCGTTGTCGCGAGCACACTCCAGTTCAGTCGCCATTACGCGAATTTGACTGACGGGGTAGGCAGTGCCACATTCGATGACGATACTGGGGCCAGAGGCTGCGACATGAATGCTGGAGTCCGCATGCTTCTTTTCGCATCTGGGGATGAATTCTTCAATGGGAGAGTCGGGAGGAGTGATCAAGCCGGAGACGGGGATATGCGGGATGTTCTCCTTAAAATGACCTGCAGGCAAGGTGGGCGTATGTGGAAAAGGCATGATTAATGGTCTTGGGAGATCGGCAGATTAAATAACCTCCCACGATGAGTCCGTGATGCAGTGCTGCAATGAGTGCTGGATGAAGCAGGTCGGTGATCGACAATGACAGGGACAGTCTGCGTTACTGACAAGAAGGAGACTAGGATGGAATAGAAGAAGTAATGCGGTGATGAGGGGATCAAGAGATGAGAGATGTTTGTGATGAGATGCTACTTGGTAATTCGGCCTGACTGTGATGCAGTGACGAGGAAGAATATATACTGACTCTCAAGGCCGGTAATGTAGAAATACCATGAAGCCAAGTTGATTGCATCTTGTTGACAATAGACGTTGGCGCCTGTAGCTAGTTGACAGGTCCATTGTTCAATAGCCACAATGAGCCACGCGCTGCAGGCATAAATACACAGAGCTGCGTGTGAGTTTCGGGGCGTTCTGAATCGAGCGTTAAGAATAGGAGTCAGACGCGTGCGCCAACCATTCTAGGCAACCCCAGCGCCCGACAATAGGAAGATGTTGAATGACTGTGGAGCCGAGCGGATGAAGGGGGAAGAATGTTTCCTTTCTTGGAGATCTGGCGGTCGACCAGCCATATGAGAGGAATGACGAATGTGACCGTTGGTTCCCCGGATCTTGCTAGAAATGTACTAGGGCAAATCTTCTCACCTCTATGGGAGCTATTTGTGTGGGATGGCTAAGGCTACAATGATCACGGCTGAGGAGGGTGTTTCACGAGACGAATAAAGGCTAGCCATGATTCTGTGATGCAAATTCTTCAAATCAAATCTCAGTGCTATCTCGTAGAAGTATGAACTGCGAGTCGTGCGACCATCCCCAAGCGTCACCAGCTGATTACGTCGCGACCTGATCATGAGCTAATAAACCATGAATATCCGTAGACACCCAGAGACATCGTGTTGTTCACGCTAGGTTTTGCGTGAGATGCAGTGTGGCCCTTCCTGCTTGCTGTGCTGGAATCCTTGGGCCCTTGGTGTCGTTCTGCACAAGACGCCGGCTTGGCCATTTAGGATTCCTCCTCGTCGGAAGGAGGCGCATCTGTACGAGAGCAACAATTGTTAGTGGCAAAGACACCTTGGATAACAGCCATGAGTACATACCACTCAGAGATGATGTAGGAGATGCAGGAGTCACATCTTCCTCTTGCTTCAAGCCCTTTGCCTTGGCAATGGGCTTGGGTTCCTCATCGGAGTCCTCCTTCTTGGCGACGCGAGTAGTTCGGGCTCGCCTCTTTGCAGGCGATGCGGCGGGAGCCTTGGCCTTGCGCTTCGCAGGGGACACAGTTTCCCCGTTGCTGGACCCGGTTGTGGACTCTTCCTTGGCAGCTGTGTTGGTGCGGCCGCCGGCCTTGATGCCATGGGCCTTCAGCATTCTTTCGTATCGCTTCTGGCTATTTGGATTGTGTCAGTATGATATCTGGGATAGAGATGGGCAGAGTGGTACTTACGCGGCTGCCTTGGAGACGATGCCAAGGTTATCAGCGACGGCCTGAAAGTCGGGCTGACCTGGTTAGCAGAACCCAGGAAAGGTGAGGGCGCCTTGGCTTACTCGGCCATTGTTGGTATGCCCGATGCAAGACACAAGGAACTTGACCTGGTCGGCAGGCTCTTGCTTAGACATTTTGGTTGATGTCTGAGACTGGATGGATGAGTGACTGAGGAGTTAGTCGAACTGGAGATAAAAAAGAGAAAGAGCAAAAGCCAAACAGTGTAGGTCGAAGGTAGTCAGTAAAGGTAAGGTTACTTACTGTGATGAGTTGTGTGCGTCGGGAGCTGGAAGGATGTCAGGAAGTGATCACAGTGAGGTGGGTGTGGATGAATGAGGAGGAAGTAGGGTGGAAGACGAAAGGGGACTTGGGATAGAAAAAAGAAAATGTGTGCGCGAGGAAGAAAACACGGGCGTTTTAATTCCACAGGGCTGGCTGAGACTGAGCTGCAGGTGAAGGAGAAGCAAACGGGACCGTGTGGTCACTGCCGGGGAAGCGAGGACTAGGCCAAACACTCAGCGCCAAAGACAGGCGACCTCGACCAATGAGCGGGAAAATGGACTTGAGAAGAGATGAAAAGACGGAGACGGAAATTTACTACTCACCAGTTGCTCAGATGAATGGACCGGATATTCTGTGTGCTGTTCCTGGGCAGTGTTGCAGTGGTGTTGTGCTGTAAAAGAGGCAAGGGAGAGGTGCTCTGGACATACTTGAGGCTGGTTCTCAAGCAAAGGAGCTAATAATAGTGAACCCGCTCGAAGACCAAGTCGGCGTCGCTGTTTGCTTCCAGGCAGTCACGGTTATGGGGACAAAGGCTTTGTTGATGGCCACCTCAGAGGAGGGATGCGTCATCTGTTCGCAGGAACCTGAGACGGTTCTGATGTTCAGTAATGCCCTAGCCCTACTTGAAGAGCAGGCACGGAGACTCGGGATTTGATCAGGCAGAATAGGAAAGTTCTTACTGGCCTGTGGCCTGTTCCCGGGATTTAGAGGCTATTCGTTTGTTTAGGCGGTGCCCCAGCTGGTGGCGGCGATGCTCTACCTTCTCCCTGGACTGGCCTTGGCCACCATGAGCACACCCAGGCACTAGTGGAAATATTAGAAGAATGGTTTAGAGGTCCACAAGTCTCATTTTGTTCTCGTCTTCTGATGTTATGCGTGATGAATACGATCGCGATCCTCCATGCTTAGATGAACCAGATGTTCATAACTAGGTCGTCCACCCCAACCACATTAGGGAACAGAGTCCTGCATAGATATCCCACGTGTACAAGCCTAAGACTCCTCGCTCTCGTCCATGGTGGCATCCTTGTCCTCGGACTTGACCTCCTTCTTGACCTCCTCCTCAGCCTCGGACTTGACGTCAGTGTCCTCGTCGTCATCCTTCTTGACGACCTTCTTGCGTGGGGTGCGAGGTTTCTTGGCGACCTTTGCGTCGCCTCCGGCAGCAGAAGCGGCCTTGCCCTTGCGAGGGCTGGCACCGGTGGCGTTCTGCTCGCGCCAGCCGTGACGGACAGACATCTGGCGGAAACGCTCCTTGGCACACTTGGCGTCCTTGAGAGTGAGGGTAGCGGCGACAGCGTCCCAGTTGGCGTCAGGCTTCTGGGTCATGTTGTCGAAGATGGCCTTGATGAAGCGAAGTTCACCATCGGTGAGACCGATGGGGGCCTCGCCGTCGGCGGAAGCAGTGGCGGCCTTCTTGGCAGGCATGGTGAACTGGAGATGATTAGCTTCGAGTGGGCGACAGGGGAAGCCAGGACATACTCGATATGTTCAAGATAGATGACGAAGATGGAATGAGATGGGTGACAGTGAGTCTTGGTAACTCTGATGGTTGAGTGACCTGAGGATGTGGAGGTTGTGGGTGGGAGAAGAGAAGAGAGATGGGGGAGCGCAGAAAAGAGGTTTAAGAGGTGGAGAGTAATGAGAGCAAATGTGGCGAATGCAAACAGGGAGCTCGCTTCCCAGAATCCGTTTTTGTTTCACGCCGAAAGAAGACTGCAGTGGCCTGCGGTTTCGGTGAATGGAGAGTGAGTGAGTGAAGTGTTGGCACTAGTGCCTGGGATGAATGGCCGTTTGACGGAGCAGGTGAGATGAAAATGAGAGAGAGCCAGGTAACCGCCACGACAAACTCCCCATACCTGAGGGCAGTTGAAGTCTGGCATCAGAATCCTGGAGCACTGTGAAAGCTCAGAAAGCCCTCAAGGCGCATGCATCCTTGGCAGGGCCGCCACACGCTGCGATTCTCTCGACAAACTTGGGGAACTTTTCACAGAACAGAATACGCAAAATGGGAACCACATAGTTCAGCAATTAACCTGTCGTCGATATCGATTTTAATACCGTGAGATATCTAGTCATTGTGCCTGTGGATGTGTTTGTATCCGAAATGCCCAACTGCCCGCCGCTCTTAAGGCTCAAGCATCCACGGCATCAAGCCCAGAAAACATGCGTTGTCCCGAGGTAGTCAATACAGCACACCCCGTACGTAGCCCACGCCTCGGTTCTAGACTTTAGAATGGATCCACCTTGGCATACATCTCAGAGCGAAGCTGCTCGTCAGCCTCCCCATCACTCTCGTTCTGATGCTCTGCCTTGACATAGGACTTTTCAGCATCGTCAGCGTCCTCATACTGAGGCTCCTCCTTCTTGACCTTGGAGCGGGGCTTGCCCTTGCCCCGAGGGGTCTTTGCGACCTTGGATGGCGTAGTCAAAGTCGACGAGGCGGCGCCCTTCTTGGTAGGAGTACGGGCCGGAGTAGATGCGTCGCTAGAGATTCCCAGCTTGCGCTTGACCTGTCCGAAGCGGACCTGAATAGAAAGCGAGGAGTTAGTATGTGGGAGGTGGTTGACCAGGAGAATGCGAAAACATGTGTGCGTACCTTGGCAACTTCAGAGTTCTTGAAACCCTGCTCCGTGGCAACGGCCTCCCAGTCAACGTCCGCCTTGTTCTTGGTGTTCTTGACGATGCTGAAGAACAGCATAGCCTCGGCGGCGGTAGGCTCCTTCTTGGGCTCAGACATGATGTTCAGGGTGGTTTCAAGTCGTTAACTGGAGAAGATGTCAGAAAGCTTGCGTGGAGGTGAGTGGAACGAAAAAGAAACGGACCTGCCAGCAAGGAGCAACAATTGTATTGGGATTGAAAAAGTGCAGTCTTGGCGGGTGCGAGTGGCGAGTGATGTGCGATGAATGGTGAAAGCGGAGGGAAGTTGGGTTGCAGCTCACAAATCGAATGGTTGGGTTTTAAGTGCGAGGCGAAAAAGATGAAGGAAGCGGGGGATTTCAAGCTGCAGTGAATAATTCATGCTGCCATGGACTGCAAAGGGCTAGTTAACGCCTAGTTTGGCATGAAAACGGCGAGTGGGTGCCTGACGGCAGCAACGCGCCCCTTTGACTGTTTGCTTGAGACCAATCGGGGGGGTTCTCACTTCTTGAAAGGATGGGACATTGTCCTCATTGAAATAAAACAAAAAAAGCGCCCCGCGTTTGTGCCAGTGCGAGCGAGTGTATGGTCTCCTGTTCTCGCACAGCTGCTGCCAGTGCCAGTCACCTTCCCAGGAGTTTCAAACTGCTCCATTCAGTTGGCCAGGACTAAACGAAATCATTTTGTAAAGGGATTGAGCCATTAACTTGAAATTTTATTGAATCTTTGCTCGATTTCGTAATTATCATTGGCTAAGTTTCTTGCAGCTTCTTCTTGCTTCAGGGACACCATGTCAATGGGCAAAATCCAAGGCAAACAGCCAACTCTGAACTACCAAACCATTCAACACATTGTACCAAATGCCTCCTACCACCCTGAGTGAGAGTCCCAAGGGCTTAACTGGTAGCTCTTTGACGAAGCTGCATTTGGTGAGCGCAGTGTATTGGACCATGACCCACCGTCAACTCCAGGCCTCTGGCAGGGGTTTCCATGTACTTTTAATATTCCCCAGCCCGAAGACCTTCCCAAAGCAGAAGAGCAATTTTGAATCAACCATGAACATGTGCAAACTATCTTTACCAAGGTAAAGTAGACGAATTCTTAGACTCAGCCAAAATTAAGGCACAGCTAGACAAATGGACCCCGATAAATGACAACAAGGTCAAGACCACCTTTAGCCTCTCCACATTCGGTTTTTGCAAGACTTCGACTCGTTTAAGAGCCTGCGTAATTAAAACCTTAGAGAACATTGAGACAAGTCTACTTGTAATGGCTGTAGGGCAGAGGCTACGCCATTCGGCGGCCCGAATGGATAATACGGACCCATCCGTTTTCGGGGTGGAAACCTGTGGGTGGGGCCGCAGTGGGGCCGTGTCGCCGTGCTGCCTAAAGCGGGGTGGCGAGAAAAGGGCGAAGCGAGTGAGAAAAACACAGATCAAGATACTCTATGATGCGTATTAGTCTCTAACTAGGTCTCATACCAAATGCTATTTCCAGATCCTGGGTTGAGCCATAGAGCAAGGGCAGAGTTCCAGGAGTTTCATGACCAACTCTAACAGCCCTCAAGATTTACTAATTCTTGCTTCGTCTCAACTATGATCCATGGTAGTCATCTTGACTCTACATGGAATCAAGCATAGCGAATATTCTGCCTAACTATCCAATGACCCAGTATTCCTTCTTCATTGCCTTCAGGAGTACATGTGACCATGGGCAAACCACGCGAACCATAGGCGAACCACACCCCCTTCCCAAAGAGGAATGTTTCCGATTCGTGAAAGCAAGGAGTGGTGCCCAGCAGGCCAGAGGAGCTACTCTAATAGGAGATACCCTGCACTTCGTGAGCAATGACTTTGCATTTTGCCTCGTTCCTGGACCTGAAGCAGATATGACCACCAACTCCCACAGCAGAGGATGTGAGCCCAAAGCCAACAGTGCCCGATCTAGGAGGACATTGAACTGCTGATAGCTTGCTTGTTTCGGCAGATGACGGAAATGTTACCTCTAAGCGTCCGCCGCCCCCTTCCAAGGAGTATGTCACCATGGCCATTTCATCTTCACGAGGCCTATCTCAATGGTTCCAACGTCTCCCTTCTATCACGCAATAGGATTGGTATTTGATATCAACAAACGAGCGATGTATCGAATGAGCCACGACAGTAGGAAGACGAGATTGGGACATTGAAATAGCTTATGTAGTGTACAATCTGCAGCGTGCAGTACGTCCATAGAAAACTCGGTGCCATATCCCTGTTTCGAGAGCTCTTAAACCACACAGACGGGTGAGACTCATCGTCGAGATCAGAAAGTAAAGTAGAAATCAACCAAGAGATAACAAGAAGCAAGCAAACCCCAGCTTCAGAACCGTAGTCATTAAGTCATAACAGCAAAACGTTCTAAACATATCCCCGGTTTTTTACATTATCCATCCTCTATTCGTGGTCTTTTTGTTGGGTATCAAAATGGGTGGTTATCGGCGAAGTGATCAGCCCACTCTGGGCTGAAGTCTGCGAGAGAATGGACGCCAGTCAGGTCCAGAGCAGCCGGGCTCTGGGAATCGCCTGCAGTCTTGTAGCTGCTCAGGTCGTAGGCGTTCTCAAACGTATGAAAGGGAGACTGAGCCAAGCTAATGTGGTCGTGGCCAGGCTGAGGCATCAAGTCTTGGTTACACTCCATCGAAGGACCGAAGCCGTTTCGGAGTCGGAGGTCTTCGAGAGTAGCAGGGTTCACTGACAGGCCATGAGCCATGTCATCGCTGCAGGGTGTGAGAAATCGAGGGTTGATGTCGTCTCGGTTGTCGGTGAGGTAAGGAGAAGTGGTCGAGGCGGGAGAGAACTGCGCAAGATAAGCAGGTTGGTTATGCTCCTGCTTGATCTTGGGAGGAGATCCCGGACGAACATTTGCATAAGAAGAAAGACTCATGCCCGACTCTGATTTGACAAGGCTGTCCCTCTTGGCTTGAGAGGGCTTCTTGGACTTGGTAACCCGAGACTTGTCGGCGGTGCGGTTTCTCTTCTGCGGCTCGTGGCCGTTGACGGCAGTGCGGAATCTAGCAAAACGCATTCTCGCAGCGTGGCCGTTTGTGATGGGCTGCATAAGGACAGGATCCGCTGCGACTTGGTTCCAGTCGATCTAGAGCAGAGTGAGAAGAGGTCAGGTGCAGTCAAGACGTAAGAGGACTCACGTCTTTGAGGTTTTTCTGGTTCAAGATGGCCAGAAGGAAGCGAGCCATGGCGTTCTCACTGTTGGGAGTCATGATGATGGCAGACGAGGCTTTGAGTTGACGAAGATGGAGGTGGCTGGCGGGAGAGGATGATAGGAAGAATGACACGAGGCTGAAGAAGCAGGCAGAAGAGGGGATGATGCGATTTAAATACGCATAGAGCCCTAGGCAACTGGGGATGCCTCAGCGGAGGGGGGGAGATGAAATAGCGGCCCGAGACGGTGGAGTAGGTTTTGAATATTGTGAATCAGCGTGAATTCAGGCAAGGCAGGCGTTGGGCGACAAGGTGGAACACGGTCGAAGGTCGTTTTGGTGTGGATCAGCCGAGATGGATGGATGGCGGATGGCGGATAGCGGGAGGGTTGAATGGATGAATAGGAGTCTGTGTAGAGAGAGGGATGTGGCTCGTTGCGTTGTTGGCTAGAAGGATGAGGCGGACGAGGAGCTGAACAAGGGCCTTTTGTTTGGCGGGAGGGCGTCGGGAGCACGCCAGGGATTTATATAGGTAGGCAGGATGGATGTGTGAAAGGCTCCGAGACCGAGAGTGATACGAGGGGAGATGCAAGTGGGAAAAGGAGAGTCGGACGAGCACGGAGGAATAGTCTCAAGGCCCAAAGGGGGGTGGCCTCGCATTATATGTGAGCATGTTTGCTCCTGCCACCATACGCATCGCCGGTTCCTGTCACCGTCTGTGGGGGAGTGGCAGGGGTGTAGGGACAGTGTGGACGGCGTTTACAAGGGCCTGGGCCTCCGAGAAACTCGCCAAACTCCCCATTTGGCATCGCCAGCCAGCCAGATGTCTGAGGTGGATGGCGATGATGCCTGTGGTTGCCTGGTGCTACCGACTTTTTTGTTGGCTTTTGGGAGATCCCTCCCATGACGGATGAGAAATGGGGCGCGACGAGGGGCTGCGGCGGGCGCGAGAACCGCGTAAAGAGGTTTCGCCCCCGCCGCTAAAACCCGCTAAAACCCTCCACCATGCACCATCCACGGGGGTTCCAGCGGCCCATAGGCCCACTGTACCGCCCCCCCTGCCGCTCGCTAGGGAGTTGAGATGCTGCAACCACTACAGCGGCTCGCCGCAGGTCCGCTCCGCAGGGCCATCATTGCATGCGTTGCGCTGCAAAAGTCTCAATGGGGATGACTTGTCAAGCCATTGAGACATGGCCAGACTCAATCGTCGCAAGGGGCTGCCAGCGATGGAATGAAGCGGCCGCGGGATCAGACACTCTCTCTGGGACATTGCCGAAATCCAACCAAAGCGCCCCGAGCTTCCCGAGCCCACGTCGCTCAGTTGCGCCGACGAAAGCTTGCAAAGAATATTTTGGCGGAGCATGGCAGCTAAGGCGGGCTTCGACAGGGATGGCAAGCCTGGAATGGAGTGAAACCCGTGTGACTCATTCGCGGGCCACCGACGAATTACCTACATGGGCGGCCGGGTATTGAACGCTGCAAAAGGCAGGCCAGAAGATGGTGGGTGGGTGGACTCGTTGGCAGCCAAAGCGATATGCCACACCTGGCCTCATGGCTTCACTTTGAAAGCCCGACACCACCTATTGGCCCAGCTAATTCGAGCTTTGCGATTGAGCTCAAGCTGAAAGGAGGCCGACGGGACTTTTTTCAATCACAAGGCTGGAGGGGCGGTCAAACGTCCCTGCGTCTGTTGGGACAATGCAGCAAGCCAAAGCCCTGTGACGGATCATAACCATGTCTGCCTCAATCGCAAGGAGACAAGAGGCAACGAGTGCAAGGACGTGGTGGTAGGACACGACGCTAAATCAGTCTCAAGAATGAAGAGATTACGCCATGCAGCCGATCCGCCGAGGTTTGCTTCTGACCCTCAGCTGAGGGGTGGCTCTGAAGCATGTCGAATGGGCTGCTGTCCGAACCATGGAGGCGGTGATGGGCTGGAGCGACGAGCAGCAATTCAACCACCAGACGAGTCCCGAACGCCAGGAAAATTCGTAGCCTGGATTAGACGAGTCATTACACGCATTGAGATGCATCGCGGCCGCATCTATGGTCGCCGCATGCCCCCCAAGCCCGGAGGCGATTATGGAGGGGATGACATGAAGTGGGCGAAGTGGGCGGGAGACGCGACGGGCGCGAAGCTTGGTGGGACACTGTGTTGCCTGGTCTCCGCCAAGTCACCACGAAAGCACGTGAGCCTCGTAAATTGCTTCCCTCCCTGTCTCCCTGCCGCGCCCTGGCCCTCGGATGCTGCGCCCCGGTTTTTCTTTGGCCCGGCGCCCCCTTGCTTACGACCTGGCGTTTGCTAATGATGCTCCACTGACGAGTCACCGTCGTCATTCCGTTTAGTTGCCGTTTGGGGGCCCGTTTCTACACCGTCTGTTATGGGTCTCCACTTCTCGCCGTTCTCTTGGCCCTGAATCTGTAGTCCAACTCACTCGCCCCTGCCGGGTAATCCATGGCATACCCTCGGCTAAGTCGAGACATCTTCCCTCCGTGTGTAAATCGAAGGCGAATGGCCAATGTCGGAGAGTCATAATTAAAGCCAACCTTTGCCTTTGAGTTCCGGGACAAATCCTACGGGACCGGCCATGGTGTAATTGACCACAGCCGAGCCAGAAGCTGCTGGAACTACCATGTTCCAGGCAAGGAAACGATGGTGCAACCAGACAACCGGACCCATACTTTTTCCGTCCCCCGAATCCTTCCCCAGGCAGTGAAACGCTCGAGCCACCTGGCGCCTCAATGTCCCCAACCTCCCACCGCAGCGGCTCCCTTAACAATTTCTCACTACCAATTTTCCCATTGATCGAGCCGTCGACTTAACAGCTTCTAACCTCGTCCCGCCTTGGGTCTCGTGCCTCTTCTCCGTGTCGACCCCACCAGCATCCATCATCATGAATAACAAGAATTGGAATGACAGGGCAGACAAAGATCTCTTTTTTACCATTTTGTCGGTGAAAAACATTGGTATCATCAGTGGCGCGGAATGGACCACCATCGGCAATCACATGAGAACTCTGGGATATGGCTTCACTAATGAAGGATGTCGGTAAGTTGTTCTATCCTCTCTTAGGTCGATCTTGTTATTTTTCTCAGACACAACTGGATGTTCCGTCTTCTTGCCCATGTTACCTTCTTATCCCCAGCTGGCGAGAGACTGGGAAACCTAAACCGGAGCATTGTCAGATTACCTCAAAGTGTTGTTGATCTTCACTATCCGTGACCTCATGCCCGGATCAACCCCAACCCGACAACAACCCGACTCACAAGTCGTCACCTATTTCTATTAATTTTTCAGCTCTCACTTGGATGTAATGAACATTTGACTAACATGGGATCAGTCAACACTTCCAAGGCCTCCGCCGGGCCCAGAACAAGGCCGAGATTAATGGCACCGGCGAAAGTTCACGGAAGAACGATCCAACGATGAACCCCATCACACGTCGCCCTGGTCCTGGGCGAGGCCGGCCTAGGAAGCAACCACCGGTTCCAGTAGAGGGTGCGCTCATAATGGGTGGCCTTGACCCCGAGATCCCCGACACCAATCATCCTGGCGCTCATATCTCTGGCGATCCTGGATCTCTGATGCCCATCCCTCCGCCTGGCACTGCTCTCTCACTTCCGGTATCTTTGACCGCTGAGCCGATGGTCCAGCCGTTAGCTGGCCCGCCTATGACATTCCCCAGCCCGCCTCATGAACCTGAGCTGCCTCAGCATCCTCCCCATCTTCATCCTCTCCAGGGTCAGCAACCTCAGGATCCTCAACAACCTGCACAACCCCTACAAGAAGATCCGAAACTCATTTCAGGTCAACCGCCAAGCGAAGAGTCTGTTGAGCCAATCGATGTGTCTGCGGCTCCTCCAGAGTCTCTAAGCCGAGTGCATGATCTTGATGCCGAAGGCGAGGAACCTGATGCGAAACGACAACGACTTTCATCGCCGGACGACACAAAGGAGGAACTGGATGATGAGGCTGTTTTAGCACTTGCTGCACACAGTGGCCCAACAGATCCATTTCCTTCCGAGTAAGTACTATGCTCATTATGGGTTGGAAGACCAAACGTTCTGACTTCTTCTAGTTTCTCATATGGAGAGGCGTAATTCCAGCAGTTTGATGGAATTCCAATCCCTGGGAGTGGGTGTTGATGTCTGAACTTGAGCCAGGTACATCACTTGTTCTTGCTGTAGCAATTAGTTGGCGCACGGAGCAAGAGGCCCTCGTCGTATATGCTGTGAGATTCTGGGCGATATTTTGGGCCCTTTTGGAGCGGGTTGTATCAACAACAATGGTCTTTGTTTGGAGTTCACAGATTTAGGTAACGAGGCAGCGGGTTGGACGAGTGGTATTAGTGCAGATGTTTTTGTGCATGGGGTTGATAGAAGCTAGCAATGACCTTATTGGCACTGGCAAACAAACAGTCCAGGCGACAAACACTCAGAGCACTCAGTAACATGGTGACCCTCAACTCCAAACTCAGCAAAACTCACCCCGATCATCTTCTTTCACCGGCTGCCTTGCACCTTTCATTCCTCATCAACACCACTTCATCCCTTCCTCAGCACCATCCACCCCTTAACCACAAACCCAAACCGCACAACGCAACCACTTCAACGACTTCATCATGCCTGGAAGACCCGGCGGCAGCACTGTCTGGGACAAGCCCGAGTTCCTCATGGAGCTTGGAATCGGCTTCTTTTCGGCCGCGCAGGCGAGCGGAGGTCTAAGCCAGGAGATGCGGGATGCCATCATCGACCACCTCGAGAAGCAGGGGTTCAACGTCACTTGGGAGGCGATCCGGTATGTCGAGACTCTCATATTCCTGTGGTTTTGTTTTGCTCGTGTATCTCTTCTTCCGCCCTGCGAGTTCTGCAGGTCTCCTAGGCAGCTGGGAAGTCTTCCTGTGTTGTTGCGGCGCGACGCGCGCCGTGCTTGGCTGGCAACTGGCAGTTGACTGCCTGGATGTTTCTGTTCTCATTCGTCACTCCTCGCTCATTTCTCAGCTTCTCTGTTTTTTAACACAAACATTTGACCCTCAATACACACCCTAAGCCATTTCCCTTTCATCTTTCGTCTCTGCTTTCCTCCCTTTTCCTCAGCTTCATCCTCCATCATCCGCAAAGTCAATCACAACCCTCACTTCTTCATCCACCTCATTCCCTTGTTATCGGATCACCTGCAATACCATCACTTCCTTCACCAAACACGCCATGGCTGGCCGTCAAACTATGAGGTGGGACGCCAACGTCCATGAGGATATCCTCATCTGTTTGTTTCAGCACATCAAGCCGAGCACTCAGGATTGGGTCAACGTTATGCAGGACCTCCAGGCCATGAATTACACGTTTACTGAGTCTGCCCTTCGGTATGGTCATGTTTGATTTGCTCGATGCGTTTTGTTTTTCAGATTGTTATTTGTCACTGGCCAGTCACCAGCAGATCTTGTTTACCTATTCACCTTCGCGTCCACCTCCACTACCTCTCTCCCCTTCACTTCAACCTTCACCCACACACACTCCAACTTCATCTCCACACATCTTCACACCTCACATATTTCATCAAACCTTCCCATCCACTGAACCCTTTTACTTTGCACGCTCTACCAACCATCATGTCTGCAAAGCCAAGTCGTGGTTGGGACTCCGCCGCCCATGGCGACCTCCTCCTTGCTTTCATCGAGGAGGCCACTGCAACTAAGGCGACCATCACAAGTGTGACTGAGAAGCTTCGCAAGAAGGGATACACATACTCCTATGACGCTGTCAAGTACTTCATCCTCTGTCTTGTTTATTTCACGATCATGGCGATTGTAAACACCCACTAACTCCGGTTTCAGCCAGCACGTTCAGAAGCTGCGACGGGCTCGGGACGTCACCGGCTTCGAGGCCGCTGTTGGTGGACCTCGTTCCGCTACTTCTACTCCTCGCAAGACCGCCACCCCTCGCAAGCGCGCCACTCCTGCCAAGAAGGGCAAGGCGATGGCTTCTCCCGAGGCTGATAACGAGGAAGACGAGAAGCAAAACCTCAAGAAGGAGGTCGACTCGGACGAGGAGCAGGTTGCTACTCCAAAGCGCCCTGCTAAGCGCGCCAAGAAGACCCCCAAGTAAGTTTCTATTTTTGGTTCTCGTGTTGAGGTCGCTTGCTTATCTCATGGTGGACAGGGTCGAGCCTGAGATGGAGGCCGAGGAGTACGTGGAAATGGAGGCTGAGATCTAAGTCCCAGTCGACTTGATTACCTACCCTCCGTTTACGACTGAAGGTGGAGATCCACATCACATTTTCACGGGACAAATATGGCATCGATGGAGAGAGACTACGGGAGAGTGGGATTAACATACGGTTACCGTGGACATGAGGACAGCCAGATATCACATCTTGGCCTGGTCTTCGATGTGTTGCTTACTTGCTACGAACGGAACCATAGTGTGTGGTCTACGATATTTGAGGGATTGAGAGAATGCCACCGTGATTACTTAAACCCCAATAGCTCCGAGTGCCATGTGAAGTTGGATATTGTAGAACCCTGGAGGAGAAGTAGGCGTCCCTAGAACCACCAACTCTCGATAGATTCACTCTTCAGCTCCTTGATAAGATCGATCAAGGCAGAATATCGAGCCTGGAGTACAGTTGAAATCCCAGACATAATGAATGCTATTTTCTTAGGCCTAAGTGGCTGCACCTCATCCCCTCGTCTCCTAGCAACGTAGACATGCTGCACGCAACCTGTTGTTAACTTACCCTAATCAGCAGGCAACCACATTTCTAGCAATGCTGTTTGTTTCCCCCCGTTCACTTCACTCTCAGTTCACCCTCACCCTGCTCTCTCTTTCTCGGCTTGTTTACCCCCAGCCCTAAGTTTACCTACACCTAATCTTGGCTCCCTGCCTACACCTCTATCTTTCCAACTTTCACAAACCCACCACACACCTCAAACGTCTTCCTACTACAACACACACTTTCCAACTCGACTTCGCTTTACCCATTTCCCTTTCTCAGTACGCTGATTAACTCATCAAACCATCACCATGCCTGGTAACGAAAAGCGATGGCACGCCAACGCCGAGCGCGACCTCTGTCTCGCCATTATCCTCGGCAACCAAGAGACTGACCGCGCGCGCCACAACTGGCCCAAGGTTCACGCAATCATGAATGATCTCAACTACCACTTCACTCAGGATGCCATCTCGTGAGTCCCCCCTTGTGTTCTGACTGCTTGTTCTCCAGCCTGCATTGTACAAGGTACCTAATCAATACCGGTACAGGCAGCACTTCACCAAGACCGTCATGCGCGACTTCAAAGTCCGCCATGGCAAAGCCGAGTCCCAGGGCACCCCTGCCTCGACCCCTAAGAAGGCTGCCCCTCAGAAGCGCCGCACGCCTGCGAAGCAAGCCAAGTCCAAGGCCTTTGTCGATCAGGACGACGAGGGAACTGAGGAAGATGAGGTTCTCGAGACTCCAACTAAGAAGATCAAGCTTGACTTGGACACGAAAGCTCTTCTCCCTGTCAAGACTGAGAACGCCAACGCTCTTGGCCGCGAGCGAAGGTATGCATTCCCTCACGGCTGTTTGAGAGTGAAGAAGCCTGCTGACTTGATGACAGTGCTACGGTTCAGAACAACGGGGAGGAGTTTCAGGCTTGGTTGGCTACGGATGATGAGGCTATGCTTTAAACCACACTAGATGGAACCCAGTCCTCTGTGTGCTGAGTTGACGATGAACGGACTTAAACACAAGATCAGTAGAGGCGTGGGGTAGCTCCATAGTAGAGCCCAGATGAAGCCAACTTGATTCACAGAGACCAACAGAATCTCAAAAGTGACCAAGAAGAATGTTACGTATAAAGACGTATTTTATCCTTCGGTTGTTAACCTTGACTACCTACTCCAGCTGCTGGCTTGTGAACCTTTGCCTGCGTCTAAACTACCTACCCTAGAGACCTAGCCGGAGTCTTGATTATACATTTCTAATTTGTGCTACCCTCTCACTATTGTAGTTACAGATATTCAAATCGTAAGCCCTTGTTTCTTAATCGCGGATGAAATGTATTGAGCAAACTGCCAACCGGAGCCTACCCTTTGCTGTTGATCGTGCCTATCTGCCATACTAGAACCCACTGATCTCCCATGTCTCCCTAACGCCAATCGAAACCAGAAAAGAGTCACCCATTACCGAGGCCGCCGGCCGTCCAGCCGATTCCCATCGCTTGTGCCCTTCTTCTCTGGTGCCTTTGACTTGTCCTCTCCGTCGCCCTTTCTCTTGACAGCGCCGCGGAGCGTCTGGCCTTGCCCATCAAACTTTGGTCGGTTGGCATTCTCTTTCTCCTTCTCCTTGTCCGCATCTGTCTTGACTGGCTTGATCTCATAGCCAAAGAACAGTTTGTTGGGGGGCAGGCGTAGCGCTGCAGGGGCACCAGTTCGTCGTTGAGGGACCTTGGGAGTGTCTTCGGATGCTGGCACGGGGGTGGCGGGTTTGGGGGTCGAGTTCTTGCTGCCCTTCTTGGCGAGCTTCTGTCCACCGCCAAGGAAGTTAGTCACGTTGCTGGTGACCGAGGGGGCAATGGCGTTGTAGTTGATGGACTGGGCCATGGTGCCTTGGTTGTGGAGGAGACCTCCGGCAGGGACGCCGCCGCGGGTGCTTCTGGGAGTGCTCGTGCCACTCTTCCTCTCAGGTTCGACGTAGCCTACTGGGGCGGCAAAGTCAACCGAAACATCGGTCTCAATCATGCTCACACCCATCTTTTCTGTCTCTGGCTTGACGTCCAGGACAGCAACTTCGTACACTTCGTCGTTGTACTCAAAGTTGAAGATATCACCCTTGGTGAGGGTGGCAAAGTTGCGGAAGGCCTTTTCGAGGACAGCCTTGGGATCGCTAATATCAAGGAAGTTGACGGATTGTGGCTGAAGTTTGACCATCTTGGCAAGTTCCAAAGAGGTGGTTCGGATTTGAATCATGTCTCCGACATCCATGCCCAACGTCACCATCATCTATCGAGTGTCAGTCGGAAGAGCTTCTTCGGGTATGTGAGGGACCACACGCACCCATTGCGGAATATACGCTCGGCCCTCCTCGGCAATGAACTCCAACACACCGGCGTGTGAGTGCTTCCCCTTCTCCCCGTTGATCATCTCCATCAACAAAGGCCACTGGACATGGAGCTTCGACACCTTATCGAGGGCGGAGGGAGGGAGAATGATTTTAGAGCCGTAGTTTAGCTCTGGTCGCTCGGACCCAGGGGCCATGATGAGGGGGTAGCATCGGTAGTACTCGTCGAAGCGTTGCACGATGGGTCGTCGTCCGTGGCGAGCCATGTTGTAGAGGTGATCCGGGTTAGACGGATCGAACCCGCCGCCGCCAAAGCCGGAGTACTGCATTTTCACGAGTTAGCTTTGTCCAGGAGTCTATGGGATAGCGGCATGGCGACGAACCATGTTGACGGCGACCTATGGGTGTAGAGTGGATGATCGTGTGGTATCGCGGGGTGAGATCCGTGGATGCGTTAGCGGTCTGCAGAGGACCTGGGCTGTGGATGCTGTGTGCGATGCTGTAGACAGGTACAGCGATGGTCCTGGATACTGTGATTTGGCTGAGATGCGGGGTGTTGGTCGTTGGTGGTGGGTGGTTGTACAGTGTTGGATGGAGAGAGCTCCAGCGATGCAGGTTGAAGTTGTCCAGAGAGGTCGACGTGGGGGGTGGAGGCAGGCAAAAGGCAGCTCTTGGATGACGCAGTTTGGCAGGCCTGGAAGCTAATAAGTCGCCTCAGGGGATGAGTCCCTAGGCTACAGAGGGTGACCGCCTAAAAAAAGGGTTGGTCCAACCAGCGCAGCGCATTTACCCACAGTTGACGTCCAAGCTCCTCGAGGCAAACCTAGCTCCGTCACGAAATCCAAATGCGCTGGTGAATCAAAGCATCAACATCGACGAGAATTCGACTCACCCAAAGGAAACCGAGATCTACAATCTCACAGAGCTCCACGCAGAACATGGCTTCACGGCACTCTGCGGCGCGGCCCAAGCGAGCCGGAGAGAACTTTGCGCGCACCCATCACAACGACGACGAGATGACCGACCTCAAGCGGGCCAAGTTCGACGTCCGCAACCCCTCGATCTTGGCCCCCGATGCTCGAGAAGACGACGCGATTCTCGATGCCGATGTCATTGGCGGTACCGGCGCTACGAAGCGAGGTGCTGTGAACCTCGACGGCTACGACAGTGATTCAGACAATGAGAACATCAATGCTCGCGCTCAGGGTCGTAAGAAGGGCAACGTGAACATTATGGATCAACTGGACAACTACAACGCCAACAATGTCTCCTCTGGAAAAGCGGCTGGTGGCGATGATAATGACGACGACGACGACATGTTTGCGGTGGATGACGATGATGAGGGAGGCAAGGCAGCCTCTGAGAATGGCGACTTTGATAAGTCTGGCCGCAAAAAGAAGGATGTGCGCTTCCTCGATGTCGAGGATATTGACGGTCAAGATCTCGGCAGCAAAACCGGAGGCCAAATCCGACTAGACGAACTGGGCAGCAGTGACGACGAGGTGGGTGTTGACCTCGCGCTCCAAGAGGAGGGTTTGGATGAAGAGGTTGGCGCAGGTGGACTCAAGAGGAATGCCCCTAAGGTGGAAGCCTTCAATTTGAAGGCAGAAATGGAGGAAGGCCAATTTGATCAGCAAGGCAACTACGTGCGCAAGGCAGGAGATCCCGATGCGGTTCACGACAGCTGGTTGGAGGGACTCAGCAAAAAGGAGATGAAGAAGGCGGCAGATGCGCACGCAAAACGTGAGGCAGAGGCACGGAAGCAACGCATGCAAGACGACGAAGTCTTGGTGTCGGAGCTTCTCAAGACGCTAATACTCCGCTTGGAGAGGACCGAGACACCTCTCGAGGCGCTGGCCCGGCTTGGCAAGAGCCAACCCAAAACCAAGAAGATCCCTAAGTGGAAGCTCAAGAAGATGAACAAGGGTGCCGAGGGAATGGAGGTGGATGGCGAAAGCAGCCAGACTCCGGAACAGGCACGGGTAAAGGAATCGATCGACGCCATCACAGAAGCCGCCGACAAACTGCTCAGCCGGGACTACGAAGACATTTACGATCAAGAACGGGAACTGCTTGTCCGGGAATATCGCAAAGAGACCGGGGAGGAATGGGTCGAACCGGAAACAGTGCATGCGGATGCCGACCAGATTGCGGTGAAGCCGGGAACTATGTGGGAGTTCCGGTGGACAGACGGGCGTGACGAGGGCGCCAAGCAGGGACCGTTTGATGGGGCGGCGATGAAGGCCTGGCAGGAAGCCGGGTATTTTGCAGAGGGGTCGGTCGAGTTCCGAGCTGTGGAGGAGGGACGGGAGTGGACGCCGCGGGCTGGGGCCTTTGTGTGAGCACACGAGACCAGCCAACGGAGAAGCAATGGTGCGGGCGGTGGAGGGATTGGCCGGGTTTGGTCGTGAGACGGCCGGAAACGGTGTAACGGTGTTCTAACAATGTCTGGCTGTGGCCCTGGAGCATGGGTGCTCGGCCAACCAGTGTATGTGTACATGGACGGCCAGAAGGCAAGTGGCTGAAGCAGGACAAGCTGGAGACGCGACTCTGGACGGCGTGTGGAGCCGGTCGCGTCCAGAACCCACAGAACAACGACAGAGAGTGAATGCATGACACAGATGGCTGCGACCCTTGGACGGCCGTTGGGCGGCTCGGGTGCAGCAAGGTCACGATGCTGCATGATGGTGCCGCGGGAGGATCCTCGTGGATGACGAGGGGAGCTAGGGAGCCGACAAGGTGGCACCAGCGGGCACTTAGTCGCCATCTGGTTCCTGGGGATCCCGATCCCGCTGGGGCCGGGCAAGGCCGGGCGATGGGGAGGAGGCTGAGAAGCCGGGGAAGGCTGGAGAAGCAACTTCATAGGCGAGGCTTGAGCCGGCCCAAGCCCGTGACCCGTGATGCTCCGGGAGCGTGAAGCGGGGACCGGGGCACGGGTGGCCCGTAGCCGAACGGTTACCGTGGGAGGCGGCAAGCGGGCTGAATCGGAGAAGGCGACAGGGATGGACGGATTGAATGGCTGGGGGAGTTGGAGAATGGGGAAAAACGCATAGGCGGCGCCCGTACAGGGCTGCAACTACTATGTAACTGGGTGTAAGTGTAAGGTGTATAGTAGAATGGGTGGTCAGGATCGTGGTTTCGGTTTTTGGAGAAGAGGACGGTCGCAGGCAACGCATGACGGCCACCAATCAATCGAGTAACGCAACAGATACCTGGTAAGTACCTGGTAAAAATAAAAATAAAAATAAAAATGAACAAAAGCTAGGAGGCTCTGCTTGATGCGAAGCGGTCAATATCAGACCAGAGTCGGTCAGACCCGGTCAAGACCGGGGAGGTGAGACGAGGTGAGGTCAGGTCAGGCCAGTCGCTCAGGTGAGGATCGGTGAGATTGCCATGAGGCCATCGCCAAAACCACGGACCAGGCGTGTAGGGGGAATCGGCCGGGGGCTTCGATCTGGGACTGGGGGCCCTTGAAAACCACGCCAGATAAGCGGATGAGCTGAGATTCGTTCTGGACATGTTCTCCCGTGCGAATCGAATTGAGGGATGAGTCGATTGGAAATGTTCGTCACCAACGCGGAGACTACTATTCTTGGTTGGTACAAGTCCGGACAAAGGCCTGCGAATACAGTCGGTCCGTCAGAGCCCGTGCCTGGTCAACGAGCCTGTGTCGGCCCGGCTGGGAAGTTGCTCTGTTTATTTCGCTTTCGCCATTCGATTTCTCAGCAGAGGCGAAAGAGTCATCGCATCAGAGCCCAGCAATTATAGCCGCCTCACTTTACTGCTCACTCCCCTCCCTGCATCTTCACTGCCTCACCATTTGCCTTGATCAGGCTACAGGTGAGGAGCTAAGTTGATGGAAGGTACCTTGCTGGGCTCTGCTCCGTACACCCACCCAGTTTGCCAAGTGATACGCCAGTGAAAAAAAAGAGACGCTCGGCTCGCTAGCGAATATCAACGCCCCCTCACTTGTTGGAGCTCGAGCTCGAGCTGGAACTGCAGAGACAAGCTTGGAAAATCTGACGGAGCCCACCGGTGTTAGCTTGACCCAACTTGCACTTTGTTGGAGGCGAGGCGAGGTGAGAGGTGAGGGTACCGTTAGCTTGTGGCTTTAGACCACCCCCGCGGACGAGGCTTGCCCCGCCCATCTTTTTGGCATTGCGTAAAAAGACGCAACAAACATGAGCAACGCAAGCTAGGTCGAGATAGGCCAGGCCGGATTTCACTAAGAGAGATACACACCTATGACCCAAGGAGCTACGGGCCGCCGTGATGATTCCCTGATATAAGAGCGCAAACGTAAAAAAATGCAAAATTTCATGGGCGGCAAGGACGGTAAGGACGGTAGAGGAGGTAGCATCCAAAGAAAAGCCTCCCCCCCATCTGCTATCCCCTCCATTACTTGTTACTGCCTCAACGACACGTAAGAGCTGTGACTGTACGGATTGCGAACAATGTGCGGATTACGATAGTCCCGCGAAAGCTCCGGGGATGGGGGGACCTGCGGGCCTGGATCCCCGTCGAGGGAAGATTTTGGCGCGCTGGCGCGGGCAGCGGGCGCGGGCGGGAAGGGCAGGCATAAAGGGCTGAGCACAGACGAGGTCGAGACGGTCAGAAAACGAACATCAGGCAAGGCGGGAGGAGGTGAGGAAGTCAGGAAGTGAGGCGCAGATTTGAGATCTGTTGACCGACGCATCGGAGCGCGGGCGGTCCAGTCGGCGAAGGTTCCGGGGCTCGTGAAGACTTGAGACCAGGACCAGGAGAAGGAGGGAGCATGCTCTACTAGGGTGTTGGCAGGATCCCTGGGACTGCTACGGAGCACGGAGTCGAAACTGAACTGACAGAACTGGGCTGATAAAGTCGATGATGTTAGGTTTTGCGGAACTTGACTGCTGGACCTTGAGCGCTCTGGTCCAGTGGATCTATCGACCTTGATGCTGCCATGATGCGGCCACCAAGTTCCAACCAACCACGCTGATTGTCCACTGGCCACCCACGTCGATGCGACTCATCAATATCCCGCTGCCCCTCGGGCTCTTGTCGCTCCCGTTTCCAGCTTGACGCCTCCCAACCGGACAGGGATTGCCACAGGTACCTGTCGCGGCGGTGGCGGGGCTTGAGATGCGTGAGGTATGTACTATCTTCTGCTTTGGCCTGCCAAGTCACCCCACCAATGTTCCCGCCCACTTTCTCGAGCCCCCCCCCCCCCCCCCCCTATGGCGACGGCGGGGCTGGCAAAGGAGGGGCAATCCATCGGCGCATTGCATGGGATGGGATAGGGCCATGTCAGAGCACAAGCAGCAGCGCGTCAGTGCATTTTGTATGAGAAGACGAGACGAGGAGGAGGAGGGGCAATGGTGATGACGACGGAAGGGATTCACACGCCCTCCCCCGGCCCGTTTTTTTTGTGCTGCGTGTGTGTTTTTATTTACGGTATTATACATGTGCATTGAGGGGGATGGACGGACGGGTTTTGGGAGCTCTCTGGGCGAAGGGCAACTAGACGCGGCACGTACAGCGGGTGAGCGGGATTGTTGACGTTGGATGTCGCCGTTTGCCTTGTTGAGATTGCACACGGTCCATCGTCGAGTAATACAGAATGGTAACACGTCCACGCAGCAAGGCCCAGACCCGTTTGATTGCCAACAGGAGACTGGCAGAGAGAGGCAGAGAGTCCACCGAAAGATACGGAGCCCATGCCGGCTGGCTGGCTGGCTGGCTTGCTCCTTGACGCTGCTGCCAATGCCACTGAGAATTATACAAGCAGCCGCCTTAGCTTCACTTCATCCAGATTGTTATGTGCCTCACACCCTCTCACACCCTCCCCTCCCTCGGCCGATCCGTTTGCTCTCTGGTCCTGGTTGCGAGCTAGGTAGCTTGCTCCCTCATCTGTCTCATTCACATACCCCCCCGTCCGGCGCAAAGCTCCACTCCTCACCTCTTTCTCCCCCCCTCGCCTGGGCTGAGGCGCCGCTGGGACGAGACGACAAGACACGGGAGCAACGGAGTGGTCAAGGGTGACGGAGTGGCCAAGGGTGACGAGGTGACGGGGTGACGGGGTGACGGGAGAACAGCGGGCGATTGGCCTTGGCTGATAATCCGGCCGTGGAAATGAAATATGTACTTCTTCTCCCCTCCTCCTCGTCCAACTCTCTTCTTCTTTTCTTCTTTCCCTCCTCATACCAACTCATCATCCAAAACAAATCATCCTTTCTGGTACGTCACTGCCTGGTTTTGTGTCTGTCTTGGTCCTCCTCTGTCTCTCTCTCCTCTAAAGAGGGATAGATAGATGGATGGACAGAAGAACGATGCGAGCTTGCCATTATCCCGCTCTCCCTCACTCTCTCCCTCGCTGCCATCTCTGCACCTGCACCTGCACCTGCACCCCCTCTCTGCCCTTATCACCACCACTATCCCACTGTGTCTATCCCCAATGGCATCCCACTCGCTCTGTTTGGGTTTTGTTGGCGACCAAGCTACGCAACGCTACGCTACCTACCTAACGCAGCGCTGCGTTGCATCCCCACCAAGAACGCCAGACGCCAAAACGCCATGACACCGATTGCCCCTCCTTTCGGCGAGGTCCCCCTCCTTCCCAGCTCAGCATCATGAATATTGACTACCCCACCCCCTCACCACTTCACCTTGCTTTTTCTGGCCCCCCTCGGACCTCCATCGTCATCACATTGAACCAAATCAATCAAATCAATCAGGTCAATCGGGAAATCTAACTCTTGCCTCCTCGCTTCTAGTCCCAACCATCCTCGCTACAATCGTCAAAATGGCTCCCATCAAGGTCGGCATCAACGGATTCGGTCGCATTGGCCGAATCGTCTTCCGCAACGCCGCCGAGCTCGAGAACATCGAGGTCGTCGCCGTCAACGACCCCTTCATTGAGCCTCACTACGCTGTAAGTCTTCTCCCAACGAACTCTCCCGCCTGGAGCCCGATCGACGCGAACCCCGACGTCTCCGACCCTCCATTCTCCTGCCTACATGTCATATCATCACACCACCACTTCCCACCCTGCCACCTGGCACCACGCCACTCCCCGACCGCATATTCATCTCGTTACACGAGGTGGGACAAGTTTCTGATGGCCTTTGTCACGCGTGGCACGATGCCTCGAGTGCAATTGCAATCACGCTGCTGCCCCTCCATCCCCGCTCCAATTGCCCCTCCATGACAAGCTCTTGGCTAGATCGTCGACGCTAACGCATCATCTTCCCCCTTCGCAGGAGTACATGCTCAAGTATGACTCTTCCCACGGTGTCTTCAAGGGTACCGTCGCCAACGACGGCACCGACCTGGTCGTCAACGGCAAGACCGTCAAGTTCTACTCCAAGCGCGACCCCTCGGAGATCCCCTGGGCTGAGGCCGGCGCCGAGTACGTCGTCGAGTCCACTGGTGTTTTCACCACCATCGAGAAGGCCAAGGCCCATCTCGTCGGTGGCGCCAAGAAGGTTGTCATCTCCGCTCCTTCTGCCGATGCCCCCATGTACGTGATGGGTGTCAACCACGAGAAGTACGACGGCAGCGCCGACATCATCTCCAACGCCTCTTGCACCACCAACTGCCTGGCTCCCCTCGCCAAGGTCATCAACGACAAGTACACCATCATTGAGGGTCTCATGACCACTGTCCACTCCTACACCGCCACCCAGAAGACCGTCGATGGTCCCTCCTCCAAGGACTGGCGAGGTGGCCGTGGCGCTGCCCAGAACATCATCCCCTCCAGCACCGGTGCCGCCAAGGCTGTCGGCAAGGTCATTCCCGAGCTCAACGGCAAGCTCACTGGCATGTCCATGCGTGTCCCTACCGCCAACGTCTCCGTTGTCGACCTGACTGTCCGCATTGAGAAGGGTGCTTCTTACAGCGACATCAAGGCCACCATCAAGGAGGCTGCTGAGGGCGACCTCAAGGGTTAGTCTCCCCAGCTTCCCATCACTATTATTTGGAACATTATACTAACTGCTTCTCTCAGGCGTCTTGGCCTACACTGAGGACGATGTTGTCTCCTCTGACTTGAACGGCAACAGCAACTCCTCCATCTTCGATGCCAAGGCCGGTATTGCCCTCAACGACAACTTCGTCAAGCTGGTCAGCTGGTACGACAACGAGTGGGGTTACTCCCGCCGTGTCCTCGACCTCCTGGCCCACGTTGCCAAGGTCGATGCTTCCCTGTAAATGCAAATAGCTTACGGGGCTCTACACTCACCTACCAACCCACCACCAAGAAAGCAAAACGCCTAATTCGCCGCCGCCGAATGCCACCATACATTGGCTGCGTGCGTTGTTAATGACCAAGATAAAAAAAAATACCAAATCCTCACCTTGGGAGATTGTCCGGAGGAGGGTGTAACGAGTTCTTGCTTCTCCTAGCTACGTCGGCCTCCATGCTAGGCATAGTGCTGTTAGTCTAGCCGTGGACAAAAAATAGATCCATCCCTCCTATATGAGACTTTGTCCTATGTATTTTGTGACATGGCGGCTTTGTCCGTGCCTGACTGTGTTGCGCTCTATTGTAGATGTAGACTAAGCTTCCTGTGACGTGGATGATAGGCAAGGCTGTGAGCTCCCATGCCTCCTCACGTTCCCAACATGCACGGGGAGCATGTAGAAATCGACAGCACTTCTAAAGCCCCCAATGATACCACTTAAAACAGATGTGATTGTACAATAAATGCTTTTGATTCCTTCGTCTTATATCACAATCACTTCTTGCACCCGTCCTTTTATATGGCTTTCACTTCCACTTCTGCTTTTATCTCCAATTCCTCGCCACAGCCCATCTCCCTTTCTACCATCGCCCATCCTCGCGTCTCGTACCGCTTTGCCTACACCGTAGTGCATACGAACAAGACTGGTGGTATAGATTGGCACTAAAACCTCTCATTATCCTTCCTCGCGATGAGAAAGCGTCTAATTGCCTCAAGAAACTCGACCTTGGTAGAACTGCTTACAAGCTCTGCCACAAATGGGATCTTCAACGCATACTCCTTATCCCTGCCTTCTCTGCAACACTGTTCATTGGTTTCAAAAACTCTGGCTACTCAGCCCATCATGGCATAAGATAAGTATCGCGCCAGCCATTTGTAAGAGCAACGAGCGACCTTATCACAGCCAAGATAGGTCCGCCCCATCTGGTCTATGGTGCGCTCATTATTACTGCGGAGTTTGCAAGTCATTGGGTAGTCGCTTTAATAGCCCTCACCGGAGAACCTTGCTACCGCCACGTAATGGTAAATCTTGCACAGGCTCGCGGCGAGCTACCCACATTTAGAAGACTGGATATTGTATGAGTTCACTGTACCTTTCTCTTTCTTTGATGTGCCCTGTGTGGGAAGCCGTTACAACCTCGTATCTTGTCTACTTGTTGGATTGGTCATGTTTTTGCAATTGTAGAGTGACATTGCGAGTGCATCGGTAAAGTCGAGAAGGAGGTTGTTTGCAACCACTAAATGTTAACCTTTTTTCCAAGGTTACATTTATCTTACTATACCTGTTTGTAGGAGATTAGATACGGAAGAAGAAAGTGCTAAGAAAGCATGAATGTGACTTCGTGTGGTTATCAAGGTGAGATCTAGCAATCCTTGTGTAGCTGGTGGGTGGCTTTTCTTGCCTTGTGTTACTTTACAAAAGATTACCTCTTATTGTTTATAATACGGCATGTTGTTTGTTTGCGTAAGAAAACTACTTGTTGGTATAGTCCAATCTCTCTGTCGTGTATCCAATGCAAATAGAACACACATCTCATTGTCGGCGGCGGAGTATAGCACTATCCAGACACATCATTCCTCGATCGTCTTGTTGGGTCATTGGCTTTAAGGAGGGAGAAACAGATCTTGATGACTGGTTTTGAGCAGACACATTCGATTCGATACAGACTGTAGACACTCACGGAACGGACTCTTGTCAGAACTAAAAGACGGCCTTCTCAATTCAACCCCAACTGCCATTCGCCAACCCTGCTCAGCTCATCGATTATTATGAGCCAAGCTAAAGTAAGAAGCAGCACTGTGTCTCAGGTTCCAGCCCCTGGTGACAAGGTTTGCCTTCATTAATGGGAATACTCTGGCCGGATCACGTTCGAGTAACTCTTGGACTCCACGTGGATGAATATGATCATGTTCACATTTGCTTCTTTCGACCTCTTCTTTTTCCTTTCTCTCTGCCTCTCTCTCTCTTTCTCTCTGCCCCTCTCTCTGTCGGTACCTGTCTCCTGAATTCGGAATCCTTTCCCATCCTCCCGTCAGCGGCCCTACTGGATAACCATATACCAATATTCCCTTCCTGGATCCTAGTTTGCCCTTCCGAGCCCCCTGTCTCATTTTCCCCTGTCCCCTAAAAGCAAAACGAATAAACGGTTTCCGTTTGATCCGGGGATATCATTGTACAACGTCTCGTGGCTAAAGCCGGACAACAAATGTCGAGAAAAAAATCAAAGCACAATTGATGATGTCGATGGTAAGCAAAAGACAAAAATTGAATAAAAAACGCCTCCGGTCAGTATGAGCCGGGTCCTGCGTCCTGGTTCCAACCACTACCTTCCAAGCTCTCATGTGGTAACCCTGTTGCATCTGAGACCTGGATATCGTTGGACTGTTGCCAGCGTTTGACAGCCAGGGTGGAGATCGATTGGGTCGGCGAGCTGCTTGATTCCTCCGAGATGCTCTCGGCATCGACGAGGATGTGGCTGCGGTATGGTGTTGGTAGCAGTAGTAGTCATAATACATGGATGTGAAGCCTCTTTCGTCTTCTTTCGTCGTGATAGTGTGTGTGAGCTAGTAGAACACCGGGACACGCCCCGACAGGGAGGGCCCCGTCTAGTTTGTGTGGCTTTCCGAGCCACCGTCATCGCCGCGATTCTAGAGGGTAACTTCGGGGGACCAGTCCACGTTCTCGTCGGCGCACCAGTGGCGGAGAATGCGCATGGAGGCACCGGAGATCTCGTCGAGGGAAGACCATGGGCTTATCGAAGCGCGGAGGGAAGATGATTCGATGTTGTCGTTGGCCTCGCGGACGAGAGGCCAGAGACGAGCTCGGTTGCGTTCATGACGAATGAGATCCTGGATGGAGATGTGGGCAGCTGGGTTCTCAAAGGTACCGTAGCATTTGACCACTTCCTCAACGGACACAGCTTGCAGCATCAGAATCAGGGCGTACAGCGGCTGGTACCGCCGCATGTCAAGTCGCCGCATCTCCTTTTGCAGGAATTCCATCAACGGGAACAGACTCTCCCAACTCGCCGGGTCGCATGCCTTTCCAGAAAGGCCACGGCCCACATTGAGTGCCTGGAAGCTTGTCATGAAGGCGATGATACTCTCCACAGTGAGAACATAGCCCAGCTTTACGCCCGATTCACGGTGTTGTGCGCTGCCATTAGCTTGGCTGGACCGCTTCATCGCCACGTCCCCGTTATGTTTGAGGCGCCGACCCATGTTAGAGTATCGGTTCTGTTTATCGAAGTTGGCCCGGATCTCGGCCTTGTCCGCCCGGGGGGCATCTGTGCCATTAACCAGAGGCCGCTCTGAAGATGCAGGCGCTGAGGGAGTCGCCGTGACTGGATCGCCAGGAGTATGGACCTGGGAGTTGTTGGAGCTGACTCGCGACATCGCCGTGGTGCCCTTCTTGGAAGGGGTCGAGGGAGGGGGTGGGAGTCGAGATGATGCAGACATGGACGATGTTCGCGGTCGTTTGACGGATATTGAATCCACTATCGTTTCGGTCGTGCTGACGGGACGCTTCTTTGCCTGCGCAGGTGGTGGCTCTATGCTGACGGATCGTTCTCGTCGTGATGGTTCCTTTCGCGGTGGCAATGCAAGGTAGCGTTTGACCGATTGTCTGATGCGCTTGGAGATGTATAGCGTCACAATCAGACTCTTCCGTTTCTCCTTCCCGCCCGAATCATCCTCATCCTGCTCCACAGGCGCCTTCCTAGCCGTCGCGGAGGCGGTTCTTTCCTCCTTAAGGCGTTCTTCACTCCGTCGCTCGGTTCGCTCCTCCCTATCTTTGTCGTCCCGGGGTTTGGCGTCTGACTTGGTATCCAGCTTGGTGTCCAGCTTGGCTTCCAACTTGGCGTCCAGTTTCACTCGTTTGGACAGTTCGGCCTCCAACAGAGGTGGGAGTGTGGGTGATAGCAGCGGGGGCATTCGAGCCGGCAATGGAGACTTCTCTCTCTTAATCCGAGGAGGCTCTTCTTGCTTCTTGGGCTTTGTTGGCCTTGTGCCGTCCACGGCGTCTTCGCGTGCCTTTCTCCTCTCCACCCGATCTGCGCCGTCGCGGCCATCCAGATTCAAGTGCAGCGGCGATAACAAGGGTGGGACTGATGGCCGTGAAGATGCGTCGGGCTTGGTGGGGGTGTTCTTTGCGGTGCCCGAGGCGTTGGGGCGAGATCCATTGAGCGAATCGCCGCGCGCGCGTCCCGCGGGCGAGGGGTTACGGGCGGTGGCTGTCGAGCCCTTCAGACTGGACCGGCCGTTAAGGAGCGACGACGATGCGGAGGGTTTGGAGTCCCGCTGAGAAGGATAATCTGAAGGCGCGAGCGAATCTCGGTCCTTGCGACGTGGGGGTTCGTCGCGCGATCGCGACCGGTCGTCGGAAGTCCGACTGGGGTCTGGTCGTGAACGTTTCTGCGATCGGTGATCATCATCGGGGTCGGCCATGCGCTTCCTGCTGTCTGGCGGCGACATGGGTCGGGGAGGGAGGGACGCTTTCGTGGGTGGTTTCGGAGGGAGCCTACTGCTGGTCAGCGAGGGAGGCTCCTGGGCTTGGAGCATGATTGATTTGGCGTACCTCATATCAACAATGTTCTCGCGAGGTTTTAGTGGCTTTGGATCGATGGAATGGGAGTTTTCCCTTCCACGGTAGGCGTCTGACTTCCTCATCTCGGACAGGGGCTTCAAGTCTCCATATGCGCGATCAACATCTCGATCCCGCTTCTTGGAACTTGGGGGCTCCGGGGTGGTCTCGGAGGTGACACCAGGGGTCTTTTTATTCTTGTAGTCGCTGAGAGACAGCTTCTTCTTCTCGCCACCGGCCTTGGAGAGGATGTTGACCTCTCTCGGGACAGGCTTGTGGGGTTCGACACGCATGTCGTAGTAGGATCTGGTAAGGAGGACACCACGATCTGCCTCTGAAACGAGGGTGGTGTATTGCAAACGGGGGTTTTCCCATTCCTCAAAGTGTTTGGATTTGTGGTCGTCGGCAGGGATGCGGTATCGCCAGTCGGGGGAGTACGACAGGTGATGGGGCTTCTCGGGCAAGATGCGCTGGGTGAGCAACTGGACCTTTTTCGCCGCAGCTTCCATTGTTCGTGGACGTGGGCATGCCGGGAGGACGAGGACGGGTGTGACTGATCGGGCTGTTGGGTGAGGCAAGCGACGCGGCGGGGGACGCAGAGCAGCCAGGGATGCCGGGACGCGACGACAATGGGCGAGGATGCCGCAGGCGACTGGCGACTTGGCGACGAGGGCGGTGGTGAGGCGGTGGCGATGGCGCGATAGGGAGGGGGGAAACGCGAAGGCGGAGACGCGATGTGTTGGAGATGGAGGAGGAGGAAGTATGATCGAGAAAGTCGCAGGGGCGGACGCGCCAGAGATGGTTGATGTCGAAGGTGATGGCGATGGTGAGAAGAGAGTGAGGGCAGCTGGCGGAACAAAGAAGCGGAGCGCGAACCGCGGAGGGACACCGGCACGTCGTCAATGAGAGTCGGGCTTGGGTCGCGGAGGGCGCTGAAAGACGCCGAGAGGAGGCAGTGGATCAGAGCCCAAAAGCTCTGTCCGAGGCCCGACAATGGCGATGTGCGACGGGCAGAGGAGGCGGGAGATGGAGGCTCGTTTGCGGAGGAACGGCGTGTCGGCGTGTGGGCGAGGGAGTGCGATTGGGAGTAGTGGGAGTAGGGGAGTGGGAGGAGTGGGCGTGGAGCAAGCCAAGGGAACCGAAGCCTGAGGGAGGGAGACGGGGCAGTGAGGGCGTGCGTGCGTGCGTGCGTGCGTGCGTGCGTAGGCGTGTGTTTGCGGCGGTGGTGGTGTTGTGCTGTTGTGGTTGACTGGGCCTGGCCTGGCTGAGTGGTAGTAGCGTGCTGGTAGGTACCTATGTTCCCTGGAGACTGCGACGGGAACAAGGGGGATAAGCATAAGCACAGCAGACTTGGCAGGGCTCTACGGCGGGCTACAGGGGCAAACTCCGGCCTACGTAGTGGTATACTCCAGCGATGCCAGCCAGCGCTGCAGTGGGGATACGTCCGTCGCGGTAGTTACTGTATGCCGGTGGATCTGCCCTTTGGACCTTGGACCTCCGGACTATTACCAGATTCCCAAACATCTGTCCCCGAACTGCCATGGCACTTAGTGAGTTGGTACAGTGGCGGCGGGTTTTGGCGGGTTTTAGCGGCCCTCGTCGAATCCATCGATCCACGGACAGTACGTAAGGTGTTTTATTTGCCCATGGATTCCGTTTCCACGTCTGTTTCCACCACCATTTTCCACGCCAGTTCCATACCCATTTCTACCCCATTTCCCTCGGATGCGGCGCGCGCCGCTGGGGACGGCCTTATTGTCACGTCACTTTTACGCGATGCCCATTTTGGCTGCTCGCTGCAGCACACTTCCAGCCCATGCAGCGATTGTTTGTTTGTTTGTTTGTCTGTCTATCTATCTGTCTGTCTGTCTGTCTGTTTGTTGTACAAAGCAATCCGCAACAATGCATCCCACCCATGTATAATGCCAATTGTCCGAACTGGCCGGGGTGCACCGTAAACCGCCTCCGCGATTAGGTTTGGAGTGACAAAGAGATTGTGTTGAAGGAACCGGTGAGAGGAACTTTGGGCTCGTCGCTCCGTGTGCATCCATTCGATATCATTGCTTGTTCAATCATTCTTCCAAACCAAAGAAAGAAAAACTACAAAGACTAACTCACTCTCTGCTCTGCCATCGTCCTACAGATAACTCTATTCCTCCTGATACCCTTGTCTCTTCCTGAGATGATAGAACACCGCCATTTCAGTCGTGCGCTGTTCATTAAGTATTCGTCCCCCACGGCTTTGTCCTCACCTCCATCACTCGTGATCCGCCTCTCCCAATCGTCATCTTCTCCCGTCTCACCTCTCTCTCACTCAGCCCGCCCTAGTCTATAAATCACAACCACTTTGCCACGAACCCCTCACCATTCACCCCGGCTTCACCCTGACATGCCCCGTGTCCCCACGTGCCATGCTGTACTTTCACTCTGTGCTGGGTCTGCACCGGAAACTCTCTTATCAAACTTCATTCGCGCAGCTCCCTCGGGTGTTGCCATTCACAGCATCTACGTATCTCACAAACAATCCATCGCTTCAAGGAATCGCCCACTGCCTCTTTCCGAAACGTGCAGCAGTCACGCATGCGACTCTTTCAAGTTGGGGACTTGTCTTGGAAAACGCAATGCTTTACCGGGTAGCAAAGTACAGCTTGCCCCTCTTACAGTACTTGGTGCTTCCAAACCTCGCCTTTAATGCCCGAACCCCCCTTCATCCTACTCCGTACATCACCACCGTATGCACAGATCGTGACACCGAAATACAAAACTCCGCCAGGTCAGTCTTACAAACATACGAGACGCCTTGATGTCCATGGCCTTCGTCCTGGGGGTATATCCCATGCCTGCCAAATCCGTCCGTCCATTCCATTCCTCAACTTTTTCTCAACAGAGCCACCAAGAGACTTACTGTCAAGCCAACGCCAACCCCAACTCAAGCTCTCCATCGTATACGTCCATCTCGAATTCCATCTCGGATTGCTTTCTCAAATATACCATCGCCAGAGCAAGTCTATTAGCTCCACCTTCAAGACAAGCCCCCTATATTACCCTCTCCGTTCAGCGGCTATTGTTAACCACCACTGTGTTTCCGTTCAGTCCCTTGCGTTTCTTCACACCACCCTCATCCTCCCGGTTTTCCAGCCCATCTATTCGTTCCGAGAGCGTCCTCAACTGGGCATTAAGATGAGCTCCTGTCGGCTGCGCTGCGTTCAGATGCGCTACAATCTCATTGTACATCCGCCTCGTGTTGAACGTGTTCATCCATGAGCTGAGGTGCACGAGCTGCATCTGGTGACCTTCGTATCCTCGTCTGAGCTCGTCGCGAAGCTCTTCCACCTGGCTGTTTATGGTTGAGAGACTATTTCTATGCCCCTCAACTTCCCTGCCATACTCATGAATCTGGTTACTGGTATAATTCTTCCACGTTTCCTGGTCCGCCTTGGCCTCATCAACTGCTTTCCGGAATAACGAGACATCGTCAGTCGACGACTTGCTCTCATCTCTTGCTTTCTGGAGTGACGACATGCTGTCGGCCAGAGTGCTAACTTTGCCATCAGTTTCCAGTCTTGCCTGTCTCTCTTTATCGATAAATTTGCCCAATCCATCAGCGACGGTGGTTAAGCGCCCGTTGACCGACTCATGCAGCTTCTTCGCTGCGCTGACAAGCTCGGGCTTCAAGATCTCGCGCACTTTGTCCTCGGTCATAACGTTTGACCCAGCGCCAGCACCGGGGCCAGCACCAGCGCCAGTCACTTCCTTCTTGAGCAACCTTTCATTTACGTCGGCGAGTCCCTGTCTCAAGATCTCACGCACGATTTCCTCTGAGACAGAATTTGACCCTGGACTGGCGGTTTCCTTGGAAAACTCTTCCATCGCACTGGCGAGTTCCGGCTTCAGAATCTGGCGTACTCTTTCCTCGGTCATGTTGTTTGACTCGGCGCTAGGAGTGTGCTGCTTGGGCAGGTTTTTGACTGCGTTGGCAAGTTCCGGTTTCAAGATGTCGCGAACTTTTTGCTCCGTCATCGGATTCGGGTCGCTCAGTCTTTCCACTGCGTTGGCGAGTTCTGACTTGAGAATATCATGCACCTTTTCCTCTGTCATAGGATTGGCGTTTGTGGTGGCACTGTCCTCGTCCAAGCGTTTTTGAATTGCCGAGACATCCTCAAACAGTTGCTGTATCCTGTCACGAGGACTTTCTGACACAAGTGACTTTAATGAGGAAATCTGTGCCATCATGGTGTCTAGCGTGGTCTTCTGGTTTGAGATGCGTTTCCCGTGGTCCGAAACAGACGAGTTCAACCCTGAGATATCGGGGATTTTCCCTGCCAGCTTCAGATCAGATTCTCTCAATTCCTCAAGTTGGCTTAGCAATCCCTGTTTAAAATCGGCGATGTCCATGAGAGCAGAGCCTATTCGCGTGTAGACAGCTGCGATCTTGCCATCCTGCTGTTCGATAGCTTCCTTGAGTTGAGTATCGGACACACTGTGCTCGGACTCAGGTTGATGCTTAAACTCGGGCCGATGCTCAGATTTAGGCTGATGCTCAGTCGTCATGCCGTCCAGTTGTCTATTAACTTGCTCGCACATTGCCGTGACTCGCAGATTCACGGCGGCGACGCCACCATCAGTCTTGCGCTCAATTTGGTCGACATTCCCTTCCAATTGCTGAAGTTTCTCAGTCATTTCATCATGACTCTTTCTTAATTCTTGGTTCTCAGACTCAAGGCGTTTCCTCTCATTACCAGTGGCTTCAAACTGAGTCTTCAGCTCCTGCAAATCACTGTCAAACTTGCGTTTGAGTTCATTGAGCTTATTATCTAGCTGAAGATTGAGCAACTCAGAGGTGGATGTTCCCGACTGCACCGGCTGCTTCTCGACGTCCGTGACCTGGCTCTCGGTTGGTTGGCTCTTGGTTGGCTCGCTTACGGTAGGCTGGTTCTCGGGAGGTTGGTTCTTGGTAGGCTCGTTCATAGTTGGCTCGCTCCTTGTGGAGTCTCTCCTAGTTAACTCGTTGTGTGTTGAGTCTCTCTGAGTGGGCTCGCTCCTTGTTGAGTCTCTTCTGATTGACTCGACCCTAGTTAGCTCCTGCTTGTGTTGAGCATCGGCTTGACCAGCTAGACTTGACAGTATCTGGTTTGTGGACAGATGGCCAAACTGGGACTGTAGCTTTTCATCGACTCCCTTTATCGACTTGTTGCACTGGGCCAGCTCATTAGTGGCCGTCTTGATCTGGTTTTGGAACATGTCCATGACGGACGGAAAGTCCACATGTTTCATGCTCGACCGTGCATGGTCGGCTCGCAGTTTCGTAAGTCTCCTTTGTGCCTCTTCTTTCTTTTGCATCCAAGACACTTTCTCGCATATCAAATTCGTCAGGGGGTTGATACCCCCAATCCCGGTGTTGCGTGGTGCGGCCGCGTCTGCATTGGGTGTGTTCTGTGTTCCTGGTGCTGTTAGTTCTCGGTTATTGGATATTCTAGCACGAGAATTCTGCTACCCACCATGTCCCGACATATTGCCCTTGCCAGGTTTTGTAGGTGTTCCCCTTGAGGGAGATCTGTGGGATGGCTCCCGTGGCGCATTCGGGGGTATGTCCCTTTCTCGGGAGCGATTTCGATCATTCCGGTAATCTGAGCTCCGGCGGGGATATGGATTCTGCGGGGAGCGGCTGTGATATGGGCTACGTTCGGGATAGGGTCGGTCGCGGTCTTCGCGGCGTTCTTGGCGTTCGTAGAAACCTGTATTTTGCCGACCGTAGTCGTTGTTGCGCCTACTCTGGCCTGCCATCACGGCACTAGCAGCACAGATGAGCGCGAAAGCATGCGCGAGTGAGGGGAACTGTGAGACAAGATATGGAGTAGGGGACCAATCCTGGGCCAAGTGCCATCAAGAGGCGTTCGCACGGGAGGAAGGAATCAGTTGCCTCGCTCAAGCCTGAGACCCTGAGACCCTAAGACCGTTGATACCTTGGGCGCGACCGGACAGCCTAGCGCAACTACCTCAAGCTAGGTAGGTAGGGAGGGAAAGCCCGCGATGGATGCGGTAGCGGTAGCGGTAGGAGCGATGGAAGGAGGAAGATGCAGAACGCGTGTTTGCAGGAGACTCGGGGAGAGGGCAGAGGGCAGAGGGCAGAGGGTAGAGGGTAGAGGGTAGAGGGTAGAGGGTGGAGGGTAGAGGGTGGAGGGTGGAGGGTGGATGGGAGCGGATTGAAAGGAGGGAAAAAAGCAACGAGTGAACGACACACAGAGCGTTTGGTTGTGGTTTGCAGATAGCAAACAACGGAAATGCGGCTTCCCGCGAGCCGCTGAACAATGCCCGCTGGTTGCTGGCTCTGCCTGTACACCTGTCAGGCAGCTGCAAACGAAAACCAAATAATGGATCTCGATTGACGCAGCTTGGATCACTAGCAATGGAAGGCGGTAAGATTGGGCGTTGGTTCAACAACATTGGAAGGAAGGGTCCATTATTAAGCCCCGCCTTCCTTGCTAGTATGAATCTCACAGCCAACCAAGATGGGCTCAGAGCGCGCGCGTGGGTTGAGAAACAGCTTCGGTACACCGCGGGAAAGGCCCAAGGCTAGTTGCACCTGCCATCATGATGCGTACGATATAATGGATACGATGCAATACAACCGCAACCATCTCTTACAGCCTCGCAGTAGGGCGTCGCCCTGCATCGCTCTCGTACCTGGTCGCCTAGCAAATTGATGCGCACGATTCGCGATAGGGTGCAATCGCACATTCATGAATAGGTACCATAAGTTTGTTGGACACACGGACTCAGAGTCAGCTGTGAGTAAGCTGGTACCAGGTGCCTCTATCCAAGGCGCAACCACTACAGGGTGTTTCAGCTCTCCCCAGTTCTACGCCCAGGGTACCACGCAGCAAGTACCCCAAGCTCTCAACGCCCCACTTCAAAGGCGGTGTGCGCGCTTGACGTGTGGCGCAGGCAGATTCATAAAGAGGCGCTAGGCGCGCGCGCATGTTTTTTTCGACCAAGGCAGGTACGCATACCTAAGCAGGGAGCTCGAAACTCCAGCCTCATTCTCCGTTGGCATTCCTACAACTGCCACAGCCTCGCTCCCCAACGTTCAAATATCGGCCAACCTGTGAGCGCAACACGCGACAAGATGGCTGCTGTAAGTATCGCATCCTCCCCTGCGCGCGACTACCCACTGATGATGCGCCCCCCAGCCCGTGATGACCGTGTCCGAGTCTAAGGACCTTCGAGGTCTGAACCTCATCGCCGCCCATTCTCACATCCGTGGACTCGGCGTCGATGCTACAACCCTAGAACCTAGGGCCGCCTCTCAAGGCCTCGTCGGACAAGAGAAGGCGCGAAAGGCTGCCGCCGTCATCCTGCAGATGATCAAGGATGGCAAGATTGCGGGCCGAGCCGTCCTCATCGCCGGCCCTCCCAGGTATGTTCATCGCCATTGTGCCAATTCAACGTGCGCTGATCGTTTCCAAGCACCGGAAAGACTGCAATTGCCATGGGTATGTCCCAGTCTCTCGGCCCCGACGTCCCCTTCACATCCCTCGCGTCCTCCGAAATCTTCTCCCTCGAGATGTCCAAGACCGAAGCCCTCACCCAAGCTTTCCGCAAATCCATCGGCGTCCGAATAAAGGAGGAGAGCGAGATTATGGAGGGAGAGGTTGTGGAGATTCAGATTGACCGCAGCGTCACAGGCAGCGCCAAGCAGGGCAAGCTCACCATCAAAACGACCGACATGGAAGCCGTCTACGACATGGGCAGCAAGATGATTGACGCCATGACCAAGGAGCGCGTCATGGCCGGCGATATCATCTCGATTGACAAGTCTTCGGGCAAGATTACCAAGCTCGGCCGATCCTACGCCCGGTCGCGCGACTACGATGCCATGGGCGTCGACACCAAGTTCCTCCAGTGCCCCGACGGCGAGCTGCAGAAGCGCAAGGAGGTGGTCCATACCGTCACCCTGCACGAGATTGATGTTATCAACTCGAGGACCCAGGGCTTCCTGGCTCTCTTCTCAGGTGACACGGGAGAGATTCGCAGCGAGATCCGTGACCAGATCAACACCAAGGTTGGCGAGTGGAAGGAGGAAGGCAAGGCCGAGATCGTTCCCGGCGTGCTATTCATCGACGAGGTGCACATGCTCGACATCGAATGCTTCTCGTACATCAACCGCGCCCTCGAGGACGACCTAGCTCCCGTGGTCATCATGGCCAGCAACCGGGGCAACTCGCGCATCCGCGGTACCGACTACCGCAGCCCGCACGGTCTGCCGCTCGACTTCCTGGACCGTGTTGTCATCATCAACACACACTCCTACAACCCCGAGGAGATCAAGCAGATTCTCTCGATCCGAGCCCAGGAGGAGGAGATTGACGTCAACGCAGACGCCCTCGCCCTTCTCACCAAGATTGGCCAGGAGGCCGGCCTCCGGTACGCCAGCAATCTCATCAGCACCTCGCAGCTCGTCTCGGCCAAGCGGAAAGCCAAGCAGGTAACCGTCGATGATGTGCAGCGCAGCTTCAAGCTCTTCTACGACCCGGCCCGAAGCGTCAAGTTTGTCACCGATTCAGAGAACCGACTGATTAGCAACAGCGGCGTGGTAGACTTTACGGTGGCGGGCAAAGCGGCGGCGGCGGCGGCCAACGGCAACGGCGAGGAGAAGATGGATCTTAGTTAAATAATCGGCGAGCAGGCCTGGCGTTTGGGAAACGGATATATGGTCAATGGCGGACGTGATGGATATTTGTACCATACGAAATAGTGGCGTAGACGGTCCGTCAAAACTAAAACACAGAACCAGTGATTCTTCTTCTTCTATGGATATCAAAAGCTTGTACATGTCTTATGTCTGGGTAGTCCCGTTATGCAAGTCGCTGCTCCATGCTCATGACATCAAACAGTGGTCTTCTCACCACTTTGGTACTGCCAAAAAGAAGGCCCAGCCAAATAACGCCCATTATTTTTGTCCCAACATACTGCACAACTAATAACTGACATCATGCCTCGCCGCCCACCTCCTCGGGCGTGTCCCAAGAGGTGGCATCTTGCGACGACATGACGAGGGTGCTGTTTTGGAAGTACATGAGGCGGACCTGGTTCTCGAACGCCACGGCAGCGATGCTGCTGTCTGGTTCACCCCAGTTGTCGTTGTGGTTGACGCTCCAGGGCGTGGTAGTGTTCTGGAAGTAGGACACAATGGTGCCAGTTGAGGGGTTGGTGTAGTAGAGGCGATAGGACTCGAACTGGGGGACATAAGTAGTCGCGAATGCAGCGCTGGCTGACCATCCCGAGCCAGGGCTCTCGTCGATATCTTCCGCTGCAAGGGGTTAGTGACTTGGAGTTCATTCATTGCCTCATACCAATTCTTACGCCCCAGGGAGTAAGGAGGGAGTTTAGGTATAGGAAGCATTGCGGGGAGAACCGTGTACATACCATTATCGGCGCCGAGAATATCAGAGTACCCAATGTAGCGCAATCGCTGGGTCGAATTAGACACGTAGAATACGTGCAGGGCCGTCGCGTTGGCCGCCGACGCCGCAATGGACGAACCCTCGCGAACATTGCCGATGAGATTCGACCCAGTCCACGTACCGTCGTCGTCGTCGTGCAGAACCCAGATGTTGGCGCCGCCGGCCTGGAAATAAATACGCATTGAGTCGTTGCTGAGACGCAGCGCCGCCAGCCTGGTGTCCGGGTGGACGCCGTTGGTCACGTTGGTCGAGATGATGGAGTTGGAGGTGACGGAGCAAGGGCCGCTGGTGCTACTGCTATCATCATCATCTCCGTCTTCGTCGTCGTCGGCATCGAGGCTGCCGCAATTCAGGACGGCCTGGGCAATCTGGGTCTCGTTGTCTGATGTTATGACATAGTACAGGCGAGTTTCGATGGACGACGAGGAGAGCCCAGCCGCAGCGGCCATGGGCGCGCCCCAGTTGGGCTCAATGTCAAGATCGAGGGCGTAGGCGTCGGTGCCTTCGTCGTCGTGGATGCGCCGGTAGTAGATGTCGGTAGAGTTGAGGTCGTTGTAGAAGACCTGCGAATTCTGGTTGTCATCGTCGGTGACAATGGAAGCGGCCATGCACCGCTCATCGGCGTCAATCGGTCCCGTTTTCCTCGGCACGGCTCCGGTGCTTGTCGAGGTCGGTGATGAGCTATCGTTGCTGTCGTCTGAGCCCGAGTTGGAGCGTAGACCACCGACGAGGCCGCCCACGATAGCGGCTACCAGTACGGCAGCGAGCACGGCGAGGGCGATAAAGAAGTTACGGCGCTTCATGCCACAGCATGTGCGCGACTTGGCGGCGGTGGTAGTGGTGGTGGTGACTATTGAAGCCTCGCCGCCTCTGATGTCTCCTCCAGCATCCATGTTCACAACAACCTCCTTCTGAGCATCGTCGAATTTGGGAATCAGGCCGGCAGGCGACGTCTCGATCACGACCTTGTCGCGTCCCTCCAAGTCAGGCTGTGGTGTCGTGATAACCTCGGGCGCATTCGCACCTTCTGGGCCGCTGACCAGGGTGGGATACCTTTCATCATCACGCTGGAAGGCTGCGTGTTAGCGAAGCTCAGTGGGATGTTTTGGGAGGTGAAAGGGAGAGAAGAGAAGACTAGATCCTACCATGGTAAAGTCCCAACGTCAACCCAGAGGTCTCAGGTATGTAGGATGAGACGAGATACTATCGGGATTGTTGTGAGGATCTCAGTCAAGGAGTATCATTACCGGCGATATCAAACGGGACTCGGGTGAGAGGAAGATGGACCCTTGACAGAGAAGAATTGGACGCTCGAAAAGAAGCCATGGCCGCAATTCCCTCGAAGCAAATCAAGCTGGGCTGAAATAACGCCTACTGGGCACTCCCGAGGAACCCTAGTCCCCCCAGGTTGACAAAGTGGACATGTCCACAAGTCTAACGCGTACCTGGTCGATCATCAGTGGTGTTGACCCCCGGCGGGAATGACGCCGAATACACGGAAAGGACGGATACACACAGCGCCATTCTTAGTAGTCACCGCCCGCTGGGAGAACGGCCACGAGTAGAACTCGGGCGGCTTCTCTAGCCAGGATTCCCTCGCCACGGGGCGAAGCACAGGGCCGATGCTGGCGTGGGACGTGGGAGAACAAGGGGGCGATTATGGTTGGGCGGGTGGTGCGACGATCGCTTGGAGGTGACGACGGCGTCTTGCTTGGCGCAGCGGCCGTGTCGTGGGTGGAGGCGTCAAAGCAATTCTGGTTCGTCCCAGCTTTTGCCATCTCCAGCTTGGGAGCGAGCGAGTTGTCGATTCCGTAGGTGGCTGCTGATGCTGCTTGTCTCTAGAGGGTGGCCCTCTCTCATCAACACATAATGAAGTATCAGTCTCAGTGGTTGATGAAAGAGTGGCGATATATCTTGGCCGCAATCTACAGAGCAATAGCGCTAAAACCTTAAATAATAAGACTGAAACCGCTCAAGCCCCTAAAAATAACGAACCCGGTCATCCAAATCTCCTAATCACGCAAGTCGGGCTATCACCACATTTCAGCGGACATGGTCGACAGCAATGAGGCTGAGCAGTGACATATTCTGCAAGTCCGCATGTCGCATGTTCCATGTCTCCATCTGGGCCCGGGACCGAAACATGGAGGGCAGTCCTCATGGTGCTTTGCTGGGCTAGTTTCCACTCAACATGACGCAAGACAGGCAAGGATAATCCAGCCAATGCCTTTGTCTGACTAACAGATTCTCTCACCATCCATGGTCGACAGCGAAACGAGTGGCTGTTGTTTATTCGGTCAGTAAATGGCAAGGTTACAAGATGAGCAATATCATAGACGCCTCGCTGCCTTCTACTCAGCTCCCAGCGCAAGAATCGAAAGAATTAGCATCGCTCAGACGGGCAACCAACGGTCCCTCACTCTCTCTCGGCACGTGGGCTATGACTCTCATGTTTCTTCAGTAGTTTCTTGGCCTCGCTTCCCAAGTCCAGTTATTGGTTTTGCCCAGCCGCCAGAAGAGGCGGAGTATTCTTGACTGAGTGGATTGCCAAGTCCGTGTACACGACGGCTGGTCCACATCTCATGACACCTCACCGGGGGTTTCTGGAAATTTGGTCCCGCCTGGGGGAAAAAGTCTATTCAATTCCATCAAGGATCTTTGTTTCTACGTCTAAATGTTCTACGACCCCGGCACGATCCGCGCGTCTCGATAATGTGAATAATGTACAGCGAACAAGCGGGAAGCGGTCTCGTGGCTCCTTACAGATACCTCCATCGTGGCATACGGGGCAGCAAAGCGACATGTACTCGTCTTAGTCCATCGCTCAGCAGGACTGCTTGCAAGGCTTGACAGCCGAAGGCTCAATGTCCAACATCTCAGAGAACGGGTCCTCATCGGCCGCCAACGGCACATGCTCCATCATGGTGGCAATCGTCTCCGACTGCTCGGAACCCCAGTAGGTCCCGATAAACTTGAATACAAGGTCCAGGGCGGACGTGACCTAGTGGCTATTAGCATCGTGTTTTTATCACTAGCGAGGAGCAATAGGGAAGAAGAAAAGATTGACTTACACCTGACGAGGTCCAGATCTTGCCGTCAATGACATAACGCGCCGGCGTGATCCAGTTGACGTTGGGCCCCTTGGCCGTCATCGTGGCCCACGCCTTCTTGTTGGTCGTGGCCATGTGGCCATCCAGCACGCCCGCCTGAGCCGCAACGCCAGCTCCCGTGCAGACGGTCATGAAGATCTTGACCTTGGGGAACATCTTCTTGATGTAGGCGACCTCGGCCTGGAGGTCACTGCTGCGCGCACCGGGGCCTCCGGGGATGATGAGGACGTCCAGGTCGAGGTCGTCGTCAAAGGTGTTGGTCGGCTGGATGACGGGGAAGAAGCTCGAGTTGAAGGGGTTCATGGTCAACGGCTGCGTGGTGACGGGATCGAGGCTCGCCGCGATGAGGTACAGGTTCAACTGCTGGCCCGTCAAGGCCAGCAGCTGCAGGGGGTCCAGCGTGCCAAAGACGTCAACCATGTCGAAGGCCCGGAACAGCATCATGCCGACGTTGCGAATGTCTGAGCCCTGAATGTCCGGAACGGCTCCCGGCGTTACGCACGTGCTGTTGTACGCCGTGATACCGTCATCGCTGCGAGGCGTGATTGCGGACGCGAAGGTTTTCGTGATGAGTGCGATGGTGCTGACGAGGGAGCGAGCCGAGAACTGCATCTTGTTGGTTTTGTATTGAGGTTGAGGGTTGCTTCTGGCGATGGTGTTGATGGTTTGATGAAGACGGGAAAGAGCGAGCTTAACGACCAGCGTCGAGGGTTTTAAAGGAGTGACTGGATGGTGGAATGGGACAAGGAATGAACGCCTGTCTAAGAGGAACAGAGGAACAGAGGAACTCAATCCCTATGTGATCAGATCTCAAAGGCTCTCTCAAGAACAAGCCAAGAAAGAGATGAACAAAGGCGGGACCAGTCAACCACAACAACGACAACTCAAATCGAAAACTGTCAAAGCTCTTGTCGTTCAAGAACCGACTCACGTCACCACCACATACCCGGCGTCTCTTATATATGCGCCGTAGTTTCATCCGCCACCGCAATCCAACTGACGGCGAATTGCCAATTCCCAGTCCCGATTCCTCAACCCCCTTCATCATCCCTACTCCGCGAAGCCGACCAGGCCAAGAGCCAGCCAACTGATCGCTTTCCACTTCAAAAACATGCTCAAAGACGTGCTCAAAAACGTGCTCAAACGCCTCGTCCCGGCGTACTACTGCGCCTCTCCGCACGGCTAAGCAAGTACAGGACAGGACTCGAAACTCGCTCGCAGGCGTAAACACGTCCAATGAGGGACGCGGCAGATTATCAATCCCTCCTCGCCCGCGTAACCATGTCCAATCCGGTATTGCGGCTCGCCAATCCTCGCCCCGTCCCCCGTCGTCACGTTAATTAACAAGGGTCGCAGCTCTGTATTCACATGTAGAGTGAGCCCAGCAGCCACGTCCCGTCCCGGGCTCCACTCTCCGAGACCCGGGTCTCGGGGGTGCGACGAAGCCGCTCGGCCTTCGGGTGGACAGCGAGAGTTGCCGCGCGCGAAAGGTCACTTCTCTGGCCGTGGCCGGTGCGCCTGTTCGCCGGGATTTACTAGAGCCCTGAGAGTTCTCATCGGTAGGTTCGCAGGTGCTGGCGGCGCAGGACAAGGCGCAGGATGTTCCCCGACGTCACAAGGGTTCAGTGTCACATTAATGGGGGAAAGGGCGGTTGGAGGAACATGAGACGAAATTGATGGCCAAACTCGAAACAAGCCATGGATGCCGTGCCCTGCTTCCCGAGTTTCTGGATGGCGGGTCGTCGTGGGGCTTTTGGGGCTTCTGGTGAGCCGTATCACGAATGCAGAAGACGAGGTGGGATAGACAGCCAAACTTGGCTACCTACCTAGGTACCTAGGGTTCGGATGAATATGTAGTATATCCCTTATAAGCTCAATGACAGGGGTCGGCCAAGACTTTTTCTGTCCGTAGCCGATTGACACCGGACGACAAGCAGTCAAAAGCCACATTCACCCCTTGACAAGACTGGAGGATTTGATGCCATCATACTCTCGGAGTGCATGGGCTTGGCTCTGAGGTTGGCTAGCCGTGTGGCCGTTTCACGATTCATCAGCCGTCAGCCAGCAGCTCACCAACCACCAAAACCGCCACTCGAGACAACACAGAGCGCCTACAGTCGTCGAGGAGCACTACCAGTCAGTAGTCAGTCAGCACTACTGACAGCCAACACACCCAACAGCAAAGATCCAACAGATCAATGTCTCACTTTGCTTGCTTCAGTGGCTTCCAATCGTCAAGCAAGCCTGCCCCGCAAACACCTCGCTCAATAAAATCTTACATCTCCAATCAGTCATTCTCGCATTTTCTCGTATCGCTATTTGCTACGGCATACACCAATCCGTGGCATCCGACATACCCACCACCTCTAGTCCCACAAGAGGTCAGTCCCATCATTACATCGCGTGTCTGTTGTTCCGGGATCCAATGATTCCAGCAACTTCTCATCCATGACTGTGGCAGCTTGTGTCCATCTCGTCAAAATCAAATCCATCAACGCCTTTGCCATCCCCGGGGAATTTCCGTCCGACCAAATCAAACCCGTTCCAAGATCGCCGAGAGAGGTATATAATAGGTTACAAGACATCATTACCAAACCGATGCACTTGACAGTCGACTCCTCACCGGCCCTCTAACGAAGCGAGCTGGGCGGCCAAGGTTTCGTTGCCCTTGAGCAGCTCATCCAGCCACTCTGCAGCCATCGACAACATCGTGCTCTTACTGAACCCGCCGCCTCGGAGCCCGGGAACCAGCTCGCAAAGGTCGTCAAAGCCCTCTTTGATCAGTGTCCTTCGCTTCTGCTCGCTCCGGATGTGGTTCTCCCGCTTTTGTTCCTCTGAGAGGTTCTCTCGTGCCGTCTTGGATCCATTCACAGTTGATTTGCGTCGCTTCCCAGTCGTCGTTTCGTCGACAGGTGGCGAAGAGGTGGAGCCCCCACGTTCGGCCTTGGGTTTTCTTCGTCTGCTAGTTTTAGGTGTAGCTGTGTCTTCTTCGACCTCATCATCGGGGATTTCCTTCCCGGTCCTGCTCTTCCGTCTCTTTCGTGGCGGGGCATCGGCTTCTTGTTGCAACTTGACTACGTTCGCTGGACGGTTACGACTTTGAGATGTCGTTTGCCCATGATTGGGACTGCTGGGTCTCGTGTTATCCGCGCTCGCGCTAGGTTCGAAGCATTCGAGGTATTTGAGCTGTTCCTTCGCAATCGACTCGGAGGTTTCCTTGTCCGAGTGTGTAGTGTAGCCTTGGATGTGGTTGAAGTTGGAATCGGAGCCCCATTGATACTCAGGCGGGGGCGGCACCTGGGCCTGCGTCCTCTCTTGTGACCCAAACACCCATTCCGTAAATGTGTTTTCAACCTCGTTGCCTCCAAGACTTCGCCGGTTATCTTCTCGGAACTCTTCTAGAGGCTGGTGTCGAAGATGGCCGACGGGAGGGCCGATCGTTCTTCGAGAATACGTGGGGTCGATACCATTAGCCGTGTGTCGCTGAGCGGATCCGTTCTGGAGGAGAGTAGCTGCGGCGTTGAGGACGTCGTCGGGAGTGTGGCTATGTTCCAAATGTGGTAGACTTAGAGGCGGCGGTGGCGGCGGTGGCATCATGCTGGAGCCCATGGGCATCAGGCCGTGGAAATCACCCAAGCCGTTGGTCAGGGCATGGCTAGGAGGTGAGGCCAGCGAAGGACCGGGCTGCTGGCCAAACGAGGTAGTAGAACCCATGAACTGGGGCGGCAAGTCAAGCCAGGTGTCGGTGAAGTTGAGGCCCTCGCCGAAGGAGGGCATGTTATATTGGTCGGCGGTCATGTCCTCGAAAAAGGACGACAAGAGTTTGTTGTCATTGTCGGACAGGAGGGGAGCGCCAGGAGCGGGCTCCGGGGGGTCAAGGAGGGGAGGTTCTTGATTTGGATCAACCGACACTGGAGTTGCACTTCATGTTAGTTTCGGATCGAACGGGAAAGGAGGGTCTAGAAAGTATAGGGAGTGGAAAAGCAGGTACATACAGCCAAAGGCCAAGAAGGGATCGGATGGCGGCTGCGACGAACCCATCCTCGGAGCCTGTTGTACGGCGAGCATGGGGGCGTCTTTGGGATTTTGAAGTCTCGTAGGACGGCGTGGTTTAGGGAGTCAAGGGTTGGCTTAGACGTTGTATTTGGCGATGCTGACACCAGCGACAGCAGTTCGAAGCGGAGAATTTGTCGACGGCGTTGTCGGCTTTGTTGGAGTCGTGATTGAAGATGCTAATACCACAAACACGAAGATTCGTTGAGGGAGCTTGGTGCTTCTAGCACATTGCGAAACCGTGACTGGGGTAGAATCCGTGGGAGCGACAAAGCACCGACGTGGGCGCACGCAATGGCAAGAAACGGTAGACAGGCCACAAGCCCCGAGCAGGAGTCAACTGGGGAAGATGGCGGGACTTGAAGACGAGTTTGTTGGGGGGGAGGCTGAAAGAAGTCGAAGTTGGCGGGAGGCGTGGGACGTGGTTCGCGGTTCGTGGGGTCGTCCTGGCCTCTTGGCGACGGGGGACTCTTTTAGGCTGCTGGAGGACCGGGCACCTCGAGCGACAACAAGAAGCGAAAGAGCAAGGGCACGAGCTCGATGCGGGGAGAAGGAGGGCTCAGAAGAAAGAGGAGTGTTCGAACGAGGTGACGTGCAGGAGAAGAAGCAGTAGCCGCAGCGGTAGTTGGGAGAATGTGAGAGGGGGATACGCAGGTAGGGCTCCAGCGTCGAGAATAAGAGGAGGAGGGAGTCGGGGCTTGAGGCGCATGCGCAGAGGCAGGTGTGTGCATTCACATCACGCCCAGGTCTGCCTGTGCCCGCGTCCGCATCCCTAGGCAAATGGCAAGGCTGCGCTTCGGGGCGGGTTCTTTTTGCTGGGTACGGAGTACGGAGTACGGCTGGAGGGGCCCGTTGGAGGCGGAGGAGGAGGTGTCGGGGAGATTCAAGGTCAAGGTCAAGCCCGGGAGTGCGTGCGAGAAGAGTGTGTGTGTGGTCGAGATGGCCGAGTGGTCGTGGTAATGGTCGTGGTAGTGGTGGGCGAGGTGTGAGTTGTGGAGGAGGCGGCGACGGCGGCGACGGTGGAAGAGCCACAGCGGGACAGGGACGTTGCAGCACCGCAGGGCGACGTTGGAACAAGGTGGGGAGCAGGTACTGTACCTCGGGACGCGGCGCTGCAGCACGCTAATCCGCGCTAGAATGCGGAACGGGGCAGTCCACAGGGGAGTGACGGGGGCGGCTCCAGCGCTCTCCAGCGCCAACCGGCCATGTGTCCATGTACCGGTACCTGGTCTCGTGTACACGGTACGCAGGCCATGATGCACCTTGCCCAAAGCCCTTGTCCCGCCTGGGTCACCTGCATCGTTCAGCGAGACCCCCCCCCAGACCTCCGTCCTGCAAGACGCCGCCCCTCTTGGTCGTGGTCCTGATCGATTGCATCGCCGGTCAGGACAGAGTGCAACGCAGGCTGCACCAGGTCGTCTGGTCCATCTGTCATTGGGCCCCAGCGCCGCCTGTGATTGGCAGCCACGCCCTGCCGGGTCGCCCGATACTGGCATGGAGGCTCTAACGGTGGATTGCACCAAAACCCTGATATGCGTCTAGTGGGCTATCACATGCTTGCGAGTCGACACACAGCGCGAAACTTTGCGACTCAGCTGTCATGGAATCCAAACAACCAACAACCAACAACCTGCTGCGACTACCATCTAGCTCCGGCGCACGTCCATCCGCCACCATGGCGGCATAGCCATCTCCAGTTTACGAGTGTCCCAGTCCAGCTTTTTCCCTTGCTTGCCTTCTTACAGAGAGGACTGCAGCTCTAGAGGCCGACCAGGCAGGAGTGGACGTGCGATCCGTGCATGTGGAGGCGGCCAAGGGATGCTGATGCTGATGCTGATGGGTCCAAGCCTCCAAGTCCAGGTCATTCCGTAGCATTGAAGATGAGAGGCATGACAGTCAGAAAGACTCGGGTAGCATTGCCACGCAGACCGCAGAACGCAGACTGCAGAACCCCGATGCAGAATTTGAAGTCCACGCGTAAGAAACAGATAATCCCTTGGTCAAGCTGCAGCGTCTACCTGGTTTCTAGACCGACCGTCTCATGGACGCCCTTTCATCTCGTGACCCGCTCGTGACCAACGACTTCGGCCCGCTACGGTTCAAGACGAACCAGGGGGGGGCATCCAGCAAAGTCAGGTACCTGGGAACAATCCAAGTTGGTGCGCCGCCACGACAAGGAGAACGAGCCGAATATCGTGCAAGCACCGAAATTCGACGTGGGGCCCTGTCTGTTCTCTAACTTCTAATTGATTTCCTGCATTGTTCCTTTCTGCGTTGATTTAATTCCTGCAGCTCGGTATTTCTCCAGCGGAACTTGCCCGCCCGTCTTAGTGAGCCCCAGAAGTAGAAGTGGGATGATGGGTCGCCGTCTGGTTCCCCGGACCAAGAAACAACCAGCTGAGATAGCACGCGTCCACTATCCGCATTCGCCTCACTCATTCATTCATTCCCATTTACCATCTGCACATTCACTCACACGCCTTCACCAACACCGACACCAACATCGCTCGCTCCTTTACACACTTACACACCCTTGCCGACCCCAGACGCCCTGCCAGATTTGCCCCGGGGCCCCCTGATCAACGCAGCGCATCGTCAACTCGGTCATCATCCGCGTCTCGCCCGAGTCTCGTGCCTCCCACCGCCTGCTCCTATTAACTTTGTTCTCTGCTATAGCCTCATCTCATCTCATCCCACCCCTCCACCATCTTTTCCCGTCCGAAATTAGGACACCCAGTTTCTCCAGTTTCTCCAGTTTCTTCAGATCCTACAGATACATCGTAGGTCAGTCCACTCGTTCTCCACTTGTTCGTCCCTCCCTCGGCCGATTCGCGAGTTCCGTCATGTCCGCATCAAACCACCATCGCCACCGTCCCCGTCTACCCCAGACGTGCCTCATCGATGCGGCCGGGCTGTCGCATCCCGCGGGGCACCTTTCGCGGGGGTGGCCAACGATCTCCTCCCCCTGCCCGCTTAGATGATCCGTCTCCCGCGTCGTCCCGCATACGAAAATCCCATCCCCATGTCGTTGTGGTCCTGTGGATTTGGAGTCATGTTGACTTTCACGCGCCGTCTCGCAACCTTGGAGCCATGCCGAGGCTCGTGGCATTAGTCCCCACAACTCCCGTCCCGAACCAAACTCCTCTGCGCCAACTCCCGGGCTGTCTGTCACTCACTTGCAGCCCAGCCAGGGCAGAGCCGGAATCGCCTTGGAATCGCCCATTGTCCATCCTCCATCGTCCCACTGTGCTTGTCTCTCTGATGATGCTGCTGCTCGCGGCCACCTCCATCCACTGCATCCAGTTCCTCAGGCACATCCCTGTCTGATCTGCCACTGCAGCCATGCTGTCGTATCCCGTTGCTGCCACGACCCCTACAGACTTCCTTTTGTCCTTGCCTTCACACCCTCTTCACCCATCCGTCGACAAGGGCGTCCGTGTTTTATTGACTGCTCCGCCTTATTCAGGAACCACTCTCAACATCAGCCCAACGCTGTCCATTGCTTCCCATTCTACCATCACCTGGCCCCTTTCCCGCCGGCCGCAGGCCCGTAGTCCTGCTCGTGGCCACCACCGCATGAGGTAGTTCGTCATGGCTCTCGCTGTGCGTCCTTCCCGCAGAGGACCCCTGAGTCTCGACGCTGTCCCCGAAATCCTCCGCCCGCTCATCCGAGCATACCTCTTGGGATATGCCACTGCGGTTGGCCCACGGCTTTTGACCTTGGTCCTTCAGTATGTTGCAAAGAGGCGTCGGGCCCAACTATCTCCGGATCCCGAGGACGGTTCCTTCGCCAAGTCCGCCAAACACATTGTGCGGATGGGCTTCAACTTACAACGGTTCCCAACCTTCTGCGCCGTCTTGGCCGGTGGAAGCACCATTCTACAGGTAACTACATCCTCCCCCCCTTTCGAGAATCCATCATGGACTCCTGTCACATGCGCCACCCCGCCTGGTTCGGCAGTCTTCCGGATGCCGGTGCGGCACTGCAGGACACTAGCTCTCACTTTGACAGGTCTCCCATGCTAACCTGCCTCAAAAGGAACCTCTGAAGAGCATCATTGACAAGGCTGCAAAAAGCCTCAGTGAGGCAGCCCGACTAAGGTAAGATCTCCCACTGTAATAGCTTCACTCCGCCTCGTATTGACAGCTGCTCCATCAGACTTGCAAGATGGTTATCAACCTTCATTGCCGCGTGGTATGGCATTCGCCTCCTCCACACATATGAGAGCCGGGCATACACAGAAACATTGCCTGTCAAGCCAGACTCGCTTCCAGATGCCCGGCCGCAGACGATCAAGCTCGCTGGCCGGACTCTGGACCTGACGTTATTCGCCCTTGCTCGAGCCCTCGACGTTGTCGTTGGTGATCTCTGGGCTCGGCGTAAAGCCCTTCGCCAGGCTGCACACAAGTGGACCAGTGTAAGCTTTTTAGTCATCCCTGGCATCACTCTACACGACAATCCGCTGACTTCCCTTCGGACCGAACAATGCGTGTCTAGACTCATCGACCCCCTTGCCTTTGCTGCCTCCTCTGGCCTCGCCATGTGGGCCTGGTTCTACGCCCCTGAAACCCTTCCTCGTACCTACAACAAATGGATCACCTCGGCTGCTTCCGTCGACTCGCGTCTAATTGAGGCGCTCCGCCGCTGTCGAAGTGGAGAGCTGCAGTATGGCAAAGACACAGGACAGGCGCCCCTGCTGCAGGCCATGTGTGCCGACTTCAAATGGCCCCTAGCCTGGGGCGATCCTGCAGCGTCGATCCCTTTCCCCTGCGAGATGGTCCATATGGGATGTGGTCCTTCATGCGAGTATCACGCTGTGAGCCGCTTCTTCCGCGCCTGGAAGTGGTCCATGGCCACATACCTTCCTCTAACCCTCGCCTTCGCTCTGCGGAACCCCTCCCGCAAAGCCATCATCCGTGCCATCATCTCATCCTGCCGCTCCGCCACCTTCCTCGGCACCTTCATTACGCTCTTCTACTACGGCGTCTGCCTAACCCGCACGCGCCTTGGGCCCCTCCTCCTCGGGGACTCCATCCCCTGGCGCCAGCGCATTGACAGTGGATTGTGCGTCGGCACCGGATGCTTCCTTTGCGGTTGGAGCATGCTCATCGAGACGCCAAGCCGCCGCAAGGACATTGCCATGTTCATGGCCCCTCGCGCCATGGCTACCTTCCTACCACGGAAGTATCCACTCGACAAGCAGTGGCGGGAGACGGTGGTGTTTGCTGCCAGCACGGCCGTTGTCTTTACGTGCGTCAAGGAGAATCCAGACCGGGTAAGGGGGGTGTTTGGGCGGTTGTTAAAGATGGTCATGGATAAATAGATGGGATACATTTAGAAGGAAGCATAAATCTCGGAGGAGTTGGGTCGCCATTTATTAGATAACCGTGGATACCCATTGTCATTTGTAGAGGAAGATGTAGCGAGATTTTTTAGAGGTGTAATTCATAACACTAATAAGTGTTGTTATTCGCTGTGCGAATCGTAGTTGTCTCGACATATTCGCGAGGCGTTATCATAATAGCCCTTTCAAATCAGCTAGTCCTAGATTTATAACCCAACGCCTGGGGTTCACAATTGTTGTTGTCGAGTCTTCGAGATGACCATCATACCCTTATAAAAGTTGCTTTATTGTTCTCATCTTAGTCTGGCGTTTCATGCCATCCACTGCGGGCTTGGAATCTCTGACATTTAATTCATAGAAATCCACCAACGTAGGCAATCCAGACTCGGGGCGTAATGAATGTATCATATTACATTCACATGCACGACAAGGATCTCGTGGACACCAAATACGCAAATTCCAACCCATAACTCCATTGCTATGATGCTTCCGTTCCCTGTCTATCCCCTTATCCTCTGAACCACGAACACGCGCCCAGCACAAAAATGCACGCCAGCATATCGCCCCGCACCGTCGTGAAGATGCTCGCATATCGCAACGCAATTTCGATGTATCCCTTGATCGGCTGGGGTAGGAAACCCATAACCGTGCCAAGGATGCCCGTGGGCGGCGGGCCACGCTTGTCCAGGAAGAAGCGTGTCGTCAGGAGCAGCGTCTCAGCAGTGGCAAAGGTCCAGAAGAAGAGGCGCTTGCGCTGGTCGAGCTCGGATTTGATGTCAGTGGCGCCAACGGGGGTGCTGAAGGGGTCGTCCGGTGTGGTGATGGGGAGGGCGTCGCGCTCGCGCTCAATCTTAGAACCGCTGAAAGGCGTCAGGAGGACAATGTAAAAGCCCAAACCGAGGGCAACGAGGGCATGTAGCAGGCGCCAGATGTTGGTAGAGGTCGAGGACTGCGCAGCTTGGGGCTGGAAGGGGTTCGCACCCATACCGGGCATACCGGGCATACCAGGCATGCCGGGGAATGGAGGTGCTGAGCCGGGGGGAAGGCCGGCGCCGGACATGAACTGGGACATCATCTTCATCATGGGATCTTCTTCGAGGTTGCCAGGCGTGCCCGGGCCGGGGCTGGGTCCGCCGGGGGTGCCACGTTCAAAGCCGAGCATCATCTGGCGGAGTTCGTCCTCCGACATGGCCGGGCCGCCGGCGGGGGCGCTGCGTGCGGCCGCCTTCTTGGGCTCGTAGAAATGCTCCGAGATGTCGACCTCGTCGGGGTCTGCGTGTCCTGACGGCGAGGCCGCAGCGGGCTTGGGGGCAGGGGTAGAGGCCGGAGACGCCGCTGCCGAGGATGCGGGCGCAGGCTCTGAGTCTATTTCAACAGATATTAGAGACCGCTACATTTGAAGCTATCCAGCGAATCTGGATCTTGGGGGGATGGGGCAACCTACCACGAGGGACACCGCCGCTGGCGCCAGTGATCTTGTTCAGGCGTGCAGAGCCGCCAGCCTTGATCTTAGCTTCACGACGCTCCTTGCGCAGACGAGCCTGTTCCGAGGCGCGCTGGGCAGCGGCATCTTCGGGGCTGAGGGTGGTCTCGGTCATGGTGGGTGGTGTTGGTGTTGGCGATTGACCTTGCACCTCAGAGTGACGATGATGTGGTGTTTAATGCCGGGGTGGGATTGACAGCTGGTCCAAGCGTTGAACCTGTGCGTTCTGTACTTCGCCGCAAACCACCTACCCTAGACATGAATTTGGCTTCGACGGCACCACCACCTCGGCACAGAAAAGAATAGACAAATAAATAGCCTGAGCCCCCTGATCTCATGAGAATAGCCATTGACAATGGTTTCATGCGGCATTTCTGTATACACGGGTTGACTCTGTTTTCGAACCTTGCCACGATACACCCACGACACAATACGCACGATAACAGTACGAACCCACGGGCGAACACATTTCATCATATAATTTTCTAGTCTAGTTGTCATTCAGCATAGGTGTGCTTCGTGAGTCATCCCTTGTCATACTGCCTGAGCTACACTATTCAACACTCCTATGGCTACGGAAATGCTTCCATTTGCCACTTCAAATTACGACATACTGTGACATGACATGACACCCGTCTACGGAGTAGCCTTGCTCATGCTGACCAATCGCTTCACACCAACCTATATCTCGGGTTAGTAACCATGTATTATCGGAAAAGGGCACATTTCTTACCATCCAGTTACCGCACTCTTCCGTCTTGTCCCGCTGGATTTCAACTTGCAGCCTGTGGGCCACATCGTAGTTCTTGGACTGAAGTGCCAAGGCCAGTTGTGTCAGCTGCTCGACCGTGTTAGGCTGAACCAACTCCTCGTTGTTGAGGTGGTCAAAGAGCAGGTTGAGACGCTTCTGTGTGTCCTTGACCTGGGGCGCAAAGGTAGCAGGTGCCTTGGAAGCCACACGCTGCATATCTTGGCTCAGAACATCGACCAACCCCTGGGCATTGGCGGGGATGTGTGATCGATCGCCAGCCGGGTGCCTCGCCTTGGGTGGGGGAACAGCTGGTTGTGGTGGCGGCACTGACTGTGAGGGTGCGGCAGGGGGAGGACCGGTCCGGTTCACAGGGGGAGGACCGGTAGGAGGTCCAGTTGGCGGCGCAGTGGGCTGACTATGAGGAGCGGCATACGGGTTTGGCGCGTACGGGTTATGAGGAGCGGACGGCTGGGGAGGAGCACCGAATGAGCCTCCAGGAGGAGGTCGGTTCCCAGGTGGCGGCATTGACGATGGTTGATTGAACTGGGCCTGTGCCGAGGGGGCCGGCGCGTATCTGTTGGAAGGCGGAGCCCCGGCCGGAGGAGCGTTGTACGGCGAGGCCGTTCGCGGCATAACGCCGGGGCCGGCCCCAACAGCGGGAGGAGGAGGTGCGTAGGGGTTGTGGGCAGCTGTCGGCTGAGGTGGAGGCTGGAACGACTGAGGAGGTGCCTGGAACGTCTGGGGAGGGCCAGCCAAGGGAGACTGGACTCGAGGAGGCGCCGGTCCCTTGGGCGGCGGCGGCGGCGGCGTGGAGCCAGTTCGCTGACCGTAAGGACCCGAGCCCGGGGGCGGAGGCAGAGACGAACCCTGAGGCTGGCCCGGGAAAGGGTTGGTGATGGGAGCGACGCTGGGAGTCGCTTTCCTAGACGGCACCTTGGTCACGAGAGGCACATCATTCCAGTTCTCAGTGCTCTTGGCCTTGGGCGGTGGTGGCGCCAGGGGAGTCGAGTTCCGAGGAGGTCCAGCCATCGGCGGAGGCCCAGTGGGGATGAACCCAGGCTGAGCAGGGGGGTGGTAACCGATTTGCGGCGAGTAGCCACCCTGGGGTTGGTAAGGGTTTGCAGGGGGCATGTACTGCTGCGCCGGCGATGCGGTGGTCACACGCTGAGCGGGGGTTTGGCTGAGGGCACTGTATGGGTTGGGAGCAGCCGCAATTGGGGCAGGCTGAGGAGCTTGGTATCCCATCGTGGGTGCAACCCTCGATGTTGTCCGGGTGGACGATGCAGGCACTCTGGCACTGGCTTGGGGGGCAGGCTTCTTGGTCGCCAACCGGACGCGGTTCCGGGAGAGCTCAGCTGCGGGATAGGTGGACGGCAGAAGATCAAGATACTTTTGAGCAACCTCCAACTGACCATGGGCAGCAAGAATATCGGCATACTCGGTGTACTTGTCGTAGAGAGTCGCCAGCTTCCAATCCGAGGTCAGCCCCTTTTCGCCATCATCAAACTTGGTGACGTGGCGGAAGACGGTGACTTTTTCAATGAAGTTTTGCAGCGACTTGGCGTGAACAGAAAAGGTCGAGTCATCAGAGGGCTCTTGAATGCCAGCCTGCTCTGCCTCTTCCAGCTCAGCAACCCAGATGGACACAACCTTCTCGAGCTTGGAGCCCACGAGGTAACAGAAAGAGGCGTCTTTTCGCAGTCCTTGCTCGTTGATTCTGTCGCCCAGCGCCTCACATAGGTCTGGGAACTCGGTAGGGTCAGAGAAGGTGCAGACGATGGCCATGGTCTCCTTCCAGTTCTCCAAGTCGGCATTGTAGACGACATCCCAGAGGTTCTTGTTGATGACGGACCCAAGGAGACGCATGTAGCTGGGCATACCACTCTTGCGGGCGAGGTAGGCGGCCTGAACCTTGTCTATAAGCTCCTGACCGCCGCAGTTGGCAATAAGGAATGCGTCGGCCATCCGGTTCTGCTTCAGACAGATATCGGTGGCCTTGGCAAAGTTACCCAACATCAACGCCTTTGTGATGGTCTTCTCGATAGAAGTATCACTGTCGCTGAGTAGGTGGAAAGGGTTGTCGGTCTTGGCGCCCTTGGTGGCGGAGAGCTCGGAAAGGAAGTCATCACCATCGTCATTCTCAGTTCCACTGAAGAAGTTGGAGAGGCGCTTTTTCTTCTTCTCCTCAGCCTTAACCTCGGGCTTAGCCTCATCATCATCATCTTCTTCGTCATCATCATCGTCGTCATCCTCCTCCTCTTCCTCGTCGTCGCTTGTCTCCTTAGCTCCATTGGCGAGCTCCTCCTCGCTGAAGCCAAGATAATCAACAATCTTGGCCCGAGGGTTGTCTCCAACAAGAGTTTCCATGACCTTCCAGTCAGCCTTCTCCTCCTCAGTTTTGGACTGCTCAACTCGCTCCGAGCAAATGGCAGACACATTACCGGAGACCATGGCCTCCTGGAACTTCTCGGTGGCCGAGGAAACCTCAGTATCAACAGAGAAATTGGAAATCAGAATCTTGGACGACCGCTTCTGGCCAGCCTGGGAAGGAGACGCCTTGAAAACCACAAGCTTGCCTCCAAAACCGAAAGACGCACCAATGGGTCGCTCGAACCAGTTGGGTGCCTTGCTTAATGACCATGAAGCATCCTGGGGTTGATCCTGGGCAGCTCGGAAGAAGTCCTCGTCATCCAGGTTCTTCTCTGCCGCAGCCTTCGAAGTATCGGGGTTGGTGTTTTGTAGTGTCTGCACAGTGATTTTACCGTCAAAGCTGGCTGTTGCCGACAGGTTGGGGTTGTGGGGGTTGAAACGGGTGAGGAAAGTCCAGTTCGTAACCTCGGGCAATTCTCCATAACGCTCTCCAGTCAGAGGGTTCCATACAATTGTTCGGTTGTCCTTGCCAGAAGAGAGGAGGAGTTCACTGTCTTGTTGGCACCAGGACAACGACAGAACACCTTGCTCATGGCCCTGAAGGGTCTTCTCGGGAGCGTTTGAGTTTCGAAGGTTCCAAAGCATGATGATGGGGGTGTTATCATCTGGAGTTGCGGTCAAAAGCTTTGTCGAATTGTTGGGATCCCAAGCGATGGCACTGACGGCCTTGCGGTTGTTGTTGAGCGTCAGGGAAGCCTTCTTAGTTTTCAAGTCCCACACCGTAACAAATCCTCCTGATCCACCGGTTGCGAGAATGTGAGAAACCTTCTGGTTCCATGCGAGGCACTCGATGTCATCGGAACGGGCCTGAGCATTTCCTAGCCGGAAGGGGTTCGCGACATCGTTGACGTCGTAGATGAAGAGCTCGCCCTTGGCGCCGGCAGTGGCGAGGATCTGGGGCTTTATGGGGTTGAATTGTAGAGCCTTTATCGCACCAGTGTGTTTCACAGTTTGGGAGATCAAGGCATCGGAGTCTCCATCGATGAGTTTCTCGGCGTCCCACATGTCCAGGGATCCGTTCTCAAGGGCACCGGCAATTATGCCGTTCGGGTGGTCATCGTCGGGAGGGCTCCAGGCGACGTCGTAGAACCTGGGGCATGGATTAATAGGCAGTCCTAAAGCTATGCGATTGCGTTGAATGTCTACCTGGACTCGGTGGTAATGCTGATAATGGGTTGGAGCTCTAGGCCTTGTTGCTGGTCATCGAGAGCCAGATCCCAGATTTCCAGCTTGCTCTCGTCGGAGAAGTCGACATCAACAGCACCGGCACGGGTTCCGGTTACCAACAAAGGCTTCCCGGCGTCCGGCGACCAGGCGAAAGCGGCCGTTCGGGGGATATCTCGAAGGCGCACCATTATGGTGATGGCGGGGGGATTGGTGCGACGAAGTGGCCAAGTATTGGGGGAGGTTTTGGCGTATGGCGGTGAGCTTGGTGAAGATTAAATCCAACAGCGCTGACTCAAGGACGGCCAGGCAAGATTATGAAGCTTCTTACCTCTGCCCGGGAGAAGAAGCTTCAATGTTGAGCGAAGCAGGGCGAGGGCGAAAGGTGTCTTGAGCCGAGAGGTATGATGCCAGATTGCAGGCTATCCTCCCACACTCCTGAGCTATCGACGCCAACATGTCCGTGCCCCCTGAGTGACAAGGGAGGGTGGGGCATGCATCACGTGATTGGGTATCGTGTCTTGTCGTCTGTCGATATTCTCCTCCTGTTGATTAAGTTGCTTCGGTCTTCTCTTAATGGGCTGATTGAGAGAGATTTCTGCTTGGGGATTTCGAGGAGTTGGCATGGGTAAAATACCCGGGATTTCTGCTCGGTATTGTCATTGATCGTTGCCAAGCATGTACTCTCAGATAGGTGAAGACATCCACCTCGAGAAGTAGATTGCCATTTTGGAGCTCAGTGCAATTGCCACACTTGTATGATCTCAATTGCACCTCCATGATTCAATATATGCGGGGAAATATCAGTTGTTGCATCTCCTGGTGTCCTATAGACTCTATAGGTAGGTAGGTACTACTGCCTCAGAGGGATTCTTGGCAGTAGCTTTCAATCAAGGTGCCTTGGCGCCTCATGTTCGATATAAACCTGTCAATTGAAATTAATACAAAAGTTAATTAGGTAATATATTTCATCAAAAGACTGGACTTCAAAGCTAAATACGTGACTTACATGGAGAGCTAACTTCTGGTGTGGTTCGGAGGTGGCGCTGGCTACAGGGTCACGTGAACTCGCACGGAACATTTCACTGCTTGGAGCCTGAGAGCTCATGGTAGAGTTACAATGAGTTGGAGGACGATTCTCTGCGGCCAACAAACCAAATAACGACCTTCTTATTAACCGTATTCGGATCACTTTTTACACGACAATGACAGACGCCAATCGCTGGAAAGCCACGGTCTACGTGGGTGGACTCTCTCAAACGGCGACGCAAAGCCATGTCCTTGATGCGTTCATCCCATTCGGAGAGATCGTTGAAGTCAAGGTCCCAAAGCAGGACAAGCCGAATTCTGCAGAGCCTCATCGCGGTTTTGCATATGTCGAGTACGAAGATGCGGCGGATGCTAAGGAGGCAATCAACAATATGGATCAGTCGGAGCTTTTCGGGAGAGTCCTCAAAGTCTCACAAGCTAAGGCACCAAAGAGTGCCGACGAGGGCTTGGGTAGCAAGACTGCTGTCTGGGAGAAGGTACATTTGCTCGTTTTAAGCGGATGCGCTCAGTACTGACAGAGTTACAGGAGGGGTGGTTGGCCGAACACGCCGCCGAGGACAATGGTCACGATGACGCAAAGGTCATGGTAGATATTGGCCCTGACCCCATGCAAGGACTAGAGGGATTGGATGTTGCGGGACCGAAACCTGAGTGATGGAATGGGAATTGGGGCTTCGTGTTAACTTGTACGTTGGCATAGCGAGGGCGTTTTGAGGCATTGAAATCACGTTTACTGGGGGGTTGGACATGAGCTATAAACACATCACTGGAAATTTTCAAGAGTTATGCTTGATTGAACACCCTGCTCTTCTTCTTTGACATATACAACACTGCTCCCTGACGGCTAATGGACAGACAATCCCAGCAGGTTCCCGAAACCCCGCGCACAAGCTTAGTGCTCCTCAGCACGGGCAGACGGGCCCTGTCGCGCAAGACGGAGGTTCTTGTCGACAAGGAACTTGCGGCTGATGGAGTAGGTGGCGGCGCCCAGAGCAAAGGCCACGACGACGGCTGAGAAGGCAATTAGCACAAGAAAAGGCTCAATGGAGCGGCGGGTCGCATTACCGAGGGGGTACAGCTCCGGGGGGATCTGCTTGAGCTTTCGGAGTCGCTGAGAGACGGTGTGGCCTTGACGCGGGTTAGCTAGCTTTCCATTGAGTGGCCTTGTCTGTCGTCGTGTTTCGAATCGTTCGATGAGCGTCGATGGGGCTCTGGGCTACGTACCAGCCTGGTCCTCCTTCTGCAAGATATCCGGTCAGCGCGGTGCTCGGCCAAGGGCGAGGCTCGAAGGGTCATGGGAGTGTACTTACGGGAACGGGTCGCAGCATGCGAGGCGTCTGCCTGAACATTCGGAGGGCGGCGGTAGAACGCATCTTGATGAGTGGGGAGGGTCTGTGTGAGGTCCAGAGGTGATGATTCAATTGGAAATTGTCGGCCTTGGAGGGAGTGTTTGGAGTTGGCCGAACATCTGATGTGCAATTGCAATCAGACCCACCAATTGCGGTGGGTGCCTTACCCCATTGGCCCGTGACGGCCTCAGGCACCCATCCAGCTTCCGGAATCGAACCACCTGATTCGAGCCGACAACGTCGACGCATCAACCTCCCATCCAACGCACCGAGCTCCATCTCGCGCCGTCATTTCCCAGAGAAATCTCCCCTCTTCAAGTCCAACTCTTCAATCAATTCACAATGTCGGACGACGGTCAGGAGCTTGTCACCAAGCCCTTCAAGTTCGTCACTGGTATGGCTGATAATCCCTCTGTCAAAAAAATGACCTGATCTTGAACCCGAGGCTAACAATTCCGCGCAGCTGGTAAGCCCATCCCACGACACCGACCGTCAACGACGACCCGCCGCCCGAGCGACGCTCAATTGCACTCTCGTCGCCTGGAATCGCCCATTCTAACCTCTCCTAGGCACCGACGCCCGCTTCCCGAACCAGAACCAGACCAAGCACTGCTGGCAAAACTACGTCGACTACCACAAGTGCATCATCGCCAAGGGTGAGGACTTTGCTCCTTGCCGCCAGGTACGCGACGACTACAACTATCGCCAATTGACCCACTGGTCGCTAATTGAGACCTAGTTCTGGCACGCTTACCGATCTCTGTGCCCCTCCGGCTGGTACACACGATGGGACGAGCAGCGCGGTATGGACCCCTCTGAACTCACTCCCCTCTTAGGACGATTACTAACGCAATATGCAGAGGCTGGTAGCTTCCCCGTCAAGTTGGACGCTTAAGATGGGTATGTAGCGCTTGGAGGAGTAGTGGAGTTTAGATGAGACAGAGCAGACGCGCTGCAATTGTACCACTTGCATAACCAACTGTAGACAACCCCCCAACCAGATTGGCTACGTTATCGCCTGTGTTACTGTGCCTCAAAAGCCGCCTGACTGTGAGCCTAAAGTGGATGCATCGGGTCATGTGTGCTCTGTAAAAACATGTTTTGGTATCATGTGAACTATTCCTCGGAAGCGCTGGCAATCCATACTGTTAAAAACACCCAGGGTCCCTTGCGCCGTAATCCCAAAAATGACCGTCGCGATTGGCCGACTTGTCCTGTCGCCGGTTTGACCCGCCCTCTCATTATGAACGAAATCCCGACACGGTCAGAATGCTCCATCCACCACTAGTTTTCGGCATCGTCATCTGAACTCATAAACTCATCGTCTTCGTCAAATCCGAAAAATGACCTCGCCTTGCCCTTTCCCACCTTCTTCTCCTCTGGTGGAGGTGTCGACTCATGAGATGAAGTGCCCTTCTCCTCATCGGAGCCAGACTGGTTGTTGCTTGGTTGCGTAGAATTGGAGTCGTGAGATGTGCTTAAAAGGTTGTCCTTGTATTTGCCGGCCTTCATGGCGGCCAGAACCGCATCCCGCGTCCGCTCGCTGCTCTCCTCCTTGTCTTCAACCCACTTGCCGTCAATGCGCCCCTTGCTGCCAGACTTGATTTCGGCTTCTTTTTGCTCCGATAGTTGAACGATTTGTTCCCATCGCTCACGTCGCTTCTCCTTCTCCTTCTTTTCCATCTCGGGTTTGATGGCGAGATATTCCGCCAGCGCCTTGGCTTCGTTCACTGTACGCAGGCGTCGGCCATCAAGGTTTCGGCTTGAACCATGATCCTCCTGGTTCTTCTTCTTCCTTGATGACATACGGCCACCAGCGGCTCGCAGTTGGGATCCGAAACCACCTTTGCCACCACAGAGCGGCACGGCAAGTCGCAACGACAAGAAGTCATCTTCGGCGGTCGATAGGTAGTCTGAAATGGGGATCTCTGATTCTGCAGGCAGTTGTTTGTTTGAAATAGTCGTGATGATGAGTCTTGACTGGGTAGTTGGCAATCGCTCGTCGATATGAGTTCGCAGCTGGTTGATGGTTGTTGATGAGGGAAGCGGGAGGACCAAGGTAGGGGGCAGGCCAAGACCCGCAAAGCTGGTAACCAGCACGTTCAAGTTGCGTGGAGACATTATTTCGCGGGACCGTGGGTATTCGAGGGAAGATGATCTGGTTTGAAATGTTTGAGCTGGAGCGCGACGAAGTTCCTTCTGCTGGGGGGTTCGCGCTTAAGTAGCACGGGTAACCCACCGGGTCCTCATCGGATGCCTACAAGGTACCAGCCACACAAAGGCAAGATACCTTGTTGTCTCTTATCGGCACGTGACAAGCCCGCCACAGCCCGCACAAGCCACCCCACTTCGCTACGCCGAATTTCAATGTAGGGTTTCCGCCCACAAAAGTTATCCATTTCGAGATCTGACTTCGTCCCTCCGAAAACTGCCACCTTCCAACATCGACCCTCGAGCAGCACAACCGCCACGATGTTGATCCCCAAGGCCGACCGCAAGAAGATCCACGAGGTAAATACCGAACGACGAACGTGACGAATTGCCTGAGACTGACAATCCCGCCAGTACCTCTTCCGAGAGGGTGTCCTCGTTGCCCAGAAGGACTTCAACCTTCCCAAGCACCCCGATATCGACACCAAGAACTTGTTCGTCATCAAGGCTTGCCAGTCGCTCAACTCCCGCGGCTATGTCAAGACTCAGTTCTCGTGGCAATACTACTACTACACCCTGACCCCCGAGGGCCTCGACTACCTCCGCGAATGGCTCCACCTTCCCGCTGAGATCGTTCCTGCCACCCACATCAAGCAACAACGATCGCACGCTCCTCCCCGTGGCATGCTCGGCGAGGGTGAGCGCGAGCGAAGGCCCTTTGGCGGCCGTGGCCGTGGTGGCGACCGTGGTGACCGCGAGGGCGGTTACCGAAGACGTGAGGCTGGCGAGGGCAAGGAGGGTGGTGCTCCCGGCGAGTTTGCTCCTCAGTTGTGAGTTTCCCTATCCTGGAAAATACATGAGTTGTGTAAGTGCGAGATGCTAACACCTTCAACAGCCGTGGTGGATTCGGCCGTGGCCGTGGCGCTGCCCCCCCTTCTTAAACGAATCCATTTCCTTTAGGTGGTCGCACAATTGAGATGCATGGCGAAACGGTATCGACATGTACTCTAAAAACGGAGGGCAAATTTTCACCATGGTTCAGCTCGTAAGAGAGGTTACGTGGGAGACACCGTGGGAGTTTGAGGGTTAGATCCTCGGAAATCATTTGCATCAAAGGTCAATTTTGCCGTCAACGAGAATAATTGCTCTGGAATCGCGTGAAAGTCGAGCTATATGTGAATGGCATGCCAAACATGTCTGTGCCATTTCGGGGAACCCACTTTACCATCGGAGAAGCCCATGCGTGATGCCACTCATCTCGGAACCTGTCCGTCCGTAAACCTGTATGGTCCAGTACTTGTGTACTTGTTGAGGCTCGCAGCGACAGGGTTCGCGAGCGAGAATATTCTGGAAGTGATGTCGGGTGATAAACAAGGTGACGGGGTTGCATTGAGGGTCCCGATTGATAGGCTCCAGGTGGTGGTGAAGCTCGGGGTAATTCAACGCAAATTGACCACATCCAAATACAGTATGGATATCGAGCGGGTGGTTTGACTCTTACGTCAGATGCTCTGTTCAAACACGTTCTTTTCGCGGAGCCACGACCGTGTGAGATAAGACGCGGATCCGTTCCGGGACCGTATTTTACATCTGATTTTCGAGATTCGGGGAGCGACGGTTTCATCACCATGCCGTCGGCATGTTCTACGGCCAAGGATCTGGGGGAGCTGGGGAGCCATCCAAGGTCTGGCAAGGTGTGTCGACGGTGAATTGTTGGCCGGACTTGCAGCTCGTTGAGCTGTACTTCAGGCGCAGGCGGCCGCAGCGTAAGTCTGCTGCTCGGTGATAATGCAGACGCAGCAACAAATGCGCAAAACGGGCGACAGCTCACCTCGACACAGTTTTGGTCAGGTTACAAAATGGATGATGGGATGCCGGCAAGTTTCTCGGTGAGAGGAGTCCGACCCCTGCAGCGCCACCGACCAGGGCAACTTGACATGGACAAGCTGAGGCTACGTCGCCAATGCACGTAAATTCGGTAAAAGGAGAAGCACTGTTTGATACGTACCGTGGCCCAAGACGCTCACCTCGCCCGGGTTTATATCGTCGACCCAGCTGAGGCCAGCTCCCGGATGGCGGTGCGGCGTCCCGGTCCACTCACAGCGCCGGGGAGCAGCAAACCCAGGTCGAATCGGCCGGTTATTTGGGAGCAAACGGGCAACGGTCGACGGCCGCTCGGGTGTTGATGTAGGCGCAGCCGCTTTTGGAGTGGCCGGGGGAAGTGTGTGTGTATGGTGGCTTGGGTTCGCTGGCCTGGGATTCCTGGCTTGGGATTCCTGGCTTTGTTGGTGACGCTTCTGCATTGCCCGTTGCCCGTTGCCGTTTTCCCTTATTCCCTCTCGGTGAATCCGAGCCAAGGATTTCCCCATGGGACGGTCGATGAGCTGCAGTCGTACCCATCCGCCACCCACCTCCATGTAGCTACATCGTCATTGATGCGGGGGGCAGAGGCGGGAGGTTCGCCTTTCCCATGCAAGTGCGGCAGCCCAGACAAAACAGACGCCGGCTCTTGAAGGCGACTACAGCCCCAGAAGCATAATGTTGTTGAGTCGACGGGTACAGTACGAATACCCGTAATCTTTGGTTGCCGGCAAACCCCTTCCCCCTTTTGTGCCCATGACGACGGTCGAAAGGACCGAGGGCTACGACGGGATCAGGGGATAGGGCCATGGTGGCCTGGGGAAGAAGGCCTGAGCTTCTCATGAGGTGACATGTCCGCTTCCAGCACCCGCTGCGGATGCCAAGATTGGGCAGCTTTTTGATCGCTGACCTGCTACTGGTGTAGCTGTCTCCCGGAGGCTGTCCGTGGGTGGGGGGAGCAGCACGAACCCCTCGCTTGGGACGGTCTGGAGCAGGCAGATCGAGGCTTCTTCACCTGTTGGGAATCCCGGCATGTCGTCTTGTCGCCTTCGGTGGCTCGGTGGCCCGGTGGACGTCGCAGCGTGGGCAGAGCGGGAGCCCCTGGGTTGGGTCCTGGTCCATCTGCTTCCTTTTCCCCTCGGGACGGCTTGGGTTCCCATGTGTTGAAATACCCGCTCCCTTTCAGTCATCTTCCTTCCCTCTCCGTTTCTCTCCTCGACCAAACCCTCTCGTTCTCGCTTCTTCTCATTCATCTCCGGCTTCCCTCCTCTAAGACACAGTAAGCTTGGACTCTCGGCTTTCTATAGCCCTGTGATACTTCGTCTCTTGCCGTCTAACACTCATCGTCAGCATCTGTCATAACATCACCCTCTCGTATCCGTCCTCACTTACGCATCTCTTCTCTCTTCCATCCCCTCTCCTCCACCTCTTAACCCCAAGCCATCCCTCCTAAGCAAAAAGCAACCGCCAAAGATGGTCTCTCTTCCCACAGAAATGAAGGCTCTCCGGTACGTCTGCCCTTCTAGTAGGCACTGGCCACCCTAGATATACAAACGTGGCCGACCTATCTATCAGGGTCGCCCCACGTTTGTATTCCCATGACCGCTCCGCTTCGACAGATAAGACCACTTAGTCCTTTGCGTGCTTGGGTTGCTGACATCGTCTCCACGTGTCCAGGTATGAGAAGCCTGAAGATTTCTCCATCGTGACAGTCCCCTTGCCGTCGATGCGAGACAATGATGTTCTCGTTCAGGTTAAGGCTTGTGGTGTGTGTGGAACTGGTAAGTTGAAACTGTCTCTCGGGCAAGCAAGGTGTTTAAGTAGCTAACCCGTGACGGTAGATCTGGTGATTACTCATTAAATTGATCACGTTTTGGAAGCCAGGGGCTGACAGTGCTACTAGCACATCCACGAGGGTGAATTCATCGCTAAGTTCCCGTTGATCCCCGGACACGAGACTGTCGGTGTGGTCGCTGCCGTTGGCAAGGTTGGTGCTCTGATGTGCTTCTCACTTCCGTCTCTAACTCAACTGTATAGGATGTCAAGGGTTTCGCCGTTGGTGACCGTGTCGCTGCCGACAACAGTGAGCTCTGCAATGAGTGCTTCTACTGCAGACGCGGACAGCCTTTGCTCTGCGAGAACGTCAGTAATCTATCTCCACTTCGGAGTTCCGAGTGACAATATTGACATTTTTAGTTCAATGCCCACGGTGTCACCATGAACGGCGGCTTCGCCGAATACTGTGCCTATCCCGCGGCCAAGGTCTTCAAGATCCACAACCTCTCATGGGTGGATGCCACTCTCCTTGAGCCCGCATCTTGTGCGTGTCACGGTCTTGAGAAGATTCGCCCTAAGCTGGGCTCACACGTTCTCATGTTTGGTGCTGGTCCCACTGGTCTGGTATGTCTTTGCTCTTGACTCTTCGTCCACGTCGCCCTTCGCTAACAAGACTCCAGATGCTTGCCCAGCTCCTGCGACAGAATGGTGGCTGCAAGGTCACCATTGCTGCTCCTGGCGGTCTGAAGATGGACTTGGCCAAGAGCCTTGAAGCCGCGGATGAATATCTGGAACTCTCTCGATCTGACCCCGCGAAGCAGTTTGCCAAGTTGAGAGCGGAGAACCCCTATGGATTCGATATCGGTGAGTTCTAAAGGTGAAAATTGCTGGCTCGGTGCTGACATATCCTAGTTGTTGAGGCCACTGGCTCGGTCGGTATCCTTGAGGACTCCATCAACTATGTCCGACGAGGCGGCACTCTGGTCGTCTACGGGTATGTCTTGGCTTCGCATTCATGATGGTAGCGCCCGTGTGCTCATTGATTCCACTCTAGTGTCTATTCCAACGCCGACCGGGTATCCTGGCCCCCATCCAAGATCTTTGGTGACGAGATTACCATTCTGGGGTCATTCTCAGAGACATACATGTTCCGTAAGTCGTAAATAATCTCCCCGTATTATTCTGGTGCTAACTGCGATACGTAGCTGCCACTATTGACTACCTCGACTCCGGCAAGGTGAAGACGGCGGGCATTGTGAACAAGACATTCAAGCTCGAGCAGTTCGGCGAGGCCCTGCAGAGCATCAAGGACAAGACTGCCATCAAGGCCGCTATTGTCTTTGAGGACGAGACTCCTGAGACCAACGGCGTTTCTGTCCCCGAGGTCGAGACCAATGGCGTTTCTGTCCCTGAGGCTGAGACCAACGGCATTTCTGCCCCTGAGGCTGAGACTAATGGCACTTCTGTCACTGAGGAGCCTGTCAACGGCGTTTCTGTTCCCGAGGAGAAGGTCGAGGAAGTTCCAGCCGCAGAGGAGAAGTTTGAGGAAGTCCCAGTCGCAGCGGAGAAGCTTGAGGATGCTCCGGTTGCTGAGGAGAAGGTTGAGGATGCACCCGCTCCCGAATCCAAGGCAGAGGAGAAGGCCGCCGAGAAGACCGAATAAGGGCTATCAGCCTGCAACAACCTGGCCACTCACCTACCTTCATTCATGGTGTTTGGTGGCTACTACACACACTGATGGCTGCCTTGACTAGAAGCAGCCTGCCACGGTTTTACCGTACAACAATCGAATCTCAGCGGCGATGGTTCATGTACATGCACGAGGGTTATGAGGTAGACTACAGAGTATTTTTAGATTGGACATGAATGGTATTGGGATGAAATGCGTATTATGCTCCACAGTTGAACGCAATCGTGACACCAAACAGGTCAAGTCATTCTATACGGGTTTGTGCAGCTTTTCTCCTTGAGACCTGACAATAAAAGCAGTAACGGAATAGGCATCCCGCCATCACCGGGAAAGGAAATAAAGGCAAGGAAAATTGTCATAGTCGCTGAGAGGTGGCACCCGGTTCATGCTCCTCTTCAAATGTGACCTAGTGATCTTTAGGATGAAGATTGGGAGGAAACACGTTGGAACTAGTTAGCGGGTATATTGCAAGTGTGGTCCCTTTGCGGATGGCCAGCCTGCAATTAACTTGAGAGTTAGCCACAAGCCGCTATACCAAAGGCTAGGGTTGCCCGAAAGGCGGGGCCGGAACTCCTCGACCTCCGTGACGGATCCTTGATCACGGAGCCGTCAAAAGTGGAGACGCGCTGTATTAGTGCCTTCGAGACCCAGGTTGCGGCAAAGGCCAGGAAGCGGGATCGTTCGAGATAAACTGTGGAGGGTCCATTGCCATTATTTTTAATATAGCCTTGAGCAGTAGTATGTTCTGCTATTTTTCATTTGGTAAGAGGCATTATTGCTAAAGGGGGGAAAGGAGATTAATGGTGGTAATAGGATGAGGGAGAAATCGTACGAAGGGATGTCCTCCATTTAAATGGCCTCCCAGCCTATAGTAACCTGCATCGGTATAGAGGTCATGTCAGTCCGCATTTTGATTCCTGAATTGTAATTGTTGGTTTCATGATACAGCCCCCACCCAGCGTCTTGCAGCAGTGTTGAGATTGCCAGGAATAGTTCGTTTTGATTATATGAAGTCTAGGCTTGGCCAGTATGAATGGGATACATCTGACGTTGCACCGACGCTGCACATCAGTCCGCCATTTCGATGGCCTTTTCGGTATAGCAGGTGTACAGGTGGCGGTTTAATATTAATAGGACAGATAAGCAGTTAAATCCACATACGGGTACCACAGGTTGCAAGCATTTTACCATAAGAGTCCTAGCACAAACTCGAATGGTATCAAGCCTCCGTCAGACACCAGGCGACGAATCAGACTTGTGAGAATGATGCAAATGCTAGATGATGCGGTCTGTTATTAGGTAGTAACCCGATGGGCTTGGCTTTGTGGGACTCAACTCAGCCTCAGTCTCACTGCAGCGACATGTCGATTCGATGCCCACCTCTTTTAATCCAACGTCTAAGCCGCCATGGAGCTGACATGAGACGAGATGATCACATTTGTTCTCAGTCCAGCCGGACACATTTATTTGCAGTTGGACCAAAGTCCAACACAGTCAGCCCCACCATCAACCTGCACGCGAATCTTGGCCCATGCCAGCCGCCATGTCTTGTTGGTTCCATGGGAATTGCACCACATTCAGCGCTCCAGCATCCTGCATTCCCGCGGCCGCCAGCCGTTGCACGCAAGGCGCATCCTGAGGCCTCGGGCACTGATTATCGTCTCCTTACCGCCCGAGGTGCATGATGAACCTCAAGCTACCGGGAAATGTCGCTGTCATGTGCGGCATGGTGCCGCGCCTGGGCGTACGATGCACCATGCCATGTGCAGTGCGCCCGTTGGCACAGCCGTTCTTGGTCCGCGCCGCCCCGACGGAAGATGATCCGCGTGAGCAGTCTCCCGCGGCCTGTTAGTCGCTGTGATCTGCGTGTGTGTGTGTGGGTTTGTGGATGATGATTGCCTGCAGGCTGGGGTATCGGGGGATTGAGGCAGGGCATATATCAAGACGGCCATCAGCACGAGCTCAGCTCAGATCCTCCTGAGATGATCCTACATTGAATCTCACTCTAACTTGGCGTGCTCGATTGTTTGCTCTCTTGCTCGCTCTCGCACCTACATCTCGCCCTTCCACCGCCTCGCTGCCTGCTCTTGTTTCTATTTCAGGTCACTTTGTCACGCATATGCTACGCTCAAGAGCCACCAGCCTTCCAACCGCAGTCTCCTCATCTCCTTTATCTTACTCGTACAATTGGCATCCCGGCGCCTTGCCTTGAGCCTATCGCAAGGAATCGCCGAGAAACGGCCCTCGAGTAGGGCAGCAGCATTATCATCATGAACGTCGCCGACTCAGCCCTCTTCAAGGAATATGCTCGGCCAGTCCTTCGACCCGAAACCAGTAGTATTCCTGGCCACTCACCGCCCGGCATCATGTCTTCCGTCCTCCAACGCCTGGTCAAACCCTCCAAGCTCGAGGTTTCGAGGATCAGCATTGCCTATGTTTCAGATGGGTAAGCACGGTGATTCGGTTCGACGGCCAACATCGTAGGCTGATTGTGTTTGTAGAGCCTTCATCCTCACCATCGAGAGCCGCGTGACCGGCACCGGACCTATCAACAGCACCATCAGTCCAATGGTCCTCGACCTCACCTTCAATGGCTTCGCGTTCGGCAAGCTGCCACTTCCCGAGGTTCGAACGGGGTTCTGGGGGACCAAGATAGTAGTACAGGAACAGAGGATCGCCATCACAGACATGGCCATCTATCGGGCCTTTGTGCGGAGCATCATGGTTGACGATGACACCAACTTCCAGCTCGAGAACGGGTCGTGCACTATCCGGGCCCTGGGCCTCACGGCGCACTGCAACTACAACCTCGACATAGCGATCCAGGCGATGAAGGGCCCGCGGGTGACTCTGCGGGAGCTGTCGCGCTCGGGCGACGACGGCATCGCGGTAACGTTTCGGATGCACAACCCCAGCCCCGTGGAGCTCGACCACGGCGTCTGCACATTTGAGCTGCGCAACGACAAGGGCCAGCGCATGGCAGAGCTGAGGGGAGAGTTGAAAATCGCCCGGGGCCAGTTCGACTTGTGTCTGCATGGGACGACGCGGACGGGGGTGGCGCCATCTGACAAGGTCAGGTTGGTAGGAGTCGGTGTAGACGGGAGCTCGTGGTGCAACGACTTTGATGCTGTCATGGACATGAGGCCCAAGTTTGCGGGGCTGCTCCGGGGATGAGATGATATGACGATTGATATGACTCGGACGATTTGGGATTGGGGCAGGTTTTCTTTACCTTTTAGTGTTTACCCTTTTTTTTGGCCTTGGAATGTTGTTTTCGACTAGAGGCGTTGTAAGGTACAAATGATATATCTCTGGGAATCAATTGCGAGCAATCCCGATTTTTTACGTTCTCAGCTAAGCACACGCTTCATTGAGACATGAGATGCCACACGCCACGAGGTTTAAAAAAATAAACTAGACAACTAGCAATACTTAAGTAGCCGATACGAGGTTTAACAGGATATTGTGCATCGATACGATGAATGCTTCCGCAATCCAACGTCGATTCCGGAAAACCCGAACGGTATAGGGTAGCCGCACCAGCAACAATGGGTACCTTGGAGACGGGAGCTAATTAACCACCAACCGTTCCATTGGCGCCGCGGCGGGGCTAAACTTGGGTGACAGCCTGCTGCAGGCCAGTACCATTGGCAGCAAGGTACCATTTTGGCGTGTTTGGCACTCGCCCGGCAGCCCGGCAACTTGGGGGATTGCGGGGGCTACATGGTAGCTGGAGCGCTGTTCGGGACTCGGGACTTGGGTGGGAAGTTGGATTAGGATTAGCATCAGGTACCGGTACTCAGGCAAGGCACAATCATGGACGGTAAGCCGTGCAGCAAACTAATAAGTTAATTAATACATAGCCGTGTGGGTTGCATTCGTCTCCCGCCGTTTGGTTCATTTGGGTTCGGGCACGCAGCCGCCAACTTCGGCCGCTGGTATTGATTGCATTGGCCATGAGATTCCATTGGTATTGGCATTTTCTTAGGCATTTTCTGGCATTGACGGCCGTGTCCAAGGGGTAGGGGACCCGCTGTCCGCCGCTCTTCTCTCGCCGTGACCTGAATCCATTATCAGGTACCCATGGAGATGTGCATTTCAGCCAGAGATACTGTGCTCCGTAGGTACTCGACGATGCTCCCTACACGGCGGCCACATATGTAGTCCCCCTTGGCCGTGATTCGCCCTCCCGGTATCAGCTAACAGAGCCCTGGTTGCGTTAGTGAGCAACATGGGAAGAGGCCAGCGTGAATACGAGATGCGACGTCACAGCGACCTCTATTTTGGCACTATCTCCATCTCCATCTCCAGTCGACGGCTCGTTCTTTCGTTCTTTATCGGCCGCTTCGTCTCTGTCGTGCCACGACTTGCCGTCTTTGGTTCATCCGGATCCCCAACTGTCCATTGCCGCTACGCCATTCCTCCTGCGGCGCCACTGGAACTCCCGGGCCCCCCTTGTTGGCGGTGTAATCAGTACTGACGGCTCCAGGCTCGTCCGCCACCGCATCGCCAAGTCTCGATTCGTATGCCCAGCGCCTGGGCTGATCTGGGAAGTGCAGGGGAGTGAACGGGAGGGAGCCAGATAACTTCCCAAAGCCCCCCCCCCCCGGCCACATGATATTTGACGTGTTCGACTCGCGTTGCGTACTCTGTACATACTGCGTCCTATTAGTGGTGTACGGTTGACAGCGTGCTGCCAGTGTGAGACTACGTCTGTCGCACACGACCATTATTACCAGTTCCAGCATTCGGGCTGTGTTTCACCACCGCAGCCACAGCTGTCCCTGCGTTCGTCTTTGGCGTTGCTGTTTCTTTCATTGCCCCCCGGGCGTCAGCTTCGGCTTATTCAACAGCTGAATCGTTGACGAGGCGGAATTGGTCTTGGATAAATTTTGGGCAATTTTATTTTATCTAGGGAGCCCTGCCCGGTGCAGTTGCCACCGCTGCCGCTGTCGCCATCGCCATCACCAACTCTCAACCCGAGCATCGCGAAAGCGAAGCCGAGACCAAAGTCAAAACACCAAAGGCCAGGAGCGTCCCGTGACGTAGGTCCTGATCAGTGGCAATGGCTCCCTGGTCCAGTCGTCGTGGGTCCCAACCCAGCAACCACTCCTCCAGTGACCTCATCAGTCGCATTCACCACTCCGCCCTGAATACATCCGCGACGCTGTCCCCATCCCTCGGCAGCCGCTTCGACATCTCCAATGCCCACGCCGATTCCAGCGATTCCGACGCCGACTTCCACGCCGAACACTCGCGCCTCAAGGCCCGCCGTCCGCAACACTCGCGCTCTATGAGCCAGCCCTTTCCCTCGCTCTTCAGCGGCAAGAAGAAGAAGAGGCAGAGCTCCGTCGGCGGGCTGCCGCCCGACCTGGGCTTCGTCGACGATGACGCCGTTCTGCCGCCGCCGCCGCGACCGACCACCAAGACGCACACCCGTGGAGGCCCCGCTGGGAGCAAGGACTTCGCGACTGGGAACTGCATGACGTGCGGGTCGCTCGTGCGGTGGCCGAGGGACCTCAAGGTCTTCAAGTGCACCATTTGTATGACCGTCAATGACTTGGAACGGCAGACCGCCGATAGTCAAGGGAGTGGAGGGTCGAGATGGCGCCGTGATGCGTCCCAGGGTCCGTCGAACGGCGCCCAACCAGCTCCATCACGAGGTACGCTTCTCTCATTATAAGTGAAGATCTGTTACTAATGTCAAACCCAGTTCAATACATTTCGGTCGAACATACGAGAAGACTGGTCCATCAATGCATCCATTCACACTTGACCAGGAAACTTGGCTCCACGCCGGCACGTGCCCCCGAGAACCCGACCGCTCCACGAAACATGCTCTCTTTTGGCAGCCGAATACAAGCCAATGACCATGGGCTCAGACCTTCAGATGCAGGCCAAAACGGTGTCACGTACGGCACATCGCCTTCCATACATATATCTCAGCACTTATTCGACGAAGAGCCAACCCTGCGAGCCAACCCTTTGCGCATGAATTCGGAGCCTGTGAGACGACCGCACTCGACGTCATACCCGGAAAGACCTTTGGTACAATATGGATCATTCGATGACAAGCCGAGAGCACACCAGAGATCACTCTCGAGGAGTCCCGACGACGGCCCTAAGAGGATCTTCAAGCCACTGGAGGATTACATAATTGCCTGTTTCGGTACATTCGAGTGTGTTAATTCGTCCTTTATGGCTCATCATCTTCGACACACTTCGAGGGTAGGAAGCGAACCGGTTCGAAGGAAACCGGTTCCATCTGTTCCACCGGTTCCACAGCGTGAACCACCTCGAGTCCCCCAAGATGTACATGAATCTCGAGAGCCGCGCGACCAGCGAGAACAACCCAATCCAGATGCTGTAGCGTGGGATCTTGACCCCAAGCTACTGCTTCTGGGTGATTTTGCCGAGAATGGTACTTGGTGGACTGGCGGGCAGGAAGAAGTCGCGCCTCCTATAAAGACACCACCAATTCGCAGCGAAACTGGTCCTGTTAAGCCATCTGTCAGCACCAGGTCTCCTCAGATTAACTGGAGTGACGTAATCAGCTGGTATTCCGTGGTCACCAATGTTGCAGAAGGGTGGTTTAATGTTTACGAGGAGCTGTCTCGAGGAGAGGACTTCAAAGGCTCAACCGACCAAGAACTGCAGATGGTTGAGCGCGACTTGTTGCACGCGCAGGACCATTGCCGAAGGGTTTTACTCAAGGCAACGGAACTGCTCCTTAAGCGACCAGGACGACCCTTGAAAGACGCAGCGGATTTGCGCTTCCTCCTTATTATTCTGGAAAACCCCCTCCTACATCGAGATCATCAACACTTCCGCGGAGTACTTCAACTTGACACCGAGTCCTCTGCCGCAGAGAAGGAAGCCTCCCAGTCAAAGAAATCCACTAAGCCGGAATCCGGCCCCTTATCTGGCCAACACTCAGGAATCATCAAGCGCATCCTCGGCTTGATGTCGAACTCGTCAATCGAGTGCCACAACCAACTGATTACCTGGTTTGCAAAGTATCAATTGGCACGCTTTGCGAAGACCAAAGAGTTGGCATCGGATTTTCTCACATACCGTCTGTTGCGTCAAAGTGAGAAGAAACCAGAAGTTGTCAAGGTGGACATAACTGCTGGTCTTGTCCCACAGATGCAAGAGGGTCGGTCAGGGGCATACCTATATGACGAAATTGGCCCAACAAGCTCGTCAAAGAAGCCCAAGGAATCTGTCAAGAAGATTGCGTATAGTGAAGACTGGCAGATCAAGGCGTCGTCTCGGCTCCTGGCATTGCTGTTCGCGGCAAACAATCTGCCTCATGTGCGACGTGGAGACGAGGGGTCGTCGAGCGCCAATGATAATCTTGGTGCCGTTCGAGATGGGGTTTATGCCCAGGGGCAGATGCTTCCAACGAGCGATTTCTACAACTCGATGATCGACTACGCTGACCTCGTGGCTGACTTTGAGAACTGGGAGGCAAGGAGGGGCAAGTTCTCCTTCTGCCAATACCCCTTCCTTTTGAGCATCTGGGCCAAGAACCGTATCCTGGAGTATGATGCTCGTCGTCAGATGCAGAGCAAAGCACGTGATGCTTTCTTTGACAGTATCATGAGTCGTAGAAGTGTCAACCAGTTTCTGGTGCTCGACGTGCGACGAGATTGCTTGGTTGATGACAGTCTCCAGGCTGTGAGTGAAGTTATAGGCAGCGGTAGTGAGGACATCAAGAAAGGACTTCGTATCGTCTTCAAGGGCGAAGAGGGTGTAGATGCTGGCGGTTTGCGAAAGGAATGGTTCCTCCTCCTCGTCAGAGAGGTTTTCAATCCCGATCATGGTAAGAACAGAGTTTTGAAGAAGTGCTGAGGCTGTTACTAACCCTTTATTTAGGGATGTTTCTGTATGACGAGGACTCGCAGTACTGTTACTTCAACCCGAACGCATTCGAGACCTCGGATCAATTCTTCTTGGTTGGTGTAGTCATGGGATTGGCCATTTACAACTCAACCATTCTCGATGTGGCTCTCCCACCATTTGCCTTCCGCAAGCTCATTGCGTCTGCCCCTACGCATGGCACGGGCGCATCCGCCCATCCTAGGCCAGCGATGCGCTATAACCTCGAAGATCTGGCCGAATACCGTCCAAGATTGGCTCGTGGGTTACGACAACTATTGGAATTCGAGGGAGATGTAGAGGTAACCTTTTGTCTCGACTTTGTCATTGAAACGGAAAAGTACGGCACCAATGTCCAAATTCCCCTCTGCCCTGGGGGTGAGCGCATACCGGTAACGAATAGCAATCGACGAGAGTACGTGGACCTTTACACGAGGTACATTCTTGATGTTGCTGTGACGCGACAATTCGAGCCGTTCAAACGGGGATTCTACACCGTTTGCGGAGGCAATGCACTGTCTCTGTTCCGGCCCGAGGAGATTGAACTCCTTGTACGAGGCTCCGACGAAGAACTCGACATCACCTCTCTGCGAGGTGTAGCCGAGTATGATAACTGGGGTAGCAAGAACCCAGATGGTTCTGAACCTGTTATCAGTTGGTTCTGGGAGACATTCCAGGCCGCTACCCCCGAGGACCAGCGAAAGCTGCTCCTTTTCATCACTGGCAGCGACCGAATCCCTGCCATGGGTACCGCACTCTTGCCTATCAAGATCTCCTGCCTTGGGGATGACACGACCAGGTTTCCTATGGCTAGAACGTGTTTTAATTTCTTGTCTCTGTCGCGATATGAGTCCAAGGAGAAGCTGGAGAAGATGCTGTGGACAGCTGTTCACGAGAGCGAAGGGTTTGGACTAAAATAACTGTTTTCTTGACGACATGACGACTTGGCATTATTTTATTGGAGTTTTGACCGGGTGGCCGTGGGCTGCAGATATAGATAGATATGCATCCGATATTCGGGCTGTGCGGACAACTTCATGGGTTAGCTTGATACCCATTGGCGAGAGTATATTGCGAAGGGATGTTTGTAGCATCGTGTAAGAGTTTCAATGCTAGACTTGAGATGAAAGAGGATTCAACGTGCGGCCTCTCAGGGACGTTTAAAACCGCATGATGTGTGAAACATATCAATGTAGATGGTATTGGTTTCATGTTCCCAACTGGTACACTGCCAGATATATGGCACCGAGTAATACAGGTCTATTGTACAGCCTCGCCTCACTTCCTCTTTTACACCTCTTCCTCCTCAGCAACGCCGCCCGCAGCTCGGGCGCGCTTGAGCATCTCCTCCTCACGCTTCTTCTCTTCGCGCAAGCGCTTCACACGGTCGCGGTCGACGTCGGCCTGCTTGCGCATGGCCTCGAGCTCCTGTAGCTCGCGGATCTCCTCGGTGGTGGGGTGAATGACCACAGCCTTTGTCTCAGCCAGGATGAACTCGAGGATGTGCGACGAGTGCTTCTTGGTCATGTCGATGGTGACGACACGCTCGTCGGCGTCCGGCGTGGGCACCTGCGAGAGGTTGTCGCGTGACGAGGCCGGCTGGCTGCGGAGCTCGGGGGCGGCGCCGGCGTCGGGCTTGCGCAGAAAGATGGACAGGGTGGGCTTTTGGGAGTTTTGCGTGTGGCGGTTGACGATCATGGGGATCGAGGGGTTGTGGTACTTTAGTCGGGGGAGGTTCTCGAGCCAGAACTTCCTGTGGTTCGGCGGTGTTAGACTTGTAGGTTGGATATCGTGGGGCGATATTGGACTGACCTGGCGCCCATGTGGCCTCCATTTAAGGTCCGGGCGAAGTCGAGGTGGATTCTAGTAACCTCGGCGGGGAGGATTGCAGCACCGGGGCCGCATCGTACGTTGATTAGCTGTGAGGCGTGAGCATGACGGAGCTGGTGATGGCCTGGTGTCGAGGAGTTTCTACCTTCTGTGGGACCTGTTAGCATTGCTCTACGCGGGGGCAACGGTTCTGTTGGCGAGTCAATTGACGTACCTTGCGAAGCAAATTTAGCCGTTCTCCGAGAGACCTCATTTTGAGAAGCTGAGCGCCAATCCAAGCGGCGTTGCCAATTCTCCCGATCTGAGGCTCTGGCCGTTCTTCGTCAGTCGCAACGCCTCGAAAAGTCGAGCCGGGGACCCAGAAAATCCGCTAGACCGCTGCGTGAGGTTTAGCGGGCCGAACGTTGACCCGGGCTCGGTGGGAGTGGAGCCCTCGATGGAGGGGCCTTGTCGCGTCCCGCGCCGTGGAGTCCAGGTACTTCCATGTAAGTGGGAAATTTTTGGACCGACACTTTTTTAGCGACCAGACTTTCGAGTTGAAGCGTCTCCGTTGCGACAACGAAAACGCAATGCATCGGGCTTTGACAGCGCGGTGGCTCAACCGAGCATTGAGCATCGGCGAGGCTTCTGCCTCTACTGGCGTGCCCCTGTTTCTGTGTCCCGCCGTGGGAGCTTCTGCCCGCTGGAGGACATCTCTTTTAGCTGCGTCCCCGCGGCCGGCCGTCTACTCTCCGCGACTGAACCACACCGAAGCGACGACAAACGATGCGCCTGTTCCCACGTCTACGCCGACGCCTACGCCCAGCCTAGAAGAGGCTACGTCCAAAGATGCTCTGCCCCAGAGGAGACTCCCAATGAACTGCACCGGCTGTGGTGCCTTTGCGCAGACCAGCGACCCGGAGCTGCTCGGATACTTCGACTTGGAGAGCAAGAGGGTGAGGAAATGGCTGAATCCCCGCGTCTCTGAAATTAAGCTCAACGAGAGCGAGGAAGATGGAGTCGTGGACGAGGCGCTCAAGTCTATGGACCCCAGCAAGCTGCAAGAGCTGGGACTTGACCCTTCGATCCTGCTGCCGACTGGAGAGTCGGAGGGTGCTGCCATGGCTGGTAAGTTCTGTTCGAGGCATGACAGACATGACGCCAACTAATTATCGCAATTGCAGCACTTGTACCCGATAAGCAGCCTATATGCGACCGATGTCATAACCTGCAGAACTATAGCACGACCAGCAGCACAGCCAAGGTACCTATGCACCACCCAACCGTCGAGTCGCTGCGCGAGACGATTGAGGAGTCGCCGCACAAGTACAACCACATCTACCACATCATCGACGCCGCCGACTTCCCCATGTCGCTACTGCCGCGGCTGAACGTGCTGCTGGGCGACATCCCTATGCGAACTCGCAACCGACGCTCGCGGGCGGGCAAGTACATAAAGGATCGCAAGACGGAGCTGAGCTTCATCATCACGCGGAGCGACCTGCTCGGCCCGACTAAGGAAATTGTCGATTCGATGATGCCGTACCTGCGGGAGGTGCTGCGAGATTCGCTGGGACGTCTTGGTGGGCGGGTGCGTCTGGGCAACGTCAGCTGCGTCAGTGCAAAGCGAGCGTGGTGGACCAAGGATATAAAGGACAATATCTGGAAGCGGGGAGGCGCGGGCTGGATGGTTGGCAAGGTCAACGTTGGGAAGAGTCAGCTGTTTGAGGCTGTCTTCCCGAAGGGTAGGATGGGCACTATTAAGGATGCGGAGCAGACCTCTTTCCGGGGCGCCATCAAGTCAGAGTTGGCCGCAGCACAAGAGGACGAAGCCGACCCTTGGGAGGATGTGGATGTTGGGGATCTGCTGCCGCCTCTCCAACCTGCAAAGAACTATCCCGATATGCCGCTCGTCTCGTCACTGCCTGGCACAACCGCATCGCCAATCCGAGTTCCCTTTGGCAATGGCAAGGGTGAGCTAATCGACTTGCCGGGCCTGGCTCGGAGCGACCTGGAGCTATTCGTCAAGGAGGAGCACCAACAGTCTCTGATCATGAAGAAGCGAATAGTGCCTGAGCAAATCTCACTGAAGCCGGGCAAGTCCCTGATTCTCGGCGGAGGACTGATTCGCATCACCCCCAAAACACCCGACATGGTATTCCTGGCCTACAACTTTACGCCTCTGGAAGAGCACCTCACCCAGACGGAAAAAGCTATCGATTTCCAGCAGCAGATACGGCAGTCGCCTGGTGTCCCGAGCATCGCCCTGGATGGCATTGGCGAGAAAATGAAGCACGCCGGGACGTTTAAGCTGAACCACGACGTGACGAGGAGGAGGGCAGGGCCCTTGACGAGGAAGAGTGCAGTTGGGCTGCAGGTTGATCGCCTGCCATTCAGGGTTCTGTCGACCGACATCCTGATTGAGGGTGTTGGATATGTCGAGTTGGTCGCCCAGGTGCGAGCCCGAGATGTCGATGTTCCCGCGGCCCCTGTGCGCCGAGTGCGCCGAGTCAGATTCGTCGAGGAGAAGTGGGAAGAACCACGCAAAAGCTCTGATCCCTTTGCCGCCCTCATCAGCGAGCGAAGGGACTCAAAGGAGACGAAGAAGAAGACGGTGGACAAGCCAAGGTACGAGACGATTGTCGAAGAGCCTGTGGAATCTGCGCAGCCCAACTGGCCAGCTGTCGACGTCTTCAGTCCCGAAGGCCGGTTTATCGATTCACGCATGCCCATCAACGGGTGGCTGAATAATAAGCCGCGGGTGCTGGCGCAACACAAGAGAAGCCGTCCGCGTAAGAGCATGAAGGGAGAGAAGAAGAAGGCCAAGGAGGAGCGACGCTCAGCTTCGGACTGAGGATGTTGGACATGTACTAACCGATCAATGTAAACGACACTTATGTACTATATAGAGATAGACTGTACGAACAACCCTGTGACGAAAGACAAAAACTACTCATGAATATTTCCGAATCGTCTTTTTGTCCCATTCAACCAACACACGACTATTCGTCTGGCCTGACATTGTTTCGGTGGTCCAACCACACAAGCCAGACGGCTGATTGACAAGATGTGCCACAATGCAGAGGCAATTCGGGAATGGAAGAGGGAGCATAGAAGTGCCTAGACTTATATAGATACCGCTTACAAGTTGCTCAGAAATGGAAAGGACTATCTCTATTCCCAGATTCCGTGGCGACTTTGTCCCATGTGAGATCGCCACTGGTGCCTGCCTGCATGTCAGGTTACCGACAGGTCATGATACGCGGGGCAACTTATTTAGCAGCTTTAGCGACCCCAGAATTTCTGCCCCTCCAAACCCAACCAAACCGACTGCAACTTCAGACGACACTCTTTTGCCCTTTTGCGTCTGATTTATCATCACGAGTGTGGTTTTAGACAGCACCGGCTCCGAGCATTCGAAAATAGCGACAGGAATTACAGTACGGAGCAGGCCAACCGACCGCCAACACAGCCATTCCTCCCTCCTCTCCACAGGGCCGTAGGGATTCACCGATCCGTCATGTCCCAACGACAGCAGCAACAACAGAGTGCACCGGCACCGTCTCAGACCCAGACGGAGCAGGCGACGAAAGCCCCTGAGCCCGAGGCGAGCACACCGGCGCCGCGAGTTCTTCGTCTGCGCGGTGCGAACCAATCCAATGGCCGAGCGGTGCAGTGGGCCGAGGACGTGGTAGACAACGAGGGCCTCGGGCGGAAGAGTTCCAAAGGTGAGCGACGATTGCTACCCTGCAGTTAGCCAGCAGGATTCTAATCTGATTTGGAACATAGTATGCTGCATCTACCACCGACCCAAGGCAGTAGGCGAGTCGAGCGACGAGTCCTCGTCAGACTCATCCGACTCTGATTCCGACTCCGACGCCCAGCCCGACGGTGCGCGACCAGCGGGCGACAAGGGACGAGACTGCGGACATGGTCATAACCACGATCACCGACGAGGACGGAAGAGCGAGAAGGGAAAGGAAAAGAGAGCACCGAGCCCGAATGCTTACGAGAAGGTGCCCAAGCCTAAACCAAGAGATGGGGCTGGGGGGACCAAGTCTTAGGAGGTATCAGGATTGACGGACTCGGACCAAAAAAGTAAAGACTGAAAAGAGGGGAATTAATGATTATAATCAAGCATAAAGTGTTGCTGGACGGTTTTGTTGAGGTGTTTGGACAGGCTACAGGCGACAGGCGGTTTATACCATTGCAGACGAGGACTCGAGCGAGCATCATGACTATAGATAGATACAATTCGATATTCGGCATAGGGAGTGTTTCCACGGCAGCTGTTGTACAATGGGGTATAATCCGTGTTCCCGGAATCCTGAATATCCATGCATTCGGATCGTCGACGCCTTCTACAAGTGATGTATCCCACAAACAAAGTCGTCCGACTCAATCCGATCCCTCGGCCGCCTGCTTTTTCCCGCTCTGAACAACAAAATACCTACCCGCCTTCCGCGAGGCCGTCCCTAGCGCATCCCACTTCTCCGCCTCCGACTCAACCTTGTCCCGTACCCTCTTTGGCCGTTGGTAATGGCCCACGCGGGCCTCCCGCCCAAGTACGTCCTCGAGATCCGCCAAGCCAACCGTATTCTCCGCCTGCGCCTCGGGCGTCTCGTCACGGATGGCGCGCAGGGGCTCTACACCGCTGGTGTCGACGCGCTGGACCGCGCGGACGAACTGCAGCTGGCTTTGCAAGGTGGAGATCATGGCGGCTTCGGCCTCGGGCGTGGCGGGGAGCGGGAGGGCGGAGAGGCGCAGGAGGTGGTGCAGTTGCGCGGGCGTGATGGGCTCTGGCGCGGCCGAGGACGACGAGGGGAGCAGGCTGCGGATGGACCACGAGGGTTTGGAGAGGATGGAGGCGGCCAGGGGCTTGGTGGTGAGGGTTCGGGTGGTGGTGTGTTGGGGCGTGCGTGAGATGTTGGTGATGGAGCGGCGGAGGGCGAGGCGGCAGGATGTACAGAGTGCCATTGTGGGCGAGTTTGCGGCGGCGGATACCCGTGAATGGGATATTGCGGTGAGAGCGCCAGTTAGTATCCCCCACCTTCAAATAAGGAGACGGTCGTGGGTCTGAGCGAGAGTGTAGTGTTGGCGATGGCGATGGCGATGTGATGCTATGATTTAGAGTTGACGATGGATTCTATTCTTCCCTGGCAAGCTGCAAGGCGGGGTTGGTCACTGTGGCGGGCGGGTGGTTAGCGGTGCTACAGCGGGTGCCTCACTGAAGAAGCCGCCCAAGCCCCCTAACTCAGGCCCTGGTACCTCCGCCTCCCTCCGCGCCAACCGCCCTCAACCCCACCATAGCCGCCTGGCCTGCCAGCCAGATCCAAGCGTGGCTCAGGCGGCGCTCGTCGTCATACCTCAGCCCGCCAACACTCCCCTGCGAAGTTATCCGACGTGGTCGAGACATCACCCAAAACAACACCGTCGCCTCTGCGCCGCCCCTAATTCCACATCTCCTCGCCCTCCATCACCTACAACACCAGCCTAGACACAGCAATCATGGCTCAAGATCCTCGTGCCCTGCTCCAGAAGGTCCGTTTGCCCCCCTCCAACCCCTCCCCCACCTTGGCATTCCACGTTCTCCCGCCAGCTTATGGATTCCGGCCATGACCTACGGCGACTGACAGCCCCGTCTGCAGGCCCAGAAGACGCTGCAAGGCGCCGGCAGCGGCTTCAGCTTCTTCGGCGGCCGAGAGGAGAAGTATCAGGATGCCGCCGACCTCTACATCCAGGCCGCCAACGCCTTCAAGATGCAGAAGCAGAGTACGTGAGATGGTCTAATCACCCCCCCTTCCGCCGCCTCTCTGTCGCGCTGTCCTCCCACCGAGCGGAGCGGAGCTGACCACGCCTTGCAACCACAGACGTCGAAGCTGGCAAGGCCTTTGAGCAGGCCGCTCAGGTCCAGACCCAGAATCTCAAGGAGCCTGATGACGCCGCCAACAGCCTCGTCGACGCCTTCAAAGCCTACCGAAAGGACGACCCTCCGGCTGCGGCCCGCTGCCTCAACGTCGCCATCGACCGCTACTGCGCCAAGGGCAACTTCCGCCGCGCCGCTTCCCACAAGGAGAACCTCGGCGAGCTGTACGAGGTCGACCTCGGCGACAACAAGGCCGCTCTCGAGTGCTACGAGGCCGCTGCTGGCTGGTACGAGGGCGACAATGCCGCAGCGTGAGTTGATTTACCCTGGGACCTGACAAATTGCAGACGTGGCTGACATGACGCGCTCGATTCTAGCCTAGCCAACAAGCTCTGGCTCAAGGTCGCCGACCTCGCTGCAATCGACGGTGATTACTACAAGGCCATCGAAAACTACGAAAAGGTCGCCGAGCAGTCCATCAGCAACAACCTCATGAAGTATAGCGTCAAGGACTACCTCCTCAAGGCCGGCATCTGCCACCTCGCCAACGGCGACCAGGTGGCCACCCAGCGCGCCCTCGAAAAGTACAGGGACATCGACCCCTCGTTCGCCACCCAGCGCGAGCATAAGCTGCTCGTCGACCTGTGCGAGACTATCGAGGCTAGGTCTCAAGAGGATTTCGCCGACCGCTTGTTCCAGTTCGATCAGGTCAGCAAGCTCGATAAGTGGAAGACGACGATCCTGGTGCGCATCAAGAACTCCATCGAGGCGGCCGAGGACGACGACGAGTTTGCGTAAACGAGTGTCAGCGGTGGGGCTATGTTGGGAGGAGTTATTGCATGAGTGAATGAATGGATGGCTCAAAGGAACTGGAATATATCACACGCAAGCAAAGTATTGGAATTGCCTTTTTGGGAGGTTGTTCGTTGTCTTGATGGTCAAGAGAAGGGCCGAGCAGAGAGAACTGAAGTTGCCCATCAATGATTGATCCCCTTAGGATCGGAAGATGGGTCGCACATAGATAAATCACATTATGAACAACAATGAAATCGTTCAGTGATTTAATATTTTTATCCACGTTGCCAAGGAACTGCGGGTTGAATAAACTTAGAAGCATCGTGACAGCTCAGGATAATTGGGGACCAATAGCCCCAAGGGCAGCCAAAGCAACCTCGTCAACAACGCGCAATACTGCAACGAACAATGGTATTGAAATCACAAAAATCATTTTAGAGCTCAAGATGGTGGCTAAATACATGCTCCCAGATGAATCCCAAATCCTAAAGAGGGAACTATTCCACCAACCAACTTCATCATCCCAAGGTGAGACACAAGAAAAGAAACAGTAGAACCAACCACCAACTGAGAACAAGAACAGCAAGAAAAAAATAGTGGTTATCTTTATTCAGATTCAGTATTTAAGCCAATATATGATTCCCCATAGCATCCAAGTGTTCTTTTTTTGTCGTATCGGTGGATCAGACGGTCGGTCGGTTGCAACTCGTAGTTCGGCGTCGGTCGGCGTCGTGCGGCATCGTTCGGCGAGGGAAATTATGTCGAGCATCGAATCGAACCCAAGACTCCTCCTCAGGGAAACAGAGCGACCTGACCGATGGACCACGGCGCTTCTCTGCTTCCCCTAGGAGAGGGCTGCAGTAAATTACGTCAAGAAGCTGTAGCGGGTCTGAACCGTCAAGGTTGAAGGTCATGGACAAGGAAAGGCTAAATCAAGAGACAAGACAAGAACCTCGTCGGACCCCCAGCCTGGAACTTAAGACTGCCACTTGTCGTTCTTGGTTGCGGTTGTGGCACACGTCTTGGGGACCGTGTAGCTGCGGTTTGGGTCCTTTTCCCACACTAGAGTACCGCTTGCCTTGATGTTGATGTACTTATACTCAAACGACTGGCCAGCGGGGAGTGAGATCGTGACCTTCCACAAGGGATTCGCGGACGTATAGTCCGAGGCACTGAGCGAAATGGCGTTGTTGGTGTTCCAGCTGCCAAGAGCAGCGATGCTGCCGACGATCTTGATGGTGTCCCCATACTGGGTCTCGGTGAGGGAGTCGAAGGTCACAGCAACTGTAGACGCAGTGGCGCAGCTGGTAGCAGAGGAAGACGTTGAGGATCCCGTTCCTGTTGGTGATGGAATGGTCACTGTTCCAGAGATGGGCGTTTGGGATGTAGGAAACGATGTGGAAGTGGCTGACGAGTAGGACCCAACAATCGAGGTCGACTGGCAGGTCCCAGGCACCGATGGGGCGCCGCTAGCCCATGAAGGAGGTACGATGCCCGCTCGGCGAGCTGCCGCGGTGAGAAATGCAGCGTAGGACCAGGTCAAATCGTCTGCAGAAAGGGGCGTGCCGTTGCTCTTTGAGAATTGCTCAGCCAAGGACCCGTTTGTTGCGGCATACTTGGAGACAATGTTGACAAATCCATCTGCATAAGTCGAGACGGCGTTTATCAAAGTCGTGTATGTGGCCGAACTGCTGCTGTATGTACCTGTTGAAACACTGCTGGACAGATCCTTGAAGAAAGCCAGCGATGTGTCCGACACAGTGATGGAGCCAGCCTTCTTCCACACGTAGATGGCATCGTAGAGTTGTTCCGCAACGGCGAGAGTATTCAGATACCATGGGTTGCCGTTGTAGTAAACATCCTCGGAATACCTGCCAATAGAGATGGCTGTTCCTGCCGAGATGCCCTGGTTGATGGTGTAGAAACGAAAGGAGTCGACGACTTGCTTGAGGTTGGCGAGTGACCTCTGACTGCATGGTTGGAACGTAGCGTCGTCACAGTTGAGGCTTGGGTCAAAGTTATGAATGGATGCAAGGACAGTGTTTGCGTCCTTGCCTGTCCGCCCGTCGTTGACGTTGACTGTGATGGTCAGACATGGTTTAGGGGAGCCAATAGAACAAGACTTACTGTTAGCATCAATATAATTGCTAGAGGGTAACCAGAATTTTTGCAAGAAGCACAAAACCTGAGGCGCAATTGCAGAATACGAGTCGCCAGACTTTCCAAGCTGCACAGCTATTGTGTTGCCTTCGATAAGGGCTAACAGAGTAATCAGATTATATGGTTCTATGTTACGCGTTGGGTGAGACTTACCTCGATATTGACTAGCGATGGTGAAGAATGAACTGCCATTGACTTCTTCCCACAAGTCAAATCCCGTTCGGTTCCTATCAAAGTAAGACGAGTGCTCGGCCGATTAGGAAGGGCAGTAACCTACCAGTACTGGGTCACGTAGTTGAGATCGTTGCGAATAATTGGCCATAGAACATTTGAAGCTGTGGCAGTGTAGCCATTGTTCACCAGCCACTTGGCATAACCAATCATGGCAATGGCTCGAAGGGCGGGACCATCTCGCTGGGGGCGACCTTGAATGACATCAGTATTTATCCTTCATGAAGCAGAAAAGGCGGTAAGAGAACAAACTCACCCCAGCCTCCAGTAAAGGCACTCATATCAACGTTGTACTTGGCCTCCCCCAGACCCGACCCATCTGACAGAGATCCAGACGGGTTGGAAACACCCTGGAGTTTAGCTTGGGACACGATGTACTCTTGAATATGTGTCTGCAAACCAGCATCGTATTGATTGGTGAATCTCTCGACGATACACTTGAAGACGAGGGCACTGTCTCGGGTCCAAGTATAAAAGTCTGCGGGTTGTTAGCTAAATAGCACGCTTCCCTAGCGAGTTATTACTTACAGTCTGGGTCCTGCTTGTCTGGAGAAGCGATGACGATGCCGGAGGCAACACCCGACGAGTGACAGCCGCTGGCCCCGATATTGCACAAGAGTTGCTGAAGGGCAATGGGGGTTTCAAAGTTGATGAAGTCATCCACAGCCCTCTTAGTCAAGTCTCTTTCTTGGTTGAAACTTGGCAGGCCCATGACGCTCTGAAGAGCGACAGAGCCAAGCAGCAGAGCCGACGAGAAGAAGTACATGATCGGTTGAATCAAGGAGGAGGAGGAGGAGGAGGAGGAGGAGGAGGAGGAGGAGGAGGAGGAGGAGTTGTGCGAGAGGGATGATACTGCATGGCTGAGGAGCTCCATGATGGCGCTTTATATCCTTTGCCCTTGGCGGAGAGGCCTAGGAAAGAGCTCGGCTCCGGTCGTCGTGACAGCCTAATGAGGAAATCGCGGAGGCCCCATGGGGGACCAGGAAGGTGTGGTCCAAAGGGCCGAATGAGCGAAGAGCCACCGAGCTGGAACCAGGGAAGAAGAGGCCGAAGGGTATGGCGTCTGGCGAATTCCCGGGGTTGTCGTAACGAGGAAGGCTCGTGTCGGCGTCGTTAATACAGGTTCTGGGGCATCGTGGGCATAGAAACCCTCGTCGTTGGTGCACCGTCTTCTCCCGTCGTCTCGGGCCGATGTTTTACTCGGAGTGTTTACTCTTTGGGTCTCGTGCCTGGCGCCTCGTGGTGAAGAAGGCACTAGCGCAAAGGAAGCCAGGTGATGATGGGAGTGCCGGGGTGAATGGTACGGCAATGGGAGCACCGGCTTAGCTGCAGAGGGCTATAGCAGCCTGTATAAGGCAGTAGCACGTAAGTTAGGTAGCATGTACCTAGATGCAGGGAGCATTTGAAGGGAAGGTACCAAGTACATCCATGTTCGGCTGCGGAAGTGTCGAAGTGTCGAAGTGTCGAAGTGCGGAAGTGTCGAAGTGCGGAAGTGTGGGGGAAGCCTCCCTTCACATGCCGATGCAAGAGCATCCTCCCGCCGACGCTCTCCCCACATTCGCGGTTGGTTCCTTAAGTCAACCTCAACTCGTGGACGGATGGATGCGTGCAAAATCACCGACTGCAACACAACGCAACACAACACAACACAAGATGACACTGACAGGCAGGGATAGGGGCATGAGCCAGCTTGTCTTCAGCAGAACCTCATTGTTCTGTTCATGAATGGCAATTGGCTTACAACTAATTAAAGGGTAGTAGTACCGAATGCAGGTGCCTTTAACCGTACTGGCCCAGCGCTTCCAGCGCTTCCATCGCTTCCAGCACTTCCAACTTTTAGCACATGCGAGTCTGAGCGGAATGAAAGTTATGCAACCGACCAAGCAACTAACTCCTTCTTGCTGCTCAACCTCGTGATGATGCTACGAAAAGTAGCCGAAAGCAAGGTTCACAGGGACTACCAGGGACGCTATTCGCCAGCATGTAAGTCTTTAGCGACCGACGCAAATGCTGGCTCAATGCAGAGCCCATCACATCCGTCACGGCCGTGCTCAGCAGTATGTTTCTGCAAGACTCCGCTAGCCTCCGCACTCGAGTCTCCCCTGGCCAGAAAACGGCCCGCAGATCGTGCGATCTGGCAAGCCTCTGATATGCGATGGGTGACATCGTGCTCCCGAGGCTGAGGCCAGCAGAAGAGCGATGCATCATGACACGGAGAAGACATGACCGGAAAGAGATAGGCCCGAATACCTTCGGCTGCTTAGCCGACAAGAGCAAAGATTTCACCCCATTTTGACTTTGGAGGTTGCGTCGTCCCTCGCTTAAACACCAACACGCTCATTCTAACATAAAAATTTTCATCACGATACTAGGAATGTAGGCAGACCATGGTTTTCCCCAACCTCACCAACCGACGGTCTCGGAAAAGGGGGGTGGAATATAGCGTCTCTAGTACCTCCAGCTACGGACACTCAAGCCGTCTTGCGACGACGAATGAGGCAGCCAAAGGACCCGTTGTTCTTGGACCTGTCGATAGGATGATTGACACCATAACAAGTTGATGGCTCCATGGAGTTATCGAGTTGCAAAGCAATCGACCCTGACAATTAAGCAGAGGATCGCAGAGCACAGATCCGTGATATGTTAAGAAAAGAGGAATGCAGAGAATTTTCGGCGCGGCCTTAATAAAGGAAATCAGAACGCGATGTCACGTGCTTTTCGGTCTAACGCCGGGTAAATCCAACGCCACCCAGGCGTCCGCCAGGCAACATCGCGCTCAAGGTGATCCGTGCTCAGAATCCTGTTCGCTTGTCGATTGCATCTTGCCGATTGCATCTTGTCGATTGTCGCATTCGCACTCAATCTCCACCCCAGCGTCGCATACCCAGAGCCAAGATGGACGCCGCAACGGTCGAAGAGACCAACCGCATTCGCGTCTCCCTGGGCATGAAGCCTCTGCCTGTCCCGGGAGCCGATCCGTCAAGACTAGCAGTGCCCCAGCCAGACGACGACGGCGAATTACCCAGCACTCTCGAGAGCCGCCAAGCCCAGTCATACGACAACTACAAGAAAGTCAGAGATGCCGAAGACGCCAAGAAGAGGCGCGACGAGAAATCAGCCGCTATCCGGAAGGCGCGCGACCAGGCGCAACGACTCGCTGTTCTCGATGGCAAAGGACTAGGAGACGAGGACGGTGGCGACATGAATGCCAAGGACTGGCTCATGGGGCAGAAGAAGCGCCAGAAGAATATCGCCAAAGCCAGAAAGCTGGAGGAGGAGTTGGCGGCCGCTGAAGCTGCTGCTGCTGCTGCGGTTCAATACACATCCAAGGACCTTGCTGGAATCAAGGTTGCTCACGACACAGCCGATTTCCTTGATGGAGATGGTCAGATTCTCACCCTAAAGGACACGACAATTGAGGAGAATGAGGCCGATGGCGACGAACTCGAAAACCTGAACATGCGCGAGGCCGAGAGGCTGAACGAGAGGCTTGATCTCAAGAAGGGCCCAGGATACAATCCTCATGACGACGATGAGGATGGCGAACACGGTATTCTTGCCCAGTATGATGAGGAGATCAATGGCAAGAAGACCAAGAAGTTCACACTTAATGCGGACGGTGTCATTGCTGATCTCGCAGACATCCTTGAGAAACCGGTTGATAAAGCGAGAAAGCTCCAGAACGTGAGCCTCGACGACATAGTTGGTAAGCTAGACGACCCCCGCCTGTCCAGCACTCAAAATGTGATGCTAACTTGTCTCGCAAAAGATGGCCCAGTTTCTTCAGATTATTTGGACCCTTCAAAAATCAAAATCAAGAAGCCCAAGAAGAAGAAGAACAAGAGCACCAGGCAAAAGCCGGTGGATGAAGACGACATTTTCCCCTTGGAAACAGCGCCTGTCGACGACAATGCTATGGACATCGATTCAAAAGCCTCGGCCCCCAGCAAGAAGCGGAAGATGGGAGATGATGCCTTTGTGGACGACGAGGATCTTCAAGCATCGCTGGCAATTCAACGAAAGAATGCACTCAAGAAACGGAAGAAGACTCGCCCCGCAGACATCGCAAGGCAGCTCAAGGAGCAGGGAGAAGAAGACGAGCAAGCAGATGCCCAGGAGGGGGGGCTTGTCCTAGGCGAAGTTTCAGAGTTTGTTGCCGGATTGAACAAGCCTGGCGAGGATGAAGAACGAAAACCCAGAAAGCCAAGAACAGTGTCGAAGTCCGCTGAACCCGACGAGGATCATCCAATGGACGACCAGTACCGGGATGATGTTGGAGAAGCAAACCCACAAGCAAACCCACAAACATCGGCTCTGGACGAGGAGGAGACGGGTGTTGAGGAGGAGAAGACCGTAGGCGAAGGAATGGGCGCTGCTCTTGCACTGCTCAGAGAGCGCGGACTCGTCGAGGACTCTAAAGGCGGCTCCCATGACAACCTTCAAGACCGAGAAGAGTTCCTATTGAGGAAGCGACGTTTGGAAGAAGAGCTGGACGACCAGGCGCGTAACCAGCGTGAGCGTGACAGGACGAACGGCAAACTGGATAGGATGTCAGTACGTGACCGAGAGGACTGGGCTCGCCAACAAAACACCTGGCGCGATCAACAACAATCTCGCCGGATGGCCGAGCTCTTCCAAAATTCATACAAGCCCAACGTCGAGCTCAAGTACACGGACGAACACGGCCGTTCACTGGACCAGAAGGAAGCCTTCAAGCACCTCAGCCACCAGTTCCACGGCAAGGGCAGTGGCAAGGGCAAGACGGAGAAGCGCCTCAAGAAGGTTGAAGATGAGAAACGCCGCGAGGCTCAGAGCATGTTTGACGCGAGCCAGTCAGCGGGTATGAGCCTGGCCGCACAACAGCAACTCAAGAAGCGACGGGAAGCGGGTGTACGACTGGCATAGAGGACTTTCGGAGGGAACAACTTGAGGACGAATAGTAATACCGGCTACGGAAATGCAAGCAAAGGTGCTTTATCCCTCTTTCTAACGTGCTTCTCACATTATGCCCTGCTGACACCGCCTGAAGACTCTAGAAATGAGGTGAGTTTTATTTGGTCTTAGTATGCTAACTTGGTCACGATATCTCTTTTGGTCCGTCACATAAAGTTATGTTGCGCGGCCATGTTTTTTTTTTCTTCATTGACATTCTCCGTTTGAACCAATACCGAGAGCAAGGTCTCTCGATCCAAATATACAAGTCCGCAAAATGCAAAACCCATAGCCAAACCGTCATCTTCAAGGGTTCCTCATCGATTCCCACACTCGCGCCATCTCCCACTGCACCATCTTCACCTCGTCCAGCAACCTCTCTGTGTTGGTAACCGGACCCAACACGAAGGGTGGGGGCGACTGTTGAGGAGGCGCTGTCTCGTAGACGACGATAATAACGGTAGTGTTGGAGGCAGCGCCCAGCGTTGTGTTTGATGCGGGCATTTTAGTTCTAGGTCTGTCGAGCCCACTTGACGAGGTGCGTAGCTGCGGATTACTTACGTATGGTTGGAGATTTGCTCTGGGATTGAGGTTCTGTCTCAGGTCAGTCAATACTGTGCAACTTGTCGAACTTATAGCTGCAAATCCGCTGAGGAGTACAATTCATTGTTTTATTCAATGAACCCTTTGTCATCGGGTTCTATTTGTATGTTCAATGCTACCCCTTTCAGTGAGTCCCTGTTTTGTCAAAGAAATACCGCTGCTCGGTTTGTTCAGGATGTATTTCGTTGTTCTCTTCATAGCTTGAAAGATCAAGTCGAATATTCAAAGACCAACATGTGTGAAACAGAATAAAGGATAATCCCATTGAGATAATTGCTTGTCTAGGTAATGCTGATGTGTCTATGCACCGAGTACGCCGTCTCCTAACCCATAACCTAATCCCACCCTATAACCAAAAATTGCCCAACGCCAACCGCTCTCCTCATAAACATGCGGCCTAGAGGGAGACCTTTGCTCCGATTCCCTCGCCGGTATAGTGAATATCCTCTACCCAATTTCCTAACCTGATAGAAACATCCCCGACAGCATCCAGCTTGAGAGTCCCGCCAAGGGCTTTTTTGAGCTTGTCGTATCCGACGTGATCCGGCGACCACTGAACAGGCAGGCGGGGAGTCTCCGACCGTCCTGGTGGCACGGCAAAGGATTCATCATGGATAATCTGCCCAACAGGTTCGGTGTGGTTGTAAAATGCAGTTGCGTTGATGCGCTCGATGTATAGCGTGTTAAATTGCAGCGGCGAAACGAGCGTGAAAGTTGCAGACGAAGAAAATATGTGAAAGGTGGCATCTGTGATAAACCGCTGCTTCACATCTTCATCTTCGCCAGGCACTCTAATCCGAGGTGTCGGAATCGTAAAGTTGAACTTGGACAGTGCTTCCCCAATCAATGGTAAGGTCGGGATGCTGTCGCGATGGGCCTTGGCTGTCATTGTAGTGTTCTTACCAGACACGTAGTCTGAGAGAAGCTTGCGGCCGATTTTGTGTGCCCTCTCCCCCCCAAACCGTACTGGATCCCAAGTTGAGCGTACTAGGATGTTTGTGTTGTTGCCCAGGCCGAAATCAATATTTCTAGCGATAGCCTCTCCAAGTATTTCGCCTTCGTGGAGGACATGAATGTTGATGTAAGGAACGATGGCAGTATACTGCGTGGGGTTTGTGATGTTCACCAAGGCTTGCAGATGAACTCCTGTATCAGAGGTGTTTAGAATCTGTATCTCCCCGACCTGTGGGTTCAACTGAGCGAATGCATCCCCAGGAAGCCCTGCTTCCAAGTTAGTTTCCAGTTCGAGGCAACATGTGAGGCAATGATAGGAAATACTTGGATGAATGTGACGATAAATCATCATCAGAGGGAGTTTATGGGATTACCAAACGAGGACGGACCGTTTACTGGAATCTTGCCCTTCGCGGGAACCTTCTTGATAGTCAATATGCCGAGTACCGTGGAAACCCTGACATCAACAGCCGCCTCGACGTCCAAAAGGAGGTCTTCGTCGCCAAAGAGGAGCTTTTGCATGACCTCACTGAAGATATCGCTGTCTGTAATGGTTAGAGGCACGTCAATGACTCTGGAGGTGATCTTGAGAAGATTCTCATCACCCTCAGGATCAACCTTGGTTGAGTTGGCCTTCTCCCAGTGACGCAAGTGCAGTTCACCAAATTTACGCTGCTCGTAGAACAAATCAGCAGTAGCACGAAGGCTGTCAACTCCCAGGTCGACATTCAGCTCGGGTGGAACAACTGCAAGTACTTCCGTCGTACCGGAGACTCGAGGCTCGCTATTGGGGTCTTTCGCATCGGCGAACGGATCCGGCAACTTGAAGTCGACATCGGTTATTGAGAAGTTGCGAATGAAGCTGTCAAATGACCGTCCCGGAAATTCGATTGGCACGGTAATACTTTCGAGGATCTCAGAGATCCATTCAGGCGTATCTGAATCGTTGGATCTCTTTCCACGAACGAAGACCTGAGCGTCTTCGCCGTGGAGGTAATGCTTCATGAACTCATCCAGGGGCGATGACCTTGAGTGGGGGCAAGCCCGCGTGAGTGACTCTGGAATCTCCCTGATGACGCCCTGAGCATCCGCCTTGACGTCCTTGTTGGCACGGACCTTGATTATATCCGTTGTGGCATCAGCCACGCTGATGGAGGGTAGTGAGGAGTCGCAATTAGGGACGAGGACCTCGAACCCAAGGGATGGAACCTGAAGTGAGACAGGGAAGTCGTTGTGCACGGTGACAGACACATCCGCCTGGATCGCCTTCCGTCCAGTTCCATCGACCGGAACGTCGTGAAGATCAAGTCGATCTATCTTGTACTCGGGCAAGGCAGGAATCTTGTTGGCTGCAAGGGGTGTTAGTGGCGTTGTCAAGGAATGTGAGTGCTCAAAATTGGATTAAAGTAATGTCTTTTGGCCAAAGTACAGGGAAGCAAAGGAACGGTAGAGAGATTGACCTTCAAAGACCATGGTTTCCGCCACATCGTGAGCGCCCAGGGGGAAGATGCCCGATTTCAGCTGAATATTGGTTTTGCCAACCACCCTGAGCAGCTCGAGTTTGCCATCCAGCCAATCGTTGGCGATTTTTCGGATATTCTCCGCGGAGCCAGGTTGGATTTCGGTCACAAAGTCCAACTCAGTGTTGTGTCCATCAACAAGATCTACAACCAGGGGAGGAATGACGGCGGTGCCGGCGAGGGCGTTGCCATAGTCGGGTAGGAACACATTGACGGTCGTTTCGTGCGTCTCAATCTTCCGCATCATCCCGGTGACAGCTTTGCCAATACGGCGAGAGTTCTTGTCCTCGACACGGGAGCCTTCGAGCCGAACGTTGGCTTGGACTCGGGCCCAAATTCCGGTAGAGGTGATGTTCTCGATTGACAGGTTCGTCGGTTCGAGTACGACGGCGTTCTCGGCGTATTTCTGGACAGCCGGAGGAACGATGAAGCCTAGGAATATGATCATGATGACAAGGATGGCGAGGATCGTGATGGCGATAATGGAGGGCCATCGCAAGGAGGACTCGGGCTTGGCGGCGTCCTTCTTGGGCCAGGGCCAGAGACTCCACGCCTTTGTCTTTGGCGGGGTCCCATTACCCCCGTTGGTCTCGCGATGATGGTCATCCTGGTTTCCAAGAAGCGGCGACGATTCCGTAACCGCACCCTCGCGGTCGGGGGAGATGAGAGGAGTCCTCTCGTCGGGGGCGGACATTGTGTGTTTCGGGCGGTGTCTGTGTGCGAGGCCGCCTAGATGTAGATGCGCTCGATGCGCATAGCCCGAGGTTACGGTGATGGATGGTCGTGGGAAGGGTCCGGCACCCGTTGAGGAGTAGGGAGACGCGCCCTAGAATGCTTAGGAGATGTTAAATCGCAGGGTGATGGCGCACAGGTTTGTAGATGTCAAAGTGAAGTTGCAGGCTGGTGGGTGAGATTCGTCATCGACGGCAAGTCGCCCCAGCGTGGCAGATCGATAGTGGAAGAGGGAGGGGAATGCTCCGATTGGGTGTTGACAGCCGTGCCCAGGAACGGCCGGGCTGAGGTGGTATTGTGGCTAATGGTGCCTGCCTCGACGAGTGGATACCAGCCACGCCGTGGGACCCGGTGGCGTGTGGCGTGTGGCCATGTGAGAGTTTGAGTTTGAATCATCTCAGGTTCTTCACACGTGATGCCCGAGGGGTCATCCTGCTGTCTCAACAGACACATTTAGCATGTCAACTGTGAGGCCGAAAATGCGAGTCTTTTGGGTTTCAAATAGTCCAAATCAGACATGCAATAGGTGGCCAGAAGGTTCGCTGCTCTATAGCAATTAAACGAAGCCTCATGTACTACAGCACTTCAGAGGCCCCATTCAGCTTGCCCCAGCAAAACTTCACCGCCCAACAGCCCTGTAAGCCACCTCCGATATAGGGCGTTCAGTGACGTGCACCCCTGCCATTCCAAGCCCCCCCCCCCCCCCCCCCCCCCAGAGCGGCCGGACTTGACCAACCAACCGGGCGATCACCATTGGAAATTTCGCAGCCCAGAGCCAGATGCACGTTGATGACTCCTCTTACCAACAAGTAAATCGGTGACTCCTTTGAAAACCCATCGTCCACGGTGGAATTGATTCTCGCGCAGCCTCTTGTTCATTTCAAATCGCACCATTGATCCAACAGACAGCTTTTTGCAGCTGCCATTGCCCCTCATCCACCTGGAAGCTCACCTCACCAAACCTCACCTCGCCTCAAAGCTCTCAACATGAAGGGATCAGCTCTCCGAATCGCTCAAGGAGCCATCAATGGCATCCAGAAGCGAGCTTACTCACAAGCCCCTGCTGCCCCCCGACATCTCATGACCATTGCCGACCTCACCCCCACTGAGTTTGCCAACCTGGTCCGCAACGCTGCCTCCCACAAGACCGCTATCAAAGGTGGTGCGCCGCACAGCTCCCTCAACAATGGACTTCTGGGTCAAACCGTTGCCATGATGTTCAACAAGCGAAGCACCCGTACTCGAGTTTCCACTGAAGCCGCTGTCACAATGTTGGGCGGGCATCCCATGTTCTTGGGCAAGGACGACATCCAGCTTGGTGTAAGTACCCACAGCTCCCAGACCCCCAACACCACTAACTCGCTTTGAAATAGGTCAATGAGTCGCTCTATGACACCTCGGTCGTCATTTCGTCCATGACTTCATGCATGGTTGCCCGAGTTGGTCCTCACTCTGATGTTGCCAACCTCGCCAAGCATTCCACCGTTCCAGTCATCAACGCTCTGTCCGATGACTTCCATCCTCTCCAGACCATTGCTGACTTCCTGACCCTTCACGAGACCTTCCCGTCGTCGAGCGCCATCGGCTCCGGCCTCGGTCTCAATGGCCTCAAGGTTGCTTGGGTGGGTGATGCCAACAACGTCCTCTTTGATCTGGCTATCGGCTGCATCAAGATGGGTGTTGATATCGCCGTTGCCGCTCCCAGGGGCTATGAGATCCCCGCTGCCATGAAGCAGCTCATCCTCTCGACCGCCGCGGGCGTCGAGTCCCCTGGCAAGCTGACCGAGACAACCGTCCCTGAGGAGGCCGTCAAGGATGCCAACGTTCTGGTCACCGACACCTGGGTTTCCATGGGCCAGGAGGCCGAGGCGCAAAAGCGACTCAAGGACTTTGCCGGGTTCCAGATCACCAACGACCTTGCCAAGCGGGGAGGGGCCAAGGAGGACTGGAAGTTCATGCACTGTCTGCCCCGACACCCCGAGGAGGTTGCCGATGAAGTCTTCTACAGCCCTCGATCATTGGTCTTCCCCGAGGCCGAGAACCGACTATGGGCAGCTCTTTGTAAGTTTCTCCATTTTCTGCCATATAAATCGGTTTATTGACATTGGAACAGCCGCTCTGGAGGGATTCGTTGTGAACAAGGGCAAGTTCTAAATGCCAATGGTGTAAAATATGTATGATGTATCTCTACGTACGGATTCCCGAGTCATTTGCAGGAGGAGCACTGGCGTACGAACAAAAATAGTCTTTGGAATTAAATCAACTAAACACATCCATCTCTCGCCGTACTCCATGGGGCCAGAGGGCCATCCAAGATATCGTGACTTAACCAGGGGGGAGCTGGCTAGCGTCGACAACCTCATCCGCCTCCTTGACGATGGACTCGTCGTCATTCTCGGCCAAGGGGGTTCGGGGCAGGGCCATCAGACCGGTACGAGCCGATTCGAGGATGCCAAAGGGAGTAATGAGCTTTAGGAAGGAGTCTACACGGGACTGCTTGGCAGAGCTAGATTATCACGTCAGCATTGTGCGGTCGTATGGTTAGGGAAGGTGGACATACATCTCGACAATGCAGCTGTTAGTGCTGATATCCAGGACTTTGCCACCGAACTGGTGGGCGAAGTAGGTGATGGACTTGAGATGCTCGTGCTTGTGTCGAAGAGCCTGGCTGACGGCAAGCTTGCTGGGGTGGAAGTCCTTGGCGACGTTGGAGAGGCTCTGCTCAATGGCCTCATGGGCCCAGTCAACCTCGGTCTCGCCAGCAGTGATTTCGCGGTGGTGAGCCAAGAGCTCCTCGAAGTACTCGGGGCCAAGGATGTTGACCTTGGCAAGCAGAAGCTCACGCTGGACCAGGGCGGCGTTGGTGTAGTCGAGGACGGCCCAGACGGGGACAAGATCCTCGAGCTGCCTCCGGGCCTGCTCAACGACACCGTCCTGACCAGTCAGGACAATGGTCATGCGGGAGAGATCCTCGACCTCGGTGTTGCAGACGACGAGGGAGTCGATGTTGAAGCCACGAGCGGCGAGAATGCCCGAGACGCGGGACAGGACACCGGGCTCGTTCTGGACAAGACAGTTGAGGATGTGGCGCTTGGGAGGGGCCATGGACGGGGTCGGGGTCTCATAGAGGATGTTGGAGACGGCGGCCTGGGCAGACCACGCAGGAGGCAGGTCGCTCACGGGAAGAGGCGCAGAGCGACGGCGGAGGGCCTTGTAGGCGATGGCCGAGGTCGAGCTGGAGGAGCTGTATCGAGTAGCAGCGGGGGCGGACCTGGCGGCGGCCCAGCGCAGGGACGCGGTCAAGGGCCGGAGAGAGGCCATCTTGCAAGGGGCTGGGAGAACAGAGGGGTTCTCTGGCCGGACAAGATGCTTCTCGGAGGCAATTGATGCCGATTGAAGATTCAATGGATCGTGGAGATAAATAGAGGAGGATCGTGACTCAGGGAGGCGGAGGGAGTCCCGAAAAAATCATAAGCCGCCGATGGGCCGGTGACCGGAGGGCGATGGCGGGTTGCGGCTGGGTGGGCACGGACGCCGCCCAGGCTGTGAGTCGCTATCTGGTCCAGCCTTTGACGAGGCGGAAATAGAGGTGACTTTCCGGTGGTAATTCAATCGCAGACGTTGAAGTAGAATAGGGGCAGTTATTTGTGGTTTTGGCAAAGCTAGCTACTGATAAGCCGCTCAGCAAACAGACTTTCTGTCCGCCTCCTCCCCGCGTGATTGTGACTGAATGTGTGTGACCGCTCCTAGTTCGCACCGATCGTCTCCTCCCAGCGCAAACCCGTCAAATTCCCCAGATTCGCTTACAGCACCCGGGCGGTACGAACCCATGCAAGGCTGCGCCACAGGACGCCCAAGCCGCCCAATGGCCGTTGCTGTGTTGCTCAACACACGCCGAGTTTGCTGCGATGCCTTGTGGCGCCGTGCAGCCACATTCAGAACCCCGTGTTCCCAGATTTCGGTTTTCGCGCCGATGCTCGACGCTCCAGCCACACGTGGCGGAAGGCTGACACGGCCCGTGCGCAAGGCCGCACCCTTGAGGCTTTGCACGTAGCCTTTCTTCGCTGCTTCTCCAGCCATCCAGCTCCACTCGCATACAGCGACCGTCCTGCGCTGCCATTTTTTTACACGAGCTTCCAGCAATTCATCATCGCCAACCCGGTCACCCCAGCGTGTCCCGCCCACGCCGTCCGTCATTTTGTCGGCCCGTTTACGCCCTTTCTGCCTCTAATTCCCAGTCTGCGCCAAATCCGACGTGCACCATCTCCGGAGGCAACTCTCGTTGGGCGCAGCAATAATGGACGACTCCGAACGCCGAACCGTAAAGCGTTCGCGCTTCGACCAGACCGAACCCGAACCCAAGCGAGCCTCGCGCTTCGATCGACGCTCCCGCTCTCCGCCAGCCCGGCGCTCTGAACACGGCAGAGACCGCAGCCCTCTCGCTCAGGATGGCGCCCCTGAGCCCAAGAAGTCCCCAGCCGACGCTGCTGCTGCGGCGGGTGAGTGGTGTTGGGTCGCGATGCACCTCGGCATCAACGACGGCCCGTCTTCTGTCTTCAAGTCGCTAATGAATCCTCAGCCGCTGCTGCAGCCAAAATCAATGCGCAACTCCAGGCCCGCAAGGGAATCCAACACGTCGATGTTCCCCCGATCAGAAACGCGAGCCCGCCGCCCACCAGACCTGCGCCGTCGTCCAATAACTCGTCCCACCCACCCCCGGTGCTCGACGGCGAAATGTATGTTGCGGATGGCGACTACATCCAGGACATCGAGGTCAATGACCTGCGGAACCGCTACCTGTTGACCAAGGGGTCGACCCAGAAAATGGTAAATACTCTTGATTATTCACTGATGCTCTCAGAGCCGTCCTCCTGGAGTTGCTTTTTACATCCGAGTCGAAAATATCATGCTTACTTGGCTTGATAGCTCGCCTCAGCACCCCCTTCGATGCTCCTGCTGACTCCCGCTTGATATAGATTAAAGAAGACACCGGTGCTGGTACGCAATTCCTTTGACCTGTTACTGTAGTAAGAACATCATGTTGACTTTGCAAGATGTCACGACTCGTGGCAATTACTATCCCAACAAGAGCATGGCAACGGCAGCTGTGAGTATCCCCTATTTCGAGAGTTATTACTGCTTCTAACGCCATCTGTAGAACCCTCCGCTGTACTTGCATGTGACAAGCACCTCCAAGCAAGGTCTTGAGACTGCCGTCGCCAAGATTCAGGAACTGATTCAACAGGAACTCCCCCAGCTGGTGGACGAGCGACGATTCCGACGCCGAGATCAAGAACAAGTCGAGCGAGACGAGTTTGGACGAGTAGGATACCCTTCTATCCGGGTTCAGGGTTACCCGTGCATGCTAACGTGACTTACTCTTCCAGCGCAAATGGCCCGAGGAGAAGATCCCCATCACCCTGGAGCCCGTCCATGGATTCAACCTGCGCGCCCAGGTTGTGGGACACGGTGGTGCCTATGTCAAGCACATTCAGCAGGAGACGGGCTGCCGCGTGCAGATCAAGGGCCGCGGATCCGGCTACCTCGAAGCAGCGACGAACCGGGAAAGTGATGAGGATATGTTCCTCCACGTCACGTAGGTGTCTTGATTGGGACTTCTGGAATCACATTCTAACAACCATTCTTAGTGGTCCTGATGCCAACATGGTCGAGAAGGCCAAGGAGCTCTGCGAAGACTTGATTGCGAACGTCACGGAGCAGTACGAGGAGTTCAAGAGCCGTCCGCCTCGCTACGGTGGCGACCGCGGTGGCTATGGCGACCGAGGTAGCTATGGCGGCGATCGTGGCGGCGGCTACGGTGGTGATCGCGGTGGTTACGGAGATCGCGACCGCGACCGTGGCAACTCGCACTCTCACGGAGGCCATGGCGGCTCGTACGGTGGTGGCGGCTATGGTGGTTACGGCTCGGGATCGGGTGCAACTAACAGCCCAGCGCCCGGCGTCAACAGCCCCAGTACTGCCACGGCAGACTATGCCGCCCAGTATGCCCAGTATACTCAAGCCTACGGCGGTGCGGATCCATATGCTGCCTATGGTGGCTACGCCAAGTGAGTACTCCTGTCCCCATCCCCGTCTATCCTCGTATCAGCATCCCTCGACATGCCCCTGTATCGCCGTCATCCCTTGACTTACTTCGTTATTCCCACCGTCCTGTCCCGTCACTAACACTGGCTGCAGCTACGTCGCCATGTACCAGCAGTACTATGGAGCTCAGGCCCAGGCCCAGGCTCAACCTGCAGCCCCTGGTCAATCGGGCTCACCGCCTCCTCCTCCCCCGAGTGAAGCAGCTCCTCCACCTCCGCCGCCGCCCAGTGCGGCCCCCCCGCCTCCTCCACCCTCGGGCTCGCCCCCTACCGGTGCCAGCTACGGCGCGGTACGTCAATGACCCCCCGGGTGCCGGAGATTCCGAGGCCCGTTTAATACGAGAAATGTTTTTGCTGACAGCTTCCACGTATAGGTACCTCCCCCACCGGGCCTTTGAGAGATGTTGGCCCCTTGTTTAAGTGTGCGCTCCCTCCGGGGCTGAGGCCTCCGCGGGCTCCGAGAGAGAGAGAGAGAGTAAAAAGAGACCAGTCGTTGGACTCCAGGGATTTCTGACTTTGTACGTAAATGCTTCGGCTTGGCATTGGGAGAAGGCAGACAAGTTGATTTATTAGGCCCTCGTCTTCGATTGATAATGAGGGGTGGAGCTTGGCACTTTGAATCGGTATTTATATTCGCACAGATTCTTGTGGGTGCTCTCGATTCGTGCGTATCGTCCTTGAAGTTTGTCCTTCCGTTCCTCAGATCCCAACCTATTGTAGTTTGACTGTGTTGACAACCTTTGCGGCCACATATCAGTTGGGCTGTTTATAGAGACGCAGCCGTGATCAAACTTGCGATGTCCGGCGAGTTCAAGACACACACCGGCAGTTTTTAGTCCATTGCGGGACGAGTTCATCATTGGAGACGAGACACGATGAAACACATAAAGTTCGAAGTTCGACCTGGAGCTACAGGGTAGCTTGTATAGGGTGTAAACTGCCAAAGTGGAACGCTCCACTAGAGAGCTCACGTATTCCGGTTTTTCCTAGTTCAAGATAGGGGAAGCTCGAGGTCATCAGGAAACCTTCTAACCTTCTAATCCGTTGTTTGTCTTCCTCTGGATCCCATTTCATCTTAAACTGGGGCCCTGTGGTGGATGATTGGTGAGTATTGGTGTAGTCATATCTCGAAGTGGTAAACTTTTGTGGTTGCAAGTTGGACTTTAGGTACTTTGGCCAGATCGTAAATATCAAAAAAAGAACTATCGCTCAAACACCATGACCATAAATGAAAAACATTACAGAGCGACAAAGTTTATATCACGAGACTCCGAGCTTATATTGTCATAGACTGCTTCTTGAAGCCGGATTAGTGAGGTTGAACGGGAATCATGAGCGATGGATACCTACCTATGGTCCCGCAGTGTCGTGGGGTGTCCCTTATCGATAAGCCACAGAACATCGCATTTGGCAGCCCGCGTGCGCAGCTCCAACGTCAACCTCGCCAGACCATGACATAACGCATCGGCATCCCCAAGACTGGGTGAACCGCGACACTCCCCATTCTACTTACACGCGGGGAGAATCACGACATGGGAAGATGAGCCACCAACGCTATCCCTCCCACGATCCTGTCAAGGAGCCACATTCCGTCTCCCTCAAGGTCCTCCGGTGAGCCCTCCCTGTCCCCTCGTTGGTCTGCCCGAGTCTAACCACCAACTGCACCAACTAGACTCTCACGCCCATCGCTCGTTACCCAATATCCGATCGATCCTCCCCAGTCCGTCGGCGCGACGATTAAACCAAGCCCTGCGCCAGCATCGCTCGCCTATCACTCCAAGGCCGACACCAACCCGTCACCATTCCTCCTCAGCCCCATCGTCAACCTTCCCGTGTCGTTCGGGTCCGCATATGTGGGCGAGACGTTTAGCTGCACCCTATGCGCAAACAATGACCTCCCTCCGGAGGCAACCAAGAATATCCGTGATGTGCGCATTGAAGCCGAGATGAAGACGCCTGGGCTGGGCGCCGTCCAACGCCTGGAACTCGGCCCACCAGGGGCTGGTGGAGCATCCGATGCGGACCTAGACTCAGGTGGCACCCTGCAGAAGGTGGTGGCATTTGATCTTAAGGAGGAGGGAAACCACGTCCTGGCCGTGACAGTGAGCTACTACGAGGCTACGGAGACGAGCGGCCGGACGAGGACATTCCGCAAGCTGTACCAGTTTATATGCAAGGCATCCCTCATCGTGCGGACCAAAGTGGGGGCCATCAAGACCGACACGCAAGGAAAACGGCGGTGGGTTCTTGAGGCCCAACTGGAAAACTGCAGCGAGGACGTGGTGCAGCTCGAGAAGGTGGTGCTGGACGTAGAGGACGGTCTCAACTACCGAGACTGTAATTGGGAGGCGAGCGGAAGTGCGAAGCCCGTCCTACACCCAGGGGAGGTAGAACAGGTGTGCTTCGTCCTAGAGGACAAAGCCGACGAGCCGACCGTGGAAGTGACACTAGATGGCCGGATCATCTTTGGGTCACTGGGGATTGGATGGAGGGGGGACATGGGGAATAGGGGCTTTCTGTCAACTGGCAAGCTGGGGACGAGGGTGCCGCGCTGAGCATCGGCGTGCAACATCCATGCATTCTGCGGCCCAAAGAAGGGGGAGGGGGGTTGATTCAGCTTTGTCTTGCAGGCGACGGAATCCCGTGATTTGGTGAAGCTGCTCGCGTGGCAAGCTCGGCGGGAGGGTAGCATTCGATGTAAGACCATGTCTCGATCCATGATCGAGTCTACTACCCGTCGATGCAAGGGAATACCCCTGGGTCCTGGGAGACGGATCAGAACGCTCGGCAATCCCTTGGTATCCAATGGCAGTGTTGCAAACCCCAAAGACGGCCTGTCCTATTCATGGTTGTGTGGTTTCTGGGCCTGGACGTGGGTCACCAGCGGTGTGGGCATCATGTAAGGGGTAAGACATTGAGGCGTTTTTTTATGATTCATCGTTAGAGACAAGGTTTCCCATGTGAGATACTAGTTAGACAGTTGGTTGAATGATTGACGACCACGCCAGAACAACGCGAGATCAAGGTCACATTGACCATGCACATCATACTGTAGGCTTTTCGTGGCCCACCTGCACGTCGCCGTGTCGTTGTCGTGAATGTCGTTGGCCTGCGATTGATCCATTGAAGGGCTCTCCACCTCACTTTATGGGACGTGGAAGCTAGGGTTCGGTACGAATCCGGGGAACATTGACCCCTTGGAGGCTGCATACTGCGCACAGTATTTAAGAGCTGTCCAAGAATAGCGCATTGTCAGAGGCCCAACCGAGATCAAACTGTTGATGCTATAATAAGCGTCTCATGGGCCTGGTCCCGAAATGGGGCACCGTGCCATGTGCAGGGGTCCCCAAAGGAACCTGGCCCAAGGCTTGTCTTCCATCTGTTGTTTCAAAGGGAGATGCTGGGCAAAAAGGAAAAAAGCGAAGTCTCAACAGGGGTGCACTTGTATGACGGGCATCGAGCGAAACAACCCATCGCACCAATATGTCCCGGTCCCTACTATGTAGGGGGACTCAAAGGCGTCCCTCCGTGCGAATCGTTCCTCTAACACGAGGGGGTCGTTGATTGGGAAAATAATTTGGGGTACGTGAGCGTATGCATGCTAATGTATCGTACTCATGTACATGAATCACCGTAGACGAATGATTTATTTCCCATACAATCTACCGCGGGATTGATGTATCTTCCCCCCAATCAACGTGTATGGGGAACGATGCACACTGGGGGACGCTTTTGAGTCCTCCCTAGTAATGCATACGCTTGAGCTTGCTCACGGCAAAGCTGAACTGGCGAGCAGGTAACGTTGGGCAGGGCCTAATTTAGACCGGCCGGCACTCAGGTCGGGACGACGATGATAGTCACACACGGTCCAACGTGGAGGCAACCTGAAACAAGGTAGACGGCGTCCGGCCGGGATAGGCGCAGATCGCAACCGGCGTCATCTGTCGAGAGGGAGCCGATGAGGTCCCAATAGTTCTCCCCAGTTCTCCCCCCTCTATCTCCATCTCTTCGCAGCGGTGTTTATTTGCGTCAGCCGGACGCGTAGGTGACTTGCGTGCCCAGATGGAGAGGGTAACGCGTCGCAGTGCATGAGTGGCCCCAAAATTGAGTGCCAACGGAGTGGTGCGAGGTTGGAGTGGGTTTGGGGCTTACGACTGGATGGAGAAGATGTCGGCTTTCTCGGGGTGCCATCCTGGGCATTTGACGGTTTGGCCGGGGAAGATGCAGCTTGGCAGACGAAATCAGTGTGTTGTTAGACGGTCGTTGGCCATGCCAGTATCTGGCTACGACTCTGAGAGCGCCTCTTGGGCCGTTCGGGCTGGCTGACCAGAGCCTTGGATAAACCCAATCGGGCGTGGCTGACCAGGAGGATTTATCTCCTGATTTGCAGCGGGACGAAATACGACGTACTGACAGAAAGATTTACTAGTGCACCTTTTGCCAAGCATTCTCCTGGGCAGGCATTCCATGCCATGTCATGCTGTGCCAAGCTATACCATGCGACCTGGGGACTTGGGGCTGGGAGTGCTTGAGTTCGGGTCTCCCAAGCATGCAGTGTTGCAACGGGCCACGATGGAGGCGCCAGACGCATCAGAGCGTCACGACTGAGGTATCGCTGGCCCGTACGACCCGAGAGGCACGACCCAAGGGGCACCCGGCCGGGCTTGATCCTCGTGGTTCAAGCGGAAGATTGCCATTGAGAGAGCGAATGCGAGTGAAGCCCCAAATAAATGATGGCCTGGCGCTCTGTCGTCCGTACCTGCATCGGAGTTGGCTCGTGCTTTTCGTGTTGCAACCAGGGCGTAATGGCACCGCCAGGGGCACAGAGGCCAAGGCAACTTGGGGGCGTTTGGGCGCAGCTAGCCCCTGGGCGAAACCGACGAGGTGGGTGCCCATGAAGAGATTCAGTTGCCGGGATTTTGCTCCATGTGGACGAGAAGGATTTCAGGAGAAAGGAGAGGGAGGAGGACTGATATTGAGATGCGTACTCCATAGAGGGATCGAGTTCGAAGACGACAACGAGGATGCGTACGGATGGAATGGCGAGGAGGACGCCGTTGGAGTGATACGTGGTTGACGCCATTAATGCCTTATCATGAGGCGTACCTGCCTACACGGCGGGCATCTACTTTAGTACGGTACTATTACTGACGATTATTAGGGTAGGGTCTTTCCACCCCTGTTGGCGTTTGCACTACCTTCCTCTCAGGAGTTGGATGGAAGGACTGAGGGAAGCCCGAGGGGTAAGTGATCTGCATTGGTCAAGGCAGGTGCACTGATACGGGAAGCTGAACTGCCTAGAACGAAACAAGCGCTGTTATATTACAGGGTACGCACGTAGGACCGCGCATCTGTCTTGGGTACCACCAGGTACGTAGTACACGCATATCCGTGGTGCTGTCCCTCGGCCGAGCGAGCATTAAACCAAGTCTGGACTCTTTGAAATCAATTACTCTGGAATTTATCTTTCAAAGTTCAAAGTCCAAAGTCCCCCCTCTGCTCAAACCCCCCCCTCAAAACCACCCCCACTCTAAATCTGGATCACAGGCCCTTAAATATCACTAGAATAGTTTCTTGTGATAATTAGTCAAGCCACATTCACTACCGTGTGATACTGTTGTCTTACCCAGCTGGGTGTGAGTGCCACCCTGACTCCCGCCCATCCTGAGTCTTGGGGAGTGGAGCACTTTCGCGGTTGACTCTGGTGCCTTTGTGTGAGGTGGTCTGGCACTAAAAGGCCCAGGTACCGGTACTTGTGGGAGAGTAGCGCGTCTCTCATTGCGGAGAAGGGTACTCCCCAGTACGTACAATACCCGATCACGTAGGGTCGTGTCCACTCGCTTGACGTAGGTCGGCTGGAAACTCCGGAGTCTGACGCTTGTTGCTTCGTATCATTCTCCAAGTTTGCGGGTAGCGAAAGAGAAAAAGAAATGGCAAGCAAGGGAAAGGCAGGAAGCGGATTGGGGGTACACAAGGCAAACAGAAAAAAAAAAGCAAAACTAACAAGGACGATCCTGCACCTCCCTGGAAAGCTCCAGGAGGGAGCGTTTTTGGGGCGGCGCTCTGCAGGCCGTCTGCACGAGAACGGTGAGGGTGGGATGAAGAGGCCCCTGGGTCATGGTGATGCATGGGTGGGTGCTTCGCTGGTCAAGCCGAGGCGGCTGGCCGGCGCCAATCGGGATTTTCTCTGGGGCTCTTGGGCTGGAAAGTGTGTTGGAACTTGGATGTCGCGGATGTCATCGGCCGCTTTGGGGTTGGGATGGACCGCCGCGCTCACCTCTCAGCCTCCGTGGTCGTGGTGCTGCGTACCTGCTTCGTGCGGCGCGTGAACGAGCTGCGAGCTGCGCTGGTGCGTGCTGTGTCGTGCCGTGTCGTGGTGTGGCCGCTGTGGTGTGGCCATCTGCTGGGTCAGCCCATGTAGCCTGACTGACTTGTTGCTATTGCTACTGCACATGGCACTGCAGCCATGACTGCAACTGGTTTTGCGTTGTTGCGGTGCTGCGTTGTTGCGTTGCGGTGCGTTGCGTTGTTGTTGTCTTGTTTGACTAACTTGAACTACGTGTGGGCAGTCAGCCAGCCCGCGCTACCGTGCCGGGCCTTTCAGGTCGGTGATGGAACGTCCGGGCCAGATCGAGCAGTAGAGTATCGGACAGCACCTAAAAGCGACCGGGCGACCCAGGCGGACACGGACTCACGGCGTCCCGTTTGGCCGAGTCAGAAGGACGCCGCAGTATGCATGCAGTGGGCTGCCGAGTCCCTGGATGTCGGGGCAGCGTTGCAGACGCATTGTGCAGGGCGCCCACGCAGAACGCAGAACACAGAACACAGAACACAGAACCAGATAGAAATTGATAAAGAAATCCGACAGACGCGCTGGGCGCTCGCAGAGCCGTAGTCCCAGTTGCTGTACACCCTCCGTCCACTCGCAGGAGGGCCGGGGTGTCTAGGTGCATGGCGGCTGCGGCTGTGGGTCACAACCCGACGACGGCCTTCTCAAACACCGTCAATTATCGGGCTACTACGCAGTGCGCTACAGTCCAGGCTGCGCTCTGGTAGGCTTCTTCCCCTTTCTCTCAGCCCCAAAAACCTTGCCTTAGCCTGATGGAGCCTCGGTCGGAGGTTGTTGAGATATAGCCAGACCTGACGTAGGGAAGTCGAACGCCGCGGTACCTGGGTGGCTCTGCAAAGTACCTCGCCTTTGCACTCCGCGCACGAGGGGAGCCCACCCATATCCACACCGGCGGCCATCCGCTAAGGTAGGTACGGCGCCCAGTGCAAGGACGCTCCGAGCACTACACATCTACAGCAGAGTACTGCCAGGTACTATGCAGGAAGCCAAGGAACATCTGGGGCGGCGGCCGGTGCTGGTGCTGGTGCTGGTGCTGTTGCTGGCGCGCTCGGAACCAAAGGCATTGCCCTGCTTGACGCCCCCTGAGCCTGATACCATGGACCGAGTATGTGCGCGTGGGAGTGCGTGCGTGTGTGTCTGGTGTGTCTGGTGTGTGTACCTAAGGCGCACACGCACTCGCACTACACACACTTTTCGGGCACTAGAGGTGCTGGGCTGGGTGAAAGGATGCCGTGGGAAGATGGGGGATGTTGTTGATGGATGCATCAACGGACGGTGAACGGTGTGCGCCTCGGATCGACACTTGGTTGGAACAGTGTCGCCATGTACTCGGTACAGGTCTGGTCCAGGACCAGGCACAGAGATCCAGGGCCCCTGGAGAACCCCGGTGGCCGTATCCGTAGACGCGCTGACGTCGTGTTGGTTGGTGGTGGGCGCATGGGCCATCGTCCCCTGGATCCCCTGTGCGCCTCTTCCGCGCCAGAGGATTTCCAGCGGGCTGTAGTGGGTTACAGCGGGTTCCAGCGCGTCTCTGCCTCTTCCAGGTTACTGAGGTACGTCGGCTTGGAGCCCCCCGCTACGGCATCCCATCACCGCCGCTGCCCATGCCCCTGGCCGTCGTTCGTGTCCCCAGAAAGGGCCATGCTCCCCCTCCGGTCTTAGGTAGGTACCGATACCTGCGAGAGCCCGTACCAGCGCAGTACCACGTCCCGTCGATAGCAGTAAATCCTCGCCTCTCCTGTCTCCTCCTAGGCCCGCTACCAAAATCACCTCCATCCCCCATCACCACCGCCCTCGCACTGGCCGTTGCGGACTTTCTCTCTTCACCTTTCCCCCGCCCAATCCCCTTGTTGGCCATCCCTTCGCCGGCGTTAATCCCATCCGTTCTCCATCTCCATCTCCGGCTTCCTTTGCCTTCTTTTTCGCTTGCGGCCTGCGCTGGCGACTGGCTCTGCTCTCTCTCGCTCGGCGTGTGTCTCACACAATTCCTATCACATCTTTCCCCTCCCCACCACCACCCACGCTTGCTTCTGGTGAGTCTTCCGTGTCCCTCCATGCTTATCACACCGGCTGCTTCCCTCGCCCGTGGAACATGGGCCCGTCTGTTTTCCTTTGTGTTTGACTGACTTAAAATTCCAGTCCCTTCCACCCCATCAGGCGCACTTCGTCGACGACCCCCTCGGGGCACCTTCACAGCGTGACGGAGTTGAAAATAGACGACGAGGGTTTCCAAACACCCCGATTCTCACACACCCGATCCCACCACCCCAGCCGACCCGCGGCCCATTCGCGACAATTGACATGTCATGGAGAACTCGTCGATTCCTCTCGCCGACTACTTCTGGATTGCCGGTATAGAGACGGTGTCCTATAACGACCCCCCACCGCCCAATGCACCCGTCGAATCCACCATCGCCGAAGATGGTGAGCCCGAAGATGACTACCTGAACCGCTCCCATTCCATGGCTTCCGCACGCCACTCGCGCCTTTCTTCCAACCGCCTCTCCAAGATTTCTATGACGGATCGCTTCTCCATCTCGACCCTCGACGAAGCGGACGGCACCAGCAGCAATCGCAGCAGCGCGACAATCCGGCCTTTGAACCCCCCCACGGGCAACGGCTCCAATGGTGTCTCCGCCAATGGCGTAAACGGCGCCAACGGCCTGACCGTGCCCGATCCTCTTAATCCCTTGGCCGACTTTGACTTTGACAAGGCCCTGGTGAAGTTTGCGGCCGAGCGAGAGGTCTTCCTCGAGGATCTATCCTTCACCGCCGGTGCAAAGGTTCAGGCCAGGGTTCCCATGGTGAACCCTCGAGCCGAGAGGATTCGTGCTGAAGAGGCCGAGCCCAGCGGCAGGCTCAGTCCCCTCAAGAGCATTAAGGGTAGCATCCGCCGCAAGATGAGTTTTAGGGACATGAACAGCGTGCGCAAGCAACCCAGCACCAGGGCACCTCCCACCCGAGGGGCCAACCGGGCATGTAAGTTCCCCCACGCCCAGTGATTTTCCGTGGCGCTCAATTCCACCCGCGGCCCGCGTAGAGCTGTTCGCTAACGTGGAAACACAGCCTCGGTCCGCACCGCCAAGCGGCTCAGCAACTATAATTCTGTTATCCCGCCCCCCGAACCCCTCAATACCGACCCGGACATGCACCCTTTGAAGCGACGCTTCGAGCCTGTGCTCCTCGATCGATATCCATCCCAGGAGGCGACCGACGAGGTCTTGCGACGGGGCAAGTTTCCCGACTATGTGCCCATGTTCGCTTTCCCCAACGATATCCAGATTGTCTCGTCAGATGACCGACCGCGCTCTACATGGCACGGCTTTACCATGACCTCCGACGATAACTCCAAGTTGTACGGTATTACCATCATTTTCTGGACTGCGTTGACCGCCGACGTTGCTGAGGAGGTGGAGAAGAAATGTGAACAATGGCGACAGGGTCACATGTCTAACGAAGAGCGAGAGCTTGCGGCAAGCCTAGGAGTGCGACTAGCTGGCGAACGAACATACCTCTCCCAGTTGCTTTCCAAGCTGCCCACCATCCCATCTGGCTCTCCAGCTCGAGAGCGACTCGAAGACGAAATTAGTACGGTAGAGGAAAAGATTTCTCTCATGACCGATATGCTGAGGCCCCTGAGACATGGCGCAGCGTCTAGAATTGAAGGGCTCACAGCGGGCGAGAGTGGACTGTGGACGCCCCGCGCTTATGGCGTTCTGGGCCGGGATGCCGCCAATATGTCGTTCTGGAAGGAATGGCTTAAGGCCATCGTAACCCCCATGACTGACGGTGGTGTTCTGAGGATTCCCCCGAGCTCTCCCAAGGTTGGGCGCTGGCAGCCCCTAGAGCGATACGTCGTCAATTTGTGCACAGAGGCATTCACCCCTCTGGGTTCTAAGACGCAGGTAGAGCTTGGCGTGCGAGAGTTGCGACTGTATGCCCGCCAGGAGGCCCATAACGAGCTCCCCGGCTCCAGATCGATCGATCTGTATGCCTTGTTCCGGTGCCTGTCACTCGAGAATATTGTGGCCCTTTTCGAGTATGCAATGGCTGAGTCTCGAATCATCTTCCTCTCCTCCCACACAAGCATGTTGCACCTGGCCTGCCACGCCCTGGCCAACCTGTTGTATCCTCTCAAGTGGGCAAGTATCTTCATCCCCGTGCTCCCCGCACGACTCATCTCTGCCCTCGACGCTCCCTGCCCGTACATTGTTGGAATCGAGCGGCGGTATGAGAAGATTGAACTCCCCGAGGACGACTATGTCTTGGTCGACCTGGATAAGGACACCATCGACGCGACCTCGCAACCGGTTCGTCTGCCGCGACAGGCCCGGCGGAAGCTCATGTCTCTGTTGCAGGTAGCGGCCCCCCACAAGCTCCGATATGGTGTCACGACCGGCCCTCCACCCTACGCAATGGAGTCTTACCCCTATGACGCCTTCTCCAGCGAACATGGAGCACTCTTCAGATCTAGCACCGCTCACAGCACCTTGGCCAAATGGGTGACGCAGAACTCTTCAGGCTTTGGGGAGCCAGAGGCCCAGGCTCAAATCCATATCCCGGTCTTCAACGCGTTTGCGTCCGCCAAAGTAGAAAATGGCCGGTCGGACAGGCCCAGCACGAGCAAGTCGGGCAAGACCAGCCCCCAGTCCTCCGTGTCACCTGTCTCGATGAACTTCCCCCCAATGCCTACGACTCCTGTCTCTCGCAGCGACTCGGGCTTCGCGCTCACGGCGACGCTCCGCGAGAAGCGATCGGGTCATTTCGGCGAAGAGAAGGCGCGGCGTAGCTCGTCGTTTGGGCTGGATAAGCACCAGCCTTACCATAAGCCCAGTCTTCCGTTCCTGAACGGCCACCAGGCTAATATGTCCATCTCGGCCATCTCGGTGGACTCCCAGTCGTCTTTCGGGGGTGGCTATGCGCCATCCACATACGCCCAGTCCACCCTCGCCGCCTCGACTATCATGCCCAGCATGCAGATCCAGCCTGTCCGAAACACCGAGACCACCGTCTGGGTCGAGGGCCACTGCTTTAACTGGGCCGCGCAAGACCTGACGGCGACATGCAGTGTTTGCAACGACCACTCTGAGGGAGATGGCATCTACAGATGCACCGGCTGTAAGGCAACCTCCCACGGCAGGTGTCTCGGGTTCGTCTCGCTGGTGTGCGATGACGCATTCCACGCCGACCGTGTCAGAGCGGCCTTTGTCCGCTGCCTCGCAAGCCTGCTTTATACGTACCGCAAGTACCTCGGCCGGCCATCAAAGCAGCAGAAGAGTAACGGCCAGTTGTATGCATTCGACATGGATGGCTTCATGAAGAGCCTTCCGCATGAGCAACACGACTATGCGGCTATGATGCGTGAGACACAATGTATGCATCCACTTACCCCTTGTTCAACGCACTTTCTAACCACCTGCGTAGGTTTCAATGAATTTATCCACGAAAGAGAGATGAAGTCCGCCACTGATGCTTCAATCCGTCTATTTGACGAGATCCTCATGGCCAAGAAGGCTCGCGGCCGCAGCGGTTTGTCGACAGGCCTGTCAAGACTCTCCACCCTTCGTGCCTCGCACGGCGCCTCCCTCCAAGCTGGCCATTTCGCTCCGCCTTCCCGCAACAGCAAGGTCCCACCCTACCTCGGCGACACTTCCGATCACATCTGGCGGACTGCCTCGGTGCCACTTCCCAAGGGTAGCTTCCCCGGCGAGTACCGCTCTGTTGTCACACGTGTCCCGGCTCGTCTGGACCGCTCCTTGATGCGGGAGCCTCGGTCTATCCAGGGTATGCCCCGTGTCGAACAGCGCGGTGCTCGAGGCTTCATCCGGAAGCAGGTGCCCAGCATGCTCGGCACCACCCCGCCGACTTGAGAGTGTTGTAAGGACAATTGGTGGCGAGCGGAAACTAGAGGACATGAGAGTCTACCGAAAAACAACGAATCGAGCCATCCTCGAAACCGGGTGGGGGAGGCTACAATGCACATACTTAGCCTACCCCATCCGAGAAAACGGGAGGGGTGGCGGATGAAGAGGAGGCGACACACCATAAGAAGGGAACCATGTACGATATACTATTTTTGTAATCTAGGACGACGAGGCATCGGAGGAAAGAGAGGAACAAAAAGGGCCAAGGTGTCCAGTTGGCGGAATCACGAGACTGAGAGGGAAGCAATCCCGGCCAGGAATGGGTATAAAGGAGAAGAAGAACCGATAGCGGGGCAGGGAATGCCGTGTTAGATATTGGATCCCTGGGCCACTCATCTGGCAGGATGCATTGGCTGATATTTCTTCTTGTCTGAAACTATTCGGCGGTATACGAGCGGGAGCATCAGCATCATCGGGCATACTAAGGAGGGCACTGGGAACGGAGTGGGAGCGAGGGGGTTGACTTTTACATGACGTTAATACTAAGCTCTAGCCATGGGCACGCACATTAAGAAGGCCCTGGGCATTGTCCTACATAAAGCCTCTTCCAAAAACGCAAAAGAAAAAACACACTCTCTGTTCCATCGTGATGCCATCCTACCACTAGTCAGTCCTGGCCATCCTCCCCCCTCTTGGCCTCTCGTTCTTGATGGCCGTCATATCCAGATCCTCCCACCCGACATCCTTCAGAATTCTGCCAGTTATAGATGAATAGCGCAAATGCTCGCTAATTAGGCGACTAACATCGTGGTTCTCGACACCTTCCGCACCATGAATCTGCTGCAGGCCTGCTACTCCAAAGTGGATGTTGGAGGTGCGGTAGAGGAAGCCAAGAAGATAGTCATGCTCCGAGTAGACGTTGATGAGCCGACCAGACACGACGCTCTTGAGCGTCAACCAAACTCGGCTCTCCGAAGGAGCCGGAGTCCCCATCAAGACAACAGACTCGACGAGGCCAAACTGTCGGCGCTCAGCGAGGACCATCAGGCAAGTGTAAATGGCTCGCGCACCCAGGCTGTATCCGACAAGAGAAATTGGGCGATCGCCCTGCAATTTGCTGCGCATGAGGGTGTCTGCAAGAACCACACCTGCTTTCTCGGCTCGCACCATTCCGAGGCTCCAAGGGTTATCGATGATTTTGCTGATTTTCATCAGTCCCGCCGGCCAACTTGCCTCAATGAGACTCGAAAATACTGTACAATGTTAATGATAGAGGCTTATGGGGCTGAAAAGGGGACTGACTTGTTCGCGAAGTAATCTCCTTTTTCGCCGTGCTCCAAGCAGTGCTCTTGGTAACAGTTTCAAGGGCGATCCCAAGGTTCATGAGGACGGTCATGTCCCACCGTAGGGCAAACACCTCAGCTTGATCGCCCATACCTATCCATGGCTGAGTGATAGCATCCTTGTCCGTGAGCCAGCCGTTTATGACGATGATCATTCTAAGTCTCCGGTCCTTGGCTGGCATCTTTCTGGCATCAACATAATCCGTAGGAGATTCGCCTCGAATCGGGATGAGGCCGAAGTCCTGAATCTCGCGGGCACATGACTCAATCATCTTAGTCGTTGGCCTTGCCGCAAAGATGCCGAAAAGGGGACCTGCCACGAGGCCATTGTCCGCCATAGTACCCAATAATCCTGCCGCAGCTGCAGGGCTCAAGCCGTGACCACCATGCGGGGTGCCGATACCGACCGCAACCAGCTCAGGAGCAAGCTTGCTCAAATGGGCCGACCCAGCGGCGTTGAGATGGCCTGGCTTCGGTCTACGGGGCGCCTTATTTTCGTCCTGTTTCTGATCGGGGGTGTGGTTGAGGGATGCCTTGATGGCAACCTGACTCAACCCCTGAGCGATGCGAATTTCTTCCTCTTGAAACATCTTCCACGAGAGGCTTAGGGAGGACGTTAGGTGGAGGAGGAGAATCCGAGAATATGAGCTGTATTCTTGCAGAGATAAGAGCAGCAAGTGCGAAGCGTGCAGCAAAGTCTTTCGCTTCTCCAGGGGGAGAGTCCATAGAGTTGTTGGGATAGGAGGGTATCGACGGGCCAGCTCTCGGTCGAGGTGATTTGAGGCGGATCTTAGAGGACCTATCATTATTAGCCTATGTTTTACCTAGTTTATTTAATGAAGAGAACGGAACTGTGGCTCAAATAAAGGAGAATATGTGTTATACCTGTTGCCAAAGTGAGGCCGCCACGGCCACCTCTACCGCCCCGGGCGCCTCGACCACCTCGAACACCTCGCGCACCGCGGAAACCACGGCCGCGTCCACGAAAACTGGCTTGAGGGTCGGTTGAGTCTGTGACGTTGATGTCTCGAACTCGGTGAAGTACCGCGGTCTGCCACTTGCGGAAGAAGACGATGGCTTCCTTCCTCAGCTCTTGGAGTTGGGGTGGCATTGCCTCCGAGGTTTTCTTGTCATCAGCTCCAGTCTTGCAAGGTGGGTTGGACACTACAGACTCCGTGTTAGCTGGAGAGACAGGGTTGACCTGGTCATTGTGCTGCCGGTTCTGGAGCGACAGTGAGAGCCAGTGGTGTTGATTGAAGTCATCCTGAATAGGGGTGACAGGAGGAGAGTCGAAGGTCATGCTGATTCCATTGTGAATCTTCTCTGTAATGGCGTTGATTAAGGTAGTCAGATCGTTTCTCTCGGCGATGGAAATGATTCCTGTCAAGTCAACTGGTCGGCGAACAGGTTGCTGACTCCCTCCACGGCCTCCTCGAGCCATGACACCGTCTCCGAGCGGTGGCTGCTGGCCGTGGTCGGTCTGGGATGAATATGATAGTAAGAAGAAAGCCAAGGGGTTCAATATTCACCCCTTTGAAGAGTCAGAAGGCCGTTTCGAAATCGGACGACGAGTGAGTGTGAGGAGACAGCGATGCAGAAGACGGCAGAGTGAAGACGATGAAGGACAGTACGAAGAAGAGGCCTTGCCTTGCACCTGGCAGAGGCTATCGTGATGGAGGTTTCTTGACCTAGACTTGAAAGATGAAATGGCGAAGGGAAAGGGAAGGGAAAGGAAAGAAAAGAGAGACATTGGAGTGAAGTGGAAAAAGGTGAGAAGAAAGCGACGACAAAAACAAGGAAAGGGAATGGTTACCCCAACGCCTATTCGCTCCCTCTGTAGTGAATTTAGGAAACCGCAAGTAGTGGCCAGGTGATGGCCAGGTGACTGCCAGGTGACAACAAGTGGCAGCGACTGCCTCGTCGAGTGTTGGGCAGGTGGTGTGCTCCGCGTCCTTGTCATTCCTCGCCAGCCTCTGCCAGCTGGCGGATGCAACCAGCTAATGCACACCTCTCCAACACGCCTTGGATCTGCTCAGTGGCACAATGCGTGATACAGCCAGTCACCCTTCAAATCCCCGGCTGCAGGCCCGACCGGTGAATAGCAGTCACCAAAGGGACGTCTCCGGGTTAGGGCTCTCAGTGGTGCACGCGCTTGTTTGCTTCGACTTGTGTCGCTGGAACTCTCATGGCCTGTCTGAATCTCGCTACAGATCGAAGCCATCAAAGTCTCAAAGCAGAGGCGTTGTGCGACTAACACGCGGACAACCACCGGCCGAATGCCGGTCATTCCGAAAACATGACCAGCGGTGCCCAAACAGGCAAAAGAAAGAAGCATTCGTCCATGAGGCCGGTCTCTGTTCGCCTCCGTTTTCGGTTGGTCAAACTCATCATCCCTGTTGGACCTCAAATCTCTTACCGTCCTTGTTGATCATTCACAATGACCTTGTTCGGTGTACCCAACCCTCTCATCGGGCTGGTGTTGGTTTTCGTGACGTACGCACCTAGCGCACATCACTGACTGGACAATGTGCCAACCCACGCAAGCAAGCAACTCTTGTGTAGCCAACGCTCGGCAATAGACTAGGGACCAACCTCCCCGGTCTTAGCGAGATCGAAGATTATCTGCCGGGGAAAGCAGCTATCCGATCCAGGTGAGTGGTCTTGCGACTGGCCCTAGACACACACGACTTAAACAACTTGATTGGTTGTACAAGTTTCCATTTCACTCTCCGAGTTCGTGGTATCTACTATGGGCTAACACGGCAAATGGGGGTATCGAATGCCCGCATTGGGGGCAAGGACCATTTTCACTCATCTCCCAAGACATATCATCGGCATCGTCTCCCTCCACATATGAGTCTTCGAGCTCCTCCTGCAACTCGCCTTCTGGATCGGAAATGACCTGGAACGGCCGCAATACCTCATCCTGTCGCTTGAGCATGGCGGCGATGTCTCTACCTACTCCTGTCTTGTCATCTGCAGCTCCAGCAACCATATTGGCGACGCATATGTTGATCAATTGCAAATTCCACCGTTGTCCCTTTTCAGGCTGGAGTCGCCGCAGGAGAGGGAGCAGGGCCTCCGATACGAGCCGTTCCGCAATGTGGTCCATATCATCTTTGAGGTCAAATATAAAACCAGGGAGTGTCCCTGAACGCGAAATCCTCCCAGAATTGTGGCCTTGTGCTGGATTGAGAGGCCCCCATGACCTTATAGTGAGGCGAAGCGTCCTTGGTCGTGCCATCCACCTCTGGGTCCCGGGGGCCTCGGCATTCTTGTCGGGCACCAGAAGATCCACCCTCATCCTTCTGACAAGAGAATATGACAGTTTGTGTAGCTCCTCCAACATCAGCGCCAGAGTTCCTAGACCCTTGGGGTAAGTATCCTCAATGCTAATTTGGGTTGGTACACCGCTCGCCTCTTTGATCTCGCTTGGGTCCACTCCATGCAACAGCCCCCAGATCCTTGATCCTACTCCTCTCTCGGCTCCAGGGCCGACTAGAAGGCTTTCTATAGTACCAGGCGAGATACCAGGGTGACGACGGACCTGATGCGCCGTCACGGTAGGTTCATCCGTTCCCGCATCGGTGGCTTCGTTATCTTGGGAACTGACGTGAGACCCCAGTACATGTGCGGTTTTGAACCCTACACCAGGAATCTTGCGGAGGGGATGGCTATCCATGAAAGCAACAACATCGTCGTCAGTCAAGGCCACCAGCGTGGTCTGATTGCGTGGCTTGTTTTTGCCCCCTACCAGCTTACTCAACACTTTGTTCGTCGAGATACCACAAGTTGACGTGTACCCGAATTGCTCTTCTATTTTCAGCCGAAGGTATTGAGCCAAGTGGGAGCCGAGCAGGAGGCGCAGGTAAGCGGGACTTTCAACATCCAAGTCATGGGAGGCTGTGCCCTCGACACAGCCCGCGATGCTAGTCAGATCGCAATTAAACCCACGTTCTGGGTCTTCTTTTGAAAGGCAAAAGAAGGAGTCGGCCAGGGATGCCCGGTTAAGGCAAAACATGTTGTACTCGACAATGTCGGTCACGTCTGGTATTATTAATATCCAACCGATGGAGGATGGAGACAATCCGAGCTGGGGGCGGCACATACCCATGAAGACCTCATCAAACCCAAGACGCTCAACCTTGTGGTTCCACGAGTGCGATTTGAAGAAGTTGAAGAGAATTTTGCTCGTATCCCGAAAAGGCGTGAGGTCCTCGCCGTCGACCAGGACAAGCTCGGGACAGGCTCGCTTGGCCTCGGAGACGGACATGAGCTTCTTGAGGCCCAAGGCGCGGGCATTGTAGTTACATGTCGCCAAACAGTTCTTCTGCTTGACCCCCACGGGTAATTTCTTGAGAGCTGGGGTTTTGTTCTCGAAGACTTGGGCATAGAAGCAGTCGTAATCCTAGAGATGGTGGTGAGCCTTAGCAGTATGGTGTGGCGGGGAAGGCCCGGGAGGTCGGGACCGAGACGTACGAATTGCAGGATGACTCGGTCATCCTTTCGTCTTGGCGGTTTCTTCCTCGGCGGGTCCATTCTGTGTTGGTGGGTGAAGCAACAAACCAAGCCATGCGGTGTGCATCATGGGTCTGTTTGGGATGGGCGAATATGAGCGGGTGGTGCGGGAGCGGCGTGCCAGCACCTCGATTCCACCCCGGAATCTTACCAAACTGGGCCGACGACTGCCCGTAATTGACGAGACTATGCCCTCTCGCAACTTGGAAGACAAAGGATACAATGAGGAAACGCCAGGGTCGTGAAAACCTCTACTCCGTTCCCCTACGACGGAAGCTGTTTCACGGAGTGGGACGGCGCCAAGCAACTTCCAGGCAGCTGTCTGCACCAAGATTAATCTGCAGGTGTCAGCAGCAGGCGCGACCGCCTAGTGGAACCCCATCCGCCAGCGCCAGCGCCTGCAACTGGCAAGTGCGCATTCTCTTACCCTTGTCACGTCACGACCTCACGAATCATGGCTCTCCCACAAGCCAAAGACGACAGAATGCAGCACGTTCCCCAATCATCCTGAATTCTTGACGCGAATGCAACATTTCAGTCCTCCAGTGCGAGCCCAATGGCAGCGGCAGTTGGCGATCTGCAAGTCATGGACAGGCTCACCGCCAAACCGACGCGGCCAAGCACCCGAGGAGGCCGCATTCGCATCTGCCAGGATGCCCGCGTGTCAACAAGCGCGCCTGGATTCCACTGTGTTCGACAGATTGCGGAGACAAACATGCGGTGCCAAACCCATGGACTCATCCAGGTAACACTAGGACTGGCCCCAACCGTCCGTTGCGGCGCGCCATTGTCTTGAGGTGGAATAGACGCGATGGCCCGGCTGTTGGCGATCCCGGGCGCCCGTTCCGCCCGTTCTCGGTCTCGGTTACAAACAAATCATTGTCCCTGCCCAGATCCTTGTCTGGACAAACAATGAGAGAGATTCTGCTAGCTCCGCCATCCCTTGGCCGGCGCTGGTGGTGATGGTGGTGCCGTTTGCCTCGGCCACACATCGTTTCGCTGTAACCGCCCATGCAGAGCCAAGCACCCGCCAAAGAGGGGAGCGTAAGCCTGCATCAGTCGGCTGCAGCGTGGCGGCCCCGAGCAGAGTCCCCCATATTGACCTCTGGATCCCTAGTGTGCTGCTGCTGTCTGCAGGTCATTCCAGCGACATTCTCCTCAGCGTCTTTAGGGGCGGGCTTGATTGCTGTTGACCCGGATTGTAAGATGCCGTCGCAATTTTAGCTCTCGCACAACGGACAGCTTGTCGGACCCGAGCAGAGCCACTGACAGTCAGCCCTAGCAATCCTGGCAAAGGCACGGGGAACCTTCGTTTAGAGCTTATGTGTTGCAGGGTGCTAATAAGGCTGAGCAGATCCTCCACTCTTCCCACAGTGACGCGGCCCAGGGCGAGGGTAGGAGTCCGAATACACCGTTTCATACTGGAACGAAACGGCGACCTGGATGCACCAAGAAGTCATTGACCATGCGGGTGACCCAGCACTCTGCAAAGCGCGAGCCCCGACGCCAGTGATTGCGGTGACCCCTCACGGAAAGCCGCCAGGTCGTCTACTGGTGTCCATCCTCAATAGACGCCAGCGCGAGTGGAACAGCCGACCTGTTAGCCGCGTGATTGGATCTGTTCCAAGAAAATTACCAGGGGGACCCTTGAACTGGGCGCTTGCGCCTTCGCACTGGATCCCACCATGATGCCATGGTGAGCCAACCAGAGAGTCTGCCGACTCGTTGCCCCCATCACCCCTCAGCAGTCTTGCAACCCAAACTTGTTCTTAGTCGAATCCTTTGTCCCCGTCCATTCCGCGTCTACGCTGTGAGCAAATATCACACTGCATGCATGGCTAGGGGCGCTTGCCATGGGCAGGGGATGTGCCGGCCAGGGCTGGGTCCTGAGCATGGTCGTTCCCAGTCGAGAACCAGTGGGATGCGCCATCATCGCTGAGTCTATATTACATAGCCGCCAACCCCAATTCCTGTTGTTGGTTTCGTTGCCTTTGTTGCTTTTACATTGTCTTTGAGATCCCTGGTGGTTCCAATCTGCGTTCCCAGCTAAGCCTGCTAGACAGTGCTAGTCTGCTAACCCAGAGACACCGTGGTCGAGAGACTCATTTTCTTGTCTTGTCTCACCTCCTCCAGAAGCCCGTCTCGTTCGGCTGTCTCCTCCCCGGGAAAAGCCGCAATCATGGCATTTCAGCAAGCCCCGCAAAAGAAGCCCCGGCTCTCTCTTCAGATCAAGACCACATGCAGTCCCGCCACAAGGTCATCAAGGAGTTATGCAGTGGACCCAAGGGACCCGACTGCCTTCAACACCCTCTCAAATGTCTATGTTACAGCCATTGAGAGGTCAGCGCCTATCCAGGGAGAACCCATCACCGCCATCAACACACTCCAGGCCTTTACTCTGGCGACTCCGGTGGAATACCAGGACCCCAAGCAACGAGTGGTGACTCCCTATGTTGCTTCTTACCCAGAGACGCCCTTGACGGCGCACGCTACCTCACCCCGACCGCTGGAGATCAACTATCCTAGTGCCATGACGGCTACTCCTCCTCTATCCGCGGGCCCAATTGACCCAAACGCTTCCAAGGTCTTCAGCTTCTCGGCTGCGGACGTCTCAGCCAAATCGGCCGAGCTGAGCAAGGTCATCCGATCAGAACCTCCGGGTTCTGTCCGCCGAGCTGTTCCTAGGAACCTCGCCGGGTTGGGACTGCAGCCTCCTTATACGCATCCTCGATCACTCCACAGCATTCTCCGCAACTCGCCCCTCCCTCCACCGAGTTCCATTCCCCCACCTTCGCCCCGACGACAATCCCTTCGTCTTCAGGAGAAAGCAGCCAAGAAGGTCGGATACAATAACCCCTTGACGCAAGACATCGTCAACAACAAGTACACCAAGTCTCACATCGACCTTCTCGTGGAAGAGGCTTCACCCCACTCCCCGCCATGCCTACCGGCTCCACCTCAAACTTCACTTGACTTGGCTCTCGCATTCCACCCTAATGAGATCCAGGACGGTGGTCAAACTCCAGGCCCGTATGAGGAGATGCGGCGCCGAATGGCTGGTTTGGGAACAGGAACACCAGTAGCCTCGCCTGTGGCGGCTCCCGGGGGTATTCGTAAACGCAAGAGAAAGGAAAAGAAGCGACGCTGGGTATGGACAATCGGCCAGGACGACGATGACGAGAATGCGGGTGGCTCCATTGTTGCCCTCCGAACCGAACCGTCAAATAGCAAAACCGTCGACGAGGTCAAGACACCGATTACTGCCATCCCAATCGTACAAATACCGGAAATCACGTATCTGGAGACGCCAACCCCGAGCATTGAGAGCGCTGATTCTGCGAGCGAGTGTCATGATGTGGAAATGTCCGACTCAAGCAGTTGCCTCTCTGAGTATGAAGAGCGAGGGCTCACCCCAAATGAGATGGATTTGGACGTCAAGACCCCGACTGCTCCGCAACGTCAGTGCAGCGTGGTCTTAGATACGAACCGAGATACACCGATCCCTCCGGAACTATTGGTTCAGGATGGCAATTCCAACCATCCAACAAACAGGGACACACCCGTGCCGCCGGACATGTTGTAGTCGGGGCACATACAAAGAATGAAACGAGGGAGTCTGAACGGCGTTTTGAAACTTAAAGCATACAGCCAATGGTCCCAGGACGTGGCAGCGGCGTTTTTATGGTGTGGGCTTTGGGAATACCTGTATCATATACCTTCTCGATACATGAAGGAAGCAATCATGAGTAACGAATGGGTCAAAACGAGTGGAGTAGTGATACAACTTGTATTTTACTTCAAATTACATACTATTACGAAAACGAGAACGTCCTGTCGAAGTCATCTTGACAACCAGTGAGTTTTGATGGGTACCTTGCATAACATCTCGCCATTCTTTCCTCATACTGTGTAATCACAGGCACAGTTCAGGAGGATATATTGTAGCGTAGATCCCTCCACTGCAATTGTGTGAGATTGAAAACGATGATGAGCTTGCCCCACTGCATAGGCTACTTAGTCAATAGTTTGACCGTCCCTAACACAAATAACAACATCCGGTATGGTGTAATGGCTAACATTTCGCGCTCTCATTACTGAGAGGTCATCTTGATCCGCGGAGCTCAGGGTTCGATTCCCTGTACCGGAGTGCATTTTCTTTTTAGTTTATTGTACCCATTTCCCCCTGCTTGCCTTTTTTTTTTTTTTTGGAGGCTGGGAACCGAACAGGCTATGATGATTATTAGTTGCCTTACCACTATACCTGAAGATAATAACAGAGCTGTATTAGATATAGTAATTAATGTGAACTTGAAAATACTCTTTATTGTAATAAGACTTATATTACATACAGCTGGCGTTAATTACATAGCCAAGAAGCAGTATTTGTTTATTATTAACAGATATTACTTACTTACTCACCTTCGACGTAAAGCAGTATAGGGCATGTACTTTAGTATGCAAATAGCCTTATACATACGCGCAAATAAGAACTCCCACGTTGAATAGCTAATGTGCATATATATCTCTTCTCTCTCTTTCCTCTCTTAATAAAACGTATTTCCACGTATTCGCCCATCACCAATCACGGTCCAAAAACAGATAATTCCAGCAACGAGCGGGAAGCAAACATCCAGCGCAGCTGGTACCCGCGGAAAGTGCTCAGAAACCCTCGAGAACAAACAGCAAGATCCATGGCAGGCGCTTGCTCTAGTTACTCTGCTTCTAGAGGAATAGCATACCGCAAGACACCCACCTTTCTGGAGATTCTGACGACGAATGGCTCTCGGGAGAAGGCCAGTGTCGACGAAATAATTACCTACGTAGAATAAAACCGGATTCTTTTTAATATTCGTGAAAAGAGGCTGGAATACCCTGCTCACACTTCTACAATATGTGGGAATGTTAGTCTTTCACCCACCATAACTACACTCATATAACAGTGTTTAACCATACTTAGTCTATATACAATTACAACTGAGCCCTATTCACTCCTACCTTTTTATAAAATTTCGCGAAGGTTATTTTATTTTAAAAATTGTATCTCAGAAGCAGCACTTGGTGCAGTCTTATAGCTATAATACATTAATAGACGTTCTAATTTGAGGATATAGGCTAAACTCTACCTAATATACTGCTCAAGGCAGTCTTCACCGATTTAATAGACTGCAGTACCCTGGATTGGGTGGGATACGACTATTCTGTCCGTTTCTACTATCTGATTTGCAGCTGCCTTGGCTTCGAGAACTGGTAATATCTCTTGTCACAGGGCTGCAAAGATAATTATTGCTTCTGTTGGGGCTATGTGACAATTCAGATAATGACGATGACCGAATGGAAACCGTCTCCCTCGATTACGAAAATGGCCTAACAAAGTCACGCATCTACTCAATGATAGTTCAACCTGGTTATCTAAACACGACTGAGGGTTATGTAATGTATTTGCGCTATGGGAGTTATTAGACCTGAGGTACAAGGCCTCTGAGCTGCAATTGCGCACGAGTTATCAAACGCAGGCTAGTACGGGTACTTCCAAGTAGTGTAGTCTATATGATATCCTGCCATCTACAACTAGGAGTCTATTATCGCACTCACTGAACTCCCTTGTAAGGAGTAATACCATCCGTTAAAGTGGAACTTAAACCAGTTAATCGCCGCTCTAACTAAATATTGTCTCTTGTTCGATAAGTTGTAACACAGAGCAAAACATACATACCCTCAAGTGTGTGTGGGAGCAGAAAGGACGTTCCGTTCATCCTGATAAAAGCAAAATGTGTTAAGCATGCAAAAAGAAGAAATTAACTCCGGTACAGGGAATCGAACCCTGAGCTCCGCGGATCAAGATGATCTCTCAGTAATGAGAGCGCGAAATGTTAGCCATTACACCATACCGGATTATGATTGGCTGTTACTTGTTGGGTGCACCCAGTTTAGACACTATGAGGGTGATAAACACTAGAAGGACCTGGGGTTGAGTGCCTACATAACGCTTCTATCTGGACCTGATCTTACAAAGGTTACCATGAAATCGATTGCTTGTCTACATGGCAATCTCTCTTGTCAGAAGTTCGATAAAGCATGAGGGGGTGGTTCGGCCTGGGAGTAGTTGGGACGTGTAGACTGTTCGGCTGAATCCAGTGCGCAGATCATATCACCTCAATACGCTGACGTCAGACCATGTCCCAGTTCTCTGTATATCAGGTAGGAAATTTGATCATTTCTCAAGCTTCTATCGCTTTCCTTTAGCTCTCCACGCCCAAAGCCTTAGCTCCCACGAGCCTCCCGTCCTTGGACGAAACCAGCCAGTACTCGACCCTGGTCGCATCACGAACCACGCGGTACACCCGCACGTCGTTGCCAGCCGTCGCCTGTCGCACGGCCTCCAGCACGTCAGTGTATTGGCCCTTTGAGTCCCAGGAGAGAGGATCGAGGATCGAAATCTCCGCTTCGGAGGGGGAAGGGTGGTTTATGAGGGTTGCGAACTCGGCTAGAAGGGCATATTAGCTAGGAACTTGATGGGAATATGCGGGTGTATTTGTGAGCAACGAGGGCGCGCGGAGATCTTACACTCAGTTGGCAGTCTATCCTTGCCATCCCACTTCAGGGAAACCTCCTCAAACGGCTCGTCCGCATCGCTGGTATACACAGCATCGCGGCACACCTTGGTGATCTCCTTTGGCACCTCACTGCCTTCGTCCTTGGCCTTGAGTGCCACCTTGCTGCTGCTCTGCGTCGTCGCACCACCAGTGTCCTGGTTCGCCTTGTTCAAAAACGCCATGTAGTCCTCGTCGCTGGCCATCTTGAGAGATTGGGTGCCGCTCAAGTATCGTACGCTGTAAGTGGGAGGGCGCCGGGCTGGGAGTGTAGCTGGCGACGATGAGGTCGATGGTAGACGGATGCTTCGCACGCTGGCAAGTGGGCTCGTCGATAGTCTCGCTGATGAGGAGAAATATTGGATCTTCAGGAAACGGGTTAGGTTCGGTTTGGGCGTCATGGAGATGGATTGAGGCCGTCAAGGTGGGACAGTCTGCATGTTTTGTTCAGATTGGAGCGGGGGTGACGTCAGGTTGGGAAAGCGCTGTGGTTGGCGGTTGAAAGCTCGACATCGGATCACGGAACAACCTGGCAACCAGTAATTGGCCAACGACCGCGCAGCCTTCATTGTCAACGTCATCACTTGTCTCACATGGCTCTACAGCGATATCAAGGAAAATGAGCATCTTTTTTCTATGACCATGCCAATCAAATCCCTCTTACTCCCACAGACGGAACGATGACCCAGCCTCCAAAAATAAATCAATAAGTACCCGAGCATCACTGCATCAACTCAACACTGTGGAGGCAGACATTTCCTTCACGGTGCAACATGATACACAGGGCATTCACCAAACGAACAGGTGGAGTCAAATTAACATTGGGAATCTCGTTAGAATTTTTGATCCATCCCTCTAGCTGGATTTTTTACGTTCATGCCAGTATGAAACCTAACCCAGCCCAAACATAAGGTGAACGAACCAACCCTCGACACCGATGCAATGGACATGACAAAGAAAGGAAATTAGCTGCCGCTTTAAGCGGAGGCAAGATCCTTCTTGAGGGTACCCTGGTACTGCTTCTTCTCGGCAGGGGTCTGGAAAGCACCGTGTCCGAACTCGGACGAGGTGTCGATCCACTTGAGGCTGACCTTCTCCAGGGCCCTTCGGGAGGTGTGCACGAACATGGACTTGCGGAGAGTCATGACACGCTTCTTGGTACCGGGAATGGAACCCTTGACCATGACGAAGTCGTTGTTGACCTCACCATAGCGGACGAAGCCACCCAGACTGGAAAAGAGTCAGCAAATGTCTCATATTTGTGGAATGTACAGGGTTAACATACGGAGTGATCTTCTTCTTGGTGACATCGATCTCGGTGGCGGCGCTGTCCTCAGCATCGCCCTTACCAATTCGGTAGATCTTGTGGTTGACCGAGGTTCGGTGGTGGTATCCGTCCTGACCGGCGCGGGCGACGGTCCACTGGACGTGGGAAGGATGCCAAGCACCGATACAAGCGACCTTTCGGAGACCCTTGTGAGTCTTGCGAGGAAGCTTCTTGGTGCCCCATCGGGAGGTGACACCGGAGAAACCGTGACCCTTGGTGACGGCGATGACATCAATCATCTCGTCCTGCTCGAAGATGGAGTCGATGGACACGGGCTTCTCGAAAAGCTCCTGGCCGAAGGCGACCTTGTCGGCGATGGAGCCACCGTTGACCTGGATCTCCATAAGGTGGGCCTTCTTCTGCTTGAGGGGAGTCTTGCGGATCTGGGTGTGGGCGAGGACACGGACGACGGTGCAGTACTTCTTGATGCGCTCGAGCTCGCGGGTGATGGAAGCGCCGCTGTTCTCGGAGTGCTTCTTGGCGTACTTGGTGAAGGCCTTCTTCTTGGACTTGTACCAGTTCTTGTAGAACCGACGCTTGAGCTCGTCGCCCAAGTGCTCGGCCCACACGGTGGTGAGGGATCGGAGACCACGGGGAGTCTCGATGTAGCCCACAAGACCAACAACGATCATCTAAAAGATGTTAGCCATAGGCACATAGCCAAGCGGGCTGCATTGTTCGTACAGGTGGGGTATCGACGATAGAAACCGCCTCCACAACTTCCTTCTTGTTCGCCTTCGCGCCGGGTCGGTCGAGGTCACGAACGATGGTGGTCATGCCGGCCTTGTAGCCCATGGCGGCGGTCAGGTGGACGGGCTTCTTGGCGTCATCCTTGGGGAACCTGTTCAACCAATGCGTCAGCCATTGTTCTTCTCAATGTTGGTGATGCCAGAAAAAATATCTGACGGAGATCTACTCACGACTTGACCTTTCCACGGTGGCGGGCAGCGCGCTTTCGCGGCAGGTAAGCCAGGGAGCCGTGGCGAGGAGCCTCGTACTTGCGGTGCTATTGAGAGTCAGTACCATATAGAAAGTCATTGTTACCATCGCCAACTTACACTCATTTTGAACGAGCTGTGTGGGTTGAGGGGGTTAGTATGAAGTTGACGAAGCCTGCGTGGTGTTAAAAAGACGAGAGGGTTGAGAAATAAAATGTGGGTGAAATTTTAAGCGAGTGTGTGGTCCGTGCGTCGTGTGCATTTTCAGAGCGCACCAACCCAAACTCACCGAGAAATGGGAACTCCGACAGCCCTAAGGTAAGACCGACCACTCAGGGCAGTGATGGAAGTTTGTCACGTGAGCGCCTCAATTCGACGGACTCAAGTGTTCACATGGGCTCAGTCCGGACGGAATACACTCAAATCACTCAGAAATGGGCAAACGTCAAAGTGGTGTAGATACTAGTTATTCAGGAGCTATGGTAAAGGAGCCGATACGGATACCGTTCGCCGGTGACATCGTAACCAAGAAAGACCGAAACCCCGGGATTGACAATACTTTGGTGTCTTTGACAAGACAAAAGAAACCAGGCCTCCAAAAGTGGTATACATGTAAAGGAAAAAATAGACGATTTGACACATCAAAAACTCTTCGACTCGTAAGCAGCACAAGATCCACCCGTTATTCAACTTTTGGTGTAGGACCGGAAACTCCATTGACGGCGGCGCTGACAGGGGTAGATGTTTTCGCGTCGCCGGCGGCGGAGCCGGGGCCGGATCCGTTGGCGACAATCCCGGCCTTCTTCTCATCCTCTCCACTATCATCGTAGTCCTCGTCAACCTCCATTTTTCTAGCTGCCCTCTCAGGTTCAGCAGTAGGAGGAGCCGGGCGAGGAGCAGGAGCATGCTCCAGGCTTTGCGGCCGCTCCTCCTTAGGGGTCGGGACTGCCGGGGGCTTGTCAAGAACTCCAGGTAGAGGGGCAGGACCTTGCTGCATCGGTGGAAGATGGTTAGGTCCTGCCGCATGGCTGGGAGGGTGATGGGCAGCATCCGAAGGATGGTAATTGTCACTGGGATGGCGCGGTGGCTCCTCAGCCCGTCTTGGCTCTTCAGGGCGACGCTGCTCTTCCGCTCGGCGCGAGTCCTCAGCACGTCGAACTTCGGATGAGTTGCGGCGGTAGGACTCGCGGGGTGGAGTAGATGGTCGTCGGTGGCGCATGTCGTCGAGACGAGCACGGTTTTCATCGTTGGCTTGCTTCTTAGCCACAGACTCCTCCTCCCACTCTCGCATTCTCTTTGGGCCGACGGAAGGCGGTCGGTCGTCAATCCTTTGCATGGGAACATCGGCCACAGACTGAGGAGGTCCAGGAGGCCCGGGAGGTCCGGGGGGGCCAGGGGGGCCAGGGGGGCCAGGAGGTCCGTTCTCAGGAGCTCCCTGAGTTGGCATTTCCGGGTGGTGAGGATACAGCGGAGGCGGTGCCTGATGTTGGGGATACGCCGACTTGGGAGACGGCATCCGGTTGTCGTGGACCAGTCGACCGTCTGGGCGAGGGCTGTTTGTAGGTCGGAAAGGGGCCATACCATTAGGAGGAGGGTTGGCGCCGTTAGCATTGCTAGAGGGAGGAGCCGATGCAGACGGTGTAGCTCCACCCCAGTTGGGGTTGGCAACTCGGCGCTCAGAGGCGGGAACTGGGGGCTGAGATTGGGGAGGGGGAGGGGGAGGTTGCGAGTATTGGTGGCCCTGGGGAGGGGGAGGAGTGCCTCGTCGCGCAGGTCCAGGTCGATTGATATCGTTGTAAGGCTGGCGCATCTGCTGCTCCTGCTGAGGACTCGGCTGTCGCTGCAGAGGAGGAGCGGGACCTCCTCGGAAAGGCTCACCGCGAGACTCGTAAGGGTTGGGGGGTTGAGGAGGGGGGTTGATGTTGGAGAGGCGGCCAGCCCAGTTCTCTCCGGCTCCCTGGGGAGGAGGAGGGGGGCCAGAAGCAGGGGGCTGCTGAGTAGAGCCTCCCCATTGAGGTCCGACAGGACCCGCGGCCTGATAAGCCTGCGGGTGCACATCGGCGGGTTGGGGAGCGGCAGGTGGGGGACCTCCATTAGTGCCACCAGAACGGAGGAGCTGAAGGCGAGCCTTGATGTGTGGGTTGCCGGGGTCGAGTTCGGCAGCACGTTGGTAAGCATCCAGCGCATCTGTGATTTGGTTGTTGCAGCTCTCATACTGGAACTTGGTTAGCACGATGTGACTCCAACCTGTCCCGCCTGTGCAGTTCACTTACCAGAGTACCCAAGTCGTACCAGACTTCCGAAATGTAGGGGTTCAATCGAATAGCTCGAGAGTAAGCGTCGAGAGCATCACGGTACTGGTTGATCTGGTAGTAGAGCACACCAATCGAGCACCAGAAGGTAGGGTTCTTTCCGTCACGGTAGACGGCTTGTTGGTATGCCTCATATGCCTTGGGGTACTTCTGCTGGGACATGTAGCACCGACCCAGGAGGTACCAGCTCTGGGCATCCTGGTTGTCTATTTGCGCGTCAGTGTCAAGATCATGTGATACAATTTAGTGCATGTCCATACCTGCGCCGACAGACTTCTCGAGATATTGGATAGCACGGTCTTGGCTCTCATAGGTGTTGCTCTGCTGGTGATGCAACCAGCCGAGTTGCTGAAGGACCTTGGCGTGATTAGGAGATTGGTCCAAGACGCGCTGGTATGCCGCCTTGGCGCTGTCAAACTACCAAGGTGTTAGCCGCCACATTGTCACCACAATTCCTGATAAAAGGCTCACATCTTTTTGCTGTTCATGAACATGGCCAATCTGAAACCAGATATCCTCCTGGGTCAAGGGACCTGGAGGAGAGTTGACAATGTACTTGAAGCACTAAAGTTTTTACAGTTAGCATGGGACCATGCGCGAAGAATGTAGGTCATCGGCTTACGTCAAGACTTTGGTTGTACTTAGACTGCTGCTTGTATATTATACCGAGCCGGAAATAAATTTCATTGGCCTTCTCGAAATCGGGCTGAATGTGCATAACCTGGGAGAAGGCCTCCTCGGCATAGTCGTAGCTACCATATCGGTCGTAGAGAATACCGATGCCGTACCAGAGCATGGGATCCTATGCGTCATTAGGCAATGTCCCGGTGCGCGGTGCCAGAATGGAGTGACCAATACATACCTTGGGGTCTCGGAGGTTGACCAGGGCCTGCTGATAGGCATCGTAGGCCTTTTGAAGATTCTCCGTCATCAAGTAGCAGTGTCCTGTCTCGCGTTAGGGATGCGCCGACATATGGAAAATGCGCGACCTACCAAGGTTTCCCCATGCCTCGCCATTGTTCTGGTCGAGCTGGACGATGGCGCGGAAAAACTCGAGAGCCTTGTCAAAGGCCTCGCGACCCTTGAGAAGCATTCCGATCGCGTTCATGGCAGGGGTCGAGTTAGGATTCGCCTGAAGAGCGCGCTCGTAAGCGTGCATGGCTTCGTCCGGGACGCGCAAGAGCTCTGAGAAGCTTCCTGGGATGGGGTAAGTAGGGATGACGTGAAGGGCGCGCGACACGGCGACATACCGATCTGCAGCCAGACAGCCTCGTTCATCGCGGCGATCTGGTGCGAAGGCGCGAAGTGCCCAGCCTGGACACCAGGAGGTGGTGGCGGAGGAGGAGGGACCTGGCCCTGATGCTGCTGCATCTGCATCATGGTCGGCGATGCGTGGTGATTCGCCATGGTGACTAAGGCGACAGGCGGATGTTCGCAAGGGGTAGGTATGAAGGTGCCACGGTGAAGTCGACGGATACTGAATAGTTAAAGGTTATCTCAGCGGTGATTCAGGATCCCCCCGATGTTGGCGAAAACCGCGGCGCTAAAGAGGGATGATGGATCCGGTCAATGCCCTCGGGCGTGTCGGGGGCAGGAGGAGGCGGCTACAGCGTATCAGACGCTTTGGCGGGAGCGGAAAAAAACACAGTCAATGGTGGAAGGTGCGTTGGTAGAAGAGGAATCGAAGACGGCAGGAGCAGCACGTGATGCGGCTGAGGGCGCAAGGTGAGAAGAGAGTAGGGCGCCGATGAAGCCGTACCAGGCGACGGAATGAGTGGGAGAGAAAGAAAGTGAGGAGTTGGGAAGAGGCACAGGATGGTGGAGGAAGACCTGCGCTGGCCGAGCCAGACTCACCTTACCCACGACACCCACATCCACCTCTTGGTTGAACGGGCAGGATAGGTGCACGGAGGGGGATGCGCCCAAGCGAGAAGACTGCGTTGCGTCCAGGGGTGCCACAATCTCGGACATGCTCACACCAACTCCACTCGCGCCTTAGTGCGGTGCCCGCAGAAGCCCACCCACACCACACTCGCGCTGAGAGAGGCCCAGCCCGTCGTCTCTCTCCCGGTGCCTCCCCAGAGAGTGACCTGTGGGTCCACCCCTTGGCCATGCGGTACCCGCGTACCGCACCTGTCCTTGTCGACCAGGGTACCTCCATTGCCAGTGGGGCGCCAGAGCGACGCCAGAAGGGGATCGATGAGATAATGGGGCGGCCCCAGGCCATGTCGCCGGCGGGTCGTGGCGCGTTCGGCAGCTGGAGGGCACGCTGAGCCGCTAGCATCCTGGCCGCGGCTGACACACAGCACACACTTTACCAGTAGGTACGTACTATAGTTAAGAACCAGGTCCTCGCTCACGAAGCACACACATTGGGGCGTTCTGAGTACAGGACCGACTGCTCTCACAGCATTTACTGAGGCCTCGAAACTGGGCCGCGCATCTCGTCAGATGTCCTGCTGCTATCCCCACCCACACAAAATGCGCCGCAATTAAGGTACAGTACATACCTCCGTACGGAGGAGGTAATAGTCCCGGCATTAAGTACAACTTGGAGGAGGACCCTCGTTTTCCTTGTTACCCAGAGATCCAGCATTCGGTCGGTCGGAAAGCATGAGCCGTTGGTTCATGAGACGCCGAACGGAACGGGATTCTATCCATCTTCTGTCAAACACCTTGGCGCCACCCGCCGTCCGTCCCCCTTCGGCAATGAGTGGGCTCTATACTGTGCTATGCTTGTCGGCTTGTATCTGTAACCAGAGCCGCGGTACGAAAAGGAAGAAAAATACACCCAGGATAGTACACCCACATGCATTTGCTGAAGGCCCAACTAGGGTGCGGAGCGGAGGATTTGTGAAGGCACAAAGTCGCGCACCCCGATGCCATGCTCTGTTGCCAAGGCAAACGGGGCTACTGGGCGATTATACCCGGCGCGGCGCACGGCCGAGCTCTGTGGCGCACCGCACAAGAACGATGAGGATGTGGAGGGTTAGGTACGTACCTTGCCTGTCCGGACGGGCAGTCAGTGGGGGCGTGTCGAACTTGGTCGGTAGGTACGTACCTACGGTTCTAGCGAGTGGGGAAGAATGGTGGAGGAGGCGGCGAGCGCCCAGCCCTCGACGTTCATCAGAGCCCCCCGTGTTTTCTTTTCCTTCTGGGTGCCACCATCATCCATCCCCCTGAGGCCTGTACCTGGTGTGGGCCAACATCACAGTGCCGCCTCGCCTCAAAAATTGCCCTACCGAGTCCCTCGTCCGGAGCGCTTCTGGGCTAGTCCAGCCAAGCCTATTTTCCGGATCCTCCCAATCACTGCTGGCAATCTGCCGTCGAAACTCAGCATCCCTGCGGCTGAATCCTGGGACTCGATTCACCATTTTGGCCTTGGCCTTCATTCCTTTTTCCTCGATCCCGTGATGCCCTCTTGCTACCTATCCCACCCTGATACGACTCGGTGAACACCCCCCCCCCCTGCGCCGCAGCACGATGGCGCCGCCGCCCGGAGGGGTTTCGAGTCAACTATCCCCAAAAAATCCTCGCTGATCGCAACCCTGTGGTTTTTAGAGGATCGTGGCTTTTCTCTCAATCGCCGAACTGAAACCGAGCCTCATCTCGAGCCATGCCCAGGGATCAGACGAAAATTCGTCACGGCCGGCGCGCCTGTGCCCCGTGCTCATGCTCCCAGCTTCCAGGTCCATTACCAGATTACCAGCGTCTAGACCCACGACAAGGAGCGGTTTCGTCAATGCCCCGAAGCCTCAACGCACAGAATTAGCAACCTCCGTCCCGTTTCGCAAGGGACGTGCAGCGCTTCCGTACCCCGTACCTTGTTGCCAGCCGATGACGCTGCCTTGGGCCCGGGAACGCCCCTATTCCTCCCGTTCGTTTCCCTTGCTTCATCCATCGCCCACCCGAGGAACCAAAGTGTTCCGAAACGGCTTACGAAAGACGGTTCTAAAACACGTGGGTGACTTCCGGAAGGGCTTAGCGGCGGCCTGGGAAGCGGTGAAAAGATTGGCCATTCCGCATTGTCACACAGCCAATACTGACGCGGAGATGGTGGTTTGAGTGCGGCCCAATGCCATGCCACCATCACCAACTCGATCCGGCCGACCAACCTGCCCGTCTCCCCATTCCCATCCCCATCCCCATAGACTCCCCAGGTCACATCGACATCGCGCATCGCATCGCACCGCCACGCATCACTCCGCCGCACAGGCTCCCTTCCCAGCCGGCGACCCGACACGCCCCTCGCTGTCCCAGGCCCCAGCGCCCTACCGCAAGCTGCCTCTTTGGTTGCCCAACATGACGGATGCGATCAATCGATATCATCTGCGGCGGACCACGCCCTGGCCGCGACCAGACGCCCTCTCACACGCCTGTTCCCTGCGACCCCTGCTCTTTTGAGCCTTTGCTCTCTGCAATGACTAGGCTTGCCTGCCCGACCGCCCACCACTTTTATTTAAACCTCACTCCCCCTCCCCCTCGGCCCACCTCCCAGTCCTCCACCGACTCTCCCGCCATCATCAGTCTCCACACACGCTGTCTGTCTGTCTGTCCCTCGGTTCCACACACCCAAGACTCTCGCACACACCCCTCCTTGTTCCCTTGTGGAGCTCCCCCTTGCCCTGGACGCCCCCCTTTGGCCTGGGGCCCATGGGGTTGCTACTACGAGGCGGATGGCATCTTCGACTTGGCTGGCGGCTGGGTCTGTGGCTTGCGGCTTGCATCTTGGCGCTGGCGTTCTGTTGTGGGCTCCGGTACGTACCTAGTAAGGTTGCTGCTGGTTCTTGCGCTGGTGCACGGGCTGATGCGGGTGCTGCGTCGTCTGTCTTTGCTTGTTTCTGCTGCCCGTTCCTTGTCGCGGTGGTTGCTGTTGGTTGCTGGTGGATGGTGATCAGACACCAGAAGTGCGGCCTCCGTGTGCAAAGTAGCCCCCATCTATGCGGCTATCACCCACAACACCCACGCCGCACGCCGCACACCGCACACCGCACGCCCACGCACAACGCTGCAGCACAGCGCATCGATGTGCATCGCAGCGCAGCACCACGCTGCAACTCAACGCTGCACACCCATCCGCCTTCTCCCCTCGTCCACCCATCGCACATCACCCTCGCCCGAGGCCAAAAACAGCATCAGACCTGCGTCTGCGACCTGCCCTCCGCTGCATTGCACCGCACCCTCCTGCACGCACAATGCACCCTGCAGCTGCACCTCCCCAGTTACCCAGTTGCTGCTGCTACCCAGCAGGTGCAGCACGCCCGCATGTTTGTTCCCATCCATCTTCGCTGGCGGTACGCTTTCGGTTGTCAAGTGGTGGTTGGCGGCTGTTCCTGTGTGGGTATGCGTGTGCAGGCTCTCGAGCGGGCTCTCGTGTGGGCTCTCGTGCTTAGGCTCGTGAACCTCATGTTGTCTCAGCATCTCACTGCCATGACTCTTTGTCGTCGCATCCCCTCACTGGTTCATGTTGTGCTTCCTTTTCCCGTCCCTCCAGCTGCCAGATATCTCAGACATCCCCCATGTCCCGTCCATGCGCCTCCACCGCAAGTCCTGTAGCCCACGTCTATGATATATCGCTCGTGATTTGCAGGCCGTTTGTGGCTGGCTCTTTGGTTCTTGACAGATGGAGCTGATCGTCGTTCTGAAGCCAAACCCAAGCAAGCATCCAGCCCCCCCAAAAGAGCTTCTTTTTTCGCCTTCGCCTTCGTCTCCGTACTCCGGACTGCACCCTAGACAAATCTTCCGCGGCGCCCGCAGGCAGCCAAAGCACCTGACGCTGGGAGACCCGCCCGCCCACTGGCCCGGCCGGTTACCGCTGCCGCTGCCGCTGCCGCTCGCTGACGTGCCAATGCACCAGAGCAGAGGGGGATCTGATCTGGCTGGGCAAGCAGCCCAAACACGCCTGTGCGCCATTGTGCCGCTTGCCAGCGCCAGTCTCGAATTGCTTTTTTTTTCTCACGTATGGCCGCTAGCGTCCTAGCGAGCTTATTCGCCGAGGCTTAATAAGGGTTTTTGCTGGCGTGTGTGAGATTCCCGCCCGAGGTTCCTCATTGTTTCCTGTTCATGCTTCCCGCCGCGCTGGCTGTTTTGCCGCCCTTGTCTGTTCAAAAGCCTCCGCACACCCGCCCTCTAAGCTTGACTCGCTTTGGTTGTGATGAGCACCAGAATTCTTGGGGCCGCAAGACCAGCGGCGGGATGTGGGAATGAAGAAATACGGGAGGTCTTGCCTAGCCTGGTCCGTCCCCAATGATCGATCCCATCCTGCCATCTCATCCCATCTCATCCATGCCCCAACATCCATGCCTTGTCTCGCCCTCATCCACACCACCACTACCCACCGCCGTCATAAGAAGCACCGACGCGGTACATCACCCTGTGGCTGCTGCGGGCTGTGAACTGTGTGGGCTGGAGATGGCGGACGCCACACGTGTTAACTGTTGGACGTTGTTCCACTTTCGGCCTCGGAAGGTTCTCACCACAGACGGGCCGACCAGTTCCTATTTCACAGTTTCGCCTCCATAAGTATGCACTCCAGAGTGTCGACAACTATAGCCTTTGCCCTTTGCGTGCTCCGTAGACCCATCCACGGCCGCCTCTTGTCCACGGCCGATGATCCGCCAAGGGCCCCCAACGTTTACGTAGTACGTTTTGGACCTGCCTCGGCCCTTGCTGCAGGACATTCAGGGATCTCCCCACCCAGGGAAGAGATCGCGCCAGCTTGCGTGCTGCGTCCCGACAGGTCGCGGGTCGCAGGTCGCGGGTCGCAGGTCACGGGTTAGCTAGGGAACCGATAGGCAAAGGGAATGCCGCGTGAACGTGCAGTCCGAAATCCCAACCCAAATGCCAGGCCTTGGCCGGCACGCCCACGCCCACGCACGACTCCACGCACGACTCCACGCAACGACTCCACGCAACGACTCCACGCTCGCCGTATTTAGCGACCGCCGCTCCCTTCTGTCCCCCGAACGAAACCTCCCTGGGGCTCGCACAGGCTCCACCCAGTGACATAGGTGCACGCGAATGGAAATAAACACTTACCCAAAGGAATCGCCCGTCGTGCAGGCCTACGCCTCCGGAGCCGCCTGGGCAATGGATCGGTCCCCCCAAGTCGCCCACCATCAATAAATCGGCAATCCCTGAACTGCTTCGTCGACGTCCCCCATTTGCAAGGGCCCACTTGCGCCCCCGAAACACATTTACCACAGTCCTGTGCAACCATGTGGATGTTGCTAGCCTCGAGGAGATGCTGCTCCTCATCGCAGACGTGTCATGTGACTATGCGCCTCCGTCGCGATTATCAGGAGCAGTTTGATTATTTGTGCTCGATGTCGTGTCTGCTAGTCGCGCCTGAGGCAATCCGCGATAATAAGCCATCCCCGGGATGGACCCAGAATTTGGAACAAACGCGCTTAAGCATCGACAGGGAACCACCACCCACTGTAGACAACGACCTAACACCCGCCGTACGGAAACTTTAGTCATGGGTCTCAAACCCGCTTCGGGCGACAGGCCAGGGTCCAGCGGGCTGGGAGAGGGAGGCCCGTTTAGATCTCCTCGACCTCTGTGTGTTGGAATTAAAGCCCGAGATGGCACCCATCGTACCATGGTCTGTCTCTGCTGTGAATTGCCACGGCGTACGTACTTTGCAAAAATTTGTCCTTGCATATATGGACTGCATTCAAGACCGTCTTTGCGCCGCTTCGACAAAGCTAGGTAATAATGAACATTCCGACATGTCGGGAGCCACGAATGACGAAGCATTGCCGACCAAGTCGCCCCATGCAAAGTCGACACGCTCGGCCTAGGCTGTCTGTCTGTCTTAGCTGGGTCACAGACACTCCGAACCGTCTCGCGAGTCTGGATTCACTGCGGTGTCAGCCACCGGTGATCCAAACTCCCTTGCACAAGGGACATGCCGTAGGCGGTGTCTCACTTGGCCCGAAGCTTCCCCTGTCACGCTGGAAGTCCGGCGCCGCCGTGGAACATGATAGACGGTCAGTTGGTCGCCCATGATTGTCTTGAGACAAGGGGAGAAAGAAACAAAAAGGCAAATGAAAGACACCCCTCAGATCCTCACCCCCCATTCTCTCTCAGAGACAAGGCCGTGTTGGCCCGTTTTTGATCTGTTGGGACTGGTATTTGGCGTATTGCCAATCAACCGTCGACACATCTGGGACAGACGTCTGTGCCGGGGATCATCTGCCATCATTGTCTTGTCTTGTCTGTCCATCTGTTTGTCGCCATCTGCCTACTCGTGTGGTCTATTATGGGATTTCGCATGCATGTCGATGGGGTAGATAGATGACGTCAAAACGGAAATCAGTATCGATATGGAGGCTGGCGCAGGAAGTTTGACAACTTCAATGGATTTACCTAGGTAGGTAGACAACCCCCACACAGTACGATCTGCGACCGACGAACTACCTGGGTAAGGAACAACAGCGGAGCTTGAACTAAAATTCGTTCAATATTCTATACCAAGGTATACTTTGTTCAGGCTCAGAATAAACCCTCACTTTTAGTAGTAACTGAACTTTAGTGCATTATCTACGTGCTGGATTATAAGGTATCGGGGGCTCATTATGAGACTGAAGATACCGCCCACGCACTGTGCCACACTTACCTTAGGAAGTTGTGTCGCTTCCCGTTCCAGTCTTCGTATCTACAACCAAAATGAATGGTTTAAGAGTCGTGACCGGCAAAAAGGTGAGTTCTGTCGGTGGAGAGGCTCGAACTCTCGACCTTTGGATGTCCCTGACCTTTGGCCAAGTCATATGTTTATATGAGACCAACGCTCTAACCAACTGAGCCACACCGACGGAAGTGCTGGATGAGGGAACTAATCCCTTTCCGGATGGTGTTGTTCGGCTCGAAGATATAGTTAAGTAGCCAGAGCGGTCAGTTTGTGTGCTGGTTCAGTTTGTAATTCAGGGACGCTGTGTGGGTAATGGTTTTGCAGATGGGAGTTTGAGTGGGTGGTGGTGTGGCGGTGATGCAGCGTGTGGGGACCCCTTGGGTGGAACACCAACAGGTGGCAGGTTATGCCGGTTTGGCTGTGGCCGGAGTTCTGCTTGCAGCCATGGTGAGGTGATCTCCGCAGCGTTGGAGTAGCTAGCTGGTGGGGTTTGCTACCTAGATGACTGCTCTTGGAATCTGTAGTGACCGCGTGAAGCTCAGGGGAATCTAGAGCGCCCTGATTGTCTCCCGGGTAGCAGGACCTGGAACAATGGACGCAGATTGGTACCACCTGTTTCGTCTCCGAGGCGTTGCTGGAGTACGACAATGGCTTGGGATATGTGCCTGACTCTCCCCTCCCCGCATGTTTTGCCCGCCAGTTTGTTCCTGGGTGCCCTGTGGGTGACCTCGATGACCTGATGGGATCCGGAACCCGTACGTAATTCGTCGTCTGGCGGTCCTCTTTTGGCGTGGCGGGGTTCTAAGACTGGTCGCTCAGCGATGGATGACAGCATCACCACCAGCGCCGACTTCTCGCCGGACGGACTGAGTCACGTATTGTCCGCAACCTCTTAGTGAAAGACGAGATTAATTCCTCATCTCGCGCAGAAAAACCGACTGCGCAGAGGGATAAAAGCAGCAACGTTTACCTGCGCTAGCCCGCAAAGCGTCCTAGTTGGAGCGCCGAACCTCCGGGCTCCAGGGTAACCAATTTTTTTCCCTCTAGAGGTGACAGTAACCGTCTGTCGCCCATTATCGGAGCCCCCGCCACCAATCAAGACCCCGCACCTGCCGGTACCCCGCCGCCGCTCGCGGTCGATTTTGCAGTGTGCGTCCTCGACTCGGAGCCCCAGGCCACACCCAATCCAGGCCGCCCAATCCAAGGCCACCCAAGCCCAGGGAAATTTTTCTACATCTACCTTCCGAGCCTTCCCTCTTTTTCTTTCTTCCCTCCTCCTCTCCATCCTCTCTCACACTCGTCTCCATCTTCACAGCTTCACAGCATCTTCAATTGACCAGACACAATGGCTCCCCCCAATGCCGAGTATGCGCTCCCCGCGTCTCACAAGGAGGTTCGTTCACCCCGCTATTCACCATCCACTGACAAGCCTCTTGCGCCGTCTCGTCATGTTGGAAGAAATCGTCCAGTCGACTGACTCACCCGTGTAGATGCTCGAGAAGTCTCTTCTCGACTCCGACCCCGAGGTCGCCTCCATCATGGTACGTCTCCCTGAATTTGCTGGTATCCCGCCAGCCCACCAAGGTGCACTCACCAACACCCACAATAGAAGGATGAGATCAAGCGCCAGCGCGAGTCCATTGTCCTCATCGCCTCTGAGAACATCACTTCCCGTGCCGTTTTCGATGCTCTTGGTTCCCCCATGTCCAACAAGTACTCTGAGGGCTACCCCGGCGCTCGCTACTACGGCGGCAACCAGCACATCGACCAGATCGAGCTGCTGTGCCAGCGCCGTGCCCTCGAGGCCTTCCACGTCGACTCCGAGAAGTGGGGTGTCAATGTTCAGTGCCTCTCCGGCAGCCCTGCCAACCTCCAGGTCTACCAGGCCATCATGCCCCCTCACGGTCGTCTCATGGGTCTTGACCTCCCCCACGGTGGCCATCTGAGCCACGGTTACCAGACCCCCCAGCGAAAGTGAGTCAGACCCTCAACATATGTTACACGCAACGACTTGGACCCTGAACGCTAACCGTCTTCCAGGATCTCTGCTGTCTCCACCTACTTCGAGACCATGCCCTACCGTGTCGACCTCGAGACCGGCATCATTGACTATGACACCCTCGAGAAGAACGCCCAGCTCTACCGCCCCAAGGTCCTCGTTGCTGGTACCTCTGCCTACTGCCGCCTCATCGACTACGCCCGCATGCGCAAGATTGCCGACTCCGTTGGTGCTTACCTTGTTGTCGACATGGCCCACATCTCCGGTCTCGTTGCCGCCGAGGTCATCCCCTCCCCCTTCCTCTACGCCGACATTGTCACCACCACCACCCACAAGTCCCTCCGTGGCCCCCGTGGTGCCATGATCTTCTTCCGCAAGGGTGTCCGCTCTGTCAACCCCAAGACCGGTGTTGAGACCCCCTTCGACCTCGAGAACCCCATCAACTTCTCCGTCTTCCCCGGTCACCAGGGCGGCCCCCACAACCACACCATCACTGCCCTGGCTGTTGCCCTCAAGCAGGCTGCTACCCCCGAATTCAAGGCCTACCAGGAGAAGGTTGTCTCCAACGCCAAGACCCTGGAGAACACCTTCAAGACCCTCGGCCACAAGCTTGTCTCTGACGGCACCGACAGCCACATGGTCCTCATGGACCTTCGCCAGCACAGCCTGGACGGTGCCCGTGTCGAGGCCGTCCTTGAGCAGATCAACATTGCCTGCAACAAGAACTCTATTCCCGGTGACAAGAGCGCTCTTACTCCCTGCGGTATCCGCATTGGCACCCCCGCCATGACCTCCCGTGGCTTCGGAGAGAAGGAGTTCGAGCGTGTCGGCCAGTACATTGTCGACGCCATCAAGATCTGCAAGGACGTCCAGGCTTCTCTTCCCAAGGAGGCCAACAAGCTCAGGGACTTCAAGGCCAAGGTTTCTGGCGGTGAGGTTGAGAAGATCAACGAGCTCCGCAAGGAGATTGCCGCCTGGTGCAACACCTTCCCCCTCCCCGTTGAGGGCTGGCGCCTGGATGCCGGCATCTAAATTGCCAACCAACCAACCGACCTTACCTAGCTGTCTTGTCTAAAGTTAACTTAAGTTCTTCAACACGAGCGATGGGCAAGCAGGTCAACACGCGGAGCAACCCATTTTCGTCAAAAGGGTTGCTCCAAAATTAAATGAAAGAGGCGATTTAACATGGATGAGGCAAATGGCGAAACGTTCAACAAGCATGCATTTCATCAAGGCGCAATAACTAGTTGTTTGATATCTTTGGATTTTAAAGGGATGTGTTTGTGGTATCAAAAATCCTTCAACAAAAACGGATTGGGTGGTGGGAGTATGGGTTCAGGTTATCTAGGAAGACGCCTTTGGTCTCCTCTGTTCGTGACGTTCCTCCGGGGACTTGGACAAACAAGCAGCTGAATACAACAATCGTATTCAGTACCCCTTTGATGTCTCCTTCGCGACCATTCACTTTCCACAAGAGTCATGCACGAATTCAAGAGCGGGCTTTTCGTTCAAAGTTGTTTTCCATTGCCTACTCGTAACTATCCACACCCACACACATAGCTGTCGCCTCGTTGCCCATCCACACCCTCAATCCTCCAGCAACGACACATGACGTGAATCAATCCAACCATCTCATTTACCACTACCATTGTACCACGCGCCAATACCACACCCCAACCGAATCATCATATATCAAACACTCGGGTCGTCCACATCACCCATTGGCCAGATTCCACCACATCAGGCCCGGTAGGTAGGTCCCCGTTTCAGCCTGGGGTAAGCCAAATCCGTACATGTTTTAATTTTCCAAAGGACCAGCGCAGGAACTAAAAAGAAGAAGGAAAAAAAAGGAGCCGTCGGTATTGCAGCAGGAATGGGGCAGTGGTGACCCGCAAGACGATGTCGTCGCTCGTCCAAGGTATATTCGGCATGTCGTTCTTCCAATGCAACCGCGCTGTGTACACTGTCCCCTGCCCTTTTTAAACAAACGCCGTGAAGATGAGATGTGTGAGCTCTGAAGTTGATAAAGCAGGTAGCGTGAAGAGAAACAGGAAATCAAAGAAAGGAAGACAAGGGAAAGGCCAGCCTTGGGGGTGGGACCTGGGGGTATGACCGAGACTGAGGAGAAGGGGTAATAAGGGGTAAAGCAGATATAAGATGCAGTTAATACAAGGGGTTGTATAAGAAGGAGACTGAAGCAGAGAGAAACTCCTTTTTGAGACCGCAGGGTTTGCTGTCCAAGTTGGCATCGCTGCCAATCCCATGGTCGTCGTGCCAGCGCCAGACATGATCCGCCGGATCTATCATTCAAAATGTCTTGGGTCGCGTTTGTGACTGAGCCACAAGTAATCGACCCTCGTGTTGTCGTTATCCCACCGAGTCCCGGAAATCCTGCCTGGCCTACTGAGCAATGCTCTCCGGGCTCATCATGCCGATAGTATCGTCCTTGTCGGTACCGCTTTGCATGCTGTCCGCCCGTTCCATGCTGGGTGCCAACGCAATGACAGCAGGGTTGGGGGGTGCCCCGGTGGCAGCGCTCATGGACTTCTTTTTGGCAGGGGTATTGTTGATGGATCCGCCCTTCTCAGGAGAAGGATTTAGCTTGGCTTCGGCCGCTGCGGCCTCGAGTTTCTTCTTCTTCTTGGCAAGAGCCAGCTGCTCCTTTGGAGGACGCTTCTGGGCGGTAACAATCTTTCCGCTTGCACCCAGGCGGGGGCGGGGCTTCTTCTGCTTGGTAGGGAGATCTTCGTCTTCAACGAGAGGTTGGTCGCCATTAGCGTGGAGCTTGGCCAGGAAGAAGTTCTTGACCAAGCCAATCTGTTCTTGAATGTTCTCTCTAGTAACCGGGTCGGACGGCGTGAGTGACGCTAGCAGCTCTTCTGTCGAAGTTCCCGCCGTTTGGGTCTGCATCTGATACTGGTTGCGGACCCTGCTCTGGAGGAGATGCAAGGGCACAGATATCATTTCCAGACCCATCTCCTTATCCAGACCCAAAGCACGGAAGCCGAAGAAGTCTTCACCAAGATCTTCCGCGAAGTCACCACTGACGAACTGTTCACTGCCATCATTGAATGCGCCAACTCCATCGGTTCCAGAGTCTCCCGTCAGAGCGGGGCGAAGGAGATCCGTCAGATGGAGCTTCATTCTCTCATGCAGACCACCAAGCTTGGAGCTCAGTCTGTCAACATCATCCTTGGCATAAATCTCCAGTTGAGCAATGTCGGTACCGCTCTCGTCCAAGGTGTGCAAGATGACCTCCTCAGGGGTGAATCGAGGTTGAAACTTAGGACCGTCGACAGTTGATAGGGCCGCCTTCTTCTCAGACTCGTTGTAGACGTTGAATGTTCGGATCAACTTCTGAAAGTAATCCGCCACGACTCCCGTGAAGGTATCCATGGCCGAAGGTTGGAGTTCCTCAAATCCAGTGGTGTAGAGAATCTTGGCAATGGACCGCTTCAGGGCAATTTGGCAAGTTTCGGCACACATTACCGGGCCGTCGTCGCCGACGAAATGCGGCTCAATATCCTGCTCCGTGAAGGCCTGCATATTCGATTTTGGAAACTGGTTGGTGTAGACCTGTAGAGTATTAGTACATAATCATTCAGGGGTTTGGTGGGTAGACGTGCCTGAGTTTGGACTTGCATCTGCTTGATCACAGAAATCTTTGTTGCAAGCTTCCTCGTCTCCTGAATCTGGTGGATGTTTTCGTCCATTTTCTTCGTCAGACGACCTTTCGGGGCAGTGAAGCTTCCAGGTGGCACAAGGTGGAGAAAGTCTTCATGCTGGTTAATGACCTGTCCTTCTCCATCTTCCACCCATTGGAGCTTGGGTTGGATGTCCGGAATGTTGCTTAGGGCATCATAGTAATCAGGAATCACCTTGTCCGCTTCCTCCTCAATCTCGTGGGCCAGGATCTCGGATGGTATGGTCGCAGTCTCCTTTCCAATCATGGGATCAGAACTGGCCTGGGCATGCGAAATGCCCTGCGCCTCCGCTTCCCTCTGGTGCTTCAAGAATCGACGCATACTAGCCTTGGTGCGAACCAATGCTGGAGCCTCAATATTGAACTTGTCTTCCCTGAAGAGGAGATAGCGCTCCTTGGAGGCTAGAGCGCGGTCTTTCTTGGTTGTCTGTTTCCAGATCTTGTACTCCTCGTCCTCGTAGACTTGCTCAACGGCCTCGCCAAATGCCTGATTCAGCGCCATGCCATTGAGAGTGGGGCCATCGATGTCCATAGCATCGGCATTGCTTCCGATTCCTGAGTGTCCGTTGATGCCGCCAGGAGTGATGGATCCGGCTATTGGAGGGGTGGCGAAGCCGTTACTGCCATCCACAGCTTCAGAACCCTCACGACCCATTTTGAGAAATCCATTCACCTGCAGGATCGGCTTCTGGTCGATCGATGGGGTGTCTTCCTTTTGGTCATTATGTGCTTTTCGTGACTTGTTTGCCCCTTTGCTTCCGGCCTTACGACCCCGTGAAGACATGATGGGCTCGTCATCCGAATCCTCCCCAGCGTCGTCTTCGCCGCCGTTTTGTTTTCTTCGCTCCTCGGCTTCGACTTCAGCCCGGGGCCGGATGGTGAGATCGGGTATGAGAGGAATGAGCTTCTCGGCTTCCTTCCTCATGCCGTTTGCCATGCGTCGAAGAGGGTGGTTCATATCCTGGTTGTACTTGAGGCAGTTGTCCCAGATCAGGTTAAGATCCACGACGAAATCAGCCTTCGACTTGTACGTTAGGGATTTTAGTTTCTTGGTCATCGAACCCAGATCCATGGGGTTTTTAATAACTGTTAAGATGTCAGCTAGGCTGGGGTTGTGGAGCCGGATGTGGCATCTCACAATTATAGTAATCGGGCGCATCTCTCTTGTTCACCCTAGTCAGGAAGGGGGTGGAGTATTCGGTATGCGCCTTTAGCTCTGTCAAGACCTTCTCCACGGCCTCATACAGCTCCTCCTGGTTGACATTCTCCTCGCTAGCCCATTTGCTTCGATTCTTCCGGACCTCGTTCATCAAGAGTCGAAGTTCCGCATCCGAGGCGCGGACTTGGTCACGCTTCATGTCGATTCTAGCGATAAGATGCTTGAGGGTCAGGCTGGATGCGCCCAGGTTTGCGCTGCTGAGAGAGCCATGGTTTGTAGCCTGGATATTACTGGTGTTTGAAGTATGGTTGTGGTCCATCTCTGCTTGGAGTTGCTTCTCGGAGTCTTCGAGTTGCTGTTGTTCTAGCATGGCGGCACGGTCGTTTTCCAAGGTATGGAAGATGGTGTGGAAACTCCTTCGTGCAGCCTCTTCGGTTGCAGTCCGGGCCTCCTCCAACTTCTTGATGGCGTCTTCGCCGGACTTGTCTTTGCCTTGCGAGCCATCCTGATCCTTGGACTTGTCGCCTTGCTTCCCGGGTGATGGCACGGAGTGGACAGGGGAACTGCCTGATTTAGAGGGGGAGAGCAAGGAGCTCGCAGCAGCAACAGCGGCGGCTTGAGACTTGACGGCGGGTGGCGCGGGTTCTTCGTCTTCGTCTTCGTCATCGTCATCGTCGTAGTCGTCTTCGTCGATGGTTCGCTTCGCCTTCTTGAGTGGCGGTTCTCTGATAGGCTCGTGATCGGTCGTGGGTGGGATGACCGCGGCGGACTCGGCCGGGGAGCGGCGCAGCGCGCTGATCGCGGGATAGTTGTATGAACCATCATCAGCAAAGAGCAGCGCGACCTTGTCCTCGGTCTTGCGATAAAGATCCGCGAAGAGGGCGCGTCGGTTCTCTTCCTCGATATCAAGTTGTGCCTCAGGCATCAAGGAGACGGAGTTATCGACGGGGGTCTGGGTACGCGCTGAAGCATCGTCGAGATGGTGTAGACTTCGGCTGGAGTTTGTATGATGCAAGGAGGGAGGATGCCAGGCAGGCTGGCCGTTGGGGAGCGACATATTGGGCCCGGGGCGATGGAAGCGACGACGGGGCGCGAGTCGCCATGCGCTTGGAGATGCGCTTCGCGTACGGCCAAACCGAGGGCGATTGAGAAGATCAGGACAACATGGGACAAAAGAGCGACATCGATAGAGATGGCCGGCCGAGTTTCGCAACGAACAGCGCTTGGGGCGGTGGTTGTTTGATGGCTCGCGATGGGCCGGTTTGTCGTCTGTTCAAGAGGTGAGGTTGAGGATTTGGGGGGAGGCTTGTACCTTTCCCGAAGCGGGACTTTTCCTGCTGGGCCAAGGTTCGCTGGCAGCGGCGCGCTGGTACCGACGACCTGGAGGAACGGACGCCGCAAGACCGGTCACGGCGGAAACGCGGTCGCATGCGAGGAATTACACTGCGAGACGGGGCTCCGACGCCTGGAATCACTGTCTACGGCCTCCTTCCATGCGCTGATCCAGTTCTCGGCACGCCCAACCTGTGTCGCTGTTTGCGCGGCATGTACTCCGTACTGGGTCCTGCACCAGCTCTGGCGACTCGATGCACAAAGGGCCTTTGTCAGCTTGTCATGAGCGCAGTCACGTGTTCCAGCACACGCTCATCATGATCTGCGCCCGAGCAGGAGTAGCACTGACTGCAACATTGGCAGCCGGGACCTTGGCGGAACTCTTCCATATAGGTAGGTTTTTGAGGACATTGAGATCCTGGGTTGACCATTGTCCAATTCCATGTATCAAGGCGCGTTCATGCCGACCACCAGGCGCCGAAACGTGGCCATACATAGTCGAGAGATTCACGGGCAGCAGCATCATCAATGACAGCCAAGCCGTTCCCCACGCATATGCCAGGGGTAACAGAACGCCATCTTCTCTGCTGGTCCATTACCCCAGACGCGACCTCCGAGCCTCCACCCAACGACACACAGCAGCGATCAGACGGGGGGGGGGAGGGCTGCGGGCCAAGAACGAAATCGTCGGGAAATGCCCTGCACCTCCACCAAAGCCAGCGTCGGGCACAGCTGGAGCTACTGTACATACAAGGCAAAAAGACCCGACGCAGTGGCAGCTACAGTGCGTAGGTACCTATACACGTAGTCTCTCTATCGCCGCTGTGAGCCAGATGCAGCCCGTGGCCACCTATCATGGCCCATCGCCGCCTATCGTGGGCTGTGGCCCAACGCCATTGCTGCCACTGATGCATTCCATTCCACGCCGTCGGCTGCTAACCCCTGCTCGCGCCCACCGCCAGCTCCGCCTACTCCGCCACACCACCCAACCACACCACCACAAAATCGAGCAAGCTGCTTGCTCTCTCTCTGCCTGGACCCAGTCGAAGCACGGACAACTGCGCCCAGCTCTCTCGAATCCCAGCCTTCCAGCAATTCTACCTTCTACCGTTCTGCCAGCCAAACAGCTTGCGCCTCTTGCCGACGTCCCTCACACACCCGCAGCCAGGCTGAGGCCATTGTCTTATTCTGCTGCCTGAGAATGAAGACGTAGTCCAACGTCGTCTCAGACATCTCCAACTCCTTCCGTCATACTCGGCGTCTTCAGCCATCTACAGCCAACATGAGGATCCGGTTGCCCTTCGCAGGTACGTCATCACTGCTTGTCCCTGCTGCTCGCCCATGCGCAGGTCTACCTTCTCCCTCCACAATCCTCGTCCCCTCAGGAATCCTCTCCTGTCCTATATCATGCTAACGTCGTTGCTCCAGCGGTCTTCCTGCTCCTCCTCCTTGTCGCCGGTTACGCTGGCTTGACCTCTATCCAAGTCACCCAATATGTAAACGACAAGGTCCTCCACTTCGGTACCTTCTTCCTCCTCACCGTCGTCTTCTACTGGATCATCGATACCAACCGCCGCCGGACCCTGAACATGACGTTGGTCGTTTGCACTCTCGTCCTTGGCGTCGGCTCCGAGTTCCTCCAGAGCTTCCTCCCCAATGACCGAACCTTTGACCTATACGACATTGTCGCCAACGTACTGGGTAGTCTGGCAGCTCTAGGCCTCTGCACCTGGTATCACAAACGCATGCTCGAGCGTAGAAGGCAACGAAAGCACTATAATGCTGTACCGGGCGAGGACGAGGACGACCTGGAGCTTGGTGAAGGTCATGAGACCGGGGTCACCGATCCCCCCACCCGGACTCGCACTCTGGAGGAGCAGGTGGACAACTGGGACGAGAACCATGTCGATGATGACTGGGATGAGGATGACGCTCCGGCGTCGTCAGGAGCAGCCAATACCAAGGACATCACCGATACTGGTGATTTGGGAGATGTGGTGAAGAAGCGGGTGGACTAGACGGGTTCGGTGCGATGAATTGGCCCTTACGATAAATTTGCTCACGCTCTTCATGACTTAACTGGGGGGGTTGGAAGCGAATGGTATTATGCAGCGCACTTGGTCATGCCCAGTGGGAGGGATTTTCCCAGAGGCGTTTCTGACATTTGATAGTTAACAGCGGGTGTTATCAGGATCAGTAGTTGGTGGCGGATGGTCATGGTGTCTTCAAAACTTGTTGGTTCAATTGGTGCTCGATTTTACTTGTGCTTGGTCTCTGTCGTCTGTTTGACCATAAAAAATGCCTTGCTATGCCCATCTCAATAAAGATAACAAAAATCGGCCGCTCTCCATAACTCCAAATTCCTCTATGTGTACTGTTTCCAAGCTTTGTCCGACATCTTCGGTGCCCTCCAGGTGCCCTCAATTGAACCCTTATGGACATCCGGGGTTTCCCCCGACTATTGACGTGCTGCCTTACCACGTTCTCTGCCTCGCCATTTGCCAAATCCACCGCGTGGTGGTGACCTGGGCTGTCTGACCGGCGCTAATGCCTTTGGATGAGGGGTGACTGGCTGGGGGGTTTCCAACCTCACATCAGCTGCCTCTGGACAAGGGATAGCCGGCTTGGGGTTTTCCGACTTCATATCAGCTGGCTTTGGACAAGGGATAACCGGCTTGGGTTCGTCCAAACCCAAATCAGCCATCATGATCTTCACGTTAACTTGTTCGGCTAACCAGACATCGTCGTTGTTGCTTTCGGGTGTTTCTTCTTCGACCTCTTGGTCTTCCGAAAGCTCTGGGCCGTTAGGAATCCGTGAGCTAATAGGGAATAGTGAGTCGTTACGAAACAGTAAGTCGTTCGGAAACCGCTGTTCGTTTTGGTTGGACTTCGAAGGGGGGGCGATGGTGCGCCAGGCCTCCACAACTGGAATTGTGGTGGTGACGAAAGGCTTGTTGAGGTCTGAGGCGCATCTGTAACCCCTCTGTAGACGCTCAGCAGTGCCTTCAGTCATGGCAAATGCCATCCGCCGCCCGGTTTTGAACTGGTCGGGAGGAGTTACTGTCCTTCGTGCCATTTTGGAGTCCATGATGTGTTGTGCGAGAGGGTGGAGCTCCGTACTGAAAGTGAATGGAATCTCCCGGTTGGAACACATCGTTGATTGGATTTGGGGTCTGGTTATGGAAAGATTATGCTGTAGGTTCAGATAATATATTCTCCCCGCGTTTTTGTGCTTCTGTTGTTAAATTTGTGGCGATAGGTGCGTGTCTCGAATCTGGAAGACCTTGGGAGTGAAGCTGGAGGAGAGAGAATATGGAGGACGTCCTCGTTTCAACATGGGCATATTCTTGTATTTATAGGGAACAATTTGACATTTCTACCGTCATGGACAGTTTTGGACGAGCCCATTTAGGTTGACGACGGCCAACTTAGACACCCTCAAAGGGTCGTCGAAGCCGTCAAGGTCGTGTCCAGTTCGCTTACCCTACATGAGGACGAGACCGTTCTCCCTCTGAGCTTTGGTGTCGATGGGGTGACTCGTGGCTGTTGTGTAAACTAAAAGTATTGTGTATCTGGGCTGCATCAGCTTGTGATGTGGTAGGTCCTCGTCAATATCTGCAGATAAATCACTGTGAGTTTCATACATCCGCCAGCTATGTAGGGTGCATTTACTCCCCAATCCTTACCAAGTAGTGGCTTGGCAGAGAGGAACACACAGGTTCACAAAGAACCATTATGAAAAAAACACTATTTTTTCCCCAGAACTCTATTACCGGCTTAACCCTGATAGCTGTATGCAAAAGGTAGCGAGGCAGACTACACGGTGCAGTTGACGCCAAGCTGTAGGAGACAGGTGATGGTGCCCCACCCACCCCTCACCACGGTGAGCAGCCCGCCCACTGACGAAATGTCTCCTGGTCGCAAAACCCACCGGCGCTTGACCCCAGCTTCTACAACTGCCTGTGCTATAGGGGAGCGCCACCAGCACCATGGCAACCAAAGGAAAGGAAACAGCGTCAAGGTAAATGCAAGAAAGAGCCCCTGGGACCATATTCATCCTCACGAAGCACGAAGCCAGAAATGCTGACAACCTACCAGTAAAGATGCCACCCCAAGCAACCCGCGGGGGATTCCCTACGCCCCGTTCGTCGACCGAGTCGAGGACTACGTTGCGACCCGTGACGATGTCGAACCTACCCTGCGAAGCTTCCAGGAGATGATCTCGTGAGTCCGCGCCACGATCGAAGGACGAGAGACCCGGACCCCACCTGCCCGCGGGGAGAGGGTGGGAGTGCGAGGTCGACCACGTCCGAGCGTGGAGAAGAGCTGGTGATAACATGGGTCATATACAGGAAATACCAGTTTATGGAGTTGAACCTGCAACGACGCATGACGGGCCTGAAGGAGAAGATCCCCGACATCCAGAAAACCCTCGACTCTGTCAAGTTCCTGAAGTTGCGAAAGGTACGCCCCGCGCGGACCTCCCACCCCGCGTCATACTAAATCAAGACACAGGACGATGACGAGCCGATTCAAACCACCTTCGAGCTGAACGATACGCTTTATGCTAAGGCAGACATCCCCGCGACGGAAGAGGTCTACATCTGGCTAGGGGTACGAAGCCTGATCATGAGCAGTGGGCTGCACGGGACTGACTCTGGATAGGCCAACGTGATGCTGTCATACCCTATAGACGAAGCAGAGACTCTTCTGTCCCAGAAGCTATCGACAGCCAAGACAAGCTTGTCTAACTGCGAAGAGGACCTGGATTTCCTCCGGGAACAGATTACAGTACGTTAACAAACCCCACTCTCCGTGCCTCAGCGCTGACCGCCCTGCAGACCATGGAGGTCGCAATTGCAAGGGTATACAATTGGGAAGTTGTACAAAAGCGAAAGGACAAGGTCGACGAGGAGAAGGAGACGAATGACGGAAAGGAGGGCGAGACCAATAAATAACGGATGGATTTCTAAGGCCGATACCTGTGAAAGGATCTATGAGATGACAAAAAATAGACGGGAAATGTTTCATGTAAGATGCGGTGCCTGAGTGATGTAGAATATGCCAAGGCAAATTTGTAGACACCACATAAAGGTTCAAGTGTCTACAGAGCTTTCTACCTAGGTAGGTTCCGTGAGTTGACAGCTCTGGGAGGCCAGCGCCGATGAGGGGGGTACCCCATTAACTCGATATGCCTCGATTGTTGCATAACCAAGCACTTGAAACTTTTCCAGAGGATCCTAGCCCGAGTACACCAGACCCAAATTCTTCGCCGCTCTGTTTTTCATATCGGCGTGACGCCCAAGCTTTCCAATCGGCTGATCTGGAAGCGATGAGGAGGCATGCTCAGAAGCGCAACATGGGAGCTGGGGCGTGCGTGGCAGGTGCCGCGGCATGTGATGGTTGGATCCAAGGTATGTCTCCGGAAGCTTCCAAGACCGAGGCCAAGCTTACAATTGATTTCACTGCAGAGAATCGGCCAGTCGCTGTCACAGGGGACAATTCGACATGCGTCAAGTGCACAGAGCGCAAGGGCGACGCCGCCTCAGAGATACCAGCATCCCGAACTCGATAGCGATGGCGTCACGAACAAGACGGCTCCGTCGCAAGACCGCGCTGAGTTGAGACGGCAGCTTGCGGCGGACAAGCAGCGCGAAGGCACATCTCCCGAAATCCCGTCCTGGATAGCTGCCGCACCCCTTCGCCGCCGAACCGAGCGCCAACTGGGCATGTCAAAGTCCTGGACGAACTTGAGTCCAAGCTATTTGCTGGAGACCCTACTCGCGAACGGCCCCCCGAGCGACGAAGTACGGAAAAACACAGCAATGATTCGCAGCTTCCGTCTACCGATAGTTTTGATGCAGATGCGACTTCGATACGAAGCAGAGGCCGACCCGGAGAATAATAGCGAAATTCTTGAATTGCTGCCGTCTCAGAAGACATGGCAGAAGGTGATGAGCATCATGTACGAAAACGGACATACGGACGAGAACCTCGAATACTACCTTTACATCCTACTGGCCGCGAACGATGAAGAGCGATGTCGGCGCTTTTTGGAGCAGGACACTATGAAACCTATTTTCATTCTCAACTTTCTCTTACGAACCGGCTCGTCCATCCGAAACACATCAACCCTCGATGGCCTGTTGAAATATTTCTGGGATCGCTCCTGCAGCACTTCTAAAGAGGATGGTGCCAGACCAACCTCCGGACGAGGGACACAAGCGCGGTCACGCCTCGCTATGTTTAATATGGGCCCAGACGAGTTCTCCCGGCTCATGTCACGATTTGCAAACCACTGCCGCCGGCTGGAACCCAGACTATTGACTACTTTGGCCGAAATTGTGGCACAGCGCATCAGATGGCACCTACAGTCCTCGGACCACTCTACGAAGATTTACCACGTACAGTGCAGCCTTTTCAATTCTGCGTTGAGGACATTTGCAAGTAGAGCAAGCTTGACGGTCCGACATAAGCAGGCCCCTAATGCCTACTTTTGGGAGGCCCAAAGAATCCTCCTTGGGATGTCGGATCAGCTTGCTAAGCCTCTGCTTGTGGATAAGGCCGGATTCAAGGCCATCAGGGCTGTGCTAGCCGGACTGCCCAAGAACCAGGCCGAGATTCACAGTGCAATGCGCCACTCCCAAACATGGCCCCCCTATCTGCGACCGGGAGATGGTATGGACGAGAGGATGGAGCCTAGTGAGGCCTGGACTCGGACAGTCCGAGCAGGCACCATGATGCAGGAGGCTGGGTTCTCTAAGGACCAGAATGATGAGGCTTTGGACATCTTACAAGGCCTGGCCTACGATGGGACCCCTGCAATTCAACAGAGGACGCCGGTGAACTCGAAGAAGCAACTCCGAGTGTGGGCGGCGTCAATAAAAGCCACGCGAAATGCACAGGAGGCCTGGGGCAGGTTTCAGCACCCCCCTGAGAAAGGCCAAAAACCGGGTCTCTCAGAGTATGCAGCGATGTTTGAGAAACTCTTTGCCAGAGACGCCGACTTCGCTGTGAGCAATGTGCCGGGAAACAACTCACTTAATTTTCCAATTCAAGAAGAGGCAAATCTGGCTGAATTTGAGAAGGCGCGGTTGCGGGCTCCTGGCGTGGACGAGCTTTATGAGAAGATGAAGCTCAACGGCATTCTGCCCAGCGGACAATGTCTGCGGATTCTGGTGTCAAATGCCGTGTCCCTGCAGACGGCCCATCGGTATCTCATGCAAAGCACGATGCCACAACACCAGTGGTCAAGCTTACTGTCCAACAGCCCGGATCCCGAGTCCCTGGGAGAGATACCGCTCGATATATTTTCTGCGTATATCAATGTCTGCGCTAGAGACACCCGACAACCAAGACGGAAATTGGTACGGGCCATGCGGTTGATCGAGGTTCGTCTTGAGCGCGAGCCGCAGCTTTGGGCACCATACTTGTGGGAACCCATCCTGAAGAACCTGGGACAGCACCATCTCTCGTTGGGAATTAGTGTCGGAGAGCAGTTGCAGTTGGCCATGCGCCTGGTTCAGCGCATACAGGAGTCTCAAGGGTTCCCCTTGTCGCTCTTCCACCAGTTTGCTCGGTGCCTGAAGAGCATTTTGCGGCGGGAGATTGTCAAGCTCTCGGCACATCTGAAATTGGATGACAGTGCAGTACCGAACCCACTCGGCCTCCTCTACGACCCGGATGCCAGGGAGGTGCAAGCCACGCAGGAACCCGACCAGGCATGTGAGCCGCCGACATTGGGCAACAGTGGAGTTGATTCGCCCTTGACTTTGGCTAGATTAGCGGCCACGCGCCTGCAGGAGCTCTTTGACGAGTTGGTTGCCGAGGAAAAGAAGAGACAGGGACTGCTGGGAACCAACGATGTGTCACAGCTTGACGCAATGCTGTTGCGGCGAGACCCTGTCTCGGCGCCAATAGTTCACGACTACATACTGTGCTTGGCATTTGCAGGAGAGTTTAAGGAGATGGCCAGAGTGATCCAATGGCTGATGCATGAATGGGGACAAGGGCAGCTGACTGACGAGCTCGAGGCCCTGGACGAGGTGCCTCATGAGGCGGACATGCTTGACACTCTGTGTGCGTTTCGAGCCTTTGCGGAGCCAATGCTGGAGCAAGCGACGGTGGACTCGGTGCTGGAAGCGCTGAATGCAAGCCTGGTCGGCTGGACCTGGCCAGATGACGAGCTGGTCCAGAGCTATCTTGATGGCCGGCTAGAGGACGAAGCGAACAATGACTTGAGCGAGGTGCTCAAGTGGGTTCGTCAGCAGCAGCGTCAACGGCGGCTAAATATGGACACAACCAAGATAGACGAGGAGCCAGGGACGTAACAACACAGACGGAATCAGCAATATCGGGAAAAGCTAGAGCACGGAACGGCGTTTATGGGATATGAATGAGGCGGCTTGTTTGTTGGATGCCGCCAGGGTTAAGATGCATGGATTGGATACAGAACTTGTACGAGTATTGGATGTGGATGGATAGACGGAGTGGGGATGACGGCCCACACCAGGCTACGTGATGATACCCTGTAGAATCTAGATGTACAACATGGGCAAAGGGAAACTCAGATGTCAAGAATCAATGAACATGAATACGAAAATAGATATGAAAGGGAAAAAAACATGTCGGATCTTGTGAATACTGTTGTGGGGGTCATAGAGGGCTGATTTCAACAACCCCGGACCATGGGTGAAGAGGCTAGTTAGGCATCGAAATAACAGGGCTGCGTTACAGCCAAGATTACCCTTGTCAAATCTCACCTTCACTCATCGTACTGCACTTTCTCCATCACAACATACAACCGTGGTCGGCTTCCGCGATGATGCAACAAGCTGTACCGTCCCTTATTGAGCTGCCGACGGAGGTTTTGACTCTGGTGATATCCTCCTGCGCAACGAGCCGGGATATGGTTGCAACTGCCTTGACGTGCCATTGCGTCTACAACATTGCGGAACCTCTACTGTTCCAGCGGCAGATTTTGAAGAATGACTACCACATCGCATTTTGGGCAGCTCGAGGAAACCATGTGGCAACGCTGCGACGGCTGTCCCTTTTCTTCCAGCCAGAGGACCACGGCTTTAACATTTCCTGGTACTGGAGAGGCAAGGAGGCCTATCACAGGGGTGCCTTGGATAATGCAACGAGACGGCGGTTGTCCTGGTTCGGGACGCCTCTTCACGAGGCCGCAAAGGCCGGGGCGATTGACGCGATGCAGTTTATGCTGAGCTACGGGGCCGACATCAATGCGCAGTCGCTTTGTTTCTCCGATGGCCCGTCCGAACTAGACGAATACTGCTGGTATATAGATTTTGGAGATCGTGTCAGTTTCGAGCCCCGTCCTCTGGTCGGGTTTACGCCTTTGATTACCGCCATCTTATTCGAGCAAACTCACATATCAGAGATGCTCCTGCGTCTAGGCGCTTCTGTGGAAATCCTATGGATTGGCAACGGCGAGGTTTGTGGCACGACGGCGCTTCACTACGCAGCCGCTCTTGGAGATGTGGCCGTCGTCAAAATGTTGCTTGAGGGCGGACATTCGGAACCGGACGCGCGTGACGGGGCTGGATATCCGCCCTTGATCTGGGCATCTTTGCACGAGAATGGCCACTTGGCGCTGAAAACACTGGTAGACGCTGGCGCCGATATCAACTGCGTCGTGCCCAGCGGGTTGGCACCGGGGTATCGCCATTCAATGGTGACCACCTTGACGAAGCGAGGACATCCGGAGGCAGCTGCGAGGCTTGTCGCCCTGGGTGCAGCGGCGCATGTCGAAGAAGAAACTCTGGTGCAATGAAACTAGAGTATAGGGCAGAGACCATGGTTTGACGTGTCAGCCACAGCGGTGTCTCGATCAACTTTGACCAGAAAGCTAGCAACGGCGAATTATTACACAGGGACTTACATGATGCTAAGCCTCCCTTGTGGGCGAGATTGGGTCAGGTCGATGGAAGAAGGACCATCGGGCGGCTATCTAGATGAAGGGAGACCCATGGGTGTGGTTCTGAATGGAGACTCCAGTTGCCAAGTCGGGTAACAGGTTATGCAAGGGGAATCGTCCGGTTGAGTATTGCGTATATTCAGGAACAAGGAACCAAGGGTGGAAAGGGTATAATTAGTGGACAATGCATACGAATATGCATCGAACAGGTCAGATCGAGGGCCATGCAAGGGTCGAAGCGACCAACGAGATGGAACAAAGGGGATACGACGAGGAAGAATAAGAAGGCTAGGAAGGCTGAAAAGACCAATACGGCCATGTATCCCGACCTGGGCGTGACCGAACGACAATGGGTCGACTGGAGCCGCGAAAGGAAACAAAGAGCCAAGTGGAACGTCTTATTGCAGAGTCGATAATAAAGCAATCTTTGTTGGAGGTTGCATCTATTGGATGGTACGTATCCCCCAGAGGCGCCCGCCCACTGCAAGGGCCCTGTAATAAGGGCCTGCAAGGGCCTGCCAGGGATGCCGCAGGCGGGTCTAGTGGAGCCGACATGATTGGCCACCGCGGGACTACTGGCGGGCCGCTGCCGAAACAGCTTGTCGAGTGTGCCAATAATAGCGAGACGCGCGGATGCAGTCCAGGGCCTCAGGAAACAACGACAACCCTGGCCCTGTTTGAACGAACATCAGCGCGCTTGCGGCTTGCGGCTTGCGGCTTGCAACCCAGTCGTCTTCGCTCCCCGCAGACCCGATCCAGACGACGCCAGTTGGCACTGGGCCGCTCTCGCCGCACCCTCATTGGATTCCGCCGCCCTGCAGAGCCTGTGGCGCGTTTGAGGCTCGAGATGGGGCGTCCTGGCACGACCTGGGACCGGGGCGGTTTGGCCGCGGGCGCGTCGTGAGACTGTCGACTGGAGTCCGGTGGGTTCTGGCCCTGCGAGGACCACTCCCGAATGGCAACGAGACGGTGCGACGTGAGGCGACGGGCAGGCCAAGATGGCCAAGATGGCCAGGCTAGATGAGACGACTTTGCGCTGGTGCTGCTGGCCTGGAGTTGCGGTGGGACAGGATGCTAGGTCTAACGACGGGGGCCATACAATACTACACCATCTTCCGCTTTGACGACGCTCCCCATAATTCTCTCTCTGCCTCTGTCTCTGTCTCTCTCTGTATCACTCTCCCCCACTCTCCATTTTCCATTTTTCCTTGGCTCTCTGGTTTTAGCTCTCTCATCTGTCCTTTCACCATCTTTCTTTGATCGTGTTCCCCTTACTCTCTTTGGCGTCTTGACTGTTCCTCATTCCTTTGTCATCTCTGTGTGCCCTTTCTCTCTGTCACAGGTGTTGTTCGTTCGGAACAATCATCCATTGCTTCAGTCCCGCAAACTCCGACTGAATCGAAGCGACGCGGACCCAAGCCACGCCTGTTTGCCATTTATCCCATCCATCTAATCGTCAACTCTACCCGACAAACATTTCAGAACATCATCGTCATCAACACCGTCTACCAAACGTCCCAACCCGAACCCAACATATCAAACAATAGAAAGTCCACTTCGCGAATTCGATATTTTCGACCTTACATATACCTGTCCTTTACAAGTCTTTCACTTCGACCGTTCAAAAGATTTCAAAATGCTTTTCGATAGGAGGAGGACAGCCGTCGTGCTACACATTCTTTTGACTGCTCAGTTCGCCCAGGCTGGTCCTTTAAGGTGGACTGACAGGATGTATGTTGAGCGCCGTGTCTCTGCCCACCGTCTCACACCAATAACTGACAATAACAATAATAGATACCCGAGAGAAGTTGGCACCCCTGCCAATAGCGACAACATTGTTTCCGTCGAGGCGACCGCTGCGGCCGATAGGTATGAGCCCCTCCCCAAGGATGAACTGACCCAATGCTGATAGAGGTGTTATAGCTCCGAAAACAACTCTGGCGGTTCCGAGACGACGCCGCGACCTATCTTTCAGACGTTGACCTCAAGCATAATTTTCCCCGAATCGTTGATACCGAAAAGTTCCAGCGTGGGCGACTCATCTGCGGATACGTCGACTGTGGACCTCGTCCCCATTAAGAAGACCAGTACGACTGATTACCAGATTCCTGTGGTAACTACTTCGGTTTCAAGTGTCGTGGAGGAGACGACGGAGCAACTTCCCACCTCTACACCTGATGCGATTGCGTCGACGAACCTGGCTGTGACGCCGACAATTACAACTTCGATTGTTCCTCAACAACCAAGTGATACGACTAGCGCTGTGGAGGATACCACTGAGACAACGACTGCGGTGCAGCAGACTCCCGGGACCACGACTGTAGTGGAGAAGACGTCTGAGGCAACAAGTCTGGCTGTGGAGACTTCAGAGTCAATCCTCACCACCTCTATTGTTCCCAAGCAGCCAAGTACAGAGACTACCTCCGTGGAGCTCGTTGAGACAACCACCTCCGCCTTGGAAACACCTCTGACGAGGACCGCTGTGGAAGAGACCACCCAGTCTATTCTCACGACCTCGATTGTTCCCAAGCAGCCGAGCACTGAGACTACCTCCGCGGAGCTTGTTGAGACACCAACCTCCGCTGTGGACACACCTAGGACGACGAGCGCCGCGGAGGAGACCACTCAGTCTATTCTCACGACCTCGATTGTCCCCAAGGACCCTGCAACCGAGCTGTCGAGCACCCCGATTGAGACACCTGGGTTGTCGACATCCGTGCCTACTTACTCTGCACCGGTCAACACACCCAGCGCATCGTCCGCACGGTACGCCACTGCTTCGACCCCCGGCGAATTGACAGGGACCGCTCCAGCTTCATCCTACGTCAACACTCCCGCAACTACCTTTGAGACAGTGCCGGCCTCGTCGACCGATACTCCCGCGCCCGTGTCGACCATTTATCACGACACTCCGAGCGCTCCAGGCGAGACCACCTCCACTGCGCTCCCTGACACCTCGACGATGCCAGACGAGGGTGTGAAACTCTCGACGACCGCCAGTCTGCTGTCAAGCGTCGATCTCGGTGATCTCAAGCCCACCACGACTCATAGTGAACAGACGAACGTTGTCCAGGAGCCTTCGACTGCTGTGGTGCCAACCACTTCTGCCGTTGGCGTGTCCCTGCCTGTGACGACCTCTGTTGTTGAGACCCCCAAGTCCAGTACCGTCTCTTCCGTTGTAGATGGTCTCCCCGAGACATCTGCAGCTGTTCCCGAGACGACTCTGACCGTTTCTGTGGTGGATCCGTCTGAGACAGGCGCTGCTAGCTCAACCGAAGTTGAGACCTCATCCTCCGAGCCTGTCTCAACCTCCGAGGCCGTTGCGGCTCCCTCTACCACCTCAGCTGCCTTTACCACTGTCCCGGAAGTCGTCGCCACGGGCACTCCGGACACGGCAGTTCCGGATGCGACCCCAATGCCTACAGGAACTACCACTGTGGACGCTGAGCGTTACGCTAGCAACCTCGCCCAGGCTAAGAAGCTGAACAAAGTGTACTCCAACTTGACGCCTGCGTCTGCATGCTCATCTGGACAAGCCGCTTGTATTGATGGGAAGTTCGCGCAGTGCAGCAACACCGGGACTTACACCCTTTCAGCCTGCGGCGACAATAGGCAGTGCTATGCGCTCCCCATGACTACCAACAGGGGTGTTCGACTTGGCTGTGAGGATGTGGACACGGCCGAGAAGATTCTAGGCGAGACGGGTAGTGGCCAGGAGACGAGTTCTACAGTCGAGGAACCTGCTTCCACCTCGGTAGCCGAGGCGCCGGTTTCTACCTCGGTGGTTGAACAACCAGCTACTACGTCGACTGACGAGGAGCAGAACAACGTCCCCGTCGTAACGGTCACAGAAATTGTCACGGTTGATGATGGGGCGACAGAGCCCACTTCACAGCCTGTCGCAGAGGAGTCTACTTCCTCTGCCCAGGAGGTCGTGGTGCCGACTACGACCTCGGAGCCCTCGAGTGAGCAGCCCGTCAATGAGCAACCCACCCAGACGACCTCTGTGTATTCTGCCCCTGAATCCACAGTTCCCATCAACCAGGAGACAACGGTGGTCACCAGCGAGGTTCCTATTGCTACCACTTCCGCCCCCGTGGCCGAGGTGCCTACTACCGCCGCTTTCCCTTCTGGTAACACCCTCACCAAGTCCATCAAAGTACCGGGTGAGTCGGATTCCACCGTCACCTCGGAGGCATACGCGGAGCCCACAATCACCAGGGCTTCGACTGTCAACCTCGTCCCCATCATCAAGACCACCAGCGTTGCCAAAGAGGCTGCGGCGACGGAGGCGGCGGCCGGAGACGGCCTGAGCACCACGACGCAGGTTGTCGATGGCACGCCTACCGTCTCCGTTTATTTGACTGTCACTGTGACTGAGAAGGATCATGAGACGGTGACGGTGACCGAGAAGGAGCGGGTTACAGTTGTAATTAGCGCGTGAGCTGCTGTGCTTGCTTCCGCGACTAGATCTAGGGGATGGCTGTGGTAATAATGGGGAAAGAATTTGTTGTGCTATTCAGGGCGTTTATATCACGACCCAAAGTTTGTATCTGAATGTGTATAATGAGGAGGATGATATCCATCAAAGAATCAGAAAACCAGAAAGGAAAAAAAAAAGTCCCAAGCACTCAACAGTGTGCGCGGCAAAACAGGATAATGAAGAGGTGGGTTGGCTAGGCATGGGAGGAAAAGCGAGGTTTCTAGATCACATCGACAAAACATAATAGACTTAACAATATTCGTTACGAGTTCTGTTGTCGTGATATACTGCAAAAAAGGTACGCCTCTCGAGAGGTTCATGTCTTTATTCCCATTGCCATTGCCTTGGGCCAATGCCAGTCTATGCTTGTTCGCCCACCGGGGCATCTTTTCGTGTTGCCCGTGTCCCATGCTCATGACCATGCTCACATACACTCTTCCTGCGCACTCTCTGGACCATCCCTGTACTCCTACAACTGGCCGTCTTCGCAGAAGCGGCCCTCTATCAGCTCGCCGGAAAAATACTCTACCGCTGTGCGGCAAGAGTTGGATATAAACAAGAATACCAAAATCAGAAAGGGAACCAAAACCATAATGATGAATGCAACCAGGTATAACAAAACGTCCCCATGAAAGCCCCCCAAACCCAAACCAACAAAATGTTTGTCCATAAACGCCTAATCAATAATCTCTTGTCACTCAGTGCATGCCTTTACCTCGCGATGCCCACCTCGTAGGCATCAGGCCCAGGACCTGCGTCAAGGAACGGGTCTCCTACTTCAAGCCTCTTAGCCGCGGGTTCGCCGCCCTCCTCGTCAATGCCATACTTATCGTGCCAGAGCTTGCACATGACCTGGTAGAGGAAGTGATACTGAGGTTTTGACTGGACCATGCTCATACGTTGTTCTCGGAGGATGCTAACGGTTTCGTAGATGAGATCGGTCCCCTGAGTTGGCGTATCATAGCCCTCGAAAGCGCCAGACTCAAGCTCGCGTACGAGGTGATCCAGAGTGATGAAAGTACCAGTACGACCAACTCCGGCGCTGCAGTGGATGATGCGTGGGTTGGAAGGCGCGCTGTGCTCGAGGGAGAGCCGCATGAGCTCGAAGAAGCCATCAAGATCCTCGAGCTCGGGCACGCCAAAGTCAGGCCACCTCCGGTAGAGGAAGTGCCAGACAACACGGGCTTCCTCCTCGCCTTCCACATGCAGCAACAACTTGCGCTTCTCGATGGATCCGTCGCAGAGCTCATCCAAAGAGTCGAGAGTGAGCTGAGCTTTCCAGCCGTCGCCCCATGCGTTCTGTTCGTTGATGACCCAGGTGGGATCCTCTTCACTGTCTGGGAAGTACTGGTCGCACTTGACGTTGCCACCCTCGGACATGGTGGTGAGCTGGACAATGACGGCGGGGGAAGATAGCTGCTCGGCGATCATGCGCCAGACATAGCCAAACGAGGGTGGTGTGGGACCCTGCATGGCGATGTAGCGGAGCGGTAGTTTGTCGGGGTCGGACGGTGACTCGAGAGTGATTTCAGAGGCGTTGACATAATCGAGCTCGTTTACGGGAACCTGGAGTCGGACGCGGTTGTGATTCCAAGGTTGGATGTTGAAGTATCGGTCCATCTGACCCTTCTCTGGCACATCGAGTTGCTTGAATGTCCCCCACTTGAAACCCTCCTCTGACTCGTGTTTGGTGCCCTCGAGGAGTCGATCGCGTTCGGCCCAGGTCAGTTCCTGAAATTTGAAGTCGATGTCTGGGTGATGGTTAGCATGGATCCAGGTGGCGCATGGGAGGGATCGTGTACCTTGCATGTACGAGTCAAAGAAGGCAGGGATCTGAAGCGTCGCGCCCTTCCCATTCTTGATCACATTGCCATCCGCTGTGACAGGCCGGCTCTTGATGCCGTCCTGGCTGACGATGGCGGGAGGGGGACTAGAGGGTAGTTCCGAAGGAGAGCTCTCGCGAGCCCGTTTGGCCGAGGCACGTAGTCGGAAATTCCGGAAAGCTGACTTCTTAGACAGCTTAGTCGCGGATTTCTGGGGCTGGAGTTGCTTCTGTTGGGTGTTTGCAGCTTGAATCTCGGCGCTGGCGATGCTATCGACGGTGTCGGTGCTGGAGCGCTCGACGGCGGTCTCGATGGTGGGATTCTTGGGTTTGCGACGGAACTTGGGGATCCTGTCCATCGTGGCGATATGCGACGGAGGCGACGGGGCCGATGGAGAAGATGGAGAGGAGGGGGGAGAGGATAGGGCCGGCGCCGAGGAGAAATAGGAGCGCAAACCTCGAGGGCGCGGCACTAACGGAGGGAGACGCCGAGGGCGCGAAGTCGAGGGCGAGAGCTGGGGCGAAATCGAAGGAGAGGGAGACGGAAGAATATTGTAATAGTAAAGGCCCTTGGTCCGGTGGAGGTTGAGCAGGGGTCGGGACCGCCTCAACAAGGGGGCGAAGCAGGTGGTAGTAATTTTGGAAGTTGGCGCTTTCGGTGATGACGCAGTTGGCGTTGGCGGAATGAAGGGAATGGGGTAGAAGCAGAGGAGGTTGTCGGCTGGATACCTATGGAGAGAGAGAAAAGGGAGAAATGAGGGAGAGGGCGACGGATCGCTCAAGTAAGCTGGGGATGGGCTCGATTCACGAGAGGCGCGAAGTGGCGCATTCACGAGGGAACGCCAGACGATTGGCAGCTGAGGCTTTGATCACGATGGCAAAGTCGTGACGAGCGACGGGCGACGACGACGACAGTGAGAGTGTGACAGCGGCGACGATGGTGGTGACTGTAAACCGGGTCGGTCGTGGACGAAGGCGTAGCTAGGGAATAGAATAGAATAGAATACGTAGCGCGAGCAACAGGGATGCGAACCTGGGAATGGAATCCTCGAATCCTGGAATCTTGTAATCCTGGATCTTGCGCCGTCCGTCCGTCCGTCCGTCCGTTAACTACTACGCAGTATGTAAGCCTAATAATAAGTGCCTGATGGTTGAGATGAGATGCCCCACGGCACGTGCTGCCCGATCCCGTGGCCCTGGTTCTGGGCAGGTACGGCCTGGTCGTACCTGGTCGTACGCGATGTACATGCAGCCTAGGCAGGAGCGGCGCGAGCTAAAGAAAATAGATCGTGTCGCGCCCGGGTCGTTGTTAGGGGTTGTTAGGGCAGGAGCGGGAGAATGCCCGATACCTGTCACCTTGTTTCCGTGGCTTGTTCCCCGTGCTATGCATGCACGTACTTTTTATTAGCCTGGCTGGATAGGGCAGGAATGGAGATGACGGACAGGGACAATATTTTAGGCGGGAAGTGATGCAATTCTATTTTAGGCCCGGCTCCTCCTGCTTAGCCCGGTTTGCCTCCAGGTTACGTATTCGTACATACATACTCCGTACTTACTTCGTACGTACATACTGTGACTATTATCCATTATCCGCCCAGGAACACAACTGGTTCGTGGATCATCTTCTCGCTCTACGCGCCCAATACGAACACCAGACGACCGGCGCCGTCTAGTCTTGATTGTTCGTGTATCAAACATGTTTCTGCCTTGCGACTCCCGCTCGTCGTCCGCCCTGGCAGAGTTTCGCCATTGCCACTAATTACCACTCACTGCCACTGCCACTGCCACCGTCGCATGATCAGCCCTCCCACTCTCTCCCTCACTCTCCCTCAACTCTCCCTCAACTCTCTCCCACACACACCCCTCGCTTGCGCGGCCCTCGAATCACCGACTTCGTGTTGCGCTGGCGTCGAGACGTGAATCCTCGCCCGAAACACTGGGCTGACCAAAGCCCCAATCACCAACGCGGCCCGCGCCAGTTCGCACTCACAGGAGTCTCCAAAATAGACGCAGCGCAGTCAACCACAAATAAAGTCTCCGCCCGAAACGAATGAGTCGCCTTAGGCTTGCCGATCTGTGACGCTTCGTCCAGGTCCCCTGCCGCTCGGGTTGGTGCGCCGTTGCTACGAACCACGTGGCTCGGAGTCACACTGAGATCCGAGATGCCATTCTGATGTGTCCCACGGTCCTAATCTGTGACATGTTTGACAAGCCAACACCTGCAGATTTTAGCACTCAACGTCTTGAAACTTGTGAGCTATCTCAAGATATAATTATAGTCAATTTTGAGGGCATTATTTGCCAAGAGTTGGTACAATAGAGTTGGATCGTTTCAAAATCCCCATCAACGCCCCTCATTCGGTGGAAATATCCATCCCCCCCTGTACATGGTGTCCCCCGCTTCGTATTGTAGATAGACATACATTATTTCTTACAGCTCGGGAGATGCATCCCTTTCCGAGACAGGCTGCAACTACAGCCTAGTTATCTCGTATCACCCACCCGCCTGTACCGCAGAGTAGACTGCGGTCACGTACTTGCCACATTCCATCTTTTGCTCCAGGGTCACCTTGCGGCCCTTGCCCCCATCCAACCGGATCGTCGTTCGCGGCGTCACGCAGAGTCGGTGGAACCCGGTCTGCTCATCCTTGACCGCATTCGGGTCCGCGTCCAACGCCCCAATATACGTCGGAGTGTTCATGTTGGTTCGTTTACCGGTGCCTAGTTGGTAGTGTTCGTTGCCGCCCCACAGCATAACGTCGGAGCCCCAGTTGATCGCATTCTCGCTTCCTTTGCCCGAAGCGGATGTTTCAGTGAGGTTATCCATCACGGCGGAGCAGTGAGTAGCGCCGACAGATAGAGACTTGAGCTTGATTGCGCTCATCTTATTTGTCTTCTCGTTAAACTCAAACAGAGAGGAGAGCGCCTTGACCTTGGTCGGCCTGGGAGACACATGCGACCATCGTCCCGTTCCCAGCGTTCCGTAAACGCCTTGGCCAAGAGTCCAAAGATCTGACGTGACCTTGGGAAGGTTCTTGGCTGGCGAAGGAGACTCGGCGTCTTGATGGCTCACACGCGCCTTCGCATCGACAGTAAAGAAGGTGTTGGATCCACCAGCTGCAATAGACGTCACCGTAGGAACTAAACCGCGGCTTCCGTAGAGCTTGTTGGTGGCCATCATTGTCGGAGATTCTGTAGAGTGGAGGCCAAACTCGGTGTCGAAGCCGAGCTGCCCGAAGGCATTATCACCAAAGGTGAAGATCTTTCCTGTCTTATCCAGCACCACCGAGTGGAAATCACCAGTAGCAATCTGGTCAATGTCGAACCCTCTCAAAGTGATAACTTCATGGGGCTGATCATAGGGACCCTTGGGCCGATTGGCCCAGCTTAGTCCTGGAACGCCCATCTGGCCTTTGGATGGAAACTCCAACGCACTAGCAGCCGCGGAGAAGACGCGTCCTTTCGAAGTGAGCATCAAACAGTGCTCCTGGCCACTGCTGATATCGGTGACGGTCTCGCCTCGGCCGAGACCGGACGGGGTGAGGTTGCGGAAACTGATTCTTTCCTTGGCGCCGCTGCCACCCCAGATGGACCAGGAGCTCTTCGGCTGTTTTTCCTTCAGGCCGCCCTCCATGTCATCGCGCGACGAGGGGATAGAGTAGACATTGCCCTTGCGGGATAGAGCAATGATTCGATCCAAAGAGACGTCAATCTTGATAATGTCCTTGCCCGTGAGTGTAGGCACGGGTGTAGGGTTATCCTTAGAGAAGCCGAGACCCCATTGCACCAAGTCGCCTTTCTCAGTGACTGCCACACCAAAGTCCTGGGTAAGCTTCAGATCTCGAAGGACCTGACCGTCGAAGTGGGCGATGCGGCGAGGGAGCTTGACATATTTCTCATTGGAGTTTGGGTCGATGACTTTGGCAACGTTGGAACCCCATGCGTAGATGCCGGGGTGCTCCCAGCTGTTCTTGACCTGAAGATGCTGTGAACTAAGGAGATCGCGGTTTTCCTCCTTTGACTCTGCATGTTTCCGGGGTTGCTCAAACTGAAGCTCTGCCTTGACAGCAGGTTTCTCCACGCGCGGCTCAGGCTTGGGCTCGGGTCCAAACTTTTCCTTCATTATGGGATACAAGTATGCTCCCGCTGTAGCTCCGCCAATAATAGTTGCGGCAACGAGGACCTTGCTTCCTCCTCCACCTTGGCGGGGAGTGCTGCTGGCATACCGGGCCCATTGGCGTTGAGTACCGATGGCGGATAGGCGAGCTTGAGATCGGATGGCAGCTCGCCGGAGTGCGACTTGGGAAGCGCTCATGACTCTCGATCAATCCGGAAGGTGAGGGTTGGCTTGACTGGACTTGGTTCCCCTTAAGTGAGCTGAAATTCCTCGAGAGGTCCTGCCCCTGTTGTTGAATAAGGATGAATGGATGGTGAGGTCATACAGACCACGAACAGACAGGTCCAGATTTAGATCTAGCTGGGTCAGCAAAATTCGGTGGACTGTGGCAGGCATAGAAGCTCGCACAGCCACGTTTGGCGGGAGACGATGCACGGTTGCGCCACACATCCCATTGAGCAGGTGCGAAGGCTAATGCACCAGCGGGGGAAGGACACACGGTTACCACACCCTTGTCCTTGTCCCGCCATCGGCGGTTCGGAGCACACACCTCCGGCCAACCTCCCACGGCTTGTTGCGTGGCTTCTAGAATAGCCGGCGAACCTTGAGCTCCCTTCGAGCTTCAAGCTTGGAGCTTCCCCCGACACCATGTACGAAGACTCGTGGTACAACTTCGTGCCCGAGATCACGGGCAAGAAGAGCCATGCGAGCAGCCAAGGCCATGGCCACCGCCGGAGGGAGTCGCTGCTCCAGCAACCCAACGTATGCTCCCCGATCTTGGCCGCACACCCCACCTATGCGACGTTGAAACTCACCATGATTGTCGCAGGGAACGGGTCCAACTGCTGACATCGTCGTGCCCATGCCAAACGTTTACGAGGACATTGAGAATACCAACACCCCGCCCGAAGCAGCAGTAATCCGCCGAGCGAGCTCCTATTCCGACTTCTACCGTGTTGTCCAAGAGCAGCTGTCCAAAGACGGAAGACCGCAGCGCAAGAAATCGGATAAGTGGAACAGAGGATGGGAAGCTTTGGACCTCCCTGATTCTGGCGCCGAAGCCGAAAGTCCTCAAAGTGCCGAAAGCAAGAACCTCGAATCGTACGACGAGCAATTGTTGGACGCAAGTCAGCAAGAATATCTGTATGCAAGACAAGCAATGGGCAGATAGCCCGTGGTCCTAAGATTTGCTAACGGCCTCCAGCTTATACCGGGATCAGCTCACACTCACGGAGCGCCATCTCGATGGACTGATCGACGATGCCAATGCGACCCTGAAGCTGCTCACGTCGCTCTCCCACTCGTTCCAGTCTGTGGAAGCCCAGACATCGACCTTCCAGTCTCAGTGCGAAGACCTTCTTAAAGAGCAGAGGCGACTTGAGGACTTGGCTGATGATGTTGGAACCGACTTGCACTACTATGCATATCTCGACAATGCCACCAGGCGCCTCAACGCCCCTGGTGCGAGTCGCTTGGTCGATGACGATTCGTTCGGAGAGATGATTGAGAACATTGATGCCTGCATCATGTTCATGGAAAAACATGTCAGTATTCCAGGACTGTTGGATATGCGCCGAGTCACTCATCGTTCTAGGAAACGTACCGCGATCGTGACACCTACCTTGCCCGATACCACGCTCTCCTCACAAAGGCTCTACATGTTCTCGAGCACGGATACAAGACACGTTTGGAAAGGGTGTCACCCGATATTTCTCGACAAATTGCTGCGACAAAATCCGATTCGGCACGCCATGCCCTTGCCTACGGTCGTTTCCAGGAGATGATGCTCGACTCTTACGGCTTAATCCCCAACGTTCGCCAGGTGATCCGCCGCGCGTACGACTACTACGGCAAACCAATTGATTCTTGCACAAATTTCGAGACGTATGCGAATACTGCGAAGAACATCTTCTACACTCACTTGACAACCCGAGATCGGGATTTGAAGTTGATGACGCAGGGCGACGTCCAAGAATTCCAAAAGGAGGTCAAGAGCCTCTCCGCGGAAACAGCATCACGAAACTTTATTAAACTGTGCTTCGAGCGCATGTACAGCGAAGAAGGTCTGCTCCTTAGGTTGTTTGATGTGGAACCAAGGTGGAACGCATCCCCGGATTCAATCTTCCAATCTATCAAAACCATCAACACCAACATTGCTCACCCTGGTAATCTAACACCAATGGTGACGAATCTCCAACCCGTACTGCAGGCAGCATCGTTACAAATAACTTGCAATGTAGTTGGATGGCTGGCGAATGAATACTTTGGAGCTGAATTCGACGAGGTTGAGTCACCTTATTTTTCCAAATGCAAGCAGTACACTTCACAATTGCTTGTTAACCACCTCTGGCCGTTGACAGATACTGCTTTCGATGCGGAGGTCACCAAGTCGATAACCAAGGCTGCGGCTCCGGATACGTCGCTGAAGATCGGCCCTGTGGTCGGAGGAGTGGCATCATCTAATGCCCACCCGTTGGTGAAGCAGGCAATCAAGTTGTTGGCCATGTACGAACACTGTATGCCCAAGGAGAGAGCAGTAAGTCGACTTGATTTGATCTATAGGGTCTTGCTAATTCCGTGCTAGGCCACGAATAACTCTATCGTGTTTAAAATTGTACGGGAGACGATTCAAGTTCTCCAACGAGCAGAAGCAAGAATCAAGTATCTTAAGGCGGGCACAGACGCAGACCTGTTCATGGTCAAGAACCTGCTCATCGTCAAGAACGAATTGGTGTCGTTGGAAATTGGTGACATCAGAAACCACACTGCATCGATGCAGCACTTTGGTCATATCTGGGACACGCTCAGCCCGCAAAACTGGGTTGGGTTCATTTCTAATATCATCGGAGGATCACTGTGGTCACGAGGAACACCCTCGGTAACGGCCAAGTCGCTGACGGTTGAGGACATGAATGAGCAATTGGATGAGCTGCTGCGGCACTCGATCTACGCCTTTACGCAGCGTTGGGGTACTCTGACGAACGACTCGCGCAATAGGAAGACCGGCATCAAGCCGATTGCAAAGGTTGAGACGGAGTTGGAGACGATCCTCCAGACGGCGTTCAGCAACCAGCCCGAGGTGGTGGGGAAGCTGAAGGAGGCTATTGAACAGCATGCTCAGGCGCAGAATGAGGCCAAAGACAGTAAACAAGGCATCAGACGGTACTAAAAGTGACGGGGAGCTACTAGCTACAATGTAGGAGATATTGACTGTAGATGGGCTTAGAAGAGATGGATGCGACTAGAAGTCGTTACCGTTGCAGCACCTGCAGATTCTAGAAGAAGTCCAAACTCTATGCCACGCTTAGATACGTGAGCGATGACTACATAGGTAGGTACCAGGTAATCTCTCTCGAATGCTACCGCGCTATGTAGCCGCGCTAGGTTAGCTCGCTGGATGTTGCCGCGCTTTGAATGTTTCCGCGCTGGGCCTTGCCGCGCTCTCTCTGACATTGTTTTGACATGGCGATTTCTTGCAGTGTACACGAGCCCTTGGGTTTTTTCTTTTACTTTTCATAAACCCGTATCAATGGTAATACTACGTAATGCAACTCGATGCGAGGAGATTCGTATGTATTTCTCGGACGGTCATCCGGCGGTATATAACATTGGGCTCCGGCACCTCGGCGAAACCAACCGAACGAGCATGGAGGCCGAGTTCCGTTATCTGACCGACTTCGGGAAGACGTACCAAAACTGCGCTCCGACCACCCGCAGCCACTAGACAAAGCACGGCGAATAATGAACAATTGTGTAAGAGACTTCAATAGACGCATGGCTCTCCTAGCGTGGCGCCTTCTGATAACACTTCGGGCAACTCTGGTCTAGAGTATTACTGTAGGAAGGCAACTTAAACGGATTACATGCATATCCCGGCCCCGATAGCGCGGTGCCGGTAACGGGCTTTTGTAATCCTAGCACGCCATTTGCTAGACGTCCGGAACCCCAGATTTGATATCCGAAGGCGCGTTCCTTTCACCAAGTCAGCTTCGCTTTTTCAACCTCCCCCTTCCATCTCGTCCAGTTCAAAGTGGTCCGTTGTTTTCGCTCGTTTGCTTGAGTCCTTTTACAAGCGAATAATACGGCCAATTACGCTTGTTGCTGTAAATCGAGAGGTTCCGAAGCACCGACCGACACCGCATCCGTGGGGCCCAACCGACATGGACGCTCCGGCAATTGAGGTGGAGGCAGCGCAGGCCGGCGGCCTGGAGACGGCCAAGGATTTGCTCTCGGGCGCCGTGGGAGGAATTGCGCAGGTTCTTATTGGTATGTTACACACGTGTTGGGTGGCCTTTTGCGCAAAAGAAGCAAGTGCTTCGATTGCCCGTTGCGTTGTGCTGTGATAAGGGTGGAGATAAGATCTCAGATGAGACGGCAGATGAGATGAGATGAGATGAAAGCTGGGGCAAGTGCCGCAAGTTCTCAGCGCGTGATGGAACTCGATTTGACGACCATACTTGACCATACTTGACCAAGACTGACAATATCATCCAGGCCAGCCCTTTGACATCGTCAAGGTCCGTCTCCAGACGTCATCCCAGTACTCCGGCGCCCTCGAGGCGGCCACCTCCATCTACCGCAACGAGGGCGCTCTCGCCTTCTACAAGGGCACGCTGACGCCGCTCATCGGCATCGGCGCCTGCGTGTCGGTGCAGTTCGGCGCTTTCCACAAGGCGCGCCGGTGGCTCGAGGACCGCAACGCCGCCAACGGCCGCCGCGCCGACCTCTCGTACGGCCAGTACGCCGCCGCCGGAGCCTTCGCCGGCGTGGCCAACTCGGTCCTCTCCGGCCCCATCGAGCACATCCGCATTCGCCTGCAGAGCCAGCCGCACGGCGCCGGCCGCCTGTACGACGGTCCCCTCGACTGCATCCGCAAGATCGGCGCTCACGATGGTACTCTGCGCGCTCTCTACCGCGGCCAGGCCGTCACCATCTGGCGTGAGGCCTTCGCCTACGGCGCCTGGTTCACCTCTTTCGAGTACATGATGAATGCCGACGCCGCCCGCAACAAGATCGACCGCAAGGACATCGCCAGTTACAAGATTGCTTTCTACGGCGGTCTCGCCGGTGAGGTCCTCTGGCTCGCCAGCTACCCTCTCGACGTCGTCAAGAGCAAGATGCAAACCGACGGCTTCGGTCCTAACCAGCGCTACCGCAACATGCGCGACTGCTTCGCCACGACCTTCCGCGCTGAGGGAGCCCGCGGCTTCTTCAAGGGCATTGCCCCTACCCTGCTCAGAGCCATGCCTGTCAGCGCCGGCACCTTTGCCGTCGTCGAGATGACCAGGAGAGCACTCGACTAGAAGGGGTTTGTTATTTTGCCATGGACCGACTTCGTTTTGCATCATTGAGGACTGCGAAAATTTTGGAATACACAATAGATCACGGGCGATGAGCTCCGTTGGGATGCGTAGAGGATTCAACATCGGGCTGAACTGGCATGGTGGATTTTGAGATTGATCTTTTCAGGAGGTATGGGATTTGTATATATAATACCCGGCAATCTACCGCTTTACCATCCTACATTCTCGCTGTTCTCTACACGCCGCAGCAGGATCTTCCTGGCTACCGGCGGTGACAATGCCTCGAGCTCTAGCTCTTCCAGCACTTTTCGCGCGGCGTCATTGTCGGTAAAGACACGGTCGCTTCCCTCCTTGAGGGTCAGCGCGCCCTCCTCACTGGCTTCGACAGGGAGATTCAGCAGGCGCAGTCCCTCGTGCAGGCTGTCAAGCGCAGATGACCCGCCGGTGATGTAGTGCTCGATGAGGGTGCTGATGGCGGTGCCGTCGCGGTGGAACTGGGCGGCGCCATATGCGGTAAAGGAGTGGCGGAGGAGGACATCGTTCCAGAGGAGGTCCTGGAGTTTGGAGAGGGCATCACGCCAGACGCGGCGGAAGGCGGCTGTGGAGAGGGCTTTGGCGAGGAAGTCAAAGTTGCGCCGAAGGATGCGGAGGGGCTCATCAAGCTCAGGGGTAATGGTAAGATCATCTGGGAGAGCGTTAGGCGAGTGTATTTGGAACACGCAACGTTTGGAGGAGCATACCAAGCACAGCTGTATCACCAACAGTGGTCCACTGAACGCGGGTGCAGTAGGCACGGAAAGCTTTACTGTGCGACTCAACCAGAGCGCCGACGAGGAGATCCTGGCCGGCCTTGCGGCGCTGACTGTACGCCGCGACTGTTTCGTCAAAGAGAGCCCCGTCATCGCCCTCATCTCCCCCAGTAGCAGAGGTGCGGTTCTTGACGTCGTCGTAGCTCATGGTGCTCGTGATGCCCTGGCTGCGGCGATGGGCGGAGCGAGTCTGCAACTCATCCCACAGAGAAACGAAAACCTTGGTTTGTTAGCCATGCTGGTTGATAATCTTGCGAGGCATCGCGCATACCTCTTCGTTACTCCAATCCTTAAGGGTGTTGACAACATGATCGGCACTGCCAATCACCTTGACAAGCGTCTCAAGGGCACCGGTGCCTTCAAGAGCAGCGATATCTTCTTTGGTCACAGCGTGAAGTGTTCTACCAATAGTGGAAGTAATGGACTGATATGCCTCCAGAGATCCTCTGAGGCGATCATGGAAGTGGTCAAGGATCGCCAACTGGATATCGATCAGGAAGCGGATTTTGTGTTTGAAGTTGCGCACCCTCGCGTACTGGCCCGTTATTGACCTTAGCAAGTGGGTGATCTGTACCGCGGCATGTGTGGGCTTCATCTTGCCCTTCTCTGCATAGTCGTAATCGATGTTACGGGCCTCCTGTGATTCCATGATGGTCTGTAATCTCTCAAGAGCGAAATCCTTCTCTGCCTTGAACCAGGTGTCAAAGTGCTCGTCAAGGACATGCGTGGTCAAGCCTGGCCAACCATTCTCAGCATCTCCGCCGTCGTAGCTAAACTTCAGTCGAACCTTGTCGTCAAAGTTCATGAGTTGCGACATGAAGCCACTCAGGAAGGGTGGGCTTTTGACTGCTTCCTGGGCCACAACCAATGCCTTTTCCTCTAGGACAGGTAGCATTGAGGTAATCAACGCACAGACAGGATCGACGTATGCCATATTGTTGGCAGCAGGTGTGTCATGGAACTTGGACACTAGCAGGTGACCCAGATTATCGCGAAAAAAGGTCTCCCATTTTTCGATGTGTGCGAGAAACCAAGGAAGGCAATGGTTGCCAAAAGCCTGGGGGCTGCTGGACGGTTTGTCGCTCAAGAAGTGATATCGAAACTCGGAAACAAAAATACTGGCCATGACATCAATCGGTAGTAATGGCACAAGCCCAGGGTTGTATAAGACTTCCGGCACCTGCAGGTCGACGAGCTTCTCAAAGCAGTTGAGCCACTCCTCGTCCATCTCGGACTCGACATCGACCTTGGGCCATTTCCTCTGGCTCAAGACGGTTTCGAGCTCAGCCGACATGATCTTCTTCATCTCATCCCAGAGCGAATCTGTCACCTTCTCGACGTAGCTGACGAGGTGCAGCCCCTCTTGCCCTGGGAGGCTCGTCAACTTGGTTGAGAGCTGTCTCAGCTTGGTGTACGGCTCTAGCGCGGCCTTGGGGCTCTGTGGCAGATGCGATCGGGCCTCGGAGCGATTCTTCTCTACATCTTGCAGCAAAGTGAGGTACTTTTGGGCGAGTTCGACGGCCTCGAGCTTCTTCATGGGCTCCCGCAACCGCGCAATGGCCTGATCGGGCCCGTCGCTGGCGGCGTCGACCTGCTGGCGCGCGATGATGCTCTCCTGGAGCTTCTCAAACTCATTGATGCGAGCGGCGAGCTTGCCCTGGCGGTCGTCGGCGGTGCGGCGAGCTTCCTCGAGCTCCTTGACGGCATTGTCGAGCTGGGATTGGAGCTGGTTGCGCTGGAGCTCAACGTTGGCGAGAAGCGAGTCGAGGTCTTCGAGATCGGTGGTCGACTGGAGCTTGTCGTCGAGAAAGTCTTCGACCCGGATATCGAGGGAGGTCCCCTGCGCGGCTTCCGTTTGGGACGTCATAGTTGCCATGACGAGATTCTGCGATTTTGGTGAATCGCGTTGCGAAACGTCCACCTCACATCTACGAAGAGGATGACGTGGGAGGTTGCCCCACGCTGGTATGCAATTACCTCGGTATACGAATATTACTACATAGGCGCATACGTTGGACAAAACATGACTTTACGTTGAAGGCAGCAGTTGGCACGAATGGACAAGGGATATCGGATGTTTTAAGACTGTCTTGCGATAATCGAATTGATCTGATGAGGTCTTTGGCTGAGATGCGCTGGGGTGGGAAGGACCACTAGCCACTATTCTCGATAGGCGAATACCTTGACTTTGCGGACGGAACTGGAAGCCTGTATGGTTGGACTGTTTCGTGTTAGACACCTTTGAATGACTTTGATAGGCTTCAGACTGTCTGGCATCGCTTTGCAGACAAGACTGGTTCCAGATTTTAGCCGCTAGGGCTGGCGAGATGGATGCAAGGGGCGGTGGGCTGTGGTCAAAAAGACTCCGAGTGGACACGAGCCTCGGGATTCCGGAGGCTGCGTCTTGAGCTGAAATTGTCTAGGGATTCGATTGCACTGAAGACTGAAAGCACGGCCCTTACATACGCTGGCAGCAGAAATGCAGGCGCTTGGGAGAAAGAAGCAAAGGGTGACAGCATCAGCTTCAGCGGCTTACGCCTCTCAGCTCGAAATGCAACCCAAGACGGTGGATTCCCACTTTGGGCAACGCAGGGGAAGATGACGACTGGCTACAATACATACGTGTACGACGCACGGCGCATTAGATGGACGCCGAGCCTGCCGTCATCCGGCCTACCTCCAGGTACGAAGATGAAGGATGGCGAGGCGAACTCCTCCTTCGACCCAATCTCGCGCGAAACGGCGCCATATCGTCCGGACAACGGCATCGGGGTCATCGACCCCGGCTCACCCCGGCTCACTTGGGTCTGCACACGGAACAGGGCCATGCATCTTGGCGAGACGAGAAGGTGAGATGAGAAACTAGACCCCGAGGTGAGGTCACTGACAATCGCGTTCCGGGTTAGGCGGCTTCGTCGTAGTCGAGCAAGTCTAGCATGTGCCATGTACGATCAGTTGACGTCAGGCGGAATCCGGCACTGTGAGGCGCTGGCGGTACGAGGGTTGGAGATGGAAGCTCCGGAGCATATTCACATCCATCAGCATCGTAATGCAGCCAGCGCAGTGTAAGATCGGAGATCACTCGCCAGGGTCCGGGGACCGAAGACCCGAACGAAACGAACACACCAAGCAAATAAGAGCTCCAAGCAAATAGGAGCTCCAAGCGAATAAGAGCTCCGTATGTCGGCGCCTGGGCCACAGCCGCCCAGACAAAGACACCGCCTTTGGAGGCCATTTCCAAGGCCGAGGAGATGGAGCTCGAATGGAGCTTGAATGGAGCTTCGAGACTCGGCGTCCCAGAAAGATGCCCTGCCAAAGGAGATCACGCCCTGCTAGAGGCGTTTGTTAGGTGTGTCCAGGCGTTTCCAGGGCCCTGCAACCTTCCAAAAAAAGGATCCCCGCCCCTGAGTCCCCGGCCCCTGCGCCGCAAGTGCGTCCCTCCCAAGTGCGCCGCCCACTCGCGGGTCGTGGTTGCCTTCTGCGGGTTGCCCGGCGCCCGTGGAAGGACCCCACTGCGCCCCACCTCGGAACGTCATGGTCGCCCTGCCAACATCGGTAAATAAAACGTGGCTGGGGGATGCTCAACGTGCATGAGTGCGTCGCTCCCCAAAAGTCGGACGGCTGGACACCTCAACGCAACATTCCCACACATTCCCCCCCAGCCTTTCGCATATCCGCCCAATACTTGGGTACCTTGGACTGACTAGACTGCCTGCACGAACTGACCGACCTCGCCGTGTCCCTTTCTTCCCCAAAGGACCTCTGACGAATTCTCTCTTTCTCTACATCATAAGTTGTCCCGTTGTAACAGACGCGTGAACTGATCTCCAGCAACCTCCAAGCTGCATCTAACCTAACCTAACCTCACCTCCCCACTCCTTCAATCTCTCACTGTCGCAGGGCTCGGCTTTCTCTCGTTGTCACTGAACCGTCGTCGCCACCGCGCGCATTCCAGCTGCGTCGCCTCTACCGCATTCCACCCCGATCGTGACTGCGAAGTCACCCGCTCGCTTCCCGAGACAGCAACGAACTGACCCTAGGAGGGAAAGCATCGAGACGAACGATTCCGTCCAGCACGGTAACCCTGGGAACTCGACCAAAGGCCTCGACGCCTTCTCGGGCTGAACGGCCCCCGTTCAGCAACCCGACCGTCACTCCTGAATTGGGGGACGGGCGCGGGCGTGCCTTGATCCTCTCGTCTTTGGGTTGCATCACCGAATTGTAACGGAGGACTGGTACACAACCCCTCAAGATGGGTACAACGGAGTCGGGCACGAGCAGCAGTAGCAGCTCGGGCTCAAGAATGCCCAAGTTCCAGGTCGGATGGTACCGTAAGTCATTCCGCAACCAACATCCATTGCACTGGAATATCACAATCTCCCAAACAAATGGCTAACTCGCATCACCTCTAGGCTTCATACCGTTCCTGGGATATCACCACGTGCTGATGATTCTCATCGCCGTCGCCATAATCCTACTATGTACGTTCTTCACCGCCCCCCTTCTGCTTCATATTCAACTCGCTGACCGCCCCCCTTTTAGCTCTACTATTAGCAGGCTGTTCATCATCATCACCGCTAATTCCCGACATCTTCCTCCTCTCTCTCTACTACAAATCATACACGGCGAAGCCCGACACGGCGCAAGTTGACTACAACGTGCACACCGCTATCGAAAACATCGCTGGTGACGCCCACCTGGCTGCTCGTGTCGGTTACTTCGGCATCTGCATCAACCCGGACGGTGGTTCGTGGCTGTGCAGTAACAATGCCACCGCTCTCGCCAAGGAGGTTTCCGTCGACCAAGATCCGCTCAACCTGATCTGGTTGGCCGCCCAGTTTAAGGATATGATTGTGTTTCCTTATTTGATGTGAGTTGACATGCCCTCCCCAGTGAGTGAGATCGCTTCAAAACAACATGCTGACTCCGTATGCAGAATCATCGCCATCATCTTCGCCTTTGTCTGTCTCCTGCTCCTCGCCACTTTCCCCGGATGGCACGAGGAGGAGGATTCCGAGGGTTCCGAACGCGAAGTCAAGCCTTTCCCCTCGCGATTCGTCTCTCAAATCGCCCTCGCAATAATTTTCATCGCCTCCATCTTCGTCCTTGTGTCCGTACTGTGGCAACACACTGCCTCAGTGGCCGCCTCGGTCATTGCCCAAGATTTCGGAAACGGTGCTGTTCGCAGCGGAGTCGGTACCAGCGCCATGGTTTTGGGTTGGTTCTCCTTTGCCCTGCTCATCATTGTCACCATCGGATTGCTTGTGATGATTCTCAGCATGAGCGTCCTGAGCGCAATGGTGTAGGGCGCCGAAGTGAAGTAACAATGGACGAGCAGAGCGACTGTAAATACGCCGACACATGAGTGGACTGGCACGGCGAGGGTAAGATCAAGACAGGACGACCAGGAGATTGAGCATCAGCATCGGCGTTACTAGGGAACCTTTTTGCTTTGAAAATGTTTGGTAATTTTTGGTTCGACGACCTCGACGTGGGTGGTCACATATATACGCACCGCTCCGCGCACACTTCCGCCGAAGACGCCTCTTTCATCACTCAAAAAGTGTTTCATCCTTCTACCAGCCTCATTCGAAGAGACTGTAGATGAAGCCAAGGCATACCATGCGACGGTCTGTGAGAAAGAACTCGGCGAGGGTGGAAGGATAAGACGAGGCACGAACACACAGTTCTTCGCATATAGACCACGCCAGATCGAGGAGGGGATACCGACCGGACCGGAAAATGAGACCGGACACACTGGACGCGTTATGACACATATCTGGGAAACGCAACGAGAGCAATTGTTTCGCTACGACAGAATGGTGGATATGTCCTAACGCGCCGGGTTGGGATATGGGAAACGTTCATCGAGACATGTATTATCACAACCGAGTTATTTTGCCTTCACGCCATGGAAATGAAATTTTGGGACTGCTTTTGTCACTTCTTTGATTGATTGTTTTATGTTGCAGTTGATTTATGAGAAAAGTCTTGAGAGTTGTGAAGAGCGGTGACTGGCAAGGAGATTCAGGTCTCGGGAGATTTTCGCCAAGATGAGCTTCTGATCTTGTTGACGGGTTTAATGGATGGATTAGGAGGAAGGAAATTGGGTTAGAATAGTTTAGTCAGAACCTGACTTCCTTCTAGGAAGATAATACAACAGTGTTCATGAAATTACCCAATCTCCTTTGATGAAATAAAAGTGACGATTGCCAAACTGCAACACAAGCCAGTTGCAATCCTGAGGCAAGCCGATATTAAGTTCTCGGTACGCTATATAGATCATCATATTGAACATGATTTGTGACATATGCACGAGGGAGTTGGTGGCTTGTATTTTTGTCACCAGATCACATTCTTGTCACTGGCACTGGCAGAGCACATCATACGAATGCTCCATGTTACCTTTGTGCCCCCGAGACGCATCACGGGTGATAGGTGAGTTGGATACACTCAAAAACGAATATATCCACACATTTATTTCATAAGGAGTCTTCAAGTTGAGATGAATACAGGGGCCAAGAACCTTTGTGGTCCAAAGTATACATTAGTTACCCCAAGTCTAAATCAAGTTTACGTCAACAGGCATCCAAAACCCTAGCCCGTCAAAGCCCAGAACGCCGCTGTACTTTTTGTCTGCGCCGGTCCTGATATACACGCATACCAACCCGCCAAGGCACCTCTCCCAGGCGTAGTAATGACGAACCACCGTATACAGAAAAGCAAGTACCGCTTGTGTGTTGATACACTCTGTGTGAGACATGAAATGCTCGCTCGTCTCGCTGTCTAAGTAGGCCTCTTGAAAGGATGGGCCTCGGTGTTGAGGACCCACTCGTCGAGGCTGATGAGGTCCGGCCCGGAGAAGAGGAGGTAGTAGTACTTGAGCGTCTCGGCGATCCAGAAGCTCTCCATCTCGTCCTTGAGGCCGCCCCCTGTCTCCATGACGTCGTAGATGGCGCTGTGGGAGAATTCAGTCCGCGTTACCGCGATGGTCGCCTCAAACATCTTCCAGCCCTTATCCATCCACTCGGGATCGCCGGTGATGCGGTACATGTACCAAACAGACTCGATAGCCTCAGGTCTGAGTCGATGTTAGTTTTTAGTTCTGACCCGACAATCTCGAGCGTGAATGGACAACTTACCGAAGAATGTACGCCGGGGTATCGATGCTTGTGTATCCCGAAGGCAACTTTTCCCTCTTCAACTTGCTCTCCACGTACTCCTCATGGGTCATCGGCTTGGTACCCAAGTTGACCTTGGATGGCGGTGGGGCACTATACTCCTCTTCTAAATCCGTCTCTTTCTCTGCCTCCTTCTCCACCTCCTTATCCGCCCATCTGGTGTTGTCCATGCCGAGTTTCTTCTTGAGGGACGCTGGAAGCTCAGAGCCAGCCTCACCCTTCGGGGCGGACAATTCAAGGTCCAATTCTGGCATCGGAATACCTGCCCTCTTTATCAACTTGGACTTCTCCTTGGGCTTGAGTTCCGACTCAGAGCTAGTGCTCAAGTCGTCTAATCGGTTGATGGGGTCTGCCTTCTTGCTTGAATCTTCAGCGTCGTCTTCCTTTGCGAGCTGAGCATTCTTTACGGCCTCGGCATTCCTTGCGGCCTGTTGCTTCAGGGCGTCAGCCTCCTTATTCACTTGCTCCTTATCGGCCTCGGCCGCGGCCTTCTCCCACTTGGCCAACTCCTTCTTCCTCCATTCCATGGACCCATCCAGCAACTCGTACCAGTAAGTCTGGTTGAATTCGCACTTTTCCAACGTGGGACAAGGAGCCAGATGGGCAAACTCCGGCATGACGCCCGTGGCCGTAGACTGGTAAGCCCACACGCAGGCATCGGTGAGCTGCTTGGCCGTCTCGATATCCTTGGGTCTTCCAAAGATCTTGCCGCCCAAGCCGTACATTCCACCAATGAAGCATGTCAAGTGGGCCATTTCATACGACGTAGTGAACTTGGTCTCACTTCTCCCAACTAGGGAGAGCTTGGTAGGAAGCAGAATATCCCACTCTTTGCCATCGACCATAGGCCTATACAGCAGTCGATCGTTGATTGCGTCGATGGTGTCTTCATGAAGCTTCTGATACTTGGACTCGAGGCCACCCAACAGAAGGTATTGCTGCAATCGTCAGTGGCATTCGAAAAAAAGCAATGTGTCATAACTAACCTTGGGAAAATATTCATAGGCCGAGTCCTGGGCTCCTCCCATGTGGTATTGTGCACCTCCGTAGGAAGCTGGCATAAGACCTTGGGGCACACAGTCCCACTTAGAGGTAGATCCATCGGCCGAGAGAGGGCCTACCCGGCCAATGTTCTTCGTCTCGCCCTCTGCCTCCTCATTACTAGAGGGAGCGTAAACAGGGCCCAATGAATTGTCCGAGCCACTTTCCTGGCTCTTTTCAGCATCGGGGTTAGGGGGAGGAATCACGGCTCTGGCGTTCAGCTTCATGTCGGGCTTGGACTCAGACTTGGACTCAGACTTGGCTTCAGAGTTGGCCTCAGGCTCGGTTTGGAAGCCTTTCGGTGGCACATCTAGTTCGTGCGAGTCTATCTGCTTCTGAGCCTCCTTACTGAGCGTGTCCCTGAGGGTGGTTGCTGTCTTGTTACAGCCCGAAGCATCGATGCGCTCGGGGAACAGACCAGGAATATGGGTGTGGCCCTCCGCCTGCATAAGCACCAGGGCATCGGTGATGCGATCAATGGCATCATAGTACTTCGCTGCACCCGTGAGCTGCGCAAGGCGGGTGAACTCCAGAGAGAGGGTGGCCAGTTCGGCAATGCCGACAGAGCCGGCGCGGTGAGGCTCCGAAGAGTAAGGAGGTCGCCACACGTAGTACAAGATGGGCATGCGATTCGGGGTGTCAAACATACCCATCAGGATCTCGGCGAGCTCAGTGGCTTTTTGGAGAAGAATGGGATACTTGCCCTCAGCGCCTCCACTGACGTCGTAGGCGGCGAGCAGACCTCCCAGGTAGCGAATCGTAGTCTCGAAGACAGGAATGTCATTCTTGGGGGTAAAAGTAAAGTCAATCTTGGCGACAGCGGTGGCTGCCTCGTCGAACTCATCCCTCATGTCGGCAATCCAGAGGGTATCAAGAGAATCGACCAAGGTAGCAGCCCAGCCGCAAAAGGGATCGCGGTACCCATTGGAGAGGGGAGACAGCTCGTCGTGCATCCAGGCGTACTTGCGGTAGCCCGACCAGGCGCGCTCCAGCTCGACCTTGACACGGGCCTGGCGCTTCAGGCGTGTTGCCTTGGCCTGGTCAGACTCGGGGTCGAAGTCGTACTGGACCTTGGGGATCTGCTTGGGGATTCCCGTGGGGATCGGGATCAGGGAGGCCGAGGGGAGGGGGAAGTTCTCCTTGGGCCTGACCCAGTGTTGAGCCAGCTCTTCCGCGTCTTCGGCAGGATGTTCCATGTTGTGATTATTGACGGGAGGATCGGTCCAATGGACCTTGGGGACTTCGGGAACTGCCTCTTTGACAGGTTCTTCGTCTTTTGCGGCCGGCTTGCTGGGGGGCGCCGAGCTTCCATCGCCGCTGGCCGAGTCGGAGGAGCCGTCGTATTCGGACGTGTCCTTGACTTCAGTATCCTTGACTTCAGTATCTTTGGCCTTGGAATCGCCGTATAGATGCTTCTCCGCCGCGTCCTGTTCGTCCGCTAACAGCGGAGGGGAAGCGTGTCCGGACAGGTCTGTCGAATCATCACCGCCGCCAGCGAGGGGTTGGACCGGCGATTTGGGAGGAGAGTGGAGGGAGTCGTAGGAGTCGGCGGACTGGGCCCACGAGGTCTGGAGAGTGCGGTAGAGAAGGAAGACGATGAAGACGGCGCAGAGTGTAAAGAGGCGATACCGTCGACGAGGCATTGCGGGCGGTCGTGACTCGCCGAGTTGAGGCCTGGGAGCGAGGATCGGATCGGGTGGTGGGCTGGAGGTCGCGAGAGGTCGCGTGGGCGTGGAGATGGTCTTTAGCTTGTTGCGTACGAGGCCGGCATGTCTCTTCAGGGGAAGGAAGAAGCGTAGCCAGCGAGAGCAACTCCAAAAAAAGAAGAAAAGAAAAACAAAGCCAATGTCTGGAGATGATCCAAGAGCGATGAGACTGAACAGACGGGGTATAGCGAGAGCGAATGGAAGGGTGGAAGCCAAGTGTGTAGAAAGGGGACGCAAGACGCAAAGACAAGGGTCCCAGCGCGCACCTAGAGCCACAGGCAGGTAGGCCCTGCCGGAGAAACAGTAGCGAGCTGGGCCAGTGAGGATGGCGCTATAATTATCGGCGCAAGGGTGTGTCGTAGCTTCTCGATAGCGGACGGATGCTGGTCTACGGGTACTTGGTGCAATTGCTGATGCAGGCTTGCTAGTTGAGGGGGGGCAAAAGGTCTTGATCCGACTGGATAAGAAGCCCCCTTGTGCGGTCAGTCACCAAGATTGAAGGGTCTTGTGAACCTGATGCAACGCCAAGCACTGGGTCTTGGGAGGGATTATTCGCAGCGTGAATGTAGCCGAAACCCGTTTCGCTTCATTGATAGGCGATGCGTGAGAGCGAGCGTTGTGGTGTTGTCGTTAAATAGAGCCCCAGCGCTCTGCCCTACAGCGACCCCTAAAAGCCCCCGGCCCGTGTGCGCTGAAGCCAACCGCGGATCTCATCAACGCCGCTAGTTCCCGTGTCATTGGGTTGGAGTTGTTTCCTGGGGATGCGCGGACACCTGTAATTAGTGCGCGTATACGTATTACTCGGTACTTTGTACTCGGTACGATGAACGAGGCTAAGGTGGCTGCGCGTCCAAACGGTTTCGTGCCTCCCACCCACACTGTGGACTAAGTTGAGGAAACCGTATCATAAACATTTCAGGTGAGGCTGGTGTTGTGGCACACTTGATGGTGGCTCACTTGGTGGCTTTTTTCTTGAATGCCGAGACTCTCCGCAATTTCCACAGCGACAAGGCTGGCTGTGCATCACCCTCACTCTACTGCTTCTGCTTATCTCTCTCCCATTCACTCGCTCAGGGTCCTCCCCCTTCAGGTCTTGTAGCTCCCTTTTCGTTTCTAGCCAAACATCGGCAATGCTAAAACTGTGTCAAACCCCGACCAGTTGATCAACCCCAGCCATAAAACTACACACCATTCCCAAACAGGCATCCCGCCATGGGCTGTATCCTACCTACCAAGGTAGGTAGGTAGGTACCTAACTCACAGTACGTACAGGCGAGGAATGCCCCCTAACTCAATCGACAGCCCCGCCCCGCCGCGTCCGCGCATCCGGCAAATGCAACCCCCCATTCAAGCTTATAACTTAACCCTTAAGTTAAGTTATTCTCCCAGGTACAAACCCAGAATAACCTTCATCGAACCTCCGCGTTTGACCGCCCGCCGGAGCCTCAACCTCCGCTACTACTTTAGATCGACCGAGGGATCACCTGCTCTTCCGCCTCAAGAGACACGTATCCTGACCCAAATGTCTCGTGGTTCTTGAGGCAGCAGATACAGTCCATACTAGACCCTAGCAGGGCCAATCGATCGACATTCCACTATCCCATGTTTGAGACCCTCCACAATCAGCCGTCCCCTCCAGTCCCTCCAGCTTGTTCATCGTTATTTCATGTCTCTCCAACGCCATCATTGCACAAACCATTAGAATCACTGATTTAGACCTCTCCAAACCTGCATTTCCCTCCAGCCACGTATCTATCAGCAAGACAACAATCACGCAAATGCGCCCGCAATCCTATCGTACACAAGCCAAGGCCGTCGTGTCATTCCAATCATACCTTTTATGCAATCGGCCCAATCCATTACCACCCAGAGCAGCAGTAACAGATACAAGAACCCAACCCCAAAAACGCCATGCTTGATCCTCCATAAATATCCACCCCATCATACCCCGAGTGCATACGCCGTCTCGCCCCTACGAAGGCGAGTATGCTGTCTTAACCAAAAACACTACCAAATCCAATACGGGTCACATCTCTCGTTTTCTCTTCGTTACTGCGGCTTGCGTCCTTCTTCCTTCTTCATCGGCTTAATCTTTGCGTACAGAGACGTGTCGTAAAAGTTGAAGTTGGGATCGAGCTCGCAGAATGGATGTTGAGAGAGGAGCACATCTGCCGTTGGGCGATCAAAGGGGTTACTGTTTTCGTTGTCAGTGACTGCCACACAAGTCAGCTTTCCGGGTGAAGAACTTACACTTGGAAGCAATCCATCATAAACGCCACCGCCAGCGGCCCAAGTGTTCCCTGGATATCCTCGGGGATCGGGGGCGTCTCGCCGTTGGCGATCTTGTAGATGGCGCCTACCGCCTCTTCCTTAGCCCACGGTCGCTTGCCCGCAAACATCTCCAGCACCACACAGCCCAGACTCCAAATGTCCACCTTGGCGCTATATCCTTCTCCTTGAGACCGAATCACCTCGGGGGCCATCCAAAACACCGAACCCTGCATGTTGTTCGTCTTGTCATTGCCATAGATGTTGTCCGTTTTCTTCGAAATACCAAAGTCACTGATCTTGCACGTTCCATCCACGTCCAGGAGGATGTTGTCTGCCTTGAGATCACGGTGCAGAATGCCCTCCCGGTGCAAGTATGCCAATCCAGAGAGCGTCTGCCGGGTCAGCGACGAAACGATCGACTCCTCAAACTTTCCGTGTTTGCGGAGGCACGATCCAATGCTGCCACCAGAGATATACTCGAGGAAGATGCTGATACTAGTCTCCTTGCGCTCGCATCCGAGATACTGCACAATGTTGACGTGATCCAGGTGCTGCATCGTGTCAATTTCCTGGTCCAGTCCCGCAACCAACTCCTTCATCTTGGACTTGTCACCGCCCGCGGCCTTGGGGTTGACCTCGACTTCCTTGACAGCCAAGAACTCTCCGGTCGTCGCATTCATACCCAGGTACACGCGACCATAGGTACCCTTTCCGATGAGCTGACCCTTGAACCAGCGGAACGTCGTCTGCCGCTTTGGAATGGTATCTTGAGGAATCTGCGGCATAATCATGCTGCCACGCCGGTCTGGCCGAATCTGCACAATGTTGGCGTTGAACATCTTGGTGCTCTTGCGGCGCATAATGTTGCTGGATGGCGGCGCTCCGGGTTGCGACGTGCTAGCAAATCGCCTGTTGGCCTCATGGGCACCTCGAGCCACTTCTCGAATAGACTTCATGCGTCCAAGTCCACCAGAACGGCGCAAACTCCTCTGGGCCACTGAACTAGGCCGTTCCAAGGCCTTGAGAGTCGATTCATCGGAGCCTAGCGTATCGTTTTCATTGTACAAGGACGGCTGTCGGGCCGGTGGAATCGCTGGTAGGGGGGCCGTCGGTGGATTAGTCGGAGGAGGCACCTGCGATTGTCCAGATGCTATCTTGGATAGGCTCAAAGGTTCATCTCCCTCAGCGATGGGTGAAGGGGGCAACTCTGCTCCCTCGACACCCTCCTCAAGAACCGGCTGGTCGAGATCCAAATTAGGGAAGAAGTCATCAAGGTTGTTGATAAGGGCATCGGTTGGGGGGCGGTTAGCCCAGACATCCTTCTCAATGAATGACTTCCGTCGGCCCAGTTTGTAATCCTTCTCGTCAGGGTCCCGGGTGTCGGAACGAGGGGTTGACGGAGGCCTTCGCGAGCTCATGTCGTCATTGCTATTGGGCGTGATGGCACTTCCATATGACTGCGGCGAGTTGAAGGACACAGAAAGATTCTTCTTCGATCGAGAAGTATTCACCGTCAAACTCGGCCGCTTATCCTGGCCACCCTGTGGATTTCCGGCAGTAGCTTTGCCCTTATTTCGACCTGCCAACGGGATCGCGAACAGGCCATCATCAGAATCATCCCCGCTGTCGTCGTTAGCAGCTGGCGGTGGCGCCGCCGGCGTTGAGAAGTGCACATCCTCGGTGTCCTCGTAGTCGAGGTCTGGGCCATGCGACTTTCTACGCTGCGGTTGCTTTGGAGGGAATGACCTCCTCGTCCTGGTGGTGCTTGGGCTTATTTCTGTTGGCGAAGCGGGCCGCGGCGCTGTTTCGTATCTCTTAGCTTCCAATGCATTTACGGGCTTGTCACCAGGCAATAATGGTGTCCCGCCGGGCGAGTAGTCCGGCACGACGAACGGCAGATTGCCCCGACTCCAGGTCAGAGTACGGGTTGTTGCCGACATCAATTTCGGACTACTGCGACCGGTGCTGGGCCGAGTGAAATCAACGCTAGGCTTGGCTCCCTTACCTCTCTGCGATGCTCTGTCGCTAGAAGACATCGGCTGCGTCATGACGCTGTTGGGCGGCGCTCCCCGGGGGCCGTTGGCGGTGGATTGCCCAATTGCACTTAGGTTCCTGCCCATTCCTACAAGGGCCGCTCCAATGCCACTGGGGTTGTTTGATAGCTGCTGTTGCTGTTGCTGCTGTTGAGGGCCGAATTTCGTCTTCCTGTTCCTCTCTGTCATTTCACCCTCTCCTGATGACGTGGTCGGGTGTCTAGGTGTAGGATACCCGTCGAGGCTACTGTTAGATGTGCGCAAGGTGTGACCCGATTTCTTACTCAAAGAGTTAGCCTTAATCAGGGTCGCGGAGGGATCGCTAGGCGGTGCCGGTGGTCGTCGCTGAGGGAATAGTTGTTCCGATCGCTTGTCCTCGTAGGGTGATTCTCGAGGCTGATCAAAATCAACGTTCCTACCCACGATACCTGGACCGACCGTATCAGACGGGCTACTTTTCGCTACCTGCTTTCGCTTCGCAAGGTATTCGCGCTGCTTCCTCTCCATCTCGGCTCGGTACGTGTTGCCCTCTTGCAGCAGTGACTTGTCATCAATCTTGTCATCAGTCAACGTGTTGGACCTAGAAGTCGGTGGCGACGAGCTCGATCGTTGTCGGAGGTTGTGCCTTGGGTCCTCGGCGGAGGAACCCGGGGCTAAGAAGCCAGGAGACAAGGACACAGGGATGTTTGTATTCACCGAGAGGCTGGTAACAGGAGGAACACCTGGCGGCGAGACGAAAAATTTGAGGCTCCCCAACGAGTCACCCCTTACTCGCTTAGTTGTGAGAATCTTCTGGTCGTCTAGAGGGTCAGCATGGTCAAACATGCCGACTTCGGTCAGGTAGACCAGAGAATTCTCATAATCGCCCAGCCCCAGATGCAGACAGACGGTCTGGCGAACCTCGGCTGCCGTCTCGGCCTCCGTAATATCGCACATTCTGAAGTTCCAGTAATCCATGGTAGCGAGGACATACGTCCTCACGGGGTTCAATCTTTTGGGTCGATTGTTCATGTGGCCGTTCCTGTCATCTGGGCCAAAGCTCGAACCAGGTCGGTCCAGACTCGGGTCGCTGCCATTAGCACTCCTGACTCCCAGCCCCATGACGGGTCTCAAACTGTCCGCTGGCGAAGTGGGGGAGCCATCCATCTCTTCAGGAGAGGGATACGCCCCGTCATCCTTCTGTCTCTTCTTCCGCGACAGGAAGCTGAGGAAGCTCTTCGAGTCCTTGGCTGATGCAGGAGTCTCCCCCCCGGCTGACTTTTCACCAGAATCCAGGGGAGAGCCTCTTGAGCGTACGTCATGGCTCCGGCCACCATGGACAAGTTCACCAAGATTCATGCCTCGGTTCAGCATCAATGCTGCATCGGAGGGTATGCCGGATCCGTAGATGGCGGCACTTGAGGATACTGAGTCCATGCTGCTTCGGGATCGATGTCCAGTTTTCATGGGAGATGCGGAGAGAACGGGGGTAGTGGACGAAGGAAACAAGGCTGGTGGCAGACCCGGACTGCCGTTGGGGCTCGCTGAGCGGGCTGCAGCACTACGAAACGTAGCACCCTCGCCCGACTCACTCACATTAGGACTATGACGCCGGGGCCCATCAGTGTCAACGTGCTTAAGGAAGTTTCGGTGATTCGAGTCGGCACTATTGAGTGAGGTGGGCATTGTCGTCGATCTCGTCTGGGAAAAGCGTCGACCGTCAAATCCAGGTGTAGGGGCGGTCAGAGGTGTCTACATCACCAGTTAGCAACAACGGCGATGCCCCGACTAGAACACTCACGTTGGGCGAGTCCATGGGATCAGTTCCAGCACTTGGTAGGTTGTTCCCGTGTCCACCATTCATCGACTCTTTTCGTTGGTGTGAGCTCGAACTCTTTACAGATTCAGCTGTCCGCCCGGTCACTATGCTTCGGATGAGACGTCGCATGCGCTTTCCCTCCTCCCGCTCTCTCGGTTGGTCCCAGCCAGTCCCGCTGTTTGTGCATTCTTGGGCGAGTTTGGGATATACTTGCTGGTGCATCATTCCAAAGTTGCCACGGCCGCCGTGCCCGCTGCCAAGTTCCAGGAACTGCGCTCCATGGAGGTTCAGCGACTTGAACGTCTCCTGCCAGTCCTTGGAGAACTGATTCTTGGCCAGCCAAATCAGGACGGTGTCGAGGGGCCACTGGGCAGACACTTCTGGGGGGATCGAGCCGGCGGAAGTCGCGTTGGACGAATTAGACACCCCGCGGGCCTGGGCGGTGTTGCTGAGGTAGAACCGGTCTCTCGAGTTAGGATCGTCCATCGGGGTAGTCGTGTTGGTGTCGGTGCCACTCTGGGGAGTCATCATCGACCACGACGCCTGTGAGCTGGCGGTCAGGGTTGGATCTTCGACTCCAAAGGCGGGAATACCCACGCCCTCTCCATACGTGTCGCCTTGGGGGATATAAGTCGCACTCATCTGCTCACTCGGCGGGGGCGGGGGAGGGATGGCCAGTGTTTGGCCCGTAGCGATCTGGGCGTGCAACTTGGGGTTGTACGGTTGGTGCTGGCCAGGCGGAGGCGGTGGGATGTTGAAGCCCGGGCGTCCGTCATACATGCGCCCAAAGGTGCCATGCCACTGGGGATGCTGGCCGAGGGCCCCCGGAGGCGGACCGGGTGGTGGGGGAAGCATGGCGCCGGGAGGTTGCGTGCCCTGGGTAGCATATCGCGGCGGCGGCGGCGGCGGCGGAGGAAAGTTGGTCATGCTGTTCATCTGCTGGTTCGAATTCGGCGCGCCCATCGGAGGAGGGGGAGGAGGGACCTGGAAAGGCCTCGAAGGATCGTTGGCCGAGACATGTCTCTGGCTAGCCGGGAACATGTTGGGCGGCGCGGGAGGCAACCCGCCTCGAGGGATCGATTGAGCAGGATCGGGGGCGGAGGCAGGCGTCTTGGGATATCGCGACGGCGAGGTCAGCGTCGGTGGAGGGAGCGAGAGAGCGGCGTTGGCGGTGGAAGCCCTCGGACGGGAGTTCGAGGCTGACGAAGGGACGGGGAGGAAGTGAGCAGACGCGGCGTTTGTATTGGCGTTGGTATTGGCCGTCGTATTGGCCGTCGACAGGGGCACAGCGGACGACAGCGAGCGGACGGACCGGGGGGTTGGGGATGGTGCAGGCGCGGGCGCGGGCGCGGACGCTGACAGAGGCGGCGCTGGCGTTGGCGCTGGAGCTGGAGCCAGGGAGGTTGTGGAGGAGTAGGCAAAGGCGGGAGCCTCGTAGACAGGGCCGGGGCTGTCGATGGAGAAGAGGTCCTGGAGACGAGGCCGCGAGAAGGACTGGAGGCGAGCCTTGGCCTGAGCCTGGGCGGCCCGAGCAGTCTGTGGTGCCTGTGCCGCAGCAGCCTGAGCCGGTGGCAGGACGTAATTGGCAGCAGCCGATGCAGATGCAGACGCAACCGCAGACGCAGACGCAGACGCAGACGCAGACGCCGAAACTGATGAGGGACGAGCAGCCTGTCGTGAGCTATCAGTTCCCGTCTTCATGGCGTGGGCTGCGGTGGAGTAACATGGCGTGGAGTCGCGTGGGTCAGGGCGACAAGGGTCCAGTAGGAGGAGTGGGAGGAGTGGCAGAACTGGCAGTGGGTGGACTTGTGGCAGGGCAGAGCTGGAGGGGAGTTGGGCAGTTGGTCCAGTTGGTCCAGTGGGCGTGTGGTGCTGGGCGCCAGGGGGCCAGGGCGCTAGGGTTGCGCTGCTGCAGGGTTCCAGTGGTGCTCTCGGCGCAGTGGGTGCTTATCGACGTGGGCAGCAGCCGTCGGGCGTTGGTTCAGGTCCCCCCGGCCACTAACCGGCGTACAGCGCACTGGCGGAAGTCCACGCAGGCGTTTCTTCTCCCTGCGTCTGGCGCTTAGCACCACCTGAGATGGTGTGAGATGGTGTGCAGTGTGCAGTCGTAGTCGCGACAAGGGCCGGCTTTAGCGAATCGGGGCTCTGTGACTGTGGCCTGGGAGATGCGTCTGCGACTGTGTATGCACCACTTGGCCTGCTTGCTTGCTTGTTTGCTTTCCCTTTGCTGCGTTTGCCGTTGGCTGTCCCTTGATTCAGTCGGTAGCCGTTGTTCAGTTGGGTCCCTTTGAAGTGCGCCCTTCAAGTGCGCCCTGTCTCGGGCCGTACAGAGTGAGCTTTGGCCGGATTGCGCACCCCGGTCGTCCCGTCGACGGACGGCTCTCGACTTGGCAAGCCGTAAGCCGTGCAAGCCGTGCAAGCCGTACAAGCAATACGAGAGAGCAATCACAGCTGAACCGTATTCCTCTCTAGCAACGTCGCACTGCAAGGGGGAAGGACTCAGACACGCTCACACAAGACACGGCCAGGAACACGCCGAGAGAGTCTGATAGTAAGCGCAGCGGGGGAAGAGATGAGGTTGAATCCGACTCGGCGCCGCCGAAACATTGTGGTGTTCTCCTCACAGGCGCGACAAACCGAGGCTGGCTGAGAGTGAGTGTCTGGGGTCAACGCCTCCGTCGTACTGAGAACATGTACGTTGATCGAGTGGCGCGGCACTAAGACGAAGCGCCATCCAAACGACGCCACCAGCAAGAACAAGCAAGCAACGTAACGTAACGTAACCGTGGGCAGGCTGATATCAAGACGAGACATGCGGTCGTGAGCATTGGAAGAATCATTCTTTTATATAAACATGTTCAAAACGCCAAGCGCAGGAAGCGGCACAATCAGAAACGACACGCCTGTATATCAAACGTAGGTAATAAGTAGACGGAGTGCACCACAGCCCATTTCGCATTCCGGGATAAGCATAATGTAAGACAGCCCCCAACTCCAGTTACGTATCTACATGCGAGATGATGACCCTATCGATGAATCTAAACAACACCGCAAACCATAGGCCTCCCAAAATAGCCATTACATAACGCTGCAGTTGCTTCCGAAATTGAATCCATATCCCTGCTGGCACTGTTCCAGGTACCCAGCGTCCTCCGCCGATCCCTCGGGGCCGTTGTACTTTCGCACGAGGCCAGAGATCTTAGCCGTCTGCTCGCCCTCCAAATGCCACCACTTGAGCCTCTGGACTGTCGTCCCCTCATCGTCGTCTGTGCTAAGCTCCCACTTGCCCGAGGACACCACCACCTCGCATTGGTCCTTCGGGAAGTGGAACTCGGGGAGGAATACGATCGTAGGTGTCTCCTCTGGTGCCGCCTTGGGCGCGGACAGTTTTAGTTCAAATGTACACTGTTTGAGGTTGAAGCCAGACGATATGAGATTGCCATAAACGACGGTGGGAGTCGGTCGGACGTATGCCTCAGCAGCACGATATCCCGGCGCGTTGGTCAGCTCTGGGTCTTTCGCCGACGGCTCAGAGCTAATGGAAGGGGCTTCGAGCGTTTTCTTCAGGTTATTTGGCGTGATGCTTCTGTCATCTGTCACGTCTCTTGCAGTAGTTGAAGACGTCTTGGCAAGATTCGTGGTGGATTGGGAGAAATCCGGAACGGGTGACTCGGGTAGTAGCTTGTCGTCCAGTGAGACGATTGAAAGATCTTCGCCGTTCCATTGATCTCCACGTGCGTGGTCATTTCTAGCGGCATACACCCACAAGCATGCTCCGTCCATTCCGGATCCCTCAAAGGCAAAATAGTTTGCATCCAGCGCGGCAGACTGGCTCGTGTAGTCGCCCGTCTTGTAAGCCTTCTTTTCATCCATGTCATATGGAATTCCAAATTCGGTCAACACGCAGGGGTGATTTCCCATTCGGTCGAGGCCCTCCTGTCGCAGGGTCTTGAGCTGGTCTCTCAAACAGTTTCGGATCGCCGTCTCGCCAATTCGAATAGCCAGCGCGGGGTGGAGATATTTTCCACGCAGCACACCGACGACGTCCACATTCCAGGTGCTGTTCCAGTGCTTCGTCATCAGGGTGATACCATCATAGTAGTGAGGAGTAAACGCCATGTTCGGGTCGTCATCTTCAGTCCCCTTAATTTGAGGCGGCAGTTCCAGGGTGGGAAACTGCATCAACATGATGCAGTCCTTGTGAGACGCTCGGCAAATTTGAACGTATTTGCGCCATGCCTCCATAAAGTAGGTGTTGGTGAATTCTGGGTAGTCAATGGTCTTGCCAGTCGTTGGGTTCTTCGCAAAATAATCCTTTCGGAGGAGGGTATCCGTCTCGGGGTCCCAGACACCATGCTGAGCCCAGACGCACTCTCCCAGCTTCCAGCCAGGGTCGCGCTTCCATCCGTACCTTGAGTCATCGTAATCGACTGGTAGCCAAGCAATCTCGCCGTGAGGATCAACGAGTTGAGTTCCACTCTTATAGGGACCCAGCCCACCCATCTCCCATGTATCAACTTCGCAAGCCCGTCCCATGCCGGTCAAGAAAGTCTGCCACATGGTGGGGCACGTTCCCTTCTTCAAAGGGTGCTCTTTGGGGATCACCTTAAGGTCCGCATAGCCAATCATTCCCCGGTTTGGCTCGTTCATGCTCTCCCAACCGATAACGACGTCATTTTCGAGATCGCCTGCCTCGTGTATTCGCCTGCCAAGATAGCCACAAGCCGCCATGAAATGGCCCTGCAGGTAATCCTGAATGTTGAGTCCGTCGATGATGCACTTTGGCGCAAAGTCCTTTCCGCCAAAGTACATGGTGAAGATGGTGCCGGCCGCGAGTCGGTAGTAGTTGGTCGACCAGATCATCTTGGGGAACTCGTCGGGGTTGGGATATGTGTTCTGAACGATGGCCGCCTCGGTGGCGGCGAAGCTCTGGGGGTTGAGACCACAGGCGTAGATAGTCCACAACGGAGCTCCGGAGCCTCCAGTGAAACGGGACCAGACATCTTGATGCGGATCCATGAATATATAGAAGCCAAACTCTTTGGCTATTCGCAGAATGTCGATCGTGTGTTGGATGAACTCTTCGTCGTACTTGCCGGGGCCGGCCGCCTCGATAGCCTCCCAGGTAAAGATGTAACGGATCGTGTTGAAGCCAAATCGTTTGATGCGCGCAAAGTGCATGCGCGCATCTTCCTTGGGGAACGGACGCTGGTGGAAGCTGACATTGTCGCCGTCGAAGAAGTCGGTGCCGACATACGACGGCTGGTCGGGTTCGCTGGGGAGCTTGGCATCGGCGGCGATGTTGATGCCCCGGAGGACGACCTGGCGGCCGTGGCCATCGCGGAACTGGCCGTCCTCGATAATCAGGCGAAAGGAAGACATGGCTTTCCCTGATTCCGTCCGTCTATATCGAACGAGAGTGGGAGGCGCTCGAAATAGAGGTGAAGCCGTGAAGGGGGGAAATTGGAGCGAGGCCAGGTCAGCAGGGGTCGTGGCGGCCGATGACGTTCAGGGCTCCTTTACGCGGTAACTAAACAGCGGAGCCAACGGGTTAGGGCGTTAGTCATCCCAAGACATATCTTGTCAACGCAGAAAGAGGATGGTTTAATTGCTAGATCCCTCGATCTTTAAAAGAAGCATGTGGCGGCGCATCGGCTCAACTCTCTGCGCCGCGAATCCGCCCAATGCCTATTTCATCCATAGAGACCGTCTGGATGGCATTAAGTGACGACCCAGCCTGCAGGTTCCCCCGCCTCATGGACACCGTATATTGTCCAGCCGAACATCAGCCGACTGCGGTCCGTAATTCCGATCGTGGCGGGCAGCGTCATGGATGCATGGCGAGCGCGGCTGAGGGCGGCAAGCAGACGTCATCTTCATTGGGGAATATCTCTCGACAGATCAGCCACGCTCTTATTAGTCGTCGCTGTAGAAAGCGTGCGCGTCGTTGTTCTCAATGCCTTAATCGAGAGGAGGAGACCGGGTGTATTCCAGCCATCAATCTGGCGAAGAAGAATTCGAGTGGTACGAATACACGCCACCGGTACTCCACACCGGACTCTCGGACTCGAGAATACGAAGCTGGTTCATACCGGGACCCGAGACCCCGAGGACGCGAACCATCAAGCAAATCTCTCCATTGAAGTCAGCATTTTTTACTTCGAAACCCAAAGCAAGGCAGGCCTGAGGCTTGAATACCACAGAGTACCATATATAGCTCATTGTTTCTCAGCATGATGGCGGGGGGCGCACTGGCGGAACGCGTCGTCAGCTCGATAGAATCGTTGGCTCTTGGCGGCCGTTGTCGCAAATGTCCGCCGCTCGGTGTATTCGTAGTGCTCTTCCAGTTCAGGGTTAGTGTCCTCGCCGCTCTGCTTATCTCAAAGCTAACCTCACGTAAGAACGGATGAGCAACGAGTCCATCGCATCGTCAGATCTCCCTCGTTGGGGGCCTTTGGTGAGATTTCGCAACGGAGCTGGGGAGAACATGGCCAGAGGTTTTCTCCCGGAGAAAAGGCCATCTAGTTGCCATGCCCCGAGGCAAGGCGGGAACGGCATCTTTAAAAGCGGCATTAATTAAGGAGTCTGTTTTCGCGTCGCCTTGGCGAAAATTGGCCATAGTTTTCGCACCCCATAATGCGAAAACCCCCATGGATGGCCCGTAACATCCGCTTACCTAGCACTTTCCAACCTCAACCTTTCCTCCTTCAAACAAGTCTCCGACACCCTCCACAAAAAATATCTCGGCCTGCGTGTACTGCGTACATGGAGAGCTGCTTCGAGCGCCGACGCAGCCATTATTGCATCCCATAGGTCGGTTGGCGGTTGCTTCCAACTCTACTTCTTCGCAATCTCCTCCCACATCCCGAACCCTAGCTCCACACCCACGTCTCTCATATCCGAGGCGTTACTGTCGTGTGCCGTGACTGGACTAACAGACAGGCAGCTGAGAATCCCCTGCAATTTCCCCAGAGCGTTTGCCGTCTTCTGATCGCCATCTGCACTTTTTGGGACTCTCGCGGCGCCATAGGAGCTGGAAATTGGCTGTCTGAGGTCTCAGCCCGTGTGGGGCCGCAGAGGTGAATCCCTCCGGCGCTTCCGCCCGGTGAAGCCGTAGACGTCTCCCGGCTCTTCGGAAGCTCCAACGGTCTCAAAACAGAGCATCAGGTGGTCGACAGCGGCTTGGGTAGCATCAATCTACTGCAGTCCAGCCGGCCTTGATATCATCGGACATCGGCCGGCATCCACGCGCTCGTCGGAGTCCAGGACGATGACGCCGCCGCAGCAGCCACCAGAGAGCCCGGTTCCCGGAAGGGTCTCAAAGCTGGCCAGGAGACCGCATCGCAAGTCTAGAAACGGCTGCTTCAATTGCAAGAGGCGGAAAGTAAAGGTAGCTTCCCCTGACTGTTTCGCGCGTCTTTGCGCCGTCGCTAACTGCCCCAGTGTGACGAGGTGAAGCCTGCCTGCTCGAACTGCATCCGCTTCGGCATTCCCTGTGATTTTGCGCCACCGCCTCCGCCTCCGTCCAACAAGGACCCGGCGCCGAAGGCAGTAGCTGTAGAATTTGTTGCCAATCAAGCAGGAGAGCTGTCTACTGCCCCGCGCCGGGGTCCGGGTCGGCCACGCAAGGATTGGGCAGCTCTAGCGAAGCCGCTTCCGCAGCCCACGGAGAGAACCGGATCATCGCCCGTCTCGAACGTCACCACGCCGGCGTCAACTTCAACCGTCTCGGAGCCAATAGTCTGCTCCTTCAATGTCGCTGACGCTGAGCTGCTTCTCTATTTTGTTACTCACACGGCCTCTAGCCTTCACGATTCCGAGGAGGCAGACTCCAGCATTGGTCGGTTCTGGGAACGAAACGTCCCCCAGATTGGTCTTTCCTATCATTTCGTCCTTCACCTTTCTTATGCGTTGGCTGGATATCATTTGGCCTTTTCAGAAACTGGCAACAGTGATCGGCATGCCCAGTATCTCGCCCTTGCTCGACACCACTCAGAAACTGGCTTGGCCGAGCTGAACAAAACGTTACCAAGCCTTGACGAAACCAATTGTGGCGCACTCTATGTCTCCGCAGTGCTCGTATGCTACTGTGCCTTTGCTGCAGGCCCGACAGGCGCCACCGATCTTCTCGTCTGCAACGTCGACGACAGCGCACCACAGCGTTGGCTGCCCTTGATCCACGGCGTGCGATTGATCCGACAGACAGTCGAGCCGGCCACCCTCTTCACTGGCCTTATGGAGCCCCTCGGAGGCTCACCGGACCGAGACGAAGATCACCGACCCATGTATCTTATCGGGGGATTTCCTCATGTTGAATGGGTTGAGCCAGTCGAAAAGCTGCAAAAGTGGATAGAATCCTACGACACCCCTGATACAATCATCTATGTGCGAGCTCTCTCGTCATTGACGGAAATATACGAAGCCAACTACGGCGGCAAAAGTGGCATCCCCGGTGGCGCCACACACAATAAGTTCGTGTTTGGGTGGCTATATCGTATGCATGACCTCTTTGTCGCCTGTCTTCAGCGGAAAGAGCCACAGGCGCTGCTGATAATGGCCTATTACGTTCCTCTGTTGCGAACCCTTAAGAAATGTTGGTTCATTGACGGCTGGTCAAAACATCTACTCGGCACAATACGAGGAATGCTTAACCAAGATGTGTTGGGCTGGCTTGAATGGCCCGTTCAAATAGCGTTGCAGCGGCCGTGAAGTTAGGCCCTGGTCGCTCAATTAACGATGCTAGGAAATAACGAACTAGATCAGACTTTGTTGAAACGTCAATATCTTGTCTCAACAACATTGCTTGTTTAGTCTCCACGATTCAGCCGGTTTGAGTCCACTCAGTTTGGGTTTGATGCCTCGATCTGCCAGATGATGCGAGTTACACGCCCTTCCATTGGCTTCCTACACCTTTTCGTATGGCGGCGGCTGTTCCTCGGGGGTCTTTACTTCCTCTGAAGTAAAGGCTTCTGATCGCTCTGACGTCTGGGGCTCCTTTTGCTTCACCAATTGTTGCCGAGCACCACAACATAAACACACCTCCACTGCCGACGCAAACCATAACGCCATATTCAAAGCGTCAATGCCCACTGCAGCACTGACCCTGCCTGTTGAATACGGTCCCTCGGGGGCCTTGTTTCCGGAGAGAAATTGGCTGAATATGGCAACAACGACGAGCCAGAGCAGGAACACCACACTGTCCCAGATCGCCGAGGCCGTGCGAGGGAGTGCAAGCCACCATTGGGCAATGCAGGTGAACACAGATACCACGGAGACGAACTCGGCATAGATCCAGTTAGGATTGGCGTGGGTGTTGGTGCCAGACCAGTTGGCAAGGTCAACTGCATATAGAGCGGCGCTGATGCAGGAAAATAGGAACTGGGCGCTGCGAAGTGCGATTTGAGCGACGGCGCGAGGGTGCCATTCGCGGGCCATGGTGATGTTGATGGAGATGCCTAGGACGTAGACTTGGTTGGGATAAGTGTGGTGTTGCTGATTTACGTTTCGTACGGCGTTTGGTTACGGAGGAGTAAGAGAGAGGAAATCCATAGAGGATGGGCATCACGGGTATATAGCCCTGAGTGAACGGTTCGCCCTGGAGTGCTTTGATTAGACTAGTTCAATGACACGCAAGCAGCATGCTCCAAAGCATCCTATTCTCGTCCACGCCCCTCTTCATGGTCCAACGAGATGTCCGTCTTTCCGAAAATCAAGGATGATATACGAAAATCGGTTTCGGCCCCACTTGAACAGCGCCGGTGTGGGTCGCGGCGGTTCGGGTTTCAACTTCAAGTCACTGCGACGTCACCCTTGACGGGGGCTAAGAGCGTATACGATAATGTCTTTTGGCGCATATCTATGACGTTAGAGGGGAGACGGATTTAGCCACAGCTCCCATGAGTAGATCGGACGGGGGGTAACAAATTGCATAAGTAGCCTCTACAGCCTAAATCGGGTATGCCCAATTGCCCAGTTCTGAGAGCCTTCAGCAAATTAATCCTGCAATGCCTAAAACTCTGTGTGTGTTTTGGCTGTTTTTTATGCGAGAAGATAAACTCGAGGACCCAGGGCTAATATGGTAAAACCTCAGCTTTTGAGTTTGTGTTTTATTCCCTCCGCATGCTAACTTCTAGAACCTGGGTCGAAAGATTCCTACGCCACGTAGATCAGGCCGCTGATCGCCTCATAAGCACCGATCATCCACACCACAGCCAAGTGTGTTAGTTGCCACACCCAAAACGGGGCTTGGCCCATATGTCGTACAGCTTGCAGTTCTGCTCATCCAATGTATGCCGAGATGCAGTACGCTTTAAGGCTGAGGGAGGGTGGAGGTCGTATGGAGCCAGACGCTTTGTTGCGCTTGAAAATGACAATGACGTCTGCAAAACGGCCATAGCACATGAGGGCAGTCTCACTTACAGAAATAACTGAAGGTCGTCCTTTGCCGTTTCCTGCTGGCTTCGGGGTTTCTTGGTCACCCACTCCTGCAAACCCGGGAATAATCTGAGGAGCATCCACCATGCCCTACACATAGCACAACCCCGATTCGGTAAAAGAACATCACCGGCCTCAATGTTCTAGCATTCATCTTAGTCTTCCTCCTTATCGAGGAGACCAAAAAGCGAAACCTTGAAGACTTGGATCTCATCTTTGCCGTATCAAAGCGCCGCTTCATTAGCTTCCAGGTCATGACGTATCTACCATAGGTGTTCCGTCGGTACGTCCTTCGGAAGGGAGAGCTGGAGCCTTGTTCTATCATGATTTGATTAGGGATCCAACAAGACCTGGTGACAATAGACCAAGATAGGGGGCGAAGTAATGGGAAACTTTGAAGATCTCCCAGAAGTAGAGGATCTAGAGTCTGCAGATAGTGAGCAGGTTCTCCGCTCGGATCTTGTGGGGAGGGCTCGGGCACGTAATGGAACTGAGGCAGCTAAGAAAAAGAAACCTGCAGAGCTTGACTCTACTAGTTTGGTAGAACTTGACACAACGGGGCCGAAACAACAGTGATGTGAAGGCAGATAATGGACTGTTCCATTTACTTCTTATCTCTTGGGCCGAGATGGAGAGAAACATGATATCACTGGTACATTTCTCATTCTTGCAGTTCTGTTCATTGCGTCTGTGAAAATCACACATCCACTACTATTCCAGCTCGGTCCTTTGAAGACTTGCACGAGTTCATGCATTAGACTCAGATTGTCTCAAAAACGGTCACGGTTGCGAGCGAGCGTACAGAAGCCCACGATCTATAGACTGAAAATAATAAATTAACCCTAATAAAAATAAGATTTTTAGCCAAATAATACAAAATTTTAATTGAACAGCAGGCTGCAAGTTTTCCGGATGAGGCACCTGGAAGGCTTTGCGAAAGTCCCTACCCTAGACTCTTACCGGAAACAGGCCTCAGATTACAAGGGCCATCATACTGCGTCCGTTCTACTACATTGAGAGATGCGACTTTCCCCACTTCCTTGGGACTTCGGCACCAAATATATTTCACAAATATGAGCCAACACGTTTAAGAAATTTTGAGGAGACTGTGTGATAGAATTCCGATTTCCCAAATTTTGAATGACGGGCTTTGCGATGGAGCTGCTAGGCTTGCAATGTGCATGATGTTGATGCAATGAGGTGCAGCGGGAAATCCTCGGCTAGTCTAGGAATGACACAAACCACAGCACACAGCGGGAGCCTGGATGGAGCATCTACAAATCACAACCCGGTCAGCCAAACCACTGCCCATCTAGGAACTCCTGGAGCTTTGCGGACATGATCAGTTTTACAAGTCGACCACGTATTACTTGAAACCCGTCCCTTTTCCCCCTGTCGAGACTGTCTACTGCTGCGACTGAGCGCGCTGTCCCGAGTGTGGTGGGGTTTCGCTTGCAGGCCTCAGTGTGAGCACTATGTCAGGGTCCAAGGCGGCTCTCAAGGCCATCAACGATGCCATCCGACAGCAAAAGTTTGACGATGCCGTTGCCCAGGCCCAGGAATTCATAAAGAAGGAGTCCAAGAACTACCAAGGGTATCGTAGCCCGGACGAACAGCTTCGAGGATCCCACAGCTGACCATCGCAGGCACATCTTCCTTGCATTTGCGTTGGACAAGAAGGGCAACCTTGAAGAGGCCGAAAATATCTATCGTTCTGCCACATCGCTTCGTCCCAAGGAGGCTCAGGCTTGGCAAGGCCTGATCAAGCTTTTTGAGAAGCAGTCTGCTAAGAAACTCAACGAATATCAGCAAGCTGTTGTGAGTCTCGCTCAGATTTACCATGATGCTGAAGACATGTACAAGTCTCAAGACATTGTCATCAAATTTGTGGATTTCGCTCGGGTCCACGGCGACCAACTGCAGTACGCTGATGCCCTCTGGATCCAACTTCCAGAGAGTCCTCTGTACAACATCCTGGAGGGTCGGTTCCCGCCTCCTTCAAAAACATACGAGAGCATTGCGCACATAATCGAGTCGTTTGAGAAGAAGCGCATCAACACTCTCATTGGCGAACGTCGAACTAGGCTGGGTGCTAAGCTGGGTGAGGTGACCTTGGAGGTGAAGCGAGAGGTTTATCGTCAGAGCAAACTGGAACACATTTATCGACAACTCATTAATTGGACAAGCGACGACGACCTCAGGAGGACCTATGAGGAGAAGCTCATTCAGCTTTGCTACGAGCGTCTCCTGGTCGCCCCGGCAGGAGATGAAAAGAATCAGGAGCGTCAAAAGACTCTTGATCTGGCCAACGGCATGGTCACCATCAAACACCCCTTCAAGCCCGCTTGGGATATCGCCATAGAATGGCAAGATAACAAGGAGATCAAAGAGTGGGACGCGGATGTCCTCAGAAGCTACTGCACCTTTTTTCCAGAGAGCGACCTGTACAAGGTCATTACGAGCTTTTTGACCAGTCCCATCTCACCATTTCCTGCCCCAAAACCATCAGAAAAAGCTCCGTCTCTTTCGGGCGGCTCTGATGACAGCGAGGATGATGAGGACGGTGGAGTGCCCACCTTGGTCGTTCCCTTGACGGACGAAGACCGCCTCGTGATGATGACGGAGGGTATCACTACTGCCGATTCCCTATTTGCTTACAGACTAGTTGCTCCATACTTTCTTCACCTTGGAGAGTACGAAAGTACCGTCGAGTTGATGCGCAAAGCATTGAGCCTTGTGACCAAGGAGCGCAAGAAGACAGGGATCGCCCATGTGAATACGGAAGATGCATACTTCCTGTCGCTCGGTACTGCTCTGGTATACTATCAGTCACCGCGACATCACCAAGAGGCAAAGAACCTTTTCGACAAGGTCCTCGAGCGTGATACCACATCGACCTCTGCCTTGATCGGTGTTGGTCTCATCTATGAAGAAGAGGAGGAGTATGACCAGGCCATCGAGTTTCTCACCCGTGCTCTTCAGCGCGATGACACCAATATTCGAGTCAAATCGGAAGCTGCATGGGTCAAGGCGCTTAAGGGCGATTGGCAAATAGCCAAGGAAGAACTCCTGGAGTGTCTGCCGCCTCTTGAGAAGCAGGGAGCTGCCTCTAAAGAGCTGTTGGGAGAAATCCAGTATCGCCTTGGCGTTTGCGTCTGGAATATCGATACCAGTCGGGCAGCAAGGAAACAGCGCAAGGGAGAATGCGCGTATTCATTCTGGCTGAGCGCCCTGAATAACCATATTAATTACGCGCCTACCTACACCAACCTCGGCGTCTTTTATGCCGACTATGCCAAAGACAAGAAGCGATCACGTCGATGTTTCCAAAAGGCACTAGAGCTGTCTCCTGCCGAAGTGGTTGCTGCCGAGCGCTTGGCACGCTCCTTTGCCGATGATGGAGATTGGGATCGGGTTGAGCTTGTGGCTCGCCGCATTGTTGACTCCGGAAAAGTCAAGCCACCTCCTGGATCTAAGAGAAAGGGAATTAGCTGGCCGTTCGCAGCATTGGGCGTTGCCGAGCTAAACAAGCAAGACTTCCACAAAGCAATTGTGTCGTTCCAGGCGGCGCTGCGTATTTCTCCCGAGGACTACCACTCTTGGGTTGGACTTGGAGAAAGCTACCACAGCTCTGGCCGACACGTCGCCGCGACGAAGGCTATTCTCAACGCCCAGAAGCTCGAGGAGAATATCAAAACAGATATCTCAGATGACATGTGGTTCACTAAGTACATGCTTGCTAATGTCAAGCGCGAGCTGGCCGACTTTGACGACTCCATCTCTCTGTACAAGGCTGTTCTGGAGACCCATCCAGATGAAGAAGGTGTCATTATTGCTCTTATGCAGACCATGGTGGACAATGCTCTCACGTCGATTGAGAAGGGGCTATTCGGCAAGGCAGTACACCTCGCTATTGATGCCATCGAATTTGCTACCAAGGCGACTGGCAACGTCCTCGAGACTTTCAACTTCTGGAAGACGGTAGCGGATGCATGCTCCGTTTTCTCATCGGTTCAGAGCCGCACGGCGGACCTTCCGACACAATCCATCAGGACCCTCTTGGAAAATAGCCCGCAGGAGGCCTATGAGATCCTCTCAGAGGTCGATAATGTCGGCACCAACGTCGTGTTTGCCAAGGGTCTTTACGCAGACGATGAGCAACCTGGAGTCGACCTCACCCGATGCATCCACGCTACGATTTTGTGCCATAAACAGGCCATTCACATTTCCACTCGCGATCGACACGCTCAAGCCGTTGCATACTACAACCTTGGATGGGCCGAATACCGTGCCCACATCTGTCTCCCCACCAATCTTCGCAAGAAATCTAGCAGGTACATTAAGACAGCTGTACGATCATTCAAGCGGGCAATTGAATTGGAGGCTGGAAACTCGGAGTTCTGGAACTCACTGGGCGTGGTAACGAGTGAAATTAGCCCATCGGTTTCACAGCACGCATTCTCAAGAAGCCTCTACCTCAACGAGAGGAGCCCGGTGGCATGGACGAACCTAGGCACTCTGGCGCTGTTGTCAGGGGATGTGAAGTTGGCCAACGAAGTATACACGAGGTCGCAATCTACTGACCCTGAGTACGCACACGCATGGCTTGGCCAAGCATTCGTCGCCTTGTTGCATGGAGATGCGAAGGAGGCGAGGGGCCTCTTTACGCACGCCATGGAGATCTCAGAGTCGTCTTCTGTCCCTACTCGTCGCCATTACTCGACTTCCATGTTCGACTACATCCTCAAGGTGCCGTCCAACAATCTCACCGTCGCAGCCTTCATCCAACCACTCTTCGCGCTCAACCAGCTCCAAAGTCTTAAGCCTGAAGATTTGGCTTTTGGTCACTTATCGACACTTTACCAAGAGCGGACTCATGAGAGCTCCCGGGCTGTTGAGACGCTCGAGAAAATTTCTGCTGCCCTCGAGGAGGATTACGAGAGGACAGAGTCGTCCGACAGCCTGGCAAGGTTTGCACTGGCCAAGACTGACTTGGCGAGAGCGTATCTCGCATCAGGCTCCTACGAGAAGGCAGTCGAGTGTGGAGAATTGGCGCTGGGTCTCAGCAGCGAGGAGGCTGAGAATGAGCTTACGAGCGAGCAGCGCAGAAAGGCCCGACTCTCTGCCCACTTGACAGTCGGCCTCGCGCAGTACTTTGGTAACGAATTTGAGGACGCCATCAAGCGTTTCGAGGAGGCATTGGCTGAGTCATCTGGCAACCCTGATGCGATCTGCTTGTTGGCTCAGGTTCTATGGGCTGAAGGGTCCGAGCCATCTAGAGATAGGGCCCGTGAAGGACTCTTTGGGGTCATTGAGGAGCACCCCGACCATGTCCAATCCGTTCTTCTCCTGGGCGTCATTGCTCTGCTCGACAACGACGAAGACAGCTTGGAAGCCGTGGTTGAAGAGCTACAGGGACTCCGTACCAATGACAAGGTGACGGCCGCGGAGCAGTCGCACATTGGCGAGGTGCTCCGGGCGATTTCCACGCTTGGAGAGGGCCGCACAGAAGAGGACGCGAGGACCCAGATGCAGACAGACATCATGCTGTATCCCAACCTGCCGCACGGATGGTCAGCGCTCGCAGAGACGACGGGCGACGAACACGCGGCCCAGATGGCGCTCAAGGTAGCCATCAGGGGCATTCCTCCACGGGGGCTTTTGGACGCCCAGGATTTGGCCAAGGCGTATGCTGGCACGCAGACGGCGGGAGACGCACAGAGAGCGGCGTTCCTGGCACCGTGGGAGCAGTGTGGATGGAAGACGTTGGAGACTGCTACACAGGATATTTAGATGGCATCTGTTGGATGATGTTACGAGGCCATGACTATTTCAAGAGGATAGACCAGCCGGATATGAAAAATAGTCTTGTAAGATGGCGTTTTTGCTGTAAGCCGCCATGTATATGAAAACTATCAATGATGAAAATAGGGGTATCACTCTATAAACGCTGCACCTCCCAAGTCTCCAAAATCCTATCCTCTCACGAGCGATGCGTCTCGTCTTGGTTGACGGTCTCGCGAAGTCTCGCCAACCTCCCATCCATCCACACCCTCTGCCAGGCCTCGACCTTGCCACCCAACATGACGCACTTGTCTGGTTCTAGCAATATCGTTCCGCGTGCTATCACTGTGCCGGCCTTTAGGAGCAGCTTCTCGCCCATCTGGGTCTTGCCAACACCAATGCTATCCATGCGTTTTAGCTCAATCGCATACACCTTTGTGCCCTTGCAATCCTGCAGCGTGAGCCGGTGCGTTGCGTTCTTGCCGGCGGGACGAATGCCCGTCGAGGTCGGTGTTCGCGTAGATGGCCGCTGCGTCTGCGTCTGCGCACTGCTCTCGCCATTCTCATTGTCGTCCTCGGCGGTGACGCGGATAACCTCCCTCCCGCGCGTCGTCTCCCCGCGCTCCACAGCCTCCAGCTCCTCGATCTGCTCCCAGCGGCTCAGCGAGAGGTTCTCGACGTCGACGACCTGGACGTGCACGGCGCGCGGCAGGCGGAGCTCGCGCGTGGCGGCCGCATCGACGCCCGGCGGAAGGCTCGGCAGAGAGCCCACGCTGAACAGGGACGAGGACGACAGGTCGGCGGCGAGCAGGCGGGCTTTGGCGGTTGCGACCAGCGACGGCAGTGGCGGGGGCGGGGAGCGGGCGGTCGTGAGGGAGTTGAGGAAGGCGGTCGACGGGTAGGGGAGGGATTGGGCGAGGATGGCAGCGCGGAGTTGGCTGGTGAGGTCCATTGCGTTGTGCGGTGCGGAGTCGGCTTGAGCGGGTGTTATTGCGTTGTCATGATGCTGAATCGTGGTGTTGACAAGACAGAAAACAGATGAACCAGAGGCGGAGCTCAGAGCTTCAGGTGGGCTTGAGCTCCCATGTGAAAGTCGCACAGTGGGGTAACAGCTCTCAGCCTCGCTGAGCCATGACGTTTCCAGGCGGCTGAAAACGGGGCCGATCCCCTAAAAGGCAAATTTAATGACCCCACGCCCCCTGCGTCCCCTGCAGCTCCAGGGGGATGGCCACTAACGCAGTCGTACCGTGTCACCTTAGCCTTGCTGACGGCCTCCGGGAACACAGTAAACCACCAAACCACCAAGGAAAGCATCACCAACCGTCTCTTTACCCTCCCTGTCTTCTTCCTCTCCTCCTCCTCTCCTTCTTCTTCTTCTTTGTCTCTCCTTTCATACCCTTTACAATGTCAACCATCGCCTCTCCCCGCGAACCCCCGCGGCGCACGCCCAACTCCTCCACGCGCCCATCCCTCGAAATCTCCCGTTCCGCCGTCGCCTCGCCCGTCCTCGGCCAATCCTCCTCGGCGTCCTTTCCGACGTCCCCCGCGCTCGGCGCCCAGCAGCTGCAACAGCCGGTCCCGAAGCGGGCCAACCGCGCCGCCCTCCGCGAATACTACAACCTGCGGGCCTCGGCGCCGCGCATTGACTTGCCGGACTCCGAGGTGCCGACCAGCGACATCGACGCCGAGGACTTTGACGCCGAGGATTATGTTACCAAGGTGGCAACGCGGAGCAGCCTGGAGGAGCTGCTGCGGCTGTACACGCGGGTTGTGGGCGAGGTTCGCGCGCTAGATGCCGAGAAGAAGGCTCTCGTGTACGACAACTACAGCAAGCTGATTACGGCGACGGAGACGATTCGCAAGGTACGCTGGCTGCCCACATGTCATGATTCCATCATAGGCTAATCAGGATATCCATGACAGATGCGAGCAAACATGGACCCCCTGAACCCCATGGCCTCAACCCTCGATCCCGCCATCGCCCAAATCTACACCCAAGCCTCGTCCATCCGCGAAGCCCTCCGAGCGTCGGTCCCCCCGCCAGACTCAGAGCAAGGCAAGAAGCGCGATGCGGAGCTGCGCAAGCAACGCACACGGGAGCTAGCCGCCGAGGTGCTCGGGATGCCGGAGCGGCTTCGGAACCTGGTCAAGGAGGGCAAGCTCGAGCAGGCGCGCAAAGACTGGGAGATGCCGCGGCGGTTGCTGGTGGCATGGAAGGAGAAGGGCGTCGGCGGCCATGATGTCGAGGAGTGTCTGGAAGAGGGCGATGAAGCGTTACGGAAGGAGGAGAGTATTGCGAGCGCAGTGAGTGAACGATCGTCAACAGATACACGCGTGTCCAAGGACGGGAGATTGTCCAAAGACGGGCGGTTGTCCAAGGATGGACGATTATCCAAGGACGGGCGAATGTCCAAGGATGGACGGTAATGCACAAACAGATAGAGATACCCAATGTTGCCAATGCTCTCCAATGCTCTCCAATGCTCTCCAATGCTCTCCTTTTGCTCTCCTTTTGCTCTCCTTTTGCTCCCTGTCTATGATGCAGGAAATCCAACCTCAACTCCAGAATTTGGCCTCTACACCAAGATACGTCGCTCCACGACTACTCCTCACGCCAATCTCGTTGCTTGTACAACACTACAATTCCTGCACATCCAAGATGGTAAACGGGTCCTTGTCATACTCGCTCAACAGCACCTCCGCATCAGGCACACTTGCCCTCAGCTGCTCCTCCAGCTTAGGCTTCAGCACGTCCTTGAGGTAGCCGCGCTCCGAGTTGCTGTGGAAGACCTGCACGAGCGTGCGGCCCTGCTGGATGGCACGCAGCGCCGAGTGGTGGCTCGTCTCGCCGGTGACGATGAGGTCGACGTCGGCGTTTTTGAGAACGTCGTAGCCGCTGCCGGCACACACGCCGAAGCTCTTGACCTTGGTCGTCTTGACATCGGAGCCAACTGGGCTGGCAATCATGACATGGCGCAGACCGCCGAGCTTGTCGGCCAGGCGCAGAATAACCTCGCGCAGGGACACGGCCTGGTCGAAGTGTCCGATGGCACCGTAGCCGGCGGGGGAGTGCGAGGGTGGCGCGGTGCTGCAGGGAATGGCGACAGAACGCTCGCTCTTGTGCGGGCCGGAGACGATGTCAGCGAGCCACGTGTTGAGGCCGTCGGGGGCGGCGTCGACAGCCGTGTGAGGGCAGTAGACAGCGATGCCAGCCTTTGCGAGGTGCAAAAGAGTAGCTTGCTGAGGGTCCTTGTTGGTGATGGACTTGAGGCCGCTGAAAATGAAGGGGTCTACATAGCGTGTTAAATACTTGACGTCGTCCTAGGTTATCACGAATACTTACGGTAGCTGACAATAACGCTGGCGCCCTGGCCAATAGCATCAACGGCGACCTGGAAGGTCAGGTCGTTGGTTACTAGGACTCTGGGTTTCTTCTTTTGAGAATCAGTGTCCGAATTGCCCACCAGCAAACCAACGTTATCCCACTTCTTGTCGGCCAGCTCCTCGGGATACCTGTTCCAATTTAGCACGGCAAGTCTTCGGAATACGAAGTATAAGACAAAAAAACCCTACAGCTTCTGCATCGACTCCACAACGACCTTGGTAAAGGCCGAGGGCTCAACCTGCCAGGCTCCCCAAGCTCCGACGTCAGCCATGTTGGTGGTGCTAGGCGATTGGGACTCCGTATTTGGTGGGAAAGGCGGGAGAGGGCGGCAGGAAGAACAAGATCTTGTAACTACCACGGGCGGGTTGGCGTAGATGTGAGGGGGGATGAATCCTGTCGTTGAACGAGTCGAGTATCCGGCTCCTCTTAAGCTGACGGATAAATATGCAAGCAGTGTTTGGTTCCTCCGCAAAGCGCCGCCCTGCATGTCAGGAAGGAAACCACAGTTAGATTCGAAGTTGGAATCGCCGTTGAGAGAAGCTGCGGACCAATGATTTCAGGATGTTGTGAAGCGGTTGCTTGTAAGTTGACCGTTGTTTGACAAAGCTCCGTGTCTAAAAGCTAAGCTCCCTCCTCCAGTGAGGAGCAAGTCGAAAAGCACCCATGAGCTCATACCGTGTCAATTGCGCTACTCTCACACTGTCCCGTCCTCCCACCTTCAGTTGCCGACATTGCCCCACGGCGGTTGATATCTAATCAATCCCATCGCCGGTGCCCTTCCGAAGTCCAACTCTTTCTTCTCTGCCAACCCACTCTCAAACCCGCTCGCTCTCGCCTCTGAAGACTGCAACCATGGCGCAAATCTCCGAAGAAAGCATGCGCGAGGCCATCACCGAGCGCCTCGGAGCCGTCCACGTTACCGTCACAGACATGTCCGGTATGTTTCTTCCGCTGCGGCGGCATCCCGCCAGAACGACCCCTCCAAAAACCCCGTCAACCCGCGAAGACGGCGGCACGAGACCCAACAGGGCGGCAACTAACAGGAAATCAAACTTCAGGCGGCTGCGGTCAGGCCTTCACCTCGGTCATCGTCTCGCCCCAGTTCCAGGGTCTCAACTCGCTCAAGCGCCACCGCCTGGTCAACGCGGCTCTCAAGGACGAGATCGCCGCCATTCACGCCTGGACCGCAAAGTGCCAGACCCCCGACGAGTACGAGCGCGACAAGGCGAAGAAGTCCGAGCTGACAGACATGGTCATGGGATGATGCTTGCACCGGGAAAACACGACGTTGCGACGACGGAGCACATTGCATAGAGAGCGGCCCAGAAAAGAAAGGAAAAGTCGATGCCGAAAATAGGTACACAGACCAAGGATGGATGAGGGACGAAGGTGTAATGGAGATATATCCGTACAGAAGCGGCAATGGGCAGATAAACAATCATGCCGCGGTACACATGGCGAGGGGGCACATATGAGAATTGGGAATTAGGGGCATCTTTATTTTGGCGAGCGTTCAACTCAGAAAAAGGGTTTTGGGTGGTCATCATCTCTTTGCGCCTGTCGCAGTGGCCGGCCATGTGTCAATCATGTTTTCCCACCAGCGCATCTCAGTACTCCGTGTAAGCAGAAACCCCCTGGGGCTTCTTCGGCGCGACGCATCTAGAACAAGCCCAGCAAATCCTCGCTATCCTTCTTCGGTTGCTGCGCCGGCGCTCCGCCCTGCGTCTGCTGGAGCTGCATCGCCGCCGGCAGCGGCTGGCTCGACGAACCTCCAAAGTTCATGCCATCGAATCCGTTCATCAAGTCGTTCATACCGCCGGCAGGAGCCGTGGCCGGAGCTCCAGCCGCCGGTGTTACTGGCGCGTCAAACATGCTCATCATGTCGGCCATGCCACCAGAAGCAGCACCAGCCGCGGGGCTAGCCACACGGTCAGGCGTCGCGGAGGCGCTGTTCTGCTCCTGGGACGCGGGTGCAGCGCCGTCAAAGTCGATGTCGAGGAGGTTCTCGATGTTGTTCTGCGATGCATTGCCAGATCCGTTGATGGCGGCAACAGATGCAGCGATGGGGTTCTCCTCGGCGTTCTGCCTTTGCTCCTGGATGGCAGCGCGCTGGATCTCGTCGGTGCCGAAGCGTCCCTTGCCGACGAACGACTCCGGGGGCTTGTGGTAGACTGAGGCAAGAGTCGAGAGCTCGGTAAGGAGCTGCTCAAGCAGTACAGGGGGTAGGCTAGTCATGGTGGTGGAGATGGTGGGCTTCTCAGACAGCACAATGCTCTGCAGAGTTGAATTAGCGGCTGGGCTCGGGACTGTCTTGGGTTCTCATACCTTGGCAACCTCTGGGTCCGTAGACAGCAGACGCCAGTAAACATACGCTCGGTCGCGGATATCTGGGTTGTCGTTCTCCGACGTCGCTGCTTGGAGCACCTTCTGTACAAGGCCTTGGCTGCTTCCTGGCTTCTTCAGGAACAGCTTCACCACTGCCGTCAATATTTGCAGTTGGGTCTGGTTTTTTTTAGTCAGCGTAGTTCCTTATGATGTCGGGCAAAACCAAAACCAACCTGAGTAAACTCCTCCATGAAGCTCTCCACGAAGCTCTCCAAAATCTCATCCGCGTTATCAATCTTCTCGGCATACTCTCCAACAATCCAGATGAGCGACCCACGAGCGGTGGGCTCGTCTAGCTCGTCAATGTACTGGCAGAGAGTAGGGATCACTCCCTCGTACCCTGGGTATTTCCGCAGAATATCCTTGATGACGACAACGACTTCTTGGACAACATAGTTGACCTTGGTCGAGATCAGGTCTTCAAGCGCTCGGACGCACTTCTCGCTGGCGCTCTCAATCTTGATGGCCACCTGACCAATGGCCTTGACAGCCCTTTTGACGAAATCCATGTCCACCTCCAGGGCGTATTCCTTCAACTCGGCGAGGAGCTGCTCGTAGTTGTTCTCGTTTGCTATTCTCACCATAATCTCAAGCTTTTGGAGCTTCACATATGGAGGGTCGGTGTATTTGCAGAAGAAGACTCGCATCTCCTTGCTAAGGATATCGGGCTTGGCTTGGAGGAGGAGATCAATGTTACGAAGGGCGACGTATTGGACCTCGGGTTGCGATGCTACCAGAGTAACTGCAAATGGTTAGTTACGGGATATCAGGCACCAGGATTCTGGCGGACGTACCTAGAGGAGGAGCCATCTTCTTGAGATACGACCTCACCAAGTCGGGCTTGACAGACTTCATATGGATGAAGACAACCTTGACGGCGGCAAGGACTACACTGGGGTTGACGTGCTGGAACTGGGGCGCCACTCGCTCGCAGATGTGCTCCGACTCCTTCAAGTCCTGGGTCTGGTAGTTGGCCAGAGTCGTCAGAATAGTAACTCGACCCCACTCAGTACACTCGTTGAGGGCCATGAGCAACTTCTTCAGTGTCATGGGGGTGATGATGAGGGCCCTCGTTTCCGGTGCCGTCTCAGTGATCTCGGAAAGGGCCTGGACCGAGTTTGCGACGACCATGGGGTTGGGATCGCCAATCAGCTCCTGCAGCATTTCGAGGAAGCCGTTCTCTATGCACATGGCGGGGTTAAGATCGAACAGCTTGGCGACGCAGATGGCAGCGGTCTTTCGAACGTATGGCGACTCGTCTCGTAATGTCTTCCTCAGGGGTTCCTCCATGTAATCGACCATCTTGTCCACCCTAATACAGCCCATAGTTCGGATCGCCAGAGCTCTTATCAGCGGGTTTGGGTCTTCTGAGTCTTGAACGAAGGTGTTGACGGCGAGGATACAAAGATCGGGGTGAGACTTGGCGTAGTTCCTAATCGGCCGGGTTAGTTACCGTGTCCTTGTCATTATGCTTGTCCTTGTGCTTGTCCTTGCAACGAATGGATATGTCCGGCGATGCAGCCATTCATTCATGAATCAAGCAACCCGATAGGTTCACCTACATCAGATAGAGATAAACCAGCTTCTTTTGGTCGAGGTCGGCCGTGGCAATGTTCTTGAGGACGTCGGGGAACAGAGCTGACACATCCTTGCCCAGCGTCATGGCCATGATGGTCTTCTGGATCGACTCCTTGCGCTCGTACGCATACTGAGAAACCAGACCGGCGCGCAGCTCAAAGGTCTCGCCCTTACGAGGCACGGCAAAGGCGCCGCGAATGCGATTTACCGCCATCGTCGAGGGTCGGCGGGAGCGAGGAGGGGCACGTGGAAAGTTGGTGCGGCAGCAAGCCGGAGGGAAGCTGGAGGGGGAGCTGAGGGAGCGGTGACGGCGGCCGAGGCGTGTTGGTTGTCGCTAGATGGTGCACACGGAGAGTGTCTCAAGCGCAAGAGCCCGCATCCGCCAACAGAGGAGCAGGATCCGGCGATGTGTCGTTGGTACGCGGCGTTGTGGCGAGGGACGAGGTGTAGAAAGGAGAGAGACAGACGCAGCGGCGCTGAAGATGCCAAGGCCACGAGGATAGGTCCAGAGGTCTAGGCCGCCAGCAGTCCATCCGCCACTGAGGGAGTGAGCGGCGCCAGGCTGCCCCCTAACCTTAAATTTCCGCCTGATTGCCGCTACAGTGCAGCGTGGCTTCAATCGCTAACAATTTTGGGGCCCAGGTCTCCATATTCGTCGGCTTAGTCACCACCCGGCCAGTGACAACAGCTTCAACATCAACCATATTCCAGAACCATCACCAGATCATCTCGCCAACCCGGTTGCAGTACAAGATCTCGGCTGGGTGTGCGGGGACTTTTCATCAGGGAAGCCACACAGTCAGTCAGAGAGCCGCACAGGGGGGTGTCGAGGCTCGAATTTTGACTCTGACTTGGCCCAAAATGGTAAGTACTTGTTCTTCATGCATCACTCTCCTTCCATCACCACTGACAGCAATCGAAGGCGAGCTTACCAAACCTCCGCCGCCTCTTCACTGAGGCGAGGACAGTTGACGAGGAGCGGGAGGTATCTCGGAGAGCGGTATGCGAGGCCACTCTGCTTTTCTCGCAGCCATGCTAATGCCAGGCAGTTCTACAATGCTGTACTCTTTATGGGATCCGTTGCCGTCTTCAGTCTGATCGCTCAGAAGCTCAATGCTGGAAAATGAGATGTTGTTTTATCATGTACAGGTACGGCACTTAAACACGCATCGGGGGAGTCTGGCGCCATGGTTTAATGAGGCTTCAACTCCCTCTGATAGACACAATTGATTATTCTTCCTCTTCTGCATCCTGTTCTACCGCTTGGTCCTGGCCAGCCGGTGCTGATACGGCCTTGGCCTCCTGCTTTCTCCAGAGACCAGCCAAGAAATCATTCGTGCTCGCCTCATCTATCCCCTTATCTTCTCGCCTCTTCAAAAACCTCGGGAACCTCATGCTCAGCCCCCGCTCGTCGCTGACCAGTCCAATTGCAGCGGTATACGTCGGACTCAAAGTGATGTCGGCAAACGCCATCTCCCACACCTCTTGCGGCTCAAACCATATATCCGGTGTAGGGCCTGAATATTCCACGAAGCTGGGTTTTTGTGATCGCGTATTCTTTGACTCCCCACTCTCTTGTCCATCGTCGTAAAACTCCTTGTTGGCTTTGTAAAAGGTGTCGGTGAAGCCAGAAATGCATTTGCACACGGCCTCGAGCGATCCTGTCTCTTCGTTTCGAACCGCAAGGAGAATTGGTGACCACCACTTGGCCTTGCGGCCTTGGCCATGCCACCCAGCTATGGGTATCAAGTCGAGTGTATCAAAGCTGGAGCTGTAGTCCTTCTTGACTTTAAGCCACGAGTCAAGTCGCTTATCTGGCTCATATGTCGCGAGTAGAGGTTTCCGTCGCGACTTGGCCTTCTTTTCACCCCCGTCTTCCTCGGTCGACTTGGCTTTTCCTTTGCCTTTTGCTTTGGACTTGGGTAATATTATTTTCTCGGTCGCCTCTGGGGGTTGCTCCTCTGTATCATCCAGGGGTGGTAAAGTTGTCAGATTATCCAGTATTTTGACCATAATGCCTTCGCACTTGCCCTCGGTGGCAGATTTAAAGAACTCCAGCACAATCTCAGAGTCTGCAGAAGTAGCATCAAGACTCTTCACCCATGTGAAGTGGCTAGGGACTTCCGTAAAGAGAGATCGGAGTAACTCTCGTCGCTCCCGGAATGGGCGACCAAGGAGAGGTTGACCGTTCAGATACATCAGGTCAAATGAAAAGAGGCAGACGTTTATCGTGATGGTACCGATGTCGACATCCTTCCTGGCACGGTTGGTCAAAGTTTGGAAGTTCTTCAGTTCCCCGGTGGCACCGTCAACGGCGACCACCTCGCCTTCCATAATAAAGCTGCTAACTCCTTCTCCTCGAATCTTTGGTATAAGTTCAACAAGATCGGGGTATTTGTCAGTCATGAGCTCCAGATGTCTGGAGAAGATGGACACTTTTCCCTGCTCGTCGCAGTGTACTTGGGCTCGTTGCCCATCATATTTGTACTCGCAGGCGAAATCCCTTCCCTGTAGTTTGGTGAGCATCTCGGACAAGTCCCGCGTAATGCTTCCAAGCATCGGACGAAGAGGAATGTGGAGAGTAATCCCACATCGAATCAACAATTCGTCCGAGATGCCGATTTCGAGAAGCACCGGGACCAGGTCACTATAGTTTGGCTGCTTGGCAAAACATCCCTTCACGATTTCCTCCCCTCTGGCCCAGATCTCGGCCAATTCCTCTTTCTTCAACTTGGACAGTTCAGAAGCGGATCTGAGGGGGAAGTCCGTCCCTGGCGGTCTTGATAGAAGAAAGGCTCTTGACAAAGCGATCAACATCGTTGTCTTTACAGCTCCAATGCGAAGCTGAGGCAGCGTTAGCGAGGATAATTACTATTCAGGGCAGCCCTTACATGTTGACACAGAGTTCGTACAATGAACCGGCTTTCTTCCCCACCTCGGGCGTCCTGTAGGAGTCGGTCTACGAGCCTCTGTTTGACCTCTGCGCTGCCTTGCCCATGGCTATTTGCGATTTTCACTAGTGACTGGTATACTCCCATAATGGTCAGTGGTTTTGGTTTCCGCAGGGTAAAGCTCTGCTTCTTCTTTGCCTCGAATGCCACATCTCCAGCGTCGCCATGCTTGTTGTATATGGCCTTGAGCGACCTATTGTCAAGGCCACACACGTTTTTCAGAGCTTTTGAAATGGCAGAGCCCCCAAGTCCCAATTCCATGGATATGTACGGTGGCGATATTGAGTTTGTCGCCAACCAGACCTAAGAAAATGAGAAATGGTTACAAAGAAACAGCATGATACCTACCGCAGGCAGTAAACTTGCCGGGTCTCCCTCAATCAGGATCCTCAAACAATTCACAAGGGTATCCACAATTTTTATACGGCTTGTAGTCCCACTGACCAACACAAAGCACCGCGTGAGGAGGGCGTACGAAGCGGCTCCACCCTCTGTCGCCCAGTGTTCGTGCAGCTGGGACAAGTACTGCGATGGCTGGAAGGTAAGGGGCGATTCATCCAACGGTATCGATGTTGAAGTCGTGTCTTCAGAAATCCCAGCTGATTGAAGACTGAGAGTGCCCTTGCCCTTGTCCTTGGTTGGGCTGGGTTTGGCGAGGGATGTTGGAAGCACGAGGGTTTGGTTGGGCTCGGGATCAGGAGTTTCTTTGGCCGAAGTTGATTGACTCGGCTCACTAGGAGTATTTTGGCTGGTTGCCTGAGCTGGTTGCCTCTCATTCGCAGCCTCCTGATCCCATTCTGCCTGGAGCTTACGGGCCAGCTCTTCGTCTGTCATCTCGGCGGCGGCATCACTAGAGGTAGATGCCGCCGGCTCCGGCTGGATGGCAGTTTCAGTAGTATTCTCCCTCTGTTTGGAGAAGAAATACTCCAGGCCTCTGGGAGCTGGGGCAGACCCCTTGATGCCATTGTTGTTCAGCTTCCGCTTTTTTGAGGGGCTGGGCATTGTCACAGCGAGAGGTGCTTCAATGGTTCGATTTCATTCATCGGATAGGGAACGCGTCTCGATAAAGGGTTCATGGATCAATCAAGATGCTCGTGAAAACAAAAGGAACAAGGCGCCATCGTCACCCTTCAACATGTCGTCGTCACAGTCTAACTGTGGACGCGATCCGGGGATGCAAGATGACGAAGGCAGACGCGGGTGCACGTGACACACACAACGAGGAAAGTCGCTGGAAATCACCAAATCACCAACCCCGCATATCCGCGCTAGACCTATTTGAGGCGCACAAGCGACCGCCTCACACAATCAGTAGAAATCTTTTCTGCCCCACCATCGCCAACCTCTTCCCTCCTTCCCTCCATCCCTTCATCACCTCTCCCTTCCGACATCATGAACGGCGAAGACCCGCCTGAGAGGCCAGAGGGCATCACTGCCATCATCAACGGCCTCGAGCGGTATAACCCCGAGGCCGTCAGCCCCTTGGAGGCATATCTGCAGGAGCAGTGCGAGCAGAAGTACACCGACTGCAATGCCAACCGCACCCTGTTGAAGCTGTGAGTATCCCTCACGACACCTGCGATACTCGCGACTGCACCTCCCCCCGGGCTTCTATGATGAATAAACTTGTCAACGTTTCCTATTACTTGACCGAGGCACTGCTTCAATGGAATTCTTATTAATTAGACTCTGAAACCGCCCATCCTATTCCCCTTTTTACACATCCTACCTACCTCTTGTGGATCGAGGCTGACAAAATCTCCCGCTCCCAGTTACCAGCTCAACCCTGACCGGATCAAGGATGAGGTCGTGACCAACATCCTGGTCAAGGCCATGGCCGAGTTCCCCTCCTCGCAATTCTCCCTGGCCCTCCATCTCATTAACCCCTCGGCCGCCTCAAATGGCGAGCTCCACGAGGCTGTCGGCAAGCTCCGCGCCCTCAACGGACAGCTCGAGGGTGCCCAATATGCCGGCTTCTGGGCCGACATTGACGGCGACGATCTCTGCGCCGACCTTATCGCCGACATTGTCGGCTTCGAGGACGTTGTCCGCCACCGCATTGCCTTGCTGGTGTCGCAGTCCTTCCGTGAGCTCCAGCTCAGCCACCTCGAGTCATGGCTTGGCCTGAACGAGGATGCTACCAAGAAGTTCATCACCGAGGTCTGTGGCTGGACTGTCGACGGTGAGGGCAACGTTAAGATTCCTGCCAACCCCGAGAACGAGGCCAAGAAGTCCGAGATCCGGGAGGATGTGAACGTCGAGCAGTTCTCTAGAGTGCTCCGACGTGCCTGGGAAGAGACGGTGTAGAAGATTCAAAAAGAATCAAGGGTTTTACTTCCCATCAGTGGGACATGTCATGACGACCATGATGAGGAAGGGAATTGCTAGCATAGCATGGAAGGGGTATAAAATCCAGGCGTTTAATAGGACATGTCATTGAAGAACAATCCAAAGCATCTTGAAACCGTACACGATTTGTGCACATTGTGAAATACCTGGTAGATATGAACCATGCGTCAAAGGTGATCATGTGAAATTGCATTGCTTTTCCTTCCGCCATGTAACCAACACGTCTACGTCTATGTACCTTTGAACGAACCAACATTATCTACTTTCGCTTGGTCAACTCCTCCCATTGCACACCAGCCCACTCCTCGATATATCCCACCTTGCCCAGCTCTGTGCTCCGCGGCGAGCAATCCTTCTCGCACACGCCCACAACAATCGTCCCCCACTCCATGCCGTCGAGGCTCAGGTCGTCGGCCTCCAGCTCAGCGATGGCGTTGGGCATCAGCTGGACCTCGAACACCCTCCGCGCACCGCAGGCGCCGCACCGTGGAATTGTGCCCTTGTTGATGACCTCGCCGACCTTGTCCTTCTTGGAGTACAGCAGCGGCGCGCCGGCGAACTCGTAGCGGATGACCTGGTCCGGGTTCTGGGCCAGCCGGTCGGCGAACTTCTGGAAGGTGGCGTCCATGGCGGATTCGAAGGCCTCGCGGTCCAGGATGGACGGCTCCGCCGCGTCGGCGTCCTCCATCCGGGCGTTGTCCGGCACCTTGACGGGCGTAGAGTCGAGCGTCTCGAAGTCAGCGTCAGCAAGGTACAGCGTCGGATAGGCGTCGGGCTGCGTCTCGGGCCAGGGCTCGGCCGGGGGTGGCGGGACAGCAGGCGGTGCGTTGATAGAGAGTGTCTCGGCGAAGGTCTTGGGGAGGGCGGTCGCAGCAGCGTCGGTGTCGACGGCGATGGGAGCGGGCTTGGCCGGTTGGGAGGAGAAGGGGTTGGACGAAGCCCCTGAGCTGAACGGGTTGCTAGAGCTGCTCGAGGAGCTGAACGGGTTGGCGTTGCTGGCGAAGGGATTCGCGCCTCCACCAAGACCCTTTGCTCCGAAGAGCGCCTCGCCCAGGCCAGGGCCATCGTTCTTGGGCTTCGGCTCCTCCTCCTTCTTCTCCTCCTTGAGCTCCTGCTTGAGATCCTCCTCCTTCCACACCCTCACCCCGCGCAGGGCCCGAACGCTGCCCTCCCTGCGCCGACAGGTCTGTCGCCGGCACGCAAAGACATATAGGCGTCGATCATGTTCAGGGAATCGCTCCGGGAGCTCGCCGTTAAGTTGTAGTAGCAGGACCATCAAGTCCTTGCAAACCTTACACCTGGCATATGCCGCGCTGGGGGCGTTCTCGGGGTCCAGCCAGTCCTATCCCACTTGTTAGTGCCCAAACTTGGTCAATGTCTTAACTGCCAACGTACAGGACATCCTCCAAGGCGGCTAATGGTATCTTCGTCCGCATCCTTCGATGCATATCCCAAGAGGACATTCGTCTCCTCAAACTCGCCGTCCGAGGAGTCGGAATCGTAAGAAGCCATAATTGAGTCTGGGTATAGGGTTGCTGAAAGTGATGGTGGGGTCGAGATTTTTTTCCTTTGGGGTTGACGTTGATGCGGGGCTTAGCGCGCCGATAAGAAACCTGGACAACGCAGCAAGGCATCTATCGACTACGATTAAAAGTGAATTTTGCATGCGTAGGATGGTCCATTTTATATTAGAGAAACTGGTATACATTTGTTGATTGCCACCAGTATCCTTTTGTCTACCGTCGTTCTAACGTGGTATCTCCCGTTCGTCACAGATCCGGTACTACCCATCATCGAGATCGCCTTATTCATGGCTCTCTCAGCGTCATTGTCCGACATGAACATAATAAATGGGCTTTCGAGCTCATTTAGACCTACATGTGGTCATTAGGGCCATCCATTCCCGGTCCCGGTCCACCTGCTCTGCCCATCTGTCGAGCCTTCAACAACTCATCACACAGAAGCAGGTTGGACGCGATGCTGGCACTGGAAGCCACGCAGTTTCGCAATACTCGGAACGAGTCAAAGATACCCACAAGCTCGGGATCCATGGGTTCTCCGGTCTCCAGGTCCAGACCAACGACGTTTCCTTCGGCGTACTCGTCCTGCAGGGCAGCAACTGTGTTTTATGTTAGTCTCGATTCGAGCCCGTAGATTCTAGAAAACCACTTACGAGCATCCTGGATGTCGAGACCGGCGTTGGCGGCCAGGGTCTTGGGAATAATGAGGAGAGCATCGGCGAACGCCTCAACACCCCACTTCGCCTTGCCCTTGACGGACTTGGAGAAGGCATCGCTCTTCAGGTGGGCGGCACAGGCAACCTGGAACGCACCAGCTCCGGGGACGACGCTTCCGTCTACAATCATGTTGTACACACTTCGCAGACCGTCTCGCACGGCATCCGTAACCTGGGCAATGGTGTGCTGGTTAGGGCCCTTGATCATCAGGGTAACCGACTTGGGGTCCTTGACCTCCTCAACAAAGGTGAACTTCTCCTCGCCCAGGGCCTGCTCGTAGACGAGACCCGCCCAGCCCAGAACCTCCTCCGACAGGTCGTCGACGCTGTTCTGAGCAGTACCACCGCAGATCAGCTGGAGACGCTCCATGTTTCTTCGCTTGGCTCTTCGGAGAGCGAGGATGCCGTTCTTGGCCAGGACGTCCAGGGACAGGGGATCAATGCCCTTCTGGTTGATGACGACAAAGTTCTTCTTGCCATCGCTACCGCATAGCTCCTTCTTCAACTCGACAATCTTCTTCAGCTTAGCATCGACGAATCGGCGCTCGCTCTCGACGAGCTTGTCGCGCTGCTCGGCGCTAGAGTAGAAGAAGCTAGAGTTGACCTCGGACTTTTCGTACTCTAGGCTGACGTTGAGGGTCAGGATGTAACAGTTCTCGAGTCGCTTCGGCATGTCGGGGTGTCGGGCACCGTGATCCAACGCTAGGCCACGGATGAGGGTAGTGTCAGCGGCTGAGCGGTGCTGCATCTTCATAATCTCCACCATGTGCAAGTCGGGCTTCGCGGGGGCCTGATAGATGGCCAGGACGGCATCGACGATGGCGGGGGTCAGCTTGGCGGCCAGGGTCGAGTTGAGCTTGGTGGCGAGCGACGTTCGGGCGACGTTGAGGAGGAGCTCGCGGTCGACGTCCTTGGGGAGCTTGAAGGTGTCGAGGAACTACGGCGGTGAGCTGAAGGCTTCAGACGGTATGACGGCGGAGCTTACCTTGAGAGCCTCGATCTTGGCAAGCTCAAAACCATCAGTGATGATTCGGGGGTGCAGTCCCTCGGCGATGTATCGGTCGGCCTGCTTCAGCAGCTCGCCCACCAGCATGACGACAGAGGTGGTTCCGTCACCGCAAATATCGTCCTGCGCAGTCGCTGCTCGGGCGATCATGACGGCGGTCGGGTTCTGTATTTGCATCTCTCGGAGCAGGACGTTGCCATCCTTGGTCAACTTGATCTAGCGGGGAACCGTCAGTAAAGGGGCGGGCTGAGGGGCAGATGGAAAGGCGGCGGTACCTGTCCCGCACCGTCGACGAGCCTGGGAGAGAGTCAGCGAGATGACGGAGATTGCAACGGGCGATGCTCACATCTTGATGGTGCCCAGCGGGCCGAGGTTGGACTTGAGGACATCCTGCAGGCCCTCACCGGCACTGATGTTGACCTTTAGAGCTTCGCCCCTCCTCTGCGACGCAATAAGTGGTTAGGTGGCATGGCCGGCAGCTTTTCGTGGGGCGGGACAACGTACTCGGGACTCGGCCTTGGGGTTGAGAAGTTGCGCGGCCGACATGATGAGAAATTCTTGGTTCGGTGCGCGGGGGTATGTCGAGGTTGAGTCGAGGTTTGGACTCTGGAGTGGGAGTTGGTTCGCGATTTCGTAATCCCACAAGCTCGCACCAGCTGTGGAATAGGCAATAGCGGGCTGGCGCTGGACATTTTTTCTGCCCCCCTCCAAGGTGAGGGCGGTGTAGGCTGCCACCAAAGCTCGGTGAGCCCCTCGGTCAGGTGCCAATGAGGGCGAGCTAGTTTGTTCAACCGACCAACCACATGAAGATGCGTCGATGCCGCGGTTTGCATATAAGTCAACGGCTTCATTCTAGATCGTTCTTCTTTCATCCGCTGACCATGTTTATTATTACAAGGAATCTTGGCTGGGTACTTTTCTCCGATTGCCTCATTCTCATACCCCAAGTGACCAATCACTATACATCAACCTTGTCTTTTTCCTTACACTCCATCCGGTGCGTTTTCCAGTCCTTCTTCTGGCACTCCCCCGAACAATACTTGGCCTTCATGCATCGTAGACACTTCTTCAGCGACACCCCGCCAGTGCCATCAGGCTTACCGCAAGTTCTGCATCGGTCCTTGTCGACACTCATGGACTCCATCTGAGAGATGAGGCTTTGATCAACAACCTCCTCGACAAAAGGCACAGCATAAGTCGGGCTAATTGCCACCCTCACTGCGTTGGGAGCCGCGTTGTTCCACTCGGGAAGTCCCACAAAGTTATCGGGCAGTTTACCGTTGCCGCATGAGCACAGAAGTTGCTTCCCATGCTCGAGGCTAAGCGGAATCGTTGCATTCTTCCTCTTGTACTCACACTTGGCGCCATGAGACCATGTGCGGCACCGCTCTGCTAGTGACGGAAGGATCTTCTTCCAAAGCGCCAACTCTGCGTCATTCACGTTCAGCGTGCAGCACTCGAGGTTGCGGATCATCAACAGGAAAGCTTCCATCCTCCCCGACTCGATCAGTTCAAGAGTAAACGGGAGCACGGCTGCGTCCAGAACCACAGAAGCACTGTCTCCATCCAGTCTCAGGGCAGACACAAAAATCAACATGTGAATGCCGCCCTTTTCGGGATGATTGATAGAGAACATGCCCGTTTGTCCGCCCTGGAGCCCCGAGGCGAGCATGAACATGGTGAACAAAGACTCCTTGAAGTTCACTCTTGGGTCATTCGAGATACCCGTCACAGAGTCAGCTTCATCGCGTAGTCGTTTCTCTCGAGCCGAGAATTGAAGGGACGTAAGCGTGATAAGCCACTTGAGCCTGTCCGTGTTCTTCTGAGTGTCTAGAATTGGTAGTGCATCGAGGTTAAGATGCGGCGTGTTCAATGTAGTCGGCATACCGGAAGAAGAGAGCTTAGCAGGGAAGATAAAATCGGCAAGTTCTTCAGAGACCCCTGATTTGGCTATGGGTGCAATCAACTCGACATAGCCCGAAGTGCGTGCTATGCGTGTTTTGCATCCTGTCTTTGTCACGGGCACCGGGAATCGGACAGGACAGATGAGTTTCTGAGACCCGAACACAATGTCGATAACAAAGGGGCTTTCCTGGCGCAGCTCGATCGGAACCTTCTCCTTGAGAAGGTCCTTGCCCTTCTTAGACGTAATGTCGAGGTGGCCGGTGATGGCGGTGAGCTTCGATTCGGTAAGAGGGACCTCAGCCATGACTTTTGTCGTCTTGTCGTCTTTGCCCTTGTCCACGACGTTGTCTAACTCCTTGACCCGACCGCACACGACAGGGTATGCCTTCTGGCCTGGCATGTACTTTGTCACAAAGACTGCTGGCCTGTCGTCCAAATTTGTCTCGAAGACGGTCATTTTGAGTCCCAGCGTTTGTCTATAGAGCATTGCGCTCTGTGCCGAAGGCACCACTGATACCCCGACGAGGGTGTTGTAGGGTTCGACCTGAAGTGCAGAAACCGGTACGTAGAATGATGCTATGAGAGGCGCGGTCCCCGACCACCCATCTTGATCCTGCTCGACCGAGATCCGAAAGTCTTGATCCTGGCGCAAGCCCGTTTCCTTGACGTTTCCAAAGACGATGTGGACATCTCCGAAAATATTATGCCACTGGCTAACAGCCTTGGAGCTCGTCCTCAAAGATCCAAGAAGAGAAGGCGACGCCAATTTGTATTGAATAGAGTCTTGATAGAGGTGAGAGATGGCATTACGAGGAACGACAACCGTGACAGCAACTGTCGGTGGAATCGGTTTCCAGGCATTGAAAGTACCAAGCTCAGGGCTGTAACTGATCTGATTCAGGATCCACCGTTCTGTGTTGACATCGAGCATATGAAATTGCGCGCAGAGGTCCTGAATCTGATTGCTAGCTAGGATCATACCTGGATCCTGAGCAGACATCCTAAGAAGCTCAGTACACATGGCTGGCCAGTCGGTTTGCACTCGTCGCATAACCAGCTTCAGCAAGGTTGCGAAGCTACCGCGGTGGAAGTGTGGATAGGCACTGCTTCTTGCAAATAAAGCGGCAGCTGGATTAGCTACGTTTTCGGATTCAAACATGCGGCAAAAGAGCGGGAGGATAAGTCGTGCGAGCGATTTGGCCTCGATGTGCAATTTGCTCCGCCCTTGGGCATATCCCGAAAACTGGTCGTCGCTCTTCCAGGCCAGTCTGGTACGAAATTGCGTCTCAAGCTGCTGGGACGACTTGCCCATGAAGCCTATGAAGACCTCATCGGCATGCGACTCGCATTTGGCATTCGTCCAGTATTGCACCGGGCTGAAGCCCAGGAGAAGCGATATAGTTGGTGCGTCGCCGCGGAGGATGTTCTCGAGTGCACTCTTCTGCGCCCCCCCGTTCTGAATCAAGATTTCTGTGAAGAGTGATGCCCATGGCTGGTCCTTGAGCAAGGGACCCGCAGCCACAAGGATGTTTATGGCGCCAATGTGATCGCTGAGGTTGGATGTGTCGATCATATCAAACACCGTCGGCCCTTTGCCACCCTTTCCATACTCCTTTTGGTTCAGGATCAATGGCCTGCTGTCCCAGAGCTTCCTATACATGTTTGCACTCGAGCCATCGTTAGCAGCGCTCTGGAGGCTGTGACAGAATGTCAATGCATCGGCTACGGCGTAGCGGACGACGAGCTTCTTGCCAAACACAAGCTTGAAAGCTGAGATCCATTCACCGAATTGGGTCTTTGCTGCGGCGGCGGCCTTTAAGCCCTCCTCGGCATTATCGGGCTTCAAGGGCGAAGACTCTGCAAGCGATGCATATGCTGTAGCGAGATGGTATCCCAGAACTGGGTCACTCCCGTAGTGCAGGATCTCCGTCTCCGACAGAAGCCCAGCGAGCAATGGATTAAAAAACCGAGACCCTTTTTGCATAGGCATCACGGTGCCATCCTTCCAATACTGCGTGGATGCACGAGGGAGCTCATTTTGAGACAGCAAAGAAAGCGGAGCGGCTGAGCGTATGCCGGTGATGTTGACGCCTGTCTTGCCCATCATATGATCGCGGACGTCTCGTGAAGTCTGCACATTTTTCTGGAATGCCTGAAGGTAGCCGTCCTTCTGGCACTTCTCAGCCACATCTTTGATTTGTTTCCAGATCTTGCGGACATCCGAGAGCGTGTCTGAATCGCAGAATTTGATAGCACGACCGTAGATATTGGCGTCCCAATCCTCCAAGGTCTTTGAGATGGACAGCAGCTTAGCGGTCTGCGCGAGGACGGCATCTGCTGCAGCATCATCGACGAATATGTGGTAGTAAGAATTCCACAGTAGTTCATTGGTGAACTTTTTATCCCCATCGAGGATAAATGAGAGAATAACGGCGTTGCGGGCTGAGCCAGTTAGTGTTGTTGGTCGGCGTTGTGATTATTGGAGGCGGGGTCTTACCAATGATTCTCTCGTCGATGTCGCAGCATGTAACATCAAGCTTCCTCTGCGCTACCAGGCAGTCAGCATCACAAACCAATTACTCAAGCGTCGAAAATACGTACGAAGACCCTTTTCGGAGTACGCAGTGTACAAGATGTTACGCAAGTCGCCGCAGCCAAGCGACAGCACAGCAGCATCCAGCCCATGAGGAAGGCATCTCGTCAGGCTAGTTGCCGGAGTGTTTCCAGCTGCATAGAGAAAGCTGGTGCGGTTGGCGACTGTTGGCGTCAGCATGATGAAGACTTCAAATCTTTACCATGCCCGAGCAGTCGAGATGGCAAGATTCTGGATTTGCAAGGTGAGGGTTGGTGGTTTACAGGACCAGGTTTCGCTGGCAGTGGGCCACCTCGCATTATTGGGTGAAGCAAGGCTGAGCTGAGTGGCTGGTTTGACACTAACAATATCGCATCTGACAAACGCGCATGCACCGCTCAAGCACACAAACAATCATTTCCAGCTCCGGGAAGAAGAAAGAACAAGCAGCAGGTGAGTAAACAATAAGCGTTTGTGGAAAGTTATGACGTTCAAACACCACCATCGCATCGCACTGGCACATATCGTTTGAATCATGAACAGCCCAACCCCAGCAAAAATACCAGTATCCACGAGAAGCAAAAGCTAATAATAAATGAGCAAGTGTAAGAATGTCTACAGATAATTGAGGAGAGATCTCTCATCTCAAATTGTCACATCACATCACATTCAGCAGCGGGTCGTTTATTGTGGTCAATGAAGCTCCCATTGAATTGTCTACCAAAAAGCAAAGCGCATCGCAACTCCAGCGGTAGAAGAAGACGCAGTCCCCGTCTGAGCCGCCTTCACTTTGCTTTCTAAAATCCCAATAACCGATTCGCCCTCCCCCCCAACCAAATTTATCCAAAATGATACCCCAGGATCCTCCTATTGTACAAAGCCATGCCCGCGGATGATGACAACAAATATCCGAAAAAAAGAAAAGGATTTTCCCACACGGCCAGTTGTTGATTACATTGAGTTATCCGCACTGGAAAACGTCAAAATTGACAGAAAAAGGACATGAGCGTCGTAAAGATCCGCGTCGTAGAAGATCCGGTTCCCGAGCTACCCCTCCCCCGAAAAGAAATTGTTTGATAAACGATAACCGTGAAATAAAGTAAGCCGCTTGATTAAATGCCCCGAGGTTGTTTGTGGTTAATGAAGATGACAGGAACTTTTGGCGTGACGAAATGGATGAGATTGAGGTTGTGGATTCAAGAGCTGCCGAAGAAGACGTCGTCGTTGTTGTTGGTGAACATACCGACGGCGTTATCGAATTCTTCGTCAAACTTGCTCATCATGAGCATGCTGGGATCACGGTCGAGCTGGACTAGGCCGTCGTCGTTTGTGAACTGGAGCAGCATATCGTCGTCATGGTCGCTCATGCCAAGGGGCAGGGTTCCGCTCATGCTAGCGGAGCTCATCAACGCGCTGGTACCCGAGAGACTGCTCAGATCGTCGGCACCAATCGAGGTGTTGGCATCAACGTCGAAGAACTGAGTGGGAGGCGGCGAGGATGACTGAGAGAGCTCAGGGGGGGTGTTGTACTGGCTTGCGGCGCTCTTGGCGGGGGATACGGCATTCACGGGGGTTCCATCCATGATGGCTTCGGGGGAGACGTAAGAATGGGCGCTGACTGCTGAAGGAGACGAGGCCATGGAAGCCATCGCCGGGACAGCCATAGATGTCATCGGAGCGGAAGAGACCGATGCTAGGTTGTGAGTTTGAGCGCCCATTCCCATGTCGATCATATCATCGAGCATGTTGTAGTCGTTGTCGGGCGAGTTCGCAGAAGAGCAATCAGAGTAGCCCGAGAATGAGGACATGGAGCTAATGGACATGTTCTTCTTGCGGGTTCGCGCGGACTTCTCCATACGGGTATCGATATCAGGGCGGTTCTTCTTCGGTCGGCCACGCTTGACAACCTTGCGGACGATGCCGTCAAAGGCGCCAATGCACATGCCTCGTTGGCGATGTCTCGTAAGCGCATCGTGGCGAGCGAAGCTGTTACCGCACTCGCAGGGGTAGGGCTTGATGCCGGTGTGGATCTTGGCGTGTCTCTTGAGGTCATGCTGGCGGACGAAGCACTTCTGGCAGGTCGGGCACTGGTACTGGCGGTCGTTGAGATGGGTCTGGACGTGGGACTTGATGTTCTCCTTGCGGCCAAACTTCTTGCCGCAGTCGTCAAACTGACACACCCACTTGCCATCGCCGGCGTCGGGGCCACGGATGTACTGGGAGATCTCCTCCAAGGTGACACCGGTGTCGGTCTTGGTCTCCTCAATGTTGATGCTGGCGATGCTCGCTGCACTAGCGATGCTGGCCAGAGACTCGGTGCGGCGGTGAGGTGATTCGCGGTTGGGAGATTGCGAGGGATGGGCAGAGAGAGCTTGGGCAGTCAAGGGGTAGGGTCTGAGGTCGGGCTTGTTCTCAAAGGTCATGAACTGAGCCATCTGGGGAGTACCGGGGGAAGCGTGCTGGGACATGTGGTTCATGTCGAGGCCGTGTACATCGACCTGGTCCCGCTCAAAGTTGTTCTCAATCTTCATGAACTCGCTGTTAAAGTTGTTCATGCTCATGTAGTCGGGAGTGTGCATGGGCAGGCCGTGGAAAGACTCAGCCTCGGGCATCGCCGCGGACCTGGGAGGGTTGGGATCCGCCTGCTCGGACTGCTTGCGCATCTCCTGGAAGATGGTCTCGGCTCGTCGGCTTGCGTTTCCACGGGCCCTCACAGGCTTGATGGTCTCCTCCATGGACTCGTCGTAGCCGTCCTGGAATCTGCTGGGGGCGCCTTCATTCTTTACCAATCGGTCCTGGGGAGTCTCCATTGGTGTAGGGGGGTAGTAGTCTGTTGGCTGTGTGAGTGAGAGTTGCCTTGGTATATCTCATCTAGACGACTTACTTTGTGAATTAGAATTCGGGGGTGTGGTAGGCCTTTGGAGCCCGTCTCCGAGGGTCTCGAATTTGCTGACTCGGTCCATAATACCGTTGCTGATCCTCCGCGAAGTCCTCCGCGTGCTGGATGTGTCGCCCTCAGACGCCCATCCAGGCGCGGAGGGGCTTTCTTGGAAGTTCATAAACGTAGGAGTCGAAAGAGCACTGTCATTGTTAAAAGGGTCAAAGTCTTTACCTCCCGACATGTTTTCACCGTAGACCGCCTGGCCCTTGCCCATCATCACGTTCAGGTCACCACTGTATGGATCGTAGGGGATGTTGTTAGGGTCAAAGCAGGACGGGTCAAACCGTTGTGCCTGAGGAGTTCCATGGGGGGAGATCATGTAGTTCTCGCTTCCGCTTGGCGCCAGGTTGGCGTAAGGGTGCTGATGTGTGCCCGGGCGTGCTTGAATGCGTTGCTGCTGCGCTTCTCGCAGAACGTGATGCTGCGAACTACTTGCTAGTCCTGTGTTGTTAGTATTTGTACTTACCATGAAGTTCTGCCTTGCTGTTGATGATGACGAGTTGTGAGGACGTCGGATGTCGAGACTAAGTCCGCGGCGATGAGCGGCTTGTCGTTGTGTCGTGGTGGGCAGGTTGGGGATCTTGACGCCCTCAAAGGCAGTCGGCGTCGAGTTTTGACGCCGATGCTGCCGTTGACGGGCATGGAGTCCAGATGGATTAGACAGCATGTTTATTGTCGCAAGGGGAGTCCGGAAGGAAATTGTCGTCGGTTTTGGTTGTCGAATGGGAACCTATGGGTCCGAAACTGCGAGGAGAGCGTGTCAGCGTCGGCGTCCTTCCATGGCCGAGTCCATCCTCGTCGACTCTATACCCGTCGACTCCAATTGAAGGCGTTCTCTTACCTCACGCAGCGCAAGCACAGAGCGCCGGGCTAAAAAAGGGTTGTGGTCGTGCTCAGTCGAGGGCGACTTTGCAGCAAGTGGAAGGGTTTGGATATGCCTGGTATAGGCGAGAGAGGTGGTTTGATGGAAGCTTGCTTCGCGGCGAGTGCTTTCCCAGACGATGGGATGCGATATGCAAGCTGTTCTTCTTCAGATGTGGATTGGATACTAGAAGAAGCGATAGAGAGATCGGGAAGAGTGGATTCAAAGGCCAGGCTTTGGACGACCTGTTGGGGCGCCGGCGTGGTGTAATGGCGACCGGCCGTGTTGACCTCGTCGCCACAGCAACGCTGATACCCATGAAGGGACCATACAAGGACCCCCGTATCGCACCACCGCGTCACCAGGGGCGGCTAACGAGACAAATTCTAAGACATGGGAAAGCCAGCTAGCTGTCTCTTCTCTCTTGTCGCTCCGGTTATTAACTTAATGGTCCCGCTGATTTCCCGCCTGCGCCGGCGGCTGGCAAGCTCGGGTCGGTCCCGTCCCTTTGACGAGCTCCCTCGCTCTTTGTGGCCCATGCACCCAGTAGCAATCACCGAATGGCCTCCCTTTTTCTCTGCCATGATCCGTCTCGTAGGTTCAGTCTCGCCATCTGTCGTCGGCTGAGCTGAGACGTTCGTCTCGTGGCATCACATGGCTGCTGCGCAATTAATTACCACGAAGCGCTGGCCTACCAACGCAGCGCTTACTGAGGCTGCCCCCAGTAACAAGCCATAATTCCAGTGCTTCCTCCAAGACTCCAGAGCCGACCCGTGGCAACCATCCATCAGTGCACCTGATACGGTGAGGTTCTAGTTTTAGCCATCTACGGCGCTTAGGATGCCTAAGCTGTCCTCTTGCGGTAGGAGGCTCGGGGAGCTCTCCATACCAGGCATGCAAGACCGCGGCTCAATCGGTACAGGTCTGTGAGGCAGTGTAGTCTCGGTACCCGCGTTGCCCATCCCACGCCTCGGGTGTCTTTCATATACGTAGTACGATAGTATGTGCGTGGGTAAGTACGGAGTAGTTGGCTAGCCTTCCGGGAAAGGAACGCTTATCGACACTGCAGCGGACGGGGACACGGGCTACACATCGCCACGTTGATCGGGCATTTATCACCTGTTGATCAGGTCTGGGGTCCGGGTTGAGCTCTGCAACCTAGCTCTCTATCCACATGCACAACACAAGCTGTGCGTGCTGTCCTCCTGGGTAATAAGCCTCCCCTCCCGGCAAGGGTGGCTTTGAGGCGTTCTACAACAGACTGCACAGACAACCCAAAGAGCTGGGCTTTGTCTCCGCTAGCCTTCCTTGGAATGACGGATCTTCAAGCCAGGCTCGAAGGGGAACACAAAGTTTGATATTGATGCCTGGCGGGCGTCTGCCTGCTCTGACGAAACTTGTTGAAACCTGAAACTGTGCTTCAATATGATCGTGGTTCATCCCATCATCATGTCGTACCGTGATCGTCGTGTAAACAACCGGCTTGCTTCCGCTTACCCTGGAGATGCCTGTGGATTTGCCTTTGCACTTTCCAACTTGACGTATAATTGGGCAGCTGCTGCCAAATCTGCAAAAGACAAGTAAGCGGTGTACTCTTGTTGCGATCTCTGACGTGTTCACGCTTCTTCCCTGGCCGCGCAGCCCTTAAAGGTTCTGTCCTATCGTTCGTGGAGCTGGTTCATGCAGGGCTAAGACGGAAGCACTTAGCTGTGGTTGCATCGCATCGACCAGTTGAGAATCTGATATATAAAAAAAAGTGCCCCCCTCCAAAAAAGGTTACAGCCCTAGTCCCTGGCTGTCAACGGGAGAGATAGTTAGAACAAAGAGACAAATAAGGCTTCATGATGCCTCAAGGCAACCTAAGCAACTGATTATCTCCAAGTCACGGGGAGACTGGAGCTGCGGTTGCGCAAGAAACACGTGCGCGGGTGGTCGGGTGAAGCCGCTGGAAACGGCAACTGGGTCGGTGCTGTTTTGGGCTAATTAGGTACCTAACTGAGGTACCTAGCTCCCCGCCCCAGCTTGCAGGTCTCGACTCTCCCAACTTCAGTCACCGCGACAACGTCCCCCAAGAAAAGTGCCAGGGAGCACCCAGGCCACCCAGGTCACCCACATCTCCGCCAACCCTTCAACATCACCCCATTTCACACGCCCGACAATAATCTGTGCCGCTGCGATTGGCCGCTCGTGCCTCTCTTCCACCTCTGCCCTCTGCAGCCGCACCCGCTGGGCACAGGATCACGATTTTGTGACTTCTGCCGCCTCTGCCAATTGTCCCTCGTCCCCACGCCGTCCGTGTCCCGAGCCCGTCTCTTCGTCGACCAAGTATCCCACCAACCGCCGACATGTCCGGCAACACACACAGAGGCACGCCCACCCGCCACGGCCGCGGTGCTGTCCCCTTTGGCAACAGCCCTGGTGGCTCCAGCATTCCCCGTCCTGTCGAGCCGCACGAGGAGAAGGAGCGGAAGCAACCGCCACCGCCAAATGAGGCCGCCTCCTCTGTCAGCGCCAGTCGCCAGAAGCAGTCCAAGCGGGACGAGGTGCGTTATCCACACTTACTTTCCTGAAGCTACGAGCTCTCCTGTGCTGTTACCGCCCTTCTTTACCCTCTATACTGACCGACGAACCTGTGACAGGCCATCCGACGAAAGCTCGAGAATGACCTCTCCAAGAAGAAACACCTCACGAGCCGAGCTCGACACTCCCGAAAGGCCCCCCCGGGCACCGTCCTCGCCCTGAAGCCCAGTGCTGCTCTCCAGATCAAGCCCAACACCACCGTCTCCGAGGCTGCCCAGCTCATGGCTGCCAAGCGAGAGGACTGTGTCCTTGTTACCGACGATGACGACCGAATCGCTGGCATCTTCACCGCCAAGGATCTTGCCTTCCGCGTTGTCGGTGCTGGATCAAAGGCTGCCAACGTCACCATTGCCGAAATCATGACCAAGAACCCTCTTTGCGCCCGGACCGATACCAGTGCTACCGACGCCTTGGACTTGATGGTCCGGAAAGGCTTCCGCCACTTGCCTGTTATGGATGAGAACCAAGATATCGTCGGTATACTGGACATTACCAAGTGCTTCTACGACGCCATGGAGAAGCTCGAGCGTGCCTACTCGTCCTCTAGAAAGTTATATGATGCCCTGGAGGGTGTTCAGTCCGAATTGGGCTCGACCCAGCCGCAGCAGATCATCCAATACGTCGAGGCGCTCCGCAGCAAGATGTCTGGACCGACCCTGGAGACCGTCCTGAACGGCATCCCCCCAACCACCGTCAGTGTCAGGACCTCGGTCAAGGAGGCTGCCCAGCTCATGAAGGAGAACCGCACCACCGCCGTCCTCGTTCAGGACCAGGGTGCCATTACTGGTATTTTCACCAGCAAGGATGTAGTCCTCCGAGTTATTGCTCCTGGCCTTGACCCCGCCAACTGCAGTGTTGTCCGTGTCATGACCCCTCACCCCGATTTCGCCCCCATGGACATGACCCTCCAGGCTGCTCTTCGCAAGATGCATGGTATATATCCTTGACCCTGGACTGTGTTTGTCGTGTATCTAATCTTGAATTTCAGATGGCCACTACCTCAACCTTCCCGTCATGAACGATGGCGGCGAGATTGTCGGCATGGTCGACGTTTTGAAGCTCACCTACGCTACTCTGGAGCAGATCAACGGCATGTCCAACTCCAACGATGACGAGGGCCCTGCCTGGAACAAGTTCTGGCTGTCCCTCGACAATGAGACCGAGTCCGTGATGTCTGGAGAGGGCAGTGCTATGCAGCACACCAACCTGGGCTCGCGACTCACTTCGCCAGATGTCACCCGCGAGCGCCTCGGCGACAGTCTCGCACCAGGTGACTCGGCCTCGCACATCGGCATGGAGTCCCCTACTCGATCTACTATCCCAGAAGGAATCGAGGCGCAACTCCCCGAGGAGCTTCCCTTTGCCTTCAAGTTCAAGGCTCCTTCCGGCCGAGTGCACCGTGTCAAGGTCATTGCCATGGATGGCATGGAGGCGTTTGTGGCGGCTGTTGCTGCCAAGCTTGGCAGTGAGGCAGACACCATTGGCGGCATTCCTCCGGTCGAGGACGGCAAAATTACCGGTCCTGGATTCGCTCTCAGCTATATCGACGATGAAGGGGACTCTGTGTCTATCACTACCAACCAAGACTTGGTCGAGTCTGTCTTGCTTTCTCGCCAATGCCACCATGATAAGGTGGATCTTTATGTCCACGACCCGGAGAAGGCCCCTGTCATACCGGCCGCTGCCGAGACGCCAGCGGCTACCATGTCCTCTGGCTCAGGTCTCCGGGAGCGACGCAAGTGGTGGCCAGATGAGGAGGAAGAGGAGGAGGAGGATGAGTCTGATGAGGACGACGAAGCGGCATCTAGTGCACGACGGACGCGGCGAGCGAGGGTAGGGCCCCCGCCCCTCCTCGAGCAGGTCATTGCTGGCGTGCCAAACGAACTTCTCCTTCCTGGCGCTATCGTCACATTGGCGGTGGTCATCGTGGGTGTCTTCACCATCTCGAGAATCACCAGCCGATAGACGGAGGAGCACGCACCTTTGTGAACCTGCCCCCGATAATGACATGACGAAGCCCACAGATATTGGAGATTGTAGATAGGTAGAAACTTTGTGTCTCTAGAGATTACCCCACAAGTTTAATTCAAATCATTTATATCTTACATGGCTTTTATATTTATGGTAGGAAGACATGTGCTTCAATATTCATGGTGAAGCCTTGGTTGTTTGCTGCATGGCGTGTTGTGGTTGGACGGGACCGGAAAATCCCGCGCTCCGGAGCCTTTACCTTGGCCAAAATTTGGTGACGGTCGAACGAGCGGACCGAGAGCACGACCTTCGAGTACCCGCAGCAGCATTCACCATGATAGTGAGGAACGCTGCCGTGCGGCATGGTAAGTCAATTGAGTTCAATTGAGAGGAACACGAGTGCTTACATATTCAGGCCGTCGCGCACTGGCGTCTCCCATCTCCAGGACGCTCCTCCGACACCTTTCCACCGAGACCACGACCGAGACTCAAGTTGGGACGCAGTCTCAGCAAACGTGGGCTCAAGGCCCCCCTGCACCTCCCAAGATCGTGTCCGCCTCACGGAAGAAGCAGAGGGTCGTGCAAGATGGCATCCTGTCCCTCGGCACTGACTCTGCGCATGAGCACAAGGGCAAGTCATGGACTACCAAGCACGCAACTACTGGCTCTGCCAAGCCTGTCACTCCTGCCCAGCAGTATACCGAGTTCCGCCGCATCCAGAACACCACTCGTAGCCTCGGATCCAGTGTCGAGCGCCGCTACGTCCCCACTGAGCTGATCAACAACCCGCCCGGACCCGAGGATGTCTCGTTGGAGCTCTTGATGGCCTCACAAACCCACATGGGACACAGCACCTCTCTCTGGAACCCGGCCAATTCGCGATACATCTACGGTGTGCGCCAAGGTGTTCACATCATCTCCCTTGAGACAACAGCAGCACATCTTCGACGTGCGGCTCGTGTGGTGGAGGATGTCTCGTACCGGGGTGGGCTCATCCTTTTTGTGGGAAACCGAAAGGGCCAGATGGAGATTGTGACCAAGGCTGCTGAGTTGGCTGGAGCTTGCCACCTGTTCACCAAGTGGACTCCCGGAGGCATCACGAACCGAGATGTCATTCTCAGGATGCAGGGGATGAAGGTTGTGGATCACCTGGACCAGGAGCTGGATGGCTTTGAGAAGTACAGTGGTCTTGCTCGACCTCTGTTGCCCGACCTGGTTGTCTGCCTTAACCCGCTGGAGAACTACACTCTGCTCTACGAGTGTGGTTTGAAGAGTATTCCCACCATTGGTGTAATTGATACTAATGCGGACCCTTCGTGGGTGACCTACACGATCCCCGCCAACGACGATAGGTATGTTGCTATGATTTAACCAAGTGCGACTGAAGCTGACAATGTTTAAGTCTACGAGCTATGGCTGTTGTTGCGGGTGTTCTGGGCCGAGCTGGCGAGGCTGGCCAGAAGCGCAGACTCCAGGATGCCGCACACGGTAAAGTCGCTTGGAGCAATCCCGAAGATCTTGACCGCCACATCAGAAAGGAGACTAAGGCTGCTATCGAGGAGAGGAAGGCGGTCATGGGCCACATCCAGCACAACATTGAGGGCTTCACTGAGGAGGAGCAGAAGCTCTTGAGGACGCAGTTCTACGGCGAGGAGGCAGAAGTTACCGAGGACGACATGATGAGCATTCTGGGCGAGGCTGCGCTGGGCGACTCGGAAGAGGCGGCCATCAAGACCACCGCGACCACCGCGACCACCAACAGCAGTGAGCCGGAGACGGCGCACAAGCTGGCGAGTATCGAGGAGGAGCTGGATGGACTGAAGGAGAAGGCTGCAGCGATTGAGACCGAACTCAAGTCTAGCAGCGAAAAGCCAGAGTGAAGAGCATAAAATATTGTTGTACAGTATGGCGATGTATAATAAACCCAAGCATGTAGAGAAACAGATAAAAAGGGCCTGTAAGCTTCGATGTAAAGACATATACCTACCTGTAGGTGGGATTTATCTACTTCATATGAGGTGGCTTGGTTGATAGTGGAACGGATAAACTATGTCCCCCATCACAAGACCAAAGTCTGGTGTGTACCTAGATTTCCTGGTGACGCCTTCCGGTTACAAGGCGGGATTGCCCCGCGCAATTGCCCCGCGCAATTATGTAAAGCAGGACGCACAAGCCGGACTGGAAACTTCGTCCCCTGCGCATTTCCCCTCACCAAGTAGGACCTCTCACGACCGAATATCTCAGCACAGCCTACGAAGTACACATCCCATCGCAGCACATCGCCGCGCAGCACGGTCACGACAGCACGGCGAAGCACCCCGGTTGTCGATTGGGTGAGAGGACCCAGTCACCCAGAAATAAAAGTAGCGACTTTTGGCTGTTCTGCAGCTGCGTCGGTGCCGCGGTGGCTTGGCGATAGTTGGTTGTTGCCTCGTGCCTCGTTATTCTCCGGTATGCGCCTGTTTGCCCTGCTAGCCTGTGGCTCGCCCTTTTTGGCCCCCTTACATCGAGGCCTCAAGTGTCTTATCTCATGACGTATGCCCCGTGTCTGTCTGTCTTGCTGGCTGGCTGTACTGCTTACCTTGTAGACGCGCATGTGCCTAGATAAGCTCCAGGGCAACGGCGCAAGACGGGATGGGACAAGGCAACGTGAAGGGGAAAAGATGAAATGGAATTAAAAAGAACGTGACCCCGTTTGCTAACTCGTCGTGTCTGGGTAGTTTCGCCAGACTCCCCGTCATTTAATTCACGAGCATCTGGCGAGCAGCGCTCCCGCGACAGACGAGATGCCGGCCATCCTGGACGACCCGGCGAGCCCCACTATCTACCGAGTCTCGGGGGAACCTCCGTACCCGGACCCCAACAACCCCGGGTTTCCGGCGGACATTCTGCCGAGGCAGGTCACGCTCCGGGACCGGCAGACGGTCGCCACCATTGTGCCCTTTGCCTCGCGCCACCATGTGCCGCCGTCGCTGCTGGCCTACCTCTGCGACCAGCTCAACAAGGAGATTGAGGGCGGCGATAGCTACCCCATGATGGACCCCTTCCCCGCTGACGCCTTCGCCGCTTACTGGTTCCAGAACTTCGGCGCCATCATGCTCGTCGGCAACATCGAGCGTGCCGAGCACGTCGTCGAGGGAAAGGACTGGTCCAAGGAGTGTCTGGGCAGCTTCTATATCAAGCCCAACTACCCGGGCCGCAGCAGCCACGTCTGCAACGCCGGCTTCATCGTGACTGACGCCTCCCGTGGCCGTGGCGTCGGCCGCCTCATGGGCGAGGCCTATCTGGACTGGGCGCCGCGGCTGGGCTACTCGTACAGCGTCTTCAACCTCGTGTACGAGACCAACGTAGCGTCGTGCCGCATCTGGGACGCCCTCGGCTTCAAGCGCATCGGCCGCGTCAAGGGCTGCGGCAACCTCAAGAGCTACCCGGGCCAGCTCATCGACGCCATCATCTACGGGCGCGACCTGGCGCCGCGCGAAAGCGACGATCTCGTGAGTGAAGAGCGTTTCGACAAGATCAAGTTCTACCTCAAGTACGGCGAGTACCCGAACGGCGCTGACCGGGCCGAGAAAAGCAGGCTCCGCAGCGCGGCGACGCACTATAAGCTCATCGACGGCGACAAGCTCATGCTCAAGGACAAGGAGGTCATCTCGGACCCGGCCCGCCAGTTCGACATTGCCCGGCGCGTCCACGTCCAGCAGCACGGCGGCATCAACAAAACGACGGCCACCATTGCCGAGAAGTACCACTGGAGCCGCATCAAGGAGACGGTCAGCGACGTCATCCGCAGCTGCGTCGAGTGCAAGGAGCTCGGAAAGACGCCCAACCCGGGCGGTGCGAGAAAAGCTGCGGCGGCAGCGGCGGCGGCCACTGCTGGGAACAATCACAGCGGTGGCGGAGATGGAGCGGCGGGAGGCGGATGTGTACGAGATCACCAGGTGTCTTCTGCTGGCGCAGCGGGCAGAGTGTTGGCGTTGCAGAACCACAATGCCATGTCGACACTGTCGCCGCAGAGTCCAACCCAGAACCAAAGCCCCTTTGCCAATCCTGCCGACATCTCCCTCATATCGCCCTCACATACCCTCCAGAGCACCTCCATCGACCAGGCACTTCACTCGCATCACCAAGCGCAATCGCCTCATCAAGTCCAACACCACCTCCCTCACTACAGCCCCATGCTACAGGACCACCCCGGCGTGCACCACCACCACCACCACCATCACCACGACCCCCAGTCCGTCTACCAGCCCATCGACCCGCAAATCATCAACCAGGCCTCGCCGCATGATCTGTCAGGCTTCGAACAATACCACTCCTCCGCCGATTTCCAGGCGTTGCTCAACGCTACTGAGGACGTGGTCCCGGGCGAATCTGACACCGTGGACCGCGATCTGGAGATGCTCATCGAGCATCAGGATGACGATGAAGTAGACGGGACGGTGGCCATGGGCGGTATGGGCGTGGGCGTGCAACAAAATCAGGGGCTGGACAGCAAAGAACGCCTACTGTACGATGTGAGCTTCGGAGCACCGAATGGTTAGTACTCATAAGGCGCGCGTGGATGACATGGAGGAGATATCCAGTTCTTGTTGTTTTGGTGCGCTGTGTTGTATACATCTTGGACGAGCATCGGAGCGAAGCGGGCATGGAGTTTGATAGCATCCTTTTCTGATGAGCATGAGCTAGTTTTCGGCAGAATTTGACAAACAAATTGTGAAATGGCACTCTATTCTGTGTCTTGACTTGACAAGAGCACGGTATTTGCACAGTTCTAGATATTAGTTGAAACTTGACATGTAAGATTCAAAAAAGATGGAGGTCATTCAAGTTTTTTCTAGAGATCAGGTAAGTCTAGGTATCATACAGATTCCTCCAAACTCCCGCCCGTGACACCGGGTCCCCTTATTATCTTGGGATTCACTCTTCTTGCTTCCCCAGCTCATTCGTTTTTTCCTTTACCTCCGAGGCATACCCCGTCCTCGTCCCCTGAGCGCCCGCTGAGCGGCGCCCGGCGGCAGTTGGCCAGGAGCCTGGGGCTTCTGGCTCTCCTCGTTTTGGATCGTCTCGTCGACACCGAGGATCAAGCAGCTGGCCTCTGTGGCGGCCTGGATGGCGTTGGTCTTGATAAGCGCAGGCTCCCAGACGAAGCGCTCCATCATGTCGGTGACTCCCTCATTCTGGAAGTCAACACCGGCCCAGGTCGAGCCCTTGCGGTGCTCTACACGCAACTTGTTGAGGATATCAGTCGCGTCGAAGCCGGCGTTGTCGCATAGCTGGCGGGGGATGATCTCAAGGGCCTTGGCGAAGGCCTTGATGATGGCTTGTTGCTTGTGGGGGATGTTCTTGTCTGCGAAGCGGTGCAGGTAAGCCGAAATCTCCATCTCCACGGCGCCACCACCACCCACGATCAGGTGGTTTCGGATCGCACGCTTGACAATCATGATGGCATCGTGCAGGGATCGCTCCACCTCGGCAATGAACTGCTCAGCACCGCCACGGAGGACCAGAGTGCAGGTCTTGGCCTCGGGGCAGTCCTCAAAGAAGTTGAAGCGCTCGCCACCAATCTGGCGCTCGTCGAAGGAACCGCAAGTACCCAGGTGCTCAGGCAGGATGTCGGAGCAAGTGGACTGAATCACGGCACCGGTAGCCTGGACCACGCGCTCCATATCTTCACTGGCAACACGGCCAGCACAGAAAATGTCTCGGTCGGCAAAGTACTGCGTAGCCAGGTCACCAATGGGGAGCTTGCTCAGCACCACCTTGGCACCAGTCTCGTGGATCGATTCAAGCTTTTTGAAGATAATCTGCCACTCAGCATCGACGATCGCCTGGTACTCGGACACCTGCTCCACGCGGACCTCGGCGTTATCCTTCTCGGCCTTCAACTCCAACTCGACGTTTAGGCACACAATCTTGGGCTTCTCGAATGACTTCGGTTGTTGCTCGAAACCGGCGTAGGAAAAGGTCTTCTTGAAGGCGACACCGTTGATAAACATGGAGTCGGTGAGGGAACCACCAGGGATCTTCTTGATGCCAATCAACTTCTCGTCGAGGTCGTCCTGGTCGAGGGACAGCACGGCATCGACCACCACTATTATTTGTCAGCCTAGGATTCTCTCATAATTGGTTTACCTCACGTACTCTTAGTGAAGAAGGGAGTATTCCGCTTAATCAGCTTGCTGGTCATGGCGGTGGAAGCCAGCTTGGTGAGAGTCTCGCGGCGGTTGGCCTCGTCGGTGTTGATGGCAATCTCCTTGATCTTGTTGACAGCCATCTGAGAGGCTCTTCGCAGGCCCTTGATGATGACCTGGGAGCTGACGCCCTGCTCGACGTGCTCCTTAACCTCCTTGAGGATCTCACCGGCGAGGACGACGACGGATGTGGTTCCATCGCCAACTTCGGCGTCTTGCGATCGGGCGATGTCGACGAGGATTCGGGCTGCGGGGTGGACGATGTCGAGGAGCTGGTCTGGTCAGTCTCGGACTGGGTGGCAAGGCCGTGGAATATATGTGCGCACCTTCATAACGGTGGCACCGTCGTTGGTAATAGTCTGTCGGCCATTCTCATCAACCATCAACAGGTCGCCGCCATAGGGACCGAGAGTGGACTTGATGGTGGCCTGCACGGCGAGACAGGCGTTGATGTTGGTGACGATTTGACCCTTGCCCTGGGAAGTATCGGTGCCTGTAGAGGGGATCGCGTTGTGTCAGTCGAGGAAGGACGTGGTGGAATTCTTGCAACTTGTGGCATCTCGTGGCATCTTGTTCTTCATTTTCCCCTGGATATCATCCACAAGGCGGGCGGGTGGGCGGTGGGGTAAAACGGACCTTCCTTGAGGACGATAATCGTCGGCGTTTGGCCTCCGAACGACATGTTTGTGACTGGAGCAGCGGATTCCAACTGCGGGGGATTTCTCGGTCAGTCGGGCGGTCTCTGGTGGTGCTGCGAATCTTCGGTTTGTCGGACGGTGGAGGGGTGAAGAAGCGAGTTGTCGTCGGGCCAAGTGGGAGAGCTGCGTCGAAGCTTCCAAAAAAATGTGGCAGCCTTCTTTCCTCATCATGTTCCTTGCCCCAGCACGTGCACGGACCAACCAACTCCCCTCCTTTCGACAACAGTCTGTCGGTCAGGGGTCGCAAATGTGCACATTATTCATACAGAATGCCCAGCGAAATGGAGATTTCATTGTCAGCCTCTGTTTTGGAGCGTTGGATCGCCGTTTTGAGAGCCGTCAAGATGTGTATGGACCCTGAGATCTACTGAATTATCTCCTTGTTTCTTCGTTCAACGCCACGCTGGTAATTCGTCCTCGCCACTAGCGCTTTCGACTTGTTATGTGCGCGTCTCCTGCATCGTGCCAATATTCAACAAACAAGATCACCAATGTGATGTTATTGGCAAAATGAGAAGCAAGTTAGGCTTTCTATCATTCCATGGTAACATCGAAGGGCAGTATGACAAGCCGGGGAGGATGCACCGCTGAATGTGAGTACGCCTCAAGCTGTAAGAATAACCGGGACTGGGAAAAGGAGTGACGGTGTGCGTTGTGCGAATTAATTAAAAAAAGAATTCCTCGGCGATTCTGTCAAAGCTCATAAAAGTTCATATCGTCAGTTTCAGAATTCTTTCCCTCATTTTGATAAGCCAATTTCCTTCAGCCAGGATATCTGGAGTCTACCCCTCGCTATAATACCCACTACTCGAGAGTCCAATATCAAACGACAGTGGTATTCAGGATGACCAAGTACACTTTCTTGGAAATCGCTTCTACATCAGATATTCAAATGGGAGCCCCGGATAAAAAATCAGGTCGAAAACGGGGATGTTATTGAAGCCTCGCCAACTCGGCATCCAGCTTACTCAGTACACTGGGGAGAACCAGCTGGGGCCCCCATGGAGAAGGGGCAGCGAGTAAGGGACATGGAATTCATTTCCAGGCATGGAAACGCCGACTTCTTGATTATGGAGAACATGTCGGTTTGATAATCGAACCAGGGACATTTGTCAAAGATATCCTTCAATCTAGGCGGATGCAACTTCAAGGGATCGCGGAGCTCCGAGAAGGAGGATGGGCCAAATAACTGTCCTTTCAATTCGTGAAGACCAAAGTCAACGTCGACAAAAAGAAAGACTGTGCAGTACCTAAGCTTTTCGTGAGTATTCAAATTATACTCGGCATAATAATGCAGTCCCGTCCCAGTCCAGCCAAAAGCAACATGCTCAATACTTGAGATGCCACCAATCATGAATCACAATTCAACCCCAAATGTCCCTTCCCGCCAACGCCAGGCCGAAAGTCAATGCGAAAATGACTAAAAACCGAATGTGAGAAGTCACGAACCCTCGTGCTTTCGTCGGGCCACAGTCTCAATAACTTCTAGCCAGTTCGGCCTCGTAACCCAAGTCATGCAGTCTAAGCTTCAGCTTGAACTCAAGGAATCGGAGCTTGGCAAGCTCGTTAATCTCTGTCCGTCTCACGGCGTGCCACTCGTGCATGATGCTCTCGAGCATTGTTACAATGCGCGACTCTGGATCCCCAAGGGTGTCGTCCATTCGATATATGGCGGTCAACTTCTTGATGTAATGGCTCGTGGCGATTCCGAGATCCAGCATTTCGTCGTAGGAGTCACTGCGACCTGGAAAATGGTGGTCCAGAAGCGCTACAAGCATCGAGGGTCTGTAGTGAGCCATGGCCGTTCCGTAGCATGGCTCCGTGTTGCTCTCGATAGTGGTTTTCGGGATGGCGTTGAGGCCATGTGGCGGATGGTACACCGGGCTCCCAATGCTAATGGGATCAGGCGTGTTTGACTGATTTGCTGCGTCCACCAAGGCTGCATCGTCGAAGTTTGGGGACTGTGGAGTGTACTGAGCCTGCGAAGTTGGAGAGTTGGGGCTGGCAGTGTCGTGAGTCAACGATGGAGCTGAGCCTTCAGTCTCTGGAAGTTGGGACAGAGCCCGCACTGCGATCGAGTCGAGTGCACCCATCGTATCCGAACGCTGATCGATCTTGTCTCGGAGTGGTAAAGGTGAAGAGAAGAAAAGGGGCTGAAATCGATGATTGAGAAATATATAAGACGCTGCTGCAGTGATTCACAGTACCTCAGACGAATCTGGAGTTATACACGCATATGCGAGGCAGCAATCCAAAGAAGATGGAGGGGACAATGCAGCTGAAGGCACAAGAAAAATAGAATGCAAAAGAACTGCAAGAAAGAAGTGCCACGAGGATGACGGAGGCGGGCCGAGGGAAAGCAGAATAGACTGTGAGAGTAATCACCTGACCTTGGTAGGGCTCTTGCCGTCAACCTTTATGGGCGGAAGGGTGCAAACTTTTCACATCGCAGAAATGAAGAAGGAAACGGGCCTGTGGATAACCCTGAGGGGTTCATTGTTGGCTGAAGAATCACCCGTCACTGGGTGGGTGGCCATCAGCTCCTGTTGACTGGATGTAGTTACCACTCAAGAATGGTAAACTAGCAAACGGTTTGCGACACCAATCGTGTTAGGAACTGTGCATAATGAATCTTAACATTTTAATAATTCTGATTGACAATCAAATCTCCCTGGTTGGTCTCGGAGCCTTCCCTTGGAACTTGACGCTGTTCAATAAGTTGTGCGTGGAGCTTGCTGGATGGATAGAACAGCTTGTTGCTTTTCGTCCTCGAGGTATCTCCCCGTGGGCTGCAAGTGAGTGAGCAAGGCGGTACTCATTTGTAAAAAGTTCTGGCGAGATGATGGCCGGAAGATACCTTGAATCAATAATTCACCTACATAGGTATCTAAGGTAACTAGTCATTCGAACCGGCCGACTGATCCAAGTGTCCCCAACTGGGTGCAACAATGCGACAAAGAGCAACCCAATCCATCCTTAAGATAATATCACGGTTACAAATACATCGGAAAACTAATTGGGGGCAGGCGGCCCTCCCTTTCCCCTCCCAGGCGCACTCTCAAACTTCACCTTCCACGTCTCCTCCTGGTTGAAGATGGCTACACACTGCATCGCGTTTGGCTGGCCGTAGTCTGGGTCCGCACCGCCCTCAAGCAACGCCTGGTTCTTAAAATTAGCACCCAGGTCTCAGGTCGAGATAAAGCGGGTTTACCTCAATGACCGCGTCCTCCTTTTTGAACACGGCGCCAGCGAGAGGGCTCTGACCACGATCGTTGAGCCGATTTGGGTCTCCGCCATGTTGGATAAGAAGTTTGACAAGTTCCGCGTGACCGTGGTAGGCAGCGAGCATCAGCTATATAGTCACATAAGAGTTAGCTGATTGTTGCTTTTGATTTCCTTCGGATGGATTTCATACAAGTGTGTCTCCCTTCTCGTTAGTCATGTTCGGCGGCAACCCAGCGGGGAGGGCCTGCTCGAAGGTGGGAAGGTCGCCTGCACGGGCTGAATCGTACATCCGGCCTGCAAAGGCAATAGCTTCTGGAGGGAGTGAGTTCATTGGGCTAGGCTCGTGGCTCGGTTGTTGCATTGGGTCGCTCCTTGTATAGGTGCGAATGGACAAGTTTAGGTGAGGGGCAATTCTAGACAATACAGGATGGCAGCGTCGGAATTGAACTAGGAGACGTCGGAATGGGCTTCGAAATTAGTCTATGTCACGGGAATAGACTCTATGGATGAGGAATTTTGTGAGATTTACGTCAAGAATTGAAAATCAGATGTGGTTCAAGCTACGGTAGATGTCTAGGAATGACGTCGTGAGCCTGGCCAATGAGGGGCAACATATCTAATCACTGCACTCGATCCTCCGCAGCGGGGCAACAATTATCAAAAGTCTGCATTCGTGCTAGAAATAATACTGGAGCGTGTTAGTGATACGGCCGCCTAAGCTCAATTTATTAGCTGGCAAAGAATAAAACTGTATCTCGTGTATGAGCCAGAGGGTGATGTTGCGATGTAGCAAGGAGCTCCTCCTTCGTGTGTTGCCCACGCGAGACCGCCACAATCATGACCGAGGGCCTTCTAACAATGCCCTCCGGATAAAAGTAACGTCATCTGTCCGAGAAAAAATCACAAAGAAAGTTCATAGCGGCATAACGGATTCGTCGTCTCTCATCGTGCAAACTACCATTCGGCGATAGTATCGCATTGCATCATGCCGTAGCATGGTATGGTATGGCATGGCATTCCCGGCGTTTGCGTCCTGCAGCGTCACACTGCCCATCATTACTTTAGCCAATCCACGGGGCCATATTGCTCGCCGACGTACCGAAGCCACCGCGCCGGGTGGTGTTCTCGGTCCATTTTCTCAGGACTGGTAGTCCGTGATGCCGTCACCCTCGCCCGTGTCAGGTTCATTCGGGACGGGCGGATCTGGCTTGGGCGTCTCGGGGCGGTGCGCGATGACGCACTCTGTCTTGGGGCCCCACTGACCGGAGGAACGTAGATTCATAGTTTCCTTTTTATTTGAGATTCTGGCGGTTTTTGAATCTGTTTAAGAGATGCGTGAGAGGAGAGAGGGAGTCTGCCGAGCGGGGAGTTTGAGCGTCGAAAGCTTATAAGTGCCCTTGCGGCGGGGTCCGGTTACGTCAGGTCCGCGTAGACTGCATCTGCGTTTCGGAAAGATCTTGTGGTCTGGAGATGTGCTGGAGGTATGTGACAGGCTCGACGCAACGGCGGTTGATCAGGCGATGCAGGATATGATGCAGCCATCAAGGTGCGTGCTGCATCAGTCCGGAAGATATCATCTACAACGCTCCGCACCGAGGTAGCAATGGACTTTGGATTGTTTGATGCCTTCGGGTGAATGGGAGTACATTTATTCTTAGAGAAAGTTAAAAAAGGACTGGGTTCACCGGGGAAAGGGGCCCGGGCTAGAGGTGTTGGAGATCCCGCACATAGTTGATTGTAAGTTGAGATCCGGAGTAACCGCGTGTGTACGATCTACAAAGACTGGGACATAAATACCCAAAATAACCCCCGTCTGAGAAAACGTGTTTCGCTCGTGTTGGGCCATGCTTTTCAAGACACAGCATGGTCAGTGTGTGGGGCACCGTTGGGAAGCACACAGCACAGAGCTTCTCCTCAAAGCTTCTCCTCAAAGCTTCTCCTCAAAGCTCCCCCACGTATTCTGGCTCTCTATTCCCGTCGAATACCGTCCGTGTAGGGTTGGTATTTATCGACAAGTGGGATGGGAGTGCAAGTGCCCCATTGCCGCTGTCAGATCAGGCAAAAGAGGCCCATGCTTTCGCCGGCTATAGGACTATGCCTGGATGGGATCTCGCTTCGGCAACTCGCAGGGGCGTAAGGGCTAGGGGCCAAACACTGTCGAGTGGTGAAGTGAGAAATGTCGCTGGAGGCATTAAATACCAATTGATCGGCATTTCCAACGGTCGCGGGTTCCGGGGCAGCCGCTTTAGCCCAGTGTGTGTTGTCGTCGAGACTGGTAGGATGGGGCATGCGTGGTTCCGCTGCAGGTTGGGCACCCAAGATGGCTGCATTCTGGTAATGTATTGGATCTTTCATGTGCGCTTGACAGATTGGAAAGTGGGTGGGATTGTTGAAGTCCCTGTGGGAGGGGTGCTTAAGGTTTCAAGAGACGACAAGGGGCAGAATACCAGAGCCACGGACAAGTCATGCATCCATGACTTCATCCATGGGAAAGTTGAAGACCATGCTCGTCGCTTTCGCCGACCGGGGTTACCTCAACAGGAAGCTGTACGGTTTCGGCAGCCAAGACGCCAGTCGCCGAGAGGAGAGCTGTGACAACCGCAAGTTCAGCTGGAGAGACGGTGGATGGATAACAGTCAGCGCTGATGCAAACGAGGGGGAGCCTGCGTTGGGAGCTGGCTGCATCCATCTGCATGGTGTCTTTGACCCTTGTTGATCGAACCCCAGAGGGACGAGCGCACCAACGTCTTGTAACTAGTCACATTGCTACACAGACATACATGGATGCAGTAGTTGACTGAGATATTTTCATTTCTGGGATCGACTGGACAATCCCATGTCCACATAGAGAAGGAGGCTGGATGATGATTCGGTTGGGTTGCTATATTTCGTAAGAAGCGAGATAACTTGCGCCTCTTCAGTGCGTTGACCGCTTGAGAGGCGACCAGAGGGTGATTGATCCATGGCATTCAGCCTGGGTGATAACTCGTAGCAAAGGGATCCTGTTATCAAAGTCAGAAGCTTTCCAGGCGATCCGTCAGCTTCTTCAGGCCACCTAGATAGCTCGATCGGGTGAGCTCTACAGAGAACCGGAGGGGGCAACAGGCCGAAGTTTGGAACCTGGAAGGCTGGAAACTGGAAATTGGAAGCGCTCCCTAGACGCCGCCGTGGCGATGGGCTGAGACAGCTGGCGCGATCGAGATACATGCTACGTAACTTGCATAAAGGTTCAGAAAAACCGGGTTCGAGGCTTGGAGGTTGTGATGTGGATGGGGAACTAGCTAGGGCGGAAGTATCATGACGCCGCTCGCATGGTTGAGCATCAGATGTTGCGATCGCTGATGGCCGGGGCTAGTTGGATGATGGGTACATGGTGGGGGAGCTTGCTGGGATAGCACGGTACCTGCTCCACGGGGAAACCTGTGTGGGGCCCCATGTACTTTGTTGACTGAGGTAAAAGTAACGCCGGCAATCCGCAGGCGGGCATCCGCCCCCTCACTCCACTGAAGCGGCTTTGAGGCCCCGGGCGGCCGGCCACGACCGCGTGCCTTCCACCTTAGTTGCGAATAGGTATGCTTGGAGCCTGAGGGAGGGAAGGCAGGCAGGCAGGCAGGACTGTGGTATGCGCCGCGAAAGGCAATTGCGCTGTTCGCAATTCTCACAGGTGGTAGGTATCTGCATAGTACAGTACCTGGCCGTACCTGCCAATACTCGACTCCCCTGCGAATATCCTGGAAGCCATCCGTCCACTGTAGCGACTGCACTGGCGACTTTTTTCTCCCTCATCACCCTCACCACGACAAACAACCGCCCGACATCAACGAATAAGGCCCGACTGCGTAACATGCCACGCCAACTTGCTACTCACCCAACCAGACACGCTACCACGGACATGCGCTGGGTCGTCTCTGCAGCTCGTCGACCCTCTCCCCCTCCCCTCTCGCGTCGTCGTCCTCGTAACGACGCAAGCGGCAAAGAGAGACGTTCCCAGCACCAAGTGGGCGGTGGGAGTGGAGCATGGCGTCGGCCGGCGCTCTGCATCCCGCCGTTGAACGACTCTCAATTATCAGACCACCTTTCGCAGTCGCCGTCATCACCCACCTCGAGTCCAGAATTGCGCCCGCCCCGGCACCTGCCCGCCCTATTCGGCCCTCAGCCATCGCGTTGACTGACTTGTTGACTGACTTGTTGACTGATTTGGTGCCCAGCGCCATGGCCGCCAGGAAAATGCCATGAGTCCATGACGGCTTGTTGGCCTGTCCGGCCCGTCTTCCTGGCCCTTTTTCCTGGCCCTCGGCGGCTTGCGACTTGCGATTCTTCGGTTGACCCCCCACGCGCGCCACCCTCCGGCTCATTGGTGCTCTCTCGGCGTGGTTACACCGAACCCAGCGAGCAGACTCGTCACGCCCATGCACACGGCCGAATACACTCACGCCCTCAGTAGCTCATGCTGGTGTTCCTGCCGCCCTGATCTGATCTGATCCAGCGGCCTCGCACTCGGTGCCATGCTCGTAAACCTGCGGCATAGCTTGGAGCTTGCTTGCCTCACCGCACTCCAATGACTCCTACGTACCTCTTCTCGCTTGTGTAACCGCTTTCGCTGCTCTTGGCGGCTCCAACTTGCCTCTTGTATAAGAAGCCCGCCGACGCCTATCTCTCTTGCTCCCATCCATTCCTCTGGTTTCTCCTCAGCTCTAATCCAAAGAGTTGATCCTTACCTTAAACTTGCTTCCTACACACAAACCCCCACCAATGGCTGAAGCCAAATCTATCCAGCCCTTCGGCATCGCCCGATCTACCGTCAAGGGCGAGCCACTCTCCCCCGAGGAGATCAAGGAGTACAATGACTTCTTCAAGGCCAGCTGCTACTTGTCCCTGGCCATGATCTATCTCAAGGAGAACCCTCTTCTCCGTGAGCCCCTCAAGCCCGAGCATCTCAAGCTTCGTCTCCTCGGTCACTTCGGCTCTGCTCCTGGCCAGATCTTCACCTACATGCACTTCAACCGTCTTATCAAGAAGTATGACCTTGACGGTCTCTTCATCTCTGGCCCCGGCCACGGTGCTCCCGCAGTCCTCTCGCAGTCCTACCTTGAGGGTGTCTACTCGGAAGTCTACCCTGAAAAGTCCCAAGATCTGGAAGGCCTGCAGAAGTTCTTCAAGAGCTTCTCGTTCCCCGGCGGCATTGGCTCCCACGCTACCCCGGAAACTCCAGGGTCTCTGCACGAGGGTGGCGAGCTGGGCTACTCAGTCTCTCATGCCTTTGGCGCCGTTTACGACAACCCTGATTTGATTGCTGTGACCATGGTTGGTGACGGTGAGGCCGAAACTGGTCCCCTCGCTACTGCTTGGCATAGCAACAAGTTCCTCAACCCTATCTGTGACGGTGCTGTCTTACCCGTCCTTCACCTCAACGGCTACAAGATCAACAACCCGACCCTTCTTGCCCGAATCTCACACAAAGAGCTTGAAAACTTGTTCCTCGGTTATGGCTGGACCCCGTACTTCGTTGAGGGCGATGACATTGAGTCTATGCACCAGGCAATGGCCGCCACCCTTGAGCAGTGTGTGACTGAGATCAAAAAGATCCAGAAGGAGGCCCGTGAATCTGGCGAAGCCGTCCGTCCTAAATGGCCAATGGTCATTCTTCGAAGCCCCAAGGGCTGGACTGCCCCTCGAAAGATCGATAACAACTACCTTGAAGGTTACTGGCGCGCTCATCAAGTTCCCATCACTGACCCCGCAACCAACCCCGCCCACCTGAAGATTCTCGAGGATTGGATGCGCAGCTACGAGCCCGAGCGTCTGTTCGATGAAGAGGGCAAGCCAATTGCAGCCGTTACGGCTCTCTGCCCTGAAGGTATCCGCCGAATGAGCGCCAACCCTGTGGCAAACGGCGGTCAGCTCAAGAAGCCGCTCAAGATGCCCGACTTCAGGAACTATGCCATCAAAGTTGATGCCCCTGGAAACACTATGGCCGCCAGCATGACCAATATGGCTGTCTTCCTCAAGGACATCGTTGCCGGTAACATGCACAACTTCCGACTGTTTGGCCCTGACGAGACCGAGTCCAACAAGCTCGGTGGCGTCTACGATGCCGGCAAGAAGGTCTGGATGGGCGAGTACTTTGAAGAGGATAAGAATGGTGGAAACCTTGCCAAGGCTGGCCGTGTCATGGAAATGCTTTCCGAGCACACCTGCGAGGGCTGGCTCGAGGGCTACATTCTCAGTGGCCGCCACGGCCTGCTCAACAGTTACGAACCCTTCATCCATGTCATTGACTCAATGGTCAACCAGGTAAGGAGATATACCCTATACCCTGCAAACAATGACATGGCTAACAATTCCTTTAGCACTGCAAGTGGATCGAGAAGTGTCTCGAAGTTGAGTGGCGCAACAAGATTGCCTCTCTCAACATTCTGTTGACTGCCGTCGTCTGGCGACAGGATCACAACGGCTTCACTCACCAAGATCCTGGTTTCCTCGATGTTGTAGCCAACAAGAGCCCCGACGTTGTCCGTATTTACCTCCCCCCCGATGGCAACTGCTTGCTTTCTGGTAAGATAACACCCCTTGTTCTCTTTGCTTGCCGCTATCTAACGCTGTTTTAGTCATGGATCACTGCCTGCGTTCTGTCAACTACGTCAACGTTGTCGTCGCGGATAAGCAGGAGCATCTTCAGTACCTTTCTATGGATGCTGCCATCGAGCACTGCACCAAGGGTATCGGCATCTGGCCCCAGTTCAGCACCGACGCAGGACTAGAGCCCGATCTTGTCATGGCGTCATGCGGTGACGTTAGCACGCACGAGTCGCTTGCAGCCATCGACCTCTTGCTGGAGCACTTCCCAGAGCTCAAGATCCGCTGCGTAAACTGCGTCGATCTTTTCAAGCTGATCCACCCCAGCGATCACTCACACGGGCTGACTGACAGCGAGTGGGTTAGCCTGTTCACGGATGACAAGCCCGTGATCTTCAACTTCCACAGCTATCCGTGGATGGTGCACCGCCTGACATACAAGCGCCCTGGAAGCCGCAACCTCCATGTCCGAGGCTACAAGGAGAAGGGTAACATTGACACCCCTCTTGAGCTGGCCATCCGCAACCAGACCGACCGCTTTAGCCTGGCCATCGATGCTATTGATTGGATGCCTCATCTGCACAACCGGGGCACGTCGGCTCGCCAGGCTCTGCTCAACGCCCAGATCGAGGCCCGAAACCAGGCATTCGAGACGGGTATGGACCCGGCATTCCTCAAGGACTGGACGTGGAAGCGTAACGGAATGTGGAGGAAGACTGGTGACGGTCTCGTTTCGAGATAGACGGCTATAGGCTTCATTGCCAGGATAGAAGGACAATCGAATGGATTTGGAATTCTAGATGGGCGGATAGAGAAGAGTATGGAAGATGTTATGATGATGAAGTGAAGATAAAGGGCGTTGGTTGGTGGATAGTTGGGCGGCTATTTCCTGTTGTGCGTAGTCTCTTGTTATTGCTTCTTTCCCCTCGTTTATAGGCTCGACTAGTTTATACAAACAGCGTGAACGGTTTGCTAGCAAGCGGGTTTCATGATGTTGTGATTCTGTGATGCATTCAAAGCTTAGACACTCCTATCCTTTCATGCCTCGAGGTCTATCAATTACCATTCACCCCCCTCGGGTCTCTCGTCATATGAAACATATCCAAGCCCAAGTCGTCAAACCAAGTGTGCTCCTGAACCTTGAACCCAAACAGCTCATAAAGTGGCCGCCCGCTCTTGCTCGCATTCAGATACGCCATCCACCCTTCCTTGTCCGCAAGCTCGACGCCGAAACGCATCATGGCCGCGCCGATGCCGCGCCGCTGGGCCTCGCGCCTCGTCACGATCATGCTCAGGAACCAGAAGTCGCGGCCGGCGACAACCCGCTGCGTGGCCTCGCGCGCCGTCTGGAAGAAGTGCGCGGCGACGGCGTTCTCGCCGCTTGACGGGAACGTGGCTGGGGTGAGGACGGTGGGAGTTGGTAGGGTGGCGGGCCTGCGGGCCCAGCGGACCCAGCCGAGGATGGAAGAGGTATCGGAGGCGGAAGCGGAGGCGGGAGCGCCGGAGTCGGTGCCGGAGCCGGCCGGTGGGGACTCCGGGCTCGAGCCGGGCGGGGTCGCGAGGGCAACAATCAGGTGGACGTCCGGGAGGTTGACGTAACCCTCGATCCACTTGGTCCAATAAGTGCGGGCATCCTGCGAGGAGTCCAGGAAGCAGCGTTGGTTGAGCGGGTTGTCGTGGAAGGCGTCGAAGTAGACATCGACCATGGTCGGCACATCTTCGAGGGTGGCTTCACGCAGGGTGATGGTGGGTTTTAGGGTGGTCATGGTGAGTGAGTTGGCTTTGTGGTGATGATGGTTGGGTGCTGTGAGTTGAGGCGATGAGAACAACTCAAAATACGGGCATTGATCTCATTTTGACGGGTTGACAATGTTGGAAGTTGGGAAGGTGAGTCTCCAATCGGCGTGAGTCACATGAGGTGAAGGAGGTGCAGATTGAGAGGTGCATTGCATATGCAGATGCGCAGCTATGCTCACACGGCAGAGATGCCCTCGAGAGTCGAAATTGAAACGCTTGAAACACCACGAGATGGTGACTTCTCTTCGTTGGTTAACGGCCGTGATACAGAATATCGCACTTATTCTTTCTCTAGCAGCTAGGTTGGAAGCAGACCGTCGACAACAAACCATAGGCAATAGACAACAGACGCACGCTGAGGCTTAGAGTTCGCCATTGACCAAATTACCAAGCATATTATAATATTTCTGTTCATGATATCCTCAGGCACGTAGGGAGGTAGATACGCAGCTGTATCAACAATTTCCACTCAACTCGCTGGCTGGATGTCCTCGAAATTATTCCCATTTTAAACCTGAGCCCTCCGAAACGCCCAAACTATCCCATTCCCGTAATCCTTCCTTTCGCTGTAATATCACTCCCATTCTGTCTGGGCATATCTTACAAGGCCTTGACCGACTGGAAAAAGGGATTGGCCAACAACTCGGCATTGGCTCCGACCAGCTCCTTGAGCGCGGCTACTTGCTCCTCCTGGCTCATCTCTCCCTTTCGCACCTTGTCCTTCCACTCGACGAGCACCTCCTTGAGCATGGCGCTGCCCTGCTCGACGTCCTCCTTGCTGTAGCTCAGGGCTAGGTCCTCGTGCTTGGTCGTAAAATCTTCAAGCTCGTCGGCCTTGCGCTTCGCCATACGTACCACCTTGTCCGGGAAGCGCACCAGCTCGGCGACATGGATGCCGAAACTCTGGTCGCACACACCGGGTGCCACCTTGTACAGCAGCGTCACCTCACGCTTCTGGGCCTCGGCGTCCTCGCCCGTACCGCTGATGTGCGCCGTGACATGGAGGTTCTGTACTTGCGGGTACTGATCCGCTAGGGCCGTCAGCTCGTGGAAGTGTGTCGCAAACATGGCGAAGCAGCCGATCTCCTTGACGATGTGCTCCGAGATGGCCCACGCTAAGCCGAAGCCGTCATAGGTCGAGGTACCACGGCCAAGTTCGTCAATAATAATGAGCGATTCTGCCGTGGCCGACTTGAGGATGTTGGCGGTTTCAAGCATCTCAGCCATGAAAGTTGAGACACCCTTGAGTTGCGAGTCGCTGGCACCAACTCGAGCGAGGATGGAATCGAAGATGGTGAGTTCCGCCTCGGCGCAGGGCACGAAGCATCCAATCTGGGCCAATAGTGCAACAGCGCCAGTCTGGCGGATGTATGTTGACTTACCGCCCATGTTGGGGCCCGTAATGATAAGAAATGATGACTTGTCGCGCGTGAGCTCGATATCGTTGGTGATGAACTGGACATCATCCTGCAGCTCCATGCAAGGGTGACGGGCTTCGCGAAGCACCGTCTGACCCTCACCGCGAGGGTGAATCTTGGGCCGGACGTAGGGCTCAGGGGCATGGACGGAGGTGTGGGCAAGGGACACGATGACGTCTAGGTGAGCAAGCACACCTGCGAGTCGCTCGATAACAGGGCAGTAAGATGACGCTACTTGGACGACTTCATGGACTAGACTGCTCTGTGTTCGATTGTAGTTCTGGGACAGTTGGTCATGCTCACGGCGATAGGCCTGCATCTTCTTGGTGGTAAAGTAGACACCGTTCTTTTGCGTTGAGCACTCCTGGTAGCCGGACTTGTTGCGGATGCAACCGGCCTCTTGTCGGGTGAGACGCATACACACACCGTGGACTTTGTGGTTGGTCTCGAGGAAGATCTTCTTGTCGGGCTCCTGGCCAAGGTCGTCGGCCGCATCCACGAACTCGGAGCGGATGTCCTGGTCGAGCTGGTCGAGTTTCTTGCGGATGATGCGTAGGCTTTTGTCGAAGTCGGCCTTGATGATGTACTCGTGACGGTCGAGCGCGTCGAGGTCAACTGTCTGCTCTACCATATCCTGGAGCTTGCCGAGGTTGTCAGAGAGATCACGAAGCTTGGTGGTGTAAGCTTCGTCAAGGGGATCACGGTAGGCCTCATCCATAACTCCCTCAAACGTGCCAATGAAGCCAGGAAGGCGAATAACCACCTGGTATGCTCGAACGACGTCTTCGAGGTTTGCCTTGCCGCGTTGGAACCGCTTGGAAAGACGGTACAGGTCAGGAATGGAGCGGAGGTGCTCCTCCTGTAGGGTTTGACGGAGTTCAGTGTCAACGAAGAAGGCTTCCACCAGTTGTTGACGCTTCTCAATCTCCAGCTTGCTCATCAAGGGCTGCTTCAGCCACTGGGCCAGCAATCGGCTTCCGACAGGCGTCTTGCAATGGTTGAGCACACCAAAGATGCTCATCGTCTTAGATCCATCCCGCACGCCGGGCATGAGGTTGAGGGCCTTGAGAGCAGCGGCATCCAACTTCATGAATTGCGCGAGGTCATGCTGATAGAGCTGGTACTGGCCAAAGTTGGAAGGGTCCTGGAGAACACCGAGGTACTTGATCAAAGACGCAGCTGATCCCATAGCCAGCTTGAGGTCAGTTTGGGGGAGCAGCGTGGTGGCCCGCTCGTCCTTGAGCAGACGAGCAAGATCTTGCTCGATATCACGGATGCCAAAGTCTCCAGACGGCCGCTCAGCAATGGCTACGCCGCAATTATCGATGATTTTCTTCAACTTGGCCAACTCGGGATCCTTGTCCTTCTCCCCCTTGTCGAACTGGATCAGACACTCGCGAACGCCGAGCTGGATGAGAAGGGCCTCGAAGTTGGAGTAGAGGTCGTTGTCGAGAAACTCGCTGACACCGAGCTCTCGGACGCTGGCGTCAGCAAAGCAGACACCGACGTTGCGTGCCTCGGAAGCCTTGGCAGAGATTTTGACGGCCAGGATCATGGGAGCTGCGTCGATCTGGCTTCCAAGCTCTTCCTCGACATCCTGGAGGTTGCCCGGCGAGGCTTGCTTCACGCACTTCCAATTCATGCGACCAGAGGCGCTCTGCCAAATCTCTATCCTCTTGCCCAGCTTGAGGAGGGCTTCGCGAAGGAACTGACGGAAGACGGTCATGGTCATGGTGACAGATGGGAGTCCGGTGTGGTCGTTTCGGCCGAGCTGTCGAACGACGGAGGTCGTCTTGTAGACCTGGGAAACGAGTGTTAGAGCGGTTTTGGCATCAATAGCTCGAGACACTTACCGTTTTGGCGATGAAGGTCGCATCTTGGCCGTGAGCGGTGTACCAGTCGCCTCGATCGAAGACGCGGATGGTGTCCTCGCCGACATCTGGGAGCGCCTTGAAGAAGCGAATGAAGCCGCCCTCGTCGTCGAGCTATTGCGCGGGAGAGTTAGTGGTGTTCCTCGGCTGCTATGGAGGACTTTGGAGCACATACCTTCAGTTCTGGTCGTGAAGCCATAATCAAGCGTTTTCTGACTGCGTGCAGGTGATTGACTTGATTCTGGAGCTTCCAAGAAGGAGAAACCGAAGGCGGACTCGTCGGTGTCGTGTAGGTGGAGGTCGCGTCGTTAGCCCCCGCCACACTTGACATGGGCTGGGAGACGCGTTTTCTGGCGTTCTCAATTAAACCCTGCGACGCGAAAAATGGTGACGGACGGCGCGCAGCTGGTGTGCAGCTGGCGCGCAGCTGGCACAGGCGGCCTACTAAATTTGGCGCACAGCCTACTGTATAGTAGCGCTTGTTAGTCCAGGACTTGTGTCAGGCCTGTAGCAAAGTGTTCAGCAGCCATTGTGTGTGCCTGCGCGATACCCCAGCTGTTGTACTGGGACTAACAGCCAAGTCAACCAACACACACGGCATCCATCCGCCATCCATCAACTTCCCAACAGTGAGCAGACGTCTCCTCTTCCCTCTCACAACGTCGAGCGAACCTGGGTACCCAAGGTGGAAAATCAAATTGAAATCCGCCACCCAACCTAATCAGTCATCATAGACACGGCCGCCTATCTCGAATGTCGAGAGAATTCGACTCTGACAGGATGGATTGACCTCGAGTGAATTAAAGACAGTCGGCTCACGCTCCACTAGCGAAACCACCGTCATACGAGACGATCCAAGCGCATCGCTACATACGAAAATAGGCCAGTGCAGTGAATCTCGACGGGCCATCAATGTCTGCTTTGAGATTCACAGCCAAAGGATGCGGATGCTTAAATTAGTCCCCGCCAATTGCGCCAACTCGGATTGAGATAAAACATCAACATCTCGCTCCACTAGCGTCCGTCGGCCCGCAAGATCCAACCAACTCCAATCAATGTCTTGTCAGCTGGTCGCAACGACGTCAATCTGAGATTTGGCAGTCACCGGGGTCTTTTCAAGTCCCGCAAATCAAATGCTCCATCGACCCCCTTTGGATTGGAACGGAGAGTGGATCTGTGGTTCAGCAAACCCCCACAGCACGGGATGGTTCTATCAAGAAGACGAGCCTGGGCTAGGGAACATGGCGTCGAACTCGACCCAATAGCAGCCATGTACCGTGTGAGAGACTTTCAGAACTGGGTCTGCACAGAGGTTTGAACAAGATGGAGATGGCATCTTGGGACATTTTGGCCCACTCTCCCGCGGCGCCACTGAGGTCACATCCGTTCCTCAGTCTCCCTCTTACGACGTCACCTCATGACACCTTTTGATCAGCCGTATCTGACGACGATATCATCACCAAGGAGCGCCACGCCACGAGAGGAGTTCCCCATTGACAAGTCTGGCGATTGTCGTGCTGAGAACGTTCTGAGAAACAGCGTCGAGGACAGAGCGCACCATGCTCAATCCTGGGATACGACTAGCCCAAGCCTTGGCGACAGGGTTCGTGTGGCCATCAAGGTCCTCGTCGAAGCAGCCGCCAGCCATCAAGGTTCTCACCATGAGTCTCAGTTGTCAGGCTTGGCAACACTCCGCTGTGATGGGCTGCGTTGAGCTGAATGGGCAGCCTGGAAGAGGGAATTTTACCAATGCCCATGGCTCGACTGGGTCAGACTCTCGCCCTTGTTGGCTCTGCTTCCCCTCTCAATGATCCAGGGCGGCTCTTTCTGGCACCTGGATGTCCTCCTCCTCCTCTTCCTGCATCTCTTTGGAACACTCTCGGATCTCGTTGCCGGTAACCCAATAATCCAAGGACACGGACTCGACGCTTGGTGCTTCTGCTGCTTTGCCGCCGCTACTGCGCCTACTGCGTATGCTTATCATTTAAGCTTAAGCTTAAATTTGCTCCTGTCCAAGATCCCCCGGAACCCGTTTCACGCGTTTTCGCATCTATCACCACCATCAACATCCGTATTTTTCGACCTCGGACAGTAGGAACCATGCACTCTGCCGTGGCCTTGTCCCTAGTCTGGGGCTTCGCTGGTGCTGCCAGTGGTGCGGGCCTAGCTCCCAGGCAGACTGACGCTGCCACGACCACGGCTGCAGAGCCTGAGGTCACCGCAATCACCGGTTGCCATTTCCATGAGTCCAGCGTGTTAGTTCCCTTTGCCCTAGAGGAAATAGTTCTCAACTGACCATCGTCAACTAGGTACTGTTTTGCTGGCGAGACGGAGTATCTAGTAGACGTATCGATCACTGCTACTAGCGACGTCCCCTCACAGTACACCGACTGCCATGCCCATGACTCGGAAATGTTCTGCGTTGACTCCGATGGAGGAGATGTCGCAGTCGAGGCCGAGGGCACCGAGACAGAGGAGGATCACGACCACGAGAGCGAAGAGGATCACGACCATGAGAGCGAGAGTGGGCAAGAACATGACCACGAGTCCGAAGAAGAGACAGAGAGCTCTAGCGCCGGCCAAAGTTGCCACTTCCATGCCGGTGTCGAGTGCGTTGACCCACCCCAAGTATCATCTATTCGCGTTAGCTAACACTATCCAGACATTGCACAGGTGACGATGAGAGTGAGTCCGCGGAGTCGAATTGCGAAGCCCCCAACAGAGACTATAACATTGGTCTACGTGTCGGCTTGCTCTTTGTCATTCTAGCCACCAGCGCCATCGGTATGCCCCTTCATTTACTCCCCTACTGCAAAGTGACAGACCTAACATGGTGCAGGTGTCTTCGGACCGATCTTGCTCCACAAGTTAATGCCCTCCAAGCTCAACCTAGTATTCATCGTTTTGAAGCAATTTGGGACTGGCATCATTGTCTCCACTGCCTTCATCCACGTATGTTCTCTTCTTCCAACGCGGCCTCGAGGTGCTGACTCTTTGGGATAGTTGTTTACTCATGCCTTCCTCATGTTTGGCAATGATTGTATCGGCGAACTGGGCTATGAAGGCACTACTTCAGCTATTGTCATGGCGGGTATCTTCCTGTCCTTCCTTGTCGAGTTCATCGGTCAGCGCATCGTCCTAGCCAAGACCAAGTCTGCTCTTAGCCAGGGACACCAGGCCAAGGCTTGGCTATCAACCGAGGTGGTCAGCATTCTAGTCATGGAGGCGGGCATCCTCTTCCATTCGCTCCGTAAGTCACAGCCCTCCTGAACTAGAACCAAAGCATCTAACGTCTTCAAAGTAATCGGCTTGACGCTAGTCGTCTCTGGTGACGAATATTTCATCACCCTCTTTGTTGTCATTCTCTTCCACCAAATGTTTGAGGGTATTGCCCTTGGTAGCCGCATTGCTACCATCGGCACTATCGCTGAAGCTCACGTCATCTCCGTCACTCGATCCTCAGACGAGGCGGTCATTCAAGATTCCGACAAGGCTGTCACTACTCCCAGCGACTCTGCCTCGAGCGAGGAAGCTGTGGTCATTCCAACCGGCCTCGGTATGAAGAAGAAGCTTGGGCTCGCCGCCCTATTTGCTTTCATCACCCCCATTGGCATGGCCATTGGTATTGGTGTTCTGCAACAATTCAACGGTAGCAACCGCTCCACCCTCCTCACCATTGGCACACTCGATGCCCTCTCCGCCGGTATCCTCATCTGGGTCGGCCTCGTTGAGATGTGGGCAGCTGACTGGATGGTCGGCTCTCATGGCAAGAAGGCCGAGCTTGCCGATGCAAACCTCCTCACCACTACCCTCGCTGCCACTGGTCTCATTGCTGGCCTGATCCTCATGAGTGTCTTGGGTAAGTGGGCATAAGGTGGAGAGGTGCGAAACTTTTAATGCGATGTAATGACGGATATTGGTTTGGTTTAGTCGATTTATGATGGGTCGGCCGTGGAGGAGATACATAGATGGCGGGCTACGAGAGGGAACTCGTGGACGTGCGGATATACAGGCACCTGTTTGCGTAAATTTTGTCTATAGATGGCCCTCCATAGAAAATGGCGGGCTTGCATACAAGGGAATTATGATCTCAGTTGAAATTTAACTGAATCCTGGGGAAAGATGCATACCGACGTCAACTCCGTTACAGAGACTTGGCTTTCTCACATCTGCAACCTGAGGAGAACAAACCCCGTCCGTGTCTTGGATAAAAGACATTCACCTCCAGCATAATCAAGCATGTGGTTAAGTCAATGCGGTGAAGAATCCAATTCGTGAGCATCTATGGAAATGTGCTAATTCTCGGACTCTTACCCTTACATTTCCTCTCCAATACCCGACCATTCTTGATTGAATTTCTCTCTTCTCTCCAAACCGGCATCAAATATGCCAACCTCAGATCAATGGTGAATTCGTCGATACATCAGGGTAGAGTTGGTAGTCGTGTTGTACGGCAGGATCTGGATATTGTCCACCTCATTGTTCATGATGTCCCAGTGATCCGAGATCTTCGGGTTTCCATACGGCCGGAGGGCTGCGAAACGCACACTGCCAACACAAGTTAGCACCTCACTCCAGAAATACAACCACAAGTCGGGGACTTCTTACGTGTAGTTGCCAGGGGCGATCTGCGTCCCATTGGCTAGCTTGCCGAACCACCAGAAGAGGCGGAACCCTCGCACCACGCGTGTGAGTGGGAACGGAACCGTGTCTTCAATGTCGTTCACGCTCGGGCTGAAGAACCAGAACTGGTCCGAGTCTTGGTACGTGGTTGCGGAGCCCACATAGCCGCGTTCGCCAACCTTGGGCGGGTAGTGCCAAAGGGCCTCGGACCAACTTGCATCGAAGATCTAATGTAACCAGTTGGCAAAGGGGCCGAGAAATAAGGGGTCGAGAAACAAGGGGTCGAGAAACAGGGAGTCGTGCAGGGTGTAACTTACATCCCAACGGAGGTGGGTACAGGGGTAGGACAGCCTTGCACCGATTTCGATAAAGTCATTGGCATTTTTGTTCACGTTGAACGACCAACTATGACACATTTGTGAGTACAGAAGCGGAATTTCTCAGGATATTTTACGTACCTCCAATCACCGTCAAGTTCTGTGATAGATGGGTCTGCAATGAACATATTGTCGAATGCCTTTTCGGTGTCATAGGCCGCTCCTGTAGGGAAAATTTTTTTAGTAGGATGGGATTAAAAGACGGAGGGTGCAAACTAACCTCCATACGGAATTGCAAGCCGCTCTCCATGATTAGACACAACCCAAACCTTACCACCGTACAGGGGAAGGTAATCATCGTTGACATCGGGTAGAGCAAACATCACTCTACTTAGAGTTAGAAGATGGCCGGTAAATAGATCATGGGAACTTACTCGACCTCCCTTGTGTCTCCCGGGCGGATAATGACGGGATCTGGAAGTGTTACTGGCGGTACAATGCGTCGCGGCTCAAGGCTATACAGAGACAAAATTCCGTAGTAATTATCCAAGATGTTGGCACCGGCCTGGGGTTCGAGCTCGAACGTATACTTGTGCATCTTGTCTCCGTTGTTGCTGATTCTGAACTTCCATTTCGGAACGAACATCTCTGTATCCATCAGTGCGAATGGTTCATAGTCGAGCTGGGTGTCATAATTGAGAACTTTCCAAGCATTAACCAATCCCGTGCCAACTTGGAAGGGAGGCGCGGTGAATTTGCGATGGACACGATTGGATACCCAAGGAAGACTGCTGCCACTGGAAGCGATGCGGTCATGGAGCATCTTGGCGAAGCCTGCCCCGTGGAACTCGCGGCCCCCGTGTTCTCCGATGAACAATGCGGCGATGCCTGCGACGTACGGGGCGGCCATAGAAGTCCCACTCAGCTCTTCGTAGCTCTGGTTTAGCACTGTACTCACCACGTCGTATCCGGGTGCTGCAACGTCGGGCTTGAGGAGGAGTTCGTTTGACGGGCCCCACGTTGTGAAATAGACTGGCAAGGGCGATATGCTCTTGTCAGACATGTTGGCGTGCGGATCTGCGGAGACATTAGCAGCTGCGACGGCCAGGACCCCATGGCCCATTGCGCCGCTGCTGGAGAAGAAGGGACCGGTTTCTCCTTCGTTCCCGGCTGATGCGGTGATAACGACGCCTTTGTCCACAAGGCGACTGGAAAGGAGCGCCCATGGGTTGTCTGAGAAGCCGTTCGGCTGGCCAATACTCGTAGAGATGACATCGGCCTATGAAGGGTTAGAGGATGATGTTTCAACGATACGCTCAACTTACTCCTGCGTGGTAGGCATCACACAAAGCTTGCATGATGGTTTCCTCATCGGTTTCCCACGGTTCCTTGGAAATGTATTAGCTGGAGTATTCCAGAATGGAAGAGCCGGCTTCTTACATCAGAAAACACTTTGTAAATCAGCAGCTCTGCGTCCGGGGCAACTCCAGTAAGCCTAAACATTGCGTCAGTCTCACGCATCATACACCCACGAGTCAATCAAAGGACTCCTGGTGACACACTCACCAACTGTTATCGGCGGCAATGATACCCGCGACGTGTGTTCCGTGGCCATGAAAATCCATGGGATCTTCATCTGGCCGTTTCGGGAACTTCTCGTCGTATTTGGTGTCCCCTCGAGGTGGAATGAGCTTTGTAATCTTGACAACCCAACTCAGGGAGGAAACTTACAGTTGGGCCCAACCAGATCGTATCCGCCAACAATCTTGCACCCAGGACCAAAGCAACCACCAAGCTAAAGCCGTTAGCAAAAGATCGGTGCAGTTTTATTGGATTTTTCAAATACCGCTTCGTGAGTATAGTCGATTCCGGTGTCAATGATGGCAACGGTGGCTCCTTTACCCCGAATCCCCTTGGCGTGCAACCTGTCGACACCAGTCCACTGATGCATGGAGTAGTTGTGCCTGGCATTGGACGAGAAGGGCGATACTGATTTCTCGACACGTGGTGTTTTCACAATGCTTGCTGGCCAAGCGTTGATGACCCCATCCATCTGAAGCAGTGTATCAACATTCTCGGAGTCGGTCTCAAGCACCATGCCGGCGAAGACGTCGCTGCAGTCGAACTCCTTGTAGGAGCTACCGATCCGGCTTGATTTGGAGAGTAACTGGAGGGCCACATTGCCTGGACCCGGTCGCTAACAGAGTGAGCTGAAGTCCAAAATCGGACTGGTTATAGAGTTACCTGTTCAACTTCGATAATAAACTTCCGAGTTCCCCCTGTGCTCACTCGATCAGTTGGGACACCACCCGGGTTGAGTGGGGGTCTCTGGTCTTTAGCAGCCACGGATACAACCCCGAAAAGGAGTGACAACAAGTGAGAGAACATCATTGTGGGCAGATCTCGTTCTGCCGTCTCAGAATGAAGAGAAAAAAAAGGAGAACCTCGACTCCGATAATGTCACATATATATGGGAACTTGGGGGAGCACGTATGAGCTTGAGCGACTTCGCCGGTGCCCTTTCGGAAGATTGATCAATATGGACATGTCTCGGGACAGTGCTTCATTTGTGTAGTAGGTGTGTGCATCCCTACAGTACGGCAGTAACCGGATAGTCAATTCGCCAAGCAGCATCGGGGCACACGTTTGTAGAAGCCGTTGAAGTACGCCACCATGTCACATAGGGAGTTGCCGCAGTTGCCGTCTCAGACCGAGACAAGTCTCGGCAGGTCTCTAATGAAGCCAACATTACTGTCAATGTAGACATCGCCCGATGGCTCTCGGTTTGCCACTGCGATGGGTTTGATAAATGCGGTATTGCTGCTGTAGGCTCTCATCTGGCGTGATCTGATGTAAGGTCTCGACTCTTGTCATAATGGCATTCAGTGAAGTGTTAACGATGAGCTGCCATGCTGTCTGACCAGCCTGTTTGGTTTAGCCTCGCATCCGAGGTTGCCCACTACCGGTCCGTTGTCGTGCAACGCAAACGATCCTGAGATGCCGCAGCCGTCTTGTCGTAGCACAATTGTCGGTCGACGAACATACGGCCTCGAGGCGATGATCCCGTAACCTCGCAGCTGTACGACTGCGATGGGACAGTCGTAGCGAGTTCCGACGGCACGGATCGATTGAGACAAGATACGATGTTGAGATGGGTTACATGCTCGGCGAAGGTTGTACTAGTCGAACAAAGGCACTTGTCATGGCTCGTAGCACAAGGCGGAGGCTGGTTGTATATGCTCGTGTAGGTAGCAATTCGTCACACTTTGGTTGTGAACGAGACGGATGGGGGTACATTGGTTGCATTATGGGAACTTGGATGTATGGTTCATGTTGTTTGAAGGATGCGGCCCAGCTCGGGTGCTCACGTGAACGACGCCGAGCTGGGATGGTAGGAAAGAGAAGCCCAGGCGGCGCTCTTGCAGCTCTTGTGGCACATCGACTAATAAGCCACCCGCTTTTGTCGTCTACCTCTACTACCTCCATAGGCATGCATACCTACCTACCTAGGTAGGTAATTAGGTAGGTAGGCAGGTAGCTTCACCAGTTTCAGTGACACTACGCATTGGGGAAGTCGCTCGTGCCTTCAATGTTTAATGAGATGATGTCCCATCGCGACTTAATTAAATAGCTGTCCGTCTAGTGGGAATAACCCTGGCTCACTATGACGCACTCGGTTATTCTGGCACCTGAAGCTGAAGACGATAGAGCGCGAGCTACCACGTAGTAGCTCGGTGCTGTTGTGAGTGATGGTGATAATCTAGAACGGTGGGTTTCCTAATGAAGATCCCGGCACCGAGTTTAGCGCGATGGGATGCAACAGACGACGGGTCAGTCTGTCTGGGAATTGGTGCAGAACTAGGTAGAGAAGATGATGAAGAAACTAGCCAATCGCTATTTAACCAGAAGAAGCTACGCCGTCAGTAGCGAAGAGACGGACAAGAAGCCGGGCCCAAGTCCGTGCCTGGCGATCTACGCTACCTGTGCGGAGGGACTTGACTCGTTCCGCACACACACTGAGAGAGAAGTCATCGCGTGGCATGGCTTGCCAGCCACCTGGGATGTGAGCTCGGTTAAGCTTACTCGTGCTAATAGTTCCATGGGAAACGCGTGGGCATATTACACATATTACAGAGTACATAGCCCCGGACTGATTGGACTTTTGGAGGGGCAACCTCGAACGTGGGCACCCTCGAAGAGAGGAGAAACGCATGCAGTTGAGTTGCGTATTCGGATTCGACCTTACTCCATAAGGCGGCCGTGCCGTGCAGGGCGCTGCAGATACCAACTGCATGCCGTTTCACCGAAGAGCTGGAGAAGAACGAGGGGAAGCAAAAGGAGAGGGAATAGGTGGGCGATACCACACGTGGAGGCTGGGATGGTGCGATGAAGGTGGGTTGGTTGACTGACTTGGGCCGTTGGTGCAGCGAGCCAAGCCCGATGCAGCATGTGGGATGAACCATCAACCATGCCATGCATGTAGAAAGCAGGGGGTGATTTCGCCACTGAAGAACGCGTTGGGTTTCCAGGGATGTTGTGAGCGAGGTGAAAGTGAGGGAGGTGGGTGTGGTGGTTGTGGTGGTAAGTACTACACGCGCACAGTAGTTCTGGAAGACGGTAACTAAACCCTCAAGATGCTCGAATAGATCAATTAACCACAACGGCAGATGACCCCAAGACCAGACCAGGGCTAGTCAGGGCGCATTCATGTGAATCGTGTCGTGCGCGTGAATAAGGATCGTCCATTATTACTACGTACCGCATAGTACAACGCCGGCCCTGACTCGGCATGGCGTCAATGGACCGCCAAACCATGACAATCAATGCAAACTCCCAGCACTCTTCTGACTCTCACACTCACAAACGCGCAGAAACGTCCCCCCTGCGTCGACCCGCCAACACCAGCCCGCCCACTAGCGATCCTGGCGCGGACAATGGCCGCAGCGGGCTGGACCGACCATGTCAAGAAGGCCTGCGCTGCCCTGCTTTACGGCTTCGCCAAAGCGTCCCCCCCAGCATCTACAAGCATCTCCCAGCGTCTCCCCTGGAAGAAGAAGGCTGCAAAACCTTGGCCAACTCGAGGGCCCTGGCAGAAATGCAACCATGGCACCTGGAACCCCCGGGGCTGGAACACACAGGAACCGCAAGAGCCCACTGCTGCGCCCAACCGTTGGCTAGCGACTCGTACTATGCCGCGACGGGCTTAATTGCCACGCGTGTCCATGATGTGAGCCGGTGGGGGAGCTGCTCGCGAGCATTAACCTAGCAATTATTAGCAGCTTGCCCGTGTGATTTGAGGTGGGTTTTTAGTCAAGGCCATACGAGATTGAGCAAAGAGCCTGGAAGAAGCCCGGGCCGGCAAGCGAGCGCAGGCGGTCTTGAGTGCTTGTTACGAGCCCGAGCTTGGACGCGGGTTTTAATTGGGATAGATGGAGATAGATGGAGATGGATTGAAATACATGGCATGCGACTCTGACTTTTCACCATGGCGCAACGGCGTTTTTGTGACGTGATTGACTTGGACGCGGACACGGCAGAGGCGTCGAGGAGGGAGCATTGATGAAGCCTGAGCGAACGGGCACGCTCGCTGCATGAGAGCGAACGCGCTCAAGGGGTTGGTTCCATGGAGACGTTCTAGAGCCAAACACGGGCCTGTCACTGACGAACCAATGCCATGCCGGCGACTTGCCAGGCCATCCCATCCGAATGGACCTCTGCAGGTGTCGAGTCGAGTCGAGCATGGCGCTGGCGCACCGAAACAATTCAAACTCCCATGCTCCCAGCGCCATCCCAGCGCCGCCATGAGCGGGTGGCCAGCGCCTGGGGCCTGCCAGGAGGGCCGAAGCCTGCGGGCGTGGACGGGTGTCCGGTATGGGGCCGCCGAGCGACCCAAGTGGGAATTGCCCTGTGCGTTTAGCGGGCTGTTCCCCCTGGACCGTCCACTCAGCAGCCCCAGTCGTGCACCCCGGTAACCCGCCAGAAAGCCCGCATTCGGGGCATCCCCCCCTGTTAGTCAGTTCGCCGGGGGGGCGACTGTTGGGGACGAGGAAAACGCCTCCAGCGCCATGGCTCCCACTGCAGAACACCAGTGCCCGTTTAGCGGCCGGGGCCCTGGGCCGCCACTGGACCGCCACTGGACCGCCACTGGACCGCCACTGGGCTCGCGTTCCTGGCTCCCCTAGCCCACCCTAGCAGGTACCTGGCAACTGGCGACACCCATTCGCCTCCCCCCTAACATGGAAGATATCACGGGCGAGGCGACCAGGTTCTTAGGTACCTAGGTCCCCTCTGGCCCGCTGGGATGTACCTACAGCAGGTACTTTACCCAACTCCTCCAGGCCTTATCACTCCCCGGCGCCAGTTCCCTTCCTCCCAGCCATCCCCATCATCCTCCCGCTGCCCTTCTTCTACCCCCCGTCTCCCACCTGCTTCCCTCATTCGTTTGGATCCCTTTCTCGGACGATCAAGAACGGACTTCCAGGTGATTCCCTTCTTCTGCATCTGCGTCCTCGACTCTCCTTTTATAATCGCCTCGCCAATTACGACTCCTCCAACCTCCCGCGCGTGAATCCGTCGAGCACATCTTCCCGCCCCCTTTACTCTTCCCCCCAGCGACGAGACAAGACACACTCCCGAGGCAAAAGATACAAGACGATCTGCATTGAGTGCGAGATCCTATCACCTTGATAAACATCGCCATCAACCTCCTACTCCTGCTCCTACGCGATACCCAGCTCGTCTCGACGCGCATCTCGTTGCCGACCTCCAACGAGAAGCTCAAACAACATCTCAACAATCACCAACCTACCCCCCACCCACCACCCACCCCCCACCGCAATCATGGGCAAGAGTCTTATGGACAAGATCCAGGCCAAGCTGGAGCTCTTCCGCCTTGAGCAGCGCTACACCCGCCGCCGTCATCGTCGCTCCACCTTTGTCTCCAACGCCGTCTACGTGGATGGCGAATACGTCTACCAGACTCCCACCAGCACCGGCTCCTCCACGGGCTCCTCCACCGTCGACGCCCTCCACGGCGAGAAGGCTGTCGTCACCAGCACCGCCATCATCCCCGGCCCTCTACCGGACCACATCGCCGAGATGGCCTCTCCCACCGAGAAGCAGCCCACCGACCGCGAGCGCAAGCGGTTGAACCGCTTCAGCTCCATCCCCCACTTCGGCGGCAACTACGGCAACAGCAGCAAGGAGCTGCCCACAGTCAAGGAGCGCCGCGCAAGCATGATCCGATGAGCGACCAGCACAGAGACGAACAAGAAATCTAAATAAAAAAGAAAAGAAAAGAAAAAATACAGCAGTCCCGTCACACGGCGCACGGCATCTGTACGATTCACGGACTCGGCGCGACGGCCCAGGCGTGGAGTAGGCGCAGGCGTAAGCATGCACGCGGCATATGAGCTGGATGGATGGATTGATTGATTGATGGACGGATACCATTCGCGCTCACTGATGACGAAGTCTCCCCTCGACTGCACAAGGCCGTCGGGCGGCGTCTTTTGACGAATTCTCACCTTCTTGGCTACGCTTTTCCCCGTCCCCGTCTCTCTCCCCGATTTTTTTTTGGTTTATATCCAGGCGGACAGCATTGGACAACCTGGGGGGCCTTTCAGAGCATACACTTGGACGCGCCGTCGGTGTACACCGAAACTAATTTCTTTATGGCGTTGATTTTTTTTAAACCCGTTCTGCTTTACCTTTTTTCTATCATTATTCTACCTTCTAGAGCTAGCGGGCGACTGTCGCGCTGCTCCTGTACATAGCAATTGCAGGCGGTTCATAGGAATGGGCCATTACAAAAGCAATTACCACCTCAGCCACTGTCTCCCCATTTGATGTGTTTCGTGTCTTGCGGCGATGCTCCGGCAACCCGGGTAGATGATCATGCAGATTCAACTGTCGTCAACACTTGAGACAATCCAGACGGCGGCTTACGCACTGCCGACGCCCCAATCGTCCACAGCCCTAGTGTGTACTTTATGCAAACACATCTCGTGACGGAGGATCGGCAAGCTGTCGTTTCAGGTTCAACCCCACGGCGCGAAATCGACGACATCCAACCATCGGCCGCCAGAGATCGAGCCTTGATTCAAACTAATCTGCAAGGGAATGGGCCCGCAGAAGCCGGAAACCCGGAAACGGGCGGTTCACCAATCAAGAGAGCCCTTTAATTAGCACAATCGCTGTCGAGCGGCAAAAGAAAGCATAGCCGAACACCATACGTGAGACAATGGGAGGCCCCAGTTAAGACAAAGCCATGCCCCCGCAGAATCCGGACGCCCGTGAAGGGTCTTGCTCCTCGCCGCAAGTCTCAGCCACTTGGGGCCGGCAAAGAAGACTGTGAATTGCTGTGGCACTGTTTGCAAATAATTACCGTATTGTTTTGATTATGGAACTGTCTAAAGTTGAGAGAAGAATGTTCTAGGCTTCTAATGGTCCGTGGACAATCAGAGTAGAACGGGATGAGGGGCATATGATCCAAGTGACCGTCGCCTGAAGTCTCGAATAAAGTTGTCAATTATCATGGCACGAATTTCTCAATCATCTAACCATTCGTTCTCCTTTGATGGCGGGCCAGGGAGACGCGGGGCGAAAGCAGTTTCATCAAGACCAAACAAAGCCACTTCTTTTCCCCTCTATTTTCTCTGCTGACTAGAATAAAAATGATAACAAGCCCAACCAAAGGAAACCAACTAGAAGCATTCAGATTCTCTTTGAGTCCTCGCCGCCAGAGTCAGCATCTGAATCATTGTTATCCGAGCCGGAGTCATCCGAGTCTGTGTCGAATTCCGAATCATGGATCAAGGGATTAGAGGCCAAGCTGTAATTGCCCGAGGAGTCGGAGTCTTCATCGTTGCTCTGCTCCTGGAGCCTTGAATGGTGGGGTCCTTCATCATCAACGTCAAGCTCAGAGAACTGTTGTTCAAGTTTCGAAAGGCCCACGGCACTTCGAAAGCCCCCGAGTTCTGCCTTCACAAACAGTTCCATGCAGTCAAGCTCCGTGAAGTTAGACTTGATGGACTGGTGCGCGTTCAACATAATGAACTTGACGACAGCTCTCGTCTTCGAGATTGATCGGGCGACCCCCTTCAGTATCGATTCTAGCTCATCCTTGCATTCCACAAAGGATGGTGGCAACTCAATGATAATGATGACGTCCTCCTCATATGAGAGTGTGCTGAGAATCTCTCTAAAGAGTTGCATTCCCTTGTACACTTTCTTTTGGCACCGAAGGCGCTCCGTTTTGTCTTCCAGCAAAGGGATCTTTCTGTCTCCATTCCTTTGCAGCACTTGCCTTACCAGTTGCGCGTTGATGGAGTTCAACATCTTCTGCGGGCCTGACACTTCCCTTTCCTTGTCAGAGGACCAGGCCAGAGACTGAAGCTTGCCGAGGAAGGACAGTACAATCGGCTTGGTATGATGAGCTTTCATACCATTGGCCATGAGTGAGGCTGCAAAGGTGATCGGGTTGTAGATACTGCGCGTAGGGTCACGCTGGCGGATAAAAAGAACTTTTGTTAATTCCTCAAGTCGCAGAGTCCTAACTTGATCAGATAGCACGATGTGCCTGACCTTATCCTTTTCCTTCTCTGAAAGCTTCGCAAAGTTGGAAAGACTCTTTTTGATGTCGCGTGAAGGCGCTTTGAGATCCATTCCTTCGAACATTTCTTGAACAAGTTCGGATATCTCAGACTCGGACCTGGTGCTGTTGAGGCTCCGCATGCCGGGCTCTGGTGATGGTGCCGCGAGAGATGGAGGGTTACGAGGCATGTCTCGGACCATCTGTTTTAATTCCTCGTTATCCGAATGCAGTTCTAAACGCGTGTGAGTTAATAGGAGCGATTGCCGCCAATTGAGAGGCCTCACATATAAAACCTCGTTTTGTGTCAAGGTGGGTTGCAGTTGTAATTTGATGGACTTGGCTGAGTCTCTCGGCGGAGCAGATGTCTACCCCTTCTTTGAATGCCGCGATTTTCGTGTCCAAAGTTGCAATGGCGTCGGTCACTTCCTGGCCGTAGTCGTTCCCTTTAAAGAACATTTTCAACGCCTTTTCTGTCAAGAAAACAAAGAATCAGCGACCTAGGTGAACAATTGTGCCTGCTTTGTGAAGGGAACACACTAGCCAAGTTCTTTTTGTTAAGCTCTTTGACAATTTCGTGTAAAAGAGAAAAGACAGCAAGGAACACTGAATCTGCGAGGGTGTGCATCCTTTGAGAATTGGGGTGCACTTTCAAGTATTGCTTCGCGCTCTCGAGCTTCCTTGGAATGTCCGCAATTGCTTCTGCAATTTCTTCACGAAGACCTCGTGCTCGATCGATGCCCTAGGATGTGACTCGTCAGTCACCCCGTCTGTACAGCTATTCGGCAACTACCGTCTGGGATCACGGACCGTCAGAATCATTGCCAGACTGGCGAAAATAACTGTACCGTATGTGTCGCTTGGGGCAAACTGAAGTATCTGCTTGAGTATTGGCATGTTCTCGCCAGCCATCCGGAAAAAGCCCCGAATTGCCCCCATAGAGGTCTTCATTGTTGCGGCGTCCTGGTGCAACTCTTCCACCTTGGTTGCAATCTGCACGACGTCGTCCATGGTATACTCGTCAGTGCCTTTTAGTTTGATGTCGATTTTCCTGTCCAGCTTGCGTCGTCTAAGCGTCTTGGCGAACTCTGTCAAAGTCTCCCGAAACTCGTCGAGTTGAGCCTGAGATTCTTCATAGAAGGCCTCTCTGCGTATGGAACCGTTAACAAATTGCAATGCCTTGAGTCTTTGGCGCATTTACCTAGTATCAGACCCGTCGGCAACGAAATCATGAATTTCGCTGGTAAGTCTGAGACGGCTGAGTTGAGAGTCCTCATCTTCAAGATGGCCTTGGCCGACAATCCGGGAGGTGTTGCTAGGCATGGCTAAATGCTCATAGCTACAGCCCGTGTCGGTCTTCGCGGTGTACTCGACTGCAATAGCAGGATGTGGCTTTCCTTTTGATTTGAAAGGGACTTGCAATCTATGGAAACCCAACGAGAGGCTCGTTGTACCTGGCGGTGTGCCAGAAGCAATGCCACGTCACGTATTATTGATGCCTGGTATCTGCAGCAACTTTGGTGATACATGAATTCCGTGGCCTCATTAGTGGTGGGTAGCCACTTTTCAGGAGAGCCAGCGCAATATGCAGCCACGCGTTGCTCACAATGTTGGTATCCGGAGCATGGACAACAAATCTTCTCGGGACCATGCTTCCTCTCCCTCACCGCCACGGAGAGACAAATCCCTCTGTCTACAGGTTCTGATATCCGCACATTCTCATGAATTTCGGTTCCCTTGGCTCATCTTCTCTTTCTGTTCATCAGGCATCCGCGTCGGACACTACTCGATTGCCCCTATCTTGCCTCTGAAGCAACCAAGGGCTTGTTCCTTTGCTCTTCTCCGTCACCCCCATAGGCTATTTCAGCTCAAACCAACCCTCCAAAGATTCAGGTTAACACTGAAGTAGGCCGAGATCCGATGAGCCACGCAAGTCTGCGCCAACCTGTGTCCAACGTCAGCCTTCGGTATTCTCAGGGACACGATTCGGACTTGTACCTGTCCGATTCGCCATGTAACTCTTCTCGGCGCCCTGCGAGCTCGATTAGATCTGGATCCGAGTACATGGGTCCTTCTGAAGAGGAGCAAAAGACTACGACTGAACGAAATACGATGTTGAACAGATCGTTGTGTAGAACTCAGTCTGCTAACGGGAGGCGGAAGGCGATCCGAAAACGTCTTAACATTGCTTACAGGCGTGAACCGCTGATTCCAACCACTGAATTCTACTGTCTTAACAACGATCGCGACAGCTTCGGAGCCAATGAATCTTTATCGGAGAGCAGCAAAGAGACCTTTCGATCACTTGTCGACCCAACCCACGTCCTGCGGGTCGGCTACAGCCTTGGATGGGGAATCAGCCGAATTACCCAGCCGGTTTTACATTCGTTACCCGACTCAGCTGTGATTTGGGCAATTCGTATTGAATCTGAACCCATTTCGGCCTTCTTCAAGCAGTTGGTCGATCCTGACATTTCTGATGGTTCCATTATCGAAATGGAGAAACCATTTCGAACCCTCATTCGAAACTTTGCCGCTATCAGCAAGCATCTTGATGGACTTGAGAGGATGTACCGGTCCGTCAAAGTGCGATGTCCTCTCACCCGCATTGCTAACAAGTAAACAGTGCCAGCGTCCAATCAAAGGACGAGAGTTCATTCTCCAGACACAGCACTCTGGAAGAGTTAGATCATTTTCGATTGCTAGCCGGGTTCATCAACTGCCACCTCAAACGATCTCTACTCCTTTACTGTCAAGTGCAACGGGAAACAATCCGCCAGATCGCCTTTCCGGATCTGTGGATGCTGTACGATTTCGATACAGCAATTTACCACTCAGAACCCGAACTTGGATCTCTACGAAGCCAGAGCAAGACTATCGGCGATGTTTACGGCGAACATGGTACCGGCTCGAGTTACAAACAGGCATACCGCGTTATGGCTACCGTTGGTGGTATCCCCCTACAGACCGGACTTCAGCGCACGATCGGTGGGCAGGACCCAGCACAACATGAGTCCAAGAGCCTGGAATCCGTGAAAGGCACGTACAGTGCCCTCCGAGTCGTCTATTATAGGATCGACTACGACTCCAACAAGTGGGCCCCAATCCATGAGGTCTTCGAGTTGGATCCGTTCGAAGGAACCGTCGACATTGCTTCACTCGGGCTCTTTCCGATCCACAAAGCCGACCAGGTTTCGAACAAGGTCCGAGAGAGGAGTGAGAAATTTGTCAGAATGACGGAGATTTCCCACTGGACACACGACGGTCTCACTTTGGGTAGCAGCGGCAACAGGCAACATGTTGGTAATCTCCTGTCCCAAAAGAAATCCCTGCCATCTTACATCTACTTCCAGGTCATCAGCCCCGTCATAGTCGACCTCAGCCTAGCTGCCCAAGGTGGCTATTTGAAGTTGCCTAGACTGGGTCACAAATCGAACGAAGTGACGGCCTCCTGGATCACCCCCGAAGAGGATTAGATCGACGAGATCTATCAACCAACATACATCTACAAGGACAGCGCCAATGTCTTTCAAGATGTCTATCCAGCCATCCAGATGAGGGGACTTCAAGAAGCAACCGCGAAGCTTGCAACCTTCTTGGAAGAGCTAAACAAGGTTGAATCGGATGGCACCATTCAGGATTTAATCTTGCTTCTAAAAAAGAATGACTACATTATGCTGCTTCCGGGTGTGACCCCTGCCTACGCCCTACGTACTCGGGCGTGGAGTAAGAACTCAATTTAGCTTTGAGAGTCAATCACTAAATAGAACACAGTCAAAGTCGAACTCGAAAACATCCAGCCGATCACAGAGGTGGCTCAATGGGATGACCTCATCCTCCCAAAGAGTCATAAAAAGATGGTCCGAGCAATGGTTGAGGCGTACACGACAAAGGGTCATGTATATGACACGGACTCCAGGTTTGAGGCCGACTTGGTTCATGGTAAAGGTATTATGACACCCATACCAGCGAGAATCCTTCTGATTTTATATAGGAAGTGGATGTATCATCCTCCTGCACGGTGCGCCGGGCGTTGGGAAAACCTCTACTGCTGGGAGGCCATCTGGTTAAACCCCGACTCTCCAATGGCCAAACTAACTTGTCTCAGAGTGCGTTGCTGCTTATGCCAAACGCCCGTTGTTTCCCATCACTTGTGGTAAGATTTACTCGATTCCATAGGGAGCCACAAACCTGACAAGAGTCGTGGTACCAGGCGACATTGGCTACAAGCCCGAGGATGTTGAGCGCAACCTCGAGGAACTTTTTGGCCTTGCCCACAGATGGGGCTGCGTTCTCCTCCTTAACGAGGCAGACGTTTTTCTGGCAAAGCGAAGCGTAATATGCCTTTTTTTTTTTTTTTTTCCTTCCAAGGTATCATGGCTACTGAATGGATGCTAACGTCAAATAGAAAGATAATTTGGAGCGCAACGCTATTGTCTCTGGTATGTCTTCCTTCGCCCTGGTGGGTCGTCTTCTAATGTAACAGTATTCTTGCGCATCTTGGAATACCATCCAGGCCTCCTGTTCATCACAACCAATCAAGTTGGTGTCATTGATGATGCTTTTCGTTCCCGACTTCACTTGATGCTGTACTATCCGCCTTTAAGCAGCAAGCAGTCCTACAAAATTTGGGAAACGAATCTCCAGCGACTCCAAGCGCAGAGCGAAGCACGAATCAAGAACGGAATGCCACGTCTCATCATTCGAAAGAAAAGCATTCTCTCATTCGCCAAAACCAACTTCAAACAGCTAAACTGGAACGGCCGCCAGATTCGCAATGCCTTTCAGTCGGCATTGGCGCTTGCGGTATTCAACGCAAGCCACACCAAGAGCAAGAGGTCCAATCCGGTTGTGAGCAAGAGGGAGTTTCGCACCGTTGGTGACTTTGTGAAACAATTCGAGTCATACCTCAAGGAGACACACCAAGGAGTAGGCGAGGCGAGCATCGCTCTCGAGGACGAAGTCCGAGCAGACATGGTTGACGGTCGCCAAGGCGGTCTCGAAATATCTGACACTGAGTATTCAGATTCTGAATCTGAAGATGAATACCTTACCAAGTCGGGCAACAGCGAGGAGCAGGATGAACCCAGTGCTAAGAAATCTAGTTGTGGCAACGATGACTCGGAGAAAGGGAAATCGCCCATGCGCATGCACAAATCCAAGGCGAAGAGTGAAAAGGAGGGGAAGGGGAAGGAGAAGGAGAAGGCGGGGAAGAAGGGGAAGGGGAAGAAGGGACAGAAGCGGTAGAAGGGGTAGAAGGGGTAGAAGCGAAAATAGGGACAAAGGGAAGAAGAACAAACGGGGTGGATTGTAACTGTCGTGAGGTCGGCTTCCTTCAACAGTAACAAGATGCGAGGCCCGATTTCAACATCACGGTCACGGGCATATTTGGCCGTAATGGAAATGGAGATTGATTTTAGAAACCACACGCTGTAGTCAACTTTAGTCTCATTAAAGGAACCCATGCTTTCATCGATGTTCGCACGTTGGAGACAAACGTGATTCCAAGAGTGAAGCTTACTTACCCTAGCCTTATTCTAGAAATATAACTTATAGGTCATGACGCCTGACATTTAGGACTTCATCCAACACCAGTGAAAGCGAACACGTAATTCAATTAACGGATAGAATCTTCACCACGATGCATAAATTGCATCCTCACTGTTCATATATAAACGCCACCCAATGCAACCGATACAAAAACCCACTATATCACCAAAAACGCCTTTGCCAGACCAACCAACGGACCAGGGTATTATGCCGAACCGAAGCCACCTCTAATACCAACAAACCATCACCTTACACTACCAAACCGTCATACGCCTTCTCAACGGTTCGGCTCCCCATGCCCGGAAAGCTACGAAGCTGCGCAAGGCTCTCGACGCTGCTAGCGTCATCGAACCTCTCGAGTTCTAGATAGTCAATGAGGTCGCGGGCCTTCTTGGCACCGAAGCCGACGAGCCCGCGGATCTGCTCCAAGTCGCGAGAGTTGACAATGTCGAGGAGTCGCTGCGTTCGTGGTGACGCAGGGCCGTCGTGGTCCGGAAGGACATTGAGAGTCTTGACCTTGAGCTTCCGGGACTTGGCCTTGGGAGCGAGTTGCACGAAAGACTCGTCGTCAACATCGCCATCTTGGTAGTCGCCCTCCTCGTCCTCGTAGACTACGCGTCGCTTCTTCTTCTCTGCTCGAGGGGAGTTGCGATGCTCAGAGCCGCCGTTGGACCCGTTTATGCGCGTTCTCAGCCTCTCGATCTTGCTCAGAAGCTTGGCTTGGCCAGGGAAGTACGGCAAGGCCATCTCGTACATCTTCAGCGCTGCCGCATCATCGCCTCGCTCCTTGCTTTGCCGGGCAGCCAGCAGGAACCTCAAGCCATCCGACTTGGAATCGTCACGCCACTCATCGCTGTCGATGCGCTTCTCAAGAGCATCCAACCGCCGCTGCACAGCTTCGCTGAGATCAGGCTGGACCGGCACTTGGACCGGCTGCGAGGCCTTTTCAGCCGCCATCCGAGCAGCCAGAACCTCGCTGACCTTCTTCTCCACCATGGCCTCAATCTGGGCCGCAGACACCGTGACAGATGCTACGGCAGGAGGTCTCGAGATCTTGCTCGGTCTTGCGATAAACTCATTCTCAGAGGGTCGCTTGTTGGAGTTCGATCGACGAACCAGGCCAGAGTTGGCGATGGGTCGGGTAGCGAGCGTCGGCTTCGTCTTGTCCGTGAAGACGCTGAATGCCTTGACGGGCTTGCTAGCATCCGCGGTCTTGGCATCCGCAGCCTTGGCCGCGATGTTGCCGTTGTGGACGTTGTGGGCATTGATCAGAGGGCGAAGAGCTTGTCGACTGGCAGCCAGGCCTGAGAGGTTCGAGTTCGCTCTAGGAACTTGTTTGAAAACGATTTCGTTCTCAATTTCCCGGACTTCGATTCGCTTCGCGCGAGAGCTGACGTTGAGACTGCTCAGAGTATCGAGGTGGTAACTTCGCAGAGGGGCCAGGTTCAGAATCATTACAGTTATGCCCTTGTTCTGGCCCAGAGACAAGATACGCGTCATCTTCGACTCACGATACGGTATCCGCTTGTCGCCACGGGAGATGGCATCGATGCATTGACTGAGGACGAAGAGACTCTTGTTGATGGCAGCTGATTCAACCAGTCTCTCTTTGCCATTGTCGGTGCGACGGTTGTCTTCGGAGCCAGCAAGATCAATGGCTGAGGCGGTACTCTCTTGAACCATATCTCCAGTAGTCTGTGTCACCTTGACCCGGAGGATGGCATGACTGCGACTGCTGTGAGCGTTGAGCTTGGTGGAGGCCGTGATGCGGTTGTTGTTCGCCTCGATGTACAGCTTCTCAAAGTCTTTGAGGTCCTCGCACGATCGTTCTGACAGCCCGACAACAACAGTCCTCCCACTGGCCTCGGCGCGTAGAGGCAGCCCGGTAGGTGTGCGCTTCTCGAGGGGCTCGAGCAGGTCGAAGACCTTGTCGTTGTAGATTTCGTAGTACGACAAGGCGACCTGCACCGTTGTCTCGCCCTGCGAATCCTTCGTAATCTTCTTGCCTCTCCGGAACACACCGCTCAGCAGCCGGGGAATCACCCCACGCTCTGCCAGCTTCAGGCCGCCTCGCATCGTGTGCGTCTTGCCGGTGCCAGTGACGCCGTAGGCAAAGAGCGTGACATCGATTCCTTGGAAGAGGGATTTCAAATACGGGGCCACTGCTCAAGTCAACACACGACACACTACAATGGATGATTCAATCTCTCAGCGCGCACCTTCTGAAGTAAACAGAGTCTCCTGGGAGGTGGACTGGTCGTAGACACCATTGAAGGCGAACGAAAACTCCTCAGCCTCATTTTTGGGGTTGGGGATCTTGACAATGGTATGAGGTTTGCTGGGATCGACACTGTCGGCGCGGACAATCACGTCCTTGTCGAGCTCTTTCTCGAGGAGCGGCCGAATTCGGGCGACGACGCGGACAGACATGCTGAATGATTGAGTGGTGGAAGGCGACGGGGGGGTAGAAGGGGGTTCGGCAGCGTAAGGAAACGAAGGTCTCTCAGCCTACCAATTCGGCCGCATGAAGGTCTGTTGGGTTAGTAGTGAGCTGGTAGTGAGCTGTTGTAGATTTGCCATAGCCAAGGGTTTGTGGTGGTGGTTTGCGCTAGCGGAGCCTCGAGGCACACCGACACACAGCGCGGTTGACCCAGCAACGGCACGTGAGGGCTTAGGTAAGGGAGGTAGCTCACCACTAACAATGGTGACGTCGGAGCACGGGAAAAGCCGTGCGGCGGCCATCACGCTTTTTTGGCGCATCTCGGGCCGTCCAACGGAAACGTCGAGCCAACATCCCACGTCCGCCAGCTTCACTGCAGCAACGAAGCTCGCGCGAGCTCGATTTCGACACAATGCGAGGCCAATCGCCACTGCTAAATACGGCGCGTGGCCTGCGGCTGCGGCTGCGGCCACTCCCGGCGCCGGCATTCGTCTGTCGCCAGTGCAGGGCCATCCAGATCAGCGCCGCGCCGACCACGGACACGCCCAAGGCTGGCGGGGATGCCTTTGGAGCTCCGGCCGGCTCGCGAGACTCCGCCGGTATGTCTGCGCCTTGCCATTGGCTTGCGGGATTGTCGTGAGGCTAACTGGACATTGCTGTAGACGCCCGGTTCGAGGTTCTCGGTGCTCCGTACTCACTGCTGTCTGTGTCGCTCTCGGCGTCGCAGAATCTCTATACCAGACGAGGCACCTTGGTTGCTGTCGCTGGGAAGCCCGAAAATGTAGGCAATTGGATCACCAAACTACCGCCGCGAGGAGCTATCTAACCCTTGGAGCTCGCAGGCCCAATCCACACTCTCGATTCTGAACCCTACCGCGCGAGCACTCCTCGGAGTGCCCTTCCTCTACCAGCGAATCTCAGCCACCGCCCCAATCACCGCCCTCATCTCAACCAAGTCGCCCACGACCTCATTCTCAGTTCTGCATCTTGATGGCACGACCGATTGGATGATCTCGCAGCGGAATGCACTGCTGGCATGGACGGGACACACTCTCTCACCGTCGACGAGAATCCAGAAGAGCTTGTCGTTGGCGCATTGGGGTAGCACTCACCTGACTGGTCGAGGCTTAGCTGCTCTGTCTGCGCCAGGACAGATCTATAAGCTCACCCTGCAGGAGGGCGAGGAGTTTGTGGCACATCCCGGTAGCGTGGTGGCCTACTCTGTGTCGAGAAATCCTCCTCAGCCCTTCCGGTTCAAGAGCTCGAGCCTACGCATCCAGGTCCCCTCATTGACCAAGTGGATCCCGGAGTCGGAATTCATGAAGACGATTCGCAATTCGGCGGCCTACAAATTTGCGTCTCGCATCTTTTATAGCCTGCGAACAACGACACGGCGGACGATCTGGGGCGATCGCCTCTTCCTGCAGTTCCACGGCCCGAGCACCATCCTCATGTCGAGCCGAGGTGTCCGCGTCTCGGACATGATGACCAACGAGCAGGTGAACGAGATTGCAGATGCCCCTGCGGGTGTTCTCGCGGAGGCAGTGGAGCTGCTTAACAAGTCCAAGGCACTGGAAGCCGGAGAGATGGCCAGGACAACCAAGGCGACGGAGCCAGCCGAGTCAGAACAGAACTCAAATGCCATCAATGTGGCAACGGGGAAGCAAGACGGCAAGGTGGCATTCGAGGATTCCAAGGGCCTCAAGGAGTTTATCCGGTAAAGGAGGGCTGATGGCGGAGATCCGAGAACGAGCCGGTAAACCATGCATGCTCTTTGTGCCATGATTATAGAGAGAACGCACTTCCTGTACCAATAGTCATATGTCGACCAGATGCCTGCACCCATCACCTCACATTGCACGCCACATGAGCTATCCCACACGAGCTTCCACACGAGCTAGGGCAGCTAGATGTACCTGTGTACGCCGTAAGCGTTGGTGCAACGGTGTGCCCACCCAAACGTCCCACGGACATTAAGAGGTCGGATACATTGTGCATCGGACACATGCGCTCAAAATGTGTCCGACTGCTGATGTCTTGATTGTATCCGATGATCTGGAGGTTGCTGTGACAAACGGTGAAGACGACGGATGTGTGAAGAGACACCTTCTTTGGCATGGCAAATGCCCGTCCATAATGACCGTCCATAGGCTCGGATCCGAACGGCAATTGACCCGGACAATTCATTCACACTACTCCGTACACGTGCCTTGTACTTGGCACCGCTAGAGAGCGGCACGAATCATGACGGCTTACTGGCGTCGGGGTACACTATGTCTCAAAGATGGAGTCGAGACACGGCTTGTTCAATCAACCGTGGCTTTCGGTCACCGAGAGGGCGTACAGCCCGATTGTAAGCTCATGGGCCCTTCCCACCCCGCCAACCCCAATGACGCACAGTTGCAGGGATTAAAAGACGATTGAGGAGCTGCGAAGAGCGCGAACATCTGCTGAGTACCGTGGTATCTGCGTGTTTGGCCGCGAGGTGGTTGCGGTCAAAGGTGGTGTGGATCGTAGATCCTCCAGGCCTTCGCGCCTCGGATTTCGCGCTTAACTCCAGAAGCCGAGCCCTCTATGTACGAGCAGCCCTATGAATGGGCCTTGGGGATCCATTGTTTTTTGGTCTGGGGAAAGAGAGCTTAATACATGTGGTGGGAGGAGACATCGAGAGGGGGTCGAGATGAATTAATCATGACGAGCGTGGACTCGGATTAGAGGACCGAGTGCTAAGAAACAGAGCAGATACGAGACACAAGAGACACAAGAGACATCAAGCAACTCACTCACCATAATTCGAACAACATGCTCGTCATCGTATCTCCATTGTCAGATCTGGGCCACCCGCGTATTGCTAAGCACCCAATATACCATCCACTAGCCTCGCACCTTTGATACCCACGACGATCCCTGATGAGGCTCGGCGTTGCAACACCAACAGCACACGTAAACTCCGAGGCATTCCTTCGTGTCTGGCAAACACCCTGACTCACGCGGGAAGCCCCCCCCTGGAGCCATTAATAGGAAATTAACACGGGAACTTATTCAGTCTCGGTCCCGGAGGAAACGTACCTTTTTTCTTCTTCTTCTGTTGCAGGGCGCGAAGACCGAGCCGAGTGGGAGTGGGAGGTGACGGTCCACCCGCTGCAGGCAAAACGCCTCGTCCCCAGTCGTTGATGCATTAGTCCGCCTTAGAGCACCCAGTTCGGCCCCGGGCTTTTGCTTTTGGAGCTGGAGCTTACGGGGAATAATTCATTGTACCAGGCTTTGAATGAATAAATATCTTGGTTTCCCCAGCGCCAAGACTGGGAATCCTACCGTCGTTAGCGACAGCCACCGCCATCAACCGCCCATCTCAGCATCACTGTTGCGCATTTTCCTATTCACAGCAACTCACCGCACCAATCTCATCAATCTCGTCCAGCATTACTGAACCCATCTCCTCTTTCAGCTCTGAGCCACCGTCAACAGCACCCCGGCCTAGCGCAGATTTCGGAGCAAGGGCCGGCAGGTTCCAACTTATCCTCCCACCGCACCTCGCGTGCTGGCGCTTCCAACTCACACTTTTGATAAGACGCCTGTAAAGATCGCCTGAAACATCCATCCTCGTTCTATACGTGACCGCAAATATGGCTCGCTCAACAGCATCATTGTCGTCCGTGACGATCAACGAAAAGAGCACCAGCACCGGCACTACCACTCCCGTACCTACCATTGCTGCTACCGACGTCACCAGCCTCAACGGCCAACTCGACGAGGCAGACCCTTCCTTCATCCCAAAGCACAAGACCCTGGAGGACATCTTCCCGCAGAGCGACTATTCAGACACCGAAGTCCGCTCAAAGTCAGAAAATGGCCCCAACTCAGACCTGGAACACGGCGGTATTCCTCCGGCGTCGCCTGTCAAGGCCGATGCTCCTCCCGCCGGCCCGCCTCCGGGCATGGCTCCGACCGACTTCCCGGACGGCGGTCGTGAGGCCTGGCTTGTGGTGTTTGGCGGCTGGTGTGCGCTGTTCTGCACCTTTGGCTTGGTCAATTGTGTCGGTGTATTCCAGGCGTACTATGTTCGGGGCCCGTTGAAGGACTATGATAGTTCGGCTGTAAGCTGGATCATGTCCGTCCAGGTCTTCTTCATGATCTTTTCGGGAGCCATCGTAAGTTTGATCTAAAACATTGCCGTTATCAGTTGTCTTCGTATTTGGAATCGACTAACTCGATGCAATAGTTCGGCCTAATCTTCGACAACTACGGCCCGCGATGGCTCCTATATTGCGGTACCGTTGCCTACGTCTTCGGCCTGATGATGGTGTCGCTGTCGTCCGAGTACTACCAGTTCTTCCTCGCCCAGGGCATCGTCGCCTCCATCGGCTCCAGCGCCGTCTTCAATGCCTGCATGTCGTCGCTGGTGACGTGGTTCTTCCGCCGCCGCGCCGCTGCCTTCGGCATCATGGTCTCGGGCTCATCGCTCGGCGGTGTCGTCCTGCCCATCATGATGGACAAGATGAACCACTCGGTCGGCTTCCCCTGGATGATGCGCACCATGGCCTTCATGTTCCTCGCCCTCCTCACCATCTCCTGCTTCACCGTCAAGTCGCGGCTGCCGCCCAAGACCAGGCGCTTCATCTTTATCGACTATGTCAAAGGCCTCAAGGACCTTCGCCTGTCCGTCACCATCTTCGGCTTCTTCCTCTTCATGTGGGGCATGTTCTTGCCCTTCAATTATGTTATCCTTCAAGCCGAGGCTGCTGGCGTGTCGCAGACTCTCATCCCGTACTTACTGCCCATCCTCAATGCTGTGAGGTAAGTTCACCCACAAGAGTACCCCCTAACGTCACTCAGGTCATCTCCTAACTCTTCCGTAGCATCTTCGGCCGTATCATTCCAGGCATCATTGCCGACAAGGTCGGTCGATACAACGTCATGATTGTCATCACCTTCATCTCGGCACTCTTCTGTCTCGCTGTCTGGATTCCCGTCAAGGACACCGCGGGCATCATCGTCTTCGCCATCATCTTTGGCTTCTCGTCTGGCGGTTTCATCGGTCTGGCTCCCACTCTCATCGCCCAGATCTCCGATATTCGCGAGATCGGAACCCGCGTTGGCACCGCCTTTGCCCTCCAGTCGTTTGGTGCCCTCACAGGAAGTCCCATTGGCGGTGCTCTTGTGAAGCAACGACATGGCGACTATTTGGGTCTCCAGTTGTTCTGCGGCTTCGTCATGCTAGCCAGTGTTTTCGTCCTCTTCGTCGCGCGATATATCCAGGTCGGACTCAAGTGGGCGAAGATTTGATGGATATGACCAGGGCTCTAAGAAGGGACGGAAGATGACATCCACTTACTGCATTTCCGGGATACCGCATGATTAATATTTGCTTATATGCGAGCGGGCGTATGCTATGAATATCGGAGGGTGGTCACCGTGTTTCACTTGACAGGTAAAACGGGATGGACGATGGGATGAAGATACCACATGACAGATGACATTAGCATTTAAATGAATTAGACCCCTCTCAAAAAGAATTTTCAATATATGTGTAAGCGAGAATAACCTGGACACGGTGGGCGAAGGTTACTTATTTGTGGTCGAACCAAGAAACACCCCTCAATCTCAGCCGGCATCCGGAAGCCGGGGTTCCGAACTGCTACACACTAAAAATCTAGCCCAGGTCCCAAATGTTAGGTACACAAGCACGCAGATACATCATGTTCAACCGAGATCAAGTAGGCGAGTGTTTAGTAATTGTATATATTTTTTTCTTCTTACAAGTTCCAGTGATTTCTAGTTTTATCTAAATAAGTTAGCGATGATGCAACCAACGATGTGAGAGCAAGCAAGAAGTATGCGGGAATATTCTTCAGGATGTAGATAGGTGAGTTTTTTTAATCACTGAAATCATGAACAGCCTCGTGATTTTTCATCATTGAATGGGGTGTTGGTAGGGAGCAAGGAGAGGATGCTGCGGGTAGACACATACCTGATGAATAGTGAAATTCTTGTATGCTCGGGTATTGAACTAAAATTACTTCTGGGTCTGGTTAGCAACCATGACACCAAGACATAATTAATGCGATAGAATGGAGGGATGGGAATATTCTCAGTATGTAGATAGGTGAGTTTTTTTAATCATTGTGATCATGAACAGCCTCGTGATTTATCATCATGGAATAGGGGATGTGAGGAGAGCCATAAACATACCTGACGAATAATGAAACTCTTCAGTGGTCGAGTGAGATTGACCGAAATACCATCTGTGTCTGGTTAGAAACAATAGCAAAGACAACACTAGTTTGACGCAATGTAGTGTGGGGAATGTTCTCAGGATGTAGATAGGTGAGTTTTTTTAATCACTGAAATCATGAACAGCCTCGTGATTTATCGTCATTGAACGGGAATATCGAAGTGGTAGGGAAGAAAGAGACACGAAAGGGCACCCGTACATACCTGACCATTGGTGGTAAACTATTGCATAGCTGCCCGGGTACAAGCAATAAAAAGATCCTTCTAAGTCTTGAGTTAGCGGCAGTCACCCAAAAGAACCGAGTAGCACAGGGGTATCAAGAGAAATATTCTCAGGATGTAGATAGTGAGTTTGTTTAATCATTGTAATCATGAACAGCCTCGTGATTTATCATCATTGAATAGTAGGTAGGGGGGAAGAAAAAGTAGGATACATACCTGACCAATTGTGAAATGGTTGTTGATGAGAACAAGCCTAGAGGTACTTCTAAGTCTTAGTTAGCGACAGTGTCACCCAGAAAAGACCAATGTACGCAGTGTATCATGGGAAATATCTCAGGATGTAGATAGGTGAGTTTTTTTAATCATTGTGATCATGAACAGCCTCGTGATAATATCATCATAGAATGGATGGTGTGTGAGGGGATGAATAAAGGAAAGCTTACCTGTTCGCAAGCCAATGCGTTCTGTCCAAGCTCGAGTTGGCACAAGTTCAAGAGCCTCACATGGAAACAAACAAAAACTCCAATTCTCTAGTGTAGCAGCTCTTCCCCGCCCAGAAGAGTTATGTACAATCGCTTTAGCCCCCGTTCGCCCGCGCTTCATGCTGCTTATAGACTGCCCTCAACAGTTGCGTTAACTGGGTTGACCTCGAACCCATACTTCTCCTTGAGTCGCTCGGCTCGTCGCTCCTCATAACCGGGAGGTCGGATTCCTGTAGAAAATTAGCACTCGAACTCGATTGCGTGGGGTGATGATGTGCGCGACTTACCTCGGCCCTCGCCAATCTCCGAGACGGTCTGCTCGACAGGCAATCGGGTTGTCCTTCGGAGAGCCTCCTTGCGCGCGAACTCGTCCTCCTCCTTCTTGAAGGTGTCGAATCGGCCACCGAGGTAGTAGAACATACCCTGGAAGACGGCAATACCAGAACCGAGCCCCACCACAACGGGCATTCGTCGTGCTACCCCGTGTTAGAATTGTGAACCCTCGCAGACTAGGGAATAGAGAGCGTACAGGGCATGCCGAGAACAGCACCCATCATGAAACCACCAAAGGCTGCAGACCAGGCATCGTCCTTTTCGCGTAGGTTCATCGAGCTTCGTGAGAAGAAAACGTAGGCGGCGGGAGCGGCGGCTAGACGATCCAATTAGCATCAGGAGGCCCCAATTGACACGGCCGACTCGGGGAGCGTACTGGCAAGGCCGATAATGGGGGCGCCGCGGGTGAAGACACTGAAGGCGCCGACGTTGCGCTTGGACAGAGCATTGCGGATGGAGGCAATGAAGAGACCACTGGCGCCGCCGACGATACCAGCCTTGGCGGTGTCGTTGAGGGTGTCGAAGGGCTTGAAGCCATCCTCGCCCTCGTGGTGCTCGTCGTGGCTCGGGGTCGTACGGCGTTCCATGGCGTTGGCGGCGGCTGAGGACGGAGCTGTTTGGTTCTTGGGATCCTGAGGTGGAAGCCGAAGCTTTGGCGATGGAAGATTGAGGGAGAGCCTCCACTAGAACACGTGATGCTGGTCATTCAATTGCCTCGCGCCCATTGGCCAACGTGCACCAAGTGAATTTTTGAAGGTTTGGCAGGTGTCGTTGGTACGTACCTTGCCGTCTACTCGGCCCCACCTGCAACCCACTAAGAAGAAAAAACATCACCAACGCTCTCACCAAAGTGCAACAGTTCTCAGGTTGTTTCTCAGATATTTGTACCGAGCTCACCAGCTTTCTTCGGCAAGTGAGTCTGGTCCAGAGTATCAATTCGAGTTATCAATTAAGGCCAATTTATTTTTCATCACAGAACCCTGGTCTAAACGCGAGAGCATCAGGAGTGTGAGCTTCATCCGTCCTCCAGGCAACCGGTCATCGGCGGATATCTCAGGTATTAGTTGAATCACTCATTCAGAGCGTCGGGGCCGTGAATTTGTCTACGGGATACCACTACCATAGAACATCCGCCAATATCGGCTCAGGAACGGCACTGGTCTTATTTATCTCATCAACAACTCACAATGGCATCTGTCGAACCCAGCGACGTCCCACCAACTCCGATGGAGGGAGTCACATCTTCTACTCAGCAACCGGAGAACACCCCATCAGAAACTCGCGATCGCGCACCTGCCACGGCCCCCTCTGCGGGAGAATCTAGCACTGCCGCGGCCGAAGATGCTCCCCAGCCGCCTCTATCTAAAAACGCCCTGAAGCGCATGAGGAAACACAAGGAGTGGGAAGATGGCCTAGAAGACCGGCGCAAGCAGCGCAAAGAAAAGCGCCAGGCTCACCGAGTTCGCAAGCGTGAGGAGAGGGCCGCCCTCGTCGCCCAGGGCATCGATCCCTTCGCCAATATCCCAAAGAAGCCCACGTCGGTCAACGTGCCCATCTCGCTCATCTTTGACTGCGAATTTGAGGAGTACATGCTCGACAAGGAGCTCGTCTCCCTCGGCGCCCAGATCACGAGGTCATACTCGGAGAACAAGAACGCCGCGTTCCGGACACACATGTGGGTGTCCGGGTGGAGTGGGAAGCTGGCCACGCGGTTCCGGGATGTACTCGAGGACAAGCACAAGAACTGGAAAGGCATTGAGTTTCTGGAGGGCGACTTCATTGAGTGCGCAGTGAAGGCGAGGGAGAAGATGCAGACCAGGGGAGGAACGATGATCGAGCCCCTACAAAAGAGCCTCGACCAAAGCGTCCCGTGGATCCGAGACGAACGAGACCCCTTCCCCATGGTCGAGCCAGAGCCAGAGCCAAAGGAGGAATATAAAGACATTGTCTACCTCTCATCAGACTCACCCTACACTCTCGACCGACTCGAGCCCAACACAAGCTACGTCATCGGCGGCCTCGTCGACAAGAACCGCGAAAAGGGCCTCTGCTACAAGCGCGCCCGCGAGCTAGGCATTCGAACTGCACGGCTCCCCATTGGCGAGTACATGGTGATGCAGAGCCGGACGGTGCTCGCGACGAACCACGTCGTCGAAATTATGCTCAAGTGGCTCGAGTATGAGAACTGGGGAGATGCGTTCCTCAGCGTCATTCCCAAGCGCAAGGGCGGCCACTTGCGGCAGTTAGATGGTGCCGAGAACGAGGAAGCTGAAGAGGAAGCGGCCGAGGAGGAGGATGCCGAAGAAGTGAACGGCGCAGAGGGTGCCAAAGGCGATACAGCCCCCAAAGCCGTGACTAAAGGAGAGGCCACTGTAAACTCATAGGGCCTGTATTATGCCAAATACGCCAACCAATTACACCCAGATACCAAGTTTATGTATAGTGCCATGACTCTTAAACCATTCATTACGTCTCAAAACTCCATTGAGTCCTCTTCCCTCTCTCTCTTCACCCTCACATCCCTCTCGTCCTTCATCAAGCCGTTCACAAACAGCCTAAACTGGTCAATGTACGGCTTCAGACTTGTTTTCTCCCAATCAGACAGGTTCTTGGCATTCTCTTCCTCGCCGTCATCCTTCCAAGCGTCAATCTCCTCAAGGAGCCCCTGCACCGTTGGGACCTCAAAGGGGTCAAAATCTTCGAGATGCTTGGTGTTGATTGGCACACACACCCGTCCAGTGCCGGGGTGCACAACGAAGGGGCTCTTGAGCAAATGGTTCAACTTCTTGCTGACCTCGATATCGAGTCTTGGGTACGTGTACTCCAGGACAATATCCTGTTTAGCTTCCAAGAGAGCCCTGGCGTCAAGGTTCTTGCTGGCACCCGTCTTGGCCATGGCGTCGATGTCGGCCCATTTTGAAGTAGAGGCGCGACCAGGGGCAGCATCCCATTTCCTGCGAAGAGCTTCGTTGAGGTTGCGGTCCGGCAAGAGTTGTAGAAGCTTCTCAGCCTGTTCAGAACTCTCCCAGGGGTCTTGTGCCGCTAGAACGTCGTCTTGGAAATGGTCCTTTAGGATCTCAAGGCTTCGGCTGAGAGGTGTTAGAATTGTCAAAATACGGTGGTACAGTGTATGCTTACGCCAGATGAGGGTGCAATGGTCTCCTCAGGTTGACCTTCTTGCCGCTCTGAGCACCTCCTTTCACGGTTTCCAGATAACCAGCAATGGCCCTCCTCTTCTGATCATCCATACTCCGCACCTTCTTGTCGCACACCCAGGCGTGGGCGCCTCTTCGGCCGGAGTACACCCACATGATGTGCTTGAAACCAAAGTCCTCGCGCAGGGCGGCGTCGACAACCTTGATTGCCATTGTCATGAACTGCCAGCACTTGATGCAAATATTCGCCTTGGTACAGCATGTTCGCACATCGTCGTAATCTGTCAAATCGATATCGAAGCACAGCTCCTTGGCAATTGGCTTAATCTTGACGGTCTTGCGATCGCGGGGGTTGGCAGAGTAGACGGGGCCGATTTCGAAACGGGAGGGCATCAGACGGAGAACATCTTTACGGAGACTACAGCGTGTGAGCAAGGTGGGTAGAGAGTCCTCGGGATCACATACAGGTCAGCAGTCGTGAAGGATTGGTATCGAAGGTAGGCGTCGTTCTGGAGGGTCAAGGCAAACTCTCGGTTGGCAAAGTCGTTGGTGGGCGTCGGGCTGTGGTTGAGCCACTGGAACAGGTACCGCCAGGGGAATAGGCGCTGGTAGAAACTGCGCATAACTTCGGGGTCGGACGCATTCGACGTCACTCCGCTATCACACGAGTTAGTACATCTGCGGCTGCTTTAGGATCTAGGACCTTACGGAGGTGCCACCTGTGAGCTTGGTTGGATAGGCGCAGAACTGGGAAACTCGTCATCCGAATCGTCATCGTCGAATAGATCCTCCAGCTTCTTGATGTCCTTTTTGGTGTCTTCCTTGCTCTCCTCGGCGTTCTCCTCGGTGCCGGCCATGTCGACATCGCCAGCGGGCGCCGGTGCTACCTCGTCGGAGATGGCCGTCTCCTCAGTTGGCTCGTCCTTAACGGTGCTTGGGGATGGCATGGCTTCCGGGGTGATGGAATGGGGCATCGTGCCGTGGGATGTCGTAGAGGTGTCTGGCTGCAAAGGTCCAGTGCGCGCAGATGAGCTTGGGAATTGTTGGTTGTCGCAGTGATGGACAGTGGGAGGTTCAAAGTGGAAGCGGGACGGAGCGCGTTAAGACGCGTCTTTCGCGTAAAGCGCATTTTGGGACGTGCCCGTGGTACGTACCTGCAGCTCGGGCTTTCAACCTGCCCCCGACACGCACTGCAATTTTGGCTCTTCGGGGGGTGAACGGCCCCTTGGGGAATTCCAATGCACTGGGATTTTAGCGCATGGGGGGGCCGTCCAACTACAAGGGGGCCTCAAAAACGTCCCCAGTTCAAGAGCTTACGATCCTCATTAAATCCAATCTAATAAATGACGACAAAAATATCCTCACAACAAATAAACACATAGAATTACTAATTAAAAATCCCATCCCCCAAGCTACTCATTACACCAGTGCATCATTGACAACTATATTTAGAATCGCGGTGTGTAGTTATATGTACATGGCAATGGCAACTGTCTTCTATGGACGTAACAATCACCACCACGGGCTGGTAATTAAACCCATTGAGAAATTGAATAATTGCCTCACGAACTATAGTAGCTAATTAACTAGGACCACACGTCCTCCTCCAACCGAGGCCGACGGTGGCAGATATCATTTATTACTACTGTTTAACATGCTCTGTAATCCTTCCACCCTGTCGCGGCCTTGTCTCAGCTTGAAGCTGCATTGGCTGGAAGGGAAGATGGCGAACCACTGGCAACCAGGCCAGGGCGAAGGGACTAGAATCGACAAAGACCGTCTCTTGAGTTCTTTGCGGGCTCTTCCCTGCCGCCGAGCAGAACGGAAACGGGCACTCGATAGGGCACTCAATAGGGCATGATAGTGCATCCCTCGCTCCATCTTCATGAGCCAACCCAATCTCACAAACACCAAGTAATACGGTTCGAAAACCCAGTGGATTTTATGCCGAAAACCCGACCCAACCGAGTGTCCTCGCTCAAGCCGACTCATTAATCAGGTTTCCCCACTACCTAGGTAGGTATCAACAGCATCTACGTACCTACATCGGAGAGTCTCGGCGTACGGACCACAGGGCTGAGTAGATACTAGCCCCCCCTGCAGACGACACCCTACCTCCCTTTAATCACCGTCCCACCCGAGTCCGTCAATGCAAACAAAAGTTCCGAACCGCGATTGAATTCCGCACTGCAGCGAACCTTTCGGCCCATCTAGGCGTCCCGGGGGCGTTTTCACAAGCCTTGTTGTGGCTGCACAGTACTGCACGAGTGCGTGACACGTTTTATGCGGCTGGCATGCGCGCAGCCTCGGCCGGCCGCAGGGGAAGGGGGAAGACAAATGGACGGAACCAAGTCTTTGAGTAACTTTAAATAGGAGCTAGTTCATCGGCTTGCGAAGTCTCGACCGGGTAACGCGAGATTTCCGTCAAGCACCCCAGCGAGGGATACCGGTAGTACTACTGGGAGGTTGACAAGGCTCTCTAGTAAGACGGCCGAAATCAACCCCCATCTCAAAGTCGATCAAGTTCATTTCGCCGCCCGATCAACCCTCTCCATCCCTCAAACAACCGTTTGTCCGCACGGAGTTAAGACTCGGTACCATCAATCCCTATTAGCCGCACAATAACCATCCCACGACCATCCCAGCAAGTTCCTCTGTAGTGCTGACGACCTCACAACGTCTCGTCCGTGCTACTGCAACAATAAAGGCAATGGCGAAACGAAAGACACCGGATCCAATGTGTAACCGTCCCTCGTACCCCCGAGCCCAATCACCGACACTCTTCTGAGGGTGAGTTTGCTCTACGCGCGTACACCCGTAACCCAAAGGTTCTAGCCCAGTCCATCACCGTCAACTCCCAATCCCCCCCTGTTCGTACAACCGCACCTAAACCCCGGTCATCTGCCTCCCATCCGAAGAGTCATCCAAACAAACGTCCTCACCGTCAGCCAAGCGAATCTTCTGCAATCCGGAGTCTCAACGTCCGGCTTAAATCCCCACCGCCGACCCCACCATTTCAACGGTCCAGAACTCCATCGACCTGCACCTCTTGTGCCACACCCGGCACGCCGAGACGCCTATATCTTGCCGCCTCCGCCCTTGCCGGTGCTTATTCTCTCTTCTTTAAAACTGTTGCTCATTGTGTTTTCCTACTAGCCACATCGTCGTCTTGTAAAGCTCAGTAATCCTCTCCAAAGTCGACAGTTCCGTCCTCGAATCCCGATTCCGAACCTATGCCGAGCCGCAACGTAAACCTCACCAACGAATAAAATATACACACCCTCTCGCTTTCGGACGGTCTTGAAATTGGAAAATGTTTTCTCGGGTATGCCGGGCGAACGCGGCGCCCAAGTGATAATGATATTATGATCAGGTATCAAACAGGTTCATCAAGTATGCCAGAAAAATCAGACCCTGCGCGCCGCCAGACCTCAGCCGTCGGAAACATGCTTTCCCAGTCATTTCCCTCTCTCCTCCTGGCCAATGCCACCGTTATGAATCGAATTAAAACCTCTCCCGAATCGTATACAAAGAACCCCACGGAAACTCCGCCGGCTCAGCGAGAGAGGTTATGGCCCATGCCATCCCACCATGAACGCCACACTCCAAATGAATGACCTGGTCAACGGTTTAAATCAACAAAAACTGGACGATGCCATCTTCCAGCTTCGTCACGCATAGGTGCGCTGTCGTTTTTCCGGGGGACTTTGGTTATCCAAACGTCCCTGGGAGTTCGCGTGGGGCTGAGAAACGCCGCCAGGGAATGTGGCCCGCGTCGCGCTGGTGGGAGTCATGCCATACTGGCCCGTTCCGTTTACCATACCGTACCCTTGGTCCATCCCGGTGGCCATGGGAGATGCCTGTGGCATCTGTCCTGGTGACCAGGTCGAGCCTGTTGCCGGAGGAGTGGGAGTCGTCTCAAACTTGAAGGTGGTGGTCCCGGATGTGTTCAGGCTACCAGGTGGGTTCATGTAGCCCGCGCCACCGACCACGTAACCTGACCCGGATTCTTGCTGAGTGGCCGGGTCATAGTTCTTGAGGAGGTAGCTCAGGTGGTTCTCTACGATCTTGAGCATACCGCTCTTGGTAAATGGTTTGGCCAATACTCCGTTCATGCCTATCTGAAATTAGCTTTCCGTTCCTTATCGCCAATTAAACAGTACTTACCGTGTTCAAAGTAGCAGTGTACTTCATCTGATCGGATGTTGGATGTCATGGCGACAATGGGAATGGAGGGACAATCCTGGCGAATGTACATGGTTGTCGAGACACCATCTAACCTGGGCATGATAATATCCATGAAGATCATATCGAAATGATCCCGGCCAACACTCGTAATCCGGCTATAGGCTTCCGCACCGTTTTGCTACAAAAGACCCAGTTAGTCACGGCGCGGAAACAATTACCCCAAAGTACGAAGTCACTCACAGCATGTTCAACTTCACATCCCATGGACTTCAGGAACTTGATACCAATCTTTGAGCAAGTCGGGTCATCTTCGACAAGGAAGATTCTTGGCTTCCTGGCTCCCCACAAGAGTGCCGAGGTATTGGAAGAAGAGCTGGAGCTTGTCGGCGCGGCGGCTGCGGTGTTGATCGGCTGGGGAGTGGGCAGCTCCTGCATGGGACCAGCACTTGAGTCGTTCGGCATGGCATAGGGGATCTTATGGATATGGTCGGAGTGGAAGGGGTCGATGCCGACAGTCTGGCCTACTGGGTACACAGGGTATCGGTTAATATCGTTCATCGGATCATGCATCATGGGCATCGAGGCCTGGGGAATCACGACCGCCGAGTCGGCGGGCGATCCGTAAACGCCTTGGAGGCGTTCTAGCTCTCGGTCCGCAATAGAGTCAGGAGTCACGCTAGACAGAAGCTCCCGTGCCCGTCGAAGCTCGGGCGCCGACTCATCTCCATCCAATGGTGAGGTACCGACGCTGAGATGCATCGACTGCTGGTGGCGATTGTTCCTGTCGCTTGATGACATGAAGTTGAGCATCTCATGCTGGGATTGCTTCTGAGCGTTCAGCATCTTTTGAAGCGTCAACACTTCATTGACCAGCAGTCGGTTTGTCTGAGAGACCTCGGTGAACAATTCCTGGAGTTGCTGCACCTGCTGTTGTGTTGCAGTGAGCTGTTCGGTCAAGACACTAATGTGGTGGCTTGTGGTGAAATCTTCCGTAGCCTGAGTTCTTCTGGGTGCGGGCGCTTTCCGGCGAATATTGTCGAGATCATCTTTGCTCCCGACTTTGAAGTTGGGATGCTTGAACTCAAGGGTCTAATTGAAATTGTCAATACGCGTGGGGCCATGGTTGCCACGAGACATAGGGTTAACCAACGTTTGCGCCGCCTGCTGAGGAGCCGGTGTCGTTCGTCTGCCTCACTTTATGAAAGTCATACTTGTTAAGCTGACGAACAAAACTGGCCATGTTGCTGTGCTTAAAGTGCTTGGGTAGGATTGATCGAGTGAACTTTTCGTTCTGAACGAATGCATTAGTACCACGACGGGCGTGGGGTGAGATGCCAGAATATCATACCTCGACCACCACAAAAGTATCGCCATCCTTGCCCCATCGGGCGACTTCTTGATGCGCAGGGTCCTCGAGCATTCTGGGGGTAATTAGTAAAGGGCATGTCAGAGCATGTCAGTGCATCCATACCGATACAGTTTGCGGACCTGGAAAAGGGGGGTTAACGAGAGGCTCAGACGCAGGCCAAGATGATTTCCAGTCACTCACAAACTCGCTGGCATTACTGCCGCCAATCCCAGGGGATGGGGTAACCTCGCCTCCAGACATGGTCAAGTTGTGACGCGAGTATATATATATATATATGTATATGTACGCGGGCGCGGGTTGTGAGGCGGGCGACTTGGATCGATGGACCAAGTTGGCGGTGATAGGCGTCGGGAAAGGAGACAGTGGGTTGTCAAGCCGTCGGGCCGAGGTGGGCGAGAGTCCCGTCGGTTGCAATCCGATCAAGGGGATGGACTCGAGACAGCGGGTGCCCGTCGGTCGATCAGGGCGGCGCGCGATGGCCGGGACGAGGCAGACTGGAAGCAGACGGGATGAGCGATGGTCGGCGATGCAGCGAGATGGACGGAGGTCGGAGGTCGGAGGCAGGCGGAGCGGAAGAACAGCAAGTCCAAGGTGGGCGGTAACTGGGCGATAGCTGGGCGATAGCTGTGCAGAGGAGCGCCTGGTGAAAGGCACGTCGCCGATAGTGACGCTGCGATGGACGAGGACGGCGCAATTGGAGGGACAGGGACGGGGACGGGGGACGGACGGGGAATGGGGAACGGGGACAGGGCCTGAGTTGTATCTCAGGATCGAGGTTGGGCGTGCGTGCGAGTGGGCGGGCGGGCGTGCGTGGAACACAGCACAGGCCGTGTTGTGCTTGACAGGCCTGTCCACAGAAGGCGCTGAGATGGCGTGCGTACCAGTCGGAGGAGTACGGACGGTAGGGTACTCCAGCCGTACCGTGCCCTCCGGGGACAGGGCAAGACATGCAGGATAGCGCCAGGATAGCGCAGCCCGGAGCAGCGCCAGACGGCCATCTGCCAGACGGCCTTCTGCCAGCTTCTGATGCTCCGCTCCGCACGTACTCGGTACATGTTGTACACGCTCCGTACCTTGTCCCGACGACAGCAGCCCTCCGCTCGGTCCTGGGACAGCCTACAGGACGGGCTCGGGCAAGACAGGATCTGAGAGAGGACAGGATAGGACAGGACAGGACAAGACAAAACAGGACAAGACAGGACAGGACAGGGGGGGCCCACAGGAGCAAGCCGGGCCCGCAACACCAGCCAGTCCCCAGCGCCGCCTATGCCCAAGAAGAAGGAAAAAGCTTGAGTCTCGGGCGCCGGAGGGGGTCTTCCAGGGGGGACTAGCCCGCGAGCGATCGCGGTGGGAATGAAGCGCTATTGCGAAAAGAAGTTTGGCGGCCGTGGGGGGTGTCGCTGCGACGGGGCTCCGTTGGCCATGGCACGGCTCATCATCTTCCGTCATTGGCCAGCCTGGTCAAGATCGCCCCGGACTCGACTGTGTGGCGTGGGCCATCGCGCACCGTAGCCACCCAGCTCTTGGGTACCGCCGATTAGGGATTGGTTTAAGGTAATTACGAGGTCCCCCAGTCGTTGCGGTCGCAGTCGCAGTCGCAGTCGCACTCTCAATCGCTCGCAGGTTGTTGGGGACGGGGGACCGGGGACGGAGACTGGGGGACTCTTCGGTTGCTGAATGTGTCGTGTCGGGCGCCACGTTAATCGCGTTGCGCAATAAGCAGGGGGCTGAGCTATCCTCTTCAGCTACCGTCGAGTCCCTGCGGTGTGTCCGTCCGGAAGTCAGACAGTCTTCCCATCTCTTGGTTTCGCTCTCAGTCTCGTCTCGTCCCGCCCGGTCCCCCTCCACTGAATGCTTTCGGCATCCAGCCCTGTCCGTTCTGGGCGTCGCCGATATTTCTTTTGTTTGCTTGTGTAACCTGGTGCGACGGGGAATAGCCGCGCCCCTGTGTACCTCCTTTATTTCAAGGACCCCCCTCCTTTCTTTGCCCTTCACCTGTGCAGCAGGAGTCGGCATGCCACATCGTATCCGTCCTCAGCACCTGTGTCCTACCTCGTAGTAGTTAGTAGTCAGTCCACTTCGTGCGGGAAGCTATCTGAAGACGTGCCATGCCATGCTACGCCATGCAGGGAGACCGATGCAGGCGGGCCCTACCCGGCACGACGCGTTCCCAGGGTCAGGTTCGCTCTATGCGAGGGCGGCCCAAGCAACAACACTGGCGTTTTCTTGAACTCGCGGAACCTCGTTCCTGGCAGGGAATCCAATCAACCAGAGAGGAATGTTGCCCAATTTCCCGTGCCTTTATCAATGCGCAACGAGAGTCGCATCCTACCCCCGAGAGTCAGACCCAGCAGTTTAGGCCCCCCCGTTTCCCCGTTTCTGGGTCACAGTGCCCTGGTTGCAGACGTGCCCGGCAATTTAGTGCGTAGATCCAATCACCCTCCACCAAGCCCAAGCCGGCAGTTCGATGGCGTGTGCCTGTACTCCATACCCATAGCAAGATCAACCCCTCATCCCTGCGGTACCATCATGGGGAGGAGTTTTCTCTTTCTTTCTTTTCTCTAATCATACCAAGACAAAGTATGATCGATCGTATCTCATGGGTGGATTGTAGCAATGACTGCTTTTTGCTTTTTCTTCCTTGACCAATAAACAGACGGCGTAAAGTTCGGAAATCTATCCTGGTGAGACCACCAGCCCTTTAGTTGAATCAATGATCTGCTTAAAGAATGCGGCTTGGTCTCTCCCGCCAGGGTCCTGCCACACTCCCAACATGTCAACCGTGTCCTGGGGAGAGAACGGAGGCGTTAGGGGGGAAGAAAAAACTAGCTGGGCCAACAAGAAGCACAGCCCTATTTGGTCAACAAACCTTGGTCTCGGCACTAGTTGAATTGGGATGGTCATGCCGGATGGGAAGTGCCCCGAGCCTCTCTCGGACCGTGATGGAGTCGAAGCCGGCACGCCCGCAGCCCAAATCAGGATCATTGAGTCGACGTGCAGATAGTTATCAGACGGGTTTGTCTTGAAGTGCAGGCCCTCTCCCACTGCCGCGTTCATCCTGGGGAGGGTGCCGGGCGCAGCACTGCAGCCCCAAGTCGGATTCCGGATCTCACGCCGCGGATCTAGCCGGCCGAAGGAGTGATCGACCAGGCTGAAGTGAGAAACAGTTGATACGTACGCCGTGGGCGTAGCGCTGACAAGGGTGTGGCGTCTGCCCGAGCCTAGAGCTACGGTCAAAAACTGCTCCTCGCATACCGCTGGCGGGTCGGGACAGGTACACCGGGAGGGCTACTCTCCAGGCTTTGCTTCTGCTGGCCGGGGAGCCGGGACCGAAAGAGCACCCGTGTGCTACCACCGTGTGCTGAAGGGGGGCGCTTGGCCATGTAGTACGTAGGAGAGTTGCCCACGTGCGATGGTGGGAAGAAAAGTTGGCGTGTTGGTGAGAGTCGAGATTTTCTCAGCAGTCACTTGGAAGAGGAAACAAGCAAGACGGAGGTGGGACGGAGTGTGGCTTGCTTGGGTGCGCCGGGGAAATTATCTTCTCGCACTGTCTTCCTTGAACGCTTTTGGAAGGTGTGCAGGGTAAGTAGCCATCGGCCAACAAGAGCTTGTTCGTGATTCCAAATTGCAATACGAAACTGGCTACTAGCATCGAATCTCAATGCGTTTGGGTTTTTCTGGCAGGTGCCTAGATCTGATTACACTGTTTCTGAGATATTGCAAGCTCCCACAGACGGTCGCGGCCTTCCTATGCCAAAGGGGGATCTATCAGCGAAAGGACGAGGAGAGAAATACGACGGGTCCCAGTAGCACACACAATCTGGTTCAACTGAAGACATCAGTCATTCCTCTGCCATGCAACATCCGGCCACACGCTGCCCTTTGATAAGTCTCAGTCAATATCGCCCAGTGTCAGATGCAAAGGCGCCAAGACGCCAATCAGTCTTGGAAGGGTTGTTGTCGGGGAATCGGACGACGCGGTTGATCAATATTGTTTAAAGTCAGACAATTCCAGCTCCCCGAGACCCTCGAACTTCGCGAGCCAGTCAGGTATCCTATCTTTCCTGATCATCCCACCTTCGCTAAATACTGCCTCAGATGCATGTGCAAAAAGCAAACTGCTGATGCGAGGAACGCCCAAGGCCAGTCACCGGGCTCGCCGGCAAAAGCCACGGCAAAAGCATGGTTGAATCACAATCGGGCTTGCGGCCGCCCTGCGCTGGGATCCTGGCGGAGATGACCTCTTTTTAGGCGCCGTACATGCGTCTGTCTATCATAATCTGAGCCATCTTGCTGTCACGCGGCTAGGGCGGAAAGCTGTCAGCGTACCGTCAACGGGCGGTGACAGGTTGACTTACACATGATCATCCCATCAAGCACAGAATCGCTTCGGCTCACCCCACATCCGCTGCCGGATTTGTAGATCGCTCCCCACTTCCATGCGGCACACAGCGCCAGAACCTATCACCTAGATTATATAATCGGGTTGCGCAAGACCGGTTTGGCTGCCCGAGTGCCGATCAGGAATGTTGCACGAAGTCTATTGACCTAAGTTAGCTGCTCGCGTCATCCCCACACCCCCATATAGGGTAAGTAGCTCGCACACACTTGTAGCCCACCTGCTTATCTCGCGCCAGGGTCGCCTTAGTCATTAAGCACCCCGCCATTCACCGAGCCTCACCGACCGCCCACCGAGGTGAGAAATTTCCCGTGCATGCTGCAATTGAGTCATCGGCCGGAAATTTGGCCTGACCCAACGTCGTCCAAGCCCACACCACCAAAAACCCACATATCGGTCTGCCTCAACGCACCACCTCCCAGATATTGGTGATGTCGCACAAAGGGAACAGCAAGGGCAAGAAGTCCGCCAAGGCGGGCGCCGAGAGCAAGAGCGAGGATGTTCTGCAGGCGGTTGTAGGTGCCACCGCGGGGTATCTTGAAAGTTGAAGGCAGCGCAAGCTCACCATACGTCACAGGTCCTCGCAGACTCATTCCAAGACAGATACAGACCTTTTACGATAGAGAAGCCAAGAGTGAGACTTCGCGCTGGTGCTCTACTGTGTTCGCGCCTATGCTAATGCTGCCTTGCCTAGTGTCTACTGCCCCTCGCCAACACTCCTCTCATCGAGTACACTCTCGAGTTCTTGGCCATGAATGGTGTTAACGAAGTGTTCATCTACTGTGGTGCCCATACCGATCAAGTCGAAGATTACATTAGCCGCTCACGGTGGTCAACCGCATCGCGAACATGCCCATTCTCCGTCCTTCAATTCGTCCGAGTTTCCGACGCACGATCAGTCGGTGATGTTCTTCGCGACATGGACAAGCGATCATTGGTCAATGGTGACTTTATCCTGGTCAACGGTGATCTTGTCTCCAACATTATGCTCGACGGCGCTCTGGCGGCGCACCGCAAGCGACGAGAGACGAGCGCGGCCAACATCATGACAATGGTTCTGCGAAGCGGAGGACAGGAGGAGCACCGAACAAAGACAAACGGAATCACTCCCATCTTCGTGGTGGACACCAAGACCCAGCGATGCCTACACTACGACGAGATGAGCCCCCTTAACAGCGACCGATACATGTCATTGGACCCCGCAGTAGTAGACGAGCTGTCGACCGAGTTCGAGATCCGATCCGACCTGATCGACGCGCAGATCGACATCTGCACCCCTGAGGTCCTAGCGCTGTGGTCGGAAAGCTTCGACTACGAGCTACCGCGAAAGAACTTCTTGCACGGTGTGCTTAAGGATTGGGAGCTCAATGGCAAGATGATTTACGCAGAGATCTTTGACGAAGGATACGCTGCCCGGGCCAGCAACCTGCAGATGTATGATGCCATCAGCCACGACGTCCTGAGTCGATGGACGTACCCCTTCATCCCCGAGTGCAACGTTGTGCCGAAGCAGACTTACCAGCGCAATATCAACGGTCTCGTGGCAGAAAACGGTGTGTTTCACGCCAACGACGCCAAGATCTCGAATTGCATCATTGGACGCGACAGCACTATCGGATCCGGAAGCAAGGTCTCCAACAGCATCATCGGGAGGGACTGCAAGATCGGAGCCAACGTCGTTTTGGAAGACTGCTTCATCTGGAACGATGCTACGATCGAGGATGGCACGAGGATATCTCGATCAATTGTCGGCGACTCTTCCACCATCGGCAAGAACAGCACCATCCCCACTGGCACACTCATCTCGTTCGGCGTCCAGATTAGCGAAGGCACCTCGCTTTCTAAGAGCGCCATTCTCTCCCCGGTCACCGCCGATGGTAGCCCCGTAACCCCCGATACCAACCTGCTCGGCGCCGCCACCAACGCCGCGCCCTTCGCCGACCCAGATGAGGAGGACTTTGACGACGAAGACCCGGCCATCCTTCAGAAGTCTCTGATCTACTCAGTCGCCGGGTTCAACATCTCCACATCGTCCGTCTCAACTCTCTCGTCAGAAGTGTCTGAGGATGACTTCGACCAAGTCGCCCACTCCGTCGACGCCGACGCCTCCACCCGCTCCCGCCTTTCCTCCTTCGCGTCCGACGAGGCCGGCGAGAAACTCTCCTTCCACAACGACGCCGTCCACGGTCTGCTCGATGCCCTCCGCGCGGACTCAGGCGACTTCGACTCGGCCAAGCTCGAGTTCATGGGTCTGCGCCTCGCCAATGACGCTTCCGATTCCATGATGCGCCGTGCCGTTGCCGTTGCCTTCGCCCGTCGCGCCGCCGAGCTGCTCACCTCGGAGTACGGGCCGCTCGAGCCTAGCAAGGCCGCCGAGAAGGCCCTCACAGCCAGCAAGGGCGCTACTAAGTTTGTCGACGAGGTTGGCGTTGGCGGTGGCGAGCGCGAGCAGGTCGATTTCATTCTTGCTTTGCAAAAGGGCCTGCTGCATGCCAAAGGCCCCGAGCAGTCGCGCGTTGGTATTTTGCTCGCCGCTCTCCTGCAGCAGCTCTACGCTCTCGACATCCTTGAGGAGGAGGGCATCCTGGGCTGGTGGGGGGATGAGCGCGCCGCCGATGGAGACGGCATGGTTGTTCTCAAGGACAAGTGCCGCGTGCTAGTTGAGTGGCTAGAGAACGCCGAGGAGGAAGATGACGAGGACAGCGATGATGAATAGATACGTCAAATGCCCCAAAAGCTTTCCGTCTGTATTGGTAGATAGAGACAGGGTCAGAAAAAAAAGGAAGCCCACGACGAAACAACCACTGAATCCCTGGCGTGAACAATCTGTGCAGCCCTTCTTTGACAGACTCGAGAGTCAAAGTAAAAGTATCCGTTTGCATTCCGTTAGGTATCATTTCCACTACCCCCTAGACGCCCCGCCCATTATCGCCAGGATACTCCACGAATATCAGACTGTGTCAGACATGAACCCGAATGAATCCCCAGCTTGACCACGGCGCACCGCATCGAATGATGCCCGTCAAACCTTCCATGCGTTGTGAGTCGAGATAAAACGAAGATCAAGATATTGCATGCTCCCAAAAACCAGGCGTAAAAAAGACACCCTTTATGAGGGTGCATACTAGCGCTAATAGTAATTCTGTAGGTCTGAGTTGTTGTTGCCCCCGTACCCTCCCATAGGTCGTCCTTGCTGAGCTGATGGACCTCGGGGAGGCTGGGTATTCCACCCCTGGCTGGGGCCTGTTGGGGCAGACGGTGGAGCTTGAGACTGGCTTGGTGGTTGGTAGGCATCATCATAATCAACCTGAGGGCCATATCCACCTTGCTGGTTTCTGGGCTCAACATCGTCGAGAGATCGGTAGTTGTAGCCACCCCCTCGTCCACGGCCTCCCTTGCTGTTTCCCCTCGAGGCATTCCGGAATCCTCGGTTGGCGTTGCCGCCACGGCCCCGCCCTTGACCTGAGCCGCCGCGGCCACCAGAGTGATACCCCCTGGACTCGTTTCGACCACTGTAGTGGCCATGGACGTTTCGTTGGTTCCAGTCGTCTTCGCCGTTGTGCTTGCGCTTGGACGACTTATTGGCGAATAGGCTCTCGTAAGCGTCTTCCCGAGGGTCCTCGGCCTCGATGCGGAGAATGACCTTTTCGCCAACGACAGTCTCGAAGATGAAGGATTTATCTGCTGGAAGAGGTTGCCAGTTTTGTATCTTGCCGGCATCGATGGGTCGAGCTCCTTTCCTCAGCGCCAACACCACAAGAGGACTAGGGTTGTCCGTGTGGAATTTGGCAGTTGCAGGAACTGGTCGCAGGCAAGCAGCCCATATACTATTTTCAAAGCAAGCTGTGCCCGTAACTTCCCACTTCATTTTGTTGTTCATACCGCCAACCTTTTCCAGGATACTAGCGGGACAGGGGCGAGGACATATGAGAATGTTGTTTCCGTGGTATTTGAGCTCATTCTGTGGCAGGTTCGGAGGTATTTGGGCAAGCTTGATGAGCTTCTTGGTATCCTCTGGGTTGATCATGTAGCCCGTGAAGAAGACAGTCTTCTTAATCCTGAGCTTGTTCTGGCGTTTGGTAGACGAGGGTTGCTTGGTCACCGTGTCATTGTGAATGTTGATCATGTGCTGGACCTCAGCGACCTCGACCACAGGGTCTAGAGACGCCGTAGCGTCGGCGACCTGAACCACCTCTGCCGTCAATGGGCCTCGGGTGGGCATGGTGTTTTGTCTCCGGTTGTACTCGGCGAAGAAGTCGCGGAAGAGCTTGGTATGCTTGGGCCGGTCCTCATACACGCGGATTTCCTCTGCGGACTTATATGTTTCCATTAGAGCCTCGAGGAATAGTTGCTTGAAGTGCATGGTGTTCTGAAATCGCTGGTTCGAGGGGCTGACCTGGGGCTTCAGACCGACCATGTCAAAGTCGAGGTGCTTGGCCTTGACCATCTTCCGGACCAAGTCGGCGTAGCCCTTCTCAGAGCGACCAGTCAGGAGAATGCAGAGAGCATCCTTTTGTTTGATGCTCAATCTGACGAGGTCAACGATTTTGTCATTCCACCATCCATCCCAGGCGCGCTCCTCCTCCTTGTCAACACCCTCGCCGGTCGCACTAAGAATTCGGTTATCGTGCCACCAGCCGCCATTGACGAAGACATCCTGGCTCGATAATGTTCCAATGGTCGGGCCGTTCCAAAGCGATGGGTTCGGGAGTGGTGTCTTGAACACTGGTGGCAGAATCAGCATGGACATCAGGGTGTTCGACCACGCCTGGGGCGCAATGTCGGTCAAACAGCGGGCAGCACCTACAGGTATTGTCGAAGTCGTAGACATGGAGCGACTTGATATCCTCGACGGCAGGCAATGCGCTGTTGAGGACAGACCAGCGGCCCAGAGCGGTGATGGTAAAGTTGGAGGCCGCGGCGGCGCCATGGAACGCGCTGTAGGCCGAAGCCATGGCGCTGGGCTTGCGAAGAGGAATGGCAGTAGCGAGTAGACAGCAAGGCGGCTGCCGACGAGACGATGGTTTTGCAGTCGGTGTCGGTGTCAATGTCGATGTCGATGTTGATGCGGATGGTGGATTCGTTGCCGTTGAGAATGGTGTTGGCGTCACAAAAAGTGGCAGCTCAGCTGAATGATGTCGCTTCTGCTGTTGAATTATCAACGAAAGGCTGCTACGGCGGTGGGGCAGGACCACCGCAGGCGCCTGCTGGTAGAGCACAAGGCCCAAGCTGCTCCTTCCCCTACTGGCGCTGCAACAGGAGCCGCTGGCCTGAGGCTTCAGCGCGTTTATAAGCGACAGACGCCGCATTTTCCAGTAGAGCTTGACCCAATGTCTCTCCTAAGCTTCCAGCTCGTGGAGTGATTGATGGTTCAGGGTTCAACGTCCAGCGTCAGGCTCTTGCTCTGCGCACCCAGGAAACGATCAGACGGGGAATCGACCGCCAATAAAGCTGCAGGTCTCGGGCTACGGGATGTAATGGTCATCCAAACGGGCATTACCCCTCACAATAGATATTCCGCCTGACGCATCAGCTCCAGCCTTTGCGCCAACCTTTCACCAACTTTGTACCCATCAACCTTAGACCCTGGGGACAGGGCACGCGGCACGCGGCATTGTGATGGCGTCGTCTAGCGCCGCCATCCGCTTCGTCACTGGGACCAAAAAGTCACCCGTCGGCAGCGTCCACCTGCAGCTCCACGTCAAGCCTGGCGCCAGCAAGAACCGTGAGGGCGTCCTTGCCGTCACCGACGATGCCATTGAGATTTGCGTCGCCGCACAGGCAAGGGAGGGCGAGGCCAACAAGGCCGTCGTCCAGGTCCTCAGCTCTGCGCTGGGCGTTCCAAAGTCGAGGCTGCAACTGACACACGGCATGAAGTCACGCGACAAGACGGTTGTCTTGGGAGATATCAAGGGTGATGGGGAGGAGTTTGCGAAAACAATTCGGGAGCTGCTGGACAAGGCCGTCGAATAAACTTGCATCCAGACCATCCCTTCGGAGTACCAAGATTCCTCCTCACTCAGGATGCATTTTCAACCAACAGTCCACAGCTATCCCTTCCAGGATTACACCACAGTGAATTCTACCAAGCGCCGCAGTTTGCAAGTCACGGATTGAGATGCCGTGCATTTCACCTTTTGTTCAAAGACTTGGCCTGAATCCGGGTCGTCACAAGCAATTTGTTGAATCGAGACGGCCATTTTCAATGCATGCAACCCACATGACGACCCAATTGAGCTTGTACACCCCAACGCCACTGTGTTTGCACTTTCTTTCTTCACAGAGTTCGAGGAATCGAAAGCGAGCCCCACCAGGTCAACTTGGTACCAAATCAGCGCCGGTAAAGGACCATGGCCTGTACAACACCAAATTAGAGCATCACTTTCATCAGTAGCGGAAACAAGCCCCGTTGGCTAAGTGGTATAGCGTGTCACTAGTAATGACAAGATCACTGGTTCGATTCCAGTACGGGGCAATTCGCTTTCTGATTTTCCTTTTGCCATTTTCTCATTTTTTGCACTCCTCTTTTGTTGTTTTGATGCGGTCTCACACTCTTGTCGATATCGTAATTGGCTGCACATCAATCACACAAAAAGAAGCTGGACACTCACATAGCATTTGATGACTGGACCAGAATCAAGGCGTCCTTAAACACGGGTGTTCTGGTGTTGGAGAAGCTAGAGCCTCCTGCGACGGGGAGAGATAAATACATCGTAGGGCGAGTCGTGGATGGCCATAATTGTCTCGGAACTGACTGGAACGAATTTGATCTTGATATCGGCACTTGTGAGCGCTGGTCAGGGAAACGGGGAGCGTTTCAGTTGCTGAACCGCCGTGCTTGTCCATGAGGCTGAATGAGAGTTTGTCGCAGACACGAATAAGTTGACAAGGCATCCGCTCACCTCCCTCGAATAAATAGTCCCACCAAGCAAAGAATAAGAGCAGGCCCATCTCAATTCAATGGCCCTGAACTTTACGTCGAGATGTGTTGGGCGGAATATTTGGGCGTTCTCATTCTCGTCATGATCATCGGGATCGCCATCAGTATTGCCCAATCGACAACCGCCCCCCCGTTACCCTGGACAGCTGGGGACAGAGGAGGAAATGGGAAATAGCAGGTAGCTCTCAGAGCCTGGAGTTGCAGAGATTAGATGCAATAATGGCCATTTCGCCCGGGCTGTGGCTTCGAGTGCCTTGTGATGTCAGTGTCTGGGAGGGAAATTTGCCCTGGCAAGGAGCGCCCTCATCACGATGTCTCGAAATACTGATTCCAGGGCGGTGTCTTACCACGCGAACAGACCAAACAAAAACACCACCAACGACTCCCAGAATGAGCCTTATCGAGGCCTCTTGACGTCTTCAGGAGCCCCAAAACTCAATCGCCCAGGGATAGATTAGCACACGCCCATTGGACTAAGCTTCTCGTATTCTCCCATCAAACTTGCAGATCCCGCCAGACCGCATAGGCTCACGCCAGTTTCTCGGTATCCAGAGCCTCCCCGCACTGCAAAAACTCTCGTCGGCCGTCTCCCTTCTCCAGTGAAGCCACTCTCCGGGAATGGTATGTGCTCGGGCTTCACCACTCGGCGAGGTGCCCCTGAGACTGAGACGAACTACACACACGCCGTGCTGCCTTGAATGCCCCTTGAGCCCATTGGAACTTCCCTCGAATGATTGAAGTCCCCAGGTCAAATCACCCTGTTCGTGGTAGATGTCGACTTGCCGGAATAGGAAGTGTGATGGCTAAATCTGTCGTTGCCATTGGCCACGTCTTGGGGATCTTCCGCATGAGAGGAGCCTGGCATTGCAGATTGACCGACGAGAGAATCTGACAGTGGTTTTTTTAGACTGACAACAACTTTGCTGCATGTCCATGACCAAGTTGAAAAGGACACTCGAGTCTATCTCTCCCTCGACACTTTGTCGAAGTAGATGATCCCTCGCACCCTTTCGAAGCTCATCGAGAAGAGGGCCATCGCCCATGATAAGTCCCGTCCCAGGACCCTCTCGCCGCGTGCTAAAAGTCTCCCGCTGGCGATCCTAGCCACCGTTCCGCAGGGGGACGCATGGCGCCCAATGGAGCGGGCGGGCTCTGGACGCTGATGGAGAGTGACTTGTGGCTCAGGACTTGTCGATCCCCCTCCCTGGCCGCATCACACACCCCCCTCCGATGCGGCCCAAATCGCTCGTCTTGCAGTAGTTAAAGCCTAGAGCCAGTGATCGGCCGCAACTGACTTGTCACGTTTTGAAACGGTTCTGGGCCCAACGTCGAACATCGCCACATGAGGCAGCCCGCGACTGCAACCAATCTGTGGCTCATGTGTCTCGTCGAGCCACACGCCCATGTGCCACGCCACATGCCACATGGCCCAGAGTCTCGATTCTCCCATCGGAGCTATGAGACGACCCTTGCACAGCTGAGGAGTCTGGACGGTGGCCCTGCCGTCGATCGGATTGCGTGTTTCGCTGATCATCACCACTGGGAGAAGTGAGGCGCGAACTCAAGTGTGGCTAGTGTTGTTGGGCTGACAGAGGTGTAACGACCGTGGATGAATCGACGCAGTCTGATTGGAAACGGATTCCTATGCAGCGAATGCAGGGGAGAAGCTAGGACTGTTGGCTATCCATGTCTAACCCGAGGGCGACACGATCGGCAGCATGCGAGACTCGATGTATGCCAATGCCGTCAACTCCGTGCCGAGAAGCAGCGTTCCGAAGTGATGAACAACCGTGTTAGTCGCCTCAGCCACACGCAACCCTACCGGTTGCAAACGGACAACCTTGTATGCCGGACGGGATCTCACAAGACCCGTGTGTCGAACCTAATTCAAAGACGAGACTCGGAAGCGAAGCGATCGACACAGGTTTCTGCCTTGTCGGGCAAATAATAAAGACCACAATCGTGTCAGCTGGGACATCAGAACTCGGCACGACGGAAACCAACGCGCCCAGCCAATCCCAGGGGGCTTCTAACACAACCCACCCGGCATGTATCCGACAATACTTCGCCACAGACCTAACCCCCACCGCGATCCCATCCCTAAATGCTGTACCGAGTAACTTAAGTAGCCATTGAACATCTCCGGAAGTAACCGGTCGATACCTAGAGTCTGCGTGCCAAGCTCGACGCGCAAGCCACCTCGCCACACTTGTCCGGCATTGTTTGTGGCTTGTTCTCAGTGCCGTGTGGCGATATCTCTACGATAGGCTCACGATCGACGGGGCTATCCTCCTCTGCTTTCACTACCACAACATTGCCGATATGAGATACATTGAGAATATTAACTCTGACGTGGCAAGTCAGTTGGTCGAGCCGTGGATGCACACCCTACCTACCCCTTACGATATGCATGATGCGGACATCAAACTATCATCGTTTGGAGTCGCCATTGTTCTCTTGGGACGTAGTAGTGTATTGTAGAGTGATTAATTAACACAGGGTCAAAAGATCGTCCATAGCGCCATGACGAATGAGATTAGTCTCCCCTAGTTGGAGGCCTGCCAGTTAGCCAGCCTTGTATGTGGAAATGAGTTGCTTCACCACAGCTAGAGCAAAATCCATCAGGGGCATTCACTGAGACACCTTGACGAGTTGAAACGCTTTGATATTTCGCAGGACATTTCGTGCACTAATAGGTGCATTTCATGCCTGCTCACATTAATTCATAAGCCCCGATTGTCGTGTGCCTCGGGGCTGGTATCATGGTAAACTAGTACAAAAAAGAAGAGTTTCGTCCTTCATAAACGTGTAGAAGATATGATGCGCAGAAACTCGAACAGGAAAAGGGAAATAAAAGTATGTGAAGAAATCCCCAACATAGGTCTTTCACCCATCGCTCAAAGGGTATCCAAATCCTTTCATCATTGCTCCCGTTAAAAATCCTTCCTGTAAATACCCAACTTGCTCAAGTACGGCTCAAGGTCAACCAGGACGCTTATGGCCGCACCCGCAAGGTAGGATCCACAGGAGCGCCATTCTTTGTGCAGAAACGCCTCCCATCATCTCGAGGTAAACCAAGTGAGTGGGGGGAAAAACCAACGCATCGTTTCCTTGGGTATTGAAGCGAAGCAGCAAAAGAGCTGAAAAGAAACCAACTCAAACCCTCGCCCCAACAAGCGCTCACAGAGAGCTGTGGTATATTTTGAAGAACAGAGTCGTCAAACGCCTCAAAGCAAACAATCCATCTCGTGTATGTGTGTGATCGTGAGCCCAACCTGGCGACAGGCTGGGGGAGCCAACATAACATGTACATGTCCCAGTCTAGACCTCAGTATTCATCTGCCGCAAGCCAGTCATATCGCCAGGGCAAAAAGTGTAAAAAAAACAAAGAAAAAAGGATTAGAAGACGAGGCGCAGGACAAGCCCAATTGTCTCGTCAGATAATTCTGTGTCAGGAGATCCGTCAGAGTCGACCGCCATGTCCCACTCGCTCTTCGCCCCTGGAGATTGCTCAACTTCTCTAACCTGCAAGGTCATGTCCTGGCCCTCCTTTAGTTCTCGAATAACATCATCGTCCATTTCAACCTCCAACCCGTTTTGGGTTGCGTGAATAGTTCGTGTTATTCGAGATGGGTTAAATCCCCACTTGGCTGCAATACGATCGTTCAACTCCTTCAGAGTTCGCTGTCTCAAGTAGATTGCCCGATAGTACTCTTGCTGTTCAGCGTCTGTCTGAGTGTGGCGAAGGACATAGAAGCAAGCGACAGGCTTGGGGCCGCGCTCCACCGGGGGTCGATATGAAGGATCGACGCCAAGAGCCTCGATCCACCCGCTGAGGTTCCCATCTTCGTCTGTCTTGTTGACTTTCGTCGGTGGATCTGAGCCTTTGCGAGATGTGTCACCCCCGGCGACGGAGTCAAAGTTCTTCCACTGACCACCGGGACCAACTGCGGAGGTTTGTGATGCTAGGGAGAGGGAGCTAGGCGAGGGAGAAATCATAGAGCCTGCCATGGAGCTGCGTCCACTTCTGGCCTGCCAGTTCGGGCCATCACGACTTTCAGTCTTGGTAAGGGGCGAAGCGTCTCCAGGAAGTGACACGGGATGTAGATCAGGATCGTCGAGCTCTTCACCCCTAAGATACAGGACGCTGACAGGTCGGGTGCTGGTGAACATGTCCTGGAGGGTCTGAAGTTTGAAGTGCAAATCTTCTTCCATCGACACCCGTCCCCCACCAGCAGAGCTAGCAGAGGACATGGACCATGTACGTTTGTGCTTTATGACCTTTCCGGGTCGATGTACATCTCCGACCTTCGAGACGCCGCTTGAGCGTTTCCGTTTGCCAAAGTCTTTCAACCCGCTCTCGGCTTGTGCAATCTGCTGCTTGAGCTTATCGATGGATTTCTTGACATGAGCGACATCGTTGGAGAGCTTTCGTTCAGCTCCGTGATCCCGGAAGAGCTTTACCTTGCAGAAGCAGATCTCGGGGTTGGCATCGGCGGCGGATGACAAGGAGTCAGGGGAGATTGGGCTAGTTTTGGCGCAGAGTCTGACGGGGATGCCCTTGACACCCTTGGAATGGCTGAAGTCGGTGGAGAGGAAGTTGAACCGAACTGCAATGTTCACCTCGGAGGCCCCGTTAGTCCCTGGTGTCCAGGTGACCGAGAAGCCATCAAACGAGGAGGATTCAAGCTCCATGCGAGTTCTTTTGTCATCTCCCTCGACTGGTTGCCCCGCTTCGACATACTCGACGGCCTGGAGCTTCCCCCCTCTTTGATGCGCCTCGTTGGTTCCTCTGCCCTCCTTCCAGAGACCCCAACAGACGCCGGGCCGTTGTCTCTGTTGGTCATCCTCAAATGAAACTCGCACAAACGTGCGGTACCTGGTGCCAGGAACAATGGGTAGGGTCGCGTTAGTGTCAGTAACGGACAAGGAGTACGCCTGTCCTTTGTTGAGATAGGTGATGGGGATCTCATCAGCTTGCTTGATCATCGCAGTTGGCGCGTTGAGAGTCGAATGGAATCGGAACTTCTCTGCCGAAGCAGGAAGTGGATGAGAAGCCTGGATACCGGGAAATGGACGTGACTGGAGTCCAATCATGTGAGTTGGGTTCTGGAAGGTATCCATGGGCGACATTCGCTCTTCAGGGGGCTCCGAGTTGATCTGGGGGCCGTCCTGATCCATGGTTTCGTACCCGGTGTCTTGGTGAACAAAGCTCGAGGGCGCAAAGGTTGGTTGAGGCGGGGGCGCTTGGATAAAGGGGTTGAACTGGTGGAAGTGCTGAGAGTGCATCGCTTGGAACCCGGTTATGTCCATGACTCCGGTGCCTGGTCCAGCGTGCATTCCGTCTCCAGAAGTTGGCATCGATAGCGGAGTCCCAAGGCCCATCCCCAAGTTCATCGTGGGGGTATGGAGGTCGCCAGCCTGATGGTGGAACAGGGTGTTTGTACCGCCTGGAGTTGGCGTGTAATACCCGGGAGGCGCATTGGCGAAGTTGGCAAAGGAGAGCGAGTTAGGGTCTAAAAGGGATGGTGTAAACCTCCAAGGCTCATTCGTAGCCCGAGGGGTCGGGTCTTGGTCGCGGAAGGCATCTTGGGGGATGCCTTGGGTCCTATGTGAGAGTTATCAAGTCAGCGAATGTGTCCAGCTAGAAAACATGGTGCGATGACGGGCTGCGGATAGTGGCATCAGGTGTGACACCCGCGCCTCGGGAAGTAGGCACCCCAAGAGCCATCACAGCTGCCAAGTTGGTGACGGGACATAGAATAGACATACCTCTCAGGTTGTGGCGGCGCATGAACGATGTGATTCTCGGCTGCCACGGTTTGTGATATTGCGGGGGCAGTGGCCGCGGTGCTGACAACTGCGACCTGAGGGAACTGCTGTCGGAAGTCGGCCAGCAGGTCGTCCCCAGGCTTCTGTGAGCTTGTCCTATATCAAGGGAAAGCATGTCAGTACAGAGTAAAAGAGGGGAAGAAACACCCAGAGTAGTCGCCAGGGACGGCATAACAAGATGGGCTTCCAGTCGCAAATTACTGTAAGAGATGCGGCTTGCTTACCTTTGGCGGAACATGTCGAGGTGGGAGGGCAAACTGGACCGCCCCAAGGTAACAACACTTCCTGGTGTTTCTCAAGCGCGGCGGGGTGGAAGAGAGAATACCTCTCGGCGAGGATGTCACGCGGTTTTGTGATGTTGCGATGGTCAGGTATGTGCGCACTTCGCTCAAACGGCGGGTGATTAGTTTGCGCCGGAGTTCATGGATTGCGCCAGAGAGCGGACCAAATTAGGGCGTGTGTGGAGGGCTGCGGCGCGTCGCAGACGAGGGGTGAGGGACGAATGACTAGAGGGAGCGCTATACGCGGGACGTTGTCGATCTGACGAGACGATGTAAAGGTCGTGTATGGCAGAGTCAGGGAAAACGAGTGAGTAGGGAGAGTCCGGGATTTTGAGGGTCAGAGAGAGTAAAATAATAAATAAGAAAAGGTGAGGTTAGGTGAGGCTAGGGACGTGTCGTAGAAAAAGCCGAAGGTGGTGTAGTAGTACAGACGAAGTAGTAAGGTCTGGTCGGGATGGGTATATGAGAAGAGTGGTGGGGATCTTTCGTCAGTCTGGAGCAGACTGAGTGAATGGAGCAGACTGCAATGTAGAGGGGTGGCCCAAGCCTGGGGGGTGTGGAGGCTGTGCCGTGGATCGAGTTCTTGCAGGTGGGTGGGAGAGGGAGAGTGGGAGCAAGTGAGAGTCGTGAGAATATCGTGTCAAGGATGTGCGTGTTGGTGTGAGTGGTGTGGGCTCTGAGTGGATGTGCGGGCTCGTCCGTGTTGTTGTTGCAGTATCTTGCACCACCAAAGCGGCTCTCTCCCGCCAGATGGCTTGCCTAATAGATGCACCGATGACCTGGCTCAGATCGACCAAGAGTGCGGGCAACTTGGACCGTTGGCGACGATGAATTTGCGAGTGTCTCGGTCGATGGGACGGGGTCGGTATTGGGATGGAACGGGTGACGGGTGAGCTCCAGGGAACAGTGGTGTGTTGTGCAGTAGGCCCGCGCCGTCAACCAGCAGGCAGTGGAAGACTTGAGGAGCGTTCCGTCGGTGGTAGAGAAGAGTTGATGACTGGCGAAACTTTGAAGGGGGTGTGTCAATAAGAATGCGATAATCGCTCGGCGTAGTGTTATGCGTAGCGATCGTTTGGGGATGCCATCGGGTCTAATACCCACGGACGAGATGGCTTCGTCTGGTATGGTTTTGGCTTGTCTGGTGTCTGGGCGTCCCGAGGTTATAATTGCGAGTTATTATAGGCGAAGTAGGTGGCATTCGTCAACCGGGGATAGCGGAGCCATGATACTTGGAGTATCATCTGCAATCTGCTACGCTGCCGTCGTTGACACGACCAAAACCAGCCTTGTAATCAGTAATCAATCGACTCTTGGATGGACTGTTCGCAATAGCACTGGAATACCAACAGGCTCCGGGGAGCTGGAGCCTGGGAGGGGGTGGACGTGACTGACATGGGTTGTCCGGCCGGGGGTCCCTGGGCTTCTTCGGTCTCTCTGAGATCCTTGTCATTTCAGAAAGTGGAGAGAGACAGACAGAGGCTCGTGGATATCAAAAATTGTTAGTGAGGGACAAGGGATCACCGGTCCTTCGCCTCCGGTGGCTACGATGACGCCCCCCTCCGCTGCACCTTCCCCGCCTGATGCCCACGAAGGTACCGGGAGCTTGACCCGCGAGGGAAGGAAGAGCGGATGCTACTCCATTCCTCGATGCTCTAGCGAGCGGATGCCAACACACCACAGACACCACAGTGACCACACCAAACCCCCAAGCGACTTGCACAATGACGGCGCCTCCCATACAGCATACCACACAGGGCTATTGCCGCCATTTCCACAGCGCTGTGGCGCGTTGTGGGCGCTGAGTTTTAGTGAAGGACTGAAGGCGCAGCGGCCAACGGAACTTCCACACCCCGGACCGCTGACATGGACTTTCAGACCCGGTCATTTCCATTGCTTCCCCAGCATCGTCTCCGTCCCCACCTGGCACCCAAAGCCTCTACCGTCACATATGCTAAGACCCCCCCAGCTCCAGGTCTTACAGCGGTCACCCTTACGCAGGAACGCCATCTGTCCACCCAAAGTAGCGGGAGGTGGGCGCCCAGCCCGTGCGATTTACTACATGGGCGCTGGATCGGATCTTTCCCGTGCCATCGGCTCTCCAGCCCAACCGCGCTTCTGCCGTCATCGGGCGTCCACCATGAGGCGTCGTTGCGCCTGTGCATCTGCGTCGTTGCGCCTAGACGCTGCTGTCTCGGGCGGGTTGAGCATGCCGCCGGCTGTTGTTCTTACCGGTAGGATGGATCCAGAAACTCAACAAAATAAGACAGAGCCCCTTTGAGAAAGATCTCGAATCCACCAATGGCCATGTTACTCACAACGTCCTCTGGCAACGGCACGACACTTGTTCTCCCGCTTTCCACTCGTTGCGAGACTCTCCCGCCGCACACTGGCTTCGACATTCCCTCACGCCTATTGGCCCGTCAACTGTACTCTATGAAACCCCAGGACTCGACGGCCTGATGGGATGGAACGCCCGCCGGTCCCATGCATCCACGGGGCGACAAGGACCTTTCTCCTCAAGCCTTCCCCTTTGGGACCAGCCACCTGACCAGGGCCGATGTTCCCTTCACCGTGACTCTCTCATGGCGAGACTTTAGCCGTCAGTGGCCTTGTCCCGTTGTCGGTAGATGGGATGTTTCGATAACCCTTGGGAGCTCACAAGATTTGAACACTCAATCTACTCATACCATCCCAGGCCGGCTCGAGGCCGGAAACCCTATGGAGTACAGTACAACCTTGGAGGGGCTCGCGGGAGGATCCTCAGGTCCGATTTCATCCCCGGGTGGCTGTGCAGATTCGTCCCTTGACAGCGCCTACGGTCTACGCGCCGGGCCCAGCACGATGTCGCACATACCCAGACCCAGGACCACCCAACTCACCCGCCCTTATCGCCAAGTGGAAGCCGCCAGAATCGCACCATTTCTCGCACCGCTTGGCCTCATCCAGCTTGGCCCGGCTCCGGTTGGAGACTCGCGGCGAGAACCACAGCAAGCACCTGCTACGTACCAGAACCCCAAGCGCCCCACGTCTGCTCAACGCCACACTATCCACCATCACCTACCAACCCCCAGCATCGTGCCTCTGTGCCAAGTCTATGATCTTCACAATCTACGCCTGACAGAGCATGGCCATGTGGTGCTTCGCATGTGCATGCCCTGCCCGGGGGCAACCGGGGGCACTATGTAAACTTACGTACGTGTCCCTCCAGACCGCCCTCTGTCAAAAGCTCAGGCACAAGTGAGCAACGGCGCTTCCACCATGCTTCTCTAGTGGTCGATAGAATTCGGATGTGGCTTAGTGGGCCCTCTTTTCCCAAGACCCAAACGCTCAGGATGCGATTGAGTACATCTCGGATCTAATTTGGACGGGGAACATGGGCCTTCCTCCTTTGCACGCCCAGCTCAATGCGCCCGTTGCCGATCCCTTCCTGATCGACGTTTCTTACTTATTTTTATCATGCGAATAACTTCGATTCAAAATCCCAGCCCATGTGTGGCTAATTACGCCGTTGCGTGGCTTGTTTGCCTCTGTACCGTGATCAATCCTTGCATCAGGCATCTCCCTATTTCGGTCAGGTCGAATGCTTCTGCTTCGCTCGCCACCGGTGGCCAAATTTCGGTACCTGTAAGTGTGCCCATACCTCCTAGCGGTAGACTTTCCCGGGCGATCGATCCCTATTTGGGACCTGAGCCGTTGGTTTGCGGTTTGACGGAGATGCACCAACCACAACGAGGATTCACTTAACCTAGCAACAACTCAGTCAACTCATACGTAGTATGTACTGACTGCTTGACATCATATTAACTCTGGGCTCAATAGGAGCACAAAAAGCCACTCGTACAGTGCTGAGTGCAGGCGGTTTTGCCACGATGCGCGTCATATCACAATGCCACTCGGAGGCTTCATTAACACGGCGGAGGAGTCCCAGCCCGGATGAGGAGGTCAACTCTTGAAATTAGAGAAATATTTTCCCTGCACCCAGAACTATGCGAAGTGCACGCACCTAAGAATGGCCTGTGGCTAATTACAGGCCGTTTCTCGTCTCCGATATTCATTGCGCGTGAACGCGAACTGATGGCTTAATGACATGAGCTACGCGGGAATTGGTCTCCTCCCAGCACTAACCTTGTCAGGTCCCGCCTGCGGTCCTCTCGGAGCGAAACCTAACCCCAGTCAGATCCCGGCTCATAAAAGAACAATACGCCTACCGCGAGTGGGACCAAGTTGAGCGTAGTACGAAGAGCTTGTTGACAGCCAGTGCCACATCGAGGCTTGTGCGTGAGCCATCGGCCCCCGTCGAGAGAGCAGATGTGAACGAAAATACCATCTTTCACTTCTGGTCGCCGGGCTCACTACGTAGTAGGATGCAGGGTGATGGGTCCTCTTACCCGAGTAATGGATCCCTCACCGGAAGGCTTTACAACGATGTGCTTGCGCGGCACAGCTGCATTGATCCGATCACCTCACTGGTCTTCTTCAGATGGGCGCTACGAGATGGGGCACCTACGTCATTTCGAGATTTCAAGATGACAGGTTCGTGAGGGCTAACACCCCACGACAAAGAAAATTTGGAGAGCCCAGTCCGGCCGTTGACACTCCCCCACATCGGCTGGCGAAGGGATTAGAGACAAAAGGGTGCAGACGGCCATCTTCCTGGATCCAATCATATGCTGTGTGTCTGGGAGTTACTGTGGCTGGTGTCCTCGGGTTTGCTTCTGAAATGCTAATCTGGCATTGAACAGATGGGGTTGCGCCTCCACGGCTTCCGTTCCAATTGAAATCTCTTATGCCGTCCAAAGGTAGGATTGGTGTTGTCATGGTTGACAGACACAACCGAGACGGTGACCAGGCATCCTGCGTTTCGCCCATGTCTACAGACGGAACAAGGGCAAGTGTGTGGCTTGAAGCGAAGACTTCAATGTCGATCAAAGCCTCAAATGTAGTCTCTTTCGCTGAAGCCCCACAGATGACAGGTGGCTCGTGATGACCCGCAGTGCTGGGTGACGACCTGACCATGCCACAACGAGGTAATGATGAGGGTGCTTGGACTGGACTGTTGAATTGCCGAGGAAATGGCGGACGAATGCTACTACGTGATACTACGTGCTACTACGTAGTACAAGCCCCCGACGACATTCTGCTCGCTTCCGTCCACGGGAAGTAAGTCGCGCTACGGGGCTCATGCATGCACGCGAAGGCCACCCCAGTGACCCCATCGCCATCCATCGCAGTCTTATTGTATTGCATGGGTGGGTCCACGATGCCGTCAGAGGAGCGGAGAGACCAGCCACACACGGAATTCATGACGTCACTGTTGCTGTCCGCCTCTTCCCACGTCAATTTACCCATGAGGCTGAAACTTCCGGGGAACTCATCCTGCACCCCCAGTTGACACGCTTTTGGAGTACGACACAGATACGGCACAGAGAACGGGCATGGTCGACACCTTCCCCGGCCATGGAGAGACGCATCAGGACTAGAGCTGTCGACGTGGCATGCTACGGCTACAGCACACGGCAGCTTGAAACAGAGATGGTTCTCAGCCAGGAGCACCAAATGGACGATTGAGTCCCCAACAGTGGCGCCGTTCTGAAACAACAGCTCGTCATCCCGTTGCCGATCACTGTGCTCACCGCGCCTCGTGGTTGATGGTGTCGCGAGACCCAAGCCTCAGAGGCATTCACGTCATCCGAGGATGTGCCAGCGAAAAGCAAACTCCCCTACCTAGCCAGATATGAAGACACATGCTCGCCAAGATGGGGGGAACCCATCATGAGACCACCGACAACTGCAAGTCCTTTTGCTATTTCCGTCCATCCGAGAATTTATTGGCTGTTTGTGTTCACCCTGTGGTGGAACTTGGCAAACCGTGCAATCAACCTTCTTTTCTTCTTCCTCCTGACAGCCTTATGAATATCATTAAGCTCCAGCTAAAGAACACGAGCTTTTTGTCCCAATATGCATCTCTTCTGGGAGAATTAGGGGATTATCTCCTCGTATCAACAGATGACCCTTGTTAGCTGTCAGGAACACGGCAGTTAAGCGTCAGCCCAGCTCCATGGGATTATCTTATCTGGTCACTATTTCTGCATGTCAGGGTTGCCGGTGTAACCCTCCGGGGCTCCGGGATTGGGCTTTACCACCAACTACAACCTGCGGGAAAGGTATTTTGGGTCAGCAATGAATCGTAACGAGTTATGCCATTCCGAGGGCAGATCTTCGGTGCCAATTGAAATTGTCAAACAGATGTTGGCAACATTACTCGCGCGTCAGCTTGAATATGACCCTTCGCATTGCACAGGCAATCATGTACCCTGTACTACCAACGAACTTTCTGGAAAGATGTATAGTATCCCAGACGCAGAGGCTGTTGTGCAACGCCAGTGAGCTATTTGCATTTTTCTCGAGTGCATTGGCCTCTCGAGGACGCCTCTGTGCCCAGAGTCTGTACTCCGTCTGGCATGTTGAGTGTTTAGGTATCCATGTGCTGCAGTATTTCGGGGTCGACTTACACCGAGCCACCGATTACACTAGAACGAATGAAATTACTTTTCGCCACTGCAGCCTCTTTTACCGTAGCCTGGAAAATATTTTTTATTTCGCCTCGAGAATGTAGATTTGCCCAACGTGGTACTTGGGTCCTCCCTGGTCGTTTGCTCCCAATGTATCACACTATCATGGGCACCACTATCGTGTCAAAAACTGCCGCCCTCGTTGTCTGCACCACCTCCCTGTAGCATCTCGTATCGAGAAGCAGATCTTATGGTGTTGAGGCTGTGCTCGATGCACATTTTAGGGGTCTTTCAAGGGTCTTCCAGAACATCAAGGGTGCGCAGGTAGGCGTCGCCGGGGTTCAGCCCAACTCGGCACTTCTGGCGATGATCACTACATCATCGAACATATTCAGGCTGTAGGGATGTGTCTGCGTGCGTCCCCCTCGCCCCCAATTCCCAGTACCAAGGGCACGTCGCATGACGTGATGAGGGTGAAGTCCGCAGCGCGGCCAATCCCTCCACCCACGCTATCGGGTTCCTGATAAGTTTCTGGGTCCCAGGGGCGATCTTTGCTTTTTGAAGGTTGATTCCGCCCCTGCGGTGATGGCACGTCGACGGCAGGGCTTAGGGATCATGGGGGATATTTTTGGAAATGCCATCATCAGATGGGAACCACCAACGGTGCTCAACGGTGCTGTGGGGACGGAAAAGGTGAGTCGCCTCTGGTGGCCGCGATGGTTGCATTGATAGACGTAAGCTTTCGACGGCGGTTGTGAGGAATGCGACCTCGACGATGGTAAGCGACTGTTGGTAAGTCTTGCCTGTCAATATCAGATTCAGTTTGAACTATTGATTTGAACTATTGGCGGCGTGCAGACAGATTGGGAACGTTGCCCGTAATTAGAATATGGCGGCTAGGGTATCGTAGATCTTATTGATTAAAAGTTTGATTGAGATAAGGAGCCGTAGTGGGAGGTCCGTACAGCGCGTAAGGAGCAAACGTGTGCATTTGTGACAGTCGCTAGAGCCCAAGTGCCTTGGATTCTTGGTAGGTGAGAATAAGGAAATAATGAAGAAATGAATGTTCATAATCTCCTTATGTTTAGGGATTATGCGTTCGTTGTGCTGACTGCTAGACTGCAGACGGAAATTACCAACCGAATATTCCGACCTTGATTGTATCTGGCTTTTGTTGGTGTTGCATCCCTCGTGCAAATGTCTCAACTTAAAGGGCATGAGCTGTCAAGAATGACTTGGGCAGTTCACCAGTGTTCTCGGATCAGCCTGTACTCAATTTGAATGGCGATCGATAGACTTCAATGGTAAGAATAGATATATCTTGTGCAATTGCTGGCTGTAAGCTCTCGTAACTAGACTCAAGTCCACTGAATGGACAGACTTCAAAGCCGAATTCATTCGAGGCTTCTAGCCATGAAGGCGTTAGCACACGACGGGAGGCAGTCAAGAGCCTAAGCATGAGAATTTCGTGTAGTCTAGACACGATACGCTCATGTTGGAAAGGTCCACTTTTGGTCGACGAAGTTGAGCACGAGGGCTTCGCGCAAACTGGGTCTAGACGAAATTTTTGTTGTCCCCACACATCGACCACAACTCACTACAAATTATGGAGGAAAGTGAAGAGTTGGACGAAATTGGATAGTAAAAATGAATCCCTTTAGACTGAGCATCGGTAAACTAAGGCCCAGTGATGGCTCGCCTTGGCTGAGATGTCAACGCAAGGACTCTGCTCGTTGGAATGAGCCCGGCAAAAAGATAGCACTTGCGGCTTATGTGGATCGAACACATGACCTTCAGATCTTCAGTCTGACGCTCTCTGTCAGTGAAGGTTAGTTTTTGAATCTCGAATGGGGAATAATGTGGTAACATACCCCAGCTGAGCTAAACCCGCATTGTTGAATATCATGGGAGCTTCATGTGGACTATGTCCTGGAATTCTGACTGCTGCCAATACGAAGGGACTTTAATGCAGTGTAAAGGTTAAAGAATAGGCTGAAATACCATTTATCTAGTTGTGAAGGTTGAATAAAGTTGATAGTGCAAATGTCCAAGTGCGCTGTGGTGTCGTTGGTTCTCTCGTACTGCACTTCCCTCCATGGCGTCGGCGTAGATTAATTATGACACACAAATTTTCGTCGTCCGCGATTCCAGAACGGACCAGACATCATCTTATTTGAAGCGGATCAGGATACCAGCTTCAATTCTATGTTGCCATTCGAGCAGGCATCGGAATCGCTACTCCATCCCGCCCATGTGCTTCATCGCCAACTTCCACGAGCCGCCCACGACGTTGTCCCTGCACCAGGTTGACACAAGTTACTCTTCATCAAATTGTACCGACGTGGAGCCACCGTGGTCGACACGGCCACGCAATGACGCCCGAAAGAAAGTTGGCTATATGATCATGCCTTACAGAGACTTGACAATTGTAATTTTTCTCAGCATCGAGAATAGTCCCGTGGACTGCAATAACTGACTTCTGATACCTATATTGCCTTTTCTGATATATGTACGTTGGGTAGTATAAAACCAGACTGAATAATTACCTTCCTTATTAAATTGGATAAAATAAATAAAATAAATAAGAAAAACAAGGTAAATAATTCTTATTATAAGTCAACACTAAAAATAAGTCTCTGATCTTGAATGTTTATTTCCTAAACTCCTTCATTAGGATTGTCGTTGGTCTTTTTGCCTTCCTTTATAACAGTCGCTGTCTGGATTGACTCAACGGGGTTCTGGAGATTCTTGTCGGCGACAGGCTCAACAGCTGGCTCAGTGACATGTTTAGCAGCTGACTCGGTGACATAATTGGCAGCTAGGTCGGTGATGGTCTCAACAGCTGGTTCGGTGATGGGCTCAACAGCTGGTTCGGTGACAAGATCCAGAGCTAATTTGCCGAAACGGTCAGCAGCTGAGCCGGTGTCAGACTTGGGAGCCGGGTTATGGACGGATGATGGATGATAGGCGTTTGTGTGGCCAGGCTTGGTGTAAGAACTTGCGATTGGGTACGATCCTGGACTGCCGGTTGGGACATAAGTGAACTTCTTTGTTGAATTAGATGATGCATAGGGAAACCCTTTCAGAGTTGTAGTATCACGCTTTTGCGGCATAAGAGAGGATAGGTTGGTATGTCGCAATCCCAGTCGGCAAAAGGGAATGATCACTCCACTTGCTGGTAGCGTTATCGTGGTCCATATCTCCGTCTGACATGGTACTAAAGAGGGAATCCGGTCGATGTGTTGTCTGCAGTTCGGAGGTTTGCTCACCCCAGGCCTGACGATCATCAAAGGTGAATCTTCCCTCCAGCAGCTGGAACTCTGTTTCATGACTCGCTGCGCTGGCGGCATCACCAACAATGTCTGACGGAAGTGCTGCCAGATGGCCACCAAAAGTTGCCATGTCTGCAGTCGCAAGAGAATCGTTACCAATGATGCGCTGGTTCTTCTTCTTCTTCTTCTTCTTCCTCTTTGGCTTATCCGGCTGCGCAGGAGTTATCGGGACCGGCACATTATCATCATCTGATAGTGATGGTACATGGCGCTTTGGTGGAGCGCCAGGGTAGGCCAAGCCTTTGACGGGCTTTCCAAACTGCCGATCGAACTCATGCAATGCGTCAGACAGCCTGGGGTCTGTCCAGCCATAGATTGCAGCAAGAATCCACCACCTTTCCCAACTCAGCTCAGACTTGATGACGAGATTTCCTTTTCCAAACATCCTTCGGTAAAACTTGTGTGTTACCGGCGATGACCTCGCCTGCTTGCTGAGCTGAGCTGCATTCTCGTTGGTTAAGAAATTCGTTATGCAGGAAGCAACAGTCTTAGTGTCGCAACCCCTCTATGGCAAAAGGGAATGATCACTCCTCTTGAAGGTAGCGTTATTGTGGTCCATATCTCCGTCTGACATGTGGTGTTGTTGTGGGAAAGGAAAGTTTCTCTGGCATGTCAGAATGAGAGGAGCTTTTATAGGTAGCCAACCACAAGAAAATTCTTCACTGACTGCAAAGGAATGATGGCGGGGTTGTGTGCCATCTGGCTGCCAGGTGCCAGTGTCGAGGTGTTTTGTTAATGGGTGGAGGAGATGGGGTTGTATGAATCAATGCAGATAGTTGAGTGCGCGGTGCCTCTGAGTTATTTATTTAAGACTCTTAAGATGTGTACTACTGCCCACTAAAAAAAGGAGAACGACAGAATTTCTTTAGAGATGAGCTGCTTTATTAACACACTACTGCAAATAACTCAACCCCACACAACAGAACGGAACAGAACTCTACTCTTTCAACAACGACACCACCACTTTCTTCAAGACCTTTCAAGCACTACAACAAAACTAAACTCTTCGCCGTCGCCGCCGTGTCATCGACTCCGATGATCAGGAGACCGCCGACTCCTGACTCTAGTGGCAATTAGAGTACTATTGAAGTATGATGTTGCCCTCTATTCAGGTCTGCCCAACTGCTGTTTACATGGAACTCTTTCCCAACTTGTGGCCTGTTTGGAGTAAAATAAAAACATAAGAATAAAGTAAAATAACAAATACAAATAAAAGTTTAGAAATAAAATAACCATATAATAAGTCACCTAATTGGTTATTTATAGCCTCTTAGGATTGTCGAATTGCCGTGGCCTGCCGCCGCCAACTGCTTCCGCACATGAGCATTTGTCAAGTAACCTTGCATCTTGGCTCTCCGCTCCCTAGTAAAGACCTAGTTCAAGGAATAAGGGAAGTCACGGCCTTCCACGCCGCAGCCTCGACATTTAGCAAGGGTTGCGTCTTTTCCGCAAGCCGGGAAAAGAATTCATTGAAGTGTCACTTCAGTGAACTTTTTGTGAATAAGCCAAGAGATTAAACCTTTTATCTGGGCTATGGCCAAAGAGCGGTGCCGCGCCTAGGGTCTCTCCAATTTCAGTGCCCACCAGGAACTCATCGAGAATAGCCATGGAGAAACTAAATCAAATAGTGGTCAGTCCCACGGCGCGTCATTTGCCCTGATGACTTAAGTATCGGTTCAAGAGAGAGAAGCTGTGATATAAAGGTCGAATGATGAGAGAGTGTATGTCACGACCGGTGCGATTAGTGGGTCATGAATCAATCTGTCTTGAGGACTGGCACCAATCTTGTTGCCAAAGGGCTAAATAGTACCCGATGGTGCTAGTTAATATTTCCAAGGATTGCGATGCGAGCATGTACTTCTCTTTCTCTTACGTCGACGCCGATATCACACAGTTCAAGCCGCCAGCCGTCCATCAAGTGGGGATGCATCCTCACAACCACATCAGCGTAATTGGTTTAGTGGTAAAATTCTCCGTTGCCATTCGGTTAGAGCCAAGGAGTCTCCAACCGCGGGCGGGGATTGGGTCTTGTCCAACGAAGACGCCAGTGACTGGATGAACTTTTGGATCACCAGATACCTTTCAACGCCCCCTCCGAGCAGGAGAAGGGAAGATGAGGTGATCCTCAGCAATAACGCGCTGGGTACTATTAAAGATTCCATGATACATACTCTAATTGCCGCCAGCGTCACCTTCGGCGGTCTCCCAACGATCGGAGTCGATGGTGAGACAACCGCTTGGATGGCATCCCAGCACATGACCAAATCTTACCATTCAGCCAATGGAAATTTTAATAAATATATTGTTATACGCAGCGATGTTCACAGATCCAACAACCAACAAGTCTCTCCTATGCCTGGTAGACTATGTCGCTATGATCAACGCACATCTTGTTGACTGTTGGTGCAGTTCAAGTTGTTCATTTATTAGCACATGCGCTATCCTGACGGAAGGGATAAAAGAAAGAAAGAGAAAAAACAAGGTTTATTCAGATAGAAACGGAGAAATTTACCACCCAACTATTATCGCTGTTTGGTTGGTGGACGGGCATAACGCTGAGTCGCTTCATGGCTGGTACAGAGACACTCCCAGCCAGGAGAAAAGACATAAAAGAAAAGCCGCCCAGAGTTGGACGGCTTTAATGAGAATGCGTAATCTGGAAATCGAATCCAGGGCTCCCCGACGCTGCACGAATGGCAACGGAGAATTTTACCACTAAACCAATTACGCTGATGGAAGTTTGCGCGAGTTATTCGCATTCAGATGGGGTCGCGGCGGCGTGATATTATGTGTGGAGACGGTGGTGAGAGAAATTACCCGATTAGGGTTCCGAACGGTGGGGCCGTGCGGCGCGCCGCAGATTGGTACCGCTGGAGTGCTTACTTACAGCACCGTTCGTCACTCCAGAGCCTTGCCTCAATGGTTTTCACAAGTTGACATAAAATGTGCTAAAATTACCAAGACTGTGGAGAGTTGGGATTTTGTCTTAGACCCCTACGTGATACTATGGGAGAGTGATTGAATTGCGTAATGGCAAAACATGAGATTATTTGACGGGACAGCGTACACTCACCCATGTTTGCGTTTGCGGTATCGCTTGTGTTGACCTACAAACCAGCAGTGTCTAGCGTGTCATTACCCAATTTACCAAGCGAGAAGGTTTTGTTTTATCCTTGTTTGTGTATATTTTTTTCAGGTGGAGAAACTTACATCATGCTGTTGATGTCAGCATTAGCAGTGACGTGGATGTTGATTGCTTGAAATACGAGGCAAGGCATGAGGATGGTGGTACGCATCGAGAGGGCGCCGACTACCAGAAGAGAATTGTCCGAAATAAATGCAACGTGGAGCAGCCAGGGATCATGTTCCATCCGCATTCGACCCATCAATCAGTCGATATTCACGGTGAGAGCGCTTGTTGTCGTTGCTCCCTGATGTTGCAGGGCATAATTGTCCTCGCCACTAAGCAATCATCATCACCACTTCACAGTATAAATCAGCTTGACTAACGTTACAATAACTACTGCAGCGGTTCATCTCTACGTGTTCAATTGAATTATTCTTTTAAAGTCGAATAGTTATTTTTGCTTTTCCGGCTCGGATCTATCGGGCAATGCTGGCGTCGCTATCAGACCTTTAATCTTGTCGGGAACGCCAGGCAATTTAATTCGTACTAAGACGTCACGCGTTCTCCAACCATCCTACACATTCCACGTCCACCAACAATGGCGACACAGGCACCAATCGAGGTGCGCCTGCACCGAAAAGGTTCGCTGATCGATGCAGAATTCTTAGGGAAGAGCTATAGCAGCTAACATCAGCCCGCAGGCGCAGAATGGACCAACGCCTTCCAAAAGACCACCAATATTATGGTCCCAGCCTTCTATAATGACCCCCTTTTCGCGTGGATCTTCCTGGAATCCAATGATGAGGAGCGTCACAAAAAGCTCTGGGCCATGATCCGCTCCGTCGTCCGCTCGTCCTTTGAATGCGGCGGCTTCGTCCTCGATGCCCGCGACTGGGGCTCCGTCATGGCCGTGTCAGAGCCGGGGCAAAAGTACGACGGTCTCGGCACCATTTGGCGGTCTGACGGTATCTCAGCGACTCTTTCTGGGGGGATTAAACCTACAATTGTTCGTCTTCCCTTTACTGCCGTATGATTGCCAAAGGAATATGGCTCATATCGTAACAGCGCCTACTATTCAGCTACCTAGGAGCCGTGGACAAGGTCAAGGCAACCGTCCTCCCGGGCCCAAAGCTTCGTGACTGCTTCTACGTCCTTATCACCGCGACTGACCCTTCGCACCGCAAGCAAGGACTCCTAGCAGCCATGGTGGAGAGGCTCCTGGATGAAGCACGGAAGGTCAACAAGCCGATCTGGCTCGAGGCGACAACCAAGTACTCAGCGCAACAGTTTACGCGTTTTGGGTTCGAGACGGTTGATGAGATCACCTTAGGCAAGGGTAAGGTCAATGCAAAGGGTACGAAGCAGAGTGGCGGTGAAGGTGTCACTGTCACTGCTATGATTTGGTGGCCGGAGAAGCCAGTCCAGCAGGAGACAAAATAGAAGCAAACGCGTAGACGGGATACATCAATTTGTGATGCCAACAAAAAAGGAACTAGGTTGACGATGATTTAATATGGTTCAAAATTTGGTACTGCCCACCTTGAATACTCTCCGTACATAACGCAGAGACTTACTACCTAAAATATATATCTATAATCACCATCATCCTGAATTGCCACCCCATCTCGATCCGCCTTGCCATTCTGCCTCTTAAACCACCAGTACATCAACACAACAAGCACAATCAGCAAGAACTGCGTCACCACGCCGCACCACCCGCCGGTCCGGTACGTCGGGTATTCGGTCCGCATAAAGGTGCACGACGCGTAAACACCTCCGATGGCTGCGAAGAGCATCTGCACTCCACTGGCGATGGACCGTCGCAAGGCCCCACGTATATTGTTGGACTGGAAGGCGATGATGGTCGGCAGGTTTGTGTTACAGCCTGAGACGCCAAGGAAGATAATTATTTGCGTTATTAATTGGTATTGTATATTACCAGACGAGCTTACCAAAGTATCGCGCAGCATTGTTCTTGTGATACGCCGTCAAGAGCAGCACCATCCAGGTTGATCATGTACCAAAAAGCCATTCTAATCGCGAGTCAGCTTCTCTCATCCCTTCAGGAGGCCACACGCATCATACCGCTGCTGAACCTCGTACCGCTGATACCAAATACTCAGCAAATACATGCAACACGCAAAAGCCCAGCCTCAAACACGCCGATCAGCATCCTACACACGACGATCACACGCCAGTCATTTTCCCAGCCCATGCCGAGCATCACGGCGCCCCAGCTGAGCACAAGGCTGTTGAGGAGCAACTTGGGACCGGCCCAGCACAGGGACAGCGTCGTGGGCACCTCGAAGCTCGAAGAGGAAATAGGTTATGAAAATTTCCACCTCTTCGACATGGCGACGCTCCCACTTGCTATAGGCCGCGTCCACCTCGTGCACTGAAGGGCCCTTCTCTCGATCGCCTGCCATGGCTCAAGTTTTCGTATCTTCTTCCGACACTTTGGGGTCAAAGGAGCGCTGAATTGTGGCCATTATATGTTTTCCCTCTCTTATCCATCCAATGGCGGGGCACGCATCTCTAATAGATCTCTGTGGTCCGGACAAGCTCACCAAAGACGCCTCCAGTTCCTGAGACAAGCAGTTTCCACCATTGCTGGCCAGCCCTTGTGAAGCACGCTTGACATACACTCCAACTGATTGGATTCGCGATAACTTGCATGAGCAGTCCCGGAGTGATGTGACAGAGTGGAGCGGATCCTCCTTCTACAGGGCATCTTCGCGGTATCACAGATAAACCCCAGACTTCCCCAGCTTTACACCGGATAACGTTATCAGCATGGCCGGCTTTGGTTGGCTCTCCAGGACAGGCCTGCCTCGATTTGATACCACCACGATACTGTCATCCCTGATGATTCATCGTGCCCCACGCTGTAGGGCAGAAGTAGTTCTCGACACCTCTCGGCGGCTAAGCAGATCGGGGCCGTGTGGGGCCGTAAATCGGCGACGGTTCTCGGGATTCCTCTCTGCCACTCAGTACTTGCGCATGATTCAAGTACGCCAAGTCAAATGCTAGCAGAGTTCCATGTATGAGTCAGAAGAAATATCTCTTCAGCAGATCTTAAATTCCCACCGTTGTTAGCTCAATCACATTCCAGTGCGCAACAGCACAGAGGGCTCCATTGTTGCTAGCCTCCCTCTGGTCGCGAATTCTTCTTCACGGAAATAGGTCCAGCATGAACATCGGACGCCATCGAGTGAACAACAGCAATGCTCGGCGTGAGACTTCCCGCCTGTAGTAAGTATTTTGGGCTGCATCAACTCAATTGCGATAGGGGTCCTTGGTGGATACTGTTGTTTCATCTGATCCACAGCTTCTGTCGGGATCATGCCGTTTACTCACGCCGTTAACGGAGCGTCTCCGATCCGAGATCAACTCCCAGATAACGGCACGGACGAAAAGAATTCAATACGAGCACGAATCGGGCGTTGATCCGCAATCAATTCACAGCGACCCACCGAACTCATCTTCCCTCCACGACTCATCGTCTTACCTCAGCCCGAGTCATGGAGTGATTTTTGCCCGATACCTGCAGGGCAGCTGATAATCGCGGTTCCGTACTCATGCACACCCTAGATCAGCCTCAAGGTCCCGGCCGAAAACGGATTTCGGCACCGAGTCGGTTGCAGGATCGGCACCTGAGCAATTCTGGACGCTCAAAACACCAAGATAGCCAATCATGATGGTAACATGCGACTAACCGGCCTTTTACCAGGCTAGCGGCGGCAGCGTCCATCCGCCAATGGAGTTGAGCAGGGAACATGCGTATGCAGTGCAACTAGGTCCATGTGAGCAGGCCGTCAGCTGTCTCGAACTGCTAATACGAAGAAAGGAGCAATTGCGTGCACATTGCACCAATTGCTGCCATAGCCGGTCGGCCTCGGCAAGATGCAGTCCCCTCCTCATCTGGCGTCATCGCCATTGCGGCCATACGCGCCCTTGGAAATACCGGGATTCGTTTCCCTGACGAACACCCTGGACTCTGAAAGACTGCAATCTCAGCATCCCATGTTCCCAGGAACAAGAATTTGCCGCCCCTATCCGTTTCGTAGCTTCAGGCCTCGCTAAACGTGGGGCAAAGATTTTTTATGGTGGATGGAACCAGAGATACCCTCCACTCTCACTCCACCAAGGCGTTGATAAAGACTTGGGTGCCTCCACTTTTCAATGCCAAGTGCTCCAGTAATTAATGCCCGATGCTATGTCCGCTAATTGCGTGAGTGACGACTAACGAGTTCGGCATCGGTGCCGCATCGGTCGGCCTAGGGGAGACCAGGGATGTCCAGTGGTGCTGCTAATCTTTTCGCAATGCCCGACTAATCCAGCGCCAAGTTCTTGTCTTATCACTAATCCTGTTCTGATTGTTTCTGCTCTTGAGGTCCTGGATGTCATCGTTTCTGTGTCGTCCTTTGTCTGAAATCCATGGCAACTGATTGCTCGTGGCGTGAATCCCCTATCTGATTCTTTGAGTCTCAGTCGTGAAACCCAACAAGTTGCCAAGCAACACGGACAGCACCATGTCTGGGGATGTTGAGAGGGGGTCAATAGCGACTCGCCCTGAGACCTCGTCTTCCTCTTATTCCTCGACAGACTCGCCGGTCTTGGAGCCCATCAAGACAGCCGACACACAGCGCAGTCGCCGCAGCTTTGCGACACGGCGCTCACACGAATCAGACATCTATGAAGCGCTAGAACATGCGCTCACCCCAGATGTCGAGACGGAGGCTGAGCGCGAGGCCCGCGAACCCATCACATACACCAGGACCGGCACCAGTATAGCGAGCGCGGCCTCCCGACCACCGGACTTTGAGGTCATCTTCGAGGAGGGCGACCCAGAGAATCCCAGGAATTGGCCATTTTGGTACCGCGCCTGGATCACCGTTTCCGTATCGTATTCGACATGGGTCATCGTTCTGTACAGCACCTGCTACACGGCGTCGCTTCCAGGTTTGATTGACGAGTTTGGATCGACCACCACCACAGCCACATTGGGATTGAGCACCTATCTGCTCGGTCTCGCCACGGGAAGTCTTGTCGTTGCTCCAATGAGTGAGCTTTTTGGTCGACGGCCGGTGTATATGATCTGCTTGGTCCTTTGGTGCATTCTCGTCATACCATGTGCCCTCGCGACTTCGCTCACGGAGATTCTTGTTGTGAGATTTGTCGGGTAAGTCGCACTTGCTCCCCTCACCCTAATGTGGAGGACCCCGATTGACAACGTAAACGCTCCAGAGCTCTCTTTGGCGCTGCCATGATATCCAACAGCCCCGGAAGTATCGTCGATATTGCCAACCCGGAGTACCTGGCTCTTGCCATGTCGATGTGGTCGATCGCACCGCTCAACGGACCGTCTTTGGGGCCCATTATTGGAGGATTTGTCTACCAATATCTAGGTTGGCGGTGGGACAACTGGATCGTCTTGATTCTGGGCGGTGTCGGAACTCTCATGATGGCGACCTGCAAGGAGACCTACCACCCAGCGATTCTCAAGAAAAAGGCGGCCCGGCTCCGCAAAGAGATGGATGATCCTCGTTGGTGGTGCCAATATGACCAAAAGGTGTCATCGGTCCATCTCATAAAGATCAACTTGAGCCGTCCTTTTGTTCTCTTTGCGACGGAACCCATCCTGTGGTTTTTGAACATCTGGTATGTTACTTCCTGGAGAAGGCCAGGGATACTCCCACTGTGCCAAACCGCATCCTATCCGATTCTTGATTATTAACTTGGTGACAGGATCTCCGTGATTTACGGTATCCTATACCTCTGCTTCGTCGCATACCCGATCGTCTTTTCGCAGCATCGTGGGTGGAACCCTGGCATGTCGGGTCTTGCGTTTGTTGGCATCGGTGTTGGAACAATGATTGCCATCGTCTCTGAACCTCTCCTTCGAAGGCTCATCAACTCTCAGCCACGAGATCCCGTAACTGGTCGCGTCCAGCCCGAGGCAAATGCACTGGTCATGGCCATCGGATCCGTCCTCACCCCAATCGGCCAGCTTGTCTTCTCGTGGACGTGCCTCCCGAAAACCATCCACTGGGCAATTCCCATTGCTTTTGGCATCCCATTTGGCGCAGGAAACACTCTCAGCTTCATCTATGGTTCCAACTACCTTGCGGGCACATACAACATCTACGCCGCGAGCGCCTTGGCGGGTAATGCCGTTATTCGAAGCATCTTCGGAGCCACGCTTCCCTTGGCTGGACCCAAGATGTATGCGGCGATGACGCCCCAGTGGGCAGGTACCCTCTTGGGTTTGCTTGAAGTCGCCATGATTCCGATTCCATTCATCTTCTGGCGATACGGGGCCAGGATTCGAGCAAAGAGCCCGGCCGTCCGTCAACTGCGCGAGGACCAGGACAGGATTGATGCCAAGAGGGCCAAGCACAAGATGAGGCTTGATAAGAGAAGGGAGAAGGAGGCTGCTAGTGAGAAGACGAATGAAGGGGTTTTGGCAAACCTGGCGGACACATCGGAGCAGGGGAAGACCGCTAGCTCTTAGACACTCAAAGTGTAGCACGCAGGGGACTTCACTGTCATGAGCAAGACGGCTGGAATAGACATGACAGCGTATGAGTCGGCGTACAAAAGTTTAATATTAATATGATACCACTTTGTTACAATCCGGGGTAGAATGTTGAGGAGGGCAAAAAAGGAGCTTTGACATTGAATCGTCTGAGACACGAGTGAGGACAGCAAGCCAATACTTTGCTGAGACTGCCTCAGGTGAATTTCCACGTGAGTACCTATGACGTCGCATCCCAAGCACAGGGACAGAGCACAGGACCCCTCGCACATGCCAGATGGTATAGTCCCCACAACCCGAAAATCGTCGCGAAATGCAAAAAAAGATTTGCTCAATCCCTTTTCTGGGAAGATGTTTATAGGAACAGCCCGATGCGGGGGTCGAACCCGCAACCTTGAGATGTGTGTACTCGTAAGAGTCTCACGCTCTACCGATTGAGCTAACCGGGCCTCGAACCGAGGCTTTGCTTGTTGAGGTTGCAGTTCGTTATTACAACCTAATAAGGTGAGAGTTGTGTGTGTGGGGTCGTTACTCCCACTTTTTCACGCATTTTTTAGTTGTTGGGGTTCTCAATTTGGGATAAGATTAAGTTCGATACACTATCCAGCAATGTTGCTACTTGTAATAATTGTGCAGTTTACAATGTCCATTGTTATTTTATTGTCTGTACGTTAATGAGAAGTATTTCCGATACTGCGATTCTCTCATCATCCTGTTGTACTTGGAACTACGGACGTCAGTTTCATGTCCCTGAAGTACAATTTGACTATATACACACTCCAATAGCACCCAAAGTAGCTACCAGCTCAGCAAATACATATTCAAACACACAAGGGCATTATTCTTAGCTTAATATGGAATACAAGGCGGCCAATGCCTTCCACTCAATGTTGGGCTGAGTATAGGGTAAGAACCGCGGGGAAGTGCCCCTCCCCCTCATTGCCGAAAAGGGATAACCTATTGATCCCTGTTGCTAGCCGAAGAGCAAGCATTCACAAAGATTGGTAACATAGATCCTGAGTTGTGATATTCATTCGTTTGTCTTTTTTCTGTCTACTATTCACCCATGCCACCTAAAGTAGGCGTCTTCAACAGTCCGGGCCTGTTCCATCCAATCGTGACCAGGCCATGATCCTGGCGAGGTATGTGACGCCAGCCTATTCACACCATGTAATTTGTCCAACGAGTACATCTGAAAAGCAGACGCAGCATCGTGTACGCATTTTGATCCTTGTCCCAATCCATTCTCTTCCTAATTCCCAATATGCAACTCCTCCCCGAAGAGAGAACGCCAAAGTGTCACTTTTGATGGGAGCTACATGGAAGCAAGCAGTCAATGTCTGCTATCAGTTCTCCTTCTCCAACTGATCCAGCTCCTTAAGCACGGAAGACTTGGTGTTGATCTTCTTAAGTTGAGTGTCTTCCAGCTTCTCGCCGCCAGCCAGACGCATCTCCAAGTCTTCGATGGCGCGGACCTTCTTCTGGAGGCTGCGGATCTTCTTCGCGTCGGGGTTCTGCGAAGCATCGGCACCAGGGGCATTGGAACCACCCTGCTGAGGGGCAAAGTTGCCGTTGCCATTTCCGTTTCCACGGTGGGTGTTGCTGCGGCTGCGGCCACCGTTGTTTCGGGACTGGCTCCTGTGGTGGATGTTGTTGTTACCACCGGGCCCTCCGCGTCGCTCGGGGCTGCGTCCCTCACTTCCGGAACCAGCTCCAAAGTCTCGGGGAGGAGGCACCAGGCTGGCGCCGCCGTTGGGCTCGCCCTGGGGTCGACCCTCGCCCTGGTTGGTCTTCTTGTTGCGCTTCTTCTTGTTCTTTGCCTTGGACGAGTTTTCATCGCCAATAGGCTCGGCCCCAGGGACAGTCCTGCCACCCGAAGAGGGTGCGTCAGCAAAGTCAGCACCGGGGACGGCGCGGCGCTGACGGCCAAAGCCGTTGGGACCGATGTTGGCGGTCCCGTTGCTCACAAGGTGGGCAGCGCCGCCCTCATCCTCGCGCTTGAAGTGCAGAGGCGTGGCCAGGCCACGAGCGCCAGGAGGACGGTAGGCACCCGCCGGCTTGCTGGGTGTCTTGACCGTGCCCAAGTACGTCGCGGCCGAAGCGTGTGGGGACGGGACGGGGGTGAGCGGGTCACCACCGGCAATCTGGTCCGCGGGCTGCGGGCGCCAAACAACGTGGTACAACTCGACCATATCTTCGTTGTACATGATGCCGCCGCTGACGTGCCACAGCTTAATGCCGTTGTCCACGCGCAGTCGCGGCGAGGTAGTCGCAGTCATGAGATAGCGGCTATCAGGGCTCCACTCGCACACGCTGGGGTTTCCGCTCTCAATGGTGGTGACCTTGCGGAAGTCCTTCTCCAGATCGTAGATGTCGATCTGGCCAGCAAGGTTGCCGAAACCGGCGACCAGAACGAATCGACCAGTCGGGGAGAAGGTGATGGTGTTTCGGGGAGCAAGGGGGAACGTGTGCGTCGCGACGGCCCGGTGGTTGAAGATGGTGGCCTTGGCTGGCATGTAGCCATAAACGACACCAAACTCTTTCGAGTTTGGAGACCACGAGACGTCGTGGATCGGGCCCTCCTTATCCAGGGAGACACGGGCATCGAATGCGCCAGTGGTGCTCAGCAGATACAGCGTGGTCTCGCCATAGTAGCTCTTGCCAGAGCGATCGACCTCGGTTTGGGCAAGGACCAGAAGGCTGGAGCCCTGCTTGTTCCATTTCAGCTGGACCTTGTCGCCCTTGAAGAAGGTCTTCTGGGAGATGGGGCTGTTGAAGAGGGGGACGTTGAACACCTTGACGGCAGCGGGTTGACCCTGTAGGGATTGTGAGCAAGGGATGGACAAAATTGCGACCAGTTGTGAAATTTACTAACCTTGCGTTCAGGAACAAAGACGGCAACCGCATGGTTATGGGTGCCGGGAGCGAGGGCGTAGTTAGAAGCACCCTCAACCCGGAGCTTGTTCCACACCTTGACGAGGTCGTGGCTCTCGTAGAACTGGACCTCGTTGGTGACGAGGCGAGCACAGTACTTCTCGTCGGCGGTGTACTGAAGATTCCACCCACTCTGCTGCTTCTGGACAAACCGAGCCAGCGGCTGCTTGTCAGCAGCATCAACGCCTTCCTCGACGACGCGCCAGACCTTTAGGTTCTTGGTCGCATCGCCAGCCTCGTCCTTGCCTGGGCGCTCCCAGGTGATGACGAAGCTGCCGCGGGGGGAGAAGCCGAGCTCGTAGACGTTGATGAGGGGCAGGGAGAGAATCTCCTGGCCGGTAGAGGCGTCGACGACGCTGACGATCTCGGGGGAGGCCCAGCCGAAGTATCGGCCACAGGGAGAGTAGGCACAGCACCGGAGGTTGCCCTCAGGCTTGGTGAACCCAGCGAGAGGCTCGTAGACGGGCGCGGCGTCAAAGACACCGATGGTCTTCTGGGTTCGGTAGGCAAACTGCAGCGGAGACGCCATGGCTAGTGAAAGTCACAGTATCTCGTGTCTTGCGGGTCTTGTTTGTGGTCGGGGGTCAAATGTTCTCGAGGAGGTCGTTTGCACTTTCTCCTGGTCTTGTCGATGGGCGCGAAGCTCAGGCTCGGTACCCAAGGGCGTGTTTGAGGTTGGCAGGGGCGAGAGGCCTTGGTAGAAAGTGGCCGGTCGGGTCTGCGCAACGATGTCGGCGAGAGTCGCTTGAAAGCTCGAGCGCGCTGTGAGAAGCGGTCGTCCGGTATGGTTGTTGTCGGGCGTTGGAAAAGTCGTCGCTGAGCAACAAGGTGGTGGCGGGCGAGGCGAGCAGCGCAAGCGGAAGCGGAAGCGGAAGCGTGAGGCGGGCAAACGTCAACGTCACGATGGAACGGTTGTCGGAATACGAAGCCTGGACCTGCGGAAGGAGAAAAACAGGGAGAACAGATGACGGGAGAAGGATGAAGAAAGACGGCAAGCACCCAGAGGGGGGAGGGGGAATTGGCGCGGCAGTGCCGTGATGCTGTGGGCTGGAGGGAGAACAAGGAGAGGAGCGTGGCCACGGGGGCGGAGGGTGATGTTTTTTGTCTTTTTTTTTCTTTCACTGGCAACGACCAAAAGCGCACGCGCCACACTTGCACTGTCTGGTATCCCTTCTGTGCACTTCTGTGCACGCCGCAGACTCCCTCCATGACTCAGCCTCGCAAGCGAACACCAAGCGAACGACACAGCGGGAGGTACGTATCAAGGCCAAGTAGCAGCCACGGAAAGCCTCCTGGGGACGCCGTCAGGGACCTCCGGGGACCTTCAGGGACTGTCAGGAGCCTTCACAGTGCCCACAGGCCCAACTGCCAGAGTTTCTAGGGGTCTCCGGCAGCCAATCAGCGCTGTGCCGCCCCCGTGAGTTGCCCGTAGGGCCTCACACAGCGTCCATCCTAATCGATGCCTGATCCCGGGCTATGCCCTTTCAAGCCACAGCTCATGGACCCCGTGGATCTGTGGGGCCTGAGATGGCATTTCAAGAGGCGTGTCCATGCGGCATGACACCGGCTTTGGCAAATCCCAGACGTGACAGACGGTTGACTCTGCTGCACAATGCAATGCGTTGTTCCCAGACATATCGCGTGTCTGCGAAAGAGGAGTGATTCCGATCGGCTTCCGCTCTCGCCGCGGGCTGCAACACGACAGAAGCCAACTCAATCTCGCTATCGGGCCTGAGTGCATGAAAACGTATTTCTCCCCCTCTTTCTGGTGCTGAATCGTATCTGATCTCCCTTGGGACACATGTCAGAGCTGACATGACCGAGAGCGATCAGACTCACAGTGATTTGCGCCCGGCGGATTCCAGCTTATCAGACATCATCTGACCATTGATCTATCCTATTGGACTATCTGCCCGTGTTAACGTGCTGTAGTCTGTTGGCAGCGGCCTCCTAATTCTGTGGGGAAACACTCACTGGTGGAGGGGCTTCTCAGAGCTGAATACCAACTGATTACAGGCTGACTGTGATGCCACCCCACCAGCTCATCCAGCTCACCTAGCTCGTCCGTCCCTCCGTACACGATGCTGGGGACTTTCATTGTGCTCGGATTCAGGTGCCAGTCTGCTACGTGGCACGCTCAACGCCATCCAACGGCCATTGCCATTCCAAGCCCGTTGCAGCTGGGCTACGCCGACTGCAGTAGTTCTGCTTAAACCAGCAGGCGCCACTCGGCTTCTATGGGAATTGTTCATTCATCGTGTCGCTTTTGTGGCTCGCCTCAGTCCCAATCACGCGCTTAATGGTTGTGACTATGGCTCAGCTTCTCGCTCGGTTGTTGCTAGCGTGATGAGCGCCCATGACCAAGGTCGTCAATTAGCAAACCCAGCCGTGACAGTCGGCCTTTTTGTCATAATGTTACAGTCGGTTGTGGATAACAGACAGGGAATCTATCATTATCATTATCCCCCTGCGCGCATGATCGCCTCTTTACCGTCCCTTGAATTTCTCTTTCCAGCCCCCCTTTTCAAACAGCCACAGAGCTTCCGTTGCAAATGCACGACTACCTCTGTGCCCGCCTTCGTTCATGGCGGCCTCTGTTAGACTCTCTAAAACCCGTCCCTTCTTGACCGAACTCCACACACCCATGGCAATGGGATCATCTACAGTCTTGCCCCACTCGCCATGTCCCAGGCGATAGAGGATCCTTCCCAACGTCTGATACGCCATGCATCGCTGGGCCGCCACTGCACTCCGGGCCAGGTGCGCAAGCTCTGCGACGGTGTATCCCGCAGCCTCCGGGGCCTCTCCGTGGTGGTGCAAGCCTTTAGATGACGGGATGGATCGGCTGACCCGTGGAGACAGGAACCGGCCCGAGAAGTCGAATCTCAATGCCGAGATTGTAATCTCAGGGTGTGGATAATACGGGGAGTCCTTATCCGCTGGGCTATCCTTGGTCGGGATCGGTGCCATCCAAGCAAGTTTACTTGGGTCGGCCGGGAGGTTGGGAAAGTATTTTTCGTGAAGGGTAGCTAGGAAGTTTGGATCGGAGGGATCGAGGTCGGGTAGGGATGGTGGCACCGGGAAGTGCGTTGTCTTGGGTAGATCGGTAATCGGGAACAGATCTGGGGGTATCTGAGATGGCGCTTGGTCTTCGTCGTAATTGTCTGCGATCTTCTTGGATGAGGTAGTGCTCTCTTTGGCTGGTTCTGCCGGTTGAGAATCTTGCGCCTCAACCCTCGGGGTATCTGGCTTCGAGGTATCGACAACCTTGATTTCGGGCGGGGGTTGTGATACTTCGGGAACCTCGGAGGGTGGTGGGTCGAACGGAGAAGGGCCAGAGGTTTCTTCAATATTAGCACGTTGGAGCAGCTTCTGGATCAGAGCAGGATTCAAGCCGCTCATGATGTCCTCTTGCGCCTGGGCGATCTCGGCAGGGCTCATGCTGGCGAGCTTCTGACGATTTTCACGGTCGATGCGGTTCCTCTCGACCGCCTCGAACTCCCCCGGCTGAGAAGCATCTTGGACGTTGTTCGCTGCGGCCTGCCTCTGCGGCCTGGGTCGAGCTGCAGGTTCCTCACCGGCCGCTTGCGCGGCGCGCTGCTGCTTGAAGGCCGAAGACCTCCACCGCCGTTTGTGCTGCGGGAATCCGGTTGACGATATGGGGTGGTCGGTGAACTGAACCGGTTTCTTTTCGCCAGCATCGCGCTCCACGATATCTCCGATGAGAAGTGACGGATCCATGGCGGCGTGGTGTTTTCGTCACAGTGACGACGTCTTGATGGCAGAGTCACGGTCTATTTTCAGTGGAGGCGCGGAGAAAATCCAGGGTGGGGCACAGTTCAGCATGACCCCACCTTTTCCAGCGGCCGCGACGGACATATCCGCCCGGCATCGCCTTGCACCCGCCACGTGTAATACGGAGGGCCTCCAAAAGAAGACTCTCGAAGCGAGCAGTTCCGTCGCTAGCAGATATGACGACGCAGCGGCGATGGTTTCTGGGCGAGTGAATACCGAATTGACTAGTCAGCTTCCTATTGTGGGATGGCGGATACGATTTGCATCATTATTCGCCAATGTCGGCCGATGTGAGACGATTAAATGCGGGCTTTGCTTAGGCAATCAATGCTTCTTGGTGGAATGCATTCCTGAAACCTGGCCGCGGGATTTTGTCGGCTTTTCTATGGAAAGGATATGAGAAATGGCAGCGCAGGGGAATCAATGCTGTTTATCCCCCCGCAGAAAACTAAAATGATGGTAATGTAAATGAATTGTGCTCTTGATTCATTGGTTTATCCATTTGAATTCATCCCCTGTTTACTCCCGCGCCTCTTTGCTCCATTCAGGGTCCGTTAAAAGCAATTCCCGGGGCTGAAGCGTCTTGCACCGCCACAGGTTAATTGGGGTGCTGGGTGCATTAGCGCCGATCGATCCCCCTCCTCAACCCGGAGTTCCAGAAACAGAACGCCACAGGGGTTTTCACTGATACGTACCCTGTACTCCGCGTCCAGGGGGTCGGTACAAACAAGACATCCAACAATAGGTCTACAAACCCGCTGTGCTGAAGCAGAGCGAGACAGCCGAATGCCTCTGGTAGTATTTGTTCCACTCTCCCTCAGCGCAATTATTCACGGGGTCTCACAGAGGACCTTTGGTCCCCCCTTGATGGAACTGAGCGGAGTTGAGGTGTCTTGAGTGTTGAGGAGAGTGAGCCTAGCGCGTGTTGGAGTTGGAGTATGGGATTGGTAGATAATTCCGACTTGTTACTGTGGCACTGGTGACATGGGTTTTCACAGTGCAGTAACCCCAACTTGGGCTTTTATCGGAAATCAGATTGGTACCATCTTGTCACAGAATGGGCGGACAGAGTTGCTCATTACCCATTCGCTGAGGGACAAATGCCGACATGTGCTCTGGCCCAGCGCTAGGTCCCCCTGCACGGCAGGGTCAACCAACAAGGGACACCTGACGATCACACAAACGTTGGACGACGGCGCGGGAAACAACACCCGATCGGGGACGTGGATGGGATATCACTTGCGCGAGAACGATTAAAACAACAACATAACAGCGGCCCAACACGGCGACCACTCCATTTAATTTTGCGAGAGACGAAAGCGTGGTGTCTCAATCATGGCAATTGATCACAGCGAGTACGTACAGCCAGCCACAGCCACATGGGAGTTCCCGAAAAAAGACATTGTGGCTGGACCTGGCTTGGCCCTGGCTGCAGCCGCGCTTGTCGGCCCAGCACGCTAGATCCCTGTCGGCATGCCGCGCCTAAGCTTGGTTCAACGTTCACGGAACCAGACGAGGAAGCACAAGGACGCCCAGGGAGGACCGGGGGATTCGCCCCGGGGTGGGTTCCTCTGGCTGACGGCACGCTTGAAGGGGGCCATCACCAGACAGGTACCGAGCCTGGCTCGCGGGCAGCTGGGCCAGAAGCACGCTGGAGGTGGTACGTACCCTTTCTTCTGTTATTCCTGGCCCGCTCCCCACGCTTACCCACTCACCCGCGCTCCGACGCACCCTCGCTCGCAGGACCGGGTAGCTACTGTATGTTGCACGTTGCCGCTTGGGGCTCGGAGCTTGGAGCTCAGCGCTCACTACCTATGTCGTGTTGGCCTTGGGAATCCGGCTTCGATTCCGATGTCTGGTGTTTGTAGGTAGTACTCTGATCCTGTCCGTGCTTCTCGGCCACTCTCACACGGTTTCCCTTGGGTTTATCCATTGCCAGCCGACAAAGCCGCTCCCGCTAAACCCGGCTGTCCCCCAATATCTCGCTCTCTCGTCTTGTTGTTGCCATACTCCGGACACTTGACCAACAACCACCCCCCCTCCGCCCGCCCCCCTCCCATCCTCCTTCCCCAATCCGTGCGGCCCATCTGATACCGTATCAACTGTGACCGGCGGCCTGGTCTGAGGCCGCCATGGCGTTGTTGCGTCCTGGTCGTGTACGAAGGTACGAAGTAGTCTCGTTCCCTCCGCCCCTCCTCCTCCCCCTTCCCACTTCCACATCCACATTTGATCCTTGGCTGATGACCTTCCACCCGCCCCAGATGGCCGAGGCCGATGTTTAATTCGCGTTTAATAATAAAATTTCCCATTGCCAGAATGATGCTGGTCCGGCCCCCCTCTCGTTTCCTCGTGCCGGTGTCGTGCGCGCGCAGCAGCATGTAGCAGCACCAGCTTGCTGCTTTGCCTGCTGCTGGCTTGCCCCGTTTTTCTCCTTCCCGCCAGAAAATAAGAAATGTTGTCGTCCCGAAAAAAAACGTAGCCATCCCCATCTCCCATTTCCTTTCCCTTTTCCCTTTTTCCCTCTCCCTCCCAACCCTCCCACCCGCCTTTTTCTTCAACAACCATCGTGCGTAAACTGGCCGCATTTCGTCGAATCCATCAATTCGGCATCCGTTTCGCATCCGAACCATCACTAAATTACCACCGTTCGCTGTGCCCGGAGCTGCAGTGCCTACCGCTGCCCTCGAAAGTGTCCGGCCCCCGCATCCGGGCCGTTTTTTCGCCCTCGCAACCTGCTCGACCGCCGTTGTCGTCGCCTGACGCAGCGTCGTGAGGCTATTCAGAGTCGCAGCTCCACCATTCGCCAGTCCCGCTTTCTGGCCACTCACAGCCCGCCGACGTTCCCGGCCGCGCAGTCCGCCATCCACTCGCCTACTGTACTTGGTACCTGACCAAGGCAATTGTGCAGCGCTGTGTACCTTCCCCAGGTATTGTAATTGCAGCACCGCACCTTCCTTGTCTGCGCCGCGCCCACCAACCGCCAACCACCAATCACTCATCACACATCGCATCGCCCACTCATGCAACATCGAACTCGGGTGTGAATTACTGCCGCCTATCCTGTGCACTGAATCATTCTATTTCTTCTCGCCCGCTGCTCATGAATTCTGTTTCCGCACCCGGCGAGTCATCTCTCACGCGCTAGTCTCCCATCGGACGGAGCATTGGCACCTTCGCGCCTTGGTGCATTAAGGGACCACCCTGGGAGAATTCCCTGCCTCGGTATGACCGCGACTGGCGACACGTCCATGTCGCGATACGACTCATCTGCTGGTGAGCTCTCGTCGCCACCTTCAGGGTCTCTTTCAGAACCAGGCTCTCCGTCGCGGCAACCAGGTAGCCGTACCCGTAACGATATGGAGGAGATTGTCGTCGGCCACGACAACAAGCAGCAAGCCGGCCAGCCGCCGCCGCCGCCAATGCCACCTCAACCTGCTACAGGCCCTCTCAGAAGATATGGCTTGGTCAACAACGAATGGGTGCAGTTGACGGCTGCCGGCGTGCCACGAAAGAAGCCTGGCCGCAAGCCTGGCTCCGTGGTGAAGCCCAAGAACGCTGACGGCTCTGACGCCTCCAAGGCTACCCGCAAACCCCGAAAGTCTCGCGACTCCAATATCCAACCCATCCAACGAAAGCGCAAAATCGCTCTCGCCACCGATACCGACACTGATGTACCTTCAGACTCGAAGAACCTCGCCGCCATTGCCTCGCGTCAGCCGCGTGTCTCGGACGTCTCCAACATGACCGCCTTATCACCCGCCCAACCGCAGCAGCAGCAGCAGCAGCAACATCATCCCCATCAGCCCGATCAGCGCTACTCTCCCAAGATTCCCAAACGCGAACATTATCCGGGGTCGATGCAAAATATATTGAACTCCGACCCTCCTCAGCCACCGCCGCAGTCTTCGCCGCCCACTACCTCTGTCGTCCCCGTGCGCACAAGCGGCCAGAGCTACGATCCTATTCGTGGCAAGATCGACCCCGTCCGCGAATCAATGGTCTCTCACAACCCCTATGGATCTGCTGCTGGTTCTCCCAGAGCTCCAACTCAGATGCCGAACCGCTCCCCCACCATTGCCAGCTTGCTCGAGCCCTCAGCCCCTCCGACTTCGTCACCTAACCATACGCACACCACGTACCAGCCTGCCTCGACCCAGCCTCGATTCCAGCCCCAGGAGCCTTCGCTGCCACCTTCACCTTCCAACCACGCTCGAGGAGTGTCAACTCCAACACCATCATCGCGGTCTCTGGCCCCGGAGGTTGCTAAGAACCCACCCCCGCCTCCACCTCCTGTGCAGCGGCCTGTTATTAAGGAGTCAAATTTTACCACAATCTCCAACGGGCCCATCAAGAAGGTGTCACCTAAGCAGAAGCCTCACACGGGTGTCTCGACTCCCAAGACGGACAACCTAGATGACCTGCAGGAAAGCGAGGGACGATCTATTCTCGACTTTGGGAGGGCCAAACCCGGCGAGGAACTACAAACACCGACCATTGTCCTCACCATTCCAATTCAAGCAGGAGAGACGAACAAGTATGTAAATTTCATGCGTATGGCGGAAGACCGCTATGGATGGGACGCGCTGCATCCCCGCTTGGCCGCCAACCGTGACCGAAAGGCTCGAATTGCCGCTGCCGCTGCTTCTTTGGAGAAGGTCGAGTCTGGTCGTGAATCCGGCGACGAGATGTCGGTGGACTTGTCCGATGCCGAGGGCAGCAACCCCGAAAATGGGGACAATGGTGGCACCAGCGGTCCTGACGCCCAAGCCAAACCGAAGAAGAAGCGCAATTTCAAAGAGGACCAATACGACGTAGACGACGACTTTGTGGATGATTCCGAGCTCCTTTGGGAGGCTCAGGCGGCGGCTAGCCGTGATGGATTCTTTGTTTACTCGGGCCCCTTGGTGCCCGAGGTAGAGAAGCCTGCAGCTGGGTATGTACTTATGGTGTCCGTATCATTTCTTCAAATGCTAACAAAATCGCAGTCACGATGGTCCCGTCAAGCGCGGACGTGGCGGCCGAGGAAGTCGTGGCGGTGGCCGCGGAGCCTCGACCCGAGGCGGAGCTGGATCTGGTCGTGGTGGTGGTCCAGGTTCCCGAGGAGGCTCAATTACCAGAAAACCTCGCATCACCAAGTCCGAAAAGGCCCAACGCGAACGCGAGAAGGCTGAGCGAGAGAGCCTGGCTCAGCTGGCTAAGACCCCCACTCATGGCTATTCGCTCCAGCCGACGACACCCTCATTCGCCGTAAGCGAATTGGGTGCTTAATGGCCGAAACCTAACAACTGAAAGACGCGCCTATCACGATGGTCGCATTGGAACCAGGCACTGGACGGAGAGAGCATGGCGCTCTTATCCTGAAAGCCGACTGGCCGATATTCATGAACGGTCTGAACGGAGCCCTCAAAAAGTTGCAGAGGGCCTCACCTAACCCCCTGTTCCGGCCTTTTCTTCAATTGTGCCTGTCTGCACTCCTTGACGATTCCGTTGCTTTTCTTTCCTTTGTCTTAATTTTCGCATTGTGGAGCATTGCTGGCCAAGCATGGCCTGTTTTCTTTTTTTTGGAGTGTTGGAGAATGGCGCGTGTATTGGGATTTCACATGTACGGGAACCCAGGTTTCGAAATTCCGGCGTTCAGAGGGCAACAGAGGATGACATGACAGGGCAGGACTGGGGAGAAAGACGGACCTCAAAGTCGAAGGGAGAAGTACAATCAGAGGCGGTTCAATGCCCCGGGGTAGAGATGTAGAATAGGAGTTGATGAAATGTGAAGACGACACATGGCTCTCGAAATAAGTTTTCTATGTCTACGTAAACTCGATGATGAGCAAATGTTTGTTCGGGGAGAGATGGGCAAAATTAGGTGCAACTCTTCGTCATGACCACATCCTAGGCTGCTGCTCTGATTGACAAAACCATGTCATCTCCTACTTGCGAAATCATTCCTACAAGTCTACTGCTATTTCATGCCTCCCTACATGTGGTGCAATATGGCTCTTGAAAAATATGACGAGGTGAGATCCCCGTGTATAAACCACCCGCTGGCACGCTTTTCCCCATGTCAGGTCCACGCACTCTTCATTCATGCGGTAAAATAATGTTCTCTTCCTCCTCATGACCACCTTCTCTCTCATCCTATATCATCTCATCTCAGCCCTCATGCAATGCTGAACTCGGGGACGGCACCCATCTCATTGGTCTGCTGGCCGGCGACCTTGTAGGCAGCGCGCCAGCGCAGCTTGGCAGAGTCGACCTTTTGGGCGTGGTTGCCGGCGTGCCAGACCTGGACCCGCTGAGTGATGCCGCGGCTCTGCTTGGGGGCGAGGTCGCGGCCGGTCTGGGCCTGGAGTTGGAGTTCATAGCCCTGGGTGAGAGTTAGCATTCGTGAATGTGTTGGAAGGGGACGGGGATTCTCGCGCTTACCTTTGTGACAGCGAGCTGGAAGTGCAGTTCGCTGATGGGCTGGGCTAGGTTGTTGGTGAAGGCAAAGGAGAGGTCTATGGCGTTGCACCCGGGGAGGGATCGGTTGGCCAGCATTTCGATGTGGAGGTTGGTGTTGCTGACGGTGGTACGGTGTTCTGCGGGCTTGCTAGGAGCCTCCGGAGGCAGCGCCGAGGAGAAATTCCACTCGTCGTCGTCGTTGGCCACGGCGGCGGCGGGCTGAGGCGGAGGAGCAGGCGAGGCCCGCTGCGACATGCTCAGCGGCGACCCGAGGGCCGCGAAAGGATCGGAGGCGGGCTGAGGCGGCGGAGCGTGCACCGACTGCTGGTAGAGAGGGAGTTGAGGCGTAGAGGACTGGGATGGCGGCTGGGAGTTGAAGCCAGCGAACTGGGAGAAGGGAGGAGGAGGCGTTGGCTGGTTGGTGACGGGCCCCTTGGCGGAGTTGTCTTGGGTTACGGAGGAGAGGAGAGCAGGGCCGGGGATGTCTGTGACTGTGGTTAGCATGTCGGTGTGATGGGCATCGGAGACGGGTGAAGCTCACTCTGGTTTGCGCCAAAGCCAAGGGCGATGTTACCGCCTTGGCCAAAGCTGGCCGACTGTCCGCCGATATCGAGCCCAAGGAGGTCGTTCTCGATGCCAGTGGCACCGGGGGGCGCAGGCGAGCTACTTGAGCCAACTCCATTGTTGCCATTGCCGTTGGTGGTTGAGGGCTCGGCATCAAAGTCGATGAGAGACAGCTCGTTGGCAGCACTCGAGGAGCCTGCGGCAGCCGAGGAAGACGGCGGAGGAGCACCAGCCGCAATCTTGGCGGCAGCTTCGACATCGCCCTTCTTCATAAGCTTATACCGCTCGACGGTCCGGTGTATGCTGTCGTTGATCTCCAAGAGCTTCGCCACGGCGTCGTGGTCGTCCGATTCCTCCTCGCACATCTTCTGGATCTTGGGGTGGGCGCTCTGCAGGGCCGCGGCCAGCTCGCTGAAGACGTCGCCATCTTGCATGGTATCGCCCTGCTGGAAAGCCTCCAGCCTCTCCTCCAACAGGCGTGCCTTAGCCTGAATCTTGCCGACATCCTCGGCGGCCTTTGCGCGGTAATCCGTCTTGGATCGGGTATCGTAGCCAGCCATGATCTTCATGAGGCGATTGGCCTCTTGCAGGTCCTCGGGGGTTCCGCGTCGGATGAGTTCTTGGAGCTTGGCGGACTGGGCTTCGCGCTCTTCCTCCTCCATTTCTTCGGCCGATTTCAGATTCTTAACGCAATCGAGTCAGTAGGGGGCGGTGTCGACAAGTTTAGCACACTTACATCGCTGGGGTTCAAAACGGCGGCATCCTCAGTGCGCACCTCTGGGAAGACATAGCCCTTGTAGCTCAAGAGGCGATGCATGTCCCGGATGAAGCCCAGATCCTCCTTGTACCTGCTGGTATCGCATATCGTCCCCCGCCACTCCTCGATGGCCTCGAGGATCTTTGCTTGGACGCGGGTGGCGCGAATGGGCGGGCGTTCGGGGAACCTCCTGACGAGCTCGTTGAGGAACTCCTTGGTGCTGATTTGCAGGTGGAAGGGATAGCCGCAGTTTTTGACGCAGATGTCGAGGAGGTTGAGGGCGAGGAGGGCGACGTTGGGGTTGCGGTGGTTGATGTAGCTGACGATGGCGGTGGCGGCCTCGCGCGGGGCGCTGCCCTTCTTGGAGTTAATGAGGTCGGAGATCTCGAGGTTGAGGGCCAAGTTGGGCTCGAAGTTCTCGGGACTGCAGGCGGCCTGGATGAAGCGTTGAAGCTGAGACGGCGTGCGGCCGCCAAACTCACCCCAGCGGTCGCGGGCGGCGGCGCGGGCGGCTGCGGCTTCCATGGTGGTGGGAGGGGATGTGATGTGATGCCTGCGGGAGACGCGCGGTGGGAGAGAGGCGAGGCGAGGAGACGTGGGGGGATGCGACGCGACGAGAGACTCGGATGGTCGACGATGTGAAGCAATCACCGTCGAGCTGGCGGAGAGCTGGCAGAGTTGACAGCTGGAGAGCGAGCGAGCGGGGCCGATAGACAGGGGGCCACTGGCACAGGTGGAGGCGGAGCTCGAGGGAGAGGCCGAGATGAAGATTACGTCGACGACATGGGGCAGACGAAACGACCTGGAAGACCCCGGAAGAAAGAAATCCCCACTAACAGCGTGCGAGCTGCAATGGCGCTGTCGAGTCGTGAGAGGCGTGAGAGAGGCCAGCAAGTAAAGTAGCGTGGTGGAGGTGATGGTGTTGGTGACGGTGTCGTAGTTCCTGAGTAACGCCCGGTTAGGCTTAGCGGCTCTGCCCCTCCAGCGAGTGCACTGACTAAGCCAGAAAGACTGCTGGGAATCTGTATATTCATAGGTCGCCGTCTAGAACATGGGTTTGCTTGTGTACTTAATAAGTTGCTAATACAAACAATAAGCGATTTACAGTCGTTGTTCCTGTTCCTTTCTCCAAAAAACTGCCATATTCTTAGCCGCCTTCTGGCCCAACGCTCTGACACCACAACCTCGTATTGACTGAAGCCTGCGCAGGCAGCTGCATAACTGGGCAGCCTGGATTAACAACTGACATAAGCCTCTAATCAGTTGAACACTCGATACATCCTCAGTCATTCACTCTAGAACTGTACCTCCCCGTTTCTGTCAAGTTCGTCGACGCCATAGAAAACAATAGCAATTTATATCCGTAAACATTGATTATGAGGCAACTTTTCTGTATTGCCAAGTCCAACCCAGAATTAAGTGCGCCTGTAGCTACGGCGTCGGCTACCGTCCCCTCGTCCGGCCTCACCTTTGTCGACAACTCCCAGGGAGCTTCCGCTGCTGCTACCGAACTCTCCACCGTTTCCGAACGCACCCTTGAAAATATCCATCTTAGTGGCAAGACCCTTTTGTGGAATGAGCGATGTGACCACGTACACGGTTAGGTGATGTGAACGCCAAGCTAAAACATTTGCTCCACCGGCTGGACAACGAGGCGTGCAAATACAGCAACTCGCATGTAAATGAAAAGGGGGCATGCGCCGATTGGGAATGGTAAACAGCAACCTGTTGCCTAACTTCCTCCACTTCGAGGTTAACCTTTTAGTTGGTATCTATTGCTTGGAAGTGTGCCCACAGTACATACAACTCGGCGAAAGGTATTGTCGACAGCACGGAGTATACAATTCAGAGCGATCATATTGCGGTCCCGTCGCTTAGAGGGAGTGTCAAGGCTTGGACGTCGACCATTTTCACGCCGGCAGCGGGCTCGGCCACCTCACGCGAATTTCTCCCCGTCCTTGTCATATCCGGGGAAGCGCAAGCAAGCTGGGCCATGTAGTGAATGGAAACGAGCGTCCCAAAGCTGCAAGTCACTTCATCGTATGTGGTTGATATTGGGGCCTCGAATGGCCTGCCTCTCCTAACACCAACATCAAGCTCCTAGTCTGGCGTGTGATTCGGAGCTCCTCACCCGCTGGCTTCCTCAGCAGTACCGAGGCTCTAGATAAAAATGTCCCACTGAAAAATCCAGCAATATGTCAAAGCTGACGGCCATAGGAAGAGGCATGTGTTGTTTACTGAACACTCAGCCGGCGGAGCTGTGGCTTCCCTCCTCTACCTTCGCTATATCTTAAATATAGGTTTAGGTCTGCTTGAACATAAGTCTGCTGACAAACTTTAACGCGATTGGGTTGGGATTTCTTGCATTGATGTTGGTTCGCCCCGTCCGTCACGGTGCTCATCGATCTGACGATATTCCAAACGTCCAGCGAGGCTACTATCGCCCTGAGTATTACCAACAAGTTTGACTTGGTTAGTCGCGACGATAGGTTGTACATCATGTCACTAGCAAATCTTGCGGCTTTGGCGGAGCCCAACGGGATGCGAAACAAGGGAAATCTTGCGCAGCCGACTTGCGGATCATCAAGACTAGTTCCGTCTGTGTGTCGAAGGCAAAGGGCTGCATGGGCATGAATGATTTGGTCCATGCCGACTTGACCAAACCTCGCAGGAAGATGTTCAAGAGTGAATCGACTGCCGGAGACCGAGAAACGAGGGGTCTGATGCAGCACAGGCAAGATGGTGACGAAGTTGAGCTGGAGAGCTTGAGCAGGTTGTCGGTGACACTGCAGGTGGTCTGGACTATTCGTGATGGAGTGATTGGAGTTTCTATTATTCTAGAGTTTCTGGATAATAAGTACTGGTTAAAGAGAGTAAGACTCGATAAGAAGAATAGCTCTAGAGTTGCAACTTGCATCTCCTTGTTCATCAGTCTCTCTCCAGGTTGTGGCGCGTCTCCCCACACCTGAGCCACAGAGTTGTGCCCCTCCATTCAACCCCGCCACTCCGCTATTATCGCCCTTATCGGTCCAACATTCTTCTTCCATAAAAAATCCCCCACCATACAACACACCACCATCGCCTTTTTAGGTTCTCGAGCGCGCACCAACCAACGACTTGCTCGATCCGATACAACCTGTAGCTGAAAGTCGCAATGGTCCGCCACAAGAAAGACTTCAAGGGCAAGCGCGGCGGCAGCGGCGGCTACGGGCCCCCGCGAAACCGAGGACCCCGCGATGGCGATGATGATGAGTCCGGCTCGGCGCGACGACGCCCGGCCTTCAAGGCGGCTTGCTGGGATCTCGGCCATTGCGACCCGAAGCGATGCTCTGGAAAGAAGCTGATCAGGCTCGGCATGATGCGCGACCTGCACCTCGGCCAGCGCCATAACGGCGTCATCATCACGCCCAACGGCAAGATCGTCGTTTCGCCCGCCGACCGCGACCTCATGGACCAGTTCGGTGCCGCCGTCGTCGAGTGCTCGTGGGCCCGCACCCAAGAAATCCAATGGAATAAAGTTGGCGGCAAGTGTGAGCGCCTGCTGCCGTACCTGGTCGCTGCAAACTCCGTCAACTATGGCAAGCCGTGGCGTCTCAATTGCGTCGAAGCCCTTGCCGCTGCCTTTTACATCTGTGGCCACGCGGACTGGGCCGAGCAGATCCTCGAGCCCTTCTCATACGGCGCTTCGTTCCTCGAAATCAACTCCACCATTCTCAAGCGCTACGCCGCATGCGCCGACGCTGCCGAAATCAAGAAGACGGAGGAGGAGTGGATGGAGCAGCTGGAGAGGGAGTACGCCGAGAGTCGAGAGGAGGGCAACGACGACATGTGGACTAGCGGAAACACAAACCGAAGGCGAATGGACGACTCCGATGACGACGAAGACGATGACGAAGATGACGAAGACGACTCGAACAACGATGATAAGAGCATAGACGGCATATATCTGGGCAAGAAACCCCCGAAGGCCGCCAAACCAGCCGACTCAGACGACGAACAAGACAAAGACCCATACCCAATATCCGACGACTCAGACGACGACGCCGCCATGGCTGAAATCCGCCGCAAAGTCCTCGCCTCAAAGGCCTTCTCCAACCCCGCCGCCGAAGAGTCGCGCAAGAAGCCCGCTACCATCCCCAATCCCCAGCAGTTCAAGCCCACCTCCGATGTCGAACCCGACTCAGACAATGGCGACTCGGACGACGATGATGACGAGTTTGACAACATCATCTCTGCCACCCCCGTCACCGACCGCATCGGGCTCGCTAAGTTGGACAAGGAGCGCGAGCGCGCCGCCATCACCACCAAGACCTTTTCGTCCAGCTTTACGTCAGCGCCGGGGAGGGGATGATGTTGGAGAGGTAGGTGAAAATTGAATCTAGATTGGGCCTTTTCAGGACTTGAAGAAGAGTTCAAAGAACCACATTTATTCGTTTCCGGGTGAAGTAACATGTAGTATTGTCCTGAAGCAAGTGTGTCCGCCAATCTCTTTGTAATTCATCCTAGCAAAGACCGCAGGGCTCTAGGAATACATATTGTACTAGCATTGAGATTGGTTCTTATAATCTGCACCATATCAACTTTTGAGCTGATATTGTCCTCCCATCGTAGCCTATAAATACACCTTTGTCTTTTAGTACAGTTCATATATGACCGGCACACGGCGAAATCAGCCGGTCTCATATTACCCGACCCGCTGACCACCATGATTCTTCCACATGCTTTTCGTACACTTTCATCCTTCTTGTTGTTTTTACAAGTGTCGTTTCTCCTTGATTTCTTCGTATGTCTGGATTTGATCGTCGACCTGTACATCCTGGAAGTCCTCGAAGCCGATACCGCACTCGGAGCCCTTGCCCATCTCCATGACGTCCTTTTTGACGTGCTTGAGGGTGTTGATTTTGCCTAAAAGGGGTACAAGTTAGCAAGAGGGTTCTAGACAGGGGTAGACTTGATCGGATAGACTTACCATCGTAAATGACCTTGCCGCGCCGGAGCACCTTGACCGTAGACGTCCGCTTGATGGCGCCGTTGCGGATCTTGCAGCCAGCAATGTTTTGGCTGACACGCTTCTTGAGGTTGATGGCAAAGACCTGCAAGATGTCTGCCTCGCCGAGGACGCGGTGGGTAATGGTATGCGGCAGGAGGTCTGATAGGGCGTCCTTGACCTCGTCGGCGACGTGGTAGATGACGCTGTGATCGATGATGCGCACCTTGTTCTCGTCAGCGCGCTGGCGGATGTGCGGCGCGATGGCGTTGTTGAAGTTGACAATGATGCTCTTGGATGTCGCCGCGTGGTCGACGTCGTACTCGGAGATGGGACCGACCGACGACCGCAAGACCTTCGTCTGCACCTCGTGGTTACCAATCTCCTGGACGGTGCCGCACACGGCCTCAGCCGAACCTGCCACGTCGGCCTTGACGATGATGTTCTGGAGGATGACGCCGGGCTCGGCGTCTTCGACGGGGGCTTCGACGCCGTTCGCCTCCGCGGCCGCGGCAGCCTCATCAGCAGCAGCCTTCTCACGTATACGCTGCTCGTGCTCAGCAAGCTGGGCAGAGCTCTCGAGTCGCTCCGCCATTTCTTGCCGATACTCGATGGCCGTCTTGGCCTTGCCCTCGTCAGGCGACTGGAGTATCTGTTCTCCGGCCTCGGGCAGATCGCGCCAGCCCAGGACCTCGACTGGCGTTCCGGGAGGTGCCTCGGCAATCTCGACTCCAGCTTCATTGCGGAGGACTCGGATCTTGGCCCAAGTCTTGCCCGCAACGATGTAGTCGCCCAGTCGAAGTGTTCCTCGCTTGACGAGCACCGACGCGGACTTGCCAACCTGCTTGATGCTAGACTCGAGAACCCATCCTTCGGCCATGCCGTCACTCTCGGCGCGGACATCGAGGATTTCAGAAAGAGTGACAATGTTCTCCTCGAGGTCTTCCATGCCCTGACCAGTCTTACCACTCACACAGACGACTTGGACATCGCCTCCATAATCTTCAATCTCGACACCGTGGCGAGCAAGATCGGCCTTGACCTGCTCGACCCGAGCGTCTTCCTTGTCAACCTTGTTGATCGCCACAATGATGGGGACCTTTGCCGACGTGGCATGCTTCAACGCCTCAATGGTCTGGGGCATGACACTGTCGTCGGCAGCCACCACCAGGACAACGATATCAGTCACGTTGGCACCTCGCTGACGCATGGACAAGAAGGCGGCGTGACCGGGAGTGTCGAGGAAGGTGATTTGCTTCCCGGACGACATGTTGACGACGAACGCGCCGATGTGCTGAGTAATGCCGCCATGTTCGCCGGCGGCGACTGATGACTTCCTTAGCCAGTCGAGAAGAGTGGTTTTTCCGTGATCGACGTGGCCCATGATGGTGACGACGGGTGGACGAGCGGGGAGCGTCGAGGGATCCTCTGGAACAGGTCGAGGTCTAAGGTCTCGTTTGGAGCCTGTATCGATGGTCGGCTCAAGTCCATACTCCATTGCAACCAGGCCAGCTGTGTCTCCAGTCATGATGGTATCTTCGGTAATGTCCTCAAAGCCCATCTGTTCCAGGTCGCGCAAGAAATGAGAGACCCGAAGCTTAAGAGCACCCGCCAGGTTGGACACGCTGATGTACTCCGGGAGGAAGATCTGGACTGCTTGTGCCTCCACTTGCTCTCCAGCGCGTCTCTTCGCGTCCTTCTCGGCCTTTCGTTGCTGTCTCGCCTCCCATTTCTTGATCGCCTCATCGTCCCAATCCTCGTCATCTTCCTCTTGCCGACGGCGGTTGCTCTGGCGCTTGTCCTTCTTGCCGCCCCGTCTGAATTGATCCTCCTCTTCTACTTCAAATCTTGATTTCCGTCTTGGCTGCTCCATGGATTGGTCCTGATTTCCATCAGACCAGGGAGTGAATTGCTTCGACGAAGCCTCATAGGCCCCGAGCTTGGCCTGGCCCTGTGCCGTTGAGGCACCAGTGGTCTGGTTGCCGTTCCTCTTGCCACGGAAGCCACTGACCCTGTTTTCGAGGGCATCCCAAAAGTCGTCCTCGCCGTTGGTCGAACTTTCGGCAACCTTAGAGGACTCCTTTCGTGATGCCCGCTTGAGTTGGCCCCAGACTTCGGACCCGTCGCCACTTTTGGCTGTGGTGGGTTTACCTCGAGAGGCAGCCTTGTGCTTGGCCCCCTGCTTCGGGGCCGGAACTGACGTGTCTATCTTTCGGGCGCTGAATGCGCCCCAGGAAACTTGTGATGATATAGACGGGACTTGGGAGTTTTGAGCTGGGGCGGAATCATTGCGAGACCACGATGACGGCGTCGCCACCGGGCCTGGGTTGCGGTCGATCTTGAACGCCTCAGCAAGCAACGAACTTGACAGTGGGCCTGGCTGTGACTTGGGCGCATCAGCTTCAAGCTGGTCCTCATTATTCTTCCCTCGATTGGATCGCTTGTTCTTGTTCTTCTTCGAGGATGCGCGGGTCGAATTATCGTTGGGAGCATCGGCATTGTTCGAGGGCTTCGGCTTGGGAGGGCTGAGACCCATCTTTTTTCGAGCCTCCCGCTCGTGAGGAAGAAGCGCATCGGGAGTAGGTTTGCTGCTCGGGGCCGCGGGGGCGTTGTTGGCAAAGGAGCCGAAAGATCCCAACCCAGTTCCAAACCCGCCTCCCCCTCCCGGGAACCCTCCCGGTCTAGTTGAGCTTCCATTATCGCCCGGTCCACGCAGCAGTGAGCTCGTCGACAGAGCGCGCGCGCCAAATGACTGCGGCCCGACGAGTTTTAACCGTGCCGAGACCCCTAGAGACGTTGTCGAGCCTGCGGCGGTCGAAAAGTGGCGATCTCTGAGCTGTCCCTCCCTCGGCGAGAGCTTGTGTCGGCAGAAAGCGCATACATAGGAATTGCAGCGCTCCTACAACCGGGGTTAATCAATGGCAAGTGAAGAGCCGCCGAAGAGGAATCAACCAACCTGTAATACGCGAGCTCTCAACATTGCCGCGATGACGGATTATCAGACCTAGAACCAGCGTCTGACATGGAGCCAATGGTCGTTACAATGCTCGGTTTCGGCAGCACTTATGATCTGTGGAGTCGAGCATTTTCGAGCCGCCACAGAGAGCTCTCGGAGCCGGGATTGTCCGCCACAGCCGGGAGCGAATGGCAGGTGTGGCTTATTCAATGTGGGAGGGAATGCAATGCGCCACAGTGACACAACTTGCGGTTTTCATGATGAAAGAGAATAAGTCAAGGTTAATGGTTTAATGAATTAATCGCAAACGGCCGAACAATTGGATTTCGAGTATTTTATTGCAGGGACTGAATTCATGTTGGATGATATGGTGGCGACTGGAATCCAGCCGATAGGGGCTGACGACAGCTATTAATCTCAGTGGAGCTGCAGCAACCTTAAGTGTCCACTCAAGAACACATCTTCAGTTGAGCTCCAGAGTCCCGACCACGCGACACTCCAGCCCATTGCCTGGAGTACACTGCCCTGAACAGCTCCTAAACACTCCATTAAACATGGCACCCGGCAAACGAGCAGGAAAGGGCAAAGCGGCCCAGCCCAAGCCGAAAGATGGTGCTCCCCCTTCGCCCTTCAAGCAGCCCCCGGAAGTCCTGGAGCCCTTCATCAGCACCCTGTCGGAGGAGCACATCTACCTGACGCACATCGACACGAAGCCCGCCGACTTGAAGCGCAAGATCTTCCTCGTCCCCGTGGGGATGAACATTTGCGTCGTGCTCCTCTTCTTTCTGCGCATGTTCTGGATCCTGCCGTGGTACTACAAGCTCGTCGCCTCTGCCTTCGGCCACCCCAATGAGACGACCTGGACCGTCGCGAATGCGACGTGGTCCGAGGGCGGCTGGGAGGTCGCCAAGCGCACCTTCACCATGCTCTTCGACTTCATTCTGTTCGTCTTCGTTTGGCCGTGGCCCGTCGAGTTTGTTGCCGGACAGGCCCACGGCAACCCGTGCCAGTGGCGATGGAAGGTCGGATTCCGACCCAAGGAGATCTACGTCCGCCGCAGCCGCAACTGGGACCAACTTCTCAAGGACATTTTTGCCGACAAGGACTCTAAGACCATCCTGTCTGCATACGTTCAGTCAGCCACGTCGCCGATGCTACAGGAGCAAAAGACCGGCTACCTCCTGATGAACGGCCAATGGGACTTGGACTGGGCCGGCATGATCCACGCCCACAGCCTCGTCGACAAGAAGGAGATCGCCATCGACGCCTTCCGGAATCTCGCACTGGTGCACCACCGCGACTACGGCTGGATGGTCTACAACCTGCAGGGCAACGCGGCTTCGGGCGAAGACCAGCGCCGCCGCCAGGTGTTTGCGTTTCGAGACGCTCTCACTGCCATAGGCAAGGAGGATTTGTTCTATCGCTGGGTGGAGATTGTACAGTTTGAGTCAACGCGACCGGAAGGCTTTGGTCCTGACGAGCAAGAGACTGCAGCCCGGAAGATCCGGGAGTTGTTTCAAAACGAGAATATCAACTTTGATGAATTGTGGAAGCAGAGCGTGGGGACCATGGACTTCTCACGAGAATAAAGCTGGAATTGTATAATATAATCAAGAATGGCACACAGATCTAGTCTTCAAAAATAGTTGCGTGTACACATAGAATATACAGAATAACATAAATAACAGACAGTAAACAGCTCGCAAATAAGCAGAGTCCAATCCTCAAACTATCCCTAACACACCAAATATAAACATCACAAAAAATATACACCAAGTTATTCCCACTACTCTACCACATTACAGCACAGCTAAAACACAGAAAAACTTAAAGTAAGATTCAATTATAGTATATTCCTTTATTCACTCCCAGAAAAAGAAATCAAATCAACTCAAAAAAACAAAACCACCCAACTTGAACCTCGAACCTCGAACCTCCCCAAAAAAAACTGGCCGAAGCCGTCCTCCACGCCCTGCTACTGCTCTCTAGCGGCAGTACTACAGCGCGTCCAGCTTTCGCCTTGGATATTTCTTTGCACCAGACTCCAACCTCGGACGCCGCGCAGCTCCCCCGCAGGGTGAGCTAGGCAGACTGGCCAGGGGCTTGGTGGTGTTTCTGAGGGCGTGTTTGTCGATCGGGGGTGGCTCGAGGGGCAAGCGCCTGCGCTGGCAGTACTCGTCCCGGTCCTCGACTAGGCGAACCTAGGAGTTCCGGAACAAGTACTGCGACGCAAACACTTGACCACTCGACCACCGGCCGTCGCAGGGACTCGCCCGCTGTTATGGGAGTGTGGGATATTTCACCCTATAAGGGTATGCGTGCTGTGCCAGGTGCAAAGGTGGCTGCCAGCTGGTTGGCAGTTGTCAACCTCTCTGAGCAAACCGGTGCGGGTCCAACGACTGGGCGGAAACTTCCAACACCAAAACCATACAGTGACAACAAGGTACCGAAATACCTGACTGGGCAGGAAACCCAAATCTTGTCAGCCATTGAAATTTGGACGAATATGTTAATGAGCCCATGACCCAAGCCCAGCACATGATAGTACCAACACCTGGTCCATGTACATAGAGCATGATCAATGCGCCATTGTGCTCCACAGGGAAATTGAAACTCCTTTTTTTACCTGAGATTCAAGAGTCCTTGAGTCTCACTGGCATGATCAGGATCAATCATTCAAGGTTATATGGAGCCTGGCCCTTGCACCTGACTTCAGGTGTCCCTCGAGGGAAGTCAACGACGCATTGGGTGGTCATGGAGGTATCGAGATCAGATTTTTGCACATCTCATGCAAAGGCAGAGTACATTTCATGGAGATCCTGCGTCGCGGCATTCGAAGTTGCCACAAATGTATGACTCGCATATTCGATATCGGGTCGGCTGTCGTCGGTTCGGGACTGGACTGGGGCACGAGGAACGCGCAGAACAGGGCATGTTTGGCGGGCAATGGAGGCAGGAAGGGATTTAGTCTATGGAGGCATCGGGTATAGAGATTGAGAGAAGAAGGAAGGTCCAGAGAAAAGAATTGGAGGAGACGAAGAAAGCAACCTTGGTGGTTGGTGGTTGATGGTTGATGGTGCGGGGATGGAAGTTGGTGGTGGGGAGCTGGAGTTGGGGGAAAGACTCCCCGCTAAGGTTGGCTTACATAAGTTGGGCTAGGCGACTGGGATGGAGATGAAGTGTGGTCCGTGCGCTCAGACCAGGCTCCTGGGTCCTTTCACGGTTGGGTCTTTGGCATTTATTATGGAATCTAGCGGCGGTGAAACGCCTGACAGAGGATCGGCCGGTAAGTTGCAGCCTGGAGCTGAACGGCGAGAAAGCGCGATTGAATACCAACGGATGACAGTGTACCATACAAGAACACGGGGCTATCGCACCTTGTGTTTAGTGGGTATTGACTGCAGAAGCTGTACTCCATACATGTAAAGGGGGATATTAGTGGCGTCACTGTGTAAGGGAGCTATGAGGTGCTGCCACGCGACCTTGATCGCATCAGGAGCCTCCTTTTCTGGCCGCCTTGCGAAGAGGACGGACGTAGTGATGGTCAGTTGAAGAGGTCCGTCTTTGTCCCTCTCCCGGAAAAAAAGACCATGTAGCTCTCCAGGATTATCAACAAGATCATCTAGCCATTTCTGACCCCTTGCTTCGCTTCGCTGACCTTTGAGGTAATCTTGGAGAATCTCCAATCAGCCATCTTCTTTCCCCATTGTCATCCCTCGTCTCATCCTTTCAACCAGCCTCTGCCCGGCGTCCGCGGAAAATCTTACTGGCCGCTCCGCTCTGATACCAACCAATCTCCAGCAGCCAGCAACATCGATTGGCATCCAGCCTCAAGCCTCAAGCCACAAGCCGCAATGAAACCCGCTGTAACGTACGGCAGAGAGACTTTGCCCGAAGTACCATAGCATCAAGATATACATGCCATCCATCCCTGACGCTGGTCAAAGATCGACCCCTTCGCATTCAAGACCCAACAGGCGACAAGCTGCGGAGTACTACACGAGCTACGACCTACAGCACCACCCCTGCTCACCAGGAGCCCCTAGAAAAAGCCAGTTCATCGTTGAATACTATAGGGAGCAATCTATCAACGAGCTGCAAGTGTCTCCCAGGCGAGCAATCCTTCCCCTTGTCTCTCCGGTCACTCCCGTTGGACTACCTATTTCGTACCCATTCGTACCTAGGTAGGTACCTAGAAGTACAGCACAAAGCCCACCGCCACAGTCCACCGCCCCAGCACACTGCCCGCTGTCCACTGCCCCAGCACTCAGCACCCAGCGGCTCTAAAGCTAACGACCAGGACCCAGTCCAACACCCCTAAATTCTGAACGCGCAAACAAGCCCCCCAGGTCAGGATCAGCTTCAATCACGTCGGCCAGTCCTTCCGACCGCATCTCGCCAACCGACACCACCGCGCCCTCCGTCCTCGCCCTCACCCTCGCCTCACCATCCACACACCCTCGCTCGAAATGTCGTCGGGATTGACGCGACGTCGCGGTGCCGGCGGCGGCACCGGGGCCACTTCCGAGGGCGACTCCAGCAATGGCGCTGGAGCCAGGAACCCTTCGTCCAACGCCCGGGACGCCGGCCCCGAGACCAGCTACGAGAGCGGCGAGAATGGCCACAAGATCGCCTTCGATCCTCGGGACATTAGCGAGAGCGCTGAGCGAAGCAAGCAGCCCAAGCTCACCCTCATGGAGGAGGTGCTGCTGCTGGGCCTCAAGGACAAGCAGGTACGCGCACAACCAAAGACACATGCCCTGTTTCTCTACAGGAATCTGGCGCTGACCACCACCATCTCAACCGCAGGGCTACCTTTCCTTCTGGAACGATAACATCTCCTACGCCCTCCGAGGCTGCATCGTCCTCGAGCTGGCCTTCCGAGGCCGCATTGCCATGGAGAAGGACGCCTCGAGGCGGCGATTCCCCCTGGCTGACCGCAACATCGAAGTTATTGACGACGCCCTCACTGGTGAGGTCCTCCTCGATGAGGCCCTCAAGATGATGAAGCAGAGCGAAAAGATGAGCGTCAGCTCCTGGATCGACCTCATGAGCGGTACCGACACCCACCACCCCTTTCATTCCCTCTGTGTCCAGACGCAGTCGCTGACACCCCCTGTTTCAACCCTCAGGCGAGACTTGGAACTTGATGAAGATAGGATACCAGCTCAAGCAGGTTCGAGAGCGCCTCGCCAAGGGCCTTGTCGACAAGGGCATCCTCCGCACCGAGAAGCGCAACTTCCTCCTCTTCGACATGGCCACCCACCCCGTCGCCGACGGTGGCGCCAAGGAGGAGATCCGTCGCCGAGTTCGCAATATCCTGACCCAGCGCACTGTTGTCCTCAACGGCAGCCAGTTCCTCCCCGAATCACTCGAGTTCCGCTACCTACGCAGTCTGTCCATGGTCTGCGCCGCCTATGCCGCCAACGTCCTCGAGAATGCTCTGTCGACCCTGGGCCATGAGGCTCGCGAAAGGGCCTTTGCCCAGACGGATGAGCTGCTGGCTGACTACAGTCAGTGGCCGTTTGGCAAGAAGGCCACTGGCAACGGAATTGGAGCCAACCTTCCCCAAGTGATCGCCGAAGTGGGTTGAAGAATACCAGCAGCTACAAACTTGACAGATTCCATGATTCTAACATGACTTACCAGGAAACCACCTCGAGCACGGGCAAGGACAAGGAATTGCAGTTGGAGGTTGTGGCCGCCTGTTTGAGCGTCTTCACCCGCCTTGACTCGCTCCTCTAAGAGGTGGCCTGAGCCATGGGCGCGCGTGCTCTTGACGGCATTCTGCCGTGGCCTCGCACCAACGCCATCCCTACTCCAACACGCGCCTGAGCCGAGCCGATGGCAAGCCGATTCCTCTCCTCCCGACTCTCCGTCCCATCGAACCCTACACTCCGACCCGTCATCTGCCTCCCTCACCGACATCCCCATGATAACGACCTCAACCCACCGCCTCCCCTCGACCCTGGCAGGTACGACAAAAACAGATCCAAAACCACCAACCTCACTACATGGAGCAGTTAGAGGAATCATTCGACTTAGGCAGCAGCGGGGTTTCCCATCGTACACGGTAGCTGGCCGAGGTCCATTTGGCTGAGAACCAACCCAGCCAAAAGGTACCTCTGGCCAGCCAAGATGGTGAAGCCTCGTCATGGTTGTCAGTGATGGATTGCGTGTCCCCTCTTTTTATGTCCTTTTTTATTTTTGAAACCTATCTATTATTGGGAACGGAGACAGACAGCCAGGCGGACGGAAGTGTGACAAGAGAATGTGTGTGTGTGTTGGTTGAGTGCGGGTGTTTCTCGGGAGGAAAGTTGAATGTCGAGCGTAGCCGTACTGTTATGTCCGTCCACTGCTGTTGTTCGGGTCGGTATTGATGTAATGAAGCAAAAACACATACGAAAAATAGGCGGTTGTGTCTTCTAAGCCTCTTGGTTCTCTTAATACCCACTCGGTCTGCGTTTCTGCAGCCTCAGAAGGTGATTGTTCTTGGCGCGCTGGAAAACATGTCACGAAAATGTTCCTACATCTACACCATTTCACATCTGATCAGATTCATGGATGATGCTCTTGTATGCTCATGCTCGCTCATGTTCATGCCTAGTCCATTATATGCCGAAAAATTGTCCACTCGCCGAGCCGAGCCAGCCAAATTTGCAGTTGTGCAGTTGCTTGTGTGTGTGCCGTCTAGTACACCAAATGTACAGTGTTGTAACGCTTCGCGCCGGATTGCCCCCCTTCCGCCCCGTGGACTCCGCCAGCGCCGGTTGTCGAGCAAGGAAAGAAGATCTTGTCGCTTTTGCTTTTGAGTTGCTTTTGTTTTCACCTTCACTTTTGCTTTTGCCTTTGTTTTTTTAATATCCCGGTATCGTGGCTTACTTCTTGCGTCCACCGACACCCAGGCTGCCCTCGAAACCCGGACGGCCCTTCTTCTTGGGCTTGGCGCCACCCGTCTTCTTCTTCTTCTTGCCTGACCTGTGGAGGAGCTTGTCATCACGGCGCGCCTTGAGGTTTTCCTCACGCTTGCGCTGGCGCTCCTTTTGGGCCATCTTGACACCATCGGTGCGGTCTGACCAGGCCTTCTCGCTCTTGCGCTTGGCCACCTCCTTACGCTTGACAGCGCGCTTGAGCAGGGCCTCGTCGTCGTGGATGCGCTCGCCCTGGGCACGGCGGCGGGCTGTTAGCCAGACGTCCTTCTCGGCGATGTCGGCTCGCTTCTCGGGCTCGAGTTCCTCAAGGCGCTTCTTCTGGTTCTGGACCTTGATAAGGGCTGTCTTGGGGTCTGAGGGGCCCTTCTTCTTGCCTTGGCTGAGAACGTAGCTAAGATCGTGTGAGAGCTGGGCGCCATCACCGAAAGCCACGCGGCCGAAAGCGAAGTTGCTTGACTTCTCGTCCAGTTCCACAGCTGGGCTCATGACGGCGGGAGAGGTGGATGCCAGAGCCTCCTCGCGCTTCTTGTCCTCCTCCAACTTGGCCTGTTTCCTCATCTCCTGCTTGTTGGCCTTCCGCAGGGCCTGCTTCCGCCGCCGCGACTCGATGAGCTCCTGGCGTGTGCGGATGGGTTTGCCATCCGGTCCGTCGGCTTTCCTAGCCGCTCGGAGGGCCTCAATCTTTGCGGCAAGACGAGCACGGAGGGCGGAGGTGTCGGCGGGAATCTTAATGTGTTTGGGTTTCTCGGAGGGGGGGATGGTGGATGATACGGAGGTGGTGGCGCTGGCGGATTCGCCGAGAGCGTCGGCGGGAGCTGTGGAGGAGTCGTTGGAGTCAAAGGTAGGAGAGTGAGGTTCGGAGTCAGGACTTGAGGTCTCATCGTCCTTCTCTAGACCTGAAATATCCATGGGTTGCAGGTCATCAGTAGCGGGAGCAGTCTCGTCCTCGTCGACAGCGTCGGGCTTTGATACTGGGGCGGCCTTTGCTTGCTTCTTGGCGGCTTGCTTCTTGGATTTAGGTGCAGGGACAGGGGTGTCCTCTTGCTCAACCTCGGGCTCCTCAGCCTTGGTGGGCTCCTCAGCATTCTTCTCAGCCTTCTTCTCAGCCTTCTTCTCCTTCTTTTCCTTCTTCTTCTTCTCCTTGGCTGCCCTCTTCTCCTCCTTCTTGGAAAGTTTGGAGGACGTCGCCTCGTCGGTGGTTTCGGGCTCGGGCTTGCTGTCGTCTTCGCTAAGCTTCTGCTTCTTGTTGGCCTCGGGTGCGGCCAACTTTAGGCCCTCGCCGGGCTTCTCGATCTCGACGCCTTCCACGGGCTCGTAGTCCTCCCAATCCTCATCCTTGTCGGCAGCAGTAGCAGTGTCTTCGTCTGCAATCTCACGCAGCTTGCGCTTGTTCTGGGCCCGCTCATCCATTACCTCCTTAGCGTTGCGGTTGAGTTCGCTGTCAGGGTCGAGTTTTCCGCGGCGCGCGGCGGCGGCCTCCTTTTTGGACTGCTTCTTCTTGTTCCATTGGTTCTAACATGGGAAGTTAGCATTGGAGATTGCAGCCCATAACATGTAGTGTCTGTTATTTGTTGTAGGAAGGGAACGTTGTTGGTGGCGGGAACGGAAGGGTGTAGGCATCGAAGGGCATGGGCGAGAGAAGTCGTTAACGTACGCTGTTGTCTTCTCCGTAATACATCTTGGCCGGGATGAGGCTCAAGAGGCCATCGAAGGCCTTGGCATGGTCGCGCAGGCGGTCCTATGAGGCAATACGTCAGCTTCCCAGCTCATGGCGATAGCCTCCATCTAGGCGACGGCGGGGCATGACATGGAGCAAACGGACCTGCAGCGAGGCATCCATCTTGGGCGGCTGTTGAAGCAGAACCGATATGTTCAATACGCAACGTACAGCGCTCCAAGATACGATTTCGGGACCCTACTTTGCGGGACTGTGGTGCCGTCGATATGCTGCGAAGCGGACCAGAGGTTGTTGAAAACGGGTGGTTGAGGCGGTCGGCGATTCGACGACGGCAGGCTCGATTTTTCGGGCAGAACTGATTTTTTTTCTGTCTGGCTGGGTCCAACTGTGGGGACAGCACGCTACCAGAAACCGTAACCGCCAGGAGTAGCCTGTGCTCCACTGTAGCGCATCCCGTTAGTGTGCACTGAGAACTCCGCAAGCGTCGCCTGTAGATCGGTCTTCTGTTCGTGTTACAACAGCTGTAAATAATGGTGCATTCAGCAGGCAAATGACTATTAATTGTTAGTACCTAGCTAGGGAGGCGGTCGGGTTCCCGATTTGTGTGAATATTCGCGGCAGGCATTTCCCAATTGGGCAGAGCCTCTTCCTCTCCCTTACATTACTCGCTGAAAGCCGCACGTGCCCAGATCTGTGACATTTACAACCAGAAACTTGAGTTGAGTCGTCCGCACAAAGCTCAAATTCACACCTATGTGTCATTGATCAATGTAGGCAAATAAGATTCTTTAATTCAACTTAACTGCCTTCTTCAGAAATGTTCAAGTCGTAGTGTCGGGCCCTTACTTGTTCTGCCAGCAACTGCTACTCCATGCCACACCACCTCACGCTCTACCACTAAAGCATTGCGACCAGTCAACGAGCGATATTACGATGTGAAAATTAGGTTCATATGTTCCTTACTCTCAGTGGTTGGGAAAGGCTTGGCAGCCATCTGGATGACTCTTTGGCAAATGTGACTCGTTGTGCAGGGGTGTCTCCTACATGGAAAGTAACTGCCTCCCTTGACACAACACCTCCTCATCCATATTGACTCACTCATCTACATGCCACCCACAGCCAACTCCTTTAGACCTTCACGAAATTTCTACAGTGTTCGTTCCTTGAATATGCCATGCCAAAATTGTGGTATTCGTCATCATGAGGGAGTATCTTATCATCTGCTCTTTGCACCAACTTCGGATACAGCAGCATCCAAGAGGCACCATTTTGCTAACAGCTGAGGCACAGCAAGACTCGTTTTCAGAGCCTTGGTCTCGCCGTTTATTTCTTCTTACCCTTCTTGATAGAAGCGGACGCCTCCTTCTTGCGAGCCTCTCGCGCCTCGAAGTCGGCCTTCTTCTTCTTCTCAACCTCTTCTCTCTCCTCCTTCTCGGCCTGTAGCGAAGAGAATTAGCAACCATGTCTTGGATATTTGAGTGACGAGTGTCAACTTACTTGTCGTCGAGCGGCCTCGGCTGCTCGCTGCTCGCGGATAACTTGGAGGCGGGCCAGGTCGGCCTTGGCCTCATCTGTCTTGCCCTGGGCCTGCAGGCGCATGTATTTCTCCTTGGCGGCAACAGCCTCCAAGGCTTCACGCTCGCGTCGGCTGCTAGGCGCGCCCATGTTTGCGACTCCTTCAGTGATGTCCTCAACGGGAGTGCCCTTAGCTTGGTTCCGAGAGGCTTTGGAGTGGTTGGGGTTGGCAGGCATATCGTCGTCCTCGCTCTCATCCTCGTCGCTGGAGGGCATGTCGCCCACCTCGACAGTCTTCCCCCTCGACTTGGCTATGGCTGCCTCTTTACGGGCCTTCTTCTCAGCCTTGCGGTCTTCGCGAGAAGCGACTTGGGCTTGGGCGGCGGTGGCGGCCTCGTCTTCGCTGTCCTCCTCGGACTCGGAGTCCTCCTCAGAATCCTCGTCAGAGTCATCAGAGTCGTCCTCACCCTTTGTCTTCCCATCTTCGGCCCAAATGCTCACTTCATTTCCATCGGCATCAAGGGGGCGAATGTCGCGCGAGAAGTGCTTGCCACCTGTGGGAAAAAATCGTTAGTTTGTGAGGGGCACACCAAGTTTGCGACGCCTCTGACGTCGAGGGGAATCGAGGGGAAATGGATGGGATCATGGCGACGGAGGAAAAACCAAAGACATTTCAGACATACCTCCTCGAGTGTACTTCTTGAACTTGCCGCCTCGGCCACGCGAACTCGATCCAGGGGCTCCAACCATGCTGGGCAATATTTTTGGTTTGGGAGAGGTAGGTTGATGATGGTTTTTCCGTTAGGTTGGATTGGTCGATTTCAGGCTGGGTGTTTGAGCCTTGATGGGTGGAGGCGGGGTAGCGGGGTAGCTAACGATGACAGAAGCTCTTTGGACAGTTCGCGTCGTCGACGGGAATTCAAGGAGGCAACGGCGAACGAGATATTCGTGCTGTGTGGTATCGCAAGTATTCGAATCACTGATCGAGGGGAGAAGTTCGGACAATGCCAAAGGGAGGTGGCAGGGTTCGAAATGGTCACAATGAAGGGCAAGCTGCTCATGAAACCAACACACGGCACAGACGGCTACCTTCCTTAAGTAGGCAGGCGATCCTTGGGGCAACACGGCCAGTGTGTGACTCAAAGGGACGCAGGGTTTCCAGCTGAGAGGCGATAGAGGCGGCCGGAAGGACAGCAGACGAATCCACCCGCAGCGAAGCAGATAGCAAAACAGCAGATGTGCTTTTTGTACCCAAATGGACCGGCCCGTTGCTTTCGGCTTCTAGATCGCTCCAGTCTGGCCACTTGCCTTCACTCCCTTCACTCCACTGTCAGGGCCAGTGTCATGATGTGCGAATCGGAGATGGGCGGTTTGTCGTGGCTGGGTCCGGTCCAACGCCCTGTCCACCAGGCACACGACACGCTGCATGTCATTTTTGGGTCCCTCAGCCATCTGCCCGGTCAGGGACAGACCCTGCGTTTCCTTGACTCACCGTCCTAGTTGGGAAAAGTCCCCTGCGTCAGTATTTATCGATGGGCGTGTTTATTCATAGAAACAAATAGGAGCGGATGGTGGCTTTTGGTGGTGGTATTTGCTCCCAAGCTCGATCTCATTGATGAGATGAGGGGCGCACCTCAGCTACCGATTATGCCAAAGATGACCAAAATTACAGTGACCTCCGGGTCAATAAAATTAAGTCCCCTTGGGGTCGAGCATGATACAAATCGCACCCAGCAATTCAACTTGAAGATACAGTGTTCAAATCAAGCCCGCTCTCAGCTCAACATCAGCTGCCAAACAACTTGGAGTGGACTCCGTGGGCCTCGCAAAGGTCGGCCCAGCAATAGGCACATTGTTAATCCGCCCCGGCACCGCTCGCCCCCACTCTCCACCACCTAGAAAACCAGCAACCGCCGCGCCCGGGTTTGGAATTTTTCTCTTCTTCTTCACTTTATGAAACCTACTAGAAAATAATCCTTCCAATTCACTCCGGCATCCCACTATACCATGGGTGCATACGGAGGGGAAACGGGAGGAGAGATAGATCTGTCGCCGACTTACCTTCTGTTCCACGTGTGGCTTCGGCTGCTATGGGGTTTGGATAAATTTCGAAGCGATACATACCCTCGTCGAAAATCTCTGCTTTTTAGAGACGGCATTGTAGATGCGGTGGGGTTTCCTCGCGTGTTCGGAGAGCTGCGAATCTCAACACTTTACTCGTAAATTCCTGCTCCTGGAAGCTACTTGATGCAATTTGCCTCGCAATGTACGCGCTGAAACCGTCAGGACAAAGCGCGTTTGCCAATGTCGTGGTCGGTGATGCTTCTCGTTTTGCACTTTCACCGCGGTCTCACGTGCTGCTCTACCTCCCCACAAGGTCAAGGCACCACCTGATGGCTACGGTGATTGTGATGCGATTGAAAAATCTGCTTTGTTGAGCTACCATGAAGCTTTTCTCTTCATCAGTCAGGAAGAAGTCAAAGCGTACAGGTCGCTTTCAACAAGTTGGTGTTGTGCCTGCAACTCTCACGTTTCTCTTCACAATGGCTGATTTTACAACTATCGCCAACGATCTCGGGGTTCAAACCTCTGGACCATGTGGCATGGCAGTCATCATAGATTTGGTATTGGGAAATGACGCCGTCTCGTTTGCGTCCAATTACCACAATCTTCTAAATTTGCATGTAGTTCAACCCAACGCGTTACCATTGCCCGAGACAGTACTATTCAAAAACTCCTCTTTCATGCACTAAATCAACGCTTGGTTTTCCTTCTACCCTATAGTGATGCAAACCCAATCGACAATCCCTCTTAGCCCACAACCAGCCTCGTATTAGGAGAGTCTGGCCTGGACACTCAAACCTGCTTTCGCCCGCTCAATTGGAAGTATTGTTTCCACCTGAAGTTTCCGATGTCCCACTCTCTGGACCGCAGTCGTCAGAACCAGAGTTGAGATTTCCATCCTCTGTGAGAGGGTGGGATACCCTAGAGGCCTTGCCTTTGTATGGTTGTGAAATGGTTCGCTCCATTCGGGTGCTCGTGTGCGTGCTTGCCGACGAGGAAGCTCCAACGCCTCCAACCCTGCTGACGTCTCCATAGAGGTATTGCGGTTGCTGCGGTTGCTTTCGGCTTTGGCGAGTCTCTTTGGAGTACGTGGGCTAGTGTTCCGTAGTCCGCGTTGTGATGGCCTCAAATCGCTGTGAAAGTAGCCACTCCTCCGGCTTTGGGATTGGGCTGCAAGTAGGCGGGAGTTGCAAAGGAGGAATTGCATCCTCGCAGTCGAGACGTGATGGCATTATTCGTGGCGGACGAAGAGTCGCTGCCACCTCACGGCATGCATGACAACCGCACATGAATGGAAGTCGTCGTGACGAGGTCCCAGTTTCATGGGAGCGACGGTTATTCGTCTGCAAGACGCTGGATCTAGCTGAAACCGGCCCTTCCGCGTTGCCTGCACTGTTGTTAAACAGCCTAGTGGGGTGCGGTCGTGGCAAGGAAGCAGGGCCACCGCGCTGCTGTGGTGGACGGCCGTTGCGAAAGACCAACTGAAAAGATGATTCCTGGGATAGTTCGAGTGCTAGCTTGGTCCGTGGCATGCTATGCATGTTTAAGAATAAATGTCTGGAAGGGATGTCTCGTAATTTGCAATCTCAACGACAGAACGGATAACGAGGTGTGGCTGGGCGAGTACAGACAAGTGACACGGAATGCGTGACTAAATGTAACTGCGAGCGTCAGGACGAGTGAAGAATGGGGCCTGAAGGAAAAGTTCTCTGTAGCGTAGCTGGAAGAATGAAGATGAACAAACGATAGAAGCCTTCTGCAAGAATTGCTTTTATATGGGAAAGTTGACAAACGATATCTTCAAGGTTCATGAGTGCGCTCAGCCGGGTACGCGAGGGACCCTGCGGTCCTACAAAGTCAAAAGGGTGCTGTTTCACATGAAGGCTATCACAGGCTTCTCTTGCCAAGTTTATTACTAACTTTGCTTTGATAATATTCTAGAATATGTTGCTTGTCGTACCAAGTTTGGGATTTATTCTCGTTTATCATAGCAGGGACTCGCGAACGATTAACATAGAAGTGTCATGATATTTACATGGACTAACCCTGCTTTCCTATTCTTCCAGTTCTCTTTCAAGTCAGAGCTGTTGCTTGGATAATAATAAAAACCTGTGCCAACACATGGCAGATGTGACTCGGGAACGGAGCCGCCGACGAAGTGTATTCGGGCACCCGCACCACAACATGATTTCCCCGTAGGACTGGGCCCATACCTGGTAGATCAATCATCAGCTGACCGGCTATTTGCAGGTGCCTGCAGCATAAAGTGTCGGAAGCCAAAGTCTCAACCATTGGCTGCCTTCTGATAATGCTCCTCCGCGATAGTTTGCCATCAGACGCGCTGATGGACGCGGCAATGGCGCCTGAGACCATACCTAGGCCAGGGAGAGACGCGTTGAATAACCCAAGCCTGCTATGTGATTTGTGAAAGGGTCAAGGATATCCAGAGTAGGGGTGGCAATGTAGCCGCTTGGGGTATCATCAAAGTCCCTGCGACAGCTGTAGAAGGCATGTCGATCGCCCATTCCACGTAAACTCTCAACGTTAAAGATCAATCATTCACCCAATGAACGACTGTAGCATATCATCCAGTCGCTTCCTCTTCTGTTTCCGCAGGGCTAATACCGGCGCCGTGCGCTCCGAAACGACCAGGTTCGCCTCCGTCTTAGGGATCGGCTCCGGCTTGGGCATCTTGGTTCCGCGCACTACCGAGTCCCGCGTGAACGTGTACCGCCGCGTTGCAAACAGCCCGCGGCCAACGTACGACGGCTTTGTCGAGATGCCGCCGCGCGCGCTGTGGCCCAGGTGCAGGCACGCCAGCGGCTTGGACGGCAGCACAAACGGGCCAGCAACGGCCTGCGTGTCTGGACGCACACCTCGGCCAGCGAGGTCTCGGTCGGCGCTGAGCTGGCCGATGAAGGAGTACAACCAGAAGGCCCAGGGCTCGAAGGCGATGCCGTGACAGGCGCGGGCCTCACGTCCGGCGGCGTCTGGGTCCCACGAGGGCATCTGCACCTTGGCATTATCGGTGAGGTAGTCGAGAAGCGGCGGGGCCTGGCGGTCGGCGACGAACTTGACGGCGCAGCGAGAGTCGCTGCAAAGGGAGACGAGGTCGGCGTCGATGCTCCGGGATAGGTCACGTAGCCTATTGATTCGGGTTTCCTCAAGGGGCGCAAATAGCATCAGGTACCGCATCAGGGAGTCCTCCAGGCCAGACTGCGAGTCGGCTCGTTCCCAGCCCTGCTCTTGAGCAATGTCATCTGGAGACCTCCAGTCATCCCGAGCGCCCGTGACATCGTACAGCGCCAGAGACGGAAACTTGGACACCCAGTGCAGCGAGTCTTGCGACGTGGTTTCGTCTCCCCAGATGCGTAGAATCCTCAGCAGCGGGAAGGGATCGTCCATCTCAGTCCATCCGCGGATGAGGCCGTCGCTGACCTTGGGGAAGATGGTGCGCAGCTCGTCGGAAGGCTGGATCAGCTCCAGGGCGCCGAGGTTGGGCATGGCAGCGAGGCATAGGAGATCATGGGTGGAAAAGGCGCAGCCGCCAGTGAGGACCAAATGCGTGATGAAGTCGGCGGGCGACGATGTTAGCGGCTGCGTGTATCGGGTGAGGTCATCACCGGGACGGCAGATGTGCTGACGAAAGCGGTAGAGGCCGAGATTCTTGTCGTCGTCGTCGAGCAAGAGTTTAGAAAAGATCTTCCAGGCATGAAGACAGACTCCCCTAGAAACAATGCGGCGTAAGTCTGTTGCTTCTCACCCATTCGGGGTCTCACATACCTTGCCTCGAGGAAGCTCCAGACGCGCCACAACAGGCGGTTCGGAAGACCGTCAAGATGGCCCGGCGCAACGTCGCCTATGTTGTCCGCGACAACATTAATGGCCATATCCACAAGCGGCCGCGGTCCTCGCGCACCGCGAGCTGTGAAGGTGGGATACGGGCGGCGACGACTCCAGCTGGCCGAGTTGCGACTGGCCTGTTCGGAGACCAAGTCGCGGGGGACGGTCCATTCCTTAAAGACCTGGCCGGAGTCTTGGGTGAACATGACGGCTGCGGCTATGCAGCAGTGGGAGAGATTATGAGAGCCAGAGGGATTATCGGAGCCAGATAACGCAGCGGCGGGAAATGCAGCGGCGGGCACTCATTACAATGATGGCGCTTGGGAAGTTGTGGCGGTGGTTGTCTGGGATAAATGCCGTGATGCCGTGTTGGAGCGCTGCGAGGATGCCGTCACAATCTCACTGGGGGCAGCAAGCGACACCCAGTGGATACGTCAGCTATGACAACGTCTCAACCGAGGTAGAAACCACAATTAAAGGGAATAAAAAAAAAGACGCAAATTGAACTGCTTTGTTCTTTCATAGCTACATTTCTCATTCAAAATACATCTGGCGGCTGTCGCGTCCAACGGAGCCTCCGATGCCGTGGTAGAGTTATGCCTCGTCTAATGGCTGCGTACAGCGGGAACTCGCGACGCCGCGCGCCATGCAAAACGCCTCCTCTGATGCCATGGCTTAAGCCTCCTTTTTATACTCTGGCCGCAAGCCTCATCCTCCTCTGCAAAACTCATGGAAAGAGGCCCATCCTCGGCCCATCCGGTTTGCTAACGTGGTATCTCCAATTTAATTGACTCTTTTTTATTCGGTGGGTTGGGGGTTGCTGTCCGCGTGTCGCATTTACAGCATGGGCTTGAGGTCCTCAGCCACGGTGAAGGGAGCCTCGGTCTTGGCCTTGATCTCGTCGACGGTGACGCCGTCGGCGATCTCAATCAAAGTCAGGCCGTGAGCGAAGTCGACGTCAAAGACACCCTGTCATCACAAGTTAGTCAAGAGTATATACAAGCAAGATTGTCAGGGCGACTTACGAGCTCGGTGATGATTCGCGAGACACAGGTGCGGCCGGTCAAGGGGAAAGCACACTGCTTCACAATCTTGGGGTTGCCCTTCTTGTCGGTGTGCTCCATGGTCACCACGACCTTGGTCTTGCTGGGGTTGCTGACCAGGTCCATGGCGCCGCCAAAGCCCTTGACCTTCCCGGGAAGCATCCAGTTCGCCAGGTCGCCACTGGCGCTGACCTGCATGGCTCCGAGGATGGTCAGGTCAATGCGGCCGCTGCGGATCATGCCGAAGCTCTCCTCGCTGCCGAAGACGGCGGCGCCGGGCTTGAGGGTGACGGTCTCCTTGCCGGCGTTGATCAGATCGGCGTCCTCATCGCCCTTGCGGGGGTAGGGGCCGAGGCCGAGGATGCCGTTCTCGGACTGCAGCTGGACCTCGACCTCGGGGCCGACGAAGCCGGGAGCCAGCATGGGCATGCCGATGCCCAGGTTGGCGTACATGCCGTTCTTGAACTCCTTGGCGGCGCGGCGGACGATGCGCTCGCGCTTGGCGGCAGTGTCGCCGGTGCCCAGGGCCTTTGCGGCGTCGGCGTCGTTCTCGTCCTTGGCCCAGGTGTACTTCTCAATGTTCTTCTCCTCGGTGGCCTGGATGACACGCTTGACGTAGATGCCGGGCAGGTGGACGGCCTCCGGGGGGATCTCGCCGGGCTCGACAATGTGCTCGGCCTCGACAATGGTCATCTTGGCGTTGCGGCCCATGGCGCCGTTGAAGTTGTGGGCCGAGAGGCGGAACTGGCAGTTGCCCAGCTTGTCGGCCTTGTAGGCCTTGACGAAGGCGTAGTCGCCGGCGATGCTGTGCTCGAGGAGGTAAGACTTGCCGTTGAAGACCTTGACGTCCTTGGGGTACGAGAACTCGGCGGCAGAGCCGTCAGCCTTGTTGCGCAGAGGAAGCTCGCCGGTCTGGACGACGGTGCCATAGGCGGCGGGGGTGTAGAAGGCGGGAACGCCCTTGCCACCAGCGGCGCATCGCTCGGCGAGGGTGCCTTGGGGAGTCAGCTCGAGCTCGACCTCGCCGGTGAGGTACATCTTCTCAAAGGTCTTGTTCTCGCCAATGTACGAGGCAATCATCTTGCTGATCTGCTTGGTCTTGAGCAGCTGTCCGAGGCCGGAGGTGTCGGTGCCGGCGTTGTTGGACACGGCGGTGATGCCGGTGATCTCGGGCTTCTTGACGACCTCGTTGATGAGGGTGTCGGGGACACCGCAGAGGCCGAAGCCACCGCAGAGAAGGGTGCTGTTGGACTTCATGTCCTTGAGGGCCTCGGAAGCCGAGGGGTAGACCTTGTTGATCTCAGCGCGGCGGGAGGTGGCCGAGAAGGACCTGGAGAGGACGGCAGTGGGCTATGAAGCACGGGTCGGCATGTTAACATGGGTGTTCTTGTTTGCGACGGCGCAGAGCAGAGCAGAGCACTGGTACGTGCGAAGTAGGACCTACGTTGGTGCCATTGCGGGCAAAGGCCCGGAGGGTGCGTATCCGGAGAGCGGTGGAAGGCATATTGTGTGTGTATGTGTGAGGGTGAGGATGAGGGTGAGTGTGGGATGGAGGAGAGAGAGAGAGAGAGCAGTTGAGAGTGATTCCAAGCTGCAGTCGTCGCCAGCAAGAGCTACAGTCGGCAAAGGATCAAATGGCCAATCAATAAATTAACCGACGGATCAAGGTAAGAGATCAGTCATGGAACAAAGACAGTTGAACGGGAAGCTTCAAGCCGAGAGAGTAGCCATGATGGCCGCTGTCATGGGCATGGCGGGGGTTTTATTCAGGCCCGGCACAGGCCCGCAAGCTCGGGGGGTTCGGGGGTGGGTCGGGTAGACAAGGATGATGCATTCCGCATTCCGCCCCTCGGAAGAGATATTCGGCATTCGTTCGGTAGACGGTGGGAAAAGGCACGGGGAGAGGCAGAATGCGACAGGTGCATTGGGCGGGTATTACGAAAACTACTTAGTGTGTGGCCTTGACAGCCTCCGCCCCGCCCCTCTTCGGTCTCTGTTCTCCTCCGGTTCTGTCGACGAGGCGGTCCGTGATGTTGGCGGTCCCCGGTCCGGATTGTCTATGTACCCTCCGTCCGCTTCCACCACGGCGGCTTCTACATACTACAGCCATTGCTATTTTACCACTCCCCTGGCCCAGCATGCACTGGCCTGCCAATACTACATTCATCCATCCCCGTTGAGCTCGTCTGCTCCCCGACGGCAGCCGGCAGCCGACAGCGCGGAAAGTGGCGTGGAGGCTCACAAGACTCCAAGAGCCCTGAGAGACTCCCTCTCCTCCCTCTCCCCCACCTCCAGGTCCGGGTCTCTACAGCTCGTCCGGGTTTAGCGGCGGGGGCACAAGTCCGGGGCAGGGGCATTAGTCGTCGTTTTCTCAGTCACGGCCATGATGGCTTAACTGTTAGTGGTCAAGCGGGGGGTTTGCCGTGGCGGATAAGTTGTTTTCCGCCTCGACAGTCCCTGACCCGGCTATTTGTTCGGGAGTTGCCCGTCCGCCTGTTCGCCTGTTCGCCCGTGCAACTCACTGCATAATTGTCCCGAGGAATTGTACCGCTTAGTTAGTCCTGGAAGAACCCATGACTGGCTGCCGATATGATTGGTAAGTTAACGTATTGTGCGGTGCCTTTGCTCAATTAGTATTAGATTAATTGCGTTGCCGATTTCAACCACCGCCAGAGACAGCCATTGGATTGCCATCCCATCCAGAAATCCAAGAGTCAAAATCCACAACGCTTTCAATGCATAGTGAACCACAAGAAACATCCTCGTAACTCCCAACGCTCCGTTTTAAACAATCAGCCCTTCATGACCAGAGAATCAATCCTTTCCCTTGATCCATAATGAATATCCTCTCTCCCGGGTATTCCTTTACCCCCGGCAGTGTTCTATACCGCCCATAGCAGAGCACCCAAACATCAGATGCCAATGTTCTCCGGGTGGTATGACACGAGGCCAAACAGGTTGCCCTCCGGGTCCATAAACTCGCCAATGTCCATCATGCCTCTAATTCCAAACCGAAGCGACCTGACCACCCCAAGGTTGGCCTCGATCCTGTCCGCCGTGTCGCCGATGTCGGGCACCCGGAAATACGTCGCGGCTATTGCCCGTCCCTGCAACGCTCGTGCTTGTGCCTCGTGCTGCGTGGGAGGTGGGTCGTTTCGTTGGAGGAGCGCACCGGTGACGTTGTGGCTGTTGGTTGAGGCATCGGACGTGAAGAAGTTCATCGGCAGCGCATCGTAGGGTGACGACCCGTGCCGCATCAAGGCCTCGTCACTCGAGTCGGGCCTGTTGATATCGCCCAAAAAAGTCCACTCGAAGCACTGAGAGTAAAACCATTGCGCCCTCTGGATGTTGAAGCATGAAATCATGATGAACTCGGAGGGTCCCGTGTTAGACACCCTGACCGATGCTCGTTGGTCACAGGCATTAGTCGCGACCTCATTCGGCCGACTCTCAACTGGAGACCAACTCGTTGGGACAGGCAGTACATCGGATTGCTTTACACTCGGCCGATGCAACGGGGCACTCCAGCCGTAAAGCTCGGTCTCGCTCCCTTTTAACTCGGGCCGAACCAAGCCAGACAAGATGGGCGATGGCGTCCGCTGCTCAAGTTCACTGTTTGTTGGACTCGATCCGTGAATCAGACTCGGTGCTGGCGAAGGCGTCCTCTCGTCAATGGCTGAGGATCGGCCGGAGACTGTGACTTGGCTCGGGAGAGACCACATGCTGATAAAAGGAGATATAGATAAAGTGTTGATTGATAGGTCGTATCGAATGATAATGAATGTTTTGGGTATTAATTAGGAGACCTGACACATCAAAAAGAAAGACAAGTATGAGAGTATGAAATAAAAAGATGGCAAGGACTGCTCGAGAAATGGCTACGGGCTCCCTCGCTACTTAAGGTTGAACATCCTCAATTCACCTACCGGGGCAAGTGAACTGGAAAAGACAGGTTTCAGCAAGAAGACCTCACCCATCTGCGTACCAGAGCCGACTTGGGATAAGTAATGAAGCAAGGAGGCTTGAGACAAGACATGGCGAGACCGAGCTTCACATTCGTCAATCCGAGCTCGAGGGAAACCGGGGCGGAAGTCTGACGTACATATCCATGTCGCAGATCACTTTCATTTCTTGACGGATTTGTGGATAGGCCTCCATTAATCTCCTGGTGACATTCCATCTCAGCTGATGTTCTCTCCCTCCTGTACAAGTATGACGAGCACTTTACATGCTCAGTGAAGATCATCTCGCCATTGTCTTGCTAGAAGCCGTAGCTCCGACTAAGTCACACTAGAAACGAAACCACCAATGCGTTGGAGGTTGGTGTGTCTCGGGCTCTAATGAAATCCTCACTGTGGCTACTAAAGGGCACAGTTGGGTGGATCATGGCGTTCTGCAAGGCGGCAAGTTGCCAAAGTTACGTAGGCAGGGTTCTCAGAGCGTGGATGAACAGGCGAATAAGAGCGTGGAACTAACGCCTGGCCTGGATTCTAGCAATGCAGGGCTTCCCTTTGCCCTGGATCGTCAAGCGTAGGGGAGGGTCCGTAGCGGCGTAGCTGAATAGCGGAATAGCGGAATAGTAGCAGCAATTGAGGTGCGCTGTTGGTGTCCAGGGGCAGGCGGTAGTGGTGGGAGTACGTACCTTTCCCGATAAGCCATCCGTCCATCTTATCGCCCCGCAGCGCTGCCAGGCTCAAGAAAAAAATTACCAGAGGCAAGAAAAGCGATGGTAGCTAATGAACCACGACGACGGCCGCAACCAAAACCGATGAGAATCAGCACCGCACAGCCCTGCGTCTCGCTCGTCATGCAGTCTAATTTCAAGCGCCGGAAGCTCGACCACTCGCGCCCCGGCCTGAGGCACGATGCCCTCATCGACTTTGAGGCGCGCAGCTCGGCCCGCGTTTCAACTGCGAGCACCTTTGTCCTGCAGACCGACGAGCTGCTCAAGGAAGCCAAACTCGACTACGGCAAGGCATTGAAGGGCGTCGACGACCACTTGCACCGCCTCAAGGAGGCCATTGGGTCGGCGGCTGCTCACGACCCTGTGCCCGTGAGTCCGCCGTTAGGTCTTGCGCCGCAACCTCGCATGCTAAACCATCCCCCAGATCACCGAGGCCACGGCCAAGTTTGAGAAGAAGCACCGCATCGTCATTCCTTACCCCGAGCCGAAGCCCGCCAAGGATGCCCCCTACAAGCTGTCATTCGAGAAGCCCGCCCAGTACAATGTCGTGGGCAGCTACGTATCCAAGTCCATGGTCAAGACCCAAGGCCAGTTTGGCGTCGACATGGTCGTCCAGATGCCCAAGTCCATGTTCCAGGACAAGGACTACACCAGCATGCGCTACTTCTACCGACGAGCTTACTACATTGCGTACATTGCCGCCCACCTGAAGAAGGAGCTCGGAGCGTCCATGGATTTGAGCTTTGAGTGTCTCAACGAGAATCCTCTTTTGCCCGTCCTCGTCCTGCGACCTGAGCCCGAGGAGGAGGAAGAGGAGGAAGAGCCCGAAAAGACACCCAAGAGCAAGGCGAGCAAGAAGAAGAAGAAGAAGTCTTCCACACCTTCATACGTCATTCGACTTATTCCATGTGCGCCTGAGGGACTCTTCCCCAAGAACAAACTGCTGCCGACCTCGAACAGCAACCGAAGCGGAGAGACCGACGACAAGAAGGCGGCGCAATCCGGGACTCCGTTTTACAACTCTACTCTCAAGGCTGAGGAGACCTTCATCTCCTATCTTAAACTCCTAACCCACACCAAGACCGAATGCCCAGCCTTCTCTGATGCCTGTGCCCTCGGCAGGATCTGGCTCCAGCAGAGGGGCTTCAGTAGCTCTGTGTCCAAGGGCGGATTCGGTCATTTTGAATGGGCTGTCATGATTGCCCTCTTGCTTCAGATGGGTGGCCGGAATGGCCAAGCAGCGCTCTCAACTGCCCTCAGCAGCACTGAGCTGTTCAAGGCTGCTGTGCAGTTTCTCTCGACCACCGACTTCAACAAGAAGCCCTTCGTCTTTGCTTCCTCGAAAACAAATGTCGACTCCGTTCGAGAATCTGGGCCCGTCATGTTTGACCCGATCCGAGAGCTCAACATTCTGTCTAAGATGAGCCCGTGGTCAGCGAGTCTCTTGCAAACACATGCCAAATCGACGACCGACCTCCTAGCCGACGAGGCTGCCGAAAAGTTTGAGCCGACTTTCATTATCAAGACCGATGCGCCTCTGCAGACCTTCGACGCCATCTTCGAAATCAAGAGCCCTGATATTTCCAAGTCATCGAAGTCGCCTGACCGCCGCGGACCAGCCTGGGATTTCAGCCTGGAAGCGCACAAGATTCTGAAGAAGGCGTATGGAAACCGGGCACAGCTTGTTCACTTTCAGCAGTCTCCAAAGGCGGGCTGGTCGCTGAGCTCCTCTCCACCTGCTGAGGCCGGCAAGGTCCACTTCTCTGTCGTCTTTGATTCCATGCAAATGTCTCGCCAGATGGAGCATGGTCCCCCTGCAGAAGAGCAAAAGGACGCTGCCAGATTCCGCCAGTTCTGGGGTGACAAGGCCGAGCTTCGTCGATTCAAGGATGGAAGCATCCTCGAATGCGTCGAGTGGTCCAGCAAGGGGCCTGTCGAGATCTGCGAGGAGATTGCCGCCCATGCGCTGAAGCGCCACTTGAAGATTGTCAAGGAGGAGCTGGCGGTCTTGGGCTCTGGCTTGTCCTCAGTCATTAGATTGACTCACTTGGACAAGGAGGCTTTTGATGCGGCAAGACGGTCGTTCCAGACTCTCGAAACCGACATCCGAAACCTGGAAGAACTACCACTGCAGATCAGACAGCTCTCGCCTGTGTCACCGGCTGCTCGGTACGCTTCCATTCAACCTCCGATCTTGGGTTTCCACAACGGCTCCATCCAGCCCATCGACGTCAACCTCTACTTCGAGGCCACCAGCAAATGGCCCGAGAACCTCGTCGCTATCCAGGAGGCCAAAATCGAGTTCCTCCTTGATTTCGATAAGCGTCTCACCGCTGCCAAGGACACCATCACCACGTACCTAGGCCGAGAAAACAAGGACATTGGCATCGAGAACCTAGCGTATCTTGACATCGTCTACGACAACGGCGCGGCGTTCCGGCTTAGGATCCACTGCGACATGGAACAGACTCTTCTGGAGAGACAGATTTCCAACAAGACGTTGGATCATCACGTCCGCGACGAGTCGGAAGCCGTGCTCGCCAGGTCCAACTGGTTCTTCGCCGCCCTGCCCCTCCACTCGCAAACCATCGCGACATTTTGCACAAGGCTACACCCTCTCTCTCAGACGATCCGCCTGGTCAAGCACTGGTTCAACAGCCACAAGCTCTCGAGCCACATTAGCGAGGAGCTCATCGAGATGTTCGTCCTGCACGTCTTCCTCCAGCCTTACCCCTGGAGAGCTCCCACCAGCGTTGCCACCGGCTTCCTGCGCACGCTGTCCTTCCTCTCCCGCTGGGACTGGCGCGACGAGCCCCTGATTGTCGACTCCGCCGAGACCCTCACCAGCGATGACCGCGCCGCCGTTCGTCGAGAGCTCGAGACGTGGCGAAAGCGCGATCCCAACATGAACCACGCCGTCATGTTCGTGGCAACGTCAAACGCCCCCTCAGGCCTCGAGTACACCCGCACCGGTCCCTCCAAGCTCGTCGCCTCACGCATGACACGCCTCGCCAAGGCTGCCTGCAAGCTCCTCAAGGACTCCGACTACACCCTCGACCCGGCCGCGCTCTTCGACACCTCCCTCACCGACTACGACGTCCTCTTCCACCTCTCCCCCAAGGCCCTCCGCAGCATCCTCCGCGACGCCGCCACCGACCCGGCTGCGCGCCGCGTCTCCCACTTCAAGAACCTCGACGACCGTACCGGCCGCGCTCCCCTACCCGTCCGCGCACACCCGATTGATGTTCTCGCACAGGAGCTGCAGCGCGTCTACGACGACACGCTGGTCTTCTTCCGCGGCGGCAACGATGACGATGATGCCGTCATCGGCGCCATTTGGAACCCTAAGCTGCAACAGCAGAAGTTCCGCGCTGGCTTGCCGTACAACTTCAAGAAGGTAGATGGGGAAGAGGACGATGTGGTCGAGGTGAATCGACCAGCCGTATTGTTGGAGATTGCGAGGATTTGCGGCGAGCTGATCAAGAAGATCGAAGAGGTGGAATAGACTACCCAGCAAGGGATAATGTCGTTGAATATATACCCGCAAAGTATTAAAAGCACGGATAGATAAAAGCAGTTACGGTACCATAGTGTCAATGAACACATATCTTTCACTTATTCAACCTAGTTTGTCCCTACTTAACGCCGTGCCATGGTATAGATGCATTATATACGAGTTCTTCCACTTCATTGCTGGACATCCTTTACAATCCCTAATAATCCATCCCATCTAGCCCAAGTTTTCCTTCATCTTCTTTATACTCTCACCGGCCATCCCGCTTCTCTACTTGCTGTGTCGAGAAGGAACAGAACTTATCCTTGATGGCGACAACCTCATACGTGCCCTCCTGGCTCGCCTTGACGACCTTGCTGTGCTCGTACGAGACATCATGGCGGGTCTCGAGAACGACGCTCCTCTGACCCTTCTTCTCGTTGGTGCTGCGGGTGTAAGTGAACTCGAAAGGCGGCGTGCCCCAGAATTCGAAGAGGATGTCCACCTCGTTGCCCTCGTGGATGTCGACGCGCGACTGCTTGCCACGGCTGATCTGGACGCTAGGCAGCGGGTGGATCGTCTTGGGGAGGTTGACGGCGGCGCGGCATTCGGACGCCTTGTCCGAGACACTGGTGATGATGAAGTCACCAGGCTTCTCGGCAATGCGGCGGAAGTTAGTTGTGGGCGACTTGGCGTTCCACTTGCCGTTGAAGTTGTACGAGATGTCGAAGGGCGGTGTTCCGGAGAGGGTGTAGGCGATGCGCTCGCCCACGCAAAAGTCCTGGCGGGATTCCAGGGGATAGATGGATGGGGCATCGTAGAGTTGGATCTGGACAGATGGGCCGTTGATCTCGAACTTCTGCTGGCAGCCACGCGCGTCACGGACGGTGCGGATGCGGACCTGCTGGCTGCCGAGGCGGAGGTGCTGTCGAGGAATTCTCATACCGTACGACTTCGAGTCGATTGAGGGGATGCTATAGGTCTCGGCGGGAGAACCAGCCTGGTGCTTGATCTCGACTTCGACATAGAAGGGTGCCACTCCGGTAAGGGTGATGGGGATCTTGTCTTCGTTCTCTTGTTCCTCCATACAGAACTTGAACGACTGTCCTGGCTTGGTGAATCCAGCTGACGGCTTCGCATTGACGCGTTGCGTGATGATCAGAGGCCTCAGGTTCTTGTCTTTGTTGTTGTAGAGATTATCTGCAAGAGGAGAGAACTTGTAAGTGTAGTCACCAGCCTTGGTAGTGTCCATGGAGATGGCCGCCTTGGATAGAGCAGCGTCAAAAGCCCTGCGGTTGATAGCATTGGAACCGTGGAAGGGCTTGTGGTTGATATCATACTCCACGCGGTAAGGAGGAGAACCTGTGATACGTCAGTAAGACCTTTTACCATTGGGATAAGGGTTAACTCACCCTTGAGATTGACCTCAACCCCGTCAACGTCGCCTTCACAGACTTGCTGCTTGATAAACTTGTCGTTCTCGAAAGTGATGCTGCTCATCGGGACCAGAGAAATTTCTGGGCGTGGGAACCAATCGACTCGGAACTTAGATGCGACTTGATCAATAATTCCGGGGCACTGGTTGTCCCTCACATCAAGAATCTCCCAGTCGCCACGAGACTTGACGCGGATTTTATCGTTGGCGCTTCTGGCAATCTTTGTCATCGTCTCGCCACTGCCATTGATGTTTCGATAAGTGATGGTCCACGGTGATTCTCCTTGGAGACGAAGAGGCAGGTCCAGCGGTGTATGTTCGACAGCCATGATGCTCTGCTTGTGCTCGACAAGACCGAACGCAGCACGGGGCTGCTGTCGTCGGACAGCAATCTTGACCTCGTCCTCCAGGAATGCGCGGCATCCTCGCTTGTCCTGGATGCTCTTCAGAGCTAGTATGTACTCGCCTCCCTTGCCAAGTGTGCCGGTCTTGATCTTAAACTGGTTGTCCTCGATACCATTGACATGCTCTGACTTTCGCTTGCCTTCATGCACGACTTCCCACTCAAGGTTGAATGGGGCATCGCCATAGAGAATGACGTTCAATTCCACCTCGGAATCCAGACAGGCACCGATGGTCTTGGTCGGAGAAACGATAGATGCCGATGCGGCAGGCTTGACGATCTGCTCTAGCACCTTGTCTTCGCCTGTGAGAGGTAGACCAGTGTAGATAGCATCGTCAATAGACTTAAAGACATACTTGTAGTGACCAGCAACCGTAGGCACCAGGTCCAATTGAGATCGGAGACCAGGGACCTTGTGCGTCTTCCTTTCCACAAGGTCCTCCGAGATGACGTTGTAATGGACAACGAATGGGGGCGATCCAACGAGGTCCAAGTCAACACGCAGACCAACGGAGTTGCCAGCACACTTATCAGGAATGTCATCTGACCGGACAGAGAGGTGAGGCTCAAGTGGGTTCAGGAGGAGACAAGAAGATGGCTCATTAACCTCTCCCCGGCAAGAGTCGCTAGACACTGACTTCAATGTATAGAGACCAGGCTCAGAAACTGATGGCCTGTCGTCCGAGCTTTTGGCAGAAAACTTAGCAACGGAGACCTTGTCGCCATGATCTCCGCTGTTAGTAAGAGAATCGATGGGCGAAAACTCCCATGTGATGTCGTGGGAGGTATCAATGGCAAAACGAACAGGAAGCCTAGCGGAACGACCCTTGGCGACCTTAAGCGGGTTTCGAAGGTCACAGCCATGCATACGGATCTTGGGTCGCTCCTTGACAGTGAATTTGTGAGTCAAGCCTTTGGGTCTAGGCTTGTCAAGATCATCCTCGGATGGAGCATACTCGACAACATTTCCAAACGCATCGTGGACTTTATCGATAGAGTACTGCCAAACTCCCGACGAGGTCATCGATTCGTTTAGGCCAACGGTAACCTTTGCTGGTCGGACCCACGAAATATCATTTTCATCTTCCATGATGAGGTTTGAAGAAGCGCCTAGGAGAGGCGATGAGAAGCCATCGGGCTGGAGACTCTGGAAGTGGAAGCTGTGGTCCTTGTCGTTGATGGTACGGCTGTATTCGATTTTCAGGGGCGGTGTTCCCACCACCTCGAGGGATAGATCCGAGAGGTCGTGAATGCATCGCCGCGGGTCAGGAGTCGCCTTAATCCTAGCCTCGGGACAAGGAACAACATAGGTGTCCTTGGTGGTTCGCTGGACCTCGAGTTTGTACTCATCCAAAACCTTTCCTAGCCTGTAGACACCCGGCTTCTTAACTGAGTATTCCCACTGAAAGCCAGCTGTGGGTTGATCGGACGTATGGTCCCGGATTTGCTTCGCAACCTTGTTCACTTCCCGGTTGGGGACCTTGATTGTCTCTTCCTTGTTCGTTTCGAGGTCGATTCGAATGAGTTCAATCTCGGCGGGGATGCTGGCGTTGAAGTAGATGGGCAGAGAGATGCCGGTCTTGCTCTTTCCGCTCAAGCAGAAGGGGTGATGTTCGGGGTTGAGAATAGCGGAGCCCTCGGGAAGAATGTTGATGATTTGCTTTCCCATGATGAGAGAATGGTTGTTGAGAATGTTGGACACCTTGACGTTGTGCTCCGAGACGGAAAGTTCACGATCGTACAGGACCTTGGCGAAGCCGAGGATCCATGATTGCCATGGGATCTAGCACTGCAAGTTAGCTTGTGTTGATAAGGGGGTATTGGTTCGTCTACATACGGGGATATTAAACATCAACATGTAGTTGATGACGAGGTGGACGGAGAAGAAGGTGGTGACAACGGGCTGTGATAGCTCAAGCCATGGTATCCTCAATTCGGGAATGCCAAAGAGGAAGGCAAAGTCAATGAAGATCCACTTCAAGAACAGCCACCATGACGTCTCTCCATCCTCAATCACCTGGAGCCAGTCGTAGAGCTTCCATGCCCAGAGCAAGACGTAGATGCCAAAGGCGTACAGGCGCTGCTGGGGAGCATCCAGGACGGTCAAAGGGATGACGGGTTGGTTGGCGGGATTCTGCGAGGGAGTATTCTCGGGAGCCAGGGGCAGGGTCGGTGACCTGGCACCAGAGCTCTTAGCAGAAGAGGTTGAGCCGACTGAGGAGGGGGTCTGTTGTTGTTGGTTGTATCGTCGAGTAGCGGTAGCTGGGGTTGCTGGAAACCCAGACCGCATGCGGGGAGTTGAGCTCATCGCATTCGCATTCCGTAGATATCGGGGCGCCTAGGAGAGAAGCAGGACGGTGGACGATCGCGGCCGGCCAAGGGAGCAAGCGTGGGCGGCGATGTCGTGATGTGGTGGTGTCGAAGCAACAATGGTGGTTTGCACCGTGAGCAAAGACAGAAATTCCTTGGACAAAAGCCGTCACGTCAGAACGCGACTTGTGCAAGCCCGAAGAAACAGGCTGCTACGCTGGCGCTGTGCACTGGGAAATGCGCTAGAGCTACCCCCAGCTTCAGCGCCCAATGGGCGGTTTCAGGGGTGTTGATTGGCTGCAGAGCTCCTTTGTGCGCTAGCACGGCATGGAATTTCACCACTGAAGACGTTGAGTTCGAGGGCTTGGCGCACAGAGGCCGCCGGTGATTGGTCGAAAACCAGGGGCAGGGACGTATATTTACAGTGTCCCTCCCTAGGCCAGCTTCATAAGCTATCCTTGCAACATGCAAACATCCATGAGACATCATCTCACTCCCAATTGACTGCAAGCAAAGGCGCCCGGCCCCGATCCGACACATGTTTTCTCTAAGAGGTCCTCTGTATATGAAAAGCTGATGTCTGGCTTGCTTGCTGTTTCTCTTCTAGGCAGACGAGTGCCACCGACACGCAGTTACTGCCAACACCCGGCCTGAGCCCGCGGAACAGACGGCCGCATCAACAACAACAAACTCCCGGCCCCAGCTTCCACTGTTGGGCGAGAGCCGCGGCACGTAATCATTAGATATCAAGCTCTCATGTAGCAAGTCTTGAGTTCCCTGTCAGTGATCTCCGCTTCTGTTTCTGTCTCGTCTTCGCCTCCCACGCATTCAGACCCTCCGCCGCCGGGACGTTTGTCAAGGCCATAACTTCCAGGTTGTCAGGCAAAGGCAAAGGGTTGAATGCCTGGGGCAGCAGGCAACTTGGCAGCCTTTCTGCACGCGCTCAACGCCATTCCTCCTCAACTCTTTGTTTCAAAGCTGAATTCGGCCTTTTTTTTCTTTCCTGCACAAGCACAAGCACAATCGCAATGCGCACATCTCACCCGTCCAACCCAACACCCCTCCTTTCACCTCTCACACCTTTCACACCTCTCACGTGTTGATTCTCCCATACTGCGAGTTCCCAAACACCCATTTCTCATCTTCCGCCACTCAAATTCCAATGCTCGCTCTTCAGGATGCATTCATCAACCATCGTCATAACAGGTACCATCGCCATGCACCATGACACAGAAGCTGATCCGCCGCCGCAGCTCATCGAGACTCAAGCAGCACAGCTTCCTCCCCGCAGATCATCTCGCCTAGCCAGCCGCCTTGCGGGCAGCCCACAACAGGCTGTGGACGTGTCGGCCACTATGAGTGAGCCGAGTCGTAACCCCAAGCGCAAAGCTAGCGAGGCGGCAAACCACGTTACTGCGCCCCCCGACAAGTTACTCGACGAGGCACTGGCGCCACTCACTTCCAAGGACGTCCAAGAATGGGAGGGTTGGATCGAGCTGGAGTCAGAACCAGTCAGGAAACCCATTATGTCTGTGCTGTGCGGACTGTGTCTAACGAGCTCAGGCATTCTTCAATATTATACTACGAGATCTAGGCGTCAAGCACGTCAAAGCTCAGGAGATCTTCACCATCGACCAGGATTCTCTTGACATCCTACCGTGAGACTCCTCGATCAACCAAATGGCTTCCACTCACATCCCTCCAGGAAACCTGTGCTCGGCTTAATATTTCTCTTTCAATATGTCCCAGGCCATGATGATGTGGATCAGGACGAAGACACAAGCGACGTATGGTTCGCCAACCAGGTAGGCGCCTTCACCAGCAGCAGGCCATTTCTCATACTTCCCAGACCACCGACAATGCGTGCGCCACCATCGCATTGCTCAACATCATCATGAATGCCGATGGGATAGACCTAGGCCAAAATCTCCGCGACTTCAAAGAATCTACGAAACACCTCAGCACCCCCCTCCGTGGCCACCAACTCAGCCGAAACACCTTTATCCGCACCATCCACAACTCCTTTACCCGCCGTATGGATCATCTCAACGCCGACTTGTGCTTGGAGAACGAGGCATCGGAAGCGAGTTCCAAGAAGGTCAAGAAGCGCGCTGCGCCAAAAAAGGGGAGGAAGACAACCAGGAAGAAGAAAGTCAAACCTGAATATGGGTTCCACTTTATCGCATATGTTCCTGCGGGAGGTTATGTTTGGGAACTGGATGGGCTGAAGAGCAAGCCTCACAGACTAGGTAAGCATCCATTGTTCACGAGTTGACATGTAAAGTTGCTCACCATCCTTCCAGATGCAGTATCCTCAGGTGACTGGACGAGCATTGCCCGGCCCCAGATCGAAGGCCGCATGCTGCAGTATGAAGAAAGTCAATTGTCCTTCAATCTCCTCGCGCTATGCCAAAGCCCACTCGCCGCCCACTCCCAAGCAATTGCTCGCGCCGTCGCATCTCTCCGTCATCTTCACGCTCAATTGCAGGCGTGTTCCGCATTTACAGAACTCGTCGCGGCCGAACCTAGTCCGCTCGACATCGATGACGAGTCGCGACTTTCCGAATTTAACCTCAGCAAGCTGGCCATCATCGAAGCAGAAGTCCCAGAGGGCATACGAGAGAAGTGCGCGCGGACTGATTTAGAGACAAGCGATGCATACGCGCTGCATCAAGAGCTCGTTATTGAAGTAAAGGCTGCCATGGGCGAGTATCGCGCCGAGTTAGTGGCCATTGCCGATGATGAGCAGCGTGTCAAGGGCCGGAAGAAGGATTATGGTCCTGCTCTACACAAGTGGGTGAAGAAACTCGCTGAAAAGGGGGTCTTGGAAGATGCGATAAAAAGTGCCGCATAAGAGCATAGGGTATGGGATAGAAGGTCCTTCAATTTGCTTCTGCTCTGTAGGTTTTCAGCCATGGAAGCCGGCGGGTTTACTAGTCTGAACAGCGGGCTCAAGGCAGGGCATCATGTGGTAGAAAACGTCATCGGTCACTTTCACGAGAGGAAAAAATTCAAAAGATCGATTCATGAATATCTATCGCTCTTAGAAACCGTGTTGCTGGTCATTTGATGGCGTATTCCACGACGGTCATACGCCTCTCAAAACTAAAATCTCGTAAGTCGTCTCTAACGCCGGTCGTGTCCCCTATTTCTAAAACGAGCTTCATTTTCATTCTGCGTCGAGAAAGGCACGTCTGGCCAAATAAAAAGGAAATTAAATGAAAAGTAGAGAAGAGCAAAAGCAAATCAGTGCTCTAATCATCTGGGTACTGCTCCTTGATATTTGACACAAAACTACAAGTAGCCCTGTCGAATCTCTTAAAGAACTTCCCAGCCAATGGAAGTATACTTTCTGGGATCTCATCCGCATTTTGTATCAGCACAATGTTGTCCTCGGCAACTACATGTCGCTCGGGTCCCGTTGTGCGTCTAAACCGGTGTTAGTGGTGCGGATATTCCAGGCTAGCTAGAGTGACTTACAGGCAGGTGTAGAAGGTCTGGTTCCGAGGACGCACCAGGCTGGGCAGCTCAGTGTCACTGCTATCATCCAGCGTCTCGTCGATGGCCACCGTATGCGGCATGGGAAGCCGGCGTGTCCCCTGGTCTGTCCAACCGTTGATGACTCCGATCCATCGATATCTTCTGTGCTGAAAGACTTGGCCAATCTTGTACGGCACTGGCTGCATACCCTCCCGGTCTCTTCGAAAAACAGGAGGCGTTAGGCCGTCTAGTTCTCGCACAAGACCCAGGATCTCCCGAGGGTCGTCCCATCCCTGAGGACCATTGCGGGCGAATCTATCTCGGAGGGGCGTAAACTGGTCGTATAGGGGGATAAGATATTTCTCGACCAGCCACGCATCTTCGTGCCAACTTTTGGCAAATCGGCGGAGGAATGGCTCTAGACTCTCGTCCCATGCGAAGACATTGACAGGCGTCATCAGGAGAGCCGCCCACAAGGCAGAGTAGAGGGCGGCATCCATGTTCATGGAACCGTTTCCGCTCATGAGCTGTGTGAGCTCGGGGTCATTCAAGTCTCGGGACTCAGCTGCTCTTGCGGAGGTGGCTCTAATGTTACGTGCAGTCCTCATCGCAACAGAGATGGGGGGCACCGGAGCCAAGAAAGCATCAGTGCTAGCTTGCCAGCCGAATTGAGACAGCATGGCTTGCAGAGTAGCCATTGGTATCTCGTCATCAGAACCATAAGGATCTAGGTACATCATTTCTCGGGGCGCTCCCTCTCGAGTCAATGAGATGCCATCCAATGTCTTGCCATGCTCCGCGAAGACAATAGTGTGGACATGGGTGGGAAATGAGCAACACTGAGCCCGCAATCCTAATCTTTCGGCGATGCAGCAGAATATGGCACTGGATATAATGGGGATAGAGTCATGGTCCTCGTGACGTAGAGCCTGACCGATTAAACAGTTCCGAAGGTTTCGGTAACTTCGCTCGGGATTCCGAAGACCCGTCAGGCTGTTGGTGCGAAGCCACCGATTGAGTGCCAGTGCCTTCTGGCGTGTTGTCATCTCATTCACGCCTGGCCTACTGTTCTGGAACTCCGAAGCCCTCTCATCCAGCAGGCGAGCAATCTAGGCGGGGTTAGCAGCACCAAGGAGTTACAAGTTGACGGGCAACCTACATCATCCAAATCACCAGGCTGATCGTGGAGCACAAACAAATCAAAGGCCCCTAGTACCCGCTCGAGACTAGTGTTTGAAGGAGGTCCGCCAGGCATGATGTTTATGGGCTGGATCCGATGCCACTCCTCAAGAGCGAGGCTTCGGTGAATACTGTCCAGAATCGCATTACCATAATAGCTGAAGCACGAATATTAGCTACGGGTGGCAAATTGAAGCGATCAAGCAATTACCGTCTCGCCAAAACATCTTCCGCGGATTCCTCAGCGTGACACTGGTCCAAGAGAAAGTCCTTGGCATCATACCCCAGGCGACAGATCTGTTCAAACTTCATTAAGCGGCCGACTTTGGTCGCAAGAATCTCATCCAAAAGATGAGATATCTGGACATTGCGAGTATGGCGCAGAATGAACAGGCACTTCCAGTGGGCCTCCGAGGCCCTCTGATTCAGCCTACGTTGGAATCCATGCTCGGGGTTCCAGAATCTGAAGCTGCTCCTGCAGTGGTATTTCCAGAGCAGGGGCTCGTTGGCAAGGCGGTTCAAACGGTGGGACAGGAGTTGGAAACTAGCGAGATTGTCTTCGGGGGAGACATAGTAAAGCAGATGCTGGATTATTTCGTATGGGACTTGATCCAGCAACATGGTGGCGTTTCAACCCGATGTCGGGTGAGAGGAAATGCGGTAATCGCGAGCGATCGCGGAGGTTGGGACTCTCTCTTGTAAGAAACAGCCCCTCGGGGGTAGACGGTGAGGATCAGGGATATTTAAATCGCCGAAAATCGACTGTCGATCAACCGAACAAATATGTCATCGCCCTCCTTGGCCTCGCCTTCTCATCTCGATTCAAGGAATGCTTCATCGACTTGTTGTGCGATGGCATTTAATTGTTATTCAAGCGATTAGCGGGGTGACGCAATAAAGGGGGTCTGCTGACTCAGCCCCACCCGCCATGATTGGACAGCAAAAATAATCGGCAATTGGCTCAAAATTGTTGCGTCTATGCCGGAAGAGGATAGAAAGTAAACAAGACGCGCCTGGGGCATCGACTTACACTCCACGCGCTTCAATTCACCTCGACGGACCCTCGTATCTCCGCCTTATCATTCAACGATTCTTACAACAAACAATTCCACACGACCTCTCGAAACAACCGCGGCGACGCCTTACCACCACCGTGCCTCTGCCTCTGTAACATGCAGCGCCTGCTCAAGACACGCGATTTCTAGAGTTACCCGTCTCTAACGCCCGCCATCATGGTCCAGCCCGACTTTGGCGGCGCGCTCGACACCCCGCGCACCAACATTGGGGATGCAACCTACCTCAGCCGAGCGCCCGACTTCGACATCTCCCAAGAAGCCTCGTTCCAGTCACCTGTGAAAGAGGGGAACTTCATTCAGCAGCTTCGCAATGGCGGCCGCTCCAACGGCGGCATACGCACCCCGCGTCAGAGAGGACCGCTCGCCGACCGCCGAAATCTTCCTCCCAGCGTCGGAGGCGCCGAGTTCACGCCTCTACTCAAGTCGGCCACAAGGAACAGCGTGCGGCGCTTTGGGAAGGAGAATGGCACCGCCGTGCCCAACACGCCTGCACTGGACAAGATTGACGAAAGCGACCTGACCCCGGTACCGCGAATGGACACGTCAATGTACACTGGGTCGCGCAACCAGTCATACCTCGATAACACGCTGCCGCAGGTCGACGATAGTAGCGCTGCTTCGACCCCAATGGCGCTTCCGTCGCGAAGGGGAGGAGACAAAGGGCCTCTTCAGGACGGAAACCAACTTTCACTGCGAGAACAAGAAAACGTGATCGATAGGATCGAGAAGGAGAATTTCGGCCTGAAGCTCAAGATTCACTTCCTCGAGGAGGCCCTCCGAAAAGCTGGGCCCGGCTTTAGCGAAGCCGCCCTCAAGGAGAATACCGAGCTCAAGGTGGACAAGGTCACAATGCAAAGAGAGCTCCATCGCTACAAAAAACACCTCACGACAGCCGAAAAGGACCTCGAGAGCTACCGCCAGTCAATGCTCGAGCTTCAAGAAAAGGCAAAACGAAAATACGCCAACGAGAACCAGCGCGCTGAGATGGACAAGCTACAACAGTTGTTGAAGGATCGAGAAGCAGACATTGAGGACCTCCAGCGCCAACTCAACCAAGGACAAAAGGACAACGACCAGGTCGAGAAACTCCGGGACGACATCGAAGACATGGAGGCCGATCTTCGCGACAAAGATCGAATGCTTACCGAACGCGAGGACGAACTAGAGGATCTCAAGGACAAGCTTGAAGAAGCGGAGGACAAGGCCAAGGATGCTCAGCGAAAGATGATTCAGCTTGAGGAGAAGGCCCAAAAAAACGACGGGCTACAAGAAGCCAAGGACACAATTGAAGATCTCGAGCACAACATCCGGCGCTTGGAGGAGGAGGTTGAAGAAGCGAAGACCAAGTTGGAGGATGCTGAGGCCAGGAGGGAGGATGCCGAGGCCGAGATGAAGGATGCTGTGGCCCAGAAGGACCGAGCTGAGAATGATCTCGAAGAGCTACAGGATGAGATGTCTAATAAGTCTGTGGTCACCAAGGGCCTTTCTCGACAAATTGAAGAGAAGGTGCTTCGGCTGCAAGAAGAACTGGACAAGTCTGGCCAGGAATACGCCATCTTGGAGAAGGAGCTTTCCGTGGTCAACCATGAGAATGAGGGTCTCCAAACCACAGTCAAGGATCTGCAAAGGAACCAAGAAAGCTTCGACCGAGAGCGACGTGCTATCGCTTCTCGGGTTGAGGAGCTGGAGGCCGATTTACTAGCCCGAGCAGACGACAAGAACACGCTTCAATCACGACACGATTCCATGGCCAGCCAAACGGCCTCTCTCCAGAAGGAGGTCACGACATTAGAGAGGGAAGTCGAGGATCTCGAACAGAGTCTTGCTGAGGAAAGGGAGCATGCTCTGGGGATTGAAAAAGACCTCCGTGGCCAGTACCAGGGCGAGATTAACCGACTGAACGATGAAGTATCCGACCTTCAAGCGGAGATCCGTGAAAAAGACAACCTCTACGACAACGACAGCGAGAAATGGGAGACTGAAAAGCAAAATCTCGAATCTGAGCGGGACCACGCCGAGGAAAAGGCCTCGGGTCTGCAAAGGACGATTGACCGACTACGAGAAGCCGAAGGGACCCTCTCTGACAAGGAGTCAAGGCTGCAAGCAGCGATTCAGAGCGAGGCGGAGAGGCATAAGGGTGAGGAAGGCATCTTGACGCGACAGATTGAAGATCTCCAAGATGCGCTTGAAACCCGGCAGACGCTGCTGACAAACCTGCGCAATGAGCTATCGACTGTCCGGGACGAGCTACGACAAACACAAGTCGACTACCAATCCCAACTCAACAGGGTCGCCGCATTAGAGGATGAGGTGGACGTGTTGCAAAACACGTTGCATCAGGAACAAGGCTCTGGTCGCCGGGATGTGGATGCTGGGCGCAGAGAACTTGAGACCCAGCGCCGGCAGCTCGACGCTGCGAAACGCGAGTGTGACGATCTCAAGGAGCAGCTCAAGACGATACGACAGAAGGCTGACTTGGCCCAAGTCGCCAGCACTGCTTCTGAACAGACTGCGCAGCAATCTACGGAATCAGTAACGCGTCTTAAGTGGCAACTCTCGGACACGAATGCTCAGCTAGAGAAAATCACCAAGGAGAAGCAGTCGCTCCAGGATCAGCTGGCCAAGAACACTCTCGACTTCCACTCCGTCTCATCTTCGCTAGCTGAGGCAAAGGCGGAACGAGATGAGCTCGAAGCCGAGCTCCGCCGGGCCCAGCTCTACGATAACGAGACTATCCGCGTTGATCAGGAGCGACTCGACCTGCGCACGGCCAAGCTCAAACTCGACAACGAAGTGCGCCGCCTGAAAGACGAGAACAGGGCCCTGGCTGAGCAGCGTGAGTCTATCGAGAAGACTCTGGAGGATGAGATTGAGAAAGCGGCGGAGGAGGAAGAGCGGCTCGGACAGGAGGTTCTCCAGCTTCAGTCCAAGCTGAGGCAGTCATCGACTAGCGAGACGCACGACTTGGCCACCGCCCGACGAACCATCCGCGACCTCGAGCGCCGGGTTGAGGACTTTGAAAACCAACTCAATACCCGCCAGCTGCAGATGCCAGGCAACATCGAGGGCAACAGCGAGTTGTCTCTGATCCGCAAGGACCTTACAGCGGCACGACAGAAGGAGCTCGACTTCCTGCAGCGGGAGTCGGCCAACAGAGACATGGTCAAGGGTCTCAAGCGACAGGTTGCCGACCTGGAGCGCCAGGTTCACGAGACCGAGGTGTCTCGGCTGATAGTCTCTCCCAGGTCTTCGGCCAGCGACTCAGGCCGCAAGTCGGAGGTTTCGGAGCTTCGACACCAGCTCTCAACTGCGCAGCAGTCCATCCACGAGCTGCGCTCAAAGAACCGGGAAACTGAGCGCAAGGTCTTGCAAGCCTCGCAAGACTTCCAACGACAACTCGACGATCTCGAGGACCAAAAGATTGTTCTCGAGGAGGTCCTCGACGAAGCGCGCCAGCAGGCCGAGGAGACGGCGGCGCAGCACGAGCGCCTCATCCAACGCATGAAGCACAAGCTCGACAAGGCAGAGCGCGAGCGCAACACGGCGGCAGCCCAGCAAACAGACTCAAGCAAGCAAGATCGACAGCTACGCAAGAGCCGCGCCGAGATGGAGAACCTCGAGCACGACGTCCGCCAGCAACAGGAGCTCATCGACTCGCTCGCCGCCTCAGAAGCCTCGCTCCGACGCAAGCTCGAGCGCGCACGTAGTGAGCGCGCCGCTTTCCGCCTCAGCGCCGAGAAGCTCCAGAAGGATCTCGAGCGAGCCCGCGCCGCAGCCGCCAAGGCCGCCGCCTTGAACAAAGAAGCCCGATCAGAATCGCCTGCGCAGCGCCAGGCCATGGCCCGGCTCGACACAGCGGACCAGGCGCTCGAGACGGTCATCCGCGCGGCCGAGGGCGCCGAGGAGCGTCATAAGAAGGAGCTCCGCGGCATGGTGATGCAGATGGAATGGATGCAGGCGAGGTGGAAGCGCGAGGCATCGCTCCGCGCCGACGCCGCGTACGCCAAGAAGTTCATCCAGCTGCAGCTCGACATCGCCAACGCCTGGTACGTTTCCCTTCTTCCCTCCTTTAACAGTCCGTCACTAACCTCCTTCGCAGCAACAAGGCACAGCTCCGCGAGCTCGACGACATCCGCACCAACCTCCTCGGCAACCGCAAGCCCCTTTCCCTCCCGGCTTCCGGCAGCAACAAAAACGGCTCTGCCGAGACCGCCGGCCGTCCTTCCCTCAAGACATTCCTTGTCATGGCTCGCTTCATCGCCCGCATGCGCATCTCGGCGCGCGACTGGGCCAAGCAGGAAACGGTCCGCCAGCGTCTCGTCGTCGCAACCGAGGAGCAGCGCAAGACCAAGCGTTCGCGCCAGCTCAAGGTTGTGCGGGTCGAGGCATAAGGCTTCTCCGGGTCGACGGCTGGTCCCTCGTCAGGGGACAAACGTATATGGGGTTCTTGCGCAGAGAGTGGTTTGTGGGTTGCATGGATGCATGACTGGTCCTGGGGAAATCGGCCAGTTCACGGTTTTGTCATCTCGGGAGTTTGTAAATCTCTGTTGGAACGGTTTATGCAAAGCAGGCCATGATGAAATTCGATTGGGTACTGGTTCAGGACAAGGCGGGCATGGATATTGGGGCGTTGGGTTCAATGAGACAAAGCAAAGCATGCATGCAAGCAAGGAGAGAGCGCATCACGAAACCTGTATGGCATATTGGATTGTGATTGTTTTTTTCTTCTTTTCTATTTTATGGAGCAAACAACCAAGCTGATTTTTACCCACGCTGAACGAACAACCGGTCCAATTCGATGATGATGATGGTGATGAGCATATAATGACCCGCAAAGACTGAAGACAACCAACCCAACGAGAGACCCTGGTGCGTCACCCCCGCAAAACCAGCAAAACAATGCAAAAATCCCAACCGGCAAATAACCTCCCGTCGTAGCACCCTGACACTAAGCCGGGTATTTAATCTTCCCCACCTCGCTTATCCCAAGCTCAAAGCTCAGTGTCCTGGATTCAAGTCACTGACATCACACAGGGACAACCGCCAAGGGGGCGCGCTCGAGATATTTAAGTTTCCATATACAAGGCAGACGCCCTCAGGTATATATATTACATGACGAACAGGACGTTCGTGTCTGTCAACAAAGGTTAGTTTCAAACGTCACAGTGGGAAGAGAGACAAGCGGGACTCACCAAGAGGGTGACTGCAGGAGAGCTGCGGCTTCTGCGTGTAGCGAGTTGCGAGTTCGTCACGAATACTATTGAGGAGCTGGACATAGCTCTGCTGGGGGTTCTTCTTGAGGGCACTGACGAAGGCCCAGGACATGGCACCGGTAGCCTGCGAGGCGATAGTGGCATCGGCACTATAGAGATGGTTAGCTGTTGTTGCTTCGGTTGCTGTCTAGCCGAGAATAAACATAAACAAGAACTGGGGGTAGGACGAGCGAATTGATATCCCTTGCATGGCAAGGTGATCCAACGCAGCTCGTCGCCTCAGACCGCAAAATACAGCCGTAGTATGGGCTGTATATTGCATCTGAGGCGTTTTTTGCCAAAAAAGGCGTCATTATTCTAAGTACAGAAATCTTTAGGCCACTCCAGCGGGTTCAGATCCCGGACCTTTTTCATGTATCAATCCCGAACACCCTGCGCCATCGCTCGCAAAGAAACTTGAGTTTCATGTCATGGCATCATGACCATTAAGCCAGCAGGTAAACTCAAAAAGAAATTGCCAAAAACAACACAAGCCACACCAAAACGAGACATGCAAAATTAGGACAGGGGGGGCTGCAAAAAAGAAGAAAATCAAGGCCGGAAAATCAAGGCCGGAAAATCAAGACAGGGAGATCAAAGGGCCGTAACAGAAATTTAGAGGAAATGGGGGCACCCACGAAGTTTGGTCATCCTTGCTGCCAGACCACATGACAACATCGGCAGGAGAGGTCTTGGTGGCAATAGTACGGTCGCGAGCATCGTCACCGTTAGCCGCCTTCTTGATGAAACCGAGGATGTTGTTCGCAACACCGCCGAGGTCACCCTGGCTGTACGAGGATATGACGCCCAGCAGACCCTGGCCAGCCTCCTTGGCCAGGTTGGGCTCCTTGAGGATACCCTGGGTAGAGTAGATGTAGGGCAGGTCGAGGGCGGTACCAGAGTGGCAGGAGTCGAAGATGGCAGTAAGTCGAACGCCGGCCTGCAGGGGGCGGACCATGATGCGGTGCATCTCGTCGTCGGTGATGTGGCCGGTCTGCCTGAAGTCGACGGGGTAGATGACCTCGTCGTACCCATCGTCCTCGTCGCCGTCGAGGTCCTTGGTCTGTCCACCGTGACCTACGTCTGTTAGCAATTCGATCCTCAAGCTAATTCGGTGTGAAGGTGGTTCAAACCTGAGTAGTGGAAGAACAACGAGTCGTTAGGTCGGGCGTCCTTTACCAGCCAGTGCATGGCTCGCAAGAGGTTCTGCTTGGTGGGCTGGCTCATGGGGTTTTGCTGGTCGTCGGTGAGAATGACCATGTCTTCTCGCTTGTATCCGAAGTGCTCGGCGAGGTAAGCCGTCATGTTGCGAACATCATTGATGCAGCCGCGGAGCTGGCCGCGCTGGCCAAAGTAATTGATTCCGATCAACAATGCTTTTCTCCGGCCGCTGCAATTCGAATATTGGAAGGCATAGCCGTTGGGGGCGCCGTGGCCGAACTGCTGGGGGGCTGAGGGAGGGGCTTGAGGATTGCCGCCTGGAGAAGGTTTAGCTACTGCAGCATTGCGACGGAAAGCGAGCGCCAGCGCCATGGGGGGCTCGTATGATGGGGGGAAACGTACCGCTAGGACGTGTCTGGTAGTTTGGCTGCGGCTGCTGAGGCCGGTAGTGGCCTTGGTGCTGCTGTGGCGGTTGCTGCGGAGGCAAGGTAAGCTTCAGGTTCGGGCTGGTCTGACAGGCTGTGGCGGGGTGACTGGGAGATATGACGCGGGGGAACGCCTTGGCCGGTAGGGCAAAAGAAGGGAAGATTGAGGGGACGGGTGTTTGTGAAGTCGAGAACGAGAGCGGGAGAGCGGGGAGATGCGTACCTGTTGGTAGCCGTATTGTTGTTGCGGGGGAGGCTGCTGGTAGCCGTAGCTGGGCTGTTGCTGATGGTAGGCCTGTTGGGGAGCATGGCCGCTGGCGTAGGTCGGCTGCTGAGGACTACGGAGAGGGAAGAGCGCATGTTAGCAGGAGCGGACGAAGAGAGCAGACGATGCGGGAGATGAAACACGCCGAGCGTCATCACGACGATGGGTTCGGCGGTGATTGAGGCGGGGATGGGCATTGAGAGGGGGTCGCACGGGTAATAGTTGCCCTGGTATTGGGGTTGTTGCGGCGGCTGCCCGCCGTAGCGGCCAGAGTTGTAGCCCGGGTAGCCCGACATGTCGGGTGCGGTGGAGGACGAGGAGCGGCGCGGAGAGGGAGAGAGTCTGGTTTCGAGCGACGTACGAGACACGGCGGTGATCGTCGGGCGTGTTTCGCAGCGGTGGTGATTTTTTTTCGGGTGGTGGTTGGTGTTGTGGTGAAGCGGCGGGCGGCGGCAGTGGTCGGTGGAGGTCGAGGCCGGAAGTAAAGGCACAGGAGTAAAGGCAGGTGTAGCTTGGCTTATGGTCTGGGCGCCAAGCGCAAGAAAGGCAGTGCACGTCGTAGTAGGTACGTGGTACCTAATGCCGAATGTCGTAGTGCCGTGCTAGGGCGTCTGAAGAGGTGGGACTGCTCGTGGGACCGTGGGACCGTGGGACCGTGAGCCCGCTGTGGATGTGTGACGACGGATGGCGGGTGGCGGATTTCTGGAAAGACTCACGCGCACGCGGGGACGAGACGAGGCTCAGCAAGGCAAGGTCCCAAGACTCAGGCAAGCAGGGGCACTTGAGATGTCCGAGTGTGCGTCTAGTCGGAATGTGGGCGTGCGAGCTAGACTGAAGCCGGCTGTCGACGAGGAGTAACAGAGACACACAGGGTCTCACGTAGTAGCTATCCGCACAGGAGGTAGAGACGAGGTGGGAGTGTTCTCGGTGCACCTATAGAAGATGGAGAATTCAGGGTCGAGGATGAGGTAGAAAAAACAGAGAGGGTGGGAGGTCGAATAATATTTGTAGGAGTAAGGGTGCGACGGGGGTGGGAGATCGATCTCAATTATGGGAAACGAAGCGTGTGTATGTCAGAAGTGTGAATGTGATGACCGAGCCGGGGGGGGCAGAAGGAGCGAGAAAGCACTGAGCAACAGCAGCGACTGCGGTCGAAGGCACAGGATACTCTACTACGTGCGTCCGCAACAGGGGTGGCCAGTCCGCGCAAAGCCCGAAAAAAGCCCAAAAAGCCCAAAAAGCCCAAAAAGCCCAAAAAGCCCAAAAAGCCCAGTCTCACGAATGGGCTTGGCCTGGATGTTCGGGCTGGTCGGAATTGGCTGTTGGCTGTTGGCTGGAGGCTGGAGGCTGGAGGCTGGAGGCTGGAGAGGGGCCTGGCCTTGCTCGCTGCGGCGGCGGCGACGGCGGCCACAAGATGGAATAGTTTAATGCGGAGAACGGAGAAGGGCGGATGCAGACGCGCACGCGCGTGGGAATGCCAGAAGCGGTGTGAGTGCAATGAGAGCAATTGTCGCGAAGTCGTCGGCGTCGGTCGTCAACAAGCACGGTACGGACTACTCGACGGGAGTGCTCGAAAAGCGACTTTGTCGACGGCGCGTGGCTTCAGCTTCCAACCGCGAACAAGGGGGACGCAGTAGATGTGCCTGTCATGTACCGTAGCCCGAACCTGAGGGGGGTGTGAAGAGTGTGAAGAGTGTGATGGCCTGCAGGTTCGCTCGGAATCGGGTCGACGAGGAGTGGAGCGAGGGCGTGCAAAGACGATGAGAGAGGCGTGTGATCTGCGTGGAGTGTATTATCCCGGCTTTCGAAGGTGGGTTTGGGCTTGGGGTTTGGATTTTAATCCAGGGTCCCAAGTCAACGAAGCTGCCAAGTCAACGAAGCTGTTAATAACAAGTCTAGGGAGGAAGAAGAGCTGGGAATGAATGGGAGAAGGGCGGGGGCAGTGGTCCTTTTTAGACGTGATTTTGCCTCTCTCTGCCATGTCTCTCTGCCTCTCCTTCTGCTCGGTCTCGATGCAGAGCCATCTCTCGGCAACAGCACATCATCATACTGCCGAGACAAAAGCCAAGCAGCTCAACCAAGATGCTTGACGTAGCGGAGGCGGCGGTGTTGGCGGTTTGGTGTGGGCGGCATCTGGGGTGGGTGAGCGTGAGCGTGAGCATGAGGGCGGATGCAAAGACACCAAAAAGGGTGTGGGTGGTGACCCAGTCAGGCTGGCTTGACATCCGGGGGGTATGGATGGGGGATGATGGCCGTCAGACAGGGGCACGAGAGACGCAATAGGTACTGATCAGGAGTAGTAGTAGCAGTAGTAGCAGCAGGAAGTAGAGCATCATCGTCACACACGGCCGACATCAGTTGCAGCAATGCAGCAGTGGCACCGGCGGCAGCGACCGAGTCAACTACACAGCCCTGTTAAGCTACGTAAGGTAGCCCTGGCTACATAAGGTAGTCCATAGACATTTCCATGTACTGACGCGCAGGCGGGCAAGTCGGAAGCAAGGGGGCCCATATGACGAAACGAAACATGCAGCTGCTCGACGTTGACAAGGCGTAGTCTTTGCTTTGCAGCAATGGCCCGTGTAAGCTCTCTATCTTGGATCCCGGCCCGAACGCCTGGGCTTGGCCGCAGCCTTACAAGCTCGAGCTACTAAATACTACGTCGTATGAGCTGTGCGTCTTGGATGTCATGTACCTGTTTCTATACTGTAATTATGACCATGTGTGCAGATGCCCAATGTCCCAGCTGACTGGGGATGTTACTACGTAGTGTGTATGTTTGGTAGCGTGAGGCAAATGCCTGACCTCGCCTAAACCTCCAGGGATATAGGTAAACAATGGACTTTCGTTGCTTGGCTCATGTCATCAATTAAGCGAAAAAAATTGCCAAATTCATCGTCGACGTCAGGTACAGCATCTCTCTGTCTCCCCTGCAGAGATCTTCCTCGGCACCCTGACTCTGCTATAGACAGGGTCCTCATAACGTCACCTGCAACCGGAGTCAATCCAACCCACCGCCAAAGCGCGGGATGGTTCCTAGCTTCAACACCCTCAGTGCTTGCTTTTTGCGACCCGAAAAAAATGTCTCCAATTTCTTCCCCGGGCCATCAATTTGCTTCACGTAAGCATCTCTAGGCTATTCTTTCCATGGCACGCATGCATGTCTTTGGCCTGAAGGGGAGGCCGAGACCCCAAAAGTAAGTGTGCATATCCAACATTCCATCGACATATTGTCGAATCAAGGGACCTTGGTCGGCGGGCTTTGTTCCGATCTCATCTAAGACCTTGTATTGGACTTTTCCTTTCTCGGCACTCGGTGGGTAACTCTCTTCTTCCTTATTTCCACGCCGAGCCCGTCACCCAACGTCTTGCCCCTGTAACTCTCTCTGACATGAACTTGCAGATGAACACCATCCTCGCCTTCGCCCGTCGACAGGCTGCCATACCCAAAAAAGCGCCATAGCCTGCATTGGAATTAGCCGGCAGCACGGAGGACCCGAAGCTGCGGGATGGCATAGCTACTACGTAGTATGTTGCCGTATCTGAGCTGTCATGATGCCCAAAAGAGATCGTCGCCATCACGCTACCCTACACCCTCAACTGATCGACGATCGCCTCCGCCTCTATCCATCCATCCCTGAAGAAATGTCAAAGCCCACCCCCCCTCCCCCGGTAAACTCTGTCAACGACCGTCATCTCGCAAGCCACGAGCTGTAGATAGGGCGGAGGTACATAGCTCGGCCATCTTAAACCCCATCTCCAGGAACCCTGCCCACCTGGGAGCTGGCTGAACTGGAACGTACTACGTAGTAACCACAGATCGCCTCTGCAAGTCCCCGCCATCTGCGGCGTCTAAACATATCCACCCCTGACCCCCCAAGTAAGACACGCGCCTTGCCGACAACAGCGCAAACCCCGCGCCAACTTCCCGTCCCGACCGATGCCAAAGGCGAACAAGACGGCCGAGACTCACGCGCCCGAGTCTTCAATATCTGATAGGGCAGTGCTTGCCATGTGTCTTTCCTGGCATCGAGCTAGCAGTAGAACGATATGCAGACGTTACGCCCAAGATCCATACAGACCCCTGTCAGGCTGATGTGTGTCCACTGGACGCACTGGTTTCGTTTTTTTCTCGGCGCCCCGAGCTCTGCGAGACGGCGATCCCGATGCGGCTTATCGGCAGGGTTCCGGGGAGTTGGAAAGACATGAGAGACAAAGTCTCAACGGTCTGGAGTGCTGCTGCTGCGTTAATTAAAATTGCAGGCATGCTCATTCCCCGAGGAACCGCCAATGTAATAATACTAAAGCCTCGTTTACAGCAAATCTCATACCTCAGATTTGTGGACAATTTCACCAAACGCTCATCTAGGCTTCAATCCATGTAACTGCGCTGTTCGTTACATCTCCGAAACCCTCGTCGCTCATTTTAGAGAAAAATCCCGAACCAAAGAGGCAGGGTTCAGACTCGTCTCCTCCACCAAGACCTCGCATGCAGCATCAACAACAGAGCAAATGGTGGCTGAAATTTCCGATAGACTACTGCTTCCTGCACGTCTCCCGTCCCTTCTGGGAAAGAGTGGCGGGCAAGCCGAGAGCTGAAGCAGCGGGGAAGGCCAATCAGGTGCTCGCCTGAGCCGCCACCAAGGCCCACGAGGCAAGGGAAGGAGAGGCGAGCCCCGCCGTTGTGGAGATCCGCTACAGGGTACGTACCCCCCCAGCCACGGTCCGCAGCGGATGGAAGGGCTCGCGCGCTAATGAGAAATCCGGGAGCTTGGGCCATGGACGGTTTCGGCAGTTGTGGCTTAGATGGGGGACTGCGTGTGGCTTTGCCGCCCGTTTACGTGCGGTAACGCGACGGGTTCGGGGACGTGGAGGGTCTCCTTGTCCATGGTGCTGGGTCCGGGAAAAGTGCAACAACCCCAGAGCCCTTGAGTCCTTGTCCCCCCTTGTCCCCTTGTTCCATTGTCCCCTTGTGCTGGCGATTGATGTGCCAGCGGAACGTGGAAGGGCTGAACAGCTGGTCGCATTCGCCAGGCGGAATAGCTGCGCGCAACCGCTGAAGTAGCACTCGATATGGATTTCCAGCTTCCACCTAGAGCCGCCACGGCCTCAACCAGCTCGCGATATCATTGTGTCATCCTCAAATCTCAGCCGGTAGCTCGCTGGCGTTCGCCAAATCAACACATTCTAGACAAACTCCAATCAGCTGGGCCCGTCCTCGCTTCCTTCTTGACTGGCAGACAGATAACCACATGTCCATCCACATGCCCATCCGCATGTCTGTCCATACCCCGTACGGTTTCGGCATATCCTCTCCTCTGTCCACTCACCTTTCACGGATGCCCTGGCCCGTCATAACGAGGCCATCTCCCACCATCTATCCTCCATTCCTCGTTGGTTGAATCCCACTTGGCCCATATGCAAGCCATATAGGCATCTCCATAACGGCACCCACACCACCTTTTCTCAGCCCATCATCTCTAACACACCCCGGGCCTTCAGCTGCCTCTGTCCGTTCTGTCCCCATCCGTCCCCGTCCGTCCCCGTCTGTTCCAACGCAGCCAGTCCCACCCAACCCGCGAGTCTGGGTCGCCGCCGGAAGCTAAGACCCTTCCATCCCCATCTCGGGCCTAGCTGGCATGCTGCTGGCGTGCTGCTGGCTAGAGTCCCTGCGTCGTCTTTTCTCATCTCATCTCACCTCGCCTGCCATTGTCCGCTGGCACCGTGGAGGTGGTTAGCACAGCCTCGCTGCAAGTCGGCTCGCTCTGTAGCCCATCTACCGAAGCTGGCATTGGGCTCTCCCGACGTCACGGCTCTGCTATACGCTGTAGTATGTAGTAATGATGTCGTCAGCATCTTAGCATGCTGCGCCTAGAATGCACGCCCCCCTTCCCCTTCCCCGGTAGCATGTTTAGCTCCTTCGTGGGTATGCCGCTCTTCTGCAAGGCACGCTCGGCTTAGCATCATCAGCTCATGCCACATCTGCCAATGGTTCCGGGGCGGTGGGACCGACTCTATGGAATGGCCCTCCTAGGTAAGGTTGATGATAGATAACTGGCGCCAAGACTTACTATCTTGAGCAGTAGTGTGGCGACACACATTTTGGACGTCAAGGGTTTTTGCTCGAACTGCGAGCAGGAGACTAACTAACCATAGGACCCTGCTTCTAACATTGTCACTCATCTCTTTCTCTTGAGGTCAGCAAAGTTAGAGACACAAGAGTCGTAACAGAGGCTCAAGGCAAAAGTGGATTTGCGGCAACTCGATCGATCCGATGACCGTTTCCCTAGCATCGGGTGTTATGTCAATTGCATACATCAACTGCTACCGCTACCGTGCTGCTTTGATCTGAGGGCTTTATATCTATGATATTGAACGGAGGTAAGAAACCCAAACGATGTCTTCGAAATTGCGGCAAGGAGTCTGAAAGTTCTGGACTGAAACTTGCCGAGGAGCAGGTTGATAGAAGTTCATCTCAGCTCTGCTAAATAATCTTGTGTACCTAATTCAATTAGACACTCAAGTCAAAAGTTGAATATATACTATCATCCTAACTTCCTAGAACTTCTGGGGGTATGTAAGCGTGATTGTATGCCACTACTCTGTTTCCTGTACTGCCGTCTTCGCCTATAAAGAGGTTGATGGCCCCGCATGAAGAGAACGAAAGATGCTCAAATACTTGATAATTATTGTCTTGTTTTTTTTAAGTTCCTATAGGCATGGTTGACTAGACTCACTTTATACTCTTGACCTTTTAAGAGAAGTTATGGGGTCGATCAGGAGCCTAGGGTAACAACTCATTGTGAGAAAAAAAACGAGCGTTGTAGGGAATCGATAATCGTAATTCATTCGCAAACTCATGCCAAGTACATGACGTCTAGACTTTAATTGCATTTCCAGACGGAATGCTTCTTCTGGCTCCCTACCCCATGCTTCTCAACCAATCTAGGCCGCATACCAACTCATACAACAAATATCCAGAAGAGTGTTGTTTGAACTGGTAACTGTACTTGGTAATACACAAAAATTGGGGTGCCTCAAGCATTCGACATGTTGACATCCCCGTCTGCAGCCCCGGTATCCTTTCTCATCTGGTATGCCATCATCATCCAAACCAGCTTCATCGCTTCCAGACGCTGGTCCGCATGGAACAGATCATACCAGGGACTCCTCCAAGCCTCAACCTTACCCCAGCTTCGCTTGGTCGGGTCGGCCTCGCTTGCACCACCAATGACCTCGAGTAGGCGATCGGGAACTCTCACGCGAAGGATAGAGACATGGTGGAATAGTGAGCTCACTACAAAGATGTCGTCGTAACCAGCACCTTGAACCTTGCCAATAGCCTCGTAGGTTGCTTTTCGATCCCAGGTCGATGCTGGCGGGCGGACCATCCGATAGTTGTCATAGATGCTCATATTCTTTCTGGGCTTCTTGGAGATGGGCATGCCATCGGCGTCACTCGGTTTGGCATCCTTATCCCCCTGAACGGCATCTTTGTCCGCCTCACGCCCAATAGGGCCGCCAATACCGCCTCCCCAGCGCTTCTCAGTCGTCCACCACTGCCCATCGCCAAAGCGCTTTTCTGTCTTGCCTTCGCGTGCTCGATGCTGAGCGGTAATTAATGCAGCGATAATCTCCCGAGCGAGGTCCAATGATTGCGCTGTTTCCATATCGGGGGTGGTGAAGTCTGTAGTTCCTCGGGCACTCACAGTGGCGACTGGACCATAGACAGCGCCCGCACGAGCCGCCTCGCGCGTCATTGGGCTCTGGAAGATGAATAGACACCCAGAGGGGCAGTAAGTCTTGCGAGATGGGCAAGATTCCTCGGGAGAGCTCAGATGGAGTCGAGGCTCGAGGCGGGCTGGCGCAACGCTACAACCAAAATCGTAGGCTACAAGCTTGATAAAAGCTGTCATAAGGCTGTTGCGGTACTCAGCTGGCATTGCATTACCAGGACCAGTGCGAAGGACAACGTTGGGATCACGTTCCTTGGTAATCTTAGACTCCTCCGAGGTTGCAGCGTCGCCGGATGAAGCGACTTCGGGAGATGCCTCTGGGGAAGGAGGAAGAGGCGGCGGTTGGGATGAGTCGTCCCAGAAGGAAGTAAAGGCTTCAAGACAGCGGAAGAACTCATATGCGTTTCCTAGTCGAGCCTGTTGCTTCCCCTTGGGCGGTTGGAGTCGTCGGACTGTTCGGAAAGCTTCCTCATTGAGGTAGGCCAACTCCCTTTTGCGTTCAAGGTAAACCTGACACCCTGGGGTGAGATTGCCATTTCTCATGGGAAGTCGAGTAGACTGGTTCTGATCCCCGGCCTCGTCTGGGGAGAGTTTATCCCATAGCTTAAAGTCTGGGATGCTGGTTGCATCGGGCATGAGGTCTTCAGGCTTCGCATCCAGGTTCAAGTTGAGGCCAATGGCAGAGAAACCGGGAGGTCCTAGGACGGCCATGGATCGGCCGGTCTGCTGAAGCAGCGAGGAAAGGGCGGCAGGCGGTTCAAGGGGATCATCATCATGGGCAAATGGTTGAAAACGAGGGAGCGTGACGGGAGTTGGGGGTGGAATGTCCTTGGGATCTAACTTGGCCTTGCCGGGCAAGCTTGCTAGTGGCAGTTTAGATGATGGTCTTAGTGGGAGAGTGAGGTTTAGAGCTGGAACGGGAGCGGGAGCGGGAGTAGCAGTGGGAGTGTGGGGTCAAGATAGGTCGGGGAGGGGAACAACAGCAGCGTAGTTGGGAAGATGAGGTGTTTCGTGCGTGATAAGTCGTTGATGTCCTTTGTAGGTGGGCTAGCGGTTGAATAAATGGACACGGGTGCGGCATCAAGAGGGCCCGACAGATTGGTTGCGTAAAAACAAAAGAGAGGCTGATGATGCTTACCAAAGGCGGTGAAATTGCCAAACATGGCCGATGAGAGACGGTGGTGGCGTGGTTTGAACGGGAAGGGGAGGGGGGACAGCGTGGGACGTGGGAAGGTGCGACAGAGCACACGGGGCGGGACAGGCTTAGGAAAGCACGCTTGTACACGCACACGCACACGCACGTCCGGGAGCAGGAGAGGGAAGGCCGTAAGGTAGTAAGGTAGGAAGCTATCGGGGCTTAGCTCAGGCACACGGAGCACGGTAGCAGGAACAGGAACAGGAGGAAGGGTTCAACCTGAGGACTCGCAAGCCAGGCCACGACGAACGGATGGGGGAGATGCGTCAAGGAGGGCCCAGGAGGGCCAAGGAGGGGGGGGCGGAAACTTGGGACAGCGGCCGAGAGAGGGGTGTCAACAACCGCGTGGAGAGTCAAGCTCAAGATTCGGCAGCACTGCGAAAGACGATTCCCAGTTGGTCAATGCCACGTCCACAAGCGGAGAACCGAGTGCGGGCGGGAGGGATGGCGGGCGGGGCCGTTGATGGTCGCGTCAGGGTTAGTCGGCTCGATTGTATCTAGCGCCAGGAACTGGATACAAGAGGAGCTTTGCTCTGTCTGTGCCAGTGTGTGCTGTGCCACGAGAGGATTTGCCACGAGTTTGGCTGAGGCTGAGGCTCTGGCCTCGGGCTGAGCTGTCAGGATCTTCTTGGAGGGATTTCGATTTTGACGGGCTAAGTTACCTACTTTGGGTCCGCAGGTATTAAGTTAGGTATTAGGTGCGGCCCCAGCTTCCCTCAGGTTGAACTCACTTGCGACACTGGCCGACCGGTCGAAACGGGGCAAACTGGATCCCGGGCCTGACGCACAGGTAATGGGATGACGAAGCAACGGTGAAAATTTGGGGTTTTTTTTTTTTGAATAGTGTTGTGGGCTGCTGACGACCGGGAGGCGATGAACCGATGGATGTTGGTGATGGTGGCAGCTCCTGCAAGATTCGCGCGTTGGCGTCCAGTCAGTCGTCGAGAACTAATTTGTCCGGATCTCCGGTTGTTTGTTGCGGGAGAGAGATACGAGTGGAGAGAGTGCCTGTCTGCGTTGGTACTAATTGCTACGGTAATTCAGGTACGGACGGCCCGCGGGTGTGGTGATGTGCCAACCAAGCCGACATGGGTAATGTGCAACTGCAGGTGGGTACGAAGTACAGACACAGCAATGCGCAGATGGGTGCTATCGACGTGTCGGGGTTGTAGTGGAGAGTTGTGAGTGAAGATGGACTGATTGATTGCTGATTGATCCAGGCACAGACACACAAAAAGCATGGTGGCTCCTAGGCGGATAGCCGAGCCAGCAAATCGAAGCACCGACCAGGCCGCTGTACGTGAAGGATCACGAAGGAATATTTGTTGCGACCAAGAGGAGAGATGACATGGTGGAGGTTCCTTTTGAGATGGATGGATATCTGGACAAATAACTGCCATGGAAGGAGATCCATCGGCATGAATACAACGGACTAACGAGACATGAGGATTGCGCTTCAGTAGTATCGCCAACATGCATCCCTGATAGTCGACCCACAAATGCTCTCGCTGCGACTATCAACGATATTCGCTTGGGGAGACTGGTGACTTGGTTTCTGCTCATCCAATGGGCGAACCAGACAGGCAAACAGCCAGTCAGATATCGAACCCCAGAGAGCGACCAAGAAACAAACAATAATTTCCCGGCCCAGGGTCGGGAGGAACAATGAGATGTGGTGTGGACGGGTAGGCTCCTGTTGGTGATGGCGTGGGTGTTGGGTTGGGTGTGCATTGTGTGCATTGAGTGCATTGAGCGTTGAGCAGAGCCCGGAGTAATTAAGGCGAAGAGAGCGGGGTGGGTCGTCTTTTTTGGGAGAGGAAGGTCGCGCGGGGGAAGGCGCCGCCACTAGCTTGATGACTGGCGTGCCTTCCCACCACCTACTGTCTCAGGTGGCTCTGGAACGTTGAGCGCTGCGTGCTACCTTCCTACCGTACGTACGGACACCGGAAAACGGTCGCTGGTCGTCTGCACGTCCGTCCGTCCACTGAGGGCCTGGGAACTTGACAACGCCAACGACCTACCGGCGGGAGAATTGTGCCAACAACAGCGCTACCATCGGGCGCCAGCTACGATGCCGTTGATGCTGATGCCATCTTCCGTCGTGGCGCGCTTTGCCCTACCGCGTAAAGGAATGGCCGGTTCTGCGCCTCCTCTCAGGGTTCCGCCGCTTCCCTTGTCGCAGATATCGATCCCCTCCCTCGGAATAACCACCCGCTAAAACACAATTAACACAAACACCAAGACACCAAGACATCATAACCCCCCAGCAGCCTGCTGCCATCCGCCGTCCTCGGCGACACGCGTTTCGCTACGTGAAGCACGAATCGGCCCAGAATCCCCACCACGGCTGTTAAGGCCAGACGCAACAGACAAGGCCGTCCCAGGAGCCTGGGCTCGTCTAGTACGGGCTTAGCGTTTAGCGTACATAGTGGCTTTCCAACGCCATTGCGACTCCTGTCCCTGCAAAACTCCCGCTAGCTCGCTCATGGGCCCGCGCAAGCCTCGCGACGACGGCGTGGAGACGGCATCATGCTTCAGATCTGTCGCAGAACAGGGGTTCCACCCCCCTTGCGTTTGCCCTGAGCAGACCCTGCTCCCTGTCTCGCCGCGAGCTTCTTTTCACGCTCTCGTCTCCATCCCTGGACCAATCCTATTCTATTCGGAATCGGCTTAAAACATTGGATAGCATAGCCACCCTGGTTGGATTGGATTGTATTGGGTTGTCCTGGTTTGGTCTCGTCCGAGCCGTCCCCCCTTCGGCCTCGTGGCTGACTCCGTCGTACCTAGTCGTACGTACCTTACCCATTCGACTGTCTCTTCTCTTTCTGGTTCTTCTTCTCCTCTTCCAGACTTCCCTTCACCATTCTCTTTCTCTGCGGTGACTGGATCATCTTTCCATCTTCATGATCATTGTCGTGGTCTAAGTGGCCGGGCCACACCCAGTGTGACTCCAGCTTGCTCTTTGTGCTAACAACTCTCCTTCCTACTCTCCTTCCCTTTTCTTGTTCGGCTGGACCCTTCTCGTATCCTCTCCTTCTCTGCGACCTCTGCGACTGGAATCGCGACATTCCTTCAAACCCTCTCCGGTTGGGATCATCTTCACTTACATCCACGGGATAACGTGCCGCAATAACAACGCCCATGTTAACGACTCCACCACGCCTAACATGGCCATCTCGACATATACTCTGCTGAGGACTTACACCTCAGTCGAGATCATTTCGACGACCGTTACTGCACCGGTGGAGACAGAAACTCCAACTGCCGACCCAGAGCCCGCAACCGTTGTCCACTCCGTCGAGGAGCCCATCGCCGACCCGTCATCGAGTGTGCCACATTACCCCGTCCAAGCCTCAATCCTGAGCTCGACCTCGGTCCTGCCAGTTCCGACAACTTCAACAGCGGCAGCATCGATTGTGCCAACCTCGGATCTATCCGACCCGACTTCGTCTGAATCAACTTCGGCCGAGTCAACTTCATCCACCTCGACCTCAACGTCCTTTTCGATTTCAACATCCTTTTCAACATCAACGTCCACTCAGAGTCTGCCATTCAGCTCCGCAACTCCTTCTGTCCCGGCTGCAGACACTCCCCTTTTCGCAAAACGGCCTACTGATGCCATAGGGGGTAACCAGAACCCGCAACCCCCAACGACAGCCCCATCAGGCTTTCCTCCTCCAATCGAATCTTCTCTACCAACCACTGTGCAGACAATCTCGCAAGATGCTCCGCAACCCACCCAAGAGAGCACTCGAGAGGCCGCTGAAAGCAACACATCACAGTCGATTGAGAAGGCTATCCTGCAGCCTGTGCCCGGAACTAATACTGTCGCTACTACTTCGAGTAGTGCATCTTCAAACCCTTCCAACCTGTCGTCTGCTATTTCGACGACGTTTCAGACTCTGTCAGAATCGACCACAGCTGCTTCTGCACCTCAATCCACTCAGTCGTCCGATAATTCGACCCCAGATGATAGCGACTCGGGCATCACCAACCCACAGTCCACTTTCACCACAGCAACTCTGCCAGGTGGCCGTCCAACAACAATTGGCCTTGATGCAACGGCTGCGAGCGACCATTCCTCGAGCCCTTCGGAGACTAGCCTCAATGTCACTGACAGTGATGCTAGTGATTCGCCATCGACGCCAGTCCTGGTGGGAGGCATCTTTGGAGCGTTCGCGGCAATATCGCTCATCTTGTGCCTGTGGTGGTTGGTTAGAAAACGAATGTCCAAGAAGCGCCGCAGCACGCTCTTGACACCCCTCTCGCTACCAGCTGGTGGCAGGGGTGGCATGGGTGGCGAAAAGAAGTACGAGATAGACACGGCATCATTGGGACCTACGCCTCGGTCAACCAAGTGGGCGGCTGCCTTGTCCTTCTATCCCAAGAAATTCAGCGAGAAGCTAGGCCACCTGCCGACTAACAATTCGAGCAACGGTGTCAACATGAACCGAGGGAACTCACAATTCCTAGACCCCGTTCCCAGCCACAGCCGCAGCTCCTCCGTGGAAGGCCACAGCCAAGCAAGGGGAGGCAGCGGCCGCCCGGGTTGGTGGTCGCGTGTCATCGAAGATACTAGCTCCGAGGACCTGATGGCTCAGGACATGGCGGAAAGGGCCAACCAACCTGGTCTTGCATATGTTCCCAGCATGGACGAGAGCCGACCTGATCGCGAAGCCCAACAGCGAAGAATAAGTCGTGGCCACAGTGTCAGCAGCTGGACTGACGGAGCACGCAGCCCGAACCCCTTCGCGGACGCCAATACGCTCTCAGCAGTCTCATCAACGAAATACTATCCGGCCCCCCTGCGACCGAATAACCCATTCGCTGACTCTAACTCTATCGCACCCCCCGCAACTGCCCAAGTAGCACCGGCTGGCTACGTCCAGGACGTCCAGAGATCACGAAGACAGTCAGGACCCATGGTTCGCGACTCAGCCGCAACTCGCACCTCTTTCGAGACACGGCGCAACAAGACCCATTCAAACCCGTTCGATCTTGAAATCGACGGCCCGCAACCCTCCATGGGCCCCAACATGCAACGTCCTCCACGCGTCCCTGTAGCCAGTTCCATCTACGATATGCCGAGACCTGCTAGCGGACGCACTCGTGCTGAAAGTTACACCTCGCGCTATGCTAGCGGCCCAGGTTTGCCCCCGGGAGACTGGAGCACCATGGGCCCGGTTTCCTCGAGATGGGGTAGCACTGTTGGATATGTGCCAATCGGGCACGTGAGGAACGAGAGTGATGACAGCATAATCGGGTCTTCTGGCGTCGGCCATCCGGGCGTCGGCCAGGCGATGTAGCCTATACGACATGTGTAGGAGTTGTGGGACTTGCATGAACTGAGCGGTGATACCAATACGGGGGATTTAAACATGGACGGACCCATTCCCTCGCTGCCATGGGAGCAAATACCAACGAGGGACAAGACATGGCGTTTCTGGCACAGTGAGAACTTTGGAAGGATATCCCGCAAGATGGCGGTGATGCGGAAAAGGACGAATGGCAATACTTGCGAGATTGCACTGAACATACACAATCGCTTGTCACTGTGAACATAGGGGGAACCAGAATCTGGACATGACATTCGTTGCATCAAAACTAGACAGCTGAGGCTACATTCGTTCTATATACCACTTTCTTTTCTCAAACCTTTGAATCTGTTGAACCACTAAGCTAGCGAAGCAACGAGAAGCTCTATGCCTCTGGCTTGTATGGATGTATTATTTCGCCTGGTTTCTTCAACTGATTCTTCACGTTCGCAATGCTTTTCGGCTGCCTCGACGTGCCTCGACGTGCCTCGATATGTCGTCCCATCTCTCTCGTTGCCCTGCTAGGGCCCGTTGACATGGTCAGGGGTTGGTCATTGTGGGGATGTTATAGAAAGGGAACATCAGACCGTTACTGTCGCATTCAAAGGTTGCATCTGTCCACTGATGCCCCTTAAGGGTTTTGGTTGCGCCCGGGTTAACTGTCCCGGCCTTGGCTAGCTATGTAGGCCATTAATACCATGCAAATGGCCAGGTTGGGCTTGTGGAAGACTAATGGAGAGCACGCTGTTGCGGCCAGGACTGCTGTAAGAGCGGTGTTTGGAAGTTTGCTTGGCAAAGACGAGGCAAGAATGAGACAAATGCACTGACCTGCAGGGAGTTGTGAGAGAGCATAACTGAAAACTCTGAGATGGGTGAGAAAGGCGTGAGTGAAGTAGTGTTTGACTCTTCCTGCTGCTACGACTTCCTCATTTAAACCAAGTCGCTGCGCTCTTACATGCTGAGAATATACTCCTGAAGCTGTCTAGACATCCTAGTCCTCCTTCTCCTTCGCGGATGGGAACATATATCTTTACTCAGCTCTCCTAGTTGTGAGGAACCGTCTAGTGGCAGCGAACCCCCCATGTAGACAATATTCATGGCCTCCAACATGCGGGTCACAACAGTCTGTTCCGCCGCCCTAGAGCTGTGGCCACGTACTGTATTGGGAAACACCTCGTCTAGCTTCTTGATATCCAGCCGATGAATGTTGATTAGGAGAAGGCATCTTTCTGGCCCCCACCCCTCCCTGCTATCTCCCTGCTGCAAGGGAGAGAGAGACTGGACCATGGCCTTGTTTCTAAGCGCCGCAAGCTTAAACACCCTGCCCTCAGCAGCTGGCATCCAGCCTCTTGTCCTCACCCGAGCCACCAGGTCTTTTGGCGAGAGTGGCTGCTGACCGGCTACTAGAGGAGCATGAGAGAGGCAGCCTCCAAAATATCCAGCGCCTGACATGAATGAAACTTGAGTTCCGTCGCTGCTTGGTCCTGCCGAACTGTTGCCGAACATATCCCCAATGATGGGCACCCATTGGAAATAGTCCACGCAGTCTTTGGCAAATATGACGGTAGGACCACGCACGGTACACAGGCAAACATCATACGTGAGGCTGCTTGTATGGCATGGGTACTGTACTCCCCAGATCCCCTGAATGCGTGTCAAGCCGTCTCTTAGGGCCTGTTTGTAGTGTTCTGTGTGCTGGTCATTGACCCACGAGTCGAATGCTCCCCAACACAGAGCCACGACGCCGACTTTGGCCACCTCCTCGTCTCTGTTGAGGTACACAGCCTCTTCTTTGCCAGTGGCCCACGATCTCAGTACACAAAAAATCTTGATCATCGATATCGGAGGCAGACGTTGGAGGAAGCTAGGGAGTTTGACGCCTCTCCGTCTATCGGCAGGGTCGTGGCAGAAGAAGTCGCATGTTGGTTCCTAATGTGTCCATAGGCTGTCCCGTAAGGTGTCCCTCTGATCGTCATTCATTCCTTGGGCATCCATATCCACTGCGGCGGCTTATGGGTTCGCGTTGGTGCGCTTTGTCGTTTTGGCACTGCACAAGAGTGAGTATAGACCACGTTAAATGGGTATCGGGATGTCTAGGTGAACAATTACCGTGCTTTCGGGATGGGTCTGAACTGGGTTTCGATTCGGGTTCGCCTGCTAGTTCTCGGCCAAGACTGAAAGAGTATTTATGGTGGCAGCAGGAGCTGACTCTCGCCCAGCCATATGGAGAGAGGCGACAAAGCGAGGGGGGTTCGTGACGTTGGTAAACTGGACAAAGTAAGTTGCCAAATTTGCGAGGGTGAGGATTGTATAATATTGGTGTAGAATGGTAAACGAAGGAGATGAATGGTGGCTGTCGTCAGGTGCATGTTTCGGTGATAGCACAACCGGCACTAGCGGAAGGTGAGAGAGTGAAGCTCAGCAGTCACTGAACAACTGCATGGTGGTTACTGAATCACAGAAAAAACCAAGTACAGCGACCGGAAAGGATTTAAAAACTGGACAACGATCAATTACAGGTCTATAGCGTTCATAGAGGGCATTGTAAATATAACCTGGCCTTCCATTTTTCTTGGAACCAAGTTATATCAATTAGTGCATCATGTCAAGTTCCCTTGGTTCAAGCTCTGTGACTCGCCGACGTGAGCTTCCATTGACCTTGACCGCCAGCCTTTCACGATCATTATTACGGACGAAGAAAGAAAGAACGCGAGCATGCTATGGGGAGAACAGCCCTATTCGAAGAAAAACAAAACCATGTCTAAGCGTTAACATTCCGACCTTGAGGTCGACATGGTTAGCAGATTGTTTCCCACATCTCGTGGATCTGCTTAGCCTACCCTCCTCGTTGTCGCCGAATGGGACGAGTAAGCTGACAGGACATCGGTGAGCGCTGCCAAAGGAATTGAACACTACATGCATGGCCACTTGTCGATTTGAACAGCCTAGACGCCAAAACCTGCGTCTAAATGGTCATACCAAGACTTGTTAGGCGAAAATGCCTCTCCGCGTTGTTATCAAAGACTTCCGCGAGGCCCTCCAACGAGACGAGCCGTGATTGAGGCGATGGAATTTGACCTCCCTTGAACACAATACAAGGGAGCTTTAGGGCGGGTTCCTCGACGATCGATTGGAATAACCAGTTAAGTTGCTTTTGGAAGACAACCAACAGCGGTAGACGTCAACACAGTGTTGGGCCTAACACGATGTCTTATGTACATGTGGTGGGTTGAGCCGTATGCTGGTCTGCCTGCGGTTATTGTAGGCTTATGATGTTGAGGAACGAGTCGAGACTCGGGAATTGTGAGACAAGCACACACAAACGAGATTGGTTGATACATCGGTCGGTGCCATTGTTGCTTCCAAGTACCATGCAGAGTCCGTCCCCGATAGTTGCATACAGCCCAGTAGACAATGTCCAACACATGTTGTCACGGCCAGGTCAAAGACCCAGGATGCAGCCCTCTGCGCTTACAAGATACACTGCATTCGACATGATAGGACATTATTGAACAAACCACAAACCTTTCACACATTTGCGACCACAAATGGTTCCCCAAATGCACTCACACTGCAGCAAGCTCGAAGTGGCGTGACGCGCTCATGACATCATCCCCACATCCAATTGTTCGGCGCGAAAGTATCCTCGTGGGGACTTTTGATTGGTTACTAACCTATTAAATGACATGCAAGCCAACGCGAAAAGTCGCGTGCCACGCGCCCATTTCGTTCCCCGGCGCGTAAATTAACGTCGCGCGTCTTGTCGCTCTCCACTTTCCACCTCAAGTCCCCATTTCCCTCAGCGGGACAGACAAAGAAAAATTGTAGGCCAATGTGTGTACGGATATGTTCATGTGCCAAACAGAAACAGTTCGTATCGTTCACCCATGCATCCCAATCGTCTCCCAAAACCCCGGTAATGGAAGGAAATCCCCTTTGGCTTCTCTGCACGTAGCCACTGTTATACACCTCACCCCGTCTCGTGTGTACCGTCGAGATGAAACAATAAATCCTCTCCTGGCCAGGATATTCGGCCACCCCTTGGCCGCCCAAACGTGGCCGTTGATGCCGAGTTGTCTATTCCAACGCCACTGAAAACAAGAAAGCAAAACCAAGAGCCTTTAAACACCCGACGGGTTGTAGAAATCCAAACAAACAGTTGAGACAATAAAAATGAGACATGTGTGCGCGCGTGCTGCAATATGTGCTGTCATGGTATCATGTACACAAGGAAACGAAGTTGTATGGCCATCCAGCTGGCCTAGTGTTTTTGACCGTTAGGTTAGGCCAATGGTCCCTCAAAGGTCAATCGTCGGCGGGCCACGCTAAGAGGCGTCCGGGCCGCAGGTAGAGCGACCGGCGTCTTCCAAGGTTTCTGGGCTGGACTGGGTGTGATATTGACGAAGTCGGCAAAGTCAAAGCCCTGGCCGGGGGTGGTGGGGAAGAGGTTGCCACCGCCAGGTGTCATCATCATCGACGATGGCAAGTCCAGCTTGCTGTTCTTCTGGGGAGGGGTCGAAGGGGGCTCCATGAGGGTCTTGGTGTTCCGGACGGCCGGGGATGGCGAGGCTGCCAGGTAGAGAAGCAGATCTGCGCCCTCCTCGCCTGTCTTGCCATTTGCGCCTGATGCCACACCGTCCTTGCTCCGCTTGTTACCGAGGCCGCGGCTGCGCATGGGTGGAGTGCGAGGAGGAGACGATCGCATATTGCCAGCAGTAAAGGAGTGAATGGGCAATAGGTCGTCGTCGTCATCCGAGGGGGCAGCGAAGTTGGGCGACGTCAAATCGTGGGCCAGGAGGCGCTGCTGAAAGAAGGAAACGTCCGGGCCGGCCGAGGTGGTGAAGTGCTGCTGTCGGCGGGCCTTGAAAGGCGACGAATGGGCCAGCTGGTGGCTATCCTTCCAAGCAGTGTTGCTAAAGGACTTGTGCGCAGTTGGCGAACCTCGAAATCGTTTGCTGGGGCTCGAAGAGATGGTTTCGAAGGTGGCAAAGTAGGTGCGCTTGCGGTGGCCAGTGCTGCCGTTGCTGGAGCCGACAGCGTCGGAAAACAGGGGCGCTTTGAGGGGCGAGCTCATGAGAGTGCGAGAGGGGTATGGGAGATCGGATGCGCTGGAGGAGGAGTCGGAGAGGACATCGCCTTCAGTGAGGCGCTTCCGTCGGATCTCCTCCTCGAGCTTGGGTTCGATGCTGTCGAGGGTAAGATCCTCCCAGCCATGCTTGGTCTTGAACTGGGCGAGCGCGAGACGGTTCTGTAGTCGACGGGCGATCTAAGAAGAGGGAAAAAAGAGATAATTAGCAAAACCATCGCCTTTCGAACAGTCCCAGCAAGGCGAGACAACTTGTGATGATGGGGATGGGGACGGAATGGGGTCGAGAGGGGGTCGGTCGGTTGGTATCCCTGAACGTACCTTGCTCACTTCTGCACGCTTGAGGACGCTGTCGACAACGTCCTCTGGCTGCTTCTTCCACGGCGATGACATGGCGACGTGCATGGATAAACTCTTTTTCTGGTTTCTCTTTGGGTGTCTTGTTTCTTATGTGATCGATTGTCGAAGGAGGGTTTTAGGACAGTGGTTGCAGAGTGGATGCCGGTTGAGGCGGAGGTGGTGTGTGAAGAAGGTTTTCGATGTGAGCGCCGAGACTAAAGTGGGAAGGAGAGTTGGAGGAGCGACGGACTGGGGGGCGTTTGGGTGTAAGCGGCCCCGGAGGATCGAACAAGGCAAGCGGCGTAAGGCGGTACGTTGGCCAGGTGCAGGGAAGAACGGAAAGAAGTTTTTGCTGCGTGTGTAGGTAGCTGTGTAGCTGTGTAGGAAGCTTGTTTCGGGAGAGAGACCGGATAGGGGGCAGAGGACGAGGACGACGATAGCGGTTGCTGTGGTTGTTGAGTGAACCGAGAGAGAATGAATGTGCGTGCGTGCGTGCAAAAGTGAACAGAGTGGATTTTTTCTTGCTTTGGGGTCTTTGCGCCCGGGTAACGGAGAGCCCAGCAAGTAGTAGTGGCAGTTCAGCCTTGGGGGTCCCAAATTGACTGGCTGTTGCAGTGATGCGCCCCAGAGCCGAGAGACGAAATTGGTCGCATTCCTTTTAAAAGTGAGCACACAAGCCAAGCAGCCCGGCACAAGTGACACCACGTCGCCCACTCATGCACGCACTTTGGACCGGCAACGCAACACACGGCCCAGCAGCGTAGGGCACAGGGGTGGGCCGCGCCGCCGCCGCCACTTGAGGGGAAGGGCCCTGAGGCGCTCATTCACACGCCGCCTAATCATGGCGAGTTGCGGGTGCTGCTTGGACGACGACTGCACAATCGACAGGGGGCTTCCAGGGCTATACTCCGTGTGTCGTAGGCCTCTTACAGGGCCTAGCCGAAGGTCCCAGCTTGCAGGGCTAGACGGCGTTTCAACCACTAACGCTTCAGCTTCCTCACGCCGAGTCCCCCTTGCGAGTCCAGTAGATTCCCTCGTCCCGCCGTTGTCGTTGGCCCAGCGCCAGCCGAGTTCAATTCAGCTTGGACCCGAGGGCACTCGGCCTGCTCTTTGTTCCCTCTTTCGGCTGATTGATTACATGATTACAGGCCTCCACTGCTATTTGGTTCTTTGTTGGTTGGCTATTCAGGGGACCTGTCTTTGTTCGTCTCTCGTGGCTGATCGTGGGCTTAGCTGCAGGCAAACACTAGATCCATCCTCCAGGCCCAATTGTCGACCTGGAGATCGATCGACTTGGCTGCCCCTGTCCCCATTGTCCCTCTTCTCTTCCCTAAAACGGCAACCCAGCCTATCTTCTTGGTGATGATCGTTCCGCTCACGAACCAGATGATGTGCTGGCTCCATCCGTGGCCACGTTACAAGGCACGCCAATCGGCCACTGTCATCCATCTTACCGTGGCAATTGGATGGACTTGATTGAGGCTGCTGCTTGAAATCCAGCATCCCCCTTTCCCTTCTCCACCAGTTCACTCAGCCAGCCACAGCAAACTGTCCCTGCCATCACCCCCTCCTCTGAGTACCCGAAATTGACAATCCATGTTGGCGATGGCCAGCTCTGCCTTGATTTCTCCTCATGTCTACCTAGCAAGCGGCGCTGTAACCGGACACTGCCGAAGGTTCGGCATGACCGCCAGATTGGGCTCAGTCTTTACCAAACAGGGTGCGATACTTGAAGGGGCCGGTTCTTAGAGCTTGGACGTCGCCTTGGTCACACCAATTAACCAGATCTATTGAGATGGGAACCCGTCAATGGCAACCAATCTTAAAGGGGCTAAAGTAGCCGTCGCTGAGATCTGGGCTGTCTCCGGCTTGAGATGGTGCTTGTCTGGAAGGGCCAACAATCAAGATGAAAGGAGCTCATTTTTTTCGCCGTTCTCTACTTCGCGGAAGTTGCAGACGCTGTTTCTTGGACGACTGCTGCTCGCAGGCATATCATCGCCAGCCAGAAGCGCGTGCTGGCTTCGTAGTCTGGTGTGGATCGTGAATCTCGGATATCCAGTTCATCGCAATAGCAGTAATTACCAATTTGATAAAAATCTGGGGAGCCATCGTCACCCGCAAACTCTACTCCTAAGCACACGATGTACGTGCGCCTTATTGTCACTTTTATCGTTGGCATAGGACGGAGAAACCAAGGAAATACTCCGTAGAGCGGGTAAAGTTACTATTCCTTCCATTGCCGGACAGGGAGCCGGAATGAAGACAAATGAGGGGAATTATGGAGACGAAGGTGCCGCAAGGAAGAGTCAAAGGCACGGGCGGGAGTGGGAGGATCAGCCAGCGGGTGTACGAATATGTCACTTTGGCCCGCGAACACGACCGAGGAAGCTTGTGCCATCAACCATGCTTGCAGCGGTGTTGGCCGCTGATGACGACTCCTCCCTCATACCGCGCATCCTCCCCCCCTTGGCTTACGGTGTCAATCGTAGACCGCATCGCGGCGTCAATGGTAGGATATGCTGGGTCAAAGATAAGAAGTGCCTCGAGGGAGCAGTCAGAGATAGACGCCGGAGGTACATGTACTGTACAGAGCTCCGGCGCTGTCAATGAAAACAGGGAGATGCGGACTCTTAAATTAGCCTCTCATTGATTTGCCTCCCTCCTGGGATCACTGCTCGGGAAGTGGGCATGGGGGTGGACCCAGGTGGCATGGGGGTGGAGCAATCGCAAGCATGGAATAAGCATCTCGATGATACACCTGACACAGTGCGTTGCGAAACAGACAAACAAAAGACGGAACTTTGCGAGAAGTACTGCGTCCGAAATGATGGACAGAACAGAAGTAGGATCGTGAATGAAGTGGCGAGAATACGATGTATTGAACTCTCTTTGCTCAACCCCGCCCTTGTCAGTTCTCGGGCAAGGACTTCCTATAATAGAGAGCTGAAGCAGGACCAAAAATATCGACATGCGCAAAGGCGTCGTCAGCCTCCGTCAGCTATCCGTATGTTCATCCGACCCCACGATCATCCAACCCGCAGCGAACATGCCGCCAGTTATCCCCTCCATACAACGACAATACGTGTCCATACATAGCACCAACACCTGAGTTCGTATCATGCGAAACATGCTGTAGCTCGGAAGTAGCTTCGGCTGGTGCTGCAGCTTGTTGATCTATCAACCCACTAGCACGGCTGTCCGTTGCAAGCCCACTAGCCACTCCGCCAGCCCGCCAGCTTCTAGACCCTACGCCACTGTCGAGATACACGGGCGCAAGCGATAAAGCAAGTACAGTACCAGCTGGGGGGGGTTGACACATCTGGATGGAATTGGGAGAAGTTGGTACTATGGTAGGTTGTACTTGCGTTGGCCTTGGTGTCTGGACTAATTACGCCGTGGCTTCCTGCGGCTCCTTTGCACGACTGGAATAAAAAGGGAGATATAAAGGGGTGCTGGCAAATATAGCACTCTCCTCGATCCTCAACGACGTCCCCGCGGATCTCACTCTTGGATGGCCCGTCTTGAATAAAACAACAGACCTCTTTCTGAAACAGGATACATGATCTAACGGTCCGACAGGCGCTTCCTCCACCCACCCGTCGTACCGACCACGGATGCCCAACAAGATTCTTATCTTCGTTGCTTCTCCCTCCGAATCCCTGGATCAAGCAGGGAGACAGCGACAGACTTGTGTCTCCAACGCAATTTCGTGTGAGGACGCACCAGTCCCGCTGCAACGGGGCGACGTCATCAATTGAATGTCCAAGGATTCCGCGGTCCCCGCCCATAAATTCGCCGACCTAGAGCCTAGCCTTTGGGTCTCTGCCATGGCATGGCAGATCCATCCACAGCTGTACCGGGCGGCCATTTGTTAGGTAGCTGGGCGAGAGATAACTACACAGGGTTTTGTGTTTTAACTACGCAGTCTAGAGTCGTGGCCGCTGGTTGCGGTTGGTGGCCTGCGCCCTCTCCACTGCAACCCACCAATTGTCTACCTGCTGTCTACCTACGCATCACGACTGGGTTCTGTGCGTTACAATCTACGACGTCAATGTACGGGGAGTTGATCGATGGACAGATGCATCCCCATGCTCTCTCCTCCAGTGGTTTGTCTACGGGGTCCGTACGTAGCAGAGCCGAGGAGACATGTACAATGGGTGCCTGGATTACACACGTGGGCTGTCCTCCGGAGTAGTGCATCTGCGATTCAGCTCCTGACGATCGATGGTTGCTCCCTAACAGCGGTAGCTCTGTGTTCAACAACGCTGGAGTAATTACGCAGTACCGTTCGGCGCTCCACACACCCACCGCATCGAAGAGCCTCCAGTGGCCTCCAGCGGCCTCCACCGTCAAAGTCCCGCTCCACCCTCAGTCTCCAGTTCTCCCGTCGTAGCGCAACCTTGGTCTGCACCGCATCTGCAGCATGTACAGTACCTTGGCCACCCTAGCAGCGCATCCCAGCACCAAGACCCAGCTGCCCCAGCCTGGTTGGCCCGGTCGGCCCTCCTTCGTCGTGTTCCAACTTGTCTGCGTCTGGTCTGCGTCTTGTCGTCCACCATTATCCCGTCATCCCGTCATCCACATCCACATCCATCCAGGGGGGCTGCAGAGAAACAGGCTACGGACACTCCAATCTTTCCAAGGCCATCGCATCGCGGGCGTGGTCTTCTTGGTCCTCCTCCCCTTCTCTCTTTCCTTCTTTTCTTCATTCTCCTTCCGGTCTTGCCAATTCTGTGACTTGCTCTCCTATTGACAGGTGCAGCAGCTGTCACTAGCCTTGACAAGCTCCTTCCTCATCCTGACGCTCGCTTTCCAAACGTACCCCAAGTCTCACCCCACAGCTGCCCCCCCCGGTTCGAGGCAAGGCATACCACTTCGCACACCACCTGTCGACCACGCCTCGAGACAGGACTGTTATTGCCCGCCCGTCGCCAATCCAACCCCCAAATCTGGTTGTTTGTTTTATTTCTCCATCTTCCTCTACTGGATCGGACAACAGCCTCGCCTTCGACGACATCCTCTTCGACCCCACGAAACGCCTTTCGCAGGCCATCTTCGACGACGACAGCTCGCAGTCGCGGCCGGCCATGGCTCCGTCCTTTCTTAACTTCAAGGACCTCCGCCGTCGGTCAAAGGCCAGCTTCCGAACCGAACGCTCCACGGATACCTCAAGCGATGGCGCCGGCAGCCAGGGAACAACGCCCTCGAGCGGTTCCGTCACGCCGCCCTCCATCGCCCACCAATCTGATCCAGCACTCCACCTCCAGGTGAAAGATCAGCAGCACTTTCGCCAATCGTCTCCCCAACGTCACAGCTCGCAGAATCTTCAAGCGCGACCGCCGCTCTCGTCATCTGGTTCCAGCCGATTTAGCGTGTCGGGCATGTCGGGCCTGGGTGCACCCTCCGTAAACGGCAAACAGAACCTCCCTGTATCGCCATATGCTCCGAAGTTGACCAACATCTCGGAGAATGTGTGGGTATGTCATCGACTTTTTTCTTCAACGACGCCACCCTCAATTAGGGCTGCAGCGCCGCCAATGCGCCATCCCTTCCCAGGAGCTCTCACTGGTCGCACAAGATGCTGCAGCCAAGCCCCTTGGCTCCGCGGCCGTTGATTTGACAACATGTGCTAATGCGTCCTAGGTGTATCAAAAGGTTCTCCTTGTGTATGGAACCATTGCCGACCCCGCCCAGCAAACTCTTGACGGAACGGTGACGGTCTCTAGACTCGACGACAACTTTCCGCCGATCAGCTGGCCCGTCTGCAGCTCCCACTTCAAAGCGCTCGTCTACCTTCAGCCCGGTCCCAATAAGCTTCGGTTCGAGTTCTCCAGCCCTAAACTCCCTAACAGTGGCAGTTCCAACCCAATTCACGCCTCTTACATAACTGTTCACATGCTCCCGACCATGAATGCCCCGCCATTGCAACTCGCTATTCTCCTCGCCAAGGACTCGTCTGAGACGTTCGATGCTCTGCCCGCGCGCGCCGAGAGGGAAGGTAATGGGTTGGAGACAGCCGTGAAGAAGTTTCGAATGGCGGCATACCTGTGGCAAGCTTTTACGTCCGAGCAGATGTGGCGGAATAAACTTGGGCGACGGGCATTCCGGTTCGAGGAAGAGTGGACGACGGGCTCCGCCAACTACCGCGATTGGGAAAATGGCACGATGCGGTCCGAGGCCAGAATACACATCATTCGTTGCGACAAGACGGTCGCTGAGCTTCGAGATATGAACAAGGCCCAGCAGAACGAAAAGGCTACCGAACGGGACGCCCTCTTTGGAATCGCCTCCACCGCGGTCAAAAACTATTTCAACCCGCTACCTGGCCAAAAGCTCTACGTCTCGCTCCTTCTTCTGGACGCTCACTGGAACAGGGCTGCTCAAACAGTGACGGGCCATGCCGCCCTGGGTGGCGGTGACAATAACCTGCAACTAGCCATCTTCGGCTCCCACTGCCTGCAAAGCTATCCGACCAGCTTCGAGGAGGTGGTACCAGCTTTCACGGACTGTACCCCGACGGATACTAAGTACGTTGCAAACGACTGTAATGAGGCCGGCAGCTCGTGGGAAGCCGCCAACATTGGCATTGGCGCACATCTGCACGAGACAGGCCATTTGTTTGGATGCCCTCACCAGGAGAGCGGTGTCATGCTGCGAGACTATGTGGTCCTCAACCGAACCTTTGTCGCCCGTGAGGCGTACTCTACGCGGACCAAGTCCAAGGGTGGCCTGGCTCTGCAAGGAGATGAGTGTGGCTGGCACCGACTGGACTGCCTGCGTTTCCGAGGCCACCCAGCATTCCGACTCCCGAACGACCCTCCATTAAACCCCGACGGCAGTGTCCAAGGGTTCCCAGTCGAAGGAGGCAACGTTCTTATTATGGCGGCCACAGGCATCTCGTTTGTTGAGATCTTTGCGGAGGGCGACGAAGTTTGTCACTCTTGGATCGAGTATCAACATGAACAAGGGCCTCCGCCGCGACAAATTACGCTCAACGAGCAGGAACTACGTGCTAGATTGACCGAGAACAACAAAAAGGGTCGCATTCGGATCTCCATCAAGTCACACGCGGGTGGCTCGCTAGACATTGACGACTTCAAGAAATTTGCTTCCAAGCAATCGTCTGTGAAGCTGTCGAATGGAAAGGCGGCATTCCGGTGCAAGAAACTGGGCAGTTCCCAGATGGATGGCAGCTCTACAGTCGAGACAATCTTCACCAGCGCCGAGAAGCAGGACCGGGTCCTCTCTCGAGTCACTGTACACCACGGATCGGCCGTTGATGGATTGGAATTTGTATATGATGATGAGTCGACACAACTGTTTGGAAAGCGGGGCGGTAACAGTGACGTCTTTGAATTCGGTGAGTATTTTTTCTAACTTGTGGATGGAATGAGTCCCCATGGCTAACACGCTTTATCCAGATGTCCGTCGTGGCGAGTATATTAGTGGTTTCCTTGTGCGGTCTGGTTTCTGGATCGACGGGGTGCAAATATTGACGAGCCTGGGTCGCAAGTCACCGCTGTTTGGGAATGCACATGGAGGAGAAGCGTGAGTTGCCCCCTCTACCTGGCGGTTAGGTTTGACTAACGGTGAAGTAGGCATACTTTGATACCCCCTCGAGGATACACCATTTGTGGTGTGTCGGGCTCCTGTGGCCCTTGGCTTGATGGCTTTTCGGTTCTCATATCTCGATGAAGAGGACAAGGAACAGTTCTTTGTTAAACACACTACAGCAAAACATAGACATGGACACCAGGAAAACTGGGTGGATAGTAGTTGGGTGTCGACACGAAAAATACGCATGGAGAGACTACCGCATAGAGGGGAAATTGGTGAACCAACCATTGCTTGCAGCAAACGTCTTGTTTTTTCTCTTTTTGTCATGAAGCGGCGGTAATCATGTCGCGTGCATCTTTGAGGGCATCCGTTCATCATGAACTAGGAGGGAGGTTTTTTCTTCTTCTGTTTTTGGGTTTCTCCCTGACGGTAATACGTTTTTCCCACTAGGGCTCTCTGGACATTGGGCTGGTGGAGTTTGGCAAGTCAACTTATGTTGTCGATTATCACGCAACGCAATAGCGAGGGTATGGCAGGACAGGACAGGACATTGGACGGACATAGGCAGATACATACCTATGGGAGACGGTGATGTATATATGGAATCATCCGCCAATGGAATAGAAATGGGGATTTCAACTGGTGACATCTAGCTGTGAAGCCTACAAGATTCTCTCCATTTTTCCATCTTCATCCCCTACCACCTGGACAACCGACTACGGCACTCTACGCGGTGGTCTTTTTTGATGAAATGAAAGCATCTTAAACTGACCAACGAACTACTGCCATGCTCGTGGGCGGTGAGCCGACATGCGCATCGTAGGAGTCGTAGAGTTTGTTCCAGCGAACTCAGTGTCGTATTCGGTATCGGCTTCGACAGCTAGTTAGATCATGCGAAACGGTCACCCTGCCCCAATCCCATGCCACCAGCTCGTCACCACGCGGATGGGCCACACGCGCCAGCCGCCTCAGCCACATGCCAGTCACAACGGCAAATGCGCAGCCATCACGTGCAAGACCTCCCAACGCTAAGCAAGTCCCGGCGTAGCGCGCGCACACGATGACGGCATGTGTCCCGAGGAAGGCAAGAGTTGCTTGTTGCACGTCCCCGTTTCCGAAACCAACCGCCAACCGCAACTGCGACCTGCCTGCTCCTGCGTCTTGCTCCGCCTTGTTTTGTTGGGTTGCTCGCTGTACCTAGTCTCGCGAATCCGTCGCGCATTTCCCTTCTGCACAAGATCTTCTCCATCCCCCTCCCTTGCTGACGGCCACGACATCGCTGCATCCTCGAAAGAGTTCGCCTTGGCACCGACCACCGACAGTCCGAGCCGGACGTCATCTCCCGCTACCGAAAGTGTTGAGCTCCTCGCCGCCCCATCTGTGACCTCCCTCTCTTCCTTCCCTTTCACTCCTGCACATCTTCGCGCGCGCCTGGCCAAGCTATGTCGAGACGAAGCAGCACTATGGGTTCCAACGGAAACCTGCCCAAGGACTTCTCGTCCTCCAACCCTGGTGAGTCGCGAGAGAGGCATGCTTGCGCATGTGCGTCCGCAGAGCGACGCTACATGTGCCCGGGATTCTATGTGTAGCTGACAAGCCGAATTATAGCCATTGACAAGCAGAAGACTCTGCTGTCGTCAGATGTTGGCCACTTCTCCCTCATCCGGGCGTTGCACCTCGCAGACTCCATCACCCTAATGAACGGTATGCCTTCCCCGGAGAGTCGCAAATGGAATTGATTTGGCTAGAGAGCTAACATGATATGGTTTAGGCTTTTGCGGTGTCATGTCTATCTTCACGTCCCTGCGATACTGTCTTGGCGACCCCAGCTCGTTGGACAAGGTGTACCTCGCCCTGGCCTTCCTGCCCTTTGGACTATTCTTTGACTTTCTCGATGGAAAGGTAGCGCGATGGAGGAAGAAGAGCAGCCTCATGGGCCAGGAATTGGATTCCCTCGCAGACTTGGTAAGATTGTTCTACTAGTAAATTGGGGTCGAATTTTTTGGCACCCAGTCGCTAACATATGTCTATGACGTAGATATCCTTCGGTGTCGCCCCCGCCATGGTTGCCTTCACCATTGGATTTCGCTCCACCGCCGATACTGTCGCCCTCACCTTCTTCGTTCTCTGCGGTCTCACCCGTCTCGCTCGCTTCAACGTCACCGTCGCCGCTTTGCCCAAGGATGCCTCGGGCAAGAGCCAATACTTTGAGGGCACGCCCATCCCAACCTCGCTGGGCATGGACGCCATCATGGCCTACTGGGTCTCCCAGCGCTGGATCCTCGAAGACTTGCCCCTGGGTGTTTGGCTCCAGGGCACTGCCCTCGAGTTCCACCCTGTGGTCGTCCTGTTCGTCATCCACGGCTGCCTCATGACCAGCAAGACCATCCACATACCGAAGCCTTGAGAATCAAGGGTCCAAAGCGACCGTTCAACACGGGAGAGAATGAGACACGAGGATGAGAATTTGAATATTTCTACTGAGAGGGAAATGAATACCGAGACCTACGTGCTTCCGGCTCTGTGGCAGGACTGGTAACTAAGGAGATGGGAAATGAGGCGGTAGGGCGAATGGTGGGACAAAAACAAACGAGAATAGTAGCACACGGGGCGGAGACTTCATTCCTCACGGGATTGGGCGATATACTGGGACAGGACATGATTCACGCAGCTCATCTTAAAATAAGGTAGTTCATGATACCCCATTCATTCACCAAACAATCTATTGTCTTTGTGACAGACTGTGACCATTAATCAGAATTTTATGGGATGCGTAATGGTGTCAATCTTGTCGTCAGGGTTGTAGGATGCTCTAGACGCTCACGATTTGATAGATCGATCGGATGGCTCTGTATGGCTCGGGCCTCAGAGGATGTTCTGTGGAAGAAGACGGCGGTGCCCATGAGAACGGAAGCCGGGTCAGGGTGCAGTACTTCATTCGTTGTCTATTCTGCTAAGAATTTAAGAGTCTAGACTTTAGTAAGTGCTGTAGCGATGCCACAAATACACACAGTACTTGATTCTTGTAGGCTGTAGATACTATATTAGTGCCAAGAGTCTGCGCCGATCATGTTTTAAACCCGAATCCCTTGTTCTATTCACGCACACGATGTTTCAATGGCAGAGACCCGTTTAGGGTTCTAGTGGGAGTTTTGGCATCATAGGGTTGGCAGAATCCACTTCTGACCCAAGAGCTCTGGCTTGTCTCAGCCAACCTCATCCTTCGATGTGCGGACCAGACCATACAAGACCTGATGTACAAAGTACTGAAGGAGAGCATCGACGACAAACCATCCAAGGAGATGCCAGACTCTAGCGATGACGTGGCCATAAAACGAGGGTGGTGACGACACTGCGGTGGGTTACTAGCTGAACTCGTGATGGAAAATGATGTTTGTTCTTACAACACCATCACGGGGGTGCTTCATTATGCTGGACTCTTGTAGAATGAGTGTGGGCTATTGATCGTCCCGGTGTTTGGGTAGCCTCCTTGCAAGGCTGATCAAAAGTTGCAAGATATACACATGATGGGGCGGCTCTCCTTACCACGGATCTCCTTACCACGGTTCTAGTATAGTTGTCGTTGTCCATTGTAGCACCAGCAGAGGCCACCTTGATGCCACAAGCACGGAGCGGGATGCGGAGATGGCCATGGTAGACGGGTGTCTGTTTGCCGCGTACCGTGTGCTTACATGGTGCTTGTGCTTGTACTTGTGCTTGCCTGCATGAGGCTTAGGTTCCCTCTGCATGCGCAAACAACAGCTTCAGCCCGAAGGTCCATGTAACCAATCCGACGCGGGAAAAGCTGTCTAGCAGATCATGGCGTCTGTGCGGCTTCACGAATATCGAGTTGTCATCTAGCTATGCGAGTGAAACCCGCCTCGGATGGAGCTTGGGAGCGCTGACGACGTCCGGTTCGGTCCCAGGGAGTAAAGGCACTGGCCAAGCGTTCTGACGCTCGGGATTAGTGCACTTTTTTGACTCCGTGCTGGGTTTTTGGCGGCGGGCTTTTAGGCGAAATGGCTGTGGATTACTTACCCGGTGAGCATTGCACACAGTAGCGAAGGAGGCTGTGTTCGGAATGGTGGTGCAAGTGGCGGTGTTGAGGCCCTCTTCGGCCCCCTTCCGTCTAGCGGCAGCGGCTGTGGAAGGATTGGACGTGGCGCGGCTGGCTGCAGGATGTAGCTGTTATGGAGGGATTTTTTCCCGTTTGTGGACTTTGGCTGACATTTTGGCTAGCTTGTTGGCAGGGGTGGTTGCAGATTGAAGGTTGGAGATGGAGAAATGCCGTGATGGAGGAACAAACATTGAAGGCTCTCCCTTGTTTCTTTGCTGGTGTACGAAGTTACCTACTTGGCACCTTCCCAGCATGTCAGCCCGCTTCCACTTCCCTTCCTGTTCTTGGACCTGCCAGTCACCGCCGGTTGGCTCGCAGTTGCACTTTTTGCTTTTCCTGCCTTAGGTTGATACTCTCCCCACTCTTCAGTCTCATCCACCCGTTCACTAGATCATTGTTCTGATTCAACCCCTCAAGTGTCATCACCACCACCAACCAACAAGCCAACCAGACGCTCTCAATTAGCCGCTGGGCCACCACCACTACGGCTGTGTCAGTGAGCGCCTCACCTCTTCTGTCATAATCTGCCACCCACCAACTCGCCACTAACTCGACTGGAGCGTCTGCTTGCTCTCATGCTCGTTTCCCACCCCTGCTTCTCGACCTCCGTCGCATCTCGGCTCTCTCTCTCTGAGACGACAAGGCAAGGCCTGTTCCTTCAGGGTACAGTACACCCCGGCATCCCGTTCTCTAGCTGGCCATGTGGGGGAACACAGCTTGCTCTGGACGGTCCGGAGAGCGGAAGCTAGGCGAGTGCCTTGCATGCGTGGGTCATTGACACACTCAGCCCGGTCCAGTCTATTCTTGTCTCGCAGATCCAGCCATGCACACACTCGACTTATCATGAGTTGTACCATATCCTCGGGCCTAGCCCAGTCAGCCCAGTCAGCCCTGGCGGCTCAGGCCTGAAAGTCTCCGTCCCACCCAACATGTGCTCTCTTCTTGTGATATTATTCCGCTGTGGCCCCCGCAGCCGTGTGTTTGGCCGGTTCTAGCAAGTTTTCTCAACCTTTGGTGATTCAGCCATGATGCCTCTTGTTCGCCTTTGCTTCTCCAGTCGATGCCCATGATCGGTATTTTCCCCTCTCACTCTTTTATTTAGCAACTGGCTTGGCCAGCTCATGAAATTCTCTTCGTGTTGATGCCCCGGGGCCTCCTTCTCTTCACCACTCCCGATCCGACTCCTTGGTAGCCATGGAACCGCTCCGGTCTTTGTCACGACATGGCTCCGAAAAGTCTGAAGCACGCCGGGAGCGCTCTCACGCGGACACTACCGTGCGCAATGCCGCCAATACAATGATTGCCGTCACTGAATCCTTCCGTCACCATTTTCAGCAACAACAGTATACTGCCTTGCCAGATCCCCCTGCCCGCTCTTACACCCTCACACACACACACTCGCGGGCGTCAACCAGCAGCAGCACCTCATCACAGCGTTTGGTAGATTATAGTCCTGCGAGGCAGGCAAGCTTCTCCAACCTGTCATGGTCGTCGACTCCACATTATCGCACCGGCTCTTTACAGGATGATCCTATCTCCATTCACACATCTGACTCAGGTTCATCATATACCCTCATTCAACCAGAGTCTGATCCCGAGGTCGCACAAATCACAATACACATCCCCGATGACCTGATCCGCCTATCTAGCCCAAATCTCCCTGACCGATTGGAAACGCCTCATACTCCAACCTCCCGTTATGATATCCCGGACCCCATCATCGATGAACAACCACAGATGGACTACATGCAATCCGATATTAGACAACCAGAACCGATATCAGAACCATATCCAGTATCAGGCTCATATCGAACACCTGAATCATACCCAACCACAAACCCATATCGGACGTCGGAAACCAACCCAACCTCGAACCCTTACCCGACCTCGGACCGATATCTAGTCTCGGACCTGGGCCCAGTCCTCGTAGCCCAGCCATCAGAAGTTGCTCTCAACGATGGTGGTCTCGTTCAAGCTGCCAGGCGCCTCGACGCGTTTAGAGCGAATGCGCACGAATACATGCCTCTAAGACCCGACTGCGGTACCGAAACTAGGCGGTTTGGTACCATCACTCATATCCGTGCCGGTTCTGAGCAAGAGTCTCTTGTTTCCCACAAAGTCCGAAGGAAGCCGTTGGATCCAAGCGCCAAAACCCTTAGGTTCAACCACTCATTTACCAACGAAATTCTCTTCGTCGTTGCCATTTGCCTGGCCCAGGTGCTGGCGTTGGCTGGCTTTTCTCAGACTTTGGTTCCCGCGCGGCAGGTGGCAGAGTCCTTCCCGGATCAAGAGAGGACATCAGGGCATCTCGTTTGGTATACGGCGGCGTACACCTTGGGGACAGGAGCGTTCGTTCTTCCCGGGCACCGACTCGGTCGCGTCTTCGATCACAAATTTATCTTTGTCCTTGGCTATATCTGGTTTGCCATTTGGAGCCTTCTTGCTGGACTGAGCGTCTATATCAAAGTTAACGGCGGAGCGTGTACCATCTTCTTCTGCTTTTGCCGTGGTATGCAAGGAATCGGTCCCGCGCTGCTCATACCTAATGGCCAGGCTCTTCTTCAGCGCGCGTACCCGCCTAGTCCACGCAAAACCATCGTTCTGGGCTTGTTCGACGCAGCTACTCCCCTGGGATTTGTACTCGGCTCCGGCATGACAAGTCTCTTCGGCCACTTCTCATGCTGGCCCTGGGCATTCTATTCTCTCGCTGCTGTATGTCTAGCTTCTGCAGCACTAAGCATGCTCATCCTTCCACGGAGAAATGTTTTGATACATGATATGGAGGGAAATCTCTGGAGCCGTCTCGATATCATGGGTGCTCTTTGCGGCATTGCTGGACTGGTACTGTTTTGCGCAGGCTGGAACCAAGCTCCCATTGTTTCGTTCAAAAACGCCGAGGCTTATGTCCTCCTCGCCATCGGCTTCATGCTGATAATTGCTTTTGTATATCTCGAAGTACGAGCCAGCCATCCGCTCGTGCCTTTCAAGCAGATGCAAGCATCTGCAGCTATCGCTCTCGGGTGTGTCGCCGCTAGCTGGGCTGGCTTTGGTGTCTGGGTTTGGTATCTTATTCAATTCATGGAGGTTCTTCGAGGTTGGGATGCTCTCCGCTTGAGCGCTGGTTTTGTTCCTCTGCTCGTGGCTGGCGTTATCACGGCAGTTGTGTTCAGCCAGTTTATGAACAAGAAGTTGACACCGCATGGGGCCTTGGCCGTCTCATCAATTGCGGTTCTCGTCAGTTCTATTCTCATGGCCACGGCCCCAGAGAAGCAGTCGTACTGGCTCAACGCTTTCATCAGCATTCTCATCATGCCAGTGGGACTGGTTTTGTCCATCCCCTCCACCGTTGGCGTTCTCGGTCGAAGCATGCCCCAAGAATACCAAGGCCTAGCGGGTGGCCTTACTGCCACTCTGACGGGGTATGCCCTCTCGATCAGCCTGGGGATGGCAGGTGTTGTGGAGAGGGATGTACGGAACAAGGGTGCGACGACACTCGAGGGCTATCGAGCAGCCCAGTATTTTGGCTTAGGCGTGAGTGGGCTGAGCGTCATCCTAGCTCTAAGTTTACTTTGTATTACTTTCCTTCGGCGTTAGATGGGTTCAAAATGGTGGCTTTATCTGTAGATGTGTTTGGTCGGTAATCGGTTTTATACCCCAGAGGAGGTTAGTTAGCATAGCATGTGTAATTCATGATAATATCAAAATGGAAATGCGCCCTCAATGCAGGACTGAGCATGGAAAAGGGTACTCTTTTTATTTCTCTCTCCTCGATCCACGTATCCATTGTGTCTGTACAAACTCCAATGCCGTACCGTCTCGCAGGATTGGATATAGCGTCCCGGGTGAGGGGACGAAAAAGAACAACCAAAGCACAAGCCACCGTTAAACGCCAGAAAACCCCAGATGTCTCTTTGAACAAGCGTAGTCGTACCCCCGTCTTTTCTCGTCCATCGTTGACTCGGTTGATTAGCCGCCTCTGCTGAAGCCGCCACGTCCGCGACCACCGCCTCGAGAGAAACCACCACCACCACCACCTCGGGAGAAACCACCACCGCCGCCACCACGAGAGAAACCACCGCCGCCGCGACCGCCTCCACGGGCACCGAAACCGCTGCCGCCTCGGGAGAAGCCACCGCCGCCACGGGAGAAACCGCCGCCGCGACCACCACCGCCGCGACCGCCAAAGCCGCCTCGGCCGCCACCACGGGGACCGCCACGGCCACCGCCAGCGCGCTTGAGCTTGGGAGCACCAGGAGGAGGCTTAGGCTTAGGGAGGAACTTGTCGAGGGGCAGGAGCTTCTCGGAGCCGATGTAGAACTTGTCGCCCTCCTTGAAGGAGGTGGCCTGGATACCCTCGGTGGGCTTGATGGTGAAGAAGACCTGGTTGATGGGACCGAGGACCTCGTCGACCTTGCCGACGGCCGTCTTGTTCTCGAGGAAGATCTGGGCGTTGAAGTGAGGGACCTTGGGGTTGCTGGACTCGCAGACCATCTCACCCTCGCAGGCGTGCATGAACTTGCCCAACTCTGTGATGTGGTGTGTTAGCACCTGACCTTGGGCGGAAAAGGGTGCGCTCCCACAGTCCGACAAGCGGAGGGGACTTGGGGAGAGCGAGGAGAGGGGACATACCAAGGATCTGAGCAGGCGGGCCCATATCTCGCTGCTGGAAACCTCCTCCACGGCCTAGGACAAAGACTCGGATCAGCAAACCAACCTCGCAATATACCGCTCGCAAGCACCGGACGCGAGCCAATTGACCGTCGCAGCCTCAATGGCCAAGCTGTCGTTCAACCGGATCGCGCACGCCGGCGCCGGAAAGGAAGAGAAACCTACCACCACCTCGACCGCCAAAGCCACCGCGGCCACGGGAGCCGCCTCGGAAAGACATTGTTGGTGGAGAGAAAGAAGGGAATCGCCTTCAAGTTGAGAGTGTGTTTGAGTCGCTGTGCGGATGCGTTTCCTGGCCAATTGCTGGGGGTTCGGTCAAGGATATGCTGGTGTTCGCCCGCTTCTGGTTGGGTTCGCGGCAAGGTGAGGCCCGTCGTCGAACTTTTTTGTGTGAAATTTTCGGAGGCTGTCGAACCAGGCAAGGAAGGTCTGGGTCTGGGTGAGCTTCTACGGGCTCCGATTGGCGGGCGAGCTTGGGAGCGGAAAAACTATTTGGCGCGGTGGGCGAGGTGGGGGGGCTGGTTGGCTGGTTGGCTGGTGGGGGGATTAGTGGGGCCGGTTCTCTTTCTGTCAACTCACACCGAAGCGCAGTATCACAGACCTATCATCTAAGTTAGCAACTATTAGCTGCTTCAAGCTCTCGAGACTCGGTTCAATGAATTATGCTAATTATACTAAACGAAGGGAGACAAACTTGTAATCGTCAATTCTCTCAATGTCATAAGACCTGAACAGGTTCCATACAGATGCCCCTATCACCAAGTACAACTATCATTTATGCTTCTAGGAAATCACTCCACTTCACTCCACACAGCTATCAGATGCGCCATCTGCGCCCACTCGTCCATACGGTTCGCATCTGACATGCCGGCCTGCATGTTGTTGAGCATCTGCGCCCCTGTAGCTCCGTTCTCCGTCTCATACCAACCCAACGAGCTGTTGCCGTGCAAGTGGCCGTCCGTCGTGCCGGCCACCGCCGCGAAGCTGTTCATGCCACTGTACATGACGCTCAGCATGCCCTGGTTCATGGCGCTCATCATCTTCATCTGCTTCATCTGCCGGATAAAGTCGACCTGCGGCACCGTCGCGTTGTACACCTCCATGCGCCGCTTGCCAAACGCCCGGAACTCGTCCAAGGCTGCCGCTGACTCGGGCGATCCGGGAGCCCCCGCCGCGCAGGTCTGGAGCCACATTTTGCGCATCCGCGGCGACCAGATCTGGCAGACCATGTCGCGGTCATCGGACCCTCCCTTGATGGGGAGCAGGTCGCTGAGTGCTGTGTCCGCTACGAAGCTCATGTAGCAGTCTTGGCAGAATAGGATCTCTGGGTATCCCCACCATGTTCCATTCTTCAGGGGCTTGAGGCGCGGGCAGGGTGGGATACCTGCCAGCTTCTTGACGCAGTCCGTGTAGTAGCTGAAAACACTCCGGTCTTGCGCCTCGACGTACTTGCTGAGGAACTGGCCGAATCGCGGACTTGCGACACAAAAGCTGCAGACAATGGTCGCCTCGCGATCTCGCTCCACCGGCTCAAAGAACTGGGCGGTATCTGCAGTCTGTAGGACGCCGTTGTAACACGCCTCGCACACACTCAGTCCATCGCAGCCGCCCGTTACCGTCCACCACTTGCCACGGATGATGCCGTGAGGGGTACAGGGGACGAGACTGGTGATGACTTTCGCCGCGTTCCAGAAGACCGTGAAGTCGCGCCGGTAGATGGCTGCCTCCAAGGCAAACGCCATTGGGATATTCCCATCTGCCAGGTCACAGGTCCACGACCTGCCCATATTGTCAATAAGGGCATCGATGCCGGTAGCTGGGATGTGGCGCTCGAGCTCGCCCCCGAACCGCGTCAATGCCACCTTGTCAAGATAGCAGGCTTCGCAGACATGCATCTCGTCAATCGTGCGGCGTGCCAAGTACCAGTTGCGACTGTTGAACGCCACCAATTTACCATCGCACTCTGGGCACTGAATACGCTGGAGTGCGGCGGGTACAAATCCAGCCCAGTCATTGTCTTTTGCCATCTTGACCACAGCAAGCGATATGTACGGCGAGGCTAGGTCACAAACCCACGTCTCGTTCGCGCCTTGCTGTCGTCGGAAAGGTGCAAAGTTAGACTCAAAAGCAGAGCCCACCACGCAGTCCTCGTAGCAGGCCTCGCATGCTATGAAGCCATTGATTTCGTTTTCAGTCATGCCGTACCATTTTACGCCTTCGTCAGCCTTCCTGCCCACTTTCCCGCCACATGGCAGAACGTCCAGGCGCTTCTTCATATACTCACGCAGAGCACCAATGTCATTGCTCCGAACAGCCTGCGGCCAGAGAATCTCTTTCACACGCGGACGCCAGAAGCCGCAGGTGGATACGACGTCGTCGGGCTGTTTTACCCGCTCAAAGTGACTCGCAAGAGACGTGTCTTGGATGTAATCGGCATGGCATCTGGTACAGATCAGATACTCGGGGATATCTGCAATGTGGTACCAGTAGAGTGAATAGTCTATTCCTCTCGTCTCAGGGCAGTATGGAACAACATCATGAGGTGGCCCAGTGGCGTGGATTGGCGCTGGTTTTCGTGGCCGGTTATCTTCCGCAAGTACTCTACTACTCTGTGATGGCTCATCAACTTGCACGTTGAGGGTATTCATCTGAGTAGAGAGTATCGCAACGGGATCATGTTGGACAACATGGTGCGGCTGTGACGGTTCGACTGCTGCGGCCGCAGGATCGGTTGACCCTAAGTGGTGTGGATTTGACTCGTGTTGTGGCGGCGGACCAGGTGCGAATGGATTATAAGCCAATGGATTCACAGTAGTCGTCGTTGCTAGACCCGGCGATGATTCTGTATACACGGCGACTGGATTTGGTTGCTGCCCCTGAGGCGCCTGTGATAAGACCGATGGTCCAGGTGGAATTGGAGGCGGAGGCGGACAATAGTATGTATCAGTGGATGATACTGCAAATTCTTGAGGCCCTTGTGTGTTTTGTTGCTGCACGATTGGTTCCGATGGCGGCAGGTAATAGTAGTGGTCGTTGGGGGATGTCGTTTGTGCCGCTGGGGCTTGTGTGGTCTGCTTCTGTGCCGGATTTGGTGCGGTTGGATTCGATGAAGATAGATATTTGTATTGATCTTTCAGGGCTTTTACCTGTGCCGCTAGCTGTTTTAAAGGCGGATAGTAAGAGTGATTGCTTGGGGCACTTGTAGTATCCTGAGCTCCTGGTGTATTTTGCTTCTGCGTCGGTGTCTGCTGTGAAGTAGCGAAGTACGTGGGTTCTGGTGAAGGCATCTGAACGACGTTGGCCCATCCAGGTGACGTTGTTTGACTTGGTACCTGTGCTGGCGGACCTATTGGGGGAGAGTAAACAGCATGACCCTGTTGTTGACCAGTGCTGACCTGGCCAGAATCAGCAGGACGAGTTGATGGCGGCGGGAGCGGCGGTGGGAGCGGCGGCGAAGAATAAATAGCATGATCCTGTTGCTGACCAGTGCTGGCTTGGCCATAATCGACGGGGCGAGTTGAAGGCGGTGGGAGTGGTGGTGGAACGGAATGTTCCTGTGGCTTCACGAAGCCATACGGCTGTTGTTGGGGTGGAGTTGAGATATGTGCCGACGGCGGTGGAACCACATGTTGCGAGTTCACAAACCCGTACTGCTGCTGCTGAGGTGGAATTGAGACATGTACAGCCGGCGGTGAAATTGCATGTTGTTGTGGGTTTGCAAAACCATACGGCTGCTGCTGGGGCGGAGCTGAGACTGGTATAGACGGCGGCGAAACAACATGTTCCTGGTGCCTCGTGAAGCTGTACGGCTGTTGCTGAGGTGGAGTTGAGACAGGTGCCGACGGCGGCAGAACCGCATGCTGTTGTGGGTTCACAAAGCCGTATGGCTGTTGCTGGGATGGGGTTGAGACAGGCATAGACGGCGGCGGAGCGACATGTTCCTGAGGCTTCGCAAAGTTGTATGGCTGTTGCTGGGATGCAGTTGCGGCCGCCGCAGACGACGGCGGTGGAGCATATGTTGCCGGGGAATAATTTGACGACGGGTCATATTGGGGTTGATACGAGGGCACCGTCGGGGTGGTATTGATCGGAGCAGGGCCATGGTTGTATTGTCCAGCAGCTGGGGGAGAGTAGTAACTGGTGTATTGCTGCGCGGGTTGCGGATGGGTAGTTGCCGGCTGGACCGGAGCATAGGCAGGTTGCGGGGGATACCAGGCCGGGCTCTGGGCCACTTGCGGCGTGTGAGCGGGAGCGGTAGAGTAGGTTCCAGACGAAGATGAGGGTGGATTGGGACTGTAGTACGTCGGAGCGGGTGGTGGTTTGCCTGGTCCTGCTGGCGGCGGCGGAAAGTACGGGATGCTCTGCGGGGCCGGCGCCGGACCCGGAGGAGGCGCTTGATATCCGTACGGCGTCGTCTGATACGAGGCTGGAGGACCGGCGGCATATGTTGGGTTTGGATACTGTGTCGATCGAGGTGGAAGTGGTGGAGGATTCGGCGCACTCCCGTTCCTCGGTGGCACCGGCGGAGGCGGGGGTGGGTAATAGTCCCCGTGCGGAGGAGGTCGCATGGTGATGGGCACTGGTGATGCTTTCAGAGCGGTTCAGGTCGGTTCAGGTAGTGGTGTTCTTCTTTTCGAGGCTGTTCCTTTCCAGAGCCGCGTGCCGCTGATGTCGACGATATTCCAACGGCAGCGGGGAAATGCAGCAATCACCAACCATGCCACGCTGGCGACGGGTGCCTATTTAGGTGTTTCCCAGCCCACACTCGTAACGCCCGTGTTCCTCGACTCTGAATTAAGGGCGGCGGGCTGAAGGGCTGAAGGTCTAGTGCCTTTGACTCGCAGGCCGCTAGTAACCTTTTAGTACCACCTTAATCCGACTCCACGAATGAGCGGCACCCTGATACTTCCCCTGGCTCGTTTTCGGTCGCCAGCGTGCGCTTTATTGCCTCGGCGCAGTCCGTATCGAAACAGGGCATATCCCTGGATTGCGGCTGTCGCAGATCGTGGGAGCTTCGCTGGCTTGTGGCTGTGAACCAAGACGACTTGACCCACTACAGATGCGAGCCACATCTTGATCAGAAGGAAGAATTCCCAAATCACTACCCCCGTTCCTCTCAAGAACAAGTGCTTACCCCGGAATACACTAGCTGCGCTTCATGCCCGGGTCTTCCAGCCTCACCCAAGGGTCGTCAAGCAGCTCTCTGGCCGTGGCTCTCTCCTCTGGCACCCAGTTCAGCATCCTCTTTATAAAGCGGATGAACATGTCTTTATCATTCCCCTCTAGCATCGTCAACTTTGTCGAAAAGTTAAACTCCTCTCCGGGGATCAATTCGGGACGATTGAAATTCCCTACGTCGTGGTTAACATCTCTAGACCCTCTGGATTCATCTCCTCTGAGCTCACCGTGATTGTCATAAAATCGGGAAAGGGCTCCTCCGTCGGCTGCTGTGAGAATCCCAGGTGGAGGCGGTCCCAACAATCGTACCATCTGGGCGAATAGAGTCAGGTCCGAGAATTCGGAGGTTCCGGGCAATCTTCCGTCCAAGAGACTCTTTCCCGCCACAACTTCCCATAACTGGATAATGTCAGTCTCTACAACGAATATGCATCATGCAAGGGTGTCAACCATTAGGCCCAAGTTCCAGATGTCTGCAGGGTAGGACCATCCTGATTTAAGAAGTACTTCTGGGGTAGTGCATTCTCCAGACTGAGAATCATGCCTTTTCTTGTCTTGCAGCTCTAGGATCACCTCCGGTTCGAGCGCATCATCGAGACTTCTGAGTCTTACGTCTTTTCGCAAACTGCGGATGTAGTCGCGGCTCAAGCCTCCCGGGTGCGCCAGTCGTTCGGCCTGGATTTTGCGTGAAAGGAGTTGAAGAACATCCGCGTCATCGACAGGGAGTAGAAAGTCGTTTCCTTGGGGATCTATAAAGCAGCCAAGTCAGTTTGTTGAAGGATCGTTTTGAAAACGTAAATAACGGGGATGCCAGAAGAATGCATACCTGTATGCATGGCATGACATGCAGTGTGAAGGAAATCGAGACATCGTAGGACGCTCGGAATAAGGCCCTTCAGAATGTGAGGGTGGGTAGGACCATCCACACGGAGATTCCTCCCCAGCATCCAGTGCGGCTTGTTCGTATTCTCATAACCCATGCATTGGTGAGTGGATCTGGGTCCTCTAATCCCAAACGGCTTCATAGCGCTGGTAACAAAGGTCTGGTGCGAGGCAGAAAACCATGATCCTTGACTGCGATTAAATTCCCATGCTTCCTCTCGCGCAGTCGCAGCTGTGACCGAGCTGTTTGAGAGCTTCATTGTTACGTATCGCTGTCCCCGCAGCGAGCGACTGTCCTCAGTCAACTTCAAGAGCTAAGATAATGACAATAGCCACGTCTAGGAGAGAGATTGGGTCGCAAACCTTGTAGGTTTTACGGCAAGCCAAACCGTCGAATCAGTTGCACTACCAAGCCTCAATATCAGATGAATTTTGTTGCCGACCACCCAACCAGCTTGTGCAGGGTAGACATGGTCGGCTTGCGACGATGAAAGCCCATCATCTGCTTCGGCATGTTTCTGAACGCTTGGCCTGCCCCAAGACACTGCCCTTGAACCGATTACGCATGGAGCAATCGGGAGACAATGCCTCTGATTCAAAGATCGAAGGATGCCCTGCGAGGGAAGGAGGCGCCTCATGGCATTTGTTGTTTAAAGCGCGAGGGTAGTGAAACTGAGATGAATGTAAGGAGAACAGCACAGACCTGGACAAGTTTTTCTTGGTTGAGCCCCGGTCCTGCTCTAGGGTAGGTAGTTTTGCTTTAGTAGAGGCTTATTAAGGACCGAGTTTCTGAGCTTAAGCTTGCGTGTGTCGGATTTGGACATGTACAAATCATGTGGCTAGGTACGTTTATTGCCATATCCTATGCATTGAAAAAGATCTTCATTCTCTGTAATGACGGTCTCTAGGTAATCTTTCATAGATGTAAATAAAAGACGCTCCACCATAGTAACGACAGTCGATGAAATCAAAGGGAACGCTTTTTCTTGTGCAGAGTCAACCAGGAATGCTAACAAAGAAAAGGATCATATCCAATTGAAAACTTAACGAAGGATATGATGACGCAACACTATCGTAACGAACGCCCTGCTGCCTCTTGACAGTTCCTAACCCTGGTTTTGAACCACCCCGTCTCCACCGCATGTACATGGGAACGAGAAAAAAAAGCAACACTGGGATATTGAATGTGCAAAAGAGAACCGAATTGGCACACTGGCCACTTCAAACTGGAGTGCTCTTGGGGTATCCGCCTGGGATATGTAGGTTAGAGATGGTCTGAACGCTCTCCTTTCTGGCTGTTTGAGCCGTTGGTCGGATTGGCGTGGAGTCATCGTCGTCGGTATCGTCCATCAAGGACTCGCGCTCAGAAACAGATACAGCCTCATCCTTCACAACAGGGCCCCCCAGATTGGGGAACCCTTCACCATTGACTGCCATCACGTTCACAGTCTTTCCCCCCATAGCACCGTTGGTCTGGCGCTGTTCACGCTCGCTGTTGAACTGTTCGGCCGCAACCAACTCCTCGTATTGATTTAAGTCTCGATTGTCCTGCGTGTTGGCAAACTCTGTGCTAGACCCTTGATTCTGAGCCATGACAACAGGTACGAAGTAGTCTCCGTTCTGATGTTGCTGCACAGACTCCCGCTGCTGAATCGGTTCGCTCGTATACGGGTTGACACCATCATAGTGCGCCTTCTGGTTGGCGATGGCGGCGTGGGAAGGGACCTCATCCATGGGTGTTCTGTCGGTAGCACCGTAGCCCAGATTGTTGTTGTCCTGGTCCTGTCGGCTGCCTCCAGTGGCCGGTACAAGCAGAGCACCGGTGACAGATGGTGCCATTGGGTCCATCTGGTGGTCCTGGAAATTGGAGCTTACACTAGAAGGCGAATGAGAGGCCTGTAAGCCACGTTGCGCATTGACTTGGATATCAGATGGGAACCGCCCACCTGCTTGAGACCGCCGGGGTGTCGTGTCGTGCTGTCGCGCTCCCGGGTTGGCATAAATCTGGGTTTCGGCCGAGAAGGGTTCTTCGTCGTCCTCGTCGAGTAGTCCGTCGCTACTAACTGATCGTCGCGATGACCGGCTCATGCTTCGCGAATGGCTGCGTACGAACTGGCTGCGTTCCTCTGGGGTCTTCTCGGTGAGAGCTTTGATGTCATCGTACCAGGCCATCATTGTGTCGTGGCTTTCGGCACGGAATACCCAGGTGTGCCCGCGATGCATGGTGCCGGTCTGTCGGCCCTTGAGAATGAACTTGTTCGACGAGCCTCCTTCACTGGAGTGGGATCCTAGCTTTTGTTCTGGCAAATAGAGGGACATGACTGGCGCTTGCGCCTTGTCCGCTGATTTAAATTCGTGAAGATGAGTTGCAGAAAGAACATACCTTAAGAAACAAGTCAGCAAAGACGTGCGACAGCAAACTTGGAATGACTTACCAGCCGGCCGTGTAACTCTTGAGGTACTTGCTCTTGCGCTCTAGTAATCCGGCCCGGATTTCCTGGGCAGCCTCGTGGTCCTGACCGGGGTAATGAATCTGATCGGCAGCCCTGAGAGGGATGCTGGGGTCGACGAATTGGTTGTCGTGGGTCACAAAGTGAATCCATTCTTGGTCCTTTGGCATTGAGATTGGTCCCTCCCGAAGCTCTCCAATGACGTTGTAAGCATTGTCGGCTTCGCGCTTGAGGACTCCAGCATAGGCATTGTATGCCTTCTGGATTTCCCCAACCACGATTGATTCTAGCTCTCGACCCGAGTTTTCCAGGTTGAGATACGCCTGAATTGAGTTAGAGTTGAGAAATTCTTGCATCTATAGGGAAAGGGCTTGTGGGCATATACCTGGTGAAGATAGTTCTCCTCGTCAATTTGGCGCTCAACCTGGCGATCGACGGCTAATCGAAGGATGTAGGGATCTTGCTTGCCGGTCGTCAAGGATTCATCGAGCTCATTCTTGCCTAAGACGTCGCTGAGGTTCCGCACTGTCTTGCGGGTGTTCTCCATTTCCTTCTCGACCGAGTTCTTAAAATCGCCTGACAGATTTTTGATCTCCTTGATCTTTTGCTGTAAGTCGCTCCTCAGGCCAGTGAGAGCAAGGATGACGTCCTCCTCGATCTCCTTGGCCTTGTTGGCTTCGACGATGGCATTTTTGTTGTAGGTGCGGAGGAACTGCAGCGCATCATCGATGCCGGCAGTAGTGAGGAAGCCGGGCGGGGCAGATATGTTGTTGGAGACGTTGGCGAGCTTGAGGAGAGATTTGGAGCGATTTTCGTAGTGCGACTGAATCTCTCTGAAGTATGCGATGAGATCCTTGAGGACCTTTCTCCAAGCTGGACACGAGGGATTAGCTTGGGAACAAACCGGACACAGAAAGGCCACTGGTGTCAAGAAGGAGACAAAGCTTACACTGGAATCGGTTGGAGAGGACGTCAGTCGGGTTGCCTGTAGTTGGTATGGGACAGTGGAAGGCGCTGTGGGCCTCGTCGGGGTCGGAAGTGGACTGCAAGGCAAGACTCTTGACGCTGCCAGCCCTCATGCTACGACGGCTGCTGCTGCGCTTTAGACTGCCATTGCGTCGCAGCGAGTTCTTCTTCTTAAGAGTGTTGTTGCGGACGGGCAACTGCTGGTCGTCGCCCGCATTGAAGCTGTGGACCGAGGCGGCGCGCTGCATGTTGGAGCCGGAGACGTGGTGGCCGTCAACAATGGAGGAGCCGCGCTGGGAGGCGCCCCATTCCTCGGTGAAGCGTCCGACGGGTTGCGGATGTTGCGGCTGCGGCACGGCCAGAGAGTGGTTGTAGCTGTTGTTCGCCGAGTCGTCGTCGTACCGTGGGCGCGAGTTGGAATTGGAGTTGGCGGCGGTGTTGGCGGCGGTGGTGCGCTGGTAGTCGGCGGCGGCGGTGGAGGAGGCCGGAGAGGGAGATTGAGGATATGAGTAGGGATAGTAAGAGTTTTGAGGAGCGGAGGAAGGATGGTGATGAGGGAGAGTCTGAGAATGGGCCTGGGATTGGGACGGAGGCAGATCCATGGCGAAGGTGGCGCTATATGCCTCCCGCTGGCAACTAGCGAGCGAGTGGGAGGGAAAGGAGGGCTCCGTCAGAGTCGGCGAGGAAGACGTATGGATGGATGGCGTCGTGAATGGAGGAGGGAGAGGAAGGAGGGGGGGAAGGGCGTGTGGTAGTTGGATGGGCGAGATGTGCGCAACCAAGATTCAGTGGAAGGTAAACTTCCAGGTGACGGGCGGATGGTGTTGACGCAATGGGCGCACACGCACTACGGACCTACGTAGTTGGCACACGGGTGGTCTCCCTGAGGAACAGCGCTAGGAGGCCGAGTCGTGGAGGGGAACCCACTGTACTCCACTGCGAGGCTAGTACGAAAGCCCCTAGAGGCACTCTGCTAGGCGAGGTATGGCAGGGCGCTGCTGCGTTGGGGATATGTTAGGTTTGGGCCGAGACAAAGGCAGCTTCGAGGAGGGCACCTTGTCGGCTGGTGTGCTTCGCGCAATACTCCGTAGCTCAGCTGGCGATGGGAGCAATGGGCATCGTCTCCACCGCGGGCTGGGGCCGGGGTCGTGCGGACGACGGGCAACGGAGATGGACGGCGGGATGACGCCAGTGCCACAGGATGGACGGCAGGAGGCGGCAGCAGTTCGAGGGAAGATCCAGCGGGGGTGAGTTGGTCTAGCGTTTGCTTATTGAGCAAATCAGAGCAGAACAAGAACAGAGCAGAGCTGAACCAAGGGACCGTCCGCGAAATGTCAGATGGCGGAACGAGGAAAGAAACAGGCCAGCAACGATGGCGAAAAAAGGATGATGCAGCTCTGCCAGCAATATTGCACATGAAAACCAGAAAGTTCATCCAGTCGGCCGTCCATCACCCATCGGTTCTACAACCACCCGGTGCCATGGCCGCCAAGCGTCCCAGCACTTACACCCGAATGGCTGATCACCACCCAAGTCCGACAGGACGGTACCTGCAGGTACCTCGATCTGCTTCAAGCCTCTCCAACCCGCCCTCTATCAGGCACAAACGACCCATTGCAGCACGCATCGTGGGGGACTCCAACCGCAAGACACAAGTCCCGCCACGTACCCTTCCCCATCCCCAGGCCGCGAACTTGCAGCTGGTTGCAGCCCAGTTTTCCCCACCACATCCATTCCCACCGATGACGTCGACGGACGCCACTACTACGTCCCGCTCCAAGGTTCCAACAACTCGGCGCTTCTCGCACCCGTGCTGCTGGTGATGCCTTCATCTGTCGCTGCGAGCGCGACCTTCGTCATCCCGCGACAGCTCTGCTCCGCCACGATCCTCACCGGGGTCCGGCAGTCCCCTTGTGAGCGCCGGCGTTCAGGGCCTCGGCATCTCCGCCTCCAGATCTGCGCGCTGGCTTGTTTAGTGTTTTGGTCCGACCGTCCGACCGTCCGACCCTCTTTCGTGCAGGGATGCTGCCGCAGTTGCCAACTGTCTGTCTGTCTGTCTGTCTGTCTGTCTGAAGACTCCAATTCATCCCTGCTAATCCTAGTACTTACATTACCCAGCGTCATTCACCTCGATCGCCATGTCCATTTTAGTGCGTGCAGCTCAAAGCACCATCTGCTCATCTAAGGAGCCCGATCCGGCTGGGAGTGCTCCGAGTCGCGGAACTTGATGTTTGATGCCCAGGGGCTACCGACATCCTGTAACCGCCGAGTGACGTTGTGACTTCATCAATATGTTTTTTTTAAACCTCACGTCTTAGATCCGATGAAATTCGGCCACGTCTGGTTCAATGCACAACACATGCCATAAATCCATGTTTTCATTGCATCCACTCCAAGAGTTGGTTACCTTCCTTCAAACCGTGCTAACTCCCCGAAACATGACATGGTCCAAGTCGCCTGAACCTGTGAACTGAGGCGATGCCTGTGTCACCACGCACCACGCTGTCTCTCAGCTGTGATGCCATCGTCACATGCCGTCGAACATCGTAAATGTACGTTTTCCCCCCTCTCACGGGAAATCTATACATGGCCATACTGTGAATACGTGATACTCGACAAGAGTGATGAGGCCTCCCGTCGATCTGCAATCTCCCAAACGACCCTGAACGCCTGTCCCATGCTCTGTGCCCAACGAAAGCTCCACAACGCCGTCGTGAAACCAGATCTCCTTAGCGCCATGACGATGTTGTTTTAGCACTATATGTAGATCTCATGGCTTGCCTGTCGTTTGAATGACCACGCCTTATTGCTACACTAATCTGCAAATGCTCGCGTTTTCCCGCTGCGGGTATCGGACAATCATTGCGGGGATAAGATTCCCGGTTCATGCTTCTTGTTCTGAAACCGTATCAATGGTGGGTTCTGCTGGAGGGCGTTCAGCCGTTCTCATCCTCCCAAACCGTCTTGGCGGTGGTGCCTTGGGGGGTGTCTTCTTGGCGCCTCCGTTGACGTGCACCTTCCCTGGCTGAGAGAATGGGATTCCGTGCCGGTGCTTGGGAACTGCAGGGAGAGGCTTCTTGGCCCTGACGGTCATGGTCACTCCCCCTTCTGAAGTTTCGGTATCGTCGCCGTCCGGCACCGCTTCTCCGGCCCGGCTCGGCGTTTGCACTCCTGGTTTTTCCATCACGGCCGCGACGTCTCCGACGCTGATGCTACTCGAGCTCTCGGAGTGCGACAGACTGATGCCCAGGAACTTGCGCGCCACCTCGGCCTCGCCCGCTCCGGGGCTGCCATGGTCTACTTCCTCCACCCACTTCACCTTGGCCACCCGCTCGACCAGGCGCAGCGTCGTCTCGTCGGCGGGTGCAAAATGCGCATTGTGCGAGCCTCGTAGGATATTCAACACCCGGTGAATCTCATCTTGTCTGTAGTATGGCGGCTGGCTGAGCTGCGTGTGTGCCAGCAATGGGTATAGCACGCGCAGGTAGGTGTGTCTGAGGGACATCTTCTCATCGGGGAGATCCATTAAATTGCGGATGATGACATCTTGAAGCACCCTCAGGTCATTCGTGTAGAAATATTCGTATGTAGCCCTGTTTGTGAAGAGCAAGTATAGCAGCTTGAGGATGAGAAGCTGTAGTGACGTCTCAGTCTCCCGGTTTAGCAGTAGTATGATATTCTCGCCAAACGTCCGAAACGACGGTCCATGGAGGCTGAGGCACTTGACAATTCTGTTTGTTAGGGGTGAGTTGGGAGACGCCGGGTCGCCGGCGGGTTCAGTCGATGCGAGCATGTACTGCTCGTTCAGAACAAGCTGTTCGCATGGTTAGCATTGGCCGCACGCCAACGACGCGGCGAGACGCTTACCAATACTCTAATTGTTGGATAGTGATATGGGTCATCCTCGTCGGACACTTCTTCGATGAGCCGGAACAGGTACGAGACGAAAGCGTCATTCACCTGCACCAGGTCCTCCATTCGCAGTCGCTCAATACGCGACATCTCGTACATGAGGTGCAACAGGTGGCGGTGCAAGCGTGGGTCAACATGCTGGCGGCCATTGATCAGCTCAAGCAGTCGGGGGAAGCAAGCCTCGTTGACCATGCGGGGAAACGTGGTCTCATCCTGACAACCATCCAGCAGCAAGAAGCAGGTGATGGCGTGCAGCGGCCCCGTCTCGTCCTCCTGGAGCAGGCTGTATATGATTTGCGTACGGATGTATTCCTTGTTAGCACAGAAGAGGTTGCCGGCGAGGAGCATGTGGGCGCAGGCGGCAGTGTCATCGTGGGAGTCGGAGAAGTGGTCGCGGAGCTGCGTGGCGAGGTCGAGCCAGGAGCGGAGGGCGTCGTCGATCGTCTCGTGGCTGTCGCATTTGGTCGAGACGCATCGGTCGAGATCTGCCGGTCTGTCGTGTCAGTCCTCACAGACTTGTCACGTTGTGCGACTGCATCATCGCTGAACCAACCCACCAGCCCAGAGCCGTTCCTCCTCCTCAGGCGAGAGGGCAGCGTCGTGGAAATCCGCCATGGTGCTCGGTGCAGTATGTGCGCGGCCGCGACAGCATCGGGTCTTGGCCGGCCTCGACGAAAGATGCTCTAGAGGTGGTCGAGGAGATGACGGGCCGGCTGACAATGGTTGGCAGAGGCAGAGGTCATCTCCAACATGGAGCAGGAGTTGGGAAGTGAGAGAGTGGGTTGCAAGTTGCAAGTTGCCGGTGGAGTGGTGGAGTGAGTGGCGGGGTCGAGATTGTGGTCGACTTGCTTTGGAGTGGGCGCGCCGTCGTGCCGTCACTTCATCCGGTGGCGGGTTTGACATGGGCTTGGCATGACCACCACCACCAACACGAAGACGACAGGACACTGCAAGCGGCTAGCGAGCTGAAACCAAAGAAACCAGACAGTAATATATCCCACACAGCTTGTAGGGAGCAGTGGAATTTTTTAGCAAACCACCGCAAATCACAGCGCGAGACGGCCACATGTTTGGGGCTGCGGGGGTTCCATGTAAGTCATGGGCCGGGTCATCCATCATCCATCATCCATTATCATCCCAACTGCGCCCAAGACAACCCCGCCAATCAAGCAATCGGGTAAATACACAAAGCCAGAACCTAGTCTTCGAGGACTCTCTCCTATTCTATCTCTGCTTTCAACGCAGGCGAGGGTATCGCGCCAGAAACCACAAATCCTAGCCCTCTCTTGATGCGCAGTCCCTAACGCCAAAATCCGTTTCCCAGCAAGCCCAGTCCAATACACCCGAACAAGCCTCCGAGGAGGACCACACTCTAAGAACTCTCCTATTCCTCGTCGTAAATCTTGACCTTGTCTGCGTATTCATTGATGTTGCTGATCACGTGGTCCATGATGGTGTCGCCCTTGCCGGCCGCTACCATGAGCAGCAGCTCGTTCAGGTTGTGCCGGCCTAGGATGTCAACGTGATCAGCCGTTCGAGGTCCTCCACGCGGGTTGAACCTATCGGGTTCATGGGGCATCTCTACAACTGTCACTTTGAGCCCGGCCGGGTTGTATCGCTTCATATGCCAACCGCGATTGCACATGTAGCCGGTGCTAATGAGATTCACAGTACCGTCACCCTCACCCATGATGACGCCATGGTCGACTTCTCCCGCGACGTAGCCTGTGTCGATGGTGATGTTGAGGGTGGTCAACGCCGGCTGGTCGGGCGCGCGGTAGTAGTACGCCCGCTCAGTTGGCTTGCCAACCCCATAGAAGCAGAAGATCTTTAGGCTCGGTGCCAAGGGAAGTCTAGTCTCGAGAGGGTTGATCCATTTCCTAGGGTCTTTCCTATTGGCCTCGACCTCTGCCACAGTGTGCGCGACGCCGCGGGAGTAGCTGCCCTTGAGCATGTCTTGGTACCAATCCTCAGTAGTGTTGAATAGGTACTCCATTGAAGAATCGACAGTCAAGTTGCGATCGGGCGTGGTCCAGTTCGCACCGGCCCTGAAATTCAACAGGGACCCGTAGGAGAAGTTCTGGCCTGGCAGATCATCCGGCGCCCAATTCAAATCACCCCAGACAGCATTCCCTCCGATGGGAAGCATCGACGAGATTCCAGGCATAGCGCGGAAGATCTCCGCTCTCTCTTCCTTGCCCAGGAACTTTTCGAGTCCGTAAATGGCAAATGGGTTGAGCTGAGCAGTATCCCGCATCTCGCCAGACAGAAGGGCCGTTAAACCCTTGACAGCGCCGAGCATGCAACCGCTAATGTTGATCCAGGAGTCGATATGACGCTCGACCCAATCGTGTCCACCACGGCCGCCGCGCTCAGATTCTACCCACTGGAGGAAGTAGTAGAGGACCTGGCTACCCATGCTGTGTGATGCCAAGACCGCTTTCTTGCCCCCAGTGGAGACGCCGGTTTCGATGTATGACTTGAGCCTGCTAAAGTACTGGTCTCGGACCTCGAGGTTTGAATAGGACAGTCGCCAGTCGTAAGAGGCTGTGTACGAGTTGGTTGGGTCGTAGCCGATGGATGCCAAGTTTTCAAAGATTTTGTTCCAAATCCAGTATCCTGTCACGAAAAAGTCGGTCGCATCGAAGCCCTGGGCAGCCCTCAGCTTAACCAAAGGAGGATCTAGGCCGGTCCGCTTGTCAAGCATAACATGCTTCTTCCATACATCCTTATCCATGACCAGGGCCCTCATCATGGTCCAGCTTCCCCAAAGTCGCTTTCTGAAGTATGCTCGGGAGATATTAGCGGTCCCCCACGATTCAAGACCGGTCGAGATGACACCGGGGACCATGATCATAGGGTGGTGTGCCTCGAGCCCCTCGGCGCGGGCCTTGGTTCCGACGGAGAACGACTCATAAGCGTCCGAAACCTCTCGTTCGCCTTGGATCAGATCGCGCATATCTTTGACCAGACCGGCGGGCAAGACATCCAGGAGGGTCTCGACGGAAAGATCGGAAAACTCGGGGAGGCCGATCAAGTCGTTGCTTGAGGCGAAGAAGCCGGCGGCAATCAAGCCGAAGAGAATACCGAGAAGGAATATGAAGGTGTTCCGGCGTTTCCGGGTCTTATGCGGATGCTCGACCACATGGACGGTGGTTGATTGCGTGGCTGGGTTGTCGTCGACATCGATCTCTTCGGTCTCGACGGTCTTGGTCTCAGGGACATTGCGGCGTCGGATCGTGCTCGCCATGGTGTAAGATTGGAGCGGCGGGCCTCTTGGGGGGCGCGGGAGGCCTTGAGGAGCGATGGGGGAGCAAATCGAGGGAAGCCGGAATGTTGAGAAGGACCAAGATTTAAGGGAGCTGGCCGATCACAAGCGACAAATGCCGTCGAGGTTGAGCAAGCAGCTAGGACCACCTATGACGCTGATGCGCGAAAGAGAAAAACGGGTCCCGCAGACGCCGGCCTGGCGGGACTACGGGAAATGTAACAGCGAATAGTCGGAGTTTCGGGATTCAGAGCTCAGGCCGGACAGCAGGCGCAGGAGAGCGCGGGAAAGCGGGTTTCTGTGGTTGAGATGTCGGCTTCTTCCAAGACCCGAAGTGCCGGAGCCTCAATGGCGTGGCATGAGGGCAGGCTTTGCGACGCCGCGCAGCAATCTCACTGTTGGTCGCGCTCGCACGTTTATTTTTTGCGCCAGAGACATGCTGCCCGTGCCTGATAGGCAGGGCGTCTGACGTCAACGGCGAGAACTGGCTCGTGCAGCTTGGAGCTTGGCTGCGGATGCCGCGCCTGGTGTCCAGGGCTGGCGTCCAGGGATCCGTCAATGCCGCCATGGTCGCATCACATGTCCAGCGCTGCTTGGGAGGGATGTAACCCTGAACAGAGTCGACTTGTCCAGGCCTTGGCTCAGCCGCCCGCTGAACGACAGCCCTAGGCAGCCCTGAGCAAGCCACCACAGGGCGCTGTCTGTTAATTGGCTGTGGAACTGGAGTGACTCGAGGTGACTCGTGGGACTCGTGCTGGCTGTGAGCTGCCCCCACTACAACCTCCCCCACCAAGTCACCACCTCCCCCTCTATAATCGCGCCCGCACGCCGCAATCGCTGCTAACCCCGCCTGCGCCGGCCACTGAGCGCATCTCCCTGCGCGGCGTGCCACTTCAACTTTAGGCTGCGGGCTCGTCCGCCCACCACCCGGCGACTTGTCCGTACTGTCGGCTTGCATGAGGAATCGCCACCACATCAGTCATACCGGTTACCAACACCAACACCACCAACGCATCAATCCTCAGTACATCTCCTCGACTTCTCCTCCCGTATTCCAACTTCAGGTCCATTAGTGCTCTATACTACAGTCGACTCCGCAACTCGTTTCCTCTACTGGTCTGGCCCGTCTGTCTCACCACTTATCTTTCTCAGTGCAAGCTGCAGACGTAAACGGAGCTCTGAGATCCACTTCTGCCCCAACCTCAAAAAGACCAACACCTCCAGCCAAAGACCCTCACTGTGCAGCCCTATCAAACCGCAACCCCCAGGGAGAATCCAACCCGGCATGGACATAACCAAAATCGACGACCTACCCGGCGAGTTGCGCTACGTCCAGTATGAGCATGCCCTCGAGGCCGACTATCTCCCTGCCATCCGCACCCTAATCGCAAAGGACTTGAGCGAGCCATATAGCATCTATGTCTACCGCTACTTTCTGTGCCAATGGGCCCATCTCTGCTTCATGGTTCGTTCCCGTTGGGCTTGGAATCTCGCATCATGCCTCTCACTCACCCGCCCCAGGCCCTGAACCCAGCAGACTCCTCCCTTATCGGCGTCATTATCTGCAAGTTGGAAGTCCATGCATCGCACTCCAATCCTACCCGCCGGGGTTACATAGCCATGCTGGCTGTCGCGTCCTCTTTCCGCGGACATGGCATTGCCACCGCTCTCGTCAAGAAGGCCCTCGATGCCATGACAAAACGCAATGCTGACGAGATTGTCCTCGAGACGGAGGAGACCAACATCCCTGCTATGCGCCTGTATGAGCGCCTCGGCTTCGTCCGCTCCAAGAAGTTGCACCGTTACTACCTCAACGGAAACAGCGCCTACCGATTGGTTCTGCCTCTCAAAGTCCCTGACATTGACGCCGATCCGGACTCGTTTGACGGGCACGTGGTTTAGGTTCGGCGCAGTTGCGGTTTTTTACACCACAAGGGCCTTGGCCCTGGCGAATTTTGGTTACCTATGGGATCTGGGTCTGGTTATGGGTTTTAACGGCTGGTATTACGGAAGGACGAGCGTGGAGCATTTATGGATGTTGATCAGGGAGCGATATGTCGGCTGTGGAACAACTATATTGGCGTTGGCGTTGATATGTCATGTTTTTATGTTTTACCAACTTCCTCAGGTATTCTTTTATAAGAGGTATACCGAGACCGGCGATGGCAAGCAGATGGTGTCATTTCATGGCCTATTTTATGGCATTGCCAAAGGATTCGGAAGAGGGGTGGTCATGATCACCACTTTGCTCGTAGGTGAATTGTTGAAGTATGCCCAGAAAACACGACACATAATGTCATGCACCGACTCGTCCTTATTCGAGCTCGTAATTCTTGCCCTACCACGGCGTTCCCAAAAGCCCTACTCACCATAAGAGGAATAATATCCCTCAACAGCAACCGAACGAAGCGCAAAATGTTATCCCAACGCTTATCTGACAATGGCTCTGCAACGATGGAAGACAAAGAGGTTAAACTTAACCTGAAAAAAAGGGATTATAATGTAGTTCTATTAAGGTTGCCCGACTTCTTAGGGTTCATGTACTTCATAGCTTTCTCGTCCTACTAGTGCGAAGATCAATTCAGCTGTCGCTACAGTCACGACAGAGATATGTTTTCAAATCATCCCATTTGCTCACGGATACATGTCCGGGTATTCTTAGATATCGTACGTCTCGCAACACTCTCTGCTCTCTCTCTGATTGGCTTCCTATTCACTGTTTTGTTCAACCGCCACGAATACCTATTGCGCCCCATCTCATCTTCACTGTCCAAAGATACCAATAGAATTGTATATGGATGCTTTCAACCCCCAAGGATTGCCAGAAGCTACCCCAAGATATGTAAATATATCTGAACTGTCAGTCAAGTCGGGCTACCTTATGGCTGTGGCTCACTTACCTGGCTTGTAATAGATGGGCCGTCCCCGGGCCTCAACCAGCTTGAGCTCTCGAAGCTTCTGGAGAACTCGAGCTACATCAGCTTTGTCCTTGAAGTCGCTTGTATACACGCAGATGAGGCGATCCTTTCTCGGATCTTCGAGAACTGGCCTTGGCAAGACCTTGGCAGCGATTCCCAGCTCGTTTTTGGCCGTGGCTTTGGCTACGATTTCCCATACATCATTGACCTCGGCGGGAGTACAGAAGAGCATCCACTGATACGGTCAGTTGAATGACAGGGCCTTGCTAGTGTGCAAACATACCTTGCCGGCCTTGACTCTCCCTGCATGTGCAAGACTCAATATATCCTCGACGGCCCTTTTCCTCTCCTTGGCGATCTCTCGGTTCTGTGTAGATTCCGCCTTCGGAGCCTTTCTCATGCCCTCAGTGAAGCTAGTGACGAGCGAAAGCCGCTCCATCCCCCCGTCGATGACAAGCTTAGTCCTACTGCCCTCCTCTTCGGGTGCCTCATCCTCGTTACCTTTGCTGGCCTGACTCTCAGCCAGGGCTTTCTCCACTCGCGAAATGAACGGGTTGCATATGAAAATCCAGGGCGTGTTCTCGGTCTGGTCCGTGGTCTTGGGAGGGAGGCGATGGAGAAATGCATCCACCGTCTCGGTGGTCTGCCATGCGTAGGGAACTCCTGCATATGGATTGTGAAGATGGGACATGTCGACAACGACGCTCTTATGGGGAAGTGGTCGGCCTGGAGTTTCAAGGTGCTGGATAATCCAGGCTTCTGCATCGAAATCATTGACGCGGCGATGTAGTCCGAGAACGGTCTCGTCGTCACCTGCGTGGAGGTTAGCTTGCTACTCTTCGATGTTTCTTGCGTTTGAGAAGTGCTACCATAGAAATCAGAGTCGTCTGATAGCTCCATCTTGATGATATCGAGGGGCCTCAGAGTAGTCTACAACCACGTATTCGAGACAAGGACCAGCCGGAGTCGGCACCTTTACCTAGCCTGAACGTGCCAAGGCTACCTTGCCAAGGTGGGTGCTCGTCGCAGTAACAATAGCTGATGTGCTGCTGGGGCGAGGGGGAGAGGGAGAGAGGGAGAGAGATGATTAGGTCAATTTCGCCGATAACTTTTGAAGTTGAAGTTGCTCAGGCCTTGCTCAGGTCTTGCTCAGGGGATTGTCACGTTCTGGGGCCTTCGAGGCTCCGGCCAGGCCGTAGAGGAGGACGACACTAGAAATGACAGAAGCAAGTTCGGCGCTTGTTGTTGCAGGGGCCATATCTCGAGCGGGCAAACCAACCACCAGCGGCCCCGGGAACTCGAAAGGAATAAATCAAAGGCTGAGTTTGTCAAACATGAACCCTGCCGTAGCCTGATTTGAACCTGGTTTAAAATCCACGCCGTTCTTCTGCTGTGAATCACTCGGTCGCGTCTCCCGGATCGCGTCCGGGGTCGTTTAGCTCTGTACCCCGGCAGACGGCAAGCCACCCGACCCGTTTGCCCCGCCGCACGCACTGCCGTCACCTGTCAATAGGCCGCTGTACCGCTACTTGGCTTCCCTCCCAACCCAAAAAAAAACCCGTCACAAAAATTGACATATCAGAAGCGCCTGGGCGTAAATGAAACACCCTAAGAAAGATGGCTTCACAAAATGTTGTGTCTTCCAAGGTCTCGCTGACTTTGGACCTTCCGCCAAGCTGCATTCAGTTCTGTCCCGCGCATCCTGAACTGTTTGTCGTGGGCACGTACAATCTCGAACGAGACCAGACGGCGGGGCAAACAGATGCTGGTGACGGCGAGGAGGGAGATGACTCGACAAAGACGCCCCAGAACCGCAATGGAAGCCTTCTAGTATACAGGATTGAGGGTACAGAACTGTAAGTTTCCATTTACTCACTAATTTCCAGCCTCAGAACAGCTTGCTCATACATAGCTTCATAGAACCCTGGTGCAAACAGTTTCACAGCCATCAGCCATCTTGGATCTCCGTTTTCATCCCGCTTCGGACAAACATGACATCCTCGCCGTGGTTTCAAGTACCGGGACGCTCGCCGTATTCAAGTTGGACCCAATGGAGGATGCCGCATCTCCACTTAAGCACATTGCGACCAGCAGATGCGACGATATCGACGAAGATGTCTTGTTTTTACAATGCAACTGGCATCCACTGGACGCAAACGTGATAGGAGTCACGACCTCGACGGGCGCGGCGAGGTTGCTGTGTTTAGATGACGAGCATCGAATTACAGATTCCTCGATCGATCTCGGTGTTGCGAATTCACTGGAAGCCTGGTGCATCAATTTCTCACCCACTTCACTAGATGACAGCAAACATGATGCCGAGGTGACAGTGTATTGTGGCGGAGACGACTCGATGCTTCGTTACCAGTCCCTTAGCTTGGGCAGAGCTGATGAGGTGTTATCCTGTGAGAGCCCGTACGCACCCATCACGATCAAGGGCACACATACAGCCGGTGTCACGGCAATACTGCCACTCCCACTCTTCGTGAAGGATAAGGGGAGGGTGGTTGTGACGGGAAGCTACGATGATCACCTACGTGTCTTTATTATCCACGATCTGCACGAATCCTACGGTCTCAAGCGGGTCGAGCTGGTGCTGGAGGAAAATCTCGGGGGCGGCGTGTGGAGGCTGGACCTGGTCAATATCAGCCAGCGGGACGGAGGTCTCAGGATACGGATATTGGCGTCTTGTATGCATGCCGGAGCCCGACTAGTTGACATGGAAGTCCAGAACGAACAAGACTGGACGTGCCGTGTCTTAGCGCAATTTGAGGAGCATCAGAGCATGAATTATGGGAGCGACTATGTCCGTGGCGGGCAGGGGGATGGGTTGCGATGCGTATCGACTAGCTTCTATGATAAGTTGCTATGTGTTTGGGATTATGAGCCCGTGGCGCAAGGATAAAAAGGAAATAGAGGAAGAATATCTACCTATGATTGGGCAACCTGATGGGAGCTGAAGCTCCATGCATCCCTTTGTTTGTCAACTGTTATCTCTGGTGGCTTGATCCCGGGCCAACGAGTGGCTGCCTTAACCTGTTGCGTGGTTAAGTAAGGGCTGTTTGTCAAAGGCCCTCACCGATCAGTCGCTCCAGATGCGTAAATGAGGCTGCGCTGGCTTTGGACCATGGATGCCACGTTGACGTCGGCGGCCGTCTGCTGGATTGACTCATCCGGGCAACCATCATGGCGATCCCGAGTGTCTCTAGAAGCGCCGTAACCAATCGATCGGAGCTTTTTCCCAGCTGGAACCAATTCGGGACCCCTCAAGACCCAGGGCGCGGGGTTCTCTACCGCGCTGGGCGGCTGGTCACCCCAGGGAGCCCACTGAAGCCCACTGGATAAAGCCCCGAGGCCGCTGATCGGGCCACTGATCAATCACCCTGGCCTCAGCCTTGCAGCGCCCCCGTCCACTGAACCACGCCCCAAGACACACGCCCCCCGGTCCCCTGGCCCCCTTGTGCCACAAGTGCCACAGCGCGCTGGGACCACCCCGCGACGAAACTGCCTGGGGCCTTCAGTTGCCGCTTCGGCTCTGCATTGAGGCGCGCCCCGACCTAATTTTTGCCCAGCAGCAGGCGACCCAGCCCAAAACACCTACTCTGCAATCCAGTCCGGCGCCTTCATCGCATCTCGTCAGCTTCCCTTCCTACATTCTTCCACCGCATTTACTGGCCGCACCGCGCAAGGCTTGCTCGCTGCCACTGCTCTCCCGGGTCCCGAGACCAGTGTTGCAGCTTTTTACTTTTTTTCCCCCTTTGGCCTCTGCCTAATCTGTCTCGGGTTTTCTCGCGCCGCCAATTTCCAGCTGCCGGCTACCGTCGTAGGCGTTTCCGTCACCGAGCAAACAACTTCACCGATCCCGTCCCTCCATGGTTTTAGTAGCCGTCGCCGCCGCGTAAATCCACCTCGAGGGCCTGCGTGGATCGAGAGTCCCCTCGCTTCACGCTTCGCTGCCGCTCTTTTTCTCCTCGCAAAGCATCTTCCGACTTCACTACCACGACCATCATGGCCGCTAACGGCAGCTCGGTGCCATCGACCGCCGCAGGCAATGGCGGAGACTCCGAGGTCCTGACCAAGATACACCAGGCGCTCGAAGTCGTCCACAGCCCCTTTTCGACCAACGATGCCCGTCGCCAGGCCCAGGCCTTCCTCGAAGAAGTCAAAGACATCGCCGAAGCCCCGATGCAAGGGTACAACCTCGCCTCCGACAAAGCTCAGTCTCCCGTCGTTCGCCACTACGCCCTCTCCCTCCTCGAGCATGCGATCAGATATCGGTGGAACTCGTACACGCAAGAACAGGCCGATGCCGTGCGGCGTTGGGTCCTGGAGCTCGGCCAGTCCGTCTCCAGGGAAGACCCGTCGTATCTCAGGAACAAGACGGCCCAGCTCTGGGTCGAGGTCGCCAAACGGAGCTGGGGTGCTGAATGGATGGATATGGATGCCATGCTATGCCAATTGTGGCAAATCCCTGACTCGGCCGTTCACAAGGAGCTCGTAATGTTTGTGCTGGAGAATCTATCAGACGAAGTCTTTACTGGCGATGACTCTGTCGTCGCCATGCGAGAAGGAGTCCTTAGTAAGGCCTGCGTCGAGATCTTCACGCCTACCGCTGTACTCGTCGAGGCTTTCCCCCACCGCCAACCCGGCCCGGAAGTGCGACATGGTCATGAGGGATGGCTCAGCCGTTTGTCCGAGTTCCTAAACTACTGCATCAACTCCGCCCCGAAAGACAACGAGGAGGTCAAGTCGTGCACCCTCAAGGGACTTTCCGTCTTCCTCTCCCTCATGCCATGGGCCATTCCCAAAGCGGTATCTGCTGCCCACTGCGTCGACATCATGTGTGCTGGCCTAGCATCTCCTCACATTGCGATCCAGAAGGTATATTGCTGTCCATGGGCTCAAAGATGGAAGATCAGAAGTTAATCGATGTCGATAGGCCTCTCTAGAATCGCTCCATGCTCTCTACTGTCGAACAAACTTTACAGATGACGAGTTCCGAGACTTGGTCGCCCCCATGTACACGCGCACATCTGTCGAGCTTTGCAAGGGGCTGCTTGAGTGGGCTGCAGTTGACCCCGAGGACATCGACGAGGACAAGTATCAGACCCTAAAGAAGCTGTCCGAGGTATGTTCAAAGACTCATCCAGCCTAATCCAGTGCTGACAAATATCATAGATGCTATCCTGTCTTGGTGACTACTTCGATCGCAAGTTCTCCAAGCTACCCGCTGAAGCGGCAAGGGAGGACTTTCTCCAGCTCCTAGTCCAGGTCGTCCAGAGCCAGAGCTTGATGATTTCCATTCCCATCCTCGTCACCTGGACAAGACTTCTCAGCAACCGAACAATTGGTCCTAGCGAGCTTGTCTCGCCCATGATTGGACCCCTGCTGGAGATATGCAGCTCGCGACTGGTACGATACGAGAACCTCCCTGAAGACACTCAGGAACCCACGTTCCTGTTCCTACTCGAGGATACAGATACGATACCGGAACGGCACGCCTTCCTTGGCAACTACCGACGCTACAGCTCGCAAGTCATCGAGGCCATTGTGCAATTGAAGCTTGTGGATGCAGTATCACACATTCTCGGTCGGACAGAAGACATTCTGCAACATCTTTATGACGGACAGGCGCCGCTGGACAGTATGAAGTTCTCCCTTGCAGGAAGAATATTTTGGCTGATGTGATTAAACAGAACAAACTTACTCTAAGCACTCAATGCCGGTCTTGCGGGTCGACTCTCAGTTCACCGTCATTGAGGCAACACTCAAGGGGTATATGAAGTGGAGAAGACACCGCGCTGTAGAATACGTATGTGGAACTAGCCGTATGCAAACAACTCGAGCTAACACCATGCAGGAGCAGCAAAAAGCGGAGTTAGAGGCCAACCTGGAGACCTGGTGTAACAAGCTGTTGGAGATGAGCTTCGAGGTGCGTCGTCTCCATATTTATTGCGAGATAAGCAAGCTGATCGCGTTGTTCGCAGGACCCCATGATCAGGAAACGAACCTTGCAACTCTTGGTCTACTTCTCGACGACAGCCCTCAACAAGAACGCACCCTTTATGCTGAAGGTTCTTGAGCACATTCTGCTGACATGGCCCGCTCTCCAGCCAGAGTATCGAGCCTTTAACGATGCCATTAAGGACTTGCAGGGAGAGAGCATGGTTGAATTGCAGCGACTGGCATCGGAAATGCCAGATCATCTCTTGGTAAGAAGTGTCCCTGTGCGCTTTTCCTACCTCATACTGATATGATGTACTCAGGGCGTATACGACCAAATCGAAAATAGAGTGAATGAGATGATGTCCTCGGGAACACTGGACGAAAAGCGGTCCATTGCATACAAGAGCTTTCTTTTCATCATTATGTGGGTTTCCCAAATTCCCATCAACTAGAACAGTCTACTAACTAGTTCCAGTCATCGAGCAACCAGCGTTGATGCTCAAGCCAAGATCCAGAAACTGCGCGAGTTCATTGATCCTGTCAAGGCGCAGTGGCAAACTGAGAATGTCCGCACTGCTCTTGAGTCGTACTCGAACTTTTGCGAGATGTTGGGGCTAGACAAGGCGCAAGCGTATCTGGCAAACCGACGCGCACACGAGATTCGGGATTGGGGCTCTCACGAGCTTGACGCCGAGGGTCTCGCCCTCCAGGCCGAGCTCGAAGAGCGATTGAAGGTACGGATGGAACGGTGCTTTCAACTAACGATGCCGCGTTTATTGACTTGGTATAGCTTTTGCCCCTACGTTCTACCAAGTCCTTCCTCGCATTTTCTGTCGAGAGACTAGACAAGTCGTCAGACGCGTTCAAGGCCTCGTACGCCCTCTGGCAAGATGGATTCTCTAACATCCTTGCAGACCTTCTAGAGTTTCTGAGGTATGTTATTGCACTGTTTTCGCAATCATTGAATTTGCTAATACATTGCGCAGCTTCGCGCATGCATCGCACAACCCCGATAACTGGGCAGGCCTGCCATCCGAGATGCGGCCTGTGGTCAACCGGGTTCTGAGCGATCGCTTCTGGCAGGCGGGCATTTCCGAAGGGAGCAAGGACGACTTCTACGCTCGCGTTATGGACAAGAAGAACACCGTCGAGGGACTTGCATCGACTATTCGTGGGTCTGTCCGATTCGTGCGTGAAACCGCCTATGCTATTATCTACTGCATGAGCAGGCTGGACATGCAGTTCTACGGCTTCGAGGGTCTTTCTGCACCATTGTCCAAGGCACTCTTTGCCGACTCGATTTGGCTCTCAACGCATCAGCAGAGTAACCTGCTGAATCTGGTCAGATATCTTGTCGATGACTGCCCCGTAGACTACCGGGAACACTTCCTCCCGCAGCTGCTATCATCGTGCTTCCAGCAGATGGATTCCAAGGTGAATGGCGAGTGGGCCAAGATGGAGCAGCAACAGACGATTGCGGCAGAGGGCGAGGCAGGACTAAAGGAGGAGATGAAGGCAGAGAGTATTCTGCGCCAGGTGACGTACACGGCGGTGCTGATGGTGGCAGATTTCCTTGATCCGACCAAGCCTAGTAAGTAGCGAATTGTCCCTCTGCGGAAGTCAGGACTAACAAAGGTGCAGACCCGCCCACGCTCAAGGCGCGAGCATTCCAGGGTGCCCCTGAGGATGCGCCGACGGAGTCATATCCAACCCTGCGACGATTCTGCCTGATTCACCAGGAGGTCGTAGAGCCCCTGCTCGTCTTCTGCACGCACGGAATTCGAATGCGAGATACGCGATGCTGCAGCATGATCCTGCGACTCTTCATCTCACTCGTCCCTGAATTCCACCTCGTTGACGGCCAGGTACCAAAGCCAGCACCTCAGAACCACGAGGCACAGGAGCATAGTGCGCCCGTCGACCACTTTCCGGTGCCCTCGGCGATCTCCTCTGCCATCCGAGAGTTCATCTGCCTTGATGTGCTCCAGGCTTGCATTACGTCGTTCCACGAGCCCTACTTTGTAGAGTTGCAGAAGGAGCTTGCTGCCCTGATTGCCGCCATCATCGTCTACTATAGCCCAATCTCAAACACACCCAGGGATGTGCTATTGTCGCTGCCAAACGTCAACCCCGCCGACTTGGACAGGCTCACGGCCTACATGAGCAAGCCCGGGGCACACACTCGACAACAGCGGGCGCTGGTTCTTGACCTTCTCAAGGACCTCAAAGGCGTCAGCGTGTCGGAGATGGGCAAGTTGCCCAAGAGCAGCGGGTTTGGTGGCTCGGGACGATCCAAGAGGACCAACCGCAGCAAGATGGCCCAGCAGTTCATGAATGAGCACCCGACGTCCGGGCCTGGGGCCACCAGGTCGGGTGGTCTGGGACGCAGGGGAATGACTCCCGAGGCCCTGGAGGGAGTGTCCACTCTGTTTGAGGGATAAGAGGGGGCATCAGTCAGTATTGTAGAGATGGGAGATGGTGAATCAACGTTTGTAATCACAGTCGGCAGCCAATGGGGCCGTGTATTGAGGGAGATCCTAGTTCAGATGGACGATACGGGACACGAGATCCATGCCATAGGCTACGGCTTTAGCTTCTTGCTAGGGAGAGAACAGGGCCAGATGAGAGCTCTGGGGGAGGCGCTGCGAAGGGACCGGGAACCAGGGAAACGGGATGGGTCTTTGGGATGATTAGAGCGAGCATAGGGTATTTTTACTTGGCAAGGAGGTCTTGGCTAAGGATGACGATGTCGTTATACTTGTCAACATGTGTGTGCTTTGCCCGGGGTTTCCAGATTCGTAATTAACTACATGAAAGCTCACGTTTCCTTTTCGTAATGAGGGGGGATGGGATCCCTTCAGCTTGGCGGGCCACATCTTAATTAGCTGCTCATCCGGGCCAGCAAAAGGTTTGCTCGTGATGGGTAAGAGGCAGATCATTACTACGATGCCCATCCTGAAATCCCACTTGGTATTGGCCCTTCTCGGCATGTATTGACAACTTGAATGGTTGGTAGGTATCTATGCATTCCCCCCCCCCCAAACACAGTACAATCCGCAACCGATCAACTAAGCAACACGGCCTCGTAAAATCTTACCCCTCAAATTTAGAAATAGAAAAGCAATTCAATATGATGTACGGGTTGGTGTGTGCTTTAGTTTAATAGTAAATAAAACCTTACCTTTGGGAGAATAAGAACCAAGCTTTCGTGCATTGCACACGCACTGTGCTACGCTGTTCAACTGGTGGATGGTCTCTCTTTTGCCTATTCATGCTGGAACGCCACCCTCGGCACCGAGGCACCTTTCTCCCGCCGCTCTCATCCATCCCCTCACACTGGTACATTGTCTTGTCAGTCTGGAACAGGCCCGGGACATGGGAAGTAATGAGGCACCTGGGCGCACCCAAGTGCATGGGGGAGTGGTTTGTGTGGCGCCATGGGTCTTGATATCTGCAGGACACATTGGTGAATGGCAAGTAAACGAGTTTTTGGTGGAGGATTTGCTCCGTTCTAGTTCTCCTTTGAATGATTTCCAGTTCTAGAGGGGCCATAATTATTAGACGCATGTCTTGGGCTGAGACACAAGCTGCGGGACTGGCGCCGGGACATAGCGCGCGCGCGCGCCAGTGGATGGTCCACGTCTCGGCGCGGCGCGAAGGAGTCTTGGTTAGTGAGGTCAATGAAGCATCATGTAGGTACAGCGCAGTGCAGCGGCGAGTCTTGTCGGATGTGCAGGCATCCGAATGGCCGAGACTGTAAACTGGGCTGTGCAGCTACCCTGGGCCGCGCATCGCATCGTACATGGCCTGCATCGGGGGCCATTATGTCGAGGAACGACCTATATCAGCGGATGGGAAAACAAGAAGCGAGCCATCTGAAACCTTCAACGGTGAAGGCGTTGGCTGTCTGAGACATCAACACACGACCCACCGTCTTCGGTCATCTAAGACCTTCAACGCCCCTAATTACAGCATATCCTCGATGCGACGACGGGCTGACAGGTAGCTGGAAAGATGGATGATTTTAGTCGACACTAGAGCTGGTAGTCTAATGACCCTGCAACGATGGCAATTAGCTTCTCTTTCCTCGCGGAGGAGGGACGGCCATATCGAGCTAAGAGCTGGGAGCCGGCATTCCGGCGTAAGGTGCCCTCTTCTAAACACGCGGATACTACATCGCGGCCGAGGGAAGCGCCTCGCACTGTAGGAGTACCAGGTCTCACGAGTGCCTTGATCTTTGCAAGTTTCGCAACGCAGCACTCGATATGACTTAGCTTGGACCTCGGTCGATGGATCTCGGTGGATGATGCTGCGCACGGAGCAAAAAAGCCGTGTTAATTCCTCTCCAACGAAACGTGGTGCCCGTCTGTCACTCCATCTGTCTGGGACAACTGCTCGACCAAGGCGAGGCGCAGGGCGGCGAGAAGTACCGGTAGTGGGAGGATGATGAGAGCGAGGAAAAGACAGACCATGTAGAAGCGTGGGTATCATGCACACGGCAAGTGCCGTATGCGTACCTATGCATATCTCTGTGGGTCATGGTGCGGCGTGTTGTCGAGCGGAGGAAACATAGTGATAGATGATGCCTCGTCCGCTCCATGTTGCAATTGCAAGCCTTTGTTTCCTCCCTGCTGCTGTCAGCCACGGCACGCAGGGTCTCATTCCGAATCGACATCGCATCTCAATCGGCCGCGAGACCCGCTCCAGGTTGTTTTAGCCGAGAGGCTGGCCCCCTCGATCTCAATGGTGATGCTTCGGCAGTCCGGGCCCCCTTGCTCGGTCTTCAGGATAGTCGCTCAGTCCTCAGGACAGTCGCTCAATGTGTCAAAGAGGGAGTCGGTGCTGGAAGATGGCCCCGACTGCGGTGTGCCCCAAGCCCCTGGCGGCGATGATCCATGCGCCCGCATGTGTATACTATGTCAGAGGAGACAAGGCCAAGGGCAAGGGGCAGATGACATGAGTCGGATGCCGCACGGAGGATCTCGTACAGTCGGAGGTAGTATGGGATCCAACCCCCAGTAAAGATATCTACTACGTAGTAGGCCAGGGTTGCAGGGAATCGTAGGATCGGGTTACTGTCCTCAGGCAAACGAAGGCACAGTGTACGGGAAAGGTGAAACACTGTCTCGAAACCTGCCCCTTCGCCTTGGCTGTCCTCGTCCCAAAACGTCCGTCCGTCTCTCTCTCTCCCCTTCTCCCGCCCCAGTATTCACTCCCATTGCCTACTCGTAGGTACATAATTGCTACGCCGGAGCAACTGCTATCATCTGTAAGCTCGACTAGCACCGGCGCCTTTAACAGCTGTGGCTTGATCGTGCAGCATCACAATCACCTGTGCCTCCTTTTCCTGGTCCATCCCCCTCAATCTGCTGCGACTCCAGTTCCTCCAGAATTCCTCCCGAAACTGCAACGGTCCTCGGCGGCGGGGTCAGAAGCCATCCCGGACATCTGTCTGTCTGATTCCATCAAAAGGAAGCACGTCAATAAAAAGCAAATTGACACCCCGGTACGGATTTTCTTGCAGGTAACCATCATCCAACCCTCCAACCACCAACCACCAACCAACCAAACCAAGCGCTGTGCCGTTCGCTCTCTCCGGTCCTCGCTCGCCTGAGCCTGGCCCCTGGTCCCCTTGTGCTGCCCCATCCTGGGTTCCACCACCACCCGTCGCCTGTTTTGGCTCGTCCGTGTAAGGCAAAGCAAAGCAAACATTGATACTCGCCCACCTTGCGACTCTGCACCGCCCTCATCACCCTCAGCGCGATTCTCAACTTTCATCTCTCATTCTCCTCAGAGCGTACCCATTTGATCTTCTCAACGCTTTACTGCCAAGAAGCACACTCGACAACGCCTTCTACGCTTGACGCTTGGTTTGTCGAGAGTCAACTCAACCCGTGCCCAGTTCACAACCACACCAACCTCCTTGGTTCTACTGCTCCAACAGCGACGATAACAGACGGGACCACAAACCCATCTCGCTTTTTCTCCACTCTTCCACAGTGTCAAGGTCAATCAACGAACTCCTCAAGCCAATTCACGGCTGGCCGTCTCCCTTCGCTGGGTCTCTTCCTCCCCCCCGTATGCAACCTCGCGTCTTCGTGCGCCCACTCTTCACTACGTGTTCGCCTGCTGTCCTCCCCGGATCCCCGGAGGCCGTTAGAAACCCAGTCATCCCTTGGACACTCTTCCCCGCCATCAATTCCCCATCCTAAAAGCACTTTGCTAGTCCTTTCACACTTGGAAGTCCCCCTCTTCCATCATCATGGTATACTGCGGTAAGCCCTCGCGGGGCTGCCAGATGTGCAGAGCCCGAAGGATCAAGGTACGTACATGCTAGATAGTTGCAAATTCCCTCCATCTCTCGGACACAACACTGGGAGAGGCGTGCTTTACAGGAATGCTCACTCCTTTTAGTGCGACGAGACCAAGCCCACTTGCAACCAGTGTGCCAAATCCCGCAGGCAGTGTCCTGGCTACAAGGACGAGTTTGATCTGGTCTTTCGAAATGAAACCCAGGCCACCGAGAGACGAGCTCAAAGGGCCAACAAGAAGGCCCTCGCACAGAAACAGACTAAGGCCGCTGGCACGCAAGACACCAACACTGCCGCTTCTACCAAGCGAGCTCAGGACCAGGCTGTTCTAGCGACCCTCAAGCTCCCGGTCGACCAACAAGCTACCTGCCACTTCATCTCCAATTTTGTACTGCTGCCTCGTTATGACAACACCCGTGGCTATTTGGAGTTTGTTGTTCCGCTGCTCCAAGCAGAGAAACCTGCACCGCATTTTAAGCTCGCCTTTGATGCTTGCGCTATCGCTTCTCTTGGAAACCGAGTAGGCTCTGGACGCGCCTTTGAGGGGCAAGCTCTGGGGCATTACACTAAAGCACTCGCGTCGACTTTCGCCGCCTTGAGAGATCCCGAGATGGCCGTCGCGGATTCCACCCTGGCGGCTATCTTGATGCTGGGTTTGTTCGAAAACATCACTGCTAAACAGTTGGGTACACTAGCTTGGGGATCCCATACCGAGGGCGCCATCCAGCTCGTCAAGGCGAGAGGCAAAGCCCAGTCGCGTACCAAGATGGGCCTGGCCCTGTTCGTGGCTGTTCGAACCCAGATGGTATGTACCCGGCTCTTATAATCCCTCAATCCAAGAGACACACCTAACTCAAGTATAGATCATTCATACTTTGACCTCTGGCAAGGCACCTATCATGGGGGTGGAGTGGTGGATCGGTGACGCTGTCAAGAATCACTATGGTTCTGAGTGTCAGAGACTCAACATCCGCACAGCAGAGCTCAGGTCCGAGGTCAACCGATTGATGACAACGCTTGCCCGAAGCCCCGAAAACATTGAACTGCTGCTCGACATGATCCGACGCTGCCAGACCGTTGATCAACAGCACCTCAACTGGGCACGAGAACTACCCGAATACTTCCGCTTCAAGTCAGTGGCCTGGGAGGACAACGTTCCTAATGGTAATTACGCCCTGGCCGAGGTCTTTCCCGGACGGGTAGATGCGTACCAAGACCTATGGGTCGCTAGTGTTTGGAATATGATGCGGTGCTCGCGCATCATCCTGGCTTCGCTGATTGTGCGCTGCGCCGCTTGGGTCTGCTCCCCGGTCGATTACCGAACGACACCCGAGTATGCGACCTCTGCGAGGACGTGCGTTGATTTGATCACGGACATCATTTCTTCAGTCCCTTATCAACTGGGCTGGTTCTCTAAACGCAGGGAACTCCTCGAAATGGACCACCTCTCAACATTTGGATGCGGAGAAGAAGAAGCGCTCAAGGGCTTGCCGGGGTACTTCCTCACCTGGCCACTCACATGCATCCAGGGGCAAGACTACACCACTGACGCCCAGCGGGCATGGACCAAGGGTCGGCTTCAGTTCATTGGCAACCACCTGGGCATTAGGTATGCCAACATGTTATACCAAGTAAGCGCGATCCCTTTTGGGCAACTTTTCCCCTTGTTCCCGTTTCTTTTTCTTGTCCCTCCTTTCTTTTCTCTCGTTTGAAGTTCAGGGCTAATGCAACGATCAGCTCAATCTTCGGGTTCCTTCGATGCTCATCCGGCGGGATGGCCTGATGGCAAACCCGTACCCAATGGCTCACAACTTCGAGAAGTTGGTGTCCGCAAGATCCGCCCCGCCAAGCGAAGGTTACAATATGAATCCAATCCAACAGAGAGAGGCGATGCAAAAGGCCCAGCTAGACCGAGAGAAGACCGACCTAGTTATCAAAGCGATGGGCTCTTCTGGTCAGCTCGATGAGAAGGCGGTGGCGAGCTGGCTGCATTTACGGAGTGCTGCTATGGGGCCATGAATAATCGGCGCATTTGTGCAAGTTCGAATTGCCAAGAGTATATGATGAAATGGGGATTGATACCCATGCAACCTACCATTGTTGGATTTCACGACTAGTTTGGGAATGAATAGTCTATGTCACCGGGATGGAAATCACTTAATCTTGGGACCTCCGGACATTGGGAGAGATGCTGTTTTTAGACGGCCTGGATGCCACGATGCTCTACGAACCTAATTTCTTTCACGTTATCAACCCATGCAAGTACAAAGGTGCCTTGGAGAATGCGGGACAAATGAGTGAATGATTAAATGCCACAGCGTCTCCGCAGACAGTGACAGAGCATAGAACATAATTTTGTCTCGATATGTATGCTAGAAACCATCAGGCCCAGCCAGACGAGGTACCTGTGGTTACATTTAGAGCTCTGTAGTTTGAAAACTGTCTTTTAGGGCAGTGTATGGCGCAATCAAACCCCTCGTTACGATTGCCATGTCATGCGGCGCATGCTTAAAGTTCCAGGACGAGGCCCTGGTAGTATGTAATTATACGTACGTCATAAACGGTCATGAACAATAATTATCGATAGTGCCAGGCCGTGATACCATCCCAGAAATCATACCGAGACTCACAGCCGGCGCCCAACATCCCAATAATAAGGCCGCTCCCGGTATCCGAGCTGTAGCTCGTGACTCTAGCCCATACGTATATTCCTTGAGTAGCCACGAGCTATTGTTCTCGGTTCCCCTCCCCAGCCGTGGATTGCGAAGGATACCTCGTGCGGTGCATCCATCTTCCAACAGGGGTATAAAATAAGGATCGGATCGCGTCGATCTGGTTCTTCAGGTGGTGCCGCATTGAAGCGGGGGGTTGCGAGAGGATTTTGGCTCACTTGCGCTTCTTGCTGCGAGTATATGTCAGTAACCTGTTGTTTCTTCAAGTCGAGGGCGGCAGGGTAGGTAAGGGTGAGGGGGGCAAGGAGAAAACAATTAGATAGATGGTGCGGAATGGGCGAGGATGGGATGGCGAGCGGGCGGCGAACCTGTCTTTCTGCTTGTCGTCATCAGTTGCGGTGCCGAGATTCCAGGCCTTGACAACCCAACTCTGCGTAGCGTCGACGTAGTTCTCGTTCTTCATCTGCTTGACGCCGACGCGCATGCCGTCCTTGGTGAAGACGACGTTCTTCTTGGCGATGCGCTCGGAGGCGGTCTCCTGGATCTTGGCCGCACTGAGGTAGATCTGGTAACCCACCCAGCCTCCAGCGCCGATGATGGCGAAGAAGATGAGGAGAGGGAGGATCTGGCTGTGGTGAAGGGTCAGTTGGGCTAGCTCTTACGGCCGGGGGACGTTCGAGCGGCGCAGGGGGGGGGGGGGAGGCGGCGGCGCACCTGATAGTTGAGGCCATGCTTGCGAATATGGGAGGATTGCGCACGGGAGGTGGTGATTGTCGCAGTGTCGTTTGTGTCGATCGTAGGGCTCGGACAGATGTGGCGCGTGGAGGATCTCGGAACGGAGCGAGAGAAGGAGGAGGGAATCCAAGGAATGGGGAAACTGGTCGGTTTAAGGAAGAGAAAGTTTAAGACACAAGGAGGACGTACACTTTGTCACGACGGTCAACGCGAAGGAAGAGAATGGAGAGGCGCAACCAGTCACTGGAGGATGAAGGGGGCTTGCATTAGATGGATTTCACTCTGGCTTAATACCTGTCGCAGACGCGTACGGCGCACTGCGACTACAACTGTGTACCTCCAAGGTACTGTACTTTCACGCGGACCCTCTGAGGAGCTGAGGAGCTGAGGTTGGTTCATCCAATGCCCATCGCCCGCCGAAAAATACGCCTTGGAAGGGTCTTCCTCCACTGACTTGCAGGAAGCCCCTCGACCTGGCGGCCGTGTTCAGGTGCTTCGGCGACGCCTTTTAGTGGGAAAGGACCCAGGCTGATACCGACCTGTAACTTAGCGGCCAAGCCGATTTACGGGCCCTGCGAGGGGATTGGCCCGCGGGGAGTGGAAACAGGCCCAGGGTGTGCTGAGGGGATCAATTGCATCGCTGTGCTGAGCCACTACGACCCGCTACGGAGCGATGCGTGGGAGCTGGGGTGGTGCTTGACCGAGATGAAGGGATCGGGTGGTACACACTACGTAGTAGGTAGTATGGATTCTGTGTCTGTGTACACGTAAATAGTAGCATGTGATGGGATGGCACGTATGTCAGTCTAATAAGGAGGGCACTGTATGGTATGTGCACGCTGTGTTGCTCTCACTGTCAACACTCACACGACCTCCATCAGGCGTACCGGTTTGCATGTCTACCTCTACGTACGCACTGTCGAGAAACATAAGTTAGTCGTCAATGGTCTGGATACATAAATTGGGACTTCGGCATCGCAGATTCCAAACTCAATATTACGCACTATGCCCTAACGCGCCGACCCGCGCTGACATGGTTTGCAGCGATCCATTTCGTTTCGACTCCTGTCATCTCATCTCCCTCCCTGTTCTCCTTTGTACTGTACATGCGTACCAAAGTACAAGTCCTCGTAGTGGGGTGGTCTACAGGTAGTACAGGAGGTACTACAGAAGCAGCCGGCGTCGGGGTTCAGCTGATGGCCGGGGGCGGAGTTGATGGATGCGTTCACAGCCCTGTGGCCAAAGGCCTTTTATGGTCGAGACCACCCCAGCTAATCGACCTCGACGCGCTCATCCTCTTTCACTGACGTGGTCTCGAAACAACGCGGCTGAGCCGTCCTCTTTGTTCGACACGTGCAACGAGGGATGGATCCTTCCGGTCCACGAGAGCGGGCTGGCAAGGGAACCGACCTGAAGGAAATGGTTTTCAGGATCAATGGTATTCCCGTTGCCGAGTAGTGGAGGGGAGGATTGGTGTGGCTGGTGTTGGTTGCCCTGGTCTGAATGCCACCTGTTCAGACACTGGAGTTAGGACGTGAGCCCCAGTGGTTCAAGCTCCAGCTCCAGCTCCCGCTGAAAGCACAGTCCACCAGAAGCGCAAGGTACCTACTCCGTAGGTGGGAGGATGGAAGCAGCAGCCACCACTGAGCCTCTCCCCTCAAATTCAATTGTCCCCCGCCACGACACGTGCACCTCGCGAGCCTGGGAATCAATCTGATTTGGTTTGTGCGATTCCGGTCTTGCTGCGTCTGTCTTCATCCAAATCGTCATAAACTAGCTAACTAGTCACTAAATACTTCGGATTGAATTTCGCATCGTCTTGCAATCAAGGAATACCAAGCTGCCTCCCTCTGGTTGCTCTCAGTGTCTTAGGCTACGACTGCCCCAGTAAACTGGACAGCAAATCACCCCTCCTTTTGTGTGGCGTGGCGAACAGCTGTGGCGGTGTCCACTTGGAAAAGGCCAGACTGCAACCCGGCCTGCCAAACATCGAGTCCAGCCTCTGAGCTCACCATCACCGACCGCCAACCATCTCCATCCCAATCTCATCCCGGTCAACACCCACGCGACCTCGACCTGGGACTTGGACTCGGTGTCTCGCCTCTCCTCCTCTCCTCCCCTCCGTCTCCTCCCACTTACGTCCACGCCTGCACCCGCTGCAGCGCCGTCTTCGCCGGTCCACCGACCGACCGACTGTCCGCCTCGCTAGCCTATCCCGTCCATTACCTCGGGTGCGCCGAAGCTCCCTGATATATCCATCATGGCGTCCCCTCCTCCGACAGGCGAACAATATGGCGGATTTCAGGGCCAGAACTACGAAGGCTATGCCAACGACGAACAACCCGCCCAGCAATCCTACGAAGATCCGGCCGCCCAGCAACAGGCCGGTGCGCACAAGAAGAAGAAGCGAGGATATGCTGCCCAGGCCTTCGAGGTTGGCAGCGGCGCCAATGCCACTGTAGGCGGCCAGCCTGTGGGAACCCCTCAAGCTTTCGGCGCCCCTCAGAACGAGCCCGCCTACGGAGGTTATGCCCAACCCGACCCTCAACAAGCCGCTGGCCAGGGATTCCAACAGTATCCTCAAGGATACGGCGCGCAACAGCCTGCCGCCGGCCAGGCTCCTGCCTATGGCGGGTACCAAGCTCCCGATCAGGGCTATGCTGCTCCGGGTGCTCCCCAGCCTATACCTGGAGCTCCGGCCGTTGGCGGCATCACCCAGGGCATGGGTGGCATGAGCTTGGGTGGTCAGGCTCAACAGCCTCAGGCGGCTTCGCAGGCTCGGCCTGTTGCTCTCAATCAGCTCTATCCCACAGACCTTCTCGGCCAGCCCTTCAATGTGTCTGAGTTGGACCTCCCTCCACCTCCGATTATCCTCCCTCCCAACGTAAGTCAACTACGTCATCTTGTCATGATGGCATTCGATCGCTAACATGCGCCTTTCCAGACCAGCGTGACCCCGTCTCCCGATGCCAACTGCAACCCGCGGTACTTCCGCTCCACGCTCAATGCAGTCCCCACCACCAACTCCCTCCTGAAGAAGTCCAAGCTGCCCCTTGCGCTCGTCATCCAGCCCTACGGTTCGCTCCACGACGACGAGGATCCCGTGCCGGTTGTTCAGGACCAGGTCATCTCCCGCTGCCGACGATGCAGGACATATATTAACCCTTACGTCACCTTTTTGGACCAGGGACACCGTTGGAGATGTAACATGTGCAACCTCACCAACGACGTTCCTCAGGCCTTTGATTGGGATGCCGCCGCCCAGCAGAGCGTGAACAGGTGGGAACGCCCCGAGCTAAACCACGCTGTGGTCGAGTTTGTTGCGCCGCAGGAGTACATGGTCCGCCCCCCGCAGCCCCTGATTTACCTATTCTGCTTCGACGTGAGCTACGCTGCCGACTCGACTGGCCTACTTGCCACCATGGCCCGAACTATTCTGGATAGCCTTAACCGGATACCCAATGCTGATCGGCGCACTCGTCTGGGCTTCCTGGCCGTCGATTCTGGCCTCCACTACTTCTCTATTCCCAAGGACTCGGACGAGAACGGTGAGACTAGCATGCTTGTCGTCAGCGACCTCGACGAGCCCTTCCTCCCCATCCCCGCCGACCTCCTTGTTCCCCTTTCCGAGAGCCGCCAGAGCATCGAGAACTTCCTCCAGAAGCTGCCCAACATGTTCCAGAACAACCAGAGCAATGGATCTGCCATGGGATCTGCCCTCCGCGCATCCCACAAGCTCATCTCGTCCCTGGGTGGCAAGATCGTGGTCCTTACCGCGTCGTTGCCTAACATGGGCGTCGGCAAGCTAGATATGCGAGAGGACAAGAAACTTCTGGGTACGTCTAAGGAGGGCGGACTTCTGCAGACCGCCAACAGCTTCTACAAGAGCTTCGCCGTGGAGTGCTCCAAAAGCCAGGTCTCCATCGACATGTTCCTCTTCTCCTCTCAATACCAGGACGTGGCTTCGCTCAGCAACCTCCCCAGGTATACTGGAGGTCAGACGTGGTTCTACCCCGGCTGGCACGCGTCGCGACCGGAGGATGCCCTCAAGTTCGCCTCCGAGTTTAGCGACTACTTGTCGTCGGAGATTGGCCTCGAGGCTGTGCTTCGAGTTCGCGCCACTAGCGGTCTACGCATGAACACCTTCTACGGCAACTTCTTCAACCGCAGCTCCGATCTCTGCGCATTCCCCGCCTTCCCTCGCGACCAATGCTACGTGGTCGAGGTGGCAATTGACGAGAACATTAACAAGAATGTCATCTGCCTCCAAGCTGCCGTTCTGCACACGACTTGTAACGGCGAGCGCCGCATTCGTGTCATGACATTGGCTCTCCCCACGACGACAAACCTGTCCGACATGTACGCTTCCGCGGACCAGTGCGCCATCACCACTTACTTCAGTCACAAGGCTGTCGAGCGCGCCCTGTCCAGTGGATTAGATGCTGCTCGGGATGCGCTCCAGAGCAAGCTTACTGAGCTCCTTCAGACCTTCAAGAAGGAGCTTGCTGGAGGAAGCATGGGCGGCGGCCTGCAGTTCCCGGCCAACCTCCGTGGTCTTCCCCTCCTTTTCCTGGGTCTGATCAAGAACGTTGGTCTCCGCAAGTCGGCCCAGATCCCCTCGGATATCCGATCAGCTGCTCTCTGCCTCCTGTCAACACTCCCTGTGCCGCTCTTGATGCGATTCATCTACCCTCGACTCTACTCGCTCCACGACATGCCCGACAATGCCGGAACTCCTGATCCGGAGACTGGTCACATCGTGCTGCCGCCAGCCCTCAATCTCTCATCAGAGAAGTTTGTGCCATACGGACTGTACCTGATCGACGACGGCCAAACTCAGTTCCTGTGGGTTGGCCGCGACGCGGTACCGCAGCTTATCATGGATGTGTTTGGTGTGGAGGACAAGGCTCAACTCGCCGTGGGCAAGGGTCGTGTCCCGGAGTTGGAGAGCGACTTCAACGAGCGCATCCGAGCTGTGGTGCAGAAGAGCCGGGACTACAAGTCACTAGGCGTGGGAAGCATCACGGTGCCGCACTTGTACATTGTACGGGAAGATGGCGAGCCCAGCTTGAAGCTGTGGGCACAGACAATGCTGGTGGAGGACCGGGCAGACCAGGGCGTGAGCGCAGGCCAATGGCTGGGTATGATGCGAGAAAAGGTTGGTTAACCCATGGTTCCGGACGATTCACATGATCTTGCCGGCTAACGTGCGCACGCGTAGGTTGTTCAGTAGTGCGAATCGGACGACGAGTTCATACCTATGTAGACGCAAAAGGATCGAGGAGCGGCCGTAATTTGGAGACGTGGTTCAAGGAAGCGGGAGTCGGCGTGGGCAGGTGGAGGGTGGAGCAATTGATACGAGAAGAGAAATGATATCTACTAGAGAGAATGGAATGATGTTTCGAGGCATCTACGTACACAAACTATGCCATCTAACCGTGCTTTGACATGTTCGTGTTTTGGGCATGCGAGGTCGTTCCCTGAGAAATGTTGGATTAGATGCCAGTTGAGAGACTGCGGCAAGGCAACAAGGCACCCGGCGGGTCAAACTTATTGAACATCCAGGTCACTGTGTCACCAAGAGCGGTCTCGAAACCACATGAAGAACGCGTGGAGCAAGCATGTTGCAGGCTCAAACAAGGCGCGCAGGCAAGATGTATGTTTGAGCGACGCTGACTCGTACCATCTTTCAGCTTGTCGAAGCCCACTGGTGCTTCCACGAATCCAGCCTCGCGTTCTCAACACCTACCTACACCATCTGGCTTAGGAATGGCGTTTCTAGTCTTGGTCATGAACGATGGATATATTTAGAAGCTCAAAAGAAGAATGCCAAAGGTGCCACTACCGAAGCAAAAGGACGTCGAGCAAGCATCAGAGCCCCAGTATCGTTAGCTCGAGTTCTGATACAGGCACCCAACCAACTGAGCGTGGCATGTCCTAGGGGCCCCGATGACTTATGACCAGACTTGGAGGGATGGCGATCCAATGATGAAACGAGACTGCGGTGGTGGGTGTGAAACACACGCGCCTGGGCCGGGTCGGGCCAATTGGGCGGCGGATTAGGCGCCGGGGGCTTTTGTTATTTTTAGGGGTGGTGATAAGATGGACGGATCGCCAGGTGATGTGGTGATGGGATGGATTTGAGCGCATTGTGAACTGTACAACCCCTGGATTTATGAAGCAATGAAGTACCACGACCGTCGAAAGAGACGGATTGCATAAACTTGACCGTGGTAGCCATTAATGCGTTCCAGCCTTCCAGGGCAGAGCGGGGACTGCGAGCTGTGAGCGACCCTGCGGACAGCATGGGGGGTGAAACTTGGGCCCAGCGGTTGTTGCGAGGAAACCCGGTTGTCTTCTCTCCTCCACCGTCCAATGCGCAGAACCGGAGCTTCTTTGTCTGTTCTCCACTTGCTAACCGGGCAGTGCAAAACCTCCGTAGGACAAGGCTGAAGCCGGCCGCGTCGCGGGCAACGGGTTTGCTGGCACGGGCGAGGGTTCCTGGTTGGGCAGGCAGCGCGCGCGCGATAATCACCGGGGTTCTTGGATAAGGCGGACGGACGGTCCGTTCGGAGAGAAGAGGCGGACGAACCGAGATACGATGGCGGTCTGGTCAAGTCTCGCTTGGTTGTCGAGGTAGGATTCTGCAGAAGGTCGAGTCCCAATAGTGATATTCTGTAACTAGCCGGACGTTTGAAACGGTGGTAGAAGGATGAGTGGCCTTGGGCGGCCCCCAACCGAGGAGCGCTCCACTGGTGCGGGTGGGTGCGTGTCGGTGCGTGTGCCACCACACCTCCAAGCGTCCAAGGTTGTTCTCCTGGGCCGGGGGCTGATTGGAGTTCCCAGAAACAGAGCAGCAAGCGTCGCAGCAACGAGTACGAATCCAGGAGGGAGTCTACGAGCTGCTAAATTAGACGGTCAGGTCAGAGGCCTTGTACATGTCAATATGTACCGGTAGTAACTATTCCGGCAATCTACCGTACCTGTAAAGAGACCAAGCGCTCTGTACCACTAGAACTCACCGTCAGCGTCGTTGTCGTTGTCTGGGAGCTAATTACCTAGGTACCTGCTGGGGGGAGGTCCACTGTGTGTTAGTGCAGGCCTTTTAAGGACCTGGAATCCACTGCAGCTCGGTCGATTCCCTGTAAGCAGCTCCCACTGGACAGAACGCAGCTCCCCCTCATGCGGGCTGTCGTCGTTGTCGTGGTGGTTGTCGTAAGGTATTGGGCCTGGGCTGCCTCGCCGATAGAGGCATCGTAGGTGATGGAGGGGTACCTAAGACAAGTTAGCTGCCTCTGCATCCAGTGAATGGGTAGAGTCTTACCAATTGAAGGCCTACGCTGCATTCCATCTCTGCTGCACGTTCTAGTCCATCTCCCCCCGTCTGGTGCGGCTGTGCCCACTTGCTTGCCTTCAACTTCTTCCCCTCCCCCGCGGTGATAGTTCAACTCTTTACCCTCTTCCCTCGAACTCTCTTCCACGCCTCCCTCTGCCAGCAACCCGTTTGCGGCGATATTCTCCGCCTCTCCCAGTGACGCTGTACCTTCAGTGTCGCTCTTTGACTCTGAGGCTCTTTGGCACTTTGTCTATCCAGGCGGGTCATCTCAGAAGCTGCTGACCAGTGCGTGCTGCTGTCCAAACAGGTGCGTGCGTGCTTGTGTGTGCTGATTTTATGATTTTACCCCTCCCCGATGATGCTGCACCCGACACCAAAGAAAACCTCAAGCCGCAGCGAGATAGATGGCCAGACGAAACCGCGACAAAGAGCCTGTCGTCCGCCTATCTCTCCTGTATCACCATCCGCCTCTTAGTTTCTTAGTCCTGGCGCGGCAGGCATGGTTCCCAACCCAAGGAGCGGCCCGCATCGTCCATCCCTCTGAAGCCGCCTCCCTCACCGTGCCCCCTGTTCACATCCACATCCACGTCCCAATCCACCTCCAAATCCGCCCACACAAGTCACACACCCACACCAACACCACCCAACCTTAGCCCAGAAGCCATCCACCCCGCCCACGACAAGTCGTCGTCTGTCCTTAGCCGCCCGGCGCTGCCCTTCATCACACTGGTGGTTAACGGCGGTTTCTGCCATCGGCCCAACAGCCAGAAGAAAGTGGACAGATCAGATGACTGTCTGTCACTGACTGCTTGCTGCCATTTTGACTCTTCATCCCCCCCCGCCCCCCGTCCCGTCCCGCACTCGCCTCCCCTCGCATCTCCTCCACATCTTCTGGAGTCTCTTGCCTTGTCGCGCGTCTCGTTTCGGCTTGCCGCTTACTTATGCCCTTGCGCTTGTGCTCGTGCTTGACATATTACGTCCTGTTCTCGGCCTGCTCAACGCTGACACTCCCTCTCGCCGCTCCCTCGCAGATCACAGACCATCTCACAGACCATCTCCGTCGCCATCTACTCGGCTCGCGTTCCCCCGGTTCGAATACCAACCCCGTGTTGCGAACCCCTACCTAGATTCACCGTTCGCCACGCCGACCCGACTGAAACTGGGCCATCGCGACCACGCTAGGTTAGCTACCTAGTAGCTGCTTGACCACCCCTTTGTGCCCCGCGCCGCCGTCTATTAAGAGGAGACGCCCGACTGGGCCCGAGCGGAGCTGAGTCTCACGGTCGTCACCTCGCTTGTCCACGGCCTCGTTGCGACCCTGCCATCGTCGCTAACCTCTCCACCTCCTGCCGCTCACCTGCTGCCACCGTCCCCGGAATTTAAACCGTCCATTGCCAACTTGACAGCTCCCTGCGCTGGTTGTCGTCGTGAGAATCCGCTGGGTGGAGTTCCATTTAACGACCAGTCCGTTCTTCTTTGTGATCAGAGCCCGAACAATCAAGCGACTCCTGATTCCCCTTTCCCCTCACTTCACGCTTTCTCAACTCGGCGTCTCTCGCTTCCTACGTCTTCTCGACAACCCCATTGCGCGCCTCCGATTCGAAATCCGCGAGCTATCCTGTCACTCTCCAATTCTCTACTCCCATTTCCTTCGATTTCGCCGGCACCATGTCGCGATCGAACCCCCCCAACGCCTCGGGGTCCCGCAAGATCTCTTTCAACGTCAGTGAGCAGTACGATATTCAGGATGTCGTCGGCGAGGGTGCATACGGTGTAGTCTGGTAAGCTTTCTCCTGTCGCCATCTCAAGTCCGCCCCCGTGCAATGCTCACCGTCTCTCTAGCTCGGCCATCCACAAGCCTTCAGGCCAAAAGGTCGCCATCAAGAAGATTACCCCCTTCGACCACTCCATGTTCTGCCTAAGAACCCTTCGAGAGATGAAGCTTTTGCGCTACTTTAACCACGAGAACATCATCTCCATCCTCGATATCCAGAAGCCCCGAAACTACGAGTCGTTTAACGAAGTCTACTTAATTCAGGTACGAACCGACTATTCGCTGTGTAGCTCGCGTGGGCAAGATCCCGAGACTGACCCTCTTTGTGCAGGAGTTGATGGAAACGGATATGCACCGAGTCATCCGCACCCAGGACCTCTCCGACGACCACTGCCAGTACTTCATCTACCAGACTCTGCGTGCGCTCAAGGCCATGCACTCGGCCAACGTTCTCCACCGAGATCTCAAGCCGTCCAACCTTCTGCTCAACGCCAACTGCGATCTCAAGGTCTGCGACTTTGGCCTCGCCCGATCTGCGGCGTCCCAGGAGGACAACTCTGGCTTCATGACGGAATACGTTGCCACGCGATGGTACCGAGCCCCGGAGATCATGTTGACCTTCAAGGAGTACACCAAGGCCATTGATGTGTGGTCGGTCGGCTGCATTCTGGCCGAGATGCTGAGCGGAAAGCCCCTGTTCCCCGGCAAGGACTGTACGTTTTTAATCTTTTGAATTTGCTCAAAGTAGAGGGACGAACGTGTTTGGCTGACCACTTCTACCAGATCACCACCAGTTGACTCTTATTCTGGACGTGCTGGGCACACCCACAATGGAGGACTACTACGGAATCAAGTCGCGCCGAGCTCGAGAGTACATCCGATCGCTACCCTTTAAGAAGAAGGTGCCCTTCCGGACCCTATTCCCCAAGACTTCGGACTTGGCGCTGGATCTGTTGGAGAAGCTGCTTGCCTTTAACCCCGTTAAGCGCATCACGGTGGAAGAGGCGCTGAAGCACCCGTACTTGGAGCCCTACCACGATCCCGAGGATGAGCCTACGGCGCCACCAATTCCCGAGGAGTTCTTCGACTTTGACAAGCACAAGGACACTCTGAGCAAGGAGCAGCTGAAGCAGTTGATCTACCAGGAGATTATGAGGTAAATCCTTGCGGGCACGGCCACAGAATAATAGCATTGGAGCTGCGAGGAGAAGATGCAAATAGGACGATAGTGGCAGAGGCGTAGTACCATGTATCCCATTTTGGGTTTGGGTTTCGCGATGCAAGGAATGGCATTGCGATGAGTTTGGAGAAGGATAGATAGAGACACAAATACGCGCACGCACAGACACATGGGGTCTCTCTTGGTCTTTGTATATCCTTGCGTGCAACTTGGTCAAGGAACGAGAGTGTGACTGTGAGGTGCTGGCATGGGAGATGGAAGATGGGCGACGGAGATACCAAATCGCAGAGCAAAGAGTATGACAATGTGAGGGAAAGTGGGGGGTTGTGAAGTGGATGGGATGAATGCCTGACTATCATGAATAAAACCACTCTAGTTTCTTGTTTGTCCGCACTTGACCCGAACTACATGTCACACCAAGGTGAAGGCGATTAGTCACAGTCATCAGGTAGTTTGGGAGTCCAAGTCCATGACCATGACTACCTTACCTATGGCCGTAGGTCACCCGGTCCTTTGGCGGCGAGCTACAATCATGAAAGGAAGGGAAGCTGGAGGCTAATAGCTACTTAGGTGGTGGAGTTGAAGTTGGGTTAGTGACCTGACGCCCTATAAAACAAAGCGGTAAAGGCCAAAGCCGCTGGATCCGAGGGTTGGCACCCGGACTTTCGGTACTTCCGGTGCTTTCCAGGGGCGTTCTGGACGCCAACGCGCCGGCATGTGGCGGGCGTGTACACGAGTGACACGACAGCCCAGACAGACAGACCTACGTCAGTCGGTCAGAGAGCTACCTATCCACGAATGACGAGGCCCCAATAAATCAGGCCCCCGCCACTTTGTGAGTGGAAGGATTCACATACCTGACCAGCCAGACCAGACCATCCTCTTTCGTTATAACACTGAACCCAGCGTCAACCGCCATCCCGTCCTTTTTTTTTTTAATATTTTCCTTGTTGCATGTCTCAAATCCTAAACAAACGCAACAAACCGTTTTGTACATAACGTCTTATCCCACACCGCGCTTGAACGTTGACCTGGTCACTGAACCGTTGACGACCTCCACCACCCTGCCTGATTTGACTACTCTCGACGATCGACCCTGGTCCTTCTGTCGTTTCGCTCTCTTGATCCCTGTCCTGATCTACCCTCTATCTCTACAACCTCAACCGCCGCTCAAACGCACGCTCGTTTCCCAATGAGCTCCCCCGACCGCAACTACTCCTCCGAATCGCCCTCCTCCTCCTCCGGCGCGCAAACGCCTGCCCTCGCTACCGACTCCAACCGCGCGTCCGCGTCATACATCGCCAACATGTGGACCGGGCTCATCCGCCGCTTCTCGACCGAGGACTCGCACTTCCCCAGCCAGGCCGACACCGCCTACGACGACCACCAGAACGGCGGGTCGCCCAAGGACGGCGTCAACGGCGTCTTCTCGCCCATCCGCCGCACCGCCAGCCCGCTGCACCTGCCGCCTCTCGACCCGCTCGTCTTGCACGGCTACCGCGAGGGCACGCCTGATTCTGCGAAGCTGTTATCTACCGCCGTGGCTGAGGAGATTCGCACCATGATCCCCGAGCGCCTGCGCATCGTCGACGACTGGCACCTCGTCTACAGCCTCGACCAGGACGGCGCCAGCCTGGCTACACTCTATCAGCGGTGTCGCCCGTACGATGGCAAACGGGCTGGCTTCGTGCTGGTCGTCAAGGACGAAGAAGGCGGGGTGAGTCTGAAATCATGGCTGTCCCTTGGCCAGCTCCCCACACATGGCATGACAGCAACACAACAGTGCAACGTTGCGAGCTGTCATCTTGACTGACAACTTTGACTGACACCCACCAACAGACCTTCGGCGCCTACCTCTCTGAATACCCTCATCCAGCCCACTCCTACTTTGGCAACGGCGAATGCTTCCTCTGGCGTGCCTCTATCCACGCTCCCCTCCCCCTGCCGCCCTCCGCCGACACCACAAACCTCACCCGTACCACGACGCTCGCTCCGCCGCCGAGGCCCGCTTCCTCGTCCGCGACTAGCTCCCGCTCCGCCTCGCCGACTCCCAGCGAGGCCGTCCGCTTCAAGGCCTTTCCCTATAGCGGACTCAACGATTTTTGCATGAACTGCGAGACAAACTTCCTGAGCGTCGGCTCTGGTGGTGGTCATTACGGCCTGTGGCTTGACGACTCGCTCGCAGTCGGCCACAGTTCCCGCTGTGAAACGTTTGGCAACGAACCTCTGAGTGACGAGGGGACCAAGTTTGGCATGATTGGTGTCGAACTCTGGGTCATGGGTGCATAAACAGATTTGTCCATGGATATAGGACATAGCATGGTTGACATGATATTACGGGCGCCTGGCGTGTATTTTCTGGCTGATGGCTCTTTGTTGATCTCGCGGAAGAAAACAAAAAGGGAAAACTGCACAAATTCGTGGCACGAACAAATGACCCCCTTGATCGGGAAAATCAATAGAAAAGGGGACAAAAAGGGCCGCATGATGAAATTCGCCTGGGAGGATACTGGAATGAGGTGGAAGACTTGGATAAACGCTGGCAAAAAACATGGAGCGACCAACATGACTAGGCATTAGCAGTGCTATAATGATACCCGGAGTTTGACGCTCCCAACTATTTTGACTTGGATCTGCGAGCCCCATGTGCACCATAAGAGGAGGTTGGGATACTCGATTTTGACGCGTGTAAAGAGCACTGCGATAAAGTCCATGCCCCCGATCCTAAGACAGTTATCAATAATGCACACAAGGCAGCAGCGTAGAAATACCATTTTCATAAGGCTGATTCTTAGTATTTATCCTCTAATAGATATTTTATTGGGTTAGATTGAACAGTAAGGGACACCTTCGACTCAAGAATGTATGTACCCTTTGACGGCGCATTCGAGGTATATTGGTTTGGCTGAGGCCTGGGTTGAAGGGACTTGTACCTGTGTGCGAATAGCAAAACTCTTGTCATATTTGGTTCGCCATGTACTCTACAATACCGTTCATCACGCCCGCGGGAGTGGGAGTCTCGGCGCATACATCGGGCTCAAAGCCAAGCGTGCGGAGATGGTCCCTTGTCGTCGGCCCAATGGTCGCAACAAACGTCTTTCCATCGCGGGCGTCGGGTCGCACCTTGCCCGTTTCCAGGTCCAGCACGCCCATACCACGGAGCAGGTTATCGCAGCCGGTAGGCGAGAAGACGACGATCCAGCGGGTGCGGACGTCACGAGTGTCTTCGAGGATGCGGGCGAGGTCAGCAGGGAAGGACTGCATGACGCCCGTGCCGTAGACAACGGTCTCGGTGACGGGGATGCGCTCCGGGTCGGGGAGTGCCGGGTCAGTGAGGGTTTTGGGGATGATGTCTCGACGGGTCTCGCCGACCAGGAAGAGCACCGGAGGCTTGGCCGGCCGATTCGAGTACCACTCGGCGTAGTGGGGGAGGATGTATGAAGCAAGTGCAGCGCCGTTGCCGGTGTGGCTGCCGAAGACCTTTAGGGGCGGACTCTGTGGCACCGCAGCGAGGGCGCGGGTCGTTGCAGGACCGACGCTGTAGACGGGAATGTCTTGAAGGTGAGGCCAGTTGGCGGCATCGGCATCATTCGCAGCTTCAGCGTCTAGGATGGGCAAGGGAGTCAGTATATTGACACGTAGAGGGATTGCTTCCAGGATAAACCCAAGGGGAAGAGCCCACCCCGTTTTCCGTCTTTAACAAGCTTGACAAAGGCCTCCACAGCGCGCTGCGAGGTGAAAATCATGCCGCCATATTCATCATCTTCGCCGTTTCCAATGCGACGGTCTCGGAGCAAGCCGGCAACTTTGGACATGCCCTCATCGTCGAAGCAATGCAGAAGCACTGGGACAAACGTCGGTGTAAATGAAACTCCATTGTGCTGAAATTCCGAAAAGAGGTCCTCGTATGAGTCGCCGGGGGTTGACTTGGTCTTGAGGAGGAGGACGGGGGTCATCGTGGACGGAGTGGAGGCCATGGTGGTGGCGGTGAGATATGGTCACTTAATTACGTGGGTACTATGTCGAATGACACACAGGGCTATGAGGGCGTGCTCAGGCAACGGATTGGGCTTTGCTAAGGAAAGGGGGCCGGCGCAAATGCTATGGCGGGATCATCAGATGGGCGGCGTGACACAAGTCGCAACCCACGACGTCTGGCGGGGGAGCTTTTTCCAGAGTGGATATGAGGTAACTGGGTAACTGGAGGCTCAGCTCTTATCGATAACCACCCCCAGTAATGCCGTTAGAAAAGAGTTGCGAACGGACGGGCTTTCCAGGCCGATCCAGACCTGGATTTTGTTATCGATAACCATACCTGTCGCTTCAACGGTATATCATCCTGGATTGAATCGGCTCTACCGGGGCTGACAAATTACCGTCACACCACGACAACACCAGAACTCGTGGCGGCCGTTGCAGCTTTGTCGGACAAAAATCTTCTCTCTCTTTCTCTGCTCGCCCCTTTCTTTAAAATTTACGGGTTGCCACTCCCTTAGTCTTCTTATCGACACGTCAGATCTCAGCAACCACAACGAGTGGTGGCGCTATGGCGGACGAGAGCAAAGATCAACAACAGCCGGCAGGTGGCGTGGTTGCGACCCCTGGTGCGCCCGCCCCTGCTGGAGGCTCTGCTGAGCCGCCCAAGAAGATTCCCAGGGGAGTGGTTCTGGGCCCAGATGGGAAGCCGTGAGTCAACGCCCCTCTAGCTGGCCGATGGAGACGCTCAGTCTCCGGAATCACGTTATGGTGGATCGCGCTGCTAATCCTTTTCCTCTATAGCTGTCGCAATTGTACGTCGTTTGCATCATGGGCTGCCCAGACCAAGGAGACTATCAAGGGGGACGCAACACGCGCCAAAGCGGTGACACAAGGTCCGCCGGCCGACTGCCCCCCGGACGTGGAAGTTTTGGGTCGGAGCACCTGGACTCTCCTACACTCGATCGCGGCCACGTACCCAGAAAAGCCGTCGCAGGGCCAGAAGTCGGACCTGCTTAGCTTCGTGGGCCTTTTCTCGAAACTCTACCCGTGCTGGGTGTGCGCCGAGGACTTCCAGGGCTACCTACGCCGGGATACGCCCAAGGTCGGCAGCCGGGATGAGTTTGGCAAGTGGCTATGCGGAGCTCACAACGATGTAAACCGAAAGCTGGGCAAGCCGGAGTTTGATTGCTCCAAATGGGAGGAGAGATGGCGGACAGGGTGGAAGGACGGCCGGTGCGACTGAACACCCACCCGGAATCGGTGTGCGGTGTGTAAGATATCCTTACCTGGCGGGAGTGGAAGACACTTTCCATTGCTGGCCTACCCAGGGTGTGTATAGGTGGGACGAGCAATCATGTATCAACACCCATGACCCTGGGAAACGGAGAGGGAGTGTACGAAAATATGCGCATAGAAGAAATTGGCGGGCTTCGCGAGAGAAAGGAGAATCAGATGGAGACAGGCATGAAGATGAAAAAAAGTAGGCCTGTGGTGTGTTTCCGACGTCGGCGTCGGAGGACGAACAGCGCGGGTACCTTGGCTTGCACCTTCCCTTGCCACTTGCAGCGGGCTGAAGGGCTGAGCCAAGGTGAGAGGAAGGCGGCGTCCAGGGCATTGATTGGTGTAACACTACTACTGTACCTCGCATGTAGAATCTCTTCTCACGATTTACTAGACACAACTCATTTATCACCCGCAATACCTACCTAAGGTACCTAGGTTAACAATCTACCTCCTAAGTCCATGGCTCATCCTCATCAACAAATGTACCTAGGCGCAGAGCAACGGAGATATAAAAAACAAATCCCAACCTCCTGAGGGAAGTAGTTCGCTGTCAGGCTACATGTGGATTCGTTCCCACATGCGCGTATGCATTTGCGGTCGATTCACTGCACAAGTGTAGATGAGAGTCGATGACGCACAACATCAACAAACCAAAAAAAGCCCCAACAAGGCGGGTTTCCACCGCGCTGGCCAGGCTCTCTCGCTTGCATGCCTGGGTACCTTATGCCTGGTCGTCGTCGGTGTCGGTCGTCCGCTTGTCCAGTCGAGACCCTTGCTTCGGGAGGAGTCGCCGCCACGATAAGGATGATCTGACATGGCCCCTAACTACCGGCCCGGCCGTTGCGATGGCCTCACCGAACAGCAGGGCCACAACGAACAAATCAAGGCGCTCTGACAGCTTCTAGATTCCAGGTTCTGTGGCTCGTGCCCTAGAATTCACCTTACCCTGCTGCTGTATCCCCTGGCCTGCCGCTCTATCCCGGCTTTTGTGGCTCGTTGAGCAATCGTTCCCTGCTTGAGGCTCGCTAAAGGGACCACTGTCAAATCCAATGCTCACCGACCTATCATTCCATCATGCCCAACACCCTCCCTGTTCTGCTATCAACGGCAAGCAACGGAAAACGAAGGCATGAAGAAGAGTCAGATGTGACCTGTTTCCGAGGGAAAATGTTGTCTCGTTTTGCCTTCTGTCGTTTCGCCCGGATAATATCCAGGGCGTGCGTGGATAGACCCGATACGAGATGCCACTACTACTCCCTTTCTCCCGCCCTACCACCACCACGCTTGCTAGCATTGTAGTTAGCGATGATGCTACCGCTGATGCTGTTGTTACTCATCACGCAGCGGTGATGACTGCTGTAAACTGTTAGCTGACTGACTGCGGATACCAAGCGACCGGAATTAGACCGACGATGCTGAGTATCATGATGCGTGTGCCTCTGGCCCACTGGATCTTGCTGTTGTCTCCAGCCACACCAGCCGAGAACCCACCCCTACCACCCGATCACCTTTCAATTGCCGCAGCCTTTGGGTTTCACCGAACAAGCGCCATTGTGAATTTTACCCATGCAACCGTGGCATCGGAGTATAATGCGTAACGCAATGGGCAAGGGTGGTTACGGATGCGTTCGGCCTGGTGCTCGGCCACACGCCCGGACTAGCCGGGACCGGGTTTGCCATGGCTTTTGGGCCTCGTTGGCTGTCCGTCCATCGACCTGTCAATCACTCAAACAGGGGATCCAAAGACCCATTGTTGATCATGGGTAGGTACTTACTGGACGACCGGCGGGCCGCTGCCGCTATCTTCAGAGCTATCGGAGCAGCCACGATGAGGGCTCCGCTTGGCTGGATCGCGAATGGATCCGGCGAAGCTTGCATCATGGCATCATATGATTGTCCAGAGCCGCCCTCGCGTGGCGCCGGCCACATTACATCACCAAACTCACCTCACCACTCACCATCCGCTCTGGCAGCACGGCCTTCGGCGACAAGAGACGAGAAAACAACAAGGTGTAGGAATTTTGGGGCAATCCATATCCGTCTCCCTATCCTATCCTATCCTATCCCTATCCATGCTGGTTAGAGAGTACCGTGATTTTGCTCACCTTGTCATCTCATTCCTGGTCCGACTACGTGGTAGTACGCTCCCTTCCAGGTGGTCTATTTTCGGAATCGCCATTGCCATTGTTGAGTGCATGTGTGTGTGCCCGATCTTGTGTGGTAGCTTCGATTCCGTATAAACATCCTCCTCCTCCCTCCTCCCAACTCCCGCTCCTTCCTATCTCTCCCACACTCCATTGCTTAGCTTACAGCCCAGCATCATCACTCCTCATCACCATCCAGCTTCCAAGCAACAGCTTCCACGCATCTCAACTTTCCTAGTTTTCGACTTGGGAAGCATACCACGCCTTCCATCACCTCCGAGATCTCCAATACCTCATCCGAATTTCCATTTGCAATCGCCTCCAGCCCCAATCCCCCTCTATCATGGCAGACGAACGAGTCCAGGCTCTGAAAGAGCCCATTGATGTCGCCGAGTACCTCTTCAAGCGTCTCCGCGAGGTTGGCGTGCTCTCCGTCCACGGTGTTCCCGGGGACTACAACCTCGTTGCCCTCGATTATCTCCCTGACTGCGGCCTCAAGTGGGTTGGCAGCGTCAACGAGCTCAATGCTGGTGAGTTTGCCCCTCTCTTGCCCCCCACTGCACATTTCACCTTTCCCCTCCCATCATATCATGACTTCCTTCGCATCTTGCAAATCGGGCATGGTACTTCCTCGACCCCGCCTTGAACGCCAACATCCTTGCTTGTATATCTGCATGCGCTCGCTCGTTTCGCCGCTGACACCCTCCCAAAGCCTATGCTGCCGACGGTTACGCCCGCGTCTCCAAGATCGCCGCTCTCATCACCACCTTTGGAGTAGGCGAGCTCTCTGCCCTCAATGGTATCGCCGGTGCTTTCTCTGAACACATTCCCGTCGTCCACATCGTCGGCTGCCCGTCGACAATTTCGCAGCGCGATGGCATGCTGCTTCATCACACCCTGGGCAATGGCGACTTCAACGTATTTGCCAACATGAGCTCCCAAATCTCATGCGAGGTCGCCAAGCTCAACAACCCCGCCGAGATCGCAAACCAGATCGATCACGCCCTGAAGACCTGCTGGCTCCGTTCGCAACCCATCTACATCATGCTCCCCACCGATATGGTCCAGGTCAAGGTCGAAGGTGCCCGCCTCGCGACTCCAATTGACATGTCTGAGCCCGAAAATGACCCCGAAGCCGAAGACTTCATCGTCGCCGAGGTCCTCAAGAACCTTACCGCTGCCAAGCACCCCGTCATTCTTGTTGATGCCTGTGCTATCCGACATCGCGTCGTCGAGGAGGTTCACCAGCTCGTCGACAAGACCAACCTCCCCGTGTTCGTGACCCCAATGGGCAAGGGTGCCGTCGATGAGAACCATCCCAACTACGGGGGTGTTTATGCCGGTAGCGGCTCCCACCCTGCCCAGGCCAAAGACATCATTGAGTCCTCGGATCTGCTCCTCACCATCGGTGCCATGAAGGTAAGAACCAAATACCCAGACGTCTCATATTCTCAAGCCCAGGCTAATTTCAATCATGATTTAGAGTGACTTCAACACCGCAGGATTCTCGTACAGGACATCACAACTTAACTCCATCGACTTCCACAGCGATCACTGCATTGTCCGATACTCGACGTACCCAGGTGTCAGCATGAGAGGTGTTCTCCGTAAGGTGATTGACCAGGTCGACGCTTCTGCACTCTCCGCGCAGCCAAGCCCCGCGGTCGAAAACGAAGTTGAGGAAAACCTTGATGACTCACAAACTATCACTCAGGCCTGGTTCTGGCCTCGCGTTGGCGAATTCCTGATCCCCAAGGATGTCATCGTGACGGAAACCGGAACTGCCAACTTTGGAATCTGGGACACCAGGTTCCCCGCTGGTGTCACAGCTCTCAGCCAAGTTCTTTGGGGAAGCATCGGCTGGTCAGTTGGCGCTGCCCAGGGCGCTGCACTGGCAGCGAAGGATGCTGGTAACGGCAGGCGCACAATCCTCTTCGTTGGTGATGGATCATTCCAGCTCTCAGCTCAAGAGCTGAGCACCATGATCCGACATAAGCTCAACCCAATCATGTAAGCTCAACCCATCATGTTGTCCTTCCCAGAACTCAGAACTGTTCTTGGCGAGTTTGTGCTAATCTCACGATAGCTTCCTTATCTGCAACGACGGTTTCACCATTGAACGCTTCATCCACGGCATGGAAGCCGAGTACAATGACATCAACACCTGGAAGAACAAGGAACTAGTGAACGTATTTGGAGGAGAGGACACATGCAAGACATTCACAATCAAGACCAAGGATGAGCTCAATGAACTCCTCGCCGACAATGAGTTCCAGGCTGCCAAGACTCTGCAATTCGTGGAGCTTTACATGCCCAAGGAGGACGCCCCTCGCGCTCTGGTCATGACGGCGGAAGCGAGCGCCAAGAACAACGCAAAGCTCGAGTAAACGGCAGCTTGATTTCGCAGTGGGATGGTATAGATTGGAGCGAGGCTGCTCTTGAGGAATATCTGCGAGGGGGGGAAGAGATTGGATCCAACTCACCGAGTGGCTTGGCTGTGCTGTCTCACTTGATCAAAATGGCATAGAATGGGTTTCCTGAATCGATCGGCGGGCGGGTTACTGGTCGATGGGGTTTTTATTTAGACTTTTCGCATGAGCGAGTATGAACATGTTAATTGATTGACTCTATCAGTTTAAAACGGATGAGATTTGCAAAGTGTCGATGCCGGAGTGATTGAGAGCTTGTCAAAGTGCCTGTGGTGGCGGGCAACACGTGATGCGCTGGGGCGCCTGCAAAAATCACAGCGTCCGCGCATTGGGACTTGCACTTCCAACATCATCCACGCAGAATCGCTATCCCCAGGTCGGTGTGTTCAACTGCCTGCTTAGGAAATAGTCGTCCTTCATTAGGTCGCCGCCATCATGAGCGACGGAGCAAACAAACGAAAGCAGGGCCCAAGCAGGGGAGGTCCGGCAAACAAGAAGAGCAAGGTGAGAAGTCATGAGCTGGGTCAATTCTCGGCACTCAAACCCGCACAGCATGCCCACATGCATGCCTTTTCTCTTCTGCGTGGCTTGGGGTGTTTACTGGGTCAGTTTTTTTATTTAGAAGCCAGCGGCTAATTGGATCACGAAGGGAGGTACTGCTGGCAGATGGCAGACGCCATTCCAGAAGGCCAAGCATGCCGAAAAGGCTGAGCTAGGAAGGACATTGGAGGTCAACGACGCTGGCATCTGGGTGACATACGCCAGGGGCATGAAGGGGAAGGCTATGCGGGAGTTCAAGGCGCTTTGCAACCAGGTATGGTGGCTCTTGAGCACATTCCATCGTACTTGGCCGTACTTTTTTTCGACTAACTTTAGTTCTGCAGTATGGCGAGTCCATGTTTGGAGTTGAAGCTCCGGTTGATCCGACTGATGAGGTGAAGGAGGATGAGGAGGGCCAGGATATTGAGGCTTCGATCCAGCAGGAACTGGAGAGCTTCAAGGAGTCCAAGCCCAAGACTAAACAAGTCTTCACCGCCATCTCAACCGGACTCGAGTGTGTCTTCTTCATGAAGACCACTGAACCCATTGACTCTCTCAAACTCATTCAGAAAATGTGCCAGGATGCCAAGGACTGCCCGGATCCGAGGGAGCGGAAGACCAAGTACGTCAACCGCTTGACGCCTGTTCAGGATACGGATAAAGCAAGCGAGAACGGCATCGAGCGGGTGGCCCGGACCGTCTTGGCCCAATGGTTTGAGCTGAAAAGCGAGTCTGGCGATGATACCCAAAACGGGGCCGATGCTCAGGGTGATGGAACGGAACCTGCAGCGTGCACGGTGAGTGTTGGTAGTCGGTGTGTTCATTACGCGTGTCTGATCAATCTGCGCTTCTAGTACGCCATCCGGCATAACATTCGAAACCACACCACCTTCAAGTCGGATGCTATCATTAAGAAGGTTGCCGGCCTAGTTAGCCCTAAACACAAGGTCAACCTGGGCAACCCAGACAAGGTGATATTGGTCGAGATCTTCCAGGTAAGCGATCCCTCGCCAGTTTTGACCTATCCGCGAGCTCGGCAGCTGACTAGCGTAGACATTTTGCGGAGTCTCGGTTGTCGATGGCAAGCAATGGGAGGAGCTGAAACGGTACAATCTGAACGAGCTGTACAAGTTGGCCTCGGAAACGAAGAAGGATGCTCCTGCCGAGGGAGCTGCGGAGTCGACATAGCTCGCTCGCGTCTTGCCTGGTAGTGGCTGACGTGTCACTTGTGAAGGGCGGACAATATGACGGTAGTAGCGGCCGTTTTCATATCAGTCGAGGCCGCGATGGGTTACAGGAAGCGAAGCTTGCATCCACAATTGAAAGATGGCTGCCAGCAACACGAGCCAACGGGGCATGACGTCGACTCCCCTGCGTATGAAACAAATGAGATGGGTCCCAAGGGCATCTCAGCCTGAAGACAATGGAGATGGGTCACGGCCACAGCATCTGCGGTGAGGAGTGACTGGTGTTGCAAAGCACAGGGCATGCTCCGTCCTCAAGACATGAGATGAAGGCAAATGGCACAGACCCATCGATGGCGGCTGGCTGCTTCGAAAGCGGTTCGTGGGCTGGCGATCTCCCGTAAGAACTTGTCCGGAAGGAGATGGGCTATTGGGCTTATATTGGAGACAGCCGGCGGTGGCTGGAAAAAGCGGAACGAGTTGGAAGCCACGCACCGAAATTGGCATTTCGCACCAAGCTACGGAGTACGATAGAAAGTCGAAAGCTCAACCTGTTCTGCTCTTCATCAAGACACCCCCCAGTCAGTGAACATGGTCGATTTTGGGGCCTCGGGAGATGCCTCGGAGGGAGTCGCAAAAGCTTAAACTCGATGATCCCGGCATCCCGGCGGGTGGCTGCGTGGATGTCTGAGACGGAGGCTTGGAACATCGAATCGTTACTCGCTGAGGGAGCGAGGAGCCATTGGGATGCTTCCTACTCCGGACCTAGTGCTCTGATACATGGGGTACATGAGGCACAGAGTACGTGCTGGGTGCTTTGACGTGTACCAGCTCATCACCAGCAGCTTCGACTACCTCCCAACAGCTGCAACTACCATGTACATGTACATGTAGCCTTCAGGTGGTGGCGCGGAGAGTCGGCAGACGTGGCCCTGGCTTGCCGTCTCGTCTATTCGCATCCGATCCGGGACGAGCCTCACATTGGGATCCATTTCCAAGCCCCACACTTCCGTCGGACGCCACGGCGAGCTACAAGTCAGCTCTCGTGCATGTGCACATCATGCTCGCATCACTGTCCACACCGCAAGAACTGGAGGCGAGGGGGACTGACTGGGCTGGGCGGTTAGTCTGTGGTCTGCTGGGCGTGTGAAGACGGAGTCACAGACGGACGGAAAAGCGCCAGATGGTGTCAACGACACGCAAACGGACTTAACAGGATGACCATGCATGCTACAGTAATATGGCATGCCATGCGACGACGGAGCACAAAAGTGCCAGCCCACAAACTGACCCCCCAAGGCGCCACCAAGACACCAAGACCCCAGTGCAGGGTCCGCGGAATGCCACCCAGCGTGACCCAGGTCTCGTTCGCTTGCGGCGACCAATGATAAATTTCCCGACTCGCTTCCCAATGCAACCTTTAGATCACCTTTGCTCGACGACGAGTCAACGACAAGACGCCGGCCTGGCCTGGCCTGGCCCTGCGGTGCCGTTCCCTGGACCATTCGCTGGACCCTCCTCGCTGGGCTGAGACATGATGGGCTGGGAACCGTACCCAGGGCCGTACCCAGGACCAGGTCCATTGGAGCCAATCCACGTGGGTCCTGTCTCCCAATTCTGCGGTGCTGGGAGGGCTAGTTCTCCCTGGCTCGCTGCGCCGGTGTCGTTTGGCAGGCCTTTTTTTCGTTGCCGCTCTGCAGACTCGCTTGAGAAGCGCCAATGGGCGGAGCCGGCGCAGTGTCCGATCTAATAGTCTGCTATTCATTAGCGATTACTCTTCGGTCTGCGTGCGAGCTGGGCGCCGGGCGCAACGAGAGATCTGGACTGCGTTTGGCTGAGTTGAGCCGAGCTGAAGCTGAAGCGAACTGTGACTGGCCTGCGCGGGCTGGACTGAACCGCACTGGGGCGCCAGGATGAGGGGTGTTGCCGTGTTGGCGGCCATGGCTCGCATATCATGCATTCTCGCTCGTCTATTCGAGCCTCTCACCTTTCGCCTTTCGCCTCTCGCCTCTCGAGGACTCTCACTCGTCCACGCCAGTTTTCCCTCATCCTTCCCCAGCGTCTTCTCTGCTCTAGCCTCTCTGGTCCAAGGCCGAGTCCTCACCCCGATCTCGCCGCCTACAATTCCCATGACGATTCGCCTTCACGGGGGCTCTGACGGGGGCTCTCACGCCGTGAGCCCCTCCCATTCTTTCGTCGTGCTTCGAGAGCAGCTCCATTAGAGCTACGCCCCGGATGCGGAGGTGGAGGCGCCCAGCTGTTGGGTAAGGGGTGAGATGTGCATCGTTTCGTCTGTTCGTTCCTGATGCGTCCGTATCATGGCGTCTGGACCTAGGTGCTCCCTCGCTCGCTCCCTTGCGCTCCCATTTCCATTTGCCTTCGTTTCCGTTCCGCTCCCTGCTCGTTTGGCTGTGGCCTTGGAATGGCTCGCTTCCATCCCGTTTCGCCGCGGTGATGATCCTAGACACCGCTCTCCACGCTTTAACTCTATACGTGGCTGTCGCGATTCTCGGTTGAAAGGCCGTTGTTTCTCCCATCTACTTACCATCCTAGCCGCTGTCCATCTTCTCTTGTCATTTCCTCCTCCTCACCGCATAACGAGGCGTACCTAGTGTTCAAGCCAACTGCACCACAAGAGCAGCTCTTCTTTAATTGACCCACCACCGCCGAGTCGCTGTCGTCATCTCATCTCTTCGTCTCTCGTCTCTTCTTCCCTGCTTTCCATATCTCACTTCCCACCCCATGCGTGTGTCGCCTCTACATGCTTATCCCATCTCATATCCTGGACATCCCCATCCCATCTCCTCTCCTCCTGCAGCTTGTCACCGGACCGGCTGCCACATCCGACACAACGTCCCGCTCTTAGCTCGACATGCATCGACAACCCTCGTCAGGTCGCATCCTTATGACAAGCCGATGAAGACATTCAAGGAAGAGCCGTGCGCCCATCGACCGTACTCGGCACTGACTACCCTTCTGGAACCCTCCCTTGCCCAAACCTGCTCATCCTCATCTATGGCTCTTCCGTCGTACCAATGTACCGTCCGGGACGACCGTAGTCTGCCCCCCTCGTCCCAGTGTGTCGCGCAACGCTGCAACCTTGCACGGGACAATATCACACGTTCGGCCCGACCTTTTTTCTCTGTCCCATTTTCCTCCGCTTCCATGACCACATTCCCGCCTGACAGGTTTGTCCGCTCATTGCTGAACGGCGTCAACCCCAGCCTGTCTGTCCAAGACCTCGAGGCTGTTCCGTCGGCTCAGCTCCAGCTTCTTTATAATGTCAAAGTCTCCGACGGGCCCAGCCTCTTGCTTGCTCTCCCGCCCCCTGCAGTTATGCGGCTGCTGCGTTCCGAAAAGTCGTCCATCGGGTCTGAGGCCGCCGTGTTGAAGTGGTTGTCCAGTCTGCCAAGGGAGAAGAAACCCACCATGACGTCCAAGGACAGAGCGGCGGGCAAAACTTTAGCTGACTCGGACGGTTGCCAGAAGGCGTCCAATCCGTTGTTCGAATACTTGCCCGTCCTCGTCAGGCACGAATCCGTCGGAGGCGGGCTAGCCGTTGAGTACAACCTCAGTCGGCCACCCCGTGGCGTGGCCATTTCCTCTCTTTCACGACCCCTCACCCGTCGAGAGCGGAGGATAGTTGACTTTCAAACCGGTCAATTCCTCCGCCGTATATCGACACAATCGTCGCCAACCCGAAGATTCGGTATTGCTGCCGATGTACTCTCAGTCCCCTTGCCGTGCCAAGGACGGCGCCTCGAAGGGGGACTCCACACCACGAGGGGGGCAGAATCATGGTCTGTGGCCTTTCACGCTCTGCTGGAATCCATCTTGCGGGATGGGGAGGACTTGGCCATAATGATCAGTTATGGTGCGATCCGGCGACACTTCGACCGCTTCGAACACTTATTGGATGCTGTAACGGAACCACGCCTAGTGGTGGTTGACGCCGGGGAGGACACTAACACGTTAGTCTTCCAACCATCGGAGATGGGGAAGAAGGGAACCTCGCCTGCAGAGGGTATAAACGGGAAGCGACAGGAATCGAAGTCGGCACGGAGGACACACATTCGATCCGAAAAAATCAGGACACTGGCGGAAACCCCCGATGGGTCTGACGAGACGGATAGCGAAGAGGAGGATATTTATACCGTCATATCGGACGCCCAAGGAAAAGGCCACATCGAGGTGACGGGGTTACGACAGTGGTCGAATTGCCTTTTCGGCGATCCGCTTATGGCCTCGGTATTCAGCAAACATCCCAGTCACGATTTCTGGAATGGCTTCGACCGACCCCTCCCTGCGGATGAAGACTCGTATATAGGCTCGTCGGCAAGTGTCGTAGAGGACGAGGCCAACGCACATATTCGACTTCTCCTCTACGAGTGCTACCACGCGGTCGTGGCCGTCGTGCGAGAGTTCTATCGCCCGCAGAACGACAGCAGCAAGAGAGAGCTGGCTGCTCGAAAGCAACTCGGCAACGTGCTGGCACAGCTAGAGGATCTCGATGATTTGGGCGCATCGAGAAGGAGGCGCCCAAGCGGTGAGGTGTCGCCAGCAAAGCGGTCAAAGTCAGGTGATGAGGATGGGAGCGACTGTTGAGAAGCGCCAATTGTTCGTGATCGGTACAAACCTAGGGGGCGATTTTTCAAGGCACATATTGTAGTTGGAGTATCACGCAGCGAGCTTTACGTATGATGCTCTGATAGAGCTAGACACATTATAGATAACGACAAATTTCAACGTTTAATCTCTTTTACTGTTTGGTTTTCCCTTGCCGCGAAGGTCCACCGTTGTCGTCCTCCTCCTCTCCATCATCCTCATCCCTCGGCAGTTGGAAACCCATCATGCCAAGGAGATTTCCCGTTGGCCCCGCCATGCCGGCCTGGCTCTTGAAGCTCTCCAGCAGGTTCTTGGCCAGGTTGTAGTCAATGTCTACCTCTTCGTCGCTGTCTTCTTCCTCTACAACGTCCAGTTGTGTGGCGTCTTTGCTAGGTTTTCCCGCCAGCTTCGTGCTCGCGCTGCTGTCCTTGACTCGGGGTTTCTTCTCGACCTTGGGGTCAAGCTTGAGGGCACCATGTTGGTTCAGTTCGGCCTCGAATTCGGACGCGAGCTTCTTAATTTCTTCATCCTCTTCGTCGGTAGGCGCGGACCCGGTATTTTGCGGCTCAGCTGCCTTCTTACCCTTGGATTCGGCGGGACCCTTTGTTTCGGTGGATGGCAAGCCCATCATTTCTCGCATCATGCGCGCGAATTCGTCCTCGTCGAAGCTGACGTCCTTGTCTTCAAACTCGCTGTCCTCGTCTGAGTCGTCATCATCATCAACATCCATGTCGTCAAGCTCTGCGCCATCCACCCCAGCATCATCGTCGTTGAGGAAGGCTTCGAACCGAGAGACAATCTTACGGAGATCCGACTGGGTGTTCACATCACCAAATCCCGATGATGCGCCTTGGGACTCTTTGTTTCGCTTCCCTTCGAGTTCCTTCTCAAATTCCTCGAAGTTAATATCCATCCAGGCCTCGCTATCGTTTCGGTTCGTGTCTGCCCAAGACATTATCTCCTCATTTGATGGCAGAGTGTCGTCTCCATCCTCTGCCAGGTCCTCGAGCGTGATTGCCAGTTCCCTTACCACCCTGCTCTTGCTTTTCTCGGCATTTGCTGCCAACATTTCAAATCCACACGTCAGTTCCATGCCGAGGTCCAATCTTGCCATATTGTTCTCAGCATCAGTGGACGATGCCTCTTTCTGCGCCCTTTGGAGCACATCTTTCCAGGCCGGTGGTGTTTCAAAGCGCTGCGACCGCAGTTGCGCAAAAAGAACTTTGCTGAATTTCACAGAGACGGTGACGAGGTCTTCTGGAGGGAAGGTCAGGGGGGCAGGTGGAGATATGACACGCTTCAGCGCGATGGCATCTCGGAGGTAGAAGGATTCCACTGCTGGTGCGATAGTTTTGGGGAGTGAGTGCAGAACGTAGGCGACCTTGCGTGGTATTGTGACAAGAGAGTGGTGGATGGAGTCTGAAATCTGTGCTGGGTATTTCTCCAACCTGTAGAATGCCTCTGCTTCGATAAAGGTTGAATGGACGAGAGCATCCGGTTTTGACTTGAGGATTTCGACAGCGTCAGGGAGTGATAGAGTCCTTGATTTAAGGCCAATATCATCCTTGACGGGAATAATAAATAGCTTTCCATCGTGGATCCAGGCTCGATTGTGATCAATCTCTGGGTTTAGCCACTTGGGTAGCACATTTGCGGCCTCGATGAGGAGAAACTCGCCGTCAGTGTCGAAGGCCCGGACCCAGAGATTAGGATGCGACTTTGTTAACTCTCTGAGTATATATACGATGAGCCACTCATCCTCCACGGCGTCACTGTAGTCAGTAATCCCGTGCAGGTAGACAAGTCCTGGTCAAAGTGTTAACTAGGACTGGGTTAAAATCCAAGTGGGTAATTCTTACCTTGCTCGGTCTTTAGCTCGAGGTTGAACTCATCCTTCTGCCAAATGTAGTCCTTCGTCAATGAACTGGCAAGCTGTAACGCAGATTTCCGGATGGATTCGATTTGGGATAATTGTTTCCTAGCGTCCAGTTGAGAGTCCAAAACGAAGAGCAAATACTCGACGCAGTTGTCAGGGAGCTGCCTCTCGAAGCCGTCGTGCTCGGGGGCTGCGTCATCAACCCCTTCCCCCGGATTCGTCTTCGTAGCCATTCTAGTCACAGCCAGGGGTAAGTATTATCCTCATCGACTCATCGACAGCGATTCAGAGACACTTTGTCAGGTGCACAATTTGAGATACTCTAGGGTAGGGTCTTGATGGTCGCGGGGCGAACAAAGGCAACGGCGCTAGACCATATTAGGAAATGAGACCCCACTACTCCAGACACGGTCCCAGCTACCTCGACGCGTATAGTAGATACTTCCCTTTGAACGAACGCCTTTGGCACGGTTACCATTTAATTCGCGTCAACCCCTCCCCAACATTCCCTTGTCGCACCCAATCCACAGCTGTACAGACTCATACCGAATATTGCGCACAATAAAACGCGGGGTTTTCCCATTGTTCGCACACCTGACGCACCACACCCACAGCCATGGCGCCCATGAAACGGCCAAGACGAGCCGTGGAAGACGACGACGAAGGGAACGTTGTCGATGTCCGCGAAGGCCGCTCCAATTTTCGGCCAGAGGAAGCTGTAGGTTCCCATTCCACGGCCGTATCTGTCCGATATGTCGGTCCAACTAACACGCCGGCTTCAGAGGAAACGTGTCCGAGTCTCTATCGACGACCAGACAAAGGAACAGACACCACAGCGCGAGGAGTCACAAGACTCTGAGAGCGACGATGAAGCCGACCGCGATCGCCCAGAATCCCCTCCTCAGACCCAGTACGAGCTCATGCGAGATGCCGGCTTCAAGCATCTGGCCAATACCGACTTGGACGACCAACTGGCCACGCAGAAGCTCATGCGCCGGCCGACGAATCTCGGCAACAACATGGTATCAGAAGGTGGTATTATTGAGAGCATCACATGTTGCAACTTCATGTGTCATACGAAGCTGCATGTCGAGCTGGGTCCCCTTATCAACTTCATCGTCGGCGAGAACGGAAGCGGCAAGAGTGCTGTGCTGACAGCCCTGACCCTTTGTCTCGGTGGCAAAGCCAGCGACACCAACCGCGGAGGAAGCCTGAAGTCATTTGTCAAAGAGGGCTGCGACCAAGGCAGCCTTATTGTCAAGATAAAGAACGCCGGCTCTGACGCTTATATGCCTGAAGTCTATGGCGATTCGATCATCGTCGAGCGTCACTTCTCCAAGACTGGCGCCAGCGGATTCAAGGTCAAGAGCTCCATGGGTCGAATCGTTTCGACAAAGAAACAAGAGGTGGACGAAATTTCCGAGTGGTACGGGTTGCAGATTGGCAACCCCCTCACGGTCCTGTCCCAAGACAACGCGCGTCAGTTCCTTAACTCGGCAACTCCAGCTCAGAAATACAAATACTTCGTCTCCGGCGTTCAGCTGGAACAGTTAGACAATGACTACAAGATGTCACAAGATACACTCGACAAGACCCTCATGCTCAGAGACGACCTAACGAGTAAGATTGGACACGTCAAAAAGCAAATGGACGATGCCCAGCGGCTTGCCGAGACAGCGCAGAAGAACCAGAGCCTCCGCGAGAAGGCTAGGCACTACAGAAACCAACTGGTCTGGTCTCAGGTGGTGGAGCAGGAGAGGTTGCTCAATGAGCGCAACGGTGCCATTGCAAAACGTGACAGAGCAATCGCTGACGCTGAGCAATATTGCGAGGAATTGGGCCAAACTCTTACCACGACCGAAGAAAAGCTGGCGAGAGTCAGACAAGCGCGGGAAGATCTGGAAACAGACCGAGGAGCCTTCGAGGAGAGGATCAACGAGGCTGAGGCGGCCTTCCACGCTGCCAGGAAGGAGGTTACCGACTTGCACCGGGAGGAACGAGATGCGCATGGGCGCCTGAAAACCGTCAAGGAGGACATTAAATCCTGTGAAGCCAAGATCAGGGAAGAAGAGCAGCGTTTAGGCGAGTCGACTGGATCTGCCCGTGTGGAGAAGGATGCCGAGCTAGCCAAAGCAACTGCCAAAGAAAAGGCCCTCGAAGATCAGATCAACGAAAGCACTCAGCAGGTGCCGAGTCTTCAGGCCAAGCTAGTGGAAGCTGAGGCAACCTCCAGGAGACACCAACACGCCAAGGACACCAAGCGCAAGGAAATCCTAGCTGCAGAACAACAAGTCAGGGAACTCGAGTCAAGAACTGGTTCTGCGTACGATGGGTTCGACAGGGACATGGTCAACCTCGTCAAGGCGGTCGAGAGTGAGGGAGGATTTGAACAGAAACCCATCGGACCCATCGGCGCTCACGTCCGGCTTTCGAAGCCGGAATGGTCTGGTATTCTCGAGAAGACGCTCGGAGACGCACTGAATGCGTTTATTGTGAGAAGCAAGTCCGACCAGTCAAGGCTTTCGAACATGATGCGCAAGGTTGGGTTGAGGAGGCCTCCTCCAATCTATATTGCATATGCAAGCCGTATCGACACAAGCAACCAAGAACCAGACGCCCAGTTCGATACAATTCTCAGCGTACTGCAATTCGACGACGACCTGGTCCGATCGCAACTCATCATCAACAACCAAATCGAAAAGATTATTCTGATCAACGAGCGGACGGAGGCCCAGCGAGTCATGATTGACAATACGCCCCCGCGTAATGTGTCTGCGTGCATCTGCTTTCACGATGGAAGAGGAAAGCGAGGTCATGGATTGCGCCTAACGAACCGGGGCGGATCCATTGGCACAAGCCCAATCCAGCCTGGAACCCAGCGTCCCAGGATGCAGACAGACTCCGCACGCCAGATTGACTTGCAAAAGGAGAACTTGAGGCAACTGGGTGTGGAACTTCGAGAAATCATGGGTGAGGACCGCCAGGCGAGCCAGGCGCTTCAGCGACATAGGTCTGAGCTTGATACGCATCGCAAAAGCATAAAGGAACTAGAAAACAGGCTTCGCCGGACACAAGCTGAAGTGGAACGTGTCTCCATGGAGCTCGATGCATTCGAGGGTGCCGATGACCGTCTCGTTGTCCTACGAGCGGAGCTTGAGGCTAAACATTCTGAGGAGGATCAAATTGGTAATCAGTATGGCGCCATGAGGCTGGCAAAGCGGGATCTCAATACGAAGTCTGAGGATGCCAAGCGGAGGTTGGATACCGAGAGGGGTGAGCGAGACGATTTCCAGGCCAAGGTTAACAAGGCAGAGGAGAAGATTAATAGCCACGAATCGATGAGGCGGCTCGCTGTTGCCAAGAAGAACGAGGCATTCGAGCGGGTGGACATTGAGAAGAACGAGCGACGACGCGCGGAGGAGAAACGGGACGAGAAGGCAGCCGAAGTTGAAGACTTCACTGCACAGGCTCAGGAGATGGCCCCAGACCGTGTTCACATTCCCGATAATGAGACACACAAGAGTATCGAGAAGAAGTACGAGAAAGTCCGCGAGCAGCTGGCGCAGCGGGAGAGGCGGCTTGGGGCGACGGACCAGCAAATATACGACCGTGCCACCGAAACCCGAGAGAGATATGAAGATGTTATCAAGCAGACTCGAGACGTGGACGACACCATTTCATCTCTGAAGCGAGCCATCGAACAACGTCTGCATCTCTGGCGCCAGTTTCAACGACAGATCAGCGCCCGAATCCGCATTCAATTCAACTACCTTCTCAGCGAGCGTGGCTTCCGAGGCAAGATTGACCTGGACCACCGCGCGCGCAAGGTCCAAATCCAGATCGAACCCGACGAGACACGCAAGAGCGCGGCCGGCAGGAACACCAAGACGCTGTCTGGTGGCGAGAAGTCTTTCTCGTCTATCTGTATGCTACTCTCCGTGTGGGAGGCCATCGGATCGCCTATCCGGTGTCTCGATGAGTTTGATGTCTTCATGGACAATGTCAACCGAGCCATCAGCACCAACATGCTGGTAAGTTCTTACCCCACCTGACGTGAGACATGTATGAGAGTTGACCGAAACTAACGTGGCTTTGGTGTAGGTGGATGCCGCGCGTCGCTCCGTGTCACGTCAGTATATTCTTATTACGCCCAATGCCATCGAAGGTCGGGCTCGGCTGGACAAGGACGTCAAGATCATCAGGTATGCTCAACCTCATTGACGAACGTAAATACCCGCTAACAGTGTAGGTTGGTTGATCCCCGCCAACGAACGCTCGCATAAGAGTTTGTGTACAGGAATAGACAGTTGTGAATTCTGGGAGTTACATGCCATTGCGGCATTGGCGAGGCGCTTGGGTGTCAAAATTAGGGACAGGGATTTCGGAGTTTCGAGGGACAATGGCACAAGGGACGGAGTATGGATGGACTGGTATTATGTTGTTTGCTTGCCAGGGCTTCTATGTTGGTGGTAGTTGTGAGGGTGGTTGTACATGGCTCATGCAATATCGTACAGGCAGTAGATTAAGAACAGGTCGGGGAACCGGATTTTAGACACGGACTCCTTTGCTTCTCAGGACATTGATGCCCGCGTTGAAGGTGAAACCGGCCCACTGGCCGAGGGAGCCAACCAGACCACCAAGGGACTTGGCCTCACCGAGCCGCCGCTGGAGGAATTGTCTCGTCTCGACGAAGTCGGGGGACCGGTCGTTGGTCATGAACAGCTCGCTGGTGCTATAAATCATGGACAGGCTTGCGCGCTTTGAGTACCACGAGGGGTCGACAGCCTTGTCACCGGCGAGGAACCAGATCTCGTCAGCCAGTGCGGCCAATTCCTTGAGAGATGCGGGCACGTAGCTGGGTTGGGCCATGACAGCCAATGCCTGGTGGAGTACAATTAGGGATCCATCCTCGTGCACATGTAATTGACTGGTGCACCTACCTCTTGCCATCGGTCCAAAACCCCCTTGTTACCCATCAATCGCTCCCAGGTCAATGCCTCGACGCGGGCAGCAATTCCATACTGGCCTTCTAACCCCTTGATGAGCTCCCCGTTGCGGGAAGCTAGGGCCTCGCGCTGAGAGACGAGGTGGTATCTGATGAGGCTGAAGGTGCCCTCGGGAAGAACGCTGGCGCTGATATCGAGATATCCAGCATCACGGGCACCGAGACCTAGGGCTCGCTGGGAAAAGCCGTGCTCGGGGACGTGTTTATAGGCAGCGGCGAGGATGGTCTTCTCAGCATCGCCGAATTGCCCGGGAGGCGGCGGGTGATCGTATGAGTGGAAAGGTCGGAGGGCAAGACGCTGGGTGGCGAGTCGGGGAGCCCGCAACGCGCATGGCCTGGGTAGAAGCCGGGCGGACGCCGACATGGCTGTTGGTATGCGTTGACAAGGAGTCGAGCGTATCGATGAGGCGGCGATTGCTAAGACGGCGAAGCCCTGTATCGTCCGAGTCTTGGAGTTTGAGCTACGATTTTCCCAATGGCGGCTACTCCTTCAAGGCTTGACGTGGGGCGACGGCTCGACACCAGGGAGCTCGGGCCACTTCCGTCCAATCCTACCCGGGACCCTTCGCAGCTACTTAAGTCGTCTCTTGCAATCCACCGTCCTGATCGCGCATGGAACGGTCGTTGAACCTCTCAGTCCCTTGCAAGATGGCTATGCTCTCTGGCAGGACTCTTGGCTTTCTAACCTCCAAAGATCGACTCTCACGTAAGACCACCACGCCGGATAACTGTCCGTCAACTCATCCCGGCTGCTGCAACGTAATCGTGTTGGCGGGGACCATATTGTGGTGTAGCAATGCCCAGTCGGCGGCGTTGTCGGGATGCTCACAGTCCCATCGCGTATTCTTGTAGGCGAGAGGCATTTAAGCATCGCATGGATCAATCAGTCGTCTGCGGAGGGCCGCCTCGGGTGATATTCGTCCACACCCGGGACTACGAGACTCTAACTTACCCACCGGCGTACATTTCCGGCCTCGTATGGCCGCGGCATGGGCTATAAGTATGCTCCACATGGATTGCTGCCAGGAGCTCCGGCGTGGTCGCAAACTGCATGGCGCAGGATCCGCTAGCAACCTTGATGATCAGATCTACCGCGGTTGTTAGTCCACTTGCATGGCGTTTCGTTGGATTCATAGTCTCGCCAACCACGACCAAGCGTCCAACATTTATAGCCCTGCCAGGGCACACAGGCGAGCCGAGTCTAATGAGCCATGCACCTTGACGACATTCGGTCCGGGCACCAGCTCCTCCAGTCAAACCGGCCAATGCGAGACCCAGAAAGTGCCTCACCCGGGAGAGAGAGATGTGGGACACTGCGGGCACCGGTAGCTGACGGCCTTCCATGGCAATTGCTGAGACAAGTGCAGAAGGATGGAACGAAGTATTCACCTCTCGCGTGGATGTACTGCACCTCTGCCTCATAAGCCAGCCAGTCACATCGGTTATCCAGGGGACAAACTCGTCGACCGCTCCATCTGGGTAATACTGGCCGCCGTGGCTTGGACCCGCCTGCATGGCTTGTTTGACGAATGGGTCTCAAAGGACTTGGGTTCTGGCAACTCACCTCGAATTGTTCATGATCCACAGGCACGTCGTTTGCAGGTACAGAGTGACATTCCAAACACGGATCAAGTGTCATCATTGAAGAGGGGACCAAAAGCCAGGGCGATTGGTCGGCTGTTTCCGTTGAACCGCTGCTGGACTGCTGCGTAACGGCGTGAACTCTACGGCGAGTCGACGTCAAGTTGAAGGGACAAACATGCCAATCACACTTGAAGGCCGCCGGTCCGGGCAGCACACGACGGGCAAGGCGAACAGGATACACAGTTTCAGAGGGGACAGGTGGACTGTCCGGTACGGTTATTCCTTGGTCCTTGGGCTCATGTTGTTGAATGTCCCCTGCAGGACTGCGGGTTAATGCCTGTGATTCCGAAGAAGCGTGCGATAGACAGGGGTTGGGTCCGGACGACGCCCCTCAAAGGCGGCAAATTCGGAAAATAATGAGCATGTGGTGTTCTCCTGAGAGTGTCCGCCGCAATTACGGCCACGAGCCTGAATGTCAACTCATACTCGATACTGCTCTGGATGGCTGGACCGACTAGGCTTAGTGAGAGGGATGCAATTCCTCCCGTCCTCGTGTCAGGGTTGCGACGGCGATGAGAGTTGACATGTAGAAGTGCGGGATGTGGGTTCAAAGGCGCAGATCTGGCGGGGGAGTTGCGATCCAGGTAAGGCCTTGCATGACGGATTCATTCTTCGCATCACTCCTAGGTTGTTAATGAGGTTGGCCGCACGTCGCGGCAATCCCTGACGGCACCGCAGGTGTCAAGTTCTGGTTGGCGAGGGCCTCTGCTGGTGCCGGAGGACAGCTGTCTCATCTGTCAACCAGTCTCCGTTGATGGGAAAGTTGGTGGGTGAACTCTGAGGCCATGGGACAAGGGTTTGCCGGCACTATCAGGCCGCTTTGAGCGGCTTGCAGTCTGTGGTCCACCAACGAGCTTGGCTGGTGCGGACTGATGATTTGATGGCGTCGGCCACCTCTTGGTCCATCCAGTACACGCCCCACATGGCAACCAACTACCTGACCTTATTCTCAGCCGAGATTATGTGAGGCACGGCATTGCTGACAGACGAAAAGTGAAAAAAAGAAAAAGAAACAAAGAATGCCCTAGGCATTGATGGCTGCTAGGTCCAACCGTAGCCCAATCCAACCTGGTCTGGGGGGGAGGGGGGGAAGCCCCGCAGTTTGTGGGATCGAGATTGTCAAGGACGACTGATCTGTCGAGCAAGTTCTGATATGGAGGAAGACGCGGCATTTGCATGATAGAGCAATGGGCGGCTCACGCACCTCTGCCTTGGTGGAAGTGCGGATCCTTCTGGCACATATCCCCATCCAGCTCGCGGAGCACGTCAGTGGGTTGGAATCGGTGGACGGCAATGACAAGCGTCAGCAGATGCTTGCACATTGCCAGGCTTATTGGGTGTTGCGCGCATGTAAATCAGATCTCTCAGTTGGGTCAGAGAATATGCACAGCTGAAGCTACGCTGATGCTCTTGATTGAAGCATCCATTGCGTGGAAAATGCACATTGTGCGAGGTCGTCGTTGGCTTCGTGGATTATAGGTGGGCAACTATGCCGAGGGTACCTTGGAGCCTGGAATGTGGCCTGAGGAATATTGATCATACGGTGCAGATTGTCCCGGAACCGCACGGTATACACGATTTCACAATGGAGGCATGGAGCTCTTGAGACCAACACGGCAAGGCTGTCACAGTGTCTGGAGTTGGGTTGCCTTGGTTGCCTCGTTGCCTAGGTTGTGCCGCCATGTCTCGGCCAGATAGGCACCCCGGTGTAGAATCCAATGTGAAAAATTTGCCTGGGCGTACAGCAGCATGACGTCTCGACAGCCGTCTGATATTCCCACTGAGCGCCTCATCGTCATGCCCAGTGCAGCCACCACACGAGCTCTATCACTTCGACCGGAAGCAGGTGCGTCCACCCGGGCTGCATGCCGCAGACCACTTCGCGAGACAGCAGTTTGCGCGCATACATCACAATAACTCAACAGCGCTGAGCTGTATTCTGAACGGCGGCGTCTAGTTTATCATCAAGAACTTTTCGTGATTTGACTATTTCCTGCCTTTGGTGTGGGAGCTCCCTCCATAGGTACTGACATGACATACGTATTTGTACGTACCAACTTGTACGACCTACCCTTGAGCTAGTAAGCTCCGTACCATCTTTCCTCCTCGCCCGGCCCCTCACAGGCCGCTCTCCGTATTTGCCTGCCATATCCACCTCGGGCGGATTCCCTGTCTGGCTGCCCCAATCAACGGCGTCAAGCATGGATGCGACTGTGATTGTGACTGACTGGCATCGTGGTGCCAACAACTTGCAGATTCTGGTATTGTCTCTCGCAGCAATTGCCTGCCTTCCTTATAGGTACCTGGTTGAGACAAGGATAGCTGAACGCCACTGAGCCTGAGGCCTTGCACCACCCGCACCACCACCAATCCACCACTGCCGCTGCCAACCCCCCAATCCCATCACCCGCGCTCGCCGAGTTTGTCCAGCCAGTGACAGATAACCTCGACGACGACGACACAGACTCATCCATCCGAGTGCATATGTATGGTACGGCGCACGAGGCAGCCACACCGAGACCGCTCCCCCGAGTTACATAGTAGGTACGTACCTATCCACACAGTCCCCTTCAGCCCTGTACGAAGTACCTTCGTCCCTCGACTTCGGCTGGGGATGCCCTCGTTGTTTGCCTTGGCCGCGGGTGTGTCGCAAGCCAGTCCGCCTCGCAAGCCCGTCGGCGCCGCATTGCAGCCCGCTTATCCCCTCCCTCCTCGTGTCGCCCTCGTCGACGACAGGATCTGCAGCCATTAGCTTCGAATAGCGGCCATCCAGACACAGAGTGCCGAAGGACGAGGACGAGGACGAGGACTCGGGGAGCCTTCCTTGGCGCAGTCTGGATTGTACCTTGTTGGTACTCCGTACCTCAGCTAATAACTGGCCCCAGGCATCTCGTCGCCGCCCGCACCAACCCAAAACTGCTGCCGACCGTTGGGGTCCCTGCTCCAGCTTCCATCGACAAGCAAAGCCCCTGAACCGCCGCGCGCCATCATTGCCCCGATTGCCCTCTGCCGGCCTCCTCGTGGCACTGTACCAGAGTACGGAGACTGTAGGTAGGTAGGTACGAAAGGGTAGGGTAGCCTGCATCGCGGGCCCCCCTAGTCGTCCCCCAGCTCCGGCCCTCTCATTCGTCGCCTGGTCCCCTCCGCCTCATCAACGCGTCTTTTCTTTTTTGCGACGGACAAGGCAGAGGGAGAACAGACGCCATCATCTGCTGCTGCTCTCTTCTGCGCTGCCCCAGTTGTTCCTCCCCCTTCCCCCAAGCCCAAGCAGCCCGACACGAATCGCCCATCCTGCAGCCCGCTTGCATTTATGCGACATTCGACGTCCTCTGGCTGACTCCGGACCAGTGGCTTGTTTTTGCCTGCTCTCCCCCATAGTTATCCCGCCGTTCTTTGCGACGTGGACACTGGACACGCTGCCTTCCGCCTATCCAGACCAGCCGCTCGTCGCTCACCACGCGACAAGGACACCCTCCCACCCCCCAAAAAGTTCTCTTCAGTAGAACATAGTTGCCATGGGTATGTCATGTTTCTCTGGTTCTCTGGTTCTCTGGTTGCTCTCTCTGTCGTCCTGCCCTCCCCCATCCCCTCCCCTTCCGCTGTGCGCTGGCCTTCGCGACTCGTTTGTTGTCCGGCACAAACGCGCGCCTGTCCAGCACCGTGTCGCCGCGAAGCCTTCCCATATATCTCCCTGCTCACTCCTCTCTGCCCTCCGAGCCTGCTCAGACGGTCAAGCCTGAGCTTCTTCAGCCTGGTCCTGAGCTTGAGACCGAGCCCGAGCCCGAGCCGGAGAGCCTGACCGCGCCCGAGCCTGCCTTTTGCGCGCTCGCTCCCACTCCTGGAGTGTCTTCATCAATCAATGTGATACCACCTCTTGCTCGATGCACCTCGGAGCCCCCATTCCACACCCGACAACCTCTTCCGGCCGCCTCTCTCGCGTCACATTTCCCCATACACTGCATTATCAAACCCCCTTACCTGCATGTTTCCCGCCAGGTCCACTCAGTGTTCCCCTCTACCTATGCCACCCCTCCACCACCTCAACCTAGCTACCGTCACTCCCTGTTATTTCAACCACTCTTCCTCTTCCTTCGCCTCTCTTGTCGTTGCGTCTGTCACGGATATTTTCTCTTGGTTTTCGATTCTAACGCTCACCTCTCTGTAGCTGATTCAGGCGATACCTACCGACCCGTGAGTAGTCCCATTGTCTTCGCGATTCCGTTTGCTCTTCACTTGCCTACACACAATCACTCTCCCGTTCCTGCGCATGGCCGTGTTCCTCCCCCGCGCGATTGCACTGCGGCTGTTTCTGGCTGCTTCCGAGCCTCTTCCCCCGCTTCGCACGGGATGCTAGGTCTATGGCCTCGCTCGTTGGGGGAATGCTAGGCGCTTTCCGCTCATCCGAAACCGGTCGTTGCGACTGGCTTTTTGCTCAATCCACTGCGTGCTGCCAAATCCCTGGCGCCTGATAGCGAGCGGCTATTCACTGCTGCGGTTGGAGCGTGAATCACTCTGCTCGAGCGCGTGGCGCTCGCCCCCACACCCTCTGCCTCGCAGCTATCCTCGCATCACCTCTATCACCTTACCTACATTAACCTCGAACCTTACACCTCGACCTCGGGGCATGGAATCGCCTCTTCTGCATCCCGCCGCTAACGGTTACCAGCGCGAAAGGTCCCGATCACCTCGACGACGATCTAGAAGCCCTGGCCGGTCAAGTCGACGACGGTCCTATTCCCCCCGCAGCCGATCAGCAAGCCGGGACGATTATCGCCGAGGCCGTGATCGTTCGCCCATGACTAGCACAGGCGCCCCAGGTGGAGGACCAAGTGCAGGATACGCTGGACAGGTTCCCCATCGATCATACGAGGAACGGGCTGCGGCGCGAGAACAAATGATGTCGACCATTCGCGAGTCGTCTCAGCAGGACCGCCGGGTCTACGTCGGCAACCTTTCGTACGATGTCAAGTGGCACCATCTCAAGGATTTCATGAGACAGGGTGAGGCTTTCGATGCCGCGGACTTTGGAGGAGTGACGTGGGGCTGACGAGATGGACATCTAGCTGGAGAAGTGCTTTTTGCCGACGTTTTATTGCTTCCAAACGGAATGTCGAAGGTGGGCTTCATCGCGTAGTCTTTGGTTGGCTTTCTTTTGTGGTTTTCTTCCCTCTTAGCCTTCTGGATGGTTGGGTTGACGGGTTGGGACGTTGTCCTTGGGTGATTGTAGGGATGCGGGTAAGTTTGCGCCTCCTTCCAATTTACTTCCTGGACCAAGCTAACCTGGCTCAAGTATTGTGGAATATGCTACGCGGGAGCAAGCCCAGCAGGCTGTTGCCCAGCTAAGCAACCAGAACCTCATGGGTCGTCTCGTCTATGTTCGAGAGGTTGGTGGATCCCCGATTTTATGTCAAAAGATTCTATGCTAATATTGGGGACTTAGGATCGTGAGGCGGAACCCCGATTCATTGGCGCCACCGGCGGAAACCGTGGCGGCTTTGGCGGCGGAATGGCCCCCGGCGGCGGCGGTGGTCCTGGTTTCAACCCCGGCTATGGCGGCGGTGCCCCCGGCGGTGGCGGTCGTCAGATCTACATTGCCAACGTTTGTTACTCCCCTCTCTTGGCCTCAGTCGCCCCTGGTTGTTGACTCGTGATAAGCTTCCCTTCAATGTCGGCTGGCAGGATCTTAAGGATCTGTTCCGACAAGCAGGTACGTTGTTGTTGATCCCCGCTCTCAGGGCGGCTGTGTTCGAGAGACAGCCCACCTAATATTCTTATTTAGCTCGAAACGGCGGTGTCGTTCGCGCCGATGTCCATGTTGGCCCTGACGGGCGGCCTAAGGGATCCGGAATCGTCGTGTTCGAGAGCCCTGATGATGCTCGCAACGCCATCCAACAGTTCAATGGTTACGATTGGCAGGGACGAGTTCTTGAGGTCCGCGAGGATCGATACGCCGGCAGCGGTCCAGGAATGGGCTTCGGCGGTCGCGGCGGTTACGGCGGCGGCATGCGAGGAGGATTCGGCGGTGGCTTCGGCGGCCGTGGAGGATTCGGTGGTGGTCGTGGCGGTTTCGGTTTCGGTGGCCGTGGTGGTTTCGCCGGAGGCCCTCCCGGCGGCGGTGGTCCGGGTGGTTTCGAGGCTCCTCCTCCTACTGGCTCCGTCCCGCCCAACGCCTTCACCGACTTTGCCACCTCCGGAACTGAGAGAGGCGAGATTATCTTTGTTCGCAACGTAAGGACCTCCTACAGAAAGATGGTGCCAGCTCAATGTCTAACTCCAAACAGCTTCCTTGGTCCACGAGCAACGACGATTTGGTCGAGCTTTTCACCACCATCGGCAAAGTGGAGCAAGCCGAGATCCAGTACGAGCCCAGCGGCCGTTCTCGAGGCACTGGTGTCGTTCGCTTCGACTCAGCCGATACTGCTGACACGGCTATTGCCAAGTTCCAGGGTTACCAATACGGTGGCCGTCCTCTCAACCTGAGCTTTGTCAAGTACCTGAACCAGACCGGAGGAGATGTCATGGATACGGACCCTCACGGCGGCCTAACGCAGGACCAGATCATGTAAATCTGGATCAATGTTGATGTCGACAGGGGCGATGCCATGCACGGCGATGAAGAGCCCCTCCCTAATGACGGACTTTCATTTTTTAGGTGGCGGCGATTTTTTCGTCCCGACCAGTTTCTTTTCTCTCTGCAACTCATTCTTTGGTCGAATTTCTTATGCGCGCAACAAAACTTGGAGGCACTGAATGCCGGGTCTTTCCGGGATCGTGGTCGAACTCTACTTTGAAGAAGAACCGACGCCTTGTAATACTTTGAGGACAGCTGGCGAGGGGGAACGGGCCATGCACTTGCTGAATAGCAACGTTATTCGCTTTCGGTTCCCCCGGACGCGTTGGTTACGACGGGCAACACAACAAGAAAAGGGGTTCTTTCAGTGAGTGGACGGACGGAGGGACGCCGGTTTGGCTTACAGGCCAGATGGGAGGCGACAGATTGCTCTAACTAGAATGTATCTCGAGTAATCATCTGATGGCTTCTTATGATATACGGCTGGCGGTCTGGGTGAGGAGGACCGGCGTAGGACGTGTGGGTTTGCGTAGCATCTCGGGGGCGCATGGCACTCTGTCGGGCCAGGCGCGTGAGTTGAGTGCAGGTGGATGTGTGCGTGTGTCTACCGTGGGTTCACGATTGCTGGCGTTGGAGAGGTCGTGGCTAGTTGTTGGGTTCGAAGCGCCGCCCGACAGGCAATTGTGACCGCGGTGATTGTGAATACGATAGTGTATGAACATGGGGCCATACTTGGGTCATTTGTCGAGGGAGAGTCAGAGCAGCCACTTCAAGTGCTGGCGCGTCGTCGATAGGTAGTCAGAATACTATCCATTTTGACGTATTAGCATTGTCTGTGCCTCTTGTTATTGTTACGTCGCCGATCTCGAGTGAGGCCATCATTGGAGGTTGTTCGCCCGACTTGCTGTGTGAATAGTTTGCGGCTTGCAAGCTGCACCATCCTAGATGCTCAAGTTGATGCCTGAGATGGGTCGAGTTCAGGGAAGTGAACTTGGATTCCTGGACGCGATCGCTAGGAGCTTGTGAATTCCTGTTGGGCATCATGAGGGCTGACTAACTTGCTTAATGAGGAGTTGGAGCGTGCTGTCACTAGATGGCAGATTGAGGATGACGTACTACAATTGACATGATGTCGATGCCAGGAAACTATCGTCTTGGCACTCAGGTAAACTGTTTTTCTCTCCGGTGGTTTGTGGGGTTTACCAAGCCGGATGTTGGAACTGCCGTGCCATCTTGGATCGACATCTGCCAAGACAACACAGCCCGACGACCCATTTCATTCCACGGCTCCCTAAGTTAGCCCGTTCACTGACACCAGATAGGCATCCCGCCTCGAATCACCGTCGGTTTTGGCCACGGGAGATCTCGCGGGGATAAGCTTCGAAATAAGCTTGTCTCAGTGGCTGCCCGCCCGCTCGGCATCTCGCACATCCGCGGCTCACGTCCCTACTAGCCCACGTCGATGGCCTGTGAATGGGGCATTTCTGTGCAAGGGCGCGGCCTGGGCACACGAAAGCGGCAGAGCCTAGACCAAACTTGACGCTAAAGCTACCGTATTTGTAAAAACCATATTGGCAGCTTGTGTTGTCTCAGTCTTCCTTCTCTGGCGGGCTTGAGGGTTAACCTTGGATTTGGTCTTGGCAGTGCCCTCTGGTGGTGGCTGTGGTGCGCACTGGCACTGTACCAAGGCTCTTGGTAAGTCACTGAGGCGCTTATGATGCCATCACCACTCCGCCAGTGCCGTCGATCTGACTTTCATGGTTGGTCTTGGCCGGTCTTTCATGGGGCTAGGAAGCATCGATTCAAGCTGTGAGGTTCAGATTCCGGCATGTCGAACGCGTCAAGTGGAACTTGCTATACGAGGTTTTTGCTTTTCGGCATCTGAATTCGCCTCTTGAAGCCGACGTAAGGGGTGGAGGATAGCTGGAGTTAAGATAGCTGGCGATGGTGGTGTGCAGCGCCAAAATGTACATAAAAGACTGGAGGCCGGGCATCATCCATCGTTCAACATCACAACCAGCTCATCATCCACACCCAATACACCCAATACACAGACAACCTTTCGCTCAATCACTCACCAACTCCATCTGCCATCATGAGATTCTCACTCGCCGCTCTTGCCCTCGCCGCCTTGGCCCAAGCGTCGCCAGTGCCCGAGGTAGAGGAGCACAGCAAGAGAATCTTCAAGAAGCCCGAACCTGTTCCCTTTGGATTCACATCCACCTTCAACATCATTGCGACTCCCGACCAGGTCGTCGGTGCAGACAACGTGCCCACCGGCGGTCTGGCCAACTCCAAGGGAATCTTCAAGTTTGGCCTGAACTCCCACGAGGACATCATCTGCTACAACATCACTCTCCTCGGGTTCCGCGGGAACTACCAGTCTCTCGCCAAGACGTCCACCCATATCCACGAAGCCGTTAGGGGCAAGGCGGGCCCACCAAGGTACGTGTGCTAGGAATCTTTGTTCTGAACTGGAATAGCTGACCGGGAACAGAATCGTGTTCCCCAACCCGGTGGGTGACGAGCAACGACGTAACGTAGTGGGCTGCATGAAGGGTCCCTTCGAGACGGGCATTCTTGCGAACGGAGTAGACACTGGCTCAGGATTCACGGTGAAGAAGATTGAGGCTAACCCGACCGGTTTCTTTGCGGACACGCACTCGAGCCTGGCGGTTCCTGGCGCTGTGCGAGGCCAGCTTGACGGCGGCAACCAGGGGTCTTTCATTGACATTTGTATCAGCATCTGAGAGGTGGGAAATTACCGGCTGGGGTGAGATTGGCCGAAAGGGGGGGAAACAACTCATGAGGATTTCCATGTAATAAGACGCTGGTTTAAGTGAATTGCTGGTTCGTTTCGGGTGTCGCGAAGGATGATAATACAACGGAAACTGCCACTTGTAACCACTTTCTCGATTTGATGTTGGTGTTGACAAAACTTGTGAAACCATTAAATCATTGATTAAGCTGCGGCCTTCTTCTTCTTCTTGAGCTTCGCCTTGTTCTTGCTCCGGTCCCTAGGCTTCAACGCCGTCATTCCTGCCTTGCACACGTCTGCATACCGTGCGTAGAAGGCCTCGAGGGCGTCAGGCTGTACCACTGTCGATAACTTGATCTTGTTGGGTTTCCCCCTGCTGCCCTTTCCGTTCGATGCGCGGATGAGGACGGGTAGCGGCTTGCTGGGGCGAAGATCTGGCACAGGGTTCTCATCTGAGGGGACAGGTACGCCCTGGCCGTACGTTACTGCACGGATCTTAGCATGGCTCTACGAATTTCGAGATGATTGAAATAGCTGTGCATCTTCTGGAAGGGAATTCTTACCGCGCTTCTGGACTAGGTAGATGGCACCATGGTCCTTGCCTTTGCGATGGTCAAAGAGTTCACCCAGCTTGGCGAAGAACTGCGGTCATATGTCAGCGAGCGGACGACTGTGGGCTGTCTCTGGCTGTTGATGGGCCGAGAACAAAGGGAAATACTGACCTCGTCATGGCTCATGTGTTCTGCCGCCATGATGCTGGAATGAACTGAGGTTAACGGATGTGGGATGACGGTCGAGCGTCTCGAAATTGAAGGTGAGGTTGAGTTTGGGTCCTGTGCCCCGCCATTGTCTGGCTCTGCCTGCCACCCCAGCGTCTGGCAGTGTGGCGCGTCCAGTCTGTGGCGGGGCAATTTTCGGGCTTGGCGCTAAAGTGACGTACCGCTACCTGTGACTTTTTTTTTCTTCGTCGTTCAGTTCATTGAAAGATGCCCATTCAAGAATCTCTTTGGTGTAATTCTCATACCTGCCTGTTCTAACGACGCGGGCTCTCTCACTCAACGGAATGACTTGAATCCATATCTGGATAGCAGCCATAATTTCTCTACTTTGAAATCACAATCACCCCAGCGTGACTTCTCACAATGGCATCGGTGCCAGAGCTTCAACAGAAGCTCTACAAGCGCATCGGACTGGATGCGCCCGAGCCAAGCCAAGCCAGGAACCCAAGACAAGGAGGACGCCCGACTCACCAGTTATCTCGAAAGGAACAGCGAAAGGCCCAACGAGTTCAGAAGAGAGGCCACATCTACTCGAGGCCAACCCAGCCTGAGCGAAAGACCCCCCAGTCATACAGGCAGACAAAGCACAATGGTTTCCAGGTATCCAAACCAAAACTAAACCAAAATCAACACAACGCACCAAAACCCAAGGCACTAAAGCCCGAGGACGATGACGAGAATGAGTCTGACGAGGAAGAGGTCGACGACGACCATGAGGAGGAGGAGGAGGAAGATGAGGATGAGGATGAGGATGAGGATGAAGTTGAGATCTCTTTAGACGAAAGTGACGAAGAGAACGAACTCAACGAGGAGGAGGAGGAAGATGATGACGACGATGCTGGGAACGAGGCCCAGGAATCGACCAAGAAAAAGGCCGTGCCGAGGGCAGCCCAGGAGAGACTCGCCCAGGACGACGCGGAAATCGAAGCGTTTGAGAGAAAGCTGGGTATCAAGAAGGGCAGGAAATCCTTGCCTCAATCCTTCAAGGAAGACGGACTCGACGAACTCATGGGCGAGTTGGGCGGTGAGTCTGATCAGAGCGAAGAAGATGAAAACAAGAAGCGGAAGAGCGAGTACGACGACTGGCTCGCTTCCAAGAGGAGGAAGACCGCGCAACCGTGGAAGGCGGGCAAGGCTCGGGGTGAAAGCGCTGAAGAAGATGACGACTTGGACATTGAGGGAGACTCTGCAGACGAGGACGAGGATTTGGATATGCTCGACGAGGATGACGATGAGGATATGGACGGCTTTGATGAGGAGTCGTTTGAAGGCTTCGACTCGGACATGGACAAAACACCCGCTCAACCGCGACAAAGAGAAAACCCATACGTGGCGCCTACTACTGGAGTAACGGTTGCTAAATATGTCCCCCCGTCACTCCGCAAAGCTGCCGGGACGGAGGAAGAGCACAGGAGCCGACTACGCAAACAAATACAGGGTTTGATCAATCGTCTTACGGATGGAAACATTTTGTCAATCGTTCAGTCGGTGGAAGAGCTCTACCAGAACAATGCTCGTGGCGACGTCACGGATATCATTACCGACTCAATCATGGCTCAGATTTGTAAACCTGAGAGCTTACCTGACCAGTTCTTCGTCCTCACCGGTGGATTTGCAGCGGCAATTTACCGGATTATTGGATCCAGCTTTGGATCTCATCTGATTCGAAGAGTCGTGACGGATTTCGGCGAGCAGTACGACCAGGCCAGTAAGGAGGCGGATGAACAGTCTGCAATTGCGAAAGAAGCTTCCAACATCTTGACGTTCATTTCTCAGCTTTACGTGTTTGAGGTTGCTAGTTGCAAAATTGTCTTTGATTATATGGAGAGGCTGCTGAGCGACCTCACCGAGATCAATGTCGAGCTGCTTCTCCGAATCTGTCGCATGGCAGGCCGCCTGCTACGACGCGATGACCCGCATGCAATCAAGCACGTCGCCAGGGTTCTCAACCAGTCTGTGTCGAAGGCGGGATACGCCAACATTTCGATTCGCACCAAGTTCATGATCGAGACAATTACCGACCTAAAGAACAGCAAGCCCAAGGGACGAGGATTGGACTCGGCGGTTGTGTCTGAGCACGTGCAGCGCATGAAGAAGCGACTAGGCGAGCTCAAGTCCCAATCCCGAAGACTAGACGGCCTTGCACCCATGGGCGTTGGCTTAGCAGATATCGAGGGTGCTGATACAAAGGGAAAATGGTGGTTGGTTGGTGCCAGTGTCCCTGTTAAATCAGAAAAGTCAAAGGGGGAGCGGGACGCCGAGAAGACGAAGGACGATGCCTACGAGTCAAGTGATAATGAGGATATGGACATGGTACTCCCGGATTATCCGAAGAAGGCTCGGGCCCAAGGCCTCAGCGGGACACCACAGATTGCCATATTTACGGCACTCATGTCAGCGACGAACTTTGAGCATGGCTACAGGCAGTTTGTTAATCTTCGTCTAAAGAAGGATGACCAGCTGGAGATTGCTCGAGTACTGGTTCAATGCGTGGGAAGTGAGGTTCAGTATAACCCGTACTACGCGTTGGTTGGGAGACAGGCCTGCGCCAACGGCCGGGTGAGGTTTGCGCTGCAGGATCGACTCTGGAGGATATTCAGAGGCTTGGGAGAGTCGCTATTTGGGGAGGATCCGGACGACGACGAGACGGCTGACGGAGAACGGATGAAGGACGAAAGGCGGGTTGGAAATGTTGCACACTTTTTCGCGTCGCTCATTGCAGACGGGACTCTGAACATCGCCATTCTCAAACCCCTGGAGCTGCCTGAGGCGAACACGTGGACATCGATGTTTGTGCAGCGGCTGATCATTGCATTGCTTCACGAGTGTAGAAGCAAGGGTGCTAGCGAAGATGCCAAGGTGGAGAAGATGTTTGGGCCAGCGAGGGAACTGCCGGGTCTTGCTGCGGGCATCCATTGGATGCTTCGGAAGAGGATCCGTAAGACCAAGCTGATCGGGGCCAAGGAGCTGAAAAAGCTGGAAGGCGTTCGAGAGAAGGCACAGGCGGCAGTGCAAGTTATGGGCACCGAAGACTAGGTACGATAGGCTATGGGTCTAATACTCGGCTACCTTGTCTTCAGACAGATGCTGGATGCGGGATACTGGATACTGGCGGATATTGTATATTGGAGAAGATGGTCATTGGCAAAACACCAAAAGTTGAAGAAGAGGAACGAGGAGTGCATGCGGGGAAAATATAGAACTATCGGGATCCGAGCCGAATGTAATTGTTCGGGTGAAATAGCCGCAGTGCTTGGGTAGCGTATTGTGGTGAGCTTGGTCGGGTCTTTGATAGCCCAGCCAGCATGTCGGCGTAATGCATCACCGACGAACGGTGACGTCGGTTTGGCTCGGTGAGTCGGGTAGAGGCGGGCTTAGGCCGGGTGGTCGGTGATGGATGGAGTCGGAGGTTGGAGGTCGGTGTGGACAACTCCTGGGACATGGCAAAGGGGATGGGGAAGCAATTAGAGAGGCATGGCCTATATAGGTAGGGAGCCGTGAGATAGTCTTTCCATCTTTATTAATAGCGTCGTGTATCAATTATCCAGAGCCGTGGTGAAGCCCGAACAGCGGCAGAAAAGGCTCGGCTGTTGTCTCCCCCATTGTTGGGGAGTGGTTATCTCGGAACTGCGAATTGACGGTTCGTTGGGAAGAACTGCCCGAAATCCAAGGCATTAGCCGACTTCACGCCAGGACCAAAGTCACTCACATCAAGGAGGGACCCGAAGGGGGTCAGAAGAGGCAAAAGACGCACTGTCGTTGGGCAGCCGGACATACATGTCCAGCGAAGGCCGGGTGCCAATGGGCGGTCTCGGTGTGGCTCCAGGGGGCATCACGGGTGCTGGAGCGCTGGAGCAGTGGAGCTACGGAGGCCATCGGTACGTACCTGCGCCCCGTCGCCGCCGCTCGGCTGCTCTGAAAAAAATTACCTGATGGGCGGGCTACCGTTGCCGAAGCTCCCTGAGGTGTCCGTGTGCGCCGCCAAACAACGAGCTTTGTCAATTCGCTTCCATTGCCGCCGAATCCTCTCCCTCAACCTCAACCTCCATATCGTGTCATCTCGACCCTCTCTCTACCTCCACCTCCACCCCATTGTGTCCCTCCGCACACAATCCTCCGCCCATCATGCTCTCCAGCCGTTTAATATCCAGAGCCGCTCGCCCGGCCTTCCAAAAATCCACGTGAGTTGTATCCCGCTCCCACGCTCGTTGCCACCGTCGAGCATCGCAGCTTGCTTCGCCAGCCACGCAAAAATGACTCGTTGACTGACTTGCGCCGCGTTTCCTTGTAGCCTTCCCGTCGTCGTCTCTGCCCCGACCCTATCGCGATGGAGCCGTGGATACTCCTCCGCCTCTGGTACGTTTGTCGGGAGCTTTGCTGAACCCGGGGCGTCCAGTTTGTGCTGACCAGGCTTACAGAGGAGAAGGACCTCGTCATCATCGGTGGCGGCGTGGCTGGCTACGTCGCTGCTATCAAGGCCGGTCAGGAGGGCATGAAGGTTCGTACATGGCTGATTTCCAAGCATCGCATGCCGATTTCGTGGACGAATGGGCTGACAAGATGGCGCGCGCATAGGTTACTTGCATCGAGAAGCGTGGCACCCTCGGCGGTACTTGCCTCAACGTTGGCTGTATTCCCTCAAAATCGCTCCTCAACAACTCTCATCTCTACCACCAGATTCTCCACGACACCAAGAAGCGCGGTATCGAGGTCCGCGATGTGAAACTCAACTTGCCCAACTTGATGAAGGCCAAGGACGACGCCGTTACCGGCTTGACCAAGGGTGTTGAGTTCCTCCTCAAGAAGAACGGCGTCGAGTACATCAAGGGCACCGGAACCTTCGTTGACGAGCACGAGATCAAGATCGCCCTCAACGACGGCGGCGAGACCAGCGTCCGTGGCAAGAACATCCTCATCGCCACCGGTTCTGAGGCCACCCCCTTCCCCGGTCTGGAGATTGACGAGAAGCGTGTCATCACCAGCACTGGTGCTATTGCCCTCGAGGAGGTCCCCAAGACCATGACCGTTATTGGTGGTGGTATTATTGGTCTCGAGATGGCCTCTGTCTGGTCCCGCCTCGGCACGAAGGTTACCGTCGTTGAGTTCCTCGGCCAGATTGGTGGCCCCGGCATGGACACTGAGATCGCTAAGGCTACTCAGAGACTCCTCAAGAAGCAGGGAATGGAATTCAAGCTCAACACCAAGGTCGTCAGCGGTGACAAGTCTGGCGATCTCGTGAAGCTCGAGGTTGATGCTGCTAAGGGCGGCAAGCCCGAGACCGTAAGTACAGGGAAAAAGTCGCTCTGGGCGGATTGAAAGCTGACCTAATTGACAGATTGAATCTGATGTTGTGCTCGTCGCCATCGGCCGACGACCTTACACCGGTGGCCTGGGTATCGAGAACATTGGCATGGAGCTCGACGAGCGTGGCCGTGTCATCATCGACTCCGAGTACCGAACCAAGATCCCCCACATCCGATGTGTGGGTGATGTTACCTTCGGTCCCATGCTTGCCCACAAGGCCGAGGAGGAGGCTGTCGCCGTTGTCGAGTACATCAAGAAGGGTTACGGCCATGTCAACTACGGTGTCATCCCCTCCGTCATGTACACCTTCCCCGAGGTCGCTTGGGTCGGCCAGACCGAGCAGGACCTCAAGAACGAGAAGATCCCCTACCGAATCGGCACCTTCCCCTTCAGCGCCAACTCGCGAGCCAAGACCAACCTCGATACTGACGGCATGGTCAAGATGATTGCCGACCCCGAGACCGATCGTCTCCTGGGTGTCCACATCATCGGCCCCAACGCCGGTGAGATGATTGCCGAGGGTGCCCTGGCTCTGGAGTACGGCGCTTCCACCGAGGATATTGCCCGAACGTGCCACGCTCACCCTACCCTGGCTGAGGCTTTCAAGGAGGCTGCCATGGCTACCCACTCCCAGGCCATCCACATGTAAGCATCTTGAGAACGCTAAGTTACTTGTATGGCTGGATGCCAGTGCGTTGAGATGACGCGGTGCGAACCCCGTTTTCTTGTGTACCTCTGGTGGCGGAGAATAAAGACTCTGGGACTTGGGTAGAGCGAAATGGCGTCTGCAGTTGTCGCTAGAAGTGGGCAAGAGAGGGTATCTAAACCAAGACCTGCGTGAAGCGGAAACGAGCCTAAGCCGACGTGGTCTCAGGGTCGTGTACACTAGTAATATTTTCTCTTTGTCGTAGCATGATGAATGGAAAGTGAAAAGGACAATTCACACTGGGTGACTAGCCAAATACCGAGATTCTTATGAACAGGGAGGGGACAATTCCTTGGCTCCCATTCCTCAAGGAGATATTAAGTGACCTCTTCACCAACAAACTTGGGTACCTTGAGTGCACACTCGTGCGTATTACAAGTCGTAAGTCGGTGAGCCAGGACCTTGGAAATGCATGATGAAAATCCGTTTGTAGGTATGTGACCGCGATGCCCTGGCTGTTTCGTAAACAGGCCGTTGGTATTAGAGCATGCCCGTATGCGGGTTTACGGCATGGTTGTATCTTCTTTGCACAGAGCAGGGGCGAGCTGGAGCAAAACCATTCGATGTCAATGGCGATTCTTGCAGGAGCTCGTGGCCGGATAGTCCAGTTTCCGAACGAAGGATCCCTCCCCGAAGCATTCACCTGCCGGATCAGGCCATTTGGATAAGTATGGGACATGGGATGGGGCGGGTGGTTGCTTTCCCCCCCAAAAAAACGAAAACCCCGGAGCGGAGATGTCGACCTAGATGCAAAGAGTGGGTCGACTGAGGGACGGACGTTTTTGGATATCCGGAGTGGTGATGTCTCTACTTCGGTAGCTGTGGCATATATACGGACTTAGGTAAGCAAGTAGGACATAAATTGATTTTTGCGCTTTCGACACCGCCTGAAGAAATCGGGTCAATTGCTTGACGTGGCTAATCCACACAAGCATGGCGGTTCAACTGGCATGACGAACATGGAATAATTGCAGTAGAGCGCCCGCTTCCCAGAGGGTGTTGGGAGGCCTGGGTTGAGATTGGCAGGCACCGTATATATGCGTACTTCCGGGGCTCTTGGCTTTAGATCCAATTGAGCTATTGCAGATTGCAGGTTACCTGCATACAGCAAGCCTGTTCGTACTCGTTCTCGGGCCTCTCGAGGATGTTTGGAAGTCAGGGGTGAGGGGAAGCAACGTAGGACTCGGTTTCGCTTGCTCTAGGCAGGAAAATTTGGACGATTGTTTTAGTTTTCGGGGATATTCATGTGCCGTAGATCTATATATCTGCCTAATTCCGATTACCGGGAATGGCTCCAACGAGAGTGGCCCTGATTGTCATGTTCGAAAGTCGTAAGTTACGTCAGGAGGGTCCCCGCCTACCTCGGTACTTGGACTGAGGGTCCGTTCAGAGGCTTCAGAGGCTTCAGAGGCTTCAGAGGTAACAGAGGTAACAGAGCCTCCAACTCCAGGCGCTTTAAGGTGCAAGCCCCACCCGGCCGTAGCGGGGTGTTTCAGTGGAACCCTCCGGTGCAAGCCCTTCCGGACCTCACAAGTGACCGTGGTGGCGCCGTCAGTCATCTCTAATGTGCCCTGTAATTGGGTGCCTGAGCCCAGTGAACAGGACTGGACCCAGGCCCCAGGGGTTTGGGCCACGAGAAGCCTGCAATATCCATGCCACCACTGTGGACGCTAGAATCCAACACGCACCATCCGCAACACGCACACCACACACACCACCTTCGCCGTTCCGCGCAGCCCGACAAAAGATGCGGTGAATTGACCCGTGGAGTTGACCCGGTTTCCCCCTCTTTCCGTCTTTATCTTGGGCGCATTCCCTCGCGTATCCGCTGTTTCTTTCGCTCGTTGGCCTTAGACAAGCTGCCGTCACCAATACGCAGCCAATTGTCCCCGGGACTCCTTCCTCCAGCTTGCAGTGCTGCTTTCCTTCTGCCGTCGCCATGTCTGTCACTGCCCCTCAGCGCATCACGGGCTTCCCCCCACTACCTGCCAGCGCCAGCAAAGGCCCGGCGAGGACCCCTCCGCGAATGACGCGCGATGAGATCGAGGCCATGATCGCCGAGGGCCGCAACATTATCGTCCTCCACGGCCAGGTCGTCAGGGTTGACCCTTGGCTCAAGTACCATCCTGGCGGTGACAAGGCAATGTTGCACATGGTTGGGAAAGACGCCTCGGACGAAGTCGATGCGTGCGCCACCATCTTCTATGTCTGCAACGGGATGACACTATGCTGACTTGCCTTTTTTTCTTCTCCGTGTTAGTCTGCATTCCCTTGAGGCGAGACAGCAGATGTTGCGTTACCGAATCGGCCGTATCGAAGGCCACTGGACCAACTTCACCCCGCCCATCCAAGGCGGCGTCTACCGCACCCGCGCTGAGATCGAAGCCGCCTCAAACGATGCCGATTGCTCCAAGGATACCTCCTCCAGCCCCGCGACTTCACGCACACCCTCTCCAATCTTTGACGACCATGACGGAAAGGGCGTTCGACATCGCCCCGGTCGTGAGAACAAGGCCAATGCCGGTGCTGGTTCGGTCTCTCCCGCTTCATCCGTACACGAGGAGATGGACGGCATGTCGTACCTAGATACCGTGACCCTCGAACACATTAGTCTCGACCTCGAGAAATACCCAGCTCCCGACGAGGTTACCCAGGCCAAGATTGTTGTCAAGTACCGTGAGCTTCACCAGCGCATATACGACGAGGGACTGTACGACTGCAACTACTGGGCGTATGGCGTGGAGTGCTGTCGATATGTCTCGCTTTTCATTGGCATGTTCGTGGGCATTCATTTCAAGCAGTATTTTCTCGCTGCATTTTGCCTCGGTGCAATGTGGCACCAGCTCGTCTTCGCCGCCCATGATGCTGGCCACATGGGCATCACTCACAGTTTCCATGTTGATACGGTCATTGGCATCATCATTGCCGACTTTATCGGTGGCCTGTCCATGGGTTGGTGGAAGCGGAACCACAACGTTCACCACATTGTGACAAATGCTCCCGAGCACGACCCTGATATCGAGCACATGCCGTTGTTTGCCGTCTCTCATCGCCTCCTCGGCAGCCTCCGATCAACGTATTACGAACGGGTCATGGAATACAATGCCGTAGCTAAGGTCCTTCTCCGTATCCAAACCTGGACCTACTACCCTTTCCTCGCTCTGGGACGCTTCAATCTCTACGTCCTCTCCTGGGACTACCTTATCGTTGGCCGTGGTCCTACCAAAGGTCCCGCAGCATGGCATCGTTGGCTGGAGATAATCGGCCAGATCTTCTTCTGGACGTGGTTTGGGTACGGAGTTGTCTATAAGATGATTCCCGATGGATGGTCTCGATTCACTTTTATCATGGTCAGCCACATCACCTCATCACCGCTTCACGTGCAGATTGTCCTGTCTCACTTTGCCATGAGCACCGCCGATCTGGGGCCCCAAGAATCGTTTGCCCAAAAGATGCTCCGGACTACCATGGATGTTGACTGCCCCGAATGGCTTGACTTCTTCCATGGCGGCCTCCAATTCCAGGTCATTCACCACTTGTTCCCTCGTGTCCCCAGGCACAACCTGCGCAAGACTCAGAAGCTCGTTCAGGAGTTCTGCAACGAAGTTGGCATCCCGTACGCCCTGTACGGATTCGCCAATAGCAACAAACAAGTCATTGGAAGGCTGGCCGAGGTGTCAAGGCAAGCAGCGATTCTGGCCAAGTGCCAGAAATCGATCGTCGAGAGCGGTGACTATTCTGGTCATCACATTCACCACTAAGCCTGGTACTGCGAACACAAGCGAGCCTCCTCCGTACATATACGGGCTTAACTTGCACTAGTATACCCCTTCTCATATTTCGGAATGCTCACAGGGGGCGGGATTTCATTTCCTCTCCCCGGAGCCTTCGGCATTCGAAGCCAATTCGACCATGTCTGAACAAGCCTGCTCACTTCTAACTACGTGTCACATTTTCTCCCCTAATGCGGCGATTTCGGCATGGACTCACTCTCACCAAGACGCCGATTTCCTCCGAACCCCGGGAACCATTAATATGTGCTACACAGCTATGTCGATCTCAATTATCAGCTTTGGCTTCAGTTGCGGCACTGCTGAAGTCTCCAATTGCCGATTTGCGACAGGCAAGGGCCTGGTCCAAGGAGGATCAGTGGCCCGCTTGCTTGGGAAGCGTGGCTCAGACCCTGGCTAAATGGGGGCTCTATCTCACTCCCGGGAAGCCGCGAGCCGGAACCCAGAATCCCAGAGGAGAGGTTGATTGTGGGGTGGACATGGGTGTAATCTGTGAGGCTGAGGGGGTGGAAATGAACTGGGGAATAGGTATTTAAGGTGAGGGCATCAAGTGCAGTCCCGGCAGCCATCTTCAATGTTGAATGGGACCGACACCTAAAGAAATCCAAAACATTACTCTCATTTCATATCTTAAGGAACAACTCGGCGTGACCTCTCGCACATCGACATGACGACTGGAAAAATGGACGACGTGGCAGCGGCCAGAATCCGCAAGGCCAGAGGAGCCAAGGTATGATGTCGACAGCAGGCTTGAGACTGGAAAATAAGAGACTGAAACGGGATCTAGGACGACTTTACGAGGCGAGCGGCCATTGCTGCTCAAACGAACCAGGAAACAACGGGCAACTCCGACATGAAGGGCAAAGGGAAGGGCAGCAACTCGCAGGGAGGAAGGAAGCCTCCCTAACTCATGGTGGCCGAGATTTCTGTCATTTCGCAGCATGGATCCCAGGTCTGTGTGTAAGTGAACATGTCAGATAATCCCCATCCCCTATTTCCGACCTTGCATATCCCGGGCGGGGGGGGATAGAGCCGGTACGCCGGGACAGAGATGGGGGAACCCGATGGGATGCGGGCGTCTATGGCGTAAGGATCATGATACATGGTGGACTTCAAGGGGGAGGTACTGGCTAGGTTCTGTGTGTGGAAATGGGTTAGCTGTTCTGAGCTGTCGGCTGCAGATGGGGATAAATGTAACCCATATCAAATCGAAACGATTAACTTGTGAGATCCTACCATTCGGCCTGGTGTGCGGCGGATGAATATGACTTGTGCCTAGAGGCTGCAGGGATTTCTTCCCGGGCGAACTAACACGGTCCATCCGCCTATTGACAAGCACCTCGGTCTGAGCAGAAGAAAAGAGTAAGCGGACGAGGCAGACACCAGCTCGGCGCTGCAGGTCTCCGAGCCCCTCAATGACTGGCGCCGTGTGGTGGTGTCACACTCTCGCCGGCAGAGGGCGGTGCGGTCGTGACTGATGAACCGGGCTGGCTGGTCCCATCACATGGCGCATGGAGATGCGCCTAGTGACGTCTTAGGCCGACCCAGGATCGGGACATCATCCCAAGTCTTACGGGGGCTGCACAGAGACAGGGCGAGATGAGGGGGTTCGGAAGGCGATAGGGTAGGATCGGCGTGAGCGCAGACGCATGCGTTTGGCTTCGGCTTCCAAGTTTGTTTGTTTGATTGTTGGAAAATGGTGGAGCAGGGAGCAGCGTTGTGTCTTGTTTTTGGTGGTAGTATCACGTACCACGCACGAGTCGGACGCCGGAAACGGCTGGTTGAGATCTAGATCGCCCGCCATTGTCGCGACTTGCTTGATCTGGGACACGAGAGTCAGGGGCAAGGGTCTATAATTCTGATAGCAACCAGAGCCTTGTGCTGGGATAGGTGTCACATTCGACGGATTTGATGCTGACGAGAAATCAAGATGCTGGTGGGAGTCGCTTGTTCCACAGGCCGGATGTAGGACACAGCACGCGACAGTCTGCCGACGTCATGAACCAGTCCAGATTATGAGTATTGTCATTCGTACGTACAGGTGTTGCTATTCGCACACATATATTAATTTCAATATTTATCGCTTATACTCAAAGTGATTTATCTTGTTTATTCGGCTCTAAATGAGAAAGGCAAGCATTGCGTCTCACAACTTACCGTGAGAATAGTAGGTACACTTATCCAGATAAGGCTTTGGTAAAAAAGCGTGCACCTGCGTGTGAATGACAATGCTCGTGTGTGCGAATGCAATACTCTTCATTACAGCGTGCAACTGGTTGTGACACAGGACTCTTGGGGTTGAGCGCCCCTATAATAATGCTCTGACGCCACTGCACAGCCTGCCCGAGAACCTAGCCCACTACGGTCCGCGTGCATAAACTTACCAAGGCCTAACTACGGGGCAGGTGCCCACTGTCGGTGGGAAGTTAGAGGCCCCATGGCTCCTAATCATCACTCCTGGGCTGCAGCTCTCCAACCTCCAACGAACCAAGCCTGCCTTAACCCATTACCTTGCAACGCACCTTCGACTACACCAGCCAGCCGAGCTTCACGCGGCCTCTCACCGCATCTCCATCGCCCTCATCGCGCCGCATCTCTATCACCATCGTTCTCACTGATCGTCGCTGCCCCGTCGCACGCACTTCCGCCCCTGTGCTCCGTTCTGCGGAGCATGTGAGAGAGCTGCCCATCATGGATGCCAGTATCCAGCGGGCCCTCAACGACAAGCTCTATGACAAGCGCAAGGTTGGCGCCCTCGAGTATGTCTCACACTCTCTATCCTCCTCCCACACAGCTCTTTCTGGCTTCTTCTCTTTGGCTTGTCGTGCGGATCTCATGTTCTTCACACGATCCTGCCGCCGCCGCGAGCCAACTAGTTCTCTAGCCTGCGTTTGTCCTCTAGCCTCATGATTAACCCCCACCTGTAGTCTTGAGCGCGTCATTCGCGAACTCGTCAGCACAAAGGACTACCAGCGTGTCCACGACATCCTCGAGCAGCTCTGCAATGAGTATGCCTACGCCGTCCACCAGCCCCATGCTAGAAATGGTGGCTTGATCGGCTTGGCTGCCGCTGCTATCGCCCTCGGCTCTGTATGTTCTGTCCCTGGACTCCCCTCTTTCCTCTCCATTGTGAGGAGTGCTGTGGCTTTACGTTGTCCCATGCACTCTACCCTTATTGCTACCACAACTACTGATGCGATTTGTAAACTATAGGAGCTGCCTCGCTACCTTGCCAAGATTGTTCCTCCCGTCCTAGCTTGCTTCACAGACCAAGATGCCAGAGTCAGGTATTACGCGTGCGAGGCCATGTACAACATCGCCAAGGTCGCCAAGGGTGAGATTCTCGTATATTTTAACAGCATATTCGACCAACTTTGCAAGGTACGTTGCTCTTCACACTTCAGCAAAACGCCTTGCCCCTGGCACCAGTCACTGACACGACATAGCTTGGTGCGGACTCGGAGCTCTCGGTCAAGAACGGCGCGGAACTTTTAGATCGCCTTGTCAAGGATATAGTATCCGAATCCGCCGCCTCTTATGTCTCTATCCTTGAAGCCCCTCCTGAGTTCGAGGGTGATGATAAGGTCTCGTTGGATGACCATTCCCACTTGCCTACCGCCTTCTCTCTACCTCGGTTTATCCCCCTCCTCAAGGAACGAATCTGGGTCATCAATCCCTTCACCCGCCAATTCCTCGTCGGCTGGATCACCCTTCTCGATTCCATTCCGGACCTTGAGCTTATTACCTACCTACCAAGGTTCCTCGACGGCCTTCTAAAATTCTTATCCGACCAGAATCCTGATGTGAGAGCTGCCACACAAAACTGCCTGGATAAGTTCCTCAACGAGATCAAGCGCATCTCCCGCATAAAGAAGGGCATTCTCGAGAGTCGGAGGTCCAAGGAAGGCGCCAAGCGGAAACGACAGGACTCGATGGACAGCGACTCCTTGAACCCAGAACTTGAGGAAGGGGACGAGCTGGATTCCGATGCGGCAAATCGTGATGACGAGGATAGCAGTGAGGAGGACTGGATTCCCGGCCAGGATGTTGAGATCAACTATAAGGAAATCCTTGAGATTTTGACGGCTACGTTAGACTCTCCACTGGGTGCGTATCTAATCAACACATCTATTCCTTTCCATCATTCCGTTTGCTAACATAGAACAGAGGAGGACTGTCTGCTAGAATCGCTGAGGTGGATCGTTGAGTTCCTCGACATTTGCCCAGAAGAGGTGTTGCCCTTCACCCCCAAGATCCTGGCCCATATGCTCCCAGCCATGGCCAGTACTAAGGAGACCATCCACCAAGCAGCGACCCGTGTCAACACTTGCTTGATGGATTATGTCGTATCTCTCTCAGACGATTCTGAACTGGGCCAACCTCACACTGCCCAGGCACACCCCTACTCAACATCTCGACTCCCTATTCCAGGAGACAAGTACGATGGCACGAATAGCAACCGAGTCTCGTTGTCGAGTTCCAGAGACCTCGACATTCGCAGTCCGACTCCGGCCCAGAATCGTTCAATCTCAACACCCGCAAACATCCCCACCACCCAGACACAGGCCGATCTCGACTACGCTGCTGCTGTCAACTCACTCACCCTGCTATTCCTGAACGACCATGAAGCCACTCGCGTTGCCGCCCTGACATGGCTTATCATGCTGCACAGAAAAGCCCCCAGGAAGGTGCTTGCATTCAATGACGGCACCTTCCCCGCCCTCCTCAAGACGCTATCTGATAACTCGGACGCCGTTGTTACCAAGGATCTGCAGCTTCTGTCGCAGATATCCCGGAATTCAGAGGATGACTATTTTGCCAACTTCATGGTGAACCTCCTCCAGTTATTCTCAACGGACCGCAAGTTGCTCGAGACACGAGGCAACCTCATTATTCGACAACTTTGCCTCAGTCTAAGCCCCGAGAGGATATACAGGACTCTAGCGGATTGCATTGAGAAGGAAGAAGATGTCGAGTTCGCGAGCATCATGGTTCAAAACCTCAACAACAACCTTATCACCGCACCTCAGCTTGCGGATGTTCGAAAAAGACTACGGAATCTTGAGACCAAAGTAAGGAGATGGGCAGAGGTTGATTATATATATGCTGACGAACATCTTAGGATGGCCAAACACTGTTCGTGGCTCTGTTCAGGTCATGGTGCTACAATGCGGTCGCTACCTTCTCTCTATGCCTGCTGGCACAGGCCTATGAGCAAGCATACAACCTGCTACAAATCTTGTGGGTTCTATATCGAGGCCACCGACTCGAGGATGGTTACTGACGGACTCTTAGCGGTGAGCTGGACATGACGGTGAACATTCTGATTCAGGTCGATAAGCTTGTGCAGCTGATCGAATCCCCTGTTTTCACCTGTCAGTTGTATTCCTAACCCAGGGCGTGATCTAATGGCGTACTGACTCCAAGTCCAGACCTACGTCTCCAATTGTTGGAGCCTGAGAAGTTCCCGTTCCTGTACAAATGCATGTACGGCATCTTGATGCTGTTGCCGCAGTCATCTGCATTTGCCGCACTGAAAAACCGACTCAATAGTGTTAGTTCTATCGGCTATCTACACGTGGCACCCAGAACGTACGTTCCTCCTCCCTGTCCAGGGTGTAATCTAAGACTACACCAAGACCTTGCATCTAGGAGTGCCGTCTTGTTGTACTCGTATCGCTAACGTGTGTCCTAGTACTACATCGACTACGAGTAGCTCTAACTACGATAGACCGAATCGACTCAAGGGCCGGGAAGATGGAAATATCAGGTGGCAAGAGCTCCTGGAGAAGTTCCGAAGTGTCCAGGAGCGAGCCCGGCGAGCCCAGAGGCAAGGATTAGACGGGGAAGACATGCCCTTCATTGGGATGAGTGAAATGCGGATAGGAGATGGAGCGATGGATCCCAAGGGCAAGGAAACGCGGACTCCAGCCACAACGACGCCGACGCCTCAGAAGGATCCCACACCAGCACCACCAGTACCAGCCAAGAGGACTGGTCTTGGGAGGCAGTTTGGAAGGTTGGGCGGCGCGGTCGCGGGGAAGAATCGGAGGAACTAGTGACGACTCTGTTGAATCGAGGTGCATCGGTTGTTTCGGGTTTTTGGCGAGGGAGAACAACAAGGTATCTCGGGTTGGTGTTTAGGCAGGTGTCTCTATTGCATCCAGGGATAAATGGGACAATTGTCATCTGCGTCGTTTGACGGGACTCTCGCGCTCAACTAGGCCTTCAAAGACGGCATCACGCTGTGATGTAAATGTGCGTAGTTGGCCTCGGAGGGCCTCAAGCTCCGATCTGGCCATTTCTGGATTGCTGGGCAGGCCGTGAAAGGTGGCCATCTGAAGGTCAAGATCCCGTTTCTCGGCCAGGATGGTGAGGTACTCCTGCTCGTCACGGGCGATGTCGGCTGTGGTAGGGTGTGACGATTCGGCAGACGCAGAGAGAGCAGCGACGCGGTCCTGGAGGTCGGGCAACTTGGCAGACATGGCCTTGACCTTGCGTTGAAGTTCCAGGTTCTGCTTTGCTAGGTGAGCTGGGGGCTTGTACTCGTCGCCTTTGAGTAGGCGAAGAAGGTTGTGGATCTTGGACGTCTCCTCCTCTATATGGCGGTGGAGAATGTCGACACGAGACTTCATCTGCTCTGTCTCCTGGATACTTGCCTGGAGACCGACCATACGACGACCCAGGTCCTCGGGCTCCGGGAAAGCGACGCCGAGTTGAAGGGCCATGCTAGCCAAGGCATCGAGGGCGGTGTGGCCCTCGGCAGGTAGATTGTGCTGGACGGCGTCGAGTAGACCTTGTCTAAGCGGTCGTCGCGGGCCACGGGAAGGGCCATTGCCTGTGACGAACTGGGCATTGGACTGCTCGAGGGAGAGCTCTTTCAAGGCAGCGGCTTCTGACTTGGCGAGTAGCTGACGCTCCTCGTCGGCGGCGTCGTTAAGAGAGGCAAGGGCGAGGAGGGCCTTGAGGGTGTCTGCGTTGCGCTCGAAGACGGGGACGGGGCGGGGATGGAGCTTTGCGGCGAGCCAGGTGTCAATATACGACCAGTCGCGGGCGGTGGAAGCAGCTATGCGGGCGACAGAGGGGGAGAAGATGGCGGAGTCTTCGGAGAGGTGGTGGTGGTGGCGGCGGTGAGCCATGATGGGAGTGAGGCTGGTGTTGGCGTTGGGAGGGGTTGGTTGTTGCAATCTAACCCGCGACGAGTCACTGGCGGTAATGGTGGGTTCCTTCCCTTGGAAATAGGTGGACGCAAGATTGTGTGTCGAGTTGATATGCGTAATTGAGTAAACGGCGTGTCTGCGTGACTGAATGGTGTCGTCTGGTCGATGAATGCAGCAGCCACAATTCGATTCAAGGTTGTTTCACGAATGGAGACACATGCAAGGCTGAAGGGTGAAAAGGTGGGTGAATTGGTGCGCCACAGCTCGAGTCTCGACCGTGGCGTTCTGTCGCTGGAAACCCTGTAAAGATCTGGGCACATGCGACCAACGGTAGGAGTTGCTGGGACTCGACAGCCCCGTCCCCCCACCATAAATCCATAAATCTTATAGCGCCCGCCGCTAGTGACTGCAGCGGACGCCCACCTACCAGAGGTACTCTCGATAGGAGGGTACTTCTGGACACGTGGAGCTCTGGCGGCTCAGGCAAGTCGCCGACTGACAGCACCCCGGATTGGAAAGAGGACAGCGTGGGCATTGGTTCTGGCTGTGCAGTTGGTTGGACGCAGTAGAGTCTGTCGACAAGTCTTGTCCAATGTGAGTCGTAGCCTTTCCCGTTGTTCTTTCCGTTGTCCTTTGAAGCATAAGTGTGTCTTCTTCCGACGCTCTGCGTGGTCGTGTCCGAGCCAATTCTTGTCTTCTGCATTGTCGTCTCTCTTCCATGTCTTTGTGAATCTGCGCGTCCTTTCGTCATTGGACCTCCCTCCCTATTAAGACGTCACAGTCTCTCTCTCTCTCTCTCTCTCTCTCTCTCTCTCTCTCTTCCTCTCGCTACTTTATCGTCGTCGGTAACAACCGCCCGCCATGCAACTCCGACTCTCGACGCTGGCCGTGGCCGCCACCACGCTCCTGGCTACCGCCCACGGCCTCTCGCCCCAAGATATCCCGGGCGACCTCCCCGTGTCGTCGCTCCTGACGTCGGCGCAGACGCATTTGTCCCGCGGCGAGACCAGCGAGGCCCTCGTCTACTACGACGCCGCCCTCGCCCGCGATCCCTCCAACTACCTGACGCTCTTCAAGCGCGCAACCACATACCTCTCCCTCGGCCGCACCACCCACGCCACCGACGACTTCAACAAGGTGCTGTCGCTCAAGCCCGGCTTCGAAGGCGCCCATCTGCAGCTGGCCAAGATCCGCGCCCGCTTCGCCGACTGGGATGGCGCCAAAGCCCAGTTCCAGGCTGCTAGTCGCGGCGCCGACTCGGCCGAGGTCAAGGAGCTCGAGGAGGCCAAGCTCGCCGCCGCGCTGGCCTCAATGGCTGAGCAGGGCGAGAAGTGGGATGAATGTGTGAACCACGCCGGCACCGCCATCTACATCGCCAACAAGTCGCCCACCCTGCGCGAGATGCGCGCCCGCTGCCGTTTCCAGCGCGGCGAGGTTGAGGAGGGCATGGGCGATCTCCAACACGTTCTGCAGCTGAGGCCCGGCAACACTACTCCCCACGTTCTCATCTCCGCCACCACCTTCTACGGATTGGGCGATCTGGACAACGGTCTGGCCCAGGTGCGCAAGTGCCTACACTCCGACCCCGACTCCAAGGTCTGCAAGAAGTTGCACCGCCAGGAGAAGGTCATCCACAAGGCCTACACGAAGATCCAGGGCCAATTGAACCGCGGCCAAACGACCACCGCAGGGAGGTCTCTTGTGGGAACCGCCGAGGAGCCGGGCTTGGTCCCTGAGATCCGGAAGCAGGTCGACGAGCTCTTGGAGAACGGAAGCATCCCGGCCCATGCCAGGGTGAAGTTGGTGGAGGAAGTGGTCGAGATGACCTGCCAAGCATATTCTGAGGTAAACCCCCCTTTGGAACATGCTCACCTCGCCCGTTCAATTCACTAACTCTTTGTCACTAGTCCGCCCACAAGGACGCCTCCAAGTACTGTGATGAGGCTCTCAGCCTGCACCCCAACTCCTTCTGGGGACTGCTCCACCTGGGCAAGACGCAGCTCAAGGATGAGCGGTACGAGCCCGCCATCCAGACTCTCCAGAAGGCCGCCGAGGTGCGCCCTGACCGCAAGGACAAGGTCAACCCCATCCTGCAAAAGGCCCAGATCGCCCTCAAGCGCAGCAAGACCAAGGACTACTACAAGGTGCTCAACGTGGCCAGCGACGCCGACGAGCGTCAGATCAAGTCAGCCTACCGCAAGGCGTCGAAGCAGTTCCATCCGGACAAGGCCGCCAAGCAGGGCATCAACAAGGAGGACGCAGAGAAGAAGATGGCCTCCATAAACGAGGCCTACGAGGTCCTCAGCGACCCGGAGCTGCGCGCCCGCTTCGACCGTGGCGACGACCCCAACAACCAGGAGCGCGGCGGCAACCCCTTCCAGGGCAACCCCTTTGGAGGTGGTGGTGGTGGCCATCCGTTCATGTTCCAGCAGGGCGGCGGCGGCGGCGGCAACTTCAAGTTCCAGTTTGGAGGACAGCAGTTTGGGTTCTAAGCTGCATCTGCAGCTGCATATTTGGGTTCGGGGAACAAGTCATTTCGTGTACTACAAAAGGGCGCCCGTGCAGGCGTGCGTGGCTGGTGTTTTGGTGTTGGCTCGTCAACGTAGCTTTAGATATACCTCGAGAATTGAAGCATTTTGGGTTCCTCTTCATTGTTTTCTTATCTTCCAATTTAGTCAAGCATTGTGCCTTCACCCATCTCATATCACGCCTGTGATTTCATCATGGCGCGACTGGGTCTTACTGCCAACGCCGAAGTCGGCGGCGGCTGTGACTGGGAGGCGAAATCTCGACTCTCAAATGACGACATGGTGGCGGACGAGCCGAGCCGAGTGTCGGCATAACATGTGCAGTGGTGACGGATTTATCACAAAGGGCTCCGACGAGAGGATTCATTGCAGGCACAGAATTCAAACACGCTCGCCGGCCAGCATCGAGTCTGCCCGGCCACGGCGCGTTGCTGTATCTTGACACAATATTACCAACAAACATATCATCACACACACCCGCCATCTAGCCGAACCTTTCCGCCTTAGCCTTCCTTGTAGGATTTGGAGATTTTATGTACACGTTCGTCGCTCATGTCCAGTCTGCAGTCAGTCGCTTCTGCTCCGTGGGGGAAGTGCTGGCGGCTACTCTGCCGGGTTCTCGTGCAAGAGTCCAAGCCTGGACTGGCGAACGTCGAACCGAAGAGAAAAAGGGGTCCGGGGTATCGAAGATGCCATCGTCGCCGTAGCCGCCGTGGTGGGCACTGTTTGGTATTCTTGTCGCTCAAGTCTTTTTCGACGGTCGTTCATAGTCCCCGGCTCGAATACGACTTCCACAAGCGTTCGGTCCCTGTCGTCGTCCCCCAGTTGTTTCTATTTTAAATGATAATAAAGTGCTTCACGAAGCGTCGTTGCGCTTGATGAAATAAGACCTGTTGAGAGTTAAAGGTCAGCGAAAGAATTCGGCTAGGAATTGTTTTAGCAGACTTCACTTACTTTGAGAATTCATACGCCGACCAGCAAATGGCAGTGCTGGGCATTGTCGTGACGACTCGGGGACGAACGCCCTTGAAGAAGCCACGGAATCCTGCTCTCCGGTATAGCAAACGGCATCCACCAACGAAGCTATTCACGCTTCTCACTTCAGGGTCAACTGCAGTGCCCCGGGTTTGCAGCATGGTCTTAATGACGTCCATGGGAGTTGTAAGTCCGGCTGCGAAGCCACCAGCAACGGCACCAGCCAAGCAATGCGTCACAGGGTCGTAGTCTTTTGCGGGGTTCATGGCGGTGGAGATAGACTCGTATGCGAGGAATTGGAGGGCAGTAAAGGGTACCGTCATGGACAGGGTCGTCGGGTACGAGATGTAGAAAGCGCCTAGTCCTTCCGTCTTGTAGACGTACTTGGCGCAGTCGACCATGGATCGGTACATCTTGCTCGAGTTCTGGATCTGCATGCGTTGCTTGATGACTATGAAGACAAGATGTCAGTTACCAAATGTTCGGGGCGGTTTCGGGAAGGCTTTGAATTGTTGCGCCGTACCATCAAAGGGGTTCATGAAGGCGTCGCTGGCAATGGTGGCGGCGGCACCGCTGGTGGCTGCGGGATTTCTACATTAGCAGATTGCAACTAGGGTCGGTTGAACTGGAAGAGAAGACTAACCAGCAGCAAGAGGGTGGTGAACACCAGCTTGGTTTCCTCCCATGGCGTGCTTAACAGCCTCATATGTCGCAAAGTAGACGGCATGCGCGGGACCTAATGATGCGCATTAGCAAAGGGAGGACGGCAGAACGGGGGAGCGGCGCTGAACTCACCGGCTCCAACAATGACGCTGGACATGCCGCGCCACAGACTGAAAAACCCCTCGGTCCTAGCGATGTGGAATGTGTTGCGCATGACACTTGTGGAAGCTGGGGTCGTGCTCGGGTTGAGGATTTGCATTCGCGTCTGGGAGGCTTGGGTCAGAATTGAGGTTGGAGGGAGGCAGCAAGTTGGGTATACAAACCTTGATCGCATCGATGGGATACATGACGGTGTGCTCCTGTACGGCGAGGGCGCGGTCAGTATTGGACAGAGAGTCGAATGGGGAAGTCGGAGCAGCATACGGCTATGCCGGCGAAGGCGCCTGCTGCCATGTTCTGCAGCAGGGAGAAGTTGGGCGGAAGGGATTCATAACTGGAGCGGATCTAGTCAGTGGAAGAGGCCTTGGGAAAGAATTCGACGAGGCCGTCGCGGGTCGCAGCTCGAGCCGAGTCAAGGCAAGGGGAGCTCACTCGTAGTCCTCGACCGGCTCTGCACTTGGCTGGGCCATGGCGGCCACAGCTTCCGATGCTCCGCCGAAAGGCTTGGATTCGAGGGTAGCCAGGTTGAAAGCTGGGCCTAAGCCGGGCAATTGCGGTTGAGTAGAGGCGCCGGAGAGCGTCGTGGAGATTGGGGGACGGACGAGGGCGCGATGGGACGTCGAGGTCTGCGATGGAGGTGATCAAGATGAGATAAGACGCAGGCAATTGACGTCTCTCAATTCGACCGGGGGTGGATGGGTGGGTTGGCGCAGCGAGTCGTGGGTGGACGGCCGGGAGTCGTGCGTTGTGCGTCGTGCGTGTTGACGGCGGCGTAAGCGTCGATTAATTAATCGAATAGAGAGGATCTGCTCCGTTGTAGATGCGCTGGATACTCGTGGGACGCGGAGGGTTGGAAGTCGCAGAGACGGAAGCAAAGAGAGAGCAAGACGAGCGAGCGATGGAGCAAGTGACGAGGCGGAAACCGAGTAGCTGTCGTCTGAAAAATTTCCTGGGGGGGGGGTTGCTCCGTTTACGGCCTCGGAGTCCGGGCAGCTTGGCGGGCGGCAGCGGGCAAAGCAAGTAGCCTGGGCCCGCTCACAGCGCCGTAGGTACCTACCAACTGGACAAAAGGTCGACGGAGTGCGCCCGCGGAGGTACATGGTTTGCGCTGAAGCTGCGCGGTGTAATTGGGCAGCGCTCCAGCCTGGTAGGTACCTTGCCCCAGAAGGGTAGGGGGCCACCAGCCTGCTAGCCCCGAAGTACCTCGCCCAGAGCGGAGGGGCGCCATTCTTGAGTGCCCCCCATGCGTGGACGGCGGATGTACAGTGCCGCGCTGTGCCATTGTTTCCAACAATGCGGATCTCCGGCAGACCCAAGTCGCGGCCTTCCACCCTCTGGTAGTCTAGATTAACGAATAACTAAATCGAGCCTCATTTGTCTTTCTCTTTTTTCTTTTTCTTTCTCGTTTGGGTCCCGTCTCGTCTCCAGTGTACCGCGTCCAAGATTATACACCGCTGTCCTCCAGCTGATGGCTCAACTCAACATATGTCTCTCCTGCCTGCCTACCTATATACAGGTTGGCCTTCAGGAGTCGGGACAGCATAAAACCCCCAGCCTCGCGGGGATATTGTTTCCCCCGTCAGTGCTGTGTAATTCGGCCAGGTCGCCCAGTGTCTAAAATCAAGCTGTCACTAACGCCAATGATCTCTCTTCTCTCCTCTTCTGGCAACGGGCCAGTGGGCAGCGGATAGTGGACAACGGACGGGCAGTGAACACGGCACGCTAAAGACGAGCTACCACGGCTTCGGACCCATCATGTATCTCAATGAAATCCCGGCATGCGAGTGTTTGTACGTAACCCTTCATTTTATTGTGCAAAGTTCCCCAGCCCGCAGCGCTCCTCTGTCCACTGTGCGTTGTCTCTGGGGGCCTGGACATCATTCTTACGGACAGTCCCCAGGTGCCACGGTCATCAAGTCAAGATGGCCTACAACGTAGCAGAGGGTTTGTTAAATGTCAAGTTTTCTCCTTCTCCAGCGGCACTTGATTGAATGCGGCTCCGGGAAACTTTTTACCTGGTTTGCTATTGCGGTGGCTAGAACAAACTCCACCATACCAGACGAGTGTGCACCCACTAGTCGTTGTCCGTCGTGGCTACATGTACGATCCCTACGACTCTAACGGCTCGTGGAGTATGTACCGCCTACTTCATCCAGACGCACATCTCTGTCCGCTCTCTACTTCTGTGGACGAACCTAAGGCAAGGCCCAGCCTGACCATCTTGTCGTCTCCATGTTGCACACACTCAGCAATCACTGATGGAAGTAAATAACACACACTTCAATGCACACAGGCCATCCCTCATTGATCTGACGAAATCGACAACCGCCACGTTTACTTAGATACGTAGATCCCACGCAAAATTAAATGATTGGTGTTTCCATGGCTTCTTCTAGCACTTGTTCTTCTTGGCCGGCCTGGCAGAGATGACCATCCGGCCCATACCATACCCGAGGTCTACGGGGCACAGCCATGTCTCCCCAGCTGCAGGGATGTTTGTGGCCCTCGACGTCCGTCCCCTGTCCTGCACCGCCTCGCCCTGCTTTTGCCCTGCTCTTGGGGTTTGGGATTTGGGGTGCATCATCCCTGGATGATGAGTTGTCCCGATGCGAGCTGATGAGGGTCGCAATTAGGTTATCAATCTGCCCGAGCTCCTCGGCCAGGAATAACGACACATGCCGACGGCCGACTGCCACTCCTCCGATTCATCCGATATGCCGACATCTCCTTTCCCTGTACGGAGTACCGAGTTGAGTGCCGCCTGGTAGAAACGACCGAGCGATTACCAACTACCTCTTGTCTTCATCAATGTTCCCGTGGACTTGACCCAAGCCACCGATCACCCGATCACCCCAACCGCCTAGCCTCCCTTTTTTGTCCTCTTGGTTAATTTACACACAAACCCTGGCGCGTATCCACACCAGCTTACTCCGTATATCTGCACAGTGCGTGTCATAACTTAGCACTATAATCTCTAATCTAATCAATCAATCAATCAATTAATCAATCAGCTGTCCTGTGCATGCATGCATCCACCATCACCGCATCAGTCACTCCAGGATCATGTCATGCAGAAAACTTGAATTGCCCCAAGAACTCTCTCGCACGACATGACAGGAAGCCCCTTGTTCCATCTGTAGCCCTCCCTCCTAGATTGATTCCGCCCCTTCCCGGGCCCTCCGATCTCCGGGGTTTCGAGTCGGAGCCGGGTCTCTCACTAATAAATTACTCATATATTACGGAGTACGTAGCAAGAAAAGAAAAACAGTCTGACAGGCATTGTTTACGCACACGGACATCCTTGGATTTTCGCATCGGCTTTGGGTTCGGACTCACGTCGCCTCCGAGCACGTTACACCATCAGACCAAGAAGGTGGCCCTCATCCGTGTAGTTATCCTATATTCTCCATCTACCACACGAAGCCACTCTCGCCTCTACCTTTCCCTGGATATCAGATTATCCTTATCCAAAACGCCCCATGTAAAGCGGCCCTGCGCAAGCGAAAGGATGCCTGACAGAGCCCAGAAAAAAAAGGGAGCCCATCGGGAGGCAAAGCAAAAGGGACCACAGGATCCCCACGTGCCCCCAACAAAAGAAAATATCGTCTCCTCCTCTGTTCTAACTAGCTCACGTTATACCATGCCTCCACCCCGGCGTGGCCGCTGTGTCTGTCGCAACTGATAAATGAGCCCCAGCACGCCAGCATCCGTCTCCTCAGTGTTGGCTGCGCTGTTCTCTCGGCTGAGACCCTTCCCAGGTGACGTTTCCCATGTTGATTCGCCCAATATTCCCCCGGCTTCATACACGGATTCTTCCTGTCTTGGTCGTCGGTCCCCGCCGCCATCTTCCAGTGATTCCTCAATAATCTGGCTCTCTCCTCGATACCCGACACGAGGATGTCTTGACAAGTACAAGCTCCGTGCTCCGAGGTTCCCAGCGGCTGGTTGGTGGTGTTGATCCAGTAACATAGATGCCATTGGGGACGGCGGTGGGATCGTTGGTCCAGCTCGTGGTCCTCGTCCCGGGCCGGGAGCCCTACTTCTTGCCCTACCTACCTCCGCCCGTCCCATGTGCGAGCCCTGCATATCCGCTGCCAACGTTGGTGAGTTGAGCCCCGGGAAAGCTGGCGGAGGATGGAAAGGTGGCCGCGATCCTGGTGGCATGTGTCCAGGGATCCCCGTCTTTGGGTTAATGACGTAGTTGTCAATAAAACCGTAGTATGAAGCTGCCATCTTGCCATGCTTTGTCGAGTAATAGTCTTCCCGCACATCCTGATGTCTGTCTGGTTGTCCTGTATTCCCAACCCCTTTCTGGAAGTCGAATACAGCGAACGAACACACGTAACCAAGTCCATCCACGTGAATCGTAAACTCACGGAAAAAGTCAATGATTTGGTCGCTGCACTTGGGTAACGCGAACAGAAGCAACATCGGTGTAGTGATGATGCCCATCACCTCCTCCAGGAAAATTACTACCTTCATCTTATACAGCTCAGCAAATTCCAGCTTCACCTCGAAGCTATGCAGTCGACCGTGCCAGTGGTCTGGCATGTAATGGGTGTATTCGATGACGTTACGCAGCGCATACTCTGGGTTGAACACGAGTGTTTCTTCTGAGACCATTCCTCGGGTGATGGCCCAAATGGCACCAAAAATGCCCAGGTAGAAAAGTACCGTCCTGTCTTTGGTGATTTCAAAATTCAGGAACAGCTCCGAGTCTAGAATGGAGCCCACCGCCAGGATAGCAGTAATCGCTCCGGTCATGAACGCGACACTTCGGGCAATATCTTCGGTCATCCGCTTGGGAAATTGATCGATATACCGAGTAGCGAATGGTACAGACATATGCAGCCGTTCGTAGAAGATATGTGGCAACTCGTTGAACTCCCGAAACTTCCACTCGGCCAGGGACGTGTACTTGCGCGCAGCTGCGAGTTTTGGGTCCTTCTGATATTCCTGCAAAATCTGTTAGTACTTGCAACCTCTAGGTATTGGAAACGCCTACATTGTAGTATGTGAAGAAATAGACGATGACAACATAGGCGAGAACGACGGGGGCAAAGATGAGATTTAGAAATCCGGCAAAATAGAGCCGCTGTTTTAGCTTCTGGCTCAGAACGCCTCTTCGATCTGCCCGGAGAAAATCTTGTTGGACCTGGCCTAGCTCGTTGAATGCCATGTCTAGGATGCAATAATGCAGGTACCACTCCATCGTCTTGGAGAATAACTGACGGCCTCCGAAAAAAGGCACGGGCAGAGAAAGGTCCAGAACATCCTTGTTAATCATTGCAATCAGGTAATTGTCTTTGCGCATCAAGCGGTTGGCGATGTCATGGGCATCGAGCCTCTCTTTTGATTGGCTTCCAATGAAGCGGCGCAGACTCTTGGATATGTTTGTGGCCGTTTTCGGGTTCTGGTCCCGCAGTGTCATGAGTCTGGCCACAACGTCCTGCCAGGATACAGTTTGCATGTCTTGTTCCGGAATATCCAGAAGGTGTATGTAAAAGTCTCTGATATAAATGAGGCGCCGGATCTCGACGAAATACTGTACCGACTTCCAGATGAAGAAGAACGAATACAGCCAGATTCCGAAATTCCAGAACCCGGACATTTTGCTGGTGCATTGCTTGATGACGATTTCATTCAAAGACTGGCTACCAGGGACCTTGGAATAGTCGACACATTGGCACAGGAATGTCAACAGCACGGCCACGAAGAGAGTCTCACTGTCAAGAGGTCAGCATGTTTGGCTCAGTCCATAGCATCGGGAAATCAAGACTCACAGTAACCACAAAGCGTTGGCGCATAAAATGCACCACAGCCCACCTCCTTCGTAATAGTCGTACACGTCCCGCATAAAGCTATCCAAATTCGAGGTGTTAACCCACCTCCAGAGAGCCTTCTCCCGAGGACCTCCTGAAACTATCCCTCTTACTACGGGCCTAGGTTGAGGCCCTGAGGTGGCACTAAATGGATCTTCCTGGTGAAGTCGTTGCTGCGTTGTTGCTGCATCCCATTGCGCCCGAGCTCTTGCTGACGATGGCCCAGCGCTCGCTTGTGGAGCAGGGTCCGGATGTCGTCCTGAACGCCTTGGTGGAGCCGGTAGAAGATTCTCGGCTTCATTGGCTTCTACTAGTAGAGATGCTGGTACATCGTTGTCCACCTCATCGTCCTGGTGGGCTGGCCATCTGGAAGGTTGTCCACCAAAATGCCGTGCGTGGGCGGCGGCTTGACGGGTAGTCCGGGCGTTGTCTTTTGTGTCAAAGGCCGCGCTGTCGACCGTCATGCGGCTATCACCGACTGCCAGGCCCTCTGCATCAAAATCGTTGAAATGTTGTCCCAGGTTTTCCTCGTCCAGCCCGGGATGATCGTCCCCATATGCGTCGTCGTCACGGGAACGCAACTGTTCATAGAAGGATCGACTGCCTCGCGAAGGCGGAGCTATCCGAGAGAAGATGTTGGACGTCATGGTAGGCCCAGAGGCAATGGTTCATCTATGGGCCACGATGGGCATGTCGTTGTGATATTGAGTGTCGGTGCGGATGACGGTCGAATGATTGCGAGATGCAGTGGAGGGGATACAGTTAAGCAAGAGCTACGCTGCCCCGAGAAAGTCGATGATTCTTTGGATCCAGGCGATGGAGATAAGGCGTCGATAGGCTCGGAGGGTAAACTCTATCAAGGAAAACTGATGAGCGCCGTTCTATCAACAGGATGGGGTCGGCTTTGGAGGGCAGGTGACCACGATCAGCGTGACTAGGCGCGCATGCGTGAGCTTCGCACGTGCCCCAGAAGCCGTGTAGTGGGATTTCAGTATGGATGACAGCAAGCAACTGACCTTCGTATTTGGCTTATGCTCTTGTAACAGTCGATGATGATATGCACCAACAAGAGTTCCGAAGTACGGCGTGCATGTTCCAGGCATCACAGTCGCGGGTATGACGCCCTAAAGCGGTGTGTCGTTTTTGCCGGACTTATTGGCCGATAAGCCCCCGCCCACCCTGCGCCACACACCGCCTTCCCTTTCAAGTCCTCCCTCTCGACACCGTTGCAATACTACTGATGTCCACTGTAGGTGTGATGAGTTGAGCTGTATCGCTGGGAATCCGTTCAACTCAGAAGGAATACCCTAGTCTTTAGACCTAGGACCACGGCTGTCTCATCTTCTTCACTCTTCTTCGCTCTCCAACCCCTCAAAGTTACCGAAATGAATTAGCATTCCCGGGGACTCATCGATGTTTGTTCCCACATCTGGGCTGGATTAACATCAAGCACAATGTCGTCGGATCACTCTTGGTCCGTGAAGAGCTTGCCCTCGAGGGGCGCGAGCGGTCCTGTACCCCATTCTACAGAGAGCTTTTCAGCACCACACACAGCTCTGAAAGGCCTGAATCCCCTCACCTCAAAGGTCACCAGCGTCCTCTCAACGACGCACTCAGATACCGAATTCAGAGACGCGCTCTTACTTCTCGATCAAAGAGGGATTCAAAATGATGCCGAGACCCGCCGTCGGCTTCGCCTAGATCTACAGAAGGAAGTAATTGACAGCAATGCTGAGGTTATCACAGAATTCGGCCGTGTTGCAGAGGTGGGTTTGTTCCTTTCCTACCAAGATGTATGCCAACACAATGTTTAGCAACTGCGACGAATCAAGACCACTCTCGACAAGCTCAATACTGGATACGAAGATATGAAGGGCCAGGTCGTTGCGGCCCATACCCAAACCTCTTCGGCATTATCTGAAGCGTCGTCCCTTTTAGAACAACGGAAACAAGTCGAAGTCAAACAAGAACTCCTTGGCGCCTTCAAGAAACATTTCATCATGTCAGAAAATGAAGTCGCTGCGCTAACAATGACGGCTGAGCCGGTGGATGACCGATTTTTTGAGTCTCTAAGCAAAGCAAAAAAGATTAGCAGAGACTGCGAGATCTTGCTCGGCTTCGAAAAGCAGACACTGGGCTTGGAGCTGATGGAACAGACGTCGAAAAACATCAACCTCGGCTTCCAAAAGCTCTATAAGTGGATACAAAGAGAGTTTAAAACTTTGAACCTTGAGAATCCGCAAATGAACGCGTCCATTCGACGCGCTCTCCGAGTCCTAGCTGAGAGGCCGTCTCTCTTCCAGAATTGCCTCGACTTCTTTGCCGAGGCCCGAGAGAGAATTCTTTCAGACTCTTTTTACGTTGCCCTTACTGGAGCATCTCCGTCTGGCGTCGAAGATCAGTCAGTCAAGCCCATCGACATGACAGCCCATGACCCTTTGCGATATGTCGGAGATATACTAGCATGGATCCACTCAGCCACTGTCAGTGAACGCGAGGCGTTGGAGATCTTATTTGTTGCCGAAGGCGAGGAACTCGCCAAGGGACTAAAGTCGGGACGAGATGCAGAGATCTGGCGGTTAGTGGCCGATGACGACGACGAGGCTGAAGCAGAAGACTTCAATGCCTTGAAGGCCCTACACGACTTGGTTGACCGGGATATTTCAGGCGCCGCTCGGGTACTGCGCCAAAGGGTTGAGCAGGTCATCCAAGCCAACGAGGACATTATTCCAGCATACAAGCTGGCCAATCTCATCAATTTTTACCGCATCACATTCCAAAAGACGCTCGGTCCAGGTTCCAACCTCGTAGAGCTAATTGGAAGTCTAGAAACGGAGGCTCTTCGCCAGTTCCGTGCATTGGTTCGGGATCACATTGCGGCCATCCAAGGCGAATTCCAGCATGCTCCATCCGACCTAGGCCCACCGCTCTTCTTACAGGATTCACTCAAGCAGTTGAATTCCATCAGCAAAACGTACGACTCGTCCCTATCTGCCTCGGAGGATCGCGAGGCTGAGTTTGAAAATGTCCTGGCGGAAGCATTCGAACCTTTCCTGGCTGGCTGTGAGAATATGGCCAAGACCATGGAAAAGCGAAACGGGACAATATTTCTCATCAACTGCATGCTCTCTGCAGCTGCGGCACTCGAAGTGTTTGATTTCACTCAGACTAGAAGCAGGCGGCTCCGAGAGAAGACGTCTGAGGAATCCAAGAAGCTCGTCGGGAGCCAATACGCTTTCTTCCGCAAGGGTTCGGGGTTGGAGCCCATTCTCAACACGTTGCATGCAGATGGGACAAACGGGGCTGCCTCATTGGATAGAGATGTGTTGAGCCAGGCAAGCCAGGTCTTGGACGATTTCCTGCCCTCGGCGCTGATGGATGCCATGGAGAATCTGAAGCATCTCCAGGACTCCAAACTCGCCCGGCAGATCACGGAGGAGGCGGCGGAGAAGTTTTGCGATGACTTTGAGCAGCTCGAGGAAGAAATAGCGGACGGCGAGGAGGACTCTGTCGACTCAGATGACGATGACGGTCTCCGATCAGTGTTCCCCAGGACGACGGCAGAGATTCGCGTGCTGCTCTCGTAGAAAACCAGGGCGGAGGCAAATCCCGGATAGCCTCGATAGATTCCATTAGTTATCAAAGCCGTCAGACATCCATCAGCTGCCAGGTTCCCTGTGTTTAACAGGTGCATGCAGGTGATTTTACATGGGTGACAGGTGAATCAATGCGTCCTATCTTGTTAGTGATGTTCAGTGTGCGTACGCCCACATTGAGTCCGAGCAGCAACAACGATTGGAGCAAGAGAGTCAGACGAAGCGCATCTGTCACCAAATCGAATCGCCCATATCGACCGTAGCATATCACAAACACAAATGTATAGAGGTCTCGCTCAAAGGGAGCGCAATCACTCCCGTCCCTTGGATCCCCACCCAACCCAAAGTCGTACTAATTAGGCAATTCCCTGCCCGTGCGGCGAATGTGCGTACCCCGCTAATTAACCACCTAACACACTGAAGCAGGCAGTGAGCAGCGACCAACGGGCAGTGCCAGACGACTACGTCACCGCCCGCACCCAGCCCACTGTGCCTTTGGTGCGTTCTTCGCCATGTGCTGCGACACTCCATCCTGCTTCAACTACCAACGAGACCGCAAGGTCCCTCGAGCGCCCGCTGCCACGACGTATACCCCCCGACCGCACATAGGCCATATTCGATCCGACCCCCTATTGCCCCTTCGACATTGGCTCCCACGCCTAGGCAGTTACGCATCGGGAGTGTGGTCGCCCTTGACAGCCAGAGGGTGGAAAGCCGTTGTTGGTCAGGCCCCAGACCGATCAAGGCGAGGCTGAGGGCTACTATGTTCCTGCTGCCGAAGCAATGTTGCGCAACAAAGGCCTGGCTGTCCTGCAAAAGACATACGATGAGAGCTATCTGAGCTGCTCAACCGCCGTTTACTACGAAGGCCAGGTACGTCGCGTTTTTACCCACCCCCAAGACGGACCATACTCAAAGTTCCCTTGCTCACAACGACATCACGTGTAGGGAAATGAAATCGAGGCGATGCGCCACTGGAGAAGCGCACTCGACCAGATTTACGACTATCAGGCGAACCGGGCGGTCCCAGTACACCTCCCACTAACAACCACCGAGAAGGCGTTGCAAGATGCCCTTAAAGAGCTCGAGTTGCAGTGCAAGGAGCGGATCGACCTCCTTGAGGCGCTGCGGATCTCACGAAATGACGACGTTAACTCATCATTGTCACCGAGAAAATTATCAAAGCGACCTAGTTTAGCGGAGACTGACAGTCAGGCCAAGGGAGGCATAGGTCAAGGGACGATTCCCGCCGTGACATACTCGGAACTATCACGCCCAGCACTGCCACAACGACCCTCTCTTTCCATGCGTCGATCTTCCGAAAATGCTCTCGTCAACGGTAGTAGTTCATACCTCGAACCGGTGCCATCGACAAGCTCGGTGTCGAGAACAGTATCCCCCAAATTGCCTCCGAGGCCAGGCAAGACTTTGCGATCTCCCAGTCCCGAAAAACACACCATGAGAACTACTCTGCGATCAGGAAAGGTGGGTGAAAGACCTGCCAAGATGACTCGCAAGTCATCCAAACCTGCTGGTGAAGGGCCTAGCAAGGCTGCCACCCTCGCGTGGAGTGCACTAGGTTCCAAGGACAAGCTCCCAAGAAATGCCCCCTCTGATGCTGGGCCAACCCCGTCAAACGCAAGCCCGCGAGCCTCCCTTGACCAGGGCCGCAAGCCACCGTCTGCACCTTTACAATGGGACAGTCACTCGAGGAGACTTGTAGTGCCTCGAGAAGGCGAGTCAAGCGGAGATGCCCGCCATTCTGACGAATATTTCTATGCGAGGCCATCCCTTCTCTCTGTAAGCGCCGCCTCCAGTGCCCTCGGGGCGTTATCACTCCAGGATCCCCCATCAACAGAGCCAGGGCCTAGCCGCTCGGAGCGGCTCGCCAGTGGTCGAGTTGGTTCTTCCGCAATTTCCCCCCGCAAATCCTCGAGGCAACATGAACCTGCCAAGGACCCTGGGGCCGCGGATGATTCTGGGGAGGTTTCGGAGAGGAGGACGGTGTCAGATTCTCCTGCAGGGAAAACCCCAGCAGTGAAGCGGTTCGGCGGGCCATCCAAACAACCAAAGCCTGACTCGGAAAAGGCAAATCGCTCTCGTCGGCGTGAACAGAAGCCACGCCCTGTTTCCATTTCGAGCGGATCTGGAGAGGACTCCGGCCAACCTCCAGCCAGAGGTCGTCGATTAAAGCCAAAGGAAGCCGCCATCCAAGCTGACTCGGAAGCTCAAACTTCGGACGAGTCCCCAGCAGAAGAGAGCCCGTGCGAGATGACTACGTGGAAGAAGAAGAAGGCCACAATTATGAAGAGTTTGCCCCCAGGTATTGATGAAACGGCTGCGAAGCAGATTCTCAACGATATTGTCGTTCAGGGAGATGAGGTTCACTGGGGTGATGTTGCAGGCTTGGAAATTGCCAAGAATGCCCTTCGGGAGACCGTGGTGTATCCATTCCTCCGCCCAGACCTATTCATGGGATTACGGGAGCCAGCCAGGGGCATGTTGCTTTTTGGCCCGCCTGGCACGGGAAAGACCATGTTGGCGAGAGCTGTTGCAACAGAGTCACAATCCACTTTTTTCTCTATCTCAGCGAGCAGCTTGACAAGCAAGTACCTGGGCGAGTCCGAGAAGCTGGTGAGGGCCCTCTTTGGGCTCGCTCGGACGCTCGCTCCGAGCATTATATTTGTCGACGAAATCGATTCCCTACTATCACAGCGATCAGGCTCGGGAGAACATGAGGCTACTAGGAGGATCAAGACCGAGTTTCTCATCCAATGGAGTGACCTTCAACGAGCAGCTGCAGGAAAGGAGGTCAGTGATAAGGACAAGGAACGGGGTGATGCGAACCGGGTGTTGGTGCTGGCTGCAACAAATCTGCCCTGGGCAATCGATGAGGCTGCCAGACGACGTTTTGTAAGACGGCAATACATACCACTCCCAGAGCCAACCACCCGAGAGACGCAGCTGCGGACGCTCCTAGGACAGCAAAAGCACGACCTATCAGACGATGACATTCACAGGCTGGTAGAGCTAACAGATGGTAAGTAATGATAAGGAAGAGTTGGCAGTGGAATTGGTGCTAACTTGGGTTACTCGACAGGATTTTCTGGTTCGGACATCACAGCCCTGGCCAAGGATGCGGCCATGGGACCTCTACGATCATTGGGTGAAGCATTGCTACACATGACAATGGATCAGATCCGGTCGATCGGGCTTCCCGACTTTGAAGCAAGTCTAAATACGATCCGACCCAGCGTAAGCAAGTCGGGGTTAAAGGAGTACGAGGATTGGGCAAAGGAGTTTGGAGAACGGGGCGGCTAGATGACTGGGTTTTATGCAAAACTACCATGTAAACCAAATGTATCTTAGCATGATGGATAGAGGAACTGCAAGACTATTTCTATTGCGGGAACTCGAAGACCACGAGTCGCACCTCTCAATCAACGTGCACGTTTGTGGTTCATCAGGCTTCGTTCAAGCTTAATAATGTCTGGCACGTCATTTAATATATGGTACAATAGATTTAGCCACAGTTTTTGGTACATGACGTCTCTGCACGTCAATGGCTCACGATATCGTACAGGGCAGTGAGTCGAGCCCTTCACTCCGATTTCCACATCTGATCCACAAAGAACCAAGTCTTGAGGTTCCGAGAGTTTTTCCAGCTGATGCTTCCGCCACGGTGGCGGTGTGCGACGATAGATGTTGGGTCCCTTAATCAAGGTCGCTCGCTAGAGTCTAGGCCTTGCGCTCCCGTGCCTCCTCCCAGGCCTTGCGCTTAGCCTCCTTCTTCTCAAGCTCCAGCTTCTTTTCCTCTTGAGTCCTCTCCACCTCGGCCTGCCTCCGGGCGGCCTTCCGCTCGTCCTTGGTAGCTTTCTTGGCCTCTCGCTCCGCTATCCTCTCCTCCAGGGTCGGCACAGGTGGACGCTCCTCAATTGGCACGCCGAACGGCGCAATTATGTGCTTGACGACGTGACGCTTGTGTTGGGAGGTCGGCCATCCGGGAACGATGGAGATGACGTCGCCGGTTCGGAGGGAAGAGTTGGGGTCGTGAACGAGGTAGTGCTTGGGGTCAGCATACCACTAAGTGCAACATTAGCAAACCAATCCTCAATAGTCTTCGGAAGGGGACCCGCTCACCTTGTTGACGATCTTGTTCCATTTCTGACCGCCGACTCGGACCTTTACAGTCTTTTGCATGAGGCCAGCTGAGACGACGACGCCATGCAGCTCGTGGGTGACACGGCGCGCGGCCTTGGCGACTTGTGAGGACATTATGATGTATCGTTACGGCGTCAGAGCAACCAGTTGCAGGGCCAGAGAGGCGGCCGGTTCATCAATTGCTAGTCGGAGGGAGAGTATGTATCGTTTGATCGCGAACAAGCTGTGATGCATCAAAGGCTGCTCTCCCAAATTTTGACAGCCAATAGGCGTTGAGAAGGAATAGGCGCTTGTGCTTAGGTAAAGGGAGACATCAAGCCACGGACACCAGCCACGACGGGATCAGACCCGCTAAGATAATTAAGCACACACGTGCATGCGGAAGCATGGTTTTCACACCCTCAAATGAGCCCGTTCATGAGAACCAATATATTGCAAATGCTGTAGAATATCATCCCCGTCTAAAGTATTAATTCTAACCCTGGCACACCTCGAGAGGGGGGAAAGCGGTTGAGGGTCTCCTGAGGTTCAGAGACAATACGTACCGCAGGCACGTGCCCGAGACTCTGCCAAACCACCCGTCGGCAGCCGAAACCCTGAATCTCGGTGTGGTGAACCGTTGTCCGGACCCAGTATTCGGGCTTACACCGCCCGAGTTCGGCATAGCGGGACAGGACTCCGTCCTATTAGTGGGACTCCAGGGTCAAACCGCCTAACCAGCCTTCGCTCGATGGTTGGCTCTCCAGCGTTTGGTTCAACCAGAAGTCACTTGCCCATCCTCCCGCTCCGTCTGGTTTTTTCTTTCTTCTCCCCCCCCCTCCACTCGACCACTTCTTTTCTTTACCAATATCATCACTCAACTGAGCACCCTCCCGATCGACGCCTTCCATCCTCGCTGCGCCAATTGTCGCCGAGCCACTCCCCCGGAATCTTAAACTCCTCCGACTCACCTGTGCATCGTCTGCCTGTTCGTTGGCATTACGCCGCCGACGCCCACATTCAACCTCCCCCACACTTCACCAACCTCTCACCATGTCTTCCCCCGAGCGCCGTGCTGGAGTCAAGCGGCCTAGTATGAATCCCCCAGAATTCTATGTGTCGCAGGAGGCCTAGTCACTAACGTCGACGGTACTATTCTAGGGACGCAATCGCTTCCCCCTCCCGCGCTGCCGCAGTTGGTTGCGGAGCAAAACACGCCCATCCCCCCCACCGACAAAGACTCTCAACGACTAATCGTAGTCCTGTCCAATGCCAGTCTCGAGACGTACAAGGCCTCCCACGGCGGTACCAGCCGCACCGGGATGCACCGGGAGGACAAGTACTCGTTGCTCAACAGCGACGAGCACATTGGTGTCATGCGAAAGATGAACCGGGACATTAGTGATGCCCGCCCCGACATCACCCACCAGGTTTCAACTCTGGCTGCTTGAGTTAGCATTCAACATGCTGACATTTTCTTAGTGTCTACTGACCCTGCTGGACTCCCCCATCAACAAGGCTGGCAAGCTCCAGATCTATATCCATACTGCCAAGGGTGTCCTCATCGAGGTTTCACCCTCGGTCCGTATCCCTCGAACCTTCAAGCGCTTTGCTGGTTTGATGGTCCAGCTGTTGCACCGCTTGTCCATCCGCTCGACCAACTCCAACGAGAAGCTCCTGCGTGTCATCCAGAACCCCATCACTGATCACCTCCCCCCCAACTGCCGCAAGGTGACACTGAGCTTCGACGCTCCTCTGGTCCGCGTTCGCGAGTGGGTCGAGACTGTTGAGTCTAAGGAGAGCATCTGCGTCTTCGTCGGTGCCATGGCCAAGGGCGAGGATAACTTTGCCGACTCGCTCGTGGATGAGAAAATCTCCATCAGCAACTACTCACTGTCTGCAAGTGTGGCCTGCAGCAAGTTCTGTCACGCCGCTGAGGATGTCTGGGACATCATGTAATTCCATCACAGGTCCGTTGGTTGGGAACAAGAATAGAGACAGAAGCCAAAGGCCGGGTCGCCTGGCGGCCATACAACATTGTCGCGAGGCAGATCGGTTAGGTGAAGACTTGGAATGCCTGGTTTACGCTGTCGCTTGTTTTTACAACCAAAACATGGGGCGTTCAACAACGGGTCCAAGACGTTATTCATTGTCGTCTTGATGGGCCATTTCAACCTGGTCCAGATTTTTTTTCCATGTTTGCTCTTTTCTTTGCGGCTGCGCCTCTATTCGTTTTTTTTGTTTCTTGTTCTGTTTTGGTTCGATTCCCAAGCAAACGCTGGGTCCAAAGACAATTAACATGCAAGTCAGTCATCACGACAAAGCAAGGCAAGACTAGACGGGGGCGGAGCGAGGCAAGGCGGGGTGAACTGTGAAGAGAGAAGCACTTCCGAGTGCTCTCCAGTGCGCGAGCAAGCAACTCTCATCATTGGGCATCAAGCAGAGTCGCATGAGGCTAGTTGAAACCAAATGGAAGAGAGAGGCCAAAGAAGTGCTAGACAATGTGAGAGCGAGGTTGAGGAGGAAATCGATGTACGGCAGCAGTCGGCATAGTCAAAGACTCAAAATGCATATCGCGCATAAAGACAATTGCAATTCTCGACAATGAGCGACTTGTAATTCCTGTCCAAAACAGCCCAAGGCGAGTTTCAATGCCCATGTTGTAACCAATCCGCTCGACGACTGCGGGCCTACACAGGAATCGAATGGTTAGTGGCCGCCCCGCCTCGGGTCGCGTGGTCAATTGGTTTCGCGCCATGGATCGTTGGTTGAGTGGACGACAGATGAGTGACCCGATGACGGCAAATGCTCGCGGCCTCCGCCTCACTTGGGCAAGTGGTTCCGTTGGTAACAATCAGAGGATCACGGCAGACGCGGCAGAGTCAAAGCAAGGCCGTTTGTCAACACGAGATATGGGCTGGGCATCCCAGGTTGCGTTGGCTTTCAAGAGGGTCAAATCGCCGGTCCCCACGTGCGTATTGAGGATAAATGGAGAGAGGCCCGCCACAAAAACAGACAATATGGATGTCGGTTGAAGGTGAGGATGCGGATGAAAGAGGAGCGACTGGGTGCAGGTAACTTAGTCAGCCTAAGACACCAACCTATCCGCGTGGGCACGTACAGCATCTGCCTCGCCACAGTAGAGTGCCTCTCTAGCCTTGTTCCTTTGCCCAAATACGGTCAGATGCAGGCATGGAGCAGTGGTTGATTCATACACGCAACAGGTGCTACTCCGTAATAGAGTGCTGGACATTCGACACTCCAGGAGCGATGGACAGTGGTTGACGGGAGCTACGTAGCCGAGAGCCCGGGGGGGGCCGGGGGTGGGCCGGGGGTAGAGGTCGGTGGAGGAGCCGGTGGAACGAGCCGGGGAGCTCTGGGCCAGCCGTCAGACTTGACGTGGCACCGACCAGCACATTTAACGTATGCAGTGAAGTGTTCAGTAAATGCTAGGCGGTGGAGGGCAGGTGTGATCATTGGGCGAGGTTCAGGTTCGGGTTGAGGTTCGTGTTGGAGCTCCAAGGTTGGAGACGGTGTTGGGACCATCAGGTGAAAGTGAGCCTGTGAGGTGCAGAGGGGTTCCGGTAGTGCTCGGTATAGTGTGAGGGAATTCCAGCAGGCGGCGGGAGAGTTTGGGGGACAAGTGGTACTCTGTTTGGCCTCCATCCACCACCCGACATCGATCCAATGCCGGTTGTCGCTTTGCCCCCTGCCGCTGCAGGTACCAAATAGACACGATCACAGCACCATGGACGGGACATACATCATGTGGTACCACGGAGGTACCCCCCTTAGCCCGCATTAAGTGAGATGCCCTCTTTGGAGATGCTGTCGGCCAACTCAGGTCGATCTGCCCGGTATGTTGGCACGATATGGCGGTTAACACGAACGGTGGAGGTCTTCAGGCGTGGTCAAGGAGCCTAATACCTAACTGGACGTGTCGGCCTCGGGACGGGACGTGTAGGGACGTGCACTGGAGTCCTGGGTTGTTTGTACCCGACGCCCAGGGTCAGTGATTGGCACCAGTGATTAGCACTATCGATTGGGGATCAGGTTTGGCCTGGCGGTCAGCGGGACCAAGCCGCGGGCAGTTTTCCCGCCCACGCAGCCAGCATTGGATAGAATTGGGGGTTTGGCACAAACACACAAGGGGATGCGTGCACAATTCCTTACGCTGCACCGAACTGCACTTGCACAAGTCCCCCTCCCCGCGTCCATTCGGCCACCCTACCTACCATCTTGCCATCCTGTCATGTGCTGCTTTCCGCGATAGTCTCCTCGTTGTGATTCGATGTGACTGGTCGTAGGAGATGCGATGCAGGGTTCCAGGCCAAGGCGCGCACTCTCCAGGGGCCGGTATCATGCACGAACGGAGCAGGAGAAGCAGTCCCTACGGCGCTGTACATGGTACTGTACTTGGGATCCAGATGGGCTAACATGGAGGGGCAGCTGACGGGCGCCGGGGATACATAAGACAGGATGCAGAGGGGCCGCGCCAGACGAGAACAGACTGATGAGACACGGGGGGCTGGCCGATGAGACGAGGACCCGTAGAGTCAAGGTCATAAGTCATAACATCGTTCTGCTCTCCTCTCTCTGCATGGCATTCTCTCCTTCTCTGTCAGTCACGCTCTCCTCAGCACGCTCGCACTAATAACTGACTCACCAGTCGATACAACCAAGCAACAACCACAGACACACAGACACCCACGCATATCCCCACATATACTGGGCAAACCCATTGCATGCGCTCACCGCACGAATCACTTGATTATTATACACACCTACACGCACATACCAGCACACACGCACTGTACCGCATAGGTTTTCCGGTACCGAACTGTATCGTGCTGTACCGAACTGTGCTTCCCGCGTCTCTCTGCATTGAGGGAAGAGAGAAAGAAGGGCCAGAGAACCAGAGAAGAGCAAGGTGTCTCGGCTTCACCCCGCACACTCCACCATTTTGACCGACTATCCACTTACCAACGGCCACCAAAACACAACACGCCAGCGGGCACACGTCCAATCCCCAGCTCAGCCCGACTTGGCGGCCCAGATCGTGGAAAGGCGTCGAGTCAGGGGGCAACGAAAAGGAAAAACGACGGCTGGCTCCATAAGACAAGGTGCACAGCACGTATCTTGCATCTCCCATCGCTCCCATCGCTCCCATCGCCCTCATCCATCACCAATCTTCAACCCCACCACGACCTCTCTCCCCTCTCTCTCCTTTCCTTCTTCTCCTCTTCTTCTTCTTCCTCCTCTTCTTCTCCTCTTCTTCTCCTCAACCGTCTCACTCACTCACCTATTCCATCTGTCGTCTCCCCTCCCTCTCCGAATCTCTTCCCCTCCTCCTACTCCTCCTCTCGTCGCCGCTCCTTTCTTCGCTCACCGTCTTCTTGTCCTCTCTCCTTTGCACGTTGCCTTGGCCATCGATCCGCCTTCACCCCTCCCTGGACCCCCCGGTCAGTCAGCCAGCAGGCCAGCAGCACGCCCGCCTCTTCCACTGCCTTTGCTTCGAGGCTTCCCAAGGGCCTATCCCGCAAGCCAAAGCATTCGAGTGGGGCGTCCCAGCGGGCAGCCGTGTTGGCAGCTCCACGGACGCGTACGAATATAACAAGTCAAGATGACGTTGCCTTACGTTGAGGTGTCGCACCTGGCGTCCTCGTCCTCATTTTACGCCAGCGTCCTTCAGCCCCTTGGTCTTCGGTACCTCGCCACCGATCGCGAGCAGACGTCGTCAGTGGGGACCGTCACCTACGGAATCCCAGCCAGCCCCCAACGCCCGGGACAGGGCCCTGGCAATCCTGTACCGGTCTTGCAGATCCGCGAGGCGACACATCCCTTTGAGCCGCTCAGGTTCTCTTTCCTCCTCCTCGCCGCTCCGTCCTCAGCTGCTGTCGCCGAATTCCACGACAGTGCCCTCGAAGCGAATCCGTGGCTGCAACTGCAGGCCGAAGGTGAGGAATTCCCAGGCCATCCCAGTGGACCTGGCCCAAGGCATCGCTTAGGCATCGAGGGCGGTGTATCCCCAGGCCGAGCCACGATCCGAGATCTCGACGGCAACACTATACAAGTTATATGCTCCCCCCCTTCATCTCGACAAGACATAGGACGCGTTCTCGACTGGAAGTTTGACACCGCATCGCGCTCGAAGCATTCCCGCAACCGCTCTCAGTCTCACCCTCTTCCCTCCTCCGCTTCTTCATCAGCCTCCTCCCACGCCAACAAGTCTCAGGCTCACTATCCGCCTCAGTCCCGCATGCAACCCTCGCCTCGCTCTAATCATCCCGGTTACGGGTCCGTTATTCCCGCTGCCATGTCTCAACGCGCCTCAAGCCAAGCTCCCGACGACGAGAATCCGTTCGCGGAGTCGTCCGCCTCTCCTCGTCAAAGCCCCAACAACAACGGCTTGAGTACTACTTCGGTTGTCGGTGCCCTGCTTGGTGTTGCGACTGTTGCCGCTGCTGGAGCAGCTCTGACCTACAACATGGTTACTAAGGATAGGGAACGCAAGCCCCGCCATGACACGGAGCCTCCCAATCTGTCGCGCCGCTCAACCTACCCCGAGAAGGCAGCTTCCAGCCACCACAAGTCTCGGCACGATGATCGTGGTCCGGGATACCCCGAATATCCTATGAAGGCACTGCCGTATAGGTCCTCTGGTTCCTACGAACCGAAAGCTCTTCCTGCACCTTACACGGAGGAGATTCCCTGGAGGCAGCCCGCCTTCAACGAAAATTACGCACCCCGGAGGCAGACATACCCGGACGAGTATCCCCCGAGGAATCTATCCTATCCACATGACTACACACCGAGGAAGATGCCCTACGATGACGTCGATGACGACGATGACAGCGACGAGCCTCCACCTCGCGAGCCTTCTCGCCGTCCTGTGCAGTACTTGACAGAGGAGCCCCATCACAGCAGCTCCAGAAGCTCGGCCGCTCGAAGCACTGCTGCCAGGAGTAGTGCCGCCAGAAGCACTGCCAAGAGCACCGCCAAGAGCACCGCCAGGAGCGTTGCAAAGAGCAGGGCCATGAGCCGTGTCCCTGATGAAATTGAGGAACCACGAAGTAGTCAATCTTCCAGACATAGCAGTCGTGCCCCAACTGTACGAAGTCGCAGTGAAGCGCCAGTCCCTCGATCCTCCGTAATGGTGCCCGATGCAGACCATCGCAGTCATGCCGGGTCTCGTCACACTGTTGCGCCACCAAAGTCAACACATTCCCGTGCTCGATCTCAACGACCTCAGCACGATCCCGATCGAGACTCGTACTTTTCTGCGCGATCACGTCGATCGTCTGCGACGGTTCGCCGTCCGCCTCCCCCTGCGGTCGAGACCGAACTAATGGAGGCGCCCGAAGTGCCAGAAGCACCAGAGGTGCCAGATGGGCCAAGCTTCCAGGAGTTTCGAGAGTTCCAGGAATTTCAGGACGCCCAGCATATTCACCATGGTCAACATGGTCGACATCCTCGACATCCTCGACATCCTGAGGAATTTCACAACTTCCAGGGATTCCAGGACGCTCCACGCGTTCAAGACTTTCAACAGGACTTTCAACAGGACTTTCAGCAGGACTTTCAGCAGGACTTTCCGCAGGGCTATCAAGGGGACTTTCCACGGGGTCCTGAGCTCGTGATCAGGGGTCGGGACGGCAGCAGATTCAGCGTGACCAGGTTATCGAATGGGGGCGAGCCCCCAATCATCATGGGTCACGGCAGCAGGGCTCCTAGCCATATTTCAGCGAGGAACATAGGCTTGCCCGTGAGTGGTATAGGCAGCAGTCATGCCGACTGGGACGATGACGACGCGAGCGTTGCCCCCAGTGACAGCATTAGCTGCGTGGGAAGCAGGACTAGCAGGCGAAGCCGCAGAGTTCGATAGATGAAGGCACAGATAAAGGGAGATGTGGTTTGATGGGTAGGCAAGAGCTATAACCGTCGCTTTATCTCAGTGATGTGCGCAACGGTGGGCCCCAATCACTCGCATGTCTGTGGAAGCAGCAGTATTTTTATGACATCCAGTTTCAAGTTGGATTGCATCTCGGAACAGAATGGGTCTCAGATTACTACAGAACTCTCTTGGAGGTTTGAAGTGTGCTTATTTCAAGGCGTACTGGCTTGGATTTGGATCAAGAAGATGATGCGCGACGTCACATTTACGGTTTCTTGTCTCTCTCGTCTTTGGTTGCATGAAACGGCATCGGGAACTGGACTCATTCATACATCCATACATATACATATACATGTATGGCAAATACAGAAACATAGAGATTAGGACAACTACTGTCGCTCACCAATTGCAGCCATTCCCTGTCATAAAGAATCCCACGCCCAAATGCCGAGCGTGTGTGTTGTGTTGTCAATGGGAGCGTGCCCCACGTTGCGTGTGGCTGTTTGGTGGGGGTCACGGTTGCAACGCTACATGCAATGGCCGACCTCACTCCGCTAGTCATGACACCAAGACCGAGATTTCCCCTCCCTCCCTCCCCAATTTAGCAATTTAGCAGCGCAGGCACTGGACACCGGACGGGTTTGAAGGGGTTTGGAGGGGTCAAGGAGCTCCGAAAAGAGGGATTAAATTAACGACCCAGTGACGAAGCAGGCAATTACTCAAGGCCTGGGCAGCTCCTCCCCCTTTCGTCAAGGCCCGGCACTACACTCACACTCCGATTCTCGGCGCCGACTCCTTGACTCTTGCTCTCCTTCTCCGTCGCTTCAGAATTAATTTGTGCACCTAACCACGAGCACCTCAAGTATCAACTCGGAGCAAAAAAGAGCTCCGCGATACATCCCATCGTTTCAAATCCTCCCGTCTTTCTCCCGTTCTTTCACTACTTGCACAAACGTTCCACCAGACGAAGAGGACCGCCGGCTTCATCGCCAATTCTCCAACACCATGCCCGGCTTTGAACTTGGCGAGTCCATCCCTCCCGACACAGCACATGTGAGTCACCCCGACGTCTTTCAGGACACTTTCGAGACGCGTTTGTTGAACTAAATATCGCCGCAACAGGCTGTGAGCGTGTCCCTACCAACGTGGAAGTCCAATGTCGCCTACGAGGAGGGAGAGGAATGGGTTGTTGGTCGCATGACCACTGGTTACCCCAGGTGCGTGTGTCCAGCCATTTCCGCTTCTTCTCGACTATGGACTGGCCGGCTGACTCAATTCCAGATTCTTTGTGCACAAGAGCATCGGTGCCTTTGCAAAGGACATTATTTCTCGTCATGGGCGTTCAGGCCAGCAGGCCATGCTCTTTCCCACTCCCAAGGTGGCCAGGAGATGTCTCGACTTCATCCGCCAACGAGTCTCGCCAGAGCTCTCGGGCCAGCTCGGCGTCATCGACCTCGCTCTCGACACCTCGAAAGACCTGTCGGCCCTCTTGAAGAAATTATCACCCACCATGTCAGCCGTCGTCTTCCCCGAAGAAGTATTCTCCATCGCCAAGCAGTACTGGCAGCACACAGGCGACGGTACCTCGAGTCGCCGTGCCGAGTTCTGCCATACTCTGTTCATGGATCATCTGCTAGTCGCAACCACCGGAACGCAGACTACCCATGAGACCTCAGCTAGGCCTTTCCGAGGCCCCAAGCGATACCAGCGTCCAGGTTCCATCGACGGCGCCCCTCCCGCAAACCTCCGCACTTCCTCCCCCAAAGAACCCGAAGAGTCGCTAGAGAGTTCTCAATTCCTAGAAGAGCGTTTTGGCAGAAACCTCAATCTCTCCTTGGTCGAGCGTGCCAAGTCAGCTATTCGGAGACGCATCGCCGGCGCCCTCGCCCACGAAGTTGACCTAAACAATGGCCCCTTGCCTTCAATGACAACCAATACCCGAGGTATCCAAAGTCTAGAAGAGGGCGACGTCTATCTTTACCCCTGCGGCATGAACGCCATCTTTAATGCCCATAGAGCCCTCCTGAAGGCGCGGGAACCGCGGAAAAGCATCAACTTTGGTTTCCCTTACGTCGATACGCTTAAGATACTACAAAAGTTTGGTCCTGGCTGCCTTTTCTATGGACACGCATCAGCTGAAGACTCAGATGAACTCGAGGCCAGGCTCAAAAATGGCGAACGCTTCCTCGCCCTCTTCTGCGAGTTCCCTGGGAACCCCCTCCTAACTTGTCCAGATCTCGTTCGTCTCCGAAAACTTGCCGACGAATTCGACTTCGCCATTGTAGTCGACGAGACGATAGGCACTTTTGCGAACATCAATGTACTGCAGTTCGCCGACATCGTCGTAAGCAGTCTCACCAAGATCTTCTCGGGCGACTCCAACGTCATGGGAGGTAGCCTTATCCTCAACCCGGAGAGCAGGTATTTCAAGGCCCTGAAAGCAGTCATGGAGGAGGATTACGAGGACACGTACTGGCCCGAGGACGTCATATTCATGGAAAGGAACAGTCGTGACTTTGATTCTCGCGTGGAGCGTATCAACGCGAATTCGGAGGCTATCTGCGACGTGTTGCGTGCGCACCCACTCGTGCAGCGCGTCTACTACCCCAAGTACAACCCATCCAAGCCTCATTACGACGCCTGCCGCCTACCTAATGGAGGATACGGTGGGCTGTTGTCCGTTGTGTTTGGTCGCAAGGAGCTCGCCCAAGCATTCTACGACGCCATGGACATCGCCAAGGGGCCAAGCCTGGGCACCAACTTCACACTGTGCTCGCCATACGTCGTCCTGGCCCACTACCTAGAATTACCATGGGCCGCGCAGTTTGGTGTGGACCCAGACCTTGTCCGTATCAGTGTCGGCCTCGAGGAGACAACCGCATTACAGGACACATTCCGAAAGGCGCTCAAGGCTGCTGAGGAAGTTTTGAGTTCTCAGGGATAACGTAGCAGAGGATAACGCCTAGCACGCTGAGAAGCCCCGGTTGGATTGCTCGTCTCAAACCGAATTTGGTCCCATTTTTCACCACCAATTATCCTGGACCCGAATCGCTGTATATGTACAAGTCTATCATAGGGGTATATTGTGCATTCTGTGGTCCATGTCAGATAAAGTAATCAATATAACTTAACACAATTAGCAACCCACATAATAATTATGTTGCTCCTTTTGAGTCAATTTCCTTGGTCGTCTTCCGAAGTGAGTGGGAGAACGTGCCCTTATCATTTCGCCATAGTAGCTTCGACAAACCCATGGCTCACATGATGGCACACTCCCTGTGAACATATTGGGGCCCGAAATCCTCAATGCCACGTTCGATGTCGTTGGCGCGCTGTTTCTCTTTGGCATCCTTGGGGAAGTACTTTCTCATATACTTGGACAACTCAAAGTCGAGGTTTTCTACGAGGAATAAGTCAATACGGCGAGACGTTTTATGGTCGAAAATAGTAATGCAACGTACCTGTAGAGGCCTTCATGACCACATCAGCCCGACAAAGGGGACAATGTTTCTCTCGACGGCGCTGTATCTTGACTACGCAGCGGATGCAGAAGACGTGCTGGCAATCCAGGCGGATGGGCAGATATGCCAAGGAAAAACAGACAGGACAGAGGTAGTCGTTGAGCTGGGGCACCACTGACACCAACTCCTGTGACATCTGGGCACAGACATCCCTCGCAACGTTTCCAGCCAGAAGTTTATTTGAGTGAACTGCAGTGGGAAAGGCCTTTGAAATGCCCAAGGATGTCCGCTTGTCGAACTCTGAAGATACTACGTCAGCGACTGCGGAGAGACATGAAATCACGACAGGGGGTACTGTAAGGACTAACTCTTGAGAATCTTGGAGATGGCGAGCTTGTTGAGTTCCTGGAATTGCAGGTTCTTGAGCAAGGAGGCGTTCAAGCGCAGGAACCGAGTGAACGCGGCCCGGCTCTCTGGTAGTTTGAATTGGTTGACCAAGCCCTGCGTCTCAACTTCGCTCTGGAACCATTGGAGCTGCTTCAAGGCCACCTGACTTGATCTCGCGCCATGGTCCAATTCGTGGGTAGCGAAGAAGACTTCAGCGTCAAGGTACAGCTCAAAAATGTTGCGCCACCGGGCCAGGTCATTTTTGGAGAACCGGGAGGGCTTTGCAACCTGGGCAACTTCCTTACCGAGGTCTACAATCTCGGCATTCATCCTCTCCTCCTCTTGAGCCTGCAACGTGTCAAGGCTGTTGACATCACTCTGTAGAATATCAAAGAATTCGCCATCAAACACGAGGGGAACCTCGATGGTTTCGTAGGTGCCATCGTCTGGCGCGGCTGGGTTCGTGGCGTCGAGGTCTGATGGCGCTGGAGGATGTTGCGCTTCGTCTGGTGACTGAGGAGTTGGCTCGGTGGGTGAGCTGACGGCCCGAGGAGTGGAGTCGCAGTCGAGGATGCCAGTCTTGAGTTCGGTGGCAGATCCAGAGGCGTGTTTCCACTGGTCCTGGGAGATGGAGGCAGCGATCTTGTTGAGGAACTCCTTGGAGGCTGAAGACAGTGAAGCGTCAATGGGGACGCCGTTTCGCATGTGAACGTTGACAGTGAGCTTGGGGCGCAGGAGGTTCGAATCGGTGGCAGCTAATGGTAGAGAGTAACGGTAAGCACAGGTCGCAAATCGCAAACCGCAAATCAAGCGGCAAGGTCCGGGGCGCAAGTATGTACCGTTAAGCTTATACTGCAAGGCGACCGCAGAAGTGTTGTTAGGGTCCAACAACGAGCGAAGCGTGTCTGGGTCGAGGCCGAGCGCGTGCAACTCGCGCTGAACTTTCTTGAGACATTTCTTCAGCTGGCTGTAGGGAATGGCATGGTCAACCCAGTGAGGAGGGAAGTCTGCGCCGGGGAATGTTAGTCTTGAGGAATAGAGGCAATGGGGGTGGAACTAACCCTGTGTAGCCAGAGATTGTTTGAAATCGTGAGCAAACTTCATGGCGACAACTCAAAACCCCAAATTCAACGAGTTGATGGCATGGCACGCGAGCAATGGCCGAAGATGGAACAGAGTGCGACAAAGTGGGGTTAAAGAGACAGTTCGCGCAGGTGGTCGGAGTAGTGTAGTCGCCGCCTTCGGGGGGTGGCGTGCGTTGGTGAGCACTGAGCAGCGTACGTAGTAGCGGCGAAGAGAAGAGAGACGAGGCTCGGAAACAACAAATTCGTAGTGCGAATATGACAAGTTACCAGGCGAGCGAGGCGGGGCGATACAAGGCGATGCAAAGGGGGGGAGACGGGGAATATTAAATAAAGAGGAAAGAGAAGGAGAGAAGGCGCGAAGATGAATCAAATCTTGCGAATAATTTGTGGGCGTCTTGTCGCGAGTCTGTGTGTCTGTGTGTCTGGGGTGTCTGGTGGTCTCTCTCCATCGGTCGTCCCGTGGTGTACTGCGTACTGCGTACTGTGTGGAAGATGGTGGTCGCCTACCCTTGGCTGGTCGTTGGGTACGTCCTGCCGTTTATTTACTCATCTCTAGTCTATTCTTGGCCTGGCAGGCAAAAGTAGGCAAGGCAAGCACTGGCAGCACTGGCGGCGTTGATGGATCATGATCGCTCAAAGGTCTGGAGCCACAAGTTCGGCAATCTCGTGCCGGGTGCGGACAGCGGAGAAGAGCGGACGTCTGGAGGCCAAGCCAGGCCATGCTAGGCCTTGTCAGGTCGGCCATCGGATGGTTCGAGGCGCCTGACCTGTTTGATGACCGAACTTGGACACTCGCAGACACAGGCGACGGACCATCTCGGCTGGCGCATCCAAGTTCGAGAGATCGCTTTCCCTCGAGAAGACGACGAATTCGGGCTGGAAAGGAGTCGGTGATTGGCTAGCTCCTTCGCACCATTCCACGAGGTCACCCGTCCTTGTCCAAGCTTCCAAGATCTCCACGTCCCGGCGGCAACGCCCGTGAAGATGCCCGAGCGAAGCTTCTACGGTCGAGGGGTCTTGCAGCAAAGTCGTTCGCAGTATCCACATTGACATATCACATGGTTCTGGAAACAAACAGAGCAAGAGAGACGCATGTAACCAAGAGGAGCCTTGCATTTGGTGTGGTCATGTGGTGGGAGAAGGACCCGGCCTAGTGATGCCAAGGATTATTGTGTGCAGGCTGCAGGCAGAGGTGAAATAATCAGTGCACGACACCAACGTGAACCGCCAGTCTACTCATCTAACCTAAAGCAAGGCCCATTGAAGGGAATCGAAAAACGACTGCAGGGATAACAACTTGGTCCCAGGCTTGGCTCCCAATCACCCAACGTCCATGACACACGCGGCCCTGAATCTTGGCTCAAGACAAACATGCCTAAAAGAGCCGTTGCCCAAGTCGTTCACCGAGACCTGACCTAACGCCGGCGACGAAATGACCCATGCCATAGGACCCATCTACTTCTAGAATCCGGACCCTGCATTCGAAATGAACGATTGAGTCAGAGGCCTACTGAAAAAGGGGAACAAGATAAATCGACAGGGGAGATGCGTCATACTCTGACTCTAAAAATGATGCATTATTCCCTCCCCCCACGGTGTGAGTAATACCGTACGTACGACGTACATCGTAGAACTGCGTCCCCACGGATATGTGGGAGTAGGTCGGCTTGCAAAACATGCGTAAATCAGCGCGCTACGTCACTTTAGCTTATGATTGGACGAAATTCCATCAGAAGCTCAAGAAGGGAACCCTGAAAAGAGGCCCAAGGCGGGAAAATGGGTCCAAGCAGGCGGGGAGGAAACCACCACAATTTTTTTGGCCCCGCGCCTTTTGCCCCTCCTGCCCACTTCAAGTTAAATCTCAGGTAAGAGACGGAAGCACACTGACTGGCATCTCCGTGAGAGTCATCGCACACTCCCAAGACTCCAAGGGCTCGAGGCAAATGCACGCACAGCTATTTTTCCTGGCTTACCCACTCACTGTACTTCGCTCGGTACTTATACACAACACCAGTATAGAACGAATACGTTTACTTGTCTCTCAATCTTGCATCGTATTCTACCTCCCGCCTCTCTAGCCAGGGAAAAAGAACGCTCTGGAGGAAAACCTATCCTTTTATAAGACTGCTCGCCTAGGTGACCATGGGTGCCCAACAATCCTCGGAGCAGAGTGACGCTCCGGGCACTTCCAACGCCACTGTCGCCAAGACCTGCTACTACGATCTCCTGGGTATCGACCGTCAAGCAACTGATGATGAGTACGCCTCCCGCCTTCCCGAGAGCCATTCCTCCGGCTATTAACACAGCTCAGGATCAAGAAGGCATACCGACGCAAAGCCCTCGAGCTACACCCCGACCGCAACATCAACAACGTCGAGACCGCAACCCGCCGCTTCGCCGAGGTCCAATCCGCCTACGAGGTTCTCTCCGATCCTCAAGAGAGAGCCTGGTATGACTCGCACCGCGATGCCATCCTCAGTGGCCAGGACGGCAACGACCCTGATGCCCAGCCCACCACCTTCCGCAATGTCCGCTTGACCTCGGCCGAGGAGATCATGAGCTTGATGCGCAGGTTCAATTCCACCGTTCCCTTCGATGATGAGCCCACTGGCTTCTTCGGTATCGCCAGAGAAACATTTGAGCATCTGGCCCTCGAAGAGGAGGCTGCAGCCGAGCACGACAACGTCGACATCCCAGAATACCCCTCCTTCGGTTCCTCGGACGATGATTATGAATTGCTCGTCAAGCCATTCTACGCTACCTGGGCCGGCTTCTCCACCGCCAAGTCCTTCTCCTGGAAGGACAAGTACCGCCTCTCCGATGCCCCAGACCGCCGCGTCCGCCGTTTAATGGAGAAGGAGAACAAGAAGATCCGCGACGATGCTATCCGCGAGTTCAACGATGCTGTAAACTTTCTCGTGGGCTTTGTACGGAAGCGCGATCCTCGATATCTACCCAACTCCCAATCTGATGCCGAGCGCCAGGCATCTATGCGAAATGCTGCTGCTGCGCAGGCCGCCAGGTCCCGGGCCGCCAATCAGGAGCGGATGGCCTCATACGAAGTTCCCGAGTGGGCGCAGTCCAAATCCGACGGCAGTCTTGGAGACGAGCACTTTTCCCAGTCAGAGGAAGAATCAGAGGTGGAAATCCTCGAGTGTGTGGTCTGCAACAAATCGTTCAAAAGTGAGAAGCAGCTTGAGGCCCATCTTAGGAGCAAGAAGCATATTAAGGCGGTGCAGCAGTTACGCCGCCAAATGAAACGAGAAGGTGCCGACCTGCAGCTTGATGAGGTCGAGCCCAAACCCTCCGCAGCTGCCACCCCTAGTCCGTTGTCTAATAATGAGAGGATCGATGAAGAGGAAGTCTCCGTCAACCCAGAGAGCTCTATCCCAACGAATACCACCTCAGACGAGCCGAGCTCAGCTGAGTCGGCCGAGGTCTCTGACGGTGACGATTACGCACCGAGGATCGTTGTTGAGGAGAGGCTTGCCTCTGGTATATCCAAGCCAGACAATGGTGACACGGCTAGCAACCTTGATACCGAGCTCTCTGCTGCGACACAAAACATGGTGGTTGATGAACCAGTGCAAGTGAAGAAGGTTGGAAAAGCCAAAGCTAAGAGAGAGAAGAAAGCTGCCGCTGCCGCTGCCCAGTCTGAGCAGGATGAGATCGTGAGTACCAACCGCGCAGCTTCAATCCCTCTTGCCATAACCTAACTATCGGGATACAGCATCGATGCTCCGTTTGCGGAGAGACGTTCACCTCCAAGACCAAGCTGTTCAATCACATCCGTGAAAATGGCCATGCGGCACCTGTCGCAAGACCAGGTGCTGGAGGCAAGAAGAAGAAGCGGTGAATATTATGATTGTCAAAGCATTCTCCGTCTTTCGGAATTCAGTGACAAGGCCTCGCGTTGTCTTGGCTTCCCTTGTCCATTGCCATGTCGATGTTGGGGCATGGGCATCCGGAACCGATGCCATCCACTGGCCATGTTCCAGCTCTCGCAAGGCGGCTCCCGGGAACTCAATCATTTGGAAATTGGTTTCAGATTAAATTCTCATCTATCCCAAATGTAACTCCTATCGCAGCCGCCGAAAGAGGGGGAATAAAGCACAAACCGGACGCCCAACGACCTAAACCTCATGAACAGTGTCCGCATCATCGTCACTTAAGGGCTCCACCTCGTCAATCGCACTCTCTCTGCCTTCAGCTTGGCCTCCTAGCAGGGGATTGTGATCTGCAACATGGATGATGGCCTTGCCCTGGACATGTTTCACGCAACGCCTCCAGTCTCGCCAGTCTTCTTCGGACCGGATCAAAAATCCAATCAGCATGCTCGGGTCCATCTCCCGAACATGAATTCGGCGGAGCCGGGCCGTATGACAAGTCGCGATCTCCTCGTCGGTGTACTGGTTAGGGTCTTCGTGGTAGGGCAGTGCTCTTCTCGTATGGTGAGGGTCTAGGTAGAAAAGGAAGGAACCCTGCGCGCCGATGAAGTAGTGTGATGATGATGGACGGCCCCTGGGTTGATTGGAAGTTAGCAAAGCTCCTAAAAGATGGGGGACTGCGCATACCCTGCGATTCCCACGGACTGGTGCATCTGAAGGGATGCAATCAGTGCTTCCCAGTACACCGGTGTGATCTTGTCGATTCCTAGCCGCGTGCCCACAAGTATCAGGGTAGGGTGGAACTCTTCGCCCGCGGGTTTAGCAATCTTCATGAACTCGTCTTCGTAAACGTCCGGGCCATCCCCCGTCGAGTACACCCGTAAGGACGGTTCGTGTGAGTTGGCCAGAGCTCTACAGAGTCACGCCAACGTCAGTAAGTCAACCTACATGGTAGAGGCATTTTATCGGAAATTGGATCTTACTGGATACATCGAGCCGTTGCTGATGGGCCAAACCACTCGCCTGGATGCTTCCCACAGGCCGTGGCGCCGTGGCGTACGAAGCTATGGATCGAATAAGGCGCTCTTGGGTCGTCGGCGAAGGCGCTAATGAGCCGACGCTCTTCCTGTGGTGAGATTCCTCGACGCCATTCTACATTGGTGTTAGAATGACTATGTGCCTAGGGAGGGGCTATACTGATCGATACCTCTGCCCAGGCGGATCATGGCCATAGAATTCGCTAAGAGACTTTGCCCGGACCGGATCATGCAACCCCATCCACTGTCGGATGAGAAATCGCCCTGGTCACCAAGCTGGCTCTTCAGTCTCATTGAGAATGACAAGGCGGAGGTGGCCTGTGGGTTGGTCGACCTGGGAATGGGTTCGAACTCGGACCTATACGTCATCCAGAACTTGGACTCGAAGTCGGCCAGAAATGCAGGTGGCCAACCCCCATCTGTTGCCGGATCATCGTATGCTAGTGACGAAGAAAAGCTGCTGGATATCGATTCTGGAGGAGTCTCGGGCGCGTTTGCCGGAGGTGGAGGAGCAGGAGGAGGAGGCGACGGGCTGGTATCTTTCATATCGGACTCGAGGCTAGACCCAAGATTGGACTCAAGGTTGGACTCAAGGTTGGACTCGAGTATAGGAGCGGACGGGGGGGTATGAGGGCCACTGTCGACGGTCTTTGCGGGAGTCGCATCGCTCAGTTTGTATTGACGGCCGAGACACCAGACTGGCAGGTCTTGTGCGGGATCGTTGGTGGGTTCCGGGTCCCAGAACATCTGGACGATACGCCGATAGCGTCCGAGGTCGACGTTGGCCATGGCAGCTTCCATGACGACAGTGGTGCGGCGCGTAGACTATGTGAGCATCGGTATGGGGGTGGCCCCGGGCGGTAAAGTCGGGAGCAGTCTCGAAGATGCTGGGAGAAGAGGTGAGGGAGGACGGGCTGCTGGTGGGTGACGGATCTTGGTCTTGGAGGAGACAGTCAGCTGGGAGGCGGGCTTGTGACTGTGACCCGGGCCGCTGGAAGTAGTAGCGCCCCGCGCGTTGCGCAGTAGGTTGCAGTGTACTTAGTGGGCGCATTGGGTGGGATCTGCACGCGAACGCGGACGCTACCTGCGCACGCAACGTCAGACAGAGCCTCGGAGGCAGCAGCGTGCCCCGCGCGATTTTGACAGCTGTCGCTCTCCTTCCCATTCTCGGTGTGTAAAGGTGTTCCTCTCTTGTGGGAACATGTGTTTGATTCGTATGGAGGCGTTGTATACTATTACCGAGATTTTGTCTGTGTTGTAGAAATAAAGGCTACTGATTTGCTCGGAATTATCCAGGATTCACATTGTTGCGTGTGCATCCACGCTGAAGCTCACTGGCCAACTATACCAGAAAGATGAATCAACAACGCAAGACCCAAACATCCAGTAAAATGAGAATAATATAAAAGAGCGAAACCAAAAAACTCACTTTGAAAACATAGCCAGCTTCCATATGGGGTGAACACGGTGGAAAAGAAAAGGTCAACAGATCAAGGCCAACTTACTACTTACCCTACACATCAGACAAACCCGGCGGTGCAAATGGGTGGTTCAGAGTTCCTGCCTGCTTCCTCGGCCCCACTAGGAACCCATCAACAGCATCAACAGCCCCACCGCGCACCTGGCTTATCGATACATGGTCAATACTAGCTCCTGGACAGTGCACCGCGGGGTGACTCTTTTTCTTCATGCCGTCAACTTCGCCGAGCTTCCCCTTGCCGACCTCAAAACTACAAAAGAAACCGGATACTTGAAACCCTTGGAATTTTGAGAGAGACGCCCCCCCCCAAGATGTCGGAAACACCATCATCACCTTGATATGGCTCGAAACAAAAAGGGGGCCACTACCCCCAGAGGAGGCAATGGCGCCAGAGGAGGCAGAGGAGGTCGAGGAGGCCGAGTAGGTCGAGGAGGCCAAGCAGCTACCCGTGGGTATAGGCGCCCTTCTCCTGGGATAGCCTACATGCCCTCCATCGGGGACTCTGGTAAACTATCCGGCCACGGCCCAAGGCGAAGATACGCACAATACGCTGACACAACCCTCCCAGCTGGCTTCACACTCGCAGATGAAGCTCGACAAACCTCACAACACGACCACTCTGCCTACTCAAACCTTCGACAGCGACCTGTCAAATTTGTCAGCGCCGGTCCCAGTGAGCCGTTAAAACAACTAGACGAGCTCCTCGGCGAGAACAACCGAAAACAGGCTGAGGAATCCACTACGGATTCCCCTCCCGATGACCCGTCTCCATGTTCCGCCACGCCCGACCTGCCCAAGGTAGACGACGAAATCAGCGACGACGAAGACGACGGAAGTGAAGATGGAACTGACGACGAAGAAAGCCTGATAGGACCAGACGAGCTAGAGGCGATTGTACGAAGTAAGACCGCAGTCGAAGAGGAACCCTCGTTCTTCTTCGACCTCAAAGGTGACCAGCAACGAGGGATCTCTACCAGAGCACCGGTACATATACCAGACCGGCCATCATCAAGTGACAGCAGTTCAAGTGACGAGGTAATACTCTTCAAAGGTCGGGATGCACAGAGGAAGGTGCAACCCACCATCAGTATGACCCAGATGCGAACCGAAATCCAGGTTGTGGAGGATCAAATGGCTGCAGGCCCAAGCGACTCGCCACGGACCGACAAGAAGAAACCGAAGAGGATGAAGCCCAGACAACGCCGGAAAATGCGGTCCACTTCCAACGACGTAGACGACGCTATCATCGCCGACTACATAGCCAACATGCGAGAGAACGGAGATGCGGACGACATCCTCGGCCTCGGAGCTGGCAATCGCCGCGAACTGGGCGGAACTGATTTCTACGTCTCGGACAATATTAGTAGTGACGAGGAGGATATGAATGCCCCGAATGCGGCTAATGAAGGGGATGTTGATGGTACGGCGCGAGCGAGCAATGGCGATTCCACGGCAGATGAAGACGGCGACCCAGAGAGTGAAATCGACGAAGAAATGCTGGCAAAGCTCATTGCTGGACAGGAGCTTGGGATGGACGAGGATGTGCGGCTTCTCGACTCGTTAAGCGATTCTAGCTCCGCGAGTGGGAAGGAGGACACCAGTAATCGGATCAATGGGAACGACAACTTCGACGTCATGGACTGGGAACGACCAAGCCTCAACCGCCGGAAGGGAAAGGCTGCCCGGGCGCAAATCAACTTCAACGTCTCTGATTCAGAGCTGGAGCAAACTCTCCAGGTTGCGTGGAAAAGCGACCGACTCAAGAAATCAGAGCGCAAGAAGCATCGTGAGCAACTCCGCGCACTGGGCATTTTGGGTAAGAAAGCCAAACCCGAGGACCTCCGGGTAAAATACCCCGATGGCATGAACATGGAGCAAGTTGCCGACGAGTTCCAAGCCTTTCTACTCGGGTCTGACGAGGTGTAAGTTATCACGCTGTTTCCCCAAGCACCCACTCTTGGGAGAAAGCATTTGCTAACGTTTACCCAGTCTCACGTTGCCTCCGATGGACAACCACGCCCGGAAAATGATTCACGATCTTGCCGGCAAATTCAAGATCAAGTCAAAGTCTACTGGCAAAGCCGACCAACGCAGACCGACCCTACACCGAACGCTCAGGACATTGCCATACGTAGAAGCGACATTCAACCAGGCTGTCAACCGCATCAACAGGCGATATTTCCCACGACTGGATATCAAGGGCAAGAGGTCGCAGCGTGCGCCTCCTCCAACCCGGTCCAACAACGCCGCAGCGACGTATCGAGATGGTGAGATTATTGGTGGAGCGGCGCCAGAACTGGGTACCGATAATCGTGGGCGAGCGATGCTGGAGAAGATGGGTTGGAGTAGCGGAACAGCGTTGGGAACGGCGGACAACAAGGGCATCTTGCAACCAGTCACGCAAGCGATGAAGCGCAGCAAAGCAGGCCTTGGTTGATGCAGCCGCGATAAACCAAGTAGTGCGTATAATGGTGTGTAAATAACTGCGCCGAGAACTAAACGTCGCGCCGATTGATACAGAAAAATACTTGACAATGGACACTTGATTCAACATTCAAAGCAAGGGGGACTTGATGTTGACGAATTCATTGTTATCGAGATCCTATTCTCGATATTTATTGTACAACCGCGAACCCCGTTGCCCGTGTGAGAAGACATTGCCCCCAATAAAAACAAAACCATCCGTAACGCATTAAGAGGCTCCCAAGACAGGGCTCAGTCCCTGTAGAACCTCAAAGTCATGACACCCTAATGCCACGCGTAAAATCAAAATGCCCGAAACAAAAAGCCCTGTCAAACCACTTATTTCGTCGAGGAAGAGTACTTGGTGACCGCCTTGGTACCCTCAGAGACGGCGTGCTTGGCAAGCTCACCGGGGAGGATGAGGCGGACGGAAGTCTGAATCTCTCGGGAAGAGATGGTAGACTTCTTGTTGTAAGCAGCCAGCTTGGAGGCCTCGGAAGCGACGCGCTCGAAGATGTCTATGTAATTCGGATTAGAACATGCCAAAACGGACCACTGAAGATCGGGACAAGACATACCGTTGACGAAAGAGTTCAGGATGGACATGGCACGGTTGGAGATACCGGTGTCAGGGTGAACCTGCTTGAGGACTGGAGGAAATGGAGTTAGCGACGCGTCATTGAAATGGGAACCGAAGCGCGAGGAGCCGCGATCGCGTTGTCGAGCCAACATACCCTTGTAGATGTAAGAGCTGTAGGTCTCCTTGCGGGTCTTCGAGCGCTTCTTCTTGTCGCCAGAGGCGGCGGTCTTCTTGCCAGCATCCTTCTTCTCGGGAGCCTTGGAGGCAGTGGCGGGGGCCTTGGAGGCGGGCTTCTTGTCGGCGGCCTTGGGAGCCATTTTGAAAGATTGAGACGGGATGTCGGGTTGGTTGAGTTAGTTGAGTGGATGAGGCACGAGGGCTGAGCGTGAGCGTTGAGAGTGTGAGTGCAGCGGTGGATGTGAAAGTTGATGGCGAGCGGAAGGGTTCGGGGGGTGGGCTGGGCTTTTGTAGCTGGGTGCGCCAGGGTCACCGCGGGTTACTGATTGCGGGCTGCTGATTGCTGGGGACGTGCTGCACGCGTGCTGGGCTGGGGCGGTGCGGTGCGCTAGGGGCGTGGTGATTTTGGGCGGGCTGGTAGCTGGGGCTGGCCCGCCGGTCGCCCCCCCACCAGCCAGTCCCAGGCGCGCGACAGGAGCAGGGGCCGCTTTGGGAATTTCGGGGTTGGCAGAAAAAAAAAAAAAAGGCGACAACGCCGGGAATTCTTTTTTTGATTGGTCCGCTGCACGCGTTTTGCCTTTCTCGAGGCCCACCGCACTTATCTCTCGCTCGCTCCAGCAACCGCGCAATGGGATCGCAGCGCGGTGTGGTCAGTGCATTCAGAGCACTCACCGCGTCCCCGGTCAGCATCTGGGCCTGCACACCGTCACAGATCAGACCTCGCCGGGATGATTTGTTGTGCTGGCCTCTCCGCCTCCGTCCGTCTCGGTCTTGCTCGGGTCGCACGCAACGTGCCCCAGCCAGCTTGTCCTTTGTTGCGCCAGGCTCCTGTCCATGCTGCCTACCTCAATCCTGTCTCCAACTGCTTCCCTTTGAGGTCTTGTGAGTGAAGTATCCTCGGTTCTACGTAGATGGTGCCCATGAAGACTAGGGGCAGAATGAAGAAGATGTGGAAAACAAATAAAACAAATGGCATCATGAACCAGAATTTCGGGTAATCTGCTCCGGCCTCAGCCCCCACATGGTGACCTCAACCTCCTGTTGTCGCATGCCGAGCCGGCTGGCAACGCGTCTGTCTATCACATGCTCGCCGCTCCGTCTCTCCTCCGTTACTGCAGCTCATCCGTACCGGCAGCTCTCCACAAGTCCACGCCTCCGACTCCGAAACCACTGCCGGCTCCGTGGCCGCATCTCGGATCTCGCTGAGCTCCTGCCCGCGTCAACGGGGCTCAAATGTGGACCAGATGCATGTATGTCATTGAATCTTGTTCTATATCGGGATATATTTGAGATCAAAGTGGAATTAGATCCAATAAGTCCGGATTGGATCGAGTTTACTACTGTATTTGAGTTGCATTCATGGACCTCTGACATACGATATGGATGGATACCATATCTACACCATGACAAACACCCAAAAAATGTACCAGTCTGGGACATCCATCAAACAAATATGCCTCATGGAACCACCCAACGAGGTTCCAAAAGAAAAGTCGACCTCCACTAACCACCTTCCATAAAACATATGTACACTTTCACCTCAAAAAGACGAGCCAATTTACAAGGCAATAATTGATGGGCAAAGGGATGGACCAAATCAAAACCATATCACGCATACAGTAAGGAGGGAAAATTGCGGATAGGCCCAGATTTGGATCAAAGTCCAACCCTTTGTTTACTTACTGATTCTGGACGTGTCCGGAATAACGACCACTGCGAAATCCGAAAGCGGCGAGGCAATCAGAAAACAAAAACAAAATCGAGCGCCGTCGCCCAGGGTTGTGAAAGGAGAAAATAACCACGGCGTGGCCGGGGAGGCTGGGAGTGGGCGGGCCGCTGATTTTATTTCCCCCGTGCGCACTGATGCGACTGCGGCAGGGGTGCGCATTGTTTTTATTCGGTGCGCCGCGAAGCTCATTTTCGCCACATCAGGCTAGCGCCAAGTCGCGCCTCGCTGATGTGGGTGATCCGTGATCACGGCAGCGACGCGCGAAAAGTACTTAACCTCTACATCCCCCGCCAACCTCATACCTTTTCCCTTACACCTCAATCGTCACCACAACAGAACATCTCGACCACTCCATCTTTCGACCTCTCTCATCCAAAACCAACCACTTTTCTCCCCAAAAAACCCCCCACCCCCAAACAACTTTCAAAATGACTGGCGGCGGCAAGTCTGGTGGCAAGGCCTCTGGTTCCAAGAACGCTCAATCGTAAGTCATCTCCCTCGTCCCAGGCCCCTTCGCGCGCCCCAACAATCGCGTCTTTTCTCTTCCTGGCACACCTATCTCTACGTAGCTCTATCTGACACTTCCGTTCCAGGCGTTCTTCCAAGGCTGGTCTCGCGTTCCCCGTTGGTCGTGTCCACCGTCTCCTGCGAAAGGGCAACTATGCTCAGCGTGTTGGTGCTGGTGCTCCCGTGTACCTGGCCGCTGTCCTCGAGTACCTCGCGGCGGAAATCCTCGAGTTGGCCGGTAACGCTGCCCGTGACAACAAGAAGACCCGTATCATCCCCCGTCATCTCCAGCTCGCCATCCGAAACGATGAGGAGTTGAACAAGCTTCTGGGACACGTCACCATCGCCCAGGGTGGTGTTCTCCCCAACATTCACCAGAGTATGTTCACCATGACCCGCTTTTCCGTCTCTCATTTTACTGACCCTCTCCTTCAGACCTCCTGCCCAAGAAGACCGGTGGCAAGACTGGCAAGGGTGCGAGCCAGGAGCTTTAAATGCGTCGTTTGGTTCTGCTTTATTGCGATGGTTGGCTGTTTGGGTTGTCATGACAAAGGGGTCACGGTTCAGGGTTCACGGTTGCTTTATTTACTTGCGCGTTAGGGTTGTACAATAATCCCCACGGCTATGGTCATGAATGAGAATACTTCAAAGATCAATTTACCTTCCCCCCTTTGCGTAGTGAAACATTAATTATTTGCGTCTGGTGTTCTGTTTTCTGTTCTGATTGTCCAGTTGAAGGGCACAATCTCGTGAGGCGCTCTGGAATATATGTCACAAGTTCTGTTTGAGTTTTGAATTATCCATCAGATTGGGTCTGTTTTAATGCGAGGCGTCGCCTTGTTGGCCATAATTGTTTTCGAATTTCGGGCGGATTTGTAGGGCTTCTCGCGTGTGAATTACGCCCACCTCAAGGCTCCAATGTTGTGTGACATCTTGGCAATGAAGCTGCCGGGTTCGGATGCTCGTGGTAGGGAATGCTTTAACTGCTGTGATATTCTTCCATGGATCCATTCTAGTCCACTATGTACAAGGTTCGCCCCGTCTATTCCATCAAGTTCCTCGTCATCAATGTCGGTTGACAGCATGCGGGGGGGCTGTAAGGCCATTGTTAGTATGTTGGGGAGTATGGCCAGGACGATAAGGCACTCACGGTCCAGGATAGGCGATGGCAGGTTGCGCTCGAATTTCGAACCTGTTGGGTCATCCTTAGCAACTGGCAGCACACGGCCGAGCGGCACTCCCAAGACTTACCACCAGGTGCGGTTGGGGGAGTGTACGGGTCGGGGTGCTTCCAGCTATCCAGCAACTTCTCCGTCTCGGTCAACAAGGCCTGTATATCACGGTCAGTCCATACACGTCGTCCAGTTGCGCTGATTATCCCACCCTCTGCTGTCTCGGGTTCGTGACATTGCGGTTGGCCTCGAAGAGTGAGCGAATATAGAGGGCCTGGCCTCGCCATAGGTGTCGGTGAACGGCCCAGTCCAGTGCCAGCTTCAATGAGCGGCGGTAGAGTGACCTAGTACCACGCGCGTCAGCATGTGGGACTTGTTGATGAGAGCTCGGCGAATCGCATCGGATGGGGGTTCGACTGACAGAGCAGCTCGGGTCGACATGATAGGGGAAGGTGAGGGTGCACGTGGCCGGACTCAATCGCGGAAGGCTCCTCGCTGGGTGCCAATTGATCGAATTTCGCGAGGGTAGTCGCCGGCTGGCGGTTGCACGATGGTATCGGGAGAATGTCTGTGGTCTTTAGTGGTGTTGTGCTGCGACGAAGAATGCCGAGCATGACGGCAAGTTTTGGTGCCTTGTTGCCTAGCCCCGGGGAATTACCGAGGCGTTGCGAATCCACCTTGGTGTTGTTATCTCCCAGTTGCGGCCTACCCTACACGAGCCGTATTTCGGGTGCTTATAGCTAATATTCTGATACTTATTAACTGTATTTTACTCTTATCAAGAGGTACGGTGCCCTAGTACACACATACCCAGAGGGGGGACTAGAAGCTTAACAGTAAAAAAAAAATACCAACAATTATATTAACAATACAGACTATATACCCAGTCTATTTAAAGGTTAACAATATATATTTTGCTCTTATATAATATAATATTATCCCTTAATAAGGGAATTTAGTATTTAAATTTACTGTATTTTTATTATTAAGAGGTTAAAGTACTCTAGTATATATATATTTAAAAGGGGAACTAAAAGCTTAATAGTAAGAAAAGAAATACTAATAATTATATTAATAATATAAATTATATACTCAGTCTATTTAAAGATTAATAATATTTAGTTTTTTTAGCTTTACTTAATATTATTAAATAGATTAAAGCTATATAGTAATCTTAAATAATAGAAATAAATAATAAGTATTTTACTTAATATTAAAAGAAATAGTAGCTAAATAATAAGATTATTACCTACTAATCTCTACTTAAAGTTTTTATTTAACCTCTTTAACTTTAACTCTATTATCTATAGTTAATAACCTTACTATTTACAGTTAATAACCTTAAGATAGTAATCTTATTCTAAGTAATAGAATATAAAAGAGACTAATATCTCTTATTATTAAGAAATTAACTTCTCTTCTAATACTTATTCTATTATAACTAATTTTTAATATAGTAAATTTTACTTAAGTAGCTTTTTTTAGGAATAACCTATTATATTTATATTATAAATTCTAACTTTAATATAATCTTAAATTCTCTTAGAATTTAAAAGATAAATTAGAAAGATAGAAGCTAAATTTCCTCTTAAGCTTTCTTAAAAAAGAAAATCTATTTAAGCTATTACTATACTATCTATAACGCCTAAATAGAAGTTAATAGATTATATTAGCTATTTTTAAATACTATTTGCTTTTTAATAATAGGACTAGGGTTAATAAATAAGAAAATTAAATTCTTATTTATAATCTTATTTTATATATTTAAATAGAAATAGCTATATTTTATAACTTAGCTAAAAATATTAATAATTCTAATTTAAGAAGTTAAATCTTCCTCTAGAATATTGCTAGAGCTTAATATAACTTCTAATTCTAGAAGCTATTATATTATATTGAGTTGGTATAGATACTAGCTATATAGAATGCTAGCTAGAGGGGGAATTTAAATAACTTGGGTTATTATAGGTATTAGGAATCTTAGGGTATTCTAGAGGTTAGGTTGTAGGAGTTTTTAATATATTTATTAAGGTTAGAATTAAAAAAATTAAATAGAATTTTAATAGAAAAGAAAAAAGTAGCTTAAAACTTAAAATTTAGGCTTTAATAACTGTAATATATATATAATAAAAATATAGTAAATTTAAATATTAAGTTTTTTTATTAAGGGAAAGATTAATAATATATCTAGATAAATTCCCTTAATAAGAAAACCTAGTATTTAAATTTACTGTATTTTTATTATATATATATTATAATTACTAAAGCTTAAATTTGGATTTTAAGTTATCTTTTTCTTTTTTATTAAAATTTTATTTAACTTTTTTTTTTAATTTATTTTAATCTTAATAAATATACTAATAATTTCTATAACTTAACTTTTAAAATACCCTAAAATTCCTAATATCTATAATAGCTTAAGTTATTTAAATTTTATTTTTAGCTAGTATTTTAAATAGCTAGTATTAGATATATTAATTTAATATAATATAATAACTTCTTAAATTAAAAGCTATATTAAGCTTTAATAATATTTTTAAAAAAAATTAATCTTTTAAATTAAAATTATTAATAATTTTAATTAAATTATAAAATATAATAATTTCTATTTCTTAATAAGAAAACCTAGTATTTAAATTTACTGTATTTTTATTATATATATATTATAGTTACTAGAGCTTAAGTTTAAGTTTTAAGCTGCTTTTTTCTTTTCTATTAAAATTCTATTTAACTTTTTTAACCTATTCTAACCTTAATAAATATACTAATAATTTCTATAACTTAACTTAATATTTTAAGATTTAAGTTATTTAAATTCCTCTTCTAGCTAATACTTTAAATAGCTAGTATCTATACTAGCTTAATATAATATAATAACTTTTTAAACTAGAGGTTATATTAGGCCTTAATAATATTCTAAAAAAAGACTTAACTTTTTAAATTAAAATTATTAATATTTTTAACTAAATTATAAAATATAGCTATTTCTATTTAGATATATAGAATAAGATTAAAAATAAGAATTTAATTTTATTATTTATTAATTTTAATTTTATTATTAAAAAGTAAATAATATTTAAAAATAGCTAATATAATTTATTAGCTTTTATTTAGATATTATAGATAGTATAGTAATAATTTAAATACATTTTCTTTTTTAAAAAAGCTTAAGAGGAAATTTAATTTTTATTTTTTTTAATTTATTTTTTAGATTTTAAAATAATTTAAGATTATATTAAAATTAGAATTTATAATATAAATATAATAAGTTATTTTTAAAAAAAGCTATTTAAGTATAATTTATTATATTAAAAATTAGTTATAATACAATAAATATTAAAAGAGAAGTTAGTTTTTTAATAATAGAAAATAATAGTAAAATTAAAGTTAGAAGAATTAAATAAAAGCTTTAAGTAGAAATTAATAGGTAATAATTTTATTATTTAATTATTATTTCTTTTAATACTGGGTATAGTATTTATTATTTATTTTTATTATTTAAAATTACTATATAACTATAAGAAATTTAGCTAGAGCTTAGAGAGCTCTTAGCCTAGTGCCTTATTAATAGATATATAGTATAATTAAGTAATATAGCTTTACTTAAATTAATTAATCTTTTTAGCCTTATAGCTAGAGGGGTTTTTTATAAGGTTAGGTATATTACTCTAATTCTTATAATAACTTTAATTTATTTAATAATATTAAGTAAAGCTTTTTTAATAAGAAAACTTAGTATTTAAATTTACTGTATTTTTATTATATATATATTATAATTACTAAAGTTTAAATTTAAGTTTTAAGCTTCTTTTTTATTTTTTATTAAAATTCTATTTAACTTTTTTAACTTATAGCTATTATAATTTTAATAAATATACTAATAATTTCTATAACCTAACTTATAAAATACCCTAAGATTCTTATTTAAATTCCCACTCTAGTTAGTACTTTAAATAGCTAGTATTTATACTAACTTAATATAATATAATAACTTCTTAAGTTAGAAGTTATATTAAGCTTTAGTAATAATTTAAAAAAAGACTTAACCTCTTAAATTAGAATTATTAATATTTTTAGCTAAGTTATAAAGTATAGCTATTTCTATTTAGATATATAAAATAAGATTATAAATAAGAATTTAATTTTCTTATTTATTAATTTTAATTTTATTATTAAAAAGTAAATAATATTTAAAAATAGTTAATATAATTTATTAGCTTTTATTTAAATATTATAGATAGTATAATAATAGCTTAAATAAATTTTCTTTTTTAAGAAAGCTTAAGAGGAAATTTAGCTTTTATTTTTCTAATTTATCTTTTAGATTTTAAGAAAATCTAAGATTATATTAAAGTTGGGATTTATAATATAAATATAATAGGTTATTTTTAGAAAGAGCTATTTAAGTAAAATTTATTATATTAAAAATTAATTATAATAAAATAAATATTAAAAGGAAAGTTAGTTTTTTAATAATAGAAGATAGTTAGTTTTTCTTATATTTTATAGCTTAAAATAAAATTACTATTTTAAGATTATTAATTATAAATAGTAGAGTTAAAGTTAAAGAAATTAAATAGAAGTTTTAAATAAAAACTAGTAGGTAATAATTTTATTATTTAGTTGCTATTTCTTTTAGTACTAGATATAGTATTTATTATTTATTTCTATTATTTAAATTATTATATAGCTTTAATTTATTTAATAATATTAAGTAAAGCTAAAAAAAAACTAAATATTATTAATATTTAAATAAACTAAGTATATAATTTATATTATTAATATAATTATTAGTAAATTTTTTATAATTAAACTTTTAATTTTCTTTTTAAATATATATATATTAAAGTATTTTAATTTCTTTATTATTTATAGTTAATAATCTTATTATTTATAGTTAATAATATTAAAAGAGTAATTTTATTTTAAATAATAAAATATATTTCTTAATAAGAAAACTTAGTATTTAAATTTACTATATTTTTATTATATATATATTACAGTTACTAAAGCCTAAATTTTAAGTTTTAAGCTACTTTTTTCTTTTTTATTAAAATTCTATTTAACTTTTTTAACTCTAATCTTAATAAATATACTAAAAACTTCTATAACCCAACTTATAATTAAAATACCCTGAGATTCTTATTTAAATTCCCCCTCCAGCTAGCACTCTAGGTAGCTAGTATCTATACCAGCCTAATATAATATAATAACTTCTAGAACTAGAAATTATATTTTTTACAGCTAATTTCTATAAGAAACTTTTAGCTCTTATTATTATTAGTATTTTTAATATTATCGGCTAGGTTATATAATACGCCCATTTCTATCTAGATAAATATAATATTAATATTAATAGCTTAATTTCCCTATAAATTAGCTTTATTCCTATTATTAAGAAATAAACTGCATCTAAAAATAGCTAATATAATTCTTTAATT